TCGAGCGCGCTACTCGATTAGGCTCTATCTCGTATACAACTATCTCCTAACTAACTTCATCATCCCTTGATAGGGGCGGAAGCGTCACCGGGCAGATGGAATAGGAATAAGAAAACTAGGACAACTGCAGACTTTCAACATTTCGGTAGTATGCCGAATGACTCCTTACGGTACGGTCCGAATATAGAACCAACAATAACTCAGCCCTATAGTCTAGATATGAGAGTATAGGCAGAGGGATAAGAATTACTGGTTCTGGTGTTATGTGCCGACATCTTTGGTATAAACCTTCAAATAGAGTGCTGACAGTACGTACACGGACTTACCGCTACTGCACAGAGGGATTACGGCCCGACTTAAAATCGATTTAGAGGCTCACTTGACTATTCGACGGTGAGGGTTGCTTGGCATCATCATTAATTTATACCAGCATTCTACATATTAGGTAGATGTAAAAAGTTACCTTATATGCCTCAAGTGCGCAAGTATGGTTCGAGTCAGCGTCACACATCCTTCAGATGACAGGAAAATTGGTATAGGCTGCGATGGGGTGCTGAGGCTGCTTGGCCGTTGTATGGGACAAGGTGTGGCCAGATGTGATTGGTTACCGACTGGCCGGAACGCCTAAAATTTATTGCCAGGGTATGTCGCTGATCAACCACTAAGAGCTCGTGGTAAATTGGGGTTAAGGGTGCAGTGCCACCTTCCTAGGCGCTAAGCGCTGTGCTGCAACATGGTCCTTCCTTTTACCCCCGCTCGACCTACCAAAACGGTATCCACCTCACGTTTTTAGTTCGCACTGTACTCACTTTTTCCCTTTCATCTCAAGTAAGTACGCTAGGTACGCTAAGTACACTGCCGATGTATACTACAGTACCAAGGTACATGTATACATGTGTACTTACATATGTACATACTACATACTACATGTATGTATGTATGTATGGTTATGTATGCCGGCCTCGCGGGCTCTAACCAAGCTAACCCAGCAGCCCCAAGCTGGTTGAGACGCATGGGTGGACCCCTGATCCGTCCCCTCCGGCTTGCCGTCATTTGATCGATGTCCCGTCGGCATGTCGTAATCTCTTCACATTTATGTACTGCATTCATCTCCGCTTCTCCTTTGGGCTTCTGCCCGACGCTCCATGCACCACTCGTCGAAGTCAGCATCGATATTCGACCACTCAGGTGCATCGCTGCGCAATAGTTATTGTATGCCGTCCCATACCCTCGGAACCGACAACAACCTATGACTTCGCACATAATAGATGCCACCCGCAAAAAAGCGGCATAACTTATACCAGAATCATTCCGTGTATGTCGGCTCTTAGGTAAACCCCGGGAAGGAAATAGTTGTTGCACATCGCGTCGCCGCTCATAGACGCCGACTGCTAGTAAGTATTAGGTATGTAAAACGACTATCACTCTAATTCTTCTTCCCCTCCGCCTCTTTCGAATCTCCTCCTAACTAAAAATATTGTGCTACCTAATGTATGTAATGAGTATCTCACCCATGGTCCTCCTCTTACTTAATTGATCTCACTCAGATGTACCTTACCGCTAGTGGCTTAGTCCCCGCAGTAAATAACACCCGAAATCTAAAATCTTTTAAGTACCCGAGTTTTCAATTGATAGACATTATAGTATGCTATAGCTGGACCCCACGTAATATTAAAATGTTAATCTTTTTAGTATGAGTGTGGACGTAAGAGGCATTAACGAGAGCTATCTATTTGAATTACGCTCAAAAATACATAGACTACTATCTACAAAAGTTCCAAGTTCGTTCGGCAAATATTGTATCCGAGTACATTCAGTGTTTATAGTCTCCCAGGTACCTACATGTAAGTACACTAATAGCGCTAGCTTAGCCTTAGCTTAGCCTATTTGTGTGCTACCTAATGTAGGCCAGGGCGAAAGAGAAAGAGAAAATAGGTATGGATAGTTTATCTAGCGGATCTGTGCCACTCTACTAGCCACCTAAGTATACCTAACGGTATCCTAGGGCTATTTCCCCGTTTGTGGGCCTGTGGGACGGTTTATGGGTTCTAATGTAGTACACGTAAGTTAGGTATAGTGCTGCATTCAAGCGAAATGGACATGTCCTTTTGACAACGGGGGAAATTTACCATTTCTATAGTTCCTACATGCCTAGCATAATACATAAACATTCAACCCCAGATACCTTTTTAGAATTTATGTAGGTATGTATTGTGTGTATGGATGTATGGATTATTATTGCGAGACTCCGCGATTGGCTGAGATTATTATTTAAAAGGAAAGAAAACACCGTAATGGCAACGGCAGGCTCCACCATAGCTATCATCTCGTGTGGCACACATCAAATTATTATGCACTTGCATACCTTATACATATATACTTTTATCATCTCAAGTAGGTATAGATGTACGCAAGTATAGTACTTATCTAATCCATATATGTACTAGTTCGTGTGGGGCACTGCGCCATCCGTTCTCACATAACTCAGCCCATTTTCAAAGATGCCCCGGTCAATTAACCCCTTCTTCCCTCATGGCCCATCCACAATCCACCACCACTTTCTCCTTCTACCTCACCCGATTCGAAGATCAAATCGTCTCACACTATTTTTTTTCTTTCTCTTTCTCTTTCTCTTTCTCGCTTTCTCTCCCTTCCCCGTCTACCTACATACATGGCCTACCTGGCACCCTTGTTCCCCTCTCCATCTCCAAAGAACCCCCCCAAACGGACCCCAAATTCCTTGGCCACTATCTAATTACATGGGAATACATGGGAACCTTGGAAGGGATTTGAAATGTTCCTTCACCGTCTCGGTCCCCAGGACCTTAGTAGATCGGAGCTCGGTGCTCGGCAGAGCTATTGCATGTAAGTGATTCGTATACCCTGACGATGTGGTTCATACGCCGAACACCTCCGTCACCGAGCTCGAGCCATCGCGGCTTTTAGGCTTTAGAGTCGTCAATCAATCCATTCATAGCCGCACCCGAACCAGGGTACGCTTCAAGCGCTATCGTGGTCGCCGCTATGGTCAGGAAACCACATACCTACTTATCTAACTATTCCTTACCCAGCTGTATTATACACGCTAGGCCGCGCTTGGCCGGCCTGGCAGACCAGCTATCTGCTATCAGCCTGATGGCGACGTTGCAAATGATCGAAGCATCGTCGGTCTCAAGGAGAGTTGCAACACTGTTGAAGCTTCTAACTGCGCAATGGCTGCCTCCCTGAGTAGCAACCACTCTCATTCTCGCAGGCAACCGCTGAAACCCTTCGATATTATTGAGCGTGATTCGCGGCACTGGAAAAACCCTTAATCTTCATATTAATTCGAATACTGACCTATCCGAGGCTTTGCGTCGCTCTTCACTTCGGAAATCTGCACAGCAACATGTTGTTCCGAGTGACTCAAAGATGTGTGGGAGATTCGTACCCCGTCTCTCCTTACAATTCTTCGACTGTGTTTCTCGACTTTCCCCACAGGGGTGCTGTGAACTACTATCACAGACCGGGGGAAATGAGAATCCGAGTTTGTGAGGTAACTTTCTATGTGGAAGTACGTTCTCCATGGCTTCAATTTTCATTGTCTCAGAGGACCATGGTTTCCTAACGGGCTCCATTTACATCGGGATCAGTCATCTCTCCTCATTGGCCGGCTACTTTCGCCTATCCTTTTTTATTCTCCTTGCTCTAATTAATCATCATATTTTTTTAATGTCTACTGAGTTTCTCGTTGATGCCAAGCTCGATCAAGTTCGCATCCGGATCCTATGAGAGAAAAGGCTCTATAGTAGCTTGGTCGCGAATAGACGTTCCTTCTCCGTCATCGCGGCCCTTGGTCTAGACAAGAAAGCAGAAAAACCAAGCTTTCGTCACTTTCCAAGTAAAACGTTTTGTCAGCTACCTTGTATGCGACTCCCAATTTAGGGATATGCTCTTCCACACACCCTCAACGCCGTACCCTTGGGTCTACATACCCTGGTCCATATCCGCAGAAGACCCAATGTAACCTCATGAATCGCCAATGTACCTTGTACTCGATTTACATCAGATACGTACACATGTTATACCTAGGTACCTTCACAGGCGGATATTCGAGCTCCTGTCCATATGCCAGCACAGTGCTGAGTACGGTTTGATCATGCCTGTCAGTCTACGGCACATATCCTCATCCTCGTTCGCTTAACTTTCGATTCCCAGTCAAGATTAACGGGGAATATGAAGTGGAAGTCGTTTGCTTTCCCTTCCCACGCCTGCCCTACGGCTGCCCCGTATTTTCTTTGATGCTATGCCATGGCATAGTCCAGGTAGTTCCCATCCAAAGCTCCCACACACCTAGTCTACCGCACACCCCGCTACTTTGTCTTCCCAGTCACCCTCCTAAGCCTTGATGAGCCTTGTCTCCCCCCATTCCCACAGTTCTGGTATGGAACATACCCAGACGGCCAGTGTGATCCTTGTTTCGAGCGCTTAATGGACGCATTCCGGTGACGGGGGCCCTTGATCAGTCGGCACACTGGGGGGGTGTCTGCTAATCTGCCCACCAGGGGGGGCAAGTTGTAGTGATTTTACATACGTTGCGGCGGCTATTCATGCGTCTGGCTTTCTAGGCTCCACAGGCAACACTTGGATCACTCCCCAGCAATGGTTAGATCCAAGCCCCTCATACATACATAGCTTGCCCTGTCACCTCTGACCCCTGTCAACCTTTCGAGGATGTATCTCGAACGCAGAGGTGGGTATAGAGGTACTATGTAACATGTTCTTGTACATTTACCTATCAATGTACCTTGTGGAGCTCTTCCCATGGTCTGGGACTCGAAAGCGTGTACTAGCTCTCAGGAACACGCTCGACGACGTACATATGTCCTCCGGTTCCCACCTCAACTTTGACTGCCCTACGAAAGACAAGGCTCCGGCTTGACTATAATACCCCTTCGCCTCCCGATCTTGCCTCGCGCTTGGCCGGGACCTGAAAAGGCATATTTTCTCTCAGTCCGACTGACTTCATCCGCTTTGTGTTGTCATATTCTACACATTTTGAGAAACGCTTAATGATCCATAAGTACAAACAAATTTAAAGGAGCATCCATCCCCACGAACTTGTTCTTAGTTCCAACGGCGAACCCACCCACCTCGCTTCTGTTAGTCGCCAAACGCGCGCTGCTCCCAACATACAACTATTTACCCGCATTGAAATGGATGAGACAGTATACGTTCGTACAAGGTCAGACCAAATGCGCAACAGTCTCTCGAGAGACTCGGGCATGGTTGAAGACCGGCGATCATCTCCCGCTGGTTCCGCATACTCTCACGATATTCCTACCTCTTACGCCTCAGTAAGTCTCAAGTCTCTGTTGTTTAACTTTTTACGATTTCAAATGCGTGGTAAACTCATACACTATTTAGGTCCCTCCGTTTAACTATTCGGTGCCGTATGATTCTTCGCTCCCTACTCCAGTATCAGTTGCGGGATCACCCTCGATGAATGAACGGACTGCGAAGATCATGCATCCGTACAGCCAGCACCGGGCAAGCTCCCAACAGCCCACCCCTCCAAACACGTCACGGCCGTGGGGGAACTATCAGATGAACGCTCCCGCCGACCTCCTAGAAATGCCCGGCCTAGAAGCGCACCAACCTTCTAGTGACCATGGACAAATGGTCTCGGAACCTCAATTTCAATGGGGCCATTATACTGTCTCAAGCACCGAGGCACCCGAGGACATGCAGCCGCAAATGACGCACCCGTCAATGTTCTCGGTTGCGCCTACGGATCTGGTTAGGCCTCCGATTACTATCCACCCTCAAAATATGCCTCTTCCTGCTCCAGCGCAGGTACCTATTCTACATCATTCTCCAGATCCACGAGATCTAGCTCCTTCGGTAACACCAATCGACAATATGCATCATCACTTCCCTAACATTGTGCACCAGCCGCAGGTGATTATGGACTTTGCACCGTACAGGAGAAAGTCTTCCAAGTCCTCGAGAAATGGCCGATCAGGTAGACCCCCGAAGAGACCCCGGACCCAAAACCGAACCCTTTCAAAACGCGACGATGCGGATATGGTGGACCCCCAGCTTACATCGGCGGATGACGCCTCTTCGAGTTCGAAACCGTCCGGTCGAAGTATCACCTTGAGGCCTGATGCTCCTGAAAAGGACCGTTTCATATTGGAACTCAGGTGTCAAATGGACAACGACAAGGGGAAGGGAATTTGGGAAGAAATTACGAAGAAATACGAAGAACGCTTCGGTAAAAGGCGACAAGAGTCACTACAAATGAACCTTACCCGCGCTGTATTAAAATACGCAGAGTGGCCTGCTTCTGAGGTAAGTACATGACAAGTGCGCTAGGAGCTGAACCAGAACCAGCATAACTGGTCTATGGTAGCTAACTTGATAAATAGGATGAAGCTTTAAGACGTGCAGTTGAGGAGCTCGACCGACGCCGCTACGCAGATTTAGCTAAACTGATGAAAGAGAAGTATGGGGGCTGCCAGGCGTGGGAGTGGAAGGAGGGCCACATTCTCAAGCGGTTGATCGATCTCGGCATTGAGGAATTCGACCCCGAAGACGTAACAAAAAAGCCTCGCCGAAAATCTAAGAAGGCCATGAGTAAGCGTCCGACTGGGAAGCAATCCTGGGCCAACCCAACTGTGACCCTCCCGTACGAAGATGGTCGCGAAATATCCTCTGAGCAGGAAAACTACATCTTAGAAAATTACTGTAAGCCGGACCCCGAATCTCCTGACCCAGATGCTATGAACGGCATCATGGAGCACCCGAATACATTGCCTACTAGAGGAAGCACTGAGAGAGACCCCGGGGAGAGTCGAAGCGAGCGAGTGGCAAAGCAAGCGTGCGAGCAGCTACTCTCAAAGAGGAGTGATCATGTATATGGTGCCCTGCCAATGGGCGAACACCACAACTAAATGTTACGAGGCGATTTTTGTCAAATTTTTCAACATAGTATACGGATTTTCATCACCGCTACTCATGACATCATTATAATAATTGTGCGGCTGCTTACACATCACTAGAAGATACTTCAATGTCATAATTTTAGCGATTGCTTTGGAGTTGGCGGGAGGCTTCATATCGCCATCGTAGAGGAGTACCCATCCTCGCAGGGAATCTAGGGAAAATGAGGTAATATTTACTGGAAGGACTTGCACAATTTCTGTTTCTAGGGGTCCTCATTCTATCTTGGGAGGGCTCAGGGGGAGGCTCGGGTGTGGATGAGTTCACCGAAGGCGTTGGGATGCATTGCTCTTTAGCATGGGTACATTATCACGAGCTTCGCGGCCTTCATTTTTTCAGGGCTATTTTGGTATTAGCTGTTCTATGTTAAATTTACTATTTGACATGTCCAGACATCATTATCATCATCAGGCAACAGGTGGCAATTTGTATTTCGTTTTAGGAAGGAAAAGATATTTGTTAGTTTGGCTTAATAAGGGGGGTATGAAAATACGGTGGTGTGGCCGTTTTGATGAGGAGCAAAGGAGTCATTATCGTGTTTCAGATGTAATAATTCTTTAGGTCTTCTCGAAAAGTCTATGGAAAATACCTATGTCTATGTACCCTCATATTATTCCAAGGCAATAGTTTGCGAGACCTGCGAAGCTCGGGCAAGGCGGGACACCGATGATGAAGGACAAAGTTCCAATTCATGAAACAGGTCAAGATCAACATACAGAAAGTCCCTACATACGCCCCGTCTGGTTTTCGATCCGTAGAATGGAGATCCGGGATCAAAAGTCTCCGCTACGGCGTCTGCTCTCCTCCCCAATCGAGTGGCTGAGTAGCTATTTCTGTGACTTGTCAGGGACAAAGCTATGGGCGGCTGCTGTGCCGCTTCGAATCTGTTCCTTCGCCCACCCAGAACCGTTACCCATTACACACTTACTTACCTCACACTTACACGCGAACAGTAGCGTGGTCGGAATTTTTGAGTGTTGGTTGCAAGGGAGAACCAACATATTGACCCATCCGCGCGGAAGAAAGGTGGCTGGAAAGAGAAAGAAAAAGGCAAAAACAAACAAAAAAAAGTTTGAAACAAAACAAGTCAACGGAAGCGCGCTGCGCCTGTTTCTAATTATAATATTGGCTTCTATAATGATGTTCCTTTCTTCTTCTTTTTTCTTTCTTTTACTTCTACTACTATTCCATGGATGGCAAAGCTTGGCCTCTGTGACTAAGACATACAGTTTAGGAGTAGCCTCCGCAACTCCAACACGAGAACCGGAGGGCTGGAGACGGACGCCTTACCGCCTTTGTCTTGTGCATGGTGGGAAAAAGTCGGACACGTGGGGATGACTGTGGACTTGGATCTTGAGATATGCCGAGACGCCTTTCATATTAACTCTGCCTGGATTGTGGATCCAGGGGTAAAATACCCTTTAACATGTCTTAGCAAAGTAGTGTACATTTCTATTATGTCTTGAGATGAGATATGGGGACCGACATAATCCTTCATGAAGCAAATGGGACTAGTTCGTAGAGATGGAATATAGCATAGTACGATATAGAGTTGCATACACGGCACTTGGTAGCTCCCCATAGGGCCGATCGAGCCGTGAAGCCACGTGCTATTATGGTTGCATGGGCATTATGTTCCTGTGACTTGACTCGATCTCCGTCTCTCCCCACGCGCGGCCATCCCGTTCTAAGCGGTATTATTGCGTTAAAATGTGTGTAAGCCCAACGACAATGGCATGATATTCCTCCATACCGACTGATAAGCAAGAGATTTCAGCTCTGGGGTGGAGCCTTGCCTCCGCGGAGACATGGGTGAGTATATCTGATAACATCCATGGAATCGAAGAGACCATAATCAACCAGCCTTATGATGCAAGTAAAATTTAGGGTCGGAACTGGTATGGACCGACGGCTAGGAAAGATGCCTACTACGTACGTACACATATAAGAGGGATGTATGGATGGATGTACGGTACCTACCGGGTTAGGCGCATCTCAGGACCGGGATATATCTACTTCCTACGATAGGATGGAGCGAAAACGAACGGAAGAAGAATATGGAAGATGTGCACGTATCAACTAGGTAAGAGAGAGGACGGAAGACGGAGTGGGAAGGTGGTTTAGAAAGAAATCTGTTAGTGACACCGCCCCTTTTTCCTAGGAAGATCTCTTTTACGTGCCAGAAAAGCCGGGCTGGAATACCGCAATAACAATAACGCATCCCCCAAGACCGGGTATCCCGCATTGGTTGGGGGGTGTAATGGCGTCCAAGGAAGCTTGCCGTGAACCGCGCCCTTGGGAGATTGGACTGACTCTCACTGGCCCGCGAAATAAAGCAGCAGTGCAAACGAGGAAATCCATGTGCATGCAATACTACCTATTACCTATTCCCTACTACACACCGAGTAGTCTTTTTTTCTGGCCCCCTCGCATAAAATAACCATCGTCCTCAGATGACATCCTTCTGACTTTTTCCCACCATTCAATATTGTAGGTAATGTGGTGGTGTATTGAATGACCTGCTCATCCCAGGGCCCCGGGCCAGGGCCTTAGTAGGTGCTTACTGCCCACACCCCAGTATTCGTACCAAAAAAAGAGACTAGCTGAAAGATAGAAGAAAAAAGAATAATAAGAGCAAAGTCAGAGTATCAACGCCAAAAAGAACATGACATGACAGCATTAGACAGAAAACCTAAGTAATAATAGGGAAAATCCTTCCTTGTTACCTACCTAGCTATTAGCTACAGCTCCTCGGTCACGAAATAGATTTGACACATATATTTGTACTCGCTCGTATACGCTAGAGAGGAAAAAAAAAGTACCCGTAGGTACTTAACCCTGGAAAGACGTTGAAAAAAAAAAACGACGTTAAGCTTCTTTTCGAAGAAGCCAGTGTAACGTGCCCAGCTAATACTATACCGGATTTGATTGGGTAGGGTGCGGCACCAAGTACACTTACAGTAGAAGAGCAAGGAGCAAGGGGGGCTAGACTTGGTAGGAAGCAGGGCTGCAGGTATGTATGTAGTATTTTGAGAAAAGCAGGATCCCAAGAGTGATCCGAGAACATACGCACGCACACATTCGCATACCGACATAGATTATCTTTCTTCATTTTGTACCGGGCTATATTCATCCATTAAGCGTAAGGAACTATATGCGATCTTCGCTTTTCTGTTCCCTACCTTCATTTTTTGTGTGCTGTCGTGATGTGTAGATGTGTATGATGTTTCCCTCTCGGCTCGCTCATCTTTACCATCTGTCCGCGGTCGATCCGCGCGGAGCCCGAATTGGAGGGGGCACAGAACTGACAAGCTTATCGAATGCACATAATTTTTTTTGCTAGAAAAACGTGCAACTGCCGATGAAGATTTGTCAGACTGGTGCCTGTAAGCTAACCCGACAGCTTGGAGCCGAGGCGTTAGAGCTTACGCTGCTGACATGGACGTTGATAGCGGTCAAGACCTTTTTTTTTCTTTCGTTCGAAAGAGGGGCGGCCACTCTGGTAGGTAGTATCATGACATACATATTTGTAAGGGACTTGACACACGGATCAGTGGAGTACCAAGGGGAAGGGTATTGGTGATAATCAGTAAACCACCTAAGCAGCTAAAGCATGTTGCAATGTACCACAAGGATGATTTTTAACGTCTGATATCTGGATAGTTAAGATGACCTTCTTTATTTCCCTCTCTTCTAAGATGCTCAAAACTTGTAATTGAACCTGCATGAACTGGATATTACTGCACGCCCTAGTCACGCATCATGAGGCACAGACGTTAAATGAGGGAAACCTGGCCTCGAAATTGTCTAGGGTGGGAAGTACTGAGTACTTAGGGTAGGGTAAGTACAATAATGGCGATAATGCCGTAGGTTTGTATATTTTGTATACAGTATTTAGGACATTGCGGAGTTAACATTCGCATCGGCTACCGATCAACGCCGGGGTTCCCACGGGGACCCTTGTATACGTAATGTCCACGGAGGTTTTACTGTTTTACTGTGTATGTGAAGACAATTACGAGGTTTCAAATATGAGGGAGAAGCATGTAGCCTCGGACCTCGCTTTTAAGTCGGTAGTATAATTTAGTCAGTCCTCTCAAGAAAACGAGACTTACGCGGCTTGAAACTAGGTAAATTCGCAATACTTTCGAGATCCTTTTTTGAAGGTCCTCGACTGATTATCGCACGGACGGGACGCTAACATTACTTCAAGGAGCATTTCAAGGACCCATCGTACGGGCCGTTAGCTGGCCTTGGCGACCATTCGATGTAAACAAATCTGCCCATGTTCCTTGTCCGAATTGCTAATTTGAAATGCCTTAGGGGGGCCCCTGTTAGCGGATATACACCCGAGATCAGAGAGCCAAATCGTATACCTACCGGTAAATCGTAACGTCTGGGAACAAGGTCTCAAAAGCCGGGTGCCGGAGTCCTAAAGCCGAAAGAAGGTCAATTTGAATCGGTTACTATTTAATGTCCAAGTCGGCTCGTAATTACCACTAGATGTCTTCGAGAGGTAGTGTATTGAGAATAGTATATTGGCGTCGGGCTATCTTGTGGGACTAGTGTTCGGCGACGTAGTAGTCGGTGAACCAGCGGATTTCCGAGTACGTCCGAGGACCCCTACAAGGTTGTCTTTGAAGCCCGAATACTTGAATTGTATAGGGGGTTCCCAATGGAACTTTTGAAAGCTACGGGCTATAGTCCCCATCATCTAGTGTATTTTCAAAATAATTGCGGCGAAGTTGGAATCCCGGCTTAGGCGACATTATGCTACTTCATTAGTGGAGTTTTATCAATTCGGCCAAGGGATACCCATTGTTAGAGTTCCATTTTGTCGTCATAATTGAGGGTAAACATTGATTCCAGGGTGACGAACAACTTACAAAGCATCCTTCCCCTGTCGTCAAAGTTCGAAGGAGAGAAACCCTCGTCGGCCTATATTCAGTGGTCGATAAATAGTAACAAGTAATGGATGATACCTATCCTTTGAGAACTGTAGCATTCCTATACCTCCTTGCTTTTGGACAAACAATAGGCACATTATGTTTCGTCCCCTAGTAAGCCACTAATCTTGACACGAGAAGTCTATGGCCAGCAATGCCTGAAGCCAAATACCCTATGCAAGGATTGCGGCTCAGCAATGTTGCACATGCTCCCGATAGCGGCTACCAAAGTTATTTTAGGTGATGATTGTGTTGCGAAGCCCTGGGAATCGTCAAAATTGAATCCATTCAGGTATAGATTCCAAGGAGAACCTCGTTAACCCAAGGGAATGGATCTCATCGCCTCGTAGGGTAAGCAGATCGCAATATTGGAGGTATTGTTGAGGAATTCCTGGTAACGCTACTGCTCGAGAATGATCCCTTACGTCGTCTTTGAGCTAGTAAGCGCAAGAAAGCACTTTATATGTGCCGCGTACACAAGCTGGGTAAGCTACCAATCGGCTTCCGAGAAGGCTGATATGTAAGGGAGACACCGCATGATCTCCGCGAGTTACACAGCATTCTGCGTCCAAGATGTGCATCTGCGTGCTTTTTTTTCGCTTAGATATTCTCACACGCCTCCGGGTATGAATCCATAATTCCTCGGGTAGAGCTAAGACTAGTTGATTAACAAGCCGATACGAACGTACCTCTACCTCGTCTACTTAAGCCGCCCACCTTCATATGAAGTGTGCGCTGGCTGTCTCAGCCGTCGGTGTAGCTATGAGGTGCCCAGGCACTGGAGCACGTGGGACCGTATGTTCACCAGCGGCGAAGCACTTAGCCGCGAGACAATGTCATAGCTGAGACCAGGTAGTAACGGCGATTTTGGCGTAGAACAGCTTTGTATATGATAGCTAGCCGAAGTGAACCCTAGAGCGCCGTACGTAACGATAGTTAAGTGAAGAAAGCTCATACATTTCAGTTGCGCACTGTATGCCTTGTACCTGGGTAGGTAGGTACTGTAATTGTACTTGCGTATATCGGTGCGGGTAATAAATGTGATAGACCGACGTGAATGATGGGCTTGATCTCTACCATATCGTACGATGTAGTGTAGGTTGGAAGCCAGTCTTATTGAAATAGAAGCGAAAAAAATGATGTAGAGGGAAAGGTTGTCGGCGTTGTCGCAGCCTTGAGAGAATCTTGGCGTAAGATTTTATTAAGTAAGCGAGCCATCGGCGTCATTCTTCATCTTCTTATCGATAGCACGATAGTAGCGGATGATTACATAAACCGAGCTTGTAACCTTGGAAACTGCATTCCGACATTGGCACGTGTCCTCAGCCCGGTCCAGAACCAATTACTGGTAGAAGGTACGAAGGAGGTTATCGTGAAATAAGGTTATCTTAGCTAGATAATTGTTAGTGTAACGGGTATCTTTAGTTCGTCTCGATTTCGATTGTCGAATGACCGCATACCTAATACAATCACCACAATTACATCCCATCCAACATTCGACCATCATGCTCTAAATTCATCATTCGCGTTGTTTTGTTGGTTTTGATTTAGAAGAGAAAGACAAGTCCCAACCATATTAAAAAAACGAACATTTTCCTTTTCTCCGTCGATCCCAAGAATACCGGGAAAAGCTTCATCGGCTCGTGCCCTCCTCGCACCGGTGATTGCTCTTCATACACATGCCTTCTTCTGCATTTCCCTACCGGTAATGCCCTTGCTAGGCATGGGCAATTGGATCTTGGCCATCTCGCGCAAGTCAACGAACCATGGCTCCTTTTCCAGGTTGATCGTGCCATACGCGCTACTGTTGGTGTCATGGCTGGGTGTAGTAGAGTCGATGCGACCCAGTCGCATCGCCGATTTAAGACAAGACACGGTAGATATGTTCTACCACGGCTTCGATAACTATATGAAGATTGCGTTTCCCGAAGATGAGGTATATATCCATGTCACAAAAAAGGTTTCCGATCTGCAAAACGTAGAGAAAAAGTGCATTAGCTCATACATAATTGTTTTTTTATAGTTACGGCCCGTGTCTTGTACTCCATTAACTCGAGATCCCCTCAATCCGAGAAACATTGCGCTTAATGACGTCCTCGGGAATTATTCCTTGACCCTTATCGACAGTCTCTCGTCCCTAGCTATCCTTGCCTCCGCGCCCCCCGATAGTCAAAATACCGGACCCAAAGCCCTTAGCGAATTCCGAGACGGTGTTGCCGCGTTGGTTGCACAATACGGAGACGGACGGTCCGGTCCCTCGGGCCAAGGTGCCCGCGGTCGAGGTTTTGATGTTGATAGTAAAGTTCAAGTCTTTGAAACCGTAATAAGGGGTGTTGGTGGATTGTTAAGTGCCCACCTATTTGCCGTCGGAGATCTGCCTATTGCTGGTTATGAACCCCGGAGGATAGTTGACGATGATGATGACATCGAAGAACATCCTATACCCTGGCCAAATGGTTTCAAATATAACGGGCAATTGTTGCGGCTTGCCCTCGATCTTGCCCAGCGCTTGCTCCCGGCATTCTATACTCAAACCGGGTTACCCTATCCACGTGTTAATCTCCGTCACGGAATACCGTTCTACTTGAACTCGCCGCTTCACACTAAATCCAACCTAGACCCGAAGCCCCCCGAGGACCCTGAAATCACGGAAACGTGTAGCGCCGGGGCAGGTAGTTTGGTGCTCGAGTTCACCGTACTGAGTCGTCTTACTGGAGACCCAAGGTTTGAGCAAGCAGCCAAGAGGGCTTTCTGGGCCGTCTGGTCAAGGAGAAGCAATATTGGCCTTATTGGGGCTGGTGTGGATGCTGAAGGAGGACATTGGATCGGGGGTTTCTCTGGTATCGGCGCAGGAATTGACAGCTTCTTCGAATATGCTTTGAAGACTCATATCCTGTTGTCAGGCCATGAGCTGCCTAACCGAACAATGCCTCTTACTCCCGATGAAGATGGGCTCGACCCAAATCAAATCTACCGTCCGCTCTCAGACGAAGATAACTCTCCTGACTCTTTCCTACAAGCCTGGCATCATGCTCATGCTGCCATTAAGCGACACCTTTACTCTGGTCTCCATCACCCACATTATGTAAATGCGCATATGTCTACTGGATCTCCACAGGCGTACTGGATCGATAGTCTAGGTGCCTATTACTCTGGTTTGTTGGCCCTGGCTGGAGAACTTGATGAAGCCATCGAGACCCATTTAGTTTACTCGGCTCTTTGGACGCGGTATTCCGCTCTTCCTGAGCGATGGTCTGTCCGTGATGGCAACGTCGAGGGTGGTCTTGGGTGGTGGCCTGGCCGGCCGGAGTTCATCGAATCTACCTATCACCTGTACCGCGCCACTCGGGACCCTTGGTATCTATATGTAGGTGAAATGGTACTAAGAGATATCAAGAGGCGATGCTGGACAAAATGCGGTTGGTCTGGTTTGCAGGATGTACGCACCGGAGAGAAGAGCGACCGAATGGAGAGTTTCTTCCTCGGAGAGACCGCCAAATACTTGTATCTGCTATTCGACCCAGATCACCCATTGAACCAGCTTGATGCTTCTTACGTATTTACTACGGAAGGACATCCACTGATTATCCCTCGAAAGAAAACTCGCCGTTCAGTGCCTAAACAAACAACAGAAAAGGCCATCCAGCCTTACTTCAATGCTCATTTCACAAATACATGTCCGCGCCCACCTATTCTCCCTCCAATATCTGGCTCCGCTGCTGCTGCAAGGCCGGACCTTTACAATGCGGCCACTCTAATTCGACTCCATCAAATCCCCAATATTCATAGCACTCTAGAAGACCCGATCGCGAAGCTGGGCGGATCTGAAGGACAGACAAAACCTTCAGAAAACCCGAGAGAAAATTATACATACTTTCCCTGGACCTTACCTCCTTATATGCTTCCGACGGACGGGATTTGTGCCGTAACTAGGCAGGCTCAAACCTCGGTCATCGAATTCCCGTCCAATGCCCAACAATCCGTCGGTAGTGCGTTCAATATTATGTTCGGCGGACATAACCTCGTCCGCATGGGAAGTGAAGGTATTATGATCAATAGTCTTTCTGGTCTGAAGCTAGCCCTCCTCATGGAAGAACCGCCGGAGACGTCTGAACGAGCCTGGAGAGTCTATAGTATTGGCAATCTACCACTAGGCCGTGACGAAAAAGTCTTCATTTCCCGCGATGTCCTCGAGGATATGTCCGACCCCCTCTTCCACCGCGTCCGCGACTCCGTCATTGTCGATCTTCTCGTACAGACCGAGATTCCTCAAGAACCACCCCAGCAACACCATAACTCTACGTCCGACGAACCGGAAACTCCATTCGAAGCCCAGGCTATTGAACTAGACGCCGACGTTGGCAGCACTAACTTATTCTCCTCATTCCTACAGCAAATCACATCCGCCCTCCGCGAACCCGCCACGACTTCATTCGGCTCCAACCAACAATCCGACGAGTTATCTGACAGACATCCTAAGTTCCGCTACATCGAACTGCCTGCTATAACACCCGTAGGTGTGGGCGCCGCGTCTCTACCGGATGTCCGCGAAGCCCCAAATCCGAATATTGCAGCTACACAGCTGGACGCGCAGCTCGCGCTGTCATGGCAGAAGGTCTTCTTCGCGGGACAGGCTTGTGATGGTAAATTACCCGATGCAGCGGCGCGACAGCATCAAGTTGTTGTTATGAGGAGAGGTGGGTGCTCGTTCTCGGAGAAATTAGCGAATATTCCGTCGTTTGCGCCCGGAAAGGGTTCATTACAGGTAGTTGTTGTGGTTTCGGATGATGAGGACGATGGTACAGGAAACGAGGATGAAGACGAAGATGAGGTCGGAGGTGAGAGCAGGACTGGTAGAAGAGGTGGAAGGGAAAGCGACAGTGCGCTGAAATTTATACGCCCGCTTTTAGATGAACCGCAGACTACGCCGTCGGGCATACTAAGGCATAGACCTATTGCTATGCTTATGACTGGTGGTGGGAGTGAAGCGTATGAATTGCTCAAGACGGCGAAGAGTGTGGGCATGAGGAGGAGGTACCATGTCGAAAGCCAAGGGTTGAGGATTGGGAATTTAGTTGTGCTGTGATGGATGTGGATAGACGTCATTTAACTACCTACTTACTACTTAGATATCTAAGTGGATATATATACATACACGGAAATAAGGCCATGATTGCTGTTTGATGGATTGATTTATATGTTGAACAGCGAGCATTAACGATGCGGGTGGCATTGTCGTTGTGTTACTTTAAAGGAGGAAGAGTGGTGGTATATAGAAATCAATGTAGATATTCGGGGGATACTTAGGCAACATCTAGAGATAGAAGAAGACATTAAAAGTTGCGTAAAAACAAGTTGCTACGCTTGTGGAAGAAAGCGTGCAGTGGCCACATAGAGTGAAAATAGAGGCATCTAATTGTTACTTCATTCAAAAACATTAATCTATTGAGTCAAAAAGCAAAAGAAAAAAAATTGCGGTACAAGAGGAATCTAACCTCTTCATACTGGACTCGCGGGGAATCGAACCCCGGACCACTCCCAAGTTATTAAACGAACACCTTCTGGCAAAGAAACATCGTGAATGATGCCGTTGGTGTGTCCGTGCTAAGGGAGTATTATACCACTAAACCACAAGCCCCTATTTGGCGCGATAGTCGCCCCGGCCATTGAGTCCGCGGTGGTTTCTACTCACGGCTGCTTGGGATGCAAACGCTCTTACAATGAGTTATATGCAGTTGTGTTAGGTACGAGTGTGGGTGGTTAGGGGACCTAGACCTGCCCTAAGTGGAGTTTAGTGTGTGTGTGCTCTGCCGGGGACTAAGGTGACACGGATTGTTAAGTCGGGTGGTTGGGATGGAGCTATGGGCCTCTCGGACAAACTAATTCTGATGATAGTTGAATACATGTCCGGGTGGGTCTGTTGAGGGTAGATTGGTACTTGGTTAAGATGTTCGAGATCAGCCCAGAATCATAGACGGAGTCATGATAGATCTAGAGTTATCTACCTAGGTACGTAGGTATTTTACAACTACTTTTTGCTTATTATACAAAAGCATTTTAGAGGTGTTCCTACTAACCTAGTCGAGCCTTTATGCTTGTGAAGATATCGGGTGGCGTACTACCAAACTCCGACAGCGTATTCGCGATTGAATGAGGCTGGGAGGGTGGTACTGCATACGCCTTCAATTCCCATTCGTCCCCTCTCGGAGCTCGTAAGTTTAGGCACGCTATCGAGAGGTTTCTCCGGTCTATTCATTCGTAGGTGGAAACCTCGGTTAGACGGACCTATCTCAATCCCATCCAGCTCGTAGTACAGTAAACACGATACATCATAAAACAAAAGACGAGAAGCCCCACGCAAGTGAGGCCCTCGTGATAACGCGCGAGCTAACTAGCTCCCGCAAGTCTATACCTATAGCACGATGCAGTGGTGGTGGTGGGGTCGTATTTATATCAAAAGCTCAATTGGGCGCTTTCTTTCGTTGATTCGTCCCGACCAATACGAGCCACGCCAGCTCTTATCAGCTTCGCCGTTTCTAGATAGCTTGTTGATGATATTACGAGCTAGGGTATATGAGAATTTGTGATAAGCTGAGCGCAGTAAACACTAAGACCAGACTTAGGCCATACCTAGTCTGAGCCAAGAAGTTACCAAGTAGCGACGATGAGTGTAAGGCGCCGACTAGTCGTCTGTGCCTTAAATATGCTTGATTCAAGATCCATGTTAGATGGATAGATGTTTTCTTACTGTATCGCAATACAGTTAGAATAACCGAAGACTCCATCTAAATGCAGAATATTATCGAAGTTCCATTGAGCGAAAAACAATCTGACAATGTATTAGCAAATGGTAGCCAAGCTGCGAATTGCAACAGAAGCACATGGCATTGCTGACCACACCTGGCTGGAGCTTATGGTCCGGAACCATGGTTCGACTTCGAATGTTATTCTGATGTTAACAATAGAGCAATAGTTGCATGACTGAGATTAGAAGACGTGATATAAGATCTCGCTTGCATTATCAAACAGAATAGCCGCATTTCGCTGCTGCTGCTGCTGTCAGTGCAGATACGAGAAATTAGCACAGCAATAAAAGAAAGGGTCTGCGCTATTATTCTCTTGGCTCTCGGCCAAATTGATATCGTGAACCCACTAAGTGTGCCGGGAGATGAAATATCGAATTCAATTTAGTATTGTTTATTTTACTAAACTTCATGGGACCCTCGTAGCAAAATAAAACAATAATTTGGAACGAATAAATTAGGAAGGACTGAGCCTCATAGTCGTATTGTAAGCTACCGAGTAATTATTCCGGTATAGATTTTCCAACAATGGTTGGGGGTTATTTTTGTGAGTGTTCTCAAAAAGAAGATAGATAGACGGTATGTAACGTCGTCTTCGGCCTCCTAATGTCGAGATCCATCTCGAATGCAACGCCATTAACTCCGCTGTGCCGTGCCTATGCAATGCAGAACGCTTTCTCGTCCCTATCTCGCAGATGCCAGTCTTCATTGGATGCCGCCAAATCATTTCAAAAAATCATTTCGGGCTACCGATCGCCCCTCCCCGAACGCCAATTGCTTATGGTGATATGCTAGAACCACTAGAAAAAACGCCGATATCATGCTGCTGTATTTTTTGAGGTTGTCGTGATGGATACGGAGTGCTCTCCGAATGGGGGGAAATATCCATCTCGATGAATCTCGATGAATTATCGCTTCGTGTTGTAACGGATTGCTGAACTCTCGTTTTCCTCTGCTCGTCCCATCGCGACAACGACCGCGCCTCTGCAGACTCCGTAGCTACAGCATTCCTCAGCTGGCATCGATCCCTTCAAAATTTCATCCCGTTTTGACTAGTTTTGCTGTTAGTAATGATATCATATTTAAATGAAGGTTTGAGTGCGGACGTACGTCTGGGCAAAAGATGGGAGACGCCGAAACCAAATTTCCTAATAACGAAAGGGCCGTGATAACCGGCAATAATAAGTTGAATTGCATTTTCGTAAGGTTTTGTTAGGCCGTAGCCCAGAGAGGTGTCGGTTCGAACGAGTGTTGAATCGAAGATTGGATGATGGCGATCCGAATTTATTTGATAGCTGAGCTACCTTAGGTAGAGGAATAAATAAAACTTGGGTTAGGTAACGGGTAGAATCCTTCTTTACCACCTACTCAGAAGAGGGATAGCGAGTGGGCCCAATCCAACACGGACTAGAAGAGGGAAAAGAGAGAAAAAGAGGAATCATATTAGGATCACTTGGCCAAGAGAAGCGAACGGCGGTTTGCCGTAATATAAGAAATCGTTCGGATGGATACCCGCTAATGTGGTCTGGGTGGTGTCAGAAATTCGGAGGTACTTAGTCTGCAGACAGTTTGTCTCTTTTTTTTTTCGCCTTATGTGCGCCACGATCACAGCCAATCCATGTGAACCGAATTACCCAATTACTTACTGTACATAACACATATGTAGCGAGAGCAAAAGGTAGGTACCCTCAGATTATTACGCGGCTGAAAGGCTGGTTGATCCAGGGGTCTGTGGCTGTGAGTTCATTGCCATGGAATATGACGAAATATGACTTAGAGATCTCGCCAAACAACCACTATTCTGACCAGATAGGGTTGTCAGCAGCTGTCAGAGGTTCCAATCAGGGCTGCTGACAGGATCGTCATTCGCGTGCCAGTAGTCAACCAGGAAAAGCATCAGTACTTCATCCAACGATCTCGTTCGAAATCCCCGCTCGGCGAGACGAGTTCTGCTAGGAATAACTTGTGAATTTTTAGTATTCGATTTAATAAAAAACTAGTACTAATCCATATTTTGTAGTGGAAATAAGTGACGATACGAAAAAAGAAAAAGACCATGTGGAAGCTAAGCATAGCCTTTCGTACCGGGGCTGCCGAGTCCCGTAATTGGGCGGCGGCGCTGAATGACGGAATTTTCAAGGTTCCAAGATTTCAGATTTCGCTTCGAGAAGAAAAAATAGAAACGAAGGGTTGGTCGCTAACTCTATTTGGGTTAGAGGATTTCTAAAGGAATACGGGTTGGGTACAAGAGAGCAAGGGGTGTACGGATCGGATAATCGTATATCCACTACAAAAATAAAATCCACCCTACGTAATTTGAAAGGGATTCTTTTCTTGCCATTTAGAACGCTATGACATCATCCACTCACGCAATCTCTATGTGTACCATATTTTCATCAGGTTTTATTCTTCTCCATCAAATATAGTCGCTCTTGACCAAAACCAATTATTCATACGGTCTGACCTGGTTTATGAGTACTATATTAATTATGTTTTCTGTGAGAATACCTAAAATGTAAGACAGTCCTGAGCGCCCTAATTCAAATGACTATGTGAGAGCATATGGGATGTCTAGAATCAGGTTGTGGGACGAGAAGATTATACATGTCGTACGAATATCAAAAACGCTGTGGTCAAGTGCCACCTACAACTAAATGTTAGATACCTATATGAGAAGGCTCGTTCAAGTCTAATTGACTGTGGGCATCATTTGAATTCAGGCTACAGCAGCATTCAGTGCAATTGAGAAGGTAGGAATCAACCACGGTTTAGTTACACTGAGCAAGCGCTTTTGGAAGCCCAAATGCTAAATTTCAAAAATTGATACATATATGTCATAGCAATGGTATAGAATTTTTTAGTCCGTCCATTTTCTTCAATGTTGAAGCATTCTAGTTCAACTTTTGTTCATATCCCAGATTTCTATTACTTTCGTTGTATCATTTCCAGCACAGGTTTAAGGCATTTTACCTATGGCGAGAAACCTTCAGCTAAACCGCTCCCAAGGGGCGGGATCAATGCCCCCTCCCACCCCACCCCATAGAGGTCCGCGCCGCCTTACGAGAAGTTTGCCTGCAGAGTCTCGGCATCGTCCAGAACCGCCTCCGGGATTATTGGACGCATTCCTTCCAGCCAAGGCGATTGAGATCCCTCCTTCGGCCGATGAGGAACACCTTTTCGAGGCATACATTATTCACCTCCCGCCGGTACCCGAACCACCATGTTGGCTCCCAGGTAGCAGTTTCGGGCGGAATGACCACGGTAGAGATGGCGGGTTGCAACTCCGCGATGTGAGCTCGATGTCCTTTTTAATATCCTCTTCGTCTAGCTACTGACTAACTCTTATAGACCAGAAGCCTCGACAAAACGTTCCCATTTCCGTTGGAGGACTTTGATTTTCACGAGCTAGAAAGGATACCAGACAAACAACTCGCGAAAATCATTACCGATAAGAGCCGAGCCCCAGTGATATCCTTTAGACACGATACTCGGAATACTATATCGCGTATTTCCCACAATCTGGTGGCTAAATGGGGACCCGGCGTCACTCAGGTGGAGGCAGACATGATGTGGCTCATCCAAGGGATGCGGGTGATGAGGAACCACGTCCCCAGAATACATAGAGTATTTCGAGACGAGCTCACCGGCTACCTATTCATCATCATGGACTACATCAGCGGTGATACCTTTGTCGACGTCTGGAATGGCGACTCTTTGAGAAAGAGAACCCATGCTGTGTTAGATATCACGCAGGTGGTGGGGTACATGCAAAAGGAAACCTCTCGATTCCCTGGCCCAGTGGGAATGAACCGCCTTCAGGCACTAGTGCATGGGGATTTCCCTGCTCCATTCCGTATGGATGGTCTAGAATACGAGCAATATTTAAACACACTCGTCGACAAGATCAACAAGTTGCGACCAGCACATGACCGCGCCAAATACATGAAATTCGATCGAAGCGACAAATTCATCTTGACGAATTCACACTTGGATCCAACTAGCTTTATTATCGACGATAAAGGTATCCCTTGGATCGTCGGCTGGGGGAAGAGTTGCTATTCTTCGGCTGATTGTGAGCTTGCCCTAGCCGAGCGTTGTTTCCCGCTAAAGTACATCACCTTTGTTTTGGCGCTTGTAAACAGAGTGGCACATAACGAAAAGAATAGGCGGGCCATACTGGAGATTGCAGCATTCATCGAGGGAGATCCTCATGGGTTAATACGGCCCTAGATGCATCTTTTAGTTTTACTAAATGCTGGATTAGATGGAAGATTAAGCGTGAATATAGTACCTAAGTATGGAATCAATCGCTTAGGAGGGTAGCCATGCCCTAGCATGGCCATATTGGTATTTGTCTCCCTATTCTGTACGCTTTAGCAGTTAAATTAGACAGCGGGTTGCTTGCTTATATCATCAAGGATGTCCTTGTTCGATACGGATGACCACGTTAGTGCAGTGCTTACAGCGTTATATATTTAATGTGCGGAATTATCGTCCATTCCGGACCTACCTAACTGTCGTACGGAGTTGTTGGTAACACGGGTCACACATACCACGAGGATGTGACACCTCTTCCCGAAGTCTTGGAACGTGGATGAAACCCCAGCTTTCCGGATTCCGAGATCGTACGGATGAGGTCGTGTAGCCAACTTAGAAGTTAACTTAGAATTGACATGTTTCTTGTTCATGCCCATGTCGGTCAATTGGGTGTGTAATACTAGTCGTTGGTCATTCCCATCCTCGCCGTATATGCCAAGCAGCTGTGACAAAAGGGATAGAGCACGGAATTGAAGCCTAACCAATTGAACACATCAAGGATATAGGATACCAACATATGTAGATAGTATGAAGTTTCTTGGCTGTAACAAACACACATATGGACACCTTGCTCGGCATGATGTTGTGTTTGCTCCGGTCCGCTAGTTCTCCTTGAGCGGCGACGTGGGCTCCCTAAACCCCTGGATTTTCGTCGCCTTACACGAGCTAACGCGCAGGATGCCGCAATCTATCCCAGACAACGAGAATAAGATATCACGTGGTTGGATTCTCTTCTCACCGACAGAACTCAAACATGTTCATCTCATCTTCCATATCTCCTTATTTATGTCTTTTTATGAAGTAGAATGGCGATAGATTTATGAAATCGGACACACACATACAATGTGGGGGGATCCTCAAGCTGAACACCCCCAAACTCAATTGCCAAGGACGGGATGGGGGGAGATCGATAAACAGCTGCTTCCTCATTGGATGAAAGGGACGGAACAAGGGACGGATTGATAGGGAAGTGGCTTCGGAAGCCCGCTACTGCAGACTAAGACTATATTTCTTTGGGGTTGTTCCCGAGTACCTGGGTCTCTCCTTAAGAAATACCCCGAGCTTCGGGCGACTCCGCTGTCTTCTTCCTCTTTTTTTCTCCGGGAGCGAGCGAAGCTTTCTTCACCTTCAAGCTTCATCCGTTCATCCCCTATCTCCTTAGTCACTTGCCCACCTCCCTATTTAAGTAATAAGTTTCAATTACAATACGGAGCTAAGGTCGGCGACGTTAAAATAAAAGCCACACTTATCAGGAATGACCAATGGACGTAACAGAATTGAATAATAGTACGAAGCCTCAAGATATGTGGTGTTACTTATCGCCCAATCATTATACAGTATATGGGTTTGTAAGCGCTCGGGATGTCTCACCTCTCATCGGAAAAGATACATCGGATCGATATCATCCTTGAACCCAGCCACCTCCAAGGATTCCCCCATAGCTCAGCTGTGTATCCTAGGTAGGTCCTCCCTGATTCAGGATTAATCGATACTTTTAACTTGGATAAGGCAGGGTCAACTTCCCTTCAAAGTCTAGATCGAAGGTTAGATCAAACTCGCCGCTAGCATGTAGAGCTAGATCTAATGAACGATCAAGATTCAAAGTATTCTACTCATGACGCACTCACAACTCACCGGAGGCATTCAATGGTGAACACTGTGTGGGAAATACCCTTTGTTTGCTGGGTTGATCCTCTTCAACTAGCCCCGACTATGCTTGATTGCTTGCTCTTTACAGAAGTTACGATCGTCCATGGCACAAGCTGTCGCTAGAGTTTGTCATGATATATGCTTCAAGAACATCATATTGCTTTTAATCTGGGTTCATCGTTACGATATTTCCCCCATAGTATCTATGGGTCATTGTGCTTAGAAGAAAAGGGTTACGAGTTTAACCGTCCATTCATTTGGTAACCTCCAGGTAACCTCTATAGTCAACATCGCCGACGACTCATATTCCCCTCGTTTCCGCCGTACTTTGAACGAACATCAGCTTAACTACATAATGTATGTCGTGCGCATATAGACCCGCATTACGCGGCCTTTTTCTCATTCATTCGTTTCATTTCGTTTACCATCAGCCTTGGACTTGGTACTGGACAGCTAGCTACCTTTCTTACTACTTACTACTACTACTTTCTTTCCTCATCCCGGATTTCAGCTGTAACCACAACGCAATTCAGCCGCGAGGATTACATAGTTTGCATCCCTCCATCGATTTTGCTTATCTGGATTCTCTGGCCAATGGTCTGTTGATTTAATCAAGTCTTCGTTTCTCCAGGCCTGACCGAATTTCTTTCCAGATACACAACTTCTGCACCATACAGTTGCATTTTCGCTGTTCCACTACAAGTTAGCCTTGCTCTGTGTCACAGTACCAGCGCCAATACCGGCCAGGACCAGCTACCGCGAATACGCCCCCCATTCTTCCAACCCACACACGCCAACGCAACCTGCTATCTAGGGAACACTCTTCTTCCCATTCCTTTTGTCGATCTGGTCGGAGTCTTCCGACTTACCTAGCTGGCTTAGTTCTGACCATTCCCGACCGCTATCTGGATGGCGGAGTTGTCCTAAGGAGCCCATTCGAAAGCTTGAAAGGAAATCCTCCAACGGAATCGACGATACAGTTAAACTACTTAAGTCAACCTACAGCACCTCTAAAACCTTAACTCGTCGGATCGTGTCACTACCACGTGGCTATTAGGTATCTAGAGCGCGGAATTGATCCGTCGCTAACTTCAATTCAGCCCAACAAGTTTGCGGTTTGTCTTGCCTCATCAACAGATTCACGAAAATAGCAAAAACAAATCCTTTGCTTGCCTTACCTGCTTCGCTTACCTCTAAGAAACCTGAGAGGCGATAAGTCAAGATGACGTCGTCCAATTCTAGCAACGAGCTTGATTGCTCGCGAAAGGAGATTCATACAACCTTTGATTATGGATTTGGATTCAGCAATGATGGTAATGCCGTTAGCGGGCAGGATCTCACATCTGGAAAGTCTATGTATGCTAAACTACAGCGCTTCGCTGGCAAGTTTGGTGTCGAACAACGAGGTATCGAACGTGTCCCTACTGATGAAAGAACGGACTCAAGTATGGTACAAGTCGGAACACTGGTATGATGAACTACTATATACTTATAAATGCCCCCTTGAAATTATATGCTGACGTGGCGTAGTGGTTTTCGGCGAATATGGTGGTTTCGTCATTTGCTATCGGTGCTCTAGCTCTGCCGGTATACAACCTAGGTTTCGTCGACAGCGCTCTAACAATCATATTTATCAACCTTCTAGGCATTGCGCCGGTGTGCCTCTTTTCGACTTTTGGACCCCGATTCGGCCTTCGCCAGATGATATTATCCAGATTCTTCTTCGGCTACTATGGTGTGAAATTAAGTAAGTTTACACAAGCACCCCCTGGCCGGAAGACACCTTTCTAACTCCTGTAAATTACAGTTGCCATATTCAATATCCTTGCTTGCCTTGGTTGGTCCGCTGTCAATGTGATTGTTGGCGCACAGTTCTTCCATGCTGTCAACAGCGATGTACCCGGTTGGGCCGGTATTCTAGTCATTGGCTTCGCAACGCTAGGAATAACGACGTTTGGTTACAAGATCGTCCACGCCTACGAGAAATGGTCATGGATCCCCATATTCATAATATTCATGATTGTTCTTGGCACCTTCGCCCATAAAGGGGAATTCAATAGCCTCCTGCCCCTGAAGTCTGGACCCACTGAAGCCGGTGCCGTCCTTTCCTTCGCAGCTTCGGTCTTTGGTTTCGCTACAGGCTGGACATCATACGCCGCCGACTACACCGTATATCAGCCCGTAGACCGCTCTCGAAGAAGTGTCTTCCTTTGGACATTCGGCGGTCTATTCACCGCCCTCTGTTTCACCGAGCTCCTGGGCGCTGCAGTTGCCACAGCCATGGCTACCAACAAGGCCTATTATACGGCGTACAACGAGGCACACATTGGCGGCCTCCTAGCCCAAGTCCTTGTTCCGCCCCTGGGTCGATTTGGCGAGTTCTGCGTCGTACTGCTAGGCCTATCGATTATTGGTAACAACTGCCCGAATGCCTACTCGGTATCTCTCTCCCTACAAGCCCTATCCGAACGCACCCGCCGCGTGCCCCGTTTCGCATGGACGCTTGTTGGTACTGCTGTCTATATCGGCGTCGCGATACCCGGCTACGACCACTTCGAAGATGCACTCGAAAGCTTCATGCTTATCATCGGCTACTGGCTTGCCATATATGAAGGCGTGTCGCTTACCGAACACTTCGTCTTCCGCCGTGGTGATCTCGCTCGATATAGTCCTGAGGATTACGCCGATGCGAAGCTCCTGCCACCTGGATATGCGGCTATTGCGGCGTTCTTCATGGGTGTTCTAGGTGCGATACTAGGTATGTCGCAGCCTTGGTTCACGGGCCCGATTGGTGGACTTTGCGGTGCCGATATTGGGTTCGAGCTTGCGTTTGGGTTTGCGGCTGTGAGCTATGTGGGCATGAGATCGGTGGAGAAGGGATGGATGAGGAGATGACCTTGAACGAGTAAAAATGCATATGGTATAGACCCAAAGCGGGGGTTTTAGGGTTCGAAAACCCGGTATAGGGGCGATCGTTCGCAGGCCATGTTTTTGTTTCTTGACGATTTTGGTACTTGGACCTACTCTTAGCGGGTAGAGGGGTGTAAGTTAGGAGATCAAGAGTATACCAATATCAAGAGACGGCGAAGAGACGGAAGAAGAGGAGCAATAGGGATGTGGCATGGCCACATAATATCAGAGGAGGGAGATAGGACCTACGTAGATCTTAGAGGAGAGGTCGCGATGTACGGTACGGTATGTGTTCGATACCACCCATTTTTTTCTCAATACGATGAAAATGAACAGAGTGGGGTGTTTTTATAGACTTCTATTTATGTTATATTTATAGTGTTTTGGGTGTTGTTTTATTCAGTCAGTGCATTGCTCTGATTATAATGGATAAATACGGGTTCTCTGGGCGTCGTTAGTGTTACTCGTATAGTACATACGGCGCTGGTGGTACTACTTAACGACGTGGCCATTGACTTTAGGGAAGCAATCAAATACAAGAATTGATGTCAGCAAGGTGGCTCAGTGGTGTCCCCTATTCCACAATTCTACTTATAAATATCACTGCGAGGCAATGTAATGCGAGGCGGAAAAAGAATAGCATAAGTGTATCTCTTTAAGTAAGGGTATCTAATTTTTGACTTAGTACTGGCCAACTAAGATATGTACTTGCCCAACCAACACATGTTGGATGAACTAAATATCATCAATTCCTCTAGGAGAAATTGAAGGATAATATTTGCACTAAAAAGCTAGGTGAGAAGCTGAAGTGAAAACTAGGAAATCAGTGGAACATGGGGATGTGTACAGCGGAGTACTGGGTAGGATTTAGTGGCCGAACCAATTGACAGTCTTTCGGTATCTCGTGTCAAAGTGGAACGGTTCACTAGACTTGGTTGTGCTTCTCAGTTGGTTATTATTTTCCACCCAGGAGGACAAGATGTCGGAATCCATGTCAAGTTTTGTAGCGCAACATCGAATTGATGCCTACTTGTCGTAAATGATGATTGGTTGCCCGTATCATCGCCTATCGTATTCACAATCCGCCATTTAATCAAGTACGCCTGGGTAGTACCAACACCATACTCCGCACCGTCAACACAACAGCTTCTGCGCCTGCCTTCCTCATTGTATGTGCGTCGATCAACCACCACCTCGATGATTGAGTGATTACGGGTTTCCTCTTTCCCATCACTCCCTTCCTCAAGACCGAATAACGCCCCGGATTTTTGACGAAACCTTAAACGCCAAATCAATAACCTACAGCAACATGCGAATATACTCGCCGACGGTGCATCAAATCAAATATCAAACCGAAAAAGCCATCCACGCGTTGTCAATTGGAATCGTGTGCGTAGGTGGCGCATACAAGGTCTGGGTCCACGACGACATAACTCCGAAATAATCCTGATTGAAATGGTCAAAGTAATCTTCGTCAGGATCCTCAACGTAAACCATCGTCCAAGCCGTTTTAGAAGGTTTACCGTAGAGACAACCCGGTGACACATACTGAGAAGCATCTTTGACGTAATCACCATAAAGATTAGGACATCCGGGATGCCTGCTTATGTAGATACACCGGTGTTGGTCATTAGGAACCTCAAATATGGTAAGAGGGGCAGGATAACTAATTGGATGACCATTAATGAAACCACCGGGGCGTAGTGAATGAAGTACCGATGTGGTTTCTTCTTTTGGTACCGACAACCACCATAGCCATTCTCCGTCGCTCGAGGCTGCTGGGGACGAATCCTAGCACTCATCTCGAATATAGAATCATAACGATCAACAGGAAAGCGTGGTATCCTTTAGCGACGCAAGTCATAAAGGGAACTAGATTATGACTGTTTATCCTTGATTGCGAATGGCGAACTTGGTGGTGTTGATACTTCAATAGAGAGCGAGGCAACTTGATCCTCGATCTCAGATGCTGGGTCCTCAGAATTCGACGTCGAGCTCCCAGTATCTACTCCGATACTTCCCTCCTGAACGAGTCCCTTGGAAATTCCAGCAATTACCCATTGATGATTCTCGAGACGAGCTAGAGTTTGCGCCATGTTGGACAATTTTTGTTGAGTAAGAAACAATTGTTCGCCAAGTGCGTCTTTCAAGGCCTGTAGTTAACCCTCCTATTGCTCATCTCCGAAACCAGATCTAAATCGTGTCCGATATGACTCAAGTCTGTCTTGCTGAGGATTCATTTGCCGAAAGGTGAAAGGCAACCCTCGCACCCCTCTAGACTGATCCGCTACCTTCGCGGCCCATTCGTCCAATGAGGTTTTATCTTTCTAGGAGTAAAACTGTGACTTCTGGAAGCTCTCTGCAGAAATATCTCCTGCTTTGCTGGTAACGGCCGGTGGTTCGGACTCGGGAACGGTAGGCGCTGGCTTGGGGGGCTCGGCCGGGGCGGCTTTGATGGCTGCAACTGGTTGACCAGGTTTTCTAGCAACTTCTAGGAATGTTGAAGGGAGATAACCTAGACGACCATCTCTGGCACGGCAACGCCACCACTCACTCGGGTTACCTAAGGGATCACTCTTGCTGAGGACTGCAATAAAGTCGCCTTTCTTCACAGCAAGATCAACGCCCTGGGTAGCATTGCCGGCTTCGGGGGTGAAATCGTATAGGACACGGCAAAATTCGAGCTTGCTAGGGTCGAGTGGCGCGTTCTGCGCCGCGACTTCGAGTCGTTTACGCTCTTCCTCTTCAGCTGATGCGGCAAGAGCCTTGATTGCCTTGCTCATAAGATATGGTAGGCCGAAAGCTGCTAGGACAAAGAAAATAAGAGGTTTTCTGCTCGGTTTAGATTGACCGCCATTGGCACCAGATGGTACTTGTCGACCTTCGAAGCGAGCAAAAGATGCAGGCGTGAGTGCCACCGCGTCAACTGGAGGTGGTCTTCCGGTAATCTTGGCAATTAAAGTACGAAGCCATCGCATGACGGTGAAGATGCCAAGAACCGATCCGAGGGTATCTCGCAGGTTGCCAAACTGTTCAGCCACAGACACCATTGCTATCACATGGTTAGAAACACCCAACAATGATGCATGTGTTTTATATCAACTTGACTTACCAAAGAAGCTCGAGTGAGTCGCCATGTAAGTGCTTTCGAGCATCTGGGCAAAACCACCAAAGGCACCAACAATTCCTTCAAGGAGCTGGAAAGTAGCTTGCGTGCTATTGCTGAACCTATTTGTGAGGCTATTCGGGTTGTTCGGATCGTTCGGCATCATCCCCGGCATGCCACCATACATGTTTCCATACATATTTCCATAACCACCGTAGCCGCCATAGTTGCCGTACATTCCACCACCATAACCTCCCCCCATTCTGGAGTAGGGGGATGAGTATGGATTGTAGGCATTGTTATATGGCATTCGACTATACGCCGACGCGTTCTGAGCTACCGTGGAATTCAGGGAGTCGGGACGAGGAGGGACGGTCGGCGTGGTAGAGGTGGCAGTAGTACCAGTAGTCACGGATGAGGGTGCCGTAATTGCGTTCGTGGTCGGCGATGTAGTTGCCGCTGCTGTTGGCGTAGCAATGCTTGCTAGAGATAAAAATTAGTATGGAGAAAAAGATGAGGCTATTGACATGTGAAATTGAAACGCCGGAACTTACTACTAGAACCTGTCGCGCCGGCACGCTCCCATGGCTTGGGTGGCGACGCCATCTCAATCGAAATAATAGCAATATCCTATGATATCCTAAGATGTTGTGAAAGGTAATGAAAGAGGTAAAAGGAAATGGCGACTCTAGAGGTTCGTCGGCTACGATGACCCTGGGTAAAGGGAATGATAGAAATCGGCGAGGATGTTGAAAATGGCAGGTTGCAGGTTAAACCTTCAATGTTAGGTACATTAAACAAAGACCCTCGGTATTTTGTTCATGGGTCGCCGTTCTTTCCCCAACCATTCCTTCCTTCGGCTGCGGTAAAGCCCAAAGTGGTTCCAGTTTAGGCGCACGAGCCACCTGTACCAATTACTCAGCACCTACCTCGGTACACTATTCACAGGCTAACCAATAGCGGGTAGATTGGTAGGGAAGGTAAAGCGCTATTCCTATTGGCGGTCGTCGCTAAACTGAGTCCTTATCACGACAGCATGGTGACGTAATTGCCTCTGACTTACCGAACATTTCTCGATATTTACAGGTATTTTGCTTCGTACATATACCCCCAAGAATTTTCAGATAAAAGATCATATTCTAATATAGATATTATTATCCTAATAACAACATCAGGCATCCCCTCACTTCTTCGACGTGAAATCAAACAACCTTCGCATGCGCTTCCTAATTCCGCCTTTGACCTGATGGTTAATCGGACTCTCGGTTCCTACGAAGATGAGACCATCATACAATGTGCATCCAAGGATGGACCCGACCAGTGTCGCAAGCCAAGGACCGTAAAACCACCATCCCGTCTGGAAAACTTCCGGTGTTCGATAGCCAACGGCCCAGGCTACGACTCTAGGTCCGAAATCAGAGGCCGGATTTAGTGCCGAACCTATGTTATAACCCAATGTGAACTTCAAAGTGGTGACTAATAGGCCAAGCACCTATATTCCTCTATTAGCAATTGATTGTGTAGGAGTAAGGGTAGAATGGAAGGACTGGTAAGGTGAATGTCACGAAATCCTTCTAGGAAACACTTACCAGAGCGTGCACTAAATGACAGCAAGTTAGCAATTGCTGTATCTAACATTCAACGGGAAATGGGCTACTCACTTCCTGCACCAGGTGGATTGTTGCGATCGTCGCCCAACGCGAAAACAGCAATCATCATAATCGCACTCCCAACAACTTGAGCGAAGAAGGCTGTGCCCATCGACACCCACTCCTTCGGGGTTGAGAAGAAAGTCTTCGCCGTATTCGTCATAGTCGGATCGACATACCGAATACTATCCCTATATATACCATAAGCCAAAGCCGCGGCTGCTATGCTCGCAACGAATTGTACGAGCACGTAAACGAGACACGTTCCCCATGGGAATTTACGAAATAGCGACAGGCTGATCGATATGGCCGGGTTCATATGTGCCCCCGAAACTCCACCGCCCAAATAAATACCAAACATCCAGGCGAAACCCCAAGCCCAGCATGAAGTTTCATAAGTGCCATATTTGACATCTTGGTTGGCGGAAAGATTCACTGAGAGCGTTGCCCCCAACCCCATGAACACGGCAATACCTGTCTAAATATCTGTTAATCCAGGCCACATTAAGAGGATGTTCAAAATAGGACGTAGGACAGGGATATATACCGCAAGGAATTCAGCCAACGGCTCCGGGTGCTTCCCCCGTATACGGGCCCACCAGTTGGGGTTTTTGCTTGGATCTCCGTCTGACTCATCATCATGCTCCGGCTGGCCAAGCGGTTCACTGTCGATTGCATAGTTGGGGCCATCATCTTTATTACTCCTCGTCGTATCGTGCGTGTCATTAGTACGCTCTCTGCGGGTGGAATTGTCCTCTCCTGGTTGATAATCGAATACAGGCTGCCCTACGTCGTTCCGTTTATCGCTGTGAGCAACTCCAGCCGCTGTCCTCCTGGCTCTCGCGTTCTCACTTTCCGCCGTGCTCTCCTGCTGTTCGACGCTCGGCAAAGTCAGGTTATGTAGGTTAGCCCCACGCTCCGCAAGGTCTTCCGGCAGTGCGCCCAAAGACGGCCCGGCTTGCTTGTCATACCAAGAGGGGACTAAATGCGGCAAAGGTCTGCCTAAACTCCAAATCGGCTTCTTCCCTCTTCGGCTGTGTGAAGGATCTAGCTCAATATAGCCGTCTTCAACCCATCCTAGGTTCTCTCCCGGTATGCGACCGATTGGGATTCTCTTTCGCTTCCCCTTGATTCGCCGCGCGGCCTCGGCGAACCTCGAACTTGAGCTGGTGGTCTGGCCAGACTCTCTTGAATTGGGAGTAGCCCTCTGTAAACTAGACCCAGGTTGGACTACATCCGGAAGGACATCCGAAACGGTGTCTGGCTTTTCCATAACATCATCGGCAGTGAGAAGCTCATTTCGAGGCCTGCGGTTCATTGAAACCGCAGGTTCCGTTCTCCTTCTACCAGCCATTATTCTAGTGATAATAACAGGGAAGTTTATTTTCTATTCCAAACAAAGAGCAATATTTATGGACCCTACAAGGTAGCGGTCCAGGAGTTGCGTATTTCTTCCACCCAACGGCGATTAAGATCAACTCATATAATTCGAATTGGGTATGGCTTAGAATACGAATGACATTCGCCGGTCTAAATAAGCCATTCCTGAGGTTTAGATTTAATAAGGACATCCAGGCGTTTCGGATGGAGCTCAGCTGCTTAGGTACGATGTCCGCAGCGGGAGTTAAGCTATGATCTAGTGACGTCTTCCGACCCAATTTCTAAACAGAAGCGACGATGTCACTCTCGATTGTTGCAAATATTTTGCGATGTACGAAGAGGCTACGTGCTTCTATGCTCTTAAGCGGAGCGTTTACTCCGCAGACGGCAACAAAAACTGAGCGAATCACTAGCTACGAGGTTACCTTTAACTCGGATAGGTACCTGTCCTACCTGTGCGATGCGTTGATGCTTCCATTTTTACCCACCGTTGCAACACTAGTTCGAGATCTGGTCCGCAGAAAACACGGCAGCTTGCAGGTCCATCTTCGATCGTATCCTTCAATAGGAACACAGTCCTTCCCAACCCGTACCACCAATCCGGACCAGATGCTCAGATTCGATGTTCCATTTCTGTTCAATATCTGGAAGCACCGACAGACACAAACACGGAAAAACTCAGATTATCAGCACGATGACATAGTATTCCCGGTAAAGCTCGTAACAGCAAAATTCAAAATATTTGAGGCGACTAACGCTATTCCCTTAGCTATTTCTCCCGGTGACGTCGTTGGAGTCTGTCGGGGGGTCTTCGCCTAACTAACTAAAGCTAAGCGCCCAAACCGTCGTGCCACCATTGGAGCCTCATCGGATCCACGAATTACTTTCGCGAGTTTAGCATCACCAATACTTCCGTACACCATTTGTACGCCATGATGCTAACGAACGCAACTCGCCGCGGGGTTATACTGGAGATTTCTAGTACCTTCACTTTGTTCCTGGGCTACTAATGAACTCAGTCGCACCAGATCGTACGCGCGTCGCCAGCTTCTCCGGTCGATTTTCCATCTACCGAGTTAAGAACCTCATTCACGGCATATTAAGATATCCGATTTGTTAGGTCTAGAAGCCTTTCCACCTGCAAACGGAATATAGATGTGTCCTATCCGATTTTGATCGAGACTTCTTGGGGAGGCTAGGAAGCAGGTTTTTATATGGTCGCTTTCTAGTGAAACTCGGCATATGGTTCTAGTTCAATCCGCTACTCGGATATCCCGAAGTTAGCTAACCTAGCCCTACGAACGCCCCTCTGCTAAGCAGCCTTACATCTGTCCGGCGTTGCCGGTAGTAAGCGTCCAAGGAAAGCTCCTTATTCATGGTCTTCAAGAAAGTTCCAAGTGGTAATTTTTCGCTTCCGAGCTCGTTGGGGTCAAATTGAATATTGCCGATGCGGCGGTTACACCAACGGTGGGAGGGTTTTGGTATCATAGGCGAAAGTTCGACAATTTTTTTGAAGTGTATGCAAAATGTCGCCAAATATCGTACATTTCCGTGGTGTATCATCTAAATTAACCGTATAAACCCAAGCGAGGCGCATCAAATAGTTGTAGATATGCGGTGATGAAACTCACCCACAAGCGTCTGCGCATGCCCAGGTAAAGAATAAACGAATTCCATGATTACCTAAAACCCAACTTTACCAAATTATTCTAGAACACCTACGTCATGAGGGTCCGAGTCCTGATGTAGTACAAACTACAATACACTTCCCAGTGCGCCGGGACTCGAGTCGCTGAATGACCCAGTAGTACGGAGCACCGACTGTCTCGGGATGCTCCCGAAACCTTGGAGCCTCAAAGTGTCACGACGAACCTCACTCACATCTACTAACTTCTGCTTAGATCTTCGTCGATAGGCCTAGCAAGGCGTCTACAAGGGTATATATCCATTGATTTACAATAAAACATTAAATCTTTTACAATAGCAATTACTTTCACGCTTAAGCAAAAAAGTGTAATCGAAGAGATGAGCGTCCACTAGCGCAATGTACGAAGCGGTGATATGCAGAAAAATCAATCGACTTAGTATGCAGGAAAAAGTAATGTAGAGCAGGGGGAAGACCTCGCAAACAAAGCTGCTCCTATATCCATCGTGGAGAAATCACAACGCAAGTCCAGAATACTGATGCTCGTTATCACCGCACCAAGAACTTCACCCTAACCTTCCTTCCACCGTAACGTAACCCCCCATGACCCCGCGTCCCTCGTAGCTAGTAATCTCTTTACGACAAAGCGAAAGACATCAAGCTGAAGAGGTCAAGGTCGGTTTCATCCTTGACAATATCCTCGATCTGGTCGGAGGTGAGGCTAGTGCCAATGTCGTAGCTGTCATCGAGGACCTTGATCGTGGTGGAAGAAGTCGACTCTTGGAAGACAACAGCAACGGTGACGGGGCTGTTGACGTCGGTGGGACGGTCGAAGTAGTGAGAGTCACCAATACCGGCGGCGAAGTGGAAGGTCGACTTAGCCTTGGTGTCACCTGAGCGAAGGACCTCGAAGATATCGGCCTCACCACAGCCACCCTGCTGAGGGCTCGCGTTGTCACCAGACCAACAGCTGCACTTGCTGTATTGACCAGTTCGGGGGATCTTGCCGTTAAGAGCCCAAACAGCAGGCATGTCACCGTTGAAGCTTCTGTCACCACTTAGGGGCATAGAGAACTTCAGGAGGAAGACCTTGTTAGCACCCTCAAAACCCTCTGTGCATGTACGTTAGTATAAAATCGTCAAGACAGCACTATATCAAAGTTAGGAAAGCTTACTGTAAGCGACAGCACCAGGACGGACAGTTCCGCAGTCATCCTTGCACTCCTTGTCGGAAGCGACAATGATCTCGACGTCATCAGAAATGGTAGCATCCTTTAGGACAGTGGGGGAGGCAGCAGCCTTGGTGCCGTCCTCGTTAGAGTAAGCCAAACTGGAACCCCAAACACTACAAGTGGATCAGTATCCGGATTTAATATAATCATATTAATTTTGTACTTACGTGTCCCAGGTACCAGAAAGCGACGGGTCACCTAAGTTGGCGAGGAAAACGAGACCATCGGCGGTCTGGTCCTTGGCGTTGTAGTACGCGACACGCTCGTAATCGCCGGCGGGGACGGAGGAGCTGCTACTGACGGCAGACGAGACCTTGCTCTTGATGGACTCAGCAGCACTGGTAACCGCGTTGTAGGCAGAAGCGACGGCGGCTGTAGCTGCGGGAGCAGGAGTGGTGCTAGGACCGAAATAGTTGTTCTCCCAGGACACAAGCTTTCCGTCAATGTAAGCCGAGACCATGTCAGCGCGCTTCTCAGCTTCGTGCTCGTGGTACTTCTTGTGGAGGTGCTGATGGCCGTGGCGCTTGGAGTGAGGCTTAGGGACGTCACGCTTGCTGCTGCTGGACGACGGGGTGTAGACGGCGAGGGTCTCCAGCTTGAGAGGACCTCGGAAGTGGAGAGTCAACTGTGATCGGGATTAGTGGCGGCGGAGACAATTTACGCGACAGGAAAATGTATACTCACATCCTCGTCAAAGGGGGCAATGGGACCAGAGTAGTCCTTGTCCTCGAACGTGCAGGTACCAGAGTTATCCATCGAGGCGACGGCACGGTACTTGCCGGCGAGGTCGAGGCCATTGTACTTGATTTGCTTAACCGCGTTCTTGCAGAAGAAGTTTCCAAACTCCTCAAAGGCACTGCAGTCGGCATTGGCCACCGTGACGGCGGCCAGAATAATCGCGGACGAATACTTCATGATTTCGATGTCGCGACAGGGAGACCTTGATAATTATGTTTGCTGGTAATCCCGAGTGTGAGGTTATCTCAAGGATAATGGATTTTGGCTATCTGTCTCGCGTCTTCTTGACCAGATTAAATTGTCTTAGGTCGTTGAATTGTTTGCTGGAATGCAGGCTTTCTTGTCGAGAATCGGACCAGGAAGTAACAATAGCTATCTAACGAACGTGGCAAGCAAACACACAGAAACAGAATCGAGCGGCGCAAACAATGGAGGGTGCTCAACGCCTGATCTGAATTGAATGTTTGTTAAGGAGCGACTTGGTGAAAAAGTTCACCGGTTTACAATGAGTGACTTAGCAGAATTGCTTCCGGGCAAAGAAAGGCGACGACAATGAAGATGTGAGAGGGGGAAAAGGGAGGCCAGGTCACTAACTTAATGAGAGAAATGGGAAAGGGGGTGGGTTAATTGAGATTAAAGAACGGCGTCAGGGAACATTGAACCTTGGCGACTTGGAGGGAGTGCGAACAAGAAAGTTGGTTTCAAGACAGACGCCACAGAGGAAAAAAAACAAGGGTGCTTGCTATTGTGAATAACTTTACTACCTGCAAGTAGTAAGAGCAAGTACGTACACAGTAGGTGGATGAGAATTGAGTGACCAATGGGCGTTAGCGGACAAGGGGTTAGGTAGGAACCTAGAACTCGTACCTGCGTCTGCATGAATTAGTGACTTCGAAGATGCAGCCAATTTAGCGGCGTGGCAGATGTACACCCCACCTATTCCCTCTAATCCTATAACGGACTAAGATCAGGGGGATCTGCGGCTAAGCCAGCAATTACGACTAGGAACAGCAGGAACGATCAATAGGAACACACCACATACCCATTTTGTATACTACACCACTTGTACCTACCTAGGCTACTGGATACTGGAGGGGTTCATCTGATTTCATTATTTCCTGTTCCTGTTTTCCTCTCCCACCAATTTCTACCATTCTCTGTTACTTGTACATTTATGCCAATTAATGCCCCCTTCATTCCATCCGGGACGATATGAAGATGACAAGGCCCCAATCGTCGCAACAATACTACCTAACTTCGCCATTGTCCACTTACGGGTAAATAATGTGATCAGTGCTCATATCCTCATCCGAACTTGGTAGGCCATGTCCCTGTCAAGCCCCAGGTTCTCTACTCAATTCGTCCATACCAAGCTTTTTTGTGGATGCGTCTGGATCGGCCAGATCAAATCAACACAATTGCCATTGTTACGCTGACACAAAAATGTGTAGAAGCCGTTGAAGATCCGGAAGTGAATTAGAACTACCGTGGAGACACAAAAGAAAAAGATCAGACCTAAATCAAGGTAAGATCGCATCCTATCTTAATATAGAATCTTTGTATTATTCACATGTTGCTAAGCTTGTTTAGTGGGCGACAGAAAGGAAAGAAGAAAAAAATAAAATAGTAAAAAAGGAGGATCCAAAAAGGGGTCTCTAAGCCAACGAACATCAAGGGACTTTAATTTTCATTGGGTCAGGAACCAACCTCGAAAATTTCCGAATTGCTATTCATGCTAAGCCCAAACAAACTGACAAGACCCCTAAATGGGTAAATTGACCTTGTCGTTGTGACAGCTGACTATTCCATTCTCTAGGTCCAAGGTTAGCATCATTAGATCCCAAATCTACCAAGATATCAAATCTCGCCGAATGCTACTAGAGAGTCCAAGGCTAAGGACTTTATACTCCCTGAATTAGACGAGGACAATATACTGACGGATTTCTACTATCTTGCGAATGCTCGGCTTTGGTCACCTAATCGAGTGAGATGGACTATGAAATAGTCAGACAGAAAATACATACCGAGTTGGAATAATTTTTTTTTCTTCTCCGATTATTAGCTCGTTGCCGGATTCCAGTAGTGCAGTCACTGCCACGTCATCTTGCTTATTGCAGCTGTCGTGGTCCTGCTAGGATTATCGCAGCCATACAACGACGGCGACGGCGCCAATTGTTGTACGCAATCTGCAAACTTCATCGAGACCGCTACTCCTTGCATCAGTTCGCTTTCTAATACCTATCCACGTCCCCTCTAGCTTACGTGTGTATGGAGAGGGGAGAGGGGATACAATCATGTTGTTAGTTAGGCATGTGCATGATGCAGGAAAGCAAAGCTAAGAGTTTTCAGGAACCTTGGAATTGGGATGTTATTCATTCCCGAAGACTTACTGTGAGTGACGCACGTGGTTGGGTTTTGGGTCAGTTATATCCTCTCATACGCCGAGGCGCCGCTCTGCTCCAATAGGATCGTGTTATCCAATGGATACCCCTCACGGCGAAATCAAGTAATTTTATATCCGTGTAATGGAGGGGGATGTATTGCGAACTTCCAGCTGCAGTTCCGATAGGGTTGGCTGCATTCCACTACCGATAGGATCCCAGGTGTTTGTACCCTGCCCTACGATTAATATTCTCTCGAAATTCGGGACCTATCGATTATGCGCTGCAGGCACCCGAACGTCCAAGACATTAGCCATATGATAGATCAATATTGTTTAGGTAGCAGACTCGAGCTTTGATGTCATGATATTCATTCTATACTCACCCAGATAGCTAAAGGAATGTCTAAATAGATCCTTCAACATGTAGTAAGTCGTGAAAATACACCTCTAGATTGGAAGGAGGCTCCATTCCAGACGTTCTAGAAGAAAACAATGTATTTTTCTACGCTAAATTAAGCCAGGGATGGTGATTTCGATACCTAGAATTTGGTGACTAATAGTCACATGCATCTTCTAAGGGTAGAAGACATAACTTGCGGATCAATATAACTTAAGCTCTCTATAAGAGCTGAAGAGCTGCAGCCCATCACCTGGCCCTGGAGGTTATATATCATTAGGGATACCCCATTCCCCTTACCTTCTTCAGGTCGAATCTCCCTTACGGATATCATACAGGTTTCGCAGATTAACAACTGAGCATCCTAGTTCCAGCTTACATATACACCATATTCGTTGGAGCGGAACGGTGACACGGCTTTCGTTCTCATGAGCTTATTAATATTCTCTCCAACTAACATTGCACGTACGACCATGCCATTTTTTGCTACCTAAAATCAATAGATGTACCGTGTTAGGGCCCTCGTCAAAAACAACCTCTCAGACTCTAGCTCTGGCATACGTAGGCAGATACGTATTCCTCCACTTTGAATACTAGCTTAGTACACCATGCTCGAAGTGGCTCCCGAAGCGGACCACTACGTGTCGTAGTATCTAGCCTTGCGTCTTCGATGAAATGTACCTAGGTATCATATGATCATGCGAGAAAGATCATCGACTGGGCATGAATAGAAATACTATCACAAAATCACCTTATAGGCTTAGTGTGTTGTTTCTCTTCCAATCTGTGTACCGTATCTGACGACCCGTTGCCTAGGTGTACTAGGCTATTATACCGATTCCACTATCCTTTGCTTTGGCGGTGATTAAGAACGCCCTCATACCGATTTAAGCCCATGAGTCGTTGGCATTGAGTTTGGCGGATGCCTTACTGATGCTATGATGGATTTTCAAGCCCTAGCTTAACGTATCCACTGTCCTTCGTTGTGAAGTTCGCAGGCGGCCGGATTGGTTCTATAATTGCTCTACGGCTGGAATAGAAGGTATCTAGGGTACTCAAAATTCGGTGACCCCAACTCGTGGGCTGCTCTAGGTGAAGGAATATTTGTTGTTGTTGAGCTGGCTTGAAGAGTTGAGTCGACCGTGCCGGTAACACGAAAGATATAGGCGTGTTGACCCTGTATAAATGTTTGGGGGCGTGTCTGCTTTTGGTTTTGCATGTAAAGAGAGGGGATGTGCATATTGAATATAATCCGCTGGAAATTCTTCACCCAGCTTACTATGACAGTCAAAGACAGGCTTGCTAGAGCGTGAATTGGCGGGCTGAAAAGCCCGACGGCTACTGTTGCCACCGATATCTTCCGGGAGGTGCATGGGGGTTTCCGCCACTTCTCTGCTGTGATCTGTATCATCGTACTGAGACAATAGTACAGTCTACCTACACCATCTTCGTCCGGAGTATCAGGTAGGGGTGTGTATGGACCTAGTACTAATAAATACATCTAGGGACGACCGAGCCTGACCACAGTCTCCTCGACGTGCAAATTCACCTTGTATTATTTGACTCGAGAAGTGTTGTTTTGGAAAGGCTAAGAAAGCGTTCGTATACTCCGCTGAGCTAGATAAACCTCGTGGCGCATCATTTTTCGGGATACATACGCAGGAGGCGCATCATGATCGAGATTCGATGTCACCGATTGGAGTACCATGCATCTGCAAGTCACCGATTAATATGCCCAACCAAGGCATAGTCTAGGACATGATGTTGCACAAAGTATGCGGGTCATCCCGCGTACCCTAAGATGCTACGCTCTGGGTCACATTCGTGAGGCTCTACGATGTAAGCCGTAATAACGACAATTAAGTTATTATTATTGAGCTGTGATAGAATGGCCAACATCTCGTCAATCATAATTCGTTACTTTTTGCTTCATTAACCATGACATCCGGTTGCCTTCCCCGAAACCAAGGGGTATCATACAGTATTTGCAAGTCTCTCTTCCGGAGTCGTCGGTATTGTACCTGCTATTGCGGCTGTTGGGGGCCTCGACTCCGGATTCGATTTCATCGGTTGTAGATGTATTCCGTCATCAACCCCCGTCCTCGTAAATAACGTTGTGGCGTCGGAAACAAACTGGTCAAATTGATTCTCTTCCCTACCCGGACCTTTAGTTCGAGGGACATTCTTCAGGGTTTCGGGCTTCGAAGATGGCTTCATGCCCATCAATTGCCTAACTAGTGGCTTGAGCATCGGCACCGAGGCACATACTAATCCCAAGCTCGACTCTAGTGTGGTCCAGATCGCGAACGAAAACGAGTCCCACTGCGCGTACTTAGGGTTAAGAAATTCCCAAGCTACAGCCATGCGCGTCAGAGAAGCGCAAGCCACAAATATACCCAATGTCAAAACGAATGCTAGAGCTATCTTTTGCCGTATCGGAAGATGCATCTTGAGAATGTGAGGGAGCACCAGTCCGATTAACCATAAATCGGTCGCTGTATGTAGGGCTGCTGACGCCGTCATGATTGGGTAATATTTCAAGCATTGACCTACCCTAATATCGAACTCGTATTGATTCTCCACGGGGTTGCATAGGAAGAATGTGAGAAGGAATAAGACGATGCCGTACGCTATGACGCAGCCGAAGGTGATGAAAATGAGAATACGTTGATATGGCAACTTCAAGATTCGCAGGTAGAAGAATAGAATGCTGATTTTTGTCAAGACCAAGCTTATTTGGTAACAGCTTATCGTCGCATAAGATAATCGGATGCCAACGGGTCGTAGATGGAGAGGGATATTGCTGAACTTATGCCCGAGTCCGTAAATCGTTTCGACACCGACGATGGTGACAACCGCAATGGCGAATAGCCATGCGACCAAAATGAACGCATCATCCCACCATTGGTTCTTTAGTATTAACCTCGAATAAAGGCGACCAATAACCACTAAGCTCGCGAAGACTATTGGTATGATGATTCCCGTCAGGATGTCAGGGACCTCCGAGGGGCCCGTTAACTATCGCGACATTGTTAGTGACCTGTATGTTCCGACACTCTGGTTCCGGCAATGCGATAGCGAAACATCGTGGGTAGCATCAATGTGGGGTTTACTTACCTCTGCTGGTGGTTTCGCCATAAGAAGTATGTTGCGAACGATGCAAATGCAGAGCTATTGCATGCTGGGCGATTCATTGAGGAGTGATGAAGCGAGATCCACGTCGCTTACGCCATACAATTTGATCTGGCTGACACCAAGCTCAGTACTTATATGACGCGGGGGTAAATCCTCGCATGTTTCAATACTGCACTGACATGTGGGTGTCAGCAAAAGCAAAATGACGATCGTTCGGTAGGCGATCGGTCCAGCCCAACATTCGTTGGTTCCAGGACACCTGCTAGTTGGAAGGACCATTTAACTCTTCTGGGATTCTCGCCTCCTTGATCGCATAGTGTCCGCCAATCGAGTACCAGCATCGGGACTTGTGTTTTGGAAGGAATGCTTACAACGTAGCATTCGGTAACATTGGAGGCATGACGGCCGTGTTTGGGCATAGGGTCATTGCAGATTATTCATCACCCCATACTCTTTCACACGCATAGGCAGATAGGGCTGGCTGATTTTATAAATATCGCGAACTTACCAATCATAGCCTCCTAATCAGGTATAAGGTGCTATAAGAGCTTCACTAAAGGGCCGGCAGACCACTTATGGCCCCTAGTTTTTGTAGTCCTTAAGTAATAGGCTATTGTATTCATTCAAACAAAAGCCGAGGTCACTGACAGGATAGCACTAACAATGCTATCCCTCTATCAGCCTTATAAGTGTTAGTAAGGGTATAAATCATCTTTGCTCAAGATGTTTAGTACCTAACCGGGATCGGGTCAAGCACCTTGCCAATGAATAGAGGTTGGTTACCTCCTGGCCTGGTTGTGATGTGACTCGACCAAGCCTGTAATACGACAACTCAGAACTTCAAACTTTTCCAATTGACATCAAGATTCCACCATCGCCTTTATCTTGTTCGCTAGTTAGGATAACCTATTTAACAAACCTCAAATATTCAAGAATATAAATTGAGTCCTATGGATGTATTTCCACGAGAGAATTCGTTCTGAAGAAAGACACTGCAATGAAATTCTCACTCAGTTTCTTGTGTTGTTTTAATTTGTTGCTTGGAAGCACGTGGGCGGTGCTCACAGTGGTCAATTTTACGGTGTAAACCCTGGTCGATAATGCTAGTAGACAAGCAGGCAAGTCACGAACGCCGAGATCTCATTTTTTTATGCCATTGCAACTTCGCTCCACTGTATATTTCACCAGCACGTTCGGTATATTCCGTTATAATGTCTTACTCTGCGCTGAGAATCTTCAACGGGTTCTTGTGTGAAGATGGTTGCTAGTGTTGAGCCTGAGGTAGATATCCAGACCCTCAGCTCAGTCGGAATTCAATCGAGGCTGGCTTAAACGGAGGGGCTGGCTGGAAATTGCGACACCCCCAATATTATTAAGGTATACCACTCAATCGGTAACTAATCAAGATTTTAATAGCTCGTAACTTTCTTTTCACAATGATCTGTCAAAAGCAAGATACTGATGCCAAGACTCAAACACTCCTACCTGAGGTTGTTTGCTCTAACAATCTTACCCAGCAGGTTTAGAGGAATTAGGATTAAAATCAAGGCGGCAGGGTTAGGGTCGGAGTTGCAACTATTTTGCTTTTTTATTATATTAATGCCTCAGGCATTGTCCGATAGCATTTGCGCCCCCTCCCTCCCTTCTCACTCTCTAAGACATTCTACACTTCCCATCTTGACTCGGACTAATAATAGCTAGCAGAAGCTTGTAGATCAGTTTATTCTTCATCCTTTAGTAGACGAAAAGGAAAAATCGTTTCTCAATTCGAAAACTGAATTCGTACGAAACGAAGATGTACTTAGAGCAATTACGTGGTCCTGGATTGCACCTATTCTCAACCATCATGTATACCTAGGTAGTAAGGACTCGTGTACTTACCAAGACTGGCTCGGAATATTCAAAATTCAGGGTTCTCTCGACAATTAGTCTTAGACGACTAGGGAGCGACATGAAATGGGTTGGTGGTTCGCTGTTCAGCGAGACTTCTCGACGTGGTTGGTCTGTCATTCTATTCCCTTTGCTGCTCCGAGTTCCTAGTGGTTCGAAGCTTACAAAATAGTAGATGTAAATTTGTGAAGAAATGGGTTTTATTTTAATCATACCAATACAAGTACATTGTTGGTAACCCCCCACGCGACTTTTTCCCCAGACTCGTGATCTCCGATTACGCCATCGGATATGTGAATCATGACATCGATCTGGGCATGAAACTAAGGAATATGAGCATGTCTGGCACCAATCAAACCCCTAGAATACCGGGAATCTCTCCCTCTGGTATCACGACAGCCGACCCCGTCATGGCGAACCTAAGCTATTCAATTGTTATCAATCCGGAGATTACGTATCGTGATAATAAAAAACGAGGGCATATATCCGATCTATAACATCAGGAGTTCAAGGGATACCCGGACGTACTTACCATTATGGTTTCGATTGATGTTTGCCGCCTTGTATAAACACATCATTCCCCTCTGTTACCGGCGCGTAACACAAATCTACAACCAATTGGTACCACCCAACCCATCACACTCAAGGGGTAACTACTCACTCATCACCATGTCTGAGCGACACCCTACTACGTCGAAAGATGTAGTAGTAAATGAATCTTCGCTCGATCTGCCAGAGTCCTCTAGACGTGAATTAGAACCATCAGAAAAGGCCAAGGTACCATGGTGGTCATACATTTGGGACTACGACCCAGGCCGGACACATGAAGAGCGCGCCTTTCTCCACAAACTCGACATCTTCCTAGTTACCATGCTCTCATTTGGATATTTCATCAAAAACCTGGATCAGACCAATATTTCCAACGCGTTTGTGAGCGGTATGAAGGAAGATTTGAAGATGAATGGGAATGAACTCAACCTCGTGGACACCGCGTGGACGGTGGGTTACGTGATCGGCCAGATTCCTTCGCAAATCATTATGACGAAGGTCAGGCCATCGATATGGGTTCCGTCGTGTGAGTTATTATGGACGCTCTTGACGTTCTGCCTCACTGCTGCTAAGACGTCGAATCACGTTATCACTATTCGATTCTTCGTTGGTTTGGCCGAGTCCATTTTCTACCCTGCCGCGCATACTATCCTCGGGTCTTGGTATAAACCTTCCGAGTTAGGAAAACGAGCTTGCATCTTCCACGCTTCCTCGGCGGCGGCTGGTATGTTCTCGGGTTATCTTCAAGCTGGTGTGTATAAGGGTTTGAATGGAGTTAATGGTTTAGCCGGTTGGCGGTGGCTTTTTGTATGTTCAAGAATACATCTCAAACTCTTTAGTTGCTTTTGCTAATAGGTGCGCGCAGATTGTGGATGGGATTATAAGTCTCCCGATTTGTCTCGCTGGATTCTTTATATTGCCGGATCTCCCTGAAAACACACGAGCCTTCTACTTGAACGAGAGTGTAAGTTTAATGTGAAAACATCTCATATTTCGAAGCATCTAACAAGAATTGTAGGATCGTGGTCTAGCTAAGAAGCGTATGGACCAGATCGGACGTGCCCCTCGCACAAAACTTGGGCGCTCCGCGTTCAAACGCATATTCGGTTAGTTATTCCCTCCTCGGATTGGATCAGGGTTGACGCACTAATAACCGAGATAGGACGATGGCATGTTTATCTCTTAACCATTTTATACGTAATTTTTATCAGTATCGGACCCTCAGGAAGCATTAACCCATTTGCCCTCTGGCTGAAGGCGAAGGGTGAGTCCGTAGAACGAATAGTGAGCACCATCATCCCCAGCTACCTCTTAAGATAAACTAGACTTACCATTAGAACAGAATATTATACCTACGGCTTCAAAAGCACTCCAGCTCGTTCTCACAGTTTCCTTCGCTATTATCTCAGATGCGATACGTCGTCGGGCTAGCATCATGTCCATCTCCACTTTCCTTGGTGGCTTCGCAGCACTAGTCTTAGCCATCTGGAACATCCCCGACGGGTTGAAATGGTTCGCATTCCTGCTTCAATATGCCGCCGTGCCGTACGGACCACTCAGCATGAGTTGGGCAAACGAAATATGTGGCGCGGACGCCGAGGAGCGAAGCATCGTCATCGGCATTATGAATTCAATGGGCTACGCTTTCAACGCCTGGGTACCATTACTCACATTCCCACAGGTAGACGCGCCGAGATTTAGGAGGGGGTTTATATTTTCGACGGCTGCATTTGGAGCACAGGCGATCATCACGGCCACGGTGGCTTTTATGTACAAACGGGACCAGAAAAGGGGAAAAAGCCGAGCAGAGAATGCCCCTGGAATAGGGGATGAAGATGGTGTTATTGTGAGTTCGGCATAGATGTAGGGATATGTTTTATCCCCAACATAAATGAATCCGCACAGTTTGAACCATTTCCCTGAGAAAGATCACCAATATCATTATCCCCCACGAAGTAGAACATACACGGGGTTTATAATCCATGAATATTTAGGTACATACGAACTTAACCCGCTCTTTTTAGAGAGGTGTGCTGATATTACTTGTCTATGATTACTGTCCATGGCAAATGAACTATGCGGACCTCCCTGGTCATCTGAGCAAAGCAGCAGATCTGAGGAACGAGTACCTCAAGGCGTATCGAGTTTTCCTACCCCTCTTGCGATTTCTTCCTAGACGAAACTAAATTCCATCAAGTTATTCGTATAGTTCTTCGTAGTCAAGAAATTGCAGCAGGTATCCCATTTTCGCTGGATCCGGCCCGGGTTTTCCCTTCCTGTGGAGCTGCCGAACAAACCTAAGAACATCAATCATGTGTTTCCTGTTAAAGTCGACGCGCTCGCTATCACCTTTCTTCAGGATCTCTATCATCTTGTCCAGTGGGGTGGTCCGGGAACATATGGCTTTCCTGGCTCGATTGATTTGATGAAACTCGTTCTCGTCGGTAAGCGGTACTGCCATTTTGGTATTCACGCTTTCGAAAAGGTTCATTCTCCCGAATGCGAAAATCGGAGTATGGCATGTTGGACATCCAGGTAATTTTTTAACCTCCACTCCGGTGTTAATCAATGCATAGAGGCATTCCAATCCAAAGCCATGGCCACAGTTGGGGAGAACGCCCCAAGGCTCGTGTGTCTTGGGTGACTTTTTATCGAATTTGCTGTTTGTGATGGCAAGGTTCCTCTCACCACAGAGTCGGCAAAGAATACTGAACCTTACTTTATCGTCGATGATTCGGCCTCTTTCGTCAAAGTGCTCGAAGACATCATGGAGATAGTGGGTATCCACTACGGTGACTGGCTGTTGAGATTGCGAGGATTCTGGTTCCATTGTGTCTGATTTCTCTACAAGTATACTATCCGTCCAGAAGCAGGCGGGCACTTATGATACCTATGCAGTAGTCTGTGCAGTAGTCTGTGCAGTAGTCTGTGTAGTAGTAGATTGCGTAGTAGTAGATTTCGTAGTAAATTTTGTAGTGGATGAGTTGAATTTGCATTGGATATCTCCTCCAATTTAACCTAGTTGCAACTTGTTCTTTATCCAAGAACAATCGACATGGCACGGCACAATCATGCTGAATATCAAACAATGCCTCGGAATATTTAATCATCAGTTGTGCAGCCTTGTAAGCGGGCTAAGCAAACGAAATATCGTTATTGCTATCATTGCTTGATCAATCTAAACTGGTATATATAACAGGTTGTTACCCCTTTAATAAAAGGGGGGGCCGGTGATGTAATTTGTATCTTATATATGATCAACCACCAAGCGTCTTGGAAGATCCCATTGGCTTACAATATGTCCCAATGCGGGAAACCCGGCTTTGAGCCGGCAATTCAATCCAGCAACTGCGTATTCGAGGCGCATTAAAATTATATATTGATGAGTAATAGTCCCGAGTCCACCCTAGGAACTAGATAGTAGCCAAGCAAGACTTGATCGGGCTATCTCTATCCCTTGGCGAGTCGTGAACGAAAAGAATTCCAACTATATCCACCACCAGTTTATTATTCAGGATGGGGGGTACGCGGAGATCTCGCCTCGGAGGGGAGTTCAGTGCCGATCTCTGTCCCGGCGAGCTCGGGGTAAACGCGCATCGCATGCAGCTCACTTAATTTCGGTGTTTCCGTCTCGGTCGGACTAGCATAGCTATACGCATGTGATGAGGGCGGAGGTTGCCAATGGTATTGTTGCTGCTGTAATTGTTGCTGCTGTTGTTGCTGTATGCTCCTGGCTGCTATCGCTGCAGCTTCCGCTTCCTTCAACTTCTTATCTAACAACCTGTTTCGCCAGAGCATGAATCCCAACCCTGCAAGGGATAAAGCAAGAATGACAGCCTCGACGGCTAATCCTGCCACAGCACCAGAGGGTATAGGTCCCGGCGTTGCTGTGGTAGAGTTGGTTTCTGGTGATGCCGAGATGGTAGGAGAAGCCGTGCCTAGGGGAGAACCTGTGGCCAGTGGTATCGCTCCTACCCCGGACTTGAGTTGTGCGACAATGGTACCGATACCATTCGTCTTGGCTAATTTGAATGATTGGTTGCAGCATTGTTCCGTAGTCAAGGTGTTCCCGAGAGTCTCGCAGCAGAAGTAAGTATCATTGCAGGTTCTCAAATACGAATTGTCAAGCTTGGCTTTTAATAATTTTCCATTAGTCCACAGGTGTCGATAGTTTAAAGGAGGGAGTTACTAACTTCCTTGGCAGTATTGAGGGCAACTAGGATCTTTGAATGTAGGGTCTGTACATGCTGTCGCCCATAGCAGATGGCTTTGTTGCACTGAGACGGTGTTCAGACATAGTCCCGTCGATAGGCAAGCATCTCCATTTTTTTCATTGCAGCAAGCACTATGGGACCCTGCCTCACCAGTGGCGCTGTAATAACTGATGTTAGTTTATAATGCCCACAGAAAGTATTATGGCGTAACTTGGGGTTTTAAAGTAAATACCCAGAAGCCCAGTCCTCGAAAACTGCTCGTGTAGGCTGATTTTGAGGTGACATAAATAAGGCAGGTGAATAATATGGAATTCTGCATACTTAGGATTGCATAACGTGTTTTCCGAACTTGCTTCCGTGCCGTCTAAAAGATAACATTTTGCCGCGGCCTGTATCTGTAATATCATACAGCTTCCTAAGAGGAATAGCGAAGCGCCCTTTATTAGCCGTGTACCTAACATTCTCCAATACAGGCCGGCCGATTAAGAAACTAAAAACGAGCGGAAGGACATTCGTGTTCGGGATAGCCTCGGAGGCGGGACTAGGTCGGGATAAAGATAGGTAGAAGAGAATAATAAAACTCGGTGACTATCATAAGGCGGCTTGTCGTATTTATTCAGCTGCATATACACCCAAAATCCGGGGTAAGCGGTAGGCCTCACGCATGTAAGGCTGAACGTCTTCGCCCCTTCATACCCATACGAGTTAACTTGCCCCTGTTTGACGGCGCATTGTCCTTAATTTCTGGAAAGTCAGACGTCCAGTTGCGGACGAAAACCGCACATTTCTCCTGGTAGTTGCATGCTTAGCTGGGGGAAAACTGCTGTGAGATCGCGGGTTGTTACCTGAAAAGGAATTTTTTACGGCGTCGATCCTGTACCACCCAGCGCCGCTTGCGCGGGATACGGTAAAGGTCCTAGCATACCTGGGCAAATATTTGCCGGAGCCAATTCGACGATATATTAACTTTGCCATGAGGTCGCCGCGTTTTATGATTCCTCATTCTTCCGGTCGATGTAATGGTGTGGCGGTGGGAGATGAAACGAGAGTCGTGTAACCTCTACTCACCGGTTCATAACTACATGATAGTTAGATCTTAGGCTTAAAACGCCAAAACCTATTAGATAATAATGAAATTCCAAGCAAAGTTTCATAAACTTTTACTTGGGCATATGAACCTTTGAACTCCGCACCGTCCCTGATGTGGACCTACCGGAGTATCCTATCGACTTAGGGTCATTCAATACAGGAGACGGGTCCGAAGAGAACGGTGACACAAAAGACACAGCGATTCTCGACAGACCGTCATTTACGAAGTAGTACTGCATTGAACCAATATAAATGGCATTAGCCATGCTCCAGCCGGTAACTCCGTTGATGGCATGACGAAGTATGCTTACTATTCCGGTACCCTTCTCGTGGGATCCTTTGATTTGGTAATGCCTGTACCACGTGGGTACTGTCGATCGGCCGCATATTATGACGGAAAAGCCTATCCAATGTTTGCATGCGGCCACCCATCACATATCCTACTATTCCTTGAGATGTAATCTCCCAAGCAATGGGAAGCTTAGCTAAGATCTATAGGACTTTGCGACGTGAATGTAGTCTTCGAAAGTTTTTCTGTTTATCTCAGGTAATATTGCCAGTGGGTTAGAATCATAATCCTTGACTCAGCTCTCTTAAGTCATGGTAAATCTCCAATTGTACTACCAAACGAGATGATTGCAGCGTTACCTTCTACGCATGGCGGTGGCAGAGATAACGGGGCGAATTATCGTGTTCGTAATCGATTACGTTTATGCCAGCGGTCGCAAAGAGTAGCAACAGAGTTTCGGAGCAGGATCTTAGCATTGTGATACCATGAGGACCCTGCTATAAGTAGAACATACCTCGACGCGTTGGTACCGCTCCGGCGCATTCCGTCCTTCTGCTATGTTTGAGGGCTTGATTACCTGAGCACCTATCTACTAGCTATTATGATAGCGACCATATTGAGCCCTTCTGTCACCGAATGCTTAACCGTCAAGGCATATTTTGTCTCGTGAGTGCCAGGCTCTCGGAAAGCTCCGATGTATGGCTCTTGTGGGGAGTGATGTCGCTCACGGGAACTAAAATCCTAGATGCGGCGCGGGACGGTTAGATCTTAGCGCAAAACATCTTGGCAAGAATTCATGTAGAGCCTGACAAACCAACGACCATCATACTATGAATAGTGGTTTTTATGCTAATTAGAAAGCCGTATGGAGCGCCTTTGGGGTTTTCAACACTCGCATCTTGCTTGCCATATGTATAACTTAACCTTGAATACCTGATGTGCGGATATTAGCGTTCGATCCAAACTGACTCAGGGGTTAGGCTCTAACTACCTAGGTGCTTAGGTAGGTAGCCACTGCTGTAATTCATAGATTTGTTCTGAGCCTTCCACCTTGGAAATAACAGTACGAGGTCGTGATTTACACTCCTATGTCGTGAGTCTCGTCTCATTATGGCAGTGACCTATCACCCGGTCAGTAGTTGTAAGACTAGTAAACTCAAGCCTCCAACAATGAACCTTGGTCCGATCGCATACCTACTTAGACAGGTAGTTATTGGATAACTTTAGTCGATAAACTTCAATAGACTTGATGTGACTTTTCGAAGAAGCTTCGTTCCGAATTGCTTGGTTCATAGCGTAAACTTACGGAGAGACCAAATGGTATAAATAGCTGCGTGAATGAGTTCTCCCACCTATCTTCCTTAATCATTTGTCGTTTAAGCATCAACATCAACGATGATACCAATTTCAATCTCGAAGCATCACATTGTGTCAACATCATTTTCTAACTCTATACCTTGTTTCTCACCATCCGATCACGAAGACCACCAAGTTCATCATTAAGTTCGCAAACAAGATCCAATGATCATCTAAACTCGATGATTTCCCTGCCAGGGACTCCTTGGAACCTGTGCTATCGCTATTGTTGGGCGGCTTGTGCCTACATTGGAGTGATGAGGGAAACTACGCGAAGACATCGATTTCATGGTCATAGAACTCGAACACTAGTATGAGTGAGTGATGAGTGGGTGTGTTATGTGAGTTTGTGGAGATACCGGTTTTCCTCCACCTCAAGAAGACGAACCTATAGACGCGGCAACCAAGCCGGGGGCTCATGCTTTCGACACGATTCCATTACCTGGAAAACGGGACGGGTGGGGAAGATATATGACGAAGGGGGCGTTGGAGGGCTGAAGCCACTGGGAGACAGTATTCGATTGTAAATATCATGAATAATTGCACAGTGAACGCACTCTCATAATATACATGCCGATCGAGTCAAACTTCAAAAAATATCTAGTGATTCAATAAATTGACAGGATGCCGACGTTGAATGATTTCTTGATATGAATGGTAAAAGAATAGAAGATGAAACGAAAGAGCTCGTTACATAATCCAACCCAGTAAGAAAAGCCCCGCCAAGCTCTCTTACCTAATCTCGATGTCGTACTACCTGCGCAGCACATCGGCGCCGGAACTCCGATTTTCCTCCTGAACCTCGGATTTATCACATCAGCCTACCCGTCAACCACCCAGTACCTACTGTACCTATCAACTTAGTTTTTAGTCAACAACGCGACGTCATCTACACAACGACAATAGCGCAGGAATATGCCCAGTTACGTAGAAATCACCCCTCTTTTAAACCCCGAAGCCACTGCTGCCACCAACCGCCGACGAAGCGCCATGTTCTGGCTCATCGGGTGTTTGTACGGCGCGTCCGCTGTCGGTTTCGGAGCCTTCGGCGCTCATGGCCTGAAGAAGATCGTTACGGATCCAGCGAGACTTGCTAGTTTTGCTACTGCCGCGCATTATCAAGTCCGTCTTCCCTTTCTTTTCTCATACCTTCTCGGCTCGATACGTAGCGTTAGGCAGATACAAACGAGCTAGCCAGCTAACATATCTCGATCACAGTTAATCCACTCCGTAGCTCTACTCGTAGCAGCGCAGAACCAGAACCCCATTTCCGGCGTGCTGTTTACTAGCGGCATGACCATGTTTAGCGGTAGTATTTACGCGCTTGTGCTTGACCCCGCGCGGTTTCGATTCTTGGGTCCTGTCACGCCGCTTGGTGGGCTGTGCTGTGCGTACTTTCATTTCATACTTCCAGCCTCCTTTTCATTTGTATATGAACGGATATCTATTTATCATCGAATACTAACTCATGTTGGATGATACAGTGATCAGTGGTTGGATCGCACTCGCTTTCAAATGAGCGGAGCTGGACTCCGTAGGAATAAGTCCGAGATCACACCCATGGACTTACATTAATTCCGTACACATGTAGAAACCTTGGAATAGTTACGGAGAGCGTGAATTCATGTGGTGATAACTCCATTGTAAACTAGCATCGCCACTCCATAAGAGCAGGGGCTCATATCTCGTTCCCTTTAGGCGTTGCGTCATTAAGTGAGCATAAGATTACGAGTCAAATGCTCACTATCAATCTTTTCACACTTGTACATATCACCAACCTCAATCAAACATTAGCAAAGCAGCATTAAGCTACACTTATCTGTGTCCATATTTGCATCATAGCTCTTTATTCACAGTTGCTTAGCTAAATTACGTCCGCCTTCTAGCAGAACACCTCAATTTCGTGGTATCTTCCAAACACCTGCCCTCGCATATCTACCTAGCTTAATTAACTCATCAAATTCGTTTAGCAAGCGCGTAAATTCGGGCGTCAGGTAGTCCTGCAAGCTAAATGGCGGTCTAGCTAATCTGCAGCACCCTCGTCTGAGCAAGCAAGCTAAGATATTCTCTCTTCTGGGTTTGTTTCTGCTTCTTCATCTGATTCGCTAGCTTGCGCTTCCTTCTCGATTTCATCTCCGCCTTCTTCGTCTTCCTATCCTTGCGTTGTGGTCGCCAGCCACATTTCTTGACCTTTAGTCTCTGCTCTCTCAATCGTGCTATATGCGGCGGAATCGTCTTGGACTTCTTTTTCTTAGAGCCCTCAGGGTTCTTGAGGTCCTCGGGCTTCTTTATGTGCCGTAGCGCTTCCAATTTTGCTACGCACTAAGTTTCGCCACCGGGAAGAGCCAGCAATGCCTCGAAACCGGACATAACCTCCTTATCAACATTAACCGCCCAGTTATCTCGGAAGGCCTGTTCCCCGCCGACTCTCTGTACTAGACTGTCGAGTCTCTCCTTCACAAATTGGAGGGAGTGGACGGTCTTTGTCGGATCAGTTGAGAATAGAGCGCGCTCCCTGATGTCCTTTGGAGTATCCCACTCAGTGCCTTCTATCTCCGCAGTGAGTACTAATGTGTCAACACCGGCGTCAGGAGGTGAGCAGTTCAATATCTGGAGCATAACAGTTGTCCACATGTTGAAGTAGTCTTGGAGCTTCAATAGGACGAGATTTTGCATGGGCTCAGGGAGCTCTAGTAGTCGCGTCAAGGCTAAGAAGTTAGCCTTCAATCTGATGTAGTCGCCCGTGCTGTCGAATGAAGAAAACCACTCAGCACTGAGCCAATTCCAGACTTGATCGAGTGGACCTAACGACGCGAGTAACTCGACGAACATGGCAGGTTCGAGGATAGCAATCCTGGAAAGGATTGTAAAATAATCGACGAGAGTGAGAGATTTTACACGGGCATGTCGTTTCTTGGGACCAGATGTTTGTTTGGCTTCAAAGGAATCATGGATTCCCTCGAGGATTTTGGGTAGAAAACCCGTCGCCATCATGTCCTGAACTAATACCTGCAATCCAGCTGTGCCACCCAATTCGTGAGATAGTCGTATAAGCGACTCAGTGTATCTAACAGTGAGGGAGACTTGTTCGCGGGTCTTCGATTCGAGTGAATAGGATAGTGCAGTAAGAGCCGGTCCTCTGTGTTGATCCTCAAGTATCGTCTCGGGCGCGAGAACAATGTAGCAACCTAGGATGGATGCAAGTGCAAAAGAATGGTCATTCTGCTCCGCTAGCAATTTGATAGCTGTATCGGCAAGGCTAACTAAAGCCGGGGATAAGGGAGGTTGGCTCTGAGTTAGGATGTTGGACCACAACTCCAGAGCATCTTCGATTAGATAGATATATAGTTCGGAATCCTTCTGTGTCGCGTCGGCAATGAGGGGAAGGATCATGGAGTGATATCGTTGAGACTCTGTCCTCATCGACATCACTAGTGTTTGGATGATAGCCAAAACTGATCCCTTCATCAGGTAACCCAGACTACCAGCAGACTCCCAAATGCCTGGAACTGCATCCATTATCAAGTCGCCGAAATTGGAAACATGTGTTTCCATTCGCTGAATGAGACTTCTTGTAGATTCAAGTATTGCCAACTTGGCCTCATCGACTTCTGCTTCTCGTAGGAGATTGATGAGCTGCACGAGCACATCGGAAGCGAATGGGGAGAACATTTCTCCTTCAAAACCAAAATCATCGAAAACAATTTTGAAATGCCTCGCAGTCGTTAAGCGCACGACAATGTCGTTATTCTGGTCATTTTGGTTGAGGAAATGTCGGAAGATCTCATAAATCAACGGACGTGTTTCGTTTGTGATTTTGACAGGTACCCATTGACTCAAAAGGATAGCGATCCTTCGCCTTAGTACCTGACAATATGGACCAGTTCGTTGCGCATCAGCAGTCACTATCGTCTTGAGTACGCTGTTAAAGTCAAATTCCTCACTGAGTGACTGGGCAGCCAATCCCATGGCAGTGTAAACTGCGTCCCTGGTAACAATGTCTGCTTCCGGGTTTTGTATTGTCGTGAAGTAAGACAAGAGTGGTTGCAGTAGAAGTTGCTTATAATAAATGAGGAGGTCCAGGAATAGTTTCTCTGCACATGGCCGAACTTCCCATTCAAAAGCGTTACCTTGACCCTCTTCCTGCTGTTCCCATTCTTGCGGATCTTCCTCCCATGCATCGAGGTCCGCTTTGCGGAAGACGAAAAGATGCGTGATGATAGCATTGGCGATTTGGATAATGAGCTCATCTTTGAGCAAGTTAACTTTGAAGAGTTTGATCGCCTGCTCTTGTTCCTGTACTTCTTCCTTGGAACGATAACGGATGGATTGCTGCGGGCGGTGGGCCAATCTCAAACAAGCCCTTACTAGAAGTAGGCCTTTTAGTGCGAGTCTCTCTATAAGAGGCCCTTCGACTTTAGCCTTTGATTGGCCAGATCCACAGGACTCTTGTCGTATTCCATCCGACTTGTTAAACACTACTGCGAAATTCGCGGTGAGGTCCCAGTACGCACGAACTAGGTCCACAGAATTCGGGAGGGATGCAAAGCTCGCGGGATGTTGATCCGCCATCTCGATATGGAGCTTCGTAAACTGCAATAGGTGCTTTCCTAGGAGGTCATGGTAACACTGTATCTTAGAATCATCACTTTCGATGAAACCGAGGAATTGTGCAAATTGTGCTTGGGAGAAACTCCAGACTTGTTGGACGGTCTTATCTTTGTGTGGATATTCGTAGCCCACAAGCAAAAGTCGGCGAAGTACCTTGATAGCGTCAAGGCTATTTTCCATAGCTAACAATGCCCCATCGCCCTCCGCGACACTCTGGTCGTTCTGTAGGAATGCTAACCATTCCGAGGTTTTGGCATCATATACCTCGCATAGGATGTACACAAGCTCCGGTGTGATGGATTGGAGTGTCGTCTGCGACTTACGGAGACGCGCTGTTCCAAGTTCCTTCACTATACGTAGAAGTATCATCAAGGTTCCAGAGAGCTCAACCTGGTCTCCATTCTTCGATTTTCTAAGGAGCTCGGCGAGTTCGGTGAAAGGAGTAGCCCAAGCCGAGGGAAAGTCGATGCGGACTACTTTTGCTATGACCAGAGCGTTATGTAGAGCTAGTTGCCTATCTCCTTCTTTAATTGTTCCCGAGAATAGTCTATCCCGTATTTTTTGCCTGGATTCTTTCGGAATAGAGTTTTGTACGTTGTGTCCTCGCCAATATCGATCGATACCGTTCTTGAGTTGGATAATAGCTAGGAATCTTGCATGCGTGGGGAGTCTTTGATCGAGAAATACCGACTGTTAATAAAAGATTGTTAGTTGCATATTCCTACTTTTATGGGGTATTAGACAGCTTCAGAGACATACCTGTAGGGTTGGGTAGTATTCAGGATGCGACTCCCAAGTTGATAGTTGTTGGGTAGCCGACTGGCGAAGGTTGTTGTCGTGGGAAGATGCGTATTGAAGAGTGCGACAAAGCTCGTAGAGGCTCAGTGGCGTCGCTGCGCCGGGAACCTCAATAGCGAAATTCATTTCTATAATTTCATGCTTTTGGGTATCATAGAAATTGAAAAGTTGTAGAACTCGTCTTGGGTGGGTGGGTTGGTTATTGAAGAAGAGTGCCCAGGTGAAGAGTTGGTGAATTTAGCAACTACCTAGTAGGTATTTACTTCAATGATGAAGGTGGGATGAATAGAAAGTTTAGTGGGGTAGGTAGGTACCTAGGTAACTATTGGAACCTTAACTCGGGCTAGAAGGCAGGGATCACCTAGAGAGTTTCTAGATCTCCATAAAAAAATAACCTTTAGGTAGCTACCCGCGACGCGTGGGAAGCACGCTTAATGGATACCCGAGGGAAGTACCTAGGCACCCACTGAAAGTGTACCCGGCCAGGTAGGTACCTACGGATACACCCAGGGCTCCACGTTTATTAGATGCATCTAAGTATACCAAGGTACAAAACTTGTTAATGTATTTTATGTATACTGAAGATTGTATACTACATGGATAGCATTGAAATGATGAGATAGGTACCTAGGTCGTTAGGAAAATAACAAACGTCAATCAATGTTTATTATATTTGTACGAGGCATGTTTGGTATCCATACTACTAAGAAATTCATAAAGGGTTACAACCATTATCTTGCTCTAGTCCCGCGTTCCCCCCGTGATTCCTAACGGGACATCCATTTGAATATCCAAGGTGTAACCTATCATAATACACCTAGACTGGACAGAGATCACCTCCGTGTCGTATACGGACCCTTACCCATCGTTACACCGCCGGAAATTCCCTTATTTCCGGTGCCATGTAGTAAGATAACCCTCCCCCGCTATGCATTCCCATTCAAAGAGTAGACGGCCTTGTTTCATGGTTGGTATATATTGAGATTGGCTGGCCAGTTATCATGGACGGCCCAGCCTTCCACTTGGTAAACCTGTGGGTATGGTTCAAAACTGAAGTCAGAAGCGAGAGTTGGCGTTTCATTCAAGAGAGAGCTCGAAACCGCAGCCCATGCTTCAGATTCTGAGATACCCGGTCGCCAACTCCGACTTATTCGTGGAGTCAGGTATTCCTTTGCGACCATTTTGATGTCATCCGCAATTTTACGCGAAAGCGGCCACGTTTCCCCATGTGTTGTGAGTATTTGTACGAGCCTGTTGATTCGTTCTCGAAAAACTGGCGAATCCAGTCCAAGGAAAACACAGGCATCCAAATAAGCGAGCAAAACTCGGAGTGTGCCGGTCGCAAATACGGCGCGCAGATTCATTGTTGGGAAGGGATGTCGGAACAGGTCACAATATCCATTGGCGGCCTGGATGTCAATAGGGTGAGAGCTCCAACCAAATCCTTTGACAATTTGCCCCTTACGGTCGGGGCCTTTCGCTGGGCCTAAGGGAAAGTATTCCCGAATATTGAGGCCACTTCTCGGGGCCGATTGTCTAAGACGCAGTCTGTTTCTGAATGCCGTAGAAGTTAATAAATATTTATCTATTTTATGGTTCAATAGAACTCACTCATGCGCAATGGCAAGACCATGGTAAAGTATCACGTCAACCATGCCATCTGGATCGACTAAATTCATCTTCCATTTGGGGACGCGCCGTAGCCAATCGCAGATTCGAGAATCCGCTCGCTCGAATATCTCTGCCTTTTTGTCTTCCGGGGCTTCATTGTAGGGTAAGACCAAATCAGTTTGAATCTTACAGATATCAATGAGGTATGCCATCGAAGAGAAATCGGCGCGTCCTAGGTTGACCTGTGTCTCGTATTGTGATTGAGAAATAGGCTGAGGTATAATCTTGAGACATGTTAGAATATTGAGATTATTGATCCAAGGATTTTGCTGTATGAGCCTAAAAAACTAATTCACGTTGGGTATGGTGATAAGAGTGGAAAACACTCACCCCTGATTCATATTCCCATTCTTCACAAGGTAAATCTACATCGGAATCCACATCTGCGATGGAGAGTGTAGACCCTACATCGCATAAGTTTCGAGTTGAGTCTTGGAAAGTTAAGCACCACCATGTTCTACGGTAGCTTTCCGCAAGTACAGGATTGGACGTGCCATCAGCGAATGATTTATGGTTCATCCTGAGTTCGACGGCTATTGTGACCGCTCTGTTGGCCCATCCAGCGTGGTGCTCAAATTTCATCTCTCCGAAAGCGGCAATACTCAGAATGAGAAGCCCTTGCACGGACTGCACTGTGAAGGGTAACGACCCACATGCTGCAGAAAAAGCTGCCTCTCTCAAGTCATCCGATGGGACTTGAGTTGTGTAAAGCGACCCGCAATAGTTGACGACTGCGAGCAAAAAGTGGTAAGAATTCGGGTCGGTTTCTACCTGGTTAAAGAAGACTCGTTTGGGCGGAAGACACGGGTAACTAGGGTGAAAAAAACTGTAGAATAGATCGAGTAATAACTCCTTCTCGCTCTTAGGTGAGACACTCGTAGTGGATGGCGTTGAATGAACAGTCCAACCGCTGGGTACATCGTTAAGGGATTGGACCGATGGTGCTTGAGATGAGAGACCCGGCGTTGATAAAAAGGTCCCTGCTGAAGTGGCTGGTGGCTTGTCCGATATTAAACTCCGTTTTTTGGGATCGCGAATGCCGCGTCTTGATTTTGCATAATAGCAAGGCTTGTCTTCTTGCTGGCAGCGATTACATGCGGGTAGTGTGGCGTCGCATTTGACGTGCTTGCTTCGGCACTGAACGCATGCTAACGAAACCCGTATATTTGCCTTGGACCGATTGGCAGCCTTTGATTCCGAACCTTCAGGCGACGAGGCCGCGGAACCTTGCCGGCTAAGGCTGCCTGCCGTATTGTCACTGTCTCGACTCATCACCATGAGGCCGTCAACGATGCGAACGGGATTTGCCGGATTGGTACAGCGATCGCCGATGAATTTGCGACCATAGGTATTTGAACGCGCCGAACTTCCGTTCGTGGTCCGTTGGGAAGATTAGAAACGCGGCATAAGCACGGTTGACAAACTGCAAAGCCGATGAGCGACTTCTCATGCTAATGTATATAATGAGAGCTGAGAGCAAGCTTCACATTTAGTTCTGACAAGTGTCCGTCAGGAGCAGGGTTCTAAAGGCATTAAATGGGTCCAGACAGCAGCAAGCGGCTGTGTACGGAGGTACGGTTCTCTGGAGAGGACCCGACAACGAGGCCCATGGGCCCCCCCTTGGGCTGGTGTCAGCGGTGGAAATATCTTGGCCGTCAGCCCTGTAGTGGGGCGGACAGCACGGGATGGAGGGGGAAAATTATGTTGACGGGATGTGCTTGATAATGTGGTGGGTGGGTGTTGTGTAACAGGGGGGTGTCTAGTTTGGGCGTACCATATGCGATCGTGGTTCCCTACTACGTGTACTGCCGTCCAGTTATTTCGCGCGTAAGATACCTGTCTACTACTCCGTAGGTACCTCATTACATGGTGTGAGGATTAGGGGGCGGTCTACACTTGGACTCAACTAGTGCGGTGTAACAATTGCATAGCCCATCATCATCGCTTTTTAGTAATGTTTCAGTAGCATCGCATACCATACCATCAATACCTATCTAGAGTATAGATCTAATTGTCTAGGTAAGTAATCGTTGCAACTCGTTGTTTAGAGGTAAATGAGGAAGTAGGTAGAGTGGTTTTCGTAGGATCAATAATGCTCAGGTGTCCATTTATGCATGGAAGCCCTAGAATTTTCAGTTTAGTGACCCAAGTTAGGTACCTAGATAGGTAATGCTAAAGGAGGTAAACCCACGAGGATCAACATAAAAATCAACCCCTGTCTTTTTGTAAAAAAAGGATACAACCGTCGAATAGAGCCTCAGACTTCAAATCGGGACTTTCCAATAATACTAGTACATAACAATAGCATATATCTGTATATATCTACGTATCTCGTGGGGTTACGCTTCAAGAGATGAGGCTACATGCAACTGATCTAATGCTTGTCTTGACTTTGAGATCGTAATATGAGACACAGGTACTCTGCCACAATCTGCTTCCTTTACATAATAATACGAGTGACCTCCGGGATCCCAGCGACCAATCACCAACGAGAGAGCGCCTGCGAGCATCGGCGTCTGTAACATGTAGTCGCCTAACTAAGCTTGGTATATCTCTCTAATTACACTGCATGGCGTAGATTGTGTACACATCTTTAGATTTGAATTTCGTGATGGCCTCAAGTAACTAGGATTTGGCGGTCGAGCTTATTGTAAATGAAAAGCCACGCACAAGAGATTGACTAAGCTGTTTGTCTTATTCATTGGCTGAACAGCGATGCAATATTATCCTAGATATTGCATTACCGATATTAGTTGTTATTTCCAAATTCCAATGTAATGTTCCTTTTTGATGAAGGTGTTGGTTAACTCAAATCGGAATCAGGGGATTAAGACGATGGCCATATGTAAGTGCTAGGGGAGGCATATCAATTGATCCATTGTTGAAGAAAGGAAAAAAAATCAAGAACGGAATAGCAGACACGCATATTATCCACATTGGGAAATGTATGGTACTTGAGGTATGTGGATACACTCCGTGTGAACTATTGAGAGGTATACACTATAATAAGCTTATATTACGCATTAAGAGACACGTGCGAATACAGTGCTTTCCTAGCTTAAAGCTTATGTAAGTCATGTATAGATTCGGTACTACCGAGGCTGGCTGCAGGCCAAGTCCAATTAAACTCAACTTGCACTGCCTTTTACCTCGGCGTACCCCGAAAGTTTAGCACTAAATTCCCACAACGTCACTATGCAGTGTGCTAGCCCGTGCATCAACCATCAACCCGTGCGTCGACCCGTGCAGCTCTTCCCCAGAAATCAATTCACAACTTCCGACTTTCTAAGCCTCATTAAACGTTACACGTTACAATATCTACGCCGCTCAACGGTTTTGATTTTGATATCGAGAGGGAGAGCTAATGGCATGAATGACGCCATCTACAACAATAACAATAGCTTCCAACGTGGTATCATGCGGCTACTCAGATGAGCTCGACCAGTTTCGCCCAAGCCCAGCAGCGGCTGGCTGCACGACGGGAGGCTCGCGAACGGGAAGCTCAAGCTCGGATCGTAGCTAATCACCAAGCTTCCCGAGCTTGGTCGGAGGTAACACGACTACCATACCCCTTGAACCGACTCGGAACTTCATCCCTATCGGCATGGGAAGTAATCTCATCTCGCGAGGGTACGCGGCCCGCCTTTCGAGTCGGTCAAGTCGACGCCGAGCTATTAGACGAAGACTTAGTAGGGCAACTACGCGATCAAGTTGGTGAAGCACTTAAATATTTTGGAGGAACATTAAAAGATGACTGGTCGGCCGAGATACTTCTTGCACTTCGCATGATACTCTTCAAACTTACGGTGTGGGATCATGACGCGACTTATGGTGCTGCTCTACAAAACTTAAAATATACCGACGCGAGACGAGACGGACCGGTTTTAACGCCTCCTAGCAAATGGCAGAAGAGCCTCTACGGTTTGATAACAGTTGGAGGCAAATATGGTTGGACTAAATGGGAGAATTGGTTATTAGATCACGATAATGGATACGACCAACCCTCGCCAATGGTACAACAGCTCTCAAAGCTTACATCCAAAGTTACGACTATCCACTCGGTAGCCGCTTTTGTTTCGTTTCTTGCATTTCTGTTACACGGGAGGTACCGGACAATCCTGGATAGAGTTCTAAGAATGCGTCTTGCACCGCCTACTAGTCAAGTCAGCCGAGAAGTCTCCTTCGAGTACCTTAATCGACAGCTAGTATGGCATGCATTTACCGAGTTCTTACTATTTGTATTACCTTTAGTCGGTATCAACAGATGGCGTAGGTGGCTTACTCGCACCTGGAGAAAGACAAAAGAGATTATCAACGTCAATACGGAAGGTGATAATTCCGGCAAACAAGGCGATTACGCATTCCTACCCGAACGTACGTGCGCCATTTGCTACCAGGACCAAAACTCGGCCGTATCAGAGACTGAAGTTTTAGCTGCTGCCTCGAGCGGAGTTGTGGGATCGGCACAGACCGATATCACGAATCCATATGAGACGATCCCATGTGGCTGTATATACTGCTATGTGTGTCTAGCGACCAGGTTGGAACGTGAAGAAGGGGAAGGGTGGGCCTGTCTGCGGTGTGGCGAGCTAGTAAAGGAATGCAAACCATGGAGCGGGGACGTCTTAGAAGAGCAAACGAGATCGCCCCCACCGACCACAAAGCACGTTGGATTTCTTGACGATCAAAAGCCTGCCGTAGAGATTATGCACGAGAACAACGATATCACTTACGAGCCTGAGGATATGGCTCAAGATGAGCAGCCTTTAGTGGAAGCATTAGATACCCCTGAAGATGACGACTCCGAAGTGTACGAGGAAGAAGAGGCTGGATTGGAAGCAGAATTCAACGACTGATCACTGTTTCTCCAAACCCGATGTACTTAGGATTGCAGCGCCGCATCTACAATTCTATACTAAATTGAGATAGGCCGGGATCTATCCGAGCAACAGTCCTAGACGACCTCTATACCAACGTCATTGATGACATACTGCAGCTTCTCATTTCAAAAAATAGAAGAATTCAATCTAATACTCGCAAAAGCTGAGCCGACGATCATGTCGGAGACGATGAAGTTCCATCTCGTCTAACCGACCATCTATCCATACGCCTCTCGTGCGTCTAATCTCCAATGGCTGATCAAAGCAGGCGCCATCTCATTCCCTCCATTCATGCCTTTACCCTGGCATATAGGTTATTCATCGTTCTGCCATACTTAAAAAAAAAAGTGGCTGTGAGATAGCCTATTAACCGACCCTGGTTTCAGGGATATGGTCGGAACTGCCAGTAAGGCTGCAGGATAAGCCCGGGAATGGCCCACGGGAAGGCCCCAGTTCAGCTCATCGGACGAAGTTCAGCAGGATTTCTACTGCTACCATGTGCTCTCCGGCGGCAGTGCGCTAACCCCCATCAACCCCGATGCTCCACTAGAGCCCTATACTCCTGTCCGGCCCGGACCTCAATTAAATAATGAGACCGGCATTGTTAGTACTATTTTTACTCACCTTTACATAAATCACTTCTAATTCGATACCTCCTAATGCACAACAAGCTCAATGTATCATTTTTGACCATCTCATATGCCCACTTGTGTAACCATCTAGCCCGCCCATCGTACTCTCATTTCGTGAATTTATAAATCCGACGCACGGCCAATCCTTGTTTAGCTGATAGTTTGATTACCCAATCATGGCCTATACCCTCTACTGTTCTCGTAGCCTTTCTCTATCGAGGAAGTCTATTGCCTTAATCAGTACTCAACAGGCGGCGCCTATTACGCGCAGGCCCCCCAGAGACTTCTCCAAACGTAACACATGATGGCACCCCTCAAATATTGAACAGAAATTTTATATTAAAGCCCCAAAATGTCGGCTTTGCGGGTAGAACGCCCCACTCCCCGTGTTCGTCCCCCTTCCCCCCCTGAATTAGTCAGCGCACGTAAGCACTGTGAAATGTCCCTGAAACCTCGACCGATAGAATCGTAAGATTGGGATGGAGTTGAATTTGTGTAGGTGTATGTAATTGTAGAGTTGTAGCTGACAAATGGCAACCTACGATACCCACAAGGCACAAGGGATGAAATGATCTATTGCTGGCGTAGTTCGCCAAGCATATTTCTGGAGAATTTTTCTAATTTGTTAAGCATACGGGATTTAATGTCGGGTTATGATTCCAATAAGGAGAAGGAAGGAATCGAGTATGTGCGCGTGCTATCAATTCTCTCAAATGACTACGCCGCTTTTTCTTTTTCTTGGGGTTGGCTTTCTCCGATCAGTTGCTAGAGGTATCTCTAATGAACTCCCCAATGCACTCCACGGTGGCTGATGGCTATAAAATCCGAAGTAGTTATAATAATTATTGTTACACGCTTATTCTTACTATTTGCCAAGGAAATTCTTTCCATTGATATTCTCGTCATTTTCTCCTATGGCGTGCTAAGATCAAAACCTGTAGATGGGAATATAGTGGATATAGATGTTGACCTCAGCAATCACAGCACGTGGGACAGTACCTAGTACTGCAGAATGAGTTAGACAAGGACATGCCAAAATGCATGGGATTATCTTGTGTCACCTCGCTTCCCATTGCTTCGAAGTGAGAAAGTAAAGCAGGCTATCTCCAGCGGAACTATTCCATTTATTTCCGCCCATGGGTGATGGATATAAGCAGAGATCGACCGATTAGACTCGAGGTCGTGGGGAATAAGATCAATGAACTTGGGATTGATTTGCTGCTTGATGTTGCATTGCAGCCCACGCTCACGTTTGGGGTCGGCTTGTACTGAATGGGATATACCCCATGAACCTATGTACATACCTCACTTCCTACTACGTGCGTAGGAAGATATATAGTCTCATATACACGTGTATAAGGCTAGGTACATCGATCTGACGTGATGGGCTCATTAGCAAATCTCACGAAACTCATCAAACCTAACCTGTCAGGGTAGACCGGTTTCTCGTGATAATGAAACGACTCTGGTATAAGCCTACCTACTTTGGAACTTTTGACTTATAAGCCACTATCGAATCTAATCATATCATCTTACCTATCTACATAGGTACAGTACCTACCGTACTTATATACATATATGTAGCCTTCTAAGTATACAAGTACTTAGACTCGAAGGGGTGTATCATTATAGATAAACGTCGTATATGAATGAAAATGAATGTTTATTTCCACAAAGCTGAATCAAGTATAAAGCATGCCACACAGGAAACCGGGCAAAGTTGGAGATTGCATTTTGAATGGACAATGGTGGTTTAGACCCCTCTATTATTGACCTATTGTGTCGGTTAAAAAATTGGAAGCTTGAATTCGATTCGAGGATGCGCTCTACAAATGTACAAATGGGAAATAAAGAATTAAAAAAGGGCCGGCCCCACAGGAGCTTTTTAGGTTGTTTAGGTTCGGCTAGGGACCCAATAAATGTGTACCTAGTACAGAGTATATGCAGTGTAGCAGTGTTAAAATGCTAGGTAATGTACGTACCTACGTAGCGTCATCGTCACGCGCTCCCTTCGTGCAGCGACAATCCAATCCACATGCACGGCACGCATGGCTCTTGCCTGCCTTGTATTGTAGTGTCTTGTGTTTCTCCTCCTCGGGCCTTCCACCACCACCTCTTACCTTACTAACTATACTTTGTACCTACCGTATACCTTCCCCCCAGACCTACCGAGCTACATAGGTAGGTAGCTGGAGGTATCTAGGTAGTTGCATACATCGTGTGTACGCCTCACCTCATCCTCACTCAGGTACCCGTTCTGTATCGCATCGTACTGTACCGTACCGCATACTCGTTCTCGTTCTCGTTTGTCTAGCTACCTGTATGTCCGTCTGTCCGTCTGTCCGCATACATACATACATACCTACATACAGATTCTACACGTGCTCGGGGTACATACATAGGTAGGTCGAAGCAAGTTCGACGAACCAACCAACCAACAACGGACGCATAATCGGGCGGCCTGCAGCGAACCGCGATCACGAGCTCGCGTAGACGACACCTACCTACATATCTGCTACCAGCTCGCATAACCGGAATCCTACCTCTTTGTAGATAACAAACAAACAAGCCCGGAGCAAGAAAACCAGCCGCCTAATCCAGCCGACGAATACGCAATATCTATACATCCACCCTCGTCCTCGACGTTTCTCCGTCTTCTCCCTCCTCCATATTCTAAAAAAAGGAAGAGACAAACGAAAGAAAAGAAAAACAATAAGCCCGAAAGAACCTCGACATGTACGCCGTATCCTCTAGGCCCAGGACCAGTACCACCAACGTCCTAATCTTACGCCATAAATAAGGGCGTGAGACCGCCACAAACCAAACGGCGAGGAGTCATACCCCGAGGAGGTTCGTGGGGGATTCCCAATCCAAGAATAGAGTTTGGTTAGGAGGTAGAAACAGGAAAAACGAGAGGCGCAACCCAAAGCGAAAGAAGAGAAGGCAACCAACATGCCAAACTTCTTCCCCTTCATCCCGGGCACCGAAACTGGCCGCGCCGCCCGTCAACACGCAAGCGACGCCTCCCCCCTCCTCGGCCGTTTCCGGGCCATGCCCACATCCTCCCGCGCTCTTTCCCAACAACAGCAACAACAACATCTCGGCCTACTCTCCGCAAACGGCGGACGCGGTAGCGTACACGTCGGCTACGGCGCGATGCTAGTCGCAGCGGGCGACCTCTCGGATTCAGGCGGAGACGATGAAAGTGACGAAGACAACGATGATTATGATAACGACAATAGTAATAATAATAATGGTAATAGTAGTAATACCGGCCGTAGGGGATGCGCGTACGCGGCCAGGAGAACGGTAAGGACCTGGCGGCGGTTTATAAGGGTTATGCGCCGGAGCGTGAGGGACCTGTGGGTTGCGCCGCGGCAGACGGCCGTCAAACGCGTGGTTGAACGGTGGTGGAGTCGCTGGGCTGTCTTGGTTTTTCTGCCTGCTGCTTTGGTGAGTCGCAATTCAAGCTACTAATCTTGTGTGATGTGATTATCGCTTTGTCTCGTAGGCGTGGAAGTTCCCTAGATATATGAGATGGCAAGAGAAACCGAGAAGCAAGATGATCAAGTAAACTAACGAATATGTTATATTGCAATATCTAGGCAGTAGCATGGTGCGCTCTTCCATTCCCGCAATACCCCCTCCCACCCGACTCCCATGGGCATTCGAAACCGCAACACAATGATCCGCCTCCCGCGAAGCATCGAGTACCCGGTCACGGTGAAGCGCGCGTACAGGTCAACTTCTGGTTCTTCTTATTGGTGTACTACGGATTCTATAACCTAACAGCATTGATATGGATCACCAAAGTGTTCAACCTCTACTCTCTCAATTGGTGGCCATCGACCCTCGGTTTCCCGCTGACAGTCTCGTTGATAGCCATCATATCTCTTGCGGCGCCAATTCCGATATACCTAATACCGGAGGCGCGCTTCATAACAATCCACAATACAGCTTGGATCAGTTGGACGTTCGTCCTCATGGCCATGCCTGTAGCTATTGCCTTCTGCATTCTCATGACGCACGAGCGCCATCTAGGCCTGAGGCACTCGCTCAGCGAGACCCAACGAATATTCACTAGTTCGTGGTGGACAGGCAAGACAGATACGCTGTCGGCTGGCCGAGACCGCAATCGACGGAGGGGGAGATTTAATCGAGGTATCGACTCCTTTGATCCGGACGCTGCACTTCAGATCACGGACCGGCCACGGGCAACTATACCGGTATTGATGCAGCGGCGCCGGTGGCTACCTGCCAGCTTCGTACGCTTCGTCTGGTTCTGTCTCGCGCTCTCCGTTGGTCTGCTAGCCTACTTGGTAGGAGAGGCATACGCCGAAATCTATCTAAGGACGTTACCGCATAACAGTTTCGAAACAATCGTCTACGTCTACAGCTGGGTCGTAACGGTCCATTTGTTGGACGCGCTTACGGGTTGGATTCTCGGCGCAACCGAAGGGGAGCGAGTAGGAAGCTATCCTCTGAGCTGGATCTTTAAGCTGTAGGGATTAACTGAGGGTACACCGACTTACCCAGAAGAGACAGCTAACCGTGAGCAGATACTTCATGTTGACGTACCAAACCTACGTTCGCGCCCTGTACGCGCGCCTCCGCTCACCCTCCCAGTTCATCTGGCTTCAAGCCCTTTCATCCGGGTTCCTTATCGTCCTCACTCCGATAACTATGACGCAACCCTACCACCGCGTGCTCTCGATGATAGGGCTAACGACGCAGTCATACGCTTCGTACCAGAAGATCTGCACCAGAAATGTATTCATTCGCTTCTTGGCTGAAAACGTGAGCATGCTCACATTCCTAGGGAGCATCCTGGTGTTGCACTTCGGAGCCAACAAAGACGTGTATCCATACTTTGCCTTCGATGATCCCGACGAGCTGTACGATTTCGAACTAACATTTTACGCGTCCATGGTTACTTGGGCCTGTGAGTTGGCTGCGGGCATCGTGCTCAGGGGTATGATTCGGTGGATCTTTGGGGTAAACGCTAGCGTCGAGGGGAAGATGGACCTAGCAGTGTGGCCGGAGCTGCTTCCTACAAGTGTAGCCGTCATGTTGCATGTGTTGCAAAGCATGCTGTTCTCCATCATCCGGTTGCATTTTCGTTGATAGGATGATGGAGGGACGAGGGATCTCTGTCGAGTTGATGTGGATAGCCTGGATTGGCGACCCAAAAGATATTTGCAGCTCGGTTAAGCGTAGCCAGCAAAATGTTGCGCCTCAATGTCCAAGGACGGGCGGATCAAATCTTATCAGATGTGTTAAAGGGAATTGTTGGTGCTCGGTCGACGGGTATTCTGGCTGTCAGGCAGCGGGCTACCTACAGGACCATAGGCGTCTTGTTTGCTATTTTTTTAGTTGCTGTTTATCCGTTCTATGCAAAGATGCCCAAGGCGGAGTAGATGATACCCTTTTTAGAATAAATACCAAAGAATAGATATCCCTTGACTGCTAATCAAATCTTGCTATGGCTTGCGAGGAAGATGGTGTGCAGTTGTGACGTGTATTGAAATGGAGATGCATATGTGCCTCATTACTTTGCACTGCTAGGAGAACTAGCGCGCGATGCACGCGTCCCTAGGATAAGAGTAGAGTAGCTTGCTGAGTGAAGGGTTATCCAAGCCCACCTTAATAGTCTCCATTACAGCGACTTTATCTCTGCATAGAAGCGGAGACACTTATTGGTGGGGAGATATATAATGCACGAAATACTGCATATCCGGTGTGCCAGTTCTGAAGAGACCGAAAGCCATCGCCAGAGTCGCTGTGGAGATACCTAGTCGGCCGGAGGAAAGCGTGGGCGCTTGGCGCCGGTTTGGTCACATAGTACTATACACTTTGGTATATTGGGGGCAATCGGCAAATACGAAAAGGGTGTAGGTATGTGGGTGATATCTGCTGAATGGCACACATCCGAAAGCGCTTCCGGTCGCCTAAACCCATCCGCCCAAGATCGGGTTCGGCCATCTAACGCACGGCAGCACCAGCAGATGGAAATGAAACCATATTAGCGTATGTCTGAATCGGCCGATTGCAGTATGTCGTGCGCCCCCTCCGATATGGCGGGTGGCGTCTGTCAATCATGAAAGTCTACTGGTGGCGAAATGGAATCGACTTCCCGGGACGGCGTCTCAACCCGGAAGACGAGACCGCTGCAGGTTGAGAAGAAAGCAACGCTTTCCGGGTATCAATGTCTCATTTTGTCTTTGGTTGTTTGGCTAAAAGGCCTGGAACATCCCAGGGCTGATGAGTGGACGTGATGTGTCGTTCGAAGTGATCGACGGGATTTGCAGATCCACCAGGGGGAAACGTCGCCATTTGACAAGGCTGCGGCCGTCAATGTCTAGTGTCGACTTCCTATGACAGGTTTTGAGATGTTCGAAACCCCGACTATCTCCTAGGCTTCCGATCCAGCCAGGGCGCCTTATGGATCGACAGGGAAAAATCTACTCAACTAAACCCGGGAGACTGGCGGTGAGCGCATGCAATGACTCACTTGCGGTTTAGCCTCCCGGCATATTTATACAAACAAGGCAGTAATAAAAGCGCGGTCAAAGGTACCTCAACATGCGGGGAGGCTAGAGATACGCTGAAACGCTGAGAAGACAAAGGCTTCCATGCATAGAGGGCGTTGAGGTGAAACCAATGCAGGTTGCAAAGTACATAGTGCGCACCCCAGTGCTGAATAACCCATGCGGATACTAAAGGCTCAATTAGAACCTCAGAAAGTGGGTTGTAGTATCTCGGAATGATACAGCGTTTCTTTTCAGCCAGCCGGGTTTCCGCAAAGGGCCAAATTGCGGTGTCGAGATAGTTCAAAGAGCCCGTCCCAGCTAGATAGAAACGTGCGTACATTGCTCACAGCTTAGAAAAAATGCCTTGCTGCTTTGAAGAGTGCGGCTTACCGTTTTCTCTTCAGCCAGCCAACAAACTGGCCGGTGGGTAGGACAGTTAGATTGTAAGAAAAAACTTGAAATGGTGTGTCTGTCGTTATCGGAATCCCTTGCTCAGGAACACGAGCCGATGCTTATTAGTCCCTAGCTAAATAGGTATGACGGCCAAATCCAGGAGTGAAAACGGCCGGCTTACGCAAAGGAGAGGAGATAAACCTGGCAATTCAATTAAGTGCAGATATCGCGGTAGAATGTTGAGCTGTGATTCGGCGAGATCAGCGGGTTGATATGTGCGAGGCTGTATCAACCCAAATCCTAATGCGTTTTGAGAATAGGACCCAGTCGATGAGACTTTGCTCTGTAGCAGTCACAAATTCCCATATGCTGGGCGTCCAATCATCCGGGTATCCTCCCTGGCCAGAACACTAGACGGATACTAGTTAGAGCTTCGACGGAACGATCGTAGGCGCCTAGATGTGCTTTACAGTTCCAGTCCAAGCATGTGAGTTGAAAGTGGTGTGGTTACAACATCAAAAACATAACCTGTTAGGTCACAGCAGGGACATGAGATCCCCTGTCTCGGTTGCTGAGCATGTAAGAGATGTGGTTGCAAGGTGCCAGAGTGCGTTGTGCCACCTCGATCGAAACGCGGGCCAACGGTTGGGTCTGATTCGACGCTACCAGAGCGGACGGCGATTGAGGCGCAACACCGTTCTTTGAGCCCCATGTCGATTAGTGGGATACGAGTCTTGTTAGCTGTAGATAATAGTGTATTAAGTGGTCCCTAATGATTGCGTAGACTGGGCTGACTGGTAAGTAAACTGGCAGAGGCTGGAAGCGATAACTAGCTAGCCAGGGCGGGATCCCTTCTAACGCATGTTCTAACTGAATTCCGGAACGCTGTATGTAAGAGTATGTAAAAGGTTCGGTTGTTGACGAGACGATTTCGGGCAGCATCAATAGCACCTTGTTAGTCAATGATCACCTCGATCACCTCATCAAAATGCTCCACACGACAGGCGAAGTGGCGATTAAGGACCCCTTCGTTATGTGTGCAGAGGCGTTTCTGCCCCAGCTATCCAGGGGCGTACATACATAGGTAGTTGGTAGCCAAGGAATCCAAGGCCGGATCGTATTGAAACAAAAACTGATCAGGCAAGCAGGGTTGTTGCGAGCCACCATAAAGCGGAGAGAGGCGGGCGCACGTACATAGACTTACCTACAGTACAGTGCAGTGCAGTACAAGGATGAATGGGAGATTGTATGTTTATGGGTGTATCAATGTAATGGAATATTCCGGACGTACGGGCAGACGGGGGAAGCATTGCGATGAGTCAGAACTTAGGAGGCCTCGGGGCTAAAAAAGAAGCAGGCTTTATTGTTGAAAAGATGTTTTTTATTTGATGTAGATATGGTATGTATTGATGTATTATTGTATTGACTGAATTTGATTTGATGTAGGTGTAATGGGTGTAATGTAAGCTGAAGGGGCTATAAAGTTGGATGGCTCGTAAAAAGAGGTAGAAAGTCCTTTGGGGAAGTAAAGTGTGGGGTCGGAAAGAAAGGCTCTGTGGGCTCTACTCGAATCGCGATTTCCCAAATACTTTGATGGATACTAACTGTCCAGGGCGGGGCAGACGGTGGGCAGCAATTGCAGCAGTTGCAGTTGCTTAACTTGTTGATCCTTGACCCTTATTTCAAACTTGTTTTAGCAGTATAACCCTACTCAGTTGTAACTTAGTACTACCTGAGGAGGCATTGAGTTTTTTTGACCTACAACTATCAAAGTTCTATATGCAAGTGTATATTAACTCGATACGGTTGGATCAATGTATACTACCTACCTACCGTATACGTACATATACTCAGGTAGCATCGATGTAAATGCTTCTTCTCGTGTATGTAATTTGTTTTTATAAGTCGTAACTCACCCGTACAGATAGGGCAATCTGCATGTTATGTACGTATACATACATTTGTAGACGTATTGATATGTGTATACATGTACTTACATAGGTACATTATCATTAATAAAGAATGATTAGGAACTTTCTATCACTTCATTTTTGTCTTTTTCGACATATGATATCTGCTCAAATCTATCTTCTTAAGCAAGATACTGTACCATTCGGGTCCTCCATCTCAAGACCTAGACTAGTTCCTACGGTAAACCTATTCAAAGACCGAGATAATGGTTTAGGAAGGTGTTAAATTCTTATATACCTTTTGTCCGACATTTGATGTTTTTTACTCTTTTTTTTTTCTTTTTAAAACTCGTATGCCGCAACCCTTCCCACTGATCATCCCATTCCTTCGGATGAATTCACAGGGTTCCAATGCTTCTAGAAGGAATCAGCTCTTGCAGTACTCTGTAACTATGCTCTGTAACAAATTACCTAGTATAAAAGTATGTAGGTACATATATCCATGTGTGTACATACATGCTAGTAATGCCAGCGAAACAATGCTGCTGCGTGTTCCCTGATTTTTTTTTTCTTTCTTTCTTTCTTTCTTTTACTCGGTACCTCCTCACACCGCATATACATGCATAGCTGCTCACGCTTCTGCGGGCACGTCTCGGAATGTAGAGTCTTATGGTGAGCAGGTAATGTAATATGGCTCACTGGGTCTTTACCGACTCTCCGAACGCATTGCGCGGTATGTTTGGTTAGCTACGGCCACGATTAGGTAAAGGTAGGTACTAATAAAAGCACGGCGTTGGCCGGAACAACCCATCAGCAAAAGAATATAATCCCTGATAACGCGCCTAGGTCTGCATATACCATGTATCCCATAGACGTTCTAGTTCTTCTTCGTTCGGTATGGTGGCATCAACCAAGCAAGTACGTGGTGGGGTTGTCTAAGTAGTGGTGAGAGAGCAACCTGAGCCACCCTGAACAAACCCTGAGCACCCTGGCACCGAGGAGTTACCTAGGTACAGTAAAGAGAACCCCTGCTCCGCCCACCTGTTATGCCTACGGTCCTGAGAGGGGCAGAGGGGTTCATCATTCGTCCTGGATATTGTCTTATTTATTTAAGTATGTATGTACCTGATTATGTGGAATAATTAAAGTGCCTTGAAGCCGAATAATTATTGCTCTTTTTTATTTTTTATTACTTTTTATTCTTCATCACACCGATATGTCTTATTGCACACTGCAGCTTAAAATTACTTCTTAGATCAACCCGGTCTTTTTTCTACAAACTGCTACAAGAGGCGTACAAGGTACAGTAATTCTATACCGTCAACAACCTGAACCCAATTTGGGGATATCTTGCCTATCCTAGTAAGTGGGCTATCATTTAAGCTTGCTCTAGTCCCGCCTTAGGGCCCCAGCTAGCTGGTCGGTGGATTTTCGTGCGTACTGAGTACTTTAAGATACCCCTCAATTACCAGTTGAAATAGGGATAGATGAGGTATATTGAGTAGATTGATACAAAGCTATACCTTGCTCCTTTATCAGAAGAAATCTAAAATCTACCCCTCCAAAAGAAAAAAAAAATTGAAGGGGAAAAAAAAAGGAAAGAAATAATTCTCCTCAGCTTCATCCCACTCTGTGTCCCTCATCCAATCCACTCCACTCTCTTTTGAGCAACCTCGTTGTCTTAGCTTTCCCGTCTTGCCTATCCAGCGACCGTCGCACCTCCAAGGCATCCTTTTTTTCTCACTATTCTTTTTCCTTCCTCTCTTGTCCCCTTTCTTCCTTATTACTTGCCCCCTAACCTTGTATATACTACCGTACTGTATCTAACGGTACAGTACACGTACATACATACAGACAATACATACGATACATACATTACCACTACGTACATACATACATCCCGCAGGTCTTTTACTCACTAGGGCTGCAGTCGATATTATTATTATTATTATAATTATCTACCACCCGGGTTGGCGGCAAGCAGGCTACCTACCGCCTACACCTCCTTCAACACACTATCCCATATCCCGGCCCCCCCTGTGCGTGAGTGACTCCGCGGTCACTTCTAAGGCGGCCTTGTCTCTGCCTGTCCTGTCTGACTTGGCCTTCTCTCTTTGCCTTGTCTGCCCATCTCATTCGTTCTTTCTACTCCTCTCTTGGGCATTCCACTGTGCCACACCCCTAAAATTTTTTCCTGTCGGCCAGGTACACATATCGTCTAGCCCGCCCTCACTCCTCGCCGCTCTTCCTCTCTTCTTTTTCTTCCTTTCCTCTTCCTCAGCATGAGCGGTCTAGCCACCTCCAACACCCCCGTCGATCCTGTGGCAGCCAACCCAAGTCAGCCAAGCATCACGTCCTCTACTACTACATCCGATGCCTCGCGACGAGAGCCCACCTCCTCCGCCACCGGTACCGCCGAACTCGCCGGTCAATCGGTAACTGCCCTGCTTGAACACGAGCAGGAGAAGCTGGAGGCTGCTAAGAAACTGGTCATCAACGCGCTCAGATTCGTACCCGACTTCCCCATCCCCGGTATCAAGTTCATCGACATCCTCCCGATCTTCCAGAACCCAGTCGCCTTCGAGTCCCTACTGGAGGTGCTCATCCTCCTAATACGAGAGCGATTCGGAAACCAGATACCAGATGTCATAGTGGGTCTGGAAGCTCGCGGTTTCCTCTTTGGGCCTACACTTGCATTGAGGCTCAACCGCCCATTCGTTCCAGTCCGAAAGAAGGGCAAGATGCCGGGTGCTTGCAGGACTGTTGAATACAAGAAAGAATACGGCAAGGACGAGTTCCAGGTGCAAACAGATGCCATCAAACCTGGCCAGACGTGCTTAATTGTGGACGACATCATTGCTACTGGTAAGTAGAAGAATCCTTGTCTTCCACGCCTCACTGTCGCATTGCTTGGTGGTTTTATTTTTCTTTTTTCTTTTTTCCCACCATATCTCTTAAAATCTTCATACACGTCATTACATGAATTAGACCAATTTTTCATGTTTTTTTTTTGGCTTTTATCTGCCCCTCTTTCGACGATAAACCCACCCTGCTGCCTTAGCAAATTCCCAATGAGTATGAGGGGCAAATCTAGCCATTCACCGTTTCGCCCGCCACGAAGTACGGGCGCGAATCAAATATACGACAGTGCCTAAAGGTACTGCCGTACTTGGAGTGTACCCATGGCCAGGTTTGGCGGCGGTGGGTATTCCACTCAGGGCCATACACCGATTTCAGCGGGGTCGATATCTGGTATTTTCACATACATACAAGCGAAGAGTCTAGCTGGAAAGCCCCAGTATCCATCTGATACCAGATAACCCTCAATTCATGAACTGTCATTGTTTTCTTGCCTTTGGAACAGCTTCCTTGTTTTTCCAAGCCCGTCCTATCGACTGACTCGACAATTCAGGAGGAACTGCTGCTGCTGCCGGCCAACTTGTGGAGCTCTCTGATGCCAAAGTCATGGGCTACCTTTTCATGATTGAGATTACAAATCTAAAGGGCAAGGCGCTGTTGGGCGATAAACCCTTCATCACCCTTGTCGAACATGACGAAGAGGAGTAAACTTCACGTATCACCATATTCTTAGCAACTTTACGGTTTCCGCGTCAAAAAAGATCTCATTCCCAAGTACACGAAAAAAAGAGGACAGCATAGTTCGCAATATTTTTTACCGTTCCAAACCTTACCATACCAAACCTAATGATAGATGCCATTCGAAACTTATTAAGTAATTGGGGCGGGTTAGAAAACGCTGTTCGGTTGTTACAGAACTTCAGCGCAGCCGTAATGTCGGATGGGGAGGTTCCCGCGAGAGAGCTGGATTGAGGTTGCATGGCTATGGCGTTTAATGGAACACGAATAATACTGGTGATACTGCATTTTTTTGTTGTTACATGATTTGATCATAGAGAGTCATAATTCCGTAATCCGTTCTAATCATAGCAACGTGCTCGCTTGTCTCCCAACTGCCGTGAATACCATCCAACGTGCCACTACCGGGATGCCACACACCTCGGAGCCGGTAGGTGAGTCAAAGTTACATATCATAAAAAAACTCGTCTTTCATAAACTATAAGGCCCAAATCATCATGATATTTGAAGGATCTATCACTATTCAGTTTTCGTATTCCAAATTTTATCAGAGCGCATTGATGGAGTGCAGATAGGCGCGCGAAGTTCGCCCGTCACTTTAAAATCTTACTGACGCGGTGACGCGGAAATGTCACCATACAGACGAGCTATCATTCGGCTGATATCTGAAATATAGGTGCTCTCATCTATAATTGTAACCACCAACCTGTAATCCCTTTTATATAATTGGGTAAATGGGTTGGGTACACAAATTAGGAGGCGCCCAAAATACCGCCATTGCCCCTTAACTTCCGATAACATCTCTTCCCCCCCTTTTTTAATTCTATACGTCGGATTTTTATCTCATTTTATTTTTATCTTTTTTTTTTTCGGCTGGAGGCTTGCTACAGATATATATGATAATGGATAGTACTACTTGTACTTACGCGTCACTAATGTAATTGATACTTGGTATACATACGAATCTCGGACGAGTGTCTAATAAGAGGTAGGTCTCACTTATGTGACGGACGAGTCGGCGAATAGATTAATGGTAAGCACACCGCCGTTGGTGACGGGAATGACATCACGGACGAACCATTATTTTTATAACTGCTTCCGACGCGGCCGAGTCTGCCATCCAATTTGTGATGTTTGTGATGGTGTTGGGTGAGGCGTTCTCTAGGTGCTTTTGCTGTCACCAAATGCAGTTCTATGGTAGTACGACTAGTTACCCCAAATACATGATCTTGAAGTCGCTATAATTATCTAGGTACTATCTCTTGGCAGGCGGTCAATATGGATAGGGTTATAATAGGCGGCGAGCTTTTGAAGACGCTATACCTATACCTAAGTAGCTATTTTTTTCTCTCTATCTTGAGTCTAGGGGAAGTTGCATTGGGCTGGCGACGACAGATGTTGGTTGATATCAAGCATCTCTTTTGATACCCTCTGAGACATCTACACCAAGCCTACTGGCGCGAATTTTATATCCCTATACGCTTATCATGGCTGTTCTTGGGGTCGGTAAGATCATAAGTAGCAAGATAATTATCACATGTGGGAGGATGTGAGACACGGGATGACCATCAGTAGAGACAACCGGAACTACAGCGCAACGGCAAGCCACCAAGATATAAGACGGATCAAACCTTGGAAGTCTATTGAACACCACGGTAATTATGTCTAGTATACTATTAGCTTGGCTGTAACACCACTGGAACAAACGTGACACTATATCTCCAGTAACTGTCTCACGGCGCACAACGCGAATTGAGGTTTAACAGGTTTGATGGGGTACCAATCTCGCGGATTACACTACTGTGCCGCGCCCTCGTGCAATAGTTCGTGTCGCTTGCCGTAGCCGACGATCTTTCTTTTTCGGATTTCTGAGTTGGTGGTGATTCGTGGAACTTGTATACACTAAGCTGGGGTTGGCAATCTGGGGGAAGGCTTTGCTTTGCCGCTATTCGGAGTTGAGTTGCAGAATCCTATATAAATGGACCTGGAGAGCATTGCATCTCGGAGATGCCTCCTACTGGTTTGGTGCTTTTGGAACGAGATGCGGGTTTAAAGTACGGCTTTGGTCTCCTGCTCCGCGTCGCGAAGTGCGCGAGGTGCGCTTGTAGCGATCTTGAAGATTTTGGGCGATGCGCCGGTTAGGCTCGGGCATCACGAGTGAAGACAAGGTATTGGGAATGTGTTTGAGACATTTTCTTCAATACGAACTGCTACGATTGTCAATTATGTTTCTCTATAACTCTTTAGCGAGAATTTGGCGAGGGAGTTGATTCTTGACTAAAATGTCTATCAATGGGTCCTGGAATCCATAGGGACCCCCGAAAGATCTCCATTTAGTGTCCCAGAACCATCACTAATGGCAACTAATCTTGCCGTAGAGGACTCCATCATGATACAAGTTTAAAAGAAATTGTAAGATGGCATTTGAAGACCAATCTACAGATGATCCGAGTTAAGAATGATTGCGAAAAAAAAAAAAAAAATATTGATAGGAAGCAAGAAAAGTTGTAGAAGTCTTGAAGTTGCTGTAAGCTCAGCTTCGCTTATGCAAGTGCTAACTGAATTTACCCCGGATTGACGCGCTACTACTAGGTATTCTGCAAGGGACGCCATAGGGAACAGAAAAAATGCCAGTCTGTACGTTCAGATAGTCTGTTTAGCACAGTTCAAATTCGTACCAATACTACGGTACCCAGGTAGGTACCTACGTGCACGCATGAAGCTGACATTGGGCTGGCAATCTGGATCGTACTATTCAAAAATAATACTAGTTTCCTTAGTAATAATTCCTAGAGTTGATCGTTATTAAAAACAGCAAGCGAATAGGTAAAAAAGTTGTATAAGTTACGGATAATAAGGGTAATTATTCAGAAGGGGCTAAAGAGTTCTCCTATCTACCTAGGTAAGCATTGCCCTAAAATCTATCAGGCTCTACAGTTTAGAAATGAAGTATTAGCCTCGCCTGCATGATATCCCTACTCATTTCCACTTCATCCTTAGCTAGTAGACGCCGCTTTCCTGCAGCTTCGTAAGCCTCGAGTTCCCGTGCTGGTCCCCTTTTATTAGATACCAGCGGAGCTAGGGAATGCTGTTGGGAATCTGTCAGGATTGCGCGCTCAAAGTCTACTATCATAACCTTATGATTCTCCTGGTTCCATAAAATATTCGGCTTCCTGACGTCTGTATGGATTATTCCCCTTTTATGCAATGCCTGCACAGACTGGACGACTTGCTGGTTAAGATCTTCCCCCATCAAATGTGCTGTCCCGGTATCATCTAAGCTGCCCCCTCCCCAAGAAAGAAACATCATGTACGTGATGCGCACTCGCAAGTCATAGTAGTAAGTTCGCGAAATGTCCCGAAGATCGATTGCACCGAGGAAAACGGGCACGCTGTCCCCTTGTAAAAACTGCAGCTGACGATACACCATAGCTTCGTGTTCGAGATCCTTTGTAAACTCCGGTACCGTACCTTTGCTTACAAAAGTATAGCCGTACATAAGCAGCGTAACTTGGAACAAAACGCCCCGTGCTCCTTGCTTCTCGAGACGTACCACTCCGTCATCCAACGTCTGGCGAAGCTGTTGCTTCAGGAGTTGAAGCCATTTTGCATACTTGACGGGATGATGGTTATTGGTTCGTTGGCATTGATGGAACGTAACGTTGGGACATTTTTGGTCGAGGGGATTCCCCCGGACCAATCCAAGGAGGCACTTTTGCGTACAGTATTGGCGGCGAGACGAGTTTTGGACATCGCTAGCGCCTTGCTGTTGAGTACAGTCTTGACGTTCCCGTGGGCGGGATTGGACACGGCTTCTGAGCCGGCTCGCGATCGGGGAAGAACCTACCCAGCTCTCGGGCTCGTCATCAGATGATTCTGGCGTCTTGGTTTTCTTAGGTATGTTAGTGTCCGGGCGGGTTTTCACGACCGGCGCTATTAGCGATTCTCCGAACGGGAGAGGCGCCCGGCGTTTGTTTTTGTATGTTTTTGGTTTCCAGGCTGAGCTCTGTGGCGTCGGTTTATCGGTAGCCGGAATAGATCGCAGAATGGCGTCATGATCCACAGTCCACTTTTCTAAGCTTGCGATTGCTGACTCACGCTCGTCCTGCCTGTGACCTCGCGTTTCAAGCGCCATAAGGCTGAAGGCTAGGTAGGACCTGACTGACAGCTGTGCAGTAATGAAAGCTGTCTGGGTGCGCCTGTACTTCTGAGCTCGGCTCGGCTAGGTGATAGTAGAGGGTGCCTGGATCTGCCCAATTGATATGTAAAAAGACAATCGCTTCGCCGGTTGTTAAGTATGAATAGTCAAGCCCTGCTTCTATCATGTAATGGAATGTTTGGGTAACTGCAGATGCTACTAGCCGGTCTGCGTGATACTGGAACCGCTCTTCTGGATTCTGGGCCGTTGGTATTGTAGGGCGATTGACGACCTCGTCGATGATATCCATTTGGCGAAGACCGAGACGGAGGTGTTGCAGGGTAAGCTTATGCGGAGCCTTGTATTCGACGATATACGCGATGCTGCGTTCAAGTGAACCCGTATTATTATGTTTGTAGACGCAAATCTGATCTGCCCGCAGCCTGCTGCTAGCCGAATCTCGTGGTGGTGGCGGAGTAGTATGTCGCTGGCAAACCTCTTCATTGGTGTCGCTTATAGCATTCGGGTGGTTCTCGAAAACAATACCGTCTCCAATGTCAAACAGGTTTTTCACTTCCTGCAAAGTTTTTAGGCGATCGAAAATAAGCCTGACTGGGGTTTCTACACCGTCATGCAAGAAACGTTCCAGATCCTTTTCGCTAGCAATTGGTTTCATGGAGATGCATTCGCCTAGGCCATGCAGATAGGCATGACTCTGGAACGCATTGGTCTGGGAAGGAAAGACGTGAATAAGCTTTCCGTGTGCTGTTCTCTGCTGTTCCAGAAAATCCGGCCAGGGCAAAAGGCGCGTTGGGCATAACTTGTTCTGGGAATTCGTGATGGAGCCTTTCGATGTAAGGCTTTTGTTTGTCTCGACGACAAATTTGGTGAAAACCAGCTCATGGCAGAATTCGATATATTCCATCAATGTAGTGGGACGGAGCTTCTGCTTTAATTGTGCTGCGTGATTCTCGGCATCTTTAAGTCGACGCTGTTTTTCTGCAAGCTGACGTCGCAGCCGTGTAATTTCATCGTCCTCCATATTGATCAGTGATTAGTGTGATTAGTAAGATTAGGAATATTAAGTATGATTAAGTTGTTGACTAAGCTAAGCCAAGCTAAGTGAAAGGTTGATGCTAGCGAATTGGGTCATGGCACGTGCGTCATCGAGTTTTTATAGAAAATGTACCTAGATGCCCCTCTGTATTAAGACCCCATTAAATACCTGGCCCGACCGCTATTGCCTACCTAGGTACCTAGGTAGGCACCCAGGCACCCAGTTTAGGCGCCCAGGGCGTCTTGCAAGGGTTCTAGAGGGGAGTCTATGACGAAGAACTACCCTTACCGTGCCTGCCAGAGGTAAGTGAAAATGGCGCGTCGGACCTACTTTAAGCTATCGGACATTTTCCATCACAATTTTTCTAATATATATTGTATAATGATGTAACTTAATTCATTAAATAAATTAAATTATAATTATTTAAAAAAAATTGAAATTAAATTTATAATATTATATATTTGGTTAAATTATCCGAGAAAATCTTATTAATTTTATATTAATCTGATATCTACCCAAATAGGTTTATCTATAGTGGGTCGCGTCATTTTCACTTACTTCTGGCAGCGTGCCAGCCCTAGCAGCTAGATGTTTGCTTCAGCTTCAAGATCTTCATCAACGTCAACTTTTGCCTCATCATCGCGATTTAGTCACCGTTGATCAATGACGGTGTCCAACCGAGGTGCAAAATTCTCTAGTTTTGCAACGTTACGACGTAATATAATAGAGAAGAAATCTTTTTTCTATGCCGTAAATGAAGGATCGCAAGCCCAGGGCCAGCTTCCAGGGCGGTCCGAAATTAAAAGTCTAGGCCAAAGTGGATGCTCGACGATGGCGCCTGGGCTAGGTGAGCCAAGCGAACAATATGTTGTTACCTGCGCCTGCTGCCTATATGATCATGAGATTTTCTTTTCTCTCCTTATAGACTTCTAGGTCTTTTCTCCTAGTAGGCATCGAAAATATTTATTGTACATTAAGTACCGCTAATAAGAAACTGCACCCATACAGTCACAATTTTGTATAGCATATAGTCAACACCAAAAAAAAGTTTTCCCTCAAATTCCGCAACCATGTCGGTCTCCTCAATCACAACCCAAATCCCCACAAGCCCAATCGAAAAATGGTGTGTCGCCGAGCCCATCCAACTCGACGGCGAGCCCTACCAATGCGCGAACGAAACCCTCGGGCTCAAAGAATCCGACTTCCAGACCTTCTGCTGCGACGGCGAGATCATCAACACGGTGCACGACATCTGGAAGCCGAGCTTCTGGAAAGGTACCAACCACTCGGTGAACTTATCGGACATGGTGTGCTGCGGACGCAACGGCCCACAGACCGGTGGTATCCAACCGCTCCCTACGGCGTACACGGAGTGCTCCGAGGGCAAACCGACGCCCTTGGCCGACCTCGCGGCTACGAATACCAAGAACGCGGTTCCGTTTTTGGTCACGTATACTAGTGCTAGCTTTGGCGATAACACGGTAGGCGATTACATACCCACGGAGACGCCGTATTGCTTCTGGGCGTATAAGTCTGGGGCTGCGATGGAGGAGGTTACGGTGGTGGCGGCGCAGATCACGACGCTGCCGCCTGCTACGACGGATGAGTTTGGATGGCCTATAACTACGGCTTCGGAGACGAGACCTACTAGCTCAGGTTCGGGATCAGGTTCCGACGCTGCCGCGAAGACTACGATATTATCGGGGACGGCTAGCAGCACGAGTCCTGAGGCAACAACGACGCCTTCGGGTGCTGGTTCGATTTACTCGGGTGTACGAAAGGGATATCTCTGCCTTGGCTTAGGTTTGGTGACCATGAGCCTCCTTTGGAGTTAAACCTGCCTCGGCTTTGGGAATATAGTGGATGAAGGCTATGAAGAATTGGACAAGCTTTGGCTGGTAATACGCAAGAAATTAATGATAATATGTACCATCGATACCCAAGATAATTGAATTTTAGTTTTCCGTACAGGTGGGATCTTGAAGTGGAAATGGAGAATGCTTACATCTAGATACACTAAATCACTCGAGAATGTTCAAAATGTAGGAACCAAATACAGCGTTTCAATCTTGTTATGCCGTGTACTATCTAGCAGGTATGGTTGTTCTGCGTCCACTTCAACCAATTTGCTATTGTAACTAACCATAGCCTAGGATCGGACCTCCTTCATACTCTTCGATATTCCCAGACAGGTTATCTTAGCGCCCTGGCCTAGCGCCAGAAAGCTGGATCATCCCACCGTTCCCTATGAACTGGCACATTCTGTGGTGTTGCGACAACTGAGCTAGTAACGGGGTCATATTCAATGGTAATCGTGAAGGTGATAGGGATTGACACGCGAGTCCGACGGTTGCCATCAGTTCCAGGGGCGGTGGCCGCCACGTTGTCACCATTGTTGCTGGGATGTCTGGTAGTGGTCGTCGCCGCCTCTTGGCGTTCTACCCTATTTCTGTTTTCCCAGCGAGGGGGAGGAGGAGCGGGAGCAGGGCGGGAGTGAGTGAAAGGGTTTGTTACGTTCGATACAGACTCTCTAACAGGTGCTCCGCCACTACCTGCCCTTCCGTTACTGTTTCTGTTTCTGGTCGCTGTATTGAATGAACCGGTCTGAGTAGATGCATTATTAGTCGATGCTCTGGGGTCGTTCTGGAGGCGAGATGGTCCTTTGGTGGATTCACCCGCTGGGGCTCTGGTGGGCGTACTCTCTTGATTTCCCCAAGAGCTTGCATCGAAGTTGTCAACAGTGTGTGGGCTAAATGTGTCGGACAGAGTGGACTCGTGTACCGGGTTGGACATGGGATGGCCATAGAATCTGTGGCGCACATGGGTGCCTCGAGAGTTAATCGATGGAATGGGACGAGGTGGTTCGACGAAGGGATCCGTCAAAGGCTCCTGGTTATTTTCGGATTCGTTAGATTTGTATATCGGTCGATACATGCTAGGAAGGCTGGATCTCCGAGGCGTATCGATTAACTCGGGCTCATCGGACCTGTCAGACGGAGTGTATGCCATGGGCGACGTGGATGCGCTTTGAGGTCTGCTCGGGATATCATAAGGGGTGTGTGGTGGCTCTGCTGCTACCTGTGCCCGAGGATTAGTATTCTCGGTAGGTCTGTTGAGTGTGGCATAAACGTTTGATCTGGCCTGACCGGCAATCCTAGCGTCTCTGCCTACTCTAACCCTATCAATATAATAACGGCGTGCGGGTCGCCCGAACTTCTCGGGTATGCTGGATCTTTCCGCCATGCTGGCTGTTGTGCTCGTGATCCTGGAACTTAATCAAAGTACGAGCTGTTTCTTATAGATGTGTCAAAGATTTCTTGTTATTGCTGAATTGTAGTGGTTCCTTGTCTTGGCTATTTGGTAGGATACGTTAGGAAATAAGAAAGGCGAAAAAGAAGACGAGAGAAGTAGAAGGCGTTAAACAAACATTACCCGAAGCCTCTCCCGTAACTGAACAAGGCATGGCTGTGAATAATCGTCAGGACTGACTCAGTGGACTGGCCAAGAGTTCTTTGTTTACTTGTAGTGACGGGTGACTTGATGTCCTTCGGGGTATTTCTGGTAAAGTGATTCGGAGTATACACGTAAGATATGTCTCAGCAATTGGCATAACGCATCAGAACTATGAATGATGCCAAGTATCCTCTAATACCATCTAGTTGATACTTGGGGATCAGAATACTAAACTAGTACAAGGCATGGCCACTACTCACTACAGGATGTAAAAGCGAATCAGGAACAAATGTCGTATCCTCTCTGTAAAGTACACTACAATGAAAAGCTTATAGATCACAGTACTGCGATGAAAAAAACAGTGTTACAAAGGTAAATGCACTGCTGGATGAAAAAATGTAAAATATATACGAAGACCTCAAGATTTCAAGGAAATAAATACAAATTACAAGTCACAAGGGGCCGCAATAAAGATAATAACGCCGAACACATGAGTTTCTATTAGCTATTAAGAGAATGCTTCAGCCGGCAAGTGAACACCCTATATGGTAAAACACAATGCGCGACATCTGATCCATGTGAGGGTTTTGCGTACTCTTCGTTGAGCACCTCCACCACTCCAAATTCCACTACCCACTCCGTCACTTAAAGAGATGAAACGTCGATGTACTGTTTCGGTGGTATTTTCTGATCCGCATCAACCAAATGACAGGGGGTATACTGGGTATCAGCTGAGTATTAGGAAAAGATGTGAAAACAAAAGCGATTCTCCGCGCAAATCGGAACAAGACATGCAAAAAGCGTCAGTTATAAAGATCATGTACGCCACCTCCACATTGCGGACAGAACACACTATCCATCTAGATAAGATGACAGTAGGCCGTCGGCAATCAGCAGCAAATTGGGGTATCAGTTCAGAACCAGTCTCGTAGGGTATCTTGAAATGCAGATCCGTTCCCGACCAAACCCAGTGTCGTGGATACTCTTTACGAAAACATTAATTGGCCCATAGGCCGAAACGGCGCGCACTCTATGCGGCAGCGGTGACGGGAGCAGGAGCAGCGGCAGCAGGCTTCTCTGCGGGAGTCTCCTCAGTGGCGGGAGCGGCAGCGGGCTCCTCAGCAGTGGTCTCCTTGGCGGGTTCGGAAGCCTCAGCAGTCTCGGCAGGCTTGTCCTCGGCCTTAGCCTCTTCAGCAGGCTTCTCAGCCTTGCCCTTACCCTTGACGGTCTGGCGGAGCTTGGAGAAGAATGGGGGAGACTTGACCTTCTCACCCTCCTCGTCAGAGGTGGCGGCCTTCTCCTTCTTGCCGAAGCCGAAAGGAAGAGAAGACTTTCGCTTCTCGTTCTTGACCTCCTTAGTCTCACCGTTGGTGGCAGGAGTAGCATCAGTTGTCTCAGTGGGGACAGTTGCCGGGGAGGCGACGTCAGTAGACAGAGGCTCAGTGGTCTCAACAGCGGGGATCACAGGAGCAGTCTCAGCAACTGGGGCCTCGGCAGCAGTCTCCTTAGCAGGAGTGGTGGGGGCAGACTCAGTCTCAGCCTTCTTCTTACCGAAGGATAGGCCACCGAAAAGGCTATACTAGGTTAGTGAATGACTTCTGATTGAATCGGGTAAATAACATACCTGGCGCGCTTGGAAGGGGTGGGCTTAGCGGGCTCTTCCTTCTTGGCCTCCTCAGCGGGAGCAGCTTCGGCGGCAGGGGTCTCGGCAGCAGCAGCGGCCTCACCAGCAGGCTCAGCAGCTTCGGTAGTCTCGGCAGGCTTGTCCTCAGCGGGCTTGTCTTCAGCAGGAGTCTCCTTCTTGGCCTCCTCCTTCTTGCCTAGTAAGTTACCAAAGATTGAGGCGCGCTTTCGGCTGGCAGATCGGCGCTTGGAGTCTTTCTTGTCATCCTCCTTGGCCTCCTCTTTGGGTTCCTCCTTCTTGTCCTCTTCCTTAGGCTCTTCCTTAGCTTCCTCCTTAGGAGCCTCACCCTCAGCAGCAGCAGGCTTGTCCTCCTTAGGGGGGGGAGTAGGCTTGAAGCTCTCGATGGTTGACTTGTAAGTCTCGCTCTCGGTGATAGTAGTCGCGAGTTCCTTGGCCTCGGCGATCTTGAGCTTCAATTGCTCAACCCAGTTGTCACGGTCAGCAGTGGTGGGGGCCTTGAAGGTGTGCTTGTGTCCCTTAGCAGTGAAGGAGAACTTGCTGGCACCCTCAGTGGTGGGCTCGGAAGCTTCCGCCTACGATGCGTTAGCTTTAATTATACGATACTACTAAGAGTAGCCCTACCAATTGGATGGCACCGGTGGGGGTGGTCTTGTCGCTCTCCTTGCCGTAGAAGAGAAGACCCTTTCCGGTCTCAGTAGCCCAGGCAGCGACGTGCTGGGCAACCTCGGTAGCCTTCTCATTCTTTAGGTAGGTAGCGAGCTTGTCCTTGGGAGTAGCCTCAGTACCGAACCAAAAGTGCTGCTTGGAGTAAATTAAGTTCCTGGAGCCGGTTAGTCGTGTTCGTCCAATTCTAGTTCCATTTAAATCTTACTTGGGGAAGTTGGCGGGAGCTCCCTTGTGCTCAAGGGTACCAGCTTCGACAGGCTTAACCTCCTCCTTCTTGGCCTCCTCAGCGGGGGCGGCGGCGGCATCGGTAGCAGCCTCGGTGGTCTCAGCTGGCGCATCAGCAGCGGCAGCAGGCTCGGCCACGGGAGTAGACTCGGCGGGCTTGTCCTCAGCAGGCTTCGTCTCGGGGACGGGCTCAGTGACGGCAGGGGTGGTCTCGGCGACCTCGACAGGCTTCTGCTCTTCGGTAGACATTTTGATGAATTGGAAGGATTTTTTGGGATTGAAAAGGAAAACTAATTGGGTATCAAAAGATGGGTATCACTGGAAAAAAGGGGAAATTAAACTATAGGCAAGCTACTCGGGGGTATTGAGTAGTATTAAATGACACTTCGTTGTCTCGTTAGTGTTCTTTGGAGGAAAACTTCGGGTAGAAGTGGAAGAACAAGAAGACTTGTTATTTAAAATTTCAAGTACGACAAGAAGGGTGGGAGGGAAAGAGTCGAATGGAAGGACAGCAGCTTCTGCCGGGCCTTATTTATTGTCTCGTGATTAACGGGAAAGAGAGTGACATGGAAGGGAGCACAGTCTCGCGATTGTGAAAGTACAGTGACTGCGACTGTACCTTCCTAGCCACTGGAGGTTGGCAAGGTCTAGCATGAAAACAGGAGAAAACAGCCTGTACCAGGGCTTTCCTGGATGTACCTGGTACAGTATTTGGTGCACGGTGGCAGATGAGCAGGGATGTTTGTGTGGGTCCGGCGGGTCGCGGGTGTGTTGAGCGAAAACAGGTGACCCACAACAGTACATTAGCACTAATTGCCCTTCCACCTCCCTTCCCACAGGGGATAAGGGAAACTCTAAAGAGCCAAAGAAAAAAAAACAGTCGAGGTAATCACGACTGGGTAGGGGAATGACGACCCGCCAATTATTTCAATATCGTTATCCTATTCACAGGAAACGCCATTTTGGATTTCTGACTAATAAAATGAATGGATGTTTTCCTAAAAAAAAAAATCCACATCAGACCGAATCTTCAATACACACAAAATACAAAATACAAAATACCAATATCCATAATTTCATAGTCATTAGCTACATTAAAGTCCAGACAATCTTGGCAGGAACATTTCAAACACCATCGATGCTATTATTCATACAAAATAGTCATATCGTACTATGCATACACTACATACAACAACAGAAAGAAAAAATTCTTCGGTCTGACTGACGGGACTAATACACAAGGGGTCTGGGGTCCTGGATACAGGAGATTTCCCCATGCTACAGTACAGATTCCTCTTCGCATGAGAACCCATGAGAACCCGGTCCTTACCTAACTTGTTGCTGGGTCATCGTGCAAATCTTGCGGCTATGGTCTGTGCCCACGACATATTTTTTTCTTTGAAATGAAGGCCCTGTCTAGCTCGTTCGACGAAATTACAACGTCGTTTAATATGCACTGGTGCGCTAGTGGCCATGGGCTATTGACAGGGGGCACAAGGGGGACAAGACGTTTCCCAGTCGTCTCAATGGACAGTCGTGGTCAGAACCAAGCGCCAGCGTTTTCCCTCTTGGAATAAACCAGAACGGAAGCATTTCCCATTGAAAGGAAAGCCTCGACTTTTTCTTTTTTTCTTGCCCCAGGTACGAGGACTTCTCTTGTTCAGGGGGAGGGGCCCAAGTAGGTCCAACTAACCAGCTATTGATTCACAACCGCTACTTTTTTTTTCGTTCGAGACCTCGGAATATTACTTCAAGGTAGACCCTCTTCTACCCAACGAACAATTATACCTTTTAGTCGCCAAGCGGTGATCGTTGGCCATTTCTCTTCTTTTTACCCCTTTGTGCCGCTGCTGGTGCTAGAGATTTGTTGCGCGCATGAAAACATGTAGCCGGGTCCCCTCCCCCCCCCTTTTGTTTGCTTATTCAATAAGCTGGGGTGGGAAGCGCAATTCAATCACGACCTACTTAATACATAATACCATAATACATACATAGTCCCCCTAACACACCTCCAGTCTGACAAGACACCGCTTGCCGAACCTGGCAGTCGTCAAGTTCGGTTCGGTTCTGGAATCGGACGACACTGCTGATGATAGGACGGCAATGATCGCGCCTATACCACTCCAACACAAAATAACCATTACATCCATCCAATGAAGCCGATATGCAAGATGCCCTCATTGCTGCAGGACTTAATGCAGACTTGTTGCATATTGTTCTGCAACCCGCGGTCATAGGGCCGGGGTGTGGATAGCTCCTATTGTCTTAGGGGGGGTTGGCAGATTACGCTTATTGGGTAATGATTCGGATGAATTGTGGGATTGCGAAAGTAGATCTGCCAGCCTAGGAAATGTCAGGAGTTCTGTACTTGCCTAAGAAGTACCGACGCGTACAGGAGTATTAGCTTGCCCACGCCTTTTGCCTGCATGTCCCTACTCGTCCCTACTAATCATTTAACGCTAAAGCACGTTTATCTCGACACAGCAGTCCCCAGCGGTCTTAGGGGAGCAACCCACCAGCTGCAGGACAGCAGCAAACGGTCAGACAGTGCACGCTTAACCCATGTGACATTTGAAGCTAACAGGCTAGATGGGCTTGATGCTAAAATGATGTGGATGCCCCCCATCCTCGAACTATGTCGATCAGAAGCTACCCTTCAACCGATATATACCAGAAAGGAAAGAAAAGGGACTCTTGAAGAGATGGAGATGAGTATGCGAATCTTGGAACAATCCACATTACCAGTTTTATTACATCGAGAAAAGCGATGGATCGTATTACGACGATTTATTTACCATCAAATCTCTACAATAGCGATTCTTGTTTCAAGTTTTCATTTATTTCTAACCACTGGCCGGTCGGTGGTTCATTTATAATTCCTCGAGACCCTGACATGGATGGGGATGGGTCTTCCGAGAAAGTGGAGTTTGGTATGCGAAAGCTAGGCGCTCACGGCTCACTCCTGATAATAACCTCATTCCGAAACGCCATCATTTTAAGCGGTATAATCTACGGATTACTCGATCTAAATATGCCTATCGCAACAAGGGCGTATCTAATGTTCATCCTTATAAGAGCATGGTATATGCGCGCGAAGCTTGAGGTTGGGTATCTCCTACATTGGCTCGAAGCCTCGAATTTGATTTACAACGTTCAAGAAATGCGCTTTGGTATAATCTTGAATTCGGTGCTACTAATATTCATAGCTTCCTACTCTTCTCCTTTTTAGTCTGAATATTAGATGCGAACTAACCAACTTCCGTGGGTTTTTTATGATTTCGCAACAGCCAATTTGCGATCCGCCCGACAACGCTCATTAGAACCGCGCAAATCGTTCGACTAAGTCGCGGGCGCTATATTCTAGACTCGTCTAGTTACTACCTTCCTAAGCTATTCCGATACGTAATTACAGCGCTAGAGTCGATAAATTCGGAGCGACAGGCGTTTACCCATTAATCCAGGGACCAGCACGTTTAATCGTTCGGTCGCCGTCTGAGAATCCGCTATTAGTCATTGTAGTTTCTACATTGACGTCCCCGGCTTAGCTGTTACCTAAATATATATCTGATCAGGACAGCCGAAATATTTGCGATGAGATTGCCAAGTCTGAATGAACGTTCCGAACCGCATACATGCGCCGCTCAACAATAAAAACCAAGCTGAATAGATAGATTCGATGTTTTAGTTCAAACGAGCGCACGACCAACGGATTCAATCTTATTCGGGTATTCAATTCTCACAAATCAAGGCGCCTGATGAAATATGCGCCGTAACGAGCGGCTAGATCAATGAATAGCGTCAAATAGTATGGTGCAATAGGTCGCGTGTCACAGCTTACGCAAAATACCAGTCGACGAGGCCCGACAAATGGGTTTTGAAATCGGCGTGACCATAAATTCGGTTTCCCTAACACAACATGCATAGTCTGGCGGTTTCTATCACCCAACTTGAAGCATGTCCAGTGCTAGGCGCTAGCGTTTGTAAGCGAACACGATACCTAAGGGAAAGGTGAGGAAGTAGTCAGTTATTTGAATTATATAGTATCAAGTAGCAAATAATTTCAAGCTTCGATGAATTTTCTATATGCATTACTTCGTCTTACAGCGTCACTGTCACGATGCCATCTAGCGCACCCGTCGAATACCTAAGCATCGGGATTAGGTTACATTTCATCTTGTACAGCAGATGTACTTGTCTTGCCTGTACACGGCATAATCCACCCAACTGCGTTTATCGCGGACCTTCCCACCTATCAGTGCTTTAAGTGTCCTATAGGTAGTGTAGCTGTCTAGGCCCTGAATTTCCGATCAAGGGAGCTCTTAAAAAGCTCCTAAAAATAAGCGCATGACTTGATTTCCCTGATGTTGTTGTGGACCTAGCTGTTTGAAAAGCATTCCCTTCTCATGCTGTTTTGCGCCATCGTTGGCCAGCGGCTGACCTCGACGCTGATTGCTTTAACCTGGTTTATTGGCTATATACTTCCTAGAGCTCACTACAGTAGCTTCTTCATATGTTATACTGTAGCAGCCGGCTCTTAGCGAGAGCCCTTTGCATATACGTATGTGGTTAGCCTATTAGAGATGAATCTATCACATACCTAATAATGTTTCATCTCATTTGTTTCGATTTGGTTCTCCTTGGTGTGGCTTTATGCAATGTCCGAATACGCCATACGTAGTAGTAGATCGAATGTCCGGGTCTAGATTCCTTCCGGTGTAATAATACACATAGGATTTCACCACCCTCAGGGATCGCTATGATCTTTTACGGTAGTTCATACATTCAAGCTAGCCCGGACACAGATAAGCTGTCTGGTCTGATGACGCCAGAACTGGTTGTACGTTGCGTTGTCCTGGCCAACCTGCCACCAAAATCCGTAAGGACCGCTGGAAACCTGGGGACTGGAGCTGAGAAGTCCGATCTGTCTCAGCAGCCTGCTTGGGGGCGTAAGCCATCATTACGGAACTACCAATCCACGTTCTCATAACCTACATATGCTCGTGACTCGCTGCTCGAAGGCGATATCAAGGTGGGGTGATTGACGATCGTCACTAGGCGATTCGTCAATTTGGCTAAAATAACAGTAGCTTATATAGGAGGGAATACCTAAATACTATAGACTAGCCGACTGTTACTATAGCTAGGCCACCCTCATCGCTAGCAAGTTAGCCGATTGGCGGAAAGCCAGCGAATCTCAACTTAATAATCCCTTTAATTGTCAGATGAGAGGATTATCATCGCCAGATTTTATATATATAAGTGGTTATTACAGCTTTCATAAGTCCTATCAGACAGTATATCTAGGTAGGCAGTAGGCAGCAGGTAATCGTTTAGATGAAAACTTTTCCTATACGTTTGAACTAGTTCTACGCATGATCCCTCGTTGCGCACAAATTCAAATTTTGGAGAAAGAGGCGGTGTTCAATTTGTAAATCTATCTCTCACAGGTGAACTGACAGGGATGGTAGCACATCCTCTTGGAGAATAATTTCGAGATGAGCGATCGGTCTCCATCCCTCTTTCGATATCAATTATCGCAAATAGATGATTCTTCTCATTCATGACCGTCACGGGTCACTTGGTAACAATTTCAACATTTTCGCCTCCCTTCTGTCTCAGATATCTTTGGTATCCGGGTGAGTAGGTCTGTATAAAAGCAATTGAGCTCCATGCAACCTGGGTAGGACAATCTCCGGGCAGTATCAACTGTGTTACATCCTATCAGGCCAGATTTGGACGTAAATGGTTCCCTCCCGCTTTCTAGCTCGAAGCTTGTGATCCTTGCTACAGTTTATTATTTATTCCCTTCGAAATCCCCCTGTTAGGGCAAAGCCCGTTAGCCGCGAATGTCGAAATCTCCGATTCCTTTTCTCATATTTTGAAATAACGAATGTTAAGGGGTGGGCATCATCAGATCAACTAGATTCCCCACCATTCGTGCATCTCTCGAAATCCATAAGAGGCATCTGGAGAAGCTCCTTTTATTTCGGGAGCAGCTTCACAAGGGGTTATTTTACATTTTGCCTGCCCGTTTCGAGCTGTTTTCGCAAGCTCTTCGTAAGAGGCGGTGACCAACTACCTACCTACCTAGCCGGCAGACATCCAGGTCGTTATCAGAACTTCGCCTGCGTATCAATTAGGACGGCACAGCTGCTCATTCCCCGATCCGGGACTAGTCTATCTGGCATCATCATCCCGTCCATCCCACCACACTTTTTGGTGGTAAATGCACTGTAATGGCTCAACCCCCCTTTTTATCCTCCTCTTTCTGATGGCCTGCAGCAGAGTGTGTAGAAGTTCATGCAATCCCCACTCTCTGGCTTGCAGGCTGTGTGAGCACGTAGGGTGCATATGTAGTTGGACGAGACCCCCCTAACAACAGACTGGAATGGTGTAGTATACGTAAGACGGCCGTTCATCCCCCCAGCTTGCGTACATCCAACCTATATGTATATCAGCCAGGCGTATTTCCGTCTGCCTATCTATCCGTCGATACGCACTTCTTTCGCGCGTGACAACCATATGGCGAGCCGATCGCATTATCGATTCTTAGTGTTAGACTTGATGCCATCGCCGGGACTCGAACCGGACAAATCCTGTCGAGCATATGTGTGATACACATGGTAGCTGCGTCTCTCTCCCTTTCTTTTTTTACTACCCCCCTCCCCCTCATCGATCATATGTATGTGCGAGCATGGCATGTGCCGTCGATTACGGGGGACCCTTATCAAGGTACCTGATGAATTCGTACCATCGCTCGTATCGTGTATCCACCGTTTCTCCTTTCGATCGTCGGCCCTACCCCAGGTGAACCAGGTTCCTCGGTTCTATCCCAAATGGCGGTATGGACGGATGCGGCACCCCCGGTAATGCGTACCCGGTCCCTTTCGCTCGTCTCCGACAGCGCTTGCGTATTTGACGTGATGTGAAGCCGACCGCTCTTTCCCCTATAACCCTCCGAAAATTCTAGTGTGGCGGCAGAACGGATTTTGAAAGAGCAACCCCGATCGGTATTCTTGCTTTGCTAGACAGGTCGTAGGCCCGCCTTCCGTCCGGGTCAATTATTACAATCATGCTTCCAATCATCGGTCACGACCATTCTGATTTGAACCTTCTTTCTTTTATTAAGCGTTGCCCCTATCCTCTTGCGATTATTTGGGTCGGCGGGTAAGTTGGTTCGGCATGGTCCGGTGGGATGCAAAACTCCCTCTAATCTATTTGTGGGAGTGATTTTATCTGGGCTTCATTCAAGGAAACGTTAGCAACAGTTCCTTCTAGAGGGGATTGATAGAAATATGGCAAGGTCTCGATTGATTGTGATTAGACGTCAATAGGGTAGTGACGGGTGCTAGCATACGGCGACTCGATGATATAGCCGCCTGGGGAACGCAGTTTGTCTTGGCCATGGGCTTTGTTTAGCATGCTCTTGCGCGATAGGAGTTCAGCGCATACAGTTCTAACCGAAAGAAAGAGCTGGCTTGCTGCTTTGAACATCTCGAGACTGTTAGATCACATTTAAGCTTAGTAGTACTTAGCCCTGTGCTATCGGTTAAAGAGCATCATCACCCGAGTATACAATAGGTAATAGTTTGTCAAAACAATCAAAACACTGGCTCTTAGATTCTTCCGACTAAGACTATTTTATAGGTTGACTACTCAAGGGTAAAGATGAGCCCGAAATAGTATATATCGAAACTTCTTCTCGGTTTAGCACGCCGTGAATTCAAAGATGTATAGGGTGTAGACCGGATCTTGACTCACCTTACACCAAACCCAAGACTGAAATTGTGGGCGCTGAAGGTTCCCATACCTACCTAGGTACCTAGGTAATCTTACTTAGTCTGATGCGCGCTCCTGTTTGGGGCATGGGGTGGAAGTTCAGTTCATCCCAAGGGATTGCTGTGGAATTACTGGTCAACCAAACAGTTGGACACGGCTACACTGGCGGTGCGGGAAAGGGTTGTAATGGCTTGTCTTCCGCGAGGAAGGCCTTCTGTGCTAGTCGGGGGTTCATCTTATGCTGGCAATGTTGAGTTTGGTGGTTTGCCTGGCGGCATTGGGCGTAATCTTTTAGCTCTTGTTCAGCTGTGTTATGGCAGATAGAAGCCATAGCCATACATATTGGTATTGCGCGCAACAATAGCGATACACTCTCCTGGCCTTTTTAATAACGCGAACGTCACAGGCCCATTGCATGGTTGTGCGCGTCCATCGCTCAAGTGGAAATTATCTCGCCAGGAGTATTGGAGGACGAGTATATACGTTGGAATATAGGAAAGCTCTCGTGCCCGAACAGATTGGGTTCGCGGAAACGGCCAATAGGACAAGAGAAACGAGAAAGGACGGCGTGGGCTAGAATATTCACAAAAAAACAAATAATTAGTAACTTTCATTGGGAGTAACTGTTGGTTAATATCGCCTTTACAATCCATTGATGGGCCCAATGCCCCTTAACATAGGTGAGATATTGAATAAAGGAGCGTGAATACATACCTAGGGATTTATCTAATTCCTTGAATAGAGTTAAATGGGATGGTTTTTCGGGTTCGCACATCGCCAGCATCATATCCTATTCTAGCGGGAACTGAAGTACATATATGAGCATGTTTTCTTCGTCTTCAACCGGTTACCTGGTAATGCACCTTCTTGTCTTAACTGTGGACCGCCTACCACTATAGTCCCGTTTCTTGCGGTCATGTTTGATCCTTGTTCTCTTGCGGTCGTCTAGGGCGCTATAAACGCTACAAGGTTCCTGCTCTTTCCATCTTGGTATATCGATTATAGGAAAACTGACGTAGTTACAGGTGACTGACCTTAGTACCCTTAAAAAATCACTTGAACAATACCTGATTTTCCATCTACTGGGGCCCACTCGTAGCGGTGTTTGCCTTGTTACTCAAGCGTCGAGGCAGGAAGGCGCACGCCTACTCGACAACCTTACATGTATCTTTTCGCTCTTGCAAAAGGACGACTCTCTAGTTGCCTACTCTTCCCTTTCTTTCCAGGGATATTGCCAGTCCTTCAACACTTGTACAGCTTCTTATTACTACCCCGCGGTAAGTGCACCTCCCTTGAACCCCTACAAGGTTCTTCGACGGTGTTTTCTCAAGGTACATCTATAGCTAGGGCCATAGAGCGTGGTTTGCCGCATAGCGCCCTGAAAGTGTTCCTGCTACTTCGAATGTTCCGTCCTATATGCGCCCTGTGCATGCTCTACAGTCCCTCTCGCCACTTTATCTCTGCCTACCCTTTCTCTACCATCTGCTTCTTCCATACCTAAGCCTAACTCTTTCTTTCTCCGCGAATCTCACCTCACCACACTCTCAATTTACCTCAAGAGAGTAGATAATATTGCCTCCAATATTCTCCTACCTCTCTACCATCGTGACTTGTCATCATCGCTTCTACATCTTACACTTCTTAGTTGACGTATCCTTCCGAGGGCTAGCACGTCAGTCTAGTCCCCGACTCTTAGCTGTCGCGACTTCGGTTACTGATACTGATTCTGGCAAACTAGAGCTCTTGCAGGTAAGTTCATGGACACCAATTACTGCTTGACTACCCGTTATACACGCAGGTTCACTTCCTGCGCGATCCTTCCTGTCTACGAATTTTAGCATTCGTAGCTGCCCAGCCTTTCATTATTATCAGGACCATTGAGTAATCCATTACGCCCATCAATAACTCCCCGATCTTAACTCTGACCTGGATACTAACAAAAATTTATTACCCAGGTTCCTAGCTGCTAGGGGTTTCTCTGAGGACGATATCTATCCTACAGATTGAAAACATTCAACTAGGTACGTTACTCTTTCTACTATTCTGGGGTGCTTCGCTTTTGTCTACCCTATTTCCACGCGTATATAAACTGGCTCTTTCCTTCTTACGCCCGCCGGGGAGAAAATACTCATCATAGCTTCGTATTGAACATTGCTATTAATAGTCTCCTTCCGTATCGGCGCACCTATTCATTCAACTTTTCGTTAAACACATTGCTTCTTTCGCCCCTTCAACTAGTTTCTTTCATAGACCTATACCTCTCGTGACCTTGATCACACACGTACGTCGACTAATCAAACTCGCCAGGCAGTTCGCGACCTCTTGAGTGGCTTCGCCACCATGGATTATATACAGGATATTCGTCCCACCCGGGACCTACCCTACCCTAATCTCATCAAGTATTACGCCACCGCGAACCAGCACGCGTACTTCATGGAGCCCAAGGATCCGATTTTCCTCCGACGAACCCATGAAGAAAAGGCTGCTGAGAACGCCATCGTCCGCAAGTATCCGGGATTCGGATCGTTGTCTCACGTGTACCGACAAGAGCGCCAGGGAAAGGGGTTCCACCAACTTGTCTTCTTCCGCCGCGACCGAGGCACGGTTGACCACGGCCTAGGCCGTTCGAACGAGGATGTTTATGAGTGCGCTAAGATGAATGTTCTGCGCCACCCTCGTGAGAATGACCACAGCAACTCGAATTATAGGGAAGCACGGCCGAAGTCGGTAACTGGTTTCGATCGGGCGATGCTCGATCTTGCGAACTATCCGTTCCTCGCGCGTTCTGTCATGAGCGTAAGTAGGGTCCGCTGTTTTTCTCGATGTTCCTATTAACCATTGTATAGGCACCTCTTCTGCCCCGTTGCAGCCCTTTGTCGAAGGCCGACATGAAGGGCAAGGCCCAAATCGAGGGCAAATTTTCTCTACCGAGAAGCACGCAGCCGTCGGCTTTGACTCGTGTCTTTCAGACACCGGAGCTGTGCCTCCACTTCATCGAGACTATCGGTGATCGCTGGGCTGATATGTCCAACTTTAGTCGAAGCTGTCAGATGGTCTTGTACGCTCTCAATGAGGTTGCGGTAAGTTTCTCTCTAATACATCGAACGACCAAACATGACTGACCCTTAGGCAGGCTCGAGTTGACACGACGCGTGGCAATTTCCTCAATCTGGAATTTACCGACAAGGAAATCAACGAGGCTAATGCGGGAGAGGATTCCGCTGTCGTTCAGCAGAAGGGAGAGTTCCTGAAGCCGTCTCCGCCCACGTTTCTCATGGTGTCCAACGTGCGACGTTCCTACGAAGGAGCAGAGGATGGAGAAGATGAGCCTCTTAAGTTTGGTTATCCTGCCAAGCCGAAGGGATGGTACTTCACCCCCTCAGCTGCTAGACGTGTCATCGACACGTACAAATTGAGCAAGTCTACATGGTATAAACGTCTTTGCACATATACTAACAGACATATAGTGAAATGCATCGATGTCCGCGGGCACCAGATCAAGGTACTGCACTTGCACTCTACTCCGAACGTAGATGTGGCCGTTGTCCGAATGTTTCTTGAGAGTCTCCCGAACCTGAAAGTCCTAGGTGTTCACAATTGCGAACTCCTTCACTTTGGCACAACCATCCCGATGCTCAAGATGATAATTGAGCACAATGAAACCAAGGGAAAGAAGTTTGTGAGAACTGATTTTTCACCTTTCTATTACCACGGTATCCAGCGCCAATCGGATGGACGCAGAGGCGAGTACGGAGTGATTCCTTCGGATCACGGATTGATTGATACTCGCAGAGGTATCGTAGCGGTCCTACGTATAGCTGTACCTCTCGCCCTGAAGAATGGTATCGACTGGTTTACGCCTGGTACTGGAATGCGTCAATTCCTAGACAGATTTCCCTTCGCATTGGGTACCATCAGATACATCTTAGAGGCTCTGTACAACCTCTACTACGAGGACATTGCACCCGCAGAGGGGGCCTACGCCGACATGATGCGTCGGGCTCTCAACAACGATCTAATTCTCGCTGTTAACGGAGGATGTATGGACAAAGACACGCTGTATGCGACCACAAGCGGCACGACAGGGCAGTTCACTCCAGTCGAATGTGCCTATTGCCACGCTAAACTTCCTTCGTACTTCTTCACAACTCGGTCCATCAGTCGGCACTGGAGCCAGATTGAGTGTGTGGGATGTCAGTTGTGCACTAACTTGGACCTCCACGTTGACGACTTCTACCAAGAGCGTAGAAAAGTACTGGAAATTCTGTTTGACCGCGGCCAAATCCGGACAATTGACGAGTTCATTAACGGAACGCGAACCGCAACTGCGCAAGAAATTTGCAATCCCGAATTTCCTTTCTTCCTAACCGCGGTGAAGTCTATCAAGGACATCTTAGCGGCAAGTGGCAAGAAAAAGCGCGGTTTGGTTCTGGGTCTGCGACCGGGCCCCAAGCTCCCGGAGAGGGTCAAAAAGATTTGGCTATGGCGTGAACGAACATTTCTTGCAATGAAGTATGCTAGGACTCATGTTGATCGAGGATTCATCAAACTGAGACCTATATTCAAACGTGCCTTTCTACGAATCAGAAATCTGGATGCGGAATATGAAACTGGACTCTCCTCCCAATCGAGAATACAGGAGAATCGAGATGAACGAGATCGTATCCGGCGTTACATTGACCAAGAATATGCTCGCTGTGGATTGCGACAGATGGGGGGTGTCTATGACACCAGGGTTGCTTCGGATTGGGACTCGGTTATCGAGAATTATCGCCAGACCGTCCAGGTGGCGTGCGGTGTGATTAGGGACAATGGTCCTTACAATACCGTATGGAACACTGCGCCTACCGGCTTCTGGTAGATTTATTTCCTTCGACATTTATCATCGGCCGAATGGGGTTTCGGCTGTATGAAAATCCGATGTCATTACTTGCGACACCATCGGATTGACGGTTTATTTCTTCGTTCACCCTATTTCAGATACCCAACTTCGACGCATAGCTCTCTCGACTGATTACCCTTTTTTCAGCCTGGAGCAGGTCTTCTGCAGTATATGACTCATACACGAGTAACGACCTACTCTAGCGACAACATAAAAGGGTACTCATGGTCTTGAGAGCGACTCATACACATTTGTTTTTATGGTTATACCTGGCCGCCTGGTGCGCCGGAAGAGAGAATTGATCTTCTGCTGGCTAGAAGTACTTACTCTAGGACACCTTCTCGGCATTCGCAATTGACGCATATCCATACTGGCAGGACATTTGCCTCGGTAACATTTCACGGCTGAATTTTCGCTGGCGGAATCGGAATCTGAGGAAATTATCCAGGGATATAAGCGAATGATCGAGGAGAGATGAGTCCTTTGAAATTTTCGCGATGATTTGTTTATAGTAATAAAAACACTTATGAAACACAAGCAAAAATGCGCTCTCCATGAGGCATCGTATGATATTGAATTAAGTAAAAATGACAAAGTAATCTTACCGTGGCGAATCCGATAAATAGAGTTTCTTCTTGGGATGCCGATCTTTCGGCGGACCCGGATATGGGAATACCACAATAGGAAATACAGCTCCGTGCCGATGTATCCACTCTTAACCGGATCTAGGGGGTGGTAGCTTCCCCAATACCATGGGGTAACATGTTGCTGTTAAAGCTATGAAACGCCAAACTCAGAAATCCCCAAGATGTATCGACGGTGACTGCGAATAACACCGTGTAGATGAAACTGAGTAGGATAAGAATACAAATAAAGAGCTCTAGAACCCCATACTAATGTACAGAAAGCTCTAATTTCGCTGCGGGTCTATAGATTAATATGGCGGGTATCGTCTATGATGGGTACAGGCTGTCTTCTGAAGCTTGCAAATAATTGACAAAAGTTATACATCTTTTGCGGCTTGGCGTATCGATACGACGTTCCTCAGGTTTCCGAAACTTAGAATTTCGCTAATTCTCGATGACCCGGAGAGCATCATAACCATCCTATCTACACCACAGCCCCATCCTCCTGTAGGTGGTAGCCCGTGCTCTAGGGCGTGAATGTAACTATCATCCACTTCGGTAGGACCTTCGTCGTCTACTTCTGAGTTGCCGTTCCGGGATTCTAGCTGCAGTTCGAATTTACGTCGTTGTTGGAAAGGGCTATTTTCTTCTTCGTACATATTTGCGATCTCACGACCTTCTATGAATAATTCGGCACGGGCGGATACCAGCTGACCGGTTTTGGGACAGGTAAAGGACTTGGAGAGAGGCGACATGCAAGTAGGATGATGGATGATGAATAGAGGCTGCTCTCGGGATGGAGGCTCTAAGTACTTGCCAGCAAGCGCATCGAGGAGTTTAACCAATGTCAATCCTGACAATTGAAAAAAATCCATGCGACCGTGTAGAAGATCGATAAGCTTTGGCAGTGCATCGGGTTGTGAGAGGTCCGGAAGTTGAAAGCCGAGAGCCTCTTCTAATGCGGGAATGAACTCAACTTGTCGCCAGCTGCTTTTGGGTAGATTGATGCTTGGCTTCTCGAGAGACTGAAGTTTGATCTGTATAAGGCGTTCGGCATCTTCGAAAAGATGAGCAATGAGATTCTCCGTTATCGCAATCAAGTCGGCCAGATTGGAGTAAGCAGAATAAAACTCGCACATGGTGAACTCTGGGTTATGTGTGGTATCAACGCTTTCATTACGGAATGATGGGCCAATTTCGAAGATTTTATCATTGCCCCCAACAACTAGGCGCTTAAGCCATAACTCAGGAGCAATGCGTAATGAGATCTCCTTTTGTGGGAATTCGGTGGCTGAGGTCAAAAATGGCCGGGCGGCAGCGCCACCAGCGTAATCGGCTAAGATAGGCGTCTGGACTTCTAGAAAGTCCTGATCATGGAAAAAATCGCGCAGGCACTTGATAATGTGCGAACGAAGGCGAAGTACGTCAGAGGCACGACGGTTTACCAACATATCAACGTGCCTATTTAATACCATCTTCTCTTGATCAATAAGTTTTTCGGGCAATATTGCCAGGCCAGGACTTAGTAGTGTAGGAAGCTCGCTTGCTTTTAATGTTAGTTCGCCCGCATCTGTTCGCATGGCTGTACCCTTGATAGAGATGATATCGCCGCGAAGGAATGGATGAAGGGTGTCCTTAAATTGGCCAAGTTCTGGCTTTGGATCTGACAATTGATTCAGACTGATCATAATTTGAACTTGTTCATATCCACCCATGATGGAAAGAAAGACTAGCTTAGACCCAGACCGCCTAACCGACATGACCCGACCTTCAAGAATAACCTCTTCCGAGGCTGGTATATCGGCAACATTCCGATACTTCTCTCGAAAACTGGGTATGCTAATTCGATTAGACCTGGGGCCTAATCTTGGGTAGTGAAGAGCATTGTACTCTTTCAACTTTTGAACCCGATTGTCAACTGTGACTCGGCGGGTGGGTAAGGTGACAGCATCACTCTCTGCTGCATCAGAGCTGATTACGGTGGTCCTCTTAGATGTAGATGTTTGTATACATCTGCTGTGTGGTGCTTTCTGTAACGAAGACCGACGTGAACACCCAGGCTTGGCCGGATTGCGGCTATTAACGGAGAAGAACCGCGCATAGACAGGCGTCCTATGTGATGGCAATTGGAAAAGATATGGACGTAGGAACCTAAGGCACTGCCCACCTTCCATTGCTGAACTTGTATTTCAATTAGTTACAGTGCCATTGAGCCGTGTGAATAAATGGGGGAAATCTTGAATCAAGTTCAGATATGCTGGCTAATTGAGATCAAGCACCACGTGAGCGGTGTCAGTCGCAACGGTTCTTAAAGCAATCTCATCATGATACGGATCAATTGAGTGATATGGAATAGTATAAGACTTACAGTTTCAATGCAGACTGCCTTGCTAATGTAGCAAAGCAGCCCTTTGAGACTCTTGTCTACAATTTTTCAATTGGTGATTGGGATAGCGGAATTGACGTAACACACAACGTGTCCGTAATTTGTAGATTTTTACCTTTTTTTCTGTCGGAGTTTGTCCGGAGTTGCTATTAGTCCGCTTACCGCCTACCCGATTTAGTGGCTGGTGCTGTAATACTTCTTTTAATGTGGGGATTGAAAGCTTAACAATTTATTCAAGCTCTTCATTTATCACGAGAACAATAACGTCAACTAAAATAAAACAATAACTCTTTCCAAGCTCGTCAACTCACACATCAGAGCAATATGTCTTTCCTCGGATTTGGAAGACCGCAACCCACGTCGGAGGAGAAAATCTCTGCCGTCCAGGCTGAGCTAAAACTTTTAACGCAAATGCACGACCGGTAAGATACACTCTAACTATTCTATTGTATTGCCTTCAGAGATGATGTACCGTTTAAAAATACACATTGTAATCTAATTATATATTATAGACTCACCAAGGCATGTGCGAAAAAATGCGTCCCCAATGACTACCGAGAATCCGAACTCAACAAAGGCGAAAGTGTCTGCCTCGACCGATGTGCTGCTAAATTCTTCGATGTCCACATGAAAGTGTCAGAGTTATTACAGCAAGAGATGCAACAAAAAGGCGTCGGCGGGGGCAGTGGTTTTGGTTTTGGTGGTTAAGGCGGAGAAAAGGATTACATCTACTATGACGCACTTGGTCGTTATGACGATTCCGGCCACGACGGACCGTCTAAACGACTGTACGATATGTATACGCAGAGTTTGGAAAAGAGCTCTAGATATGGTGGTACGCGGTCGCTCCGCCTCCGAGTCTGTAGGTATATGATCGGTGCCGGTCGTCGGGTCTGGCGCTTGTACTATGGAATAGGTTGGCCTGCTCGACCTGGACTTAGAAATGAAGATTCCTCTCATGACCAATTTCCATTGTAACATGCCCTCGAATAATGTGCTAAAAAAAATAGATTTAGGCCACCTTGGAATTACCGTAGAAGGTTATGATACAGCGCATATGGATGCTACGTACTTGCCATAATTCGAGTTATATTGCTTGATCGCACCATCAGGCCCTAAAACGAACCTATACTAACGAACATGCATCATACCAGGTTGTGCAGCAAATGCTCAGCCAGTCCTCGACGTGGTCTTAGCCTCGGCATCTTAGGTATCTGCCCTCGCCCGAGGTTTGCATTTGTTATGTCGTCGAAAGCAATTACCGGATAGATGGGTTTCACAGGTTCAACCAGATCTTGCCTAACCATATGTATCCCACCAACCTGGTCTTGAGAGCCGTAGTGACCTGGTTTCACATGTACCGGGATAAATCGGGACATAATTGAATGCCTTCGAACTCCAGTGCGGTTGTATCCGAATATGCGGGGAAACAGCCTTATAAGAAGTCTAGACATGTGAATATCTTCTAATAGACTTATTCATTGATCTGGTAGCGGCGCCATTGAGTTTTACGGGAAGACCTCGACGCACTAAAACATGACAGAAGGCAAATACACATAGAACTGGGCTAACTTGCATGGTTACTAGTCGTCTGCATGAAACGCCTGAGACTAGTATCACTACCTAATGCAAAGGCACTTCAACGCATTTACAACGTATACCTTCTATGAGCAAGGGATACATGCACTTGAAATCACCGAAATATTCGAATGGCAGGACATCAACCCTTATTAGTCGGAGTTTCTATTATAAGCAACTGTTCGTGTGCTATTTAAACTGAGCCGTCCTATTGGGAACTTACACACGTGCGTAAGTATATGGGTACTTGAGTACTTAGTTACAGGTACTTAGATAAGCCAGGTATCCCTAACCGAGTTGATTTTGGTCCGAGCTTCCCGTGGGACTTGCGGGACTGGACTGGGGGGAAAGTCCGGTCTTCGGGTAATCTAGCCAACTCAACAAGAAAGATCACGCTAAGATTGTGTGACAAGCTTTTTGATGAGTTTCCAAGAAACTTGGTTGGCTGATCTTTCTCTGCATAAGAAACTCTTCCCCGCGCAATTGGCAGGGTCCCCATCAAAGACCCTATCATTATCAGCCCATACATTCCCGTACATTCATCCTTCGAGTTGCGAGGACTCACTTTTAAACTTATTTCTTATTTGTTTAACTTTGTACTAGAGGATTGATTCGTCCTTCTTGTCTGACGAGTTAAATTAACGAACAATTCTCTTATTAGATCCGTATTATATATATACTTGTCGTTTCTTTTCAGCACAATGGATCCTTGTTGATATACATCGTCTTTTCTCCCCTCTCGGGTTTTTTAGATAGTCGCCGCGCGCCCACTACCACCTGCGCATCAAGGAGTATTCTGTATCGAACCAATCCTGCATTATCGCACAAGACCGTCGCAATCTAAAATCTCGCCCTCAAATATCCGTGTTACACCACCACATTATCCGGAACGTCCGAGATATCCCGCAGTCCGTTCTCAAGGGATAACGGTCGTCTTTCGCATCCCACTTTTTTCGACTTCCTCCCGTATCTTCCCTGCGTACTATGAGACTCCGCCGAGCGGCCCGCGTAATCCTCGTCGGCGCGCCAGGAGTTGGCAAGGGCACACAGTCCGAGCGACTCCTCGCGCGCTTCTCCCAGTTATCCGCCATCTCCTCCGGCGACTTGCTCCGACAAAATGTCAAGAATCGCACACCCCTCGGCATTAAGGTCGAGAAGACGATGAAGACCGGTGGCCTTGTATCCGACGATTTAATACTTAGGTTGATTACAAATGAGTTGGGTAGGCGCGGTTGGCTCTTCGGCGGACGACCGAGTGTTATGACACTTGCGTCGTCGTCGGCTACGATAGGAGATGATATTCCGTTAGAAGGTGCGGCGGATACTTTCGGGGCCCTGGAGGCAGATCCTCTTGCAGGAGCGCGTTTGTCCCCACAAGCAACTGAGGACCCTGCTGCTTCCTTCCTACTGGATGGCTTCCCTCGTACTGCGCCACAAGCTGAAAAGCTGGATGATATCGTACCGATCAATTGGGCGGTCTCCATACAGACGCCGCTTGATGTCATCATGAAGCGCATCTCATCGCGATGGGTCCACGAACCCTCCGGTCGGGTCTACAACACCACATTTAATGCGCCGAAGGTACCCGGTTTTGACGATATTACGGGCGAACCGCTTGTGCAACGAGCGGATGATAGCGAGGAGGTATATAAGGCGCGTTTCCGGAAATTCCAGGAGACAAGCGAGCCTTTACTAGAACACTACGCGAAGAAGGGCGTCCTATGGGAGGTCCACGGCATGAGCAGTGATGAGATCAGTCCGAAACTGTATCAGGAATTTGAACGACGCTTTTTATGAGCTTTCTACGATGGATGATTCGCAAAGCGCCAAGCTGGAGTTGATGGCCGGCTGAGCGAGTTGAATTGATTGTATATCATGTTGAATGTTTTGAGTATGTGGTGTCTTGAGACTTGTCGGAGTTTAGGGGGCTTGAGAATACGGGCGGCCAACCTGCTGGCTCTCGGATTCTGTATATGCTCAACGCGATAAAGCAGTGTTTATTAGAGCAGATCGTATAAACTCCAGTGATTCAACATATTTACAAATTCGGTTTTTAATTTGAGACTGAATTGAATACAATACTAAATACCGAAATGTGTCATCTAAATCCTGCGCCTTACATTGTGATTGGCATACACAATAGAATTAGTAATTATAAGCGCTGCCATTTTTGCATCATGAAAAGGCCATGAACACCATGATCTAGTAAACCTACCTAAGATTGGGGAACAAAGGGTTTCGGGCCCGGTCGGATCCGTCGAAGTCGGAGATTGACATTATATGGTGGAGATACCCCTCTCTTGCCTTCCGTTTGATATCGTTCCTTCTCATCTTCACCATGTATTCCGGCCGACTGAATCTCATCCTATGGGGCTTTCACCTATCCGTCGCTGTCAGTAGCGCCGTGAGCCATCGCGGGAAGCCCATAGTGATTGACACCGACATCTTCTCCGATGTTGATGATGTCGGTGCTCTAGCCGTGGCTAACGTGCTGCATAACTATGGACTCGCGGACTTGCGCGGAGTTGCTGTCAATACAAATTCATCATATGGCGCATTAACTGTTAGTGCTATAAATACGTATTTTGGAAATGGGAATATTCCGATCGCGACTATCCGCCCGTTAACCGACGATACATTTTTCGATACCCAAGGTTTTGTGTATGTTGTGTGTCGCTCGTCGATTAACATCGGCTAATAATTGAGTAGTTTAGGTGAATACGCTGCTAAGGTAGCTTACAACTGGCCCCGCGCCCTGAATATTACTTCCTCGACACCGAGTCCGGTGGAATTGTATCGCTCGGTTCTATCATCGTCGGAGGATCAAAGTATAACATTGATCTCGGTAGGCTTTTTAACTAATCTTGCTGCTCTATTGGACAGCCCCCCTGATGATGTCACGTCTCTTGCGGGCCCGGATCTCATATCCGCCAAGGTCAAAGAGTTGGTCGTAATGGGTGGACAATACCCCTCCGGTTGGGAGTTCAATTTTGGTGGTTCTGACCCCGCGGCGACGTATCACGTCGTAAATAATTGGCCGCGAAACATACCTATCACCTATTCCGGCGCTGAGCTTGGCGGTAACATCTTTTCAGGCGAAGGGCTAGGAAATTACGCACCGCCCGAATCTCCCATACTCGCGGCCTACCAATGGTACGTAGGCCGATGTAGCACCATTCGCGAATCCTGGGATCCAGTCACCACGCTATACGGCATACTGGGACTTGAGGGTTCGCCAGAGTTAGGGGTTGGGGGGCTCCTTTCTTACGCAAATGAAATTGGTTACAACAAAGCCTTGGCTAACGGCTCGAATACTTGGGTGAATGATTCCGCTGTCTCTAATCAACATTGGTTGAAACTCGCGGATGGGGTGGCAAATACCAGCGTTGCGTCGGTGTTAACTCGATTCTTCGCTCACGATCCTTCGAATAAGAGTTACCCTCCTCCAGCATCACGGGACCTGCTAAGATTCACATAACGCATTGAACGTCTCTCTTCGAAGCTGAATTGGCTTGGAAAAATAAGGACGGCCCCACTACGTTGGTCGCGAGCAGTTGGCCTAGGTCAAATTAAAAATTGTACCAACAGCATAAGAAAACCTGCCATATTGAACACAGCGAGCTTAGCGAATGCCAACATATTCAGCTCGCAGGATCATACGCACCATCAATTGTATGCATATTTCGATGTGGCACAGCACATCACCTTCCTTGCTCTTCAATGATTCCCCGCGCGAAGTCGGATCTTACTTGATAAAGACGGAGATAGATGGAAATGTTATTTCCTGCCTCGGATGTAACTCGGCCGTGCCAGTATCTTCTTGAATGTTTATACCCAGTTATTACCTTCGAGTTCACCTCGCTTCCTTCACGCACGTGTGTCGATCTTGAAAACTGGTCATTTCTTCAGCAAATTTCGTACCCCGATCAGAAATGGCAGCACATAATATTATAGAAGGCGAAGTCGCTTACGATGTCCCTGGCGCCGGCAAGCCGTGTAAAACATGGTACAAGATAGTTGGTAGTCTTGACTCCGGATCCATACCTCTTATTACACTACATGGAGGTCCAGGGGGCGGCCACGAATACTTGACGCCACTGGCCGATCTTCATGACAAATATGGGATCACCGTTATATTCTATGATCAAATAGGATGTGGCAAGTCGACGCATCTTCAAGAGAAGAAGGGTGACGATACCTTCTGGACATTTGACCTTTTCGTGAAAGAACTCGACAATCTCGTGGATCACCTGAAGCTCCGCGAAAAAGGATTTTACGTTGCCGGCCAAAGTTGGGGTGGTATGTTAGGTAGTACATACGCTTCCCGCCAGCCTCGGGGGTTGAAGAAGCTAGTACTGGTCAGTTCCCCAGCCAGCATTCCTCTCTACCTCAAAGGTTGCAAAGAACTACTCGCTGGACTACCTCAAGAGGTCCGCGAAACTTTAGAGGAATGCGACAGGAAAGGCGATCATGAGAGCGACAAGTTTCAAGAGGCGGCGATCGTGTTTAACAAGAAACATGTCTGTCGCATTGACCCTATGCCAGAGCCAGTGCAGACAGCCTTCAAACACCTGAAAGATGACCCAACTTCGTACCTTACAATGTAAGTGGTTTCCTAGTGAGCTCAGTATAATTCACCATGCTTACTACGCGACACAGGCAAGGTCCATCGGAATTCATAATTGAGGGTACCGCTTTCAAAGGTTGGGAAGGGTATAAACAAGGCCATAATATCCAAGTACCAACGCTACTCATCAATGGGAGTCACGATGAAGTAAAGGATTTGTGTTTCGAACCGTGGTTCTGGGTAATTCCTAAGGTCAAATGGGTAACGATTGAAGGCGCCAGCCACATGTCGCATTGGGAGCAACGAGACCGGTTTATTCAGCTCTGTGGGAGTTTCCTCTCGGGCACTGTGTAGATGGGTAACGAGCCTGCATGAGCGATAAGTACGTACCAAGAATACACCAAGCGGTTCTAAAATGAGAGGTTCGTGTATCCTATGTATAAGTGTTAGCATCTACGCCGGTTGCTCATTTCGAAGTGCAATGTATTTCGGCTTCTCAAGATGGGACGCCTCATTTACGATCACTTCGATGGAAGAACAAGAACATACCCCCAATTTTTTTTCTTATTTTCTGTCATCCGCATGGTTTATCTGTAATAAAAAAAAGCCAGACGCCTCAATCGAAACCACCGGAGCGATGCTTGGCAACGCATCCTAAAAGCAAATGTTAGCACATTGTTCTCGCACAGTCGAAATAACCAATCCCAACGCCCATCTTCTCTACTTTACCACGTCGCACATCACAATATCCCTCCAAAATCACGCCTTTCGCTCGGTGACCTCCACCTCCCCAAGCACAACTAGTCTGACCCGGTTCCTGTCGAAAAACCCGCTCTCGTCCTGCTCGATCCACTTCGCATTTTCCTCCTCGCCAAGGATTCCGTAGAACTTCTTAGCCGCGTCCTCGTTCTCGAACACCATTTCGGCTAGAACGTCGTAATCGAAATCTGCCTGCGGCCCCACGATAACGGTGGCATTTTCTCCGTCGGCGCGCTGGATGTATCGCCTCCTGTGTAACAGCGGGAAATGTACCCCCGCCATCTCTCGGATGTGGGCCATGTGCCTTTCGTAGCGGCGTTTGAACTCCGAGGGAGTAACTCCGGGGAGGCGATGACCGATGATAAGGGTTTGGTAAGTCATTTTCGAAAAATGCAGAATGGTATTTGATGATTGTGAAGGTCAAGATTGCGATCGGCGATTAGGAGATATTGTAATAAGCGTCAATTGAGGTTGTCTTGCTGCTTTACTTACCTGTTTCAGAGGCGAAATGCTCGTCTTTATATATGCAGCGACTCAAATAACGACTACATGCGACTCACAGAGAATAAGATTTCTCTAGTTATCCCCAGAAAGCTGTAGCTATTTCTAGAGGATTCTAGTTGATTTCAGAGGGTTCGAGATCCATGGGCATGGCTTGAGACCTACCTGAGTCACAGAAAATGACTTTAATTGGCTCTCTTCGGGGCTGAAAACATCCATGCAGAATAGCGTCAGACTAAGTGCCGACCGTGCGACAAGTGTTGATAGTACGGACTCTTACTGTCCAAATAAGAGTGTCTTAGTAGCACAGTATCTCACAGTATACGCCATACGGTCGGCACTTGGTCTGACGCTATTCTGCCATGTAGGGTGTTGTACCCCGGCAAAAACACAGCACTCATTCAATCCCCTATTAACCTTCCAGCCTTCTCGCTCTTCGAACGACTTTACAATCGCGACTAGCGGTTCGCTTTTATCAACGATTGAGCCTCCCGCCCATTGCGCCCCTATTACCCCAATGACGTGCACAGCCATTCAAGCTTGGGCTTCTCTAAATGGAGGCACTACGAAGCGGATTCCTGGTTGGTGTTTTACCGATGCAAGAAGCGTATCGTCGTGTAAGATGGGGTTACTACTTGGGTAGTATTTGACTTAAGGTGCAAGATTATATCTGCAATGATGGCTTGACATTCTATGTGCAGCGCGCAGCCTACCTCTTAGAGCCCAAAAATTATCTTCTGTTCTACCCAACTACCAAAAGACAGATATGGGCAGAAACTCCATCTGCTGCCTCTGCAATATGAGGGATTTCGATATTTATCTGACAAGGCAGTATCGGGGTCCTCACGCCTAGATAAACTGTTGCCATGGCCTTTCCAGGAGTTTTGATGGTAATTCATTCGAACGTTTTTGCTATATTTTTATCTAACTTGAACTAGGTCCCACGAACGGGGACGACCCGTATTGGACAAGTCACTCCGTTGCGTCCCATAACCCCACTCTAGTTGCACAATGGATTGGAGATCACCTCCAGAGACCCGCGATGGATTCGAGGTGGCCATTTTCTGTGCTTTGAGACGAGAGCTTGATGCTGTTCGGCTTGTCTGCGATCGGATATGGTCTGACGATGGCAGAGAATACGGGAAAGCCAGAGGGGACTGGAACGAATACATTACCGGTTTAATTGGAAATCATAATGTTGTCCTTGTTCAACTACCACATATAGGCAAAGAGGCTGCTGCCACGGCTGCAGCTTACGTCCAAACGAGTTTCCCGAGAATTAGGCTTGCGCTATTGGTTGGAATATGTGGTGGAACTCCAAGAAACAATAAATCATCACAGGACATCCTATTTGGTGACGTAATCATAAGCCACAAGATTATGCAATACGACTTTGCGCTCAGCTACTCCGACGGTCCTGAGATAATAGATACAGGGGAACACATGAAATCAGGTCCTCACATTACCTGTTTTGCGGAGACGCTTCAAGGTGGGGAACCACGTCAGCGGCTTGAAGACCATTGGACCCAGCATCTAGAGAATGTACGACAAAGGGATACCAAAGGTATATACTCATATCCTGGCATTGACTCCGATGTCCTCTTCTTACCAAATTATCGCCACAAACATCGCGGGTTCCAACAGGGGGACCTAGAGTGTCCTATGTGCGCTTCACAAGGGGACCAAACGTGCTCGGAAGCGCGCAACGCGTCATGTACCGAACTGGGATGTGATGAGGCACTTCAAGTGCATAGGGGATTATCAAAGAGGAGATAACGGGTGAACCACACCAATGGAAGTGAAGAGAGGGTCCCAGAGCTTCATTTTGGCGTGATGGCATGTGGTGACATGGTCATTAAGTGCGCCAGTAACCGTGACCGAATTTCCCAGCCCGTCGGTGCTATCGCTTTTGAGATGGAGTCGGCTGGCATATTCCAAAGCTTTGCTGGAATTGTTATTAAAGGTGTCTGTGGCTATGCCGACTCACACAAGCACAAACAGTGGCAGGATTACGCCGCTGGGACCGCTGCTGCTGCTACGAAGGCCGTGTTAGAACAATTCACTCCACAAGACAGGCCACCAGCAGAACCTATTGACTGTAAGTCGTCCTTTTTGAAAGAATTAACCTATTGCTTTTGTGATCAATCCCATGGCCATACGGGCGTTAATTATCATCAGCCGCCAACCAGACTCTGCAAAAGCCTCTCTATCTTGTCCGACATAAAGCTTGGGTTAATTTTGTTGGTAGGGACCATTGCCTTAATGCAATCGAGCATAGCCTAATTAGAGAAAAAGGCGATACAATACAGAAATGTTTCGTCGTGTATGGTATAGGTGGTGCTGGGAAGACTCAAGTGTGTCTCCGATTTGCAGAGCTTCATCGAGATAAGTATGGGAAACGGACCATGTACAGGACACTGATATAGTTACTAACAATTAAAAGATTCTTAGGGGTGTTTGAAGTAGACGCCAGCACCTCTGTGACCATTGAGAGGGACTTTGCTGCCATCGCTGAGAAAATTGGGTGTAGGGCCACTAGTGATGATGGAATAGACTATCTGTCAACGAGTCAAGACAGATGGCTGCTGATAATAGATAATGTCGACTTGAAGGAAGGCTCGATCCGGAAATACTTCCCGAACACTCACCGGGGATGCATCCTCATGACGACTCGTAACCACCGCCTTGCTATTCCCGGGACCGCAGGAAACTATCAATTGGATAGCATGGATCCCGAAGAAGGTATATCTTTATTTCTCAAGGAAGTTCACGAATACCCAAATACACAGGGTAACAGGTTGATAGCCAGCGATATTGCTAAAGAACTTGGCTACCTTCCATTGGCCCTCGCGCATGCCGCTGTGCCAATTCGTCATAAGCGATGTCGACTCGAAGACTACAGGGAATATTTCCAAAAAAAAACAAGCAAAAGCTGATGGCTGAGCTCCCCGAAAAACATGAGAATGACACATACAGGTATTCTGTCTACACGAGTTTTGAGTGTTCGTTCGAAACAATGATCTCTTAACGAAACGGTCCCGTTGTTGATCGCGCTCTAGAGATACTGCAAATTTACGCGTATCTCCATTTCCAAGACATTCCGGATAAACTATTCAAATCGGCGCCATCTGGACGGGGTCAAAGAATTATCGATAAAGTGGCGGGTTGTGTAGACTATTTATGGTCGTTTCCCCTTTTCCCGTTCCTTCAACACAAAGGTTGTCAGCCAATCCCGAATGCAAGACAGCCAAGCACAATGAAAGACCCTGTCGGCATTAGACAGGCCTTCAACTGTATCCGGTCGCTACCGGAAACCACGGAAACCGAGGATGGCGAAAATACGGATGCGCTTGCGTTACTTGATTCCGTTTCTTTGGTTGAGTGTGATTTCAAGTCCGGTGTATTCTCAATGCATCCACTTCAACACGACTGGGCTAAGTTTCGCCTCACATGTAGCCAAGCAAAATGGGCCCGATGGTCGGCTGGGGTCGCACTGGCTCATTCTATAGAATGGCATCGCCTCAACGATTTGCGTAGACACCTCCTCCCTCATATAGATGCATTTTTCTCAAGCAGCAGCAACGATGAACCGAATGTTGCTTACTTGACGGCGGATCAGTCTCGAGTAGCAGCAAAATTCGCCCTGGTATATCAGGACAATGGTAGATACACCACCGCCCAGCTCATTCTTCAAGAGTCTTTGGACGGTTTACAGAATAGTCTCGGGGAGCACGATCCCGAAACACTCCGCAGCTTGAACAACGTGGCCGTCATATTAGAGAAGAAAAGGGAGCATTCTCAAGCCGCAGAAATTCCTCTCCGCGCGTGGGAGGGGCGGAAGTCGATGCTAGGAGAGGCGCACAAAGACACGCTCGAAAGTCTTGGTAACTATGCATTATCATTGCACGGGTTGGGCCAATTCGCAGATGCTGAGAGGCTTCAACGGCAATGCTTGGAAGCTAGAGAGCAGACGTTGGGGTCTGATTCGGCTGCCTCAATCGACAGCGTTGCTCATCTTGCTTTGACTCTTCTTGTGCGCAGTGTCAACGAAGAAGCCATAGAGCTCCTTACTCGTGCTCTCGGGTGGCGGTCAGAGAATCTCGGGCTAAATCACCCAGATACCATTCAAACGAGGGCAAACTTAGCATTGGGGCTAAGAGATTCCGGTAAAGTTGAGGAGGCAGCGAAACTCGGACGTGATTCGCTAAATATGTTACGGCAAGTATTAGGAGACACTCACCAAGATACGTTGGTGGGTATGATCGATCTTGCCACTACTCTACAAAGGCTCGGCTATGGTACTCAAGCAGAAAAATTAATCACAGAAGCAAGGGCGAGTTTAACTCAGTGCTCAGGACCTACTAATCTAAATACACTTGATAATCTAGCAACCTTAGCATCAATTCACACTAGGCAGAATAGGTACAAAGATGCCGAGGTATTATATCGGCAAGTACTCAGTGGCTATGAAAAGAAGCTCAACAAAAATCATATCTACGTACTTAGGATCAAGATCAATTTAGGTGGGGTCCTACGTCGACTCGAGCAATGGGATGAAGCAGAGAATTTATATCAAAGTGCTTTAGCCGGCTTTCTCGCGAATCATCAGCCCGGGCACAGTGATGTAATTCATTGCAAACTCAACCTTGCCACTCTATTACGCTACAAAGATAGATATGATAAAGCTAAATCTCTCTATGAAGATATTGAGGAGTCGCTTCAGGTGTCGCGTCTTGGGGATGAGCACAAGGCTCTGTGGTCCTACGGCTTTGCCTTCTGTTTGAAGGGTCTGGGACAATACGCAGAAGCGGCCAAAAAAGCGCGACAGGCTGTGGAATTTTTTGCCAAAGCTCACGGACCACATTCGTCAGCAGTTATGGATAGTCTTGGAAGCCTAGCTAACTTACTTTACCTGCAGAAGAAGTATGACGAGGCTCGTTTGATTTTTAAACAGGCGCTGGATGGCTACTCAAGCCTGGACGAGTCACCTACCTTGGCTTCAACTGTATGCCGTCAGCAATTTGAGGCAATGTGTTGTGAGATGGAAAAATTAGATAATTCATCATGGCCACGAAAGGCCGAGGCAACTGAAGGGGGAGGGATACGTATAAGTACTTAGACTACTATCCTCAATATTAAGCCGCAAACACCTTGAAATATGACCATGCTAAAGCATAAAACCTTTATCGTTCGTTATTAAAACAGAATTGTCGCGATGTATATTCTGCATTTCGTGTTGTCCTAGGCACGAACACGGCATGGTTAGAGGAACTAAAAAGCGCAGCCAACTACGTAAGATATATCAAGCCACCAATACTACCTACCTAGGTATTTATCTGCGGTCTCAGACACGGTCCGCTCTATATAGACCAACTACCTACTTCCACAACAAAACACTTTTCGGAACAAATAATACAGTGTGCTGTCGTTTACAAAGATCTGCTTAGGCTTGAAGATACTAAGCATCTTCTTGAATTGGCCCGTCTCGTTTTTCCTCGCAAGGCTCCACAAGTTGACTCGCAATTTGACGATGTCGTCAGGCGAGGCTATTACGCTCCTACTTATCACACGCATATTCATCGTGCTCCTGTTTATCGCGTCCCTATTCGTCACATTAATCCTTAGGTGTGGAACTCTCGCTATTGTCATCTACAGGATCTACCAACCATCAATACCTTCCGACCCCTCCCATCCTCTTAATACTGGTGAATGGCCGGGTCTTCCTGGTCCCAGAGGTCCCGAAGGCTGTGACAGTTCTGACGGTAATGTCGATCATGACGGTCGTGATGGTCGTGGTGGTTGTGACTGTCTTGGTGGTGATCCTAGACCTCGGGGGCCTCAGGGACCGCCAGGACCCCCTTGTCCTTGTCCTTGTTCTCCTTATCCTCCCTATCCCCCCGGTCCTACTGGTCCTACTGGTCCCACAGCTGAACCGGATCCTGGTAGTGGGGATAAGAGAGGCCAGGGCAACCAACAGGGTGCGACCCCACCGTCGCCGCCGTGGAACACCCGATACCCCATCCCTGGGCAACGGCGTTTAATAGAATGCCCTCGTTGCGGAACCCTCAACAAATATTGATATAACAAGAATCACTCACTTAATTGCGCCTCGCGGAGGACGAAAATGACTATGGGGATCGCAGAACATGGGAGATTTATAATAGTTTTCGCGGGATCTTAAAAGCCAGGTATTTTCTAAGCTTGTGAAAAGATGATTTCAATTAACGAAGCATAAGCCAGCGCGGCTACCTATTACATGAATGGGATAATTGGGGATTCTAGATTAGACATGTTTCATGTGAGAAATAAGGAATCAATATGTCTCTAGAATCGCTAGTAACGATGCAGCCCCTTCGCGGTATCGATCTTTACTCAACCTCAAGCGGAGCGTATTACTATTTGAGCAATATCATCGGCATTCTCTTCTATGATTTCAAGGAGTTGCGCATCTGAGTCTTCTTTTGATGCCAAGACACAACGCGCCTCACCCGGCGCATAGAGCTGGTAAACAAGGAGGTCTAGGATCCAACCACCGGCCCCTTCTTGGTGTTTTTTCCTTCCGCTTTCGAGGAGATCTTTTGTACTGCTGCGCTTTACCTCCCAAGGCTGTCCTGTTACTCGTTGGAAAGCTTCGAGCAATTGATTTTGAGACACTTGGATTGATCGCACTCTCACAAAGCGGTTCGCGGTCTCTTCCGGGCGCTTTAAAACACCGACGACGGCCTGTCCGATCCCTTCTAGCGTAGTGCCGGTAAATGTCTCCGAACCCTCGTCGTAAATGAGCGCGGACCGCTGTTTAAGGTCAAACCCCATCGTGGGGAAACGCTTGAGCGCCTAGGGGGTTTAAATCAGCCCTGGATGGTCCACATTACGCATTGACTAATCGCCTCACCCAGTCAATCGGATTGCCAATACTGATTCCCGTCCAAGTAAATTTGGGATTAGCTTGGGAGATGTCTTTCGCTCGGTCCCAAGCAACCCGCCTCTGGGCCCCAATGTCGTGGAATTCCGGGAGGCTCAAGAAACCGGGACCCCATCCGAACTCGTCAAGGATAAAGCGCTTAACGCCCGCGGCCTCGGCAGCGTCAATTAAGGCGACTTGGACGGAGATGCCGGCAGGGCCGATAACGGAAACCGCTGCATCTTGACCTACCAACGCCGCAGTCAATTTCTCAACTGTATATTCCGTCCTAATAACCGGGATTCCGTCCGGGAATTTTGATGAAGAATTAATGCGAGTTATTATAGTGACATCGAAGCCAGCTTTCACAAGAGCAGCTGTAATAGGTGTTCCGAAATTTCCCGCAGCCTAACACCAGTGAGCTAACGTGCATGTTACAAGGACTAGAGGTTCCCATCTCAAAAGCCTCAAGCGTTACTTACGCCAAAGATGACGACTTTCTTGATAGCCGACATGTTGTATTATTTTTTTCAGAGCGACGATTGATTGCCAACACGCTTTACAGCTGATATAAATCAGCACCGGGATTCGGAATTCGGAATTCAAACACGCTATGCTAAGGACATCGGGTTTCGGTGAGATCCTCTATTCCAGTCTTTATTTTATTTGGCCAACATAGATATTTTATCATTTACGGAGTAGCGATTCTTACAGTTAGGATATGTGGTGTGGCATACCCCGGATTAAACGTATTGGTGGTCGGGCTGTCTTATTAGTGAAATTCAACTTCAGTATTTTGAATGTTACTATCCTACCGGGAGCCAGCCACCGAAATAACCAAGGTTCTGCTAAATAATACAGTGATAAGGTTAATAGTGGTTTGAATATCCCCACAAAGTCGCATATGCTGTACTCTATCCACAGGAAGAACAGCCCTAGGTTCAATCAAGCGTGAGGCGTCGATGAGGGAGACACGAGTTGAATTACTACCGGCAATACTCTGCGGATGAGGAAGACAGACTTGGGCAGTTGCCTCCGAAAGGCTCTTCCCATAGCTTATATGTCGACCTTAGAATTCTCTTGTTTGTTGCACGCGAATATGTATCGTCGCGCCGTGCTCGTATACCCTCTCCTAATGTCCTTTTTTTACTCCTGAAATCCCATACCCGATACTTTATGCCAATGCAGATCATGCTTCACAATCATCCACCTTTGTTCGCATATCATCCACCTCTTGAAGGGCTCTCGTAGCCGGCCCTCTAATTTTCGAACTCTTCGAGTTCGATAGCTGGAAGGCTTCTGACCCCTCAAGCGGTTCAGGGTGGCCCGAGGCATTCTTGTACGGTCCGTAATTACTGCCGTAACTGCCGTTTCGACTCGCGAATATCTTGAATAGAGGCCACAGTGCTGGGGCAGTACCGACAATAGTAAGGACGTCCATCTATAAATGAGGTCAGTATACAGAATAAACGCAATTGGATCCGATATTAATCATCAATTCGTACCTCAGCACTACATTCGTTAGCATATTATCGTTACAACAATAGGGCAGCGAAAACTTACGTGTACCATAATGTTATAGAAGCCCAGGCAAATGTGATATCGTCGTGGTTGTCTAGATTTTGTTCGATGAGATATACTTTTACGATGGTAGCAACGGCCGCACTACCAATCAGTTAGCAACTTCGGGTATTTAAATAATATTCGATGTCTTACAAAATGCTTCCACCCATCAAGAAACACAAGCCAATCTTCATCTTGCGGGTAATATTGAGTTTCGTGATAACTAACGTCGGGAAAATCGCTACCACAATGTCGATGAAAGCATTATACGCCGCTTGGACGGTACCAGCAACGCTCCTATGGAAAGTCAACAGGGAGTTCTTCAACAAAATATTATAGTCGCAACTTACTGGAATTGTGGGCTTATACTTGGGCATGTTCCTGGAAGAGACGGATCCCATTGTTTCGCAGGAGGATCGCAGAAGCGGACAATAACTACGATCGCCAAAATGTTTAACGCGACCATGACAATAGATAAACCCCAAAGGGTAAACAGTTGCCATCTCTTCGCCGTAACCCCCATAAGCCGTACAAGGAAGATAATAATCGAAATTTTGCTACATGTCGAAGAAATGATAGACAAAGTGGGAGCGATAATAGTGTATTTGATGGCTTCGGAGAGATCGTGAGGGTCTTTGATGTCTTTCGTATGCTTGCCTAGACCATGGGATGCACCAACAGTAACGAGCGAAGAACAAACGATTGCGGCCAGCTAGATGATTCATTAGTAACAAGAGAATTTCGAATTCTATACCTCGAAAGTTGCAACATACCGCCCCAAGAACCATAAAGAAATCATCCCATCCAGCTTGGTGAATAATAACTGTTTCCGATACATTAGCGATCGTATTAATAGACACTATATTGGTTTCGACTCTATATTCGTAACTCTTCTGGAATAAAAACAAAAGAAAATTTTTAATTTAGGATTCGACGTACAGGCTCTTCCGCAAATTCTCGCAGTGCAAACGATTATGATTATCGAGCCGAGCACCCAAGAGACCGCGTAAAGCGTCGTGACATAGTCCGTCTCGTCAGCCATGACGGATTTTGTTGTTGCTGAGACTCGAAGCAAGGCGAGTAGTATTCACACAAAGCTGAGGCGAAGGCTATCCATACGGTAGTAGCCCTTATAGTCCTTTTAAAAATACGATTGGTTAACCGGCTTACGACAACTTCCGCAAAGAGTATATGGCTCGCCCACAACTGCATGGGAAATTTTCATTGGCTATACCCCGGGTTCCAACGTAATATGATTCCGTGCATATCAGATACCTGGGTCTATGTAAGGGGGTAGGGGTAAGAAGTTTACTGACAAGGTCCTTCTGTCATCCTGACCGAATACAGGGATCGAGGCAGACACCTCTCGGGAAAGTTACCAGACTCCTTGGCATTTCGTGGACCCTGTAGAATAATTTTCTTCAAATTTGTTATTGCCGGACCACCAAGATGTCCGAGAGCGTCTTTAAGCTTTCTTTTCAATCATGGTTAGCTTGGTGGGAACTTGAGATAGAGTTATTCAGACTATTTTAGACTCCTCGGAAAAGGGAGTAAGCGGCGCGGGTTGGTGTAATATGGAGAGCCTCCTCATTCATCGCCCAGGGGCCGTAAAGATTCATATTTCTCATTCGATTATCGTACCAATCTCCACCATGTTATTCATTGCAAAATTTGTGCTCCGTTGCAGAAAGGCCCAAGCACATGACGATCTTTTTCTGACAGGACGAAAATAGCGAAAGTAGTCAGAACGCGCGGTCGAATTTTAATTGCTGCATATAAATATATCATGCTTGCCTACTTGTGTACTATAGTGGCTCTTAAACGGCTCAGGATAGCTAACAAGAAGTCGACTATTGAGTAAATGCAAAGAAGACTTCGTAGAATAATATGATTATGTTAGTTAATATTTCATATGTAAATAAAAAGGCGCTTTACATATAAAATGTAACATTCTTACCAATTGAAGACATATTCCCGACTCTGCTCCCCTGTTGGTTCTCTCCACATCAGCGCAATCCCAAGCATCATTGCTATTGGTTCCGCACGGGTGTTACAGACGCTGTTGGTCCCGTAATGAAATTTGGGTCGTCGGGAGAGTCCGTTTCTCCCCGGTACACGAATTCTGTATTATTCAGTCTGTCGGGCATGCTAATAGAGAAGGGATGGGTGTTGGTGCAACCATAATACCATGTCGTACCGCAGTGTGGGATCCAAAACCTAGATGTTATTCGCCTCAATATGGAGAGCTGTCTGCTACATACCCTGGCATATACCTGTTTACTGTATTTGACCTGGGGATGTACTTAGGGGTAGGCAGTTGAATATCACTCACTCAGAGCCTTCTTTTCTTCTTTTCTTCTACCGACTTTCTTTGTCTGGAAATTCTTGTTGGTGTCGAATTAAATCAATCTCGTAAAAAAAATTGTTCATCATGCTCTCTGATACGGAAAGAGTTGAGGCCCTTGAGGCCGCTCAGAAGCTTGTAGCTTATTTATCCGAGAACTCTGAGACTTCTCGCTCTGAAGAAAACAGGGTACAGGCCCTGCATACTGCAAGCCAACTTACTCGATCCCTCGAGAAGCCCGAGGATTCGCTTATCAAATTTGCCTACCTGGTATGTGGCTTGCCTAGAACTTTTGGTGTTGGTTTAATCTGACCAGTCGGATCGCAGCCGTCAATCTTCATGGCGATTCGTTCTTGCGTGACCTTGAATGCGTTTGGTATAATCGAAGAAAAGGGGACAGCCTCCGCCCGAGAGATTGCCGAAAGGAATGGTGCCGACGAAATCCTAGTTAGTATGTTCGATCGGCCGTTGTATAATCTTGAATATACGTGTGGATTGCTAACTAGGGTAAAGGGCGTCTTTTACGCGTCCTCACGACTTACGGTTTTGTACCCGAGAAGGGGGATGGCTTGTATGGAACCAGCAAATGGACGAAGCATATGAACGATCGCCTAACACAAGGCATGATCAAGTTCATGTATACAACCCCCCAACCAATTACAAGTAGCCTCGTTTTTACTAACATACCCATAGTTATGATACTGCGATGCGAATCATGGCTATAACCCCTGAATACTTCAAAGAGACGAGCTTCAAAAACCCGGCTGATCCTCTACATGGTCCTTTCCAAAAGGCATTCAACGTCGATGCTGCCGTTTTCCCGTGGCTTACACGCCCGGAGAACAAGGAGCGTTGGGATGACGCCAATACCTTCTTTGAAGGTGACAGGGGTAGCCGACCGTCTTGGGTGAAGTGGTTCCCAGTCAAGGAAAAGCTTCTTGGCGGTAGCATCGATGCTAATGTACCGTTGCTGGTTGATGTTGCTGGCGGTCGTGGGCATGACCTTAAGGAGTTCCTTGATGAGTTTCCAGATATGGCAGGGGAAAAGTTTGTCCTTCATGATCAACAAGGAGTGCTTGATAGTGCCGTGGAGCTCCCATCCACAGTAGAGAAGCGTAAAATTGACTTCTTCACTGATAAGCCCGTGGAAGGTAAGATGCGAAATAGACCTACATTATTTCTTCATCAATCGCTGACCTAATTCTCTGTTCAGGTGCTAAAATCTATTTTATGAAATTTATTATGCACGATTGGGCCGACCCTGAATGCCTCCGAATCCTCAAAAACGTTACTTCGTCGATGAAGAAGGGATACTCGAAGCTTGTTGTTACCGATTTCATCCTTCCTAATACCGGATGTACTCAGCTTCCTGCCACATGGGATCTGATGATGTTGACCATCTTGTCGGCTATGGAGAGGACTGAGTCTCAGTGGCGAGAGCTTCTTGGTACTGCTGGGCTTACTATCGAGGGAATGTACCAGCCTCCCGGTGATGGACAAGGCGTTATTGTGACAAGCTTGTAATGGCCGTCAATTGCTTCATATAAACCCGAGTCCATAGACTTGGAACTACCGTAGATAGATCAACAAGACAATAGACTGATATTTTTGTCTAATTATCCTCATGTCGATGAAGATCGAAATGACATCAAGATTAAATTGCGAGAAAACTGTTATATGCAGAGTGGCGCAGTGGCGTATATAACATGTGTAGAACTCCTGAGTAAGTACCCCATATAAAACCAAGACACACTGTGAAACCCCTATTTGAAATACTTAGGTACATCTCCGTTCAATACCGAGATACCCGTGAAGAAAGTGCTAGTATGAATATGGATTAGTGCATTTACCCCACACTCAGCTAAAACAGACTGCCCGCCTTTAATGGCTCAGAATTCTATCCGGGTTCATAATAAATTTAAGCTATACTGTACAATTATTTGATACGTCTTACGTACAATTCGAAGTCGACGTTAGTACTTCGTATTTGGTATGTAATACAATGGTGGCTTAAGTATCTTGTCGGACCTTTTACTCCCTTTTCCAAGCCAAAAATCCTTCGCCCGAAGCCACGCGTGACCAGTTTCAAAGAATTTTCCTCCCTCGGCGGATTCAAATTCTACAGAACGAACCGCACGAAATCATCGTGCTTACCATCCCCGGTCTCAATGGTTTGAATTATATATATATTATTAGATATCAATCTTTTCTCTACTTAATCATGGTTTGAATCTGGAATTCGAGATTTGGTGGTTCTTTAAATTCTCATCCCTTTTCCACCCACATAGTTTTTGGCTCCAGTCGCACGGTGACCAAGATGGTTCCACCTCTTCTTCGGGTCATATCTTCTGCCATCCTTTTGGCTTTCGGCAGCCGTGCTTATAGGTTACCTAACACGGCCGAAGATAGAGCGTCATTGGTCCGAGATAAGGAATCCCATTCGCCGGATCTAAATGTGCTGGTCGACGTATTGGATGCCATGCATGTCATGCAGGAGGACTATTTCACGCCATGGCTTGGGACATGGCCCGACGCAATCGACTGGACAGCTGCCGTCATGGGCACGCACATCTCCGGCGCAGTGCGTAGCCTTTCCGAGGCTTTGATCCACATCAATTCGGACGAGGAAAGCTCCATAGATTGGAAATTTCAGTCAAATCTGGTTGATAAATATTTCGCACAGATTACCGCGTATTACTTCGGTCAAGATGCATTTGCCATCCGGAACGAGGCATATGATGATATCCTTTGGGTGGTGCTCGGCTGGCTCGAGACCATTCAGCTTGTGAACATGCATAGCGATTTGCATTTTAAATCAGACATCAAAAATGCAGCCACTCAACCCAAAACGGATAATCTTCAGAGGATCAGTGATTTCTTTTTAAACCAGACATATCATGGAAATCTCTGGATTCCTGCTTTCGCCCACCGAGCCCGTATTTTCTGGGATCTCGCATCTACTGGATGGGACACCAAATTGTGTGGCGGCGGAATGGTCTGGAATCCTCGCCTACTGCCATACAAGAACGCTATAACCAACGAACTATTTATCGCCGCTTCTATATCGATGTACCTATACTTCCCAGGTGATGACAACACGTCGCCATTCTTTGGTTTCGGTGGCTCTAATGATGATTCTGTTAATCGTGCCAATACTGGAGCAAGAGATGCGAAGTATCTAAAGGCTGCTGTGGAAGGCTACAAATGGCTTGTTGATTCGAACATGACCGACAGTCGGGGCCTATACACAGATGGCTTTCACATCAGTGGGTACACAGACACGGGTAACAACAATACAAAATGTGACCGGAGAAATAACATGGTCCTGTCGTACAACCAAGGCGTACTTCTCACCGGACTTCGCGGACTTTGGGAAGCGACAGGAGCTGCGTCGTACCTTTTAGACGGTCACAAATTGATTCGAAACGTGATTAAGGCAAGCGGCTATGATCTGACTTTAGACACACCTGTTGATGAAATTTCAACGATATATCCTAGACGGCTTCCAAGATGGCACGGCCTGGGCCGCGCAGGCGTTATGGAAGATCCGTGTGACGCAAGCGGGACTTGCAGCCAAGACGGGCAGACATTTAAAGGCATTTTCTTCCATCACCTCACGGCTTTCTGTGCCCCTATTACCACATCTGCGCCAGAATCCCCTACTGATCCCGAAATGCGCGCTTTCATTGAGATACAAAAATCACACAGTGAGGCTTGCTCCTCGTACGGAGGCTGGTTGAAACATAATGTGCGTGCAGCACTGGGTACTCGCGACAAGGCAGGAAGATTCGGACAATGGTGGACAGCAGGCCTACTCAAAAGCTGGGACGGGCCATGGCCCACCATGGAAGACGACGGGGTGCCGCGCGATGCAAGCGAAGTCGATTACCGCAATTATGGTGTGCCGAACGATACGACGTGGCGCGCTCAACCACCCAATAGCGGCAAGCCAAAGAGTCATCATCCGAATTGGCTGCATGTTGCGGATCCGGACCAAATACAGAAGCCTTTAGATGGAGACATTGACACCGACGCTGAGGACACACCGATGGGTGAACTTAAGAAACGCCAAGATGAAAATAGCGCCGTAAAGGACCCGAATAGGCGCGGGCGCGGCAGGACTATTGAGACACAGGGCGGTGGCCTGGCGCTTCTAAGGGCATATTGGAAGATCGCGCATGCGCCTTAGTTACCCGGGTACCTAGTGTGGCTCACGATGATGTCCGTGGTTTGAGTCCTCCTATGATTCATCGCTGGACTTTTCAATTCCTTTTTTTCTCCCAAAATGTGGTACGAATATTGGCGTCTCCCTAGCCACCGCAATTTTGATGTCTAGGGCAATTGTCGGTCTATTGGGATGAGGGGTGCATATCATCTAGAGGTGGGAAAGCAAATCGGAGAGGCGTCTTCTTTTCTTCACATTACATAGCATATACGCAGATACGAATGTACATAAACGAGCATAAACAGGGGCATCATGAGGAATGATCATGATGTTAATGACAATAGTCATTGAGCACGAGGCGCAGGTGTCGGGTTATACGATTATTCGGTGTAGATAGCTTCACTTAGATCAGGGCCCGCATACAAGATACCGTCTAGCATTACCAAATACCTAACCATCTTGGTACCTGAAATAATGTAGTGATGCACTAATTGCCGAGTCGCGACTCCAGAATTCTGAAGTCCGTAAACAAACAATGGACACAAAATCAGAGAGAATCCATATCTCAATAAGTTGGGAAATTCAAGAACTGGCTATCCTCGAAACAACCCCACAGCGTAGAAGCCATGACTCCCTCCACGCATACCGTACGCCTTGTTGATGACCCTCGTGATGCTAACAGTACAGTAGAGTAACACATCTTCCTCCTCTTTCATATCCCTGAAGCACGAGGAAATCGAACTTGTTTAGTCGTACAAATTCCCTTGCCCGTTTCCTTGACCATCCAAATACCAGTGCGAATATTACCAAGCTAAGTACAACTTAGCCTAGTTATCTCGCCACTCACTTCCGTTGCTCACACCACTCCTACTCTGCTCGGCATGCGACGACGCAGCCGGCGGTAACCCTTCGTCGTCGCTACTATCATCATCATCCAGTGCCCTAGCCAGCTCATCAGGATCTCTCATCTTAGCATCAGGATCAACCGTAGCATCCGTAAATTCATCCGCATCATGCTGCTGTCCCCTCTCGCGTTCATGTTCATGTACACCGTCATCAGCGCTAATCGAGATACCCCTAGATCCCCACTTGGATCTGCGCTGATTTCCGCCACGTCCACCTAACGCCGGCGCACTCTCCTCATCGTCGGCAGAGGCCTGGGCCGCGAATCGCTTGTTACCGAAAATACGCGCGAGCAACCAGCCCCGACGGATATCATCGGCGTCGACAACACCGCCACCCCGTAGCTTGACGCGCTGGCGCGTGTAGTATACCCAGAAAAAATCGACGTACAGCGCGGTTTGGATGACACCGAAGATAATAGATACGGTGCTCGGCTTGCGATCGTTGACGTCGAGCTCGCGCAGGATCCAGTTCAGGATGTATAGGGCGCGGTACGAGCCTAGCGTGATTAGATAGAACGAGTCGATAACGGTCGGGACGGTGGTTTCGCGGAGTAGGAGTAGTTGCGGGAGGACGCAGACGGATTCGAGGATGAGGGAGAAGTCGTACATCCACTGTTAAGAAAGTGTGTTAGTTGGTTGGGCACAGACTAGATGGTTTGCTCATTTGCTTGGATAGTATAGTGGAGGGGAAGGGAGGGGACTAACCGAGAAGAAGCCCCAACCCATTTTCCGCTCGAAAATGAGCATGGTGAAGGGCGAAATGAAAAGCGACCCCATCAATACGGCAGCGCCCAACTTCCAAGAAAGCTCGCGTTCTCTAGTCCGTGGGAATAGCCATCGCATAATAATTATGATGTAGAAGGACGATAGGATGTAGAATAGCTTGAAGAAGTAGTTCCATGTCGACGTCTCGGTAAAGAAATCCGTATATCTCGTGCAGAAGACGACGGCGTAGAAAACTTGTGTGATGAATGAGACACCTTAAAGAGCTGTGTTAGCCTAAATTTACGATGTCTCGACAGCTAGGAAACTTACCTTCAGCGCTCCGGTTCCGATGGATAGCGAAGATGAGGATACATTTGGAAAGTAGATGGGAACAGTCTCCCAGTATTCGGAATACCTGTCAACCATATTCGTTAGGTTTAACTCGTTTAATATTGCGGATGTAGAGGTGCAGGTATAATCACTAACATTCCATGCAGTCATCTTGATAGAGTGGTCTGGTTCGAGCTATCCTAGCTCTTAATGGCAGTTGGAGGTAGAATGGAGCTGTATCCGGCGGCCCTGATTCAAGAATACCTCAGAGCCGCAGAAGTTACCTATATTTCGGGGAATTTCGTGATAGTAACTCTCACGATGATAGTCATAAGAGCTTCGTGGGGGGAAATGAAGCAAAGAAATGTGGGTTTAGTATGTTTTAGGCAGACTTATTGTGAAAGCTGAAATTAAAATCATGTATAAGGAGAGGTGTCGCGAAGGTCACGCCTGCCAGGCCTGCATAGCGATGACGACCATTACGTGTATCCTGGGAAAGTGGGTCCGACATTTTGTTACACTAAGCTACCGTAATAGTACTAGCCTCAACGTATATACATATGCACAAGCGTATTGTTAAAGTACCTAAGTACCTTCTCAGCTGCATTGTGTGGCTTGTGAATTCCCGCCTCATCACATTAGCCACCTCCTATTATCCCCTATCACCCCCTTATTATCCTCCTCTCGTCCTCCTTCACGACCGAACAACCAAATGGTAGCACAAACAAGGCAAGTACCATAGAAATCAGAACCGGGCGATCAAATTATGTGACATCTTTCTTCGCCAAGGGAAAGCACCCTATAGCGCAGACGAGCATCCAGTTCCCTGAGTCAACAACAAGAAACCACCCGATCAATATGCTTCTACTCGGTCGCGTAGATGTAAGCCACCATGCATACGAAGAAGCATTACTCGAAAGAATCATGAAACGTAGCACGAGCCACCTAACTGTGCACTGAACTCGTAGTCAAATTCATCGAACCAATCGACGAGATTAAATCTTGCCAATCTCTAACTTGCCAAAGGGTAGTATCGAAATAGCAAAATGCCTATAGAATGGTCAACAAAGTTTATCAAGACGAATAGTATATCTTACTTATGTTCACGCCGGAAAAGGAAAATCAAGTAAAATTCACCAGATCGAGCAGAGTTTGATCCAGGTAGACCCCTTCACCCCCTACTCTCTGTGCATGTCACTCTGCGACTTAGAAGCCGTCCGACGAAGAATCCTTATCTGAGGATTCCTCAGATTCTTCCTCAGATTCTTCTGCATCTTGAATATACATTTGCGATGCAACAGGTGATAATCTCCATCTGGCTAACGCATCCTTCGAGCCCTGTAGATGCCACGTTCCAAACTCGGATAGTCGAAAGAAGCCACGGCGATGTCTTCGGTCTACCATCTCAGTGTCGGCGTCGTCGGTGACAGGAGTCAGTGAATCAAAGGTAACCATGTGCGTGAAACCCGCGGAGGTAAGCGGCATGAGTGCACTATCGAGAACCATGCGTGGACGAACTCCCACAAACCCATTCCATTCTGAAAGCGTCAAGAAGGGTCTATGATGAGGTGTGAACGGAAGCGAAATGCATAAATTGTCTAATTCGATGACCTCTTCGAATGGAAACCCGGTTCTAGCCTTCCAACCATTGGCCATGATGGCCTGGAATTGTCTTAGGTCGGGAGGTTCGCTATCAGGTAGGCCGATGTTAGTTGTTTCGTGGGAGAAGAAGTCGACCAGTCCAGTGCCTCGTAGGGTTAGCCAGTTCCAAACAGCCCAGGCTTCAAGTGAGTTACACGTCTGTCGGAACTCTAGTACTCTTCGGCGCATATCAATCTCGCGGTCAACGCAGCTAGTGCATGGCTTGTGAATGAATCCGGTAAGGATCTCGGTACTGACCCATGGGCGGGCTGCCTTACTACACCACCATTTGCCTAAGATGGAGTTGCCCTCGAGCTCGACTCCCTTGATACCAAATATTGTCTTACCCCTGCATTTTTTGGTGAACATATCGGGTTGGTTGCAGAGCTTGCAGTAGGGAATTCTAATAGTAAGGACTCGATGAGGGAGTTCACCAAGCCGCGCTCGCAAGGCGTTGCTGTCTGTGTTTGGCGCGTCGATCTTCTCGACGTTTCCGTTCCTGTTCAATCTGCTTGCCTTGCGAAGCTGCGGTCCGAGCCCAATGACTGTTTTATCGTAGTAAGTCCTTAAAGGATCGCAACGGTCGCATACTTGCCGAATCAAAGGAATTGGTTGAACTGGCGGCCAGGCAAAGTTCTCGCATCGAAAGAAAAAATTTCTGTCGAGGAGATGGTATTCTTCGTCGTGCGCGTTGATGAGATCTTTGTTGTCCAATTCATCATACTTTTTGCAGATTCCGAAGCCATACTCGCTTATGATCCCGCAATCGGGGCAGTGAAGGCGTTCGAGGCGACACATGATCACGTCAAGAGAATAGAGAGTCTATTGATACAGTTAGAATCAGATTTTGATCCGACAACATCATAATATGTGCGATAGTGACAAAGAAAGTAAAAATCTAGAAGTGGAATACTCACAATAAATCCAGAGGGAGCTCTCGTAAACAATGCTTTAGTGATTTTTGCGACACGCGCCAAAGCTCCTTGAAGTTCATGATACTGATTACAAGATCTATCACGGACGCAACAGGATGCGACAATGCGACAGGATACTATTTGCCTGCATAATTAGTATTTATTGCTAAAGGGTGTTAGGAGTTTTGAGGTTTACCTTGTGTAATGGCTTTGAGACAGCTTGGCCTTGGTAAGAAAAAAGAAATCGTGAGGCTGGAAGAAGAACTCGGAAAATGGAGTTAGGGCTTCGATGTCAAAATGTTGAAAAGAAATAGTAGTATTCCGTAATGATGAGACAAATGCGACCGCCTAGAAGCTGAGTTGTTCAGCTACCAGTAGAGCGTGCGCCACGAAGAAAAGGAGAAAGATTGAAGTGTATTGTGTGAAAGCTTGGGTGAAGGGTGAATGGTAGGACGAAGAAAGAAGAGATATTTTTTCTCCGAAGGAACAGTCGACCTTGGTAGGAAAACAAGAAATGAACGGGATGGCACTGGTTAGGTGATTTGATGTGCGATTTTTCCCCGCCGTTGCCGTGGTACTCTAGTCGAATAATCACTTAGAGAGGAAGGCACACTAGGTGTTTGGGAGCCTCAGTACGCTATAGCCCATCATATTGGTGGCCTTTTAGCACGTCTAGGGGTTCAAGGGCCTAAACATCCAATCACCATCGGCATAACACAAAAAGGGGGTTAAACAGTGCCTCGAGCTAAGTTACCTTCCGGTGGTTCGTGGGAATCCAGTTACTGAGAGTCTTGATACGCACCTAATTCTTCAGGGGTAAGGCCTTCTGGATCACTCGCCTAAAGGCATATCAACTGGACATCTCATAACTAGGCAGTCGCAGTAGACAACGTAGAAGCAGTTTCCCATTCCATTACTTCCCTATAGACTAGCAACTCTCCTTGTGAAGTCCGAGCTTTTACCTTAACTAGGCAGCCACCATACATAATAGGAGCTACCACGATTTCGTTTTTTCTTACTATATAGGTACCTAGGTAGGTACTTAGGTAGAGAATGAGTGAATGTTTCACCCTGATAACGTCTTGAAGCCAATTTTTGCTTTGTAGGGAAGCGTGGGTATTTGTAGTATTTATATTCTTGTCCTGAACGACTCCTCGTTTTTCTATAGTAGTATCCATAGTTAACACCCTATATTGGCAGTAAAGAACAGGTTTTTCTATAAAGGCGCCTGATGGTATGCCCGCCAGCAAGTGTATGACAACCCCAAGCAAAGCTTGCTGGCAATAATGAGTTATAGGATAAATTGTACCTAGGTATAAAATATGGGCTAATCTGCCGAATGCAAATAATATTCTATCATTACTACCTATTATTCTTCCATGCTATCTAGTAGCGCATCTACTACAGTAGGTAATCCATTATTTAGGATTTGACGGGAAAATATGTATAGCCCGTAAAAGATGGAGTGACTTCAACATACGTAGAGAACGTACATTCATACAGGTATTGAGGCCTAATTAGTTAGATATACCTAGATATACCCATCTGCATGGAAATGCTATAATAAAATGTTAGAATAGATGTATTATAATACCACAGGATCTCCAGCGGAAGGGTCAGCTCATGGTCACACCGAGAGTTGTTTACCATCTACCGCTATCCCAATTATATTGCAATGGTATGTCGCTTATGACACTCTAGAATATCTTAGGATGTGAAGCATAATACAAATGCCGATCCCGCGTATTCGTGAGTTCCTCAAAGTAGGATTTTATATACGACCCTTGTATCAATACTGAACACCTACCTGAGCAGGAATTCACCCATAGTCGTCTTCAGGAGATTGCTATGATTCAGAAAGTCAACACCCCTGAGAATCCGAACTTAACGTTGGGTTAGGCTTCTTTAACTTTTTGGGGCCGAAATTTAATCTCGATGCTAGCGGGAACTAATGAGATAGCCACGTTAAAGGAGATTCGAGCTTGGAGGACTCAGGAGGAACACTGACACAAGAAGTGCATATTACTTTCGACAACAGGGTTGATATTCATGGATTCCGGCTTGATATGAGTATTAAATAGTCTATAATATCTTATCTTTTCGGGTGAATTGAACCGTAGCCACTGGATGTTAGTTGTAAGATGAAGCTGTAAGATGATGCGTTTCGGAGATACGAGAGAGGAGAGGTTCAATTATCGGAGGTCCGAAAATGAGACGCCACAACGCCACGCGCCACATCGGACTTGTAAGGTGGGGGCATCCGTATCGCAAGCCACACTTCAATCCATCAATTACCTAAATTTGTGGCACGTGTTGCGACGCGTCTAGCACTTTTGGAAACTACGTCAACTTTATTGGGCTGTATTTACCATATAACATTGGAAGCGATGTAATCCGAGAGGCTTTTTTTCTGGATTGTACTAATCAATTAGTATTAGAAGACAACATGGCTACCAGTAAGCAAAATATACTTACGGGAATTTCGAACACAAGCTCACAGAAACATTAGGTCGTGAAGAGCGCATGCAACAGCGTATGCGCGGGGCTGGGTATGTAAATTCCCCTTGAAAGCTGAAATTGATATATATTCTAATATTCTGGTGTATAGACGTCATGAAGTTGCCGATGACTCGTTTGGCTTCATCCTTCCCGGTGCCGAAGTATCTGAAGCATCTCCCACTCTCTCCCCACCAGCACCTCCTCCGCCTGCCTCTATACCACGGTCGGAACCGAATACTTCAGCGAAGCGACGACGATTGAGCCTAGATGCCGGCCTACCAGACTCGCAGCCGTCCTCTAGTGCCACTAGATCATCGAGGAGGATATCAGCCCGAATTAGTGGGGCAAAAGCAGATCCCTACAATGCCATTCAAGAGGAGAGTCCCGAAAATGTACCGGAACCCTCAGCAGATCCAAGTCCGGTATTACAGGAGGAACCACAAGAGGAACCACAGAATGAGGAGGAAACATTAGAGTCATTGCCGGCGGTCGTACAGCGACCAGTATCCCGCGGATCAGTAACCTCGCGAGTATCTGTCGGAGCCATAGCCGAAGAAGTCACCGAAAGCCCAGCCGAAGCCCCAGGAAGTGGGCATAGACGACGAATTAGGGTCCCCGAAAGTCTTACTCGAAGCGCAAAACTCTTAAGGACTGTGACGAACGACGAAGCCGAGGGTACAGCCGAGGTAACATTATCTTCACCATTAGCACGAAAGAGCAGAGCAAGTGGAGCTACTTTAGGCGCGATTTCGGCACGATCAACTCGAACGGCTGCGAGAACATCAGTTGGTTCGCCAATCGATGAGGTTGACGAACTTTCGCCCACGAATCGACGACCACGAAGGAGCGATGATACAGCAACCACTGGCTCTACACGATCCACACGAAGTCGGAACAAATTGAATACCCCTAGTATAGTAGATGAGCTATCTTCGCCTCCCGAGGCCGCAGGGACTAGTAGTGCTAGAAAACCCAAGCTGAGGATAAAATCTAAACCCGTGGCTGAGGATCAAGAAGCTGAAGATGAAGTTCAACGAGAAGAAGTGGAGGCCGATGATGAGGGAGCTGAGGAAATCAACGCTCAGACAGCTGCCCGAAAGATTGGTCGAAAACGACCGCGAACTAGTCCACCCCGAGAACCATCGCCAGAGTTGCATTCGAGGGTTGAAGAAACCCGCCCAAGGAAGAAAAGCAGACAAAAAAGAACCCAAGAGAGCCCTGCGAGACAATCACATCCCAAGCCACCAAACAATAAGAATAAGCAGGCTTCAAGAAGACGAAGCGACGGCGAAGCAATTCCTATTATTGTGCAGCGGTATACAAAACACATACATCTCAACGAAGATGACACCGATGCAGATATCCTCAATTCCGATATTCCATTCGCCAACCGTGGCGGCGTTAATGTGATTGACGTGTTATCACAAATATGCGACGAAGTCATTGAATCTAGTTTAGAGACGCTTCAACAGGCTGCTATTAACGCGAAAGATTCAGCTACGAAGAAAGAATTTAGGACAAAATTGCGAGCTTTAGAGGCATTTCAGGAAGAACTACGAACACGACTGTTAGAGCACGTAAGTCATTATAGTAATGCCATAATGTGTACTGGCTAATGATTTTTAGACTATTGTACTTGATACGATGCACGCGCTTAAGAAACGGGTGCGATCGGTGCAAAAAGAAAAGCTCACACTTCGGTCGGAAATCATGCGCATTCGAGCGGAGAGGGAACAGGTAGCCTTGAAAATGGATGCAGTGAGGATTCGTCACGAAACAGCCAATAAAGAATCCATGGTATGTCTCAATAGCTGAATTATCTGCCATTTACTTCATGTTGCTAATAATTCTACTAGCACCAGCTAGGACTCTCCTCTGCGATGGATGATATCGAATTGGCCATCGAAAACGGGAAATCAGCGCCCGACCTTGATCCAAAGGAACAGAAAGCAGCCGAACTCTCCAATCTAGAATTGTTAATTTCTCAGGTGGTTGGTCAGGCTAGCGCTACTGGCGATGGTGGTGGGAACCTCAAACAGATCAAAGACTTCAATGCTTTCCTCGAGCGCACGGCTGTCGCTCTGGAAAGAAGGTAATATAGTAAATAACATGGGGGGCCGAAGAGAACGAAGTCAGATCAATACGATCTCATTTCACTTGATGCTCTCAATCACCTCAGAAAGTAAGCAGCATCGACAGGTAGCCTCTTCAAGATACCCAGAACATCAGAATCGGAATTAATATAAACCGTACGGCGGTGACTTATTATGAAATGGTCGGCGACTAAATCCGTAGCTGACCATGATTATTGATCATTATAATTGCAATAATACATGGATGATAAAAATTGGTTAATCTAGGAATATCCCGCCTTTCCATGTGGGTATCAGGGGTATCACTTGAGCCGCCAAGCTTTCAGCTTCACCTAGGTAGAATGCTTAACACCACTACCGAAGCCTTCGACGTCATCACAGCCACAATACGTCATCCAAGATATCTAATACCCGGCAATATATAAGAGAGAAGGATCCATTTTCGAATTCGAATTTAGGTCAATGTGCGAAATTCGCAGACCCTTACATAACCCATCGCTTTTCTCGGCCGAGTTAGAACCCCTAGCTAAGCTCTCAGCCCTGAGCCTTGGCAGAACATTCAGACCCTGGGCGATCAATCTTAGAGCCTTTGGTTGTCCGTGGCACAGCCCTAGCTAATATTTCCTACTCGGCATATGCCTAAGTAATAAAGTGGGAAAAGAAGCTTAAAACGTAAAAAACGAAGTCGAAAAATGGTTGGGATCCCCGCGTCGTTAATTATTTTGATATGTACGTCTCAGGAGAACATTTTAGGGGTTGTCCTTTTGTAACTCGACCGTCTCTACGCCGTCGGCCGAGTTGAACGAACGAACGTTAATAACTGAATTAGCCTACTTCCCCCATAGAAAGAAGGAAATTTTGATATTAAATCTGGGTCGAGATGCTGAGTAACGCCCACCGTAGAAAGCGTGGGGACTCCCAAGTCCCAATGGGTGCGCCGAGAAAACGTCTGCCTTAGAGCGCACCGGCCTCCTTGGCGGCGGCTCAGCAGAGGACCAACAGCTAACAATCCATAGAAATTGGTGTATTGTACGGGGTAAGAAGTTGCGGCTGCATTGTACCAGGAGAACCGCAATTACGGTCTCTGCCGCTGTCACATTCCATAACTAATGCTAATTTTCACGTCCGATTATTCCTTTCCATCTTGTTCTTCATCCCCTTCGTCCACTCTTTTATTCCGGTGATTTTTATATCTACCAGTTTCTTTCTTTCGTAGTACCGCGACGACGACGCTAACACCGACGGGGGCGATAGCGATATCGACCTCCTCAAAGCCGACGCCATGGCACGATTCGAATATCCATATAAGAAGGGCATCAATGTAACCGCTTGGGTTATCCAGTTTATCGTCTGCATCATTTTGCTAGCGGCGGCGTCGTATCTCATATGGTTCGTGGATCAGCACAGGCATGACGAGATAACAAAACACAATCATGGGTTTTTAGCGTAGGCGCTCCCACGACCTTCCGAATAACGGAGGGAACAGAAGGAAAAAGTAAAGAGAAAATAAGCTAACCTTAGACTGGTTGGAATCCTACAGAGCTGCCTCCGGTGTTTCAATTGCAATCACCCTCCTCAACGTCGTTATCAACATTGTCGAGATCATCCTAATCGCCACGAGTCGCATGCCTCCGGGGCTGTATCTGACGGGCGCGTGTCTCAAATCTGCCATTTGGGGCGCTATCTTCCTCCCAAATCTGTTCGCAGAGGCAATAGTCTCCGCGGTATTGATTCTATTCCTATTGTACGTGCCGATGTCTTGGTGTGGGATTATTCGATGGAGTGCAAACCTCGGGAATATACGAAAATTCGATATACTGATACTATTATTAGTGGAACCTCTTTCATGCAACTCATCTATGGTGCCATTCTCGTGCACCGCCAGCGAAAGGGAACATTAATGGTCGGGTTCTACACGCCTCCCGATCACTCGGTAGGCTTGCCTGAGGGCCCCGTGTACGGTGGTGCGGAACCGCAAGACCGTTACTTCCGGCCATCGACGGCCGCCAGCTCTGAATACAAGTCGCCGCTATCATCGCCGTCAGTAGCTTCCCCTCAATTCGGATTCGCCCCCGCAGCTTATGCCCCGCCTGGATCCTACGAGCTTGACGGTCGCGCGCGCCATTTCTAAGGGGATATTTATGATGAATGTTACCATTGGTGGGTGTATCAAAGATACAAGCCGGTGGCAGTGGCAGTGTCGGTGGAAGAGGCGTCTGCTTATTTCGTGCACGCAAACAAGCATTGGATACAATTCAACCACTGCCCAACTATAGCGGTGATACCCACAGATATACGCGGATCCCGCGCGGACCATACAACAATAGCGATATTATTATTATGATAGACACAAAATACGTTAAAGCCGGGTGGCTCACCTAAGCCCTTGCAAACAACCACATCTTCGTTATACGTTGTACGTAAGTCCTTGGATTCTTGTGAGGCCTCCCTTCGATATTGTATTTTCTTCAATTCTTGATAGCAGCAATTGAGCCATATATGTATGTTTTAATTAGGTTGCTACTCTTGGGAGGCTATGGCTCGTGTTATTATGTGATAAGTTGATGCGCGACGAGGTCTTTTTGTGGTGTATTGCAGTGTCGTATTCAGGGGGGAAGGATGGGGAGGTACAGATACGGGTACGTAAATGATTATGTACCCCTCGGGCTTAGCCGGGATCGGAACTCGGCAAGCCATCCAATGGCTAGAGCGATCCGAGCAAGTTTAAGAGAGTTTCCACGTGCTTTAGCTAAGCGGACCGAATGACTGGGTTTTATTGCTGTTGTTTCATGAAAGGATGAGAGATTTGCATTTGAACATGCTTTAGTTCAGTTAGATGTTTTACAGGGCTACCCAAACATATTTATATACGTGCGTTGAGCATTAACGTGTGGGTGCGATTCGAACCTGCTACTATTAAGAAAGTTCCTTACTGTGCCACGGATTGGCGATAATTGATAAACAAGGAAAATCCTCGTTCCACAACATGACTTTTATGAAGGAGGCCTCGGCTATAAATCATCAAACAAATCTCACTCGTACTTCTCATCATATCAGCAATTGCGGCCTGCTGCATAATTCATACCTGCAAAAGTCCTACAGGACATGACATTGATCTAGACTCTGACGGTTAGATATCCAACTATCCCTCCGATAGATGTAGTGACACCCACGTAAATTGACACGTAGATACGACGTATAAAACCTATTAATTAGCAATGATAAGTCATTCCTTTCAGCTGAGCTAGGATTGAAATCTGGGGATAGCAGGTGTGTGAATGTAACAAAGGTGTACCTAACTATTCTCCGTATCTGCGTGTTCCCGGACGTGGGGAATTGATTGGCTGCGGGCCTATCCAATTGAGGTGTTAGGTAAAATGTACGCATGAACGGCGTGACGCAGAAGCTTACGATGAATGGATAAACCAGCAGCCTATCTTTTCATGTTTGTGTACGCATGTAGGGGCGTACATGTAGGTACATTAATCAATGAAAACATCAATGCAAGCATCAGTTGCCGTATGATCATTTACGTATGCATGTACCCAGGTACATGTGTAGTAAAGAAGGAAGTCCCGACTAACACCACTAAGTTTTGTGGCTGGCAATTGATATTATCCAGGGACTTTGGCGCCGCGCTGTTTCCAATCAAGGCAAGGGTCCCCCCATTAAGTTCGGATCCCCTATCACTTACTACCTTCTGGGATGAAGGTCTGGGGTTATCGTCCTTTCCTTGTTATGTTGTTGTACGCCCCTAGTCCACTTGCGCAGTCAGGAACGAGTGGATGAGCATTGGGACGTGGGATCAGGTTTGTCTGCCGTTATATCCGCATAAGAACACCCTTCTTCCCCTCTCCAACAGAAACGCTTTTAAACTTCACCGCTCTTCTCATCAATTGATCCTTCACTATTTGACTCGTGATATTCGCATCGATTTCAGTCCGCCAGTCTCTACCATCTTAGTTTTCGCAAACTAAATCTTCCACTCATCCATCACAATGCCTTCCGCTGAAGAGCCCCAACAGCAAGCTCCTATGGAGATGACTGCCACTGACGGCGTCGTTGCGCAGCAGCCTGTAAGTTCTTTTTTGCCCTTTCCTCCCCCCCTCTACTGTTTGTAGCACACCAAACGAAGCAGTACAACTGACAACGTGGTTTCACGAACAGACTTCAGAACCCCCGATCGTATATGGCACAATGAGAGGTGGTGAAGGTATGCAATCCCCATTCTAACACTTCAACCTCATACTAAACAGTTGTAAAGAGGCCGGATGCGAATTCTGCTGCGGTCTATGTGCATGCGACGAAGCATGCTGCTAAGCAAACCCCTCCTACTACTCGGTCGCTACCCAATCTCCTTTTCGTAAGGAATTTCGGACAGTGCTTTACCACGTTGTAGCACAAGATATCTCGTACCCCGCATGGAACCATCACGAGGGTGAAAAGCTCGTATTTATATATCGCAGCAAGGGAGATATGGCCTCGATTAAAGATAGCTAGGATGTTCGAGGTGGACTTAGATTACGCTGTACCCGTCTGGTCAGCAATCATCGAAAGCGTACATTGCATTGCGTTTTTGTTTTGGTAGTTGAGAGTTTTATTTGTTAATAGAACGAATTCTTCCCCAGCAAAAATATCGTCATAATGGTTGTTAATTGATGGTGATTATGTTTGAAACCCAATAAATTTATGACTAAGGATGCCAACACCCTCAGCGTTTACAGTCCTGGAATTGGTGTTGAATTGCCATATCGGTCCCCTCTCCGCACGTCCAAAGGTGTTGACGACCTAAGAGAAAATGGTACGAAGAAAAGAAGAAAGAGTTCTACCAAAGTTAAGTCAGGTCTTGAATTAAGCATTTGCCGCGCATCTTGGCGATCTCTTGGCGGTGCTGTCAAATGGGTCCCTGATTTCGCCATCCTCTCGTCATGTTTTGGAGGTAGGTCTTTTGCTGATCATCCTGGAGGATTGGGAATTGAACTTGGCCTATTTGTTAGGGTTTATTCGCCAACACCTAGTGCTGCATCGGTTTCCCTTTTTGACTGCTCCATTCTTATCTGAGACATCTACAATATTGTCTCGCTACGTTACTTTGCTTTTCTATACGAGCCTACTGCAAGGAACACGTCGTCAATGGCCATTTCGCCTTCTGCTATCGTAGGATTGTCTCAGTTCGCTTACTACAACAGACATGAAAAGGGTATAAACACTATACGTACTGTGCACATCAATTATCCGACTTGGCTAATGTAGATGCACCGTTGGCGTTAAAATGGTTAACACAGTGCTATGGATCATACGCTATATAATACACTATAAAGAGGCGAAAAATCACGCACCAATCACTGGTTTCCTGGTGTAATGGCTAGCACTGCGGATTCTGATGCTTTCAATCAATCGTGTTGAGTATAATATTCCGCCAATCTGGGTTCGATTCCCAGGGAGACCTAATTTTTTGCATCTTTTTTGCCTTTATTTTGTTTCCTTTTTATTATCGTGCTGGGATCAAACCGATTGAAATAGCTGTTGAGGGAAAGAAAGTCGCCAAAAATGAAGTCAAATCCGAATAAGCAATCAATTGAATTGTGGAGCTGCGAGGGGCGCATGGATTCGTCAGGTTTGTCTTTTCTTCGTTGATTCAATACCTCTTTTTTACGAGGAATTATTTTGTAGATGTGGGTGTTCGTTACAAGTATTTTACAATTGTTTCATTTTAAGATCCCACAAGCTTCATAACTCAATTTTACATTTCTCGTGATAAGTTCGTGAGTGTGATGAGCAAATGTCACCTCTTCTCATTACCACCACCAAATGTCCCGCTAAGTCTATCCCATAGTGTCTCTTCTCCCCTCTCTTTTCGCGCCTTGCGCTCTTCATCCTGCTTCTTCCATAGATCTTGTATGCGCGATGCGACTTCGGCCTTTGCGCGCCATTCTGCTCTGATGGCCTCCTCTTCTGCGGGCCGGTCTTCTTCGTCCACCTTTTTTAAACGTTCCCTTAGCATCTCTTGTTGTTCTTTTGTTAATTCTTCCTGCTGTTGCGCTTTCTGTTGTAGTTGGTTCGCAGCTATGGAGACTCTTGGTATTAAGGGTGGGAATGTTGGGATCGGACGTCCTTCTTCCTTCGCTGCGGCGACCTCAGCCTCTTGGGATAGTAGGCGCTGGTAGAGTGTGTCGGCGTGCAGTTGGATATCTTCCTCGACTTCAGGGGAGCGATCGGCGGTTGATAAATAGCCTAGGGCTTTCAGTAATCTCTGCAGCATAACGAATAAATGTGTTAGCATGGTCCTTGCGAATACCAGTAAAAAAGAGAGCAATGCGATATGAGCACCTACGGTTTGCGTCATGTAGCATTTCTCGAACTTCTTAATTTGTGTTCGGCATAAGGTCATTCGTTCTGTGAAGCTCGGACTCGTCATACACTGTCGCCAATCGACCTGCTCGAGTGCGCAATTCTCCAACGCCGCCTTGCCTATCTGATTTTTGCGCTCCTTGTAGCCCTCTAACACATCCATCAACTTCTCATGCTCGCTCTTGGTCTCGGCTTCCACCTCAGTTAAAGGTCGGTACGTCTTCCATAAATGCGCATATCGTCCGTCTTGGAACTGGCTCTCTCTGGGTACAAGTGGTTTATTCGCCTCTTTATTATCTTCCGCATGTTTATCCGCTGCGACTTTCTTCTGCTCCTTCTCTTCTGCGGCAGTTTGTGCGGCGCTGTATTTTACGGGTGATTCTCGTTCGAGGAATTCGCGGAGCTTGGGGTCGAGTTTTCGCAATGGATCATCGCCCGAGCTTGACGACCAGAGGCTATCCCACCAGCCCATGACGGATCACTATAGCTAGTAGTACGTAATTAACGAGTTGGCTCCGTAGAGCTGGAAAAGATGCTCGAGACAAAAATCCGTGATGCCAAAAAGTTCGTTATCAAGATTGATATGTATCTAAGTAGAATTATTCGAATAGCGCGATAAACGGCCCGCCAAATGATTTAGACCAATCATTTTGGGCCGTTACTTAAGCACAATTAACTGCGTCTTCATTTCTCGATGCTTCAACGACAACTATTTCTCAGACATACCTAGGTACATGTATCTATCTTTTACGCCTATAGGACGAGTTATTATTCGGATTTATATGGTATCGTACTTTGTGTGATAAAATGTTGTGGTGGGAGTTTGGACCCTAGCCGTCCTCCGTCTTGATTAATCACGTTTTCCTAGATACTATGCCTCTAATGTTATGGCTCTTAGGATAACATTGTATACTTGTGGAAGTGCAGCGAGACTCTAGAATGGATAAAACTGCAGATCTATATGGTCTTGTTTTCTAATGACTCTTAATAATGTCATCTATTGGCTTGCGTGGTGGCGCCCATAGAGCAAGCAGAATGGGGAGACAAATATGTAGCCGTCGTATAAAATGACAATTCAGATTAGTAATAAGAGGAAGAGTCTAGACGTGGTGTTATACTACCTACTTCGTAGTTGATTACCTAGGGGATGTCCGCTTCTACACATATTTAGAATACGATTCTTTATAAGCGAGTGTTACGGCCATACCATTAGCTTAATAGTTGCTGGCGGCTTGGAAATCCGTAAGCGTTGTTGGGGTCACAATAGAGGAGAAGCCGTAAAGAAAATCAGAATAGGTTATTTGGTCCGGTGCCAAACGACTTAGGAACCTGACGTACAAATAACCTTGCCGCCTCCTAAGCTGTGTCCGGATTGCCGCAATAAATAACCATGAATGCCACGTCGTATCACAGCCACCATGTCATAGGACACATAATAAGTTTGGTATATCCGTTTTTTTATTTCTCAGAACTGCCTATAATGCATCACTGTGCCCCGGCAGGAATCCTATGAATTGCCCATTCCGAATCTGAGATCTCGAAGAACCATGAAGCAACAACGCCATCGATGCCCAGGAAAGATTCCCCAACTTAGAACTTGCTGAATTTCTTCACCGCCTTGCCAGTTCGGGGAAGTACACGCAGGACGTTGAATCGAATCTATCGCGTCGCACAAATTAGTAACCAAATATTTATGATTATCGTTACATAGCACGTAACAGGGCTCGGGTGGCTTTGGAATTCGAGTAATGGAAGAATGGTGGACATACAGTCTTGCTAAGAGGTCGGCACTGGCCAACCGTGACCTGGTCACCCTCCTCAACACGGAAAGCGGGGGAGACGTGTGCGGCGAGGTTCTTGTGTCGCTTCTCGTATCGGGCGTACTTGGGGATGAACTTGAGGTACTCGCGTCGGATGATGAGGGTTCGGTGCATCTTGGTAGAAACGACGGTGCCGGTAAGGATACGGCCACGGATAGAGACGAGACCGGTGAAGGGGCACTTCTTGTCTGTATTGCCAACACAATTAGCCTCAAATTTTCCCATCACATCTTAAAATTTTGTTGTCCTGGATCGTAGGCTTCGCATTCCGAGAGGTGCCCAACTGCCAACGCCGAAAAATGTTCCGTATCGTTCCCCAACTAATATTCGCGTATTCACGTACCGATGTAGCTTCCTTCAATAGCGGTCTTGGGGGTTCGGAAACCTAGACCGACGTCCTTGTACCATCTGCGGCCACCCTAAAAAGAGAGTAAAATGCATTAGTACGCAGCTTCACCAATAATTTAAGGGAACAAGAAGGATTAGAAGGGCGTCGGCTTACCTTGCCAGGTCTCGCGGACTTGGCCTTGACCTTAGCATTCTGGAAGATATGGGGCTGCTTTTGGAAAGCACGCTCCGACTGAACAGTCAATTCCGTAGCCATGTTTGCGATGTTTTGTCGAGGTCGCAAATGTGGTTGGGGATCGGGGGAGTCGTTGGTCTTGTTGTGGTTGCGATTTTGCGAAAAGATGCCGAAGGTTCAATTGGGAAGTGGAAAAAAATGTCAAAAGTTTAGTTGTGTGGGCTCGCTTGTGGGAGGAAACGGATCCACTCTCCGAGGTTCAGCCCGATCAAATTGAAATTGTGGCTTCCGACGCTTGTAATCCACCTTTAGGAGGGCTAGAACAATGTGGCTAGTACAGCTACACTATACTGTGCACGGGCCACTATGAGCACCAGGGAATTCTAGAGGTACGTACCTGCCAGCGTAGCACGGTGGGCCTGTTAACCCCCACCTCGCATTTCAATTGTTTACAAACAAGGATCTCGCCGACGCGATCGCCAAATTCACTTAACTTAGACATGTGCAATTCGATTTTTGCTTCGGCGTCACGTACCACTTCCGCCAACCTACAGAGCTTATAGTAGGTTTTAGCTATACTCTAAGCACTTGTGAAGTATTTGGTATTAGGATATAGCCAATATTCACCTTGGAACGCCCTTTAAACCGCTATGCGACAACATCACTAAAGCTGCAAGTCAATATAATAATCACGTCCTAGAGTATGGGACGTCATTCACTTCACGGCATATAAGAAAATCCTAGCTTTTGTTCCGTTGTTTTTACCGCCAAAATGTCTTCTCGTCCAGATACAACCATGCCGGCCACGCGCCGACCTAGAAAGTCGACCGGGCACTCGCCGGTGCGCAAAAGAATGGAGAAAGAAAATATCACTGTCGACGTGGCTAGCTCTTTGGCCGATAATAGAAGCCGAAAGAAGTCGCGAAGCAAGAGTATGGGCCCTGGTGGATTGGACACCCTAAAACCAGGATCGGGTAACCGACGTGTGGTATGCGATATAATTCTCATGATTGTTACTAAATTGCGTTGCTAACTTACGTCTTTTTAGTCCTTAGCAGCTCCCGCCCGACCAGCGCCCCGGTCAATTCTCAAGCCGACGATGCCATTGCCCGAGATACCTTCATATAAATCCAAACAACCTAGTCGCACCTCACCACCCTCTCTAACCGTCCAAGGAGCCGATAAGTTGCCCAATCCTTTCCAGAACGAAGACTCCACATCTTCGGGAACCAAGATCGCATTGCGCACCGAGGAGCAACAGCAGGCTGCTGCGCGCGAACGAGAAGAACGAGAGAGAGCCCAGCTAGAAAAAGAGAATAATGATCGCAGAGAAGCTAGACGAAAATCTCTTGCAAATCGAAGAGTCTCTTTCGCAGCTGAAGCTACCCTCCACACATTCCACGAAGTCGAGTATATGCAAGATTCTACAACATCAACAGACTCTACTAGGCGAGCATCATCACTTGCTGCGCGATCGCCTGCTTCCGCTTTGCCTGGCGTAGAAACTTCAGACCCGACACCTAATTCCTCAGAGCGACCGGATGAAATAATTCCCAGTTCTCCAGATCCTCAGCGGGACCCAAATCGAGCGAGGCGTAGAAGCTCCAGCGCACCTCCAATGGACTTTAACAGCCGACATGACGATACTTTGGCCTCTAGTATCTATAGTTCAGACTCTGAGACAGCGGATGGTGTGGTGGAGGCACACGAAGAAATGGGTTCGGATTCCGGTAGTGATTCAGATGCTGATGGCGTATCAATGGATCTTGATGTCGATGAAGTCACTGGTGTCTCGGCTATGTCTGCTGTTTCCGCCCGATCAATGTCCCCTACAGACTCAACGGATACTCTAGACACAGTTCTTCGACTTGCTTCTCGACGCGCTGAAACACACAGTCTCGATGAAGAAGAGGAAATTATTCCTTCATTTGGGTGGGCAAAAAAGCCTGCACCTAAACAAACCAGCCCCTCTCAGGACCAGGAGAACATACGACCTCCACCAAAAATCAGTCCTGCTCATTATGACGATGGCGAACAGGAAGAAACCGAAGGCATGGATATGGACATGGACATGACAAATGCTGTTGGTGGTATTCTCAAATCGCGCGGCGATTCCCCAGACGATGTTCAAGAAGAGGAAGAAATGTCTATGGATGTCACTCGAGCACTAGGTGGTATTCTTCCCCAGCGCAACAAGACACAAACCATTCACCAAGCTAGCTTGGACGAAAATGGAGAAAACTCACCGAACGAAGACGCACCTATGGACTTCACCACGGTAGTCGGAGGTATCCGAAAGAACCCACAGCTCGAGAACACCAATCTCCTTGATCTTGATGAGAATGAGGAGAATGAAGATATGTCTATGGAATTTACTACTGCCGTCGGTGGCGTTCTGCCTGGAACCAAGTCCAACCCTGCGCTGAAGAGGGTACCTCTGGGTCGACGACGTACGATTATGAGCGGTGACGATGAATCGACAATGGATATGACAGTTGGGCTGGGTCGTATTATTCCTGCGAATGACGGTAATGAAAACAATGATAATGACGAGGATGTGACGATGGGAATGGATATGACTACGGCAATGGGTGGAATCATCAAAGGACCACCTTCTGTTAAAGACCGAACTGAAGCAAGGTTAATCATGGAGCAGGAGGCCAACGAAAATGACAATGTGCCGGCATTAAACTCATCTGCAAAACGACGTCTCTCCGCGGCTGTTTCTGGTATCAACACTTCAGAAACAGGTAGCCCTGGTATATCTGCGTTCCAGGGCCAAGGACTCCGTCGCAGTGGCATTTGGCAAAAATCCGCTAGCCCCAAGAGTAGTTCACCTGTTCGGGATGTATCTCCACCTAAGCCATCTAGCCCCGTGAGGCGTATTTCTCCCCCGAGACAAGGCCCCAGAACTCCATTGAAAGGTTTACCTTCGAGGGGGCCGAAATCGCCTTCAGCCTCGGCAGTTCAGCGTGGCTCTGATTTATCGGCTTCTAAAAATATTCAGGCAACGTCAATTTTCCAACAAGATCCTTCAACCGGCTTGTCGACTCCTCGAGTTGTACTCACTCCACAGAAGAGGCGGCTTTCAGGTTTAGGTGCCGATAGGCCAGGCCTAGGGTCTCCTAAGGTGGCTGAGATCTTCGACCGGCGTGAATCCATCGGTGATGCGGCAAATAGCTTCGTCCCACGCGAAGCCACCCGCGGTGTTACCTTTGCAGACCCCCGAATCATGGAGGACGAGATAGATCAGGAACGACAACAGGAAGCAGATAGGGAGAATCGCCGCAAGATACTCGAGAGAGAAGCCGATGGTGGAGATGAGAACACCACAGCAAGTTTGAAGGATATGATCTCTAGCATGACGCCCAAGAAGAACCTCCTCAAGGGGCGTAAGAGTTTGCATGTGGGCAGCGCTAAAGGTCTCCTCGGAAAACGTCCTGCTGAACTCGATGACGAGGAGGAAGAAGAAAGAGACGGAATTAAAAGGCTCAAGAACCATCAGAGCAGTCCCGTCAAGAATGTACGATTGCATGCCCCTCCTTCGAAGGCAGAAACAACGGGGCGAATGACTCGCTCTGCTAGTAGAGGTCTGGAAGATGGCAACGAAAACAGAACCAACTCGACACCGGTCTTTTCGCCGCAGAAGGCACCTACAGCGATGCCATCCCCTCGGGGTAAAGAACGATTTAAACATGTCGACTCCAATCCTCCTACCAACACGTTCGACTTTACCGAATCGCATAACATGGCTGACTCCCAAGCGCGAGAGGATGATGATGATGATGCGCAGATCCATCTCCAAGATTTCTTGAACATGATCAATGTCCGCTTTATGGAATTAACAACTACAAAGCGGCGGCATACCCAGGCTCCCACCAGCGTCAGAGACGACACTACTTTGGGCAAGGATGATTTATCTCTAGAACGATGCGTTGTCGCAGGTGCTTGCACTGTACCTATGCTAGAACTCTATCAACACGTAAGTATAACTACAACCCATGGATTACCACATATGCTAACTATTTCTAGTCCTGTCGAGAATTGAAGAAATACATTTCGGAAGGTAGAAGAATTGTCCGGGAAATCGAAACCGAGACTCTAGAAGACAATCCGCCTCTCTTCAAGGAGTACATGTCAGCAACACCAGAATACAAGCTCTTTTTAGATAACCAATTCAAGAACGTCAAGACGCACGCGCGACTACTAAGCAAGGCTATGTGGTATGAATGGCGCATGAAGCTTCAGGATGGTCTCAAGGAAGGTCTAGTCAAAATTGCTGAAGGCATGACTGCTGATGAGCGATCACTGCGCAAGATGCAAGAGCTGCTCGATTCTGCTCTGCCCAAGTTAATGACAAAGTTTGAGTCGTTAACGACAGAGCACGACAATCTCAAGTCTGCTGCGCAAGAGTTGGCAGATTGCGACCCTGAAGATCTCCAAGCCGCCCGGTCTGAACTCACGGATCTTGACTCTGATATCCAAGAGAAGATGCAGAAGATCGAGCAATTACGACAGCAACTTAGCGAGACCGAATCTAACATTGGCGAGTTATCGCAGAAAAAGAAGGAGTACACTACCGATATTGAAGCGGCTGAGAAGGTTCGCGAAGAGTGTAGGGGATGGACTGCCAGTGAAGTCAACACTCTAAAAGGTCGGTATTATTTTTTCTTTTCATAATTACTCAATCCATCTACTATTACACATGTCAGAAAACTAATATTGAAGTAGCGAGAGTTGATGCGCTAGAGAGGGAACATGGCTGGGCTATTACTGGCACAGTTGGAACTTCTCTGTCAATGACATACAAAAAGGAGATTGAGCTGGTTTTTGATGCAGCTGCATTCAAAGGTCTCAAACCAACAAATTCGAGAATTGATTTGTGGTACATTGCAGCCAATCGGGAGTTGGATCCAAAGCCGTCCACGCCAGAAAAGGAATTTTTTATTCAATGCATCAGAGACCATGTTCGCAGTTTGGTCCAAGCACAAACCAAGCTGAAAGATCTTTTGCATATGGTCAGTGCGGCATGGGAAAAAGCCAATCGAACTGCATTAAATGTTCGGATGATTGATACGACATATCGCAACAATACCACCAAGACTTCGGATTCATCCATTACAATCCGCACAATTGTCCTACTAAAACCATTGAAGACGAGAGTTGATATCGAAATCGCGTTACACGGCCAGAGCACACCAACCGGTGTTGAGGTCACCATTGCACCCCAGGCACGAATTGTCTATGGAGAGCAATTCAAAGAGGATAAGATTACTGAATACCTTACAAGCCGAATCGGCACTCGTGTTGTCACAAAAGAGGAGCAGAATGTGTTTTGGGTTGACGCTCTCGTCGAACTCGAGGAAAGATTAATTGCAAGAGGGCAGAAATAAGGGACAGGAATATGGTTATTACTCCTTCAATTCTTGCCTAGTTTATGACTTATGAGGTATTCCGGACGTATCATTGATGAGCCGAGGCGTTTGCGGTGTACTGTTAGGCCTAGATACCAATCAATATTTGCGTTGTTTTTTTATTACTTGTTAACGGCTTCGTTTCTCAACGTTCTACCGGTCTTAAAATTAACGGCATTCTCGTTTACCGTTTATTTTACTCAATACCTTATTATAACCTCACCTATCTACTCTAAGGGGAAACAGTACAAGAAATATCGATGCGTAGCTAGATATTGTTTTATTCAGATCAATTGGTTGCGTTGTCGGACTATTACAAACCAATTGATCGATCCCATATACTCCTATGAGAAGCATCAATCGTAATTCAAATCTAAAATCTAGAGTATCCTTACAATTCTTCGAAATCACAGGGTCGAGCCTTATTTTTTGTACCAGAGTGATCATACCGAATCAATCTTCCAATTGCCTAAGAGAATATAATCGAACGTAGCTAGGTTGAAAAACTGCATGATTCGAATCACATTAATAAATAAACCCCCAATTCAATATATTGTACCTCAAATTGGAATAAGTTGGAAGTCAAATACATATAAAACCACCTAATTGAGAGCAACACTAGAGCCAAAGCAGCAATGATATCACGAGCCGCTCCCTAAGTAAAAATAGGCACGAAGGCACATTAGGAGAGCTCAATTGGAACATCCCACAACGAATTGACTAGAGTTATACCTATATGGAAGTGTTTTGTTGGTTTAGATGAAGCACTTCAGAAAATAGGGGCGGAGCAAGGCGGGTTATTGTCTGTATTTGGGTGTTCATATTGATAATTAGGTACCTAAGTATTCTATGTTTTATCTTCAATGTGGATATTTCTGGAGGTTCAATGTTTATCGAGGTATCCATCTATTACTTATCCGTTATCATATACGTGTTTATGGGAAAGAAGGCGCACTTTATATCAAAACATATATAGATACTTGTGTGTACTAGTATTATATATATATCCACTATTACAATTGTTATGTACCTCGGAAGTAGGTCGAAATTCTTATTGTTTCTTATTCTATCAGTTGCTAGGCAATAATCGAGTAAATCTGTAGTGTAGTGGGTTGTACCTTCCTCAATTGCTGGCCAACAGTTAGTTTAGTTGGTATCCTAGGTGGTTGCCATGAAACCTCCGTAACTACCATATCCTAAGCAACACTCGAATAATCGACCGGAGCAACCAAACCAAACTCTAAATTTCATTTACTATTTAAGACTGGATTTCCTCCTGATCCTCTCTCCCTCTTCCTTTCTTCCCACACACACATACCAGATCTCTCTGTCCGCACTGCAATTGCAACTGTCTTCAGAACTTCTGCTATTACACACTCAAACACATTCACGATGACTTCTTTCAAGATGATCACGCGCGCTCTCCCTACTCTCTCCGTCTTCCTCTTCTTCTTCTTCACGACCTACTCCTTCCTCTCCTTGACGCCAGCCAATGATCCCCTTGACTGGCGTCTTGTTCTCGCCTCTATCCTGCCAGTACTGCTCGTCGACATGTATCTCCTCAAGGTACATCTAGTACTTGGCACTGCTTTCTTTGGTATCATCTCTCTGGTCATCGGTACCATTTCTTCCGTTGTTCTTGAGCACAACGTCTCGGTCTGGTCGGTAAGTAAACACTGCAATTTTTCCCCTCCTCCCTCACCCAAAGCACACCCAATACGCCTTTGGATCCTATTTGAAAATTGATCTACAGACTAACTCTTACTTCTACAGGTGCTCTACTGGCTCGTGATCCAAACCTTCCTAGCGGGGTTTACTCCTCTTGGTTGGTACGGATTCTGGGCTACAGCCTGCTTCGTAGGCACCTGGAACCAAGGCCCGTTGTCTCTTCTCTGGACTGTGCCCCAGCTAGCCCTCGCTGCCTGGATCAAGTGGTAAGTTGCAATTCTTCATATTTATCAATTTTACTACTATTATCATCATTATTATCGCCTGTTTACACTTCACAACTTCCAACCCACATACCCCTGTGCCCCCACCAACCCCCACCTACACCTCCCTATCTACCACCAACCCTTACCCACTTCATCTCCCCTTACCCATCTCTCCATATCTACCCTTACCCATGCTTGTCCTTACCTACTTCTACCCTACATGGGCGTATCTATATATCTATTCAACCCTTTTGCTCTTCTACTCCGATATTCTTATGCTCCCTATACCCCTATCCCCTATCATCATGCACTATCATATGTTTCCTTCCTATACTCCTGTATTCATTTCACAGCCTCGCTTCCATTCTGATGGAAGGCAACGTCACTATGCCACAATCCCACCTCCCGATAGTTACTACTTTCGTACTTGAAACCCACATAATATAAAAGGACAGAAACTAACTGGATGCTCTAGGATGGTCGCCCTTGAACCAGCGGATTACCAGCCTAGGCGACATGGCTATTGCCGTGTCCCTGGCTGGAGATCTTGTTTGGTTTCAGAGCTCCAGAAGCTTGATTGGGGCCTAAGCGTCAACGACGCCATTGGCCTTCTTCACCTTGCTCGCCGTTGGTTCGCCGGTGTTGTAGCGGTAGTCCGGTTCGTGACCTGGCTCATCCCACAAGCCAAAGCGTATGAGTCGAGGGCCGTGGTTGAATCCGATCGTAGGATGATACCTTCTAGCCCTGAGACCTGCCCTGAGCCAGTTCAACCCGAGGATGACAAGCCCATGCCTCCGCGGCCTGTCTATCCGTCGGGTGTTCGAGTTCCGGTCTTCCCGTTCGCAAAAGAGCGAGTCAAAATGCTTCTCAGCAAGCCTAAGCCTTGCGTGAATAGGTATTTTGAGTTCCCTCGCTTGCTCCCTGCCCAGCGTCCCAAGCGCCCCGTAAGGGGTGTTTCAAGTCTTCAGCTGGTCAACTCCGAACCTGTGCCAACCTGGCCTAACGGTGCCCCAATGTTCTTCGGTCCAATGGTTGGACCTGCTCCTGTGCTTTGTCCCGAGTCTACGCTGGGTCTCGAGCTTTTCTCCGCTCCCCAGCCGGTGACATATCAGCAAGCACCGGAGCACACCTTCGTACCGGCGTCTGTCATTGTCAATCAGCCACAGCCAGCCCTTTGCTTCCCTGAGCCAGCCAAAGCCATTGACAGGGAAGTAGAGATGACCGACGCCGAAGGTCCAGCCGTTGCCTTCTCAGCACCCGAAGAACAACAAGAGGTGCCCAAGCAAGGTGCGGAGTCGGTGGCTCCCGAAATGGAGTTTGAGTACTTCCAGTCGAAGTACTTGGACGAGGAGCAAACTGCCACGGTCCCGCAGCAAATGGACATCAACTCGGACGTGAAGACGGATGAGATCCAGCAGCTTAGAACTGCTGGCTCAGATGTTGACACGGACGAGAACCATTCGGGCGTGGAAATGAAGCCGGCGCCAAATGCGGCTTCTCAACTACCTCGCCAAGTTCCTCACTGGGACTCGGACTCCGAATTGAGCTCGCCGCCCCCGGATGATGAGCCTATGCCTCACCCACGAAGCCAGCCCAAGCAGGCATCACACATCGTGGGAGGACTGACTTTCCCGCTACCGGCACCAAACCAGATGAGTCCGATACTTCAATTGTCCGAACAGCCCAACCAGCCAAGCCAGCCGCGCAAGTTGATCAAGCCCCGTTCGCCAAGAAAGTCTGGTTCCGGTAAGCCTGGTCCAAGTCTGCCGAGTCAGAAGGCCATCAAGCCGGAGACCCCAAAGTCAAGCCAGCCTTCACTCGAGAAGGGAAAGGAGGTAGCTAGTTCTGAAAGCTCCTCCAGCCGCCCCGACCAAACCGTTTCTTCGCCCATAGAACAGTCAAGCGCTCCTGACTATGACGACTACGAAGATCGGCTTGAGGCAAGGATTGAGGACTTGATGAATCAAGGAATCAATGATGAGACGGCTAGGATGATGGCGGAGATTGAACTCTGTTGAATGATCTAGACTATTGTCTGATCTTCTCGGAACTTCTGGATCCACTCATCACCATCTCTCTCTACTGGCGGTTTCCCTCTGGTTTTGACGGTAAGGGGGGTTTAGCTCCCGGCTCAATTTATTTCGGAGCGCTGTGGCACAGTCCTCTGCTCTCTTCTTCTTCTCCCTTCCGTTCCCTCATAGCATACTAACAATATAGCACTGGGCCGGCCCTGAGAGCTCCTAGTGGGCGAGGGAGCCGGTCGCCATTCGTCGCTGATCTGGACCCCTGAATCCTTCCGGAAGATGGGCATAAAATGCACGTTTGGCCGTCCACCGTCTACTATCCGAGGACCCCGAAGAACCACGGTGAAGGGTGAGGATGATGCTTGAGGACCCCGGCAACCTTCGGGTCAAGGGCGAGAGCGGGCGGTGTTAGAATGAAATCTTTTGGGCTTGCCCTCGCGATTGATGACTTCTATACGGCGCATGGCAGATTCTGAGTATTCTTCGGTTTCGAGGACCTTTTCATATAGCCACAGTGCTTATATTGGTTATGTTGCTACTATTCTATCCTCTCGACAATGTCTCGTTACAGCCCTGATCCTCGGCTGTCCTTTCGAGCACCCTTATCGGCAACGCTCATATGGACCTTTTTCTCGCCATCCTTTGAGCAACTCGACAACGCCTCGACTCGGTCTTGTTCTCTCGCCAGCCTTCGAGTTTCTGTTGGAGTTTCATTCGAATGTTGAGAAAATCCAAAAAAAGTTGAAAATCATAAAACCTCCAAAAAAATCTGCTTTCTTTTGGGTCGGTCTCGCAATGGGTTTTTTCAGGAGTTACACGATTGCTTTTTCTGGGTTTTGCTTTGGGTTTGTTTTTGTCAACGAGGCCCGGTTGCGAATGGTGGCTACCGCTAGCAATTATTTCAAGTAGGTCGTATTCACTTCGTATTATCTTTTTCCCTGGCTAATATGAAGTCGAGGAGATACCGCAAGACCGAGAAGGTATCGCAAGGATCGAGGAAATGCCATAAGATCGAGGCAGCCAAGAAGATATCAAAGAACCGAGGACCCTGAAAGATTAACCCCAACTCCCCTTTCCCCATACGTGAATATGCTAACGAATTTATAGAAACCGAATCATGATTACTTACTGCTTTTGTGGCATCAGACAGTCCATATTCATCCAAGATGTATGAGATTGAGCCAATACAGAAGCACAGAATAAACTACAACATGGGTGCAGGTACTGGCCGGTCTCTCTTCTATAGAACTGTGCCCCTAGCCTTAGTTGTGACATATTAACACCTATATAGTGTATTTGTGAACAGGGAAATATTATCTTGGGATAATCTCATCGGTTGGGGATGAGATGATAGATTGACGGGAATTGACTTATCGCTCTATTATATACCTTTATATTGACATTGAGAAATTTAACGCTAACAGTTTCAAATAGAATGATTCCGACTTGAATCGCGAGTGTTATCAACCGACGATACACCTTTGAGGATTAGAGAATCTATCCATTGGCTATTGTATACCCAGGTCTATCCAAATCCATTGAGTCTAGCTTCCCCCTTTTCACTACTAATTCATAGAGGCAGACGTATTCCTGAATCATGAGTTATAATTAGGGCCATAGGTGGCACGTCGAACGCTGTTGATCGAGGTAAGGAGGACACAAATGGTAAGTGCCCTTGTATTGGAAGGATTAACGTAAGTAGATTTGGGGATTGTGCAACTGGTTCAAGAGGGTATCGCCCACTTTTGAATTGAAAGGAGTGATGTTGTTGTCAGCATACTAATTTACCTAGGTAGACAATTCAAACATTTAGAATAGAGTCGGTATTGTGTTTACCAACGTCAAGGACGAATTACTTGATGAGGTTCGTAGTAAGCAAGATATTCAAAGTATCCAAGCATCTTCTATTCAACCATACATTTACTCTAGTTTAATATTGTATGTGTTCTACTAAAGCACCAACGAATTCTATGCCATGCTATCTTGGCTTGATCTTCGTCCATCCACTAGTACCCCTCTCCTTCTCCCTGTCACGATCACTACCCGCGACACCAGCACCGGCACCATTACCATTAGCATAAGGCACCCTAGGATTCTGCTGTTCCCGATCCCCACTACTCCCGCTCTTAACCGTGTTCACGCTCATATAACTCTCCACGCCAAATCGATGGTGTCCCGCATGCGCGGCGTGTAAACCGGCCCCTTGCTTACCACCGACTATGACTCCATCATCGAGCGCGTCGTCCGGTGTCCAAGCGTCGTCTTCGAGTAACTCCCATTCGGGGGCCGGGGCGTCGCGGGCGAGCTTCGCTTTCAGTTTATCCACAATCTTAGTGATATTCGGCATTTTGAAACTTCGCGTTAGGTCCTGGCCTGGTGCGCTGCCGAGGAATGTGTGTGAGGTCCCGTGGGAGTAGAGGCCCATGCGGGGTGCGGCTTTCCAGCCGTTGTCTGAGGTATTCGTGTTGGGGCTTGGACTACTGGTGTTGGCTTGTGGGGAGGGAGGTACGTCGGCGGCGATTTGTTGGGGTGTGCGGAAGAGGGAGGAGTTGATTAGGAGGCTGTAGAGGTTGCGGCCGAGACAGGAGAAATCTTCGAGGTTGTTATCCCCGACGGGGACTCCTTGCGTTCGGCAGAGCCAGACTATGTCGTAGGAGAGGAGGCATACGGCTTCGAGGAAGGCGGTGTATGCTGTTGGATCTTCTTTGGAGAGGGTTGAGAGGGGTTTGTCGAGGAAGAGGGGGCGTGGGTGTGGGACATGGGCGAATTGTCGGTCGCGCGGGTCGGGTGGGAGGAGGGATGTACCTGGGAAGGCGACGTCTCCGTGGTGGTAGGAGGATTGTAGGGAGAAGATGGTTGGTCGTGGGTAGTCGTTGTGTGGGAGGGTGATCTCGGCGGGGAGGCGGATGGAGAGGTAGTGAGATGTGAGCCATAGGAGGTGGGTGATGTGAGCGAGAGATGCGGATATGAGCTCCGGTTGAGCGCCTGAGTAATACGTTAGATGGGATTGGATAAGACCTATGGGAGGCATCTTACTGTTCAAATTGTGTAAGTCGACAATATCAATACCACCGATTTTGTATTCAAACCCGACAGGTTTGCCTCGTCGAACTCGCTGTAGCCTATATAGCTTCGCCACTTCCATACATAGCGCAGCCCTGTACTGGGTCATAGCATCGTACTCCCGATCCCAGCTGTACTTGGTCATCTTGATGGCTTTCTTTGCTTCTTCAACTTCCCTAGCCCGTCGAGCGGTGGCTCCCTGTGACGCGGCAGCTATGTCCGCCTTCTTCTGTGCGATGTTGGCCTTGCGCTCTTCGATCGCCTTCCTAGCTGCAGCTACCTCGTCGCGAAGCCTATCCGCCGAGGCTATGATCTGTGCCGTCCTTTCCTTGGCCTTTTGTTCTTCTGAAGCGCAGTTCTCGATGTATTCCCGAGAGGAACGGTTTGGCGTGGGGTTGTTGTCTGTGTTCACTTCGCTATCTGACAATAGCTTGGTAACTCGGGACTCGAGTTCCTCAGCTTCCATGAGGATCCTCGCGTTGGCTATTCGTCCTTCGTATAGCTCGTTTCTCGCATCGACCGCGCAGAAGAAGGGTAACCGTTTTGGGTGGTGTACCCGTTGGCATATATCGCAGTTCATGGTGGCGGTATTGGGGTGGTTGTGTACTCATTCACGAGGTCGGATGGGATGCCTAGAAACGAAACAGGATTTATTAAAGTAAGAAAAAGAAAAAGGCCGCGCTTCTACGGATTGAAACCGGCTACTCGAAGAAGTGCTGTTACATTGGTGAGGTAAGCAGACTGCATATCGAGGTATTGAAAATGGTATATGTTGCTGTTGGAAGGGAGGCGATATAGAATGAATAAGCATTGACTTGTTTAAATATGAAGTAAGTTGAAGTTGGATTGTGATCGAAGAAGAGTCGGGACGGCGTGAAGAAGGTCCTTGTGACGTTGAGGAGGTACAAGGGTACGAGAGTACATGCAGGGGATCTTTACCTTATCGTCTTCTTATCGGTCTTATCACATCTTATCGGCTTAAATGCCAAGACTTATAGTCCTCATCAATTCTAATTGCTCAATTCAAACATTCCTTGGGCAGCGACGCGTCTCGCTTTTACAACTTTCAGGTACGTAACAGCAAGAAAAATTGTGTGATGATGAGTTGTTGTTGTCGCTGTTGTTTTTCTTATGATTTCTATTAAAAGAAGCACTCATTCAAATCAATAAATATTCACCCGTGTCTTCATTTACTCATGTATTAAGTCAAGAAAGTCAAGAAGTGCGAGTTAGATTTATCAGATGATCAATTATTCAGCCTCAGTTACAGTACTATTCCACTTATTTCCAACCCGATCGCGTCACGCGTCGCCTATTCTCTATAGTCCCGGAGTATTCTAGTCACCTAGGTACTAATTAATTGCCTTGCAGTTTCGCTTGGAATAGGCCGAATTTAAGAGGGTGTAAGCTGGACACTGAAACAAGCATCATGTCTACCACACCCAGGGACCAATCTCCAGCGAAAGCGTCGCAAAATGGTGTGGCGCCAGATCAGTCAATGATGGTAGAATTACCCACTCAACTGGGTGACCAGACCGAACTCGCCGAACCACCCGAGGAGGATGTAACCGTGAGGCTACATTCACAAACACAATCACAACCTCAGCCACAGTCTCCTTCTAGGGCGCAGATTCCTAGGATCGAACATGGCCAACACACCACTCTACTGAGACACCTAGAACGCCAACGTCAAACAAGAACTCCCGAACCACAAAAGCGTCGGAGTAATAGGTCGGAGATGCAAAGTCCGGGTCACCTTGCCGCTTTCGACTGGGATGACTTTCATGAGCGTTACACAAAAGCCCTAGAAGAAGCCGATGCGCAGGAAAAACAGCTGTTGGAGGAATTTGATACTCTCATCAAGGTATGTTTGGCTGTCTTGTATATACTGGTGACCCCTGAATTATTGTTGACTCTAGATTAGTACTTCAATGTTTGGGCATCAGCTTCATCTGCCCATGATAATGAAAGAGCGGTCAAAAGGTTTGTCACTTTATTATACACAATTATATGATGGCAGAACTAAGAATGAGTAGATTGCAGACTCGCGAGAGACATGTGCAACTTTCTGAACAGACTCTCGCACAGAAGAAACAACATTGTAAGTGCCACCTCTTGTTTTATTCTAGAGTAATGGTCTGACCTGTCTAGTGTCTGAGGTTGTAAGAGCTTTCCAGAGTGCTCTGGCACTTCTAAGTACGACTTAATTAGCGACGTATTTCGCCTTATTTGTGACGATTTTCCCTGTTGTTCGCCATGGTATATGGGGATAGTCATCTGAGCGTATGACTAGTGGACTTGGTTGCGCATTACTTTTATACCTTTAAAAAAACAGATGCATCGAGTAATGATACCAGATATTATGTCTGGTTTCGATGAAACAAATTAGGGACAGCTTACGAGTGCATTGACATTGGCGTTGGTTTATTCATTCTTAACGATCTTGACGATATTCACGACATAACGACTTTTTACGAATTCTTATGATGCTCACGAATTACATATTTATGAAATGGCCCTGTACTTAGCAACATTAGCTTTATGATTTCTATCTTTGCAATTTTATGAATTTATACTGTGGTTTTGATGTAATTTGATTTCCATAGAATTGACTGATGAACCTTAGGCGATCCGATATTAGCCAATTGAGTAGCAGTAAATGGTGGTGGGGCTAAAGCTCATGAGCACGGTACATGTACCGAGGTACCTTGTAGATATTGAAAGTTAAAGCTCGAGCTTCATTCACCCTTTCTCACTTTTTCATCAACAACAATTTGCGTAGACATTTTAGCTATTGACTACAGCTTGTCTTCGCGACAATGTCTGCTGCTTTGAAAACTCTGGGGAGTTTCTTCCGAGTACCACAAGTTTCGCAGGTATGTTAAATTTCCATATCAATGCAAACTCCTTCGTTTGGCTAATGCTGACTGCCTAGGCAGGCAGAAATTGAATCATTTCACGACGCGCACTTCTCCAACGCGTCCATCGGGCATTTCGATTTCCAATTTTTCCGGCCAGAAAATGCAGAAGGTAATAGTCAATACTACGAAGAAAACGAAGAGTATTACGAGGAGTATTACGAAGAGGATGATGGCCTCGGCTACTACCCCGATGGCGTCAAGCGCACCCTAACCGACGAGCAAATCGCGATTTTCCGACATTCAGAAATCGAAGCCCTGCGTCGCGTCGAATCCAAAGCTGATAAGCTCAGGAAGGAATCGGCGGCGTTGTTACAGGCAGCTAAGGAAGAGGACGCGTCTAATTCCATCTCTGATTCGATACCACAATCTCCAACCAATATCAAAGCCGAGAATTCTGATAAGGCGGAGATTAAGGAAGAGGAGGATGGCGAAGTGCAGGATGGTAGTGAAGACGGCGAGATCGAAGTAGAGCAACCCCAACTTACAAAAGCCGAAATAAGGCGCCAAAAGCGACAGCGCTCGAAGCGAAAGAAACAAGACCAACGTAAATTCAATCCCGAGAAGAAGCCTGATTTACGAAAGAGGACCTGGGACGTGGTTGAAGCTGGTATGGACAGCTTGGATTACGATGAATTCGATGGAGCCCAGGATGCGTCTGCAACTCCTGCGGCACAGCGCCGACGTATTTCGTACGACGATTGATATGAGGATTTTGCCCCCTGCAAGCCTGTATCTTTTGACCAGATGCATTATCCATATCGGGTCATGAACCCCAAGTATAGATATACGGCTACAACATTTTCGGTTAGGTCCGTATTACATTCCCTTTTCCCCAGTCTTTGTCTTATTTCGTTTCCGTGATGAGAGCCTTTGTATCGTCATCCTTAGTCGGAAGTCTGCCGGAACCACATGAAATCGGCGGTCAGCTGATGGATTGTCGGTTACCAATTGGATGCATGTCGAACGCTTTAATCTTCTCTCTGAAAACATCATATAATTGCTTTTTTTTTGTTCTACCATCCAGGTACTGTGGACATCTTCACTAATTCTCCACATAGTACCTAATCGAGTACATACATGTGTTATGTAGATCTTGGAATGCTCGATAATAAACAGCACGTGGGGGACGGGGCCTTGCATTTTATCTACAAGAGTTAAGCTACGTATGATTCTAGCTAAGCCCCATTTTGAACCTTGGAGATTAATGTATTGTTCATGGAGATCTGAAATAGACATATACGCAGTGGCCGGGCCTGGTACATACGCGTCCTTATTCAAGCTTTTCTTTTGCATATGGCAAAGCCGTAAGGAAGGCGGACACTGTGCGGTGACAAGCCAATCTGCAGCTTGTACTCATGTACTTGGAGAAGGGCCCCGAGACAATCAGAGGCTCTTTCCTTATAAGGACACCTAGGGAGCTACCTAAGTAATGTTCTTACTGCAGAAGATCCGCATGTAAGACAAAGAACAATAAAGTTCGTTTGAAACTATTGCAACCGTAGTACCTGCAAGAATAGTTCGAGGAAATTTAAAATATCGGGCAGGAACTCACCTACATAAAACTGTTGCATTTATCAATCCTGCAAAATTTGGTGTCCTACATATTACAATCAATGATGGGTCCAAGTAACCAAAGATACATCTATAAGGGGTTATTTCCCCAAGTACAGTAAGTACCGTACGAAAAGTACCAAGATTTAAGTTTACTCCTATCATTCGTACTGTACTTATCAGCTTGCCGTAGTTTGGCCGGGGGGTAGGTAGGTGCGTTAGGTGCGTTAGGTGCGTAGGTGCGACCAACTCCACTCCACACTCAGGCACTGCCCTGCGCCAACACCGGGTTCTAGTTCCAATCTTCGACATCCCACCCTACCAGCCCTGCCCACCTTCAAATAACTAATCCCCCGGCCCTGTCTAGGTCCCCGTCCCCATCCCACTACCTCCAACAACCACGACCGCCACGGTTCTGGGAATATCGTCACCCATCGCGCCATCGCGAGCCCGAGCCTGATCCCCTCTACGGCCGCAACCGAACCTCCCGCGAAAACGACGACAATATCTATTCACGATATTCTCCATCTCGTATCCTTAACCCGGCGCCTATTCCCCCTCGAGACCCAGCATTTGGGGTTCCTTGGGCGTACGATACCGACGACAAAATGGCGCGCGTCTACGCCGATGTCAACCAGAATATGCCCCGAGCGTACTGGGATTACGACAGCGTTAATATCAGTAAGTCGCGGAATTGCTATTTGGATTGGATTGTGATGCGCTTTGCCTCCAACCCGTTTGAGGCTCTATCTTTCTCATCCTACGCTTTTTCTCTTAAGGCAAAATCTATTTCTGGGGAATTAAATACTAACATATTGGTGCTATTCAGGCTGGGGCATTCTCGAGAACTACGAGGTAGTTAGGAAGATCGGTATGTCGCGAATACGTTCCGCATTAATCCCGACGACGGAAATACTAATATTCGACAGGCCGCGGAAAGTACTCGGAGGTCTTTGAGGGAATCAACGTGATTAATTATCAAAAATGTGTTATCAAGGTCCTCAAGCCGGTTAAGAAGAAGAAGATCAAGCGAGAAATCAAGATTCTCCAGAATCTCTCTGGTGGTCCCAACATCGTCGCCCTTCTTGATGTCGTTAGAGACAACCAGGTAGACGGCTCCCTTTTCATAACTACGTTTTGCATCAGTGTTTAGCACACGATTCTTCCCGCGTTACGAGGCGAATCATTTGGTACTGACTATGTGTCTCCGTATTTAGAGTAAGACTCCGTCTCTCATCTTCGAGAATGTGAACAATACCGACTTCCGAAGCCTCTACCCCAAGTTCAACGACATTGATGTACGATACTACATCTTCGAGCTCTTGAAGGCTCTCGACTACTGTCACAGCAAGGGAGTTATGCACCGAGACGTAAAACCTCATAACGTTATGATCGATCATGAGAATAGAAAGGTATGTATTTGCTCAACCTACTTTGGATTGTTAATATTGTTATTTCTGACTTATTTGCTAGTTACGTCTTATCGACTGGGGTCTAGCTGAGTTCTACCATCCCGGAACCGAATATAATGTGCGCGTATGTGAATCATAATCCCCAAAGACCTTTCCCTCTTCTGCAGCGAGCTGCAAATATACTCACGTGATGCACATTTTCGAAATCACGATACGATTTCATGTCTAAATATGCTAACGATGTTCCCTTAGGTTGCTTCCCGCTACTTTAAAGGACCTGAGCTGTTAGTCGATTTCCAGGAGTACGATTACAGTCTAGACATGTGGTCCCTTGGTGCCATGTTCGCGTCCATGATCTTCCGAAAGGAGCCCTTCTTCCACGGAAATAGCAATTCCGACCAACTGGTTAAGATTGCAAAGGTTCTCGGCACGGATGATCTCTTCGACTATCTAGACAAGTACGAAATTGAACTTGATCCCCAGTACGACGATATCCTAGGTCGTTTTGCCAAGAAGCCCTGGCACAGCTTTGTCACAACCGAGAATCAGCGATTCGTTAGCAACGAAGCCATTGATTTCCTTGACAAGCTCCTCCGATACGACCACCAGGTTTGTAGAATTGCTCCCGCCTTTCTCTGATTTTTACTAATTGATATCTAGGAGCGTCTCACAGCCAAGGAGGCTATGGCCCATGCGTATTTCGCCCCCATTCGAGACGAGGCCACTCTAACGGAATACCTTGGTGGTGCAACTGTTAGCTCGGAATCTTGAGCTACGATGCAGTTTAGTAACGGACGACATCTTCTATCAGGCCCTACCTCTGGATTATTGAGATACCCCGGGCTTCTCGTCTTTTCTGTTTCGTCCGTCGCTTTATTATGGACCATTTACACTCGTATCAATGACATCACGATGAGATGTGGTGCCAAACTTTGCTTAAGTGGGAATTCGGTATTAGTTGTTCTCCTAGCTACATCGCTGAGACGACTTCCATGTAATTTGCAATTCCTTCACATAACACATCGCAACACCCATGTGGTGCTCTCGGGAAAGCAAGACGACCCAACACTAATAGATCACGATCGACGAGACTCGTCACTTTTTAAATAACCGATGCTACTATCTAAAAAGCTTCGGTCGCTATGATAGGGTGCTAGGAGTATGATGTGATTAGGAGTGGAATGCAGACAAGAGAAATGGCTGGGCTTGGCTTTGGCGTTTCCCCGGGCTTATTCAAGGGATGGGCAAATGGCAAATGGGGCAATGGGAGGAATATGACATTTTTCTTCTCTCCTCCCGCGATTACTAGGTACTCGGTAGGGTTAGGCCAGCATGGGAAATTATCAAATAGTGTAGACCATCAGATGAGTTATCAATAAATCTTCAATCTTCATGACTGTAGTTAGTGACCTGGTAGGTTTTCGTCTTGGTGTCGATTTCATCGTCGGAGGGTGTTAGGCTCAAAGTTTCAAGGGCATTTGATAGTGAATTGAATATACTTAGATTTGCTATGGGGAGCGGATCCCACTACGTTTTTACATCTAGATCTCGCGACGAAGTAAAATTATCTACTTTACATACTAGGTTGCCATGAATTAATGTAAGATGAAGCCGTGATGTGCCGACGATATCCGCTCATGGTAGTGTCCGTCGCTCGTCACCGAGCATTGCTTGATATAAATCGCTTAATGAGGGATACTGAACTCGGGACGTGAATTACGAACATTCAGAGAGGAATTCTTGAATATCTGGTTACAATCTTACGCTCCTTTTCCTCTTCTTACTCGCGGTAACGTGTATAACCATATATTCAGCTAAGTATTCCTCCAAATCACGAAATATCACAAGTAAAAATTGCGTGTATAGCTAAATGTAGCATTATGCCATTATTATAAAGTTTAAGGTATATATACGCAGTAATAGTTATCAAGGTCAAGCCACGAACCTCCTGAATCTCATGTAGCTCCCCTCCCATCCAGCCCCGTTAATGCAATTCCTCAAAATGCTAGCTTTATTCCAATCCAACCCTTCGATTTGATGAATCCCCATGCGTCCATCATTATATTATACCAAGCCATGTTGTACTCGTAGCAATTAGCCAGGAGTTAGCCTGCCAACACTACTTGCAACAAGTAAAGCAAAAATCCCGATCACACACATACCCATCCTCGCCACACTTCTCTGCCGTACCGCTGGGCGTGCGTACGGGACTGCTATCTAGAGCCATCGCATCTCTATCGCGCTTCCGTCGCGATGGTGTAGAAGTTAGGATGTCATCGTCACCTTCAGCGATAGCTGCAGAGGCATTCATATTCATAACCGTCCTCGCCAAGGGTGAACTCTGCACTCCACCGCTATTACTAGTGAACCCGCGTCTCTTACCGCGTATCGCGGCTCTGGAATCCGTTGCTGGAGGCGCAGTGCGTTTGCTGATGCGGTGGGGTGTGACGAGTGCGTTGTGTCTGCGATTGGGTTTACGCGGTGTGGAGGTCAGTGCGGATGAAGTGGCGGTAGTACGAACGGGCGCAGGCCAGAAACGGAATGGGCTTGGCGCAGCACTTGATGAAAGTACGCTTAGCTCATCGTCATCATCGTCGGGATCATCCGGGACGAGCGATGTGAGTGTGGACTTCCTTTTGGTGGATGGCGTACGGCTGGGGCTGCTCCTGTGCTCTGATGCAGCACTCGGTTCTTTCCGTTTTTTAGGTGTTCTAGGGGTTTTGATGTTGGCGTTGTGTTTTGTGGTTGGTGGGGGAAGGTCCTTAGTTTTTGAGCTAGAGTCGTGTAACGCGGGCGGTGGTCGTATGGGCAATTCTGATGTCTTAGCGGATGGTCGCTTTTTTAAGCGGAGTGGTGACGCTTCTTTTTGGACTTGTGGAGGCATGATTTCCTCTTCGCCTGGTAAGTCCAGTGCTTGATCCTCGGGGGTTGGTTCGTTTGCTGTATTATCCACAGGTGGTATTGGTTCTATGCTACCGAGTTCGGGAGACTGTCTCTCTTCGTGTATAGGATCGGGTAACGGAGGAAGGGTCTCTTCCGACTCTACCGATTCATTTGAATCCTGTGCAGCTTCTTGGGTATCGTCTAATACAATGTGAGACTTCTCTATATCCTTTGTAGCGCTTAGGTTTTCATTATCGACGGTATCGTATTCCACCTCTATTGTATTACTCGGCTCTTCTATATGGTTAATATGAGAATCAACGTCCTCGTTGTCTCTTTGATGAGAGTGAGTATCAAGACTCAAATCTTCTGGTTTGTGATGTGGTTCTTCCTCGTCTACCAAGCCGTCAGACCGGCCAGGTTCACTAGGTAAAATTGTCTCATTGTCTTCAGAAGATTCTTCCGTCTCCTTTGTATTGGTTTCGCCATCTGAAAACAAAGATTCCAGTTGCTCTGTGAGGGCGGACTGAAAGTCGGTCGAATCACTTCGCGCTCTCGCACTCCTGTCTTCGTCCCCTTCGTTCAGAGGCAATTCTTTGTGGTTTTCTTGGTCAGGGTTGGTATCAGTATCTACATGCGCATCTACGTTAATATCCTCCGCAACTCCTAGACACGAGTCGGACTGCCCGACTTTTTCGTGTAGAGGGTCGATAGGATCTCTACTAGATTCGGTCGTTTCTATAGGCAATATACTAGATCCTTCATTAACCATCTCTTCTGTGGCATTAGGCATGTCGATGATTTCCGGTCTGAGATGGCACCTTTTCATCTGTGCTTTCCGGTTTTTGGCTTTGATTTGGGCTAATTTCGCAGCAATCTGTCTTGCCAAGATAGATTCCCCTTCCACTGGTGGCGATGGTAAGGGTGATGCAGCTATTGGCTCAACTGTGGGGGTGGGCTCTGGACTTTTGCTGGTTTCCGTGTTTTCATCGCCATTCCCAGGCGCTCTGCCATCAGACTCCGGTGGTTTGTCTTGTGTGGCTGTCTTCTTTGGCCGGCCCGGCCCGCGGCGTGATTTTTGAGAATCCTGTTCAAGTACGGGAGTAGCTGTTTGTTCAATATCTTCCCGATTTACTTGCTTTGATATTTCAGCTATAGTAGCCGGTGCTGGGGGCTGACTATCTTCCGTAGACGCAATTTTTATGACCTTTTGGGTACTGCCGCCTAGTAAAATATCATCTTCTTCAGAGTCATCATCGGCTGACGCTGCACGAAGTAGGAGTTTCTGTCCTGAAGGTTTCGCACAAGGGAGTTTCTTTGACAATGGACGATGGGAAAACCCATTGAAGGAGCTGCCATAGCTTGGTCCTGTGAACATTGGCCCGTGCCCAAATGAATGTGGAAATCCCATCGATTGTTCCATAGGTTGTCCCATGAAGTTGAATCTATTTTGATACGGATTCGTTGAGACCTCAGGGGTTTGCCAGAGCGGATCGACCGGCGCATTGCCGAACATAGGCGGCCCGAACATGAACGGATTAGGATATCCGAATGGATCCGTACCCATTCCGAATGGTGGTGGTTGGTGATAAAATCCAGTAGCCATATTGGGTTGGTTGAATCCCGGATGAAATCCGTGCGAAGCGTTATGCATAGATGGATTGGCTTGTACCACTGATTTAGGATGTGAATTCGAAGCCGAGCTGGTTTCCTTTCCTCTCATGATCCTTTCTTCCTCATTACTAGAAATTGAGCCTTCCCTAGTGCGATCTTTCTCATCTTCAAGAGACTGAAGATGTCCGTTATTAACGATTATCTCACCAGTCTCAAGGTCAATCTCATCGCCGACATCAGTGAAATCCCTCTCATACTTTTCGAATATGCGTTCAAAAGCTGACTTGAGTCTTGTTGCTGCCTTAGCTCGCCCCCTGTCAAGTTCATATAGGGGATCTTGTCTTGCATCAAATTGATTTGGGGTCATAGATAATTCATCCAAATTTGCTTCATCATCGTTGTCGTCGTTATCGTAAGGGGCTTGGCCAAGCCGTATTTTCTTTGAAGGGGGTTCCATGATTGTAACTGCGGCGTGGCCATGGCCGTAAGGCCGACATGAATCGAGTGAGTTTTAGTGCATTAAGAAAAGATCGATTGAATATATTTCCGAGTAGAAAGATATTAGCTTAACTAAGAAAGTTATTCAAGTTCCAACGGATTGATAGAGTGAATTGCTTTGTTGCAATGAACAAACGCGTAAATGAAAATCGATAAGCGCGTCGCTATCTTATCATAACAATAGCACTGTACTTAAAATAGTATACTGATTAAGTACCACCCCTCAGTACATAGCGTTAAAGGTACAAGGGCAATAGTACCTTCCGGGGGGTTCGCCGTTTCCCTTACAGTAGCCCACCTGCCCTGAACAGCCTAAATTCTAGCGCTACAGGTGCCTGGGTGGCCTGGGTGATCAGCTGATGACGTACCGGTCGCATGCGTAGCTCAACGTCGTAACTTTCCATCGTCTTCATTTAAACTTACAATCTTTCAATACAAACAACAACATCAGCATGGAACTAACAAGACCTATTCTAAAGCCGCGATGTATTGCCAAAAGTGTCGCGCTCCATTAAAGTTGGATGGGTCTTTAGAAGACCTAAATCCGGCTGCATTCAATCTACTTGTCGGTTAGTAACTCCATTCAAATGTGCAAATGTTCAAATATCGTTACATGCTCTCAGCTAAACTCACACAATTCACTTCGCAGCTTCGTCTTCCCAACAGCCGAAACGACCCTCCGCATCGCGATTAATATACCCACACGATTCCGAGAGAAGAGCATTATATGATAGAGTATCCAAAGATGCCGGTCCCCCTACTTTTAAGAGAGGTGGCAGTGGCTTGCGTGGCGATGGCCAACCCCGCGATAGCTCAGCCATGTCCTTCGTCCTCCTTACAGAATCTCAAGTAGCTCCCCCGAGACTCACACCTCCCATAGAAACACCAAATCCAAGACAACAACGTCGAAAATCGCTTTCTACCGGCCAGCGAAACGATGGGAGATCCGCACAACCCCACGAAGCCGAACGTATCAATAAGCTCTTCGAAATATTATCCGCCCGGTCCGATATAGATCATCCTATTTGTGTCGAGTGTACAGAAATGCTAGTAGATGGGCTTCAGAAGAAATTAGAATCAGCAGCACGAGAACGAGATGCATACGCTGCCTTCCTCAAGCAGGTCCAGGCGGATGTACCCGGCGAAGAGGATATTGCCGAATCCGAACAAGCTCTACAGAAAGCACGCAAGGATGAAGAAGAATCTATGAAGCAACTCACCGCTTTGGAGAAAGAAAAGGCCGATCTAGATGCTGAAATCGCAGCACTAGAAGAGGAATCACAAGTACTAGATGCCGAAGAGGAACAGTTCTGGAGAGAGCGCAACGCATTTGCAATGAAACTCGCCGAATTCCAAAACGAAAGAGACAGCATCAACTCCAAATTCGACCATGACTCACAGCTTCTTACCAAGCTTCAGCGAGCGAATGTCTACAACGATACCTTCTCAATACATCACGATGGTCATTTTGCGACGATCAACGGGCTTAGGCTTGGTAGATTGTCAACGAAGCCCGTAGATTGGCCGGAAATCAACGCCGCATGGGGACAAGCTCTATTGCTGGTGGTCACTGTGGCTGATAAGTTGGGATATAAATTTGATGGTTATGAACCGTTACCTATGGGCTCAACATCGAAGATCATCCGCTATGACTATCCTTCACCATCGTCTAGCCGATTAGGTGGTCATCGAAGCGGACCACCACCTGGACCTAAGAAGAGTGTTCTCGAGCTCTTTAGCTCAGGCGATCTACCCTTGCAAATGCTATGGAACCGCAAGTTTGATCAAGGAATGATAGCTTTCCTGGAGTTGGTCAGGCAACTTGGAGCCTTTGTACATCAACAAACAGAATCAGGTAACAACCAAGTTGGATACCCGCTCCACCAACTAGCGCTCCCCTACAAAATTGAAGGGGACAAGATCGGAGACGACAGGATAGGACATTATAGCATCAAATTGGGGATGAACAACGACGAGAGTTGGACGAAGGCATGCAAATTCGCTCTCACCTGCTGCAAGTTCCTGATTGCGCATGCAAGCAATGTTAGCCATGTAGCAGCAAATGGGCGCTAAACTACTATTGAAATGCGCTTGGTCATTTTACAGGAATGGCGTTTATGGCGTGGATAGAGTGTGTGAAAGAATGTCGATACCAAGGTTCTTGTGCTGCAATACCGAACATGCGACATACGATCATGTCTACTAGCTCATTATAGCGGTACGTAAACTCCCTAAATTTAGGATTATGAAGGCTCAAAAAGATCATGATTTATTCTTATATACGCCCGTGCCTATTCACGCGTCCTAATACAGCTTAGCTTCTTTTTCATTTCGCGCCATGGTAACGGTCTATTGCAACCCTCCTGCAGTTCAGCTCATCTTGGCTCTCAGGATCTGCATCTATCTTTGTTTCCTCATTCTTATATAAATACAGGGGCTGAGACTTCCCGCTTTCTAGCCCTGGCAAAGCTCGAATGGTGATAGGTCATCGAAACTTCATGGGCCTGCATCATGATATGTTGCATGCAGGGTCCTAATATTACCTAGGTATATATAGGGCAAGACTATACGGTAATTACATACAAAATTCGCGCCATCCATATACCTTCGCAAAATGTATCCAGGCCCTCAATTAATAGGCTCAACTTCGATTCGGCTTCTCACATTATTTCCCGACGAAGACGATGCGCCTTTACGGTGTCGACTTGAGGTCGCCAACTTAACAGAGAATCCGGCTTTCGTCGCGCTATCGTACGTTTGGGGCGTTACCGCGCAGCCTCCCCAGGTAGTCCTCTGTAATGGCCACCCTTTCGAGGTAACGGAGAATTGCTGGGAAGCTCTGGCTCAATTTCGTCAGGACATACGGAGATCCAGAAATACTAGCGCAGAGCCCAGCTCGATCGCGCTTTGGATCGACGCAATATGCATCAACCAGAAAGATGAAGTTGAGAAAACTGGCCAAATTATGATGATGGGCGAGATCTATAAGAAAGCATCCTCAGTCTGTATCTGGCTGGGAAAAGCCGATAGCGAGACCGATGAAGCCATGGATTACCTCGAGAATTGTGGATTCCAAGATCTACTAGATCCGAGCGAAAATCACAGCTATACAATACCCCAAAAGGCTCACTCGCGTGCTATGCTTCGCATCCTCTTCCTACGCTTCATTGAGATTTTGTCATTTGCTGTGTGGCCAAGGAGTGAGTCAAAGCCCGCCATAAGAACTCGAGCACCTCTGAACTAGTTTCTAACAAATTTTCATCATATATCAGATGCCTATAAGAAAAATCGCGCCTCAATGTGTCTACCAGATCAACTAGTATCAGACTATGCTGTTCCGGTACTCCTGGGTCGGCAGTGGATCACTCGAGTTTGGACCTTACAGGAGGCCGTCCTAAACCCGAATCCATATATACAATGCGGGTCTAAACGATTACCCTGGCGGTCATTGATTCACAGTGTCGCGTTTATTTCACGTTTCGGTTGGTTCAACGAGGCGGCTCACCGGTGGATTGCATTAGTCAAGATGTGGAATGAGATTCATATTGATCCTAACGATGCTAAAACCCTGGACGAGTCACGTAAACAATTCTTCAGGCGCGCCAAACCCGAATCGAGGACCTCTTGGATGATGCCTATTTTCGTAACCTTCATTCTGGAGTTCGTGGGTCTCTTCCTCACTCTATTTGCAAAGAGTAGTATTGTACTTTATGTATTCTCTGCAACTTGTGGTCTGTACCTTGCGCTTTTTCTCCTGGCAATGGTCAACTGCAACCTGCTCAGGTGGGAAAGGGGGTATAATACTTCTTTACACCCGGGGACCATACTAAATCCCCTCCGAGCAATAGTCCAGGAGATCCGCCGACGGAGATGTCTTGAGCCGATCGATCGAATTCGTGGTGCGGTTGAGGTATTAAACCAGCTAGGTATCAATATTGGAGGGCCCGTATCGACCGATAATTTTGCCGCGATCAGTACAGAATTGACCGTCAAATGTCTTGAGGGATGCAAATCTCTCAATCTCCTTCTTTGTTGCTCGAATCAAGGACCGAAGGGGCAGCCTTCTTGGGTGCCCAATTGGGATCTGTCTGGAGAAGACTCATGGCTAGACCCTAAGTATCTGAGTTTCACCCCCATGGATCTACGGTCGGCACGATATTCTGTTACTGCCGAGTTGCACGACCCTCATACGTGGGAGCACTGACTTCGGCGTTGGTTCGCTTCTATCACCGGCACGGGCAATACGGGATACGATGTAGGTGGTCACCTTCGGCCGTTAGGGCCAGGTCCGAATGGCGGGGACTGGCCTACATCGGGGATGTGTACTCCAATGTCTAGATCGGTTTGGAGCCTTCGCGATAATCAGGAACTATCTCTTCTGGGTAAGGAAGTTGGCCGTATCACTTGGGTTAGCCAAGATTTCCAGGACACGGGGGAGACGTTTGACGAAAAAGAACTACCTCTTCATATTCACAATATGGAAAATATTCGCGCTTTAAGGTCGAGAAAACACGGCGGTCGCTTACCACTCCCCAGGGGAGCGCCGAGATACCGCCTTCACAGCCATTATATCTTCGACGGAGATACTTCGCAAGATTTGAATACGCTGCGGAAGTTGGCGTTTTCGAAATTTGGGCGTTGGTATGCGCTGATTTGGTGGTTTCTTAATCGGCCTGCGCATGAGATTGTTTCGATACTTCGTCGGTTTCCTGTTCTTGCTAATTATCACATTAAATTAACAAATGCATTTGCGAAGAGACAGCGCGTTCTGGCGGAGGCTACGGGGGAGTTTTTCGGAGTGAGGTATAGCAATTGCCCCAGGGGTACGGAAGTAGGAGATTGTATCTTCATGATATCTGGTATTTCCTTGCTACTTGTTCTTAGGGAGGTTGGGGATGGCGGGGTATATCGATTGATAGGCTTTGCGGAGATCAGGAGCGAAGAGTTGATGCTCGGAAAGGTATGGTGGAAGATTGTTGAGGATAATTCTCTTCATGAGGTAATTATCCGTTGAATTAATGGTCGATGAGAATAAATTATAAGGACTTTAAGCAAATACACAAGCGTGAATTCGCGGTGAACCTCACTTCATTTTGATGAAGACACCCGCCGATGGTGGCCATGGGTTTTGCTTTTATATACATCTAGAAGTATTTTCACGGGACGGCGCCATTCCGATGTGGCTTGTGAGGGGTCGTAGGTGATTACTAAGGGGGCAGCAAAGTAATTCGCACGGTCAGAGACGGTGAAAATCAACCCAGGAAATACATCATCGTTTCGTACTGACATTTGCCCCCATACTTCAGCTTCGTCTTATGAGCTCCTAAGGAAGCCTACACAATTGACTATCCCAATTTTTCTAATTAGATATCCAAACCCATCAATCTATCTCAGGTGACCTCGGACTGATTCGAGGAAATGAAGCAGGCTGTAAGTCGTGTTCCGCTCCGAATAGCGGCGTCAAAACCCAACCGACATCGGTTAACGCGACAACACGAAATATCCTACTCCAAGTTTTCACTACTCCTAAACCCTGTGGACCATCGTCAAACAAGCCCGACCAATATCGAGTTCTATTCTATCCCGCAAACATGGGGTAGCTATACATAGTTCAGACTCCGAACTCGACTCCACAAGACAAACAAGCGGGTTACTCGAAGGCCGCTTGGTGACAACTTCAATATGGGTTGACTATGCGCGCAACAAACTCAGGCACATGTCAGTCGACTCTAGCCCTCCAGATAGAAATACCGGTACCAACGCCGCCTAAGATATATCTGAAACGCCTCAGCCGCAGCTAGTCGGAACGTCCCGAGGATCTGGATCGATATACGAGGTTGTGTTAAGCTTTGATTGCCGAAGCGGGTCCGTCCCGGTTTTCTCGGGGTTTGTTTAGCTGCCGTGTTAGCAAGAGCGGGAGGCAGATTGTGACTTCCTTTACGGGATATGGGGTGTGGGGTTATCCACCTACCTGCAGTATACAGCCGCGTGGAACACGAGTTATCAGATCGTGGTCGATGCAAGTCGTTTGATATTCATGTCCGGTGCTAGGACCTTGATATAACGGCCGTGGATTAATTGTTGTTGGGAGGTCAAGAGAGTGGGCAATATAAACCAGGGCTCTTGTGATGGCTTGGGGTTACCTATATTGGATTTATGCGTACGTAAGATATGATGAGGCCGGCTATGCCTAATTTATACGTAAACCAAGGGATGCCGGGGAGGTTATATTCTATACGCGGAATACAGGGCGTTACGCAAAAGGGGTAGGCATTCCTTTTTTCATTGTATTGGTCGAAACACCAATATATTTATTTTCTTAGCTAGTGATGCTAATAGTAGCAGTGGTAGTATTTCCAAGACGCTTCGAGAACGAGCATCCTTACAGGCTGCAAGAATTGAAGGTATTGCCACTGCGAGGTGGCACATAAGAAAACAATACGACCAAAACAGCGATAAGCAAAGTGGGAGCCAATATACCCTTGAGACCAGAACTATCCGCCCATCAAGACAGGTAGATGGTTCTGTACCCAAGGAAGAATATATTGATCCTGCCTGTCTCTAGATATATGGAAATAAGCCCCTATTCCTCCCCTATGGTCCAAGCTGTAAGTCAAATTCGTAGTAGTGCATGCCAGCCTCCTTCAGTATCCATCGTCGGCCAACAACCACCACTCCCACGGACGCTCGACCAATCAACACCTTCCGGAGACTAATCCCACATATCCGTAGCTAGGTGTATTGCCAATTTAAGAACCACCACAGTCCTGCTTGGTGGTGTCGCAGTCGTCTCTCTTGCCGAATCCGCCGGAGACGTAGCCCGAGTCGGCCATGCGGGCCGAAACCTGCGGGAGCTGGTCACCGATGGCAGCACCAGAGGGGCCCTGGGCAAGGAAGAAGTTGCCGGAGTTGCCCTCCTGGGGACAGTTGTCGGGGTCGACAACCTTGGACTCTGAGGTCACGCAGTAGGTCTCCGCCTGGGCAGCCGTGGCGAAGAAAGCCGCGGTAGCGACCTGGAGGGCGGGAAGAGCGATGGTGTTCCTCATTTTGATGGGTTGGTAAGTTGGTTCGAATCGTCGAAACGAAAGTGCAAAGAATGTAAGTTTTTTGTTGGGTTTGGTTTTGGTAGTGCGAGGTTTAGTTCAGATATCTGGATTCTGATGATTCCTATCGTAAGAATGTTCGAAGATGAGGTGCTCGAGACGAGGTTATATATACACTTTCCTCGCCTCCGACTTAGGTATTCGTCGGACAACGTACTCAGACTCCCGAGTCTGATCGCGGCGTGTCTCCACGGACTGCGGCCGGCGTCACGCCCGCGAAACGCATGACGATGAACAACAAGGTGGCTGCTCACGACTCCCCGATTTCTTTTTTTGACTACTTGTTTGCTGTTTGTCTTGGCTATTTGTTAGGCGAGTGGCGATCCGCACACCGAGGGAATGGGTGAAGTCCCAACATTTTCCGAAAACCCCTCGCGAGGAGCATCGTACTCACCAACGACTACGCCACTTAATATTCTCCAAAATGCATCTACAAACAAGTATTCATTTTCAAACTGCAGTTCATATAGGAATAAACATGTCGACTCTTATTTGTCTCGGTTTGTTTTGAGCGTTGAGGGGCCGAGGAGACCTCTGAAGATATTCTTATCGGCTATGGCGCTTGTATGACACATAAGTACAGTCATCTACGAGTCGGGCGTCTATGTAATGAGTGTTTAAATATATCCATCGCAAGCCAAGACAGTGATGCAGTGCTTGACAAATAATCGAGTATATGAGTAGTGGTTCGAGAATTAATATCGGACGAAACTCCCGAGAGGCTGGTGTCACTGTATCACAAACCCTGTCGAAGGCTCTGAGTACCTAGGAAGGTGTTGTAAAAAAAAATCACTTGTCCTACTATGAAGTTTGCTCGAATCTGTATTCTAGTAGACAGAAGTTAATAAATAAACTTGTCCATATGTGTCAGTGGGATTTTTCGAAGTAGTAGTAGGCATTAACGCATCATCCTCTGCAACTCCTACATAAAATTACTTTAACACAGACTCTAAGTTAATCATCTTACGGACAACAGGATGCGGCGTGTTCCTGTAGAAAAACGACCCAATGCCCAACGGCTTGTACAGAGTCAAGGGATTGTGTACTGCAAGGACCCCAAACCCGGGGACCCGGCAACTGAACTCTTCTGGCCGGATGATCGATACTATTCCTTCACCAACGCGGAGATTAAGTTGATGGAAGAAGCTGGCAAAGATGTCTTCGCCATGTGCTGTGAGGCGGCCGAATATCTTGTTAATCACCTAGAAGTAATCACAAGCAAGATGGCGATCCCCGCATTTGCGCTTAAGCAGATCAAGGAAACGTGGGAACGCGAGCCTGTATGGGGGAGTATCTATGGACGATTTGACATCTGCTTCGGAGGCCTTGATCACCCGGATCCAAGACTGCGGATCCCTAAGTTCTATGAGTTCAACGCGGATACACCCACAACAATCATCGAAGCAGGATCCATTCAATGGTTCTGGCTTGAACAAACCGGCCATGGAACCGACCAGTTCAATTCTATCGTCGAAGATCTCATTGAGGCATGGAAGAGGAACCTAATTCAGGTTGAAAAGAAACTAGGTCATCGAGTCACCGTGCACTTCGCGGTAGGACAGGAGCCCACCGGCGAAGACGCAATGGCTACCACTTTCTTGATGGACACATGCCAGCAAGCAGGATGGCCCACTAAGACCATGTTCATGGACCAGATTGCCTTAGGTCCGGATGGTCGCTTCTATGACCAGTACAACGAGCACATTGACGTTATCTTCAAGCTTTATCCATGGGAATGGATGATAGAGCAAGACTTCGCAGAAGTATGCTTCAAGGATATGGATAACATCGGGCTGCGCAATGATGCGGGGGACTACATCGGGGGTACCGTCTGGATTGAACCGCCATACAAGATGCTGTGGAGCAATAAAGCCCTGTTCGCGATCCTTTGGGACCTTTTCAAGGATGACCCACGCTCTAAGTGGCTTCTCCCGACGTACCTTGAGAGCGAAGCGCCTGCTTCCCTTACTCATTTCGCTCGGAAGCCGATTTACGCGCGCGAGGGTGCGGACGTCGTTTTAAAGGCGGATGGCCAAGTGATACAGGATGCGACTATGGGGTGGTACGGCAAGGAAGGGTATATTGTACAAGAACTTGCACTACTCCCGGAGTTTCTGAACGAGGAAGGCGTTTCGTACTACCCCGTTCTGGGTCTCTGGTTTATTGATGGCGAACCTGCGGGCTTGGGTATCCGCGAGGATAAAATTCCGGTCACTGTGCAGACCTCCACGTTTATCCCGCATTCTATCTCCGATGCGCCTTTGAACTACGAGAGGAAACCGGTACCCGATATTCATGAGATTGAAGCGTCGCTTCAGTATACGGGTGATGAGAATGAGTCTAATAGTGTTCTGAATTACATCGATAGTGTTGTCAACTAAACTATTGGTGAAAGACGCATGGTTCATACATGAAGGGGTAAAGGGGTGATGGTGTCGTTTCTCTAGAGGGAAAGGATCCATCAGCTCCTTGTATTCGTCTTGGTAGCTACCTAGGTAGACAATTTATTGAGTTCGCGAAAATCTTGAAAGTCGGTCCGGAAAGGATGGTATCACTACTAATAGAGCGCGGAATGCGTAATCCCAATCAATTTCGATTTCGTTTCCTATCCAAGAGAATGGTTTAGGTTGAGCAAGGTGCCCTTCGCCGGCTGGGGCCGCTTTGGGATGGTTATTAAGCCACTGAACATAATTGAAAATTTCGTCGCCAATGTAATAACCGCGATCGAGATTCTCGGGCGGAGGCTCAGAAGATAGGGCCCCACCAATCATTCCAGACTCGCGGGGTTTGATATGTACGGTAAGTCCGAGGGATCGGAAAATAGTAAAGACAATAAAGTCGATACCTTTTAGAGTGAGTGGGTAGCGTTCGTAATAATGTGTGCCTTCAAATGTTTCCGGATATTGATAGGCGCAATGAAAACCAAGGATCCCGCCACTCTTCATGAAGGCAGGCGATTCGAGTAAAGCCACGGCGCCCTGGTATAGAGAGGAGTATTTCGAATCTAGAGGTTGTATTTGTGGCTGTATAAGGCCCCCAATTTGTTCATATACATAGAGGTGGTATGTTAGTGTAACACGATGTCCGTCCGTAACGGGTAGAACCTCGTGTTCGCAATCGCTGTAGAACGCTGCCCAATGGATATCATATGACGGATAGAGACTACTTCCACTATAGATCTCTTCCCTTTCGTTATGGCTAACTCGTAACTGACCACCTAGGAGAATATTAGCACGTCTAGGGCGATATGTGCCTTTTCTGTATAGTTGCTAAAAGTACCTGAGAACTTGGTCGGTAAGATAACTACTAGCGAACCGAAATGAGTCCGGCCACGAGGCGTATCAACATGTGCCTTGAACATACCCGAAGGTGCGGAATATACATTCAAGTGATAGGGCTCAGCAACGATCCCCCATCTTTCTATGGCTGTCTGCTTCCCGGCTCTTGTGATGCCAGGAAGGAGTTCTTTCCCGATAGTGTCTATGACACCGAAACTATACGGATCGAAGTTCGTCAAGAAAGAATTGATAGTACCAGCCTTGCGTACATTCTCGTCGAAGACATTCTCGCTTTCATGGCCGAAGGTTGCGGGGTAACAATCCTGAACCAATTCATTCAAACCAGCTTTTTCCTGATCTATATTGACGCTGGTACCGATCTCCATACACTTAGGCACGTTACCTGCCGTCCAAGAGACAATAACACCGGGGCATTTAAATGGGCGCTTCGCACTTGTAAAATTTCCATACTTATGCTGTTCATGATGTGCGACGGGAAGTCGCCCACCACAAGAGAAATTGCCGGTCAATTGATGCCGTGTGATATCGACATCAAGCTTGGTTAGTAATTGCTCTTCGGGGGTGTGTTGTGGAAGTGGTGAGGCCATCTTTGGAGTAGTAGATAAATTATCTTAGAGAAATGGAATAGGGACTATCGTGAATTCTTGGGCAGATCATCCGGCGGTATTTAATAGTACACCTACGGGAGGCTGCAGTAACTCCCCGCAGTGAACCATCTTCTGATAAGCCATAAGGAAGGGGGCAGGCATCTGATTGGACATGTATCTTGATTAAGGCAATCACTCAAGCAAAGCCTCCGAATTTCAGTATCATAAACTCGGACCTGCTGGGGAAACCCCTTTTCTTAGGCGAGTCTGTCCCTGTTCAACCCAGGAACGGTTGGGACACGTTATTCGCAGGGGCAGTTCTCTGGCTTGTCGCCATCAAAGGTGTTTTCGGTCTCCATGAGGCGGTATACTATTACGAGCTTGAAGAATTGTCGCTGGGTGAGGATCCCAAGACAACCAAGCTATTCATCATCGGCAACATACTAAATTGCTCAGTTGGTATCGAGAATTTTATCGCATATATGGGGAAGCCTCAGCGCCCCATACGACTGCCCTCGGCACAGCCATTATGTTGTCTGTCGGGACGTATAATCTCGCTGTCGCGGAGGGATTTGAGTTCAAGGGACAGTATGAGTGACCGAGACAGACCGCCACGCGTCCACCTGTGCAAATTGTCATATTACACAGTGTGATACTGTATCTTCGGTCGACACAGTTAAGAGCCGTGTTACCCATACAGTAAGTACCCTTTCTTTCAACAGACGTTGAACGGAAGCATGCTTCCGGGACCTAGCGCTTCACGAGAGATCATCAACAGTAAACTTATGTCCACAAGCGTACCATCCTTTCATCAATATACCCAATTCTTTCCCACAATATAGTATTCATACTTGTACTAAAGGGAATATATTTTTCATATCCAAGTGTGTTTCTTTGTAGAGCATTTTAGCCTGGTAAGTGCACATAAATAGAGCCAGCTAATGTCTACCTATTCCCCAGAGTAGGTCAATGCATTAGAAATACTCATAACCCAAAATTGTAGGTATGAACTAGCATACCTCACAGCGCATGGTTGGTATAGATGTATTTACTTTGAAATGAACGAATCAGCATCTGACGATAGGGGCCTATGCGACGAATACCAGACTTACAGTAATACGAGGATATAAATACCATATGTATTTTTCCATACGCACATTTGATCAATTTGTATGCTAAGCTAGAATAAATATAATAAAAATATTCACCGACTCATACTTAGTGATTCCACGATCATGTCGAAGCGCAAAAAGACGAGGGTCGAAAAGCAGGCTCTCCGAGAATACAGCAAGCCAGTAACTCAATATTCCGATGATGGGAAGGACGCCAAATTCGAGGATCAACACCACGCGCCCCCTCATATCTTGGATGATATGAATCGATGGAGGGACGCGCTAAAGAACAGCTTGCTATGTATCGAACCGCCTCCCGAGCACACACCAGCGCTTCCGGTCCACTGTATTTGGTTTTTCGCCGGCGACAGACCCTACCAAGATCAACGAGAGGTGTCCACGAAGGCCATAATGGCATCGCTAGTCTGCACCTTCATCAAACAACTCGTTGATATCATACCGCCCATCTTTCTTAGGGACGAGAAAGCGCTCTCAAAGGATAAATTCGACGAACTGCAAACAGAGAACGGAGAGACAGGCGCATTATCCATATCGCTCGACGGGGCCATCGAAGTCATCAAAGCTCTTGTAAATGCAGCACCTTGGCCCCTATTTTTCGTCCTCGCAGATTTACATGTGCTGATACCCCTCGGTGTCCACCCTGACCCAGATGTCGCCTGGCAGATCAAGAAGTTAATGCGTTTTCTGGCCATACCAGATGAGTCCAGACTAGTTCGGAAGGTTCTGTGGGTAGGTGCTGGGTCGCCTTTCCCCGCGTGGATAGCGGAATTGATGTTAAATGGTGGTTTCACCTCTGTGAAATACGAGTAGAGGAACTCGAGGGTGAGAATGGATGGTATCAATAGCGCCAACTAATTCGTACTCGAGCGGTTAAGGGACACGATATCGGGATGAGGCTCGTCAGGCGCTCCTCATTTTTTATAGCGATCTGTATTTTTAGGTCTCTTGAGCTACTTAGATACCTAGATGGCTGCAAATTAATTGCTTATATCAAAATAATATTAATATTACCGAGGTCGATGCGGGAGTGTGTAGGGATCTTACCCATTATGACCGTGTATTAACAACTCCGAAGTAATACAAATACCTAACTCCTTATTGCCATTTTTGCCCCTCACCCTCTACATCTCGCCGCATTGGGCTACTACGACGTCCATGTCTGGGATGTCTCGTCCACGTCTACCCGTCTTCGTCTTTTCTATCTTCTCGATAACGTCGAGACCATCGACTACCTTACCAAAGACGACGTGCTTCCCGTCAAGGTGAGGGGTAGGAACTGTAGTGATGAAGAATTGGGACCCGTTGGTGTTTGGGCCGGAGTTCTAAACGTACATTAGCATAGCTAGGGTTTATAGACTACCGAGACCTACAGCCATAGAAAGTAGACCCTTCTGGGTATGTCTTAAGGTGAAATTTTCATCGGCAAACGCCTTGGTACCGTATATACACTTCGGGAAAGAGTTAGCGTCCATATTAGACCCCTTCCCAGCCGACTCACCGTGCTTCCAGTGCCATCGCCGTTGAGGAAATCTCCACCCTGGATCATGAAGTTGCTAATCTGCCTCTTATTAGTGTCTTATCACCTGTTGAACAATTAGGGAAGACCTACAATTCTGTGGAATCTACTTCCTTTGTATCCCTGGCTCTGACCTCGGCTGTTCTTAGATTCGCCAGTGCAAAACTGACGGAAGTTCTCTGCTGTGCGAGGCACAACATCCTTGAAGAGCTCAAAGGTAACCCGACCAAGAGGCTCACCTACTACCGTTAGAACCCGTTATAGCAGGATGTCGCATGATACAGCATGAATATAGGAGGGACCCCGAGTGAAGACGGATCTTGATAGTGTATATCACGTGACATGTTTCAAAACCGGGTTAAGATCTTTTGCGGTATACCGGTACGGGTTATCTAAACGAGGATTCGTCGTAAATGCTTACCTCCGAGTGTGATGTCGAAGAAAACCCTAGTGTTTGATGTCGTTAGCACGGAAGTCCCGGAGGATTCATGGTGCTGACGGGATCCTGCTCAGCCACTGGCGTCACGCTGAAGAACTTTTTACTTACAATGGGTTACCCGAGGCTGGAAGCTGTGTTGGTGGCATCTTGTAATGTAGAGAGATACAATTGAATTGTATGATTGGTAGTTACGGAAGTGGGTAACTTTGAAGTAGATAGGTGAATTTGAGAAGCTATTCGGGTTCGGTTTGAGATCGGATATGTTGGTGGCCGGTGTTGGAATTCGGAGGAAGCGCGGATCGACCACCCGCAGGTACGGAATAGTATCATTCCTTCCCACCCCCCATGTACGTACCTGCCGTGCCGCGACCATACCGGATTTAGTTAGAGATGAATGGTAAGGCCAGTCAGCTGGCAGGATCAACTGAATAGCCGCGGGGCTAGTGGGGCTAGATGGTGGTGGGGTCAAGTCCGAATCCACCAACCTGGGGTATACCTACTTCCTATTCTTCTCCTGCCTCCTCTCAAACTACTTTAGCAAGCAACTAGTTTGTCTTAGAGTTCATTTACTAGACCTAAACTTTTACATCTAGATGCACTCATGGCTTCATAATTGTGAAAATAGTATAAAGATTCTATATCTAACGCGAGTCGTAGCAAACATCAAATTGCTTCTCTACGATAGCCACGTTAATTCTGTCACGAGATCGGCATCGATTATCCATAATGAATGACCTCATGGACCATTCCTATGGCCTCAACAAGCCAATGCAATTGTAGTATCATGCCCCCTTCTATTGTCCCACCTTCGATGATACCTACTAGTTATAACTAACTACATACGATGATCGTATGGAAATGGCGGACATGGCTTGACGGAATATGCCTACAATACGGAATCGTTCAGAAAACGTGCAAACAAATTCGAAGCGTACGCGTATGTATCGAATTGTAGAATATATTCTGCATGCATCTAGATAGGGCAGACTTTGATCCTTGAATCCTCGTAATTGTTTCCAAGGTCCTGGGCATTCTTAGCTGCTACTATCAGCCTCGTTCGTTTCCGGTCACTGCTGAGTGCACTATTGGTTTAGCCGTTGACAAATACTATATGCCCTATACTTGGCACGAATCGCCGACCGTGACAATTCTGGGCGACAGCTGAGCGCACTGCCAAACCGAGCTATCCGCCTAACTTCACGTGTTGCCTATATAGGAAAGAGATAAGGATCCGGTTGCAAGGAGATACTAGCTAAGCCCGGATAATATTTCAATTTTTTTCAATTTTCTCTCGAGGTTGACCGCTCCGTTCCGGTCTATCCATAGGTAGGCAGTTTAATTTTCGGCAAGGCAGTATACCGAATAGACACGCGCGGAGTTGCTAGCGGTAAGGACCTAAACTTAAGCAGCGTTGAGGCCAAGGAGTTGTTTAGCCCAACGCGAGCCATTAGTTTTATGCCTTTGGCTGAGTCTGGTCTAGATTAGATGTTGTTTAGAGCTATACGCGTCTTATGTCTATGATTCGTGGAATGGCTACAGCGGCCGCATCAACAGCCGGCGAAAGAAAGATGACCGAAGATTACTAGAACAACACAGCCGCATTTTTCGATAATATGTACGATACCGATTTGATCATATCCAATAAGAACCAATTCAGGTACAGATCATCGCTGATGACAAATAATGTTGAGCTAAACTTACAGTACAATAAAAATGAATTGAGTGAGTAGTATGACGATTATGTTATTCCTTGAGTCTGGAACTTTGGCTGAAGCCAGGGGCAACGCAAACACGTAATTTGTACGCCCTGACGCAGTACACAATCATTCCCATACACTCACAAGGAGTGATATATCGGCGAATCTAGTAATTATAGCGACTTACCTAGGCAATAGCCTCTCTTCTCTTTATCGTTCTAGGACATGGCACTGATGCTGTCCGAGAGTGATCGCTTATGTATTATGTTCCGCATGAGTGAGGATGCGTCTTACTACTATACAACCAACCCTTGTATCATCACCGAAAAAAAAGGTGACATAAACTCTGCCACGATTACGTAGTACTGGGAGTTCTTAGATCTGTACTCCCATACATAATTAGATCCCGATGTCCACTAAGCAAGCGGGAGTGTCGGGATCCCGAACTTCGCTCCAAGTCATGCAGGCTCAGGTAATACAACTGACGGTTAGAGACCGAGTAGTTCGAATTTCAAAGTCGGCCTAGCGTTGAAATTAATGCAAAATTGTTCACATGAAAGAGCAAAAAGACATGTATCGCCACATGATGGCCTGACGCAAATACACAAGTGTAATGCTGGTTATCTTCGTTATTGTAGCATGATAAAGGTGCTGAAATAGTGGTGTTTAAGCATGACACTGAGTTGTATTTGATGTTCTTTAAGCGCCCAGACATCTGGTCACTTACTGTACCGTGCATGTAGATCTAGAATATCCACGCATCCAACTGGAACATACCTAATGACAATGCCTTTTTATTTATTTATTATTTTTTTTATAAAAAAAGGGGTATGTATGCGGATATATATGTAAGTAAGATGCACACACTCGTACAAAGGGGATTTTGATTACTACCATAGTTTTCGAAACTACGGGGTCTGAAGAAAAATAAGAAACTGAGGTAAGAAGCTGAAAATAGCGATTTGTAGTAGCAGTAGCGACAGTCCCGAAACTACCTGGAGTAGTACAGCATACCTAGGTATACACTAAAAGTAAGAGCGATTGCTGCTAGCCAACCCTTTTCATTATGGACTAAGGACTTTAAATGTTTTCTAATCCTGCCCGTTTTAAAAACTCAAATATAGCAAATTGCACCAATCAAAACCTGGTCCACCATCTGCAAGTCACATTGCCGATCTCTTTTGTTCTTCTCTCCCACCTTTACTATTACAACTACAACTACATCACAAACAATACATCGATATGAATGATTCATGATGTAATAAGACAACACGCCATGGACTTATCATCAACGGTGAATCTTATTGCGGCGAAATCCATTTCATCCGTTTACTATGGTCCATTACTTAATACCGCATTTGAGTAAAATTCTAGTTATCGTGGCTATCATATGTCTAATGTCTCTCTCAATGGTCTAAAATCAGGACCCGAAACGGGTTGACTAGAGATGCATTCCCTTTTCCTTGTTCGGCCTAGACCGGTGTGCACTTGCTCCTGGGCGTTGAGACGATAGTTTTATTGGCTAATTGGTAGGTTCCACCATCACCTATCATTAGAGCCAAGAGGTTAAAAAACCGCCCCCGGCGTCCTCTTCCCAGCCCCAACTTTACCGTTCCGCCATTCCGTTTCATTGGAACTTGACTGTTTTCGCTGCGCTGCGCAACTTTGTACATACAGTATATGTATGTACCTAGGTACTTAACGTATTACACATCACAAGGGCCGTCTAGTCCTCTTCCACGCTAAGAATCCTCCTTCCCCTTCCTATTTATCAGTTTCCTACGCCCCCCCCAGCAGCAAGCAGCAACCCCCCCTGTGGTCGCACCTCTTATTTTCTCCACCCATTTCCTTGGCTAAAGGCCGAACTAACGTACTCCATCTCTTTTCGAGACAAAGACAAGACATTCCTCATTCTTACCACTACCCAGCCAACTGCCAACTTCCAACTTGGAGATACCCTTGGCGCAACTTCGCTGCCGCCGTAGAAGGTATTGCGACGGTTTGACATCAATTTGTCATTTGCTATTCCTTTTTCCTTTTCTCCTTCTATACTCGTTGCTGGATTACAAAACAAAGAGGACCCATTTCTGCGAGTGTTCTGTACGAGTTTCCGACCGGGGATATTGGTAATTGTAAATGGCATCGCTGCTTAGGATACGATCAACTTAATTCGATCATCTGTCGATTTTCGACAACAAGTCGAGGCATTTTGCCAATGACATTCCGGCTTGACGATTAATCGGCTATTTTTCGACATCTGTCTTGAATAAAGACACTATTTGTGAAGATGGTCGCTATTAATCAGGCTTTGGCCGATAGCGCTTATTTCGTCGCAAGAGCCATTGAATATCAAGCCCGACAAGCAGCCACGACTGCATTGAGTTCAACGGCCAGCGGAGCACCATCCCCGACATCTAGTACACCGTTGCCATCAACAACATCACCACCTCCTAGCCCTGAACCGTCCTCAAATAATGATTCGAACAACAACAATAACTCGTCGAGTGGTAGTTCCCCACTGCTGTTCTTCGTCGCTCTGGGCTTTGGTGTTGTTTTCACCAACCTTTGGTGAGCTGCCATTGATAATATGGCTATCAGCTGTAGCCTTGCGTTCTAACTTTTTAATAGGATTATTGTTGGCGTGAAATACTGTTTCCGTTACAATGCGCGAAATCGACAATTGCGGGGGTTGGATGAAAATGGAGAACCTATCAACCTCGAGAATATGCCCGCTCGGCCTCATCGACGTCGTCGTGAAAAGAAACTAATGACGATGGATGAAGTCAACGAGAAATTCCCTATGATGAAATATAAGGCTTGGGTGTCAGCACGAGCAAGTGAAGGATTACCAACCGCCGGTGGCGTCTCAGCCCCGGCAAGCCGCGCCAATAGTATTCGAAGTGTTGAAGGTATCATACCGGAAGTGCCATCTAAGGAACAAGATCATGCAGAAGAACTTCATGATGCTGGCGCAGTTCCTAAACCTGCAGAACAAGACACCATACCCGATGCACCTGATAGCAACGCAGCTGAGAACGTACTTACGCAAGCACAAACTGCGGAGAGTATAAACATCAAGGACCACGACCACCGTGCTAGTGTTGACGAGGACGAAGATGACGAGCACATTAACGCTGCGCTGCCTCCTGAGCTGATAGGTACACAGGGTGACACATGTGCTATATGTATTGATACTCTCGAGGATGACGACGATATTCGTGGTTTAACTTGTGGTCACGCTTTCCACGCTGTTTGCATCGATCCTTGGTTAACAAACAGGAGAGCTTCCTGCCCTCTATGTAAGGCAGATTACTATACCCCTAAACCACGACCACCTCCTGCAGATGGTGACCCGGCTAATCCTACATCACCCACCACTGATCCGTCTCGGAACAATGGTCGTATGAATATGCCGAGGTCTCCGCAACGCACTTTCACATCATGGAGCAACTTCCGGGGGGCTCCGCGTGGCATGATTGCGGGTCGCTTCGGGGGTACGGGTGCGGATTCGTCCAATCATGGTCGACAGCCGCGTATATGGGATAGGAATCGGTCTCAGCGACAACGGCAGCCTCGCTCTGAATCCGAGCCTGCCACAGAGGAGAGAGATGGTATTTTTACGAGGGTTCGCAGTCGGTTCCCACCTTTTAGATTAAATGAGATGATGCGTAGGGAGCGCAACGGACAAACAACCGAGACAGGGGAAGCAACGGCCTCTGGCGCCAATGGTGGCGCAAACACAACACCATCACAATTGGAAGCAGGTGTACGGCCGTCTACAAATACGGCGAACTAAGAAGTTTCAACCTCCATAGAACGTCGGCTTGAGCGGAATATATATAAACATTGCATTGTTACTAGGCTTGCTCGAATATATCTATGCACACAGACGCGGCATGAGCCACACTACACAATGGTACCACACATGACCACGTACCTTTCCCATATTACTTAAACTTTCTTGTTCGACTTCCACACCTGTCTGTTGGCGATATGACGGTTTTAATCACCTACGAATTGTTGAATATTTTTATCGACTCGACATGTTGGATTAATGGCAAGAAGGAGGAGGAATTATCCTATACCACGACATTTGCGAGGATTTTGCCTTGCATTACATTATTTGGACAGGGGAAAATATGTGACGTTTGTCGCATCATATTTTTAAGGGTTCTCTTATTTCTCTATTTTAAGGTTGAAGGTTTGGCCTGAACTCTTTAGGGCTGGGCCGAACCTGGTGGGCGTCTCGTGCATATTGCGGGAGTAATTGGTGTTTCTTAGGGGTTTGTTTATTTATATACTGGGTCGGGTTGTTTCATGTCAGAAGAGGGAGAGAGTAGTACCTACCTATCGACTTATTCATGGGTAGATATGGTATTGTTGGGATCATTAACCTTATCATGTTAGTTAATGAGGCAAGGAGTTGCTAGATCTTAGTAGGTCTAGATGATGAAGGCCCTGTCATCTTATACGTACATACATAGGTCGGGCTAGCGAGAAGAATGCGATGAATTATTTAGTATTCATGATTTGGTTGAATTAGATTATTAGTATAATTTATGAGCATTCGGAACTAAACGGGAAGTCTTCTAAGAAGGAATTAAATAGAATTCATCGTTCTCATGCTCTTTTACGTGTCTATAGAATTGGGTATCTTCGTAGTTAAAATTTGTATCAAACCCCTTTTCCTGGTTTCGTATAGGTCTTAGAGACTTGTCTACGCTCTATGTGGATGAATAAACCTGTAGGTCTCACATACCCAAGACAGGTCCTCAATCCAAGAAATATTGCGCTTAAAGATACTTCCCCTTAGCAAACCTCCCCCCAAAATCCGCCGCCCGATTCAACAACTCGCGGCGCTGCGCAGTCCCAATGCGTCCTCCGAGTTTCATATCCTTCTCCTTATCGAAAGCGCGTTTACTCGGATCATCTTCCTCCTCCTCAGCAGCAAGCGTACGTCCTCTCCGCGAATCACGATGTTCGTCGTATAAACTCTTGCCGCGGGTTGCTTCGGTGAAAGATCGGATGCGCTCTTGTTGCTCCTGATCTTCTTTTGTGCGCGCTTCTGTTCCGGAACCTATTCCAAGACCATTTCCACCACCGTTTCCACTACTGGTCTGTTGTTGTGAAGCGGGGTCGTTGCGTCCGAGGACGGCGTTTTCAAGGCGCTTGCGCTTTTGCTCGGGGGTTTCGGTCCATATACTACTTATCTCACCTCCACTAGACCCGGAACTGGGGTTCGGATTTGTACGTGGACCGCTGGCGAAACGTCGGGATTTGAGTTTTGTTGGGTCGGGTGCGCGGTAGCCGGATGAAGTTGGTGGCGCGAGCATCCAGTCGTCGCGTTGGGGACCTGCGGCGAGGGCGGCGGCGGATGCCGCCTGTGCCCGCGCTGCACGGGTTGTGTGGGATGCTGAGGTTGGCAGTGCGGGGCCGTAGTCGTCGTCGGAATCGGATTCTGAGTCGGGATTTGGGGGATTGGGAGGACGCTCGGAGAGGGGAGCTGGTGGGGGCGCGGGACCGTGGATGCGTTTTATGCGGGCTGGTGATGGACCTGCAGGTGCAGGTGCAGGTGTGGTTGGGGCTGGAGGAGGTGCTGGGCCTGCTTCGTCTTCTGAGGAGTCTAAGGGGATCTCGTCTTGGTTTGTGGGTGGGAGTGTAGGACCTATAGAGGGTTTCGGGGCGGCAGGTGGTGGAGGTGCTGATGGTCCTATATCGTCGTCGTCGCTGTCGTCTAGTGGGATTTCGTCTTTATTTGTAGGTGGTAATGTAGGTCCTATAGAAGTTTTCGTAGCTGTTTGAGGTACGGAAGGGCCATAATCATCGTCATCATCGCTGTCGAGGTTTACTTCGTCTTCGTTGATGGGCGCGCGATTCGTCGTTTGTATCTTCGCGGCAGGCGACTCTGGAGATTCATCATCGGGTGTGCGTTTTCGCTTGGTTAGGTGCGGCGGTAATTGAGGTCCTATTGACGACATGGTGACTTGATTAAGCTACCTAATTGAGGTTTGTGTCGATAGGTAGTGGTTTGAAGGGCGACTTCGAGCTTTGAAATTTGGCGGTAATGGGTACGAAGTACTTAAGAAGAATAGGAAAGCAGGGATTAATAAATGAAGCTGATCAGTCAGGATGGATTACTGCACGTCTCCACTAATGTTAGCCTCCTTACAGTTGTATACGGCCGTTGGTTGGCTAATGCGTCACTATTTGTTCAGTGCTCTTTAGTGGATTTTAGTGGATAAAGGTTGTTGATTGGCGGTGTTTCCCTCTGTTCTTGTACTACCATGCTTCTAATAATAAGGCTGAGCTAGGTATGTAAGGCCGACCCGAAATGGGTTCATGGATCCAAGAGAAGCTGCGATAGCATCTAGAGAGCTTTGCACTACTCCCTTTTAGTTCCTTAACTTAACTCTAAGGCGACACTTTTGTTTTACAAATTTGGAAATCGCGATCTCGTCGAGGAGTTACGACCTAGAATTTAGCTTTCGATAGAACTCTAGACCTGCCAATTCAGCTTTAAGCTTACTACGCGATTTCGAAGAACCGACTAAGAAAATAAAACGAAGACGATATAAACCCAACTTCGATCTACCTAAAGAAAAACGGTCGCGGCGCTGAGTTATCCCACAATCAAATATCGTTCGTGAAGTCATGCGACCGATGTGCATATCTCGATGAGCTTGTCTTCCCCGGAGCGAGGCGATGGGGATGCAAATATGGAAAATGATCATCTAGATCTGTCTCCTGACGGGGACGCTGTATCCAGTGACGAGGAGACTATAAAGGGGGAACAAGAACAAGGACATATAGCTGAGATAGTTAAAGAGGAGCGAGAGGGTATTACATCCGACCAAATTCCCCAAAATGGGAATGGGGTTATCGCAAATCGATATCGTCAACTATTGCGGGATCGCGATGATGTCTCGGAAGACGGATCAACGGACGGTTTACCTCGGAGGGTTGGGAGTCCCATAGACTCTCTTCTCTCCGTTCCTGATGATTCCCCTTCGGTTCAAGTATGCGGTAGTATCTACTATTAAGGAGGATTAGGCTGACAACTTCTAGGGCTCTATGATATCTTCCCCTGGTAGCAGTCGAGTTCCTTCACTAGCGTCGCGCCCCGGCCTTAGTAGCCCTACGCCTTCGTTCAGGCCCTTCGACCGACGATTCCAATCGCGTATATCCTCGCCTTCCGCGCTACTATCTCCGCGACCAACATCGCCTGCCTTTCTCTCCGGGCATAGCAGGCAAGCCTCTATAGGCAGTCAGTTTCTATTAGAACCCGGCGAGACCGAATCCTCTTCGCCTCCATGGGAAGTTGTACGATGGACAAAACTTAAGAAGTTGAATGGCCAGGCCTTCTCCGAGGCTGGGAAAAGGAGTTTTGGTTCTCCTACGTGTATAGCTGTCTCTGCATCGATCGTGTTAGGGACCACTAAGGGAATAATTCTAATGTTTGATTACAACCAAATTTTGAAAATGATCATTGGCCCAGGCACAAAAGGTTCGTTGCTTTCTTCCTGTCTCTTGCGATTTGACGTTAATTCATTGAAGCCGTGGAATCCGGACCTATCACCGCTATTGCTATATCCGCCGACTATACAACCATAGCTGGCGGTCACGCGAGTGGGGATATTTTCACTTGGGATACTAGCCGAGCATCCCGACCATTCTTACACATACCACCCCTCGAACAGTCCCAGTTGCAGAACCGAACAACAGATGGCCATTTGCCAAACGTGTCGGTAACCCATCTGGGATTTCTTGGTACTCGACATACTGCGCTCGTCTCCGCCGATGACCGCGGTATGGCATTTTCTCATCTCGCTACCCGAGGTACTGGTGCGCTTGGGCGAACAGTCAAGACTGTAAGGATATTAGGTCGATATCCTGATGCCCCGCCTCCTTCATCGGGCAAACCCCTTAAGCCTAGCACCGTATTGGCCTTCTCTCCCCTACCACTCGGAAATGTGGAACAAGCAACAGACACGATGGGATTGACGGCAATGCTCACTCCTTATCTACTTGTCATAGTCTCGACCACGCCAGTTGCGCAGACTCAGCATAAATCAGCTAGACCGAAAGACGTGGCGCCACACAGTGCAATGACAGGATGTCTGGCGTGGTTCCCTGCAGTCAAATTAAAAGTGCCCGATCCTAGCACCGGTAGCACTATGTCTAAAGTCAAGCTGGTGTACTGCTGGTCGAACGTATTAACTGTCTTAGATGTGGATGAGATACCATCAGACGACAAAGATAAACCGCCAATCCTAAAATTCAAGGCTCGTAGCAGATGGAAGTGCGAGGAGGCCATCGTGGCGGTCCAATGGCTTAGCCGTTCAGTATTGACAGTCTTGACAATCACACAGAGACTTATCGTTCTCGAGGACCGATCGATGAGGATGACCGAAGCTTTTGACCTTATTCACAAATTCATCTACCACGCAGATCTCTTCTCTAACCAATTACACAATCTAGTCGAACAACTTGACGAAGATGATACGACGATGCATGGTGTTGTTGCGGATGCTTTCTACATGAGTTTCAAGGCTTATAAGGGCCGCATATTTCTACTGGGCTTTAATGACGTATCTATCGGCGCGTTGTCTAATTGGGCGGATCGATTGATCGCGTTAATGGAGAACGGTGATTATATCGGAGCGATACAGCTAGCGACTTCTTACTACACAGGAGATGCTAACAAGCTGACGGTCGGACTTCCTGAAGATGCGACCCTGAGACATCGAATGGTGCGTGACAAGGTGATGGAAATCATGAGTGCATCCCTTAAATATGCATTTGGACAACGACAGAAGAACAAATCTTCAATAGATGATCAACATCTTCGACAACTTGCCGAAACTTGTTTCATCGCTTGCCAAAATATTGGAGATCTCGATTTTCTCTTCGATGAGATGTATGAGTGGTACGAGGACGCTGATGTTGAGGGCGTCTTTCTGGAGGTTTTGGAGCCGTACATTCTTGAGAAGACGATATCGACAATACCGCCGACGGCCGTCAAAGCCATGGTCAACCATTATGTCAGCAGAGGTTGGGAAAGCCGCTTAGAAGAAATGATTTGTCACATGGAAACGGCTACTCTTGACATCGATCAAATTACAACACTTTGCAAGCAGAATGGCCTTTATGATGCCCTTATATACGTCTGGAACCAAGCGTTATCCGATTACATCACCCCTCTTATCGACCTACTCACTCTTCTAATACCTTTGGTACGGAATGATCATGATGCCTCTAGGAATATTATGGAAGACGAAATCCACGAGGTCAATGGACTTAAGTTGTTTCCATATCTCTCTTTCACGTTGACAGGGAGAATATACCCGACGGGTGAGATTATGGATGATGCAGTGGCCTCGCAAGCCAAAGCAGAATTATACTGGTTTCTTTTCTCAGGGAAGAGCATAAATTGGCCGAAAGGAAGCAGCAAAACATTTTTCACCCGATCAAGTCAGACAGAGGAACCACCCTTCCCATACCTTAGAGTGATATTGGAATATGACGCCCCAAGCTTTCTAAGTGCGTTGAACGAAGCATTCGAGGATCCATTCTTGAATGATTCCCAGGAGAAGCAACTCAACGGCGGTACAATCAAAGACTTACCGGAAGAGCAAATTTTTGGCCTAACTGTTGATCGTCAATATGTGATTACCATTCTGCTTGAGATCATGAATCGGGATGATTTCGCACCCGAGGATACCATATATCTAGACATGTTCATTGCTCGAAGTCTTCCCAAATTCCCGCAATATCTTCTCATACCTGGTTCTACACTCGATAATGTTTTGGCCGGGCTATGTGAATACCCCGGAATAGACCTGGCGGAAGATGCCCAGCTTAGTGCGGAGTATCTGCTCTCCGTGTACCAACCGCCAAACATATCGGCAATGATACCACTTTTCAAAAAGGCATGTTTCTATCGCATCCTGAAAAGGATATATAGGAATGACAAGCAGTATGGGAAGCTGTTACAAACCTACTTTGAGGATCCGGAAGACCAAATTGAAACTTTTGAATGCATTGCAGAATGCCTGCAGCCCCAGGCTGGTCTGACCAAGAGACAGATACAAGATGTACAAGATGTCATCAAGCAGCATTCGCGAGAATTGGTCGAACTTGACCCAGTCCGAGCTGCTCAGACACTAGCTGCATATGCATCAAATTTGCATAGGTTTGTCTTAGATTCGCTCGACGAAGAGCCGGAATTGCAATATTCTTACCTCGGAGCATTGCTTGAGCCTGACTCCGAAAGTTCGGAGCAGCCGACAACCACATTGGATCGAGATTTCATCGAGCAATATGTACAACTCATGTGTCGCTATAATTCTTCCCACGTGTCCGACTATGTCGGAATTGTGCAAGCTACAAACCTAAGGCTTGATAAGCTCCTACCAACCATGGAAGATACCGGAGTTATCGACGCCGTTGTTATTCTAATGGCTCGAGAAGGGCAAGTACAAGACGCCATGGCTCGCCTAACTCGGCACCTAGAAACGTTAGAGTCAGCTCTTCAAGGTTTAGTCTCGAGCACGGATGATCTTGCCGATGACGTAGATCTTAAAGAAGCCGCTGAAGAGTTGCTTATGGGCTTGCAGAAATACACGCATGTGGGCATTTGGTTATGCCAAGGGCAAATGAAAACAACCAAGAAAATTAATGCGATTGGTCGACGGAGTTCTCCATCACCTACCGATCTTTCACCCGATGAGGCATTGTGGCTTGAGTTGATAGACACTACTGTTCAAATCACGCGACGCCTATCGTCGGTTGTTGCACCATCTAAAGCGGATAGAGTCTCAAGTACCGCTTCCCCAACCCCGGTTCTTGATAGCGATAAATTGGTGGCGCTTTTACGGTCACTTGTACAACACACCTTTACAGCACTTATGACGGCAACGTCCACCCAGAATACGGGATTTCCCACCAACCGTCTTGCTACGGGCTCTGGGGGTAGCCTAACGTTTCTGCGGGTACTTCGAGCTTTTCTAACCCGCGCAGCCGCCGCCTCTCCTAATCTTGCAGATCTGCGAGCTGTGTTAGGCTCGATATTTTCAGCTTATGCCTATGAAGAATCAATACTGCGGCTTTCAAACCGTCTTCTCGAGCAGCAACTATTCGTCAACGTCAAAGAGGCTGTGGAGCTTCGTCAGCGGGGATGGCGACCAAGAGGGTCAACATGTGAAGCTTGTGGGAAGCGGGTTTGGGGTCCAGGAGTGGCTGGTAACGTCTTTGAAGCTTGGGAAGAGAAGCAGGCCGTTGAGAACAAGAAGCGAGAAGAAAAGAAAGCTGCTTTATCGGGCCAAGCGGTTGCACGTGGGAAAGGCAAGGCAGAATCCCCTGTTGAGGATGAAGACTACAAGGGCAAAGGAAAAGGCATAAGCACAGCTGATAATGGGCCTAGTTCATCGGAAGGGCAAATAGCGAACGGCAAACAGGACGTTCAGGGGTTGGCCGTTGAAACGAATGGAAGTGTTTACGGTCGGCGGAAAGATCAGCAGCCTCTGGGTCCTCTTATCGTTTTGGCTTGCAGACACATATACCATAAAGCTTGCCTAGATACTTTACAGGAGAAGCAAAAGGCAAATGGCAGCCATAGAGAAGTGGACGAATTCGGCCGCGAGGCGGAGTATAGGTGCCCTATCGATGGCTAGAATAGCTCGGTAGGAAGTGGTTTAATAATAGGATATGGCACTGTTGTTGCCGTTGTATTTACGAGTGTACAGTACCATAGCTAGCTGCGTGTTGATATAAAGACGAGCGCTGTAAATAAAATAATTGGAGTTTTTGAACAAGAGTTTAGGTATGATTCTTTAAACTCACTTTGGATAAACATGGTTGGTCTTCATAGTAAGGGAAAAGGGGTTAATTATTACATAAACCGGCAACTTCAGCTACTAAAGCTACCTATCCTACCCGGCCGAATTTCGTCGCACTTGGGTATCAACGCATCTTCCTAGATGACTTTTCTAACGTCTTGAGAATTTAAAGCCCCCTGACGCCTACCAGAAAAATACACTCAACTTCGAATATTATACATCCATCTCCTCCATCCCTTCAAGACATCTCACGCCGAGGGCACCGCCGACTCACTACAATCACAACTTGTAGGAGCAACCGTAACGTAATACGTCGTCACACCGTCCTCCGCCGCAGCCTCTCCATTCCCTGCACTGGCAGTTTCAGTAGTACGAGCCGAGGCCGTGATACTCGGTACATCAGGCGTCGAGATCGACGGGTCGATAGTTAATGTATTTGTAACAGGAGCCGTAAGACTAGTCAACGATATCGCACCCGCGCCTGCGCCACCGTTACCCGCTGCTGGGGCAGTAGCATTGGCAAATGGTGCAGTGGATGTAGTCGCGTTCACGGAGACGGGGCATCCGGAAGATGTCACGGTCGCGGGTTGCGAGAGGACGATGACTTGTGTTAGACTGGCGGGACAATTTGGCACGGGGGCTGCGCAGGATGTTATTGCGAAGGAAGTCATTGTTGTTTTGGTTTCTGTTGTAAGAGCTACCGGGCACGGAATCGTCCTAGAAGCTCCCCCGATTCCAGTTCCGGTTCCGATTGCTGGGGCGGTGGATGTGGCTTGGCCCGCGGTGAGGAAACATGTACTCGCCGCGGCGCTGAATAATGTGGTGCTAAGCTTGGGGTTGAAATCTGCGATTTGCAAGTCCCCGACGTCGGCGCCGACGTCGATGAATACACCGGCGTTTATGTTTATCTCGGCGTTGGCGGGGAGGATGCAGGTACTGCCGTTTGGTGGCGGGAGCGCGAATTGCTCGCCTAGGATTACTTCGGGGATGTTGATGTAGGCCCCGGCTAGGGCTTTGGCTTCGAGGAGGGGACTTGAGGGAAGCTCGATGCCGGCTTGGACGCGTAGGCGTAACGCGGCGGTTACGTTGGCGGGGGCGCTGGCGGTTAGGGGGAGGAGGGAGGCTGATGCGCCGTCGCTGGGGGGTGTTAGATATCTAGGTATATATGTACGGCTTCCCGTGTTGACCGGGAGGCTTAGATAGAATATGAGACTTACAATTTGGCAATGTTGGCGGCAGTAGGGTCTAATGGAATAGTGAACGATGAACCGTCGGGAATGGCGACTTGGAAACCACCCTCAGTCTCAACCTTGCCAGTGATACCCAGTACTAGGTCCACCCCAAAGACAATACCAATTTGGAACCCAGGGCCCTATACCATTGTATTAGTCACGATATAAGCTTGAGTGGAGTCAGAGATACTCACGGCAATCCCAAGGGGAGTTTCAGTCACGAAGAGTGGTAATTCAAATTGACCATTTCCGCCAGTGGTCAAACTTAGATCGACGAGGGCGCCGACACCACGGAAGCCAACTGATACGCTGGCATCGTTCAATGGGTTCAGGTCACTCAGGTCCCCGATAAGGTCCTCGAGGTCTTCTGGAAAAGCAGCTGATGCTTCTAGTGTGCCCCATGTTCGGCATTCAACACAAGCGAGTGAAAGTGAGAAGGTCTGGCCTAAGGCTTGCCAGTCACTATTAAGAGAGTTAGCACGTGTGCATGGACTATTTGTGAATATCTGGTAAACATGGTATACTCACCCATCAAAGAGTGTAATGTCCTTAGCCTCAAATCCCAAGTCAAAAGTCGTATTAGCATCACGCTTTACCATCGATCTCTTCGAATGCGGCGTCACAAGTTGAACATCGCGTCGAGCAGGAGCCAATGGTGTCAAGTCGGTGATTGGCTTAGCAATAGTTGTTGATGCTAATAATGACCAAGAGGCCAAAGCGAAAGCTGGTAGACAATACATGACGACGGAATGTTGCGGTCACCTAACGAACGAGCGGAAATATTAAAACGAATGCTAGCCGGAGCATTCACACAGGCCGTTTGGACAGGAAAGAAGTGAAAGTAAAGAAAACCTAAACCAGACCCTTCACAGAAGAAGCCTCACAACAGACACATACATACGTGATATGTATGTAGTGCAAGAGTGGTAAGGCTAGTCAACCATCGCGAGTGAACCCACGTATGTATATACCCTAATAACAGATCCATATCAAACGAAATCTCAATCCCCCTTCCCCTCCCCACCTGGACCGCAATACAACGCTGTTGGTTCATTATCTACATGCCACCTACCCAGGTTCCCTAGACACTTAGATCGTCCCGTCTCTTCTAATTCAGCTGAAAAATTTGGGCTCGTGCTATGTTGTACCCGGCTGAAGGATTCGAACAGGGGGAGTCAACAGCCTGCCGACGTCCTGGTATGAAACCGAAACGAACCATTTGCCAAGCACGAAAAACCTCGACCGCCTTTATTTGAGCAATATTTGCTATGGCCACAAACCCGCAATTTAGGCTCGTTCGTGGATTTAGATGTCAAGTCTAGCAGTGTAAGGAGATAAATCAGCAAACAAAACACACTGACCTGACCAAATCCACCAAGCAATTTACCATCTTAGCGAAACTTGAATATCTTCTCATGATTAGACTTCATGAGTGATTATTTTGATGTTACTTGTTGGTAACAAGTTTATCTCTCCCTACCTCTTCACATGTAATAGATTCAGCTCCTGCATGTAACAAGCCTCGCAGTCCGGACCGGGGGACTTCATTCATTCGGGTGCAACAATACAAGCAGATAGCCTCCTTCCGTAAATAGCAATCGGGATTTTTTTCCCATCAATGTCAATGGTCCCGATAAGTATTAATCACCAGGGAGGCTCGGGCCAAGCCAGGATAAGGGGTGCCACATACGGATCGGCAGACGAGCCGATAGAACCCTTAATTACGGCAAGTTGCAGGGTAAGGAGTTTAGGTTTTTTATTTTGTATCTCTCTCGCCTAGAAATAACAATAACCTTGCATTATGTAAGTGGCTGCGCCACCAAGAATTCCCCCTCTTTTCGAAGGGTTCGTCGTCGGTCCAAGTTTCACAAGACGCAGGGTCTGTTACATCCCTATCTGTACACCCCTTGTACGACCTTGGCTCGACCGGCCTGAGGCTCATTGATAAATGGGCAAGTAGACCAAGTGTGATATTTAGTGTATGAAGCAATCAAGAATACATAGGAATGTTATGTATGGAGATAAATATCATACCTAGGTACCAACAGTTCGCTAAGAATATGGTAGAGCAGATTAAGTCAGCTTGGCGTTTGAATTCAGTATGTACTAAGAATCTTTTAAGAAGGGGCTGGAAACATGGCGTTCCGGCGTGGGGGTAAGGCTCAGCCATGCCATGCCACGATGTTAGAATATCAGTTCAAGGTCAAGATTGAGACCTACATAGAACAATACCCATATATACACGTGGATATTTCTATTCTACAGATAAAAAGAGCATAAATAGGATCACCTTGGCACGTTCTACACTAATTCAAGAGACCAACAGGTCGCATAGAAATATCCCTCAGCCCACTCATGCGACCATCATAACTCCACATCAGCCACAAAATTACTAACCTGCGAAAACAAACATGAAAAAAAGCAAAAATAATACAAAAAGGGACAGATCAAAAGTCAAAGTAGTCTATTTTCGCCGTCTCGATTTCCCTAACGACAACAAAGCTGGAGATGTCTGTCTGTCTGTCTCTGTCTATCTATGATAATTGAACACACGACACGCCTCCCTTCCTATCCTTTCCCTATCTTCCGCATCCCGTTTCTGAAGAGGTAAGTTAAAAGGTTGGTGTAGAAAAAATCCGCTACTCCCTATGCCAACCCCCCTAGTGTCTCCCCATCCCCTTATTCGCTTGTGATACATAACACGAAGTCGTTTCCGTGTTGTGTTTTTCATAATACACTATTGAAACAAAAGAGAAGCGATGCAGTAATATTCTTTGTTTGGTCGTTTAGGTGGTTGGATTTTGATTTGATATCCCATTCATACACTCTTGTCGTTAGTTTATCTCGAGTCGCCTACACTTTCTAGCAAGCGTTTTTAGTTTTCGATTTTCTTCGCATCCTCCACCTTCTTCTGTTCCTGCTCTCCTTGTTGAGCAGCCTGCGCGTCTTGCGCATCCTTAGCCTGGATCCGGTCAGCCTCGGCATCAACAGCCTCACCCACAACCTCCTTGTCAAGGCCTTGCTCAGATGCGGCTAGAGCAGCCCTATCCTCCTTCTCATCGATGTCGTCAACATCCTTAGGTGTCGCGAGACCGGTGTCCTGGTTCTCTTGGTTTTGCTCATTCTCCTCTTCAATGAGGTCTTGCTGCTCCTTGAGAACCTCGAGACGTTGCTTGTTGGTCGCCGCGCCCTCAGCATTGTGTACCTCGAGTTCAATTTCGTGGTATAGCTCTTCGGGGATAGACGACAATACACCCGTCAAGGCCTCGATCTGACTGTGGAAACCACTCTCCTCGGTCTTTTGGCCATACATGTAAGCACTGCTAAGTACAAGTAGCGTAGAAGGAACGCCGTGCTTTAATCGTAGGTCCAACCAGGATTGAAGGTCATCCCGTAATCTAGCCGGGGAAACTGTGTGTGTCTTGATACCTCGGCTGGCGCAAGCTGTCTGTAGCTCGGCCACGTTAAGACTGTCAACGCCCTCGAAGCTGATCGCCTTGTCGTCCCTCTTGATTTGTCGCATTCTGTGACGGATCTGGTATCGGAGCATGATATCCGTACCGAACGTGTTCAAGTTCATGTATCGGCACATTGACACCAATTGCGGCCTTGACAAGTTATCAAGAGTTAGGTCATCCCTAAACGCCTTGCAGACTTTGATGACATCGTCCGCACTCGGCTTCTCCCCAGTAGCGCGAAGTTTCCTAAAGAATGTGGCAAACTCCTCTTTTTGTGTCGTGCTAGGCGACAGGGGTAATCCAGTCTCCTTCAAAGTGTCCCGGAGGAAAGAGCTGACCTCCTTACGAGTCGCTCTTAATGTCGCAGCCTTCTTGTCCTTGGACTGCTGGCCTTCGTATGTGCTAGGGAGAAGATTGGGGAAGAGTCTGAGGGCGATAGGAAGGAGAGCCTCGGCAAAAGGGACGATAATAAAGACTGAAAATGGCACTAAACGGCCAAGATCTTGGACTGTTCGCTGAAGTTGTCGGTTTTCTCTTCGGGTAAGTTCGTAGCCAGCGGCCATCTTCAGCGCAAGTTTGCTGCTGATCTTGACTTCCGTCGCCAACAATTTTGTACCATCCCAGTAATGTTGAACTTCATGCTTGACTTTTTGCATGAGTGTCAATTTCTTCTCTTGTTTTTCCTCCTGCTTCGCGATATCTGCATCCTTCTTCGCGGCTAGCTCGGTCAAAGACTTGGGTTCGGCAGAAGGCTCGTCAAGGGAGGGTTCTGTCGACTTTACTGTGGCCGTCCCCTCGGGCGTTTTTGTCCTAGATTCAGATGCCTTCTTGCTTGCCGAGGGCATCTCTGTCTTAGGAAGTGGTTTTTTGGCTTGTTCTGCATTGAAGCCTGGTGGTGGGCCGTCGGGTGGCCCAACTGAATGCCTTTCGGTTGATATGCTTCGAATAGGGATTAGAAGGGCTCGAGCTGCGAAATCTGAGGGGAATTGCCGGGCCTGCCGTCCTAGATATGCCGAAGGAAGCGCGAGACCGGGTCGAGCAGAACTTCTCCCAGCGAAGGGGTTTATGAGTACTGCCCTCTGGGCAGCTCTGGTAGATACGCTCATATCGAAGTACGGTTGTAGTAAGGGAGTGACAATTGAGGAATTAAGTATAGAAGGAGGTGAAGTTGGTGAGGTAGAAAAAAGGGAAATGGGGGAGAAAAGATGGTTGTGGATATGAGTTGTGTGTACGTGAGTAAGCGGTTGAAGAAGGATGGGAGTGTTAATGCGGTTCAATAGAGAAAGTAAAGAAGTAGAAGTACAGCGAGAGTGAGCAGCTTTTCATTCCTTAGGTAAACGTTAAAACGTATTGGGGAGAATACGTAGCGACGTCCGATAAGTCCGATTCGATTAGATGGATAAATCACGTGGAGATAGCGTTGTTCTGGCCTGTTCTTTTCGAGTTCTGCCGAGTCGGACATTTCCGTTTTAAACCGATTCGGACATGATTAAGTAAGTCGATGACATCAAGACGGAACTAAAACAACTAAAACAACTAAAACAACTGCTACCATCTGCCAATACTTGCTCACTTATTTCTCAATATTCCTGATTCAAGAACAAAACAATTCGAAACAAGAAATCAACACATCAGTAAAATAAACAATAATATTGTAACTAATCTATTCCACCGACCCGGGTATCTAGACATACAAATCTGAAAGACAAAAAAGATACAATTATAATAACAAGAATGTGTAAAAAGACTTGCCGAACTCCAAAATGCTTTCGCTCTGCCATATGCTATGCTCCATACACCCCCTTTTTTGATGTTCCAATCCATAATTAAAGGAAATTTTCCAGTAGAATAGGGATGTTGTAACACTTCGAGTTAAACTTAATGAGAATCAAAGGAAATAAAGTAGAACTATCGTCGTTCCCTCGTAATATTCGGGCCTGTCCCTATGCCCGTTAACGTCCGTACCGCCCAGTGCAGCCAACTTTCTGTCTCCAGTTGTGTTTTTAGCTCCTCTGCTCTTCGCTCCACATCATCCACTTGCATTTCGAACTGCGCCACCCCGTCCTCCACATCTTGGACTCGGGACACGAGTGCGTTAATCTCGTACTCCAACTTAGCCGCTTGCACTCCGACCTCACCGAGTGCTTCTGTGATATGTGCTCTCTGTTCCGCAATGGTTTCTTGGGAGTTTTCCTTAGCCCTCCGGTATGCATGAGCGCGTTGGTCGTAGAGTGCTTGTAAGTCTTCTTGCTGTTGTGCGTAGTGGTCATCAAGTTTCTCGATTGACTCAATTTTCGCGTCAACCCAAGGTGCAATACCCTGTTTTACATCGATAATATCCACATACAAACTCCTAGCTAGTTCCGTTAGATATGAGTGCTTCTCTAGTGCTGCTATGTTGTCTAATCCATCGTCTTGATCGAGATCAGCTACTTCCTCCCATCGGAGAACAGCTTCTTCAGCGTCCCCGAAAGATAATCTTCGGGGCCATCTAGCTTCGTTAAAAGAGAAGCGTTCTGAGGATTGTAAATCTCCTACACTATGACGCCTGTAGAGACTTGGTGGAGCGGTAGTAAACTGCTGTTCCGCATCGACGAACGGACCTTGTAAGTCACTCTCTGCGACAACCGAATCTGCTACGGAGGATTCGACCACCGCTGCTACTTCGCTTCGTATCTCCGCAGCTTGTGAAACCCGTTTAATGTCGCCATTCATTAGTTTATGGGCGTCGCCGTTCATTCGGGCAGCTGATCGAGGCTCCTTAGGTGGTGAATCTTCCGTCCCTAACAAAGCTACCGAGGCTGGTGCGGATTCGATATCCCTTTCTCTCCTCATAACGCTTAGATATTCCTCGGGCTTATTCCTCCAGGTGAATGCTCTACCAACCTGGCCAGGGACAGGACTTGGGCTTCCGAGCCCCGCCGAGGAATCCGTTAGTACAGACGACCGCGGTCCAGAAATCGTAGTCTCCGACGATTCATCTTTGGATGGTCGGCTGGTATGGCCGCGGAGGCCACCTCCACTATACATGGCATCCTTTATTCGACCAAAGCCTGACCGAGCATCACGAGCAACATTCTTCAGTCCACGCCGAAGAGTCTCCTTTTCCCCGGGACTATCCACTACGCTAACCGCGGATCCAGGCGCAGGGGTCGAGTAAACACCTGGCGTATCCTCTCTCCGACGGGCCTCAATCTCTTCTTCGGGAGGTCCCGTATGTGTCCTCTTAACCTGACTTGAGACATCGTCCTTGCCAAAGAGAATATTGCTCATGTCGGGCATGGGTCGTTCGTGGTTATCAGCCGTCGATCGCTTAGGTTTGCCAAAAAATAGCCATTTCATCCGCTCTCCAGAGGCCATACTGATTAATCTTTCGAGCTCGGAGGTTTCAATATCTCCGATACCACCTTTATCCCGCCCACCAACCATCCCAAGAACGATTTCACCTCGCTTGCCGCCTATTTCGGTCATAGTCGATTTGACAGCTTTCTGCACACCCCAACCCTCACCGGCAGCCGCTTTCGCAGTTACTGAATGTAGTTTATGCATCGTCTGCCGATCCAATCGGCGAGACCTCTTCTCAAGCTTCTGGTACTTCTGGAAGTGGGCGATACCTCTTTCCATGGCGTCGATGTCGAACACATCTTTAGGAACAGGCGCACCGAAATAGCTCAACCTATTTCGCGCACCCATCAATAATCCGAGTAATGCCGCGACTGTAGTTGGCCCTAGGATACCATCGGTCGGTTCTATGCTGTAGTACTCTGCCCCGAATTCTGTCCACCAATCCCCAATAGCAGTTTCGGTAATGTCGCATAAAAGACCATCGATGTAAACTTGGTCTAGCTTCCCGAATAATAAAAGGGCGACCTGACACATTTTGACCAATTCGACGACGGCGTCGGAAAAGGGTACCTTGTCGGTGGTCTTGTACAGCTGGTAGAACTTGGCTCTAGCCGCGCTGGCAGGTTCGGACAAAGTCATACCAGACCGACCCGAACATCCTAGCCTCTTGAGATCTTCATTGACAATAAACTCCTTTCGATGTTCCTTAATATCGCCATCGGGTACAGGTATGACAGTCAACGCAGAAGGAAAGCTGCTGAGATTTGTTACCATCAACTCCCCCAATTCGGTATCTTTCGGTCGCGCGTGGAATTGTTGAATGGCTTTGAAATAGAGTCGTAACTTTGGTGTCCAAGCTTTCTCATCCGCTGGGACACCTAGCACCCCAACCACAACGTAGTGTTTCTCATCTCCAGTATATGTGACGATAACTAGGGTCGGCGACTGGCGGGAGCATGCCCATTGCTCTACTAGGTATAATTCGTAGCCTTGAAGCTTTTGTCTTCGCTGTTCGACGGTAACGGACGGGTCTTCTTCTAAATATCTATATAAAATAACATAAGCGACGCTCTAACAAGCTACAATGTATATCTTTCGCAGTTAACTCGCAATTAACATACCTAAAAGCTACGGGATCTGGAATAACGACATGACGGCGCTGCTGGGAAACGGGAGAAAGTATCGGGGCTGGTGTAGTTTGTCTAGATTCAACGGAAGCTATCGGACCGTCCAACTGGCCCGTTGTCATATTTTTCCGGGTGGAATTTTTTACAAACGGAGGGTCGTCATCTTTGTGAAGCCTCGGGTCATTCGAGGATACAAGCGGTCGCAACGACATGGTTGCGCTACTAGCCCTCCGTCTCGTATTATTCTGATGATCATATTGTGTCGAGACGCAGGGGCGAGGACATAGCGATTTAGATAAGTTTGATAGGAATTAAAAAGGGTTTGCCTTGTTAGGCAGACAACAATGAGTTGTTCTTGGTATGCTCGTTGGATGTTGTGTTCTTGGAAGAAAGTTGGCATGTGATGGGCGGTGATGAAGGATGGAAAGTCGGGATGTTGTTACCTTGGCTTTAGCTCCCTTGGCTCCCTCTAAGCACTGAATTATCGGAGCTCAGCTGCCCTGAACAAACCCCTGAAACCATCACTAGAATTCCACTACAATTATTAAAGTTAATAGCTAGCCCCAAGGGGAATGCATCCCGTAGTGGGGTACGAATGCGTCATTGCTGACCTATTAATCGGTAAAATACAGCCAATATCCGGCCTGATATCCATATAAGCTTGACCGTGATTTTAAGAACGTTATCAACTTATCGGTATCGTAGTGGCATGGATGCCGCATGGAATTAACTGCAGCTCGCCATCGGACTACAGCACATCTGGTACGACCCCGAATCGGCGACGTTATTCCGGATAACCTTATACTTTTAAACTTCTCCCCGTTCCAACGTTCCAATATTTAATTGGTGATTGTTACCTTTAGACGTTTTGTGAACTTGTTTAAAGTTGGGCGAGATGAGAATTGGGAAATTGCGACGAGCCGATGCCAAGTAATATTCTACTCTGAGCAACTTAAGAGAAACACACAGACACATCGCAAACAACGAACAACAACACATCACGAGGACAAGTACCACCTCAAGTCTTCGCCTCCAGCACCACCGCAACCAAGAACTACCAACTACCAACTAAAGACGAACAACAAATGGCCTTCTTACAATTACAAAAAGACCTCGAGAAGCTGACTAGCTCAGCCCAACTGTCAAATGCAGAGGAAGATGTAGACAAGATCATAGAGCTCCTCACCGATGCGCGGGAAAAGGTAGCAGCAGGTATGTAACACCTTTCCAAGCCTCCTCTCAAGCTGCTATTCCCCACCAATATCCGCCACGGTAGTACTGACTTGACTCATAGCAAACGACCCTCACACCACGAGCCTAACCCTCACCAAACTACAAAACCCGATCAAAGAGAAGTTGGATGGATTGAATAGTGATCTAAAGCTCGTCTACAAGGCCCAGAATGAGTTCAACAAGTCCCTAAAGACAGCATTTTCCAAAGCCAAAGGTAGCCTACCTACTGAGCACGATCCTATGGAGGCGCAATCAACTCTTATCAACAGAGCCATCGCAATGCATCTTTTACGGGAGGGTCAGTTCGAGGTGGCATCGACGTTTATCCAAGAGGCGCAACCGACACCCGAAGCCACTCAGTCTCAACAATTCTCTTCATCCACACTCGAGCCTTCCACCTCACATCGCTCCCAACCACCCTCCGATGCCATCATAGCCGACGCCGACATCCCCTCCGACCTCACATCCCTACAATCAAAAGCTTTAGAATCGTCATTCGCAGACATGTACAGCATACTCAGAGAACTAAAAGAGCAAAACCTTCTCCCCGCTATACATTGGGCTAGGGAGAATCACGTGGAACTGGAGGCTCGAGGATCAAATCTCGAGTTTGAATTGTGCAAGTTGCAATTCATATGGTTGTTCAAGGGCCCTGCTTTCAACGGGCTTCCCGACAATTCCGACAATGGCGTTTCGGGCGCGCTGCGCTATGCTAGGGAGAACTTCAACCGCTTCCAGCTACGTCACCTACGTGAGATCCAACAGCTCAGCGCCGCTATGGTATACTCGCCAAACCTGATTGATTCACCGTACGGATCCATCTTCGACATCTCAGCAGCATTTGAGGAAGTAGCCGGATCTTTCACACGCGAATTCTGCTCGCTTCTAGGTCTATCAGCCGAGTCACCTCTCTACGTAGCAGCAACAGCCGGAGCACTGGCACTTCCACAACTCGTCAAATACAACTCCAAGACGAAAGCTAGAAATACAGAATGGACGACGGCGAATGAACTCGCCTTCGAAACCCCTCTTCCCCGCAGCATGATGTACCACTCGATCTTCGTATGTCCGGTTAGCAAGGAGCAAACCACCGAAACGAATCCCCCCGTCATCCTACCCTGCGGCCACGTCTTAGCCCGCGAGAGTCTGCAGAGATTGGCGAAGGGAAATAGGTACAAGTGTCCCTACTGCCCGAGCGAAGGCACCGTGAAGGATGCTAAGGAGATCATTTTGTAGAGCAAGTGAAATTAAATGGGACTTCTTTCCGGGGATAGCATAAGGTGTTGTTGATAGGTATTGGGATGGGATTAAGATTGATTAGTTGGTCTGCCTCGTCAATTGATTCGGTGATTAGGTGAATATGGCGTATATCAATGGGAATGAGACTGGGGACTCCCCTCATCGGTACTGGAGTTAGGCGCGTGGCGTCTTGAATCGCTCTTTTGTGGTACTTACCACTCTATAGTTTATTACGGAAATATATTACAAGCGTTGCTACGTGTGATGCGTTTTTCACTCAGCTCATTATTCATTCGGAGTTACTATCGATTATTATGAGTAAAAGTCACATTGGGCTCATTACAATACTAATCGCGCATAAACCAAGTGCTCATCTTCTCAAATGCCTCCCGTACGTTTCTATTATTATCATAAGCTATCCGTACAGGTACTCTTATAATCGTAGTCCTTTGCTTAGCGAATTTCACTATCACACTTCTTTGCTCCACATGAAATATTCCAACCAACCAATACCTAGATCCCCAGTATTAACAACCGTTTAGGCAACCGCTTATCTATTCGTTATTCGTCGGGATAGAGGACAGCACATGTTTCCTCAGTAAGAATGTATAGGACGTCGAGTTCCGCAATCCGTGTTCCTATTCAACTCCGTTACAATCGTTGCTTTACCTCACAATCACAACAATATAACCAAGTTTGCTTAACCCTCTTTTCCTAGGTACCTAAGCTACCTACCCGGATTGATCCATTAGTGCTAGATATTTTCCAAATGTGACTTGATCTTTGCTTCACTCGCCGCTCCAGCCTCATCCAGCGATCGAACAAGCTTCTCTACGTCCTTTCTCTTCTCCTGAAATATTTCCATATTCTCAAAGGTGAGTAGTACCTTGGTCATCACTTCATTTCGACAACTGACGGCATGAGACAATGTATCAAATATTCTAGATGCAAATTTACCGCCCAGCTAGAGTCTGATTATTTTTGGGTTGTCAGATTCAAATGGATTCATCAACCACCTCGGCAGAGACGGCCAGTTCGGTGACATACTCATGAAGATGCTGAGGGCCACGGCATAGCCGAACTTGATTGCACATCCAGCTCCCTCATCTACGATACGCTCCAAAACGTAGTCGGGCATGAGGAGAGTGTATTCTGCTCTGACATGTAGCACCGCTTTCCCCAGCTCTTGCAAGTAGTTTGTATCGTTGAAGCCAAAGCGTCCCAGGGCTCGTAGCGTCCTCGAGAACTTAGATTGTAATTCAGAATCATCTTCCCCACTCAATGCTATTGAGTCTAGATAGCTCTCAAATTTAAAAGACGAATCATCTTTGATGTGGGGAATAGACGGGTGATGAGTTCTGAAAACGACATTCGCCTCCCACCTTTCGAAACACCAGATAGCGGGGTACGATTGAATCTGCCACGCTTTAACAATGTACTCTATGATCCTCTTGTATGACTGTATAGCTATGGCATTTTTCTTATATGTTTGTACCGCTAGCTTGGTGGGTATGTGGCTCAGGATATAGGGTAGTAGAGGTCTCTGTTCTAGGAAAAGGCAAAGATCATTCCAGTTTTCGATTGGGTGATGATGGTCAACAGCAAATAGAAGCTCCATGTAGTCAACACAAGTTGTAAGAACAGATCCTGGGCCGTGTGTGTCATTAAGCCCAGGGAATTCTGATTCGGGACGGCTAAGAAGAAACTCCCTTGCGGTTCGATGTATCAACTGGACTGGATCATCAGAATCCAAGGCGTTATTCCCCTGGAGAGCCTCTAGAGTGTACTTTTCATATGGTACTATCTCAATGAAGCCTCCACAGATATATGACAGTTGTTTCCAGGTAGGGCTCCACGGGTCTTCTTGCTGTAAAATGGAGCGCTCATGGAGGAAGGTCCTGCGGATATCGTCTGAATAGTCGCACCAACCAAACATAGCTAGAACCTCACGCATATCGCATAGAGTCATTCTGCTTTCGCTAAAGAGAAGCCACGAGAAAACATAGCTAGATTTCTGTGGATTCCTAGGTTTTCTCGTATTAAGTCTCTCGAGCATACCTTCGTAAGTCGCTGCGAGGTCTGTTGGAAACTTAGTGAGCTCTTTCTTGAGCTCCCAGACATTGTCCACTCCATTCAATTCGACGAACGACTCAATCTCGCGGAGAACCAAAACAACCCATAGTATTACGCCGTCGGCGTGCTTTAGTATGTAGTCTTTCATAAATTTGAGCTCAGGAATGTCCGGAACATCTGCTATGATCGTGGAGGCCGGGCTGTAGGTTGTCAGAAGCCCGCCGGGATCAGACCATATGCGCTTATATATGGTGGATAAATGATATCTAATTATTCTTTCGATATCGCAGTGATTTTCGTTCTTCATGTCAATGGAGTAGGCCGGATCAAGAATTAGTTTAATGGAAGGTTCAGGCCGACTAAGAACAATGACGTGAAATATGTTTCCACCTTTTGAGTCGCATAACCTAGATAATAGACGGGCGAGGTAATGTCTCGAGGTTCCTGGGTCTTCCCCGTCTTCTGATTCGTCAAGCCCGTCTATTATGAAAAGGAAATTAAGGGGTTCCTCATCGTTTGTATGGTCGCACAGCTGTAAAAGGATTTCTTCAAGGAGGTCATATTTCCACAGTTCGTAGTTGTTAACCATCGCTTTACGAACACAAGGTTGGTAAAATCGATACAATGCTTGTTTTTCCTCCAGTATTTGATATAAAATGGACCGCAGCATCCACGAGTGGCCGTTCTGGATTGGCTTGCCATTAATATTGTAGAAGAAATCAGCCATGACAATATGGGCGTCTTTGCATAGCGAACGTTGCAGGGACGCCGCAAGAGTCGACTTCCCACTACCTGCTTTGCCGTGGATCCATAATAGGCCAGAGTTTCGTTAACGCCAATCATGATACCTACGGTGCCCTTGAATCCATTGAGTGGTATTCCTCGTCTCTTCCCTAACATTTCCTCGTCGACCATGTAGAGGTTCGAAACACAAGGACTGTAAACACACTGTGCGTGGGGTCAGCGAAACGCGTAACCTTTTAAACTGCAAGTGATATTAGGTACCTTCATTTCTTCATGTTCATTAATCCGGCTTGGGGGTAGATTAGTAATTGGGTCTTGCGGGAGACACACTGCCGACCTTGATGTCCCAATAATTAATGCTTTGTGTCGTACCGGAAGAGAAATATTGGAGCTAGACTTTAGTCCAGTGCCATAGCACTTGGGGTGCAAGAATTTGAGGCCTAAGGCTAAGGCTTCATACATCTCGTCGTTAAAGCCGACGAATAGAAGGAAGGTATCGCTATCAAGACAGGTTAGTGCACAGAAGAGAATTATCCATTGCTTCTCCCATGAAGAGGTTTCTGAACAGAATACATCTTGCCATGAAATGCGAGCCCGATTGCTTTCCGCATTGTTACCATCCGCATTATTTATTAAGGCGAAGGTTTTTGTATCGGTAGAGAGCGCCAGTGGCAACAATTCAGGATCTGGGCAACTAATCTCCGAGGGAGCTGGCTCCTCCATGTTCCATTCTGTAGTTCTTGAGTCATCGATAGGTGCTAGTCCCCAATAAGTACCGGCATTCTCGGACCGCAAATGTTCATGGAAGACGTATGAAAGGCTAATCTGACAGCTTAAAGGAATATTATATTTCACATATAGAGGTTTATAACCTTCAGTCGTTTCCCAAGAGCGAGTCTGCGGCATATTAATCATCCAGCGGAAATCATGGGTGTCGTCTGATACGATTGCCTGCGGATCAAATTTTATTTGTTGAACGAGCTCGCATATTTGACGATCGACATCTTTACCATAGTAATTAGCTATTTGCTTCGTTACTCTAGTTGACTACCAAATAATGAAAATCGGTTCGAGTTCATAACATACCCGGGCTAGCAATGGCTACGCTAGGAACCATCTGGTCCAGTGCAAGCCTCACTTGCTGGTATTTCTGGCTCTCGACTGATCTAAACTTGCACATATTCCGATGGTCTGTTCCCTCAAGCGCCGCAGCTAATTCATTGTTGATATTGAGGCTAGCCGAATTCCTATCGACAACCTAGTAGTCAGGAGTTTTGGTTAGCAATATGAAATATGGAAGGTCCATCTGTTCTTCTAGAGCTCGACTCACAACGTTGTTGCCAATCTTCACAGTCTCGTAAAAGGAGTGTATGGTTTTAATCTTGCTAGCCGGTTGGATGAATGCCTTTGAAATGTTTGAGAACTCTCGAGAGTTCTTCTTTAAATCCTTGACAAAATTACGATTCCCCTGAAGCCCTAAACTTGCGAAGCTGATTACACTTGCCGCGAAATCGGCCCAATAGGCTGCATCTGCTCCACGATGGGGGACACCAAAGAACATAATACCGACTGTACTACTCGCAATATCTTCCCAGTGGTCCGAGCGCTCTTTGGCTAGATTCAAAGCCTGGCACGTTTATTAGTGGTAAGCAACTGTGGTATGTGATGGCATGGTATACTCGTTTCACAATAATTCCACCGAGGCTATGCGCGACAAAAATAATTGGCTTCCTACTTGCGGGTGCAGTTTGCGTTTTCCATCGAGAATGTGAACTAGAGTTGTTGCGACATCATCTATATCGCCGACGGCCTTGCCCAATACAGATGCGTCGTATCCAAATGACCAGACGCGTGCATTTGGATACTCGATTGGGAGGAAATCCCTTAGCCATAACTTTTGGTCTTCATCGTCGGTCCAGGTCTGTTCCCAGTCACCACTCAGTCCATGGACAGCAACAATGCTTGTGTCATAGTTAGGATCTAGCTACTCAGTTGATGAAAGTTGCGTTCAACTCACTCCACGTCGATATCAGCTTGAGGAGAATGAAGTATGAAAAGGCCGGACTTCTCTCGCCGCTAGAAGTAGTGTCAGTGCTTTTAATCGGTGTCGTGCTGGGATCGAATGGTCAAATACCAACCTCGATCGTTGCCGTGGACCGCTTTGAAAACCACCTTCGGAACGGCATCCTAATATTATACGAAGGCAGAGGCGCAAGCAATCGCGAGGCTATGTATCCACAGGAATACGAATAATCAATTGAGCCAAATGACAATAGAGGAGCGTGAGCTTGTTGGTTGGGGATAAGTCTTGGTTTTCTTAGTTCGCCTGCCTAAGGATTGCCGACGGAGTGATAATGGTGGCGAGATCCCGGTCAAGTGGCTGGCGATGAGGTCTGACGCTGGCCACTCAGAGAACCACGATGCGTTGCATGTACTGTCGAGTTCTAAGTACATTCAAAATGTGTAACCTACCGCTTTAAACCTAGGGCCGATAATTCGTGAGGTTGGAAATTGCACTTTTAGGCGGTGAAAATATAATGACGGACGGGCAGCGAGTGGCTTGCCTAGCCGCAGCTCACAGTTACCGTGTAGGCAGTCATGACTTGCTAAGATCCTAGTCTCGAAAGCGGAAACGGGACTTGGCAAGGCCAAGTCCATTAACATCTAGATACCGGAGTTATTGGAACTCCGCGTCTAGTACATTGCGCGTATGACAAGTTCTAGGCTGGGCGGGCGAGATCTGTTAGTCGCTCTTGTGTCATCTCGCACCCCCGAACTTGGCAAAAAGGAACGCTACTTGATAAGTTTACATATTTTGTAGGTATCTATGATATACTTCTCTGATATCCTCATCAATTGCCCATATATAGCTAGGCAGGTATTTCCATAAGGCATGACACGGATACGCATGAAATTCAGCAGTAATACACTTGCTTGTTGCGAGGCTATCCTCATCCATTACTCATCTTTTAAAAACTTCTATCCGTCATCCGTCGGTATACAACTCCATCTATCCCGTTGTTGTAACAAACCATTGAGCGTTGCACGATGGACTTGGGAAGTGTGATAAAGCTATGATTCAATAACAACCTCACGACGGGTTTATTGCCCCAACAAATACGACAAGCACAGCAGCGTATCCTGCCGTAGCAGTGAACGTCTCCGTGTTAGTAGCTTGGAAGAACAGGGCGAGAGTCAACGCAAACAAAGGAACGGCCACACAGACAACCACAACACTCTTGACGACTGAGTGATTAAATATCATAATAATCATAGGAACAACCAGGAAACATCCGCTAGCGAATCCCATGAGGAACCGCGCAAGTTTGTCAATGAACGGACTATATAGCAATGGAGGTTTTTTGTCGCTCCAGTCAGCATGTCTGATGGTAATCTCTTCTGTTGACCACGCAAGTGAAGGGTTAATTCCGTGAACAACGCGTAAAAGCGTATCACGAAGCGGATCTTTTTTCTGCGTGGGAGCATCTCGAAGTGTCCGATACTTCGTGTCGAATGGATGGTTTTCCCCGCCGCCTATGGCATTTTCTCGTTGGTCTTTATTGCTCGATCGATTCTCTGCATGAGGCAATACGAATTTTTCGAAATTGGATTCCATCCAAGTAACCAGAGAATCTCTCTGGTGATCTTCTAAGGGGCTTAGAGTCATGATGTATTTGAAGTCCCTGATAGCGTTCGCTACACGTATGTTAATAGAAAATTCTTTTTGAGTGCCCCATCTAGACATTCGGAACTTACTGTACTGATGAAGAAGTATACGAAGAAGAGGTGCTTGCTCTGGGGTAGCACGTTGACTCTGTCGCATTTCGGCATCTAAGCCTGATAATTCATTAAATAGAGTGAGTATATTCATCGTGTGAAGATGAGAAAACTCTCCAATTGGAGGTCTGTCCTTGTATCTGGTCCCATATGTGTAGAGTAGTTCAAAATACTCATCCGGCTCGGTTTTATAGTTCGTTCGTGTTGCTGGGTTAGAAGTCATTATGCTCTCTAGCTAGAGGAATAGTGGTTGAAGATAGAAGGAAAGAATCCTATAGTCTCGTCTTCTTAATAAATAAAAACTTAAATACCTCCAAATATTTACCGTGTGTCTGACCGTGTGGCTTATGCAAGAGTATGTAGGCACGTCTCATCAGCATCCTTCCCAGTGAGTTGGGTTACTAGGCGTGACAACATCCTTACATGTATATTGGGTTGTAGTAAGAAAGTTAAATGTTTCAAAACGTATCTATGTAGTTTAAATTATATGAGGACGAGTTGACCACATACCCAGATTTATAATGAGCCCGTTAGGAATACTCCGACGCAAAACCATGACCCAGTGAACTGCATGTGGGATCGCCCATAGGTGATCCAACGCAGAAAAGTCGGAGGTGAAGGTGTAAAAACCCCTGTAGAGTGCACCCAATACAGTGCTCCGATAGCACGTCTAATGCACCTAGATCACATTCAGCTTGCACCTCGACGAGATACCAATGATTGCTTGGTACCTAATCGTCTCTATGAGTTGTCGTGTTGCGCATACCTAGACACAGTGGTCAATTCCCATTCCCCGTTCTTCTTACAAACACACCCTAGACATCAAATCAATCATTGCTATCGCTATACTTCTAAGTCACGGTGGATTTGCGGAAAGAAAACTTGCACGACTCCTATTTAATAAATGGTTTCTAGCTTTCTCTAGGAGAAGCTAGAAAAATGAATGATCGCAATGACGACATTGTACGACGAATACATTATCCCCGCTGCGACTCCAATCACCGCACTGGTAAGGGGACGCGGAAAGCTTGCTTTAGAAGTTACATTCGCGGAATCTACGACGAAATTATCGAGACCGTCAACGAAATGAAACGTATCGATGGTTCTACGTCTATTAGTGCTAAGGCCGTTTCCACAACCACCAAAGTGACGAAATTGGTCGGAGAGCAGGTTGACAGCGCTTCAGATGATGACTGTATGGCTTTGATCTAAATCACATTGTTCCCGTTTTAGTGTGCTGAATATTGCTTTTTTCGGCTGCAGTGGAAAAGCTCAGAGAGATTCGAACTTCTCTCAGTAAAATCAGGATGGATATCAACGAGTCTAATCAGGAGTATCTCCAAGATGAATTTATCTGTACTCTAAAGAGGTTGTCTCTATTTGTCGCCGACCGTAAGCTTACCAGGAAACTACGAAACGAGGTAGGTACCAACCCCCCAGCTATGTTGACTGGGTTGTTGTTATACAGGCTAACAGTACCGCATCTTAGCTTACGACACCTGCGTCACATAAAACCAAGATTTTCTAGGGCATGATTACATCAGAACCATCCCATCGAAGATGGATATTGAGCCAAGGAGAAAGCGTCGGCCCCGAACATATGGTGGCATCCTCGACGCTCCTGCCCGACGACATTTTTATATTGCATCTGGGACATAGTTTCCGACGCAGCATTCCAGCATTCCAGCATTTCAGCATTGGTATTTGGTATTAGCATTAGCATCACCATCGGCATTAGCATCAGCATCAGCATTCATTAACATTGGGATTAGCATCAGCATTGGGATAGGGAGCATTAGCATTGGCACAGGTATCATTAGCATTAGCATTCATTAGCATTGGGATAGGAAGCATTAGCATAGGTATTGGCATAGGTAGCATTAGCATTGGTATTGGTATAATGGGAAATAAACATTCATGGTGTACGAAAAAAAAAAGACCAAATACTTCTTGTAAGATACCCTAAATTGGGTTCAGGGACTTGAAGATTTTATACCCCCCAAGGCGTATTTGCACTCATATTTGTTTGTCCAGACTAAGTAGCGTGTATTGTTAGGCTTCTTGGTTTTGTGATTGATTGTTTAATTCACTATTGCGACCTTACATGAGTAAACTCAAATACCCAACTATCTTAGTTTACGCTTCAGCCCTACGCAAGTAACGTTATTCCAACGTTGAAACCTAATCCCTAGCTGTAGCCTGTGACATCACTGCATTCTATATCACTTCAACATCAAAACACCACATGAACAGGAACACAAATTGCGGAACTTAACGTTCAATTGCTTACTAACTACATGTGTCTTTGAGAGCCTAACTTGCCCTCAGCTTCTATTGTCGAATCCGAAACTATGCAACCTTGGGCCCCAGAACATCGAAATTGGGGGGGTATTCCCTTACTACGCCCTTTCTACTAATTTCCTGACGAACTGGAATGGCTATGCCTCATCCAGTTGGGCATGCCTTTATCCAGATCAATCGAATCCGACGCGACACTATGAGCTTTTTTGAAAAACAGAAAATGGAAATATGTCCTGTAACTCCATTGAGGACTGAACCTGGATTAGATCGCTAAACGCCGGAAGGAAAAAAAACCCATGTCTCTCCTCATTCTACGAGAAGGGCTTTCATAGGTTGGATATCTGAAAAATGCTCGAAAAAAAAGGTCGTATGAATTCGTATCCACTTTATACATCTATTTGCCGTGCCTCGAAATCTCTTAGTCGATCGTCATTCTGGTCGGTATCTGAGGTTGCTTGACGTCGTGCATCGAGTAGCTGGCTTGGTCCTTGTCGATCTCTTGTCTGGGGCTGTTAAGGTGGTGCTTCAGACCGGCGCCAAAGTTAAACATGCAGACCATCCCGTTTATTATAGTCAAAATGATCAATATGATGGTTAGGACCGCGAATGTTGTCAAAGACTTGCGAACAGGCGCATAGAATTGCCCTTCGTAAGGATCGTAGATTCGGGCAAGCTTGTAAATGAAGTAGGTAAGACCACCGAGGTAGAGGATCATGATGATTACCATTCCGAACTTCCACTCGCGTCGGGTAAACCATGCTGCGCAAAGTAGAATAGCGATGGTGATCGGGATAGCAATGGCCGTGAGTATGAATTCGGTGGTTGTTTTGCCCCCAACCACAACTAGGAATTGAATCGTGAAACCGACAAAGAAGAAAAAGTCGAATTTTAGAAGAGCGATATAAACCTATCAAGTCTATTAGTTACGGTTAGGGGTATAATAGGAGTGTGGACAAACCTGGTAGTGTAGGAATCGCTTCTTCATCCTGTAGTCAGCTCCTATGTGCTTCAGGATATCCCAAGCGAATTCCTGGTATAGCTTCCAAGCGATGAAGCTGTATACAACACTGCCCAATGCGATGACACATGGTATAGCGATGAGCATCCCCTGAACATCGGCCCAAACGTTGATATTGTCGAAAGCATTCAGATCCGTTAAGCTCGTGACGGCCACGTGGATCTGGTCAATTTGCAGAGCGCCGTAGACAAGGAAAGCTAGGTTTGCAATGCATAGACCGATGACTTGAATGGTATTCTTCATGCGAAGAGCATCCCAGACCATGACCAAGTCGTAAATAAATCCAAGCATCAACAAGCCAAGGAAAGTTGGAATCGTCTTCATTTGGGCTTCGGCATCTTCCTTAGTTTTCTCGTCTGCCCAGTGATCTTCAGAGGAATCCTTGAGGCCATCTTGGAATTGCGCAAATGTGTATCTATAATCATCAACGATTAGCTCGAGGTCGTGGATGATGCTAGAAAGTGATGACTTACGATTCAAAGGCAATGACAATGATGGCCTGTAACGCGGCGGCGATAAAGAATAAGCGCGGCCATTTTCTAGTGAATATTTCGCCAGTAGACTTCACTAGACTGCTGCATCGATTAGGCTTAGAGGCGGCCATGGCGGGCTCTCCGTATTCGTTTTGATATTGTGCTTGCGGGTATTGGGCGTATTCTCGTTGGGGAGGGTACTGGAACGTTTGATTAGAGGGGATCTGCTGGAAGCCCGCAAAGTCCCCAGAATCCCGATTGAACGCCAGATTGATGACACTGGACTCCTCTTAAAGTGAGGAGTCGGACGAATAACGAACGTAGATGGAAACGGTCGAATTCGCGAATGGTGTTGTTATGGTGATGCAGTCGGGGACTACAACCCTCGGAATCGGCAAACTGTATGGAGTTTTCCCACCACTGTGTCAAATGCGAATAGTGGCCCGGCGGGGGCGCGAGGGCGATTGCTTGGCAGAACGATGATCGAAGGACAAAGAAAGCCGGATTTATGTTTCGCTGACAGAAATATTATTTCTATTGTTGGTAGAAGGCGTCAACACCAACTTCCAACGATGTCGCGATGTATCGTTGATTGGTATGGATGAATGGATGATGAATGGTGAATGATGAACCGGGCGAGAATTGATTGTTGCTGACAAGGTCGATCGAGGTATGGACCTGCTAGTGCTGGGCTGGCTGAAACAGGCCGAAGGGTTTGAGGCGTGACGAGGGTGAAGCAGGGGGTAGGATTCGGGTCTGGCCGTTGGCCTAGATTACCAAATTTGGTTGCTGCTTAACTGTTTTTTGTATGGTGACTTTGATTTCGTTTTGCATGTAAAAATGATATAATTATTTGAAGCTTCCTAATCACAGCCTACATGGAAGGATTTGTTGTTGGAAATCCAATTGCTTGGTGATGACACCAGTATGGGCTTAGCGAGCGGCAAAAGAAAACGGTGTCGGGGTATTCGTATCGTGACCTGAGTGCGGCTGGAAGGAGTCTGTCGGTCGCTTGCTTTTAGTGAGCAAGGGTATGTAGGGCGGAATTCGCGGAGAGGTAGAGCAGAGGAAAGACAGAAAAAGGAAAAAAGAAGGAGTAAAGAAAAAGAAGAAAAAATGAATCAGTAAAATCAAACGAAAGTACTGCCTCAGGAGAAGACAAAAATTATGGTGTTGGTTAATTGCTCAGTAAGTTGTTGTTTTTGATTAAAAGGGACGAGAAATTGAGTTGGGAAACTATTTTTCTCTTCTATGTCAGATTGGATATCTGCTGTTGCTCCTGCTGCTTTTGCTGCTGACCGGGAACCTTGAACCATTTGAACCATAAGACGGGGAAGGAAAGATGCATTCAAATGGAGCGATGGAGCCCTTTTACTGATGGGCTGGCTGGGCTGTGCCGACTATCCTAAGCAAATGGGTCGTTTTACAGGGACGGGCCACTGTACATGCGCTGGGACGCAGGACTATTCGGTAACTTTTGTTAGTGCAACTGCTAAATGTTTAGCGCAAACTTAGCTAACTCTACTTTTAGAAGAACATCTCCAGTCCCCTGAAACCTTATGTATGTAGTACATATGTACATGCTGCGGTGGGTATATATTTTCATGGATGTATAGATTACATATGGAGATGTACAGATAAATGTACTGACTCGGTATGACATACGCTGCGAAATACGTCCAATACGATATCTCAATTTGTATAATAATGTACAATCCCACTTAATCGCCGCAACAAAGCACCCCATTTCGGCTTATCACCGTGGGTTCGTCATCTCTCATCTGACATCAATACGAACAACCGATGCATGTCGCTACTTTCCACTAGAGCATGCAGACACGCAGACACGGCAACCTTTATTATAAGAGGCCGCCTCCTGGATTAGCTACATAAGATTCTAGCATTTCACAACCTATGCATTCTTTTCTACATATGTTGAAGGTATCAGGTTGTGCACTACTTTAATCTAAGGTAACGCTTTGGTAACATGCGGCTAATCTGAATCGCTCAAACAAACGGCTCCCGCCAATGATTACGAAAAAGGTCGTATATACCTGAACTACTTATGCATCTGGGTAGTATTTATTCTGTTGGAATATAAACAACCTCGTACGAAACTTAACTACCTGTCAATACTATAGGATAAGTTGACATGTCTTTTTTTCTTGTCACGTCAAGCCCCTTAAGAGCTTCATCTTTTTTTCGTTGAATGGATATACATAGCGAAGTATTTTCTTGGCTCGTTCGAGATTCAAGGGACTTTTTAGGTAGGCTACTAGCATGGAAGCGCTCCACATAAGCGGAATAACCCATGTCTGTCATGGCCTAGCATAAGGCAGACAGGGCGAAGCTCGATGCCAAGGTCAACTCAGCCACCTAAAAATGGTAGACTTCCGTTGTCAAGATGATCTTTGCATTCTTTGTTAGCATTACTACTTTACCAAGACTTACTATGTCATATATTTACATATGACGAAGTTGTTTGAATAGAGGTAGAATATAGAATCTTTCTATCTTTCTGTTATCGCGACATTATTCACCTATCTATTCTGTCTCTTATAATAGGCCAAAAGGGGTAAATGTGACTGTAAATCTGAAACGAAACCTGTCTTTGAAGCCCTTGAAACCAGCGAGAAATACCCGAGGCAGGGAAAGCCCAGATTGATTTTGCTCCGCCAACGATTCGGATGCGCATGTGCAGAGATTCAGTTTTCCCCCGCATTGCATGGCGGAATGCATAGCAGACCTTTTCTAGCGGAGTTCTGTTTGTAGACTAATTTACGAACCTTGATGCGTCTATTGGACGGACGATTATCTACATATGTATGATTGGATCTGTTGTATCTGCCCAATTACTTTATTTAGAATATTTTAGAGAACGATAACTCAAAAGCATTAAGTTAAGGGGTTGAAAGAGATGATAGGTGCTCCAGTCTCCAATGTAAATTATTGTAAGGCTTTGGTGGAACTGGGAATGGCGGAATTGGAACTTAAATCGAAATGGCGTTATGTAAGCATTGAACACCGCCACAAATGATAATCAAGGTACGTACTTTCCTAGATGATCAATTGTGGATACGCCACGCCTTCTATGGTAAACGCGCCTAAGCGCAACTCACGCAGTCACGCAGCTGCGTCAAAAAAAAAAGAAGCAGAGACATAGAGACACGCAATTGCGATATCATTACAATTGTTCATTCCCTATGGTTGTAACACATCGTCTTAGCTCGGAAAATCGTTACAGTATGATGGATATCGACGAGGATGAACTCTTGCGTACCGCCGCGAATGGTGGATCAGTTGACTAGTAAGAATATCAATTGTGCATTGTTCCAATCCCGCGATATCGTCGCTAACATTTATGATAGTTCTATCTGGCCAGCTTTATTACCGCGAATAGTCTCACGTATCGAACGGGTTAGTAACATCCTTTTATAGAATATCTAATGTTAACATTGACAATCTAGATCACTCGCAATGAATTCCCTATACCTAGGCTGCCACCGCCGCCCACCATAATCCCTTCTTCCATACCACCGACTCAACCCGACTCGGAGTCCGCTGAAAACTTCCTATCACCATTACCTTCGTCGCCCATAGAACCCTCGAGCTCCTCTTCCTCCCAAGATACCAACAAAGAGAACACTCCTATCGCGCCGAGGATGAATCCACCACCGACCTCAACTCCCACACCCGCAGTTGCTCTCCCACCCGGCACGCTACCACCTCAAATCACATCAATGCTCAACGAGATAACTTCCACACTAACAACCATATTCCCCAAATACCCACCGCACACTTTACAACGCTTATCAGAGCTCGTCATAGCACCAAAGCACCATTACCGCACATTACCAACCTACCTCCACGCCCTAGACCGCGTCGTCCACGTAACATCCGGTCTAAACACCTACCCCCTCCCCCCGGCGGTCCCAGACATGAAATCCGCCTCTCTCCTCTCCAACGGAGTCAGCGACGCCCTAGCCGCTCCCTCCCCCTTCGCCAGCCCCGGCAGCGACGAAGCCCTTGGTGGCGCCCTCCTAACACCAATCCCCTGGCTCCAACCAAACCACCACGGGATGTCCTCGCACTCGCCCTCCCTAGGCACACCCGGTCGACGGAGTCCAAACCGAAGCAACAGCCCCAACAATAACAACAACGGGGTAAGCAGTAGTATCCTAGGCACCAACAATAACAGCGGAGGAGATCTCGAGGGCGAAGTACGCACCGAAAGCACCGAAACAATCGACGGACCCAACGGCGTCGGTAGCATCGAAACGGTTTCCGTCTCCGTGAACGGGATCCCGTCGATGGGCGCGAGAGGCGTGGGTGTTACGCAGGGAGAGCTTCTTAGGCAGGAGCAACGCGCGGGCGTGGTACCAGTTTCCCAGCTTGTGCCTAGTCATCATGTACATAGCGGAGGCGCGCATGCGCAGGCTCATCGGCGTGCTTCGGCGTCGCCTAGTCCGGAACCCGGTCAGGGACCATCTGGTGAGGAGACGAAGGAGCGGAGTCCTCCTGCGGCTGCGGAGGGTGGTGAGGCTGAGGCTGGTGTTGCTACGGCTACGACGACGGTTGATGCTGATGCCCCTGTGGGATCGGTTACGGGTGCTGATGAGGAGAAACCGCATGCGCGGGGGCCGGAGGAGATCGGACCTGAGGATATGGGACCGCAGCATGGGAGTGGAAGTAACACGGGGAGTGTTGGCGGACCCGGCGGTTTTGAGATGCAAGGTATCGACGTCGAAGCCGCGGTTGGCCGAAAAGCGTCTTCGGGTCATGGCGGTAGTGGAAGTCCGCCTAAGACGAACTCTCCGCCCCTCGGTGATAAGATGGACGTTGAGACTGAAGGTAATGGTAGTGAAAGTGATGCTGGCGCGCGAACACCGAAACACGAAGCTGAGGATGAATTGGAGGGGGGTGAGAGTAAGAAGTTAAAGGAAAATACAGAGGGTGAAGAAAAGGGAAATGAGGCAGCTATGGACACGTCTGTCGATGAAAATAAAGAAGGCGGAAGTGATCAGAGAGGCGACTAGGCGCAGTTTCCAGGGTCTCTAGTTATACGAGGTGCTACGAATTCATAACTTTGCCTTGAACGAAATCCGCTATGAGGGTAGGGGTAGGGTTAGGGAATCGAATTGGTCTGTTTGGAACGTGGAATCTTACTAGGTATGGACGGATAGGTGGACACGCGACATCTTGTTCATGTCATATTCATTGGTCTTGGAATGACTTGGCCGTGCGGTTGTATTGATACCAGACGAAGAGAAGAGAAGAATAGAGCAGCAAACGTTTAGGAGAAGCAAGGATTCCGATTCTTCTAAGGAGGCTTACCTTTTGGTGTTGTAGGATACTTGGTATGAATGCTGTATCATGATAAAAAGAAACAGACAGACAGATAGGAAGACACAAGAGTGTTCAATCACTTTTAATTGCGATTTTCGCATTTCATATTTTGAGGGTTGTCTAGTGAGATTGTAGATGATCGTGACATAACATTATATTGATAGCTACAGGTGCGAAACAAAGGTTTGCTCACGCCTAGCCTTGGAACCTGGGCATCATATTTCAACAGGGCTAGTAATAGTTGAGAAGTATATGGCTTTTCCCGTTCACATTGATGTCCATCTAGTTCCTTCACAAAAACGCCAAAGGAGATTAAGTTGTAAAAAACCAGCGAGTTAAAGACACGGGACGCCGTGCTATATGACTAGCTACCGAAGAAAGCATGAGTAATAAATCTCAAACCGAGTACATGTAGACTACCAAAACATAGACTCCGGTACAATTACTCTCTCCCTCCTAGGCCACTCGACCAGCCCCTTAAACAACAGTAGTAATACTCTCGCGCTCAATAATACTATTCTGCTTATCGTCACGCTTGACCCGGTAGAAGTAATCGCAGAAATCAGAGCAGCGCATGTGTCTGAGGAACTCTTCGTCGTGGGTGATAACGATGAGTTGGAAGTTGGCCTGAGCTTTGCGGGCCTCGATAATAGCGTGTAAACTCTCGGCAAGACTGCGAATATTGTCGCGATCGAGATTGGTTGTTGGTTCATCGAGGGCGATAATCCCGCATCCGATACCGAATGATTCGGCTAACGCTAGTCGGATAATAATGCTAGCTAGCACTTTTTGACCCGCCGAGCATCGCCCTCGCATATCCATCTCTGTATCTTGCTTTACCATGCATACGCGATAATTATACGAGCTACGACCTGTCGAAGTTGTCACCTCGCTATCCGACTTAATCAGGATTGTGTCAATGTCAGTACCCTGGTACGTGCTCTGCCACAGTTCGCCTGCGATTCGGTTCACTTCCTCCATCTTGAGTGCGTGATATCGCATGATAGCGTTGCTAAGCGCTGTGCTGTACTTTGCTAGATCTTCGATAACTGCCTTAGTCGTCTCAACCTTGATATGCGCCTCGCGATATTTGGTTTCTGCGCCCTCATATTCGATCTCCCACTCTTCAAGTAGACGTTTTAGTTCGCCATCTTTGCCCCTAATTGCTCCCTTTACTTCGCTGATTTCCGCGTTTAACATGTGGCTTTGATTTTCCCATGATTTGACTTCTTGGTCTAGTTGTTCAAAATCCTCGTTTGCATTGCGTGACTCAAGCTCCCGAATATCTCGCTTGAATTTCTCAATCTGAGCCAACGTCTCACGGTAGTTGATATTGTCAATGATATTCTTCTTTCTAGCGTCGCTGTTGCTGATATCTTCCTTGATTTTGTTGGTGCGCGCCGTCAAGTCATTCATATCCCCTTCGATACGCTTGATGACATTATCAAGTGACTGAATAGCCCGTTCAGTTGCGGCAAGAAGTGATGGTCCACCACGATCTAGATAATCTTGGATCTCGTTATTGGCTAATTTGAGCTGACCCACTGAGGTTGTAAGCTCGTCTCGCTCGTCTGCAACCTTCTTCTCCTTCACACGTCCCCTCTGTTGGGTATCGTCCCGAATCGTCTTCGCCTTCGTGATTTCGGGCTCGACTAAGCCTAGTTCTGTATCTGCTTGTTGAATGGCTTCTCTTTGCTTGCTCATATCGTCCTTCTGAGACTGGATTTGGTTTTGCAGATCCTGCTTCCTCTCGAGCTGTCGGTTGGCGTTGCTAATTTTAAGACTTAGTCGACTCCGCTCAAGCTCAAGTGAACTTGTCAAGTCTCGCATACGCTGCCGATCACTCGATAAGCCGGAGATGATGCTCTTGACTGCTTTCATTTGCTCTGCGCATCTAGTCTGCAGTTCGTGGATCTCTTGAGTGCTTCGAATCGCGCCGCTTGACTGTTGCTGAGACATAATTCTTTCGACTTGGGCTTCAGCTTCCTCAATTTCCTTGTAGATCTGGGAGATGTTGTGGACCGTTTTACCCATCGACTCAAGGTCTTCTTTTTCCTCTTGTCTGCTTTTCACAACCTCATCCATCTCTTCGACGCGCTGCAACATACCATCCAGCTTCTCTCCAATCGTATGGATTTCTTTATCGCTTTCTTCCTTTTCCGATACGAGTCTGGCGTATAGTTCACTTTGGGGACGAACCATTCGTAGGTTCCCCAATGTCTCCTCACTCTCAGCTAACTCGGTTTGCATTTCTTCCTTCTTGGTCTCTTGCAGCGCTTCCTGGATTTTCTTCATCAATCGTGACTTATCATTAGCATCAGCGAAGGGCCGGTCGCAGAGTTCGCAGCGGTTTTGCTTGTTTAATGTCTTCTGACATTTCGAATAGAAGTTCTTAAAGTGCTCAAAGAGGGCGATGTCCTTCTCGAGTACGAGTGTTTCCTCTTCGTAACGTTCAATCTCTTGAGGTAAATCACCCATACTTGGCGTAGCATCAGGATTTGCCGTTTTGAGCGCTTTGAATACGGCCGATTTGCATCGTTCCATCTCTTCATTCCGCTTCTTGGCCTTTTCTCGAGAACTCTGTAGTGTGTACTGAATCTGCTTCTGTTGCTGGACAACATCGTCACGCCTTCGGGCTGATTCATCGTAGATCTGGATTTTCAGTTGTAGCGCCTTCTGGAACTCGTGATCAATGGTCGCGGGTTCCCACGAACTACCAATCATACTAGATATCTTATCCTTCCATGTGCTGCTGAGTGTATCTAATTTCCGCTTCTTATCAGCCAACTCGGCCTTACGAATATCTAATTGAGCTCGATCAGCAAGTAGCCTGGTAGACTCCATAAGCTCACTACCAAATCTACTATTCTCGACTTCAAATCGTTGCAATTTTTCTTCTTCTTCTTGTAGCTTCGTATCGAAGTTTGCGGTTTGTATATCCTGGTTCGCCTGTTCAAGTCGCTCTCCTATGTCTTTGAAGGAGGAGTCAAGCAACGCTTTACTACCTTCGTCAACCTCAACCGAATTAAGATCTTTTTGCAGGGTACCAATTCGCTTTTCTATTTTGCCAATTGTCTCCCTTGCGAAATTGCGGGTTTGCGTATGCAGACGCTTCTGGTTTTCCAACTCAGTGATAGCAGCTCTCTTATCCTCCAACTCGTCAGCATTTTGCGATTCGAGATTCGTAAGTTCTCGCTTCTTGTCTGCGAGGAGCTTTTGAATCCGATCTTGAAAAGCTTGGACTTTGCGGTCATCTAAATCACCATCAAAGCCACGGATATTATGCAATTGAGCCGCTTCATGGATGAGCTCTACCCGTGAGGCCTGTTGGCGTTCGTACTTTTCCTTGTCGGACCGCCGCATACCCTGTTCTGCCAACTTTTCTCCCATTTCATCGCGGGACTGCGAGAAATCATTTTTGTACTGAGCGTACTGTTGAATGTTTGCTTCGAGGTCCTGCTTATATCTCTCAACCCGATCTTCGTACTGAGCGAGAGTATCCCGTAGCCAATCATCTGATTCGTCCATCTCATCCATCCTAGTTCTCGTCTCTTCTAAGTTCTTTTGGAGAAAACCAAGCTCTCGTTTGTGGCTATTTAGGTTGTTGATAATGTCGAGATAGCTGTTTGCCTGCTGACGCATTTCGACGGCATTTTGGTCGGCTTCTTTTCTCTCCTCTTCCATGGCCTCGTACTTGCTCTTCAGTTCATCTATCTCGACCTCTAACACCTTGCATCGTTTCTCAACCTTTTCGGCCTTCTCCTTATTGATCTTTTCTTGACTCTCGAGTATCTTCAGCTCTCGTAATTGCTCGCCTTTCGTTTTTCTCTGCATCTTGATGTTATCGATAGCTTTCGTATACTTCATAGCCTCGAAAATCTCGTCGAAGCGTTTCTTGAGGGCAGACGGTTCGCTCATAGGCCAAAGTGACTCATCCTGGTGACAGAATATAACGGCCTCGAGTATGGCTGGAGAAACTCCCAAATACCGAGCCATCTCCTTGTTGATGTCCACCTTTTTGTTGGACGTGCTGTCAGTATCGCCGGCATATTCGGTTCGGATGCCACTCTCGAGGGTCTTTAGGGATCTCGTGGTTTTCTTGACGGTAAGCTGTAGCCTACGAGTAACGACGTGAACGGCTTCCGGTGGGGTCGTAAACTTCAGCCCAACTCGTGCTAGGACTTCTCGGTCGCCGCGTAACTTGGGATCGTGAACGAAAGCTCCTCCTTTGCTGTTGGGAGGCTGCTCGCCAGTAGTAGCAAATTTGAGACATTCGATTATAGTGGTTTTGCCCGAGCCATTGTATCCGACGATCAGAGTTAAAGGAGTGCCGAATCGTATAATCTCTGTGTTGTTAGGGTCAAACGATCGGATACCCGAAATAGATAACCTGTCGATCTTAGACATGATGACGAATTAGGGTCTTGATATTCCCGGACTAGAATGCAACTATCCTATCCATGGATGCTAGAAGATTGGTGCTACTTAAGTAGTTGCAGGAGATCAATTGTGTATATGTTGTGTGTTGGTGTTTGTATTTGTATTTGTATTTGTAAGGTTGACATGGAGGTATTTAGCATGAGAGATTTGTTATAATACAAATAATTAGTGTTTGGGATGCGAAAGTTTATTTTGCTAGTTGCTTTGTGAGGTGCATATGGAAGTTGGTGCCTATGCTGCCTATTTCCTATCCATGGATCTCTCTTTCTCTGTAAACCGACGCGTTCCGATGTAAGTTTTAGAGGGGAAACGCGCCTTAAAATTGTACCTAGGTACACCTACAGGGTAGCTAAGTCCATCCACTAGCACCCGAAGACCTGCAGCTTCCCGCCTAGTAAAATTTATCAGACCACTAGAGCAAGATTCTTAGGTAATCTTGCAGCCACTCTCTTGGTAGCTCTTTACCGCAGAATATCCAGGGTTAACTTGCATAGATACGTTCATAAGCAGCATAGCATAAAAGTAGCATAATTATACACAAGTACATAGTGGTAAGTCTTGCAGTTCTACCCATACAACACCTTAACACTTACTACATATGCATAAATACTAGTAGTCTATCAAATCTATATATACTATATGCTCATACACATCCATATTTCAATGCAAGGAGCTCTCCAATCATCAGGAAATATAAGTCGGAAAAGGACCGCCAAGTACCTAAGTAGGTACATGTGAGGGATGGAGGGGATGTAAGGTACTGCACGTATGAATAAAAAAAAGCCGTATTAATTTACCTACTAAGTGATCGTCCAACCTGTGGGCTATTTTCCTAGATCTCCTTGGCTTTCTGACGTATTGCAGAGTTGGTGGGTAGGTACATATAAGAAAATGCCTAGCACTTAGCGTACGTCGTACCTACTAAAGTATACTAATATATCTGTAGGTATCCTTGGATGTATGTATGTACCTAATGTAGGCAGGCGGGCGGATGTAGGTGGATATGTATGTACGTAAGAAAAGAGCAACTGGGTAATTCCTACCTTGCAACTTTCCCTACATAACCCACATAAGCCTACCAGGGCCTACCTTCCGTACAAGTACAAGTACATATTTAAACAATTTAGGTCACACGGCAATCCGTTTTGTTAATCGAGAAAAGTGAAATCCCATCCCGTTTTCCCCCTCGATTACCCTTGCCCCTTTATCAATCCAATCCACTCCATCCATCTTTTCATGCTACTACTGCTACCGGCTTGCGGTACTCGATTCTTACAGGCCCTCTTCCACACCCTACACAACGCCCTACATACCCTACATACCCTATACTCATACACATCCTTCAATGTTCTTCTACCTAACCCAGAGAATAACGCAGAATCCAATCCCAATCCTAGCACCAGCATCCCGGCTTAGAACCTATGAATTACCTACCCCCAGCTCCTAATACTTCCTCCCCCATACATAATCCATCATACCGTCATCGGGTAACCTGGCCTGGTCAAGCTTGTGAATCCCCTTGTTCTGTCTTATTCTACCTATCTATCTCTTTCAACCCTCATCCGTGTTGAGTTGTTTTTTTCTATCTTTCAAAATCGAATTTCGATTGATTTGTTCGATCGCTTTTTGTTCAAATCTGTTTGACCAGATGCTCTCTCTCACTACAAAGGTCCGAACAATATCCATTATTCCCTAACCAGATTCACAACACCTATCATTATTATAGCGATTACGTTGTATTAGAACACCGATCAGATCCACGCTGCCGCTGCCGTCGCCGCCACGACCCACTTACTACAATCGCTATTATGGACGGGCCACCACCACAACCACCAGACCCAAACAGCATGTTTGACTTTACTACGCCGGCTGGTTTGAACCCGGTGAGTAATGACATTATGCTCTCGGATGCTTTGCGCATCACGAATGCCACCAATATCGCACCACCTCATCCATCGCGCCCGGACTAATATCGAGCTCTGCATTAGATGTCCTCTACCGGCCAGAACGACTTAATGTCGCTCTACGATAGCTCCATGTTCACAACCTTCGATGGCCTGCCAATGAGTCTTGATGGCCTCAACGACATGACAGCTGCCCCGCCCCCTCCACAGCCGTTTGCGCCGGTCTCGGCAAATGCGAATCACCAGGCTGCGCTCGTCCAAAATGATGCCGCTGCACGATTTGCATCAAATACGGGCGAGAGTCCGGTCCCGCCGGCGCCCGTGGGAATCACCCCGAGCTACGCCGCCCCCGCGCAACCCACTGTGCAAGGAGGAAGCACACTAACCGAATTCACCAAGAGGAGGAATTGGCCAGCCAAGGTTGTCGAGGAACTCAAAGACTTCTTGCAGATACTAGATGCGCACGGGAGAATTAAATATGTATCACCGAGTGTCTCGCCCTTGACTGGCTATGAATCAGACGAGCTTATCGATCGATTTGTCAAGGATTTAATTCACCCGGATGATGTTGGCACATTCACATCCGATATGAATGAGTCCATAGCTACTGGAAACCCTTTGCGCATGTTCTATCGGCTCAAGAAGAAAGATGGTAACTATGCCATATTTGAATCCGTCGGGCATGCTCATATCGCCGCAGCTAAATTCGCGCCAAACCCGGAAAATCAATCTCCGTTCTGCCAGGCAGTATTTATGATGTCACGGCCGTATCCGACCAAGAACGCATCTTTACTAGACTCGTTCTTAGAACACAAGATCGAAAACGAACGATTGAGGCGTCGTATTGCGGAGCTCCGAAGGGAAGAAGAGGAAGAGGAAGCTTCCCAGCAGAGTTGGTTTGCAGCGAGTCAAGAAGGTCGATCGGATGTCGCAGCATCGGAGGACACGATGTTAACGTCTTCTCAAAGTCCAGCAGTATTCAACCAACCTAGTGTAGACTCGCAGGTCATGCCCCCTCCAGAGAGACCAACACCGCTTAACATAGCATTGACAAGGGAGAACCTCGAAGGTGTGACAGCAGGGAATCGACCAGACTCGATTAGAGACAAGATGGCGCGATACGAGGGTGCATCGCATACTGACACTATCGAGATGTTAACCGGTTTAAGATACGTCGAAGGAGAACGAAGCCGTGGAATTACTACAGGCAATTCCAGCCCTACACTCATCAAGGGCGACGTGGGAATTGCGATACCCATCGATAGAGATCCAAGGACGGGTGAGAAAAAGAAGAAGCTCAAAGTTGCAGAAGAATATGTCTGTACCGATTGTGGTGCGTATAGAAAAGTATATTTGCCGCACAGATCACCATACTAACGTGGATCTAGGAACATTGGATTCTCCTGAGTGGAGAAAGGGACCACAAGGACCCAAGACCCTTTGCAACGCTTGCGGTCTTCGATGGGCGAAGAAGGAAAAGAAGAAGAATGCTAGCGGTGGAGGTAATGGTGGAAGTGCTGGTCCAGGACCACCCCATATGCCCGGCTCAGAGCACCAGCAGTGAGTTGTTCTAAGGGATTAATAGTTGTTATTGTCACGTGAAGCGATCTATAGACAGGCCTTGAGGTGCACGGCGTATTGGCATTTCCTCAGGTAAATGATATGTATGTTTTTATTTGCTAAGGGAGCGTCTTAAATTTTATCGGGCTCAAGGCAAAGGCATGGTGTTGGGACAAAAATCACGGATTTGATGGGTTTTACGAAATGGTTTATTGAAACACGAATTTCTTTCGCTTTTTTTTTTCTCGTCAATTCATGTTTAAATTCTTTTTTTGAGATACCTGGGAATAATGATACTGGGCTCGGGCTTGCGTTTCTCACGAACGAGGGATTATCTCACTGGCAACAAAACGGGTGGCTTTTGGCTTATCTAGACGAATACGACTATTATGAGGAAAGGGGATAAGAATGCTAATGCAGAATATTTCCTTTATCTTTTTCTCGGTTTACTTGTTTGAGTATGGTGTTATTGGGAGCTCGTGATCTGGTTTCGCAACTACTTTCTTTCCGTTTTTGATACCTTCTCCTATCATCGTGATGCCCTCATAATGTATTATTCATCCAACCTGTCTGTCTGTCGTTGTTGGCTTTTAATACCGCACAAGTACCTACATGTAGATAGTAATGTCTCTTGTCTCTTACTCTAGAAATAAACTACTCAACCTTTCCATAAGTCTCGCAACTTCTCCGAAAATCGCGACCGAGGTTAACCATAGACGGCGCTATCTCGGACAAGACTGCGGCTTCACCGCCTTATTTGTCGCGTCCTCCTCACGCGTCCACTGCTTTGGATCCTCGGCGCAAAGTCCGCAGGGGAGCTGGGTGTTAGCTGGTTGTGGTAGTAGGAGGTAAGGTAGGTAGTAGCAAGTAGTAGTTGCGGTAACAGCGGCTCGCGGCAAATCCGTAGGTTAACGACACGGGGCACCATTGCGTGCCCATTTCCCTGGTACTATATGGGGGATATAAGAGTGTGCTAGGCAGCTAGGTTGGTTGATTGGTCGGATGGTTGCAAAATACAGACGTGTGTTAGGGTTGTTCATTCGCTGGTCTAGGCCCTTGTTTCTTTGGGACGACCATGGCCCGTACGAAGGAGGTAGGAGACAATGCGGGTTACACGATCTCGATGTCCTCTTGTGTGGGTGTCTGTGTGTATGTATGTATGTCTCTGTATGTCTCGGCTGTCGTCGAACCCCATATTTCACCCAGTAAATCAATTCATTTTGCGTTTTGGACTGTCAAATGTACTTGGTGGAATCTCGTCGAACATTCGAAAAGTCAATAGCTAGCTGGCTAAGTTAGATGTAACTATATCATTTCCCCCCATATATGCCAATCTAGTACATATCTACATACTTTGCTCCTTGCGACACGGTCGCTACCCGAGAAGGGGGGAAGGACAGGCCAACAAATCGGGTCATTTTACGAGAGGAACTTGGAGGCCAGGCTGAGAATACTCGAACCCGAGGAAGAGGACCCGCCTCCGCCTTGGCTCTTCAAGTACATCTTCAAAGCCATCTCACCAGCCTTCATGACGGCGGACTCCTTGCTGCTATCACTGGAGACCTTGCCCTGAGAGGCCTTCTGATCGAAGAGCTGCGTGGGGGGGATGCATTTAGAATAGTTCTATAACCTGGTAGACAGGATATTTGATAATACGTACCTTGCTAGCTTCAGCCATAGCCATACCTACAAAAGCACTTTGGCTATTGCCCTCCTGCAGATTGGTTAGCTTACGGGCTAGTACGTAGAAGAGTTACACCCCTAGGGGAGGCATTGTAACGTACGTGAGAGCTCCCACTCTGACCCCCAGTAAACATCTTTAATGCCTGTAGGGCAGCAGCAGAGCCCATGCTCTTGTCATCCGCCTCGTCGTCATCGTCGTCACGGCGTTCGAAGTAACGCTTGTGCTGCTTAACGGCATCTTCCTCGTCCACGTCTTCGTCCGCAAGCGATTGTTTCTTCTGGGTCAGCGCACCGAGCAAGTTCGAGAACAAATCGCTGTTCCCCGAATCCCCCGCGTGGCGGTTCGCATGCTCGGCGGCCCCGCGCAGGTCATCGTCGTCAGCTCGGGCGTAGCCCCCGCCCGCAGGATAAGCACCGTCGTGCGTCACTAGTGAATTAGAACCCGTTATTAATTAAACCACATCGGTGGGAATTTAGGCCACGATTGTATTATATTATTTCTTCGTCATGTGGTCCTTTTTTTCTTGTCTCGGGCTCGAAGACTCACTGTTTCCGCCAAAATCTATGGTTACATTGGGAGTGGTTAGCTGCCGTGTCGATCTGGTTCTGAGGGATCGTGCGTTGCGTGGGAGCGTGGGACTCTGTGTGTGCGAGTGTGTGTGCTTTGCTTATGCGGGGTGCGCTTCGCTTAGCTTACCTTGCTGCTGTCTTTCCCAGCTCATGATGGTTGGAGTATTGATGTATGTATGTATGTATGTAGGTACCTAGGTAGGTAATGAAGATAGATTAATTGATGGCGTAGATTGTCTTTAGGATGGTGGTTTGGGAGAGAAATAAAAAGCAAATTAGAAGTTGTTTAAGAGCTGCAAGATAAAAGAAATTATGTAAAAAAAGACAAAACGCTCGTCTAGTAGTAGATCAGGAGGCCTGCGTCACAACTACGGCAATCCAAACTGTGTACTACCCGATCCATTGGATGATGACGTGTGCGGGGTGTTTTAGAACCTTTAGACACTTCTACAGGATCCCTCCCCCCAGGGCAATTCCTTAGTAGACTTTGTAACGGGTATAATATTGTAATACGTATATGTGTGTAATGGGAAGCTACCTACGTAGGTAATTAAAGCTTCCCGTTTCCGGTTTCCAGGATTAGGCTTGTTCCTTTCTGTAAGCAATTCCCCATAGCTGCATATGAAAGATGATCATCCAATTATATCCAGCATCAAGGATCCCTCCTGCCCTGAAACTATTCTGAATAGCGTGTTAGTGGGGTCATAGCCGGGACATGGTGCCTCGGTGCGGCCTAGGTGCCTAGGTGCCTAGACGGTGGGCCTGGATAGTGGGGTTTATGGTAGCCGCACGCTGCACATCTTTACCGGCTTACTCCAATTCTCCCCCTTTCGACAACTTACATACATCTTCTGTTCCCCGTTCCCCATTCCCCGTAAAAAAATACACAATAGTTACAAAACGCATCCTGCATGCAGTGAGCTTTCAGATCCCCTTAAGCCAACCAAAGCCGACCATATACACTTAATATCCCAATGGATCATGCATCAAACATGGAAATGGCCTGAATGCAACCGTCTTCAATGGTCAGCCGTCATGAAAATATTGGTCACGGTACCTAATCCCACCGTGGCTTATTACCCCGGAGCTTCCCAATTCACCACATCGTACCGGTCCGCCATCATGCTACACGCGCGTGACTAACACGCTGTACCGGGAATTTCTCACAAGTATAGTGACTTCTCATCGGATGCCTCACAAGTCGGATAGATTTTCGATTGTACCTTTTTCTATCCGATTACACGTCAAAGTCTTTAACGGTATCGAGCTGAAGGACAACTCCCCATACTCCATATTCAGTGTGCCTGTCGGAGAATTTGTTTCAATTGTTTCTTAGCAATGCCTCGTACGAGCAATCATATTACCGAAATTGTCTTAGTGACCTTTATTTCGAGAGCGAAAATGAAGACCGATATGAAATTTTTGTGTTTTGGGCGAAGATTCGAAAAGAATCTGGATTCACTTCCTCTAGGTTACCATGAATTACCAAAAGGGTAGGTGATTTAAGGGAATTCCGGAGATGACATGTCATCTAGAATGTCACCCCGCGTTTTCTTCCCATCCTCATCATACTCATCATTCGCCGCAACATCAATCACTTTGGAACTATGCGGGACGGTGCCAACTACATTGATGTGCTCGTTGTCGGAGCCGGCCCAGTGGGTCTCATCACGGCGTTCCAGCTTGCCAAATTCGGTGGCATATCTGTTCGCATCGTCGAGAAACATGTCAAATCAACGCAAGACGCCTATGGTCGCGCTATTACGCTCTTCCCACGAACAATCGAAATGCTTGACCAATTAGGTCTTGCTGATGAGCTACTGCAAAGTTGCTTTGCCTGTCGTGATACAGTGACGTACAATTCCGACGGCCAAGAAGTCGAAGGTCGGGGATGGAGTTTTATGAAACACATGGGTGACACAACATTTAATTTCGCCCTTGTTCTAAGGCAGAAGTTCCAAGAAGAGATCTTCCGGAACGCAATGGAGAAATATGGCGTACGAGTGGAAACCCCAGTCGAGCTAACAACAGCTTCAGTGGTTCCTAGTGACCTGGATATGGACTATCGCATAACAGCAGTTCTTCTCCATCACAATGATGGGGTATACGAGACAGTGAGATGTAAGCACTTAATAGGCTGTGATGGAGGTCATTCATCTGTTCGAAGTATATTCAATATCCCATTTGAAGGCTCTGCTAGTGAGGACAGATGGGTGAGAATAGATGGTCAGGTCAAGACAAATGTTCCGAAGCCTCGTTCTTATTGTTCAATCGAGTCTCCAACACACGGAAACGTGCTTTGGGCTCCCTTAGACCGTGGGGCGACAAGGATCGGATTTGCTTTTACTGACAATCGAGCCGAGAAATACGCCAAATTTGATGAAACAGCTGCTGTCGAGGAGGCTATAGCTGCTGTTAAGCCTTTCGATGTTGAGTTTGAATCCGTCGACTGGTGGACAATCTACACTGTCGGACAGCGAATAGCCAAAAATTTCTCTGTCAAGGACTGCATCTTTCTTGCTGGAGATGCCTGCCATACACACTCGTCAGGTGCAGCACAAGGAATGAACACAGGTATTCATGATGCAGTAAATCTCGCTTGGAAGTTGTACCTCACGCTGCGCGGAGTAACGGTCCTAGACCTCTTGCAAACGTATCAAGCAGAACGGCTTCCAAACGTACAGCGACTCATACAGTATGACAAGGACATCAGTCGGCTCATGACAAATCGTCTACCGGAGAACTGGGAGGGTGACCCAGATACCGATGTCAACGTGATCTTAGGGCGGCTCTTCAAAGAAGCAGGGGTTTTTACCAGCGGACTCGGTATCTCTTATGAGATGCAGAAAGATGACCACCTAAATGTACAAGGTTCTTTCCATGGCTCGCAGCCTCAAGTCAAGCCGGGGAAGAGAGGACCGGATGTCACATTGTTACGCCCAGGGACGTTCGAACCTACGAGACTTATTCGCGAGCTTTCTAACCTGGCCTGCTTCTATATACTTATCTTTGCTGCTGAGCGTCTACCTCCTATACCCAAAGAGATACACGATTGCGAACTTGAAGACGGTCGTATGTATCTCGATATATGGTTTATGAGTCTTAATTAACAAGGAGGTAGGTTACCGGAAATTTATTACAATTCTTCCCAGACGTGGGTCTTCGCCGTACGAATTACTTGGAGGCAAACCTCCCCTTGGGCATGCATATTTCGATACAGAAGACCAACATGCATACCGACAGTACGGAATTAGCCCGAAGCAGGGTGCCGTCGTGATCCTGAGGCCGGATGGCTGGATTGGGACAATGGTAGTGCTGGGAAAGGAGAGTATTGAGGAGGTTGAGGAATATTTCAGGCCATTTGATTTCGATGAGTGATACAACAGCCACATTTCGCCCACCAGCCCAATCTAGCAAAAATCAGGCGCTCTTCTTGGAGTGAGATTGCTAAAACGAGATTGTAGAAGTATCGAATCTCTCAACTAGAAGGGGGCATTTAACAATTTCATCATTTCTCGTTGTTACAAAATAAGCCGTTCAGTGTGTTATCTGTTTCCTACGCTTCGGCATCGATGCACAGGTGCCTAGGTATCTCTGGTGGGCATCCCGCTGAGATAACATATAAAACTAACATGGAATCCTGTTTTCACGGCATTGCGAGGGGCTCTGCTGCGGGGCGAATCGACTTCGACTTCGACATTCGCTATTCGGCAGTTTCAGTCAGGCTCTAAAAACCCAAGGCTACACAGGATTGGTTCCGAAAAGGTTGTTCAGCTGCGCCGGGACCGATCTACTAACCCCATTCTACAATGATAATAGGCATATTAAATATTCTGACGATGCTATACGGTAGATATCAGTGCTCATAACAACAGAGCGACCCAGTCATAATAGAAACTCTTCAATATCCATGCAACTTGCGATTGAACTACCTTACTTGTAGTTCGAATTACATATATTATTGTTATCTCAAGAGATTACTGTTACAGACCGGTTCGACTGGCTTACCTGACAATTCATTTTCCCCTACTTTACGATTCCGAACGCAAATGAGATTAGAGATGCCCGGATTTGATTTGCCAAATAATTTGCGAAATCATATTTCGGCCCAAATATTTTCATCGCGAGAGGTTGAAGATTATGATTCGATATTTACAGTCGCATTCTGACATCTTAAGAGCCTCGTGACAACCCCTCAAGAAATTGTAATGCGGAGCTGAGCTGGCGCGGCTTGGGTTACTTGACGAGAGAACACCAATATCCTCTATGAACAATGCTATCATGAACTGTAGCAATGATATCAGTTTGCTGATCTCACTGCCCGACGGCAAGATCAGGCATAGAAGATGAACATAATATGGGTGATAGACCTATTTCATCAGGTTGAGGTAATTTAGTATATAATCATCTTATTACTTTCTCAAATTAATTGTTTAACTCCCCTAGTCATTACCCCTATTTCGCCCTTCCTAATCCTAACAGTTGTTATCGTAGCTCTTAGCGGGTCTTTTACAGAGCACAATGGGGATCGCCTGTAATGATACAATACTATCGCAGCCTGCCCTCGGGCGGGACGTGCAGCTCGGTATGCTGTACGACGTACGCACCTCGCAATTCTTCGGCGGTATCTCACTTTGGGATAACGACGTCGTCAACGCGAACGAAAAAGTCGGCGAGGAAAAAGTTCAAAATGCAGAATTTAGCTTCTCTTACTCTCTTGAAGAAGCGCGCAGAAATAGTTCTCTTGATATCGAGGCGTCGCTGGGTCTTGATCTTAAGCTCCTGCATGCTACGGGCTCGGCTAAGTATCTGAATGATAAGAAGTCGAGTGCGCATGAGGCGCGCGTTGATGTGTCGTGCACTGTTGTGCGCCGCACGAGGCGGATTCCGCAGGAGGTTCTGGCGTCTATGAAGTATGGGAAATATCTTGATGATCCTCGTTACACGCACTTTGTTGCCGAGGTGGTTGAGGGCGGAAGCGGTACCCTCAGTTTCGTCCAGTCTTGTTCATCAGATGAAGAGGCTAGAAAAATCACCGGCGAACTGAAAGTGAGCATTGAGAAGATACCGGTCCAAGGCAGCGCCAAGTTGGAGTTTTCGAAGAAAGATGAATCCATATTTGATAACGTCAGGATATCGTACAGCGGCGCAATGGCTGAGAATGTTACCAACCTTGAGGATGCCCGTCGTGTTGCTGGGGAAATGCCGACGAAGTTGGCGAAGCAGCTGAACACATTCCATTATACTCTTCTGCCACTTACGGTGCTCGATAGCAAGGCAAGCCGCCTAATCCGGATTCTTGACACTGGTTTGGTTGCCAAGACGGCTGCTGCACTTAAGGCTGGCACCATTTCAGGCCTCAACTTGAAGGATTTGGCGGATCAAGAAGTTTTTCAATATCAATTCCCCGCGATAAAACGTCAGATCTCCAACCTCCAGATGGCGTTTTCCGGAGCTGAGACCGAATTTACGAAGGAAGCGCGCCGCCTCCTACCCGAGCTGCGGGACGGCACGATGGATGAGAAAGCTAAGATCGCTGAACTCCAATCGGCTGTCGCACTATTCGAGCAGCGCACTGAATTTGTTAATCAATTCATCAAAAGAAAACATACCGAGGCTAGTGTTCTTCGCACAACAGTAGCCACGCTGCTAGCTGATGACTTCGAGAGTCATCTTGGTGGACTTAGGTCGCAATCACTAATTGATGGTGGTGCGCCAAAATTGCTGCTATCGTTTGGAGGCCCCTCAATCTGGCGTGTTAAACACCCGCTCCAAGAGAAGATCGAGGCTGGACCTGGACCTTCTGGATATGATTATGATACTTCTGGGGGTGATGATGATGGTGAAAATGATGACGACGATGACGAGGAAGAAGACGAAGAGTGGTTTGAAGACCAACAGACTGTCGCTAGTGTACAAAATTCTTGCGCGGCCCTACGCCAGCAGCGCTTACTATCGGCTCCGGGCGTCGATGTTGCTTTCGGAGTAGCGAGTATTGACAAAGCATATCGCCCAGGGAAATCGAAGAAAACTAAGACTAGCATTGGGGATATCGTGCTGCAGAACCAGGGGAAACTGGTTATTGTTACCGGAATGTTACCTAAGCCACCCACGGCCCCGAAGTTGAAGGCTGATGGTCAGACGATTACTGTGACTTGGTTTGAAGAGCGCGAGAAGCTCGAGCAGCTAGTTATACCGACGACAGGTTACATCATTAAATACTGTCGTCGACTTAACCCCCAAAAGGATGGTGCATTCCCTAAGGCAACCGAGAATGAACCCGTCACTGAAATTAATTGCGCTGCTGCCGATACGGAGATTGTATTGACCTCACTGTCGGACGATTGCGATTACGAAGTAGCGATGTGCGTTCAAACAACTGTCGGATTATCAGAATGGAGCAGTCCTGTTATAACACGCACAGCCAAGCTGCCATCGGTTGTTTCTCAAATGATCGATTTCTTTCACGAGCGAAGAGAACAGCTCACGAGAGGGCGCACTCAAAGAAACTTGAAGCCGGGTGACCTACCAAAATACAAACCGTGGGAATTACACGCTCCGAATAACGGCGGGAAGAAGACGCTATTCCTTGGCCTTAGTGAAGTAAGCCGCTGTCTTAGCACGAATCAACGTTTCTTGAATGAAATTGCTGTTCGTATCGTTGATGTTGCTGCCGAATTCAATCCCAGACTTAGGCCGGCGCCTATTGAAGACGAGAAAAATACTATAGTAGTTGTATTTGCGGGTACCAGCGGCCATGGGAAGAGTACCCAGATCAATGCCTTCATTTCGTACCTTCTTGGTGGCGAAGTCGATGATCCCGCACGTATTCTGGTCATTGATGATCGTGGTGCTAAACAATCCGAGTCGGTAACGCAACTTGTTACTTGCTTCCGCATCCGACCACTTTCCCCTCTATTCCGGGGCAAGACGCTACTAATCGTCGACACGCCTGGTTATGGAGATTCTCGTGGCGTCGAACGCGACGCTTTCGTCACAGCAGCTATGTCCGAGTTTTTCAAGATGGTCAATCACGTTAACGCAATTATCTTCACCTGTCGCGCCAACGAGGTGCGCACCACGCTCCTCAGCCCCGTATCAACATACGTCTTCTCACTATTCGCGAAAGACGTCCGCAGCTGTTTGCGCACCATTTACACATTCAGCGACGCCGGATCCCCACTCGCCCAAGGCGCTCTAAAGAAACTCAGATGGCCAGTCGAGAACGGCGAGATATCCGTAAACAACAGTGCATTTACCGTCGAATTAAGCGGCAGCGAACACGACGTCGTGATTCGCGAAGGTTGGCTTCAGTCCGTTAGGGGCCAATTCCAATTGATGCGGATGCTTCTGAACATGCCGTTTATACCGACGAAGAATAGCGCTTCCGTGACACAGAATCGGATCCGGCTGGAACAGAAATGCGAACTTGCTGAGAAGAAGATTTTGAAGACGGCGAATGATGCGCAGAATCTTATTGCGAGTTTAGGAGCTCTTGCTAATGCTGTTGGCGCTGCGCCGGGTGAGAAGATTGAAGTTATTGAGGATAGGGCGGTGCAGAAGCCTGTGGAGGATGGCAATGCGACGACGTTGTGCCTCAACTGTAACTTTACGTGCCATGAGATCTGCGCGTATGGTGATGACGATGACAAGAGTCGTTGCGCGGCTATGAATAATGGCAGGTGTACTATGTGCAAAGGCCATTGTCTGTGGGGTCAGCATAAGAACGCGCGATATATCATTACCACCGAGAAGCATTCGGAGTGGATGGTGCCTCTGGATTTGATAAAGCGCTGGAATAACAATAACAACTCGCTTGAGGGTGCCCTGCTCGATGCCATGGATAGATATCTCCAGCTACAAGAGAGCCTGCGAAATGATATTCTCGAGTTGGCTCGGTTGAGCGAGGAACTTACGAGCTCGGCTTTACTACACGATCCGACCGGTCTTATCGGATATATGGAAACGCTGATCCAAACTGCGCGCGCACAGGGCGCTCCATCAGCACAGCTCATTCAATTGGCCACGGCCAAGAACACGTTGATCTTGGTGCGCGAAGTAAAGGGCAAGGGTGAGGGCGCGACGCGGGACTCTAGGATCCTCCTTGACGTGATCGGTGCTGTGCGGCGGGAGATGGAACGACGGATGAAGCTTTCGCCCAAGGAGCGCGCGAGAGAAGAAGAGAAATCATGCAATATGTATAATATTCTCCGTGAAGCATTACCCCTTGAGATTAGGGATAAGGCACCGACGCCTCTTAGGAAGGGAAACTCGTCTTCGCGAGGCGCACTGTACCCGGAGAACTTGCAGGCAGTTGTTAAGTTGGTAGAGGTTGTGTTGAAGGATGGTGGTGTTGTGGCTGCGCTAGCTGCTTCGGCCGAGAAGTAAGATGGAAAATGGATTAACTGTCACCCGAGTATTTCCAAAGCTACCAAGGTTGTTATATCGTGGCGAGTTTGATACCTCTATAGTTACAAGACAAATGAACATCAAAGAACTATAAACTTCGTAGGAAATGTTAAGACTAGAATGTGGCGACTTGTAGAGCTACGATTCCGTGATGATGGAAAAGGTTAAACGGATCTCCCGTTCCTACCAAGGTAGTAGGCATCCCGCCGGTTAGAATGCAAAGCTACCTCTTGGATCCCGCTCTGAGGCTATTCAATGCACGGTGAGGTCGTACAAACTAGATAATGGAACGTTTATGATGATACTAGGTTGATTTCTTTACGTTATAATAGTACTCAGCATTAGAGAACACGGCAGCAAGGAGATCTAGCCTGAATATATTGGTTAGCATGAAAAAGTAAAGAGATGGGGGTTGTATAGATACTCAGATCGATGGCGATAATGCAACAGAACAAGTCAAAGAGCTTGATTTGGGGATGAACTCAGGCTTGATTAGCAAATCACTCTTAGATGTCTATATATCCAGTCTATCCCAATCCTATACCCCTATTATATCAGGCATTCTCGCCCTCCTTCTCCCGTAACTCTTTACGCCACCGCATCCCATTCTTGATGACGAAGTACAAGCAAGGCGACAGCAATACGTACAGTACAGCGATGATAGAGTACGCTTTACCCGGATTGACAGCTCGTATAAGGGGATCGATAGCCGCAGCCATAGCAGCCCCGAGCAGGAACTTGATAATATTATTTGCCGCACTAGCAGCGCCTGTCTTCCCCGGTCGGACGTCCGCGATCAATGCGCTGAAGACACTAGTCGTACTAACAAGTCCCAATCCTAACAAGAACACTAGAACACACACAACACCCACCGAGACCTGATGCTCAAGAGCCCATCCCCAAGCCGTGATGATCACCATACTCAGTACTAGTGGGATTATAGCGACTTCGATCCTGGCCCTCTCAATTGGGAAATCCGCCAAGTCCATCTGTCGATTACGATCAACTTGTAACCCGAGCTTGCGCGCATGTCGGCGGTAATTCCAGTTCATGCCCTTACCGACAAGTGCGACGGAGAATATGGATCCGACAGCCATGGGCAAGTATATCAGGCCGACCTTGAAGCCATCGAAACCGTAGATCTGGGCGAAGAGGGTGGGCACCGCGGTCGCTACGGCGTACACACCTGCGTACACGAACCCGCCGTACATGAAGAGGAGGCTTAATTCCTTTTCGCAGAGCAGGGAGAGGGAGGTTAGGAATTTGGACCACGCAAAATTGACCTTAGGGGTTTCGGTTGGGGCGGGTGCGGGAGTAGGAGTTGGAGTGTTGCTTTCTGCGTCGGATGAATCTCGCTCTTTCTTTTGCAGGCGTCGGTTTCGGATTAGTTGCAGCACGGTCTGGTTTCGCTTTCGGGGTAGGATGGAGCCGTCGCCGACGACCTTGCGACATGTCTCTGGGAAGAAGAATACTAGAATCAGGAGGTTTCCTGCAGCGCATGCAGCGAGGAACCAGAAGATGCTCCGCCAGCCAAGATACTCAGCGATAGCGCCACCGATAACAGGACCCAGGCTAGGTCCTAGTGTGACCGGGACGGCGATGAAGGCTGTGTACTGACCCCGCTCTGCGCTGGTCGCGATGTCTGCTACGACACCTTGACATAGAGCTTGAGTGGCTGAGATTGTTGCTGACTGGAAACAGCGCAGACCCAGAAGACTTCCATAACTATCCGACTTTGCCAGACCCACGTTGGCGACAATGTAGAGAATGAAACATGCAAGGTAGGCCGGACGTCGCCCCGCAGTATCAGCGAAACCACCGATGAAAATGGGCGTTACTCCTTGCAAGATCATATAGCTGGTAACAGTCAGATTAATGCGGGTAGTTGAGACATGCAAGTCGGCGGCTGCGATGTTGAGTGCTGGTAAGTAGATCTGGGCCGTCCATGAAGCGAATAAAGCGCTGAAAGCAGCACTCAAAACTATCAACCGCTTCTGCCAGGGTTTGTATACCGTAAATCGGGGCGGTATAGCTTCAACTGGCGCGGTTTCGGGTGATTCCTTGTGCTCCTCATCGTCAGAAATCACCGTGATGATGGTTTCGCCGCTTATTTCGCTAGGTCTTTTAATCTCAACCGGCGGGTCGATAGGCATCAAGACCGATACATCCTTCTCGACAACGATGGTATCCTTTTTCTCCTCCATGATTTACTTTTGTTTCGGTGGTAGGATATCCGAGGCCGAGGCTTACGTGAAAATCACGTCAAGGGGGAGCTGAGCAGCGATCGAAGCTGGGAAGATTTCGCCTGTAGAGGTAGCTAATAACGGTTCTGACGCCCTGTTTAACATCTTGTAAGAATATGCTCGACGTACTTCGTTTAGTACGTCATAAGCAATTTGCAGCGATATTAGCTCGTTGAGCGAAGGGCGGTTTTCGGTAGTCTACCGGATGTCTGTGATATCGCGCCGAATACTTGTCGGCCCTTCGGACGGATCGACCTCCAGCCTAGATTGTGGCTCGTGGGTACACTTCTTCCTCTTCATCTCGCCTGTAGATGTCTTGGCACCTCTTGACAGGCCTCGATGGTCTTGACAGTCAGCATATATGGGGTTATGCCCAGACATATGCTGACAGGAAAAGACGAGTCTAGGCCCTAGCTTAAGCTAGTAACAAGGGGGGGGTGTTTAGGGGGGCGACCAAGTACAGAAGGGTCTTCTCGGCGGCAGATTCGGGATCAGTGTAGCGTGGTCGTGATCCTGGATTCAAGAGTTATGTTAACTTGATGCTACTCTACGTGTCAACTTACAAGTACGTACCAGCTGGCCAGCCCTACATAGCCCTTCGACAAAATACAAAGCTAGCCCATCGGCCACCTTGCTTACCCGTCTGTGTTACCCTTGGCCATTCTGTATCATCGACGATGGATCTCTCTACACATCTTCACCCTAGGCATAGTCTGGACTGTGGTCTGATGTTGAGGATAATCTCGTAAAGAGATCTTCGAAGTGTCAACCCTAGTTTGCCTCTCATTTACCCTACTACGTCGCGAAACCAGCATACCTTGACGGCTATTGACAAAAACGACCGAGCGAGCGGTCCCCGACGATCATTTCGAGGAATAGAGGAAGGTAGGATCGTCATTCAGACCGATTCGGCCTTTTGAGACATACATCTAGATACGATGAAACCATCTTGTGGTGGAGTAAGAGCGGAATACAGATCGTGTGCGAGTGACCAAGACCGTGGACAGCAAAATTCTGGATTGAAGGAATGCGGGAATGGGGGAAATTAGAGAAAGCGGTTAGAAAAGCTGCAAAAAAGATTATGGATGAATAATAATCAGATCAGATAGGTTTCGTTCGCTGGGCGCTCATCTATGGTTTGTGTTGGGTTGGAGCGCGTATGCGACTTTGTCAAATCTGCATAGACGACACAATACACAACACTGTATACAACCTGCAGTATAAATTCGGCCGGGGATAATGGTAACCGGCAATACGACGTTGATGGTTACAGGGTCTTAGATCGAATCGGAACTTGGCCCGCATAACGGATCTACCCTAATAACAGCCCTACACAGTATAAGCGCTGAAGATCTGTTAAGAGGCTACTTTTAGCTACACACCCCTGAGTATAATATTATGAAATATTATGATGCTACGATGCAAGACCAGAATAAAAGCCACACCTAGGTCTGGAGTACCGGGGCCAACCCCCAATTTCTTTTTATTTTTTTCTTTTCCCTCGCGGGACACCACCTACACCACCTACACCACACACACTACATAGTACACTACACCGGCTGAACGGGACGATGTCACATTTAATACCGATCCTGCAATCCCGCCAACTGCACTATGATAAGGTATTAAATTAGGATAAATAAACCACCGTAGCATCGGCAATAACTCGCTTCCAATAACATCTCATCTTTAGATTACCGACGCGGTCTGGTTGGACGCCTTGTTAAGGCACACGCCTCCCCCTTTTTCTCTAAGCACCCCTTTTATACCCCTGGAATTATTGCTTTTTGAACCAATTTTCTGCACAACATGGTGCCGATTAAATTCTCGCACCAATCGAGTATTATCGCGATGAAGGCGAGCTGACGAGGCGTTGGAGATTTACGCTATCGGATGCTAGCAAGGTGTCGGATCATCGGATGTGAGAATGGGATGCGAGATGAGATTTTCCTTCAGGTCGTCCATGATCAGCAAGAGCCGCGTGGGTGATCTCTAAGGCCCCAACTTCACGTTTTGAATGGTTCTGCTAGATGGTGGCGCTGAAAATTTTCTAACTAGAAGCTCGACTAAGATTGTGGCGTGCTTAGACTCGATGACTTGCCTCTTTAGTTGAGCAGTCATCACTTTAAAGGAAGGTCTACAGAGTGTCTACTTTGAAAGGTATGCATTAATTCTTGCTTATAGGAATGTAAGGTCTCATTGTAATAGCCTATGCTGAAGATACGTATGATAAACTACATCGACATTATTGATGTACATAGATTGGTTCGCGAAGTATTACTATCCGTCTATTTACACTTAATCCACTGTACCAGGCTTTAGGCCGGAGCTATGCTCTTCAGCCTCCAAGCCGCAAGAAATAGAACACCGATTCAATTTTTATTGCGATATTATATGCCGTCTCGTTAATACTATAAAACCTGCTGGGAACCCTGTCCCTAATTTGCTAGGGGAGCCACGTATTTCTGCTGGGGTCGCCAAAGCTTCACCGGTTGCGCTACCGAGTCGGTTAGTGACGAGCCTCAGACGTGGGGTTTTCCGGGGATAGACGAAAATGTGGGGGTTTACTTACTCAAACTCTCTCGCCAATGTGCTAACGCACCCGGTGTTCTTGAGAGGATTGTTATAGCAATGATCATATCCGTGTCGAAGCCCCTAAATAGGCAGGAGAAGTTAGTATCTGTATATTCTAACGATAGAGACGGAACCGTATGTTGCATCACTAAATCGCACTTACATAGCCGTGTAGAGGAAACAGCCCATGAGATCGGCGTTGGCCTTCAAGCCCCTCTCGATGAAGTAGGCATCCTGGTTTGCGTACCGGTCGATGGCCATGGCGACGCGTAAGAGTGGGTTGGCATCGACGGCTTCCCGATGTTCTTTTAGTAACTCCTCGATGAGAGATACGCGGGGATCCCGAGTCTTGTAGACGCGGTGGCCGTAGCCGAATAACCGACCTCCTCTAGTCTTGATGCGCTCGATGAAGGGGGGTACGCGCTCCGGCGAGCCGATCTGCCGGAATGCTTCGTATGCTAGGTCGATGGCGCCGCCGTGTAAGGGTCCGTATCCGCAGATGATGCCCGCTGTTACGGCCGATACCGGGTCGATGAGGGTAGAACCGACATGGAGCACGGCTGCTGTTGAGTTGGTCATCTCATGATCTGCGTATAATATCCATAGCTTGGCCAGGCACTTCTCAACTTGTGGATCTGTAATACCCATCATCAAAAGAAGGTTGCCGAGTAGCGATCGGTTAGCATCGGGTGCGTTCCATTGCTTTTCGTTCTTATGGCAGTAGATAAGCGAGATTGTGGTAGCGAGGTAGGCGATCGTCCGGGCCAGAGCTTCATCTGCGACGTCGAGGTGTCCGTGGAACATGGCACTCTGCTGATGACGCGTCTTGCAGATCACACTGTCGTTGGCAGCAAATGCACTCATACCGGCGAGGATCATAGGGAAGGTCTCGGCATCACGCCTATGTTTATTGTTAGTGATACCCCGAAGTGTATTATTCAACGGATAGAAAGAAATGGGCTTACGGAAACGACGTGATTACATCCTTGACACTCTGGGGAGGGTTCATGGCTCTACTCATTACCTCTCGGACGTGGTCTTTCTGTTGTTGGGTGGGAATATTTCCCCAGATGATAAGGTGCATGATATCTTCGTAGACATATTGGTGAAATAAGCTCTCGATAGGAAAGTCTCGGTATCGAATAGTACCACGCAGACCGTCACTGTTTATGAAGGTTATTAGTACTCTTTGGTGAAGATAAGTATATACATGCTTATAAAATATTGACTTACATGTGTGTGATGCTTGACTCCATGCATGCAGTATGTTGGAAGCCATTGTCGAGGATATGCAGAGGAGGAGCAGCCTTCAGGGCGGCCAAGTCCGCCTTGCTATCTGGCGCACCAATACGACCAATATCCGCAGCGCGGATATAGTTTCCTTCAATTGGGATTGTATAAGACTTTCCCGTGCGGGAGTCTGTGACTTGTAGATGGTGCTCCATTGTTTGTTAGGTTATTAGGTGAAGGATGGGAATGGTTCGGTTATGCGGAGACGGAGAAGGGGGAGAGCGAAAACGAATACTTGAACGGACGACAGAACCTCAGAACAAAATCGCATTTCAAATATTCATTCTATAAACTATAAGAGAAGATGTTTTTTCTATTTTATTTGCACAGCCCTTCTCGCTACAATAGGTGTTCTGTGTCTCCAAGGCTGGACTGTGGAATCCCTGAATCCCGCAATCCATTAATCCGCGCTTCCCCAGATCCCCGGATCCTGAAATCCGCAAATCCCATTACTCACTGACGATGGTCTGATAGTAGCTTCCGAAAACTTATGTTGCAAGATAATTTACACGTCGAAGTGTCTAGATGAGAGAGCTTTGAAAATGTTATATATTTCATACTGAGTCTGACCTGACTGTTGAATCTGACTCTTGAGTATCGCGCTTGTGTAGCATAGAATTGTATTACTATCATTTAAACTATTTCTCTCGTTGAACTTTCCAGACACTATGGCTGCTGCTGCCGTTGCCTCTACCACTGGCCTTATGGGCATGTGGAATGGTACTAAAGATGGTAAAGTTGATGGCTACATCGACTGGGCAAGCGGTTCGACAAACGTGCACGACCCTCTAGAAGTTAAGATCGAAGTTGAGGACATTCGATCCCTAAACCCCCAGCCGAACTATGACAACAATGGATATGGCATCGTCAAGCATAAGTCATCATTGACTCCTGAGCAATTCCTGGCTGGCAACGATCCTGAGGGTCTGTACTTACCTTCTAGTCGTTAAATTTCATCGCTAATTAATTTCCACCGCCTAGGCAAGAAGTACATCGAAGATGTCTACTTCAAGGAGGTCGCTGAGCTGGTGAAGCAGATCACCAGCTCCGATATTGTGGTTCCTTACGTATTTCGCATTCGTCAGAATAGCATGAAGGCTGGCGAATTCGCCGCCAACAAGTTGTCGCACGCTGCTCTTCCCGTTGCGCACGTTGACCGTGACGCAGTGACGGGCGAAGACGGCGTGCGCGAGATCCTCGGCGAGCAAGCTGAGGAGTTGATCAAGCAGGGCAAACGATACGCCCAGGTCAACATCTGGCGCACCATCGACCAACCCATCCAGAAATGGCCTCTGTGCTTCATCAACCACAGCGGTGTTCAGGACTGGGGCTACGACACGCACCTAGCGCGCGTGTTCCCCACCAACGATCCCAGAATAGCCATCCGCGGTGAGAAGCGACACGACAGTGTTGTTAAGTACGACCCAGGGTGAGTTTTATCCAAGAATCCTTCATTTTTCTTTTCGGTATTTTCCCACCGTTATGTAGAAACGGGACTAAAACGTTCGCAAACAGTTACAAGTACCACTACGTCAGCAGGCTCGATTTGGATGAGGCTCTCGTCTTCTCGTCGTTCGATTCGGACGTGACGAAGGTGTGCCCCCACGGAGCATTTTGGGATGACGCGAGTCCGGAAGATGCACCAACGCGACGATCCATTGAGGTTCGCTGCTGGGTTTTCTTTGATTAAAATCTGACGTAGTTAGGCTCGGCGAAAGGGAGTACTATCGAGGCGGTATTGATTCTTGATTGTTGCAGAAAAACAGACGTCTATCATTTCTGAATCAGGCTTATCTGCCTCTCGACTATTTCGAAAATGAATTAGAAGCTGAATAGTTAATACAAATTCCAAATACACTAGTAATATGCAAAAAGGTCAAGTGGGAGTGAGCGGATGCGAGGCACTAATAAACTAGAGGGGGATGATAAGGGGATTTTTAGGCAGAACTCTTAGGGGGCTCCAAGGATAAATTGGCAAGCAGAATCCTTAGGTCAAAACCGGATTTCTAGTGGAGTTGTCACGCTTCAGGCGAGATTACCAGCCGAATGGGTATATTAAACGGCGCGGTGGGACGGGGCCGTAGTGTCGATCCTGTCCGGTATTGTCTTTTGCCTGCCGTTGATCAACACCCTCAACAGTGGACCCTGGCAACGGGGCGTGATGGCGGTGATGCGGAGGAGACACGGCTTGGAATAACATGCCCACCATAATGATATTGTTTCCCCCCCGGCATTTAGCAGTACGAAGATTCATAGGAAGAAATCGGCCAAGCCACTATCGCATCTCCCTATTCCCTAATAGGAGCCCGCATCTTTGGCTTTTTCTTTCCCTTTTTTCTAAATTTTTTTTCTTTTCCTTTCATTCCGTCTGGGCTTCATCGTCTGTAGGGAATCGATCGCCGCGTCCCGTAGTCCACTCATCGCACACCACTTCATCGCGCAGGCATGTTGCTTCTTCCTGCAGATGTCATCATAAAGGCTTGGCGAAGATACTAGATAATGCCAAAGCGCGCGGATGGGTCCCCCGTATTCGTTCTTAGGCATTTAAATCGGTCCGCAGTCCGCTCCTAACGGATGGGGGCCAACGATGCAAAGTCATGCTGACCTGTGACTTTGTTCTAGCCCTTGAGGTCGTCTCGTACGTTCTTTTCTCATTCCCGTCCGGAAGAGCCGGTGGACGGGCGGGCGGGAGCCCAAGGTAGGACAACAAAATTCTTTCGGTTTCGTACCCCGTCACCTTCATGATCGAAAAGAAATTATTCCCTTCGATTTCGATGGAGTGGTTAGAATGGTATACCACCTTACATAAGTAGCAGGTTCGGCCCGTCCCGGTTCCTTAGATTACGTGAGGTGAGATACTGGCTCGATGGCGCATCGTCACGGGGAGGCGTATAGCGTATTTGAAATTCTCCGAGTGAATGTTATACGGCGCTCTAGTAGCTCCGCAGGTGTTTCGGTAGTTGAGTTTCATACATGAGTGGTAAGTGGTAAGCCAAGAGGTTGTTCCCCCCAGGAGTCAGGCTCGTGCTTCCGGGTGCTGCCCTTCCTCGCGGACCGGACTATTATTTAGATTCATGCACGAACACTCTAAGTAGTAAGCGCATCGCCGACAAGCTTTCTTCCCACCCTCAGTGAAATAATATTGCTTTTTGAGAGTAACAGCTGAAAGTGGAAATCGGTGCCGATTTTCTTGGCGTCATGGGAGTGATTGGTTAGGGTAACATACGAAATTCTGGGGGCTGGTTGTGTCTGGATTTAAAAATTTTGAAGATTCTTTGCATTATTAATCATCCGCGTATGCAAGAGAGACGGAGACTCTAGTTGACTGAGGTAATCATCCCGAACAATTCCGAATTTTTAAAGCTGTTAGCGTTTAGAATACTTATGATTCTACCTGTTATCAAACTGTATCACCTCTTAAGCTCAAATGATCTTAGAAATACACTTATGTGCTTTGGTGTTAGCCTTGCTGTAAGTATCTTGAGTTCGCATATGTGGTGCAAGCAATAATTACTTAATATGTCTTAGCAATTGCTAAGCTACCTAAGTACCTAATATATTAAGTAGACACGTACCGTTCAAGAAGCCTATATGAATACTACTTACACTTCAAGTAGATCACATCATATACGAATTCTTATACGGGTTGAAAAATGACGTTGTTACATAAGATTGTAAGATGTTTCGTTACACTTCAAATTACACCTGAAAAGATGAAGCCATATATTTTTCTTCAATTTCCTAATCCGGTAAGTGGGTACGTGGCTGGTGTTAACCCCACGCAACAACCCCGGGGCGCTCCGGGACTTGACATAAGCCCGGATCCTTTTTAATTGGGCAGTCGGGGATCTTGGTATTTCTACACTTCTGCAGTTCAGACGCGTGACGCGTATCTACATCCACGGCGATGGGGTATACTCAAGAAGAAAACAGGGCTAACTCGATTGGTGGAAAAGTAATATAGGCAATAGGAGCAAGGGCCACCTACATCATTATGCTGTTTGCTGTATAATTTGTGCTTCACACATAAACTTGCTTTTTACCCCTTTTTTAATAAAATATTCATAAATAAACCCCTTAAGGGTCCTGGGGCTATATGGACCGGCAGACCCCCTGACGTAGTATTGAACCACCCACCTAGTATACTCTTTTGTTATAAGGAATTGGGCACCGATCTTTACCATATCGCATTCTTGTGTGGTTGCAATGATCGATGGAATTATTCTAGTATGTGATAATCACGACGTTGATCGTGATCTACACCCGCTACCTCACAACCGAGATGTAGCGCGCCGCTTTGGTTCCTTTTGCCATACAACATTGAGAACATTAAGAACATTGAGAAAGGTACCTTAAGTATCCATTCCGAAGCCCGCCAACGACGGATCTTCAAATAACAGGGGTATAACCGGTTTGTGTCCTACAACTCACTCAAAAATCAATCCATCATGTCTTTGGGGGGTGTTCCAGTCTAACTACCAATACAATACAGCAATCTGCGAGTCTAATCCCTCATGTATCAGGCACCAGATATCAATTCGGAGGGGCTAATCCCTGGCTTGCATCATCCATAGGCCCTGCGCCCCAGTCGACTGCCTGCCAATGAATATCTTGTGTGGCCGCCACTGCTGCAGCCGCTAGGCGGGGGTTTCCCAACACAGCGAGCCGGCTGGGGCGCGGTCGACCATTGGAATACCGACGGATCCTGTTGCAGCTCTGTTTGGCTAGATGCGTATCTCGCGCTGAGTTGCGGGTGAAAATCGCCCCGCAAAGGGGACACACACCCTTGGTACTGGCGCCCGACCTCTCCTTTACATGTCTCACGAAGTTGCTTTTGGATGAGAATTCACGCCCATTGCAACCATGGTCCCAACAGCGATGCTTCCCACTCCGATCCATTGACCGGTCTTCGCTGCTCGGGTTCCCTAGGAAATCTGTCATGCCGGTACTCAACTTATCTAGGGCATTTGGATATGGGTCTGTTGACGTTATGTTGCCTGATATATGTTGTATTGATGCCATTGGCACTTCGTCTCCATTTATGCGATTCCGGGTAGTGTCGGTATCGTCGAGCCAAAAGAGACTGCCGAAGACAAGTTAGTTAGATGCTCCTAGACTTTACGTGTAGTAATCATAGCTTGCCTTTTCTGAGATAGCTCATCGAAGATAGCTGAGCCGTCTAATATAGGATCAACAAAACCCGCATATTCTGAAGACGTTGTAGCCGTTGATATGTGATAATCTACCGATTCGGTATGATTATGTAGCTTTCTATTCTTCGAGCTATGTGTATGCTTTTGCCTCATCATCTTGACGTTGTTGAAGAAGTCTGGTAACCACTATCAAGGATGGGCAAGGAGGTAGGTAGTTGCAGTAGAAGAAGTCGAAAGGGGTCTGCAATACTGCCGTCCTTTGTAATAATTGGTTACAAATAATGAGAGGTCTACTTGAGGCGCTTCGTAGCTCGTGGATGGCTTACCCGCCAGTCCGGATATTAAATACTTCTGAGATATTAAATACCCTGAACCATACGTCCGGCTGGAGTCCACCACTAACCGAGAGTAATAACGCCTTATCACGGGAGTTGGTCAATATACCTACCTACCTGGGTATCTGATTCATTGGACTTCGAGGAAGTACATACTTTCGAGCCCCCAGTTGACACGACGCTAAGAACCTGCCGGGCGAGCGAAATAGGAACAGGTCAGAATCGAACGTCTTCTGGTCTGACCTAGGTTTCAGCGAACCTTTGCGAACCCTTGAGGACAGCGTAGCAGATAGCCGAAGCACGAGGCTTTTGCAGCGATTCGAGAATGTCGGGAGCTGGTCTAGAACACAGGTAGCAATTGGATATGCTATGTCGGTCCTTTTTTTTCTTCACAGCTCTGGGCTGCCCCCATGGTTGTCAATACCCGATACGATAAGAAAGCACCGTCCAGCAGTATGGATTTGGAAGGACCCCAGACATGCCTTACTGCGTGTCAGACCTCTGGGAGTTGACATACACCCGCACTCGTGTCAGATCTAGACCCACGCAGCTCCACAACGGATGGGTGTCTCGCATCTATTATCCCCAGGCCGTTTTCTTTTCTGGACGGCTGAGAGTTCTCGGTCTAGCTGCGGTACTACGCTTCGTTGTTGGTTGTAGCTGATAACGTGACTTTCGTTGCAGGGCCGTCGGTTAAAGTCGACCCTTGTGCCTCTCTCGTCGATGGGGCTAGCCAGCAAAGCCACGCAAGACCGTTGAAATTGTAACGGTACGGTCCGTCCTGGACTGAATTTACCTTTTTAACTCGTCTGCTGTGAAGTTCACATAAGCATAGATACAAAAATCAACCCTTCTCTTCCGTATGAGGTAATATGACCCGCTGGTGCGTCCAAGATTGGGTAATACGGTATGAAAATTTGGGGTCGGCTATTAAACGAACGCCACAATATATTAGAAGAACACAGCTAGAAACTTCGTCTTGAAGATTAATCAGCCTATACAATCGGAATGATAAGTCATGCACGCATGCTTTAGTCTTCTCTATTTTTTCTTATTTTTAGACGAGAATTATATCCTCTTCTAATGCTACATTTATATGCTTATCTTCAAACCCATGCTATACTGCTACTCCTAATTATCGACTATAATTCAGCTCAAATTTCGTAATTACTGATTATCTTACAGGTACCTAGGTAGGTATACTATGCTACGAAAATAACGGTACAACGCATTAGATAGAAACATACCTGGACTATTTCGATACATCATGGGAGTTAACGTCGTTAAATTTCGTTTTTATATTTCAGCTAAGTATAATGTAAATGGACGTTCCCAAAGGAGCCATGATCAAGATACAACTAAGGTTCGGGGTTGGGTTTGTAACACAGCGTGGCCATCCTGCAGCCAAAGGCGCCTATATCACAGTCCTGACATCACAGCACCCGCTGTGGCTGGCCACGAGCGAGTCATGGGGCACACAGCATTGCAGCTGCATAATGGGTACCCTGGAGCACCCAGAGTAAGAATGGGCACACCCGAGAAAAATTTCTGTCGTAAATTTCGCTTACAATTTCGGAAAGCGAGGGCTCCGGACTAAGAGAGGAACCTATATGAAAGAAGCTTTTCTAATTATATGCCGTATATCTACGAGTCTAATACCACGGCCCCCAATTCAATCAATCAAAATTGCGCCTATAAAACCAAAACTCCTATAGTGGTCCATTGCAACCTTAACACCAGGCTCCGAGTTATATACTGCTTTCGACAATCGCTTACGAGATCTCGTACTTGTTGTTCCAACCTTCCAGAACCTTGGCAATGCGAGGGGACCGTGTCATTTGGTGCACATACTCGAAATAATCCCTCGTCAGTTGGAAGGGTCTGGCCGTTAGGTTGGGGATGTACTTCCCGACCAGTTGGTTCGGGTCGATGCTCTTCTCCTCCAGGTTTTTGAGCAGGAACGCGCGGAACGACTGCACCCCGGGCCGTAGATACGAGCTGTGGAACGGAACATCGATACCACGGAGCGGCACCGTAGCTTTGCCACGCGATAACTCGATGGGTGCAGGCTTGGCGATCGAACGCAGGTTCGCCTCCTTGATAACGCCGACGAGGGTGTTGTGATGCTCCTCGTCGCCGAGGAGTCGTACGTCGATATCCCGCGCTTTGATGCCGTCCATGACCCCGCCTAACACATCGAGACCACGCAAATCGCCTGCGCAGACGTATTGCATATTGCGCACATTGTAATTGACGATCTCGAGGAACGATCCCGTAGTATCCGAGACTGTTTTTACTATATGCTTCAGCGCTTGTTCGCTGAATCGCGGACTAATCCTCGAGGGGTCAACGGCAGACATCGAGTAATTAGAGCGACCGGCTTCATCCCTTTCTACAGCGACTTGCATGCACAAGCCGCGGTAAAACACGACCGACACCAACGTCTCGACTGGCATCACCTTTGCGATAGATGCTAGAGCGCTATATTCACCGAGCGAGTGCCCTGCGAAAACGCTGTCTTTTTGGATAACACCTTGGGCACGCAGGTCTTCAAACACAGCCATCTGCATCAGTGTGAGTGCCGGCTGCGTAAATTGTGTCGCTGAGAGTAGACCGGCCGGAGAGCGAAAGGTATAAGACGTAGTACACTCCGTTATGGTCTTGAACACCTTCTCGAGCTTTGGACTACCATCCTCAGCTAGCTCGAGGCTTTGGCAAGTCATAGCTATGTAGTTCTGACGGATTGCTTTGCCTCGTGCGCCGCCGAAGTAAACCGTCAGCTCCTTAGGATCGTTGCGAACGATCTCAAGGATAGAAAAACCTGTTGGTTTGATTAGCTCGGGGATAATCACAAGGTATCTAAGTCGGGAGGCCAAACGTACCGAATGTGTCCAGGAAATGCCTATCGGCGCGATCCCAGACGTCTCTCGCAACCGCGCTCTTCTCGTATAGCTCCATACCCATACCTTTCTCCTGCGACCCCTGGCCTGTAAACACATACGCCGATGTTGGCTGTTCAATAATGGCCTCGCCGACCAATACTTTCTCCCTAGTCTCGTCCGCCTTGACGACCTCAATTTGGACAATCATATAGCTAGATACCATACCGACATGGTTCAATTGAACCTCGAGCTGATCGCCCGGTAGGACCATCCCGACGAACTTAACATTATAATCACGCATCCTATTGGGATGGTTCTCCGTCGCCCAGGTCTCGACTAAGCTCCTCACTGCACCACTTGTGTACATGCCATGTGTTATAGTACCAGGCAAATTGACATACTTGCAGAAGACGCGCGAAACATGAACGGGATTGAAATCTCCGGATACACGGGCGTAGTTCTCGTTCGAAACGGGAGCTTCGATCTCTAACGGAGCCTTGCTATGGTGATTCCGTATCGGAGTTGGGTGCTTGAAGTAAACGGGCTGGTCCAACTTCGAGCCATTCCGAGTAAGATACTCAAGAACCGGGTTCCCGCGCGACGGGCCCTCGGATACGTAATTGACTGTACCTACGCGGACGAGTTCCTTCGTAGTTGGTACTTCAACCTCGATCGTGCCCGTAGTCTCAACGGAAGCAAATACAGTCTTGTCACTAAACCGAGTCGAGGTGTGTAACTTGAAAACGGCGCTATGTCCGAGCAGAATATCGTCTAAATCCGCTCTCTCGGACTTAAACCATTTCTTAGCTTTCAACACAGCAACATCTTTCAGGCTTTTCAGCGACACCCTAACAGGTGTTTCGACCTTACGCCGGAATGTCTTCGCAAAATCGGAAAAGATACCGCGGTAGAAGAATTGCGACGTAACTTGCATCACCGGTTTACCATCGTCGCGTGCGATGGTACCACAGACCTCGACCATCTGGCCCGAGTCCTGATTGACGATAGCAGTGATTTCCGACGATGCACTTAATACATCACCTTTCTTAAACGGCGTCGCACTAGGAATCATGCGAAAGCGATTCGATAGATGTACGAGTTTTAACAAGTCACCGTCGACGGCGTGGAATAGAGGTTCCATGAGAGCCTTCCAACCAGCGATGATGGCAAAGTCCATAGGTGCGAGATGATCCCGGCCGGGTCTCTCGATATATGCCTCGGCCGTATTACCGACCGCGCGGGCGAACTCATGGATTGCGGTGCTAGAGACTGTTGTAGTACCGCCATCCCAGCGCTTGATGTGAGGTATCACCGCGTCCAAGGGTGCGGTTGGTCGATCGTTTCCAAACCAAAGCTTGTAGTAAAAGTCCTTGATGCGCTCATCGCGCGAGTTCATTTCCTCCCGAATTGGCGCATAGCCCGCCTCTGGGTGGTAAGTGAATAGCAATGGAAGCGTGATCGGCTTCCCTGAGGCGGTGCGATGTTCAATGAGACTGAGGGGTATGATATTGCCGGCCAGAGGGCCGATCTTCATCGTGGGCAATTGCTTACCACCGATGCTTTCTTCAACGGTAATAGTTGTCCGGTTGGGATCATCGGGGTGAGCTATGTTCACGAGCATGCCTCGAGCGGGTGCAAGCAGACGGCGTAGTGGGTTCGCCTCAAAGCGATAGCCTTGAACGAAGACGTCTGCTGTTAATAATGCGCGGCGCCATGTAGCTTGGCTACCAGCTAAAAATTGCATCCATTCCTCGGTGCTCGGAAGAGTTCTCCCAGGGATAAACAGTCTCGCCTCATTACCAGTGTCTGAAATGGCGACGCCTTCGGGTATTGATTGAGCGTCCGAGGCGGAGTTCGCCATCTTGTCCCCGAAGTACTCAACTATTGGTACCTTCCCCTCATCGCCCGCGTACAGGTCATGTTTTAGTAATTTGACATGACCTTCATGTACACGATCGAGGATATCCTTAATGGATTCTTCGGTAGTGGTCGAGTACTTCGCCGCGACGGGTCCATGAAGAATACAGACTCTGCCGACATCCTGATCGACGACAGCATCGATGTCTTCCGACTGCCATAATGAGTCCTTCTTAAACCATACTTCGAAATCCTCATCTAGGCGTGGGACAAATGGTACCGGTTTTTGGCCAGGACGCTTGCAAAGAGCCAAGAAATGCGAGCAGTCTTGAGCGTTCATAAGTTGCATGCTTGCTAGGGGATGTGCCGCGAGGAATTTGTGAATCGTGGGAATTGGGTCGTCTAGCTCCCAGCTGCTCATGGACGATCCGAGGCGCTGTTCAACATAGCGCATGAAGTCCCCAGTCAACCGAGCGAGGGATTTATCAATCCACCTCTTCTGATGTGTCATGAACATAAGCTCGGCCATTCTAGAAATGACATCGGCGTAGGTCATCTCCTCAAGATCAACAGCCTTACCAGAAGCAGTGTGGCCAAACCATGGCTTTTGGAAATCGACATTCAATCGTCGGATAATGTAGTCGCGGGTGTCTTTTTTCTTGAGCTCTTGAATGCGCTTCTCTTTAGGCAAACTGAAGATTTTCTGGTCCATCTCGGCCCAGAATATAACGCCGCGAGTAGCCAATTTATGAATCGGCTCTCCCATTTCGGATCGGACAGTGATGACACCACCTCCGCCGACCGGCTTTTGATATGTCTTCTCCCATTCTTGGTTGCTAAGACCCTGGGAGTCAACGATGGCATGTTTCGCACCTTGGGATGTGTGCGCTTCTTTAGCCACCATGCATCGGCTTCCGAGAAGGATACCATCAAAAGGCATAGGTGGATGACCAAACTTCGTCGCCCAAGTGCCGTTCAAGTACGGATAAGTATCATCTGCGCCACCGAAACCCGAGCCAGCAACGAGCACAATATTAGAGCAGCGCCGTATCTTACTGTACATCTCTAATATTGGCTCGTGAAAGTCTTCGCAAGAATGATGTCCGCCGCCACGACCACCAGTCCATTGCAGAACTACTGGGAACCCCGGATTGGCCTGGGCGATCTTGATTACTTGTTGAACGGCTTGGACAGACCCAGGTTTAAACCCGATTTGTCTAATTCCTAGGTTGCGAATATACTCATTCGTGATATCCAGAGAGGGAACGCCGGCGCCAATAGTAAGTCCCTTAATAGGTAATCCCTTGTTACACAGATCGCGCACAAGTGGAATCTGCCAAGCGACTGCCTTAGGACTGGCGTAGATTATATTCAGGACAATGCCGCGACCAGGAGGAATTTCCCTTGATATTTTCGTGATCGCTTCAGTCAGACTAGCGGCGTCATAATAACCGCCGCAGGCCAGCTCAATTTCGTACCCAGCTTTTGTTGCTGCAGCCACGAAATCCCAGTGCACTGTTGTGGGGGTCATTCCCGCCACCATAACCGGCGGGAGACCGAGAAGTCTGCTGATTTTGGTATCCACGAATGTTTGGCCAGTGGAGGTTTTTATGAGTTTTGGTCCATACTGTCTAGCCCAATTGACGCCATATGCAAGATCCGAGGTGTTACGGGCAAAAATCTCATTTTTGCATCCAATCTCGGGGTGTGTCGGATTGGTTATGTTGGTCGCAAGAATGACACGAGTTCCGGTACCGTCCTTAATGCGACTCGTGAGACCAGCAACGCCTGCAGTGCGCCCCGGACCAAAGTCCAGGATATGTGTTGCATCGGGCATCGCAATGGCCTTATCCCAGTGCACCGGATCTTGGCAGATCATCCTGACGAGAGATGGCACTATGTCATCCTTATCTTGAAGCTCTGTCCTGATATCTTTTCCACTAAACGTAGAGTATACCGGGATAGCAAGCTCGCTAGGAGATATCCTGGTATCCTTCAAGTCCTCTTGAAGGGCCTCAATAGCCGATCGCAAATACGGACTGTGAAATGGAGCCGTTATTGGGAGAAATCTATTAGTGATATGCAGTTTTCTCTGGCTGAACGGTACGCGAGACTCGTCGATATTGTCTGCCGCTTTGACTTTGCGGAGCTGTACATTGAGTCCATACAACGCCATCGGCGGGCCAGCGACCACGAAGTTTTTCGCGCCATTTACTAGAGCTACGACAATTTGTCGGTCCTCTGGAAGCGATCCGTTTACTTTTGTTATATACTCGTCGAGCGTTTCGCGACTCATGCCCCTAATGGAGAGTGCTGCCGTTGGCTCACCCTCTCCACTCGTTACCGAGTCCTCTAGGGCGCTCGGAGCGATTGAAGGGAGGGGGTATGCCTCCTGGCTGCGAACACCAATCCAAAATAGGATCGCGAGAGCCTTTTTTCCCTGTGCCTCAAAACTCTGCCAATTCGACGAGGCAGCTATTATGGCTGCGAGGATAATTCCCTGGGAGTGACCCGTTGTACCCGACAAGCGATTCCTCATTCCACCTGGATGCGTCCCAAGGGAAGAAGTTGTGACGATATAATGGAGAATCTGTAGCAATCCGATGAGGGGAAAGCTGACCGGCGCGGAGACCAAGTAATCGAAATCCGGTTGTGAGTCGGGTCGCTCCAACCAGCGCATAATATCTAGGCCATGGATGAAGGCCTGGGAAGCTCTAGCATCGTGCGAAAGCCGCTCAAGATAACGTGCTGCAGGAACGAGGAATCGCCTTGTTAGCGATGGATATGTGTCGTAAACATCTCGTAGTTCATCGAGGTAAGTCTTGGTGTTACCCTGGCCACCAAAAACAGCGTAAACGCGAGCAGTGCCTTTAAGGGCTGCCCGCATAAGAGCCGAATCCGGCATACCCGCAGGTCGCCTTACTGCACCAACAGCAAGATAGTATGATCTTATTACTCTGAGCTTGTCGATATTGTCGGGAAGAACTGCGACAAACGCATGGACTTCTTCGTTATGTAACACCTCCCGCTCAAATGATTGAAGTACGAAATTCAGCACCTCCTTGTCGAAACTCGAGTCAAGATGGGTTTCAATTTCTTTAGCAACGAAGCTAAGAAAATCCGAGACGAGCTCTATGATAGAGGATTGGCTTTCCCTTTCCTCGCCTTGTGCTTTCGGATTGATCAGAGTTTTCAGAAATCTATCTCGTAATCGAACCGCATTGGCGTATAGAAATGTTGGTATTATAAAGGTATGCTCCCAGGTTTTGTTAATCAAGGTGAGCGGTTGAGATTGAGCTCCCGTCTCGGAGTCAGGAGTAAATATTTCTGGACCTGAGTCCGATCCATCTAAGTCCAACATGACTGCGATTCCAAGTTGTTTCGTGGTTGTTCGATTTGTGAACCCCCACGGTCGACTGCGTGCGTAATAGTCCGGTGATGATTTGCAGACTGATACAGAAAAGCAAATTCAATCCACTGCTGGTTTTAATGAGTCGCAGATACGCGCGACAGGTCTGGAGGGTTTCTCTTTGAAAGGGGACATGAAATGAATGAGAATCGAGGACACGAGAACCTAGAAATGGTTATGAGTTTCATTCAATCCCGCCAAGATACTTTAAAATGAATTAAAGGCCAGGCTTCTAAACCACTGGAATGCGGGATTACAGGAGGATAGTATTACTGAGATGCCTATGAATTTGGGTGTTTTCTACCCGCGATACCGGAATAAGGGATTGCAGGATTTGGGGATTCACGGATGCCAGGATATCGGCCTAGAGGGACTGAAAATTCAGGTAAAGGCTCTGAATAGTAGAATAATTAACTGACATCGCAGAATAACACGGGCCTCTGTCCAAAAAGGTAGATTTAATTCTTTTACGTTCTCGAGTTCCAGCATACTGGATACTTACACCTAGAACGGAACACTATACCCCTTTTCTCACATGAGAACGACATTTACAACACACATCGGAAAACTTCCAAGCCCTCAACTAAGAATCGCATTAAGATGGCGCTCCAACGCCACCAGCAAGAGCTCGCTCATGTACTCCTTACGGAGTTATTGGCGTAAGTTTCTTTCCAAGCCAAACTCCGATATAGTCGATCCTAACACAAGCGACAACAGGTATCAATTCGCCATGCCAGTCCGATGGTCAGAAACTCAAAGTATTCTCTTCGATAAGGTCAATGTTGAAAAGCTAGTCGAATTTGGACCATCTCCTACTCTATTGAATATGGCCAAGAAGACGTTGGGCCAGTTCAACATCGAATTCGACGCAGTCAATGGGATCAAACGATCTCTTCTCTCGACAAGTGCCAACTACGACGATCTTCGTTACGATATACCTCCACCCGTAGAACCCGATACTACAGAGCAAAGGATACCAGAGAGCACTCCAAGTCCTGAAACGAGCAAGCCCGCACCCAAAGCTCCTACCGCTAGTGCAGCCCCACCAGCAAAAGCAGATGCTCCAGTTCCAGATGCCCCCATCACAGCATTTGAATCGGTGAAAGCACTTGTCGCGAGTGGTTTGAAGAAGTCGGCTTCAGATATCAAACTTGATGAGAGTATAAAATCCATTTCTGGTGGCAGATCAATTGTGCAGAACGAAATAATAGGGGATATGTTAGAAGAATTCGGGTCACTAGCCGATGATGTCGAAAACATACCCCTAAAGGAACTCGCCTCAACAATTCAAAGCGCATATGATGGGAAGCTGAAAAAGTGTTTACGTACGCGAATTGAAAAGATGATTGGGTCGAAAATGCCCGGTTCCTTCGATTTAATATCAGCAAGATCTTACCTGAGCGACAAATGGGGCCTTGCTTCCGGAAGGCAAGACGCCGTTCTCTTAATCGCACTCGGTCAGCAGCCAACAGCTAGACTTAAGAAAAATGAAGATGCAGAAGCGTTCTTTGATACGGTCGCTCAAAGCCACCTAGATAGCGCAGGTTTATCCCGTCAAAGAAGCACTGCGTCTGCGAGTCCGCAGTCCGCTATGCTCGATTCTAAGGTGGTGCAGCAGCTACGCGACGAACATTCCCAATTGAGAAGACGAATCGCGGCTCTTCTCACCGATGATGATGAATCCTCAAATTCCTCCCTAGCAACTGGAGACAATTCTGCAGAGATGCAGGACAAAATTGATATCTTTGAGAAGGAGTTGGGCGAGGACTTTTGCAATGGTATCAAGCCAATCTTCAAGGCTGATCATCAACGGACATATGATTCCGTCTGGAATTGGAGTCACGTCGACTTGCTTGATGAATACTATAAACTCGTTGAGAATAAAACTAGCCAACACGAACTAGAAGATGCGATCGCTAGTCTCAGAAATAGAGCCAGCGACAGATTCGAAAGGGCCAGGCAATATTTGCTTAGCAAGGTCGCATCGTCAGGAGACAACCAGGCTGAAAGTATCAAGACGATGCTTGACAAACTAAGACCTGATGCAATCGATCCTGCTCATAAGGAAAACAGAAACGGCTCTCAGATTGTACCTCTCGACCCTACTCTCTCGACAGCTGAAGCGACGAAGGCCCCTCACATGCTTAGGAGGGAGGGAGCTTCATGGACACCAGATCAACAATTGACAATACTAATGAATCCGAAAGGTCAGATCACATCAAAAACATTTGCTGGTAAAGATATCCTTCTAACTGGCGCCGGTCCGAATTCAATTGGCATCGCCCTTCTTCAATCGCTTCTCCAAGGAGGAGCTAGGGTTCTAGTAACAACCAGTAGAGTCATGCCTGAAGCCGGTCCCATTTACCAAAAAATATTCGCAAGATATGGAGCTCCTGGTTCAAGACTCGTCGTACTCCCTTGCAATCAGGGGAGCAAGCAAGACATCGAGAACTTGATCGCCCACATATATGACCCCGTCAATGGCCTAGGATGGGATCTCGATTTTATTGTCCCGTTCGCGGCACTACCCGAAAAAGGTCGTGAAATCGATAACATCGATTCGAAATCCGAGCTTGCGCATAGGGCTATGTTAACGAACGTCCTAAGAATCATGGGCGCTGTTAAGATCGCCAAGGAATCGAGGGGATCTCGAACTAGGCCGGCGCAGGTCTTATTACCACTTTCTCCCAATCATGGTACTTTCGGCAACGATGGTCTATACTCTGAATCTAAGATTGGCTTAATGACGCTGTTGAACAAGTGGTCTTCTGAGAGCTGGAGCGATTATTTATGCCTCTGCGGCGTGATTATCGGTTGGACTCGGGGCACTGGCTTGATGGCGGCTAACGATGTAATTGCGGAAGAAATCACCAAGCGTGGTGTAACCACCTTTTCCACCGAGGAAATGGGTAGATTTATCATAGGCCTTATGTCTGACCCCGTGGTATCAATCTGCCAGACTGAATGCCTTTTGGCAGATTTAAGCGGAAGTATGGGCAGCGACCCTGAATTAGCAAAGTTCATTGCGGGAGTAAGGAATTCCATGCGCCAGGATGAAGAAATCCGGAGGGCTCTTGCCGACGAAGAAGCTCTTGATGAGAGCGCGATTCTAGGCAAGGCCGTTGCAGGACCACAAGCAAATTCGACACTACCTAGACCACCTTTAGTTGATATCGACCTAGGCTTCCCGACACTTCCAGACTATAGTACCAAGTTAAAGTCCTTGAACTTCAAGCTGGATGATATGGTTGATCTGGAATCAGTCGTGGTCGTGGTCGGCTTTGCTGAAATCGGACCCTGGGGTAACTCCCGGACAAGATGGGAGATGGAACTCAAGGGTGAACTCTCAATTCAAGGATGCATTGAATTGGCTTGGATGACTGGGCTAATCAAGCATAACCCGAAACCAACCCCTTCGGCTGCATGGATCGATGCAGCTACCGGCGCCCCCGTTCACGACCACGAGGTGAAAGCAAAATATGAAAAACAGATCCTAGAACACACTGGATTGAGACTCATTGAACCAAGCTCCTTAGATCATCCCAACAGAGATAGCAAGCAATTCCTTCAGGAAGTCATCGTCCAACATGATCTCGAACCATTTAATGCATCATTCGACACAGCCATGGAATTCGTGCGCGAACACGGGGACAAAGTCGAAATCAAGCAAATCGCAAAAAGCGACCAATTCTCAGTACGCTTCCGAAAAGGCGCCACCTTGATGGTCCCAAAAGCCAGAATTTTCGACAGAATCGTAGGCGGTCAGCTTCCGACCGGATGGGATCCGACGGTCTACGGACTTCCGCAGGACCTGTGCGACAGCGTAGATCGCTGCACACAAATGGCTCTAGTATGCGCTGCTGAGACATTTCTCTCTGCAGGTATCACAGATGTATACGAACTATACAAAACAATCCACGTCTCCGAGCTCGCCAATTGCGTCGGCTCAGGTATGGGTGGAGGGCAATCGCTTCAAAAACTGTACCGCCAGCGCTTCCTCGATCGACCTGTGCAAAGCGATATTCTCGCCGAAGTATTTATTAACACAACGGGCGCATGGCTCAACATGCTTCTCATGTCCTCCGCGGGACCCACACGAACTCCCGTGGGGGCTTGCGCCACGGCGCTTGAGTCGCTGAATCAAGGATTCGACCTGATTACCAGCGGGGGCGCCAAGTTTTGTTTAGTGGGTGGCTTCGACGACATGACGCAGGACACGTCGGCGGAGTTCGCGAATATGAAAGCCACGAATAATAGCATGGCAGATCTAGCCCGAGGCCGTGCACCGCATGAGACCTCGCGCCCATGTGCATCGTCCAGAAAGGGGTTCGTTGAGTCGGAGGGGTGCGGTATGCAATTACTTACCAGCGCCAAGCTCGCTTTAGAGTTGGGACTGCCTATCCGATCTATCGTGGCGCATGTACAAACCGCGAGCGATGGCACTGGTCGATCAGTTCCGGCCCCTGGGAAGGGCATCATGGTTAATGTCCGCGAGAATTCTAGCCTCGGATCATCTCCACTTCTCGATATCGACTATAGAAGAAAACTCCTCGAACACTCCCTAAAATCAATCCGCGAACGCCAGGAACTCTTCAACCTGCACCCACATGCAGATCCCACCACATCATCAGAACAAGACGAACTCACCCTCGCCACACAGCGCGAAGAAAAAGAAGCCCGCCGGCGTTTCGGCAACTTTTTCTACACCCACGACCCCCGCATCTCGCCCCTCCGCGGCGCCCTCTCCGTCTGGAACCTATCCGCCGACGACATCACCGTAGTCTCGCTACACGGGACCTCAACCGATCTAAACGAAAAAAACGAAGTCGAAGTCCTGCACCGGCAACTCACGCATCTAGGCCGCACACCCGGCAACGCCGCCTTCGCCGTATGTCAAAAATACCTAACGGGGCACCCTAAAGGGGCCGCCGCAGCGTGGATGTTAAACGGATGCTGTCAAATCCTAGACACCGGCCACGTCCCCGGGAACCGTAACGCGGATAACATCGACACCGCTTTATCCCCTTTCGAAAACCTAGTTTTCCCCAACCGGACTATAAATATAGGAGAAGTAAACGCGTTCAGCGTGACGAGTTTCGGGTTCGGGCAGAAGGGTGCGCAGGCGCTTGGTGTGCATCCGAAGTATGTGTTTGCTACTATCGGGGAGCGGAGGTATGGGGAGTATTGTCGATTACGGGAAAATCGGTATTTTAGGGCGAAGCAGCATTTTCAGAATACGTTTTATGGGGGACGCATGGTGGTGCTGAAGGATGAGGCGCCGTATCCGAAGGCGAAGCAGTTTGAGGCTTTGGTTGATGCGTCGGCGAGGTTTGGGTAGAGGGTAGTGTTCTTACTCCTTTAGACGCAATTTTTTTCTCACTCGGACGTTAGGGCGTTTATTCTGAGTACAGTCTAGACATGAAGATATAGATATACGTATATAGTTGGAAAGCATTAATTCTTTTTAGTTTCGCATTCGAAAATTTTCTATCAATCGATTTACTGGATTATATCAGATCTTACCAATACTTCATTCAGACTACTTGAGATAGCCACAATGCCCCTATTCCCATATTTTTAGTTAGTACGGTAGATCATTATTCACACACATATCACATAATAATACTTAAAGTGCACACAATATTTGAGAGAACTCCCCATCGGGCATGTATTAACTAAATACTTATAAATGTCCGCATTTCGTAACAGCGGATAGCTCGATGCACAGGGCAGAAGGATTTCCGACGCCTCCAAGAGAATCAGAGGATATCCTAGACTTTATGCGCCATAGATGCGCCCAACTGTACCACCTATGAACCACCTCAGACGTGAACGATACCATGACATGGAGACGACAGTGGCGACTACGAGATCCCTAGCATAATAGCTAGTTTACCAAAAGTACCTCCCCTCCGCCCAGCTCAGCTGCTCAACCAACTCCTTCTCCTCCTCAGGGTCGAAGTCGTTCTTGACATTGAGGTATTCGCGCATACCCTCAGTCTCCATATCCGCCATATTCTTCGCGACAATCTTCGTGGCGTAATCAAGGAGGGCCTCAATCGCAAGGAAGTTAGCCGCATTAGCCAGCCTAAAAAGGTCATCCTTCGGGAGCTGACCAATGAACTCCTCATCCCACTCCGACATCCATTGCACATGGCGCGTTTCGTACTCATGCGCCCTCTCGGTATCCGGGTTTGGGACATGTTCCTCCTGCTCATCGATATCCTTAATGATTGTCTGAGCGGGAGGGTCTTGTCCGCTCTGCGCGGCGTGAGCAGCGGCCTCCTGCTGTACTCTCCTCTTCGCCGCCCTTTCCTCGCGCTTCTTCATGAGCTCGTCCGTCTTACGCTTGTTCTCTGCCTCTTGGGCAAAGAAAGCAGCCTTTTCGGCCTCGTAGACGGCACGGTGCTCGCACCACTGGATGATGTTTTGGAGTGTCTGGCCATCGATCTCGGTGAAAGGAACGGGGGTGTCTAATGCCTCCTCGGGAAGGTCCGCCATCATGTCATTGAGGAAGTCAGACATGGCTACGGCAGCCTTGGTGGCAGTGACGGAGACGCCGTCATTGCTTACGAGGGTGAGGGTGTTGGTCGGTTGAGCAGACATGGTGATTGGTTTTTTGGGTTGAAATAGAAAGAATAAACGTGATCGTGTATTCGCAAAGTCGTCAAGAAGTCTTATCGAAAATCGAATATCAGAATATCCAAGGATGAAACAAGATCTGTATGAAGACTGATGTTTTGGTGAAGTGATGGGAAGAAAGAAATCTCTAGGAACTTGCAGCATATATATACTAAAGCTATGTGAAGAACACAAACATACAATAGCGATGATCAGAAAACAATTTCACTCTCTCGGCACTATGTGATTGTATTGTAGCCATTGTTTCCTATGAAAGATTTGCATAGTGTAAGGAGCTGTGGGCCTCCACCTACAGTGTATATCGAACAAACACCACTATCCAACAGATAAAGAAAAAGAAATGTGCAAATTTTCATATCAAAGATGTTAAGCTCCTTATACCTTCCTTGGGAAGATCCATAGTATGACTAGTAACATTGGATGATTCCTGTCGAGGTAACTGTAGGGCCATCAGCACGAGCCAGGTACTCACAGTGCCCAGCCAGTAGAAAGAGACTATGGTTCCGTCAAACATCTTGACAGTGTTATGTCGAATAATGTTGGTCTGTACTCTTCAATACCCGATGAATACGGTAAGAATTTTAATCGGTTGAATGTTGGAACAGTTGTTTGTCTGTGCTCGTCAAAGTCACATCTTCTCGGGCGAACCAAACTCGTAGATCTTCTCGGCTGGTGTCTATTCTAGTATTAGTATCCATGTTTGCCAAAACGAATGTGACAAGAGGTAAAGTGAGTGGATGTTTAGAACACTTTACAGAATGACTAGGTGGTCTCTGCTTTAATAGCTGAGCAATGGCCAAGTCACGATGTAGCAAGTAGCAGAGAAATACCCACGTAAGGCAGTCGAATTGGGGGGATAGGAAAACAAGAGAACTCACCAAATCCCAATCATGCGAAAAAGCAAAATTACAACTGCCGTTTCTTGTACACTTCTTGCCGCCGTACCTGCAATTATGGCCCCAGGCGCATCCGGCATTAACACACTGACCGCGGAAATTGCAAGGTGATCCTCTAGCTTTAATCCTCAGGACAAGTAACTCGGCCGGCCCAAATCGTTCACCGTGGTAATATGTGCAGTAGTATTCATCACAGCTACCGAGGAGGTGATATCGATTGCAGGGTCCTCTGGACTCCTTTTTTGTACGCTCGGCCAAGCGCGCTTCCGCATTCGGATCACATCGCGGCAATGGCTCATCGAGGCGTTCGCCTGATGAATTAATGATGTAGTATTTGCCTTTGTTGGCGACCGGCTTTGGTGACTTTGTCGATTTCACCGGTTTCTCTGAAGGCGAAATCATAAAACTCTTAAATTCGTTAACTAAAGGACTGTTTGACCTCCACTTTGAAGCGACGTCGGCATAGTTGGTCGAGTTAGTTGGCGGCAATGAGGGGGTAAATGTCGGCGCCGGGCTCTCCGGAAGGAGTTCGGAACGAAAAACGTTAGGGAATTGGACTCTACGGAAGCGCAATTCCTGAAAGTCGCGTGGGGCAGGCGTAGTTTCAAGTAGGCTGAGTTTGGTAGATATCACCGTCTCGAGTTGGTATGGCCTCAACTCCACAATATAGCCCTTGTCGTGACAAGGCCCGAAAATAATGTGTTTGCATTGTAAATTGTAAACCATAACGCGAAGCATTTCGCGGACTTTGTAGTCGGCCTGCTCTTTGCCCCAGCCAACATCGATAAATGAGAAAAGGCCTTGAGAACGGCTAAAGCCCCGAGTAAATGCGGCTAACTCGTTCGTATGTCTTATAAGATCGACGCTGTATAATTTTCTAGATAAACCTTCGAGGTTAAGGAAAACCTGGACAATTATATGCCATGATTCAACGTTAACGTTAGGATAAATATTTTTAAGATGCTGTTTAATTTCGGTGCGTAGTTCGTGGGCGGCTATGGCGCCACCCTCTTCGCCTTGTGTAATCCATTCTTCGCGAAATACAGCACCGTCACCGTCGATAATAGCTAGGGCAAAGGAATTAACATCCTATAAAATAAGTTTAGTTTAAATTATATGGCAGTTGAAAACCTAGAAGACATGGGGTAGTTACCGCTTTATGATAAATATCAGTAAGTTTTCTCTTTGCTTCATTTGCTTGGGTTTGGTAAAGAGAACGGGTTTGCGTCTCGTCATTGTATGCCTTGGTTTTGTCTTCAAGACGCTGCTCAAGATCTTAGCATTTAGAAACTAAGTCTTTAATAATATCTTCTCTTTCTTTGTCAAATTGATTGAATTGTTCTAAACGAGCTAAATAGCTTGCGCCATCTTTAAAAAGACCGATACTCATTTTAAAGTAAGTAAAGATGATAGCTTGATATCAAGAGAAATAATTTGATCAAGATAGAGTTGTTAATAATGAAGTCAAGAAAGTTGGGTAGAAAAGGTTCACCTAATTTCGTCACTTATTTTAGGTAGGTACCTAGCTAGGTACCTACTCGAATGACCTGTCAGGCCCCGCAAGAACTAACTTAACGTAAACTCCAGTTATAGTTGAAATAACTTTATGAGACATGGGTTTAACTTCCCGTGGTTAGTTTCAGAAATATGATCGTGATTCATATTATACTTCGGTAATTTCCTTCGTCTTCATTTAGCGTGTTTCTTTAAGGCATTCCTTCTGGTTTGAAATGTAGTATTAGTGTAGTACTATGAGAATAGCTGCAGGATTAAGTATGTGGCTGGTTGTAAATTGATGATTTATAATACACATTAACACACCGCATCTCGGGGCGGCGTTGCGTGGCTTGTTACCTGTGGATTAGGTGGGTGCTTTGAAGTATGTACCTAAGTACTCACTACAAGATCCCCGAGGCCTCGCAATTCCGTCGGCGATAGCAGCCACTGTGGTATGAAAAGATACTTAAGTATCTTAAGTATCTCAAAAGTTTCAACTTGAAGAGTGATCCAGCGGACAAATGTCAAACTTCCCCTAGCTATTTAATAGTAGTTAAGTCAAAAGTATGGACAATCATTTCGCTTACGACTCAACAGCCCCAAAGAATTCTCTCCCCCAGGAACCAGAACCGAAACAAAAGAAATGGTCGTGCTCGGGTAGACGAGCATAGCATATGCAAAGTGACTGCAGATCCAAGTCTCCAATGCTAGATATATATCGAGGAACTTATTGGATTCTAGAAGTTCGTGTGCGTCCTACAAGGCCTCTCATTCGCGGGGTTATATGCGCCGAAAACCACATCAAAGAGGGTTCCCCTCGCTACCGGGTTTGCAGTAACAGACAAAAAAGATAAGACGGCTCTTAACATGTGCATCTGTAAGCAAATCGGGTAGGTTAGTTGATGATTGATAGACGATGCATGGTGATGAGTGCATGTGGTGATGGACCCTGAAAAAAAGCAAAAGTGAGAAAAAGATAAAAAGTAAAAAAGTCACGATGCTCCGCGTCAGTCATTTACTCATTTTATTCAGTGTACATAACTCCATATATGAAGAGCAGGGGTTATAGTAGAGCTAATAGCATCTCGTTCCTGCGGCCGACAACCGAGACTAGCTACCCGGTGTAAGGCGCGCTACTGTATGAAGTTGTACTATAACCCACCGCGTGATAGAGAGCTATGCGGGGACCGAGTCTGAACGAACGTGCTGTACGACGAGAATAATTGGCGCGGTAAACAGGACACAATTCTCCGTTGCCCGTGTGCCCCATGCCCACTGCCCACCCGTACTAATCGGACGTATAGCAACCGAACGTCATCAACCCATCGCTAATTCCCCCAACTAACTATAGGTAACCACCCCACATCCCCTCATGCAGACGTCCGGCCAAAGCATCTCAAAGTATCACTGGTTCTACCTAACCTACCTAACCTACTAGAGTTTTCTACGTGGACTGTACTGTACCGTACGCTGCTCCCGCTTCTCGCTGTCCCGTGAAATATAGTCCCGATTCAGACATAGTTCCCGATCTAGGCAGAGCAGAACCTCCCAGCTCGGTCGTCGTATTAGACAAACTAGGGCAGGATGGGGTTGCTTCCGAGATGAAGAGTTCCAGTGTCCGACATCGTCTTGGGTAAGCCACTTTTTTGCGCGCTGAAAGCCTAGAATCCGACTAGGTATTGGAGAATGGAAGGACTAAGCTATCAGGACACATAATAATGAGCCCGCCCCTCTTTTGAGTTTCCCCCCTCCCTTGACAACTTGAAACTTTTCAACTTCTTTGCTCTTCGTTGATAGTAACTGTTTGACTCTGATTTTTGCTTGAATTGTTTCCTGTCAGTGTCAAAATGAGTGCGACTGAGACCATCGTAAAGCCTTCTAAGGCAAATATTGCTGTATTCACAAACCCAGCTCACAAGTTATGGATCAACGAAGCAGAACCCACTGTTGAGGATGTGCAGAAGGGAGAGAGCTTGAAACATGGAGAGGTCACGATCGCCATCAAGAGCACTGGAATATGCGGGTGAGTGGTTGTGGTGTGAGGTCGTGCTATTGCCATTACGATCGTCTTGCTGACTGTTACGCAGCTCCGACGTTCACTTCTGGCACGCTGGTTGCATCGGGCCTATGATTGTGGAGGATGATCACATCTTAGGGCATGAATCGGCCGGACAAGTTATCGCAGTGCATCCATCCGTGACACACCTAAAAGTTGGGGACCGAGTCGCGATCGAGCCGAATATCATCTGCAACGAATGCGAGCCCTGCCTGACCGGTCGGTATAATGGTTGCGAGAAAGTCCAATTCCTATCGACACCCCCGGTACCAGGTCTATTAAGGAGATACGTAAACCACCCCGCCATTTGGTGCCACAAGATTGGAAACATGTCATACGAGAATGGAGCTATGTTAGAACCACTAAGTGTCGCCCTTGCGGGTATGCAAAGATGCGGAGTTAAGCTTGGTGACCCGGTACTAGTTTGTGGTGCTGGGCCGATCGGATTGATCACGTTACTCTGCTGTCAAGCCGCTGGCGCATGTCCTTTGGTCATTACCGATATCGATGAAGGACGATTAAAATTCGCCAAGGAACTCTGTCCATCAGTCATAACACACAAAGTTGAAAGATTGAGTGCCGAAGAATCAGCTAAGAAAATAGTAGAATCCTTCGGTGGTATTGAACCCGCGATAGCCTTGGAATGTACTGGGGTTGAAAGCAGCGTGGCAGCAGCTATCTGGGCTGTTAAATTCGGAGGCAAGGTATTCGTAATTGGTGTTGGAAAGAATGAGATCAACTTCCCCTTCATGAGGTGCAGTACCCGGGAAGTGGATTTGCAATTCCAATACCGATACAGCAACACATGGCCTCGAGCTATTCGCTTGGTCGAGAATGGTGTGGTGGACCTAACGAAACTCGTTACTCATCGATTCAAGCTTGAAGATGCCATCGAGGCCTTCAGCACAGCGGCAGATCCCAAGACTGGAGCTATCAAAGTCCAAATCAAGAGCGAAGATTAATTCAAGAGCTGCTGGTCCCAATTGTGATCAAGATGAAGGAATATAATAGAGCTAGGGTCAAGTTAATATAAGAGGGACACAGACGATAGAAGCTACTATTAGTGTGCTCTTCGTTTCATATTATAGAACGAAGCATAATAAAGGCCTTTAGTAAATTAAATTTGAAAAACATAATGTGTAGGAAACACCAAGGGCGCAAAACACCAGAAAACAATAAATCAATTGAAGTATAGAAATGAAAATGAAGGAGAAAAAGAGTTGGAATGAAGAAAAATAAAATTCAGGTGAACCTTGAGAAGCAGCCCGGAACTTTACAAGTCTTAATAATATGGGGCAATTCCGAGTTTCAAGCCTGCTGATTGGTCAACTGCTTTTGACACAGGTACCTAGTACTTGGGTATAACCCTGTTCGGATCGGGTTTTTCCGCCGTAATTAGTGGATTCCCGTCTTTTTCGAACAGTCGATCACTTTTGAGTGTTTTTTTCTAAAATAGCGATTTCTTTCCCTAGCAATAGACGACGACGACCCTTACGAATCCCCCTCCCTTTCTCCGAATTCCCTCAATTAATTGACATATTCACGTCTCTTTTTTTCTCTTCATCCGTCTCGAGAGTTACCTCCCTCTTTCTCTCCCTCCGAATACCCGATTCACCATGTCGTCCACCCTAGCACGCCCAATGCTTCGGCAATCAGGAGCGTGGAGTCGCATGGCCGCCCGAAGATTTGAGTCGACAAACACCTCCAAGGCGACCGAGACCGCTAAGGATACCGCCGCGAAGGCCTCCAAGGCTGCATCAGAATACTCAGCGAAGGCCGCACAGGGTCTTTCGAGGGTTGCTTCGTCCGCTGGTCCGGCTATCGCAGGTGCCGCTAAGGGTCTCACAAATTCTTTGAGCAAAGCCGGTGGTCGTACTGGGAAATTAGTCGCCTATATTGAGAGTACGTAAAAATCGCGACAGGGAAAATATGATATAAAAGGAGATGCATGTATTTTTTATGGTGGGACAATCGCTGACGAGTTGGGTTTGCAGAACAAGTTCCCACGGTAGTCTACTACTCCAAGGTCGGCTCCGAAGTTGCCAAGATCGTATTTAAAGGCCAGAGCATGTCGCCGCCGTAAGTTCTGTCGGTCGCTTTTCGAGCTGTTACATATGATTTTAATGATATGGATGTTTGTAGGTCCGCCGCTACTTTCCAGAGCTACTGGCAAAACGCATGGAAGTCCGTACAGAACCCCCAAGCGCTACTTCAGATAGCCTCCAAGGCCGCACAGCAACCTGCCTCCCTCCTCCAGCAAGCGAGGAATGTTAGCCGAGCCCAGCTTGCTGCCGGTGGTGTCATAGTTGCGGAATGCCTTGGTTTCTTCACCGTTGGCGAAATGGTTGGCCGCTTCAAGCTAATTGGATACCACGGTGGTTCCCACTCTCACCATTAAGCTCCAATTCTTCTCGAGAGAAAAGGAAATTTAAAAAGATACCTTTGTATTACGCATGAAATGGGGGCGGAACGTTATAGACAGGCGGATATTGTTTTTGCATTCGAGGAAAGCATAGTGGGTAATACGAAAGGGACGAAAAGTCCGAGCTCGGACTCTCTTTACTAGACACACCAAAACGACGGTAGCCTCCGGCCCAGCCCCTATCCCCTATAATTGGCTACGGGCTACGGCAAACGTGGAATGAAAAAAGTGCAGAGAAAGAGGTGATCGGAGCGAGGGATAAGTTGTCCTCACCTTGTATATTCACTCTCAACCCCATTCGAGCGAGCAACTTCATGCCGTCGACTCTTTTTTTTCCTTTGTTCCCCCCATGTCACCCTGTACAATAACTACGAACTTGCATTGAGACGGGTTTCAGACGTTGACGAATAAAGTAATTACCCGCCGTTATAATCATTTTAATTTTGGGGCGCAAATCCCTCATGTTAGTGACACGACACTTTGCAAAAGCTCGAAAGATGCAGATGCAGAAAGAACATATTTATTGAAGCCGGTCGTTGGTTTCTTATTTGTGTTCTTTTTTGGCTGCGTCTAACATGATATGACGAATCATAGCCGATCTGTCCCGGGGATACACTGGACGCGAACCTAGATGGGCCGATCGAATTTTATGTATCATTTCGGAGCTACAGATAAGTGACACTTTTCTGCGAGAACCAACACCATATGTGCGTATGTGGAAATACCGAGGTTTGTTGGTGGGTGGCTTCGGCCTACATGAATAGATAGCTCAGGTGACAGTTACGGAAAGCATCTTAGCGGCGCAGCAGAAGTAGGTTGTAGAAGTGCAAAAAGTAGAATTGGGAGGGGAGTATAAGGAGGGTGAGGAGTGGCGGGAGTGGCCGTTATGTCAGGGAGGGCGTTTTTGTGTAAGGTAGGTAGGTAGGTAGGTAAGATCGAGCCTCAGATTTCCTTATAGCGGACATAGTGACGGCTATAGTACAGCGAGTGAGTGAGTGAACTACTAAATTCTCTAGGCTGGCTACACGTGGTGATTAATGACGATGATAATCAGCAAATTCCATAGCTGGTCGAGGAAAGACCCATATGTGATGTCTCGCATACAGGCCCACTGTGATCTATGCTGGTTGTTTGCTTGTTATTAGTAGAGCAAAGACACCTAACCTTGGAAGTAAGCCGGCTCGGGTTAGGCTCGCGGCAGTTGGACGATAATCTTCATTAACTTCCTGCTTAATTAGTAAAGTCCGAATAAATATAGAAGTAACAAAAAGTCCTTTCGCCATTGTTGTTAGTTGGGACGCAGTGCTGCCGAGTATCTATCATGTAAATAATAAAAGGGGGGGAAGTGTGGTTCCACAGCAAGGCCATTCTCTTAGAATATCGATGATCATATAGCCGATTTTCGTATTTAAAAACACGCTTAGGCCCTCATTAAGATATCAACGTGACACGTAGGCATCGCGCGAGAGTCGAAAATAAATATTGAGGCCCGAAAATGAAAGGAAAGGGAGGTTGGAGCTGATGGCCGTTCCGGTCTCCGTTTAACCGTCCGTTCGCTCGCTTCATTCCGCCCGCCTGACCATCGAGAGGAGCGACATCGTCAAATGCGACCCGGTACCAACTGCATAAGGAGGCCAACAAGACACGTATCTGGTTAGAAGAAAGTAGGAAAAATGAAAAAAAGTTGGGGGCAAAGAAAGCAATTATATGTTTCGGTACGTGATGTGCGGTGATATCCAAGGAACCAACTGCATGAAGGAGCAGATCTGCTGACCTCCTTTGGGACTAGGACGGGCCAGCGGACAGGAAAAAGGATCGGAATTGCTTTAGTACGCTACTGCAGACAATACTTATGTATCTATGCACGATTTCAGGAAGCAATCATGAAGCATCGTAGCCCCGAGTAGATACCATATAGTATCTAGCCAGCCAGCCATTACATGCGTATGTAATGTGGTAATTACCGAATAAACCAACCAGTAACAAAGCCGTAGGACCACCCGGGACTCCACTGCAAGGAAATTATTATTGTCGGATAGCACGATAAACTAGACACGTCGGGCCGGTCGTCAACAGCAAGAAAACCGTTTACTATGGCGATTCGCTCGCTAGTTAAGGCGGCTTGTGGTAATTCCTACTTAGATAGGGTAACAATCGTCTCTACCCGTCCGCCTAAGGGCGCCATTATTGTCACCACGGACCAGTGGCCAAGGAATTGGTAGGTGTGATCGGGAGGTACAAGGTCATAGACGAACCCCATCACCCCCTTTTTTTCTTTCGGGAGCCAACAAGGGGGAATCCGTGACCAGGAGAGGCAAGACACATCAGCGCGGATCGGGTCGGTCCTCCCGTATCAACTTTCGGGTACCAATAGTAAGACCGTTGAAGAATAGCCGGGCCTCATAGACGTGCGTCATTAGCATGCAGAGGTGTTAATAAAGTGTGGCATAATTATCTATACCCGGGCGACTGGTTTTGAAGCGACAAGCCCCAGCCCTGGTTGGAGAAGGTAACGTTGAGAAGAGTTAGGGGCTTCAGAGTCGCATCAGAAGCTAAAGAACACTTCCAATGGAAAAGGAGAAAACAGAAAAGAAAAAAATTATTTAGTAACTACCTAATTTTTTTACGGGGAAGATAATTAAGGACCATGTTCCGGCATATGCTCGTTGGATAAATGAATTGGGTGTATTTCTATACCTAAGAAATAATCTATGTTATAACTAAATGAAAAGAACTTCATAGACGGTACTGTATGAAGTATTAATTAGGCTTGGATATGTACCTTGGTTAGAATAGGTACATGATATCCACTATGTAACTCATGTACATCTATTAAGTAAGGTACATACGTAATATGAGAGGCCACTATTAGTATACCAACAAGGCTCTGTAAATAGAGGAAAAAGCACTGTTAGTTAGGCACACTAGGCTCACATAGCCAAGGAACTAACGAAGCACATGATACTGATATACGATGAGCCCATTGAGGCCAGCTCAGCAGTTGGTTGGGGAATATTAAAAAGTAATGCTCTTATTTACAAGAGAAGCATATAGGTATAGGTATTTACTGCAACCGTGTTGCGAAGACGACAATAACAACACCAAATAGCAACATAACACCGGCCTTGTGGCCCGGCCCAGGTCCCAGGTGACCGCTCTGCGGGCCAACTTTTTCCAAAACCACACACCCTCGCCCGCCAGATAGACAACGCGAAACAGCCCGCCGACTGTCCGATGCACACAATCAAGAGGAATCCGAATGCAGAGATGACCCAGAGCGCCGTTTCGTCTAAGATGGGGGAAAAGCAGTGTAACTCTTCACTGCCCAATACACCGCTATGCTTGGGTGCCAAGCCAGCGCCGCCAATAGAGGCGCTTCCCCATCTCAAGGTTCAAGTTCGCCTGCGCCAAACAGAAAATCAACCGACCAATACACCTAAATTGGCATCGTTCCTCAGCAGTGTATCACATGTGTAAGAATCACTGCGATTCGAGATGAGAAGTATCGACTAGCGGTGTCGACAAGAATAGAGTGTCTGTCGTAAGTCCATGCCATTCGTAGCCAACAATGGGGAAGTGCACCGTGAGGAAAAAGAAGTAGTGTACATCCAACGGATCCTAGGCCGGTCTTGCACTTATACATACATGCACGTGCAGACGCATTGCTTCTAGATCAGTTTAGTCTAGCCCATACCGGGGAAAAGTATGTGCTCAGCCCGTTGAGAAGGGCATGCGAAACTTTCTCCTTACGCAGGAATATGCCGAATAGCCTATGATGAAAACAAAAATGACCTAGGAATAATCTAGGAATCCTAGGTGGTCGACTATCGCTGCGATCGCGCACTCGGTAGCATAGGCAGCTTGTAGGGGCGAAGTACCGTTCGATACACATTCGAATTCGTAGGTTAGTTGGTAGTTACGAAAGATAGCCGATCCATCGAATGGTGCAGATCAACCTTGCTAGGATTGTCCATTTGAGATTTGGGGGCAGTAAAAAAGGTCGGGTACCGTCCGAAATGTTACATGTACTCCGGCATACACTAAGGCCAGCCTTTATTTCAGTGGCTCCTCAATCAACTCGAAAAGGCGGAAGAACCTGCATAGGTACTTAGAGAGGGGAGTGGCACATCTTTTCTGCAAGCGCACAGATGTCTTAGGTAGGCTGTAGCCCGGGAGAGATGACAGAGCGGAAGAACAGTGCTAATGGCGTGTAGGTAGATACCGATCCTGTGGGTGCGTTGCAGGTAGCCGAGAAGCGCTCACGCTCGTTGGCCGGGTATGGATGGCCTTCGTGCCGTCCAAATATACCTACTCCCTATATTAGTTTAGCTCAGACGGGTGGCGGCAGCGAACACCTACATGGTGCAGTAGGCTCTCATTCCACGGGAACACATTTCCTTCCGCACTTTGGCAATCAGGTCGTTAACTTGATCTGGTTCATAACCATTCATTCTGGTTAAGGGAGCTATTGACAGGGCCTGTAACCCCATTGTAATACCGAGATTGAACCATTTGCCTATTTCTTTCTCAGGCTCACTATCGGGCCAAGTAGTGAATGGGATTCGCTTGCTGACTTGCTCAACATCGACGTATCCAAGACTTTGCAGTATTTCGACAGTACGAAGATTTGCTGTTATAGGCCGTCTAGCCCTATTCATGGCCTCGGTCAACTCTTGAGCCCATATCTTAAGGTGAGAATCATCGGGTAATTCGCCGAGCTCGGACTTAGGGGTGAGATCGATTTCTACATGCTCAAAAAGTCCAGTTCCAGGCTTGAGGTACCTATTAGCCATTGTCAGCATTTAGCAAGATTGATGTGAGCTCGTGGTCGAAATTTCAACCATAGCCCATACCTCAGTATCTGCCTGTATAGACCTGGGAAGTTTTCTATAGAGCCAGCAAGCATTCTCATATGTATAAGATCAAAAGAACTCTCTTCTACACCACTCCAGGGTTCCTCTATATCGCGCCGCTGAAACTCAACACCCAGTGGAATCCTATTATCCTGAATTAGTAAAAAGCTCGGCCGAGACGGAGAATATCGCACCTAAGAGGTTGTATTAAAGAAAGGTCCCAACCGAGAATATTCGCTCGTCCTTGATGCCGACTATGAAAAGATGCGTAGTTAGCCCAAGGGGTAGGTAAATTATCTCCTACCACACAGTTGACATACTCGGCCATATCAATCACCCATATACCGGTTCCACACCCAAGATCCAGAATCCGTGGTTGGTGAGGTAGCGGCCGTGAACATAGACCTCCGTAGTTAGAATTATCCCGCCGCGCCACCAGAAAGAATTTGTGAAGCATATCCATCCTGTCCATTTCCCCCTAAGTAGACATTTTAGTTAGAAGTTCGACATCCTCGTAGCACAAGCGGCTGCGTACCTCGTCCATTGGGAACATATATCGGCCTCTTCGAAAAGTATCATAGGATCGTCCATTTTCCGTATACCACCATTGTTCTGGTTTCGCCGTATTTTCGACTCGAGTAGCATGGGAACCAGGTGCTATCGGACCACTAGCAGACCATATCAGCAAACCCTGGGGTTCGGGATGGAAGCTCGTAGCGCATCCAACGTACCCATTGAGACCGTAAATCGAGCCGTTCCCATTGTGAGCCATGGTGGGAAACGGTGGAGCCCAATCAGGGCAAAAGAAAGCGCGCAACGAAGCGCACACCGGGAGGAGCCGTCGTAGAGGCGCGGGGAAGGTAGAATAGAAGGTTGCGACTACGGCGACAACCTCGAGTTGGTGATGCGCTAAAGTGGACGGATAGCTTCGAGACAGGTTTGGAAACAGTAATTCTTGGCTCCAGATGTGGACCTCGGGGAACGCGCGAGGGATTGAGAGGGGGGAATAATATAATAAAAAAAAAAGAATGAAGATTCAAAAGATAAAGGGGAAAATATAAGGAATAATGCTGCTAATAGAAAAAGAATACACAGGATATAAACCCAAGGACGGGAAGGACACAAGACCGAATCAAGACAACGAAGGACGACCAAAGGTACACGCGTTGAAGAAATCGCGGACAGGGAAGATGATATGTGACGATGAACGGTACGGTAGTGCGGTAGTGGGGGCTGAGTTTCAATCGAACGAGGTACAACATAAAATTATTTTAGTGCCAACCCTAGCTTGAGGTACCATCTAGTATAGCCTAAGTACCGGATTTCGTGCGGTAATGTAGATCCGTATTCCTTAAGCATGCAAGACCGCAAGACTGCAGGTGGGTGCACTGAACATTCAATGAATGCACTGGACTCGCAACAAAGACGCAAGCAGCGCGAGAGAGGGTTACAATAGAAAAAGGAAGAAAACGAAAAATAATAAAAGAACGAAGAGGGAAGAAGGAGGGAAAAGTTAATAAATCGAGTAGATGCGGGAGACTTTATAAAGCTGAAATTTGTAGATTTCTAACGACAAGGGGATTTTCACAAAAAAAAGCTGGAAATCTGGAAAAGTCCTGGAAAGCCTGGGAAGGAAAAACGGGCGTTGGAACATCGTTTTCTGAAGTTATAGGTAATATGCATTTAAATATGCATGTAGGGTGCATGGTCAAGCTTCAGTGTGATGCTGACTGGTCTGCTGGTTTAGTCCGCACGCCGGCTTTGCGATCCCATTGAACGTACGGATTGTTATGGATTGTATCAAGTATTTCCAGGCATGTATTCGAAGAGGTATTCGTAAAGGTACTCTAGGTGTCAAAAGTACATGCAGTAACAACCTATACACCTGGTACATCTAGGTACGATACAGAGCCCATGCATCTCGGAGAAGGTTAGGTGGGTCTCGGGCGAGAAGACAAGGATTATAGTTTAATGCTGCAGTGCTGTAGGTACTGTACCAGGATACAACGCTATGCCAGCGGGCCTGTTGGTTATTCCATTGTATTATTATGTTAATGTTAGTGTTAGTGCTGAAGTTAGGTATCCACACAATGCCTACAGGTAAGGTACAGTGCTCTATACCAGAGAAGGTAGGTAGGTGCAATATACTTTTTTACTCAGTACGAAGTCTAGCCTAGAAGCCTCGAGGTGCACCCGTTTCCTTTCAACTTTCAAATTTACAAGACCCAATTTCCACAATTATTACTGTCTCCAGTATATTTTCAATGACGCTTACCTCGACGACGTTGACGTAGCGTCCCTCGTATACGATACTTTTTGTTGTGATGTTTCTTGGCGGTGAATAGAGAGACATGGAGAAAGGAATGAGAAAAGGTGAATAAAAAGTTAAGATGGAACGTGCGTGCAGCAAAGTCGAACCTGATGATCGACTCACCCGTCTCAAGCTAGCAAGCGGTCTCGGGAACGGTATCACCAAAAAAATAATAATTAACGGCACACCCGACACCGTGTTGGTTTATCAATTGGATCCATCTACTTGGTGCTTGGTGCTTGGTCTTGTCATAAGGCTTCGGGAGGCCCCATCCCCCCTAGGGCCTCTAGGGTGAGGGGATCTAGCCCCACCGATTATAGCGCTGTCCGTCCCGATGCAGAGGATCGTGTTTCCTTGAACGTGACACAAGACTACTTGGGATGGCAAGGTACCAGTACAAGATCTTGTAATAGAACCAACCTGTGAGATGCTGCAGCAATCAAGAAAAGAAGAAGAAAAAAAAACTAACTAACATTCTCGAGTCTAGGTCCCTCCCGACTTATCACCGTCTTAATGGCCTCACTCATCCGTCCACGTTATCTCTCATGGGTTCCTAAAACCAACATGGCACACGGCAGAGAAAATGACCACATGTGTATTTGCTGACAACACTGTTGCTTACCAGTATCATATTTTTGTCCTATGATGATAAATGGTGTATCGAGAGAAAAGAGCGCGGCAGGTTACACGACTGAATGGCTTGCATTGATCTATCAGCAATGCACTGACAAGGCCTCGGAGCCCTGGAGCCAAACACCACGCCGGCTTGGGTGCAGCATGCTTCGAGACATAAGCAAACCGTTACGTTACGGGGGGGCAGGCTTAATCTATCCAAGCAGGTGAGCGCTTGAGATGAGCAACAACCCCCCTTGGTGCGTTACTATGAGACTGCCACAAAGTGCGACCTAAAAAAGAGACATCGATTAGAATTCAGGCTTCCTTAAGTGATTTCCCGAGAACGTGCGCATTATTGTGCAGCTGTGAAAATGGTCGGGTTATCTCGAAGTCAGATCATGAGACTGTCTTAGTTAAAAAGTCCATTGCCGAGTAAAAGTCACCAAGTCGAGGTACTTCCTCGCTTCCAGCCACTCCCACCAATGACCGGCCGCTCGCGATCCCTTTCAGGAAAATAAACGACCCCGGTATCCGCTCTCCGCAAGGTCTTCCTTGTACCTCCAGCGGGTAGGATGAAGGTACGTAGTGCCACACTCCTCGCCAACTCTTGTTCTATTTTTCTTCATCGTAGCCAACCACTTAGACTCCCTGCTCTTCCTGTAGTGTTACTAACCCTATAGCAATGCTAACAAAGAACACACAAGACTCGCAGTACCCAAATCAGTCCTAATGATTCATTCGAGAGATAACATTCCTGAGTGTTTACCCACTATACGCATCTCGACGGGGACTTCTTCTCCTTTACGCCCATGAAATGAGGCATTAAGTTTCTTGAAGCGGTCAACATCAAGGCCTTGATATTCTTTGGTTACTGCAACTTAAGAACCAGAATTGATCATCTACGGTTTTCATTCCTCACCGTACCCTTACATATTTGCCTAAAAGAAGGCTGTCGATAATCTCGTCGAAAACGGAAGCACACATTCGTACCGCGGGGGCGCTGAACCACAGCGGTGGGACGGTAAAACTGTCACCTAACCTCCAAAGTACATATCCATAATGGACGCCAGGGAGATCCGGCAGTGTACCTACTAAGTACTCCACACACCATGCGACTGCAGATGCAACTAGGCCCATCTATTTGACCCCTTATTGCATAGGCCTGCCATGTAAAGGGAGTCAATCCGGTCGGTACAGAGCTCCTACTATAGCCTACAAACCTACAATATAGCATTACCCTACGAATTCGCCTACACCCTTCTATAGACCGCAGGTACCAGGTAGTACAAGCTGCGCTGGCCCTCGTTTATCTCGTCCATCACTGCGATCGGGCAACTGTTAACCCCTTTTAGGTAACCAGGAAGGCAATTCTTAAACGAGGCCTAAATCTGAGTGTTCACCACAACACCCAGCGTGCTAACACTTCTTTTCCCGACCACCACAGGAGGCACAACCCATGCAAGTTCAACTGTCGCCAATTCAAACATTAGGTAGAGACTGTGCTCCTTTGCACAGAAGGTCCAGGTTCCACAGCCCATTTCTTGTAACAGCAAAAGCGCATCAAGCACATGAGCATGATGACAGAAATGTAAGGATTCGTGGCAATACCTACCCCATAAATTGAATATCCTGTTACTAATTGGCAGGTTTATTAGGTCCATCCGCTATCGTATTTCAGGTATAAGTACCCTCAACTAAGTGACCTTACACGGACACGGTTAGGCCATACGGGGAAGAGTCCTGCTGACGAAGACCAATCAAAACAACGAAATTGGTCCCGACGCAACGGAACGCAATTAAGTTACGTCTTGGCGTTCTCCACTAGTTAAAGGAGCTTCGCTGGCATGTTGTCTTGGACTAGAAATCTTTAGTGATGATATGGAAAAGAAGATCCAGGGTTGTCGGAAATGCCTTCTAACAGGCAGGAGGGCGTCAAAAAAAATGTCACAGTGCGAAGCCTCATAGAAAATACAGTATAAATACTGTAATTTCTGACCAATCACATAGGCTGTTCAGCACAGTTTGAAGCCGTACTAATACTACTGTGACATTTTTTATGACGCCCTTCTGACAGGTCAATGATCCTGCAGCCCCGTACTCAGGCCACATCCCCTACTTCAGAGGGCATGAGAATGATCATCCTCACGTCAACAGGACTGCAGCTGGTGGATCTAGCCAGGCATATTCCCACTCATAGGTGAGACACTAACGGGATGTTCCTTCAAATACCCCTGTTTCTCGGCCCGGTTTCTACGTTCCAGGGTCAAAACTGGCCCGACAGGATGGTGGTCGGCCGACCCGACAACTCAGCTGAATCAATCCCAATACCAGTATAATCCCAGTGCTGCACCGCAGTTCTGGGAAAGACTCCTAGGTGTGAAGCGAGCTGACACAACAGCCTACAGCTATGACACTATTCATTGTCGGTGCTTCTACGCGCGTACTTGTCATCTTTGGAATCGGACTACACTACGATCTACTTTCGATGCTGACGCACAAATCCTACTGTTGCAATTTCACGAGCTTGGCAATTCTTCCAGTACCATGTTTGACCTTTTTATTCCACCGGTCCTTCAACTAGGGCTGTGCAACGTTTGTCTACTTTGTCGTTCTCTCAACGCTATATCATTGGATGCCGAGCGAAGGAGCTGTGTTCGTAACGGCCAGCTGCAGAGTCAAGTGATTGAACAACTCTTGAATACCTTAGATCCCAAAGACAGTATCGGGTAATTGACTGGTACCTGCATTCACGACTAGCAAGATAAATCTCGCAGGAAGCAGACCTAGAGCTGCAATAATCCGTCGCGACATTGGCTGAGGCATCAGGTCTTTTGTTGAAACGTTTACCTAACTAACTCGGCGTGCAAAAGATATTACTAACAAGATGCTCCATGAAGGCTCGCCTACTTCTAATAACCTTGCAATGATCATGCTAAGGCGTGTTAAGTATTCATTACTTACACCACACCTACACTATGCCTGTTTACTACTAATTGATAAGCTAAGAGTGGATAACAATGAGGGGAATAGTGAACCACCCCGTCGAATAACACTATTTCTCATAATATTAAAATAATCACAATTAATTACGAATACGGAACTAACAATCCCAGAGCGCTTGTCCCGGTAAATGGGTTTAATTCAGCATCTCCGTTAATATTCCTAACTAAAGCCTCAAAAAACCGGTTGGCATTGAATACCTAGGTAGTCAACTGATGGTCTGCCACAACCCCCGCCTCATATCCTGAAATGGCATTGATGTTAGGTCTTCCTACGGCCACATACTCTCTTTTGTTAGATTGACCGCTTCTTCAACTGATAGACATATTTCGTCTTCTAGCCTTCAAAATCCCAAGGCCATAGTCAATTTAAGACGGGGATCGCAAGAGACCAAGTGCATCAAAAACATATCAGCTGATCCAAAGAGCCTTGATCAGCCAGCGGGGATTTTTCAATATTGTTCTAGGAGCTACAATTCCACCTAAGTACCAGGGGAGTAACGATATAGTACTATAGTACTATGTGGAAGAAAGCGAAGAATCTTGCGAATCACAATTGCCGCCGGCAAAGGGGGTTACATCGAGCATCCAAAATAGGGCCGGGTACCCGAAACCAAATCCCGAAGTGCCCGCCAAATGAGTCTACACAGGCGAGTTAGGGCCAATCAGGCATTGCTATGGACCTAGAGCTTCAGCGTCTCACCGCCCGGGCGTTCGTTACCAGACTGTCGGGTCCAACCCAATTTCACACCTCCCCATTATTTTTTCCCTCTTCATCCGCTCATCCCGCATTTCGCGCCAGGTTGTTTACCTTAATCATGTTACTTTCCTACCAACACTTCATTCATCATCTATTTGCACTACGGATTTAGGCTTTTAATGGACTTGTTAAAGAATTTCATACAAGGATTAGACCGGGCTTGAGGAATTCTCCGTGATGAGAACCACCCGTTCAAGAATAACGGATGAGAATTCATCCTTTTACCAGGTATCGATATTACGATTATGTCTACGGAGACATCCGCCGGTAGACGAACGACCTATTTCAAATCTCGATTTCACATGAAGACTACCTAGGTAGTTTATACGCAAACTCGCTTACGTTTCGTCATAGAGTAATCAAGGGAGGCCAGGTTGGAGACATCTTGTAGCTTTAAGCTGACGACAGGCGTACAAGCATACTAGAGGTAACGATCATATGTTATGAGCCACATACTACAGGGGTCACAATTTCATCCCGTCGTAAAGCTGGCTGATCTATTTTTGCCTATGGACGACGGTAGGACTTACATGAGCATATTCATGTTCATCATCAACTTTTCAAATCATACACCTCATAGTAACTCATGATCACCCTATACCATGTCAAGCCGTCGGGTGCTCTAACTTATTCTATCCCATTCAGTTATAGTTTCACATTCTAGGAAGCCCGAATAGCTACATAACCCACTTTCATATTAAGAAGCCTGCTTCGAGGTCACTACCAACACGTCAACCCCCAACTTATACGAACAGATTAGGCAAGCCATATTTGCCGACACTAAAGAAATAGACAAGTACAGTACATACGAGCGGAGTTGCTGGTTCAAGCATGGCGCTCGTCATGGTAATATACGCTATATGAGGCGACGTAGCTGATTATGGATTCAAATAACAAAGGGACGACCCAGCGCCACGGCACATGATAGTATGGTTATGGTTGATGGCATGACTTCGAACGCGAGGCACCGCAGTATTTCTTGGTTCTCGGGACGCGAAGAACAACGCACAGTTGATCATGACCCAATAACTACATATCTCCATACACGTGGAGTCGTCGGGTTATTGCCCCGAACCTGTTCGGAACCAACACAACTACCAAGACGCTAGACCATAATCACATTCCCGGAGATGTCGTTCAGTTTAGTTATGTAAGAAACTCCTCCGTTAAGCTATGCGTCAATGCCATGTGATATGTCAACTCTTCTTAGTTAGAGTTATGACGCGGATCTTGCCTGAAGAGCCCGGCCACCCGGCCGGCCGGAACTAACAAATACACGACCCAGAAGGATGGATACCCATACATACCGGAGCAAGCTTCCATATATGACATAGCCTCGCAGTTAGAGGATGACTAACCACCACCCATATCAACAAACCAGGCGTGCTATATCCCTAAGGGGTGAAACCCAGGTAATCAATGTTCGGTCAACGTGTCGGGCTGTCTGAAGTCACTCATAAGCGTCCCACGGGCCAATATACCGCCTCGGGGTAACATGTGGTAACTAATAAGATATGCCTATTATAGGGCTTGTGGGCCACGTTTTAACATGACCATTATTTTTTTACTATTTTTTATTTTATTTCCTATTCGAGCCAACGATGCTAGGCTAGGTCCCAACGACTCGGGCCGGGGTCCAATGCCCATACTCTCGGGCCCTTTCGCTCGCGCTCGGAGCGATAACGATCGTCGCATATTATAGACGTACGTAACGTAAGACCGGAAATAGTATGGACTCGCAAACATCGACAACAATAGCGATGGATTTAACTACCAACAGCGATTTTACATCCCTGGTTTGGTCCTTTTGTGCGAGGAATGCAGAGGTTATTTTGCGACATATTCGCTGGGTTGGCGGATGGTCTAGTGAAATTAGCCCGTGCTGTGTCGCTGTTTAATTGCGAGATGAGGAAAACTTATGATGATGATTATGATGGTCCTTATAATAGCTATATGATATGATTTATATATATGTGTCCCATTATGGGGCTCATGGGGTACCTCAGGAGCTAAGGCAGCAATATCTTCATGGGAGTGTACCTGTCAAACTAGAATAAGGCACTAGCACGTTAGCACACACTCATTTCACCTCCCCCTTTCTTCTACCACGTCGCATCATATAGAGTATGACCTATTCATAGGCATTATCAATGGAGAAGAAGGGATAAAGCTTATGGGCGCATCTTCTTTTGGATCTTACTACTTTTTATAGGTATACATGAGATAATGAGACTACCCCTTAGAGTCATCTGAACTATGTAAGGCACTTCGCTAGGCATAAGGTAGAAGGATAGGACGTATAACATCTGGATCATGACCGTTCGACGTAAGGGAAAGCCCGAAAAGTGAGCGGTAAACATCGTGTAATGATCATTGAGGGTGGTTCTAGTGACTTCATTAAGGTCGCCGACTTAAAAGGGGGGCGGTATGTTTTCGAAGTAACTTAACATATTATAATCATATCTTAGATATACTATTTCGTCTCTATTTTAAATGCGCGTATGTAAGCTTATATGCTAGGTATGTATACCCAATTATTCATAGCCGCTTATTCACATATTGTAGGCCCCTTAAGTGGTATACTGATATTGCTTCTTGAATGATACGGGGCTACCTATCTAGGTAGACTGCAGCTTCTAAATGGGCCAAGAAACAACGTAGTTCGGTAGAATAATATAAGGCTTTACTGCCTACGAATCTAGGTACCTAAGATAAGTAAGAAAAGGGGGAACCGAGAACGAGAACATGGACAGAATTTAGAAGACTACAACCATGGGTTCATCGCGACTGGTAGGTCATCAAGCAGAGCCTCATCCACAGTCATCCATCCTATCCCATTGCATCGAAGTCAGGAGCTACTCGCCAATCCTACCTACCTATGTCAAGACCCAAAATATCAATTGAAAATGAATATACATTGAGCGAAAATGATCTGCTACCCCTTTTCACACCTCCTTCCGAAGACCCTGTACAATCAAGCAACTACCTACCTCTCTACATCAGTAACTAACTTATATCCACGCACATATTGACGTAGCCAACCCAAGAAATTCCCAACCAGAAAAACCGAACTCCTATTCCTAACCCCTAACTCCGATACGCATCTACTATCCCGTTCCCACATCTCCCTCTATATCTTCGCTCCAACACCGCGAATCTAACATAACTCAACACAGCATAGTCTCCGCCGGTAATCCTATACATAATAACCTTCCATTCCCTATTCCAAACACACACACACACACAAAAGAAAAAACCAACGCCGAGCCGCGCGCATAACCGTAGGAATGCATTAAAAACAATACCCGCCCGCCGCTTCGCCGGTGTTCAAAAGCGGAAATACCATCCTTGGGTAGCGGTAGGATTCGTCAGTGGGGAACCATTTTCCACATTCCTTTCCACAAACTTATGTGCGGCGGCAAACTTTCCCGCATCGATTTTGCCGCTGGGTTGCCTCGAGTGACTCATTCTGGAAAACGCTCGGATTTTTTCTTTTATAGCTTCTTATGTATATTGATGTACTGGAATGTATAAATCGTAGGATCTACGAACGTATGCGGGTAGTTACTAATATCAGCTCCTTATGATGCTAGGTTATGTCACCATATCACGTACGTCCTACATCTACAGAGCAAAGCACAAACCGTAACTATAGAGAAACAATGCATTGAGAATTATCTGTATTGTTACAACTGTCCTAGGATACTATCCATGCTAGGCAGCAGTAGGCCCGTTCCTCTAGCCCCGTCGCATTGTTCATCATCTGGGAGTGGCCAAATTGCCAGAGGTGGCGTAAAAACCCGTCGAATGTTCTCGAACGGATGCAAAATCAGGGCGAGGAAAACGCAAAAATCAACGCAAATATTTATCAACATGCCATGCCTGTTCCAATAGAAATTCTGTCCTTGGTAGGCACCACCAAGGCGTTATGGAACTCGCTTGGTACCGAATCAAGCTTTTCTCTCCCCACCCTTTACCCGTAAGCCTTGATCATATGTTTGCAAATAGTGGCCGTAATATCGCAACGCAGAAAACAGGAGTCTCATGGCGATTGATGTCTGAGGGGATATGCGCCGTAACGTACGAAATCAAGGTATTTCTTGTGTAAAGTCGAAACAAAAGGAGATGCGTCCCAAAACTACCATTCATATTCGCCGGTAGCCTTGTGGAAGACGTAGTCCTTGCCGTTCACACTAAGAACGCCATCCTTCAGGACACACTTCCTGTTTCATTGTAAGTAACTTCAATGTAGATTTTACTTTGAAAATAAATGAATCGACACTTACCACTTGTTCTTGACGCGCTGAACCTTGTCATACATGCAGAGCATGATTTGGCCACCATCCTCGTCTTCATCATCCTCTTCGAGGTTATCGTCGGGATCGTCAAGATCCGAGTTAATAGCATCCTCATCATCATCCTCATCCTTGACGCTATCATCCGGACCGTCGAATTGGGAAGGACCGCCAGAGGTGGATGCGCGGTGGGGTATAGTGGCTTTCGTATCCTTGCTCTCACGCTTCACCGGCAGCATCAACCCGCCGCCTTCCATAGCCTTAGCATTGGCGGCGATTTGAGCATGGAGAAGGTTGTCGATCTCGACTCGTCCCATTTCTATATCCCCAGTTGGGTCACGGCGCATAAGTACTCCCACATGATCGTCAACATCACCCGCACCGTCCAATTGGGACTGCGGGGGTCGCTGGCCGTTAGGAATCTGGGCGCGCTGTTGCTGCTGCTGAGCGTTGGGGGGCATTGTTGGTCGATACTGCTGCTGTTGTTGCTGCTGGGGGTGACCTTGCCACTGTCCGGGGAGCGGAATGGGTTGGTTGCCAGGTCTTTGTTGACCTTGGGGTTGGTTACCATTCATTGACTGCTCTTGTAGCCTTTTGATGGATGCTGCAGCGCGATCACCATACATATTCTGCAGCTGCTGGGATACGCGCTCCTGTACGGCTGCAGCACCGCCCTGCTGAGGGGCTTGCGACATCATGGGAGAATTCTCAAGACCGGGCTCGGTCTTAACAGAGGGTTCAGGCTTGATCACGGGATCGTTAGATTGCTGAACTCCAGCCATAGGCATGGTGAGACCTTGTGCTTGAGAGACATGTTGTTGGTTGTACGAGGCGCCATTGGTAGGAGCCTGGGGAGTAGGCTCGGGTACTGGTGCGGGCTGCGATGCAGCGGCAGGGGCAGCAGATGCTGGAGGATCCGGTTTAGGATCCCAGGGGAAGCTAGCCAGCTGTTGCTGAGAGAGCTTCTTCTGCCATCCCTATATGAATTTTGTCAGTTGGGGAATTCATTATCATATATTTAATTCTATTATTTTCATTTTCCCTTTTTTGGTGGGATGGAAACATTGTTCAATCCGCAAGACGATAAGATTGTATAATGATAAAAATGGTGGGGGAGGATAAAGAGAGGAAAAAGTGAATATACTGTGAACGTGCACAGTAAAGGGCACGTGAATAGAACTGGGTCTTCTTCGCCCGACCAATAAGAAATGACGTGAGTCACAAGGAGGTTTGCAGCAGGCACATAGGGATAAAAGGCCCAAATAGTGCCTGCCCGCCCCCTCACAAAATCCGCCAGTTCTCACCACCCTCGGCTTTGGCTTTGGCTCTGGCTCTTGCTTTGGAGTCTGGCACCAACACGCACTTGCCTATTTGTCATTATGGTCTTTTTTATGCTTCAATCATAATGCATTAAATTGAATATTTTCATGATGCGATAGAATGATTTTTGAAAGTCAAAGCAAAATAAGGGAAGAAAGAGAAAAAAAATGATGATGGTCAAGTTATTAATCATTCATAACAACCCGACCGAACACGGAGAGTAATGGTGAAGATAGGTGTGGAAAAGGTGAAGCAGAACAACAAGAAAAAAAAGTAACACAAGGAAAAGGAATGTATTGATTGATTTGACTGATTGAAGATGGCTCACCTTCTGAAGTTCCTCCAAGACGCTCTCATCAACGCCGCCTTCCTCGAAATCCACTCGCGATGCGTCGATTACATCCTTAATGATTTGCTGGTACACCGTACCAACCTGCGAGTTCGACATCGTGCGAATGACCCGAGGTGACTGGCCGAGATTGAACACAAGATGTTTCGCGTGCGCGGTCGCGGTCGCGGCGACAACAATAACAATTTCCCAAGTGCAAATGTGTAGGTTCCCGAGTTACGTAAAAAATTGATCGACTTGGAATGAAACTAGTGATTGATTGTTGCGGAGACTGGTACGGTTACGGGTGACGAGAGGAGGCGCGCAAGATAGAAGAAACTGGGGTTCGATGGTTTTGGGTGTGGATGTGGATGGATGCGGCCTGCGAAAAGCGAAAGTCGAAAATTGGCTGGAGCTGGAAGAGTGTGATGGGAGTAAATGGATGGAGTACGCAATACTGCCAATGCTAAAGGGAACCAAAGACGGAAACCCGGGCTTTTCGGTCCTTGTCCGAGCTCCTCCCCGTGCGCCCACTTAAATTCCTTCTCAAATTTGTATTTCTGGTTTTTCTGATACTATCTTAGTAGGTTGCCGTGCGATTTTCCCAGGTTCCGTAAGGATGCAGCGTATTTGGCTGACAGCGAAATATTACTTGCTGGGGGATGTTCTCGTGAAGTTGACCTGAAAAAGGTGTAGTTTGTTAAAGTGCCGCCTGCACTGCTTACTTAATCGGTTTGCCTTGGCATTCTTTAGATAAGCACGATAATCACTGTGCCGCCCAACCTTGGGCAGGTGTACTCCTAGGATAGATACGTACCTGCCTAAATTCATTAAAATATTAGGTATGTACGTACCTTGACTGCCGTGCGCCACGCAACACCGCACGTCAAATAAGGTGAAATGAGGTAATGTTCATAAAAAACTTGCATTCAAATTGCTAAGTTAGAAATAGCCACCACGCGCATTAAATTGGAAGGATAAAGGGTTAATATTGAAAAGCACTTTAAAACATCAGTAACAACCATCGGATTGCAAATGCAGCAGATATTAACGACTTCATCACATTACGAGGACGTCTTAATAGGGTCAAAAGAGCAGCAAATACCCGTCAACTTAATATCGTATTGATATGTCGACTACCTAAACTACCTTCCCCTTCCCTGTGCCTTATTAAAATCCGTATTATGTTTTCCTAACTCCCTATTGTAATACAATTTGTCGAAGAATATGATTCATTCTAGTGGCCTTCCGAAGCGGGCGTTAAGGTATCAAATATCGTAGCTCATGACCAAGTCGTTTCATCCGGATCGAGACCCTCCATGTCCGTGGCATGGGGAAATCCATGAACGCCGCGCTGAAAAGACACCAAATGCAGTACCAGAGATGCCAGAACGAAATTGTTGTACCTACTGTTGTTGATCGTGATCCTGACATTCATCGTAGTCGCATGGCGCTTTATCGGATGGTCATCTGCTTAGCCATGGTGGCCTTGGCGGAGGAACCGCTGGCACCAGCGCCTGAGGCAGCACCTGCCTTCTTCTCAAAGACCTTCCAGAACTTCAAGCTCTCGTCGGCAGCTGTAACCAGATATGTTAGTAAACGGTTACCAATGGTGTAAAATGATAATGCGAGACTTACCAGCAGTTGCAAGCATTTGTCCGTCGGGGGAAAGGCAGCTGTGAAGAACACGGCTCTCGTGGGCAGGGATCTCAACATTGCGGACTAGGGTAGGGTAGCTCCAGATGCTGAGGGAGTTGTCGGGGAATCCGCTGGAGCTGACAATCTCACGGTAACTAGTGCTCCATCGAAGGCTGGTGACTTGAGAGCCAGTATCTATGCTGTTGACTCGGGCACCAGAAGTGGTGTTCCAGAAGTGAATGTAGCGGTCATAAGAGCCACCACCAGTAGCAAGGAGGTTAATGTTCCACGGGCACCAGGCAAGCGCCTTGACAGCGGCTTTGTGGTTAGTCTTGGTAAACTTGGGGACTGCTAGCGATCGAGCGTCCCAGATCGAGACCAAGTTGTCGTTGCCGCCAGTAGCGAGTTGGGCACCGTCTGATCGCCATTCAAGGCCACAAACTTCGGAGGTGTGGGAGACGAGCTCAGCAACCTTGTGCTCTGCAACACGAACATCGTGGTTGTAAACAAGTCCACTTCGGGCACCAGTGGAGAGGAGGTGCTTGTTCCAGCCCATCACGCCAACACGGGTATCGTGACCGAACATGCTGCGAACCTTTGTGCCCTCAGCGACATCCCAGATCTGGACCTCACCAGTTCCAAGACCAACACCGACGTAGGCACCATCACCAGACCACTTGACGCTGCTGACGTAGGTGTCAGGGCTGGTCTCCAACAAGCAGTTGACTGAGCCCTCATCGGCAGACCAGACGTAGACGTTGCGCTCAAGACCGATGGCAACCTGGTTACCAGAGCTCCAGTCGAGCAGGTTTAGGTAGTAGTCATCAATCAGACCGGGCGCATCAAGTACACGTTCGGGAGCAGTCGCGACGCGTCGTCGGAATTGAGCAGAGCTAGCATTGGCTGGCTTAAGGGGTCGGTTGTATTGTTGTCGAAGATCAATAGGCTTGGAAGACTCAGGGGGTGCAGGCTTGAATTGGAGGATACGGGTATTCAGGTTAACACCGCAGGCATTGGCCAGAGAGTCTTGGTAAGCAACAGTGTTGGGAGATGGGCGAGAGTAGTTGGCAGGTTCGTCATCATCGATGTTAAGGCTTTCAAGAGCAGCGATAGCATCATCTGTAGCAGAAGAGAGGACAGCTGAACCCTCGCTACTAGTCTTAGGTCGTTGCTTGTCTTGGTTGTCGAGCTTTCCAGAGCCTGCATTGGCAATAGCAGAGCTGTTGCTACGGTTGGGAATGAATCGGTCGGCACCGTAGCTGATAGTAGTCTTGCCGGACTTTGTTCGGAGAGCACTCTTCTTGGACTTGGCACTGCAAGGGGTTTTGGTGTGGCCAGTGCCGACAAGAGTGAAGTCCGACACACCTAGCTCGAGAGCCTTACGAGGAGTAGCGACACTGCGAGCAATGTTTGACTTGGGCGAGTTTCGGTGGGTAGATCTCGAGCTTGACTTGGCTAGGTGTGAGGATAGGTTTCCACCGTACACTGACTTGCCAGCAGGTCGGCACGCATCATGGCTGGACTGTCTCTCGGGGGTGAAGGGAGAGGATTCCTTGTGGAGAGCGACAGTAGTAGTCGTAGTGCGTTGACGAGGGGATGGTGTCAAAGGCATCCGTCCGCCAGCGGTACGGGTGGAGAAAAGTCCCTTGTGGGACTTAAGGGGAGTCGATACTGCAACTGATGCCATAGCGTCTAATTGTCTAGTGTATGACTAATTATTGTGTATCGAGATGTATGAGTAGATGAGAGCTCCGATGTATCGAACGAGCTCCAAGAGACTCAACTTAATGGTTCCTGGATTTAGTGATTTGGTTAGTAATAGTCGTCGTTTTTGTTCGATAAATCGAAGTGTGCCTTCACAAATAGCTAAAAGTCGGAGGGGCGATCAAATGACTGATGAACAGCGATGAGATCTAATGGACTCTGGAGTAATTCTTGTGTAAGGCTTGATAGCAGTAGAGGCCTAAAAAGGCAAAGCGGATTGGAGGTGTTAAGAGGTGTGCGGAAGATGAGAGTAGAATGGTTTGTAGTGAAGGAAGAATCAAAAGTTAAAAATGCTATTCAATCGTCACGATTTATGTGTTGACAAGAAGTGGATCGCACCTCTCTGCGTTGTGCAGGGCAACCGTTTCACAGAGAAAACTATTCCCTAATAGTGCTAGTTTCACCGTGCGACAAAGTTTCCACTTAAACCCTGAATTTAAACCTGGCCCGTGCGCATCGTATTCGTCCTGAACTCAATAACACGTGAGATGAGAAGTAAAAAAGAGGGTTACATAATCATCTCCACTCATCTTTCTGTCGTGCTTAGCCAACCCTGTCCACCTTGTCTGCCCTGTTCGGGTTCAAGGCCTGGACCTTGACAATGAAGAGATGAACAACAACCCCTGCGCTTGGCATATATCCTATCTAAATTGATTGATGAAATATTCGAAGCTGGCGACAAGACAACCATACCTTTAACTGAAATCCAAGGTACTTGAGGTTTCAACATCCACCTTGAGATTGTAATCATCATTGGTCTGAATCTCAGTTCAAGCCCCCTTTTGGCTGTTTCCCGGTCGCAAGATCGTTGCGCTGGAAGCAATTCATAGAAATGTCGGCCTAGTTTTAACGATCGACGTATCTCTCCGACTTTCGAATCATCGAAGCCTTCCTTCCCGATTATCGTGACGTGCCTCGCTGTACCAGATTGCTATAATTCAATAATTCAAATCGAATCATGGCACACCATTCTTCAACTTCATCCGCCATTGTTCACTCGCTCTTTGGCGGCCCTACCAACCCTCACAATCCCCCTCCTGCTCCCAACGCACCCTCCTCCGTTACACCCTCGATCTCGAATGTTCCGACTCCCGTATCCGGCGCATCTACAATGTCTTCCAATAACACATTCGTCATGCCCAACTCTCCTATGAAGAGTCGGCCAATCATGGATGGTTACCGACCCAAGGTCACACGAACCCTTGGCCAACTGCCAGCTTGTTTGGTCAACGCCTCGGTTACGTATTGTGGAAACAACCAGATCTATGCTTTTGGTGGATTCGACCAATACACAGATGAAGTCTATAATCACGTGCTGAAACTAGATCTCGTCAGCCACCAATGGAGTCTAGTAGATAACTACGGAGATATTCCTGGCGTGAGAATGGGTATGTGTACCTCCGATGTCTTATACTGCACTCCCTGGACTTACATATATCGGTAGGACACACTGCGACCTTGTACGAAGGCGACAAACTCCTGGTTTTTGGCGGCGAGAATGAGCATAGGACGTATCTCTCAGATCTCATCGTCTTTAACCTGAAGACTGCCCACTGGTACCAACCTGCAACTTCCGGTCCTGTCCCGAAAGGTCGGGCTAGGCATGCTGCTGTCTTACACGAGGACAAACTATTTATCGTAGGTGGTATTACCGGCCACGAGAGCTACGTCTCGGAAGATATCTGCTATCTAGATTTGAAGACTTACACTTGGTCGAGATCATGGCGTTTCGTCCCTAGGTTTGATCATTCAGCATATATATGGTATATACACATTGCTTATAATCATCATTGATGTCGAATACTAACATTTTTGTAGGGGCGATCGCGTGTGGGTATTTGGAGGAATGAGTAGGGATATGGACAAAGTTAGTGACTTGTGGTGGCTAGATCTAAAGGGCAGTCCGGACTTCGAGTCCCCGCCCCAAATTGGAAGCACAGCCGATAGGCATGCGCCGCCTAGTCGTTCAAGCGATTCTCCACGGGCTCCCTACGCTATCGGACCACCTCCACCTATTGGAGCCCAAGGTTTTGCGGCCAACATCCGGACAGCCCAGGTCAATACACCTTCGTTCCATCTAAAGAGACAGGTTCCTATGGCACCCGGCCCAATCTCAGCTCTGAGATTTGTCGCTGGAGATAATATTCCATCTCAAGGTCTTGGGATGCATTTTCATATTTACTCGTCTGGCACCCTTTTAGATTTCCTTACTCCGGCTCAGACTATTACTTCGAAGGAGTGTTCTTTATCAGCTTTAGATCTTAATACCCTACGGTGGCAGAAATTAGCTGAAGGTCGTGAGATTTTCAAGTCGGGTTACCAATGGAACTACTGCACTATGAACGAGGATGGCACGAAAGCCTGGTTATTGGGTTGCCCTACTGATGTCATCAACGACATGGGCCCGAACGGATTCGAAGAGTATCTGAGTGATATTATGGAGATCGATCTACGACGCTACGGCTTTTTAGGAAATAATGCTATGCCAGAGTCACGAACGGAGTTTGCTAGACCGAGTTCTCATGCTCGAGTTCCAGATCAGCCATCGAAAGGGCTTGGTCATGATCTTGCGAAACTTTTCAACCAACCTCCAGAGAACGGAAGCGGAACTGACTTTATCATAACTGCTCTTGCTGGCGACTACGACGATGACGACATGATGGGCTCCAGCCTTATACGAGCAGGAGAATCCCCAATGGATCAGAATTGGCTTACGCCGGATGCTCCCACTTCTGCTCCTATTCACGTGCACAAACTTATCCTTCAAGCTCGATGGCCACATTTTGCGCGTTTGTATAATGCGCAAATGGCAGAATTCCATACGAAGAAGATGCATATTCCAGAGCCTTACACCGTAGTTAAGGCATTCCTCTATTATCTTTACACAGATAGTATTCACGCTGATGACGGTGTGACCGACCTCTCAGATGTTGCTGGATTATTGGTGATGTCAAATATCTACAACATTCCGCATCTACGACTACTCTGCGTCAACCGATTATCAAAGGAGCTTGATGTGGAACATGCATGCATCATTTGGTATTGCGCTGGACTAGCGAGCGAGGATTGGCTACGCAAGAGAGCCGCATCGTTTTGCCTTACACACTGGGGTCGCATAGTACGCACCCAGGGCTTCCTACGCTTACCACGGTCTGCCTTGGTCGAGTTGTCACAGGAAATCGACATGGAAGGTCGAGTTGTCGCAGGTGAAGAGCTCGAATACGTCGACAACTGCCGCGGTCGATTCGACACCTCAGGCGTCTCAAGAAAAGATAGCATCAGTAGTGACCACACGCAAGCCCTCCCTTCAGACGTTGAGGATTCAGAGGGTATGGACCTCGCTTGAATACCTATCTGTCCAACTACCGATTGCTTTAGCGGGTTTTTACGATATTGAATAACGCGTTTGTTTGTTTTGCCGGGTTTCAGCTTTTTACTTTGACTTTCAAAAGGGGGACTTGAACAATTTTTATGGATATCGAAGGGGAGATAACACCTGGTGTGTATCTCCTCGCTACGAAGCAATGGAAATGAGTTTTTTTTTCTTTTCGGTTTGTTATTCGAAACAATAAGGTCAAATACCACCAGCCTGTGTAGAGGTCGGACTTAAGAGCATGGCTTCGGCGTTTAGGAGTGGTGGATGGATGTGGTTGAGGGAGGCGAAGTAAGGGATAGGGATTCATCGATGGATGGAAGGGAGGATAGTTACAGTTACAGTGATAGATGGCCTACTTAATTCTCGTGGGTCTTGATAGGTACAGCGGTTACTGCTATTGTTTGAATACCTAACTATCTACCCACATGATCCACCAGCAAGCTACTTCAAATTACTTAAAGATGCTAGCCGATCGGTTTCATTTTCAGATTGATTGTATATGCACTTAATACTATTGGCTCTCTCGCAGTGAGTCTAGAAGGGTCATAATTACGGAGCCACCGGACAAACCTAGCCCTATAAGTTCTGTTCGGTGGGCAGGTGGGTGATCAGTCTATGACTCGGACCCTGCATTAGTCTAGTCTAGTCGGCAATAGGATGCGGCTAGAAACAAAAGAACAAAGCTGGATCCGATTGACGAGGAGGGGTTGGTGTTGTTTCTAGTTCCTACATTGGTTATCTATTCACCCATTCACCTGTCCATGTACCCGGTACTAGAATGGATGTACTGGTCGCCGAGGTAAGGGAGGAGAAAGCGAGACGCCGAGTTATTACGGTATTAGGGGTATGTTTAAATGCCGAGTTGGGAAATGGAAACAGAAACATTCCATACCAAGACTTAGGCCCGGATTTATAGCAAGCAATCAAGCAAGCAGGATAGAAAGACTGGGGATTGGGTGAGGTAGAGGCGGGTCGAGTGCTCGCGTCATGGATTACGGGGGTGGTACGTAGATTGTTGTCGCGTGATTCTATTGTTCTCTTTGTCTACCGGGAAGGTATGGAATATTGGGGGGGTTTGAGGCGAGCCGGGTTGACCGGGCTGAACTGGATTCGGGGGAGATCGAGGCGAGTGAGACAAGACATCGTAGCTTGGTAGAGTGTAATGCCTTGGAAGTGTTCGCTATTCACCTACCTAGGAAATAGATACTTCCTATCTTGGCTTCGGATGGCGCCCTTGGAAGAGGCCGATATTTTCCATTGTATGCCTTATAAGACATTCAAATCCAACGCAAACGGGCAAAAATAGCTCCTATAACGTCTATCGGCCGAGAACCGATGACAAATCGGGCGAACTAAATATCATCACGATATTCGCCACCTCGAGGCCTCCTCCCGTGTTTAGTATGTTTCGCCTCATCGGCCGCCCCTAGGTATTCTAAGGGTCTAATGTACCTATTTCAATTCGATATAAGCATATCTGTATTCCGATGAGGAAGAAAGTATATCACTAACAATATCTAGAAGCAGCATACTAAATATTTGGGCGTTATTGTCTATACATAGAAATGAGACAGCGTGGTCTTGTGATACTATAAACTGGGACGGTGGAGTATACAATATTATGTCAACGTGTAATCAACACCGACTACGGTTCAAAATGATTCACCATCAATTACTAACCGAGTATACCTGTAGTCAGCTAGTCAGCCTTCTTACATACCCCGTAAAACGACCAACCATTTCTTCAAGAGTGCGGCGTCATTCCTACTTCCGATTCACGATAGTATCTTGCGAGAAGCCATTCACATTATTAATAATTATCAGTCCAACCACGTAAATCATAGCGAAAAAGTGCCATCTTATTTTAGTTCAGTCGGTAAATACACACAGGGAAGCTGTAACCTCGTTCGTTACCCAGCAACTCCTAGTTTCGGTAGGGTAGGGCGAGTCTATAGACAAAAAGTTCCATATCCGAATTTTTTTTTCCACACAGATATTTCCATGTCCAGACCGCGAGTGTCTCAGACATATGAAGAGTCTGTCAGAAGGACGGAACACACAAATTGCTTTTTCCTCCTCTGTAGAAACTTTTCGGCTTTTTTTCTCTCTCTGCTCTCCTTTTTTGGTTCTTCTCTCGTAAAGCTCTTTTTCTTTCCCTTTTAGAACATTTTTGGTTGACCTGAAGCCGGAGAAATTAGAAAAAAAAAGTGTCGAAACCCTGGAAACGCCTAGCTCACCCCCCCTTATCGTAGCAGAGATTTGTGTAAATGGAAGGAAAAACGAAAAAAGCAAAAGTAGAAAAGGGGAAAGTAGGGGGGAAATAAAGGGCATTTGCGTTTCCATCAGCCGTGAGGCGTAACAATCTTAAGAACGAGCGTATCTTTCTTTTTTTTTTAGTAAACGAAAAACGAAAACGAAAAGAATCGAAAATCAAAATGTGCCGAGGGAAAAATCAGCAGCGTTACGACGTAAAGCTTCGTCGATCTGAGCTCGTCAATCATCTCCTTCGTTGCGTCCCGGCCTCCAAGATCTTACATCCACCTTTTCCACGAACTAGTCGTTAAGGGGTCAAGTGTCGTATCTTCAGACTGAAGTAGGGAGAAGCGAGACGTTGGGCAAACGTGTAGGGCCGTCATGATGTAAGCTGGTGAAAGGACTGCAAAGCCCAGCTACTGCAGAACTGAAATGTAGGTAGGAAAGGAAGACAACGTTATGTTAGAAGTCTATCGAGGGTATATCTTGGACTAGACGCCTTATGCAAGAAGCACAGAAACGCCGCCCAAGATGCCGAAAGGACAAACTTTTCCGAACCGAGAGTGAAATGTCGTGGCTTATGTACAGTTGCCACGGGTGAAAAGTAGGGGGTATCCAGTCTATATGAACACATCTATGCCGAAGGATTAATGCAGGAACGGGGGGACCTTCTGGAAATCTTGAAGGTCATCAAACGCCAGGCCACAACTCGAGAAATTAGGAGCGAAGGTCGGTGTTATTCATCGCTCGGCCACACCATGAACGCGCTGGGCGGCAGTGTTTCCTATAATTGCATTTCTTCGCCTATGCCGGGTAACCCGTGACCCATGTTTGTCATGCCAAAAGACATTTGGTTGTTGGCAAGGTTTGCTCGAATATTCGCGGCTTGAGCTTGAATCTCGCAAGGTGACGAGTGTTGTTTGTGCTACAACAAATATTAGTATTTTTCTTTCTCTTCCAGGCTATATTAGTTTAGTCAAGAATAAAACTTACATATTTCAGTCCGTTAAGGTTCTTGTACCTCTTGTGGCAATACTCGCATTTGTGCGGCTTCTCCTTCTCCATGCCCGTCTCGCCAGGGTATGGTGCAGATGTCTCGGGATTAACGATAGAGAAAGAACCATCCCCATTCTCGTGGAGTTGTTGGTTTTGGTGTCCATGCTGCTTGTGGTACCTGCATAATCAATTTAGCGATATGATCAGATAAGGCTCGGAAAAATCCAAAAAATCGGAGAGAGAAGAGGGGGGAAGACAAAACTTAGAGGCAAATAAAAAACTTACTTCAAGCCGTTCTGGTTCTTGTAAGCCTTCTCACAACCAATGACCGGACACTTGAATGGTTTGTCTTCTTCTGGTGGCATCACCATCGATCCAGGGTTGGCAATTGCACGTTGTAGTGCTGCCAGGTGGTTCGGATCCATATTGCTTCCAAATTGGCTTGCATCCAATCCGAACTGAGCCATCTGCTGCTGTAACGCTCTCTGGCTTGCAGGTCCGCCATTCGGACTGTAGAGACGTTTAGCTGGGTCGTCAATGAAAAATTCCGAAAGACTGGATCCCTCAAAGACACCACCACCGTTACCCATGTTCATGTTGTTCAAAGAGAAGTCCATGTCAATACCATCCTTGTTACCACCCATCTGTTGTCCTAACGCAGCCTGCTGTGTTGTCAATGTAGGCGTGTTGACTGACGAAACAGTAGGGTTGTTCTGGAAACCAAAGTTGGCGGAGCCTGGTGTCGGCGGTTGCGACGTTCGAAGAGCCTGGTGCTGTAGACCCGGTGTGGTCAATTGCAACTGCGGTCTCTGTTGCTGTCCAAACATCTGTCGAGTCTGTTGAATAGTTCGCTGACTATCATCCATCTCCATCATTCCGAGACCGTCGTCCATTTCCATATCGCCAACAGCATCCATCTCGTCGTTCGACTGCATTCGGTTCAATTGCTGGGATCGTTTCTGCGAGTTCGAGTCCATCTTCGAGGATCCTTGTCTTCCCATTTGCATACCGCCGAAACCTAAACCCATGCCGACATTGTTTCCTACAGCTCTGTTCTGCTGGCCGAATCCTAGTTGTCCTTGGTGTTGGAAGCCTTGCGAGTCTTGTCGTCCGTTACCTATCGACATCGACGGTCGGTTACTGACTGAGAGTCGGTGGGGCATCTGCACGCTGATACCGTTTCGGTTCAGCTGGGTATTCTGGCCCGTGTGGACCGTCTCGTAATGGCGGAGTAGATCATGCATGGTGTCCAACTTTATGTCGCAACACATGAAGTCGCGCAGGTACTCGGCCTCCATCTTCGGAATATACGAGTTGGAATGGAATGATGGGGACTGATGTGCACCAGTGAAAGGTGACGTGCCTGTCATTATGAGACTGTTGTGTCGCGAAACATGATGGTTAGTTACCCGCGATCGGAGAAATTTCACATGCCGGACGGAAATGTCAAGCAATATGCAGAAAAGGGTCCTGAAATAATAAAAAAATAAAAATAAAACAGAAATAGAAACGGCCAAAAGATCCACCGGGTAAAACGGGAATCGCTAAGTTACGAAGTAGCAAATCCTCGAATCGGCCACGGAGACGGGACGGGGGAAATTTAAGGGATCGATGACATGTTCGAGAATAAGAAGTAATTAAGAAAAACGTGGGAAACAGGGGAATGCGACTCACTCATCTCGAATAAAGCTCCCAACGGAGGCACCGCCCCAACTCATACCATTCATAAGACTACCTGCCAAGCTCTCCCGTCTGCCGCGATTAGCCTGTTCGCGATTCGGGTTGATCATGGAAATAGGTTTGGGTCCAGCGCTGACAAAAGAATCCTGGCGACTGCGGCCGACGGCCGAGTCGAGCGCAGGACCGGTGGTCATGTCGATATCGAGATCAAGATCGAGTTCGTTGTTACTATTAGTACTATAATTATTGTGGTTATACTCGAGGTCGCCGTTCACGTTCAAGTGAAGAAAATCAGGCTCGAGGTTGTTGTGGTCAAGTTGGCCCGGGGGCGGCGAGGCAGAGTTGGAGGAACGAATTCGTGGCGTGGGTCTCGCGATGTCGATTGGTTTGGTGGAGGGGGGATGAGGAGGAGGAGGAGATGTAACAGCAGCAGCCGCAAATGTAGTAGTATTTGTTGTATTATTACTAGCGTTAGTATTGTTAAAAGTACTAGCACTACCAAGAGTACTGAAAGTACTAAGAGTACTACTAGATGCGCCGGTGTGTGCGGGAGCAAAATAGTTATTGCGACCGGTAGCGGTAGTGGTGGTAATAGTATCGAATTGATCGTCCGGGGTGGCAGGCTGTGGTGAGGGTGAAGGTGAGGTGAGGGAGTGAGAAGAAGTTGGTGTAGGAACAGCGACAGCGGCGAGATCAGAACCAAAGCCAAAACCAGAGGCAGCGCCCGCGCCAGAATAATTATTATTATTATTTTCGGCGCTGCTGCGGCTGCTGGACGGATGCTCGGTGTCATTAGTCGATGGAGATGGGGTACGTGTCGTACCTGTTAGCCATCGGCCCAGGGCCACCTTCTTCATGATTGGCGTGTCCTTGTAGTGGAGTTCTTTTGACCCTTGAATGGTCCTTCCTGGTCCTCGGTCCTTGGTCCTTGGGCTGCGTTGCGCTGCACTGCGGGTGCTGGGCTGGATGCGCTAGGTGCTTGGGTGCTGGCTATTGCTGTCTCTTTCCCTGCCGCGCGCGCAGCTACCTTATGCTACTGTACCTAATGTAGCTGGAACAAAGTTCTGTATAGGTGGGCGTAGGTATACGTATGTACCCTTGTACCTCGCTAACAAACGATTTGTCTTGTAGGTATTTTAGGTAGGGGTATCTTCCGTAGCGTATATGTATATATCCAGTATAGGTAGTAAGTACCCAAGAATTTGGATAACGATACTACAAAACTGGATGATGAAAAAGAGTAAGTGACGGAAGAAGGGAGGGTGAATTAATTATTAAAGTCGTCAATTACTTTTCTTCCAAGGAAACGAGAGGAAGAGAGGGGATTTGTCGGATCGAATATGTATGATTATGAACTGAATAGTAATTAGGTCAGTAAAAGTAATGTTGGACCAAGAGTTTGAATAAGGGAAAGCCCCAAAATCGTGAATTATGAACGAACAGAGTTTAGATGGAATGGATACCCTTCAGCTAATGTACCTCTCGCAAGGTGTATGTACCTTAGATCGGTAAGAAGTGGGAAGGCAAAAAGTAAAAAATAAAGGTAGGCAGGTTAATGGGAAAAGGAAAGTGCATGTACACATCCCATCCCATCAATCACCTGTCAAGAAACCTGGGTCGGCGACGGATGGACAAATCCGAAGACGTGCCTTCCCACCTATCCTTGGTACATGTATTGACGGATGGGGATGTTCAATGTTCTTGACTAAGGTACGTACATAAGGTGATAAGTTAGGGCAAGACCTTACAGGATTATGACTGTTATGACTGCAGTTTGCAGTTTTTCATCAAAAGGAATAAGAATCGTAGTTGTAGTCGTAGTCGTAGTGACGGTCGTATTTGTTGTATGTATTGTACGTATCGTATGTACGTCGAGGGTTGAATTGGGTGTATGTAAGTGAGGTAGCAGTAACAAAGTTGAGCGCGCAGGTAGGAAGGAATTGTCCAAGACCTGTTGTATTACTCTACTTTGCGACTCTGCATGCGACCAGGGATACTTTTGCGATGCGATGCGACTTGACTTTTTGCGACTCTCTGCAACTTGCGACTTTGCGATTCCCACGTTTAGACCTTTAGTACCCAAGTACCTAGGTATTTATATAATCGCCCCGTACTTTTTTTTATGCGCCTTCCATACCATGTACCTAATCAATATGTACAGTGCATTAGGTACCTAGGTACACATTTGCAGGCACAGATATGTCATGCACAAATGATAGGTACGGTGCGAGGTATCAAACGTATCAAACTTGAGTGCGAGTGGTTATAGGTAATAAGTAAGCTTAAATGAGAACCTTGGTCAAAGGGTCGCGGGTCGTGGATCCGTCCGTACTTCTGTACCGTGTGTGGATGTATGTTATGTATGTACGGAGCGGATGTGTGGATATGTATGCGTGGGTGAGATGGGATGAATGATGTTTCGTTGACCTTGGCTAGATTCCTAGTATTGCTAGTTAATACTTGCCGATTTGTTTGGCCCCAGCAATAATATGTGGTCTAGTACTGGTTGGCGACGACGTCGACTCGAAGAAGGTGATCCAAGCTGCAAAGCAAGCAAACAACTAAAAATCACAAATCGATTCGATCAAACACGCAGTACCCAGGTACGTTCCGTAAGCTCGGATATCACACCAGCAGACAGGGCCTAACGAGAGGCTGGTGACGAAATAAAACTGTCCCCAGAAAAAAAGAGGATCCAGCCGGTAAATAATGAATGAATGAAATAGTAACTGTAATTATAATCGATAATAAGCGGCGAAAAGTGTCTCTCAACATTCGCCCACGAGGTGTAGAACCACAGGGAAGCACGAGACTTCGACCGAGCAGTTGGTAATCGTGTTTTTTTAGTTCAACCTCCGGAATTGGCTGGATTGGTGGATTGAGGAATTGGAGGGAGGCAAATACAATATGTATACCTAGGTAGATATGCAGGTAGATAAATTATTCGAATGAGGTGCGTCGTAACTTTGTTGCCGCCTTCTTCGTGATACAAGTTAAGCTTCGCGGCTGCGTGCTGCCAACAATTAGGATTTCATAAAGCTGCCTGGGAATCCCTGAAAGTGCGTTCAGTATTCGGACGAACCTGCAACTATCAACTTTAAACTTCAGCCCGGCAAGTTCTTGAACTTTAGAACACCCCTGCGTTGGTCGGCGGTGGTTCGACAGTTGCGACTAAATTCGGGAGCTATGACGGAAGGGACTGTGAGAAAAGGGGGAACCCCTGGTTATCTCTCTCCGGCTCTCTTCCGTATCTTCTTGCTTGTATGTAAGTTGTTCGGTTGTTCGCACTCGCTCGCGAACAACTTGGTTATTTTGTTGTGTTATTATTCCTTAGTCAGGTCGTGCAGCAAATCTACTGTTGCGATGGGTTGCACGACATCATATGGATTGATGGGACAGGGGACGGAGGACGGAGGCACGGATGGATGGAGGATTAAGATTATGACGGACTAAGAACTGGTAGTGGAGGTAATCCTGGAGAGATAGTAATCCGGAGGCAGGTAAGATCAAGGAAGAAACAATTTATATGGTTGATAATTTTCGAAGGTGGCGCTTCACTTATCTTCTCTCTAACGTTGTCTTTCTTGCCGATATTATCAGTAATAAAATCGGTAGGTACCCGAAGGATAGTCCGGGAGTAGGTGTAAGTGATAGTCGTGATAATGTAGGTGTAAGTGATGATAGGTACGAATGTACACATATACATATACAAATATAAGACCGGAAACCTGGGTAGCGGTTATTTTAATACATCCAGATCACAAGCAATGCGCGTGGCCAAGTAACCACCTAGATATTATGGGTATACCCTGTGTGTTGGGTAATAAGGCCAACTACAATATGCCATATAGCGCCTAGAGGTATAAAAGGTACATAACGGGCATGGCAATAGTGGTAATAGGTGAATCGTCTATTACATTTTGGGCCTACGGGATAGGACGGAGCCTAGTTACACAAACCTCCCATCTTTGTTTGCTCGTTAACCATTGACACCGAACCACAACAAGGAACCACAATACCTAATCTCTGACGGCAATCTCCTAACCTAAGTTTAGACGGTGGCAGGTGGGCTGGGGAGGAAGTAGATAAACAATATTGTCGACAGGAATAACAGATTCATTGCAACGTGGTAGCTGAGTCGACAATAAGATCGCCGTATGGAAAGAGAAAGCAGATCATACATAAAATGTGTACTGTGTGTACTCCGCAGGGAAGTACATGGTGTATTTTCTGGAGGGGTTGATTTTTAAGTACCTCCACCAGGACCAACCGACCATTAAACACCCACAGGAGGTAGGTATCGTCAGTTCCGTTGATCAGTGACGATGTTCTCCATTGCTGAGGAGCACTAAGAGTGGCGCGTAGCTTCATCGATAGATTCCCATCAAGATAGGTAGTTGTCAAATAACAGGGGTATTCGAAGCTGTCGAGGGAACGTTTGTTTCTAGTCAGGCTTACACTAAGTATGTTGCTATTGGTTTATGTTGCTCAAGGAGTCGAAACAAACAATTACGGCTACGGGCCACGGCTATTGTCAAAAAGATATTCCATTTCATAATAATAAATAAGAATAATAACGACACCGATGCGGTGAACGGGCTAGGCCATGGTATTTAGTGTTCTTCCAAGATAAATAAAATAAAATGATAATATTAAATCGTCGGAAGAGATGGTGTGGAACTCACATGGCAGACATGGCAGACATGGCTGGCCTCATGGTTACACCCAACGGCAAGTGTTGTACTTATAATTATGGGGGTTCTAGGGGTACCTTCAGGGCTAGCTAGGTACAAACCTAGCTCGAAGTTAGGCTAGACCAGGGATGTTCAAGTCGACACCGATTAAGGAAAGCCGATGCGTGTGAAATTAGCAGGGTTTCCCGGGCTGGGAGGATCGCTCTTAAACAAAGAAAAGAACAAGCTTCCGTTCGCTACCTAGGTAGATGCAGTACATACAAGTATTTTAATGGTCTCCATTGACTGGTGGAATTGTCTCCATGTATTAGTTATTAGTATTCATTTTAGTGAATATCCATCTTCTTTCTAGCGTATAGTATATATATTGGATTTCAAGATTGATTTTAGAATTTAGATTCTAGACTCTTAAGGATATCGGAACCATGATGCCAATGGTACATCGCTAAGTACTTAGGTATGCCCTTAACATGCACGAAGTAACTCTCTCTATCCCTTATTCTTACACGCGACAATTCACTAATAGACCGGTGAGTTTGATGTCATGCTCGTGCGTCATAGTCCGTAGGCGTTATAAGGCAGACTAGGATATAAAGCATAATATGAATTATTGGCCAAGATTTGCAAAAGCCGACCTCGCTATTTTATTCTACAGCCCTTTTTCTTTTCTAGCGGACTTAGGTACGCTATTGTCCTCTAAGGACAAAATGAGTTTCGGTCTAGATAACTAAACAAGGCTACCTAGCCTCGGATCGCAACCATCTCAATGGTAGCTTGATCAAATCTACCTATAATCTATTCAAGCAATTAATTGATTGGTTATCATGTGAAGGCAGTAAGAATCGAGAGAAACACAAAAAAAGAGTAAGCAGGCTAGGCGGACACGGGCGAGATGACGGACATACTGCGTGTATGACTCGAAAATCGGATGAAATAGAAAATAAGAAAGAATAGAATAAGTAATACTCTCATTCTCACGCACGAATGGCCACACGATGCTTCTATCTGTTATTATCTGTTACTTTTTGGTTTTCTTAATTTAAATGGCTGCATGAAGATATGCCCTCCTATTATTACTCGTGCGCAAGCACCGCAGCATGCATACATATTCGTAACTTTTGTCAGCCAACGCAGGTCGCAACTCGGGATTTATCAGTTTCCAGTGTAGCCTTTTCCCTCCTGTATGTCCCGTATATCCTGTATGTATGTTTCTTTATCATCTGCAGGTAGTCCGTCTTGTCGATGGAAATACTAAACTAAGAAGCAAAGATACGGAACGGGTATAGGATAAATCTACAAGCAAGCAATCCCCCTTGGTGCGATAATGTCCCATTCGCTAGATGTTGCCCTGACTCATCCCCGATGTCCCCGTCGAATTACAATCACATGTGTGTTTTCTGGGAACTATTCCTGACGCCACTCAATGCATCAAATCAAAGCCTCTTCAGCGCCACCACTATTTGGTGCTAGTAACCCCCGATACGCGCTCGGCGTTCCTATTGATGATTCTAGTTATAAATCCCCGTAAGCCGAGGGGGGGAATGGAAGGCATTTGGGTTCCCGTTGTTGGCCGTTGGTGCGTCTCTTAGGACGAATCGTATGTCAGTTCTGACCTATACGAATTTCTAGGCCATCAAAAGAAACCGGACTCGGTTCACCGGCTCTTCTTATTGGGTTCGGTTAGTTGCACAAAGTAGACGCAAGCAACATACAAACAACCCTATTCTCATCATTATTTGATTATTATTTGGTTAATATTATTAGACTATAAGATCATATGTCGTGTACCTGGAGGATGCCAAGGTGTTGAGAGATTCGAGCTTTTCTTACATTAGTTTATACTCGGTACAAATCACAAACATCTTCCTCGTGGCCCAATTGCCTATTTAGGCAGTCATCCCTAGGAGGGGGGGCTTAAAATTCCCAGGGCTGGTTCATGGGGGGTTGGATCGCCCCCTGTATATAGAACGTCGACCATTTTCTTCTTCGGGTTCAGCTCTTGCGTGAATTTCTGCTTTTGAAAGAAGCCTCATAAACGCCGAGCTGAAAATGGGAAAAAAGAGTTACCGATTCCTCGGCCTCGGATATTTTTATTTGCCTCATACGTGGTGATTTAGGATCTTGGGAATCCTCGAGGCAAACCCGCATCGTGACATGTGCCACCTGCGTGCGTACTTCTCCATACCCTTTCCCCTGAGAATGGTAACACACTCGTAGTAGATATTGTTAGCTAAAGTAGGTAACTAAAGTAGTATAAAATCGAGGAGCGGAGAAGGAGGTGTGCTAGATAACACTTAGGCTTACTTGATACCTCCACGTCAATGTCATGCACTTGCATCTCTCTTACTAGCGAACGAATAATACTCTGTTTGTATGTTTCTCGCCAATGCAAGTCCGGGATATTCGACATGCAAGAAATCTATGTTGTTCAACCCCATATTCGTCTCTCCTCGTAAGCCTTACGTGCGACATTACGTTGTGACTAGACCTTTCATTTCCGCCTCCATAAGCTTACAGTAGTATGTATGGACGAACAGACGGTATGGTACGGTACGATATGAGAGCAAGTTTATTAGTATTAGAACGGATGTGAGTCCATCGATCTCGAACAAGTGATCTCCGATCAGGATCATGACTTGCTTTGCTTTCCAAGGTTTTCTGGGAGTTTTGTATTTACCCAACCCCGCGACAAATGGGACGTAGTTCCGCAATTATGACGGAATTGAAGGCTTAAACGGGTAGGTCTGCGATGCCAATCGTTGATCTCGTCTCCAATCAACCATCTTCCCACTGGCTCGGAAACCCCTTGAACGTTGTCTGATCCTGTTCGTCAACACGTTGCTGGTCAACTCCGCGGAGGGATTGATCTGCGAATGCCTTCTATTTTCTATTTTAGCTTATAGCCGAATTGTATAGTCACTGATACTGTCTCGAATCCTTAATCAATAGTACTATGATGTATACGCGGTTCGGATCTAGCAATAATCTACCGGTCTAGTAGATAAAATCATGTGTAAAAATCCTGAATACCTTCAAATAACAATCTGACATCAGCATTGCGAATGGCATCCTTAGAGTTGCAATTCCTCACCCAGTAACTTACCATTCTATGTACGTACGACCGAAGGGGATGACACTTCATCAAGGATGTTCACCGCTTTTTTGGATGATAATAGTTCGTTTGAGGGAGCGAAAAATGCCGTATCCAATCAACGAATTTTGGGACGAAATGTTCTGACTTGCTGATCCCGTCTCGTGGATGCGGCGTTTAGGAGGCGTTGTCCGGTGATGATGAATGGGCGGCGAGGCATAATGTATACTCAGTATACTCAGTGGATTAGGTAGTTTAGCTTGTACCTGTCTTATTATTTAGAAGTACTTCGCAACAATTAGACTTAGTTGCATCTTTCTTTCCCAGTGGTTATGCACTAATGCATCTGGACCCTGAATTAAGTGTCTGTAAGAAGCAACCTTCGTCTCCAATTTTCTTATTCTCATCCCCGGGACCCTGCAGGGGAAAACGCTAAATTCCTTTTCCCCCCCTGACCCGGCGACGGCCGCCAACCTCCCGGTGAAAGCCTCAACTATACTAATCTTCTCCCTCTTTCCCATCTGTTCTATCCTACTACATACACACAATCTCGATTCCTTGGAGTAAGCCTTGTTTTTACCATGATGACCGTCCCCGCCTTTATCCCACAGACTGCCACTAATGCGAGCATCCCGCAAACTATCTGCAGACGGGATGGATTAGGAGGATTAGAATACCACTATAATGCGTGTTAGTGGTTCTGAGACCTTGTTCCTACTCTGACAGAGCAAGACGGTCTCGTAGCTAATGGCAACCTATTACACAAGATGCCGCTGAAGTGCCGGTTTAGTTCTTGTTATATTAAATGTGTTGGATGTGTTAGGCATTCTAGGCATTCTGAGCCGCGGTAAACGGTAGCGAGAGCCACTTGGATTGCTTAGAATTGCTTGGATGGCCTGAACTAAGCAAGCGGATACCTTGTCGGATCCAACCCGACAGCTACCACGGCGATGGTTCGCTTGGGAAATTATGATCGATCGTCTCAGACTAACCCCGTCTCGTCCGTCATACTGGATTCTTCAACGTTTCGTCGGACCAAGTGTTCCTACCTAAGCACAGACGTGTTTTTTTGTCTGTTACTTCCTAAATGAGAACCGGAGAGGTTCATATTCCTTGTGATTATTAGATCTTAAGATCCTATTATTGCGGAGTGAGTCTTTTTTCAACATCGTCGAGTGGGTTTCTTCGGTGTTGTTTATGGAAAGTATTGCAAGTTGCGGTATGGTATTTATAAATATTTGAAACAACCCAACACTTGGGGATATATTTCTGATTATATTGCAAATTTTTGTCATCGTCAAGGAATACTTCCAGAAGCCTATGGCGGAGTTCGCCTTGACCTAATAAGTTAGGTACGCTACTTATTGCAGTGTCAGCTTTAACCGAGCCCTGATAAGACCTGGCAAAGAGACCCACTGCAGCAGGTGAGTTACAACCATGAAACGTGGGCCGGCATCTCTGCGCGTTCTTCCCGTACAGCCCTGGCTGAGCCAAGGCACCTCGAAATACTTTTTCGACACGGAGCTGACAAGAGACTCGCCAAGACTGACGATCTTCACACGTGATACCAATTTCCAGCCATCACGAAGTGAGTGTGTTAGTATTTACTGGAGATGACGGTCCGATGGTTGGACAAGTAAAACCCCCGAACTTGATGGTCTTTGTGAACCACGAGATATGAGCGTCTCCGGCGGGCTTCTCAAATAAAACATTCAGCTGGTTACTGACTCATTTAAGACTGGGAATAGTATCTCGGGTTCGCTCCAAGGTTCCTTTTTGAAACCTAGACGGAGTATGATCAGCAATCAACGAAATGAATATTTCCGAAATTGATTGAACTCTTTTCCACCAAACCTATCACTAGAATTTTAAGTCAATCAGTTCACACTTCCGCGTCGAATACCCGAAGAACGACACGCCGTACACCGCACCGCCGAAGTATTCCAGTCCGAAATTCAAACTGCGGCCGTGGTTTTTTCGGGTGGGTTATGTAGGTAAACACCGGTAAGAAGGTTTGGAAGTAGGCGGGAGTAAAGATTAATTGCCTGCGGTCATTGAATTACGACAGCTGCGAAACTCTTGTGTGTCGGGCGGAAGACGCCGAGTGGGTTACCAATTGCGAAAGTTCAGCAGAGCCAGACCCCGAGAGTCCCCTGTAAGATAGCGAGCAAACGGCGAAGCGCGGGCGCTAACTTGTTCATTAACTTGCTCTAACTTCTCTTTGAAGGTTAGATGTGGCTTAGTGGGTAGGTTTTAGTGATGTTTAGGCTATTAGATCCCAGGCTATAGCCACCTTCTAGCTGTTTCTGCGTATTAACAAGCCACAAAGCGGGAATAATTCGGGCTCTGCTTTTTAGCACACGAGCCATAATTCCATCGTACCAGAGCTCGGACTTGCGATCGAACGTGCAGACGTGCCACTTCTGGTGGATTACATCATGTAATTTTTTCCCGATTTTCTCCATGCAAGTTTATAGTAAAAGCATCGTCAATTTGACGCTGGTGTTACTAAGAGCCACCGCTTTTGTTCCCTTGACAATTTGAAATCCCGAGGAGCGACTCAATTCCTTTTTCTAATTCATTCTACTCCGTTACCGTAATCCTTTCATCAAGGAAGAGCATCAAGATATATACCTGTGTATGTGGCGACCTGACGATAACATATAATTTATACAAACAACATTCCAAAGCAATCCCACCTATTATTAGATACCCCAGTCAGCTTCAAGTGTCAATTTCTTGAGACCACGTGCTTACCTGAAGAAACACAAGTTCAGTGATACGCCAATACAAATCACTCACCTAGAGAAACATCTACCTATAAACATCGAATATCATACAAAGAAGTCGAACAGCCAGGCATTGATATCCCCCACCTCTTATCAACCGGATAACATCATCCCACCAAAAATAACCGCATACAAACCTAACACATAATACCAACCATCCCCCACAAACCGACAAAATGAAGGTCATCTCCCCTGAAGAAGAAAAAGCACACTACAACCAAGTCCTAAAAGGCGGTTCCATCGGCGGCACACTCGGTCTAGGGATAGGCTGGATCGGCGTAATCGCCGCCTCAAGACGCTACCCAGCCTTCCGCTCCCTAACCCTCCCCTTCCGCGCCTTCCTAGTAACATCCACGGGCACATTCGGCGCCATCGTAAACGCAGAACGGTATTCCAACGCCTTCCATCGCGCGAATAACCCGATGAATTTCTACGTCGACGAAGCACAACGCGCGCAGGACCTACTCCGCGCGCAAGAAACGTCGTGGGAACGGTTTACTACCTGGGGGAGGGAAAACCGGTATTCGATTGTGTTTGCGAGTTGGATTGCTGCGATGGGTATTGCGCTGGGAGTCGTGGGACGGAATAAGTATCTCACGACTAGTCAGAAGTTGGTCCAGTCTCGTATGTATGCGCAGGGTTTGACGTTGGCGGTACTTATCGCTTCTGCGGTTTTCGAGACGGCTGATGCGAAGAGTGGGACGGGCCGCTGGGAGACTGTTAAAGTGCTTGATCCGAATGATCCCGAGCACAAGAATATCATCGAGAAGCGCGTGCATAAGGAGGAGTATGAGGGTCAGGATTTGTGGAAGGATATGGTAGCTGCTGAGGAGAGGAGGTTGGCGCAGCAGAAGACGCAGAAGAACAACAACTCGCAATAATTGGGTGTTGGTTTCTTATGATTAGATCCGGAGGAGGAAAGATGTTAGGTTTGGCCGGATGGGAAAAGCTGTATATGGTGTCTTGGACTCATTCATCTGCACATATTCATTTTCCTTTGCTCTATATCATTTCTCGGAGTTTTTGGTTCTGTGGCGGTCGGTTTGGTGACTTTTTCTTTCCCTTTGCATTTTCCCCTACGATCATCTCCTATTCCTCTTCTCTTCGTGTACAAACTCAAAGCATGGATACATCTTGGATCCGAAAAAGTTAGGGGAGATTTTGAAGAAAAGTGAAAAGAAACCTATCATGAACATGGCAATTGAGAGATGGGAGCGAAGGTGGTAGACAACGTGATAGATGATGATGCATCATGCTTAATATTACAAACGTAGACAACATTAACTTCTGAATTCTGGTATTTGCCATCCTGTGACCTGACCCTTCAAGCTATTGGATATCGACCATCTCATTTCCATTCCCCTACCCCTTTTGCATCGCTCCCATAAGTCAGCTATCCAGGAAAACCAACCCGTAACGCTAAAACGTGACGACAAACTCCCTCCCTTGTTCTAGTATAGGTAGATATATAACAAAGATATCTGTAATTAAATAGATAGGTCGATAGCTAAGTCAAAAACGGTTCCTTCGATAGATGGCGTCTTAACTCATCATAGATAGGTACTGATAAAAAATTTGTGACTAGACTTCGATAGTGAAATGGCTGATCTGTGAATAGTACGCGTGGACAGCAAGTTCGAGTATCCAAACATCACTGAAAACCTCGCCACCATCGAACCCACCGATAACGACGAGGCGGCTATCGTGAAGCACGGTCCCATGATATCCACGGCCGCTAGGGGGCAGTCCGTATACCTTTCTCTTGTCCCAGGTCATAGTCACCAGGTTGAGAAGCAGTACGTCGTTCGAATACTCATTACCATCGTGGCCTCCAACAACAAATAGGTAAGAGCCTACAATTGTGGAAGTATGCGATAACCTTCGAAACGTTACGGGGATATGCACCGCCCTCCACATATGCGTATCAACGTCGTACACCCACACATCGTTAAAACACTCGCCGCCATCCGAACCTCCGTAAATGATCAGTTTGCTACCAACCATGTTCGCCGTATGATAGCCCCGCGCCTTCGGCTTGCTAAGGTCCGTGGCTGGAGTGCTACCGTTTGTGCCACTTGATGACGTCGTCGAAGGCCCCGATATTAACTTCCAGCTCATCTTCTGCGGATCCGTTACATCAAGCCGCCAAATATCGTTCAGGGCGCGGACGCCGTCGCCACCACCGAACATGTAGATTCCATTTTTATATAGGCAAGCTGTATGGGCCCTCCGAGCACTCGGTGTCCGATCACCTATGATTCGCGGTTGATGCCACCGGAAGTTAACCGTATCTAGCACATATACATCGTTGTAATATGCGGGGCCATCGCCACCACCAAACACCACCAACTTCTTGCCAACCGCAGTGCATGTCATCGCACGCAGTGGAGACGGTATGTCGCCCGTCACATGCGGGCTACTCCAGTGAAATGAGTCTGCATCCAGAACATACAGCTCATTAAAGCATGCGCGCGAGTCGCAACCCCCGAATACGTACACATTACTACCCACCAACGTTGTTGTATGCGCACGGAGGGGCGTATGAGGTGCACCAGAAACCGGCGCTCGCGACCAGTACATGCCTGATGAGGGTGCAGCGGGTACATCGGGCGCTGTCTTCGGGTCTTGGAGAGGTGGGAACGGGATATGGGAACCGCGCGGTCGTGGAGGAGCAGACGCCTTACGGGACCCTCCTGAACTTCCTGAGGTCATAGTTGTCGCCCGACCTGCAATAGCAGATGTCGAGCGCATGGCTGTTGGCCGGCGTGCGTCTGCTTCCAAATTGGAGGAAGATCCGGCCTGCGGATCGGTCGGTACCGGGGTATTATAGTCCCCATGACGCCGAAGGGTAAGGGTGGGAATAGGAGTCGGATTCGACTGCGGCGGAGGCGAGGCATATGCGGACTTGGAGGAAACAGATTGAGAACGCGCACGTATAGATTGTTCTGAGGCTTTTCGTCTGCTCGAGCCACCTTGGCTCTTAGTCGCAAGATGACCAGGGGTATGACTGCGGGTAGGAGGGGGTACTCGATCTAAGGCTTCGCTACGTTCGCTCGCGCTTGCTCCGTCGGCGGAAGGGACAATCTTCTGAGATCGAACCGTCCTCGATTTACTGCCAGCTGCAGTAGGCGATCGCGGATTCTCGGCCATGGTTTCGTCAACGGATTATCCTCGACTCGAAGTACATGACCTGCGTTCCGAGTCCAAAACCTGTGGCCTCGAGGGTTTTGTAGTTGCGACTTGTCGAAATACAACACACGATTAATTGCCAAAACTTAACCACCTAACCTAATCTCTCGATAATCAGTGGACGAGTCGCGTACGAGCATGGAGAGGTCTGTATGAGGGTTTAGAGCATGGGAAGAGAGACTATACGACAGTAGTTCTCAAGATGGTATAGTGAAGAGAGGGAGGGGCCCGTTCTAAATGATAACGGCAAATAATGATAAATCAGTTGTAAATCGAAAATCGAAAATCGAAATCGAAAAGATGTTATTGTGAATATGGAGAACCTAGGATGTTGACAGATTAAAAATAGTTCTAAATAAAAAAAAATGGTCAAGGTTCGAAAAGTTGACAGGCCACGCGGAAGTCCTCGCTTCATCAAGACCCCCTGCATGAAATTGGGCACTTTTCTAGAAAGAGAGGTGAAGCAAGGGAAGCAAGGGAAATCACAAAAGTGGTTTGACTTTCTCGGAAACTTTCTAACGAATGATCTTCTCCAACCAATCCCGCGGCTTCCCCCCGCCTCAACCGGGGGCTGCCGGGGTCACCTACCATGTAGTATATAATTACATAATGTAACTGTCTTAGATAGGATATTCGAAGCAATAGCATCCCATCCTACCTACAGGTACTGCTCACAAATATTGTATTCACAGTCATAGCTGCAAGTCTAATGGATATACATATGTAATGTTAAATTATATTCACCAGACTAAGCGTTGACATGCATATTTAATATTATGAAATACATGTAGGTTATACTTAAGCTTCAGTGACAGGATCAAGCTAGGCAAGCCCTATAACTACCTAGGTAATTTTACTGCAACACATATAGGGCACTTAAATGGCCCAAATAGCTGGAGAGCTGAGACTTGGCTTCTTTTCTACGCCGCTTAACTGCAGTCTAATAACGGCCAGCATTTACGAGCACGAGACTGGTATAAAAACATGTTTAAACATAATACATAGAGTCCATGTCATCTGACTTCTCAAATCCCTTGTATCATATACTATAAAAGGTGACATCGGAAGATAAATGTGTCGATCTGCGCTGGTATATTAAATATTGATTTTACTTGCTGCCCCTTTAATGATCAATAGGGGGGTTTCGTCCTTTTGCAGTTCTATACCGCCTATATTTTTAGGCCAGCTGCGGCGTTTTTATAGCATGCTAGGTCTTACACAATACCACAATAGTATGTATAAGCAGTGACTTAAACTACCTGCACTAACATCTAAGAAGGCTAGCATTCTATACTACATATCGGTGTACATGGATACTTATACTTGCATCATGGTAGAAATTGGTCATAATTCTATTTTAATATATACCTAGGTATATAAGAGTAACCGATATTTGGAAAGACCGGTATTTCCCATTTAATTTTGAAGATATCTGCGTGAATAATAGGCAAGTACGGCGATACCTTAGTATGTACATAGCTTCGTACCTGAACGGCTACGTCAATTCGCCGTGGGGCAGCAGGTGCTAATATTTAGCGCGGGGTTCTATAAACGATAAGTAAGGTACGGCGATACGGCGTTACAGCGAAGGTGCGGCGCTAGAAACAAGTACCAGGTACTACGCCTACAAAATATTTCCCAGTTGAAGTCTGAAAAACGAAAAAATCCATAACCGAAACTTCACACAATTTCTTTCCCTAAATCCTATTTTCCTCGATTGCCGAAAGTTGATCTACCGAGGATCAAAACGCCGCAGCAATCATGGCTACATTGGAAAATTCTTCCAAGCATGCCGCCAACGGCGACACGCTTGCTAGAGATTCATCGGATATCGTCGAAGTTGATGGTCCTGCATCTAAGAGACAAAAGCTCGACCATCAAGAGACGAAGCAGGAGAGTACTCAGGCACAATCTCAAGATCGAACTCGAGGTGTTGCGCCCGTGAAATCTGAGTAAGATTCAATCATAAACCAAACAATTTTCATAGCTAACACTCCTTAGATACCTGGTCTCGTCTGAAGTTCAAGTTAAGGATGTAGATGATGATGCGGCAGAAGCAGGTATTACTACCGAAGATCCTGTTAATGGCAAGCCCGATCCTCGTGGTGGTGGCGGTAAGAAGGGTAAGGACCGAAAAAAGCAAGGCGGTCAAAACCAGAACCGCAACTACGGTCACTTCGAGGATGCTATACGCCTATGCAACAGTATCACCTACACTAACGAATTCTCACCCAAGACCTGCAAGTTCGGTGAAAGATGCAACCTGTCTCATGATCTCCGCAAGTATCTCAAGGAAGGCCGACGAGAAGACCTCGGCACTCTAGACGGAAAGTGTCCCGTCTTCGAGAAGCATGGTAGATGCAGTTCTGGATGGAAGTGCCGTTTTGTGAAGAGTCATTCTAAGGAAGTCGAGCGAGAGGATGGCCGCATGGAGCTTGTACTCCTGCAGAGTTCGGAAGCTATGGAAACTGAGGAAGACGACCAAAGACCTGGTGTCGTCAACGTTGTGTCTACTGACACCAAGTGGGACCTTGCCAGGAGAAAGGTCAATTTTGAGAAGGCTGACCCTTACACCAAGTGGCTAGAAAGGGATACCAACCTTACACGACAGCTTCACAACAAGACGAAGAGACAGGACGGCGATGAAACAGCTGATGGTAAGAAAGACATCAGAGCTCAGTTCGTCGACCCGCCCCTGAAGCCATCGGAGAAGAGGAAGATCTATTTCGGAAAGGAGACACCGGTTCTGGCCCCTCTTACTACGCAAGGCAACTTACCTTTCCGACGCCTTTGCGCCGAACTTGGAGCCCAGGTTACTTATTCGGAGATGGCTATGGGAATGCCGCTTGTCCAGGGACAGAAAGGCGAATGGGCACTCATGAAGGCTCATGAAACGGAACTTGCATCCCCACGATTTACACCCGAGAATGGCGCAATTGTGAAGGGCTATGATAATGCAAAGGATATTAAGTTCGGTGCCCAGATCTCAGGAAACCAACCTTGGGTAGTGATGAAGGCAACTGAAGCCTTGACACGATTCACCCCTCATCTCCGTGTGGTAGACTTGAACTGTGGATGTCCTATCGACCTAGTCTATCAAGCCGGTGCCGGTTCTGGTCTTCTCGACACGCCTAGCAAGCTGGAAAAGATGGTCCGAGGCATGAACGTCGTTTCCGGAGAGGTCCCCATTACGGCCAAGCTGCGAACAGGGGTACGAGATGGAAAACCAACAGCAGACAAGCTCATTGAGAGACTTGCGTTTGGAGGTAATGACACCCGTGAGAGACTCGGAGCGCCGGGATGCGCGGCGATTACACTGCACGGACGTAGTAGACAGCAGCGATACACCAAGAGCGCCAATTGGTCTTATATCGCTGAATGCGCCGCCCTGGTTAAGTCGTACAAGGATAAGAAGGATGCGTTGACGGACACTGCTATGGAGCCGGATGCGAGCACTGAAGCTAACACTTCAGATGAGAAGGTTTACTTCATCGGTAACGGCGATTGTTACTCACACATTGACTACTTTGACCACATAGAGCAGGCTAAGGTTGATAGTGTGATGATTGCGCGAGGTGCTATGGTCAAGCCCTGGATTTTCGAAGAGATTGAGCAGGGACAGTACTTGGACAAGTCGGCGTCTGAGCGACTGGGATACATTGAGAAGTTCGTACGTTACGGACTTGAAGCCTGGGGTTCAGATGAGTTGGGTCTAGGTTTTACGAGACGATTCTTGTTGGAGTGGTTGAGCTTCACTCATCGCTACGTGCCGATTGGCATCCTGGAGCACTTGCCTCCTAGCCTTAACGACCGACCACCGCGATACAGAGGACGAAATGATCTCGAGACTCTTCTTGCCAGTGACCATTACAAGGACTGGCTTAAGATTAGGTATGTTTTATCCATCTTCTTGTTTTTTATCACTCTTTTAAACAAATGCTGATATGAAAAACAGTGAAATGTTCCTCGGTCCAGCTCACCCGAGCTTCAAGTTCCAGCCGAAGCACAAGTCCAACAGTTACGAGATCGAAGCCGAGGGTTGATTGACTTTCATGGTCAAGGGATGTTGATCTTGCGGAGTTGCGGTCACTAGCTATAAAATTGAGGATAGATATGCCTGCAAAAGTACCTAGTGCATAGACACGGTAGATACCATGAATAAATCCAGAGAGTAACCAATCTGGTGTGTTATTTGGCGATAGTGGCTGGCATTTGAACGCGTGGCTTGTTGTCTTCCTGCACTTACAATAGGCTAGATTGCATCTCTTCTGTGACTAGACCTCCAGGCAGCAATGCAGAGACCGTGGCAAAGGATGCGATAATTCTTAGTATTTTATTTGATATGTAAAGTTTTTGATTTATATGAAGATGTTACCTAAATATTAAGCTTAAAAATAAATGATTCCATGTGTTTATTTCCGTTGAAAATTTACACGTTCCCTATGATGTATTTGGTGATGATAATTGAAAAGTGAAATTGTTTAGGTAATCTAAAGTTAGCGTACCTAGGTAGTAACGGGTACATGTACCTAGCAGAAATCCGTGTGTAACTGCAACGTCATTGCTAAACCCCCTGCGGAGGCTGACGTAGTTGACTTCCAAGCTTCCCTAATGTTCCCTTTTAGCACCTAGTAACTCAGCCCCACCAACCATAGCTCGGTCAGCTCCGGGTAACTTTCGTACTTTCATACGTCGTGAGACAACACAAGGCAGGAGAAGGCCACCTTTTTTTCTATCTATTTGTTAACAACGACAACCTTACCTTCCCGGAACAACAAAAAAAAAGAGATAAAATCCCCCAAACCCAAAATCAAGCTTTGTCGCATTTCTGAATTTCTGAAGACCTAAGACAAGAAATAACTTTCTCCATTTTCATCTTCCTGTTCTTTAATACGCCCAACAATTTTTCACACCTGCATACAACTCGAGACGTGCGAGCGAGCAATCACCACTCGCCAATAACTACTCTTTGACAACGCATTTAGGCACAGCTCGTGTGGCTTGCTGTTATACCTAACTCATCTATTCCAATCAATTCTCAATTTTGACAACTGAAACACTGAAACGGGAGATATCAAGATGACGCTCTATTATACACTTGTATGTATTTATTTCTTGCAGCACTACCCGCAACATTGCCATCATCATCTTCTAGAAGCAAAGGAAGAGAAACCCTACCCACCATGGCGATAATCAAGATGATTATATTCCTGTTGGATATGCTAATCATAGACAATCAGGTCTTCGTACTCCTCGTGGCAGAGATGTCACTCTTCATGCTCCTCGTCGTTCCGATGCCTTTCACTATCCGACGAAAGATGTTCACGTACGTTTCAGCCTGCCTATTCCAGAAAACATATCGATATCGATGCACAAGTAGCTGACGATACTGTTACACAATGTAGTTTCCTCTCCGAAAATCCTATAGTGGCGAAGATACAATATTGGCTTAAGATAACATTCGTCTTCATATTGATCCTCTTCCTAGACAGCGTCAATCGCGTCTACCGGGTACAGCTCGAGCTAGCTGCCGCTACCGACTCGAATAAGAGCACAGCGTAAGTTGACCCTCCCCGGAGTTTCCCTCGGTCATTGAAAAGTCCACCTTCTACCCATAGCCCCGCCTTCTTGATACCCAACAAGTTCCCGCACAATCCAAATACCTACATTATACTAACCACAATGTCCAAATATAGGGCAGTAATGGGCTCCGAGCGCCTCGAAGTACAAGCCCGCAAATTCTACAGCCAGCGTAACATGTACCTTTGCGGATTCACCCTCTTCCTATCGCTCATCCTAAACCGAACCTACATGATGATCCTTGAGGTTCTCCGTCTCGAGGAGAAGGTCAAGCAATACGAAGGAACCGACCGTAAGACCAAGGAGTCGGAAAAGCTAGCCGCCGCTGGTAAGCCCGGTGAGATCAGCAAGCTACGCAACGAGCTCGAGAAGAAGGACCAGGACATCGCCACCCTTAAGAAGCAGGCCGAGGGCCTCTCCCGCGAGTACCACGACCTTTGCGAGAAGTACGGCGAGACTGTACCCCCGGTTGGTACGCGCAAGGATAAATAGATGAATGATTCCTAATCCGATCCGATCCGTGATATATCCCCTTTCCACTTATAACCGTCGGGTCTGGTGTATAATCGGTCGGAACACATGTTCGTCTGCTGAACCAAAGAGGGATATATCGAGGCTCTCCTAGGAGTTGTACTACACTACTACGAAATTTACGAGGGCGGCGTAACGGCAAAGGAAAAATAAAAGAACAAGAAAACATGCATGCATTGGCAAGGACTGGATCGACCGAATAATTCTGCTATTGTACTATTTGAGAACCAAGCATGGGAGGGGGAGAGAACAATATGAGCAGATCGATAGCCCTCTCTTTATGGTCTAGATCCTACCCTTTTATATAGGAGATACTCTGCTTGCTGTAGGCGAAGCTTTGATGACTACGAAACAATAAAATGCCTTCTGAATCCCCATTCGGATTATTGCGTGAGTTGATCTATGGTCATGAAGTTGCATGTTTACAAGACTAGTTGTAAAACGCTATCATATTACTGCGTAATATCTATACCATCTTGAGTATATCTTACAGGGATTTCACTTTTTCCTTGACACAACTGCGTTCGAGATTACACTACACTAGAAGCAGAACACATGCATCGCACGACACCTGTGCGGGAGATATCGACAATGAAGTCATCGTAAAATATATAGATGAAGCCTAAAGTCCAAAAGTACCTAGACTGTCAGACAAGCGGACGAACACTTAGTCCGTCTTCCTCTCGACTCAGTGCGGATGCAACTCATCACTACCCACCTCGTCTTTTCTTCACATCCTTACCCCTTCACTCTCCCGATGCCTCCTTTCTGGTGGTCAGAGTATTCATGAAAAAACGAAAAAAGCCCCAAGCGCCACACACATAAATCATCAACTCATCCACACGCTCCAAGTGCCAAGTTGTCGAGAAGGTAAAAATGTATAAAGGGGGGTATCTTCAAAGCGAGGGCTGAACCGAAAAGTAGTGGTTGAAAAAACCAATAAAAAACTAAGACAAGACATTAAATCGATAAAAAGATAAGCCACCCGAGATGTTTGTTCATGAACCACTGTCCTACCGCGTCAAGATTTCGTGATACGTCAAAAACATACATCCGCCTCCTATATTTGTGTCCCCGTTAGATCGTATAAGTGATTTTCCTCCTCTTTGTTAAAGTTCTGTTGTTCCTTCTATTTTTTGATATGATTGGTATATGTTGGTTTAGAAGGTATGTTTTTATTTTTCGTGTCACATTTCTTTCGTTATATCTCATCATACAGCAATACTCACATTCTTCCGGGTCTCGGCCTCTTCGACGTGGAAGCCGAACACGAGCTTGAATAAGTCACGCAAGAACCCATATTGGCCTGAAGGGCGGTGAGCCATCATCCAGCTCACGCTCTTGGCCACGTCGGCCGCGAGAACACGCTTCCCTCTTGTGGGCAGCGAAGAGGCTGAGGCTTGTCGGAATGAAGAGTCGGCTGCAACCAGGTTCTTATAGCTTTGCAGGAGTGTTGCATGAGTTGATAGTGAGCCGAAGGACCCACTCGGAAGGGACTTTACGAAGGCTTGTAGGGATGCCGCACTGTTACCATGTTGTCCGTCCGGCCCGCTACTATCCCGAGAGAATCCGACGTTCATAGCCGCCTTAAGAATCAGGATTTTGATACGTGTGATATTTGGGTCCTCATTCGTCGTCGCTGTTGTGGCCGTGCTCGATGTTCTTTGGCTACTCTGAGAGTAGCTTGACAAATTTGAGGCACTACTAGACCATCGCCCCCCCCTGTTGCTTTCTGTCCCGAGCACCATGATATTCGGCACTTGTGGTGACTCGCTGTCGGGAGAGACTGGTGTATCCTCAAACTCGGTAACCGGCGTTTCCGGTACTGGAGGTGGCTTTCGTGACGTTTTCGTACTTCCTTGCGGAGCATGGTTCTTGAGACTACCGGCCTTAGAGCGATTCGAAGCCCGACTCTCTCGACCTTCCGTCAGCTCGGCCGCCTCTCGCTCACGACTATACGTGAAGAAATTTGTCTGGTTTGGTCTTGGTGTCCCCCTGTCTGGGCGGATCTGTGTCCATCCTTCCCTAAATATATCACAAAGCTCCCAGCATGCTTGGACTGCCGATCCGAGTAGCTCCTCATCTGGAGATTTCCCATCCCTCTTGTTTTGACGTAAGCTAAATAGCATCTCAGCAAGTGACCAACAAGCAGAAAGAAGCGAATCTGTTTCTTCTCCTAGCTCGCCCCTCTGCTTCATGAGTCGATGGCACAACGTAATGTAAAAGTCTAGAGTTCGCTCTCGGAATGCCTCCGGGAGCATTCTTGTGTCTTGTGCGCTGTACAGACTATAAATCTGTTAGCAAGGGTACTATTTGAAGGCGTTAAAGTCCAGTCTACTTACTGATTGTTGAGCTCAAAGCTCACACGCAAAACAGAATCTGCTATTTCATCCTTGCGTTGTCGTACATCGAAGAGAGACTGGCAGAAATCCCGGCACAGATCTAAGTTTTGGCGAACGTTGAAAGACTCATCGGGCTCATTGCGGTTATCGTATAGTCGTTGACATAATTTCCAACAGCATTTCCAAGCTCGCTCATGGCCGTCGGGGGTACCCGACGAATTAAATACACGTTCTCGGTGGTGCGTGCTAAGGCCGGCCAGGGTATTGCATAAGGTCCAGCATTCTTGCAAGGCGGTCTGCAAAGATCTGATTTCTGCACCTTCATTATCCTGCTCTCGAACAGGCGTGACATACTCCTCTTCATCGTAACTTTCTAGGTCAGGTTCTGCGTCTGTCTCAGGCTCCCTACTCTCTGGTATAACTATAGAAAAATCGTTAGTTCTGATATCAAGAAGGCTCAAAGAACCATTGTACTAACGTTCGAGGCTACTAGCGCTACTAGATCGTATTCTTGAAGAATCATTCAACACATCCTGTAGATTCTGAGCTCTGGGTGTCGCACTTTCCAGACTATACCGGACGGGTTTGACATCGGTAGAAAGAGGGGGCGGAGCAGGAGATTTAGCCTGTATCTGTGAGTTTAATGTACTGACACCATATAGTGATCGCTTTACCTCTGGAGTATGATGAGCATTCGTCGGTGGTAGGGTGGTGTCTTCGGGTCTAGTAGGAGATGAGGATAAATCCGGGGATGACTTTTGGCTCGATTCCGATTGTTTTGGCGAATTGTTGGCAGTGGACTGCAACGATGGATGAGAATGGCGTTAATGATATATGATCGGAGGCCTGACTTACCCAACTCTGGAAGCTCTCTGGGGCATGTATGACTGAGACCGCTTCCTCGTTTGCTGTTTGCCGTACTTGATCAGGAATATTCGTTCTAAGCATTAACAACTAGCCTTAGGTCAGCATCGTTGCTGTAAACGATATCCCATCTTCGAGCCACCAACCTGAGGTTGCGGATCAGGGTTCGCAGCGGTAGGTTGGGATCGAACCTCATCAGACATTTCATCTTCGATCTCCGTTACTTCCGTACCAACGGACGTCACTGGCGAAGGGCCGACTACATCGCTCGGGCTCATGAGGAAATTATTGGTGGAGGCCGGCCTAGGAGCGGCCGATGATGGCCGTAGCGAACCTGCTTCTATCGCGCTGGTAGACCTGATTCTTGTCAGCGGAAATCCCCAATTATGAGACTCGGGTCCGGCAACAAACATTGGACGGAATTGTGAATGAGGAGCAGCAGAGGACTCTGGCGAAGATACAGATAGCTCCATGTGAGGCGAGAAAGCGGATATTATACTTCCAGTTGATGATCTCAATGGAGCTTCGAGAGCCATGACTAGCTTAGTAGAGTCAATATTGTAAGGTCGCGATGTAGGCCAGGCGGTGTTACACAAAACTGCCTTGAGAGCGCTTGATAGCGGCTCTTATTATTCTATCGCGCCTCCAAAGGTTCAAAAAGTTGGCGCAGCGCGCTTATAACAAACGCAGAGATATGTCGGTATGTTTACCACGTATGAAGGAAGGGCCGCGGTATGGGTCGGATCTGGGTCCTGACGGACGGCCGAATCGAGAAGACCGGGGAAAACGCAACCTCGCGTGGAAAATTGCCTGACCAGATCAGGTAGGGCAACAGCTCGTGAAAAAGGCGGTGCAAGATCGCGCGTGAACAACAGTGATCCTTTTTACGAACTGAGATGGACCCGAACCGAGCGACAACAGCGATACTTCAACTGGCCAAGAACTAGCTGCAAGGTAGTCCCTGAAAGTAATATGCGTATCAATAAGATGTAGGTTGGTTCGAGGATGAGATGTATGTATGGACTTTCGAAACGGTAGGTTCGACGTGACTGGAGGAACAGAGCGTAGGTAGTGGGTTAAGTTGGTTGAATTGTTGCGCGCTGCTGGCTGATGAACTGATGGACTGATGGAGGGGGACTTGGAAAGGGAATGTCAGCTCGAGATTCGTCAAGGGAGCTCCACTGGGTCCCGAAAGGGATATTGGGACGTGGAGCTCACCCACAGAGGCACAGGCACGGGTAGCAGAACTAATGTAGCTAGCTACTTTAAGGGGATCCTTCGAGGTTGAATCGGTTATGAGGACCGAGAGTGTGGCGGCGTAGACGGATGGGGGTTAAAAAGTAAAAGCTAAGTGCAAGGTATACAGGACTAATAAGATGTATAGAGCGTGTACGAGGTCGCGCGAGTCTTGGGTTGGATGGGTCGGCGGCGGATGGCAGCGCGCAAGATGGGGTAGGATACCGTACCGAGGAGGGGAGGGAGAATCCTGCTTTCGCTGGGTTTACTACCTAAGAAAGGCAGGTTGTGGGTAGTACGGAGGCTCTTCTGTTGTCCTGATCTATGATGCTTCGGGCAAGAATGCGATCGCTTGACTCTGTAAGAGCAAATGGGCTGGACTGGCTGGCTGGCTGGCTGATGGCTTACTCTGCACATCCCGTCCTTTGCGCTGGTCCGTTCTCACAACCTGCAGATGCGCGTCTTGACTCTTTGCTACTTCGAGCGCAACTTTCTGACGAGTAGGAAGATAACAAGGGATGGGTGTCGGAGGTGGGCTGCAGGGGGGTTGAGAGACAGGGGTTTCGGCGCTTAAAGCCACAGACGGATCGCTTCCATCAACGAACCACAGAAGGCCATTCTGATCTCTCCCAGCCTAGTTTAAGCCCAGTAGGGATGAGCTATTAACCCACTTCACTCTCAGCGAGCCGGGGGTAAAAAGGAACTAAAAAGAGCAAATGTAGGTATGTAAAATGCAAAAGGTCACAACAGTCCCTCTAGACTCACCGTCGTGAATTCGTAAGTCATGATGATGATATAGCCAATGATTTTAGTGACCTGATTGCACAGGCTGGGTGGGACAGAGGATTTGTAATGCCTTTTTTCTTGTTTTATTTTTTCCTATTCATTTCCGTCGGCGTAATCAGAACTGCATGTTAAGTTGCGATAGCTGAGCCTGCCGCTAGTGTATATAGAAGCTCGGCATGTTTTAGCGTGCACTGAGAGATGGTGGGTGTAGAGCCATAGTGAGATATGCCCTAAGGGGCGTATCATGTATGCTCAATTGGCAGACCCCAGCCTTGATACGAGAAAAGATGAACTCATCATCAATCGGTCAGGTGGCAATGGCATTTTCGACGAAGCCGGGAGTTAGTTCGGGGCGAATTGCCTGATATGTGTTGTACGTAACTTCGTATGTAGTTCATAGTCCTGTGCCGTACCAAACGTAATGGAAGGGGGACGAGAGAAAAAAAAAAGTTGCGGGTATTTCTCAAGCATTCGCAAGAACCAATCCTTCGAGAATATCCACTGAGATAGTGTTCCCGAAGATCTGGTACCGCACCTTTTCTTAGCACTAACTGGGCTACTGGGTCTTGTCTATGTGGGCCCTTGGAAGGACTTGGTTGCTTGTTGGTGTGCGAACTTGTATCAGGCTAAGCCAACCAATAGACCGCGATGATCTGAACGGTGCATATTCATATGTCTTTTTTTTTTTTCGAAGGTCCATCGAGTCCCAGGCTGCCAGGTTGGGCTCGGCATCCCGAGTCCTCCGGCAGCATTGCATATGACAGCAATCCGACTGGTACCAAACTAGCATTAGCCAGGCGAATTACCTAAGTAGGTAAATAAATTCCCTATACCCGCTTGGGATATCAACGCGAATGCCGACGATGGGCGAAATGCGCAAGGCTCCTTGTATGCTGTTTGCTTTTATTCTAAAGACTGAGGGCACGACCAAGATAAGCTGGGGGCCGAAATTGGCATACGGCCGTTTTTCATATTGAATTGGTGGCGGCCATTGAGTAACCACAAGTTGTAATATCGGATATTATGGTGGCGGACATTTTTCTAAAGGTAATAAAAATCTGTATTATAAGGCTAGGATATATCAATCCTTCCCAAGGCCATGTTCACCGCTTGGGAGGGAAGGCTACCATTGTTGCCCTTGATGAAGTTGATGGGAGGATGGGATTGCGAATTGGAAGGTTGAAAAAGTTCCGGCCCGTTGCTTGTTACCGACTACATCCCTGGTTTACCTTTAGTCCGTGCAACCGGGGTATCAATCTACATTTCTATTGGTTGGATCGTTGGGTGACAATTACATAAGACTAAGGGGGAAGGCGCGGAGAAGAAGTAAAGTTACATTATGTAACAAAGTCGTACGTTGTCCTTGAAAAGTCGATTAAGAAAAGGTTTACCTAGTGTAAGTTATGTACTTTAATTGCTCTAATAGTGCATCTTATACACCGACTAATAAACTTAAGATCTATCACTTTCAGCTCGATGATTTTTTGACCTTGGCCGTCTGTACACGGGCCGAGAATTCTATAAATGATTGCTCATCTAATAGAATAAAAAACTATTGGAATTGTTATTTTACATACATGATACATAATACATATATGTACTGCAAGATCCACACTCGCTTATCCGTTGGGGGTCTATGTACGTACGATTTCCAGAACGTGGCGTGGACATGCATAGGCGCCGTGATACCTGCATACTAGTACATGACTGGGGGTATATCAACGCTTCGTCCGACATGCAGAACACCTAGAAAGTACATACATGTATGTACCTTGTCTACCACGATGCGGAACTCATGGGTAAGCTTCGTCTGATAACTTCCGGTCGTGGGACCTGATCATCATCAACCTGGGTTGCATATAAACATCTAAGAGGAAAGGTGTGTACCGATGATATTTGGATAGGGTCAGCCTACCCATTGCATAACCTCCATATTGACCGGGTAGAACACTTGGTAGACCGGAAATTACTCATATCATGATAGTGAGATAGAACTAAAACACTTGCTCGGAGGTGTGTAGAAATCCTTCAACGTTAGCACTAGTACTAATAGGAGTGAAAGTGCAGTTAGCCTACATCGGAGCAAGCCATTTATGATTCAAAGGAAGGACACCGATACGTAGGAAGTGCAGCTACCAAGCCGGCTTTTGCGCCTATTCTAGAAACCCATTAAAGTTGCAAAACTAGAAACTCAACACAAATCATCCATGATTAGACATTAGCCGATGTGTAGCGCTTGCGGCACTGGTAGCATCTATTTGTGGTAGTCAACATAACACGCATTGTTGGGCTACAACAGGGTAGAGCCAATTCCTTGCTTATCCACTGGGAACATGCTAGGCCTAGACGCCTTGCTTCACATATAGGAATGTTTGCCTGGATTTCTTCCCTCTCCATGGCAGATCTCGATGCGTTGCCTGCATCTCCGTGGGTCACCTGACAAATATTAACCTAGCAACTTGGACACCCTAGGAAAGATAGGGATAAGAACTATGCCCTAGCATTGAGATATTTCGGAGAATGCTATATAGGCGAAACGGTAGGTAGATAACCGCCGTTTGCATCCGCGTATCATCCTTGTACGCGACTAATTAGCGCGACTCAAGGCCATATAAACAGACCTCAAATGGATAGCCGCGATATGGCTCAACCGTTTCCAACCTTAAGGCATATTTACAGGCTCGAATGTCGCCACCGTCCAAGGTAAACAAATGCGTCACAGTGCAGCCTGGCTGAACCGGAGTGAACTTGATCCAGTAGTCGCAAGACGCCCCCTCTAAAAGTATCAACCCAACGCCATAGAATGCAATTTTTCTTTTTTGTCAATCATCGCCTCTAAAATCACCAAACTCCGGTCGCGTCTAGGTATGTGTATTGAGTTTATCGTTGTTGTAACTGGATCTTCTTTTCGTTGCGTCCGTCGGGTGTGTACCTAAATTATATGTTAGAATCCGACTCCTAGATGTATTTATGATGAATTCCGAATATAGAGCTTACTTCAGCAACTTCTCGATTAAGTCGACGTGGGTCATGACCATGCGACGGCAGCAATATCGCTTCAGGCCTAGTGAGTCCATGGCGTCGCTGAAATAAAATATTAGTATAAACCCCACTAGAGGGAAAGAATAACATACCCATCAGGAACACCTTCGTCAATGAGCTTCAGGTATCGCTCCCAAAGATCGCCGGTCACCTATTTGCACTTCAGTTAATACAAAGGATTTCCACGGTGGCGCTCGAGGTGATAGTGATGGCGCCTACCTTGCCGCAAGAAAAGCATCTGATGGGAATAATCATCTTGCCGATTAATAGTGCGCGATTTGTACTCGATGAATTTCGGAACGATCTAGAGGAAAATGAGCGGAACGCGAGACGTGGTTGCGACAGGAAGTAGGAGTCGCAAAAAAAAAGATTGACGAGGTGGAAGGAAGCGTGATTGGAAAATTGGTGAGAGTGCTCAAGCAATGATAGAAATGAATTATTCTTTGTTATCGATAGTCGGAACTCTAAGCACCGTGCATTTACGTAAGCCGTTTGAGTGCGTTCATGTGTCACGCTAATCGGCGTCGTCCCTTTAAAATATCTTATCGGGCTGTCTTATCGTGGCCCCGCAAAAAACTTGTGAACTTTTTATGTTTTACTGGTAAGACATTGAACCTTAACTTTGGTGATACGCAAAAGTTAAAAGCTTCTTCTTGACGGCCTGCGACATTAATCTCAAGATGGCTCCTATAACCACAGCAGATGTAAGTGATATATAAATCACAGTCGCGATCATATTCACTTACATTTTCCCTTTAGGATGTTGCAGCCAACAAACGAAAGAGAGATGGAAAAGAACATGGAAAAAGGAAACGAGCAAAACGGGATGTTTTATCTTCCAATGTTACTCCGACCGACGAGCAGCCTCCCCAAGAGAAGACGGCTAGCCAAACCAATGGCTTCACAGCGCCATCGGATAACCCGAAAAACTCGAGCGCCGCTGCAATAAACACCAATACCTCGGTTGCGACAAAAGAAAAACAACGACATGGATCTAAGAAAAATAGGCAATCATCTAAAGAGACACTGCCAATATGGAGGGTATCAAAAGCTATGGGAGGAAGAATGATGAACATAGATCCCATATTAACTGACGATGAGAAGTACGTGCTATAGACAACTCGACCTACGCAAAGCTATTTTAGATTAAGAGGCTGAAAAACTAACCTCTACTTTAGGCACCTGATAATAGCTTATAGCACCTCTATCCATGTATATTCGACAGCCGATTCCCTCCTAGTACGAAAAATCCCGCTTTTGGATGCGCGAGCTGCTAAGAAACAACTCGTTTCTATCCACTTGTCCCCAAGCTCACCGAATCACGTATGGGTTGCTTCGTCCGCTGGTCATCTCTGGTTAGTTGACTGGACCAATGGAACCGAAACTACATTCAAAGTCAAGTGTGGTCTTCTATGCGGCATGTTCATTGAAAACGTACAGTTTGGCGAGGACTCCCGAGACGTACCGATAGCTTCCATTGAAAAGGATGGCGCTTGGCATATCATGGCCTATGATGTGCGAGGAACTGAGATGAAGATCTCGAAATCTCTCCTTTCGCAGACGATGCCATTCTTAGACTTGCGGTCTGTTATGAATGGGTCCGCTATAATAGCATCGGCGGATCGTGAAATTTTACTTGGTACATTACAGTCTCCAGGGATCAAACATTTCCAAGATTTACGTTATGAATTCTTCACTCTCGACTGTAGTGACGAGATTACCTCCCTAGATGTGCGAGCAACAAAACGTATACATCTTAGTCGAAGGACCCAGGCGGAGACTGGTGACGAAACTGTTCTGGATGTTGTAGTGGGTTGCGCTCGCGGAGCCGTGTTCTTCTACAATGATCTCTTACCTCAACTCCGATGGTTGCATAATTCCAAGGGGCACAGAAGCTCCCTTCAACCCCGCAAATATCACTGGCACCGTAAAGCTGTCCACGCTGTTAAATGGTCACAAGATGGTAAGGAACATTCCCATTTCTAATATCAAGCAACTAATCATGTTTCCAGGAAATTATATTCTCTCTGGTGGTTCTGAATTGACATTGGTGTTATGGCAATTAGACACACAAAAAATGGACTTTTTACCCCATCTCTCTGCTACAATTGAAAACATTGTTGTCTCAAAGCGTGGTTCGGCATATGTCCTTCATTTGGATGATAACTCAGCTATCGTTTTGTCAACAGCAGAAATGAAACCAACGACATACATATCTGGAATCCAAACCCTTGTTTCCCCCCAACCTGCCTCAAAGGATAATATAGTTAGAAGGATTGGACAATACTCCTCAGGCCGATTATCGAAAACACCAGCTGCGATCAACCCAGCGGATCCATCTCGGATCCATTTTTGTGTGGGTAATGGGCAGCAGGTTAGCCAAGCTGGAAGTTATCCTTCAACTCCGATGGTGCAAACGTTAGACCTCGCTACTATGCAAGGCGTTTCAAAGCAGGCCTTGACAAGAACGCATCCAACAGATATCAATGTCACGACCAAAGGCTACGCGATAACGGAACCCCGCGTCACAGGTATGTCATATTCAGCAGACGGCAAATGGCTTGCTACGACTGATGAGTGGCAACCGCCTACGCGGGATGTTAACTCCCTCGGAGGGTCGCCTGCCGATAGACGCGAAGTCTACCTCAAATTCTGGGCCGTTAAGCCTGAAGACCAGAGCCTAGAACTAATATCTCGCATCAATGCACCGCATTTCACGAGTCATAGTGAATCGGTATACGGTTTGGCCGCCGATCCACATGCGCATCGCTTTGCTACTATTGGGGAAGACGGAGTCGTCCGCTTATGGGAGCCAACAATTAGGCAACGGGATGGCGTACTAGTCAAGGGCAAGTTCGGACGTGAATTGCATAGCTGGGCATGTTCCAAGGCTATACACCTTCAGGAAAACGAGGAACCTCTTCACTCGGATGCAGTCGCTGCTAAGTCTCTACCACGAGGGTCAGGTGCCGTTTCTTTCTCTGAAGATGGATCTACCTTGGTCTGTGCTATTGGAACCGTTCATGGTTCGACAGTTCATATCATCGACACCGAATCTGGTAAAATACGAAACTCTGTCGACGGTCTAGTAACTGGAGACATTCGGGATATAAGAGTCTTATCTTCATCTCTGGTCGTGCTTTCAGATCGCCTTGCCGTATACGATTTGGTTGCAGATGAGCTGCTCTACGGAGTCCAATTAAGGGCAAATGAGGACCCCCACAACCCAGGTGCATCGATATTAACACATATGGCAGTGGATCGTCGGACATCAACTTTCGCCGTGGCTGTTTCACAGAGTAAGGTGGATGCAGCCAACACTCCCTCGGAACTTGCCATCTTTGCTCCGGATCGAAGTGAACCTCAGGTGGTACAAGAATTCCCCCGCCCTATAACTGCCGTGGTCTCTTCTGTTGGGTCTAGTGGCTACCTAGTACTAGACACTGCCGCTCAACTGTGGTCCGTTAATGAGGGCATGGATACAAAATCTCTCGCATTTGCTCAACCACTCGCCGATCTAAGCCTCGACCAAGTGAATACTGAGGAGTCTCGCGAGGATGAGGCTTCTCTAGTATTACTAAACAAACAAGACGACGAACCGGCAAGTGGTGATGAGATGGAGGTTGATGTTCCAGATGTTGCGGCCAATGATGACAATGTATATCCGGCTGTTGTTCCATCACAGAAACTCGCGGAGTTATTCGATACTGCGCCGGCATTTGCTATGCCACCGATTGAGGATATGTTTTACCAGGTTACGAAGCTATTTTCGTCAAATGTAGCCGTGCCTGCGTCATAAAGACCGTTTCCCGTAGGGATTAACGAATTATTCAAATAATCAAAATTCCTATCCTTGACTCAAGTTGATACTGTGGATATCATGGTGTTGTGTGAGGTTCTTCCATGACATATCTGATAATACGAGAAGAGTTTCAGGTCCAGAATGCCATTGCTTAAAGAGCCAGTGCATTAATAGCTTCGAGGAATCTATTGATATGATGAGGGTTGGGTTGGTGTTAATAGGACTTTATGATATTCTACGCCACCCCTCATACGATAGCTCAAATGGTACTAATCAGCTCGGGTGTCCGATGAAGTTAAGTACACTCCAGTGTTGACCAAATCATATTATTTGGCAGCAGGTTCAGGCGTACAGGTGGTGCAAAATGCTGATTTTATGCCTGTTGATCACGGCTGCTTGGATACTTTATGTTAAAAGTGATAGCTAGTATGAGGTAAATTAAAAACACATCGAACTGATATCTTGCATTCGCTCTGTCGCTATTCGCTATTATCTGTACGATACCCCTATGGGATTTACCTTACAGTGGTGTCAACCTGAGACGGAACCATTTTATAGGGGTTATCACACCCGCAATAACTGTATTCGTTGCCCTGCAAGGTTCGACTACGGGTTCATATAAGTACCTAGGTACCTAACCTCAGTATAAACATACCCCAAATGGCACCTATAGTCTGGACAAAGAAATTGGAGAAACATGCGTAGAGCCTTTGCCTTTATTGGGCGGTTGATACCGATGCCGATGAACGGAATTACGCCATAGCTACAAGTGGACCTCTATCATGAGATGCCGTACGAGCAGGTACTTATTAATTTCAAACTTACGACTCTAAAGTATGCACACCTAGTTTTATACTACTAAATGCGCCGGCATGCTTGTACATAACGTCCTCCCACCTTAACGAACGCTTAAGAAAATATTACTGGAACTAGACTGTAATTATGTCGTTCACTTCAGTCCCCATACTAGATCTGGCTCTAGCTAGGGATCCCGAGACAAAGCCGCAGTTCCTAGTCGATCTACAACATGCTCTAATGGAAGTCGGATTTCTATATCTCAAGAACGTCGGTATTCCGGATGAACTATGGCAACAAGTCATATCAGAAGGCAAGACCTTCTTCGATATACCAAAAGAAGAAAAGTAAGTCCGAACTCACCTATCCAGACCATGCAAGTGGCGCAAATTACACCATAACTCACACGACCAAACTTCAAGACTTAAGATCGAAATGAAAAACGCACCCTCATTCCTCGGCTACTCACAACTCTCCGCCGAAATCACAGCAGGTAAAATCGACCACCGCGAACAAATCGACCTCTCAACCGAACACCCAATCCCGGGCCCCGACGCCCCTCTCTACGAAAACCTGCTCGCGCCAAACCAATGGCCGTCTTCTGCCGTGCTACCCGCTTTTCGGGATGTATACGCGGAGTATATGCGGCGGATGGGCGTTATATCCATAGAATTCACCTCGCTAATCGCTGAAGCGATCGGTTTGCCCTCCGACGCGTTTAATCGGTACTTCGAGCGGGACCAACAGCATAAACTGAAAATCGTAAAGTACCCTGATGTATCTGAACTAGGCCTAGGAGATGGAATCGAGGGGCAAGGTGTGGGTCCGCATAAAGATAGTATGTTGACGAGTTATCTCCTGCAAGCGAGCCAGCATAAGGGATTACAAGTCCAGAATATGCAGGGGGAATGGATTGATTGCCCGCCGGTTGATGATACGTTGGTTGTTGCGATTGGCCAGGGTATGGAGGCGTTGACGCAGGGCGTCTGCGCTTCGACTACGCATCGTGTGCTTTCACCGGCCGCGGGGCGGGGGGCTAGGTTCTCGATTCCGTTTTTTCAGGGCGTGCGCGCGTCGACAACGTTTGAGGAGTTGGATGAGGTGGGTGTGGGACAGGTACCGGAGGCTGCGCGGAAGAGGAGGCAAGAGGTTTTGGAGAAGAATGGGGGTGCGAGGTTGGATGATGTCGAGTTTACGTTTCGCAAGGGCGGCGCGGCGAGTACGTTGGGTGAGGCTACGCTGAGGAATAGGGTTAAGAGTCATCCGGATGTGGGTGAAAGGTGGTACCCGGATATTTTGAACGATATTAGAGAGCAGCAGGCTAGGGAGGCGGCGGAGAAGAAGAGATTAGAAGACGAGGCTGCTGCTAAGAGTACTGCAGCGGGGAGTGAGGGGGTAGGTGTTAGCACGCAGGCGCAAGCAGTGGAAGCACACTGATTTGCAGATCTAGAAGAGATCTGTCTGTTTTTTTTTCTCGAGATGATCGCAAAATAACAATAAAGAATGTAGGAAGCACGAACGAACTTCAGTCCGTTGCCCGTTGACTTCATCGCAATTTCATTACTTCGTGCTACCCACCCAAAATAAGACCCTTCGCCTTCAGAACACCTAAGAGCGCCATACGCTATGCCCATCGTCGTATCTTCCCATCCGTCTATCCAGCTATTTGTTATTGCTTCGGAGTAGGAATCGCATCGGATCGGATTGTGTCGCCCGCTCTCTATTTGCCGGCAGAAGCATCGTAGCCGGGGAAGCAGTCAGCGATGGTTTTGCTGTGCTTATTGGTAGCATGTTCGGTAAGCCTGGTAATGTCAAGCCGGTTAGAAAGCATTCATTTCGTTTGAGTCACATTCCATTGAATTCTAGTAAGGGGTTAGATAGTAGGGAGGGACACATACTGAGGCGCGCGAGTGGTCTTTAGGAAAGTCGACTTGCAAATTTGGCACTGAATGTCCATAGCCTTGACATTCTGTTACGCGACAGCAAATGTTAGCCGATTACATCCATCCGCCTTTTCGGAGTTAACATGAGAGTATCGGATATCGACTTACAGACTTGAGCTGCGACTTGGCGACTTTGGTGTCCTTCGCATTGCGCTCACGCTTCTGTGCTGCCTTGGCTCCCTAGATTATGAAAGTCTTGTTAGTAAATTGATATTCATTACTTTGTATATCATTCTCCCTATTCGGAACCCGCCGCTTTTCACAATCCTCGTTTCTTCTTCTGGATCAAGTTTCGGAACGCGGGTAAGGAGGATTGACTTACGTTACCCATTTTGGGGATATGAAAATGAACGATACGACAATGAAAAAAGTCTTTTCCTATCTTCCTTGTCACGAAGTAGCGATTGATAATATCGTCAGGATGGCGGTTGGGAGTTGCGAATTGAAGAAATGGTAGAAAGAAAATCGGGGGCCAGATTGGTTTGGAAGGTAATAGAGTGGAAATCTTTTTTCAGCCGATCAAGGCATGCAGGGGTTCGGCGCTAAAATTGTTCTTTTGTTTCTAGAATGTTTCCTATTCCGGTAGTCATAGACCCCACTCATTTTAGCTTACCGCTGATCGCGAACTCAACCGTATTTGTACTGTAGCATACTCCAATCAACCCATCGTATTCATTATTCATTATCCTTCTTAATCAAACTGGATTGGACAATGTTTTTGTCATAATTAGCGACAACGCAGAAGATTGGTATATCGTATCTGTGTCATATTATACAATCTCAAACTTGAATACAATCGAATAGGTAGTAGAATATCAGTCACCGACATTTAGGTCTCAGTCAAGCCGTACAATCATGTTAGACAAGAGCCTACTGCCAGCCAATATTTCCAAAGAACGCTTTCTGCAGCTATTAGTCCGTTATGACTCCTTAATCGAATCAATATCTTCAGAGAAAGGGGGTATGTGTAGAAATAACACGCAGCTCTGATGTTTTGTCTTGGGTGGCTAACGATGCATGTCGTGGATAGCCAAACCAGGTCAAAAGACCCTTCTTGAGCTGGATCGTTTTCGATATCATGATGCCCCTGCCTTATTTCACTTCGATGACTTGGAACGGTCGATGAAGTTTGATGACGTGAAGACTCTAGTTGATTGGAAGTTGTAAGTCCTAAGTCCTAGGATACTCCCATCGACATATCATGTCCTACGATCGGCCTTTGATTTTATTCTAACCTAGTCAGACGTCATGGGAAGTTTCGCCCAACTTTGACGGCTCTCGTATCATCAAATGATGAGGGGCTCGTTGAGAGTATCATCCAAGAAGCAGTAGAACAATATCAGATCGACTCGGACGCAATTAAAGCCAACCACACCATAAAGGAGCTAAGAGGAATTGGCCCCGCCACGGCCTCACTTCTACTATCCATCTATGACCCCCACAGAGTCATCTTCTTTTCAGATGAGGCTTTCTATTGGTTGTGTTGTGACGGGCAGAAGTCTCGCATCAAGTACAATGTTAAAGAGTACCAAGAGCTGACCGCCGCGACGCAAACCCTTTTCAAGCGACTAGGAGTTAATGCCGTCGACGTGGAAAAGGTGGCTTACGTGTTAATGAAGGAAGGGGATTCAGAAATAACACCTGTCGATGGGAAAACTGCCTCAACATCTGATACGAATCCTGCGCAAGTGGATTCGACTAAGAAATCAACCAAGAGAAAAGATACGATCTCCGCCGATGATGCAGATTCTAATGCGCCTGTTCGTCGGTCAAAACGAGGTAAAGCTTGAAAGCAAGAGAATCGGCGATACTTGACCAAGAGACCAAGAGAAAACATCTGAGCGTCCCAGAACCACGTCACGGATTCAATCTGGAATTGCGGGAACTGCATCTTCATTTACGATAATGCGTTAGGCTCCACGTAATCCTCCGCGACTTAAATAATACCACGTCGGTGAACCTAGGAATATGTTTGCGCGCAATGCTGGGTCTAACTAGGATGGGTGAGGCTTTTCTATCTCGTTAATATACTAGCCCGTCAGCGTGGGATCGGTCCAACGGCCCGTGGGAGCGTCTATCAGGAGCCGCACTCGCCTGGCCAATAGCCAAGCGCCTCAGACCCGTGTCGGCTCTAGTAAATTGTAGCCGGGGTCTGGGTATCAAAGCCAAGAGATCTCTTTATTTCGGAGTCCCTTGCCGAAGATTGAACCATCCTGGTAATCAGATACAGCTCAACGTCTAACAACGTGACAACGTCTGATCGAATCGCCCTATTCCCTTCTAGACCCTATCTATGGGTCTTCGCTTCATCAATGCCTAGTATTACCGTTACATACCTTAACGGCCTTAGCTAGAGCTTCTCCGTCGACAATTCTTCGGCTACAGATGGCAACGGCAAGGGTTTGCACCCCCACGAGTGTTCTTGATCCCCCACGGACGCGTTGTCGCATGCCCTTCATATACTTGCCATAAGGAGGTCTCTTCGGCCTCTGTTTTCTGTTGTGTATTACTAATGTAACTAAAGAACTATATTCGAAATCAAGACAATAAAATAATTCCTCACATTCTTATCCACGACTTCAAAAATAATACTTGAAAGCTTGTTATAGAAAGAAAGGAGGTGGTAATGGCCGTTGACTTCCTATCTATGTCAGACTTGGGTTCCATCCCCCTTTCAGAGCGGTTCGCAAAAATAAAACGGAATCTTATTGCTGGCAATGAGAAAGCCGTTGCCGATTCATTCTACCGTTTACTCAGTCAATTGAGAAAGGAAGCAGACCGTATTGCAGCAGCTGGACCCGACATAATACCCACAATCGACTACTTCGACATACATGATCCAACCAAAGTAGCGGTCTTCCGAGATGCACTTAAGAGAAGAGGCGTCGCAATCATACGGAGGGTCGTTCCATCAAACGTTGCCTTATCATGGAAAGAAGAAACACAAGAATACCTCCGGCACAACCCATCCACCAGAGGAATCCCAGCCCACGACCCACAACTCTACGAACTCTTCTGGAGTCCAGGACAAGTACGAGCTCGCGCCGACTCACGCCTACTCGAAGTCCAGAGATTTATCATGAGGATATGGAATTCCAGTGATGAAGATGCCCTCGTAAGCGGCAACCACCCAGTATCTTACGCAGACCGCATCCGAATGCGAAGACCAGGCGACATGTCACTAGCCGCAGGCCCACACATCGACAACGGCAGTGTCGAACGGTGGGAACCAGACGGATACGGGCGCGCCGGCACCTACGCGAGTATCTTCCGCGGGCAATGGGAAGACTACGATCCCTGGGACAGCAGCACACGCTTAGGCGTAACATCGGACCTGTACAACAGTGTAAGCTCATGCAGCATGTTCCGCATGTTCCAGGGCTGGCTCTCGCTCTCCTCCATATCCCCGGGTTGCGGTTCACTACACGTATGTCCCATGCTACACCTCACAACCGCATACCTCCTCATCCGCCCTTTCTTCTCCCCGCGCTTCAAATCCGGTCCTAATTTCCTACACGAGAATAATTGGAACCTGCACGTAGCACAGAATAGCGTGATCCAAGGCGCCGTCCCCGGACGCGGGATCCAGGAGTTGAGTGAGGCGCTACATCCCCATTTGAGATTGGGCAAGACTATGGTACCGATTCCTAGGGTGGAGCCGGGGGATTACGTGCTTTGGCATCCGGATGCTGTGCATGCTGTTGATGGCATACATGCCGGCTTGAAAGATGCTAGTGTATTGTATACGCCGGCGTGTCCGCTTACCCAGACTAATGCGTTGTATCTTGCCCGCCAGCGTAGGGCGTTTTTGCTTGGGCGGCCGGCGCCGGATTTTTTGTCCGAGGGTGGGTGGAATGGGGAACATATGCATATGGGACGGCCTGGGACGCAGGATGTTAGTGATGCGGGTGGGGAGGAGGGACTTAGGTCTATGGGACTATTGCCTTGGGATGAGAAGGGCGTTTCGGGACCGGCGGAGAGGGAGTTGTTGAGGCAGGCTAATGCTATTTTGTTCCCGGATCGGTTTGATATGATGGGGCCGAGGAGGGTGAAGAGGATTTGAAGGCGACGGGCTGGCGCAAGGACGTGGTTTGGGGGTAACTTGAAGGGAGTAATTCTAATAGTGGAATGGATGGTTTGATGTCTTTATAAGTAGAGGAGGGAATATCAGAGCTTGCTGATAGTGTGCGCATAGACCACTGCATTAAATAAGCATTTACGGTCCTTAGAGATAGAATAGTATGTGGCTCACGCGTGCCGGCGTATATAATACATAAGATTTTTTACCTGGCTTGAGTTTAGTCTGGTCGTGTTTTCCGAAGGAAATTTCCATATCCATTTGAGTTCTTGTGCTATCTCATCCCGATTCATTGAAGTCGCCTCATTGATGGCCAGTGAACGTATTCCTTATTGTAGGGTATACGTGATAATACCTAAAGCGGTCATTCAATCAACTTATGATATGAATAGCTCATAACGGTTCTGATATTGAGTCGATTACCCTTGCTCTTGGAACTCGACGTATATCGTTACAAGCATTTTTATCGAGGTAGAGTAAACAGGATGGACAGGAATAGTCCATAATATACACTGCATTTCTAATATGAATACCTAGATATACAAGAATTAAATCTGCAATTAAAAATCCCGGTACACCTGAATTATTTATTTTAGGTAACCCGTTCGACCAAATAGCACGGTATCAAGTGCTCCCTAAACTCCAGCGCTTATTTGCTTATCCTTAAACACGGGGTGCCTCTTTGAGCTTCACTCTAGGCCAGTGTAGCCTCTTCAATGATGATCGGAACTCATCTGTCTACCCTTTCTCTCATTTCTTACTTCCTTGGCTGGCATTGCCATCAGCATACCTTCACACTCGAAACGCCAGCCCACCCAACACCGCCAACCCAGACCTTCTTTCCAGCACATATCAAGCACCGCCGTTGTTCGCCTAGGTTGGTGATAGAGCAGTGCGAGCACACATGCTTTCCACAACCACCACAGCTTGTCTGAGCCGCTGTGCCGAAGCTATCCACATCCATAGAATCCTCATCACTAGCCCCTTCGCAAAGGCCCTGTCCGCAATCTTCGCAATTAACCGGTCCCTCGTATGTGATAGGCGTCTGTACCGGGGCGCTTGCAGGGGCAGCCGTGCTAGGAAGTTTCCAAAAGTTGTGAAGCGAGGCTTGACCTCCCTGGGTATGCGTCGTTGCGGGTTGGGGCTGGGGTTGTATGGCGAGGCTAGCTAGGTTGAAGTGTTGTTGGTGGGCGATTTGTTGTTTTTGGGCCGTGTACAACATGTTCAAGGTTCGCTCTGTAGACTTTGGTAAGAAGGCGTCCGATTGATGGTTTGGTGACGGCGAGTGGTAGTGGGCTCGTTATGAGTAGAACTTACGGTGGATTTCCTCGTCGGAGGGACGACTGTCGCGGAACCGCTTGAAGGTTCGGCTGTGTAGGTGTGCTGGTGTTGAACTTCTCGATGTCCGACGGATGGGTGAGCTGTCCATATCCATGGGTGTGAAGAGTTCAGGCCGTGGAGGTGAGCTGAAGGCGCTGGAGGAGCTGAAGGAGAGTTCAGACTCGGATCGCTTGCGCTTGAGAACCATCTTGAATTTGGTATGTGGTTTAGGGGTTATTTGGTTCCAAGGAGATAAATGATCGAGGGATAGCTAAGAAGGTATTATACAATGTACAAATTGTAGACCGTATTGGCGTGTAAGTTGATTTGTTTTTAGAGGAAGTATGTTGATGCGGTAAGAAGGTGAGAGAGTTAAGAGAGATGGATAAGAAACAGAGTTGAGTTGAATTGACGAATTGGGGGATTAGAATTAATGAGCGTGTAACTTTGTATTATCCCCCTCTCACTGAAAGTTGGTAGGTACGGTATGGAGTAAGCTTTAATTACCACTAATTGGCAATTATGAGTGGCTGGGAATCGCGACCGGGACGCGCTGTAGGAAGGCGCGTAACCCACTATATTTATAGCGTGTTTAGTTCGCGTTAAGTGTTTTGTCGGGGTATGAGAGCCCCACTATCTTCACCATCCCCAACTCTTTCATCTACAACTTCGCTTTTCACTCTACACTTTCAATAATAGATTCCTTTCACTTAACACCCCGAAGATGAAGTCATTCTCATATGAGGATTAATCGTATAATATGTGTTCAAATTCAATTAATACTAATTCATTATCTTCGTACCATCATGTCCATATACTCCGTGTAACACCTCCATCTATATAGCCTTGTACCCAAATTGGTAGCTAGTAGTCTAGCTGCAACAAATTCCCTATGTTGTATCTTAATACCCTCTATAAATATCCTTCTACAATAAGATAGCTCCCATAAAAATAGCAAAAGCTGCAGTCGCCATGCTCAGCAATGGGGACGATAACTCAACGGTGCCTCGAGCAACGTTGGTATTGACAGTGCTGCTAGATCCACTAGCATTCGCAGTCGCGCTCGTTGATGCTGCTGAAGCGGCTGACTCGGCAGATGATGCAGCAGAGTGAGCGCTATCTACCGCCGATGAAGCGGCAGCTTGGTCGCTTCCGGTAGCAGTAGAAGCAACGCTCTCAGCACTCGAGACAACCGCATTAGCAGATGACACCGCATCCTGACCAGCGGTAGACGCCAAGCTCTCAGCGCTGTTAACAACCGACGTAGCAAAGCTCTGCGCGCTGTTTGCAATTGAGGAGCCAAGACCCTCGGCACTAGTAGCAACAGAGTTCGCAAAGCTATCAGCGGAGCTAGCAATACTGTTTCCAACCGAGTCCCATGAGCTTCCGATAGACTGCCCGGCGCTTTGCCACGAGCTAGCTAAGCTCTCAGCGGAGCTAACGACTGATTGCCAGTCCTGGCGTCTACCGAACTGACCCGCGATACCCTCAGCGATAGCAACGACTTCACTTGCCGCAGCCTCGGCCGCGTTCTGTGCCTCTTGCCAGGCCTGGCGAACAATAAGGAGGGGTTCATTGGTATCGCGTTTCCCACCACCGAATTCAGCTGCTATGCTGCTTGCGATAGCAGCAGCCTCACTAGCCGCAGCTTCAGCAGCCGACTCGGCGGTCTTCCATGCCTGTCGCTCATTGAGGTCTCGCTTTCCTCCCCATTGAGCCGCTATGCTAGATGCAATAGCCGCCGCTTCGCTAGCTGCGGCCTCGGCGGCAGACTCAGCTGTTTTCCAAGCTTGTCGTTCGTCTAAGTCCCGCTTTCCTCCGTACTGCGCAGCTATGCTGCTAGCGATAGCCGCCGCCTCGCTGGCAGCAGCTAGGGCAGCGGATTCAGCCGACTTCCACGCTTGTCGTGGGTCAATCTCTCGCTTCCCGTTGTAATGAGCTGCGATGCTGCTTGCGGCGGCAGCGGCAGAACTGGCAGCGGCTAGAGCAGAGCTTTCGGCTGACCGCCAGCTGGCATCGTCGCCACTGTATTGCTGCGCGATGGAGCTCGCACGAGCTTGCGCCTCGCTGGCCTGGGCTAAGGCGGCTGCGACGGCGTCTTGCCAGGACTCACGTGGCTTGAGGACCGGAGCAGGTGTGATCATGGGATCCCGCGGAGCTTGCTCGGCTACGTGAGCGGAAGAGGTGGAGGCTAGGGTAGCCGTAAGAAGTAAGGGTGTAGAGAAACGCATCTTGGCTTTCTTGACTCGAGGGATGGAGATAGGGATTCGAGTGGTCAGTCAGTCGTTACAGATGTTATGAGGTTGTCACTTTGACTGTGACTGCAAGGCTCGAGTGTGGGGATGAGGATATTGAAACTAATTCGATGAAGGGATATATCTTTCTTTATACATAGCCTGGATGTAGACTCGTAGGCGCAGCAACATCAAAGACGGGAAGACGACAGGTGATTAGTCACAACACTGGCGCTGTGGCCTCCAGCCTCCATTGGGTCGGGTCTCTGGGCGGAAGTTTCCATTTGGCTTTTTTTTTGTCTTATGTTGTCATACCCCCAGTTCCGAACCAGCCCGTTACCTTTCCAATAGGTATAGATTAAGGTAGATAACTTCAACTTACGGGCGGATTTCGTCATGAATCATGAATCATGTCTGTGCTAGGTAATGTGGATTGTGGACACTGTCTGGAGCAAAGACGGCGTCGTCGATCTCACAGGAGATAGGTACGATACCGGATGGGGATTACCTGAGGGGAGAAGAAGCAAGTACTACATGCGCTAAGCAAATAACAGTGGTCTTTTTCTCCAGACGAGAGTACATACTAGGTGATAGGTGATCCTAGACAGCAGCACATTGTGAGAGAGCGAGTTAATTGTCCTAGACACACTGTAACCCATGCCAAGGACAGGTTGGTCGTGCAGAGTGAAAGAGAAGAGGCAGGTAACAAGTCAGAAATCGGGTTTTCTTTTTCCTGCTAACTGACCTAGCCCGCTGCGAGAGACGATGACGACGCAAACCGGTTGGATACGTGCCTGGCGCTTTGCTACCAAGAAAATAGCCTCGACCTAATACAGTGCTAGCTAGCGGACCGTCGGCTGCCAGTTAGAGAGCCTCATGAGGGGAATGTCCTTTTTCCCTCACTCATTCATTCAAGTCACAGATACAAGCCCAGGTGGTCCACTGGTATTGGACGAAATATGGCCGGTGGCGTTCGCCCCCACCAATCGACCCCCTTTTTTCACTTTTAATTCTGTGTTTCTCCGTCTAGCTTTGTTTGGTATAATGTGAGATTTGAGGATTCGAGATAAAGTACCTTTCTCCAAAAGCTGACCATGGTATGTATTTCTACTTGTATATGGGTACTTACATGCATACGGTCCACCATCCGAAGATGCCGGGGCGTTCGGCTTGCATCTCGTTTGAGTCGAGTCGTGAATGATACTTTCCAAGGCTTGTTTTGATCCTTGGGAAGTCTTGGCGATCTCCCGAGAGACAAAAACAACCCAAAAGTCTTACCTACTTAGCTACCTTGCTAGCTGAAATGTACCCGTTGAACTGACTAATTAGGAAACTAGCTCGGTAGAAGTATATACACGAATGGGTTTATGTGTCGCAGGTACTAAACCTGTCTAAGATGGGACGAACACGTCACGTCACAGAGACAAGGGCAGCTCTAAGCAAGGGAGCTACCTGGGCAACCTCAGCTACAACAGCTTGCTGCAGTGCTGTGCTTCCGAACCAGGGAATCATTTGCGAGGGGAACATCGACTTGGTTCTGGACAATATCACCATTGTTGTGGCTTTTCGCACACCATTTACTACTACTACATTGTGTTGGTGGTATCCCTCGACAGGTAAGAAGGGATGTAGTGTATACACTCGAGAGGCAACTCCCTTGATTCATTCGATCGATTGGCCGGAAGTCAAGGTATCCGAATCGAAGACCGTGCCCCCCGAAATCTAGAACTAAACCCAAGCCACACGAAAAGACGCAACGGAAGTGGCTTTGCCTAGCCCAGCAAACCATCACTCGTGCATTCAATGCGATGCATTACCCGTACCCAAGGCATCAGGGTCATGCCAAATCTTCAGCGTGGCTGGCTGAGAAAGGTTCTTTCCTTTCGGCCGTGCGTTTGTCTTTGCTCGATGGTGGCGGTATTTAGGCGCCCTCGTGAACCTGTCAAATTGTGGGATGCGATGCTTTGACTGGCGGGTCGCGATTCTTCCGAAGCCTCTTTATGTTTTTATGTCTTAAGAATCTGGTTTTGTTCTATGTGTCTCGTACCGCTCTCGGCCAAATTGTTATTGTTGCCGTCGCCACCACTATAGCCATGTAACGTAGATAGTAAAACAGGCTTTGAAGCTGGGGTGCAGAAACTGTGCGTTGTACGTGTGTAAGTGTGTGTATGATTTTGTATGGTGTTGAATAGGCGGGGTCGAGCTCTATTCCCGCGTAACAGTCTAGTCAGCATTCGTCGTGGGGTCTTTGTTATCGGCATTAATACTCCTGGTATAGACTACAAAGCTTTATGTTTCATTTTATTTCTTGTACTTTCCCGTAGGGCTTACGGATGCTACGCGAGCCTATTGTACCTATACACATCAAGTACTTCGTCAGCAAATGGCATCTAGATGGCTTCCGAACCTGGGGGTCCTACGGGCGTCAAGCTTCCCCCCTACTGCAGTGTAACACACCCGCACGGCATGCACCGTAAGGTAAGCTGAGCTAGGACAGACTTGTTACGAACGGTGAAGAAGAATAAACGGAAAATGTGAATGGAAAACAAGCTTTCGACGTCTTATTCAATGTCACGTTACGGGCGAGACGAGCCTCAAACAAGGTTGTGTATCTATAGAATCTCTTGGGAAGCTTTATCTCGCATCAATCCTCTGTCATCTACGTTATTCCCGCCAAAATAGCCTCGTATTGAGAATATGGGGGTGTGACAAAAGCCACACTTCGCTTGTCATGAGATGAGTTCAATTTGCTGGGTATATTTGTAGTACCCCTCCTCATATATATAAATGGTAATATAGTAAGTAATATACTTGGAGGAAGACAGTGTACCACCGGAAACACGGCCCCGATGAATTTCGATCTCCTAGAGGACCAACGAATTCCGTCCATCACGCCATCACACACTAAATCCGAAGCCCCGAGGTGGCTTGCAGCGCCGGCCACGCGTGATGCCGAGTATTTAGGTATGGTGTGGCTGCCTCACTCGTGTGGATGGATGGATTATGTAGATGGTACTTAGGAAGTTTATAATAGAATACTGTGCCGAAAATTACTATAATGATTATGTATCATTTACTACAAGACAGCGGGGTATATGAGAACTGTTACGGCCAGAGGCGTTGTCTCACTTTTAGTGTATCTTCGTGGGTATGGTAAGAGCGGCAATGTTGGTGATAGTGGCACTGATAGGGCCGAAGGGGTCGGCCTATCTAGATCGCAGCTAGGGATCTTGATAGAAGGCGAAATCAAGGCAGCAGCGGGCTAGAGCTGAGAGGCGCCCTGCGTTCAACCGAAGCTTCCGGCGGTCAGATGTTAGGCTAGATATAGCTCAGCTCCTGCGGATAGTGCACTTGTTTCAAACACCATCTGATATCTAGCGATCATGTAGGGCAAGGAGATCGATGAGGCGGCGTGGTACTTTACTTACCACGTGGGAAGTAGGTGCTACGACAGCGTATCTACGGGGACGAACATACGAGGTTTAACTAGATGGTGGCACTGAGCAGCTCCTACTATCCATGTAGAGTTGACCGGAGAAAGTCTAGGGCACTGTCATACAAGGTACCTAGGTTCTCTGGTTGAGTTGGTTGGTGTGGATAGTTGCGAGAAATAGTCCGGAAGGAGTGGGTTCTGAACAAGTTAAGCACGTATACGTTCTAAAGGACATCGCGTAGTTCAGATAGGAGGCAAAAATATAGTCAAAGTGTTCATCCCGTAAACATTAAAATATTACATTATACTATATCATTCATACAGCAACCATACAAGTACATACATAGGTAAGTACTTAGGCAGTTATTATACCATTTCAAGCAGAAGTCCTGGCTTCGTGAAGCCTCACTTGAACACCCGTACCAGACCGGTTCTCGATGGCGTGGTGTAAACGAATGCGACCATCGCCCTCTTCCATGTTCTCGATATTGTCATACTTCTGACAGAACCGTGCTACAACGTAACTCACCTCCTGTCGCCCGAATTGTTCTATAGGAAGGAATGATTAGTGAACGTCGTCAGGAAAAAGGTGGGGAATACGAGAGGGACAAAGACTTACGACCTAAGCACTTCCGTGCTCCAGCCCCGAAAGGAATGTACTCCCATCCAGGACGATGCGTCTCCCATCTCTCGGGGCGGAACTCGTCCGCATCTGGACCCCAAAGGTCCTTACGATGTTGCATGGCGTATAGCGGGATAAGAACCTGAGTACCCTCTGGCACGAATACGGGTGCAGTACCATCGGGTCCACCCCCACGGGGTAGCACTGTATCTCGTAGTGCGATACGCTCATTAAGCGGGATCACGGTAGCTACGCGAAGTGCTTCGTTGATAACCCACTGTAGGTACGGTAGCTGTTGTTGACCACCTAGAGCGCGCAGATCCATCGGCGGCGACCGGTCATCTCCATAACGTTCAAGTACATCGCGTCGCAGCCGGGCATAGACCTGCGGGTGGCGAGCAAGGAAGTAGAGCACCCAACCCAGTAGGCAGCCAGTAGTATCCCGCCCAGCAATCAGGACATGTAGGGTTTCATTGCGTAGCTCGCGGGGGTCTTGTGTCTCCTTAGCTAGTTCATTAAGCAGGTTGAACCGACCGCCATCTGGCGCTCCACCCTTTTCAGGATCAGAACCGCCAGTCTTCTCAAAAGATGAACGAGCGAGCCGGTCCGCTACTAGGCCATCGGCGAACTGATGGATAGCAGCGCAGTGCTCGCTGAATTCACGACTGTTCATAAGCCAGTAGAACTTAGCCAGAGCGCCACGCTTGTCGATCCACACCTTAGCGGCGTTGAAGTGACCGCTTAGATCTCCCTTTCGCTTGTCGTCATCACTAAGGCCCTTCTCGCTGCTGCTCTTCCAGAGAAGCGAGTTGGCCGACCGGCCGAAGATAAACTCCGTCGAAGTGTCAAGTGTGAACCGGAAGAATAGTGGCGCAAGGTCAACCTTCTGCGTCCAACCCGTCGTCGGGTCTGCGGACAGCAGGCCCCATAGGTTCTGCAGGTGATGTTCCTCAAGCTGGGGATCGCTGATCATGTCGCGGGCGAATTGGGGCCGCAGTAGTGCCCGACTGTGCTTCCAGATGTCGCCACGGGATGTGAATACGCCTTTGCCGAGAAGAGGCATCCAGCTTAACTGACGATGGTGGCTAATGTCGAAGTCCGCGGAGGTGAACAGAGCGCGCGCATTTTCCGGGTCGCGGGTGACGAGGATTTCGTAGTCAATGATTGGTACCTTGATGGTATGACAATTTGGCGAGATGGAATCCATCTTCTCGGCGACATACTGAGGACCACGGTCTTCCCGTGTAGCCCGCAGCGACTCGCGCAAAATTGAGTTACCGATGAAATTGGTGCTGCGCAGCACAGGAGGCGACAGGCAGCCTAAAGCTGCGGCTTTCTCGCTGTTGCGGCGCTTCCGGAGTTTGGACTTAATGAAAGTCCACGCCACGAAGACGGCGAGGAGTACGAAGGCGCTACTCGCGTATCCAAACATCTTTGCGGGTGGCTCTATGGAGAAATGATCGTTGCTGTTAACTCATTCATTCGCTAGCTATACCACTGCTAGGTAACTAGGTGATGTCAGACGAGGAGCAACTAGGTAGTGTAAACAAAAGAAAAGCGAGTAGATAGTCCAAGAAGGGAGAATAGCTTCGGACCTTAGATGTGAGCTCCTCAGTTCCACTCTCTAACGACGGTCGTGTTTTTATTGCCCTTCTTTTACTCTCCCTCCGTCACTACTCTAGAATACCCGTCTTAGAACTAACAATAGCTAACGTAGAGAAAGGTAATAGCTAGTAAGCACTAGGTCGAAGCAACATTGAACCGCAAGGGATACCACCAGTGCCATACGAGCAATTACTTACCTCTCCGCTTCCCCTCATCCCCTCCTCATTTGTAAGGAAAGGCTCCGCATATCGATTTCTATTGCGTATTTTGTGTCTTAGGCATGAGACCTAAAGTAGGCCGGCCGTCGCTTGGTGGAACAACCGAGACACGCCAAAGGAAGCTCAGCTGGTTCATTGACCATTAACACGAGTCGCGAAAAATTTAAATTGCGTATGTAATTGTTGACAATGACCAAGTCCTGATTAGTTCGATTAGCTCTAAAGATGCCTTAACGAGAAGAGAACATGGTGATCGTCATCGATCTTGAATCATTGGTCAATCTTGTTGCAGATGGCTTTCAATATGGGCCCAGTAGCGCTGTAAAGTATTGAATACATCTTCCTTCTTCCTGCAAAAATCTACTATTTTTTTTCTAGTATTTACCTAGCTTAGTCTAAGAATGGTTCCAGCGGCCAAGTCACCGGCTCCATCGTCAGGAACTTCGAACTCCCGCATATGGGGGGTTACTTGGGCACAGACAGAACAAGGGTATCCCTGTCCGTAAACTTGCCTATTCGGGAAGAGCTGAACCCGGCATTGGGCGCTCGAATATGACTATCACAAGTTGGGCTGGTCGGGTTTGGTGATAGCGTCTCCCTGAGACTTGGAAAAGAAAACAAGTACTTGCATAAGTTTGATTAGCTGGAGCAGCCACTCATGCTCGTCACAGTGACCAATAACTGTCCGAGGATCCACCCGAGATTATATCAGGCAAGAGTATGTCGATCACTTGGATACGAGCACATCTCTCTCCTATTCTTGACGCCGCTATTCGAGAAGGACTTTTCGTAACACACACATACTCTATCTTTTTACAATTCTCGAAAAAACAAATCTTTGATTTCTCTTCTCTCGAACTCCGAGAAGCCCCGTTTTGTGATCCACACTTCAAGTGTTAGATCTCGATAGTCAAGATGCGCGCCTCTACCTACTTCATTCTCTCATTCATCGGCGTAGCTCATTGCCTTCCGGCTTTCTTGGCCGAAGCAAAGCGGAGTCTTATCAATCTCAGCCCGAATGTTGACCTAGGCCTGGGTGTCAGCAATGATAACTCCTGCCTCGGCATTGGCGTCTCCGTCTGTGATCCTATCACTGTCAATTCTACCGAAACTTCAACAGCCACAAAAACTACACCATCTCAAGCCAAAGCTGTGTCAAGTAGTACCAGCAGCGGTAGCGACAACTCCGGGGATGACTCCTTGATCAACGTCAGTCCCGACGTGGGACTTGATCTCGGTCTCAGCAATGACAACAGCTGCTTGGGCATTGGCATCAGTGCTTGTGATCCAATCACCGTCGACTCAGATGTAACCAAAACCGTCAACAATGATGACAGTAGCAGTAGCAGTAGCAGTTCGCCATCGCCATCGCCATCGCCATCAAAGGAGAAGAGCGACAACTCTAGCTCCAGTACGTCTCATACCAGCGACAGCAACAGCGACAGTGGTGACAGTCTACTCAACCTCGACCCAGACGTCTCGCCGGATCTCAACCTATCCAATGACAACAGCTGCCAGGGAATTGGCATTTCGGCATGCGACCCTATTACAGTAGGCTCTGATGTTACCAAGTCGAGCTAAACATCGCGTCCATTATTTTGCATTGCACTTGAAGCATGTTACGCGTTTCTACCATTCCTGTTACCTACTCATACCACAAAATACTTTCTTGTAAATAATTAAAAAATGGTTCATACGTTGGATTGGTTAATTTCGGGGTTAATCTGTAATGTTTGGTTTGTCAGCGAAGCAAATTGTATAGGATCTCCTTGTGCTAGTCACAAATATACATATCTTTTGGTTCTTCCTCATCATCTTATCATATCATGTGAATCACACGGCAATTGAACGAGTGTAACAAGTGCCAATTACTGATATCTTTAGTGAGATTGCCCACTGAATCCTCTGCCGCGTGGGCCTCCATAGAAACCCCGTATTACTCAACACATATGCCTGACACTAATACGACCAGTCCAACTAGCATACCAAATACTCGGTAAGATTATTATGATAAAATCTCGTATCTCATCTAAATTATTTGGTGGAAATAACGCTAAATTATGAACTTTTGAAATGTACCTAAGTCGAACGAAAGTGCACATTTTCAGCTCTCAACATCCTCACTTCTCACAAAATCCCACGAAACACTCCGACGCCATCAACAACACTAGCAATGATTTACTTGCCCACACACACAAAACAAATTAGAATAGAAAACCCGATTAATGTTTAAATAATAGTTTATTCTTAATTCAGCCGTAACCATACACCTCATAAGAACCCAAAATCAACGTCAGTAGGTAACTGTACTGTAGCTAACTATCTCCATTTACAATACTCCGTTAGATTTTATGCAGACCCAAGCGCTTTGACTAACAGATAGACACATATGTGTAATCTTTCCCATGATTTCTTCATCAACAATTTACTTCTCATATGCAAATGTTATATATACTAGTTGGAAATTAAGAATTATTAAAGTCTTAACAATAGTGCGGGAGGAGATAACCCCCTCCCCTTCTCATAGAACCCGTACTTCCTCGACAGCGAGGTAGGTAGGTAGATTAGATGGCGGTGACCTTAAGGGTGACGCCATCCTTTGGCCGTAGCACTAAACGCCACATCTTCCAGTCCTCGGGGTCAGGTACATCGAAGTCGCGCTTGAACTCGTACATGGAGAGCAAGCAGCAGAGCAGGACTTTCATTTCGGTCTCAGCGAACTTGCGACCGATGCAACCGCGAGGCCCCTGGAGGAAAGTCATGAAAGCGTTGGCAGTGAAGGTCTTAGGTAGGTCTTCCCACCGGTCTGGGTCGAATACGTCCGCGTTCGGTCCCCAGTACATGGGTAGACGGTTGATGGCGTTGGCTAGGACGTAGATAACGGTGCCAGCGGGGATCTTGTAGGGGCCCAATTGGTCGTCGGCAATTGATTGACGAACCGTCATGGGAATAGGCGGGATATATCGGAGTGACTCGCGGCAGACGTTGTCCAGGTAGGGTAGTTGGTCAGCATCGGCGGTGGCAATTTGCTCGGGGTCGAAGCGCGTGTCTTTGTCGAATAGGAATGGCATGTAGTCCTTGATTTCCTCGCGAAGGCGGGACTGGATCTCAGGGTGGGTAGAGAGTAAGTGGAGTGTCCAGGCAACACCAGTGGCGGTAGTGTCGTGACCAGCACCTAAGAATGTCATGATCTGGTCGCGCATAGTCTCGAAGGATAGACCGGCTTCACCCATGGCTTTCATCTTCTTGTTTTCCCGGGCAATTAGAGCAAGAATGTCCTTTCCGCCGGTGTTATTCTCGGCTTGCTCTTGCTTCTCAGTGATGATCTCAGTGGCTTTGTCCACGATAATTTCTCGAGAAGTTTGCATATCCCGGTTCATTTTGACAGGGATGTACTTAGAAGCTGGAATGAAGGCTTGAATACCGTGCATGACGCGAGATAGAAGGTCGAATGCGAAGACAAGTCGGTAAGCCTCACGGATGGGGGCCTCTGGGTGTTGAAGCGAGTTGATGTCGTAGCCAAAGCCGGCGCTGCCGATGATGTCGAGGGTGGTCCTGTTGAGCCATTCAAGAGCCTCGAATGACTTTGTGGTAACTTTCGCGGCGGTCATCTCATCCCGCCAGCACTTAGCAAGGAGAAGCGACTTCTCCCAGAAGACCGGGCTAAGAGCGCGAATTGATTGAATTGAGAAACCGGGAGCGAGCGACTTGCGTTGGTGGACATGCTCCTGGCCTTCAGCTAACAGAACGCCATCACCCAAGATGCGGACCATCCAAAGCTTGGCACGGACTGGCTTAGGGTAGTTATATGGGTTCTTGACAGTCATCTGCTTCAATGCCTCATCATCGGCAACAGAGAGACGCTCAGCGCCAAAAGGAAAGAAGTATCTGACGATGGGACCGTGTTGCTTGTGCCATTGTCGCTGAGGGACACCGCATTCTTGCGTGATGATTTCGACGAATTGTCCCCAGAGAGGGAAACCGGGCACGGTAGGGACGTGCCTTAGCTCAGAGAAGTGGAAGGGGAATAACCAACTGAGCCAGACGACGACATACAAAGGAAACACAACAGCCAGCGAGATCGCAACAGTAGAGGCGATGGGCAACTCAGCGTGGCGTGCATACAGGAAAGAGGCGGCTGCCGTAGTCGCCAAAACTGGCGCCGCGGAGACTTTGGACATGATGAACAAGAGAAACGCAATACACGGAAGACTGGAGCATGCAACGGAAGAGGATTCAATGCTGCGCGAGGATGTAGGAGGGGGTATATGAAACTGAGAATTGGTGAATGGTTAAGAGTTGAAAACAGCGCCTGGCTGACCAGGATTCATCGAATCGACAAAGAGTACTATTATATACATGGACGAATAGGGACATGGTGAAATATGCCATGATGCCATGTCGTAGGAAGGGTGTGAGACAACATCTACCTAGATAGGGAGCGACCCACTTAATTCCGAGGTGCCTTGAACGGTGGGAGGTAGTAGTAGGTACTGGGTTCATTAACTGAGGCTTATCCCGAGAGCTGGATACGCTAGATTCGAGGGGCCCGTCTTGACTAGAAGCTAGCCCAGAACTTGGCTCCTTCAGCCCGCAATCTCGGGAAAGGCAAGCTAAGATGCGTGTGTGACGTCGATCCCTTGGTATTATCGACTTTACGCGTCGCTAATTCTGGATATACACGTCCCGAGAAAACAAGACTGTCTGTGCTTGGGAGTTAGGCTGCTAGGTAAAAAAACGTCTGAGCGAGATACTAGCCTAACCGTTAACAACACTATTGCGGTTTAGATCTGTGACCGTTTTGTGGATAAACTACCGCTGGGTAATGTTTAGTAAATATCACCAAAAGTCCCGGGTACCCAACTATCTCGGGCTTTAAACCGCCTCCACTATATCGTAGCGGTAATGGGTGGATGACACTAGGCAATAGCCTTGAAATGGTAAATTCCACTGACGTAAAGCTTCTTGTTAGAATACGCTGCAGGTGAGTACGGAATCGTTCCCAACCCTGGCTATGAGAGTTGATTAGTTGTTTCGGTAAACGACAGCGGAATGGGGTTCTTTGGTTGAGAATACTTAGAATGAGACTTACCAAGTTCGCCTAGTCAGCTGGAAGGCAAAGAATCTGGACCGGAGGATTTCTTATCGTGTATGTAGGAGGAGGGCAACAGCCACGTCAAGCCGGCGGTACCGTATCCTAAAATCCGAAGGTGTGAAGTGCCATTGGCCTTCTAGATGTCACAAAACAAGGATGACCGACCGTCACATGCATGTAACCTTTCCAATGCTGACTTAAGCATGCCATAGGTACAAACTGGGCCGAGACATATTGAGAGCCTCCAAAATCCTAAAGGAGCAAGGGAAGTCGATGGTACATGCCTACCTTAGTATCTAGAATGTTCAATAGTCAGATATCCCGGCACGGGCGAGTCCTTGTCCGAGACTATGGAGGCGCGTGTATCCACAGTATTCAAGATTGCCCTCGAGTTACTCCATCATGTAGGCCCGTATATCGTCCTTGTACTACACGTAATTAGCAAAAGCAATGGTGTAACCACACTTGTACCAGTTTTCCCATGTGGGGTACCTAATATAGAGCGGGCAAGCCTTTCGTACATGTAAGTAAGCTAAGGTAACTTACTCTATCCAGGTGGCCGGGTCATTCTTAGAGTTCAACGAGTCTGCCAGCTTAGTTCGCCTGTCGACACAGTAGGCTAGTGATTCCTAGCCGATGCGGTATGACATAGACTGTTGCTTGAGCTTGTGTTCAATCTATATTGTCAGGTACTTATAACAATATCGATCTTCTCCGGCTTCGTGCATCTTGTCAAAGTCAGAAATCTATTATCAGCAATCTCCTCGTGCTGCATCGGATCAGTTCAGCTGTTCGCTCTTCAGGAGTTCGGCCTCCCTAATCAGTCTTCTATATCTTTATAATTCTATTTTGTTAGCCATGTCTTTTGATACCGTTCACGCGCCTGGCGTGATCAAAATCGCACCATGGCAAGCTTTCGACAGAGTGTGGACATCCGTCATGGGATACCACGCGAATGAATTCCGATTCAAGGAGGGGGTGACTCCAATGTCGACGCTGAATGAGACGGTGGGAATGATTGTCCTGTATCTTGTGGTTATCTTTGGTGGTCGTGAGTTCATGCGCAACCGTGAATCGCTAAAGTTAAACGGCCTGTTTAAGGCCCATAACCTCTTCTTGACACTCCTGAGCGGTGGTCTTCTAGTTCTCTTCATTGAGCAACTAGCCCCTACCATTTGGAAGCATGGTGTCTACGAGAACATCTGCGGTGCAGATGGCTGGACTGATGAGCTCGTGACCCTATACTATGTAAGTACCTGAAACCCGTAATCCATAAACCGCACATACAAAATTTGAAGTCTAACTGGTAAAAGCTTAACTACATCACGAAATATATCGAGCTGATCGACACCGTCTTCCTAATGGTTAAAAAGAAGCCTCTTACCTTCCTGCACACTTATCACCATCCAGCAACGGCATTGCTTTGCTACACCCAACTCCTCGGCCATACGTCGGTATCATGGGTCCCGATCACGTTGAACTTGACGGTGCACGTTGTGATGTACTGGTACTACTTCCAGAGCGCCCGAGGTGTCAAGGTCTGGTGGAAGGAGTGGATTACCAGGATGCAAATTACGCAATTCATCCTTGATCTCGGTATGGGGTTTTCCTTCGATTCGACTGGAGACGATACACGTGGAGAAAACCCTAAGCTGACATAATTTTCAACGACAGGTTTCGTGTACTTTGCATCGTGGGACTATTTCGCAAGCGCCCACGCTCCGTATCTGCCCCATGTGGGGCGATGCGCGGGTGAACCATTCGCAGCGGTCTGTGGGTGCCTCATCTTGAGCTCGTACCTGGTTCTGTTCATCATGTTCTACATTGCCACCTACAAGAAGGCATCCTCGCGAAAGGCCAATAAGAAGGCCGATAAGCCTGCGGTGTCCTCGATGAAGCAGAGCGCGGCCATGGTCGCGGATAGCTGCAGCGGAGTGGAACACATGAACAGCTCGTTAGTAGCTAGAAAGTGATTCGCCGTTTACTTTTCCTATTCGAGCTGTTCGCTTGGATACTCGCATGGACTGTGGGGACCTAGCGGTCACTTATCAGGTACCTAGGTATATCCAAGTTCCAGAAATGAGCGAGAAAAAAGGGGAGAAGGGAAGAACGTGGAGGCCAGGGAAGGGAGATGATAGGAATGAACGGATGGAGTTGGCGTTCGTTATCCCCATTTGCATATCTGCATTACCCATCATCACATTTTTTTTTCGACTTTGATTTTTTTGCATCTATCGTTATGAAAATGTATAATGCTTAGTATTCTAATGTACCTTAGCACATAAGACCTGATCCTAATTCGATCGCTTTAGGAGTAATGAGAATGAACTGAATAATTTTAAAATGAATCAGACCGAATAAACAAAAACAAGAGAACGCGGGTCGTGTATGCAAGGCGCTTTGTCATGTTGACGTTAATTTGACACTCGTTGAGTGAAGTTGAAGTTGAGGCGTGACAGCCAAGACCGATTTACAGGGGAGTAAATCTCCCTTAACCCCTGTAAGTTACAGTGACTAACGACTACTTAGATATCTATTTTGAAGTAAATGGGTACATCTACTAGTACCTGTATATGCCAGGGGGGTATAGACAGGGGGTTTAGAGCAGCTTGATGTACACGTTACATTCTTATTAGCTTGGCAGTATCTTATTTCAACGGACTTCGTACCTAACCAATCACCGCTTTGACGAACCAGTCATGTATCTAATACCTAGCTAGGTAAGCCTGAAGCTCGAATCAAGGAACAAAGGCATTTAATCACAGGGGGTTTTCAGCCTCTCCATCCCTTACCCTCCTGGCCCTAGTCCTAGTCCTTATTAAAACCGGCTAAGGTAGGTAATTATGTTGAATTCGATGGCGAAACTTTACAGATTCCCATCCTTTAGTCGTTATGGGTCTAATTAACTGTTTATAATAGATACAAAAAGCACGTCCTTTTTCGTGTCTGCAAGTTTCATTGCCCATTTCCTATCCAATCATATAAATACCGACCCTTGTTATTACTGTACCTAGCCCATATTCTTATCTAAGAAAGTGAAAAAGAGGTAAGCCTGGTAGGTTACATACCGTGCGGCACCTTCAAAACTTGATGGGGGCTATCCGCTCTTTACCATAGGATCGAGATCGATCGATGATACCCTACGAAAGCCATACCAGCTTTGTTATTGGTTCAGGTTGTTTCAAATAACTCAAATGTAAATATCTCTCTTACTGGGGAAGTCTAGGCAAGTCTTTTCTTTGAAGCTCACTTCCTATCTGATATCGTAGTTAAGTAAATATCATGATAGTTTGTTATAATGATGCTATTCATCTACATCGTAACGTCATTGCTTTTGACGTCAAGTACTAGAAACGTACTAACTTCTCCGTAGTTTTTTACAATTTCATGCAATCTCTGTCCAATAACGATCTCGATGTTTCAGCCGGCACGCGGAAGCCGGCTCACTTGACTTACTTGAACTGGTTAAACAAGCGCCTACTCATGTCGGCTTATTTAAAAGGGACCTACACTTAGGAGGTGCGCTATACTAAACTACCGGAATTACAGAACCCGGATTAAGCAAAGGAAGTGTGAAAAAAAATTTCTTATCTACATATACAGAGATACATCACTACATGTGACAGTGATGTAACAGTTGGTAACACATTCGTCCATTTACGAAAATCCAAAAGCCAATCTCCACTCGCGAACGACAACGAACACGTCACCTAAGAGATCTAGAAGGATAAGGAGATGGGGATGGAAAATGGTTAGGTACGGTCCCATGGTATCCAGTCAACAAAGCTACCCAAGGCCATAAGCACAACGAACATAAGCATGCCTAAGCGGGTAAGAAGAAGGAAACACCCCCGTAACGGCGGTTCCCTGAGACATGTCTGTATGTGCTGGGTGGTCTAATGCTTCGAGGCGCCGGGTAGACTTAGACAACCCAGCACACTGTCACCCTATTCGCCATGATCCACTGAACAATTCTCGTTTACTTGACTCGGAAGAATTAGCACCTTCATCGTCGATAGATTCGTGGGGATTCCTCCCAGTTTGGACAATACTGAACCAACTGTTTAGTCGTTCCGTCCCCTTGGTCTCAGGCATGTCAATCGTTGCCTAATTAAACTTGACAACTCCTAGTCTCATGCTAAAGAACAGGCAAAAAGTAGCTACTGCCTGGCTGCTTTACGTAGTGAAAGTAGAGACCAGCACTCCGTGGGTTAACTAACTTGCCGGGCATTGTATTGTACCGTTGCTAGCTGCCACACAGCTCGGACTAGCTTGCCGCATCCTTCTTCCCATGATATCACTTGCTTGGGGCGCGGGATAGGTTCCTTCCTGTCTTTCAGCTCAATCTTATAACATATATGTGCGAAAAGTTACGGAGTACCGGCGTTATTGTACTTGACTCCAAGAATACAAGCAAAACTCATGTTGATATTTCATCCCACCCCTTCATACCAACTAAACGGAAGACGAGCCTTTATACGATAGATCCCGAAGTTTCTTCACGTTTACGTTTTCTTTTGTTTTTTCTATTCATACTCATATCTACCATAATGTCGACGACGTACATATTAGGTTCTATCAACCAAAGTCGAGGGACATCTTATGATCTCGTCCCTGAGGGACCCCTCGCGGGGCTTCAATCATCGAGGCCCTCTTTCGCAAACCTCATATCCCCTCATTTAACATGGTCAACGTTATGGTTCACATTGCTATGCGTCTTCATCGCGTTAAATATCAAGAATATGCCATTTATGTGGCACGTAAGTAATACCTGCCCAGCTTAATTCTATTCTATAGATTAACAAATTATCAAGTTGCGACTAGTTAATGCCTTTCGTTTTATTCTCCGAACGCAGCGGCCAGCTGTGCCGCTCACGCCGTCTCATATATTCCAACCTATCATCACATCTTCAACGGCGCAACTCATGGAAATCGACTTCAACATGCATAAATCTAATTCATCTTACTTCGCGGATGTCGATATCGCCCGCACTCATCTAGTCTGTACATTATTCGCCAAAGGCATCGAAACGATGCGTGGTGGAACCGCAGCATATACCGGATCAAAGAAACCCGTTTTTGGTCTTGCGCTCGGCGCAGTATCGTGCAACTTCAAACGCGAACTAAGGCCCTACGAGGAATACGAAATGTGGTCCAAGATCCTGACTTGGGATGAAAAATGGATCTACATAGTCACGCATTTCGTCCGTAAGGACGCTGCTAAACCAAGAAACTACTCATTATACCCAGAACAATCTCCCAGCCAAAGCCGACGGAATAGCGCCGATACGTCGGATGAGGACCTGCTACAACGCTCCAGCGTTGACGGCGCATCATCCGGTGGTAGCAGTGGTAACGATAGCGACGACATTAAGCCGGAGAAGCACATATTCGCCACCGCCCTTAGCAAGTGCGTCTTCAAGTCCGGCCGAAAGACTGTCTCACCTGAGCTGATGCTGCAAATGTCGGGCCTGTTACCCGTGGGTAATTCCGATAACAAAGAGGGTCAGGAATTTGAACAGGTTACACTGGAAGAAATCGAGGCGCAGAGGCAAAAGGGGCTCGAAACCGCGAAACTTCTCGCGGGCCAGACCCAACAGAGCCTGGAGGCCGAGTTCGCAGGCCCGGACTGCGAGGCCTTAGGCAGACACACGGACGGCGCGGGCATTGTTGGGGTAGTAAACACCTTGATGCAACTGGCTCGGCTGAAGAAGTCACAAATATTATGAACATCATCATTTCCTCCTTCATTAATTTTAGATACGGTGGCGTTATATATATCTTGCATCGCGAAATCCTACAGCGACCAAATCTCGTTTTTGTGGTACTATACTATATCAAATCCCTCTAGCATCACAGCATGATAGATAGTTAGAAGCATAATGAATTAATACATTAACATATATTATATCGCATTAATATCCATGTATTCATTGACTGCATCGCAAATTACCAAGATGATTTGTAACATTACTCAACCGATGCGCCCGTCACAAGGCCTGATAGTGCATACATGTGCGCCGAGACATTTACCGTTATTCACCTCAGTTTGGGAGGGTGTCAATTACTACATCGTATTTCCATATGCATGTTTTAGATTCATGAACTGTGCCGGTCGTAAAAGTGAGGCGATTAAAGCCGAAGGCCAATGCATCCATCGCCTTTGACATGTATACCTATAGGAGGTAAGTAAGCACCGAAATGACTGCTATTTACAACATTGTGGCGTCGAAAACAAGCTCTAGGCGTAATTAGACGTACGTAGGGCGCCGATATCATATTTCCCCTACATGAGTCCACATGCAATAAGGTAGTAGGGACTTTTTTTTACGAGGGCTTTGTGGTCCATTAAGATTACGAGTGACTAGAACTGGCCAGACGTTGTGAAACAGAAAGAATAATATTTCTCCTATAGGTTCGTTCGGTTGAGGGAACGTTGGAACCGCATCTTACACCCACCATTTGGGCTTTTTCGGTAACAACTATCTTTTATCTCTGCCTTACTTCTATGGACCTATAATTAATATTTTATTACTTCCTGCAGTGATAACAGACCCTTAATAAACCGAAATGGGATGAACCCTAGCAATATAATATCACCTATCAAAACTACCCCAACCGTGCAGATTGGCGGAATTACGATCCCTGCCCCAACCGACTCAGGGATACAATATATCGAATACTTCTTGTACTCGGTCAATGCCGAGTACAATAGTGTGTTCCTCTCCTCTGCGAGCCACGTGGGCCATGATACATCATGATCCTCTATTTAGATAGACCCAAGATTCAAGGCGCCTGTATGTCTTCAGCACTAGGAGAATATTTACATCATGCAAGTGAGAATCTTTTTTATCTTCTTACCCTACTAGGTAACTTAGACCAAAAGAGAATAAGTCAGGTACCTAGACGAATGGATAGATCTCTCCCGAGTTCCGCACCTATGCGGGTAGAACACGTAAGTAGTGGAGGTAGTGTAAGGAAGTAGGTACATAATCTTAGTCCTATGTAACAGCGGGTGTGTGGTGGTAGTGTACCGCCGTTTTGTGCTGACGTATTTTATTTAATGTTGAATGTACTCGATACTTGGTCTTAGTGCGGGTACTACGAAGTACTAAAACGGGAAAAGGGCCAAAAATATTGAGTACATATAAGTAAGAAAAGGAAACAGGAGCAAGAAATTATTGGCACTATGTACCTGACGTAGTAGATACTTGGGTACTTACTGTAGCCGTGCAGGGTAGGAAGATAATGAAGAGCAGGGGGGGTCACTGGCGTTCATCTGGAAAGATCAAATCCCGGGATACGGTGGCTGCTGCCAAGCTGCATCGGTGGCTTCGGCCCACCTCCGCTAGTGGCCCACTCCCAAGACGGCGGGATGACGATCTCTTCCCCTTTTGTTCCGAGCTCCCTGATAGCTTGTCTCTCTCTCGCTTCCCTCTTGGTCCTTTACAACCTATACGCGCTAAAACTTACATACAGCTGACCTACACATACACCTACTTGATAGAATCTATTGACCTATTTACCCATTCTTAGTTAGGTAAATCTACATTCCTCTATCATAACAAGCCTCTCTTTCAATGTACCCCTGGAAGGGCAGCCGTCGAGGCTCTATTATAGCTCTCTTAGCTCAAGCCGGGCGTTTCTCAGCTCGTATCCACCGCAACGGTAGGATCGACCGCGCCGTCTGAGCACTAATTTCTAGAGCTATTGAATCTTTCCGTCCTGCTTTTTGTCCCCTTCTATACCAGTTTGTTATTGGATCAAGGGGCACTTCAGCTTTTCAACCTAAGGTTATAGTGATCGCCGACCTTAACACGTACGCACCAAATCCGCCATGTACCTTTTCATGTCCCGGATCCCCCTCAACTATTCCTTCTCTTAGTTCGTGGGTCTCTTCGCTTGTAGCCGGACCGCCCAGCTTTGTCCCATGTCGGCAAGTGGCTTCGTTACGGAAGAGTGAGCGAGTGAACGAGCGAGTTGTGTAGGAATATGGGTTGTTTTTCTCTTAATTAATTTACCGGATCGAGATCTAGCCCCATATACCGACAAAAACAAGGAATATTAGATGTGGGGGCTTTGTTTTTGCACAACTACGAACTAGGGGGTTCTTGGTCTGGGCGGACTCGGTATTGGCTCTGGAGTTGTCGTGTACAGGTTCCTTTTAGAGCCTTGCGGAATTAGATGCGGATCGTCTATTAGGCGCACAGTGACGTCGGCTCCTCAATCCGCCCCAACGGCAACTCGGAACCCAGCTTGACCGGGGTGGTAACACAGTTGCCAACAGACGCGTCTTGATGATTCCCTACCGCCTCTATTACATTCGTTCCGGATCTGGACCTACATGCACTGCTACCCTGGTCATCGAAACTGTTGAACCTGGCAAAAGGCAGCAGCAGCTACAGCAGCGCAAAGGCGACATGGAGGAGGACGGCGGCCATCGTGCCTCATCACCAGAAGACGACGCTTCGTCGGTGTATCATTCTACGTCTTCCCACGAAGGCGATGGCAGGGCCAGTCGTTCCTCTACGGAATGCGATACTTCTAGCCAATCCAACGTCACCAGACCACACTCAGTCTCTCCTTTCTGGCTCGCCGAAGAGCTCATCGGGACCGTCTCAGGGTTCAAAGCCGCTCATTCAAGGGAATTATCTTCTACGTCAAGCAAGACTCTAACAGGCGGATTCAGCGAAACGGGAAGCCAGGTTCGCCTTCACTCCTCGAGTCTTTCAGAAGCAGATCGCTACACCACACTGGCCGATCTCCTAATAGACTCAGCGCCTCACTTACGGCACCTAGCTACCATCAGGACCGACGACTCCAAATTCTTAATCGCATCGTCCAAACCAAAGAACCAGCTCGTCACCCCCGTCTCAGAGCAACGGCATCCAGGGAAACCGGGAGCGCGTATCAGCAAATCCTCGAAGCTGTATGAGCCCGACATTCCAGAGGGAAGCGATGAGCAAAGTCAACAAACCTCTACTTCAGAAGGCGACAACGCCGAAAATGACGGATTCCTCAAGGGAATTCCTTTAATATTACTTACCATTGGTCTCTCATTAGTTGTTTTCTTAATCTCTATAGATCGAACTATCATCACAACAGTAAGTAAGAGGGGTTGTTGTCGTCTACCCATATCGAAATGCGTCAATCGACTAACATAACAACAGGCCATTCCTTTCATTACCTCCGAATTCCAGTCTACAGCGGATATCGGTTGGTATGGTTCTTCATATCTCCTTACGGCATGTGCCTTTCAGCCCGTATTCGGGCGCGTATTCACTCTCTTTAATGCAAAGTGGTCTTATCTCCTATCTATGTTAATTTTCGAAGTCGGATCTATCATCAGCGGCTTCGCGCCAACATCGGCATCTTTAATTATTGGGCGCGCTATTGCCGGTTTCGGCAGCGCGGGTATCTTGACGGGAAGTTTCGTTATCGTAGCTACAGCCGTTCCTCTAACGGTTAGGCCGATTTATACAGCGGTGGTTGGATTAATGTGAGTTCATGACCAAGAACCCTCATTGTTAGCCACAGTAAACTAACTACTCAGGTTTGGCGTTGGTGCCACGGTTGGTCCCCTTATCGGAGGTGTATTCACGGATTTAGTAGTATGTGCCTTTTCTACAGCCATCACGTCTCCGACTAACTAACATCGTGATAGACATGGCGATGGTGTTTCTGGATAAACCTTCCGGTCGGCGCCGTGACCATCATCGTGATGATCCTCGTCTACCATCCAAAGCCCCACGTCGGACCCAGGCCGAAACTCATGGACCGCCTAGTCAAGTTAGATCTCATCGGTAACCTGATCCTCCTAGGAGCCGCCGTAATGTTATTCCTAGCCTTGGAATACACCCTCACAGGCGCAGCCTGGGCCAGCGCTGAAATAATCGGCCTCCTCGCCGGCGCCGGTGTCACAGCCATCATATTCGTAGGCTGGCTATGGTGGAAGCAAGACCGCGCCCTAATCCCACCGGCCATCGCCAAGCAGCGCACTGTCGCTGCCTCATGCCTCATGGCTTTCTTCACCTACGGCGCCCTTCTTGTTCATACCTATTTCTTACCTATCTGGTTCCAGGCCATTCTTGGCTACAGCGCCATTGAATCTGGTGTCGCCATGATCCCATACTTCGTCGCCAACGCTCTGTTTTCCGTTCTCTCTGGCGTATTCGTTTCCGGCGTCGGATACTTCACGCCCCCTGCCATCCTAGGCTCAGCAATCGGCACCGTGGGCTGCGGTATAATCACCCTATTCCGCCCAACCATGAGCACAGGCGCTTGGATCGGTTTCGAGGTCTTAGCTTCAGCCGGCTTCGGAATGTCTATCCAACAAGGGTTCACAGCCGTGCAAACCGTCCTCGGACCAGATGACTTAGCTGTAGGCACAGCCGCGGTCGTAGCTTGTCAATCACTAGGCGGCGCAGTGTTCATTTCCGTGGGCAATAGCGTGTTTCAGAACCGCCTCGCCTCGCTCATTGAACAGACCGATCTCCCTGGCCTCGATGTCCGCGCCATCGTAGCCGCGGGCGCCGTCGCTTTCCGAAAACTAGTGCCCGCAGACGAACTACCTGCTCTGCTGGACCAGTATAACGCCGCGCTACACACGGTACTCCTAGTCGCGGTGCCGTTAGGCGGGTTAGCATTCCTGTCATGTTGTATGATGGAGTGGAAGTCGGTCAAGAAACCGGCAACGAAGAATCCGGATGCCGAGAAGGCAGAGCGGACGGAGGCGGAGTAATAAAATGTTACGCATGAACATATACTAAGGTTGGGTTACATTATTTCAGGGCAGGTCTTGGTTGTGTCTTTGTATTACTATGAGTACCTAATGATGTAGTTTATAATGGGCGTTTCTCGGTGGAAAAGTGGTAGGGGTGTATATCGGAGCGGCGAAGCATGGGGGACGAGGAGTATCTAGGTGCTTATTTTACCAGGTACATTTTATACAATACTTTTGCATTCAATTCACTCAAAGATGCGGTGAAGGTCGCATGCGTGTTATGATGACTTCTGTGCCAGCTGTATATTCTATGGGGTCTGATTAGGACAACCTAGGTAAGCAAGACCCGGGCGTCGACACGATAGTCCGTAAAAAGATTAGGGGCTCTGGGAAAGCTCTATATAACAGTCCCGTAAGCCCCGAGAAGTTCCTGCCATAGTTCAAAGCATGAAAAGTGTGTCATCTTTCACCGATCAACTGTCATATCTTACTTCGTTTCAAATAATTCTATCATGTCTGAGGGTGAACAGCCTCTCTGCCCTGCATGCAGAGAAGTTGACATAGACGGTCAGCTCGAGGAGCGCTCTAATGACCCAGGTATCCGCCTCGGCAAATTTTGTACCATCATCAATACGACTGACTGTGTGCTCTGCTGGATAGTCACAGAAGCTATGTCGCCTATTCTAACTGAGTCCCTGCTAAAATATGCCGAGGGCAAAGAGGATACTCTTTTCGTATACTTAACCCCATCCGACACCTTTTCTGCCCTCAATATTTCTTTACGATTCTTTAATTCAAATGAGACGTCCAGTGGTATCGAAAACTCGATTTGTTGGGATGCCCAGCCATTTCGACCGTCGTTACACGTTGACATGAACTATCTACACAAGAGTAGACTGTTCAGCAGCGAAAAGCAACGTCCATGTTTCTCCGCTAGGATGCTCCCGCAGGAAACCTGCGACTTCGACTTAATACGGCGTCATCTAGACAATTGTATAGAGCACCACAAAAGTACCTGCGGGCGGAATTGTACCATACTCATCGAGGCGGAGGATAGCTCACTTGTGTCAGACCAGTGGCCACTTAACCTTCGCGTCATTGACGTGGAAGAGATGCGAGTGACTGATGCACCACTGGGCTGTAGTTACATCGCATTGTCCTATGTATGGGACAAGAGCCCTCCCAGCAAACCTTTCGAGGAAATTTGCGTATCTGGAGGCTTGAAAGAGTCGGAATTACCTCAGACTATCGTAGACGCGATCAACGTCTGTCGGCAGTTGAGCGAGAAGTATCTCTGGGTTGATGCGCTTTGCACCATCCAGAATGACGAGGATGACCGCTCCTTACAAATATCTCAGATGGATAAGGTCTATATCTTCGCAACAGCGACCATTGTAGCGGCTTGTGGGGATGATCCAAGTCAAGGACTATCCTGCTTACGCTCCCGTGACCCTCCGCAGGTCGATTGCTATGTTCGGGGAATCCACTACATCGCTAGCGGACCTCCTCTAAGGCGTCCCTTAGAAAAGAGCCGGTGGAACACAAGAGGATGGACCTACCAAGAACTCAAATTATCTCGAAGGCTCATAATATTCACATCCATCCAACTGTACTTCGCCTGCGCTGAGGACACGATTGCTGAAGATACTGTACAATGTATCTCTGGTTATCGGCAGACATCGAAATCGGATATGCCGGTGTGGTCCATACTGAAAGATCCTCTCATTGCATCGTGCTGGGACCTTTACAATATCGCAATCGCAGAATTCACCAAACGGAGCCTCACCCTTGGCTCGGATCGACTTCCCGCTATTTCCGGGGTACTCCGCTGCCTTAGTCGATACTGTAACGACTTCTTCCTTTGCGGGCTCCCTACTGCCTGCTTTGGCAGCCTTCTGCGTCTTCAAGAAGATTTGACAAGTGGCCTAGTTGGAGCTGGGTAGGATGGACAGACCAAGCGTGGAACCCAGCTAGCAAAGCAGTTGGTGCTCAGTGGGGACGAGCGCAAAAAACATTTGTGACAACTCTCAAAAATCTGAGGTATCGCGGAACGGACGGCAAAAGGATAGCCATAGACCAGGCGCCTTCAGATGACCAGATTATGAGCTGGCTCGACTACGGCTTGTTTGGACTTTGCCGTGACAAACATAAGGCCGTTAACCAAGCCGCTTCTCCAACTTGTGAGGACGAAATTTTTGGCCATCTCTTGTTTACAGCGCAGTCGAGACCTCTGTCGATTGTGCCAGAAAGCAATCCTCCCGAGGACTCGAAGCTCCGCAGATATCGCATTCTTGACGATAACAATTGGATTGGTACCGTATTCCTGACCCGTGAATGTGCAGCGTCTTATCCAAGCACGACGCACGACTGCAAATTTATCCGGTTAACTAAATGCAGCATAAAGGCCGGCGAGCTGGCGTCCAATTTGCTCGAGGGCCTCGGAGACTGGAGCACATCCCTTTCAGACGACATGCTCAATCCGAAGGCCGGTGAGCGAGCAATCTTTGACCCTCTGTATTACCAACCCGCCAAGTCTAGGAGAATTTCAAGGGTTGGGAAGAGCCGCCGCCGTCGTAGGAGTTACAAATCCAAACCACCTACTATACACCTGAGCCACGTTATGCTGCTAGAAAGTAATGGTGATTCTGTTTATCGTAAAGCCGTTGGACTAATCGTTCAAAATGGGCCTGGCTGGCCCGAGAGCGACTTTTGTCTAGGATAACGACTTCAACTTCTCATAGTGCCGTCGCTGATAGGACTCCCGCCAGATTTGGGCCTACTACCAAACGTGGTGGTCACGCTGCATGTTCGGTGTCAAGAACAGACAACAGCTTGGCACCTAATGTCCTACGCTAAGAGTCGCGAAGATAATCTAGAATAGTATAAGTAAAGGTTTCACTATAGAGGAAAGGAAGGAATAGGACAAGTGGGTCATAACAGTATAGCTCTCAATAATACTTAAGCTTTACCCCTTTTTGACATGTTAATGTATCATTCGTCTACGCGCCGCTGAGCCACAGATAGACCCATTAAAGGAGCGGGTAGTCTAGACATCAGGAGGGTGGGGTCCAAATACCTATAATCGCGGCAATACTTAATGATTCATGAAGACGGCGAGCCCATCTGGCGCTTTTAATATCTTCATTTGATTGATCGTTCTCTGGTAGAGGAAAAACCAGAATAATAAATCAGAAGCATACCTAAGTATTTCGAAGCACGTCCGACAATATGGCCAACGCCGAAAAGTCGTCTGCAGATTTCATTGAAGCTGCGAAGAGTATTCTTGCTAGCGGAGATGAGGGGGCCCGCAAACAGATGTTTGGGGCGGCCATGCAGGCAATGGCAATGTTGGAAACTCCGGTCGATACAATTTGGAGAATTATTATGTCCGTAAGTGCTGGGAAAAGAACCGGTTATATTTCACAGTGGATTTCTAACCCAGAATTGTCAGCCGCACGCCCCTTCGGCACTGATGACCCTAATCAAAGCCGGTGTTATCCAAGAAATTGCGAAGACAGACTCTCCTTCATCGGCCGATCACCTGGCCAAGGCTACAGGCGCGGAAAGACTCCTGATAGGTATGAGAATATCTGCTAAGGCTATCCGGATTAGAATAAGACACAGAATACTAATGTCGTAAAGTGCGGCTTTTGCGACCCTTAAATGCTTTAGGTGTCGTGAAAGAAGCAAGCCAGGAAGAATATGCCCCTACAGCTATCACAAAGGCTCTAGTAGATCGGGTTCTGCTTGGGGGATACCAATTCATGTAAGAACGGATTTTGTCCTTATTAGAACGGCGGGACTAAAGCGCAAGTGTATTAGGTTCTCCGCAGCTACGCGATCCTTGGCCAATATGCCGTTCTACTTGGAGAAGACAGGCTTCAAGAATGTGGAGGGCGCGCCAGGTCCCTTCCAGGACGCGCACGGCACGCAGGACAACATGTTCGAATGGCTGATCAAGGACCCTCCGATGATGGGCAATTTCAACGCCTTCATGACGGGCCAGCGCATAGATCGCAAGCAGTGGTTTGACTTCTTCGATGTCGATGATATCTTGCTCAAGGACGCCAAAACGGATCCAGATGCTACTTTGGTGATTGATATCGGTGGCGGTGAGGGTCATGACATTGCTGAGTTCCACAAGCGGTATCCTAGCGCGCCCGGACGGCTAGTTCTCGAAGATCTTCCACCTGTCATAGATAGCATCCAGGAGCTCACTCCGAAAATCGAGCGCCACAAGCACGATTTCTTCCAATCACAGCCAATCAAAGGTACCCATGATTATCATACCCTACCTCAACGATATGATTAAGCAGATGGCTGATGCGAAATAATAGGTGCTAGATGTTATTACTTCCGCTCTATCTTCCATGATTGGTCAGATGCCGAGTGCATCAAGATTCTCAAGAACACAGCCAAAGCTATGACACCAGGATACTCGAAATTGCTTTTGTCGGAGTTCGTCTTACCCGCCAGCAACACACCACTTTACCCCGCTTTGCTTGATGTGAACATGATGGGTATGTTGTCCCGGGGTCCGAGCCTTTATTGACTGATTGTTGATGCAATGTGCTAATGATACCTTTGACTCAGCTGTGCTCAACGGAATGGAAAGAACAGAAGCTCAATTTAGCAAGCTATTAGATGCGGCTGGGCTAAAGGTTGTCAAATTCTGGTCCGTTGGTGCGGAAGTAGAAGGTCTTGTTGAGGCTGTTTTGAAAGACTAAGTTACAAAGGAGAGGGTTGAAAATTAAGGGGGCTGTCATTTCATGCCCCTCACAGTAATCAAATACTGTGCTCGGTGATAAGCGCCACCTGTCTCATATTCCCTCATCTTAATTACCCCCTTGTCATCCGACCATGCTTTCTCTCAAGTGTTAGATTTATGTTTTCGAAGGTTATGTCTAAGTTTACGATCTAATAAAACTTTGTGGAAGCCGCTCTTTACATGTGAGCTGTTTTGTAAAGCTAAATCGTTCTGGTGACTTATAAAAGGAGGTAAACGACTCTGATTTCTTCCCGATATATATCTAGCCAACTGCTGTAGGAAAACAACAAACCATCAATAATGCTAATAAGAGTCGAACCTACACCCATATGAAAAGCGTCATACCTATCGGCGTCAACCGTCCGTAGCAATGTCTCTAAAGACTTATATCACAGGGCCACAAAACCCTAGTCATCATGCCGCACAGTGATATTCCTTCCTCCACGGTCGAGATAGCGATTGTCGAGAGTTTGTTGACGAGTTTCTCGAAAGCGAGGCTTCAACCCCCGTTAGACAGCCACGAACCCTGCCTGCCTGCTAGATCGACTGCTGAACGCCAAACGGCTCTTCCACTCGGCCCCGCTCTTCAGCTGGATGCCTCTCAACGGCGCTACGAGCAGCCTGATCGCATCGAAGCTAGATAAAATAGCTCTGTTTGATGCTGTGCAGAGGCATATAAGGACTGGCTTCCTATTAACCGCCCTGAATGAGAGATATCAAGTCGACCCCTGTGTTCCGGGCCTAACGACGATGTCGTCCCTATACGGAATGGAAACAAATGCGGGACCTGGACAACGGTTAGGTTACCTCGCTTCGAGCGAAGATAGAGGTTTTCGATGGAATCCGGGACATTTTCAAGAGTCTCGTAGGGACCAAGAGTCAACGGTTATTAGTCAAAAGGACCTAACATAATTGAGCTTAGGAGAGGCAGTTGATAGAGATGAGAAACCGGGCGAGGGACCGCCAGGCGGGTCGCGACAACCTTAGGGCAATTATTTAAGTCCAGAGCGTCAATCATTGCCCGTGTACAAACCCGAGATGGAGAACGAAGACATATCGCATGCTTGCGGGGCCGACTATACCTATACTAACCCGGATGTCGAGTAAACGTGCCCTGGAGACGTTGCCAGAGCAAAAACTTTATGGCAATAGTTGAGGGTAGGATGTCAACTCCGCATCCACCTAAGGACAATATAGTACGGAAGTCTCGTGTAGCCGCATTACAGGACAGAGTGAACACCGATCGATCATTCAGGACAAATGCATCTCCATTAGGAGCGATGCTTGTATTTGTCTTATAATATTTGACGTTTGCTTCCCGGCCTGTCTACATCGAATCTCATCATCAACGACCCATCACGGACCAACCCTTCCCACCTAGATCGAACAAGTAACCATTAGGCATACTGAACGAGATTGAACCCTAGGGAAGTCGTATGCTCGGGGAATTGGTGGGGGTTTGTCTTCAAGCTAACGGGTTTATTCTTCCTACGCCCGGTGAAGTTGTGGTGGTTTTATTTGGGTCATCGAGTCTACCATAAGAAAATGTACAAATTCCAATTTATTTTCAGGATGCGCGTGAAGCGTCAATACCATTGAACTTTTTCCTCGTTCATTTCCCCTTGCTTTTGCAGCTGTGCAAGCAGTTCCTTGATACGTGCCACGAGGGCTTTACCATACTCTGGGCCCAACGGAGGAGCAGCCTTGGAGAGGTCGGGTCGCAACCAGGGCATAGGCTTAATGCCGGACGAAGCCTTCATCATAACTTCAGCACCAGCATCATCATACCCCCCACCGAGAATGATGGCGACGGGTGGCTTCGAGTAGTCCTTGCTTCCTAATGTAGAATCTGACGGTACTGCCTGTTCACCTTTGAGGATGGCAGGAATTTGGGATACTCCAGCCTCGGGAGTCATAACGAAATGGATGACTGTAGGTACACATTCATACATTAGTCCCAGCTTCCAACATGGGGTGTTCAATTATGCCAAAAACCTACCATCATATTCGGGTTTGAGTGAGGCAATAACCCCTCGTCCAATATCTTCTGTTTTGCCGCATAGTATTACTGGGGCGCCCATGATGCTAATGAAGAGACGAGTAGTGTAATAATATATTGGAACGGTTATGCGAGTCTCGAAGGAAACGCAAATGTTTCAGCGTGATTGAAGTTTTGACGTTGCAAAGAAGCTACGAATTAAATGAATTGTTGGCTGAAAGGAGCTGACCTTAAAAGGCGGAAGGGTAGGCGACAAACAACGTAAGAAATATACGAGATAGGCATGCAAGGGATAAAAATGGTCTAACAAGTAGTATAATGGTATAACAGCCAACGTCTTATATAAAACAAATGACATAGCCCTCATGCTGTTGGCCGCCCATTCTCCGACACATTGTTACCAACTCTTCATAAACATACGTACCTAGTAATCATGTCCGCCACATCACCGCATCTCCTTATTGCCGGAGCTGGCCTTGGGGGGTTGGGTTTAGCCCAGAGTCTCAAAAAACGTAGGATCAATTTTACCATTTTTGAGCGCGACACTGGTCCTGATGCTCGGAACCAAGGTTACAGGATTAAAATCTTTCCGGATACTGTACCTGACCTACAATACCTCACCACACCAGAGCTATTCGCCGAGTTTGAAGCAACTACAGCTGAAACGGTTATGGTGGAATCGTCTATCAATGCCGTCGATGGTCACTTACTCGCTCGTCGTGCCTTGAAGGGCCCCAAACCATACACGGTCGACCGAGGATTTCTGCGCAAAGTTCTTCTTCGCGGCCTTGAAGACCGGATTCAGTGGGGGAAAGACGGAACTCACTATGAGATAGACGAAGCTAACCGAGACTCACCTGTCACGGTATACTTCGCTGATGGCAGCACTGCTTCTGGTACCCTCCTCGTCGGTGCAGACGGTGGGCACTCACGTATCCGCCGGCAGCATGTGCCAAACCACAAGATTGTTGACCCAGAAGCAATCTGCCTCTACGGTCGCACATCCCTAACTCCAGAACTCGAGCAGCGTATTCAACCGAAGCTATTAAGCGGCCTAGTCGTCGTTCGCGACGTAGCGCCAGTAATCCAGCAAATCATTTTCAACTCAGAATTGCCTATTAGCATGTTCGTAGAACGCATGCACTTCCCGCATCGTGGACTTGACCATCTAGATCTGCCGGAAGATTATATGTACTGGTCGATGCTGGCGCCATCTAAGCTCGTAGGATTTACGGAACAAGCGGTCTCCTCGACACTCAATTCCTTAACGCCAAAAGAGCTTGCCTTGAGACTGGCTGAAGAATGGGATGACTCGGCGCGGTGCCTGATTGAGATGCAAGACGAGACTTATGCCACTTCGCTTCGGGTCATCTCATCTACGCCTGATTTATCTGATTGGGAGCCATCTCAATATGTAACTCTCATTGGGGACGCTGTCCATGTAATGTCGCCTTCCGGTGGTGTTGGTGCAGCGATGGCGCTGAAGGATGCCGTCGCCCTCACTAAAGCTCTCGAGGGGCCGGATGGTGGTTCGCTTGATAGTATCAAAGAGTATGAAAGTACAATGCGGGCTGGGGCTAAGGTCGCTATTGAGAGAAGCTCTCGTGGGGGTAGGGTTCTTTATGGTCAACCGCCGCTCGAGGATTGCCGAGTATTTCCGTTGGATGTACTTTAAACTCACGATAGGTATTGCGATATTTTTGGGAATGGCAACTGCTCGCGTGATGTATCTAATTGTCAATATTTTATGGAATTAATTACAGAATACAACGTAGACCACTGTTAAACAAAAATCTGAATTGAAAGCAAGACTAGTCTCGGGACAGACCACTTCTATTTTGACGCATATTAAAACTAATCGAATGCGATGAGATATATGCAGATACAGATTACGTGACACAAGCTCGGAAGCTGAATAATCTGACATACGTCATTTCTCTCCTTCTAAGGCGCCCTTGTGAGCTGCGAGCTCTCCGATAAGGTTTCAGAGGGAGATGCGGGGCAGCGGGGTAGTTTAGGTACTACTAGCCCTACAACTGCTACTCTTACTACTTCTACTCGCCGTGGATCATCAGGTACACCGGAGCTGTCCGATTTCCCTTGTTCTTAGTTTTCTCCATATACATCCATCCTAGTAGTCCTCAAGGTTCTCTCTTCTCCGGTTCGGTTCTTGATAAAGACGCTGGATTGCATACGGAGGTACTTCGCGTCAAGGAAAATGGCACTACAAGGAACCCGGGAGGCTAGCCACGCTGATAGCTGGTACGATGGGGATCCCGATGTCCTGTCTAGCCAGCTAGATCGGTTCCTTAGTGAAGTGCCAAACACCATCGACGAAAATGGCCTCCCGATTCCTGGTGCTAAGGTTGTGATTGCGCCGTAGGTTCTTATTATCTCCCTTTTTTATTTTATATCTACTAGTCATTTATTATAAAACTATAAACTGGAAATCCTAACTCGCCCAAAAGGCACGCAGGCTACTCCTACTCAGGGCCTTGCGCAGCATGGGCGTATAAGACTCTAGATCTTAGCAAAGCGAAACGCGTCTTCGTCCTCGGTCCCTCGCACACGTATTACCTACGCGGATGCGCCCTAACCAAGTTCGCCAAGTACGAGACGCCGTTCGGCGACCTCACCGTCGACGAAGTAATCGTAAAGCAACTACGCGAAACGGGTAAATTCCAGACCATGCCCAACCGCGGCGACGTCGATGAGCACTCGCTCGAGATGCATCTACCGTATATCTACAAGCGAATCACTCAAACCTTCGCTTCCGAGTCTGAGGACCCGACCATAGTGCCTATCCTCATCGGCGATAACAACGGTGCGGAAGAGAAGGATTTCGGAAGACTGTTAGCGCCGTATCTAAAAGACCCCGAGAATGCGTTTGTAGTCAGCTCCGATTTTTGCCACTGGGGCTCACGGTTTAGTTATACGGCGTATGCGCCCGAGGGCAAGGTCGAGGAACTACAGTCTTTGAGTCGACGAACGCCGCGGCCGACGAATCCACCGATTCATGAGAGTATTAAGCAAGTCGATCACTTGGCTATGGATGCCGTTGCATCGGGTGATCATGATAAGCTTGTGGAGAACTTGAGACATACTAAGAATACGGTTTGTGGACGACATCCTATTGGCGTTACGATGGCGGCGCTGGAGGAGTTGGCTAGGGAGAAGCCGGAGGAGGGGAAGTATAGGTTTAAGTTTGTGCAGTATCAGCGTAGTAGTTTGGTGGAGGATGTTACTGATTCGAGTGTGAGCTATGCGTCTGCCTACGCGATTGTTTGAATGGGAATGGATGGTGAATGGTGGTTACTTGGGATGGGTGATGTAATGATAGATGAGCTCGCGCTCCGTCGGGTCGGTACCCAGACATATCAATGCTAGATGAGTTATGAGATTTACAATTTACGTCATGTCTCTATATTGACTATCGTGAAATAATCTTGTTTTCGGGAATTGTTCTGCCTGTCTATTACAGTATATTCCCTGACAAAATGCCTCTACACTATTCCGAGTTTAAGCTGGTGGTAAGACTTCTCTCGTCAATTGACTAGAAAGTAAGCTTGGTATTCTAGAGGATTATTCTCGATCAAGGCGGTATAGCATCGAGAGCATAATGCCGACTTTTAGGCATCTATCTAGGAGTTCGGTATACTAGCGACCGAAAAGTTGTATGAATGGACGAGAATTATGTTGCCTGCTCATGTCCCACCGTCGGATGTTACTCTTACTTCGGAGTGTGGGGATTATGGCTATAGTCGACTATCCTCGGGCGATTGTCAGCCACAACTCATTGTGAATTTTGTTGAATTTAGCTAAGAATTTGGCGTACGAAGAGTTAGTATAGATCAACAAAATTGTCTGCTTAGAGCGTAGACGTAATCCTCATTGCGTGGTGATGAGGCTTGAATCTGGGCCTGGCTGAAGGCGTTATGGCTGAGCGGAATCATCAATCAGTCCGTACAACTTGGGTAGGCACAAGGCCTAAGACCTAAGAGCCGAACGGATCGTAGTTCCGAGGCCTTGGCGGCGGAAACGGGATATCTCGTGGTATAAGGTAACAGTAACATAATCGGAAAATACCTAGGTAGCACTTGGTATTGATCAACGTATAGGATTGAAACAAAGCACGTTGAATGACTACGGAAATGGGCGATGATGGGAGGCGATCCGACACTTTATCCCGATCTTCTACGTCGGTTGTGTCACCTTGAACTAGGCAGCGGAATTCCATATTCCAATCGTGTGATTTGTGCGATTCAGCTTTGACGCAGTTTGTAAGACACGGGATTCTGTGCGACTTTGCAACTTGCTTTTTACTTGTTCTGCGGCTCATCTAGCCCTTGTAGGAAAAAAAGAAAAACATGCACTTTCGTCATGAGAAGCGAAAGGCGGAATGGCTATGTAGGAAGAAGGATGGGCTATGCTGAGCGCGCTGGGGTAAACTAGTGCTGCAGGTATATCACTGCGGTTGGGCCATTTTTAGAACATTCAATGTACCTTTGCCTTTGGAAATATGTGGATGACAATGCTGGAGGTGGTACATGTACTTTTACATGCAGTCTAAGTGTATAAGCTGATGTCGGTGGATTCAATATGTATTTAGTATGCTGTTCTTAATAATATAGGGGTTCGTTTCGTGAGGCGTTGAAAAATTACAACCCTTTATGTGCCTTAAGAAAGAATTAGTTGTTGAAAAGGGATAATAAACATGATTGGATTGGAAAGAGAGTGAATTGGTAACGTGGTATGTAAATCTATGGTTGAAGATGAATTGAAACAAAAGAGAGGAAAATTTGGAAGTAGATCACTGCCTCCTTGCCCAGTAGCCCCAGCCGGTTAGCCTACTAAGCTAAGAATTGTTCTGCCTGCCATTCTTCAATCTTACATGCAGGGTGTAATGTACATACCTTACCTAGTAAGGAATAGTGGATTTGGATAATAGAAGTTTTATATCAACAATTTATATTCATTATCACTGTTAAGTTATATGTAGATTTTCTTATAGACTTGAGGGTTACAATGCGCATGTACATGTATTTATTATAATTGCTTAAGTAACTACAAATTTGGTAGGTGTTAGTTAAACTAGTTCATGGGATCTCGTTACATACAGATAGAAATGTTAGAGATTGGATTCTACGAGACCAATAATGTTTAAGGGTGGTCATCTGTAAGGAGACAGATCAGGGATTGATTGGCCGAAAGACGCTTGACGGGTACGAAGTGCGGTTTTCGTAATTGCCTAAAAGGGTACTTGAATCCACATTAAAAGTACCCACCCTGTCGGACTAGTCCCGTTCGACCCTTTTTTTGGCTTCAGCTATCAGTAGCGCTTCTTCCTACAACAATAAACCACAGCCGACTTGTCAACACCACTTCTCTTTCCTTTTCATCGATATAAGCTTTTTATAATAATCTGATTTCCTTTTTAATACTGAACTATATTATACGTCTTTATTTTTTTCTCTTTAGAAACGGGAAGTAACAAAAATATTGATAACTTCTCTTTGGAATTCTACCGAGAACCAATTCGCAACAACCAACCCTTTTTACAGAATAGCCAAGTCTGCTTTCCTAGCAGACAAAGCCCCCTAGCGCCATGAGTGTAAGAAAATCACCCCTTGAATGTTTCAACTTTCCACTACACCGATTCGAATGATTCGAACTCTTGACTTTGCATTTCGCATCCTTCTCAACTTTCAATCTTTCCTCATCATCGTTTTCTTTTATTTGGCTTTGTACTACTGGTAGTATAGACTAAACGCTAACATTATGGCACAGTACGGGTTAGTCACTCCTTTTCTATTCTACGATGTCGACCAAAATATTTCTCATGCGACTAACATATGCGATGATATAGATATGGTGGACAGCAAAACCCATTCGACGATCGCAACGACGTTAGCAATGGCTACGGTGGTTATGGTTGTACGTTGAATTGATGCGACAATCGCTTACTTGTGTATTGTAACTAATAAATAACAGCCAACGTCGAGATGGCGCCGCTTACCGGGGGATTAAATGGAGGATTTGGAGGCGGCAACCCGAATTCTATCCTAAACGAGGTGTCGGAAATCAACCGCGGGATCGATGAGATTGACCGAAACCTTGACCAGCTGAAGATGCTTCAACAACGAGCGCTCGACGATTCCGATGCTTCCGCTTCGAGCAATACCAACCGTCAACTCGACGCTCTTAGTTCCGAGACCATGGCCCACTACAGATCGTTGACGGACAGGGTACGACAATTGAAGAGCAATCCCGAGAGCCAGCAAAAGTTCGGTCAACAGGTTCGCCGTGTCGACAGCAGATTAAAGGATGCTATTCGGGCTTACCAGGGTGTCGAATCATCTTTCCGCAAGAAGACGCAAGATCAGATGGCGCGACAATACCGTATCGTCCGGCCCGATGCTGATGAGGCCGAAGTGCGAGCTGCCGTTGAGGACCAAACTGGCGGTCAGGTTTTCCAACAGGCATTGATGCAGAGTAACCGTCGTGGTCAAGCCCAATCCGTACTAAGCGCCGTCCAAGACAGACATGCTCAACTCAAGAAGATCGAGCAACAGATGATCGAACTCGCACAACTCTTCCAGGATATGGATACGCTTATTGTCCAACAAGAAGTTGCTATTGCCAACATCGAGCAAAAGGGCGAGGAGGTTGTTGAGAATCTCGACAAGGGTAATCAAGAGGTGGGCACAGCTGTCAACACTGCCAGGGCGACACGAAAGAAGAAGTGGATCTGCTTGGGTATTGTTGGTATGTCTAACTTGGCTCAGCTTCATTCGATGGAATTTTATATTAACATTCTAATCTAGTTGCGATCATCCTTATTGTTGTCCTCGTTGTCGTTATATACGTCGTCACACACCCGAGCAATGGTGGTTCCAAGAAGCGAAGCCTTCTACAACCTGATGCCCGTTCGTGGTTTGAGACCGCCCCTGTTCCTAGTTTGTTCGCCGAAAGAGCCCACCCGAGAGCGAAGCGATTGGTCGAATGGCAACCAAGTCAGTGAATCAACCACATATACTAGTCAAGTTATAAAGAGGAGGTCATTAGGGGTTCGACCTCAGCCCGTGGGATCAAATCCTATCGATAATATATACCTATAAACGAAAGGGAGGCCAGCATAAAGGCCTACTGCACGACCCACGAACCTAGACACGCTATTTCCTTCGTGTTCGCTTCGTATATCCCAACCCATCGCCATTATACATATTTAACTCCGAATGTTTTTACGTGGTAATTTGAAGCCTCACCGCTCAAGTCACTGTTTGGGATCCGGACTGGATGTTGGATTCGCATGAGTAGATTTGAAGAGGTTGGCTATCTTACCTGATTGTTGTCACAGAAGAGAGGAGGGTGGATTGTCTCTGGTAGCATTCTGGTTACCTTGTCCCAGGAGAAAATATTCCTTTTTGTACTTTGTGTGTATCCCATTCGTCGGCAGGTTTGGAGAAGGGGAGTCGATTTGCATTGTCTGGCGTTCGGACCTGCTACGCTACGCAGAAGTTTTATTAAGTACTATTTCATTAGTGACTTTCTTGATCCACCCTATCCATAAAAATTGTGATTTAATATCTATGTGACTGTTTAATATTGGGAATAAGAGAATGGATATAACATTAAAAACACACTTGAGTATTAGTAATTTACTCATTCACCTCCTTTTCAATAGTGATTAAGCTTTGATCTAAGTGGTAAAGGGGTCGAGGTCGGTATCTATATATCGAAGAGTATGCAAATTGGCGGCATTACTAATTTAAAACTGTACCCACTTAATTGAGCTAATGCATCTAAAGCGTCCCTTCACATGCATCATGATGGAGGATGGTTCGAGCGTTTGGGTCCCTTTAAATAGAGTTGAAAATGGGAAGTCGGGAATATCCCAGCAACTTTCGAACTACCGCGAACCGCGACCGCTTCATCTCCAAATGCCCAACTCCCTTGAATAGTCCCATGATCAGAATATGTACTACATATTTCTGACACCTGTCAAACTAACTTAGTTTTTTATGGGAAATATTTGCTAGTTTGTTGCAGAAAAGGTCAAAGAGCATACACTAAAGATCATCGGAGCTGCGTACGACTAACTACATCATCGTCGTCATTCACATAACAGCGAAGCAACCACGTACCACCTATCGTTCGATAACCCCCCCTTAATTCCTCGAGTTTCGTCGAAACATCCAAAAATGTCCAGACCTATACATAAACGACCACAAAGGATATAGTGCAATACTATTTATACCTATTTAGAGTATCCCTTGGTATGCAACAGGGAACATCAATACGGCCGACGCCATGGGCGCGATGAAAGACGACGATGGCGATCCGTCCGCGAATCCTGGCGTAACCCAACCGTATCAATACCAAAATCGATTATCGACTACCACAAGGTCCTCGCATAGCTATGGTAGTTACGAACCTGGTGAAGCTAGTACTGCCGTCAGCCTCGACGAGTCTCTGGCGGGTACTACGGCCTTAGCCCACTCCCCTCGAATAGATACCGACAACCCGACCTCGAGCCCGCATGCGCCCGATCAAGGAACTAGAGATTTAAATCATGAAGCGTATAAGAGACGCCGGTCACATAAGCCTCGGTCGAGTGGCGGATTCCTTCTCGCTAATACTATGCTGGATGAGCCGTCTAGGACGACGGCTGCGATTCGGGACGATGGTCGTAGGCGATCGCGGATACCGGTAGACAATCGTAAGGGGAAGAGTCCATTGAATAAACATGAAAATTCAAATGCGACGGGGCTAGGTATCGATTTTCAGGAGTTGAGGAGGTCAAGCGATGGCCAAGCGAACCGCGTAGCGAGTCCAGTTCCCGATGAAGAGAGACGGCATAGTCAAGGCGGACGGCCAACGTCAAAGATTCCAACTTTACGACCAACCACGGCACCACTTGATGTCGACTCCTCTCAGATTGTGAGCATGGCTCTTAACTTGAGCGAATCGAGACGCTTGGCGGAAAGGAGAAACATGTCAAGTCCTATACCACCACGCCTTGCCCAACTTCCCGATAATCTCGCTGGAGGAAGTCTTAAGCAGCATCTGCAACAGCAGAGGAGGACATCTCGTACCATTTCGCCGAGGCCCGATAAGATCCTTACGCCGAGAGCAGTATCGACTTCGAGAATTGCCAGCCCATTACAGCCTTCATTTGATCACGAGACTAGTTACACATACCATTTTTCATCTTCAACGCTGAATCGCGCACAGAAAGCAAAAGAGTATCTCGAATTAATGGCCCAATATAGAAGACTATTACAATTTTTACCGCCCTTAAAACAAGACGCCTGCTCTCGGCCTTCATCTTCTAATATTTCAACATCTCCCACATCCGCGAAATCACCCGCGGATCCTCTTTTCGGTTCACAGCAAATTCAATTGGGCCGGCCATACAATCCACTTCAGTACATCCGGAATCGAAAAGTTCGGGCTCGGGAACGCAAAGCTATTGATGGGCAAGCATTGGGGTTTTCTGATGTCTCTAAAGTAACGGGTTGGATTGATGAGACTGCGGCACACGCCGCGAAATCAGCTCTATCACTCGGGTCTTCCCCGCTCCCCCGTTTCTCAGGAGCACACGAGAATGAGGAACAAGAGCTTCCTGCTTCGAATATTCCAAGACCCATCTCGACAATAGGGAAACCTAAACGAGTAAGGATTGACTGGAGTATTGACCCCGCTGACATGATTGCGGATGCATACTGGCTAGAACAGGGAGATAACAAATATCTTATTGAAGACCGCCATTATGCCAAGATTTTCCCTCGAAAGCCGGAAACCCAAATAGTTTCGCCTCACTCAATCAATGATCCTATTACATCTGCTCTTTCGACTTCGTCTGTTAAGGAAGGCGACGTTGGCGATATCACGGCCATTTCGGAGAGCGATCTCACAAGCCCAACGAAATTAGAGTCTGACGTACCTCCAGTGAGCACAAGGGACCGTGCCCGCCAGAGATTACAGGATATTAGGGGACATCACAAACAGAACGGTGCCGCACACAGTCATCATGACTTCCTTCGATTCAGGAAAGGTTCATTATCGGATACGTCGGATAGCGAGAGTGATCGTAAAAGACGAAACCGTACTGGTACTATCAGTGCTAATGGCACGGATTTACTTGAAAAACAGATGCAAGACATGTTAGAAAAGGAGACGAGAGAAGAACAGAACGAGAAGAGGATATTGGAGGAGGCTGGCCGTGTTAACCTTAAACCGTTGCCGTCGGGATTTACAACGCCAGATAAGATCTCTCAGACTTCTGAGCAGCTGCATAGTCGCAGAGGTTCGCGGGTAGAGGTACTTGAAAATCTGGATAAAGCTGGTCGCAGTAGGGTAGCACAAGGCTCACCTATTGGATCGGGACGGCCTAGTTTGGATGTTCCTGGTCAGAATCGTAGGTTTTCGACCGATTTGGATTCTTCCCGCCCGGAGTCACCGGACATAAGACCAACACGAGGGCGTAACAATCTCATGCCAACTATCGGCATGGATCTATCGCCTCCCGATAGTCGGCCTGGATCTCCCGGTCGGAAACCTTTCTCAAGGGTAAAGAGCATATTCCGCGACCGTAGTAAGGAGCGCGAATATGACGGCGGTAATGCGACCCGAGAAAGAGAAGAGAGGGTGGATAGCCCCATCGAGCCGCTTGAATCCCTGAACCTCTCTGTAGTGGCTGCGGAGAAATCTCAATCCCCGGACCGACGCAGGTCTAAGAGTCTTACGCGCAAGATCATCTCGAAACCTACGCATGAGAGTCATAAATCACATCGTAGCATGGGAAGTATCAAGTTTAAGCCTGACGATCAAGTTGGTTTGCGAAGCCTCTTCAAAGGAGGCGCTAAGCTAGATGGCATGATACGTGGTGGTGTTTCTAAAGTTACTGATTTGCTATGGAAGAAAGACTCCGATGGCGAAAGTTCATCTACATCATCAAGTGAAGATTCAGACGACGAGTCGAAAAGAGGTAGGATTAGGGAACCTACTGCATCTCGCAGCACGTCTCGGCGCCCACGTGATAATGATCGTGGGAAGAATTACCTTGATGTCATGCCTCCATTCAAGTCGGCATCAATCACTCAAGACAATCCACTATCAGAGGAGGGTGACACTCTTGCTCTGGCACACACTCCTTCGCGGCCTGGTAGATCGCCCCGGTTCGACCGATTGAAACCGCCCCGGATCGATATTCGGAAAGCTTCACCTCCTACGTCGGATCTTGGACGTACTAAGTCGCGTTTGATTCGCGATTCTGATGTCTCCGACGCGGAATCACGTTCACGCGACTCGGCTAGTTATGGTGATAAATCTCGAAGCATTTCGAGGGATCTGAATGAGGTACCAGCTCTCCCTGCACCCGAAGCTCTACAGAATCGACCTCGGATGGGCTCGAGATCGCTATCACAAGGCGCCCGCCATTGGTCTATCTCGAACCGCAGCCCCTCTCCCAAAGGAGGAAAGATTTCGAGAAGAGAGGTAGCTCGACTCCGCGCTTTGATTCTCTGTTCGGGTATCAAAGCAATGGAAATCTCGCGGCGTGCATATGAACCACACCCGCTCTTCGCACCTGATAATAATAAAGCTGCGATGGGCCTGCCGTGGGCCGATGTTAGCCGGTTTACGCCAGACTCATTAGCGACCCTCACCGCACCCGAAACACAGCTCTACCCCGCTACAGCCCGCGCCCTCGCCGAAAGTATCGACCGTTCGGTCCACGTCTCCGAAACCAGCACTACCAAATTCTCATCCGACACAGCAACCAGCCTCAAGCACCGAGTCGAAACCCTGCATAACCGCGTCGGCGGCGAATTGGCGACTCTAACGCACAATGCAGCGGACGAAGCCGATGAGCTGGGTCGCGATCTAGTAGGGAACCAGAGGTTAAAGGCCAAGCGTGTGGCTGATACCATGGATAAGATGCTGCGCAGACGTCGACGCCGGTTTAGGTGGGTGAGACGTGCCGGTTGGCTCGCGGTCGAGTGGGCGCTGGTTGGCTTCATGTGGTATGTCTGGTTTATGGTGATGATTGCGCGCGTGGTGCTTGGTGTGGGGAAGGGTATCGTGGGGGTTGGGAGGTGGTTGCTTTGGTTGTAGACCGCTTACACACTTGCGTACTGAAGGCAATGAGAAAGAGAGTAGGGGGTGAGGGGAGAAGTGGCCGTGGTAGAGAAGATGAAGTTGAAGAGCAAATAAGCAAGCAATAAGCAAGTAGAGGAGGACTTTTTTCAAACGAACTTTTGGTAATGATACCCTGTGGGTTACTGCATTTTAATTTTCCTTTTCTACCTACATAACCCGCCTACTACCTACATCTCTCTATTCGTGGGGGTATTTTTTTATTACGATTTGTTATCTGCGGTTTATGGATACGTTCTTCCGCAATTACTTCCCTCCCCCTTCCCTTTAACTATTTGTTGCCACTACAGTACATTATTTTTCTAGCATCACGTCACGCGGCTGCCAAGCTAGCGTTTATGGAGGACTATGGGATCGGATTGGGGAAAATGAAGCGAACAGATACTACTCTGTGTACTATTACGAGGTATACGCCTTTTACTACTTACTACCTTATGTACTCACTCCAACGAGGGCTATTTCTTTTTATCTGTAGGATTGTGTAATAATTATTATCATTTTTGTTCCATTAAATATCTATGTATTTTGGTCTGGGAAGTGCATTGTTGGGAATATAGGCAGAAGAAAATGAGCATGTGCTGGAGTTGTAATAGTACAAGCAGAAAATCACAAATGAAAGAATAAATCGATAAAACCACAATGTAAATTCATGCCTACACCCACTGGCCATGGATGCAATTTCTATTACATACTTATTATAGCAAACGGCAACTTATACAACCAGCCCGCCACCTCAAACAAAGAATAGGGCAGGCCAGGTGAATTATTCTAGGACGGACATGCAAGGCCGACGCGATAGAAGGGACAAAAGTAGTAAAATTACATAAACACCCTTCGTTTTCAACCTCTTCCCTGTCACTTTTCATTTCCCCTATCGTTTTCTACTCGATCCTCTTCTTGCCCTCTTCTGCGTTAAGATAGCGGGCCGTGCTGAGGCCGCGTTCATGACGAGCCACGAATGGGCCGAGGAGGGCGTCCTTTCGGACGTTGGTAATGGCGTCTTGGTAACCTTCGGTAGCCCACGGTCGTGGGTTTAGTTTGGGCCAGTTGACCTGTGAATCATTTGTTAATACTAATTCACTCCAATAGGTAGATGGGATTAATAGAGATGTGACTTACGTAAAGCATTCCATTGTTGATGATAAAGTTGAAACACCAAGCAGCCACCAACAACCAGAATAGGATGAAAAGGCGAATAGTCCAAACGGTCGAACCGGGAAGTCGTCTCGTAAACAGACCCACGAGAACGAAGAATACGCTAAACGCGAGGATGTAAGGGATACTCTGGATGAGTATCGGTCGGCGGTCCGCGAAGACGAGTGCGGAGCCGATGTTAGCGGCGGCAGGCTCGTAGGCGCCCAGGAAGAGGTCGAAGGCATCTTGTCTGGGACCATCTCGGAAGTTGTTAAGGTAGTATCGTTTAACGGCGACATTACCGTCTTTCCAGATACCTGCCTTTGTACGCGTACCTAGACGGGTGATATCCGTCTTCATAGCGCCGGTGCCAGCGTAGGAGTTGGATACTGTATCCGCATTATCCGCCCATATGTTTCGGAAGAGGAATTCAAACTTCGGGTCGGCGATAGCGAAAGTCTCACCTCGTTGAAGGAGGCCGAGGTCGGTGAACATGCGGTCTAAAGTCCATCTTGCTAACATGCTTTGAACGACGTTGGTACGGTCAAGAGAATCCATACAGTTCGTTCGGACCACGCTGGTCTGGTAATTTCTAGTTTCCAGACCGCCGTTAGCTGGCATGTCTACGCCGCGGAAGTACTGCTGTGCTATTAAGGCATCATGAAGTTGCTCAACGAGAGCCATAGCCTTGTGCATCTGCATGCCCTTTGTTTCGTGGTGGTAATCAAAGTAGACATAATGTAGACGATCAAACTCCTGCTTTGAGGAGCTGGGTTCAATGACGTGGAATTTCTCGTCGGTGATTATATCGCCCTTAACTTTCTCCGACGGTGCTGAAACCAACTTCTGAACCATCTGCTCATAAGCTTCCTTCATTCGCTTCTCACGACCACCTTGGTTGACCAAGTTTACTAGGTAGTTATCACCGTAAATACGAATCTGCTCGTCGAAATGCTTCTTAGCGGCTGGGATGGCTGTTTCGATGCCTCGAACTTGCAACTTAGGCGTATATTTGAGCGCATTGATCTCAGCCCAGTATACCGGTATGCTTCCTCGCGTTTGGACGTATGATAAAACTTGCATCTCTTGTCCCGGCGAAATACCGTACTTTCCACTCTGCATGTCACTGCTTCCAGCATATCCACCTAGACCGCGGCCTGTATCGTTCAGGACGACAATCTGCTCGGTCTCGTTGTAGTTCGCTGCATGTCCCTCTTCGTCGAGTCCTCGAGTGAAGTATCTTGTACCGGCTCTGTATCTTCCCTTGCGGGTAATAAGGACGATGGTTAGAGGTGTGCTCTTGAATGTGGTTGGTCGGATCTCGAGTGTTCCCCATATCAGTGGTAGGATGTAAGGGTCGGCACCAGGTTGCGGGCCGGTCTGCGATCGGTTTCCTGACTTTCGGAAGTTGATCAGATCCGTCTGGACGAACTTGTTCCAGAAGAAGCGGTCGTCGGCTCGCATCCAGAGAGGGCTCGAGATATCTGCCGAGGCTTGTCGCTGGAAGCTGTTTGTGAGGTCGACTGAATAGGAGAAGTACATAGGTCCTTTCATGATATAGGTTTTGAGTAAGGAGAGGAACTGGTCCTCATCGGGATCGCGGATCTGACGCTCGCGCATAGGTAGGAAGTCGGTCGAGACAACCTTGTAGACCATGTGGCCTTTAAGGCGGCCAACGGGTTGGGCTTTAGTGATGATAATGACATATTTGTCTAAGTTATGTTAGTTCTTGTCGGCGTGGAAGTGGATGAGTAAGAGGTAAGTTACCAAGTCTTAGTCTGATCATGCCCAGAATACCAGGTATGCTAGAAACGCGGGATACGCGCTTGCCTGGGAAGTGAGTAGCCTCGCTTAGTCGTACATCTCCGGTAGGTCGGTCGACGATAAGGGCGGGCGCATTAGGGGAAGAAGGGGATGTGAAGGTGTACGAGTCGACGGCGACGTGGACGTTAATGTCCCTAAAGGGGAGCGTCATGATGGGCTAGCTGTAAGTTGGCGATGTCCAGCTCGCACTCATAATAACGTCCAAAGAACAAAGGGGAATTATTCAAATACAAAGGAGTGTAACGACGTTGATGAGGAAAGTCGCCGATTAAATTCAAGCTAGGACGGCTTCGTGGACGACAGAAATAAAGAATAATTTATTGAGGTTGTCGCCGTTAAGAATAACCTTGGAAGTTACAGCACGGCGATTAAATTATATGTGCATTTCCCCAGTTAAGGGATTAAGACAGCTGTACCAGCCCAGTAGCCGCACTATGATGCTAAGGTTTATTCCACTAGATTATTCTATTAAAAAGACGCACGGACTTTTTATAACCTCGAGAGCTGAGGTCATTATCCCTGTCTAGTGGACCCTTATCGTCGGTATCTAAATTCATATCTGGTTTCAACCATCCGAAACATGTAACATAAAAATATGCACAAAAGTTATGTTATTTATTCTGTGTACATATCTATTATGTAACTTCCGCGCAGGCTTTGTGGCTTAGAATCACGTGTTTCAATAGTGATTTGAGAAAGAACAGCAAGGTTCAATACGGTGAGTCGGTTTCCACCGTAACGCCCGAGCCTGGCGTGGGTACTCCACTGCCACTAAGTTGCCTAGCCACTCAGCATTCGCCGTTCTAGCATTTCTAGTAGAGCCTATTCAACAAGCTTTCCTTCAACCTCGCCTCGTAACATTTGAACTCTGCTCGCATTTTAGCGTAGGCAGTAATCAATCATCAGACTTAAACAAGAACCCTGCTTTCTGCTTGTTCACCACCAACTTTTCCCTTATCCACCACACCAAATACCGTATCAAAAGCCTTCATTCATTTCGCCGCTTTTGTAACCACTCCCACCTTTTCCCTGCTTTTCGCAATAACTCGGCCTCGTCCCATCAGAATTGACGATAATAATACCATACCCTTCCGATAAGCCAAACCCTATCAAAGTCTCGATCATCAATCCGCCGCTACCCCCCATCTCTCGGCCTTTCCTTCGCTTCCTCATTCCGATCCCTATATCGATCTCGGTCTTTTGAGGGCCTTTTCAAATAATTACCTCCGATCATTAAGAATACCATGGCTTCCCGAGCAGGGCCCGCAGCCAGAGGCGGTATGACCGGCCGCTTCGCGCAATTCAAGTTGGTATTATTAGGTATGACCGACCCATGACATGTGATCTAATGCCATGTTAGGTGATATATATGATATACTAACGAACGTATAGGAGAATCTGCAGTTGGAAAGGTACCTAACCCGGCAATGGGACCCCATACCCGACTACGTCGTTTACTGACTTCTTATAAAAATAGAGCTCTATAGTTTTGAGATTCGTCAAGGTAAATGCTAACTTATGTCATACTTCCTATATATGAATAGCATGCTTATTTGACGTCTCTAGGACCAATTCGACTCGTACCGAGAATCGACTATCGGCGCCGCTTTCCTAACACAAACCATTTCCCTAGACGAAAATACTACCGTTAAGTTTGAGATCTGGGATACTGCCGGCCAGGAACGGTACAAGTCTCTAGCTCCTATGTACTACCGAAACGCAAACTGCGCCGTCGTCGTTTACGATATCACTCAATCCGTACGTTATCCAAGAACAAAGAGGTAATGCTGTTTGTAGTACTAATCATGAAAATAGGCATCTCTCGACAAGGCAAAGGCTTGGATTAAGGAATTACAAAGACAGGCGAACGAGAACATTATTATTGCTTTAGCAGGTAACAAGCTGGATTTGGTCAACGAGCAACCCGATAAGCGAGCGGTTTCGACGGCCGATGCAGAGGCGTACGCGAACGAGGCAGGATTGTTATTCTTCGAAACCTCGGCTAAGACTGCGGAGAACGTCCGGGAACTATTCACCGCTATTGCAAAGAAGCTACCGCTCGACCAAGTTAACCCTCGACATCCCCGACCAGGCCAACGACCGGGAGGCGTGAGTCTGGCACCGGAAGGCGCAAATACGCAATCAGGAGGCCCTTGTGCCTGCTAGAGGCGTTTCTGGAGGTTACTGGATCGCATCGGGACCTGGTGTAATGAAGAGCCAGGAGTCCCTCGTGGTATACTGATCTTTCTGGTATTGGGCTAGCTGCTCAATCTTGTACCGATGTTCTTATGGCTTAGAAGTGACTTTCGGGCATGGAAGCTCGGACAGTTGCTAGAAGGCTGTGAGTCGGATAATGCATCTGCCATCCCAATGCGGCCTACGAGAGAGACTGGACGTGTTTAGGAAGCATGAGGGGCGGGCGTGGGATGCTCAGGTGTATATTTCATTGGAGTTTCTTGGCAGGAAGGCATACGTTTTTTAATACCTGACTTTTTTTATTGTGTCGATTGAGTTCCCCGAAGTTATAGGCTCAGCCTCTACAACGATGCATCGTGGTTTATGAGGCTAGGTAGTGTAGAGAGATGCAATTACAAGTCGGGGATGAGGATGAGCTTGGACTGAGACTGAACGTTGCCGAGCTGTATAGCACGATGAGTAATGCAATAGATCAATATTTCTTAGCGATGGGGAGATATATGTGATGTCTTGATGCTATTCATGCTGATGGCGTTGGGTGGAATCACTTGATTGGTTGTTCTCCTGTGATTATCAACAGTACAACCTCAGCCCGCAGATATATGAACATCAAACACTATACACAGTAGGCTACAGAAGTATACATAGTGTAATAATGTCTTGTAAACAAATTCTTCAGTATGAATGTCTAAGTCATGAATTTGTCTCTCCTTAAGATTTATTACTATTCTCATTATTACATAATACAAATGCCAAGTATTCAGATATTGAAAATGGAGGAGGTACGTACCCTCAAGGTCCCACTCGACCGGAGAAGGTGTGTCCTAACCGGGATTGTCCGTCACCCAACCTTAAACCAAGCAAGTCCAAGCTTTAAAAAAGCTTCCCGAGGTTTTTACATCTCATCATAAAAATAACCCTCACCTTACGGACACGGGACACCACAAGCCCATTGAATCTCCCACCCCCCGCAAACCTAGTAACGATACTTCGCACCTTTGAAGGCTTATTCGATGCCCTCATGTTGCGGACATCGTTGCGATCTGTCAGGGCAGTAGGCAGCAGGCCTATCACTGCTGCCCCTGCCCATCAATGGCAGCCCACAATCGCGAGATCAGCTTCGAGGGTATGAAGTCATTCCCATATTTGAATGAGCTATACTAATACCAATTGCAATTAGAGATGCTATGCCAATGACAAGAAACCTTCGATAAACGACCCGACGCCCGCGAAGTTACCTACCTCTGAGACAACCACTGCTGCGTCGAGCGATCCTCCCTCGTTAAAGACGGAATCCAAGGTTGCCTCCTCGACCATCGACTCCAAAGCAGTCCCTCAAACACCACCACCTCCTCCGTCCGCGCCAAAAGCTCCAGTAGAGAAGACACCTCCACCACCGCCTCCACCTGTTCGGAGAAAGAAGGGATTCTTCCGCCGACTGCGTAATTACATTGTGAACTTAATACTTCTAGGTGCCCTGACATTCGGTGGTGGTGTGTGGTATTCACGTATAAACGACAACTTCCATGACTTCTTTACCGAATACGTACCGTTCGGCGAGCAGGCCGTCCTCTACTTCGAAGAACTTGATTACAAGAAGCGATACCCCGGCGGTTTAACCATTGGTGGTCGATCTAAGGATACGGGCGAGAAGGTGAAGATATCCCCTCAGAGTGGCGCGTCATGGCGAGTAGCAGATACTGGTGAGCCTGCTAGCAGGCAAACTAGCGCGATGCGAGATATCGCCGCTAGCAAGAGTGCTGCTTCTGCCCCCGCGTCTGAGAAGGAAGCGAAACCCGAGGGCAAGAAGACTACTGCGAAGTCTGGCGAACCACCAAAGGGAGCCGTTTCCGATAATGCTGCTGCTGCCGCGTCCCAGGCTGTTGAGAAGCATACTTCTCCGCAAGCTCCAGCCAAGAAGGAAAAGAAGGATGCCGCCGCCTTTGTACCGCCTGAAGTTGATGAGCCTTCTCGGTTCCCCCCTCCTACTCCCATTGACCCCCTAAATGTCAATGGCGCCGATGAGCCTGTAGTACAGGACCTAGTTAAGATGCTTAATGACATCATCACAGTTATCAATGCCGACAACTCCGATGAACGATTTTCCTCCACTATTGGCAAGGCTAAGAACGAACTTAGCAGGGTGGCTTCCAGAATCCGTGAACTAAAATATAGGGCCGAAAAAGATGCCGCCTCGCAGGTTGCGACTAAAGTCAAGGAGTTCGAGGGTGCTGCCAGTCAACTAGTTGGTCACGTGGAGACGGTGTTGGATGCGCAGGAGAGACAATGGAGAGCAGAGTTTGAGGAAGAGATGAGGCGTATCCAGTCAACCTACGATGCACGAATCCAGACGGAGTTAGAACGAGAGAAGAAAGTTAACGAGGAGAAGCTCAAGAACCAACTCCTAGAACAGGCTGTAGGTCTAAAACGACAATTCTTACGAGAAGTTAAGGACCGAGTCGAGGATGAGCGAAATGGCAGACTTGGCAAGCTAGAGCAGTTAAGCTCTGCTGTTACGGAACTCGAGAAGCTTACGACGGGATGGAATGATGTGGTTGATCTAAATCTCAAGACGCAACAATTGCACGTGGCGGTTGAGGCCGTTCGTGCTAGTCTCAGCGACGACGAGCACCCGCGACCTTTCGTTCGGGAATTGGTAGCGTTGAAGGAGATCGCGACGGATGACCCGGTTGTTAATGCGGCAATTGGGTCGATCAACCCCTCTGCGTACCAGCGGGGTATCGCAACGCCTTCTCAACTTATCGACCGATTCCGCAGAGTTGCCCAAGAGGTGCGCAAGGCGAGCCTTCTACCGGAAGATGCTGGTGTGGCATCTCACGCGTCCAGCTATGTCTTGAGCAGGGTTATGTTCAAGAAGCAGGGTCTAGCAACTGGTGACGACGTCGAGAGTGTGCTCACTCGCACCCAGACTCTTCTAGAGGAGGGCAACCTCGATGCTGCTGCCCGCGAGATGAATGGTCTTCAGGGATGGGCGAGGACGTTGAGTCGCGATTGGTTGGCTGAGGTTAGGAAGGTGTTGGAGGTACAGCAAGCGCTTGAGGTAAATTCTCTTCTTCAGGCCCCTATTCAACTCTTAAGATGGGATGAAATCAGATGGAACGCTAACTAATGAATGCAGGTCATCTCTACGGAAGCCCGACTACAGAGCTTAAGGGTGGAATAACCAGGCCACGGAAGGGAAAAATACAGGGAGAAATAAATAGAGGCGGAAGCATCATATTCTTTTGTGTTAACTTTGTTTACCCGTCCTACTTGTACATTTATTCCTCTTACCTTACCTTACCTACCTATCTGCATAAACTACCTACCCAAATGTCCCAGCTATCTTGTCCTTTGGTCTACCTAATCTATAGAGAAAAGTCGAAAAGAAAAGGGAGATGGGAAGAAATGGTAATGGAAAGGGGAGGGGAGGGGAGGGGAGATCACAAGGGAAGTAGGGGGATGAGGCTGGAATGTCACGTCGTGTCGTATCGGCCTATGTATGATGAGATAATAGCTCGCAATAAATGGCAGTGATGTCTGTTTTAAAATCGGTTCCGTGGGTTTTGATGTGAATTGTGTGGTAGGGTTGAGCCAGGGGGTCGAAATAAGGTTGAATAGGGGGAATTGAGTTGAGAGCACACGAGCCATGGTTGACCCTAGCACTTACCCTGGAATTAGGCATTTTTCAAGCTCATCAATGAGGTGCCAAGACGAATGGAGGCGAAATAACTTCACGGTCAACGGCACAGTCAGTGGTAAGTGGATACCCGATGCTACCGGCAAGACATACGGTTTCTCAATGTTATGAGGAAGAAAACTCGCCAACCAGACCAATACCTAGGTATCTAGGTACGGCCGGGTGAATATTAGTACGTTTCGACTACGTACTCGGGCGCAAAGTCGACAGCATTGTTACATTCTCGATGACAAGTCTGTCTAGTGTCATTTCCCCCTTCGGAGCTGTGTGTTAGAGAAGCAAATAGCTTCTTGTAAACTCAATTCTAGGGGCAGTCTGGGGAAAAATTCGATATCTTTGGCATCTTGATTTATGAGGCTCTTAGAGAAGAATGTCATCTGATACTAGGTATATACTCGCCCCGGGATGATCGACAACAGCGGTAATAGAGGGTTGACCATCTAAATTCAGTACTTTAAGCACATTTGGAATATGTAAACCGGTCTAGAGTACCGAGATCAGAGCTTGATATTCATGACTCTATATGTTACCATTTGGAGTAAGACGAAATCTAGCCCTTATTCAGCCGGCTAGGTAGATGGATTGACTCCGGGGTGTCACTAAAATATCATACTATCGACACACCCGGGGTGGTAACCGAATACTTGGATTGTATTACAACACCTTCATGCTTGGAGCTGAAGACATACATCTACGGAGGTCTTCGTAATCTGTGGTCAAAAAGCGGTAGGCTTTAGAAATTGTGTGATCAGCACACCCACGTCTTGGACTTTCCCTACTCCGCTACTCCGTAGTGGCTGTCAAAAGTTCCCGGAACTGGCCAACTGCGGTAGAGTGGTGCCGCGGGCTCTGGGACGGGCTGGAGTGTCTTAAAATCAAGTCTGTCGTAGAACTCGTAACCTGCAAGTCTTGGATCAAATGATTATGAGGCGCCTTAGACGAGACGAGATGTGGGTGACACCTATCCAGATGGTTTATCAGACATGTTACATATGACTGCCACCATCATATGATTTGAACTACCAAGGTAGGTACATCATGCTTGCGGCTCTGCTGAGCCATCACAAGAAAGTCACTGTGTCAATTGGCTCAAGATGTACTGGGGACATCAGAATGCGATTGGCTTATCAATGTTACACTGCAGGTCCACCGGATACACTTCACACCCGATCCATCTAGGATGCGGCCTTTCCTAGATTCCCAAACCCCACCGGTCTACCAATTCAAGGCTCTGGGGAGAATACCAAGAATCTAACCTCAATACTTTCGCGTGGTGCATAATCAGGGGACGGAACAGCATGGTTAAATGCAGCGTGAGGTACCCCTTCAGTGAAATTAGCGAATCAACGTAACCGAATTGCAGGATCATAAAGCAAATTCATTTAGACTTACATTTAGTCTCAACATCAGCCGAGTCGAAGACCTTGAAAATGCAGATTTCGTCCTTGGTCATTCGACTCAAGTAGTGAAACTGGAATGAGTCGCTATACTTGACCATATAGCTCCTTCGGATATCATCTGTATTGATGAACTCAGTCTCAACTAAATCCTCTTGGCTCACCGTACGCGCGTCGCAGAGGGCGAGCGGCAAGTCCTCAACGACGGCAACAAGTGGTCTCCATATGCTAAAACACCGTAGGAGTCAGCGAGGATCATCCTGCAATGAATCCCTCCAATTCCAGACTTGAAAATGCACAAAAAAAAGAAGAAAAAAAAAGATCCCTACTTGATAACTTGAACTCTGTGACCATGAATCAGAGCCTCAATCTCGGCGCCAAACTGTTTTCGAATTCTATGAAGGACACCCGCAGGGCTTTGGTCTGGGAATAAAATGCGATCAGCTAATCTTGTCACACCTTTTCTTCCCTCCTACTTGTTCCGTCCCTCTTTCTCAGCATTGGTGGATTTTTCCCTTTCTTTTCTCAGCAAGCCACAGAGTTACACTCACCTATGTGCACAATGTAGGCAGGTGATATTTTCACCATCCTATCGGCGCCTGGATTTTCCAGCACATTTTCAGAGCCCGATTTCCTTATCTGTTGCACCACATGCAAAGGTTAGGAGACTCCTGAATCGTATAATTGCCTAACCGATGAAGAGAACATACCCTCCAGTCCAAGATTTTGCATGTTTCTATATCGCTTCCCAAACCAGGAACCTCCGAAAGTGCCCGGCGCAAATCCTCGATGTACTTGGTACTTATGTCCGTCTCGTCGTTCCAGTTCACATTGGGGAGGATTCTACTTTTGAAAGCAAATCCATGTATTTGGAGAGTATATTCGCGCTCATGACCGCGTACGTCCTTGATACTTTGTGGTGGACCGAGCTCGAAAGACAGATTGCCCGGTTTGCATTCGGGAGGAAGAGGCTCAAAGATGTGGTAAGGCCTCTCCGTCTCATACAGTGGCGAAGCCTGCATATACCAAAGTTTGGTTGTCTCGTCCATAATGTTGCACGTCGTGACCGCTGAAGAAGGATGAGATACCGGTAACTAGCTTCCGCGGGTAATGGCGCAATTTATGTATCCATGGATACGGGAGACCTCGTGGATACCGGGCGAGAGCAACGGCTTCTTGACCGTATCACATATAATGTATGTCCTGACGAATGTGGTGCCTGTTATGATATAGACAGGAATAATTGCGAAGTTCCAATAACCACCAGACCCGAAAGTCAGCCGCATTCTACGATTAAGGGGGGTACGTAAATATAATCTTCAGATATAAGGCTAGGAGAAGAGCCGCAGAAGTAGTTAGTCCTAGACTCTTTCTATTTTTCTGCCCACGGTTGATATTTGCTAGACACTTCTTATACCTACCTAGGTACTGCCAATTATATACTCGTGCAAGCAATTAGAGAATCAAAGGAAGCCATTCCAACTTAGAAGTAACCGATATACATCGCTAGAATTCCCAATATCAAACTACGCTGGTAAGTATACTTGCTATCGAGTCATATGCTCAAGCTAACTAATTTTTCTTAGTTCTGCGGATGAAAATGGCGACCTCTAGCACCAAGCAAAGCCTAGGCGACCAGAAAGAGAGAACACCCAAGGTATCACAAGCATGGGCCCCTGAGGCAGAAAAGAAACTAGGGATGGACACACGATCACAACCTTGGAAGGAAGTTATGAAATTATATACCAGAATAGCCGACCCTGATCAACCTGGCGGTACCAGTCAAAGCAATTTGGGGAATCAAGGTTCTGATTCGAATACTGGCCCCCGTCCGGAGCCTGAACCGCCGGTCACCTGGTAGATTCTACCGTTTCAATGTTCTATCACGAAAAGCACGTTTCACTCTCAAGGGTATTTGGATAGTGTAGCTCGTCAATGGCGGGGATTCGTTCATTTTAGTTGGGTATTCATAACATCACGTTATAGGCAGAAACATATAGTTGATATATGGTTCTATGGTGGAACTTACCTATGTGATATCTTTATCCCATAATAATTCGCGCCAGCTCTAGGTGGAAGGGAGTTATTCTAGCCCTTCTCAGAACAAGCTTGAGTGGTAAAATAAGTGGCAATTAATGATTTATACGAGAGAATACATCCCCAAGAAAGGCTATTAAAACGGTACCGAACCCTATAAGGACGTCTTGTACGCAGAACATTTTAAAGCCTTGTTTATCGATGCGCGATGGCTGGGGATGCGAACTTTCCTACCTAGGGGCTCATCGTCTCACCTCGCCCTCAACAAAGCTAAATATTGCATGTACAAGTGTGATAACTAGGTAAGTAGAATTTCTGCCTTAATTGACACGTTCGCGAGTACGAAAAGCTTAGTATCTACCAAGGTACCTAAAGTCAGCTCTACACCGTATAGTCGTAGTCATACCTGGTGAAACATCAATCCCGACCCCTACTAAGATCGAATCTGTCGGCTGAGGCTTAATGTAATGTGGACCTTAAGTAACGATCCTCCAATTACCCGGGAGAATAATCCGGAGAAACTACTTATGCCGTGAGACCTCTAGAAGAAAGTCGAAGGTCTCAATAACGAGGTTAGGTAAGTGTGGATAACCACAGTAGACACAGTGTCTGGAGCCTTAAGGTACATTATTAGTCGATGATTAGATCGTTTGGGTGACGAATACCCCTATTGGGCTCCCGTAAATTTTACTTGGGTACCTTGCCATAAGGCAGCCGCCATGCCACCTTGCCCCGGCCGGGCATATTCGCCACCAGGCTATTCAAGTCTCTGTACAACTATTCTAATTAGCATTCAAGTAAATGCGCTATTTTACTATCTTGATTTTATTATTACCCAAGTCGATCCGAGATATCCTATCCATAAATGTTTGCAAAAGCAGCCAGGAATATTTTCCAAGTCCGAAACTCTCCCCCCAAAAGGCCGAATATGTCAGAAGACGCGACGGGTTTATGCGAGCCGCTTCACTCGCCCGATGATGCGAATGTGGAGTAAGCGCCTTATTCTTAAATTATAGATCAATGACTTATTTTATACAGCATCGTATTTGTTCACGGACTAGGTGGCCATCGTGTCGAGAGTTGGACATACAAACCTACTGAAGAAGTACCGGTCGAAAGTTTTTGGCCAAAAGATTTCCTCAAGTCTGCTTGTCCCACTGCTCGTATCCTGTCTTTCGGATACGACTCACATTTCACTCATTTCTATCCTCTCTTCGGACCTAAGAACATACCCGTGGGCACTACCATTGACGACCACTCTGGTTCCCTTTTCCTGGACCTCAATAATCTACGAGCTAGTACCGAGACCGTAAATATAAATTGAATTTCATCTTGAACTCCTACTATGTGGAATGCTAATAATAAATTTTCATGTGCAGCCACCAGAGCGGCCCCTGATCTTCGTAGCACATAGCCTCGGTGGGCTCGTTGTCGCAAATGCCTTGTCACGCCTTACGGAAACGAATACTGAAGATAAGAACCTTGCGAATACTACTTTTGGTGTGATATTCCTTGGAACGCCATTTGAAGGAGCTTCGTTAGCACGATGGGGTACCATAGCCCTTAATCTCGTCAAGTTATTTTCATCCACAAACAAGGAGTCTGTCAAAGATCTCCAAGAGCAATCACAGAGGCTAGCAGCCATAAACGACGCCTTCTATAAATACATTAAGGTCCGCGATAGGTCTCAAAAAACGTTACGTCTTGCTTGCTTCTATGAAGAATGGCCCACCTACGTTGGGAGGAACAATATCGGCGTTGTTGTCCCAAAAGCCTCTGCGACGTTGAGTGGAATCAACCCCGTACCAATTTCGGCATCACACTCTGGAATGTGCAAATTTGCGGATGAATCCAGAAACGGGTATAAAGCAGTATCCGGTACCCTAAGTCGATGGATTAAAGAGCTAGATCGACAAGGGCCGTCGAATCACGCGACTGTAAGTGAAAAACATTCCGTATTTCGATTACTACAGCCCGGGAGTGCGCGCCGATTTTTAACATATTAACTAGGGTGGTGTTGTTCACTCAGGAGACATGAAATTTCAGAGCACAGTCCATAATTCGGGCATTATTACCCGTGATATCGATGGAAATACACCGGATGCTGTTAGATTGACTGGAACCGTCGTGAGTAAACTCCACTTTACATAAATTATTCCTGTTTTGTGGCTGATGGGTTGAACGCGTAGAACTACTACGGCTCAGACTACAAACCCCAATCTTAACCTGGGCTACGGGTCTTAGAGGTAGAGTGTAGGCTAATGCTGGAGTTATAATAAAGATAATTTCTTGAAGTTTCCTAAGCTAGCGAGTATCGTCCATCATTGAATTATGGAGAACTGATAAGTGTCGTTGGATACTTCGATCACAAGTATGTCTGTTAAATCTAGTCTGTGAAGTACGATCTCGGCTGTCCCTAGGAGCTGCTGTGATCGTTCAGCGAATATCAATCCTGTAGGGGCTTACAGCAAAAATGAATAGCCATTGAATAATTACTAACGCTACCTCTATTAGTAACTTGAGTACGCGTACTTCCAAACCCAAAGAAACCAAAACTGGAGGGTGTACCTAAGAAAATTTCTACTTTGTTGAAATGTCTCTATGTACCCAGGCGCGCATGTGGCGTCTAGGGGGTCTGGATGTTCATGCTAAGAGTAGGTTCTCATATATACTGCGTGTAAACTAGCCTTAGTATAAGAGCACTTTCTTAGGTGCCTCGGTAAGTTCCTGTGCAGGCGGGCGGTGTCGGTTCGGGCACCAATAAATCGAACGCCTAAGGTCCTGTATACCAAGTACACATGTATCTAATGTGGCGAAGACACGCCGAGTGAACAAGACGAAGTAACATAGGTAGGTAAGCGATTCGAAAGAGCCATCTGAGTGATTAGGTACCTAGGTACGTACTTATATACCTGATTTCTTAAACAAATTTAGGCCAAGCGGAGAGGACTGTTACTCTTGCCTTCGTTTCCGGTAGCCCGCTCTTGCACTCGCTGGCCCTCATCCTTATTACCAAACCGATTCCGCTTACCCAGGTGGCCGTAAGACATACCCTACGTGCGGTTTAAAGGTATGGAATCTTCACCTATGTTTTCATTCATCCATTACTCACGAAAAACAGATGGAGGATTATCTAAATCATCACACCAATATCAACTACAACTTAAGCAACCCAGGCGTTATAGTAGGCAGAGCAAGTAGAACTCTAATCGTAGGTAAGGAACACTCACCTCTCTACTAAACATGTGTCTATAGTGCTTTTCTGACCACAGCTAGGGACCCAGAATAATCATATCATGAGAAATGAAAACAACGTCAAGCGGGAGGTACATTCAGACCTCCCTAAATTCCCCGGTTAGTGTCTACGAAACGCTCCGGTGATATTCCCTGCTAACCCCAGAGGCGCGCGAAGTTTTTAGTATTCCATTCCCTTCCAATCCGAACTTTTCCGGTCGATGTGATATCCTCCGCACCCTAGATGAAAAGATTCGTAGTGTAGCACCTACCGCTACCTCCGAAGAACAGCATTTGAGGTCATGTCTGGTATATGGGATAGCTGGGGTAGGGAAAACTCAAGTTGCTCTCAAGTACTGCTATCGCTACAAAGCATCATACGACGCGATATTCTGGCTTCAAGCAGAGAGCAAGGGGAAACTATTTCACGACGCACTCGAAATGCAACGGAAGCTCCAGCTTTCCAAAGAAGAAAATAAGGACACTATCGTTGAAACACTTCAACATTGGCTTCAGGTGACTAGTAAGCAGGAAATAGGAGTTCATGCAGCTATTTCGCATACTAATAGTTCTTAGAGAACAAATGGCTTCTTGTGTTTGACAACGCGGAATGCTGGGGGACTCTAGAGCCTTTAATACCTCGAACAGCACATGGTTCAGTAATTATTACATCGCAGCATGACATGTTTGGCGATATGACTACCTCCAATATACACCTCAGACCGCTTAACAAATTCGAGGGAGGAGCCCTTCTTGCGAAGCACCTAGGTAATCATGGGCACCACACGGATGATCAAAACGATATAAATTTATTATGTGACGAGCTAGGTGGCCTTCCCCTAGCCATAGCACAAATTGCTGGCTACATCACTCAGTCCAAGTCTTCTGTCACGGCCGTCCTTGCTAAATTCCAGAAACGCAGCTCTATGGCGAAAATTTTTGACGGATTTACCGGCGTCCCGGCACTTCAGTATAACAGGACCCTCAGTAATGTCTGGGATGTAGCATTGCAGGAACTGGATGAACCGGCGCAAACCGTTCTCCAGGTACTCTCCATGCTCGATGCAGATGGGGTCCCCCATTCGTTACTGTTTGGGGACCACGGATGCGCACAACTATTGGAGTTGAAAGATTCTGAACGGTCGGTTACCAATCTATATCTTAAGTTGTTTGAGGCCACTTTAAGCACCTATGAGCTAACTAAGGAGCTGGAGCAGTGCTATCGCCACCCTCGCAACTAGACAACTTGTTACTATTTCAAAAAATAAGGGGGAGAAAACATATTCAACGCATCGAGCCTTGCAGAAGAGTGTGCAGCTGAGATTGGATGGCAATGGCAAGTTTCAGCACATTTTCCAAATAGCTTGTGGCCTGGTCCGCAGAAAGTTTCCTCGTCAATCGCCAACCCAACTCCCACAAAACGACAAGTGGAATGTTTGCGAGCAACTTAGTCCTCACATAATGAGCCTCAGGAACGTATATGAAGCATCGGATAAGAAAGATCAGTTATTGTCTATAGAGTTCGCACAACTTCTCGGCGACGTGGCGAATTATTTTTGGGAGCGAAACCTTACTGTCACTGGTCTGGAGGCCTGCGAAACCGCAGAACGTATCTGTGATGGATTGACTGGAAAGTTCTTAAGTGAGAGGGCTGAGATTTACATCTTGGGTGTAGGCCTAAGGGAGTATCATGGGATTTCCGACCGCGAAGCATCGCGTTACCGCTGCGAAAAGTCATTGGCACTCCGCCAAGAATACATCAACAACCTACCACCTGCTAATGCAAGTAAAGTTGACGTGGAGAATTATGCCAATGCCTGGCATAATCTAAGCTGTATTCTCATGGAATATGGCTTTTACGAAGAGGCTCTACAATACCAGGGATTGGCTATTTCTATTAGGAATACGAACGGCGAGAGCAACGAGATTGCCAATGCCCAAAGTGAGCTATACAGGAGCCTCTGTCTTACCGTGCTCGGGAAACATTCCCAGGCTCTCAAGGTGGCTGAATCTCTTGAAGTCATGATCGAAGAGCTACCGAATGAAGAGAAGAACATGCTTTCGGTGGCCCTAATACAGTTTCAATTTCACTTGGCAGAAGTATACTTTGCTACCGGCCGAGTTGAAACTGCCCTTGAAAAAATGCAAAAAGTCTCGGAGTTACGAGGTCAATATTTTGGATTTAAGGGAGCTACACTGGATGCATACTATATGCTCGGTGTTATGGAATGGCGGAGGGAAAATATTGATGAAGCTGAGTAAGATTTTTGCTTCCATATTTGTTCTAATTTTGATTATTTTTTTTCATTTTCCAGACAATAATTCATTACCCCTACCCAATAATTGCCTTTCCCTCCGAGCTTTTCATTTCTACTACACAGCCTTCAAATGCGTCGCACTAACCTGGGGGCAGAAAATATTTTCGAGCTGCACTTGAACATTCGAGGCTCGAGGAGTGGACAGAAGGAGTCAAGCCCCAGCAATGGACTGAAGAGGCCGAGGCTCGGACGGAATTCTGGTTGGGGAGATTGCTTATGAGAAAGGAATGTCATCCGCACGCCACATGGAATTTAAAACGCGCAAATGAAACTAAGAAGAGGCTGTGGAAGCCAATCGAAAGTATGAGTGGTAGAGCTGTAAGTGACGGGGAAGCCTTCGACTATATGGTGGCATTTGGGTCAGGCAGACCGGAGATCACTTACGAGAGTGTGTTACAACGCCGTAAGACGGAAACCGACGAAGTATGCAGCCAGCTGAAGAGGAAGCTAGAAGACGCCAGCGTCGGCAAAGGGAGCTTGCAGCCTGGAGAAGTCGTGCAATTAATGAAGCTTGACAACTTTCCCGGCAAAGAGGGGGTTGTGACCCACAGGAGGGTAGTACCATGGTTCGGTGTGATATGGCTAACTGCCGTTTCCGTATCACTTGTGCTTTGGTATGTTTGCTCGCTTTAGATTTATGCACTTTACATACCAGCATGCGTGGCATGCCTGCTTCTAGCCGATCCGTGGAAATACTTGAGGTCCTAAATTTCATTTTTTTTCGTGTCTTAAGATAATGCTGTTACGGTCGGGATAATGCTGCCTGATACAGTAAGTACCCAGAGAATTTGGTTTGTTTATCTATCTACCCCCACACCGGTTCAATATTATCTATATACTTATTTATACATGTACCCCAAAGGTGTGGGCTAATATTTGCAGTTTCAATTTCGAGGTCGAGGCTCTGTAATTCTGTACTGTAATACTGTGCGAGCACGGGGTTATATGCTCCTTACTCCCTTGGCCTCTATCTTGATGTTCTTGGTTCTTCATTTATTTGAAATGTTGTATGTATCTAGCTAAATCATGTGAGAAGTCAATCAACCCCTAATACACTGGGAACTGCGATGACTAACCTTTATATCGACGGATAGGCTTGGAATTGGATTTCAAGATCTCGAATCCCTTATTACCAAGATCTGTTATATTGCTGGTACTCCTGGCATATCTTTTGGTGTCCTCCATGGCGGCAATGTGATATATCGAGGGGGCCTTGGCCTCCATAATGTCGACGCCCAGCTCAATGCCAACAATGAAACTATATATACCATAGCATCTCTTACAAAAGCCTTCACCGCTGCGATGGTTGGAGTGTTGGTGGATGAAGGGCGATTAAACTGGACGACCCAGTTACACGATGTCGTACCTGCGTTCCAGCGAAGGGATGCTGCTGAAAATGTTACCATCTCGGATTTGCTGTCGCATCGATCTGGACTGCCCTCATATGACTCTCTATGGTTACTCTCTGATAACAAGATAGTTTTAAGTCGAGCAGAGATGATATCCACGTTTAACTATGTCCCGGTCGCTGCACCACTGCGGTCCGAGTTCATTTATAATAATATTGCCTATGCAGCGTTAGGCCAGGTTATTGAGACAGTATCCGGTACTGACTATGCGTCATTCTTGCAGGACCGCATCCTAAAGCCACTGAATATGTCACGGACTTATTACACTAGCCTGCCATTGGGTGATAGCAACGTCGCCACGCCATATGCTACCCTAGGGAATTCCACACCATTTCAGATTCCTCAGCCTATTTTCGGCAGAGATATTGCGCTTGGGCCAGCTGGAGGTATTCGAAGCACAGTTTCCGATATGCTCACGTTCTACGATGCACTGATCGATGCGGCACACGCTCAAATCAATAAGCTTGCGGGTACAAATCCACAAAATCCGCTTAAACAGCTTGAACACCTTTGGCGTGGGATGGTAAGCATCCCATCCCCGACTGTTCGTGAATTGTCGTATGCATCCGGGTGGATGCGAGCTCAACTCCCGGCTCCTCTAGCGGATTCCGGTCCTGGCTTTAACCCGATGTTTGGCCACAGATGGTCCTCACGACTTGCTCTGTTCCATGGCGGGACTATCCCTGGTTTTACATCTTTCTCCATCATCTTCCCCGAAACCCACAGCGCCATAATTGTACTCTCCAATTCCCTCCCGTGTGTAGACAGCGTTAGATTGGTCGGCCAGTTACTTGCCGAGCGATTGTTCAACAAGACCGACAATCCCAGCGATCCAATTAATGAAACTGCCTACATCGAGTATGCCGAGTTAACGTCGAAAAAAAATACCCTGGTCATGTCGAATATCAAGGAGGACTTGTTACGACATAGAACAACCAAAATACCTACGTATCCATTAAATACCTACGTTGGCAAATACCGGAATGCTGCCGGGAATTACGTCATCAAGATACGTGAATCACCAACAGGTTATCTTCAAATATCTTTCATGGGCCTTGAGTCTGACACTTTCGACCTTCAACCGTACCAATCTAATAGTTTCTTCTGGCACGTCTCTTATGACGATTTGGCACAGCGTGGTCGGTATGCAATCTGGCCTAAACAATATTATATAATTGAATTTGGGAATAGCAACGACACCCCTGTAGGAATGGGCATCAGTGAGCCCAAAATAACTTATCTCCGGTGGAAGCATGATTTTTCTTTTGAAAATGACGGAGAAATGTTTCGAAAAGAAACCAGCGAAGAGAGTTTACATTCACTCCCCCAAGAACTGTAACGTGTTTTGGTGTTTTAACATACTGGAAACTCCGATTTTTTCCGTTTGTGGCTGGACTATTCGTCAATAGCGTTATTGTTGGGGTTTTATGATTGATATGACCAGCGTTAACACTTGCTTTTTCTACTTTTTTTCTTTGTTTTCTTTCACCGGAAATGGGGTTTAGTTGTGAAGTTGGAACTTGCTTTGGGCGGGAAATTGTTTCTTTGCATAGCGCGGGATTGGCGGAATTGGTTTTTGGGTTAGAACAAATTTGAAGAACTCAGTATCCATGAATTAATTAGGATTTAATCATATTTTTCAGCATGGTTTCTAAGAGAATCGAACTAAACAACCCTCGCGTAATGGAGTCACTGGTTACTAAATCATCGCTGGTGTTTACCATTATGCCATTTGCATGTACCAAGGTATCTTTCCAAGAAGTAAAAAGAAAGGTATATATGCTGTACACGCCGACGTAGGACAACGCCATTTTCATGTCGTTATTGGTTGATAGGGTAATCTTTAGCTGAACTTCCAAGGTTCGTATTGGTTAGAAGCGGTTCCAATATTGTCACCATGAGCCTAGTCATGGTAAGAATAAGCAAATGACGGGTATGGATATGCCCAATAAAGGTATTCTATAATCTGACCGAAAATGCAAATTATTCCTTCTGACCTCTAATAACAAATGACTTCTCACCTTTGGCTCGGGCACATGCGTGTGTACGTGTGATAAGCTATTGACTAGGGTGGGGGTTATGCCCATTAAGAGTCCCTTTTATGACGGATGCCTAATGTGCTTTGAATCTCTAACTAACGCACCTAGGTATTTTATGGAACACCGCATCTAACAGGTTTCGCAACAGCCTCCAGGCTAATCAACCACTGTCTATATTAGGGTTTCCAAGGGATGGAACTAACTTGCCAATAGACTAGGTTGATGTTAGACCAAAATGCTGCGTTAATACCATAATTTGGGTGATATAATTGTTTTGAAGGATGAGATATTGACTTTCTCTACAAACCCCCAGGTAGCCTGCATCGTACTCGGTCTTAGCATCCTCCAGGTCGATTTCTCTTTTCCTCCTTTACCTTTCCAAGCCATGGAAACTGTAGACAATTATGTTGGCCCTCCTTATGACATTCAAACGTTCGCAGACCTCGATGGTGCGACAGGAGTGCACAACGAGGGCGAGCCAGATGGCGTATATACTACTTTCTGGAAGTTCTATCGGAATGGAGAGGCATATTTCGGGCAAGTATTCAAGCCTAGGCCCGATGTCAACATTGCAGAGGTAAAAGAAGCGATGCGAAGAATCCCGGACGTGGTTATTTACCCGGAGATACCTGAAGGAGTTAGCCTTAAGGAGATGGCAACTGAAAAGCCCGATAACGAGTTATACATCAAGAGACCTTCCCTTCTCACATATGAGACCTCCGACTCCCGCGGGTGGATTCGTGACGTTTTCTGTAAGTATCTAGCATTCCGATTATCTCACTACCTAGGTACTCTTTCTCGCAAAGCACCCTGGTTAACTCTGTTTGATATAGTGGGAGAGGCTCAGATCATGGAGCAAGTCTCGAACATCCACCACAAGAATATAATTCGGTACCATGGCTGCTTAAAGAGAGATAGACGTCTAGCAGGAATCGTTCTGGGGCGTCATAAGTGCAGTCTCATTGAATTTTTCTCGTGGCAAATGGACAAGGATCAGGATAAGAATGGCACCATAGACTCACAACGCTTCATGGAGGAGCTTGAGTCGGCAATCTTTCACCCGCACCAGGCCGGATTGGCGCACAATTACTTGAAACCAAGCAACGTACTACTAGATAAAGATAATTTGCCAATACTGATTGATTTTGGATCCTGTCGGCCGTTTGGTGGAAGGCTAATGGAAGGAGGGACACCCGGCTGGTGCAACCCCGAAAAGCTAGTGATGTTTTCCGACAAGGAGCATGATCTTTTCGGCTTAAATAGGATTCGAGAGTGGCTGGCTGACCCTAACAGAGCGTTGAATGGTTAATTAGAGACCGAGGAATAAGAGATATGTCGGACTGAGGAAGATCAACTTGAGAAAGCTAACAACATATAACTAGGATGATGATGGTAGAGTGGCATATCGTACTGTATTACTGTAATTATAGAAGGGCATGCGCTGAAGAACCCTGTATTTATAGGTGACTTTAGCGCTGGAAAATTAATGGTAGCCTTGGAAATTTTATAGCGCTTATACCCATATAAATACAGCGCATTATAGAACCCCACTGAAATGCCCAGGGCTGTGGTTATAGCGCATTACAGTGGGTAGGTACCTACAGGGTGCTATATTTATAGCTCTTCAAGCTCTGTATAGCGCTGTAGTGCGTTATAGTTATAGTACTCTAAGCCCTATAAAGCCCTATAGCTACAGCGCTATGACGTGCTGTACTGCAGCAAATTTGAGCACCCTGCTGAAGCCCCCTATAGTTACAGCACTTATAGCCCTGTAAATTTAGTGCTTATGGTGCGAAACCCTACCTAGGTACCTACAGTAGGTACCACGCTGTGAATTCTCACTCTGTTATGGCGCATTGCCAGTTCATTAGACTACGGCGCGCGATATTTTCGGGATGTCAAGATATCTTACATCAATAATATTTCTTGAATAGAATAATACGTAGGTACCCAGGTAGTTTATAATTTTGTAAATATACTCTGGCCATTGTAGATGTCCCTTGCGAGCTGTGCCTCTCTATGGCATTTATATTGTGACATCACCAGCCCGATATTCGCTTGCACTGTGCTTTAGGTCAACAGAACAAACAGCAAATGGGCTTATTTCTAGGCTGCTGGGCTTGAGATTGATACTTTCCCTGCATTCTCAATATTCATAACTAAACCTGCTACGATATCTTTGTTATGGATGTTTTAGATATTGAAATCTGGCTGCCGTTCATTGTTACCATCATTCTCATCTATTTTCCAACCGTCGCCTTGTACAGACTTTTCCTACATCCCTTGGCGCAATTTCCAGGCCCAAAGCTTGCAGCTATCACTCGCTGGTACGAAGCGTATTACGACGTAATATGCGATGGGCAATACACATTTAAGCTGGCTGAATTACACCAGGAATATGGTACAATAGCGGATGTTTATACAATGAGACAAGTTCACTGACCTTTCTAAGGCCCAATTATTCGTATAAGCCCACACGAGTTACACGTCAATGACCCGTCCTTTTTCGAGAAATTATACCGCCAAGATGGACGCTGGGATAAATATGACTGGTGTATGGAAGCTTTCGGGGCACAATCAGCCACTATTCACACTGTGGACCACTATGCCCACAAGCGGCGTCGCGCTGCGCTGAATCCCTTCTTTTCAAGGAAAAAGGTAGCCGACAGTCAGAATATTATCCAGAGAGCGACGGAAAAGCTATGCTATCGCTTGTGTCAGTTCCAAGGAACCGACAACGTTCATCTCGGAAGCGCTATTAGTGCCTTGACTAGAGATGTATCCACGGAGTTTCTGTTCGGGCGCAGTTTCAACCATCTGGACGATGAGGATTTCCACTCGAGCATCATTACTATGCATCAGAATGGGGGCAAGATATGGAGAGTGACGAAGCACATGCGTTGGTATGGTCCGTTGCTGTCGATGATACCCATGTCATTTCTTGAGAAAATGGGTGATGATGGTTTGAAAAGTTTTCTACTACACCTCAAGGCAAGTCCAATGATGGCTTCCCCTTTCTGATATTCGCTATTACCATCGGAAGCGACTAATCGAGAAGAATTCTAATATATGAATTAGAAAATGATGAAAATCACTTTAGACATTTTCACGGCTTCATCCGAGTCCAGCCAGCGGGATTTGAAAGAAGACAGTCAAGAGAAACACACTCTAGTCCATCAAATTCTCGAGTCCGATCTTCCTCGAGATGAAAAGACGCTAGATCGACTGTATAACGATGTCGTCACCATAAGCAGCGCAGGCTTCGAAACATCCGCACATGTTATGCGAAACATTATTTACTACGTCTACAAAAACGACGAAATTCTTCGGAAACTAAGAGATGAATTATCGCTTAAATCAGAATCCCCTGACCTTATCATACTGGAGCAGCTTCCGTTCCTCACCGGCGTTATCATGGAGGGGCTCAGACTTGGCATGCCTGTTTCTTCACGCTTGGCTCGCGTAGCGCCAGATCGCGAGTTGGTGTATGGTAAGTGGCGCATCCCTGCCGGGGCGCCGGTCGGGATGACACCGTTACTTTTAAACCAGAATGATACTTTATATCCCGATCCCAGGTGCTTCGTTCCGGAGCGGTGGATGGCGCCGGGGGTGCGGAAAAACGATGACAGGGTTTTTGCGCCATTTGGTCGTGGCACTAGGAATTGCCTGGGGCAGCAGTAAGTCGCCAAACCAACCGCCCCAACGTATTGCTACCCTGGCAGCACCTACTAACTAACCGTTTTCTAAAGCTTGGCATGGGCTGAGATATACATTGTCATAGCCGCACTTGTGCAAAGATTTGACTTCGATCTTGATGGTATTGGTCCTGAGGATGTTGAGGCCGCAAATGATAAGTTTCTAACCGGTACTACCCGACAAAATGGATTCAAGGTATTCGTAAAGAGGATATGACGACGCACCACTTATTAAGCTTGACTCGGTATAAACACAATATTTCCTTGCGCTGAACATACCTAGGCATAGTCGGCAGGCAGCTATAATCTTATGTGTATGTTTAGTTGGTATAGATTTTCTGACCTCATAGACCATCCAAATAATTGGCGACTTCTGTATGTCCCTTCTCCTTCGCACGCTGTGCGGCCGTATGTCCATGCGCACCCTGCATATCTCTCTTTGCCCCATACCTGAGTAGCAACTTGACCATATCAATGTCACCACGTTCGGCCGCCTTGATCAAGCAAGTGTCATATTTCTGGTGCTCCGGCTGAGGGCCCAAATGTCCCCATGGCATTTCCGCGACCTTGCCATCGACGACCAATCCTTGCTCTAAGAGCATCTGCAAGACCACTAGTCTGTCTGGGTTATCTATCGGCCACTGCGTAATAGGAAGCGCAAGATTTGCCGAGTCGCCATTAGGATAATCCTTCGACATCGAATCCCCCAGCGGGAAGCATTCCAACATAAGGCGAGCAGGCTCGATGCCGACGGGTACGAACGGCCCGCCCCTGGTAAAGTCGATATTGCCACCCTCGGTGACGGAGAGGAAGCGGGCGATGGTGACCGCGCTGAGGATTATGCCTCTTGCACCCAACGCGCGCAGGTAATCAGCAAACGCCGGGGAGGTACGGAGCTCATGATCGCCCCTCCAATAGTCTGCTAGCCAATGCAGACCGTAATACAAACCTTCCGGTATACCTCCGCTCGTTTTGCGCTCGTACATAGGATAGTGAAGCCAGGTATTGGGTTCAGAGTTTAATAGGGTTGTCCACATCTTATACTCTATCTCGCGATTGAGCGGGGTATTGGCAGAGTGCTGGAACTTTTCGCTACGGCCCTTGCGGCTGGATAGGACGGACACGCCGAGCAGGTCGAAGCTGCTCTTAGCTCTCGTTGAAGAAGCCCTGTAATTCTTAACCAGGTGCTCGAGAACATCCACGTGCCGACGCGCGTAAGCGATGATGCCTAGGATATCCATAATCCAGGGTGGAAGCGAGGCCAGTGTTACTCCGATTTCGAGCTCGACGCGACGTTGTAGCTCGGTAAGATCCGCCTCGCGGTAGAAAAGAACACACAAGGCTTTGAGCTGTTCGCCATCTAAGATAACATCATAAGTATCAGATCTCACACGCACTCGCGAGTTTCTCACCTGCATGCGATATCCTTCCTAAGTTTCTTTTCAACATTCTGGCCTTGAAGGCCCCGGCAATCAAGTCGACGTTCAAAACATCAGGAATATTTGAATTGGACTTATCCCATTTATGTCGGGTCCCGCCCTCTCGGATATGATCGATTAGGCGATCGAAATACTCCTCGAGGGTAATGTATTCGAGATAATGTCTGGCAGCTGTCCAGCCAAAGCACTCTTCGTCCATCTGGTCAATCTCCTCCTTGATCTCGGTCAAGTTTGAGGGAACAGTGACATGAGGAGGGTGGGGTTCTCCGGGAGGGACATATCCATCCTCATCGCCATGACACATGAACATCTTGTTAATCACTAAGAGTTCTAAACCCTTCTATAGAAATAGTCTGCTGCAATTCATGTCTGTGAAGATGAAAAAAGTTCGTGGATATTTTTTGTAGGCCATCGTTGACTTTAAGAAGGCTGCCTGTTTATTCTAGTCCCGTCGTTATCATCGAAGGATTTCTATCGGCCAAGAGAGGCCACCAGTTCATTGGTAACCATTATGCCTAGGCATATATCGCTACCAACCTATGAAGGCCGGGCTAGAATATTCGCAGACGCGCCTAAGAGGATTAGGAGATGGAAACAGGGGTGAGTGTTTGGTGTATTTATACACAGCCTCTTTTACGGGCGCGGAGTTTCTAGCAACGCCACATTCACTAAGCGAGGACTTATATCCCTGTAAATGTATAAACCTGTTTGCTGAATGGGTATTAGCTTATGAATGTCATAACGTTATAATGAAGCTAGAGTGTCCGCTAAATGAATAGCCATATGGATTGAAGGTCTACGGCATTCTCCAATCATCACATTCAAACTTAAGAAATACAACATCAATTACCTATATTTATTTACTAAAAGTAAAACTAGAAGAGGCTGATGAGAACTGGACTTTAGAAGCCTGGTGACGACATACCGAAGACGTCGGGACTTTACACCTCGCTCGCTGTGCTGAAAACCTCTCAAGTTAGAAAGCACCTTAGGGAATATGAGCTCGAGAGCTACGCATATTTGCCAGTAACGATCCTACGAAGACATATAACAATTCACTTAAATAAACCCCGAACTGAACATCGTAGCTGTCAATGCGAAGATCGGTTGCTGCTTGCTTTGCAACTATTCGGAAGTCATATACGACTAGCTCCATCTTACGCAAGCCTACATCAAGCTTCACAATCACCACTATTACCACCTCTCTACGGTACTCATCCACCATGGCGCGGACCTACGAGTCAGCCCTCCAATACCTGGAGTCGCTTCAGTCCAACAAATTCATAACATCCCAATTCGTCCCTCCATCCATTCCCTCATCCACATCCTCAACACCCGACGACCTCAACTCCCGCGCGATCCCAGAAATGCTCGCCTGGATCCAACGCGGGGGCGTAAAAACCCCGGACCTCTCCCGCCTGAGAATGATCCACGTCGCCGGGACCAAAGGCAAGGGATCCGTATGCGCCTATCTAACCTCAATCCTCCTCCACTCCAAAGACTCCAATGTAGGCAAAATCGGGACATACACCTCGCCACACCTCCTCTCCGTACGCGAGCGCGTGCAAATTGGCGGGCAACCCATTAATAAAAATCTATTCACACAATACTTCTTCGAGGTCTGGGATCACATGTCGCAGGCCGCGCGTGACGACCAAAACCAGGAAACGAAAAGTGAGGAATGGATTACAGGCCCGGAGACAAAACCGTTTTATTTCCGGTTTTTGACGGTTATGGCTTTGTATGCGTTTATTAGGGAGGGTGTTACTAGTGTGGTGCTGGAGTGTGGGATTGGTGGCGAGTATGACTCTACGAATGCGATTCCGGCGGATGCTGTTACAGCGGCGGTTATTACGCAGTTGGGTATTGATCATGTGGGGATGTTAGGTGCGACGGTGCCCCGTATTGCGTGGCATAAGGCGGGTGTTTGTAAGGAGGGGCGGAAGTGCTTTACGCGGAAGTTGGAGGGAACTAAGGATAAGGAGGAGACTATGGAAGTGCTGAGGCAAAGGGCGGCGGAGAAGAAAGCTACGTTGGTGGGAGTACTGGATAAGGAGGTTGAGAAGTGGGGTGGGGTAAAGGGGGATACCACGGGGAGTTTGGAGGGCGAGTTCCAGAAATACAATCAAGCCTTGGCTTTGAAGGCGGCGAATGAACATATTAGGGTCTTAAGCGGAAAGCTCGAGGGGCAGCCAGAAGATGAGAGTCTGGTGGCTTTAGGAGAACGTTTCTCCGAGGGCCTGAGATTGGCTAGATTAAGGGGTCGTTGCGAAACCAGAGAAGACCGCGGAATTGATTGGTACATCGATGGGGCGCACACCGCGGACAGCCTGGAGGAAGTAGCTAAGTGGTTCGCAGGGAAGTACAAATCCCTCGCTCCTGGTACAAGAGTAGCCTTGCTATTTAATCAGCAGGAGCGCGATGTGGCGAAGCTACTTGGCAGTTTAATCAGGGGCATTCGACAGGAACTCGGATACTCTGAGGATAGGAGTATCTTTACCGACGCCATTTTCACGCGCAATGATTTACACCCGCGAAGAGCTGATGAGCCGGAAGCCCGTGATAGAACCGTTCAGATTGCGGCTGCCAAAGCTTTTGGCGAATTTTGTCCCGGGGTGGAAGCTCACATCGTGGATAATGTTAACGATGCCGTCACAACACTTAGTGCGTTGAAAACCAATAATGGAAACAAGTGTGAGGTTGCAGTTTTAGCGACGGGAAGCCTACATCTTGTGGGTGCTCTACTGAAAACATTGGAGCCGGATGCGGAGTCGTAAACTAGAAACAACCATTGGTACAACCAGGGAGGAAGAGAGGCATTTATGATATGGATTTGGTCGGCGTATAGGAAAATATGCATAGATCGTGGGTCACAAGACTGCGCGGATATTAAGGATTGATATGGCTGTGCTTTCAACAACTGAGCCTTCAACATATACCTTGGAGACAAATGTCGTTGAGCAATGGAGTATGTAGGAAAAATCATTTTTGATACGGGTTGAGCCGCCGTAAACCCCGACCCTATTTTGCCTATCTACCCAGGGTATACATGTCACGTTGAATCCAGAGCCGCCGTCCTTTAAAGGAAATTCATATATGAAAACCAGACCGTCGCCGGTCACAGAGTATCCGCGCCTTCTAATATACCTAGAGCCCCACCCACCAGATGTAAGCTACCTGTGATGAGGGTCTGAACCGTTTCGCCCTGGCTAAGAGATGTGTTACTGAGATCTCTGACGTGGTTTATAGCGTCTTCAATTGTGGGCATTACCGTCACCTTCGCTGATGGGTCTAAGGATGACCACTTCTCGGCGAAAGCGCGCTGTGCGGTAAGAGCTTTAATAGCTTCGGGGTCGTACTGGTAGTTCACAAAGTCTCGCTTGTATCCCGTGGCGGCGTAAGTCACATTCGTGCAGAATACGACGTGTTCGAAGGTTCCTTGCCCTTGAGCTTTGAGGGTGGAGACCATTCCCTCGAGGAAGTTGACCGCCTCATCTCGCCCTTGCTGGTTGAATATCAAGGCTTTTGGCCCAGATTTATTTGCGCATTCACCCGCAAACCATCTCGTTGCCATTTTCAGGCTATCAATAGTATGGGCTCCATCAACATGCCAAATAATAGGTCCTTCGACCTTGACTTCGCATCTTCCTCTCCATACTACCTGTTCAATTCCGTCAACAAATTCTTTACTTAATGTTGATGGATTTGGTGCGAAATTGGGATCAATTTTCTGCAGTGCTGTCTCTGCTAATGCGATTCCTAAAGTGGCGTTTTTCTTTTGGAATAATGCATTTGGTCGAACGTTGACACCTTTTAGTCTTGGGTCAATGTCTAGGACCTTGAGCGACACACTCTTGTCCATGGCTCTTGCTTGTAGTACTTCCGCAGCTTCAGGGACTTGTTCGATAGTGAAAGCAGAGCTACCCGTCTTCATAATACCGGCTTTATGCCATGCTATTTTGTCGATTGTCTTTCCGAGCGCAAAAACGTGGTCAATGCCGAGGGTGCTAATACCGGTCGCTGTAGGGTGCTCCACGACGTTTGTAGCGTCATATTCGCCACCAATCCCTGTTTCGTAAACGGCAACATCCACGCCTTCTTGGAGGAATAGGTGATAACTCATTAAGGTTAAGTAACGAGAGTAGACGGGCCTTGTAGGTATGCCTAGTCGCTGATCTATAACCTTCTGGTCCCCATCCTCACCGGCCTCTCCGAGCTTATCCCATACTTCGAAGAAATAGCGCGCAAAAACGTCTTCACTAACTGGAGAGCCATTGATCCTGATTCTTTCCCGAACCGCGATTAAATGCGGGCTGGTAAATAGCCCAATGTTGCGGGGTATGCCATGAGACTTTTGGTATTGCGATAATATGGACGCTGCAAAAGCGCAAGTGCTTCCTTTGCCCTTGGTTCCGGCGACATGTAGAATATTCAAGCGATCGAGGTCGGACGGCAGGTATCCGATACGCTGCAGGTAAACCTGCATTTCGGCGATGGAGGTAGCATCGGGTCGTATACCAGCCTTTCGACGAGCTTCGATGATCGCATATGGGGTTTGGAGGGAATTCAGAGCATCAATTGCATCCTGAGGGAATATCGAGTCAGCTATTTTTCGTTCTTACAAGACGAGATAAGAGCTCGGGGCTAAGACTCGAGGTTGCGTACATTGTATGTCCTGGCACCTTGAGAGGTAGCCATTGTGCGCCGGATTTTGGATTGTGCGTTCTTTATTACGTGTAGAGGAAAAGAATATACGCTGATGCGTCGGAACACATGATGCATTCCTAGAGACCTAGGTCGTTTCACCTGGTCACTCAGCTTCTGTAGCTGTATACCTAGATACCTAGGTAGCTATCTAGGTATCTCCGGTGAAACAAAGTCGGCGAAAACAAATAAAAAAAGAGGGTCAGCAGCGATATCGCCGGCCCGCAGTTGTACAAGCTCCTCCAACTTCTGCCCCTCCAACCTTGAACCCCACCTTCCCCAAATTACAGCTGGGTATCGCCCGGCTGACAGCTGGCAAAAGCAATCTTAGATCCTCCCTTTTCATAATTGACTCACTACAATTTCCACCTACATTTTCCATACTGAGTACGCAAAAGAGCTCCAAAGGAAGGTCTAAGGAAGACAAAAGTCTAACTGGCCTGATTGTCGTAAATCTTCTTATGCTCTAGAACTCTATCGTTACTTGAGTCATCGTAACTTACCGTTCGGGTATCCGGGTAGCTGCATTGTCTCATATAGCTTGCCCAACCTTGAGGCATATTTAACTCGAAGCTTCAATTCCTCTAACTTTATATATGTAGGGTTATGTGCACCTGCTATATGAGTTACTTACTAGAAGGGTACTACCTTAGAAAAAGGTATCCACGGTATTAATAGTCGATGCGTATATCAAAAGACTTGGACGAGTTAGATGACCTTGCTAACTAACCTAGGTTTCGTCGGTGTTATCTATGTTAACTACCTTAAGCCGCTGAGCATACAAACGTGCATTTTTATTTTCTGAAGCTATTAAGCTCAGCGTTTATATAATTAACGTTTCCTCTCTTCGTCGTGTGACTATAGGAGTCCCTTCCGCCGTAGCCTCTGAGGAAGGAAGAGATCGAGTGTCGTAATCGAATAGACTAATGTAGTGGCATGGTTATCGAATATAAATACCCCTAACGAGTCACATCTTTTACTCTCATTTCTCTCTCTTCTTCATTCTCAACCTCACACTCTTGCAATACGGATCCAAACTAAGCTTCCCAAATAGCCAATTTGACATCCCAACCACTCTTATATTTCCTTCATTCTCATCTGGCGGATCTTCATTGACGCCCCACATTTGACGAAGCTATGTCTCCTTCGCCTTTCTCAATCGGTACACTGTCTAGATACCCAAAACCCATTCTCGGCAACGGGTAGCATAGGTGCTATAATCATCCCTGTGCTCTTGTAGTGCCCGTGTTCAACTCTTCTCCCGTAGGAATTCGCTGCCTACACTCGCGCCCCCCTCTCATAGTCCGGTGATCCTACGAAGAAGACACAGGCATATGTGGGAGATTGCTACTTGTGTATCATGCTCACACATTACGACGACGAGTAGACCTGAGCGCTACTGTGCCTTGCGTTGGAGCCATACGATTTACACCTACACATTACGCCTGAGCGACTGGTGACTGGCAAACCTGAGCGCCCCACTCAGGTGGTCCGAAGAAAGGATTCCCTAAAGATCGCCCCTTCATGTGGGGATTGGTGCTTAATCCGTATATTCACACTACTATCTGTTCTATTCGACCCATACCAACTATGACAAAGCGGCCTTAAATCTGTAGATTTAATCCTCCCGCGCTTTTCGACATCCATTCAGCATTCTATGACCGATCCTAGGCGTGAAGATGTTGGTGGATAAATTAAATAGGTACCTAAGCCCGAAAGGAATAATGTATCTCGAGGAAACTATTACAGGTGTGAGAAACAATAACTGATAGCGTCGGAACCACATAAGAGTGTTGAAATAAGGTCAAGGGATAGCCTCTAAGTACCGCATTGTATAGTAGAGTAGTCAATATATCACACTTACAACTCGTAATTCTTAGTTATTTAGGTACAGTGTAAGTCCCCAGTCTCTGCTTGTCAAATTCTGTTGATAATTGGCTACTCTTCTAAACCCAGATGGCTAGCGTACACGGATACTCTTCGTGTAGGCTTAATATACACAATCGCGCGACGAGTTTGGTACGCTCCGTACCTATGATAGGAGAATAAATACCCGAGTAACTAACACGGAGGTTCGAAAGGTAAACCCGGACGCGTCCCGCGTAAATCGTAAACCAAAAGTGAGAAGCGCGCCCAGCGATCTTAAACCCGCTGCTTCTCAACCATACCCAAAATACTCTCCCAAACCCAAGGCACGCGCTTCACCGTGTTCCCCTGGGCATTAAACGCGCCGACCGCGCGGAATTTATACCAAGGCCTCGTCGCATTCTCAGATGTTGTATCGCGGACTAAGTTCACGATACCCATGCGCTGCTTCGTCGGGCGTAACTCCGAGATGTTGACGACGCTGATGCGGGGTTTGGCGATGAAACTCATGGTTGTGATTTCGAGGTTAGGGGTGGATGTGGGTTTTTGGGTTTGGGTTTGTGGTTGGGATAGACTCCGGATGTACCGTCGGAGCATGTCTTCGGATTGTCGCGCGAAGGGGGGTAGACGCATGTGGATGAATGATACGAAGGGGGTGGTTGTGTATGCTACGTAGAGTAGGGGGATTAGGGCGGAGAGGGTTGCTGGAGGGGTGGTTAGTTTGGGATGTGAGGATGGGGATTTACGGTATATCCATTGGGGTATATATATAATGAATTAATAAGGTGAGGGGGAGGAATTTAAACTTACTCCGAAGGACAGTTGGTGAGAAGCCTTCGCGGTCATAGTATGCGGGTGTTACTACGAAGCCGAAGAAGACGAATATGAAGAGCGTGGAGATCTTGAGACAGGCTAGGAATGTAACTTTGCCTGTGCCCGCGTGGTATACGCATAATCGCTCTGGGTATGCTGCGATGAATTGAATTAGCTTAAATTTAATTTACATTTTGGGAATTGATATGCTTACCGAATTTAGTCGATGGTTTTGGTGTGGTTTGTGAAGCCTGTGTACTTGACTTAGGCGTGGTTGATTCGAATCTCAAGCCTGAGATCCGAATAGTTTGCTTCAATTGCAGATTACGGTACGTTACATTTCGGAGACTAGAGATATTTCGCCTTATTGGTGTCCATTGAGTCCTTCTTATGACTCCGATAAGTAACATAATTGAGATGGCTCAATATGAGATATCTCATCCGTTTGTGAAGATGGTAACATTGATGTAATCCACTGAGATTTACGCGGCGCAGGGTTCATCGGAATTGATTTGTCAGGTGCCAGCAGTTGTGTGCAGCTGATATCCCGCATGAATTGACCCTTTCCATCTTCATTAATTTGGGCGTGTCCTCAATCGTTCAAATTCTGAAGTCAATTGGGTAATAGCGAAGATAGAAATAGTAATTAATTTATTGATTTATATTAATTCAAAAGTACCTTAGGTACGCAGCGTTGGGCTTTACAACCTAGGCGAATGTCTCGGCTGCGAGATACCGTCTGCTCACTGACACGTTAACTCCGAGCAAGACCGAGCAATGCGACAGTATGATTCAACAAGCTAACCAAGATTCTTCGTCAACCACTGCTGCCACTGATCCTTCGTCCACGACGAGCTAATATCATTGGCGACAATACCATCGAAAACAACCGTCGGACTGACATGCACACCAATCAAGCGTCCGTATCGGATCTGCAATTTGAGATCGGCCGTAACCTTGTTTCCGTTATTCTCGTGTCCGCCCTCCGGCACCTTATCCGAAATGGCTAATAACTCGTACACTTTGTTCTCATCTACACCAACCGAATCAGCAAGCTTCGCTAATCGACGGTAAGTATCGTTGCGGGATTCATTGACAACCGCCTCGTCGAAGTATGCGAGTTGGTCCTTGAACAGGGCGTCGCTAAACGCCCAGTACTTCTCAGGCGCGAGTAGGGCGACGGCGACACCGGCTTCGTGCACGAGCGTTGATGAGGGGTGCCATGGCTGGATCTGCTGTCGGAAGATAATCTCTACGCTAGACGCCCATTTCGGGTTCGATTTGATGAGAGGGATCACTTCGTTGTACACGGTGGCGAATTGCTTCGCGGAGAATCGACACACGTAGTCTAGGAATAGTTCGAGTGTGTGCACGGCTGGCGCTACGCCGTTGGAAGATGCGCTAGGTGGGTTGAAGAGCAGGCGCTGCCCGGCGAATTTGGGGTTGAGAGCCATGGTTTGTGGCGTGGTGGTGAATCGGCGAAAATGCTTTGGTGATATGTTGTGTTTGTAGTAGTTATAGAAACTTGACGAGGCTCGGAGACGGAGAAAGTAGAGGGGTTGAGAAGTTGTTGTTGGTTTATAGGAACAAACAAAAGGTGAGAAACTCCGAGACAGGCGCATCGGTCTCCGATGGTTGACTTGAGAAAGGGCGTCAAAGGTGGGATGAACGTAAAGTGTTCGTATAAACGCTCGAATAATAAATTCATGCAAGTGGTAAGTGACGCAAGATGTTGTGATATCACTGCTATGCGAGATACGTACCTAGCTATATGCGGGATATGCTGATGTGCATGGCTTGTTCGGGATGCCTTTCTTGGCGGGGTAGCTGCAGCTAAAGCTACTAACGACTTACATAAACCGCCCATAAGGTTACATAAAGAAGACATAAATGTTGGTTGTATTATACGGCGAAAGGGGAGAACTTGACCTCCGAATTAGGTATTCGAGCACGCGATATCAAACATCGGAGCTCATCCGGAGGATATAACACATCATCTTGAGTCGCTTATGATAAGAAAACTACTAATGATAATTCAAACTTGAGGGATTATCAGACGGTATTCCTAGCTATGATCCCTCTGGCAAACTCTCCGAAGTTGATATGTTGGTCAAGATCAACTTCGTCCTCCAGGTTTGGCTGCGTAAATACAGCCAACGTATTACGAGCGATACCTTTGGCATACGCTCCCCTGACCGAATGCTCCACAGCCTTGAACTTCCCACGAGTGATCCGCTCGAGTGCTTCTCCGGTCTGGAAGGCGATGCAATCCCTCGGTATTTTGACCTGAACTGGTATCCCTTTCCTATCTTTAATCCAAAGTCCGGCCTGTGGATCTGGTGATGCAGGAAGTTCTTCCAACGTTGGTAGCAAATTTGGAACATCTTCGCCGAAATCAGGCACCTTCGCATTTGTCTTTAGTTCATCGATGAACATGGCTGATGTCAGACCAGTTAAACAACCGTGGTCCTTGTGCACCGCGCACCAATTATCCTCCTCTTGACCTTTCGCCATAATCTCCTCTGGCATTGGGTAATAATGAAGGAGCCTAGCTTTGGTCGTGGATGACGACTTGACTACTTTCTCTAAATAGGCAGCTGGATATCCTTGGATCTCCTTTTCGGCAAACTTGTCGCAAGCTCTTGCGACTAATACCGCGGTATCGATTATGAGCCTGCACATTTGTTCCATTGTTGGTCTGAAACCTGGTAGCATCTTATTCGGGGGCCATGAATTTGGTGCTAGGTACTCTGGAAATTCTTTCAGGGGGAATTGTGGCGTCGGTTTAGCTGATTCTAACGCCGGGTCTACGTAGAATGCGCAATTGGCGTAGAACGAGCCTTTGTATTCGTCGGCTCCTCCATCCTTGAATTTCTCTCGACCCTTAGACCATCCTACTAAGTATTTCGCTGCCTCATTCGTGAACTTGTCTAGGTATTGTTAGAGATTCATTGATTTACCGAGTCTTAAATTCGGTATTGCTGACGGACCAAAATCTGCCTCTGATAAGTTGCCCATGTATGAGGCGTACGATAAAAGTTGATGTCTCAGCTGCGGAAACTCTGAAGGAACATCTTTAACAACAAGGATTCCTAGTGACTCGGGGCCAAATGCTTCTTGTAGCGTTTCGAAAGAAATGTTTCCTTAATAGTGAGTATTTCCATGTGTGGTGGATGGGTACCTAACTATTGCAATGCTTACCACTTTTGAGATCGGCCAGCGATACTACGACCGGTTGTGCTGTCGCCATGGTTGATCATCAAAATATCAACATGGATAGTAAAAAAGTATAGAAAAATCGACTGAGGGAACTTGGTTATGATTATATTAACTGAAAAGGCGACGCCCGCGATAGGGTCTTGGTATATTTTTACGGCTTTGCCCTAAGGTTATCGTCGGGGTTTTCACCTGCCTATAAAGTTAACAGGTATAGCCCCTAATGACCAATGTGCCGGCGCTCTCCGCACTACTGTTAGGAGCTTTCCGCTACTAGCAGATTTCTCTTTACGTGTCTGTGGCATTTTAGTCTTGCTGAAAACAACACTTATATACTTATACCTGTAGAAATCATTTGGAACTTTATTTGACTCTCGGGAATTGAAATATAAGAATGCATTAAAAAGGTGTTGAATGGATAAAAAATTGAATTTCTGGTTTAGAATTTAGGCGGAACGAGGAACTTACCTAAAGCTTACATAATCATCGGGAGTGACGCCAGACCTTTCTTATCGAAGGTTTTATCGGAGCTCTGATCTTAGACAAGAACAACTTATTTTCTAAAAAGTCATCAACAATTCCAATTCAGTTCAAGTCAATCACAATATGGTAAAACCATTGTCTTTTAAGGGTGATAAGAAGCCCAAGAAGAGAAAGAGAACCGAAGCGGAACCTCCAACAGAAACATCAGGGCCTAGCGATCTTACGGTCGCAACAACAGCAGAAGATGCAGAGAACGATGATAGCTGGGTATCGGCTGAAGCGATCGGAGATGTTCAAGGTCCAGTTATGATCGTACTCCCGACAGAACCCCCTACTTGTTTAGCTTGCGACGCCAATGGTGAAGTATTTACGGACCCTATCGTGAATATTATCGATGCAAATCCTACCAGTGCTGAACCACATGATGTACGTCAAGTCTGGGTTGCGAACAAGATTTATGGGACCGAGAATTTCAGATTCAAAGGTCGTTACGGAAAGTAAGTGTCCCTTTTTATTTCACTTCCATTTCTTATATACGTCCGTGGCTAATTTGCTTCTATGTAGATATCTCAGTTGCGATAAGTATGGCATCCTAAGCGCGACCTCCGAAGCTATATCTGCCCTCGAAACATGGACCGTGATCCCGACGCCCGAGGCTCCTGGCACATTCCAAATCCAGTCACAGCGAGAAACCTTCCTAACAGTCAAAGAACCTTCAAAGGCAAATGGCGTACCCGAGGTTCGTGGTGATGCTACAGAGCTCAACTTCGACACGACGTTAAGAATTCGCATGCAAGCACGCTTCAAACCTCGAATCAAGGCGACTAAAGAAGAGAAGGCAAAGAGCAAAATCAGTCGAAAGGAGCTCGAGGAAGCTGTCGGGAGGGAGCTTAACGACGATGAAGTAAGATCCCTCAAGAAGGCGAGAAGGGAGGGTGATTATTACGAGCAGCTGCTAGATCTGAAGTCTAAGAATAAGCACGACAAATACGCTTGAAGTCGATGGATGAAGTATCTCGATTATGCGTTGGGCCTCCAAGCTTTTATATATCCATCCTCGCCGGCGCTGAAAACCGTCTGCGCTTCATCGTAGAAGCAGAAACTTCGGACAATTTCGGAAGAATGTGCTCCAGGCAGGACGACACTGCTATCTCGATCAAAATTCCAGGCTTGACTTTTTGTCAGGTAGACCATCTCGAACGATTGTTTACTGTGTTTCAAGGTTAGGATTAATGGGATGGTGTCATCAAGAGGTCAACTTACTCATGTGTACCAGCACCGATCACGGCTCCGGCGCTATTCGACTTCGCGAATACATTGGCGATATATTGGCAGCCGAGGACCTCCCTCATATCCCCGAAGTCAACTGTGGCGGCTCCGTTCTCGTGGCTTTCGGCTACATCATAAAGCGCCAATTTTTCATCATGAGATAGCGCAAACACTTCGGTGTCGTTCAAAAATGCCGCATGGTGGATGGAGGAGTCATGGTTGAAAGTCTGGATTATAACCTCATCCTCATCGGTAATTCTGGTATCGCAGATATTCACGAGACCATCTGTTGACCCTGAGAGGAGGATGTTATGGTCGCTTGGGTGAAAGTTAAGCTAATGACATTTAGTAAGCAATGCCTACTATTCAGAATATGCGGAGACGAACCTCTGTCACATCGTCGCTATGCACTTCCTTGTAATGGAGTTTCGGAGTGGGTGTTGAGCGGACGTCCCTAGGTGGTTGAAGTATAAGTCCATTGAAATGCGGACATCGGATACACAATAAGTTGCTTACCACACTAATATGGATGCTTGATGGTCCTGCAATTCGGTACCAGCTACGACTGAGAAACCTGCACTCGAGCACGCTAGGGATAATACGGGATATCGATTATCTATAATACATCTCAGCATCGTATTCATACTATACAGAATAGCCCAATAGCCTGCCGCTGACGAACCTGTTAGTCTTGCAACCTCAGCTTGCCTCGCATCTTGTCTTAAGTCCCACATCGATACGCTCCCATCCTCGCCCGCCGTACATACAATAGCATTTCCTGCATGGAACACCTTGGCGCAAGTGATATTTCCGTGTCGTGTGAGTAGGTTAACAGGTGGCCCCGCGCTCAGATTGGCGGGGTTGAAGAGTGAAAGTTTTTGGTCTGATGAAATGGTGGCTGGTCCCGATGTGAGAGGAAGGATGTCCAAGACGTAGACTTCCTCGCGAACGGGAATTTTGTACCCGTCTATGCAGGTTAGAGAATACATTATGTTTTCTCTTATTCTCAGTGATGGATGTGAGAGCTTCAGTGGGGTCACCCAATTTAAATATAGTGAGGGTTAGTAGTAACAGGGCGAGTTTCGAGGTATGTTAGATAACTTAAAATCTAGCTTTCTTCCTACTCGATGGAATATACTTATACAAGTAAGGATTTAACCTCGTAGATTCAAAGTTTAATAATCTACAGGTTTAATACTAAAAATATCAAAGTTGAGCTTGTGAAAATGGATAAAATTCCTGGGGTGCAAAGCTAGAAGATGTAACCCCACTTCCACTAGCTGTGGCGCATATTTGACCAATCAGATCAATCCTAGAAGCTGTCCTTCCACTAAAGATTTAAGGCTGACGTCGCGTTATCTAATGTACCGTTCAATGTACATACAAGAGCCGATCTGGACAGCTTGTAACTTTCAACTTTGACTATTCTTGATCTTTGTCCTCACACGACCGACTTGACGATACCCTCTCTATTGCTCTCCCTTTCTTTTTTACATTACATTATGTATTGAACTCTTATGGGGATCATGAAATTATCACAGTATTTAACTTCTTGCTCATAGCAGACTTTTTAACTATGAGGCGTTGGCTCGTCTCGGCACTCCGTACGTTCTGATTTACAAATGTGACCTAGCTACATGTAGCTCTATAATTACTAACCATCAACTACAAACAGTGCTTTTGCAGGTCGCCGCCACCACAGCTTCTGATGAACAGCAAGTTGTCGACGCTATTGTAGACGATACCACAGCGACGAACTATAATTCAGCTACCGAAACCGACATAGTCCAAAGTACACAACATGCATGGACTCCGTATCAAAGCGGTAAGTGGCCGCGACCGTGCGGTTTGCGGACAAACCGCAAACCCTATATTCATCTAACGTGGAGTAGGTTGGGAGCTTGTCCACGAGGCAATGGCCGAATTCCGAAAGATTAAGACGACGCCGCATCGTAAGACGAAAAAGCAATTCGGATTGTTTGGAACGCTGGTTCAATGCGTCGCGAAAGCTTTACCAAGCTTACGAGTTAGTGCGCCTCCTCAGGAGCACGCGGCACCGGTAATAAGTGGCCCCCTTCTCGAGGGCGTTAAGTTATTACAGCAGTCGGCCGACCAAAATAATACGGATGCGATTTACCTCCTAGCGCAATTCAATTTCTTCGGGAACTATTCCCACCCGAGAAACTTCAAGACCGCGTTCGACCATTACTACCGGCTCGCATCATATGGAAATAGCTCGGCGCAGTATATGGTGGGTTTAATGTATGCGACGGGATTAGGTGATGCGGTGGAGAGGGATCAGGCGAAGGCTCTATTATACCACACCTTCGCCGCGGATGCGGGTCACACGAGATCAGAAATGACTGTCGCGGCTCGCCATCTTAGTGGTATTGGTGTACCTAAGAGTTGCGAGACGGCTTGCAAATACTACAAGAGGGTGGCAGACAAGGCTATGACATGGTTTCGGTCGGGGCCGCCGGGAGGCATGGCTCTTACACCGGAAGCGCACAGACTTTCTGACGAGGTTGGAGGGGTATACGGCGAGGGTGCTAGTGTGGTCAGTTCCGGTATCAATGCTCTGAAAGCGAGCCCGAATTCCGACGCCTATGCCGCTATTGACGATGTGATCGAATACCTCGATTTGATGTCTCAAAAGGGTGATTTTAAGGCTTCATTTAATCTAGGGAGACTCTACTACGAGGGACAGCGAGGTCTCGAAAGGAATGTCGATTTAGCCCGACGCTACTTCGCTGCGGTGACGACGATGTATTGGCGCTCGAAGGACGGGCGTGCCGTGGATCAGCCGAAACCTCAGTTGGAGAAATACGCTAGTAAAGCGGCTGGTTATATCGGACGCATGTGGTTACGCGGGGAAGGAGTCAGACAGGACTATAAGCTAGCTCGGGGATGGTTTGAGCGTGGAATTAAGCATGGCGATGCCCAATCTCAATGGGGTTTGGGTATCATGAATCTCCATGGCCTCGGCCTTCCGAAGAACGTCTCGAAAGCTACGGAACTTTTCAAGGCTTCGGCGGACCAGGACTTTAGCCTCTCCCACGTGGCGCTTGGGGCTCTTCATCTTGACCAGGGTACAGCGGATGACTTGAAAATCGCGAATTCGTATTTTGAGGCGGCCGCTCGTTGGGCTAATATTGAGGCGCAGTACTACCTGGCTGAGATGATACACCACGGCGTTGGACGTGATAAGACTTGTAGCATGGCTATGGCCTACTACAAGAATGTTGCAGAGAAAGCCGAGCCTTTGGTGTCGTCTTGGGCGGAAGCTAACCAGGCATATGAGGACGGCGATGTGGAGTTAGCCTTCCTTGATTATCTTATGGCGGCCGAGCAAGGGTACGAGAAGGCGCAGAACAACGTTGCCTTCATGCTCGACCCTACACAATCACGACTACCCCTACCTTCATGGCTAAAGCGCCAACCGCCCAAACCTAGTCTACTCCAAAACTCGGCTCTAGCGTTGATATACTGGACGAGGTCGGCTATACAACTAAACATCGATTCTCTAGTGAAAATGGGCGATTATTACTTAGATGGTATTGGTACTGAACCTGCACTTGATAAAGCCGCCCAATGTTATACGGGCGCTTCTGAGTACTTCCAGAGCGCTCAAGCTCTGTACAATCTCGGTTGGATGCACGAAAATGGGGTGGGCCTAACTCAAGATTACCATCTTGCGAAGAGATACTACGACCAAGCTCTCGAGACTAATGAGGAGGCCTATCTTCCCGTAACTTTGAGCCTGATGAAACTGCGGCTTCGCAGCGCTTGGAACACGTTTACCCACGGTCGGATCAATTCTATCCAGGACGAGCCTTGTTAGTTGCTTTTCTGTTTTTTTTTTTTTTTTCTTTTTTTCGTTTTATTCCCATTTTGACCATTTATTTCGTCATACATACGTACTAACAAGCATTCCTATAAACAGCACCAAGAAAGGATTGGTCGTTAAGCGAGTGGATCGCCAACTTCCTCCAAGAAGACGAGTACTATTATGATGATACATACGAAGGATTCTACGATGACGGCGGCGCGATCGCCGGGTCCGAAGGCGAACATCTCAACGGCGCCGATGCATTCGATGATGTTGATGGTGTCGTGGAGAGCTTAATTATCCTAGGCCTAGTCGCTGCGATCGTGATACTTATGTATTATCGCGCGAGGCGACGGGAGCAGGCGCAACGCCAGGCGGAGGAAGAGGCTAGGAGACAAGGACAACCACGGCCGCGACCGCCGGTACCGGGACAAGGACATGCACAGGGAGGTTTGTTTCCTCAGCCAGGTGGTCCGGATTTTGCGCCGTGGGCTGGTGCGGTTGTGGGTGCTTAAGTTATGCGTGCGTGCAAAAAAAAGAAAGAAAGCAGGCGAGCAAGCTGGGCGTTTGGGTTGGTGATGTATGTATGTATGGGTAGTAGGGAATATTGAATGAATGAATAGAAAGGTTTATGGTACAAATACCTGGGTGTGAAGTTGTTTTACGAGTGTTCGGAGATCTCCGAAATGAGTAATCATAGGGGTACTGGTTTCGGAATACGTCCGAGATGAGTAATCGTAGGGGATTTTGGTTTCGGAGCACATCCGAAATATTATGTAAGCATTAGGTAAGCGAGCTACGGAATAGGGGCTAATGTTGAGGGTGCTTCTTTATTTTAGGTAGATAGTATTCTACAGGAGCGGCCGGCGTGCGGGTATGAGGGTCGTCGGGGAGGCAGAGGATTACGATGCGTGGGGTTTGGATGAATAACTGATTAATTGGTAGATGGCAATGGTCTTATATGTACTGGCTGTGGGTGGATTATTGGGTACCTACTTTGAAGCATCAATGGAAGTCACTGGAAAACAATGCGAAATTCGGACGAAGGGATGGATAACTGCAGTTCTGAGGTCAGGTTTGTGTGTGTCTGTATCAACCCTCGTGTCTCAGGGATGGTGGTGTTTGTAGGTGACTTGACTATTGACAAGGCATGTATGCCGGTCTCCAATACAACAATTACTGTGAGTTACTAGCTCACATAACAGTCCATCTTTACGTGTTACACTTGTAGTATTGCTGCGAGGATACTTCGGATGCATTATGTTACATGTCAAAGAGAACATGTGTCCACAATTACCCACAGTGGCCTTCCTTTCAGGGTATAACTGCGTACCTAGTCGGGGATATATGAGACGGGATGCTATTCAGAGACTATCGAGGGTCATGATTTAAACTTCAAGAGACTCGAAAACGCAATACCAATGCAATTTGGCCAAGTAAATCACCTTTATATTATGGACTTGACCGTCACGCGCACATGCCAGGAGAACGATGTCGCCTATCCTGACCAGACACGTAATCTCGGTATATAATGACCAAGAAACGGGCAAGATGTACTGTTCGATTTAATAAGGCGCCTATATCACAAGATATCAAACGCCATCTGAATTAATTAACCGACAATCAAATTATATATATCTAAAAAGAAATTACCTAGAAGGATGTATCTTCACCAGTAACAACACATTTCGGACTGTCAAGACTCATTCAACGAACGGAACACGCAACCAAAACGAAATACTGCATTTTCGGATCCCTCTGGGGACACACGAGCGATCCTATTTGATACGGAGCTTTTTTGATCGATAACTATGTGCTACCGAATCTACGAGCAACCATGGTGTAAGGACGGCGAGCATCGGACAGGTCGGCGGAGATTCGTCAAATTGGAAATTTGCAAATCCGCCTCGGAAAAAGAAAAACGCTTTGGTTCCTGTGGCAAGGTCGGCGAGAAGATTACTGTGTGCGAGGAAAGAGATTCATGCCCTAGTTGTACTGGCATCGAGCGCGAGGTCATCAGAATCTTGGACGCCATCTAGACACTTAGGCATTTTCGGCATATATTAAATGGTCTAGAATATATTGGCGACAGTGTCTGACTTAGAATGCTCATATTGAATGACAACTATTATCAGTGTACGACACTTACTACTTTGAAAAGGGGGGTTTATTCCTTTGGATAAGACGATACTTTACCATACCCTCTCATCATCAAACACATTTAACGTGTCATACTCATGAATAAATCATATTATGAAATACTTTCTTACACTCTAAGTGACTCAGACAAATGATAATACTTTCCCCCACGTCACTTTTTATCTTATTAATAATTACACGAGGAGCATATTGCACCTAGACTCTTCCGGTGAGATGACCTAGTCTCGAGTTGCCCCCTGAATAGTGTATTCCACCCGGTAACTCTTAGGACCTTAACGCAAAGCTACTTAGTAGAGTTACACGAAACCTCCTCGAACAGAGAGGACTTGAGTGTATCAGGACGATCATACACGTATGGATAAAAAAGATAAAGTTAATACAAAAGCTCAAGTACAGAAAAGTTACAGGGACTAGTAGAACTAGTAGGCGCTTCGAGTTATGCTCACATAAGTACTTGGACGTATGTCCAATATGAGGTAATTCCTCGTGTTTAGAATCACTTTCAACACTAATACACTGGAGTAACAAATGTGTATATATTTCTCTTAGGCCCGCCCCGGAGCAATCACACTTCTTTCTCTAAATTTACTTTATCACGTATGTAGTATTTCAGAAAGCATACACACACGAGTCGGTTTGCGAAACTAGAGAAAGTTCATGAATAAGTCTAGTACCTTCCAAGGTTCCTAACTCAGCAATCTTGAAATCAACAATTATCTCCACCCAATACTTCCACCGCTACGAACAACTCCACCAACGACTTATGAACAAAGTATCTACTATATCTTCACACGACATTAGCGAACAAGCCTACTGCCATCCAGATACCCTACTATCTAGATACCGACGAGTTTACCACGATGTGCAAGCGTTTTTGGAACCAGGTGTGGTGCAGACACGGCTCCCATTTTACTGGAAAACGGACTTTTGCCGGAAAGGAGAACTGTCGGGTTGCTTTAGTTATGGGAGGATTCGGCTATTGCGGGACAATCAAGGAGAAATCAGTCAGAGATCGGACGATGCACAGATGCTCCGAATGCTGGAACAGAATGAACCGGGATGCGAGGTCAAACAGGCGATAGTCATATACATCTTTGATATAGGGCATTTGGGCACGCAAACTTATGAACTTCATCGATGATGTCCATATTCGAGGGTTAAGCTATAGAGATACTCAAATATATCTTAACTGAAGTCATTACCTGCCTAATTAATAGAATGTAATGAATTTAGAATGGGAAGTAATTGAAAATGCTTAAGTTTATAAAAGTTATTGCCTGAGATTTCTCAGGTTATTATGTCGTTTTTTTAAACCCATTTTTAAATGACCTTTTTAATCCTCTTTTTAAAAAAATTTATAAGAAATAAATAAGTGATATTTTTTTTAAATATATTTATTAATATATAATTTATATCTGGCTATCAATGTAAAACTACAACATAACCAGTGGTGAGAGGACTCTAAGCTTCTCTTACAGCAGAATAACGTTTGATTTGATTCCCTACGGGCACTGTTACCCTAAAATCAAGAACCTCCAGTTCCTACGACTATACCTCAGCCGAGTTATAGGCTCATGGCAGACCGTATTCCAGCTGCAGAAGCCCAAATTGTTAAGTTGTTGTGCTTGTCAGGAGTGCTTTCTTGAGCCATGTCTGATGAATCGATGGAGCCGACAAACGAGTCTTCAAAATTGATTCTCTTTATGCCCAATAATACAAGTACACTCATGCTCTTTCGATGCATGATGTCGGGTGCATAGCCACAAGTTCTTCATTATTGTGAAATAGAGGTGCGGGCAAATGAGCTATGCGACTAAGCTTCTGTGACTATTATGGTGCCACCATATCACCCATTAGGACCATCCACCCAAGACCCTGTATCAACTGCATTGCCTCGGGGGTTGGTCTATCATAATAATACCTGATGATAATTCTTTCCAGAGAAGGAACAGCCTTCAACTGCGCGTTCACCTGTGACAAAGCCTTATTACAGGACTTGCTAGGAACCTCTCCGGCTAAATCGAAAGCGTTACCCTTATGTACGTAGAACTCTAAAGTCTTAAGATTAACGCAATAGTCTTGGAGAAGCTTTAGGGTGCGCATTCCTTCCTGTGTAAGTCCTAGCGCTTCGGGTTGTCCTTGTACCATCTGAAGTGCAGGAAAGCTGAGGGACATGTGAGATAGCAGACGCGCATGGGTTGACGTGGGTGAGACTAGAAAGGTTTGTAGGATTGAAGCTTCGCGTTGTGTTGTAGTATCGACAAGGTTGAAGTGGTTCAAGCCGTAGGAAACAGCGTTGGTCTCTTGTTCACTGTACTCTCGGAATTTCGCCAATGCCGATGTAGGCCATTGTGTTGGTTTGCCGGGAACAAAAAACTCTATCGGTCGGTTTGATGATTCTTGGAAGACGATTATATGACTCGAGGCGACGAGCATTTTGATGTAAATGTCCTTGCGAGCCTCTGGCGACATATTGGAGAGGATATCTTTGGGAAAGCAAAGTCCGGCTTCCTCGCTAGATGCCATAGTTTCGAGGGTGTTTGCGGGTAGTTGATAAGAAAAAAAATATACGAACCACGATGGAAAAGTGGAAATTGAGAAGGGGAAGGGATAAAAATTATTGCAATGTCACCGCCGCTATGATGTAATACATTCTTGCTCAATCATGGAGACATGAATTGCTTGGCCGGCAAGGGAGGGACGTCTCGGGAGGAATCTGTGTTGTGTAACATACCTTAGATCTGTGTAACCAACATTAATATCTACGGGCCTAACGGCTGGCTAGATTATATGGAACGTAGTTGGTAGCGTAATACGCAGCTTATTTGATACTCGCCCAACAAGGCCTCCCTTACCTTCCAAGGTTACTACGAGGGATCAAAGAGAGCGAAGTGGCAACAACATGCTTCTTCAACTTCGCCCGCTTCATATTGTTTTATTTAGTATCTTAAGTAGGTGGTTTAATTCCTGAAACTCAAATTCTACAATTTTCGTCCTCCATTGTCTCTCTAACAAAATATTACTACCAAAGAATCACCAACATGTCGTCGAATACCTATGACATCGCCATAATTGGTGGCGGTACCTCAGGCCTTGTTCTAGCGAATCGTCTCTCTGAGGATCCGAACTTACAGGCCATCGTCCTTGAAAGTGGCGAAGATCGTAGCTCAGAGCCCAACACACTGACCCCTGGTGCTTAACCTTTGCTGTCGAATTCTCCAGCCGACTGGACATTCCATACAATCCCTCAAAACAACCTCGGAAGGCAGATCACAGTACCGCAGGGGAAAGCTCTGGGGGGTTCTAGTGCAATTAATAGCTTTCTCTTTACCTCCACGTCCAAGGCGAATCTAGAAGCATGGAAAAGTCTAGGCAATGAGGGTTGGGAATATCATGTATTTGAGGAAGCCCTTAAGAAGTCATTCACTCTACACAAGCCTTTGAGCGTGACTGAAGGTAAGGGTCCGCTCCAACTCACACTCGCTGCGCCTGAGGGTCTTTGGGAGAAGGCTTGGCTTGACGGCCTGGAGTCTGTGGGATTTGCGCGAAGCGATCCTCTTTCTGGGCATTTTGGTGGACCTATTATTGCCCCTGAAAGTATCGATCCCAAGACAAAGCAGAGAAGCTATGCGAGTAATGCCTATTTGGACCCTATTCGAAGCAGGCCGAATCTAACAATTCGGACTGAGACGACTGTGACTAAGGTGCTGCTTGAAAAACCTTCACAGGGTGCCGATGCTATTGCCAAGGGTGTCCAATTTGTCTCGAAGGACGGTACGTCCCAAACAATTGGAGTCCGCAAGGAGGTCATCCTTTCTGCTGGGGTCATCAACTCGCCCCGGCTTCTCGAGCTTTCGGGTATAGGCGACTCTGATCTACTCCAGCGTCTACGGATCATTGTCATCATTGATAACCCGCACGTCGGCGAAAATTTGCAGAACCACCTCTTCACAGGCCTGGTTTTTGAGGTGCGGGACGGCGTGGACACGATTGACGCTTTCTTCCGCCAGGAGCCTGATGCCGTGGCCGCTGCGATGCAAGACTATGGCACCAAGGGCGCGGGCCCTCTAAGTACTAGCAACATAGTAACCATGGCACAGCTTCCGCTACCCGAATTCCATTCGCAAAACGGGCGCAAGGAGATTGACCAGCTACTCAGCGCCCAGAAGCCCGCCTCCCCACCAACGACATCGGCTTTCGCCGTGGCTCATGAGGCATTTGTACGGACCACCCTCACGACACCTTCGGAAGCAGTGGGAAACTACGTGTTAGGTCCGGCTTACGCGCTCCCGGAAACCACATCTCAATCGCCATCGAGCTGTCACATCCGCTGTCCCGGGGTTCCGTACACATCACTAGCGCCGCACCTGAGAACACCAACACCAACACCAACGAAGGCTTAAGCATTGACGCTCGATACCTCTCGCATCCTTTCGATCTAGAGGTACTTGCACGCCAGGTTCGCTTTATGGAAGATACAATCACTCGCGCGGAGCCGCTTACGCGCTACCTAAAGCCATACACCAAGCGGTTCACAGACCTTGAAGTAGCTAAGGACTACGTGCGCCGCACAGCTGACGGCGCGTACCACTACACTGGCACCTGCTCGATGATGCCACGGGCGATGGGCGGCGTGGTGGACAACAAGTTGCGAGTTCACGGCTGCGCTAATCTTCGCGTGTGTGATGCGAGCATCATACCTATAGAGCCAACCGCAAACCCCCAAGCCGTCATTTATGCGATTGCTGAACTTGGTGCTGGCTTCATTAAAGAAGGTACATTGTAAAATAAGGCAGGCTTCTGGGCAATCCCGTACTTAGTAGAGGTGGTTAGAGATTTATGAAAGCCAACTGTCTTATTTCCTCTCACTATTTAAATAAGTCTTACCCGAGTATCGCAACCTAAAATATCTATTAAAATTCGAATAATTTTTGATTATTAGGCTCCATGAATTAAAATATTTATAAAATACTCACCAAGTATGTCTTCGCATGCGATTAAGTTATTTCCTATGAGACGGTGTTAGCTGACAGCTGAGTTGTGATTGCTGGTGGAAAGTTGGTTGGTTGGTTGGCATCTTTGACGCTGATGCAAGGGAGTCCGGCCCTTGCAAACCTCCCTATCCAAGGGATATGCGGCGTGTAGAGCCGCCAATTCACCAATTTCCAGCATACATAAAATATTATGGCTGTCCATTATCCGGCAGATCTAACCCAGCGGAACACATGATGATACTCTAACCGTACCCGTTGGCCGAAGAGTTGCAGGGTTGTATGGACTTTAGGATATGATATGTCTTTCAGCAATTTCCGCTCTTCTTTGTGCTATGACAGCGTAAAAGGCTGGCTCTCTCTTTCATTCGCGTTCTGTCTTACTAGAATACTAAAATCATTGACTCGCCAGTTTGCGAAAGCTGTAGCTCGAGCGAGAAACCCCCCCTCACACACTAGGTACTCATCGACACTCCCAGCATGGACATAGCATCTGAGGCTCCAGAAGCTACCGCTAACACAGGTACTCATCGGTCCTTGGACGTGAAAATCGAGTCTAAACCCCAGACCCAATATGCATACAACCAAGATTATCGATTCTGGTGTATTATCACTGCCCTGTATACTATGCAAGTCTTATGTTCGCTCGAGAATACCGTGGTAGTCACTTCCTTACCAACTATTGTTAAACAATTGGATCTGGGAAGTAGCTACATTTGGGTCACCAACGTATTTTTCCTCACGACGTAAGTCTTAAGGCTTTTCCCGAAGCTGCAATCTCCGTATCAACCATACTCCTTTCTAGGCGTACTGAACCAAACCCAGATCTGTTGTCCAGCCGCTCACTGGTCAGTTGGCCGGCCTCTTTGGGCGCCGACACGTCGCACTAGCTGTTGTCGCCTTATATACGCTTGGTAGCGGTCTTGCTGGGGGAGCGAATGGGCCAGCCATGCTGATCGCCGGTCGCGCTGTGCAAGGCACTGGAAGTGGGGGTATGACAGCCATCATGGGTATCGTCATTTCAGACCTCGTCCCTCTTCGGCTGAGAAGCAGTTACCAGGCTATCCTCGCCATGACGTATGCAATTGGAATGGCCATTGGCCCCATCGTAGGAGGCGCTATTGTCGAGGATACCACCTGGAGATGGGTTCGTGACTACCTACATTAATCGTAACCCGCTCCAAGACAACAACTCACTAACAATAATTTATGATTCCTTAGGTGTTTTACATAAACCTCCCCGTCGGCAGCGTCTCTCTCATCCTTCTATGGTTATTCTTACGTGTTAAATGGGATAAGGAGAGTAAGATATGGAATAAACTCAAACGTATTGACGTTGCGGGCAATGGCTTGCTGGTGGCATCCACGGTATCCGTTCTCATCGCGCTGACTTGGGCTGGTTCTGTTTATCCGTGGTCATCTTACCATATCCTTGCCCCATTGATTATCGGCCTCGTTGGCCTTATTGGCTTCGTTTGTCTTGAAGGTTCCTCATGGGTTCCGGAGCCTGTCATGTTCGTCTTCAACCCCCCTTAAAACTACGACGCTAACTTAGAACGTCGACAGGCCGCTTCGTCTTTTCGCAAATCGAACCTCCGCCGTAATATTCGCGAACACCTTCATCGTCTCGATGTTGAACTACTGGATTTTCTTTTTTCTGCCTCTCTATTTCCAAGCCGTTCAGCTGTCAACCCCCACTCGCTCGGGGGTGCAGATCCTGCCCATCACTTTGATTGCTGTCCCTGGGGCCGCGGTCGGGGCGGTGGCCTTATCTAAATGGGGTAGATACAAGCTTCTTCACATCATCGGCTTCGCTTTCCTCACGGCTGGTATCGGCACTTTTTCTGTTCTTGATCGCAACTCGAGCACGGCAAAGTGGGTCTGTCTCCAGATTCTCCCGTCCGTCGGTGCCGGCATGATCCTGGACACTCTCCTACCAGCCTTCCAAGCAGGTGTAGAGGAGATAGATTCTGCAGCCGCCGCGGCGAGTTGGTCCTTCATACGCAGTTTCGGGAATATCTGGGGTGTCGCAATCCCGGCAGCCATCTTCAACATTTACAGCAGTCAATACGCTGCGGATATCGTAACGGACCCGACCGCCAGATTATCGCTGCAAAATGGTGGCGCGTATTCAAGCGCAACACGAGACTTCGTTGAGTCGTTTTCCGAACCAACGCGGGGTCAAATTATTGATGTCTTTACAAGATCGTTGAGCAAGGTCTTCCTTATTGGTATCACCTTTCCAGCAATCTCATTCATCCTATCGTTTGTGGAGCGAGAGGTAAAGCTGCGCACGGTGCTTGAAACCGAGTTTGGGCTAGAAGACAGGAACAGCACAAAGTATAGTAGAAAGGCCTGAGATCCTTTAGATGTAGTAAAATCAAATTTGTATCATATGCCTTTTTTAATTTCACATTCATCTGCCGTCTGCTAGTCCTGGCAGCTCAGGTAGATATCCGCCGTCGTAGGCAACATGGTTCGGTGTTGCGAGTCAGAGTTTACGTCTCACAACATCTGCACTTTTACGCAGATCGTCACAAAACCAAAGTCCGATTGATGCATGCGCTGTGCAGCAGAGCAAAATAGTCAGCAGCCAGCGTCACACTACATATTCAATTCACAGCCCCTCCGGTATACTTTCATCGGGGCGGATTAGCAGTGGTCATGGTAAACAGTCTCGGACGTAATTGACGGTTGTCACGCAATCCCCCCAATCCCAGTACTTGTGGCCGCATACCGTACAGTTACCCTTAGATCGAATATCTTGGTAATGCCACCAGATCTGATTGCCAGTCGCCATGCACTCTGGGCCACCTTCGATTGTCACCCCGCAGCCGAGAGGGGAGTAGGCGGTACCACAGGCTCCTTTGTATTCAACGGGGGACCTACAAGAATGCATTAGCAAGGCTATCGTATATACAAATGGAGTGGTATTCGTACGAGCGCGACCCATAAATTACATCGTCCGTCCGATAGAGCTTTTCGTTGACCGCTTTGTCGCACCATCTTACCTGCAGAGTGGTGCACATGTGGCTTCCACTACAGTCGTAAGTGCCTGGTACGGTGGCTGGGTGTTTGTGTTCATTGATCGAAATGTTGGAGGGAGGGGTGGAAAAAGGGGTAGCCCCGGCACCAATGAGAAGTGTGAATACTGCCAAGACGGCAGTGAAAAAATGCACGATAACCATGGTATTTGCTTCTCCAGGTATATGAACACTTACCCTAGGTACCCAATGGCAACATGAACAACAGGTATACTGGGCTTTTATACCTACTAGGCCTAAGACGTTAATAACGCTTGGACGGGCCGCCAATGAAGCTTATTAGAACGCAATTTAATGCTAAAGGGATGAAAGGCATTTATCTACTTCAATGCGTGTTCTAGTTGGATTTATTCAACTTTACTCTAGGGTGAGCACTGTTAGTACTTGATTTCTAAGATATAGGGTTTAGCTATGACAGTCACTAAATCGAAGAAAATGGAGAGAAATGGTCTTAAGAGCGAGTACACTCGGGTCATATTTCCCCTATATCCTTCGATAACTGCGTTTAAAATGGATATCTACCGTGTCTACACTTTCCTTACGTTGAATAATGTTTTGGTATAACATTGTACTTACTAGGTCTGGAAGCCTTTACATATGAATCTAGTTTATTTTTGGTGCATCTGTTTATCTCAGGAAAACGGCCAGATTTGATAGGAATAACACATGGGGCTAATTACAAGGAACGGGACTTGTGGGTGTGGCTACAGCCCCAAAACCACCGATTTGCTGAGCCCAAGGACATAGAGACATTGATCGATTCCCAGCCTAGTTGTCACTTCGAAATCGCCAATTACTCCGATGGCGATTCTAAACCTAAATACGACAACATCAATGACTTACTTAGTTATTCTGGCTATGGAATTATGCTGATGACAAAATTTTGCGTCTTTAATCGACACGCTACGGAGTATATATACGATATATTTCTCAGTACGCTTATATCCATTCACACGCTATACCCGAAGCCCGGGTGAAACAATCATGCAGGCTAGCAGCCAAGACACTTGTGATCTGACTGCATTGCAGTTGTGTAGCGCAGGTCGCGTCACCATTCAGGTAGATATGGACGCTTGTTTCGACGAGAGTGGGTGTTGGGCTCCGTATCCGCAGGCAAGACGTGGGGTAGTCATCTATCTAGGTGTTTTTTTTGCCCTTCGTTATCGGGATGGGTTACACAGAGCGTACTCTCATCGGGCGAAGCGTTATTAGCGTGTTATCAAGCAAACGTTGACAAAGGCAGGCTGAAGCCTTGGTACCTTGGGTCTAAGGCACTGAGGTGGTTTGCACACACATTAGTTTTCTCTCTCGCAAGGCTTCCAATCGGAAGTGACTAACACGCTCCTCTTTGTTTACTACTTCTGACGCATTAATAACTTTAATTGGAACAGCAAGTATGAGTCAGAACGAGGCAGACGTCTGTCTGCCTAGGCAGATACTCAGGTACTATACTAATTAATATGTAGATGATACTCTGATGCTTGAAAGACGCGACTGCATGTGTACTTATTATTGTGACCCCATAATAGATGCATGAATGGGTACTGCGTGACCGAGTAGGAGCCAAGACATTTTCGACTTTTAGACATTGGTGATAAAGCCTAACGTACCTAGATACCATGAGAGTATTGGAATCTACAGATACTAACCCAGGTGGATAATTAGGCAACACTCGGCTCGAGCACCTACTCATAATTCATATATATCCCCATCCATCTTTCGTAGCTAGGATCCTCAGCACAATATTGTTTTCACTCAGCAAAATAACACTGGTACCGAGACCTATCCCCGATCGTTATTTTAGTTACGGCGTTGAGCTCCTTTCCCTTCCTAGCTTTTGATCCATGGATTCTCTGGGAAATATGATGGGGAAGCAACCCGTACAAGCCACGGGCACGATGTGTGCCGTCGGCAAGCTGTACAGGCACACAGAGTCCTCATCATGGTCCCTTGTCCAAGACCCCGTGCTGCACCAGCAGCAGGTCTCAGGACTCGGCCAATCCTATGCAATGGTCCACCGTTATTCAATGCAGAAGTTAGCGAACGGAACACACACATGGACCACTCACTCTATAGCAGTCAATAGCGAAAAGCTCAAGGCAATTCTAGCTCAGATATTCCAGGGCTACCCGGATTGGGCACCTGCCGACAAACCATTCACATTCCTGCCGCCGTACAAGCCCCTCATCCATCGATGGGAGAAGATACGTGGGTTCAACGCAGCCGACGAAGGGGCTAAGAAAGAACTACACCTGTTCTGCGAGGAAGTCAAACCTCTCATCGAAGTCGAGCTTCACGTCCTAGAAAAAACGAGGTCTACCGGTGTGATACCGTTTGACAAGCTCTGGCTTATCTTTGCCCCTGGTGATCTTGTAATTGCGGGATGTCTCCAAGGGGCTACGTGCATCTGCAAGCTTCTTGCTGCACCGAAACTGATCACATCCACGCGAGACCAGCGACGCCGGCTCATGCGCCGTGGCATCTTCGACTCTGACGACTCCGAGGATGAATCCGATGACGAAGATGGTTCTGATAAACCTTTCTGGGCAATTCAGTTTGCTCAGATTGATTGGAATGGTAGCTACTGCGGCCAGAAAGTAGACCAAATCAAAATCCTACAGTTTGATGAAATAAAAGCCGTCACCGATCTCGATATGTACCCGCTCTTATTCTCCCCCGACCTTAGAGAGAAAGACATGGCACTTGCTCGAGGAAGGAAGTTTGAATCTCTTCGTGGGTTTCACGTGAAGAATTGCAACGGAGCGAAAATTATCGAGAAGCCAACCCCGTTTGGAACGGAGTATGTTCCTGAACCGGTAAGAGCACACCTTTTTGGAGCGCTTTTTGATCTGAAAGCCCCCTAATTGATATGTAGGTGTCGGGTCGGGTTATTGTCGATGCACATGCGTTCTATCACTGCCAAGAAAAGGTACCGCCTACATTACGTCGAGCCGCCAACCCAGAGTTGAGCGCCGAGGAAGATGTAAAAGTTGCCTTATCGTTAGTTAAGAAACGGAGTGGAGACGATGAGAGACGCGAAGACTTACGGCCTATGACCGACGAAGAATGTATATTGGCTGTTCCTCGCGTAAAGGGGTTTGATTTGAGAACTAAACAGTGGTGTAAGCCATTCGTATCTTACGTACCACTGAGTCGAAGAGCTAATCCTCATCATAGGTTATTTCAATGTGGATGAACTTCAGGAGACCAGTTGGAATGATGCCTCGTACGACAACCTAGTTTTACCAGTAGATGAGAAAGAACTTCTCATGTCATTCGCGGACAAGGAAAGGGTTCGCGAAGCAGGTTTCGACGACTTCGTCAAGAATAAAGGTAAGAGAAAGACAATTCCCGCGGGGAAAAGTATGGTATCGCGCTGACAGTAGAACTCCATAGGCAAGGGAGTTATCATACTTCTCTATGGCCCCGCAGGTGTTGGGAAAACTCTCACAGCAGAAGGAGGTAAGTTCAAAATCTGATGCTGCCAGCGAAACTCGCGCCTGGGTGTTAACGTGATGCAGTTGCCGAGAAGTCTAGAGTCCCACTCTATGTATTGAGCGCTGGCGAACTGGGCTCAACTGCCGGCAAGGTTGAAGGCGCCCTCCAAACAGCACTCAAATGCTGCCAATTGTGGGGCGCGATGCTTCTCCTTGATGAGGCGGATGTCTTCCTCGAAGCTCGAGGATCGGATAATGTGGAGCGGAACGAGCTTGTATCGAGTGAGTATTCCCCCATCATAGCAGCATGATGTGCATACTGACATATCTCAAGTTTTCCTTCGACAGCTTGAGTACTACCAGGGTCTCATGTTTTTGACGACCAACCGAGTCAAGAAGATCGACAATGCGTTCCTGTCGCGAATTGATTTGATACTACCTTACGACGATCTTGATTTGAATACTCGGCGCGAGCTTTGGGCGAAATTCGTTCACCGACTAAAACCTCAAGATGTCGATCTAAGCAAAAGCGATATTGATGACTTGGCAACTACCAAGATGAACGGAAGAGAGATTAAGAACGTACTCAAAACTGCACTCATTATAGCCGCCCGCGATAAACCCCTCCGGAAACGCCACCTCCAAACCGTGTTGAGCATCCGCAAACGGGTTGATTCTCTCCGACTTGATGCAGGTGGTATAGTTAACTAGGGACGGTCATGAAATCCAATCGCCATAAAATGCAGCTATTTGGGCGAGAGTTCGTATTCGATATCTCATCGTTGCTGTTGTATCTTTCCTTTTCGTTGAGCGATGGTTGGGAGCCCGCGAGGACACACAAGAGGGCAATAAGTTAGCAATCAATGATAGCGTATTTAATTGAAAACTGATCGGGCATCTGAATCCCCTAATTGTGCGTACGTTAATTCTTCCGATACGGTAGGAAATACTCAAGTTAGAGTTCGGCCGAAGAGCGCAATCGAGGAGCGAAGTAATACGTAAGCGCCATGCGAGTAAGCATCGTGCATATTCAAGTTGATGGGTGCATATAACAAGGAAGTCCTTAACAGGTACTATAGGTAGGGTCAGTAACCAGGTCGAGTTGAAGACCCAATATTTAGTCGTCCTATTGGACTACGCCTGTTCCTTCGTCAAGGATAAAAGCTGGAGGTCTGGCAGATGAATATTGTCTTTCCTGCTTCTCAACTTCTACTTCTTTCATTCCGATTATTAACACGGACCATGGCGGGGCAAAAGATCATCAAGTACTCACTCGAGCACTTTCGAAAAGACGGAATTTCGGAGGAAGCCTTCCTCAAATGGTTTCAGGAATACCATCTCCCTTATGGCGTTCCGCTGATGAAGAAACATGGCGTAGTTAAATATGCTGTTGTGAGTCGGGTTGTATCCATCAAGTATAAAGCGCTTCTTGTTAACATGCAAGGACCAATTATAGCACACCAGAGTGCCTCCATTATGTGACGCATTCCAGGATATCATTGAAAAGATCCGACCGGGATGGGAAGTTAGCAAGGCCGACCTTGTGCTTGAATACTGGATGCCCGATTTGAGTTGTCTGAACAGTCTTATTGAGGACCCAGATTGGAATGGGAAGGCCGTCAAGGGCCAGGAAGATTGGCTCGATATGTCTAGATCTACGATCCACATTGGCTACGAAACCACTTATTTGGAGGATGGAAACGTCGTGAATCTATAAGTGAAACGAAAGGGAGTGATGGAATCTATAGGCCATATGCGTTCAGCTAATTCAGAAACGAAATGAATTAATTGACATGCTCCCGGGATGATAGAAAAGCGCCTTTCTTTTTTTCCCCTATTTCTTTAATACCCCTCATTATCCTGGTCCGAATCTTAACTCCGAGTCGGCCGAAAGCTCCGGGGTACCTTCGCAAGCCCCTGGTGACTTTTCAAAAGCAAATAGTAGTGTATCGTATTCTGAGTCCAGTGTCCCTAGGTAGTATCCTTGGAAGTCGTAACGAGATCCTATCGTACTTAATTGAACCCTTGCAGAGAATGTACCGTGCCTTAAGTACCATTCACGTCCTAGATGCAACGATGCGGCGTAGTCGAACAAAGACATGCGGGCATCAGTAGTCCTCAGATTTATATGTGCAACCATTTTCATAGGCACCATCCAAGATCATTAAGTAAAGGTGTGCGCCAGCATTTCTTAGAAATATTTCACCAATTCCAATCACATACCAAACAGCAATACTCGGAAGAAATACATCACAAAATGGCGTCAGGTTTATTCGTCAATCCTGCTACCCTACTTAATGTTGTTCCCGTTATCTCTTCCACTTGCCAGTTGTGGTTTGGTTGGGACCAGTACGAATTTCTGCAATTGTTTCTCAAACGGGACATACAGGCCCAGAGCAACCAACTACTACCATCATATTTCACTACGTTTTTTAATCGGGGTGCACCGCGGGTAGGAGGACTTCTTCTCACCACCATCGTTTCATCAGCCGCCAACCTGCGCTACGCACCTGGAAACCTCTTGCACGAACGTGGATCATTCATCTGGTATTCGGCGGCCATTGGTTTTGCCCTCGGTCACCTCACTTACTTCCCCTTCATTTTCCCTCATATCCGAGCTATCACCAGCGATGCTAAGGAGAAAAACGTTACTGAACTCAAGAACTGGCTCTACGTTCATAATTGGCGGACTTTGACAGTTGACCTAGCAGGTTGGGTCTGTTGCATCGTTGCAACTGTTAAGACACTTTCCCCCGTTTCCGCAAATGGCAATTGATTCGCACAGCGTTGTTTTGAGCGCAAGCAGTATAAATTTTCGATCAAATTCATTCGAAACTTCGACCTATACAAAATTGGCTTCCCAAAACTTGTCGAAGTTATTAGCATACCTACCTAGGTAAATCTTGAAAAGAGGCATTTTCTTTTCCTTTCCCAAAGAGTATCTAGGTACCTACAACCACAGGGAAAAGAATACATGTACCGAGCAGTATTAGAAGTACCTAAGTACCGAGGTAGGCAGGTTAGGATGTTGCGCGACTTAGAAGGATTAAAAGCAATCGCATAAGAGTTAGTTATGACGTATGAGGCTGCAATGTCCGATTGGCTTCAAATGGCGAGTGTATCAATTTCAAATCCACCAAATGCCGTTTCTCTTCAACGTTCTGTGTAATCAAAACTTCCTCAGCCGCCTAGTCACATTTCTCGTCTGCTACCACTCAATCAACTTGACTCCTAGCCTATCCAGTGGCCGTGTCCTTTGACCCTGTAGTAAGTATTCCATCCGTCGATTTCATTATTACGACCGGATGCTCCGGATGCTGGCTCGAAGTAGAACGATGGATGAGCCGCACTGGGCGATGGCGCCCAGATCTAATCTCGGAGAAGCCGTACCGTGCTCTAACGACCGGATACTGTCGAGGTGCGCTGCACACTACCTACCTGATAGGTACTCAGCAACTCTATCACACCCTTAACTATCTCGGCGCAGCATTACTTAGCCACCGACATCTGCGATGTAACCTGCAATGGATACTACTCGGTTACGGTAGTTAGAGACAGTAGATGAAAAGTATCGTAATACAGTTATACTCTCCTTCAATTAAGTTGCTTCTTAACAGGATAGCATCGCTCATAGCTAGGTCCATTAGGTTTATCCTTTGCAACACCATTATATCGACGATGGGTAGTTGAGATGGAAAAGATGGCCAAATTCAACATTGCAACATCACATACCTACCAGCCTACCTGTCTCGGTAGGTAGATAACTAATTCAATATGCTAGTTGATCCCGGCGGCCCAAGACTTACGTGGATGGGTTTTCATAAACCCGGATTCTAATTGGCAAATATATAGCGGGTAGCATAAGGCTCCGTACAGTGCTTCTCTCAACCGATCTGACGGAAGCCACAATATATGCATGGCCAGTTGAGACACGGCTGTGCATCTATAAGGCATCTCCTAAGGCATTATACACGCAGTAAAGCTCAGTACTCCCCGAGCACGTTTCGAGTCTGTTATACTTTTCTCTTATTTATATTTCACCTCCAGTCTTACGGCTCTTACGAGATCACAAAAAACCGATGCCGAGGCTCCTAGAAGAACCCAAGGAATCTGTAATCAATTATCACTTTGCAGCATGGACCCTATATTGGTGGTTGGTTTCTCGGGCGCAATCATCGGTATTGTCGATGTAATTACTAGGAGCATGAAACTACTCTCTGAACTCAAAACGAGATACAACGTCATCGAATTCAAGATTGGCCTCCTGATATCGCAACTATCAACGCTCAAGGCAGCATTGAATCAAGTAGATGATCTCACTTCTAATATTCACGTGGGCTCAACTCATGAACAACTCTTATGCGATCTAAATATCTCCTTGCAAAGCTGCGAGGCCGTTATCTCGGTACTCAATGAACGCATTACTGTGTTAAAAAGAAACGAATCCAATTGCCTTACAAAAGGGAGCAAAGTCGGCCTACTCTGGGGAGAATCCATGATAAACGATTACCTCAGTCTCTTGGGTAATCAGATCAATGCACTCAATCTTCTCTTGACCGCTCTACATTGGTGAGGCCCCATATCCCAACCTAAGCAGGTAACAATTAATCAGTATATAGTCGCTCAACCTTTGATCAGAATAACCTCCTACAAGAGGATAAATCCCGCGAGATATTCTGTAAAGTTAAAGATGACACATCATCTCTCGTTTGCTTAACGGATTCGGAGTCTAACGGGACTCGACGCAGCGACGGGCCCCAAGATCTTACTCTCCTTAATAATACATTCGCTTTTGACGGCGATCTCTTCTCGTCGAAGGCGTATCGGAGGCCAGTAGTACGTGCGATCCGGACAGAAGCCAGCGTGACCAAGGACCTTAGGCACAGTCAAGTGACGTTGGACAACTGCCTCAGTGTCTCTCCCCCAGTGTCCAGCACTAAAGTAATACGCGAGGAAGAAAAGGTCCTGAAGGGCGAATCATTCAAACCGCTGGTGAGAACGGCACGGGCTTCTTACTCACAACACGGCAGTTCAGACATCGAAGTAATACAAGAGTTTCCAGCGTCATGGAGAACCACGACTGGAGGGGGCTGCACAAGTAAGAAAATCCCATCAACAGGTAACGATTTAAGACTTATCTGTCAATTGGCACTCAACGGCACCCTAACTCCTACGTCCATCTATTCCCTCCAGCACGTAAAGAGGGAGATCGTGGACCCGCCACTATTCGGTGATCCACTTTCGTTCAGACCACCGGGCGCAAGAGTACACCCCCCCAAGAAAATGAGAGTAAATTTACTTGGAACTTCAAGATGCGGGAAAAGCACTTTGCTTAGATGCCTTCTTGCAAAATTTCGGCCTTACGACGAGGAAGTACTTTACTTATATCGACCAATCATTCGAGCGCACACTACCAATTGCATCCAAGGTACGGTCAGTTAGATATGCAATGGGACCAATGGAAAACACAATGGAACAATCAAGATATACGTACATTGTATAGGCTGAAGACAATTAACGACGAAGCGGCCCCCCAAGAAGCAGACTAGTAAGTTTCGATCCATTCAGATAGCACCACGTCAACTTTTTGAAGGTATTCACCTCTAAAACTTAACATTTACACAGTTTTCTCGGCTCTTTCGATCGCATGTTCCAACAAGATTACATCCCAACAATGGAAGATATTCGGCGTGTACCAATGAGGACATTAAGTGATCTAGGATCTTCCTTCGAATTTGGCAACGTGGTATACCACTTGATTGACCCCGGTAGCGCACAGATGGAGCAAAAGAACTGGAACTATGCATTCCTTGGCGTCGACACAGTCATATTCGTATTCGACGTTTCTGCCTATTGTATCAGCGTGGGGGATGGGGAGATGAATAAAATGGACGAGCAGTTGATGCTCTGGGGCAAACTTGCACTGGCACCTCGGTCTCCGAATGAGAGGATTATCGTCATCTTCACTAAAGAGGACAGACTTACCCCTGATCGATTGGAAAGGTGGATATTCTCGGAATATTTCCCTGGCTTCCAAGGCGACCCCCTTGATGTTGAAGACATCCTCCAGAACATTGCAGGGCTATTGACATCTATGATGAAGCGCGTCACCGTTATAGAGCGTTTGCCCATATTCTGGCGAACCAGCTTCGAAAATGAGCCCATCGAAATAGCTATGGTGGATCTGAAATGTTCAAACTGAAATTTATCTATGTATTACTGTTGCATCGTCATACCATGTATATACGTTTGATCATGATCATGCATAACTTGTATAATATGTATCGCTACATGTATTTATATGCTTAGGTAATCAAAAGGGGGAATGACGACATTGTGCATTCCCCGATCTTCCCTCATAAATTGATTTCCCAATATCTGGCACTGGAATCCTCCAACCTCACTTACACAGCTACTTTCGCGATTATTTCTCTCTTTTACCTACTAAATATCTCATTTAGCAACAGATGCATACGATGGCTCCACGTACTGAGGAAGAGCTTTTGTCATACAGCGTCATGGACCCGATTATGGTGGACGTGAGTTTGTGTCTTATAACGAATATTTCATATAGTCCCCTCAAATACGATCGTTTCGGGCTCCGAGACGTTCGCTCCAAATGTTGGGGAGGACTTGCCGACGTGACAACAGGAACTGTCTCGTAATCCCGTTCGGGACCCACAACCTTCGGACCCATACTACGGTGATGACTCGCATTCAGCGGCCCGCGCGCATAGGGCTACCACCTTACGCAAGAAACATCATCTCCGCTATCTTCCCGGGCACATCCTCGATCAAGTCAGCGAAGAAGATCGGAAAATACCCGTGCGTGATGGGTCCGAGATCATAGTGCGCATTTACCGACCCGTTACAAAGCCAGCACAAGGAAGTCCCTTGATTGTCATGTACCACGAGGGTGGGTTTAGTATGGGTGATCTGAGCGACGAAGAAACCAATTGCCGGCTCTTCAGTCGGGACCTAGGGGCCGTTTGCGTCAACGTTGATTATCGGTAAGTGCATTGCGAGATAGAGTCGTTGATATTGAAAAGTTGGGTTATAGCTACCTAGGTAGGTATAAATGGAACCTAACTTGGGTACAACTACAGATTAGCACCCGAATATCCCTTTCCCACTTGGATTGAAGACAGTTGGGATGCGTTGAAATGGGTAAGTGTGCCCCCGTCTCCCTATTTTCTCTCCTTCTCACCACTCTCTTTGGGCAGGCGGCACAAAACGCAACATCCCTCGGCGCCGATCCATCTCTTGGCTTCATCATCGGCGGCGGTTCTGCTGGGGGCAACATCGCCGCCGTTCTAGCACACATAGCTCGAGACGAGAAGCTTAGTCCGCCATTAACGGGTCAATACCTCTGCGTGCCAACAATCATGGGTGTGACACCCCCTAATTTGATCTCACCAAGTTATCGAGCGGAATACCTGTCACATCCAGATGTCACCACAAATGTAGACCCAGTGCTCAAGATGACCAGCGCTGCCGAGTTCGCTCTGCACATGCATGGAAACCTGAAAGCTTCGTGGACCGATCCTCGTCTCGTGCCTTTCCTATATGGGGGTCTCGAAGGCGGGCATCGTGATCTCCCTCCCGCATATTTTCAACTTTGCGGGATCGATCCGCTAAGAGATGAGGGTCTAATCTACGAAAGGGTTTTGAGAGAGGAAGCAGGCGTGAAGACACGGTTAGACCTGTACAAGGGATTCGGGCATTACTTCTGGACGAACTGGCCACAATTAGAAAGAAGTCGTCAATTTGTGGAGGATACCGTTAAGGGCGTAAAGTGGCTACTAGAACAGAAGTCCTAAAGATGCTCTACGTAGTTTAAATATAGGCGAAGCGAATGACTTGATTCGGCTCACATTCAATGAGGGTGTATACAAGCGGTGCCTTCACAGATTCTCACACTCGATTCACATAGGAATTCGGGACAACCCTAATCAGAAGATGTGTTACGATTGGAATAGTCGGATAAAGCTACGTATCAAGAGGTATATGAAATTAGTCCTCACTTAATACTAAAAAACTGGTATGCAGGAACACCCGGTTTCAATTCCACGATACTACGACCCCACTCCGCTTTCCGGTGGTCATTTACGCCCTTGTCATCATGCATCTTTCGCCATACCCAGAACATTCATCTAGGACTTACCCGATTTAGTAGTTGAGGGTCGCATATGCAAAGCTAGAATTACGAACCATCCACAATTTCTTAAGATCTAGTTGGAGATGGTCATGAGGGGTGCTACCCTTTACGGTAATTACCTACCCCTATCACGCCCAGGGTGATGTAATAGCAAGCTCTTACATAAAGGCACGAGTGACGCAAGCAGAAACTCTTAGATGAAGAACATTTCAAGTCAATCATCAACTTACCCATTGCTGAAAATCTTGAGAAACACCAAAATATTTAGATAGTCTCATATCTGTATACTCAAAAGCTTCAAGCATGGCATCCGAGAACAAATACCCGGACCTGACAGGGTTCAAAGCTCTAAGGTTAGATAAGAGAAGCTCCTACGCCTAACTCACATCTACTTACTAACATACTATCTTTACGCCTCCAGCTTTGACTGCTACGGCACAATCATCGACTGGGAAACGGGCTACCTGAGCACCGTACGGCTCCTCACCGCACAACTACCCGACTCACACCCTCTCAAAACAGAGCCACCCCTAGAAGCCATGCGGCGCCTCAACGAAGTCACCAACGCCTTCGAGCACGCGCAGCCCACACTACCCTGTATGTCAACTCCCAAGTCAAAGACCACCTACCTAGTTAAGTAGCCTTTATGGCAAATATTAACACTCAAGTTTATCCTATAGACAACGAAATCCTCGCCGAATCCATAACCGCCTTCGCGCGCGACGACCTCCAACTCCCCGGTCTATCCGACAGCATCGCCGAGCCCTTCGGCAACTCCCCCGGGACCTGGATCGCGTTTCCAGATAGCATCGCCGCGCTACAAAAACTCAGAAAGTACTATAAACTCGCGATCTTGTCCAACGTGGATAACCGAAACATCCAGGCGACGGTAGAGCAACGGCTCACACCTGCGCGTTTCGATGCCGTGTACACGGCGCAGGATATCGGGTCGTATAAGCCGTCGCATCGGAATTTTGAGTATTTGTTTGAGCACTTGAGGTCGGATTTGGGTGTGGATAGGGATAAGAATGAGTTGCTGCATGTAGCGCGTAGTTTGACCGCGGATCATGTCCCGGCGAAGGAGATTGGGCTGCCGAGTGTGTGGATCTCGAGGGGTGGGGATACGGCGAAGGGGAGGGGTGTTGGAGGGGACTATGAGAAATTGAAGGATAAAGTCGCGTTTGGGTGGCGGTTTGATACGTTAGGGGATTTTGCGGATGAGGTTGAAAGGCAATTTGCTGCGAAGTCGGGGTCTTGAAAAGCGTGAGGGAAGGGTATGTTGAAAATTGAGGATATAAAAAATTTATGCGTCGGAACAATTCCGATGTAAGAGATACAAGAGGGGGGGGGGGGATAGGAATATAGCGGGAAGGTCATGCCCACCAATTTAATGTCCCTATATATAGGCATTTACTCATCACCCATCCTCATATCTCCCTCCTCATCTGCATCATCACCATCTGTCCCAGCTCGTTCTGCATCCCTCAGTTTTATCCTCCCGTGTTCACGTTCTTTTCCATACTTGCTTCTTCTTCTCCGCGGCTCCACCGAAACATCTCGGCCTCTCCATCCCTGCCGCATCCTAATCGGCCGCAAGAACCCATCGACGTGAACGGCGCCATACATCTCATCTTCGCTATCCACTTCATTTGCGAGTAATAGCGCCTCTTCGCCTCCCCCACTAGAACTCTCGGACGGCGTCCATCCATGCACTAATTTTAAATGCCGTAGCAAATTCTGCCGTCTCGTAAAGCCTTCCGCGGCTCTAGGACAATCGCCGAAAAAGCATACATGTGACGCACCCACGGACCCAGATCTACTACGAGGTCTCGATACACTTCGTGAGCGTCTACCTCTTCTCGACGGGCCCGTTTCATTTTCCGATATCGCGGCGCTTGTCGCACGCAAAGGTAGTATCATAGATCTTTGTTGTGCCCCTTCCTCTTCGTCTTCCTCTTCAAGCAACGGTGGATACGGCATCCCAGGTACGTACGTTGTCACTTTACCCGACGGCGTCTTTCGACTAGACGTAGCAGGCCCCTCGACTAGTCTATGTAGCGTCATACTCTGCCCGAATAAATCTGCGCATCGCCTCGCTGCGCGATCTAACACTGGGGCGGGGAATCCAGCGAGTGCCGCGGCACCGAGTACGTCCCTCCAGTCGCGAAGTCCGAAACGTTGTTGTGATGATCTACGTCTCTGCGTGCCTACGTTCGAAATAGACGAAGTCCGAGACGTGGAACGGTTGTCTGCTCTAAATTTTCGTTTCCGACGGATTGATCTCCCACGATTGGGACCGGTGGTTTCTTCGCCGTCGCCGGAGTTACCACTATCCCTTCCTGGGTCCTCTGTTTCTGGTTCGGGCTGAGATTCGGATGCAGTATTCGGGTTTTCGTTGTCGTCGAATACGGGGAGTCGTCGTTTACGCAATCGAGCAATGCGTATTGCGTATTCTTTGTCGGTCTCCCCATCGAGTCGGGGCCGTGCTTTAGGAGGTCTTCCGGGTTTTCGCTTCACAGCCGCCTTGCCTTCGCCATCAATCATCGTCGAATCTTCTACCAGTGGCACAGACGCATCCCTCGCTCTTAACCGAGTTTGGGCGGATGGCCCCGAAGGCCGACCTCGCCCCCGCGAACCAGCCTGAGACGATGGCCTACGACTACGATGAGAAGAATCGGATGCTTCCGAATCAGCTGAGTCGGACTGATAGTTCAGCATTGATTCCTGTACGTTATGGAGGATCGTAAAGGTTGTGTCTAGCTGAGTAAGAATATGCCGTACGGATGGGCGCAAGAGGTTATAGGATAAATCGTCGTCGGTCGAGACCGCCGGCTTCAAGCGAGGCTTCTTAAGCGGCTTGTCGAGATCATCCGTCCCCTCATTTTCGCCCATGTCCTCGGGCTTGATAGATTTAGATCTTGATCTCGACCTGCCACCTTTCGACCTAGATCTTCTTCTGCTACTCCCAGCAGACGCGGAAACATCTGTCTCATCCTCGTAGTCCTCATCTTCGTCTTCATCTTCTTCTTCTTCCTCCACATCCTCATCAGACACACTCGCCGTAGCCCAAGGCCTAGCATTAAATTTCTCCTTCGCGGTCTTCAGTATCTGCGCACCGATAATTTCTTCTAAAACCGAGCTCGGTATATCGCGCACGGCTTTCTTAAATGTAAACCTTTCATCTGGATCGTGCACCATACTCCTCACAGGCTCGTGTGGCGGCGGGACCCTATCCACGCGCATGGGCCACGCAGTCCATGATTGCGGCGGGAGCCAATTGTCATGTTGCACAGGAAGACCCGTGGTGGCGTCGATGTCCTTTTGATTCTCAATCAGCTTTTGTTTAATTGAATCAATTAATGCAATAATCCGAATTCAATTCAATTCACTCACCTTCCCAATAACCGGCCCCTCCATCCCTCCTCCTTCACGCTCACTGAGCAACGCTCTCCGCCTCAGCGCAAATGCATCATATAAATGCACCGCCAAATCGCGATCGCGTATCTCCCTCAGCGCAGCCATGGTATCAATCTCCTCGGCATTGAAATGTTGCCAAGTAGATTTAGGCCCGCGCCAACGATTCGGCCGTTCATCCGCATCTTCATCTCCTTCAAGCTCTTCAAACGAGCCATCTTCGGAATCATCATCGTCGACGCCGGGTATGTATTCAGCTGATTCATCCGCTGTAGTCGCCATGCCGTATATAGGCGTAGGCGAGCTCTTTTCCTCACGGCGTAAGCCTTACCAAAGCACAAACGGTAATGGGCGAGAGGTGTTGAAGTTGGGAGATTCGGTAGAAGGTAAAATTTTGTTCGTAGTTGAAAAGTATACAAATTTTAAATGATAGGCGCCACCTAAAATACAATGCACTCACACTGTGATTTAATTCGACGCTATTCACATCATAAATTTATTCAAATATCAAACACGGTTCATAGTAACTTAAATCATTTAATGATCTCGCGAAACCATCTTAAATTGGTATTATCAAAATATTCATAACCCCCCAAACACCCAAATTCTCTATGTAAATATCTATGCCTTGGCCTTGGCCTTTTGCTTCTCCAGTTTTCTCCTCTTAGATCTGAGCTTTTGATCCTCTGCACTCTTCTTATTGTTGGTGTACTGCATCTGCTCGAATAGCTTTCTCTTCTTCTTGCTGAGCATACCCTTGGCTCTTTCGAGCTCTTCCGCTTCTTCTTTGGCTGCTTTCGCAAGTTTCTTCTTTGCTTCAGCCTTAGCCTTAGATTGAGGGTTAGAAGTGGCTTGTTTGATAGGTTTGCCTGTCAATTCAGCTTCAAGCTCTCGTTGATATTGCAACTCAGCAGCCTGTTCATCATCTTCTGATTCCCCTGCATCATCACCTGCCTTCTCATCTTCCGAGAAACCTCCGAATGAGCCATTGTCATCTTCGTCGTCTTCGTCAGATTGCGCAATGTCCATACCATCAGCACCACCTTCTATCCGCTTAACGGCTAAGCTGCCATCAAGCTCTTCATCTTCATCCGCCTCATCCTCATCCTCATCAACTTCTTCTTCACTATCCTCCAACGCCTCACCCTCGGTTTGTTGTTCTTCCAAAGGTATCGTTGGATCGTAGGCGCCTTGGGTGTTTTGCACGAATGGACTCAAATGTGGTGGTAATTGAGCTCCGGGGACATAAAGGTCCGGTCGCTTCAATTCCCCATCATTAATACTATCCCATACCCACTGAGGTTGAACGTAAATTCGGCCAGGCATCCTTTGGTTCGCCGCAAGTTTCTGCGATGTTTGGTTGTCCTCACCATCACCTTCTTCTTGTGTCGTAGCTTGTATAACAGGGCGATCGACTATTTGGTGTGTGATAGAAGGATCCCGCTCATTTGTTGTGTATGCGCCTTCACCCAATACGGAGTCCCAGCCGATACGCTTACAGCCAAATGAACGGAGTATGAATTCTAGAGGTTGTCTTGGGGTTTCTCGGGACAAGAAGAATGTGTAATTCGCGAACAACGACTCAGGTTCATTTCCAGAGTAGCTAGGCTGAGGTAGGACGTCACCACCTGGTGCGGCTGGCTCGAACTTGTCAATTGCGTCAGCGGTCCCTTCTTCCTTATCAGCTTCAGTCTCGACACGATCTCCGTCAACATCAACTTCTCTCATCTCTTTGATAAGCTTGTTGACTTCGGCTTGTGTTTTCGGGTCCGGACCAGCTTCCTCCTCTCCATTTGTCAATTGCGCAGGTGCTTCATTAGAAACAGCAGTCGCAAGATTGCCCTCAAGCTTAAAAGCACCAAGCTCACCAGCCTGGTTATCTTTGGCCTGGTCGAATTTGGGCGGGTATTTCAGCCCAACGGAAGTGTATAGTCTGAAGTTAACAAAACCCAGAAGTGTCATGTAGAACTCGATGAATGTGCCCATAATTCGGAAATCCACATCTCCCACAACCCTCTGATTGAACTTGTACGGGACAAGCCAAAGGATGTCTTCACCCTGAATATTCGCTTGGTAGTAAATACCCTTGATGGACAGAAAAGACTTGCGCAGGCTCTGGGATACAATCAGGTAGTGTTGAAATTCGAGACATAGTCGTTCGCATCGCGCAATCATCTTCGCTGGAACGGTAGATGTAGATGGGAGGTTTGCGAAGAGGAAGAGCATGGAGAGGCAGTCGTCAAGATCGCGCAGAGCATCGACGAAAGTTGGGTATCGTTCTCGGATAACATGATCGAGGGTGTATCGCGGTTTGCCTGTCTTATCAGGTCTTGCGGCATTGCGCTCGAGTCGGCTTGCGTCGGTCACATCACCGCGACCAAGAGCTCTAGATATCTTCCTCTCGAGGACCTTTTGTTCTCTGAACTTTTGTAATAATGGTTCGTGCAGAAGGTATTGGATATCTTTAGCATAGTAAAAGGTGGTCGATGCGGTAGAGCTTTTGGAAGCCTTCTTCCTATTCCTAGGTTCTCGTGGGAAGATTCTAAAGTTCAAATTAGCAGCCGTTATATCATGCGACAACGCAGTGTACAACGGTTGTGAGAAATTCTTACCCTTTCCATATACATAGCTTTCGGAAATCTGGAAGACTGATTTGAAGCTTCTTCACAGCTTGGGTTCTTGTTATATAGTTCTTGGCATTTCCAGCCTCACCCTTCTTCTTTATTCTTCCCATTTTTACGATTCGGATTCTATTGTTCGCTTTGTAAAGGTTCCCAAAAGAAGGTAAAATATTTAGGTCGATAAGTTATCAACCGCCAGTGAATTGAATTGAATGGATAAAAAAGTTGCGGCCCCTCCGAACTTTTTTTTCCTGCCAGTGCAAAATTGCCAAGTTTGACCGCTTTCCGGGGGTCTTGAACTAATCCTAAATTGGAAGACTAGTGTTATCGATAAGATATTAGTATGAAGCTTGCATGATCCCGCCAACCAAGCACCCTGCCCTGCCTGCCCTCGCCTTGCGAAAGCGTCCAGCTGGAAGGAGCCAAGAAAGACACAGGAGAGGTTCAGCAGCTACGTTGCAGTATCAAGGTTTCTCACTAAAATTCGCGAATCCGAATTAAATTCGAAAAAGAAACAACTTCCAACGAAAAAGAAAAAAACACGACAATTCATAATATTTTTCAAGTCTTAGCTGACTTGAACAAAACTCGAACCATTGTCGACGATGGAATTGTGTTATGAATCACGGTAAAATGAATTTCCAGGGGACAGCTGGTCTATACGCCGCTGCTGCTCTGTTGCGATTAATACTATTCGCCTTTTTTCCCGGACTCCCAGATCTGTTGACGGACCGTGTCGAGATTTCGACTCCCGTAACGAGTTTCAAGAGATGTAAGGTCAATTCTTTCAAATACGAACTTCTGAGCTTATGATTGTTGCTGTAGTACAAGAAGGTCTCTTTCTACATAATCATAATGTCTCTCCGTACGACGGCGGCGTTTACCACCAAGCGCCATTACTCCTCCCATTATTTTCTCTCCTCCCAGACCCGTCGACATATCCCATATTCGCATATCTCTTATACATCGTGATCGACCTACTCAGCGCCGATGCGCTCTATAAGATCGCCGAATCGGGGGAGGCAGCCGCGTCGAAACTCTTCACCTCGGCCCGCAAAGAAAGAAGATGGAGCGGTTACATAGTCGCGGCCCTGTATGGTTTTCCTGCCCTAATTGCTCAACACCACGGTACTATTTACTGATACCGATCCATATAGCTTTCTCTTTAACCCATTTACAATCGCGACATGTATGGCTCGGCCGACTAATGTCTTCACCACATGCGCAATACTGCACGCCATAGCGAAGGCTATATCCGGGAACCCCTTTACCTCTATGTTAGCGCTCTCGTTTGCGACATACCTCTCGATGTATCCCGCGTTACTGTTACCGCCGCTGATATTACTTGCCTATGACCGACAACATGCCTCGAACAAAACGCCGTCTCTAATACAATTCACAAGCGTCAATGTTGTTATAACTACTATCAGTCTTACTGCCCTATTTGTGGGCTCTTACCTCCTAACCGGATCCTGGGAGTTCCTCGCCTCTACATATGGCATCCAGTTGACGTTGACGGACTTGACGCCTAATGTCGGGCTCTGGTGGTACTTCTTTATCGAGATGTTCGACAGCTTCCGGGCTTTCTTTCTTGCCGTCTTCTGGTTGCATCTCTCATGTTACGTGGGCGGACTTTCAATCCGCATCCGCAACCAGCCACTTGCTGTCCTGACGCTACTCCTCGGCATATTCGCCATTTTCAAACCATATCCTAGCATCGCCGACACGAATTTATTCCTAGCCATGATACCACTGTTCAGACATGTATTCCCGCTCCTACGTTACACATTCGTCGCTGCCTCTACTGTGCTATATGCGACCTTCCTCGGCCCTTCATTCTACTACCTATGGATTTACGCTGGTAGCGGTAACGCCAACTTCTTCTACGCAATCACGCTCGTCTGGAGTCTGGGCCTGAGCTTGCTTATTAGCGATTTGACATTTGCTATACTCCGCGATGAATGGGAAGTCGAGCGACCCGAGATGGTGGGCAAGGAAATTCGACAGATCTAGTAGTCGTGTGGTGTTTACTTGTCCCACATCTGTGCAATAGGAGTTAGAGGCAACCTCTGTGAAATATATTTAGAAGTGAGGATATTAGATTACGCCATCAATACCAGAGAAATACAATATCACAATATTCGAAAGGAAAACGCAAGTTCATATTGAAACATACTTAACGTAATGGTCTGGAGCGCTGACGCGACTTCCAACCTCTAGATGCTATCAGGATCATAGATAAACTCCGGAGTTATGATAGTAATCCTAACTGGCCCACTTGCGAGCTCTGTATAGGTATGCAATTATCGGTCAAGCAAAAGACTAATCTCCTCAACTCTATAGACCCAAATCATACCCAGTATCAATTCGAGTTCGCGTGTGTACTCAAATCCGACGTTCAAGCACGTATAGAGGGTGGTTCCCGTACCTACATAGGTAAGAAAATTGGGAGAAACTTAGTCACAAACCCCAAGGGAGAGCAGCGAAATGCCATTGAAGGCATGTAGGAGTATCAAGTACTCTGGAATGGAGGACTCGGGCGATTACTTCGTAACCTAATAATGATTAACTCCATATCTTTATAAGAAAAGGGGGAACTATCAGTCAGTATAGCTACCTCACATAAAGACAACATATCTATGTGCAAACGAATATTATAACATTCGACACTCACTAAACCACTGTTTACAACGCCGTATTGTTTTATACGCCTGCTAATAAACGGTTATATTAAACGAGAGCCGAGCCCTCTTGCAAAAATCAACTATCGACTAGGTCTATCCAACATCTCTGGAGTTTCTTACTCATGATATGATATATCATTTAGTGTTATTTATAACTATCTACCTACCATGCGGCATATTTCCGCTCAACTCCAAGAAACCGCTCCTCGTTCTCGCACCGTTCGCTGACCCCGAAGGATTTGGTGAAGGGAAGATACGCTTATAACAGGAAGATAAACGGAAATAACACAGAGGATTATCTCGCATGAGAATATCATCGTTAGGTGTTTGGAGTAGGGAAATCGGGATTTGTTGTTTTGTTGTCAGATCGAACATATCATATCGGATGTGTGTATGGTGTAGGCTAATTATCACGAAATAGACCATATCACTCGACGCGATCCTACTAGATATATAGGCTATCCTTAGAGTAGTAATGAATTCGTCGGTTTATCAATGGTATCTCATGCTTTTATGTCCAAGGAACCCAATCCCTTTTAGTCATTGAGTCATTCAGATCATCACCACCCCAGCAGCCCATGTAGCGCGAAGCCTGAGACTAATCATGAAGGTCAAGAGTCCGATTCGGGCACTGCGTACATATTCCTCGCCGGCGGGACACTAGGCTCATCCTTCACATCGATACTAATGTCCACAATGCCCTCGTGCACATTACCCTGTCTAAGCGGGAATCTACTCGGCTGCTCCCAGATGGGGAATCCGTTTAGTACCGACCATACCGTATCCCACCAAATTGGTTGAATCCCGAATTCTTCGCCCTAGTAGGTTCAAAGCGATGCGTAGCTGCGCCAAAAGGGGATAGCGCGCGAAACAGAACCGTGGCACCCAACGCCGCGACACCAGCGACCAGCGTCCCAGCAGCGAGGATCAGCTGCGTAGGATCCCTCACGTCATCAGTAGTACCATTACTATACGTACTTATCACGCCTCCTTTACGCCACTTGCGCCAGCTGTCTCCAACGCCCGGCGTAGCCTCTATCGATCCTTCCGCAAAGCGACCAATCAAACCGAGTGCCCCTCTAGGCGTAGGCTGCCTCCACGGCAGCTCGTAGGAGCGCGTGCTTAGCTCCTTCGAGTGCAAAAACGCGACGAGGCGCGCGAAGGATTTTTCTAGAACGGTCTTCAGGATCGGGTGCGGCGTCTGCACGCGCATCAGCTGCAGGTAGCCGTAGACTAGGAAATCAATCGACGACGGTCCGCTATCGTCATCGTCGTCGCGTAGGAAAAACGACTTTTCCCCGCGCAGTTGATCTAGCACCGAATAGAAATCCTCCGCGAAGTGCTGGAAGCGAATCGCAGCTGTGTGCTCGGGTTGCATGGCCTTACTAGGTCCTAGACGGTCCCGAAGCTTAAGAAACCCCGTAGACGTCGTTTCAGCTAGAGTGCTAGGCGACTCCTCTGCGTCTACTTCAGCCGCGAGGTGGCCAATACCTAAGTGCTCAACCTTCTCAATCGCGCCGGTCCGGATAGCCGGGGGTACGGTCCACGTGAGCGGGAACGGGAGTAGGGATGAGTAGGCTGGCCGGGTTATCTCGGCCCACGCCCTTGGTGAAACGTAGAGCGACATAGCTAGCAAACCAGAGCCGCGTGTCGCCAAAAACGAGGCGCAGGCAAGGGAATCCGCCTTCTGAAGCGGTGTGAGGTCATCGTCAATGTGTAGATACTTCTGTTTTGTAAGGTACGAGATGATTTCCGTATATCCAGAAGTCCAGGTACCTCTGTGATTCAGAGCGGGGAGGCGGTCTGTCAAGAAATTGATCAGCTGCCAATCCCTGAGTCTGGGGAGTGAGAGATCTTTGACGTGAATTTCACGACATTTTTTATTTGATTAAGAAGGCAAAGAAGAGAAAAAGGGTTCAAGATGGGGCCTACGGTCTGGGCTAACTGCAGCGTCATTGCTGGCGATCAGGGTCCAATGTTCGCGGGGAACATGGTTACGGAAGCATGTAACGGCAGCTAGGCATTCGGGATCGATGGAGTCAAGTCCAAATGCTGGACCCCAAACATGGAGTTCTAATGCCATTGAAGGAATTTGCCGTATGGTGGTGGCTGGGTAGCTGGGATCGGACTTGCTATCCAAAGGTATAATGAAAAAAGAGGGCTCCAAGGACTTTTCGGCCGGGTTACGGACGGGGGTTGAATTCAAACAGGAACACCTGACTCCTAACTATCCAATAGAAAGCTCAATTGGTGTGACAGGGCCATGAAGTTCGCGGTTATGACAACAACTAATTCAGCTGAAGAAGGGTAGCAATGGAGCGCATTGACCGAGAAAGGAGCCGCAGGACCTGACAGCGGCAAGACAGCAACACGACAATTTTCTTCGCTACCACATGTGCATAGGTCCAGGGACTCCAGGGACAAATTTCCTCCAGGAGCGTGATTCGAAGATCAATTTGGATCTTGTTATCCGATTAGAGTTGGAGCTGCAGCTGATCGTCCCGCAGTTATTTTATGCTTGGTTGGTTCGAAAATGTTGCGATGGGGAATTAGGGAATTAGTATGTAACGGTGTAAGTACTGTACTATGTAAATGGGGAACTCGTCGAAAATCATCCCCAGACTTAGATATCGCCTTGTTTCAGGGTCTAGCTCATCAAGGGCACGTGGTGATAAGCGCAAAAGAATCCCTGAATTGCATTGACGTCATGGATTTGTCAGTTGAGAGCCAGCTGATTTTAGTCAATAATTCTATCTAACCCATTTGACCAATCAGAATAGTCTCTCCTGTCTCCAGGTACCAAGATACAAGATATACCCAACTCAAAGGCTAGGAGAGGCTATTCTCGGTTAAGAAGTTTCTATTCCCCATTTCTACATACCAATTGACCTTTTTAGGACTATCCACAACTATGTTTCCAACCTCCGTTCCCTATGTAGATGTATCTTTTTGCCTCCCCCCTGATGATCCAGGGGGTGGCGAAAAAGAAGAAACAGACGGACGGGATAAAAAGTATCTATTTTCATATACTAGATTAGGTAACTCACTAATGAACCGAGCTATTACGTGCGAGAGTGTCGTACGTATGTATACACGGGTGAAAAAAAAAAAGAGAGAGGTGAAGAAGAGCCGACCCCCACCACCCAATCTACATCGGAACAACCGATGCGTAGATCGTCGAGCTAGGTACTTGGTTTTACCTATGGCTTCATTGTCCGCCTGTCCGATATTGCTAAAATAGGAGTCGACTTCATATTAAGTATCTTAAAACTATAGTAGAACAGGAATGAACCACACCTAGATTAAGACCATCTATCGGCTCAGATCGTTTCCGTGAGGCTTGGCCGCTTGCGCGAACTGGAGGGAGGTTTACTATGTACAGTACTTTTTCTCCCTAATAACCATGGTCTGCGGGGTGAAATAAGAGCGAATAGGAGTTGGCAATGAGTAGCATATAGACCGCCACGTTTTCTAATAAGGCAGGGCATCGAGTACCTAAGGCTTTGCTGAGATCCAATCTAACCCGAATAGAGTCAGCAAACATCGATTTCGTGCAGGACGGGATCACGCGGTCCGTTGCCATGTGCCCTACCAACCCCTTCTCGTCTGCATCTACGCCCCTAGGGCTACTTAGTTGCATGTCTTGGATGTCTTCGAAACCTGGAATAGGAGATGCAGCGAAACAAGAAAAAAGGAGGGTATCAAGAGCGGGCTCGTGAAGACACCCGCCCCACTCCGCTTGTCCCGCCGCGGCGCTACACTCCGTCTTGTGAAGATACGGATCGCGGAGTATTCACTCCCTTGATTCTATGTACGTTGCTTAGTGTAGTATCGTAAATTGTATAGTAGTTGGGTCGTTGGTGCTATGTGGAAATACCGTCACGCAAGCTATTTGTTAGTTTTCATGTCGTGTTTCTGAAGCGCCACCCACACCCTAGTATCCGTTGGTACTTAGACAATACCTAATGATAGTCATTTTGGGTCTGGCTCGGTGTAGACAAAAGCAACCAAGGGATATAGGTTATCGCCAGCAGACCGGTCTTCAGTTGGTGGCCTTGGTGGTTCAGCCATTTGGCGAAGCGTTTCGCCCGGCTATTGCTGGATGGGCACTTGCACGAGTCATGGCCGTCGGTTGGGTCTAACAAGAATCAAAAAACAAATTGACTAACTACCTCTACGTTCATTAAAAATAAACCGTATTTGATATCCACGGCCATGTTTCACACCCACTATGTCGGGATGTCGGTAGGTACCGTCACATCCCAATATACCTAACATTAATATGGCAATGCGCCCTAGCAAGTTAAGCCGGCGATGCAAATAGCGTACCGCATAATCAGATCCCGACCAACCCATCAAGACGGTATAAACTATATTCTCGGCGTCGTTACTCTATCATCATCAAATCACGACGGTGCATCATGATACCATGATGTAAGGGAGAAGAATGAATTGGCTCTGGACGAACCGGCCGCAAATCCCAGCCCCTCATCTTTCTCCCTAGCGGGCCGCGCGCGCGAGCCGCACTTGTCTCAACCGGAGCTTTGGGTTGAAAGACATTTGAACAATTCACATCACATCACATACCCACCCTCTTCCCCCCCCCCCCCCCCCCCCCCATCTGAATTGATGCCCAGAAGAAACTAACCGAGTGGCTCTTATTCACCGACTTTGCGAATTTCCCTTGCGTCTCACTCGCTGGGTTGTGACGAAGAAAGAGACCCAATGACTCGCATAATAGTCGGTTATTAGCTTGCGTGGGGCTGACTTACAGAAATTGCCCAAAATAGGTAACCATTGCATGCATGTAGGTATTTCGAGTTGTAGTCGTAGTTGTAGCTGTAGTTGCGCGCGCCAGAGTATACGATCTCCAACCGAGGTCAGACAAGCAGACAGGGATGGATTTAGGACCGGACGAAGGATTAAAACATGAGATTTAGGATTTTTAGACTTGGGAGCAACATCATGAAGTGTAAAAAATAGAACTGCCGCGAAGGACAGGTTTCTTGATTACGATTGACTATTCAGTGCATATTGCGCGCAAATAGCAAGTACTAATAGTAATAGTATGAGTAAAAATAGATTCATATCATTCCAATTGGGGTTCCGATTGCAGAAAAAAGTGCAGATCTCCCCGGTATCATTCGCGAGTTGTTCCGTTCACCAACCCCCCAAAACCCATTTCCCATAGTCGTGAATTCTGCCTCCATCCCTTTCCCGTGGGGGTATCCAGAGCACGCGTGGCAGTTTCAATGCCCCCGGCGATGCTATCTCTATAATACATTGGAATGACGTAAAACGAGGAAAATACCGGTAACACCTTTGTGGTCATTAAGAGACCCTCCCCATGAATCCCAATTAAATAGATAGCAGATTGATACTCCTGTTTCCCCCCATGTGTTGCGGGTTGTTGAAATATCCAAAATATTAAAAGTGTTTTATATCCCATGAAATAGTACAGATCAACCATCCGGGGCTAAGATCAGAGAATGTAGGTCGGATGTGTGATCCATGAGCCAGCTCTGATGAGAAGATGCGGAGACATTGTCGCAAGCAGAACGGAGAGGGGCAAGATCGCGGTAGCATGTTCGAGGTTGTGGTACGTTGACGGCTTCATAGTGGCATGGATTGATTCTGCGGTTTGCCGTTGAATGAATGTCGATGCAGGGTTCCGTACGTGCATGTGCCCGCGCGAACAAGCGATGGTTGTAGTGATGCCAGGGGGTAGAGACAGGAGAGGAGAAAACTCCTCAAGCATGCATGAAATGCAACGCCGTATTACCTGCGATCACCTGCATACCCGAATGCGCCTTTCTTGTTGACAAGTCGATAGAGCTGGAAAAGGGCAGAATGGTAATGAGCGGAACCCTAGGAATTCCTCCCCGATGATACATCGTCCGACGATCGTGTTGTCCTGGTTGTCTTGATTCCCTTATTCCCTTGCGGCTGTCTTGGGGGTTTCCGATGTCCTCCATATCGACCCGGATCGTTAACGGTTGGCACTTGCAAACGAGCTGAAGACTCGAAGTGCGATATTCGTATAAGTGGCACAAGCTTACCCACTCTTGGGCAGAGGAGGTAGAGGTCGGCTAGGTGGGGGACCCGGGCAAGGCGGGAGCTGAGAAGGTCGTTGTGACGACATGTCGAACTCTGGAGTCATGGCGGCCATTGTGGTAGCAGATATTAGTTGTATGAACCGAAGTGGTATATAGTATAACAGTAGTTGGTTGTGGTTATGTAAGTGGTTGACTAGTTGCTTGTAAGGCAGAAGCTTCAAGAGTAGACAAGAGTGTGTAGTAGTTATTATATGATAATACTGATAGTCTTGTTTATTGGTCAGGTGAACTTGAGATGCAATGGTCTATGACCCCCGGGAGGAGGGAGGAGGAGGCTTCCTTATGTATGATATTGTGATGCTTGGACAAGCAAAGACGAACAAGCCCACCCCATTCCAAGGCTTCAGAGTAATATTAACTAGTGTACAACACATTACGAAAGTACATACATCTGTGCATACACCGCTAGAAACCATGTGTACATGAAAATGTGCAGGTAAAAAGTACCTATTCTTAATCTCTCAGTAAGATTACCATACGAATTGGGTATGGGAGGTACATCGTTAAGCGGTGTCGCAAACTTCACGAGAGCAGAGATGAGCGACAAAAATAATCCCCCCCAAGAACCTAAGAACCCTAGCAGGGGCCACAGTGACGCAGCCCAAAGATGAAGATGGGAAGAGCAGGGAATAATTCATCAAAATGTAAGAAGGGCTTAGACCCACCTCTCATATGTATCGACCGGGGTATGGCCTGCTGCTGGAAATACGTAGTTACAAGAATACATTCATGTGTGTATACACGATACAAGTACGTATATGAACAATTTCTATGCTGTGGATATGCATGTTGTGTATCCCCCCATGGAAGAAAATGAAACAAGCATAAGCCCCTTGAGAACCCTGTCAATTCAGCATGTGCTACATCTAACCCCTGTCTAAGACATTTTGTTCAAAAATGTGTCCTTAATGTACAGTACATAGCGCGCGCATAGTCGATTCCCATTAATTGCGCCTGAAATTGGATCACTACCCGAAATAGCTGGTTGCGCATTATTACTGGAATAGGAGAAGGCTGGTTCGATATTTTTTTTTCTTTTCCTCTTTTTTTTTTCTTATTGTGATTATTATTTACATTTATTACGGATTGTTGTTTATTTGCGATTTTTTTTTTCTTAGGCAGCCAAGCAATAATGTCTTAGAATAACAACATTAATAAGTCCGTCCAGACTTTGGGAGTATTATCTGCATACCTCTCCTATTGTCTGCCTCCTTACCAACCTACCTTAACAATCTTAACGACGCCTCATATAATAGTATAATAGATACATAATACAAATACAAATCTCAAACTGCCCAAGAGCCTCGGTTGCGATGAAAAGCACTGACGCCCAGCCCCAGACAGGAGTGATGATTAATATCTCCACTGCCGATGGAAAACTCATAGAACATTAGAAGTTTCCACTTGATTGTCGTGGCTCCACAAACCTCAGGAACAAATCTTAAAGAATTTTCGCATGGGGATATTACGCTGGGGACTAGACGAGATTTCGATCCAGGTAGGTCAAAGCTTTTCTCCTGCAACCAGGGGGAGTGGACCTTTCATTACGGATTACGGACGGACTACGTATCGAATGATGAGGTCGTTGCGTTGCGGTGAAAAGAAGTGGCAGGCCAAAAGAAAGGAAGAGAAAAAAAATAGAGGCGTTCCAGTCATGTTCGCGTCAAACCAGCGCGCTGACTTACAACGATCCACCAAGGAAATAGTCCAAGCTAAAGAGGCAACACGTTCCAGACTCCAGACTTCCTGAAGTGAGACGTGACGGTTCCGGCAAGTGGCCTCGACATCACGGAGCTGATATTAGCTCTCATTATAGTCTTATTAGTGTATACTATCGTGCTGAAAAGTAACATTTATTATTTCGCAAATGCCGAGAATATCTGTACTTTACGACTGATCAGGAAGGGGATTAAAAAAAAAATCCTCATAGTAAGGTATTTTTTTTTGAGCATGCAAGGAAAGGTCAGCTGGTCTCGAAACCCTGAAGGACATCTGACAAAAGCTGGATGAACCCCTGCATTCCAGCCCTAATTCAACTGGTTTAAGTGATTTTCTCGTGATAAGACTCATTCGGTTGGCTGCTTCTTCCATGGCGTTCTCTATTAGGCAAAATAATGGAGAAGAAGCAAGATTCCGATTCTGATAATGACGGCAGCCATGGACGATCTTCTTTAGGGGTACGGTGCCTAGTACAGCGAGGTCTTAAAGGGGCAAGCACATACTACTATAGTATACCTCTAATGGCGCATTAGATGTATCTTGTGAAAATGACTTTATCTATGTCTTAGACATAGCACCCACGTACCTGGATTCCATGACTTGGCATCGTCCGAATGTCTAATTAACTTATGCCGCGAGCTAATACTAGTAGAAATTTGATGTTCTATGGCGCCGGGCAGTCCGGAGGCTGATAAAATCTTCAAATACGCCGGCCCCGGGTTTCAATAGACAATGGGCCCTTTTCCCAATGCAAGCTGAACATTATCGTCGCGACAGCTGAGGGGTTGTCAAAACGAACCCTAAGGACCGGGATTTGCAGTTGACATATCAGCTGATATGCATCCCAAGAAGATCCGGGGCAGGTTTTCGCGAACACGGGGGGTAGCAGTTTCTTGCCCTCGAAATTCTTCATACTCGACTTTACTAGATAGAAAATCCCACGCTCACAATGCGATGTCACTTTGATGTCATGTCTATTTCATACTTTCATCGTGATCCGCAACGCTATAGGGCCATAGTACCGAGTTAGATCTAGTAGCCTTGCTCTAGTTTCTTGGGTCAGATTCCCTAGATACGGGAAGAAAATTTCCCCTCCGTAAAAGGGGATGCTTGCCCAAATTCATCAAAAGTTTCATACTGTCAACTTCGAAAAGCGTATCGATACAGTAGACCCCTTCCGAAAAATTTTCCCATGGGGATTGGGCTGGTACATCTAGTGTAAGTGAAAATCTAGTTCAAGCCTAAGGACATGACTCATAAATGTGTTGGCCATGACCCATCGCAGGCATCCTAGTTATCAACAGACCGATGGCTGCCGAGAGGTTCAACTCACAGACAGAGCTTCGTACGAATACGATACTAGATAGGGCAGGGTATATTTTCTGTAGCGCACAAGGAATAATAACCTTAAGGTCCATCTGCAGATAGAATTGATATTTCGATGCTGCTAACTGTCCTAGGCATCTCACAGGGCTGATGATAATTATGTGCGAGACAGAACCCCATACTACATCAGTGCGTGCATACATACACTACGTAGACCCTGTCGAAAATCATCTATCAAACAGAAAGTTGGGAACAGATGTGGGCTCTACCAATTTCACCGCTTTTCGATAGGATATTCACGGATTAAGGACCGTTAATCACTTAGATGTACCACAAAAGCTGCCGGCATATCCCACCAACACGATTCTCATGTGGTGGGAGAATAATTATTGCAAAATGTTACTGTTGACCCTCACGCACCACCGCTTGCGTGATACAACCCACTCCCAGCTTAATATACGCTATTAAGTGCCAATATTAATACCACAACACCTATAATTGTGGCTTAAAATAGACACTGATTAGAACCAGCTAGAAGAGAGAATACAAAATCTTTAAGGGCAATCACCAATCTTGCATGAGACATATTCCGCGCACGCAATACGACCTAGCAGGACGTTTAATGAATATCCAATAGGCCGAGGCACGTTAAACTCCGTGAAAACAAAGCAATCCCTGAAGCCGAGAAAATTATTGCGGCGAATTATGGCCAGGTTGGTAGCAGCCTCGTTTTTTCGCGAATAATTTCCCACCACAACAAATTTTCTACTCCGTAAAGACCGACAATACGGGGATGAAGCCAGCCTTTCGATCCATGTGAGCAAGGGGGAAATCTGGGAGAATTGTCAGGCAGCCAGGGTGAGCCCTGATCTTTCAGGCCATGCCTCTCTTTTTCTTTTTAATTATTAATTAAAGTGGAATCCAATTTCTGCTTGATCGTCTTCTAGAAGAATTCCATATCCGTCTTAGCTCACTCCCCTTTTTCTTCCATGACCTCACGGTCCCATTTCCTGTCCCCTAATATTAAGCTAGTTCCACAATATCGAAGTCCTGAATCTTAGCGTGCTCGTTTCACCAATTTCGTCGTAAGTCTGGCAGGCATTGATCAACAAGACTGGGACTACACTAAGGCAAGTAGGGCGACGATTTCGGCATTCTCCAAGGCAGCAAGAATGAAATGTGATGAGGATAAGTTCAATGGATACCTTGACCCTTGGCAGACGATCGATGTCGTTACCGATTCAAGGCATATCTCGCTAGCATTGTCACATTGAGCGTAGCGTATCGCTGCGTTGACAGTCATCTGATATTTCTTATGCACAGCTCCATCGTTTAACTTGATTCGGTATTGAAAACACCAGGTGAGATAGGTTACCGGTGCCTTGGGTCTGAATAATTCTTTATTAGCACTTAGCGAATCAATTCTTCTATGACCCTAGTTGAACTCCAACTCTTCGTATAGACGAACAGCCTTCCAGATCCTTTACATAGCAAGGTCAGTTCAGCAACCGAGTATCCACGGAAGCGTCGGTTACGCGACAACCAGTTACGACCGAGTAAGCACTGAGACAGCATTAACTTCAGCCTGATTATATTCAGTTAAGGCCCTTACGCAAGAGGTATCCCTTGCATGTCCGCGTCCTTCGTCGGAGATAGTCAAGATGGAAAAGCGCGCGAGCCCTCAGTACGCCATATAGACATGTCAGCCAGATCAGCGCTTGGATATACCTCACCCATAAGCATCACCTATATGCATGGATGTTGTGCAACGCACCAAAATCCTTCGAAATTCAAGCATGGTTCAGCCAACAAATCAGGGCCGTCAGACTGAGATCCTAACTACTGTAGGTACAGTACAACCACGTGAAATGGGTATCACAGCCTTACCGTACAAGAGTCGGAAGAATCCTACGTAAGTACGTATGCGCGTATGCAGGTAGGATCTCATTTTAACGTGATAGACCATGCCGTTAAGAGGTAGTTTTGCCGTCTGCTTGCCACCAACGAGGCTGAGATAATACACTGATAACAAGAGAGCAAGTTTTGATGCGTCAATGCCCATAGTGATGTGGGTGTGTTGCAGATATGCATGCCAATACTAGCTGCAGGCGCCCGTCCCTTTGGGGTCGGACCTCCCAGTACGACGGTCTGACAAGCTATACCAGCCATCATATCTCCTATTCGCGAATTCCCTAGCGTCGTTACCTTTCAGTTGGTAACACGGCTCGTGGTGTTACTAAGGTAGTCAGCTAGTGTATTAGAATGTATGTAGGTATGTGTATGTATGTACTACATCTGGTCAATTCAATTGCTCACCGTTTCATTGCGCTGAAGTTCAGCTCCATCTCACCGCCTTTACTTTTATTACAAACAGTTTAGGTCACCAGACATCGAAAGATAGCCACATCTTTCCACTGATCGTCAGTACGACTATGTACTCATAAGAATAGGTAGGAGTAACGAGACAGGATTTGCTATCACGGATGTCGCGGATCTCTCAGATGTATGTATGTGGTGGCGGTATAACATCCCATATAATGGGTTCTATAGTGTTTGTTCACACGCAACCCAGCTGAGCCACTGGAGCCGATCTTGTCTATTGGCCAATGAAGGAGTATTGATGATTTTCCTCTGAAACATCGACAGGTCATCAAAGCCTGATTCACTTAGACCGAGAACAGACCACCGTGCAGACGTCTTCCCCCGCGATATCACTTATTTCCCACGTGGAAGACAGGGGGCGATGAGATATCACCCCTGATCATCAGCCGTCTCCTTATCCAATGGGCGGTCTGAACAGCTGAGAAAGATGCGCAAGCTGCGACGAACGAGGTGGTCTGACCATCGGTCGCCATGGGAATGGGAAGGGTACGGTATGTTACGGAACAAGAGAAATCCTTCATAGACATGGGAAGTATGCAACATCGCAATTGCGAATGCGCATTTTCACACGAAGTTCGTCATCTCTCGCGCAATACAAAAGCACTTCTGCACACATGATGGCCTCCCACACTTCAATTGTCGCAAGGAGGCTCATACTCGTTTGTGCGCGACACTAGTGAAATCCGGCAATTAATCATCAGCTATAATATATTACCCATTCCATCGATGAGCGCAATTATTGAATTTATCCATGAAGCCGCTAGTCTCTTTATAGGCACGTCGCCGCGTAACAGATAGAAAGACATGTAAAAGTCCTGAATCGTCATCTACACTAGGTCTCAGGGTAGGGGTTGCTACATACTACCTCCCATTCGGCTTGAAGGTGAAAGATTGGGCAATCCGCGCGCAACCTTTTTCCATTGTCTCGGAGAGGGTGTACTGCCCAGCTCTTGATCGGACCAGGATGTTACTATATGAGGCCAGGGATTGTGGGGGATAATGCGAGCCTGCTCTGTAATCAATCGTATTGGCGTGGCGCCAACCTCCATGCAAACTACTAGGTAACCTAGCCATCGTCATGTCTGACAGGTACCAGTACTCAAACCACGATTACTGCCTACTAACCGTCCCTAGCCTAGAGCATAAGATCTTTAATGATAATAATGGACATTGAGATTAATATTACAAAGCCTACCTACCTGGATCGAACCGTTTTCTGCTCGCGCAAATTTCCCATTTCCAAACCTGGTCATGCACCAACCGTTTTCGACTTGGTCACACGGCCACTAAAACAGGCCAAGGACGCCGAACGACGGATAAGCGGGAGCTTTTGCCCTTCAACATAGGAAAGAGTCGGTCTGACAGGCACGAACTAATTGTCAACGATCGTCAACCCCTCGTTAAACCCTCCATCAGCAAGTGTGGGAGATGGTGGGCAGCACTTTAATAGCGCGCACATCAAACGGGATCTGAATATTAGGTGTAGCAGTGGGGGCTCCCCAACAAGAAATGCAATACATACGCAGTCATACATACCTCGTTACGGAGTAATAATAATAGTAATAATAATAATAATAATAAACAGTAGTGGTTGCAAGACGACGGCAAGTGGCTGAACAAGCCACTGTCGTATCTAAAGCCTAGGTAGGTAACAATACCAAGACGGTCCGGGGAAACGATCGGCGCGGACCCCAAATTCCCTCTCATCATACGACACGGACGGAACGCAATGGTCAATGTGGTATCGCATCATGGCTGTGACAAGTAAATCGTGAACCCGAAAGGCGAAAGACCCCGCCGCCGGCCGAGGGAATCCGACGCTCTGGGTTGCCAAGCGTCTCGATCTGCAATCTCGCGACACACGTGTCCCCGGCGGCACAGTCCCAATGGTACGTGTGAGAAAAGCCTGGACCCGAAATGCAGCCTGATAAGCTTGACGAGGGAGATATCAGTCGTAATGACGAAGGGGCCACACCCTTCACACCCTCTTCTTCGTCTTTGTCTCTTTTCGACCAATCTGGTGCTTCGATCTATCTCCCGATCCGCCAATAGTAAGCCCTCCCAAGGAACTTCTCTCCCGCCCTATCCACACTGATGTATGTCGCACCAGTCAGGGCAGAAGAGGGGAAAGATGAAGATAATTGGAAGTTGACGAAGATGGAGGGTATAGACGAGAGACGGTACGGCACGGCACCGTTATTAGCGATGTAGTGATACCTACTACCATCTACCTAAACTCTTCCTTACCTATTTATTTACTCACACTGCATGTATACCTTATAAGACACACTTATTAGGACGGACGTACGGAATATACCCACACGAATACTTATCCTACTTTACAATACTTACCAGGATGGCGCAACCCAGCTAATAAAAGACCGACATAGCCGAAACGGCTTCACTAGGCAATATCTCCTATCGTCAGCTGATGAACACCATTACATAGAAATACGTTATCGACGCTACAAGACCCTGTCATGCCTTACCTGCTAGGCACGGTCGATCCTAGTTGCAACATCCGATGGTGAGGTATAATACCGATAGTAGATAATAAATAATTAGAAATAAAAGATAAAAAGCAAAGGAATTCCCCGTGCGTCCCGAAGATCCCCAACTCGGCGGTATGGGAACTCCAACTATAACAACCGGGGGTATAAAAGAAAGAAACAAATAAAAAAACATAACATGTACTGTACATCTTACGTAGGTAGTATCGCAGCTGGAAACAGGCACACAGGCCAGGCTGAGTAGAAGCACAGGGGACCTGCCACACACATACGCATGTAAACGAAAAGGCTGACGAATCGTCTTCGACTCGATTAATGCTACTGTAGGTACCTAAATAGGCATGTAGGTACATACGGAGCCGAGCCCAGCCCAGCCTGTAAGCATTTAAACGCCGTACCTAATCCTGACATCTTCACTAGTCGCTTACAACATCGTAGGTGCATTGCGCATAGACACACACTTCTTTTCTTTTTTTCTTACCCGCATTCTTAGAGCCTGTAAGTCGCTTAGGATGGATCTAAACAGGAACGAAAACGTTTTGGTGGTTATATCCGTAGGATACTCAATTAGGTACAATCCGTATTTGCTGACAGTTTACTAAATAACGACTAAACAAAAGGTACATGAGTGCTTACGAAGTTGACTCGGAATACCTAGCTAGGTACCTGGGTAATTATCTCCTCATTTTCCTCCTCCTGTAGCCGCCTTCCGTATGCACTCCGCCGCAGCCGGGGTACGAATACCACCCGTATCGCGCGCGTGTTACGGGAGCATAGCACCCACGCCCGGGGCTTTGGGCTGGGCTGGGGCCGCGGCAAGGCAAGGTGAGGTGTTCGTCGATCCTAAACCAACCGAAATCACACAAGAGCTCAATATTGGACCCCCAAACATGGTCGACTCCAATTCCTAAACTCCACAGCAGTAACTCCTCACAAACAATCAATTAATGACCTCCAATTTCGTGGGAAACGCGGAGTCACAAGACATGAGACAAGACAAACAAACAAGAAACGGGCCGCCGAAGGGGCCGCGTCTGCGGGGATCGTGGAGGTCAGCCAGGTCAGACAGACGAGGCCGCAGGAATATAGACCTACATTATTGTTTTTTCTTGTTTGTTTGCTATATCTACTTACCTACTAGTAGTTTATCTACTTCTAACTACAGATATACGTACATACTACGTACATATCCATGAACACGTCACAATCTGTTATTTTTTCTTGAAAGCTCACATCCGCAGATGAGACATTAGCAGCAGCCAGCCCAGTAGGGAGACGTTGTCGTATCAATCTCAGATAATGACAAATCGCATAGCCCTACCGTGGGTTTTACCCCATTGGGTCGCCGAGAACCTGTGTGTTGGGAAAGATGTAATTTCCTGCGCGCATTTATTTGTGTTTTGGAGCAGGGAAGCTGGCTTGAGGCCGTTGAGGCCTGTTTTCGTCGTTTACATAGACAAATATCCTAGCAGGATCGACAGCCATTCTCGGTGTAAGTCTGGTAGTACGTTTGAGGTTATGTGCAATACAATGTGTTATAAGTTTCGTATTGAACCTTTTAGTGGGTGTTGGTATTAGTTTGCAGCAGACCGCATGCATTGCATTTCTGGTTTTGCTTTGGAGGCAGTCATTCCATTCCGGCGAGTATTTTGTAGGTATGAGTCGCATGAAGCGTAAGGATAAAGCCTTTAAAATCTTACTAAGTTCTAAGAATGGGCACGGGTAAGTCCTCCGCATTCAAAGCCCGCGGACATCTCGTCGTAAATTCCCCTAAGCTCGGCGACCTACGGGATGAATACCTATTTCAGAATTTAGAACTTTTGCTTAGAAATGCTACGGTCTCGCCTCCGTGTGTTGGAGGATACAACGTATGTCAATGCAAAGATGTATTCGGCTATATAGGGGTACACAACAGTCCAGGTAGTTTGCCGTAGCCTTAGGTCTGGGCTCCCCTATTGCGAAAAGGGGGGAAGACCACGCGGAGAATGGGAGGTGTGTTACATGCCGGCTTCTCTTAATGCTTCGTTGATTTGTTGTAACTAAATATAGAAATATGTAGTATTTGATTGACGAATAATGTAGGTAGTCTGTCGAGTTTACAAATTCTTGTTCTTTTCTGAAAAGTATACCTTTAGGTGATAGGAATGAAGTTCACTCTTAAATGCGGCTAGTACAGGTAGTAAATAGATCAATAACTGCATGTTTAGAATCCACATACACACACTGGAAGCTGCTTCCGGTGGATTAGGTATTCCTCCACCCCCCGATCCGTCCGGAGTTGGTACGAGGAAGTATCAACTGGGGAAGTAGACGGAACGTGCTTTCGTGGAGTGAAGATATGGGTAAAAGCCAACTAATGCTATTCTACGACTCCTCGGAGTATATAGGAAACTTGCTTGGCTTGATACTATTGTTATTAGTGGTCTGCGAACCATTATAGACCGGGACCCCCCCTTCCCCCCTTTTTGCTCCTACTCCAAGCGGCCTTAAGGGGGAAATAACTGGATAACTTCAATTCTCTTCTTCTTTTCAATGACGACATAGCCAATTGAAAACCAAATGCAACAGCACCCATGAATATCTATAAATATGTTCGAGCACTCTCTGAAGTGAGATCTATTAATTAAAATCGACGATATAAGACTCTTCATGGAAAATCTCCATCAAAACAAGGAAATTCCCAAATCGCAACATCGGCATGGAACTTGGGGGCGGGAGGGGCGGTGTAGTTTAATATTCGAAATTATTCTGCATGGCGCTTCTTGTACGTCACAGCACATACGGAGTTCCTGTAGCCCAAGCCTGGGTCATTTAGATGAATTGACTAAGATTCATACTCGCGTCCTGATTGCTCGGCCACTCTTAACAGAGGAGGGGCTTGACCTTGCATATACAGCGTGGCCTGGAGAAGGTGTCAAGACGTAACCTATGGAATCCACGAGGTCTCCAAACCTCTGGCGATGGGTAACACTTCGCGCAGAAGGTATAGGATATGGTTTGCTCTGTTGAGGTTTCACTGCAGAAGGATCTGATTTTTGCTGCGACTCAAGTCCAAAATATGTATGTCTGGACGACGAGCGCAGCTTTTGATCCGGGTTTGTAAACATACCGCATTGTGCGATCTGCCATCTACCATGATGATGCCGGCCGGCGCCAATGAATTGCTCTAGAGTGACATGCACCCGTATGCGTTTAGTAAGCTCATGCGCATGAAGAAGGGTAAGTCGTTCATGATATTATAGTGGTCGACCGAATCCTACAGCCCACGTGGCCGAAGAATGGAGGGGTGACGTGCATAAATGTTACCGCGACAGCCGCGAATCCCTCGGAAGCAATTGAACATCGTTTTGTTGGTCATGAAATCTCTGCGCCGGCCGGTACTTGCGTCGAAAGAATGAAGTTCTCCATCATCGCCTGGCCTCCGCCCCCAGGTTTCGTCGCATTGCTGCTGCCCGCAGCGGAGTTTCTACTGCTGTTGTTGTTACTGCTGCCGCGTCCCGCCGGTTGGGGGCCGGCGCCGATGTTACCGTCGCGGCGCTTGACAACGAGGCACAGCACGCGTCCGTAAATAGAAAATCCCTCGTACGAGATGTCCATAGCTAGTTTCTTCTTGTCATCTTCATTGTCCGCTTCTTCGCCACCCACCGCTTTTGCCGCTGCTCCTCTGCGGCGTTTCGCTGGTGGCGACCGTATGCCGTCCTCATCATCCGGAGGATCGTCCTGTACGAAAAGACCATCATCCCCGTCGTCCTGGCTATCCGACAAAATCTCTACGTCTCTGTTTTGCTGATCATCTATGTCGCGATCTGCGTCTGTTTCTGCTTCTGTATTCCTGCGTCCACGCTTGGGTCGCCTGCCGTTGTTGCTACCCGCCGCGGTCTCATTTGCCGCAGGGATCGCGGCCAGGGTCGCTGCGACGTTCTCATCTTCGCTTTCTTCATGCCTAAGGACTGGTCCTAAGTCTGCCGTGGTGTCTACATCGATGGGCGCTTCATTCGTCTCATTTATCAGACGACCCGAGTTTGATGTAAGTTTAGTTTGTGTCGTATCGTGGAAATGCTTATATTTGGTGAGGAGGGCATGGCGAGTGCTCGTTTCAGTGAGAAATATCGAGACCTCAAAGTCATCTATAAGGTGTTACATCACAACATCATTCATTTGTAGATCTTCCCGAGGGTTATGTAGGGTTCCGTGACAGATAATGTATAGCGACTCTATGGGCTTGTGGTAATAATAGTAATAATGAGATAGTGATGTTTCATATATGCGACCTACCTTCTACTACCACATCCTTGATACCTTTCTTCCTGGTACTTCGTTTTCGACTACGTTCTCGTTCCTCACGTAACTTAGGTAGTACAAGCGGCCGCACACTCTCTATGACTCTTGGCAATATAGGATTCCTTGGGTTGAGGAGCCAAGTATGAGCGAGTGCGGGATTGTCAAGATAAATACGGCATTCGAGGACTGAATATTTAGTAATACGAAGATATCGGCGGATTGGCGCCATAATAACAGTAGATTATATCACATTTCGTGATGTATGGGTTTGTGTTTCGGAGGATTAGTGAGAGATTCAAGGTGCACTGAATTGGGTGGAAGGAATATGAGGTCACTGTTTATCGATAACTCAAGTACATACGCATGCGTGGCTTAGCCTACGTGATTGAATTGATTGGATAAATCAAACCGAAGCTGCGCGTGGCTTGACAATCGATAAAGATAACGATAACGATAAATTCTCTACGTCAGCGGTCGATAAGCCAAACTCCGAGTCCCGCCACGAAATTAATTCAACTATTGTGATGCGAACTACCTGAGTATTAAAGTACTCTTAGAATTATAGACACGACCATGATATTGGAAATATCATGTCGAAATCATGGTCGGCGACGCTAAGATTGCCAAAATCTACCTTCCCGTATGTCAATTGGACTCACAATATTGTACTTGGACTAATTGCTATGACCTAGTCCGAGACCTCTCCCTAAACTCCGAGAGCAGTACATACGGAGGTCCGCGGATGATCTTTATGAGTGGCAGAAGGAAAACCGATCTTCTGATAACACATTTGTCATCCATGATGGGCCGCCATATGCGAATGGCGATCTTCATGTCGGCCATGCCTTGAACAAAGTCTTAAAAGACATGATTCTAAGAGTGAAAATACAACAAGGTCAGCATTTACTCAGTCGTCAAAAGTAAGAAAACTTAGAATGACATAAATCTCATGTAGAAATGCGTAGGTAGAAGAGTGGATTACGTTCCGGGATGGGATTGCCACGGGCTTCCAATCGAGTTGAAAGCTCTGGAGAATTCTCAAGGGGGCCAACTTACGCCGGCCGAAATACGGAGGTCTGCCCGAAACCTGGCATCAAATACTGTTCTAAAGCAGATGAAGGCTTTCAGATCATATGGTGTTATGGGTGATTGGGACCAAAGATGGACGACGATGGATGCGGCCTTTGAGATTCGGCAGCTCCGTTTATTCCAACAGATGATCAAGAAGGGCCTAATTTACCGTAGGTTCAAACCTGTATACTGGTCGCCATCTTCGAGAACTGCCCTAGCTGAGGCAGAGCTGGAGTATCGGGACGATCATATTTCGAATGCTGCATGGATTAGGTTTCCCATAACAAACGAGTGGAAAGAACTCCCTCAATTTGGAGACTTGAGGGATAAAGCCAAAGGAGAATTGTATGCCGTGATATGGACCACAACCCCCTGGACTCTTCCTGCGAACCAAGCCATCGCTGTACATGATGATCTGAAATATCATGTCATTCGTTGTGGCGGATATAACTTGCTGGTTGCCCAAAGCCGTCTTGATACTCTCATCTCCAAAATTGGTGCCGGGGACGATTTCGAGATTCTTGCATCATTTGAAGGTAGACAGTTGACGGGCCTGAAGTATATAAATCGGCTTCGAGGGGAGTCCGGTACCCCGCAGCCCATCATACATGCGGATTTCGTATCAGCAGACTCGGGCTCGGGACTCGTCCATCTTGCCCCTGGTCATGGGTTTGACGATTATGAAGTCTGTCGGCGGCTCGGTATACCCGTAGTAGCTCCTATTGATGATCAGGGTAGATTCACACAGGACGCCTTTCCTGATTCACCCGAGATTTTGCAATCAGCTCCTTCGATAAATGAAGGTGGGGGCCAGAATGTGCTCAATCTTCTCGAACCGCACGGCGATGTTCTACGAGTGGAGAAGTATCAGCATAAATATCCGTACGATTGGAGGACGAAGCAACCAGTAGTTATACGAGCCACCGAGCAGTGGTTCGCTGATGTTGCATCTATCAAACAAGAAGCCCTTGTCGCTCTCGATGACGTTCGCTTCATTCCGGAGTCGGGTAGGAAACGGCTCGAAAGTTTTATCCGGGGTCGAAGCGAATGGTGCATATCGCGACAGCGCGCCTGGGGTGTACCTATTCCTGCTCTCTACGACGAACAGGGCGCTGCTGTAGTGAATGACGATGTGGTCGAGCATATAATATCAATGATTCAAGGACGAGGAACTAACGCCTGGTGGTTAGACGCTCCGGATGAAACTGCATGGATTCCGCCTTCGCTTAAGGGTACGGGGGTTTACCGGCGTGGCACGGATACTATGGACGTCTGGTTTGATAGTGGAAGTAGTTGGACTATGATGTCGAGACGCGCTGATGTCTATCTCGAAGGGTCCGATCAACACCGTGGCTGGTTCCAGTCTAGTATTCTCACACGAATCGCTGCAGGAACGCAGGTAGACACGAACTTCGACAGAGGCGCACCTTTCAAGCAGCTGATAACCCATGGCTTCACGCTAGATCAAAGTGGCAAGAAGATGTCTAAATCCCTTGGGAATATAATAAAGCCGCAGGAAGTTATAGATGGTACTCTCTTACCAGCGGTCAAACAGAAGAAAGCCAAGACGGCCAGCTACGACGCCCCGGGCCCAGATGCTCTCAGGCTTTGGGTTGCGAGCAGTGACTATACCCGCGATGTGGCTATTGGAATCCCTGTGCTTATGGCTATCCATACATCGTTGATAAAATATCGCGTCATTGTGAAAATGCTCCTCGGCTCGCTACACGAATCTGCCCGAACAACCCCTCTTACCGCGGTGGACCATATTGCCATCATACAACTGCAAGACACCATGAAAGAAGTGGGCGAAGCATTCGAGAACCATGAGTTTTATAAGGCATTTGCTGCTCTGAATAAATGGGTCACGAACGACTTATCAGCTTTCTATCTAGAAGCCCTGAAAGACCGTTTATACTGTGGTGATGGAGGAGGCGTCATCGAGCCTCTACTGGTTGGACTTTTGAGGATGTTGGCACCGATGACTCCATTACTCGTAGAGGAGGCGTGGGATCACCGCCCTGAGTGGGTAAAACAAGATCCGTACGTCTATTAATTGCTAGAAAATGTCCCCTTTGCTACTTACTAACATTACGACACAGATCCTTCATTCATCCGTTTCATCAGCTCTACAACGACCCCGTGATTGATAATAGCCTTCTCACACGCGATCTAAACTCCCTGCGGAAAGATATCCCAGTACTTATGACCGTCAATGCGGCTATCAAAGCGGGTCTTGAAACTGCCCGAGGAGATAAGGTTTTGGGGTCGTCTTTGCAAAGCTCCGTTATCCTTAATGTTACTGATGCTGCGGTCCAACAAGTACTAGATAAATACGCCGACGAGCTAGAGGCCATATTCGTCGTCTCATCGGTCAAGATCAACGGTGAAACACCTACAAATCCTGAATGGTCTTACACTCAACAATTCGAGGTCAATGGTACCGAGGGGACTGCGATCGTCTTGCCCCCTGAACAGGCCAAGTGTCCGCGCTGCTGGCGCTACGTCGCACCTGTCGAGGATAAACTGTGCCAACGGTGCGAGGATGTCGTAGCCAGCCATCATCATGTAGATTAGACATCTTGCGAAATGCATGTATATATCCCACCTCACTTATATGTGTATAAACTACCCACGATCACGGTGAAGCTATGAATCACGTAGCAAATCTATGTTCCCAGCATGGTTTCGTCTGGTGAGGTATCTTTAAGCCTTGGCTATGTCGCTAAACGATTAGGTATCTTATGTAACCTAGGTAGAGTAGAAGAGGCGGAATATGCTAACATAAGTAACAACAACACGAGGTCAGGGTCCATACATAGGTACGGCTAGTATTTCGTCCGTCCAGGTTGAAAATGAGGCTAGAGCAAAGAATTAAAGGAGCTCTTATTATAGCACTGGATTAGAGTGGATCGTCGGATGGAGCATACAACGGAAAGTATTTCACCAATGCTACCAATCCTCACGTAGGTACGAATTTACGAAAATGTGATATGAAAAGTCAGAATTATGAAGTCAATCGCGAGAATACACCATTCATCCATCCATGGATACGCCTCCATGCAGAAAAGCCAAACCGGCAACTCCGTATGCCCTGCCTCACGAGCCTATGGTAGCGTAAATCGAAGCGGAGATAATACATAGCACGCCTAAATTCATATGAATTTAAAAAAGGGCGGCTGCATCTCAATCGCTAAGAGATACTTAACGTATGCAGTAAATAAAAATCAACGCGAAAAAAAAAAAGAATCCACCGTAGAGCTGAACGCGGCAAAGCCGCTGCGAAGCTCATTCCCACTAGTTTCGTGATATCGCCCGCAAATACCGATAAATACCCTCCCGCCGCATTAGCGCTGGTTAAGAGATATTCATTCCAAAGAACGGTTAATGTCGAGTTTGCCGCTCTTGTTGAGCAGCGATGCGCGAACTAGTTCGTTCCAAAAAGAAAGAGGCGATAATCAACTTGAATGGGGAGGTAAATCCGGACTCTAAGTGAAACATGTAGAAGAACCCGGTGACGAGAAATGGCCGAGCCTAGCGCTGTTTAGGAGACGCCAGATACGGTGGCGGTTTGAGAGACCTGCGTGCCCGAATAGGGCTCCGCCCGGTTTGCACACGTTAGGCTGGGCCATGTCGCGGCAAAGACGCTCCCAGTCCATCTGCGGGCTCAAGGGAAGCGAGTTACCCGTCGAGACGCACACTGTTCGTAGACAAGCCTCGTCAAGGTCGTACAGCCAAGGATGGAGATCATGACTGAAGAGGCGCGCCTTCCACCAAGAGGGAGGTGCGATGCGAGTGCAGCGCGTCTCCTCAATGCCCAGATCATCAAAGGGTTCAAGCGACTCCATGATTCGGTTGCGGATCTCCGGGGGTTGCTTCTCGATGGTTTCCCACAAGGTCTCGTACTTCGGGTCTGGACGAACGTCCCGGGGGAGGGGATGCGAACGAAGCATAACGACATGCGTGGTGTATAGTGAGCTCGGTCCCGGGTCGGCTTCTTGGAGAGCGATGTTGTAGTTATCATGGGAGAGTGTCCATCTGTATTCATACAGCTTCTGGGTTACGACGGCTCCGAAGTAGTTGTTGGGTTCATCGATTGGTTGGTGTAGAGGGCCGAGTAAGCCCGGGTTGGTCATCAAGGCGCGCTTCATCCAAATTTCATAGAGATGCGCGATACTGGAAGGTATTCCACCCTCCGGGGTGCTGAAGGCGCGGAAGTTAATGCTGAATCGCGACTGGTATCGACAAAAGATTAGAGCCAGATCAATGCAACGAGCATGGATCGGCAAGTTCATTTCGGCGTCTGCGGTGTTGATGACCAACTTTCCTAACCCCTCAGCGTAAAAGCCATCGGGACCGCCGCGAAACTGGGTTATAGGGATGGCGTGAAGCACTTTATCATCCCGTCGGCGATACGCTGTTGCGGTGTGTGGTTGCTTGCACCACTCGAGGAAGCCTTTTTGCGCCCTAATAAGGGTGGGGTGCATCCAGTCACGACGAAGGTAGGGGTCATGGACGGCAAGCGAGGAATAGACCTGGAAAGGTGATGTTAGATCTTGAGGAAAGTGAAGAAAAATATTGGATGACCTACTGTCGGCTTGCAAATACCACCACAAACAACGCAGACGACTACATCATCGCATCGATAATCCTGGCTAAACGGATCCGGTAGAGGGGCGTGGTTGGGGATAACATCGAGAGATTGACTTCGTAGGTTATGGAGTTGGCTGTGATGCACAGATGTAAGGAGGGGCGGCATGGTGACTGTAATAAACCTTGACTTATAGCTAGTCGTTATAAGGATTTAGAAATGAAATAAATAACGAAGGTCGTTAGGTGCTTGCTTACTGTTGAAAGTATGTCGACAAAATCGCAAGTCAAATTATGCCCAGGTGATGGTGTTTGCGCTTGGGGTTGAAGAGGTAGGACACTAGGCACCTGTTATTGTCCTCTGATCGCAACGATCGATAATAAAAATATGCTTAAAAATATCGTGGTGACAGGACTTTGCGGTAAGGTTGAGGGTTTATGAAAGTTTAGTACACCAATATGTGATCACCCTGAGGGTAAAGGTGAGGTATTGATGGAGGATTAAAAAAAGGAGGGGGATGTAATGTGGTGGAATGGGTGGGACGAAGAAGAGTGGAATAAGAGATGAAATGGTGGTGGATGTAATAATCCCAACCTGAAATTTTTATGTAAAAGATCTAAGATCAGTTGAATAACCAGGTGTATTGATATTTGGGCTGTCAACCGCGGAATAATTTATTGTGTGAAATTTAATCAATTTCCTGGTTTGCAGTCGCTCGCGTGTTTGTCTGGGGTGCGGGATAACATGTGTGCTCTGTAGTGTAGGAAAGGAAGCTGCCCGGTCTACCTTACTGGTGAAAGGAAACGGGCACGGCACCTAACGGGTGTCTGTGTGAATGCATACACGTGTGCTATTTTTGGGAGAAAAATGAAAAATACCGTTAAAGCGAGGAAAATTTGTTGTGAAGTGCGATCGTATAGGTCTTAGTTGGCACGAGAAATTTTGGAATAAACAAAAATTAACGTTCAAAAAAGTCGTTAAGATCTGAGAGGTTGCTTAAAAGAGGCTGTGCGCTAGAGGGTATTCTGTAACACTTCACATAGGTACGTATGCTCTTAGCCCCATCGCCGACGTCTATACAGCATCTGCACATTACATATAGTTAGTACCTAAGTACATCCGAAGCTGTGTAATAAAAAAGGAGGTTGCCTTATATTAGGCACCTACCTAAATAAACGCCGTTGGATAACGAGATGTATATATATCGACAGATCCGAAGGAGGCACGCAGGTGTATAAACCTACGAGGGTTCATCAATAAAAACATGCAAATTTGGCTTTGACTACACAACGGCTCTCAAAACAATTAGGGGTATCTAGCATACTGGCTAGCCTGACGAACGGCCTTAAAACAGATGAACAACTCAACTTCTAGGTATAATGTATCAAAGCCATAATGCCCAACCTCCTACTCCCGTGTCCTTGGAAAAGAGATGAACCTTGAACGCCCAATCCATCTCCACCGTTACCATTAACTCCATTAATTCAAACCTCCGACATTTTGAAAGGTCCAGTACAGGGATCCCCCTTTGTCCTATACTGCTCCTATAGCGCGAGCTCGGCCAATTTAGTTTAGTCTAGGGCTCTTCCTCCTAGTGACGCTTTGTGAAAATACTTCTCTCCCACCACCAGGTACAACTGATGAAAGGAGGGGTATGTTCTCTCGTCCTTCGGCTGCTGCCGCCGCCTTCTTTCCCGCTTTCGAACCCCGCGTCGTCCTGCTCTTCTTAAGCAGCGGCATCGTGAAGTCTCCATCTGTGTTTGCGGTCCCATCCATCATACTAAACCCATGAACCGTCGCGTTAGCACGAGGATCAAAATTGAGAGTGGCTGTTGCGTTAAGGTTCGGATGAACCTCACGTAGGCTCATCGAGAGCGGATTATGGTCGCGGTCGGAAAGGGGGAACGAACTTTCGGAGGCAAACCGCCTGGATGGTGATCTGTTCTCTGACAAGCTTGGGTCCGCGTCAGAAAAGACCTTAGATTTGCTGGGCGATACCTCGCCATTTAACTTTCTAAGTAATACTTCGTGTGCTTCTGTATGGGGGAGTTCTGTGGGATATCGATAGGTTATCTTCTGTGGCGTGTCTCCTGTTGGTTGGTACTCTTGCAACACCGTGCTGTTTATGTCTTCTCGAAGGTCGGAGAGAGGTTCGCGGACAATTTCCGAGAATGACTCCAAAGATTCCTGGGCGTCAGTAACATTGGTATCCATTTCGGAGTTGAGGTCCTGGACTCTGGAGTAGGTATCCTTGAAATGGTCGCCAATATTCGCATATGAACCTTCAACTGTGCTGGATAAGTTCTTTACCGAGCTGGCGTGACGGTCGTGGTGTAAACTATTTTGTGAACGGGCACGGCTAACGAAATCATCTAGAGATGTCATCTGTTCATCGAGATCTTTCATCTGCTCATCTACAACTTGGACCGTCTTTGCATGTACTGATCTGGTTGTGTCTTGAATGGAGGTGCTGTGCTTGTTCGCGGTCTATGCGACCTATTAGTACCGTTGCAATTAAATATTGCGTAGGGTAACTTACAGTCCAATCATCCTTCAACTTGGTCTTCAATATTTCCCTCGAGTTGGAAACTTCATCAAGGAGGCGAGTCTCCTTCTCGTTCCAATTGTCCATTCCCTGAGAGTATTGAGCCATACTACCTTCCAATGCGGTGCCATTCTCTTGCATGCTCTGATGAATAGAACTTGTCTTATTAGCTAGACGTGATTCTTGGAGTTCGGCCTGTGAGTTGATGAGCGTAGTAATCTGCGCTAGGAGGTTTTGACGTTCCTCGGCTGCTTGTCGTCGTTCTTCGGTGATAACTTCTTGTAACTGCGCTGATATAGATGTGTTCGACTGAAGTATGGTGTTATTCGCACGTTGAAGCTGCTCCCGGAGGCTATCCGATTCTTTCTTTTGGGAGGTGATATGCTTTAACAACTCTTCAAAAATCGATTTGAAATCCTTTCCGAGGGATGAGTACGACGTATGCAGTTGATTATGGAAGGTGCTCAGTTCACTAAGCACATCTTGAGATATTGTCTCGGCTGCTGTTGCGATGGCTTTGAGACTGTCTCCGACTTTCTCCTTGATGTGATCCCGGACTTCCTTGATCTCCTCGAGCACGTCGTCCATTTCATCCTTCGATTTTTGTTTCTGTTCCATCAGCTCTCTCTTAGACTGAGCGAAGAGCTCTAGATTTTGATCGAGGAATGATTGAGTGGAGGAGAGCTTTTGTAACTCTTCCTGCACAAATGAATGCATTCGCTCCGAAATGCCCGACATGTGCTGTTGTTGCTCATTTCGAAATTCCTCAACGCGACCTTCTACGAGTGAGGTCACATCCGAGACTTGATCTTGAGCGGTTCTCCAATTGGTTCGATTTAACAATTGGAGGTCTGACTTTCTCTTGTTCTTCGCGTGTAGACCCCCGACGTCCTTGACAGTTTTATTAATAGTAGTGATAAGCTCACCGCCAATTGCCTGCATCTGCTCCTCGGTTTGTTGGTGTGCCTTGCGTAGGTGAGTCTCCTCGGCGAGGGATTTGCGGGTAGCTTCAAGAACAAGCTCGGTCTGATCAAGTACGCCCTTTGTATCATCTAGTTGCGCCTTAGTAGACTCGTGGTCTTTTTTCAGGCCCATGAAGCTTGAGGTTAGGGAAAGAAGCTCTTGTACTTTGTTTCGAAGATTGGATTCAAGAGTCTCGATCTTGGCGGCTTGTTCTTCGTTGCGGATTCTGCGGGACTCGCTCTCGGCGGTCATTTCTTCGTAGTTTTCATTCGTCAAGTAGACACCATTTCGTTGACGCGTAATGATTAATTCGCTTCGCAGCCGCTCAATCTCGTGGGTGAATTCTTTAAGCAAAGTTTCTTTGTTGATCCTCTGATTGGCCTGGGGCTTATTCCGAATGTTCTTTGCTCTGAAAGCATAGTCGAGTGTCGATATGGTCTCTTCGAGATTGCTCTTCGCCGGTGATATAGTAGCGATGATGCATGTCTTCGTGCGGCCACCAAGTGAATCTTGTAGTAATCTTGTCAACTTGGATTCTCGGTATGGAATATGCGAACTTCGGTCGACTAGAGCGTTGATGACTCGCCCTAGGGTGAGTAAACTCTTGTTGATTAAGCCGGCTTCCGCTGCTCTCTTGTTTTCTGCCCCGGAACGTTGAATGTTTTCGCTTCCAGCAAGATCTACCAAGTTCAACTTTCCAGCACTAACGTACTCCGCTCCATCTTCCCCGGTTTGCTTGACACATGCCGTGATCGTAAATACGGTATGACTTCGACTACTTAGATCATTGCATTTCGTTGCGGCTACTTGTCGTTTCAAGCTACCATCCTGTAGGAGTTTGATGCCTTCTGTGGCATTCTTGATGTGCGATTCCTGCATACCCTGGACAACCGTCGTTGAGTGGCCTTTGCGGGAAGTGTCGTCAAAGATCTTTAATTTGGAGTTTTCTTCGGCTGAGATGAGGTCTCGAAGCTCTTCGTTATATAGCTCAATGAAGGAACACTTGACGAAACTATCGGTGTCCTCCCCGTCTAATTTATTGAAGAGCGAATGTAGAACTCGAGGGATAATTCCGGCGTCGTCGGATAGGAGACCTAAAGTGTTGGTCATGTCTCCCGACATCGTGTATGTTTTGCCGGTACCGGTTTGACCGTAAGCAAAAATAGTACAATTGTATCCACCGAGCATCTGACGCGTCACGAGTTAGTTATTCGCGCTCAACAGTGAGCATTCGCTGGCATACCTCTTCTAATATAGGTTTTACGACATCATCATATAGCATGCTTTGATCAGCAGCTTGGGAAAAGACGCGATCGAAGTTATAGGTCTTATTGCTTAAGGCACTTGGACCCATAGACAACTCAACAAGTTTGCCTTTCGCGCCATCAGTAGAAACGACCACGGCACTGTTCTCTCGTACTTCTCGCTCATTGCGTCCGCGACAGCGAACAACAACATCGATATTCGTCTCTTCCCCACCAGTCTCGATTTCGTAATCGCGTTCTTTGCGCTTCGTTCCTGTGGTGGTAATGGATGACATTGATTCAGCTGGAGAAGGGGCTGCCGTTCTTGCGATCCTTGAGGCGACAGCAGCATGGTGGTGATTATGGACAGGGTTCCGTAGCGACGATGTTCTATTTGAGGGTGGTCGAACACCGACGCGTCCAGCAATGCCAGAGCGGGTACTAGCAGCCATCGATGGCCTTTCGCCCCTATAGGAGCGGCCCTGCATTGTGGGCGAGGGGTGTTGAATTAGGAGGGATACTGTAAGCTGCTATTGGAACTAACAAATGATATCTAGGAGTCTCAAAACAAAGCTGCTTAGACTAGGCTAGGTGAAGCGGTGAAGTAAACAATTGTTCACGAGAACATTGGATTAATTTATTAGAATGATGAAGTCCAGCGTTGTTGAGTATACGTTGGCCAGAGATGAAAAGGTGGGATGTATGATGTAAAGATTGTGTTGCGGTGCACAGGTACAAGACGCGCGATATTGATGTGTGAAGGTTGAAGGGTAAGGGTGTATGTATTTTGTAAGTCCAGCATTCGGCGCTTTCCGCTCAAAAGTTGGTGAGTGGTCCACTAAAAATATCAATAGAAGTTACTTGCTGTTGCCGTAGTAACGCCTAAAACTCCACTGATAAGAAAGTGTCCCTTGTCCGAGCTTACCTAAGGTTGTACATAGATTAAGCTTATCTAATCATACTTTTTACCCTCAAAGCTTTGACGGCGGGGTAGTAGCTGAACAATGCCGAATCCGGTAAGCGGTATCCAGCAGCACATGTGGCATCGTGCCTGACGGGATACGCTAGATAACTGCCTAGGTAATTAGGTACTTCGCTATGTGCTTGTATCAAATGACGTTTCGGTGCATCTGACCTGGTTCACGTACTCTTAACCTTAACCTTCTTCTTTGCCTTTACTCCTTGCTACATGTTCCCTTTCTATTGAACCCTCTTTCTTATTTTACATCATACCATTTCATCCCATTCTTCATGGATTTAACTGGTGCTGGTTAACTTCCCTCCATTTCTGGGGGCTTCACAGTTTCTATAGTCTTTGTCACGACGGATACCAGCATATTGACCTTCAATATGTCTCTCTTCACTGCAGCTCTCCACCCTAATGTTGGTCTGGGCTTCCTTGGTAAGCATCAAGTTGCCATCATAAAGGATGGTTAATCACTAGTCTCTATTACAAGATAACTGACTATCATCATCAGTCCTCGGTGCCTCCCTCCACGATATCTTAACTCGACTCAAGGCCGAACCCCAACGCTTCCCCAAGCTTGATCTAGCCTATTCCGCGGCCGATCCCGTCACCAATCCTGTCGTCCTTAACCTCCCTGCCAACGGTATACGACTTCGCTTCGACGGTCCTGAACAGCGACTCCGACTCGTTGAAGTCATCGACTTTACTAAGAATCGTATCACGTACCAAGAGAAGGACGTCGCCAAACCCGCAAACTCCCAAGGTTTGGTTGGATCCCCTAGGCTAGGTGGGGATGCTGCGACAGGACCGGCATTTAAGAACATCTATCACCGCCTATTTGGCCCAACATATGCTGGAGAGTATATACCCCCCGCTGAAACAGGTGGTGCCAACGCTGTAGGAACGTACATTTTGTCCTATCCCGGTGTCGCATTTAGCTTCCCCCTACCGAAATCAGCCTATTCTCCCAACAAGGATGTGGTTTCTTTGCTGTCCTCATCCGCAAGCCAGACAGCGAGTTCAGTTGCAGTATTTAGTGGGAAATCCTGGGCTCATGCTCGAGAAACGCTATGGGATGAGATTCTTCCAAGCGTTAAGTCAGCATTTCTGTTTAATAAGAGCAAAGAGGTTGTTCCGGACGAGATATCCCTGATCAAGATACATGGGGGCGGCAGACTTCAGCTTTTCAAGAAGTGGACCAACTCATCGCTGTGGATCAATCTGGGAGAGACAACAGCCCAGGACTTAGTAGCAGAACTAGGCCCGCCCGATGCTATATACCGCAAGAATGACCAGAGGATGTATATCCACAAAACGCGCACTGCTAGTCATAGTAGGTCTAGGTCAAACGGTGGCGATTACAGGCGTCCGGATGATTTGACCGATACGGATCAGTCTTCCGCACATACAGGGTCAGAAGACTCTGATGATGAAGCTGTCGTGGAAGAGTTTGTTGGTAATGTAACTGGTGATTGCTTTTACAATTATTTTTACCTAGGGTTCGACATCCTAGTATCCCCACCCCAGTCTGTCTCACGCACACCGCCTTCTCATGCTGGGAAAGAATTGCCTAGTGCCAACCCATTCAAGAGTGGTACAGCCGATCGACTGGTGGCCACCAAGATGGTTTTACATGCGAACGTCCCTGGCTCATACCCATTTAATCGCCATCGGCGATGTCGGTGGGAGATTCAATACCTCGCAAATAGCAACTCGGACCATGTGATAAATTCGGAGACACCGTTTGATGAGGCAGAGAAACGGTTGAGAGAGGAGTGGAAGGGTACATATTCGGCAGAAGAAGACGGCCAGAGGCGTCAGCGAGGTATGGTATTAAATAGGGGATGGGGCGATAGCCCCGGAAGCAGCTGCGAGTTCCTCGGAGGCTGGGAAGACAGCAGCGGAGGAGTCGCGGCGAAGAAGTTCGATGGGAGCGAAGATTCTACGACTACACTATATGGATTTCCTGGGTTGGTCTTCGAGGTTTTGAAGAATGGATTTGTCAGCGCTGTTACGGTTTACTGAAAGATTACGAGCATGGGTATGGGCTTGGGTTTGGGCATCGGAGTTGGTTGTGATTTTTTGCTCTCTTCCGCCAACATATACTAGAATGGGATTTGTACCGGGCAGGGCCGGACCGTGATATCACACATTTACTCCAAGACTTCACACTCCCGCATATTATATGGCCCATATCTGCAATTTTATTGACTTAAGATATAGGTGAAACCTGACACATCCTTTATTTACACCAGATAACGATCAACCTTCTGCCTTATCTTACAAGGTTAGTCTAGACTAATATTACTTACTAGCATCCATACCTTAAGTAGGTATATCTACAGATCACCGATTCATTCTATCCTATGGAAGTCAGCTCTTATAGGGTCTCAGCGGGGTTCCTCGAACTCACTTTAGCACCACTCAGATATAATGGACGACGATTTTGGAAGAGCCTACCGTTTGCTTTGATGGAGCCTTTAACTCTTACGACACGAGATATGTGCATACTGCCTCAACTCATCATCGGGATTTTGGTGTAAGCCACGATTTCTGCAGAGTCGTACAACCTCACATGCTTAAAATCCTTCAACGGCAATGTCTTAATGGTATGTTCAACCCCGCTATTACGCCATCTCCCCAACTATCATATTTTATCTGCTCTACTAGAACACTTATCTCATCTCTACAAGCCTTTTCCTCTTGCTACCTTACCATCAACCCTTTTGTGTCCTATGATATAAGCCTCATGCTGTTGCCTACGGAGTACAGTGTTGGTTTGGTTCAATTACCCACCTATCTTACACTTCTACTTTGTGGTACGGCTTAATAATTTTCGAAAAACATTCCTGTTGGATATGCCGTTACCTCCATTGACTCACTCCAGTCATTCGCCGATTGCTACTTAATCCTCAATCAAAAGTCCATTATTGGGCATATCACGCGGGCCTATGATCAGCTCCTATGTTGACACTGTCCCTTTTTGCATCTCACCAAGCATCCTACTGGGGCGCATCACACTATGACTCCCTCCCCACCGTCAATGCTGTTGGCATCTATTCTTCAGTTCGTCCGGGGGGAAAAAAACTGAGCAACATCATAGTCACATTTCCATTTAATACACGTAGTTCCACAGTCATCCCCTTCTTTTCTTTTCTCTTTTTTTTTTTCTTTTGAAAATGCCAAATCCCACAATGCGCATGAGCAAGACTCGACTACAAGTAACTCGGTACCATTCAGCGATTAGATAACTGCATGATGTTGGAGCTGATCGTCCAATCCCATAGCCCCTACGACATCCTGCATCCTTTAATCCTAGTTAGCCTGCATATTCGCTTATGCCAGGGAACCTTCTTTCGCCCTAGCGCTGATAGCTGAGCTATTGATAGCTGCTCTCCAACCTTCTTCTCCTTTTCAGCTCTCTACGAAACTAGAAAACCGAACTCAATTAGTTTTTTATTTTATTTTATTTCTTCCTCGCATGTAAACATAACATATTCACCGGTTACTCTAAGACACCAGTAACAATGGTGTTCAACCTTGCGGTTGTAAGTAACTTTATGCTATTTATTACATCATGCATTGATGGCTAACGCTATGCAGTCCGTTTTAGCTCTGGCAGCCTTGCTGCCAGGTCTCTACAGTTCCGTTCAAAAAGTGTTCGTAATCTACAATAATGCGCCCGAGCGGCTTTCGAGCATCAATAACTTCAAATCATATGAAATTAAGTTCGCAGATACAATTCGTAACTGTGAAGATGGCCTTCTTGTGGAATCACAAGGTTTAGCTCTTCTTTCTTGCGATGTCGGACGTGAATCGTACAATACAGTGATGGTAAGTTGTTTTTCGGTATATTACCATAATATGCAAGGAACAAACTTCCAATTTTATTCCCATTGTGGATTCTCATGTTGGACAGAACATTTTTTTACCGGGTCCCGTGCCTGGCGCTGAGATTTACGCATATAATTATAATGATGCTAGCCTACCGGACTCGAAGGCTCTCAAACGTTTTGAGATTCTTGGTTACGAACCTGGGGTAGATTTTCATACCTTAGGTTTGGCCTACGATGAGAAGACTTCTACCTTGTTTGTCGCAAATCACCGTACCGACGGCCCGACTGTCGAGTTGTTTAAATTGGATCTAGTTGCATTTAAGGCTAAGCATTTCCGAACCATCCGACATCCTCTTCTGCATGCTCCGAATGCGATCGCTCTTATTAATAACCATGAGTTGCTCATTACGAATGACCATTACTTCAAAGCTGGGGATTACCGCATACTCTCGATGCTGGAGACTTACCTCGGCCTGCCGCTTGCTTCGGTTGTGCACGTTGACATATCGTCCCTTTTGGAGGACCCCGCTGCTGATGTCAAGGCCGAAATAGTTGCCCGCGTTCCTTTTGCCAACGGTATTGAACTATTTAACGAGACCACTGTTGCTGTAGCTTCAACTTCGGGCGCATGCGTATACTTCTACTCTATCATGAAGCCGGAACAAGGCTCCACATCACCGCCAGTTCTTGCCTACAAGTCGCTAGTAAAACTCCCTTACTTCGTGGACAATGTTCAAATTTCTAAGGACGGTGCCCTCTACGCTGCTGGTCACCCGCACCCTCCCTCACTAGATAAATACAGCGCTACGAGGCATGAGTGCAATTCATACACCGATATCACTACCGCTGATCCTTCTGTCCAAGAGAAATGCAAGACGACCGTCGGGCCTTCCTGGGTTTCTAGGTGGACCGAGGAAGGGGGCGTTGAGCATCTCTATACTGGTATTGAATACCCTACGAGTGCTACCGCAGCATTCGATTCGAAGAGGAAGGTTGGGATTGTTACAGGTTTGTATGCCAAAGGAATCCTTGTTTGGAGAGAGTAGGTAAACAAGACCTACATTCATTAAGTTTGGGGGTTGGATTTAGCTCATATATTTTGTGGTCCAAGAAGCATATGACTTGACTGCGTAGCTTGTGGATTAAAGACACAAGTGTGTCTTGGTAGACAGAAACCGATTGGGGATTTCTGGATGTGGCTGGGTGCTATCGGAAATTGGGTTGGGATACGGTTTCTAGAATATTTCTAGTACATCTGGTGGGGGCTACTCTCCTCTCAGTAGGAGCACACGACCTGTGCGTTATCAACATGACATAGTATTTAGCTACCAAGGGTGCGAGCTTATCAAACATCTTGGCTTACTAAAAATGAAGCCCTATTTCGTCCACCCTTTTCTTATCATCCTGGTCTTACTATCTGACACTATAACCCAGAGATTCCCTAATCTACCATGTCATCCCCGAGTTAGGGTTGGCGGTCTTCCTGTCGCGGTCTGTGGGCGAGGATAATCTTAACCTCCTCGTCCTCCTCATCTACGAGCACGTTCTTGTCCTGTTCATTCTTGCCAGGAACTCCTTGCCAGGTAGCTGCTTCTTCGGGGTTGGGACTGAGGTCGAGGCGAGGCCTCCACTCCTCGAAAAGTCCTAAGCACCCGGATAGCTGGGGCATTGCTTTATCAATGCCATCGGTGCAAGCGGATTCAATGGCTACATGGAATTGTCGACAAATCTCTCGGCAGAGGAATTGATTCATTTGGATGCCGGAGCTGCCATTCTGCGCTTCGTTCATCATTTCGTGCAAAACGATACGAGTACCCAGCTTTGTGCTGGCTTCGAGGACGGCGATAATCAGTTCCTGGGTGTTCTCATGTCCGACGGGGCCTTGGGCGATGAGTACTTCGTAGATGTTCTTGGCGAGCTCTGCTGAAGAAATGGGGGTGTGGTACTCCGCGGGCTGGATGGGGAAGACCATGTTGTCGCGTGGTGCGAGTGGTCCGGTCGGGATCTCCTCCGGGGGTCGTCTAGCTTGCTCCAGAATGTCGTTAAGACTCTTCTTGAAGAGCAGGCTGTCGTTGGCAAGATTCTTGCCCCCGTTCCTCACCTTTCCCAGATGCGTGTCCCAGTCACACAAGCCGTTGGCCAACTAGGCCAAAGCCGTGATGGGGCGTACATAAACATGATTCTTGTTCTTGAGTTTTGCTCGAAATCTAGTTCTGGCCGCCGTGAAATGTCTGACGAGGAAGAACGTAGAGTTAACAGAGGCCAAACCCCAGGCACGGTCAACGGCGGACTTGAACTCTACCTGCGATTGGGGAGGCGAGGTTAACTTGACATGCAAAGCTTTGCTGAGTAAGTCCAATGCGTTGAAGTAGATTGTCACGGGACCGGGCTCGATTTCCGGGATGGGAGTAGTAAGAGCCTTCATTGCGTCGCCATTGATCAGTCGAGAAGGGAACTTGAATCCATCGAATACAAGGCATACTCCGCGCTCTTCGAGTTGGCATTGGGTCGCGGGGCCCGAGTTGTCATCCGCATTGGTGGCCATTGTGGAAATAATGACCAAAATAAACAAGTAACAACCCTCAGACTAGAATAATTTCCTATGGATACGAATGAGTCTGCTGTTGTGGTGGAATATATTGGGGGCGAGGAGTGACATTTACCTACTTCGTAGAAGCAGTGACACGGTCGCAAAGGCAAAAGATGTCGACTTAGTGCACTAGGATATAAAATGCTAGTCTATTGCCCCCAAAGCAATGACTCTCGTAGGAATATCCTAAGTACGAAATTAGACAAAACGGCACGAATAATCGAGAGGAAAAGACGGGGTGGTGAGAATGTAAGCAGCGAAGGATGGACAGAACTGCCAAAACTGAGGCTGCCAAGGATGTTGGTCGGAAAATCCAGGATTTCAAATTTTCCAAGTTGGAGGAGAAAAATTAATGCTGTGTGTGTGTGTGTGTGTGGATGAATATTTCAGAAATTTTGCATGGACCAGATCAGTACGTGGGTTGCCACTTGTGTATCTAGGTAGACAACACCTTCCACAGTAGTAGAATGTATTAATTAGGAACAATTTCTGTGCCAACTCTAATTATCTAGTAAGGCAATTGAACGCAAAAATTGATTTATTTTCCCCCGAAAGAATCATCTGCGATAAACATTTCTATTATCTACCTATATGTACCTCGATTAATACCTACACCTGATCTTGCCTGCCCGCCTACATGTGCACAGCTTCAGGATCGCCTTACCGCAGATAATAATGTAGGTGAGTTTGAATGCCCTTAAATTCTACCTGTACCGAAGTATACAGCAATAGTTGTCTTAAAGATTGTGCCTTCTATTCTACATGACCTTTACCAGCAGATTTCATATGCACCCGGAACCCAACAAAATTAAAAAGTTTAAACGTATAGAACTAATAATACTTTTGTTGAAAGTATCGAGGCATCAATTACCATTCTACTTGGACGTGGGATGAGAGTGCGTGGTAAATAATAGGGGATGGAGGACTTGTGGTGGATTACGTAATCGAGAATCCGGGAAAAGGGGGGAGAGTGTTAGTTGAAAGATCGTGAATTTTTGGAATTGGAGAATGTGCAATAGGTCGACATGAATATACTTATTTCAGTCGTATGAATTCTGAGAGAGGATGAAAATATAGTAGCCCGATAGGTTTTACTGGTTAAGCACCCGAAACGAAATGTGGTTGTGGTAGGTGCACCAGTTTCCCAAGAAACCAAGGGACAAAAGCCTATAGTTTGGTTTAATGTAAAGAGCTTTCAACAAATCCACTCATACTTAGAAAGTATGGTACAGTGGTTCTACCTTCTCTGGAGGTCCTCGGTTCGAGTCACAATGTGGTCGTCTCTCAATTAATATCTCCATAGAGGGATCGTTCATATCTCCTTAGAGGGATCGTCCACATCTCCATCGAGAGATTCTTCCACATCCCCCCCGAGGGATTCTAGACGGCCCCTGCCTCAACCAAAGAACTAAACTTTTGCCACTTTGTATATTTTTTTCCCCATCATATAGCCTCATTTATAATTCTTGTAATTTTGCCTTGCACAATCATTCCTTCTCAGTATATGTAGAATGTATCATCTCTGAGAGGTATTGGTGAATATTCCTTTTCTTTTATCGAATTTACACTCGATCCTAGCTACTACTATTTAAACAACTTTGCATTCCCTAGGTAAGTGAAACTTTTTTAAAAAAAAGTTCGTCTTCTGTAAATCAAGATATTTTCGTTTTGGATAGCAATGGGCTTGTGATACTATCGCATATAATGATCTCCCGGCGGTTAGATTATCACAAACCCCAATGCCAATGGTATTTAAGACCCTAATTGAGACCGTTATTTTCTCTCCCGCCGCCCATTAGAGCCTAGGGTGTTTGGTGGTTCCTATTTTCTAGACGATTAAGAGCGTTTACATCATCAGCAGCTCGGAGATTAGATCGGACGGGAAGATCTATGATACTTTCAAGGTAGAATACAACTTTAGGGTACGAAGAAGATATTATCCAGCTAGAATTTTGAATCACTAAACACGATAATTTGCTGGCCGAATCTTGTGGGAAGCAGGCGGCACTTCGACTATCCTACAATAAAAAACTGATTTGACACCCCCTAAAAATGCAAAGATGACGACTTCTTCACAGAGGAACTAGTCGGAAAAATGGCGAGCGGTATTCAGCGTAGCCCAAAATGTGTAGGTAGCTGCAGCAAATGACGTATAGTCTCGCTAAATCTCCACCGAGCTTTTAATGGGTTTACATTGCAATGATTCCAACAGTGAACTATTTCAACGTTCTGCTAGGTTGCAATGGATTGGGAGAGATGTCGTCCCTACGGTCACTTGCGCTATTCTCGAACCTGCCGCCTGAGAGGTGCTAGAGAACCTCGCCAGTCAATGCCCCTGACCAACTTGAGACCACCATGATCATCTTGTTTGGTACAAAACATACCCAGAAGTACCAGTGGTATGTGCCAACCAGCCCAACCCGCATGATTGAATGAAGTTGCAGGAATTACTTATTACTTATGGCCTTATGATGTCTGAGCCGAACACGATGAGTGTCTACGGGGAGTCCCGATGGGTTATGATGGACTAAGGACTACCTATTATCAAATCTAATTTCGAGCGACGCGCCGGAATTCGGCGTATATTCCCATTGCAAGTTTGCTACGATATTGGCATACTTTATTGGTATGTTAGAATATTACTAGATGTAATAAATAGAATGTGGGGTGTGTCGTTGAGACTAAAGAGACTACCACCCCTGGAGTATGTGTATGGGGCGGCCTCGATCCGAACCTATAAAAAATGTGGGGTGAATGGGGATAAGAGAATTCATATGTCGAAAAACTTAACCTGCTAGAAGTCCCATTGTATAAAGAAACTTGGATTCTTATTTTCTTTTATCCATAGAATTGATGGCCTCTTCGAAAGCGTAGATCATTCCATCGTAGAGCTTGTTTATAGCTTCGGGCGAGCTGTCGGTCCCTGTCCAAATTACGCTAGCCCGTAAGGGAAATAGAATTTGGCGTAGACTTTTGGTGAGCGGCTTAACGGAGTGGAATTCGGGAGTAAATTCCCTCAAAATAGTCTGAAAGCCATTTTGATTCATGTCAAGAGATTTGCGTACCGCTAGTTCGTCCCAGTCGCCATTACTCCATTGTCGAAGCCGACTTGTCTCTGGGGGGTCCTCGGTGTGGTTCGTTATGATTGCCCAGAGGAAAACATAAAGGAATGACTCCAGGCCGTGACGATAAGTATGACATTCGCTCTTCAGAACTCCAATGGCCATAAATGGTCTAGTGCCGGTAATGTCAAGCTCTGTTTCTGATCCTTCGGCGAGCTTTATTGCGGAATCGAGGTCTATCAGGATCCCTTGGGGCTTTCCTTCCTCTTGACCATCCAGAATGATCATGTTCCCAGGGGAAATATCTTGGTGAAGTATTTTGGCGTCGTAACAAAGCGACCGGTGACATTTAATAGTATCACGAAACACTTCGAGCAACTCCAAGAGAGACTGAAAAGTATGAAGAGGTCTGCCGACAGGGGAAGTAACGATGCAAGTAAGGATACAATTTTGAAAGAAGTTATCGGTTTCTTCTGTATATTCAACAAGTCCGTTAGCGTTGCAAGTAACTTCCTGTCGTTTCTCTTCCGTCTTAGCGAATCTTCTTTGTGTCCCCCACCGGAGGCCTCGACGAAGATTTGCTCTACTTTCAACTTCTTCGTAATAGTCAAGGGAGACGGCACCTCAGGCAGATTTCTTCTTGGCTAGCTTTAGAAGCTCGTCCTCCGGACAATCCCTAGCCCAACGCCATTTGAACTTTATGACGTAATCCCATCGATTCGAATTAGGTATTTTAGCCCGGTAGCAAGTTGTCCCGGTGCCAACAAGGCCTTCGCGGGACGCGATTGGCTGGCTTTCGAGATAAAGCTTCCCCAAAGAGGGCATCACAACACTATCAAGAATAATATAGTTACCGCCCTTATCAGTCTTAATGATGTTGGTTTTCCCCAGGTCCTGATCCGTCATCCGCTGGTAGCTGAGAATAATAGAAAGGAATTGGATGAAATCTTCCTGAACATCGAACAGGTCGCTACAATATAAGCCAGATCGAAGGCCCAAAGTTCGATCAGTGAGCCGCGAATGTAGAAGCCATGTAAAAAGAGCCGCGTAGGCTGGCTAGCGAAGACTTGGTGTGCGGCCCGACAGAGACGCAATAGTCCGTCCTGATAAGAAATGCAACCACGGTGGTTAAACTGACCAATGACCTGAACATGGTCCCATTTCGCCTGTACGTCGGAGGCTGGCGAAACGAGCATGGTCAAGAGAAGACGTGCACCGTCGTCATCACTCTCGTGCTTGGGTGCTAGATTGTCGCTGGATACAAGCCATGAGCCTCGAGCGCCGTCAAGCTCCCGTGATACATAGTTAGAAAACCATTGTAGGAAATTTTCCGGTAATGGGGCAGCTGATGGAATGGCACAGCGGCCACTGACTTTTCCGCCTGCCTGAATTTCCAAGAAAGCATTTTGGTGGATATATTGAAAGTTGCCGAAGTGTTTTTTGATAAATCCGTTCATGGGGCCGTGCATGCGGCCGTCTATGTTGTTAAGGATATCTTGATCAGAGACCGGTGGAGCTAGCAGATGATCTACCGCCGTGTGATTCTCCATGGTCAATGGAACGTACTGCCGCTAATGAAGGGTCCGGTCCTTTCGTATCCGCGACCTCGGGGATTCTGGTCTGCCGCCGAGTGCCACACGACTCCCACTGGTATTACTGGTTTGAGATTATGAGATCTCTAATGTGCATTGCAAATAGTGGTGTGGCTGTGGTTGAGGTTGAGGACCAGTTCATTCCAGTGAAATAACTCGTAAAATCGGGCATAGGGACGGCGTTTAATTGATTCTATGAAGAATTTGTTGGACGTGTGCTGAGGTGTGGCTGGCCAATCAGAGCCTCAGATCCCTGTGGCTGGGGAGAACCTGTACGACCTTAGAGCGAGGCGAAGCGAATAACGCAGCTAGTTTCCAAACATTTAACCTGCTGGAAGTGCAATGTCACTGTATGAAGAAACTTGTTTTTTTTTTTTTTTTTTTTTTCGGAAACACCCTGGCCGCGCGATCATAACGAGGTCGAGGATATATCTTGACAAAATAGCCGGGGGGGCCGGTATGCGATTGTTAGTCGTAACAATTCAGGATCATGATTCGAGTCTCTTAATTTCGACGTTCGCGTCCTTGGAGAGTCGCGTGACTATTATTCGAGGTCTTGTTCAGGGGTAACGTCGCGGCTCTGGGGGCGCGGAGTCATTCTAGGCGCGAAGATAGGCAATACGATACGATGTCGAGAAGAGGCGGGGCAACGAGAATCGAGGTGGTGAAAAATCTTAGTTGGTGTTGTCTTGACAACTGGATGGGTGGGTGACGACACTGGAGAGATCGTGCATGGGCTGTTTCCGAGTGGTAGGTGCACCGGTTTCCCAAGATACCAACAGACAAGAGCTTATAACTGGGTTTAGTAGTGAGGGTTTTCAAGAAATCCACTCACACTGAGAAAGTGTGGTGTAAGTGGTAAGAGACCGTTCTTCCTTCTCTGAAGGTCCATGGTTCGAGTTGCAGTGGCGCTGGTTTCTATGAGAGGATAGCCCAAACCATCCGACAATACCTCCGAGTAGCCCTCCTCCCTACCTAGAAGACACTTCTCCCGACAACCCGCTTTAGAAGATACTTCTCCCCCGAACCTCCGCCCTTAAAAGTCCGACAATCCATAATATAAAAATATATAATATAATACCCTATCCATCTCTGTACAAACGATCCCTGTCTCAGCCAATGGAGAACCAATCTTTTTGCTATTTTCTATATATTTTTTTTCCTTTGATTTTTTTTTTCACTACAGGATCTTGCTTGAAATCCCTCCAACCTTTTCTGCCCGAATATTTTTCTTCAGGGGGCTTTCGTATGCAAAATGCAGAACCTCTAAAAGAATCCAGATGAGTAGTCCAACTGATTTCACTTCCGGATTCACCCCTGGTCCTAAAGGTATGTCAACTTTTTTTTTCTAACTTTGTAACCATACACGGGAAGCCAAATGTAACGATTTATGATGTATGCAGGTATATGTAGTCTAACATATCGCCATCTTTACGTAGAAATTCGTAAGGTTGTCGTCGCGCCGTAGGTAACGTTGCCCTCCTGGGCTTATTGCAATAACCGCGAGAATCTGCAATGGGTTACAATAGACTACCTAGAAACTATAGGCTGATGAGCTTGCTTTGATCCTCATCGCGAGTTTCGCCACGATCTCGGCATCGCGCTTCGGTTCGTCGAACTGACTAGGCGTAGGCGCAGAAATCATTCGACAGAATTGAGCTCGACGACAAAGAGAGACAGTTTCTGTTAACTTATAACCTTTAATACTATCGAACTTGCAACGGATTTATGGTGTTAACTGCGAAACGGATTAGCGGACCGAATAACATGTTTATGGACATGAGGCCTTGCATTATGCCACTCAGCTTCTTACTTATTCTAAGTAGTAGTAGACTTGACCTGGAACTCCAATGCTTTGATTTGAGGCTGTACACATGTGGAGGCGTCTATAATCATATATATAAAAGCTGCAGGACATCTGGAGGTCATTGTCAGTAGTTGAACCATATAGAGCGATACATCCTGGGGAGTGTATGGAGGCAAGGGAGCTTTTAGAATAAAGAAGTCATTCGTGTATGTATACGGTAGCTTTCTTAGCAGTTCTTTGCGATCTCTTCGCGTAACAACAGTTATTAACCCCCTCATATGGTTGGTCTCATGGCAGACATGAGTGAATGGAATTATGTAATGGAATATGATTACGTAATGAATGATCGTGGGCGTAACAAAACGGTAGTGAATAAAAGAACTTAGGTAGGGAAATAAACAACTGGATATGGTTGGGTAGATATCTACCTATGTATGTGCCTATCCATCGAAGCAGATCGGTATATACGTATGTATTTGAGTTGATAGTCTGCGATGGATGTCCTAGGACGTTAATCGCTAGATGTAGTACCACCTGTGTTGCTTGTGGCAAACTCTTCGGAAAACGAAGCGAATATTGTGAGACCTCTAAGGTTATACTCACGGACAGTTGCGAGGCGCAATGATGTAGAGTAGCAGCACCGATTCTTACCGTTAGAATCCTTTAGGGAATGTTCGAAGCTAGGAAAGACAAAAAGTTAAAAGAAAAGAAGTTAAACGCATTTCTTAATAGAGCAAGGCTTATTATGTATTGTAATGTATCGTATCGTAGCTACCGCGTTCCTGCATGACGCGCACCCATTTTTAATCTTCGTTCGGTACATGTAGGCCCAGGTACCGAACACAATAGACCGGGGTGGTGGTACATGGTGGAGATTTTCACTCAGGGGCAAGCAACTTTGGAATTGACAAACTTGACCGAGATTAGCTAGATTCGGTGGACGCGATCGACCGATGAAGCGATGGTGTGCCGTATTTTCCCTAGCGTGTGCTCTGTAATGCACGTCAATCGAACTCAATCGTTGTACCAACTTCGCTAGCTTACTTTTGAGGTACATGTACCTTCTGTATACTAAGATACCTTGTAAATTGCGAATGGCCCAGAAATTCTTCTAGTTGACCTTCGTTTCCCAAATTCTTCTTCTATTCTTCAACTTCGGATCCAAGACAACTTCGTTCGTTCGATTGTGCCTAGTTGACCTACTTCGTTCTTTTTGGCACTCTGTGTAGTTGTATAGTAAGTATTCATCAGCTTAGTCCCTGTAAGATTTATTAATCCGTATCATCTAGGAATTCAAGTCTTAAACGCGACCTCGAGTCCTCTTTCGACCTTTTCCGAGTCTTCCGCGTCCACCTATGCAACATACTCGAACCAATTGATAAAGCACGATGATGTACTCGTCCACCCCAGCCATAGGAGCAGCATTGCTGTTTTCCTTGGCATCTGCTGTACCGAATGTTCGTCCTAGGGATACGACCGATGCAGCCCTTCAACCCTGGGTTACAGTCAATGATGATGGTAAACCAAGTACAGTCACGCCGGTTCTCAGCACCGTCAGCGGAACGCCTACCGTCATATCAGGCGCTCCCCACGATTTGACCGCTACCGTCTTTACTGAGACAAGTTACGGCAAAGTTTCTACTAGCACAGGTACTGCTCCGATGGCTACCGCTACTGGGGGCGAAGGAGCCGGCTCGTTCCAGGCCTGCCATAATAAGGATGGAGATGGTGCCCCTTGGTGTCAACCAACTGCTGGATCCCCATTGTATCCTGGTGTTACGTATTACTGTACGCGATGCCTTTTTGTCTGAAGCAATTATGTCTTGAAATATTTTATTAACTCGTTTATAGTTACTTGGGACCCATCCTACTTTACGGTACCGAATACGACCATTTTAGTCCAGGGCAACTACGTCAACGAAACCACTGGCGAAGTTACTGACCAGGCCTTTGAATCGCCTAAGTGGTCCGCGTCCTGGGGTTTCTGGAGCTACAAGATTGAAGAGAGCTTGATGAAGTACCAATCTGCTAAGAACATAACCTTGCAGCTTGCTACGTTAGCTACGGGCGGCAACGCCAGCCAAATCATCTCAGGGCCCACAGTCTTGATCACTCATTATCCAGGCTACCAACCCGACACCGGCAAAACTCCTGATAAGACTGCTTTGGCAATTGCTTTGCCGACTGTGCTTGGTTTCGTCGCGTTATGCCTAGTCGGAACTTGCCTCTGGAATAGAAGAGCTCGCAAGATTGGTCTCGGCAACATCATGTCTCGCGGTCGACACGGATATGGCGTTGGCAAGAGCGCTCGTTCTCGAATGGGTCTGGGCAAGCGAAACAAGGCGAACGAGCGTATTCAATTGATGGAGCGGGAGCTTGAAGCTGATGGTGGTGACGTCTACCGTGATATGCCGGACCGCCCGAGACGAGACAGCGATGCACTGGGTAGCCTGGCTGGAACTCCGACCGAAGAACGCCGTATGGACTTCCATGGCCCTGGTTCGCGAGACCAACGAGATAGGAATTTATTCCGTGATGAGTTGAGAAGACAGGATAACGAGAGGCTCTAGGGGACCCTCTTGAGACCTACGCCGAGCAAGCAACCCTATAGTAAGCTGGAGGTTGATTTTAATACGGCAGACAACATCAATCACCACTGAATGAGACATTTACATGTATGTGTAGATGATTACGAGCATATTATTATTATACATGGGCATAGGTTACGTTTCAATCACGACGTTGTTATCATGGGAGGGGATGAAGGGTCGTGATGACAGGCAACGAAGCGAGCAAAATAAAATTGAAATTTAATCGAATATTCATAAATGAGATTCTTTCTAGGCGCCAATGGAGGGATAAGCATTCAATGCTAGCTGCCCTCCAAGATGCGCGTACAAAACATTGCTCCCTTCTGCTATTTCCTCCTTTCGAATCAAATCCATCATGCCTGCTAAACTCTTACCTTCGTACACAGGATCCGTAATGAAAGCCTCCGTTTGAGCACCAAACCGAATCGCCTCCAGTGTCTGCTCATCGGCAATACCGTACACGCCAGCATGATACCTATCATCAAGTTCGATATCGGCCTCCGTAATATCACCCTCCTCCAACCCAATCTTCACCGCCGTACCCTTCGCAATGCGCAATACTTGATCAAAAGTCTGCTTCGGCGTCGCAGACGCGTCGATGCCGATTACCCGCCGTTTCTTTGACCCGAGTTTCTTCTGCGCGAGCTTGAATCCGGCGACCATACCCGCGAACGTAGAGCCTGTTACCGCACACACGATCACGGTATCGTAGAATACGCCAGATCGTCGCTCTTGCGCTTCGACTTCTAGCGCCCAGCGCGCGAAGCCGAGACCGCCTAGTGGGTGGTCGGAGGCCCCGGCTGGGATGTAGTACGGTTTGCGACCTGCGGCTTCGAGTGAGGATTGGAGATGTGCTAGGGTGGGTTTGTGCTCGATGCCGAAGGTGGTTAGGGGTTCGATGCGTGAGTCTGCACCCATTAGGCGCGAGAGTTGGATGTTGCCTACGGCGCTGTAGAGTTGGGCGTCTAGGGAGGATGAGGAGGTGTTGGGGGAGGGTGTGGTGGAGAGATCGACCCAGCGTTCTTGGATTAATGCGGATTGTAGACCTAAAGCGGCGGCAACGGCGGCGACTTGGCGTGTGTGGTTCGATTGTACGCCGCCGATTGAGACGAGGGTGTCGGCGCCTTGGGATAGGGCGTCTGCGGCTAGGTATCTGGTTTGGTGGTTAGAACCGAGCGCGCGTTCTTAAGAGTGGATAAAGGATACTCACTCTAGCTTTCGAGTTTTATTTCCGCCATACGCGAGTCCTGAGTTGCAATCTTCGCGTTTGGCGTAGACTTGGACTTTTCCACCGAGTGCTGCGGATATACGCGGTAGATGCTGGATTGGGGAAGGCCCGAAAAGGAAGGATTCCCTCGGGATACTAACGAAGGGTTCAGGGATGCGGAGGTCAAGATCGGCCATTTTCGGTAAGGTAGTGGTAGCTTGGCACTTAATTACGGCGGAGTCAAGCGAACAAAGTAGCAATGGAATGAGGAAAGCAGTTAATTTATAAATTATATTAATTCCCGAAATACCTAACCCATCCGTCGTACGCAGCCCTATATATAGATGAGCATCTCGGCCAAGATATATGACCGAAGTCGGATGGTGATGGTGGGTATAAGACGGAGCGGAGAGGAGTGAAGGTCTCTCCACTTCCAATGCAGCTTCAGATATTACTAGCCAACCAGCCTTGAAAAGTTATCCCTTTCTAGTAATAGTTCTCTGGGGGTTCTATTTTAAACTTATAGCGTAAACTTAGCTTTGCTGGAGCATTATCTTTAGATCATTTCCCTTAGTAATCTATCAAAAGGGGGTGAAGATATCTTAGGTACACGAGTACTTAGACCATCCGACGTATAGATATTGATATATTGTCTACGGCCGCAAACTCGGGGTGCTATATGTTATCTACTCTAGATGAAATTGCAAAAACACCGGCTATTTGTTGTGATTCGGATGGAATTTACCATAATCCAAGGCGTCCAGCTAACCCCTATTTTGTGTAACTTGAGGCCGCTTGTATGTGAAAGGAAAAGGACTGGGAATCACGTTTACTTCCTAAATCCAAGATAAAACAATCATGGGTTGATACGACGTATGCTTAGACCATCAATTTTATCTCGAATTTATCTGAACATTTACGTTCCTGTGCATTACGTGTCAGGTTGCTCTTCCACAATCACCGGCATGTGTGTGGACGAATAGTCGCAGAACCCAGTTACTATTAGTTCGTGAACTACTTCATCAATCCCATCACATCTGGCATTCAAGTACATGTAAAGCTGTATTAACGCCGCCTCATGTCTGTTTGCACAGGGCAACCGCAAGTTATCAGCAAGCGGGTCATGCGAAAAAAAGAATCGCAACTTGGGTCGGCCATGCTACATGGACAAAACAATTTCACATAACCTCCCATTCTTTTCTTCGCTTACCACTTCGAGGCCAATGATACCATCAATCAATTACCAATACCAAGCAGTTCTTTAGTGTTATCAAACACAATGAATTCGGCAGTACGTCAACAACAATCCCAATTTTTGCTCCCTTGGGCTAACTACATTAATAGAAACCACTTCCTATCATTGCCCAGCCCTCTGAGGCAGGGCTGGCCGCATATGAGTTAGTATAAACGGCTAGATTAATATTCATCTTAACTGACATTGAATTTATAGAATTATCCTGGTACACGGTTTGGCAACCCATTTCAAGAAAAGCTCGCAAGCGGCAGAGTGTCAACGCATCTTGGAGACTTGGGTTATCAAGGCAACGGAATCAATCCGTAACAAGGTTAATGTTCGCACTTTTACTTTTGATGGAGCGCATGTTCTACATCATGGACGATTCGCGCTGTCTCAGGCGACGATTGAGTTATCCCGAGCGATCGGCCTCATGAAGGAGGAGGCCTCGTCGCCGATGTTCATTTCGGATCCCGACAACGGCATCAACAATCCACCTCGTGTCACCATCTTCATCGCCCACGGCATCGCAGCATGGGTTGTCAAGGAACTCCTGTTTCTTTGGCGCGACCCGTATAATCGAGTCGACCCTAAGGCGCTTATTTTCCTCGACGTACCGGAGATCCGACAGCCTTCAACACCCATTGACTTGCTGTCGGAATCGGTCCTCGCCAGCTACCTGAAGGATTTCTCAAAGACGTTCCGAACGCCGCTTAAGCGATCTAAGATCGATGACTTGACCGAAAAGATGGGTGCCATCGATACCTGCTTTAAAGACCTAACAGGTAAACGCCCTAGTCCGTGTGAGGATATCGCGGAGGTCGCGGGGGTCGTGGGGACCACAGAGGGAGAGAAGGAAAACTCCGGGTATGTCGTGAAGCTGTGGTGTAGTGGAATTTGGATGTATCCTCAACTTTTTCGCAAGTTTGAAACAGTGGGTTCAAGAATACCCTCATTCTTATTGTCTTTCTGTCTAACACAAAATACAGTCGAAGCTCAAGCAACTCATACGAGGAATACGCGCGTTCCTTCGCATCGGGGGCAAGTCAGAGGAACAGAAGCTGCTAGAGAAAATTGGCTGGGTTGGCCTGGAGAAGAAACTCAAGGAAGCAATTGGAGCTAACGAGGATGTTGATGATGAGGATGAGGATGATGATGATGCTGATAATCTATCGGATCACCGCTGCAGCGCCCAACAATCCCGTTTGAACAAGGGAAAAGGTAAGTTAGAGAGTCCACCCAATCGTGTTATACTGGCTAAATACCCCGCGGCAGAGAAGGTTACTACGCGACCTGGGATGCTAAGGGCAAGGCGATCGCCTTCCTCCACGTCATCACCACCCTCGTTACCTCCCATTTTAGAAAACACCCAGTACGAGCATCTTACAGAGGCAGGCCCGTCCAAGGTTCAGGGCAGCAAGAAGACGGATATCGAAGACGAGGACGAGAAGAAGTTCTATGATCCCGACGATGCGATTGCCCAGCGTGACAAGGCAGCGGCTGCAGACGATGATTTAGGAATGGCGAGCGCAATATGCCGACTTCAACTGGTCAAGTACCACCTACAACGAGAGCTCGGCCCGAAGCACCCCAAGACCTTAATCATACGACGTGAACTCCTGTTGACCAGCCTTGTCGACGGGACGTGGTGTGGCAAGCCTATCACAAAGGGCCAGGATGAAGAGGCACAGGAGATGGAGAACGAGGCGCGTGAGATATTCAAGGGTCTTGAAGAGGTTTCTGGACCTCTACATCGTGACACTCTGGAGGCGCTCCTCATCTTACTGAGCGTACGAGTTACGTTGATCGAGAACGAGAGCCTGCCCAAGCTGGCCGGCCAGACTACCATGAATCTACTACAGGAGAAGCTTGCTGACCCGACCGTAACAACACCCGAGACGCTACCGCATACCCTGCGTCTCAAGTACAAGGCTGCAGCTACCTTCGCTCAGATCGATGTACGTGGCGATTTAGAGCTGCAGGAATTGTTGGCAGAGATCGATATGCTTCTAGCTAATGCGGAGAAGGATTACCACGAGTTAGCCAAGCTGAGACAGGATGTGCTAACGAAGATGGATGAGTTGCACGATTGGCGAGAGATGGAGCATGAGAAAGAGGCGGAGAAGGCGAAGTAAAAACAAGAGTACATAGGCTTAATAGCAAAGTAGTGCAGTGGTCGCGGACGAAATGAATCATTGTATCGTATAGGTAACTCACTAAGAGTACGGGGAATGACGCGCTATATGTTAAGGACTTTTAGCGGATAGCTCCCTGTAATTACAGTGGTTGCTGTGGTGTTGAATTACCTAAATGATGAAAACCCCGCCAGAACCTATGAAATTTACCTCCCAATTTACTTTCGTCTACGTACCAAAGTACCACCTAAGCATGAGAATATACTCCTGAAATACGAAGCGGTGCTCCATAGAATCGATCGACACCCAGATGGTGTTTTAGGAGATTCCAGGCGCGGTACTAAGTGATGGGTTGACTCCGATGATCCCGGGTCCGTTTTGGGCTTGTTGTTGAGTGGTTGCGTTCCTGGTTGCTCTCCAGGATTCACCAACGTGCGTTCTTCTTGACTGGCCATGATAACGGTCTGTGACCAATTTCCGTCCTCGCGTACAACTTCCATGAGATTACTTCCGTCCACGAAATAGGCCGCCATTGAGCCATTCTCTAACCGCAGAGCCGAGATGGGACCCGTTAGTGTACCGTTTCCAACTCGTGTATCCCACCCTAACCAGCCCCCACTATATCGGTTTTCGATGATACCATCAGCCGGGCTAGAGTAATAAATGAACATCTCTAGGTCTACCTGCTTAAAGGCAACTGCGGTGATAGAAGATCCAGGGGTGGCTGTTCTGGAATAACCGCCTCTGTAAGGATCGGGATTCTCTCTTCCCTCGTCTTCGACCTTATCCCAACATAATTCACCAAACTCGGCCTCCTCAAATTTACAATAAAGCCTCAATCCGCGATGCCCAAGATGTTCGAAGTTTATTGCTGCTAGTGGCGAACCAATGGCCGCTTCATCTCGGAGAATTGAGCCACGTCGCCATTCGGACCTGGGGGCCCACCCATGGAGAATACGGATAGAGTTATCGATATCTTGGTAACAAAGAATTATGTTGCCATCGCCCCAGGACGTGACGGCAAGTTCACTTGTTGGCGCTGCTTGAATTCTATGTCTACTTAGTGCACCATCGGTCCATCCCAGAACGGGGTTCCATGATCGTTCCTGGATGAGATCATTGTTGTCAAGGAAATAAACGCGAACCTACGGAAGAACTGTGAGTCTTCTGGTTGCATAATACGAATAGAAATAAGCGAATGAAATTTAAAACTCACCACTGGTTGTCTATGACCTCCTATCTGCTGCCAAGCAGTCGCTGCAATAGGCGTACGCAGCTTCCCTTTGGCGATCTTGTCCTCGGGTCTTCCCCCCTCCCAAGACGAGCCATATTGTTTCCGGGCAGCTTCTCGAATACCTCCATCAGTTCCTTATTCAATTATGGCTATTAGTAACCCCTTTATATCTTTACTGCGAATCAAGAAGGGAGAGGTGGTTCCAGTTTCATGTGCAGCACTCACCTTGAATATACAACCGCTATTTTTCCACAAGTCAGCCCATTAGTAAGTTACTATAGACAAATATCATGTAAAGGGACATTCTGCTTACCCGTTCGCCAGACCAGCCAACGGCTGCAATACGGGTATCTTTTTCGATCGGACTATCATCAAAGATTTCTTCAAGTTGACGAGAATCATTACGTTCTCGCAAGGCTACGGTATTTCTCCTGCAGCAGTCACCAAAGAAAGATAACCCCGCGTTAGAATCACTCTTTTCCTGTAAGATTTTCCGTAATCTGCTTGCCCCGGGTCTTGCCTTGGGTTCATGCTGGAGCATGTCATGAATCCACTCAAAAGGCTCATTTGTGATATCATTGTTTTCCTCCTCGAGGATCCGTATCCACAAGAGAACGTCCGATAGCCTTTCGCCGTATGAAGAGCCCCTGGAACCGCGGTCGCCGAGAAACGTCGATATTTCCTTCACGTGTCGCCCCTTAAGGACAGTCATCATCTCCAGGAAGACACACCCAAGTGACCAGATATCTGCTGTAGAGTTTCTCGACTGCCCTTCCCTGGTGACTTCAGGGGCACAGTATAAGGGGGTTCGGGCAGCAGGAGCCCATGTTGTCGTCCGCATTGTTTCCTTCCAGTCCAAAGATATACCAAAATCGGCTAAAAAGACTTGTCCGCGATGTACGAGGATATTCTGGGGCTTGATGTCATTATGTCGTACGTATACCTCGTGATGCAGATATGACAGAGCGTCTACTAGGCATCCGAAGTATCGAAGTAGTAGCGACTCTTTTTGGGGGTCGATAGTGCTTTCATCGAGATACATCGCCAAGTTATAGTCGGCAGCCGGATCCATCAAGATCCCGATGAACTGGGGTGACGTGAAACTGCCGACTAGCCGCACGATATTCTTGTGTGACGCACGCTTGAGCATGGCTAGCTCTTCACCAGCCTTCCTCTTGCTGCGCTCTATAGTTTTAAGCGCGTAGATCTGATCTGAGTTCCCTAACCCAACTTTATACACAACGCCCGAGTCTCCTTGTCCTAAAACTCCAATTTCCTTAAGGCTCCCTCTCCATTGGTCTTGTCGGAGGTTGTAATGCGTATCGAGCTTTTGAAAGGTAGGCGTGTCGATCAAAACCTTTTGTTGCTCTTTTTCAAATCGGGCCAATGCTCCAGGGCTATCTAGGACGTCTATGAGTTCCTCCTTTTTGAAGGGGAGCCTATGGTCCGTCGTCTTCTTCTCCGAAAATCTCTTCAGAACCTTATATACATCGTCGGTTGATTGCATACTATTATGCAGTACTATGCAGATCTTCGTGTATTGCTCCAACCCAGGTTCGACATCTTTGAGCTGGTCCGCTACTTGTTGTATATCGTCATCACAGTATTGGCGTGGCGGCTGGATTATCCTGGCGATGTTCTTTACTGTCATGCTGCTAGGGTCTGTTAATGATTTATCCTGCACTAGAATTGAGCCCGGGGCATCGTTACCCAGCAGGCTAGCCCTATGGTCATGGCCTTTTGACTTCGCGTATTCCTGCGGCGTCCTTCCTTTGGCATCTCTCGCATTGATATCGGCTGCTCGTCCCAATAGTAGTTCAATTACTCTTATGTGGTTAGAGAACGATTGGCGCCGCCCCTTTGCCGCAAAGTGAAGTGCTGTCTGTCGATTGTGGTCTTGCGTTACAACTTGAGCTTTGGACATCAGCAGCTTCGAAACTATGTCCGCATTTCCATGACCAGATGCGTAGAAAAGCGGTGTTCGCCCTTCATCATCCCGCACATTTACGTCGGCGCGCTTTTTTAGCAAAATTTCAACCGTAGTTTTATGACCATACCCAGCTGCACAGTGAAGAGCTGTTTGGTTACTGTAATCCCGTAGATCGACAGGAGCCCCTTGGGATAATAAATACTCCACAACCTTGTCTGATCCATGTGCCGATGCCTGGTGAAGGACTCCCACAGTCCTAGGGTCCCCCCTCTTAGAAGAGACTAGTTCTCTCACTTCGTCTATATTCTCTGGGCTTTTGCATGCCTCGACCAACCTTTGATCATCGGTGACGTCTTCACCTTCTAACATGAGGCTACAACATGTAGGTGTAGAGTTGCTTGGCGATGGAACGGACTTGATCCTCTGATAAACTGATTCGATGCTGGGTCGTTCATCTCTATCTGGGCTTAGCATATCCTGGCAAGTACAAATTATCATATTTTGCCAAGCTTCTTCCGGCGTCATTCGCTGCTGTAAGGCAGTCATCCAGAGGTGAACATCATTCAACCTTTTCGCGTAGGACGAGTCGTTCGGGGATAGATGGATCACAGAGCTGAGGCTCTGTCGCTCAGTCGGATAAGAATAAGCCACGAGCATCTCTAGGAATACTGCGCCCAGCGAGAATATATCAGCTGATCGGCCCCGGGTGCTTCCATCTTCGACTTCAGGGGCAGCATACTGAGGTGTCCGGGACCGCGGATCGTTGGGTTGCGTTGTTGGGAGGGTTTTAACAAGCCCTAATTTCGATATTCCGAAATCCGCAAGCAGAACTTTCCCATCCTTTACCAATATGTTGGGCGGTTTGATATCGCGGTGTGTGATCCCAAGACCATGGACGTAGGCCACAGCATTAGACAAGCACTGGAACCAACCGCAAATCTTCGAGTTTTTTTCCGAGCTCATTTGACATTTGAGGTAGGCCCGAATGTCGCCCTCTGCGCGATCCATCACGATGCCCATGAAGGACCTCGATTCATCTTGGGACTCTAAGTAGAAGGCTGTCTCAAATCTAATTATATGACGATGCTTGGCATAGTTCAAGCATCGGGCTTCTCTTAGAATTAATCGTTTCATGTGATCGTTGAATGACTGCTCATCAGGTGCTCTAATTCTTTTAATTACGAGCCGAGGATTGGGGCCAGTAGTGAACTGAGGCTCGCGTTTGCGCTTGACAGGCATCACAGTAGTATCTGACCAATCAAGTTGTAGATCAGTTTCATAAGGAAGGCCGTCAAGGCCCTCATATTCTTGATATTTGATATCGTGAAATTCCTCTACCAGAGATGACACCATGTTGAAAGTTCCGTGATAATAATGGCCAATCGAAGTAATTAAATAGATTATTCAGGTGATTAGTTGGATGATGAGTTGGCAAGGTAGAAAAATTCGGCTTTAGGGTGGGTAGGTCTTTATACTCCGAAAGATCTGACCGTATGCAAAGAAACAAGTTAATGCGGCAGCCTCGTCCAAAATGTCAATGTCCAGGAGACGGTAGAGAAAGAACTTCATGGCTGCGATATGGTAATACCCGAAATGAAACCCTCTGCACATAATACCGCCGCATATCATCCTTATGTAGGCTATTGAATGATGATTATGACTGCGCTATTTGCAAAATATGCAGACACGGCGGTCAGAGAGCAGAAGAACGATCCTTCCGATCCAGCCGGTGGGGGAGATGCTACCCCTAACCGCATGCACTCACCCGGTGCCCTCGCGTATGAGACACGGAATCGACTTGCATATACATACCTAGGTATTTTGCACTTCTTCTGCGCTTACCCGTAACCGGCCGGTTCTGGCCGGCGTACGGCGCCACTGCTACATCACACACCCTTCTTTTAATGCAGGCTCCGTCCCTTCCCCGCTCTCGTCGAGCTCCCAAGTTCAATTTACCACCCCGTTGACCATCATTCTATTGACGCTGTATGGCCCGACAGCCAATGTCTTTGGATAAAAATCCACAGCGTGATGTGCTATACTAGATGAGCTTACCTAGGTAAATTCCGTTTGGGCTTCGTCCGGTTCGGAGCCTGGAACTCAGGGTGGTCGGACACATGCGCCACTGACGAATTTATTGCACCTTCGCAGAAATCACTAGTCCTATGAATGGGCGGATATTGTGATTGTCATATTTCTGATGCAGGATATCAGTTCTTCTGTACAATGCAGTGTCACCAAAACTCGACAATGTACCTAGATACCCCGGTAGTTACCGCGTATCCGGTACTTTACCCTTTCCCCGGAATGGATGGTGACACGAAAGCTTTAGGCTCAGATAGGTTTCGTATAACCTAAGTACGTGGGTAGCCCATCATTGTAGGTGTTCGGTCGCTAGGTAGCTACCAGACATGCATTCAGAACCTTTACTTAGAGCATGTGCCTCCTTGATCGCTTCAAAGTGCACATATTCTTGCTATCCCAACGTCCTAAAATAATTGGACAATAACACCGAGATATAGACACGAGAATTTCAGCATGGACATTTTCAACACTACTGTCTCAACAGGCGCTATGGTCATTCAGTTCCTAAGCGCTTGTAGCGAATTTTCATCGGATGCGAAGTCTCTTAAGGCTCGCTTTGAATGGGACCTTAGAGCCTTGAAAGAGGCGCAGCAGTATTTTTCGGAAGGGAATTTTGGTAGCGAAAAGCAATGTTTGCAGCCCGAGGACGAGGCCCTTTTAAGACGCACATCGGAGTATTTGAATAAACTTGTGGATAAAGTCTACAAAGGTCTCCATAGGATTGAAAGGCAGAATTGGTTACAAAATACCATTAATATGACCACCTGGATAGCGAGGCGATCGCAGATACAGGAAATGGCGAGAGAAGTGCACGAGTGGACGGAGAGGTTGAATCTGCGAGTTCTTGGTTTGCCTAAAGAAGTCAGAACCCCTATCCCCACCGCATATTGCAAGAGAAGGGATTTTATACAGTCAACAGTCATCAGCAGTGGTGATAGACTGCAAGAATTTCTAGCTCTTTCGTCGAGAGCCAAATTATCGCGGGCAAACGCGATGCTGCTGAGGAATCCGGAGGAGCTTGTCACACAAATTCAAGCGATTGGGGATGTCTCTTACCTTCCACCCCAAAGTGGAAATCAACAGATAATCTTCTGCTGTCGGAAATTTTCAGCGAAGAGCACATCCGAATTTGACACGTTTATGTCTGAGATGGGAGAACTTGCTGCGGCATTGAGCTGCCTCGACCCTGCCATGGACGTTCGAATCCTCAAAGTCAACTATTACTTATATCACCCGGGCTCGAGTCAGTTCCTTTTTGCCCAATTTCCGCCGTACCATGTCGATTGCATCATGACGCTTGAAGAGTTTATCAAACACGACCCGTTTCCTAGCACAGAAACAACCTTAAACGACCGTTTCAAAGTCGCATACAAGCTGGCTGAGGCAGTCTTTTTCCTACACACGGCGGGATTTTGCCACAAAAATATTACATCCCATAGTGTCGTTATTCTTCGACAATTTGAATCCAAAAGTGGTGCGAAATGCCCTCCTGCGACGATTGACGAGGCGTATTTGATGGGGTTTGATCTTATACGTGGGGTCGATGCGAAAACCTATAAAGACGGTACGCACAACTTATACAAGAGCGGATTACCAGAGAATGTATGGAACTTCGATATTTTTCAGCACCCAGCTCGACTTCAGGGGTATAATAGTCCGCGGTATACCAAGGCACATGACGTCTACAGCCTTGGCGTTGTATTGCTGGAACTCGGTTTTTGGCAGCCACTCTCCTCGGTCGTTAATCGAATAGATCGAACCAATCCATATAGTTGGACCCAGGAGCTCCTCAGGATTGCCCCCAATACTCGCCGAGTAATGGGAGGAAGATACCACCGGATTATTGAATGGTGCTTAGGCTTGCCGGGGGATTGCAACATTGAAAATGTCGATTTAATGCAGGAAGTGTTAGACCCACTCGAGGAAATAATGAATATTTTATCATAACGAGAGGAGAAGGCATTTCCCCCCGAGAAAGGAGCCTAGATAGGCGGATTTATGGCGTACGGTGAGCTCTATTTGGTTACCCCGCATAGGGAGGTAAAGCACCTATAATACCCTGTATATCTAGGTGCTTTTATCTAGCATACCTAATTTTGTCGCTCTGGTTCAACTATTCCGGATACTAGCATTCTTTATGTTGAGAGATTAAGATTGCCGTATTTAATGTTATGTCGTATCTTCATTATGAATGCTATTGTAGTCGATTCCAATCAAGGAAGGCCGCTATCCAGCAACCATTCATTTATCCAACGGTCAGAATCCCACGATGCCATTACCGAATGACCGTGTGCAGATGGGTCGAAATTGATCTTACCGAACTAGCGGAGCTTGTCCTTGCTAATATCCCGGGTACTCCACGCGTGATAATCTAGAAAGCGACGGAACTGCTTGTGTTTTATTTGGGGATCTCCTGGGTCGAATATTCGGGATGTTATGTGGTAATGATTAAGGTCCGCGATACACCCGTGGTTCTCGCGAGGCCGCCAAAGATTCGAAAGGTGGATATATTCTTGGTCTGAGCAGCTCTTCACGGCGGTGTCTAAGACAAAATCCCACGGTTTGCTAATTAAGTATATGTTCTGCACACCAAATGCTCGGTGTTACGAAACCGAACAGCGGGGGATACGTAGAAATTTTGGCTAGTAGCACCTGGGCGATCATCCAACGGAAACCACAGGCGCTATAACATGCTATAATCATAGAAGTTTCGAAGTGCTATAGGTGCTCTTAATCTGCTGGCGCTCTACATCGTCGGCCGCTGGGTGGCACATCTTGATAGCTCGAAGTCGGCTTGTCGACCTCCCTCTTCCGTTTGCGATAGCATAGAGATTTACAGAGTAAGCATCCATATTATATCCTAGGGGTATTCGAAAGGAAGACGACAAAATAGAATTTCAGATATGTATTATAGGGGCAAGCTACAACCTTCATTGCTTAGGTATCGGGTACCTTGGTAAGTCGTAGTTCATTCCCGATTAGGCAATGTTTCTCCATTTCAGCCAATAGGATGACGCACCTCCGGAGCCATATAGGTACCTAAACTAGAACGCATGGCATGCCGTCCTGGGTGGCTCCTTCTGAAGAGATAGGAATAGCCGGTGTCCATCACATAGTAGCATTTAGAAATAAAAATCTGTTTACGGTATCATAGTTCAGTAACTCATAAGGATTTTGAGTAAATTCGTGTGTAGTTCTTCACGAGTAATGTATATGTCGCTGATTAATGACCTGGGCTCTGTCTCTGCTTTAGCGGTGGTTTTCACCGGAACGTAGGTCCTTTTCTCCCCTATAAGAGCAATGCGACAAGCCTAATTTTTAGCTGCTTCAGCTGCACCCTGGGGGTCGTAGGCCTCAACTTCAATCTCGAAGTGCATAATAGGCAGGCCAAGCTCCTTAACGCCAATTTCGGTCCATACAGGCTGATGATCTGGCATCCACTTCCGAAAATTCTCAACTATGCGTTGGTGTGTCGCCTTGATGTCGGTGCTATACGTTACAACACGGTAAACTTGGGTCCAACCTTTGCCACCAGCGTGCTTGAGATTCTCCTGCACATTCTCAAATGCTTGGTCGATCTCCTCATCCAATTTCGGACTAAATTCTAGAGTTTGGCGATCCCATCCACCTAAAATCATTTTGTTAACCCCACCGAGACAGAAATCCAAAGTAAGAGGGATACACACCTTGACCGGCGCATACAATGCGATTCTCAACGCGAATGGCTTGAGAGTAGGACATTTCCTTGCGAGCCCATTCTCCAGCCCCAGGGTAAGAGTAAGTCTTGCAATCTGACATCGTTAATTATTGAAATATTTAAGCTGGTGGATACTGTGGAAATAGCTAAAGTTCGATGTTGCGCAATAGGAAAGTTATAGATATCCCATGAAGTTTTAGGGGGTTTGGGGGTTATATAAATTTCCCGGGTTGCTGAAATCTAGATATCGGGAAACCACCGTTAGCTGTGCTATTAACCGGCTATTATTCAGCACGAAGCTGTTCGGAGAGATTCATAGCAATGCCAAGGATTGCGCCGTAACTTGGCAATGGTAGGTCTTGAGGGACATTGATCATTGGCCGGCCCTTAATTTAGACGTCGTTTGGGCCTTCCAGTGCTTGGTTTGGTGTATATAGAGCCGCTAAATACCTAGGTAGGATAACGGCGCCGATTCCGTTGGTGTAATAGGTGCCGGCCTCGGGAACTGGCTCTCTAGGCATATTGTGCACTTATAAGGCAACGGGTAATAGCGTGAATATATGCTAAGAATATAGAGAGCCGAGCGCTGAGCTTCAACGCTTAGTAGTAACGTATAAGGCATGCCTTCTTGTAGGTACCTAATGTATACCCAAGTAGCAACAACGAAGAATACTGACTTCCATTACAACTAAGCGCAATGCATCTATCCTTAATACCCTTCTCGTGGTAATTTTAGTGACCCAATATGATGCAAAAATTACCGCGTACGTATTGTATTGCAAAACCAAAGTTGGATTCATTGATGTTTCAGCGAGTTATCTTTCTTGGTAAAATCAATCTGTCAAGTGTGGGCGGGGCTTCGATAGCTCGATGCTGGGCCAGTGAGTGGGGTATTGAGATTGTAGCCTACTAATTCTGGTGTCGTGGGATGCTGTTTGGATCCTGCTATCTCGCATTATGGCGCTAATATGAATGGCACATTGGGTGTCGCTCCTATAACATGGGCTATAGGCCACTGCTAGGTAGATAATATAGTGCTTCAATGAGTATTGTGGCGGTACTAGCGCGGTTTACTCCAATTAGGTACGAGAAGTGCTCTATATTGCTATTATAGGGCATCAAGACCTACTACCGAACGGTGTATTTGTTAATGCCAGCGACGCGCCGCCATCAACTACTAGCGTATGCCCATTCACGTAGCTTGAGGCTGGAGAAGCGAGGAACGCTACGGCATCCGCAACCTCTTCAGGCGAAACCATTCTACCCATGGGTAGATCACCAAGCATGGCCTTTTTCACCTCAGGTGCCGCGTCGAGGAATTTATCCATCATCGGTCCTGAAACGTACGATGGCGCAACGGCGTTGACCCGAATACCCCGCGCGGCGTTTTCGATAGCAGCAGTCTGCACCATCCCTTTAACAGCGTGCTTCGCTGTAATATAATTACCCATTCCAACAAAAGCGCCTTCCGACCCAAGCGACGTAAGCATCACAATCGCTCCCCTAATCGGGGTCCGGCCAGCGATTGTTGGCGCGACAGTGTCCTGTTTATCCATGACACGCAGTGCAGCGCGAGTCAACAAGAAACATCCGATGTTGTGTATGTCATCAAGCCTGCGCCATTCCGAAAGGGACATGTCGCGAATTGTTGTCTGGTCTGCGGCACCGACCTACATTGGATTTTAGCTAAGAGATCTAGCATCGCGAAGAATGAGAAGACGAAAACAACTTACACCCGCGGCATTGATAAGTACGTCAATACGGCCATAAGTTTTGGCAGCTTCATTCACCAAGCCATCAACAGCTGCTTCGTCGCGGACATCGAGTGAATGTGCCGTCACGTTGAAATCCCCCGAATTGATGAGGCGCCTGTTTTCTCGGCACAAGGCCGCCGTCTCCTCTGCAGCATGGAGATCCAGGTCGGCGCACACCAATATATTAGCGCCCAAAGAAACCAACCTTAGGGCGACTGCTCTGCCGATCGCACCGCCTGCTTATTATAAGTACTAGATTTTCTTGCACAACAGCATATTGTGCAAATACGCTGATCGAAGGAAAATGGGGTACCTACCGGCTCCCGTCACAATAACGACACCTCGAATATCCATTCTTATTGATATTTTCTGTGTAAATGGTGGATCGCCTCAACTACGGCGACATTTGTTTTAAGATATATGGATTGGGTTATCGAATGGGGAATCTGGGGGATTTTTATGCAAGAATTCGGCACGGTCGGTAAGAACCAATTTCTCCATGAAGAACGCGTTCCGCTTTTATTCAAGACGGTATTTGTTGTTCATACGAGCCATCCTTGATGACAATCGTCCCCTCTATTTCCCGATTGTATATCAATTGTGAGGTCGACATTTGGGTCGATTCGCACCCATAGGGCGTGGTTCGGTAATGCTATGTGTACCCTGCTCAGCGCCCGTAAATACGGAAGATACGCGCTGAAGCTCACTATCACACCAGCATTTCTAGGTACGTAGCGCCCATAGCTCCAGTGGTCAATAAGAAAGTTAGGGCACATGTATGCTCCCAGCTACTCTATTGTAACAGGGTTCAACGCATATTAGGTAATCGTTCATCGCTAACTTTCAGCGCACTACAGTGAACTACCCCCCGCCACGAGTATTCTACCCAGGAGATATATTCATATAAGTATTCGACACCAACGACCATAATACTTAAAAGCCTGTTGTGAGTCCCATGGGATCTTTGGAGGCATACTTAATCCCGGCTCAAGATATAGTTGCATATATTAATGGGGGGAAAATTGATAGCAAATTGATAGCAGTATGACACCAATGCGGCCAAAATAGTAGCTGGGCGGCCCCCAAGCGTATGGCCTAATGGGTGTATATGATAAGCTGAAAGTTTCTGCGTTAGGTACAAAATGTGATAGTCTTACCGCACTAAGGGCCATGATTACAGGAGTATTTATATCGCTCCGTCGCTCTTCGGAGGTAGTAGACCCCTCACGACAGCCGCTAGGATTCAGGGCGCTACTTATAGCTTCAGGAATTCACTGAAGTTTAAGAAGGTGGAGGAAGTTTTAATTCATTCTAGGTAGTCGTAACGTCTTGGCTATCGACTTAGGTGGGTGGTACACTATTTTATAAATTTATATATTTTATAAGATGAACGCTTCGTCATTAAAAAAGCACACAGCGAAGAAGCCGACGGCCTATCTCTAGGTACCTAAGTAAAAACACCACGGAGGTCCATTAATCGCGGTTTCACGGCAGAATTATATTCTATTTCTCAACACCACCCAATCCACCATCTCTCCGTATAATTACGCTTGGTTTCTTGTCATCTCCGTATAAGTCTAAACTCCATCCCAATATGAAGTTTATCAAATTTGATTTTCTTTCGGTACCAAGAAATGTGCCTTGTTGAGAGATAGGTAAAACTACTGTTGGCGGCATAATCCCAGTATGGTTAACCCCTATTTCGACCCGAACTACAATCCTTATCCTCCGCATGTTCTGCTCGGAACCGGGGTACTGTTCATTATTATTCCCATTCTTTCCGTCGGACTAAGATTCTACACGCGATGGGCGAGTGGGACAAAAGTGGGTGTCGACGACTGGATCACGATTCCATCGATGATTATCTGCATTTTATTGTCGATAACTCAAATAATCGGTACGCTGACGACTCAACAAGCCTTGCTTTACGCAAATCTAACTAACCATTGCTACGTAGCAACCACGACCGGGGGACTTGGAGGTCACCAAGAACTCATTGACGGCCAAATTGGCCACACGGATCAGCTAACCGCATACGAAAAGACAAAGTACATCTACGAGCTTCTCGGGACAAGTGGTCTATGGATTGTCAAACTATCAGCACTTCTCTTCTATCGCAGAATATTCTCGGTGGGAGTCTATCGTACCGTAAACAACGTTTTCATCGGTTTGACAATCGCCTGGGGCATCGCGTTCACCTTCGCCGTAGCTTTCCAGTGCACGCCGGTGTCAACACTATGGGACCGCCTCGAGCCAGAATTTGGTACGGCGTGCATTGGCGGGCCTTCGTTCTACCTTTCTCTAGCTATTTCGGATTTAATATTGGATATATCTATCTTCATTGTACCTATTCCACACATACAGCAGTTGCGAATGCCCCGGAGACAGAAAGTCGCAGTGATTGGCGTCTTTTTACTCGGATCTGTGTCAGTAAATCCCTCTTACCCCTGACCGAAACTGACCATAATAGTGTAATCGCGATAGGCATCACGCGCGCCATTATTTTCGGATGGGTCGTAGCATTCGCCACAGTCCACCCACTGGCCTACTTCTCCGACATAACTTGGTACACAACAGGAGTATTATTCTGGCACCTAGTGGAAAACGTAGTTGGTTTGCTTGGATGCTGCCTGCCAACTTATGCGCCGCTATTCAAAAGCTTATTGCAGAAGCGAAAAATGACGGATGATTCTACAGAGTCGTCACATAGAGGCCCCGACAAACGAAGACGTCCATCACTACACCTCGAAGATGAGGCAGCACCGGCATTGGGGGATAATTTGAGCCATTCGTCCAGCTACCGAATCAGCAACTACAAATAACCATCAATAGGCCGTTACACGGAGACGGCTCGGTCGCTTAGGGATCATTAATAAATGCCGGAAAGATATAATAAGTTTTTATTCATAATTAGTAGCCATGAACAATTCATTACATGGCAAGGTGGAATGAATATATCCCTTGTAAGTGAAAAGGGGTAAATACCAACTGGTGAATTGAATAGGGGGTAGCACTACATATATCTCGTATCACGGGGATAAACGCCAAGGCAAAAGAAAATACAGTGAAATAATCATCTTCAAAGTGAGCCAGTAATAATTAGACCAACTTTAACAAAAGTAGGTCAGTTTATGAATTTATAGCACGTCAATCGAAGGTTTAGGAAGTCACTAAGCCTATGAATTAAAAACCAAGGCATCGTTATAGAAATCAAGGTTGCCTATGTACCTACTCAAGTCTTATATGCGCAGCCATAGACCCCATATACCAGCTAGAAACTCCGTTGCACCTTCGTCCGCAATCCAGCCATATAAACAACCATCCAAGCTTCAGATATAATCCTGTTCTATCTTTCTGCTATCACTATCTTGCTAGTGCTTCGTATGTGTGGAGATGGTTTAACGGATGTGTTCGGGACGGGAGAATAATAGAGACGATTCGGCGCGGCAAGTTACCTGCTTTTTTATCAGTCCCAAGGGCCTCCTATGATACGTAGAAGAATGTTTGGACTAACCTAGAGCATTCCATTCGTATTCCTTAAACAGGATGATTCCGCGACAGGAAGTTGATAGTTTCAAAGCAAGTCTTTAGTACCCTATTTCTTTGCAAAAGTCCGGATCGCTGGAGAGTACATATGGTCCAGCGTCGTAAGTACCCGCTTTCTCGACCGTTCCCTTAATTTGAATATCCTCCATGGTTGGCATGGCATTCGGAAATGTGGCTTCGATTCGAGCACGATCCCACCACCTACTATCAGTATCTGCTAATGTAGGAAACTGTATCAGAGGAGACTCTGTCGTCGACTCGTAAACGAAGTGGAAGAACCAACTGTCGATTGGACCACTGTCTCCTGGCGTGAACCTTTGCATTAAGTGGTCGATACCAAGAGTTCGAATGGTGATATCGTGTTCAGTAGGCCTTAGCCATGTACAGCCCGCCCAAATATTAACGCTGTAGTGTATTTTACGGAACGGACGGGGATCATACTGTTCGTCCTCCTCGAACATCTCCTTCATTGAGTTAATTAAAGTATCCCAATCATTGATTTCATGGAGATGACGCAATCCGTATTTGATGAACCAGCCTCCTAACTCATTTACGAAGTCGTCGTAGTTCTCCGCCTCCCACCCTTGGGGAGTAGGAGATAGTTCACCAGCAAGGTATACTATACAATGTTAGTGAAGGGCTTAGTAGGGATTATGGGGTCCAGAACTTACTCTCGTTGTACCGGAGATGAAAGAATTCGTCAATACCCGCGACAATCTGGTTTTCCCAAGGGGCAAAGTAGTGCCAGAACATATCGAACGGCATATCATTCACTCCTTCCGGACCAGGTTCGCCAATGAAGAAGGGGAACAGCTCTCTAGCAATTTCTCTGATATAAAACGCCTGCTGAATCCTCGTAATCTCGGATATCGAGGGAGGCGCCATAGGGGGTTGCCCTTCGTGGCGCTCGACTTTTGAAAGCGACAAGTTCATAAACTTGAGAGTCCACTCTTCGACAATAGCGTGAAAGCTAAGGATCTCTGGAATCATCTCTGAAACTAGTTTGAGGGTAGCTTCCTTTCTTTCAATCGGTAGGCGCCAATTGTTGCGGTCAAGGTATCGACGCCCGAACGTGTGAATGTTGTTATAAAGTTCTGGCAGGCTTGGTAGGGGCCACTGTGCCTTCCAATCGGTGTGGTTGGCAGCGTAAAGGGCTACGGCAAATGGTCGAACTCCCTTTGGGAGTGAATTGATTACATTTTGGAGGATCGTGAAGTTGATGTATTTTTCGTGGGTGCGACACACTTCACGCAAGCGCTTATTGGTAATAGAGAGTCGCCGCACCGAGTCGATATCAAGTTCTCCCATGATTCTCACCTGCAGCTCAGAAGGCATGCCGGAGAGCGTCGCTTCATTTGGGGAACCCATCGTGTCCAGGGGAGGGAGAGAGGGCGCAAGTGAACGATTGTGATTATTGTGACAGGGAAAAGAAAATGAGAAAAAGGAATCGAGGGAGTGTGTTCAAGGATCGATCTTGGACGTCCACAGGTTGTAACGGTGTGCAAAAAGATGTCGAATCACTATAGAATACTGGTAATATCCGTGAATTCTTTGAGGAAAAGAGAGAGGGAGAGAGAAAGCGGCCTCCTTGTTTTTAAAAGGTAAGCTGAAAAAAAAGGTGTATTTGGTAGCTCGGACCACTAACACGGCGCGTTAAATCGCGACTTCCTAGGAAGGAGCTATATATCTAAAGAACAGAAAGATTGAAGAGTGCTATAGTGGTAAATACGCTAGTAGGAGAACCGCCATACACAAGTTCTAAGCGCCGCACCTACCACATGCCATGGTAGGTAAGAGCAAGAACGACTGTGTACGTACCTAGGTAGGCAACAATACACTGTGGGAGTTGCGAGTCCTGTAGGTACGTATGGGTCCCTACTAGCGTTCATTAAAAGGTGTTGAGAATTCTAGCTAATCGTAAAAGCTACTGTATGTACCTATCTATACACCCAGATACATATGTACCCAATAGACCCCCTAGGTCTCTACCTACATTTGAACCTAGGTAGATAGCTATTTCCAATGATATGCCCCATAAGGTAACCCAAAGTCGCTACAAGATACCTAGGGTCTGACTCTTCCTCTAATACCGATAAGATTCAACCGTACCCCTGTGTAAAATATATACCTACCTGGGTAGCTATTCACCCCCCTCTTTAAAAACAACCTTAATCACTTGGTCTCAAGACCGGAGGGCGCAGAAATAGTTTATCATCCTAGTATGATGTCTGTTTAGTGGTATATGTTAAATTGGCCTCTTATACTATACGAAAGTATATAATATCAAGCTATGCCTACCTAGTTCTTCATGACAAGTCGACACGAACTTCTGGCTAAGCCCAACTCGAAAATCTTTCTTTCACCCATCAAAGTATCAATTCTGTCCTGATCCCAGCCTCTCTTCGCTGCCTGCTCTCTGACACGCTGCCCAACCCTGCGACTCCAGATTTCGTTCTCCGAAGGTCCATCTCGCGTCAGGTTGTATGCAACCCTGATCGGTCCACGCTCAAATGTCAGGCTTAACGGGTACGAGCCAGCAGTTTCCCAGTGCAGGATACCCGCGATCTTCCCATATCGTACCAGTATATTGCATCCACTAAGACCAGGATGGACGAGAACAAGCGGTTCCTCTTCCACCTCACTCTTCATAAAATTGGCACGGTCATGATGAAGACGTTCGACAAGTTCCGGGACCGTCAATCTATAAAATCCGAATGGATCCTGCTTGGGTTCGTACTCTTCATCGTCTTGCTGGTCTGCGAAAGCTCCGTTACGCACGGCAATGTCTTCATCAGTATCGTGGGTGTAGTAGTAAATTTCGCGGTCGTAGCAGGCAAGAATGTATTCCTTCATCGAATTATACGGACCAATGTTGTAGCATCCCCTATCGTGGAACTCCCTGCGGCCTTCGAAGATCTTGTTATACTCTACATTGGGCGCAGAGGATAAGTCCGTAGGGTTTAAACCACCGATCTTGTCGAACTGAACTTCTGCAAAGTCAACAACAATATTGGCGATAGTTTCGGACATACTCTCCTTCTGAGCTTGACTAAGATTCATCCACTCGTATAACAAAGGTTTGGCATCGATGTACTCCTCGACAACCCAAGAAGTCTCACTCTTGTCCGTGGCGTTGTAACAATACACACGAGGAACAGGGATATGGGGGAGCCTTTGGGCTACGAAACGTCTGAATGCAACATCATTCGTAACTTGGTTCGGAAGGAGACTTTCGAAGTCATATTTTGCGATCCGTAGGACAAATCGGTCAATGGCAGGACCATCCGTGGTGACCTATGCGTCGATTAGAAAAATATTTGCATGGCATAATGGGTTAAAACATACCCGGAACTTCCTTTCCGTCTCAACAAGAACTGTCGGGAAAATCGGGACATGCCACCCAATATTAAGGATAGTTAACTTTCGTACTCCTGGGAGTTTGTTTAGTACCCTTGGCTCATTAGGTTCGAGGTACCAACAAGGGATCTCCCTCAAATTAGGAACAATAGCACTAAACAGGTTTTTGAGAGTATCTTGCTCTGTGTATTGGGAGAAAGCCGCTCCTCGGGCGGCGTTGGGGGCAGTATTAAATGAAAACATATTGAAAAGCTTGGCTAGTTATCTGTATACTCTGATACATTCTAAACTTGCTTGGCGACCTAGGTAGGTAAGTAGGCAATTATATAGTGATCTAGATACTGAAATATACTGAGATAAACACTAAAAGAAGTGTTATTTTGGACAAAGATAACTAAGAACTCTAATGCGTTAAATAGAGAAACGTTTTTCTTATACTGTTTAACGAATCGCATTGTTCTAAAATCATTTGACGATCACATCGCACTGATTTACGACTTGTAGAAGCTTGAAGCTTACACGATAATGGCAATGTAGAGACGGCAGAAGTTATGAATAAAATTGATATTATACAAATAAATAGAAGTATAGTATAATATATCGGGTGTGTTCTTTGTGTGGTTATTTGCGTATTGGGGCTGTGGCATTCAGTCCCCATCTTGTAAGTTGGTCAGTACGTGCTTCATTGCACATGTAAGCCGACTAACGCAGGTTTTTAAACTTACCTGAGTATCTAAGTACTCAATGACACATTTAGTGCTACTATGAAAATACATTAAGTATATTCCTGGGTGCCCTAAATTGAGGAGTTGAACTCCTCCACCATGGATGTCCTGAGGGGTATCACGTGATTTGCCAGAGGGTATAAACTCACTTCCGTTTGGACTAGAGGTTAGTTGTTTAAGATGGTACGTACACAGAGGGCCTATAAGTTGCGGTGTGAAATGTGGTATCATTACGACTACCTACTCGCCGTCGATATTCCTTGCTAAAATAGACTAAGTAAACTCATCTCTCCCACCACGAAAAAAACCAATGCCACAATCAAATAGAATCAATTCTACTTCTCAGGCTGCCCATAGCATAACTTTGCCCCACCAGCGTAGACGTATTGAGCTTCGGGCTCTGAGGTAACCTGTGTTCCGGGAGTAGACACATACTGAACCTGTGATTTGCCGTAATTATTGCCCTGTACGGCAGGGACAGAAACAGATTGCTCTCGATATTCTACTGACGTTGCCACTGCTCCCCCAGGAGTAGAGACTTGTTGTCCCCTGAACTCAACAGATCGCACTTGTGACCCCGGCGCAGGCGAAGGCTCCTACTGCTTGCTGCCACCGCTGCTACCGCTGCTGCTGCTTCCATAGCCCGAAGAGGACCGTTTACCGGAAGACGAAGTATAGGTAGAACCGCCCTGGCCGTCGTTGTAGTAAGTGCTGCCATTGGGGTTGGAGTAGTAGTATGAGCCATCACTGCGTTTCGGTGTTAGTATTGAGAGATCGCGCTAGGACATCAATACAAATAGATATAGGTTGGGGCTCTTACGTGTTGGAGTAATGGTATGAGTTCGAGTTGGAGGCACTGCTGCCGTAGTCCCGGGCGCAGTAGTGGTTGCCCTAAGTGGAGTTAGCTATAAACGATCACACAGAGAAGTTGGTGGGGAAATGCCGGAAGCGTGGGACACGAATGATCTGTAGACGTCTCCGTATACCAGTTACTTACCTGGCTGTTGTGGCCGGAGCTCTTGTACGAGTAACCGCGGTCGCTCATCTTGATTGAATGATACAATTGAGATTGTAATTGTGATTGTGATATGGAAATGTGAAATTTGGGTGCCAGAAATTGATTGACGATGCACAAAACCGAGAGTTGTAGTTGAAGATAGGATTAAAGAAGAAGATCAAGAAGAGAAAGGAGAGGGGAATCTCGTCGAACAGCCTGCGTGGTAATAGACAAAGTTCCTTGGGAGGTCCGTGACCAACTTTATCGCAATTGCTATTTTACCAAGGCGTTCCCTGTCGCGCTTGCGTTAATAGTCTAAAAATGACGATAGGGGCGCATAGAGCGGAGCAGTGTGGTTTTATTAACTGGCTTGCTCACTGCTGGTTTCCTTTGGGGGGGTTTGTAAACCCGGGGTAGCTACGTGCAGTTTGGGGTCGGTGAGTAACATCCCAATTTGATATTGGACTGTATCCGGAAGCTTGCATGGAGGATGTGTTACACCCGATTCAAAGCCGTCGACGTGGCCCGATACGTGGGGGAGAACAGCCTGCCGACGGTGACGATACTACTTTCACTGCACAGTGGATAACCGTAGATTGTGGGGAAGATTCAAATGGCCAACCACTACGCAGCCTTGGGAGGAGTAGGAATGAAAAGAAGGGAATAGAATCGCTGTTGGTGCGAACGATAATTCTCCTGCAGGTGACATGTCAAAACCTGCTTTGTTTGAATTGAGTTGCTCCTGATTCTTTCTATTTGGTATCTGTCTATTTTATTTGCCAACAAGCACGCTGACGCATAATTCTATGCCATGAAGGCGACTAAAATTTGGCGGGTATCAGTCAATTAGTTCCATTTTCGGCTTCAGGCTTGCCTTGGGCAGCTCCCTCTCGTTCATCCACTTCATGCTCTGCGAGGAACTTCTCCGCATCCATGGCTGCTTGGCAACCGGTGCCTATAATTCACGCACGTTAGTATTTCGATTATAATCTCATCAATGAAATAAGTAACATACCTGCGCTCGTGATAGCCTGTCTATATCGCTTGTCTTGTACGTCACCAGCAGCGAATACACCCTCAACACTCGTCAATGGTGTGCCGGGCTTGGTGATGATGTAGCCCTCTTCATCAGTATCTAGTTGCCCTTTGACCAAAGTCGTGGCCGGGTCGTGGCCGATGGCATAGAAAAGACCATTGGCCTCTATTAGCTGTCGCTTTCCGCTGACGGTGTCCTCAATGACCATCTGGGTCATCACTTTGTCATCTCCCCTAACTTCGACACCCCGAGTATTGTATCTGACGGTGATCTTGGGATTCTTTAATAGTCGTTGCGCCATAATGCTGCTGGCTCGTAGTTGATCTCTTCGTACGAGAACTGTCACGTGGCTACCGTATTTCGTCAAGAATGTGGCCTCCTCGGCAGCGCTATCTCCACCACCAATGACAACTAAGGGTTTGTTTCGGAATATAGGAACAGCACCGTCGCATACAGCACAAGCACTAATACCATTCTGCCAATATTTCTCCTCGCCCGGAAGACCCATTCGCTTGGCCGAAGCTCCTGTGGCAATAATCACAGCGTCTGCGGTGTGTACCTCACCAGGTGACCACTCCGTCTCGTACTTGAATGGTCGTTGGGAAAGATCGAGCTTGGCAACGGTTTCGGTGATGATCTTGGTACCAAATCGTTCGGATTGTTGTCGCATAGCATCCTATCGCAAGACAACGGAGGTTAGTATATCCAACCCACCATTTTTTTTTTTTCAAGTAGAACAAATAACTCACCATCAACTCGCCGCCCATAATACCCTTAGGAAAACCGGGAAAGTTTTCGATATCGGTTGTAGTTGTCAATTGACCACCAGCAGCGATACCATTGGCCATGAAACCCTCGTACAGAACGGGATTCAATTCGGCACGAGCGAGGTAAATGGCGGCCGTGTGGGCAGCAGGCCCGGAGCCGATAACCACCACCTTGCTGTGCATTTTCCTAATTGCTAACTTTGGTATCTGATTTGATTGTCCTGTGTATTTCTGAAGACCGTTAGATGCAAGTGCTAAGGCCGGAACTACGGATGCGCCTGCGCAAAGTGTTCTTTTTATTGTTCGTGAAAACAGCTTGGTGGTATTTTAAAGGGAATAGTAGGACAAAAAGGTAAGGGAGGGCGATTAGGTCGGTTTATGTACGTATCGGCAGGCTCGGAAGGCGTTCGGGAGGAAGGCTGTCGTACTACTTCTTATGATAATAACACAAGAACTAACGAGAAATATGTCGAGTCACAAAGTCAAGTGTGTAGACTTTAGTAAGACGAAAGGATTGAAATTTTCTAGTTATTCCAAATGCGGCTCTACATGTAGTTCCGAAAATAGCTTCAGATTTGGAATTGACTAGGCACGAGAGAGAAGTGAATTCTGGTTGGTGTTTCGGTGATTCCAGAAGGCGTGAAAAATAAAAAAGACCCCCGCATTATTCAGCAAGGTCCCCTAAGAATTTCCCCTGATAGTATTGTTCCGGACCGGAGCTGACTCGAGATTGCCCCGCCATCTCCTGATTGATTAGATCATCTACAAATACTTAGGTACATGTGAAATTGGCGGGTCACTGGCACTCAGCTCAATTATGCGCACGTTCTAACTCTATTAAAACTGATGTCATCATAAAGTAATTGCAACATTTGAAATAATGTTATCTATCTCCGGTCGGTTTTTGTAACAATCGGTCCTTTTCGGAGTGAAATCTTAGGTAACTATCGCAAATCCCGTTTCCACCACCGATTGTGATTAGGGTGTCCCAGGAACCCGGATACACGCCAATGATTAATGTATAGCACGTGGAAATCACCTCTAATTAACCTAGAAGTTAGTTGAATCTACCGGGAATAGTTGATTAATTTGATTTGTCTTTTTTTATGTTACACGTTAATACGATGTAATGTTGGTGACATTTTACCTCATATGTTCACTAGAGCTCAAGATGTAGTAGTCCGTAATCGCTTTGTCTGTCTGAGCCCGCTTTTTCCCGTTCACAAGCATCTTGAGTTCCAGGGTTTCCTCTAGCCATTCTTGGCTCCTAATCTTTCGGGCTTCTTTGCGACTCTATTCATAGGTACACGATGGCACCGCAACAGGAAATCCCCGTTGCCGCCAACGTCCTTGGTGTAGGTAACCATCCCAATAGATACTCAATTCCGATAGCTAACCGTAACGTCTGTTAGACAATAGGTACTATTCTTTGGTGCATACAAACAATACCCCAAATAGTATGTAGACTCGTCAAGGAACAGATCCGAAATGACCTTGTATTAAATTTGAACATGATAGTGGACCAATTGGAGGACAAAAAAGACCGACGGTCTGCCCGGTTCCATGATGTATCTATGGGCTCTATGTAAGACATCTGCATCCCCTAGGTGGGGATATGCCTGCTAATCGTCCCTAGGTGGTGTACCATTTGGTGTCTATAACATCGCACAGCGTTTCAACTATCCGCTACAAGTACAGCCACAGGCCTTCATGGCACTGTGTTTGGTCAATTGGTGCCAAATCCTCATGTACAATAAGAAATGGGCTATATGGAAGGTAGTGCTTATTGGCTTGGCGAACGCAGCAGCTTTTGCAGGTGTCGAGGCAGCCTTGATCGTCACTTTACGGGTGCGTTATCCGAAGGAATCTCAGTGGTTACCATTATAATCCATGCTAAACAGATACAGCCACTGTACGATGCAGGTAATGATACTGGCGTCTTGGTGGTAGGTATTATTGCCAATATTCTGTTGGCACTTGGCTTATTACCACCATACGGTGAACTTTGGAAGCGAAGGGGAAGAGTCATTGGGATAAACTTCGTCTTCCTTTCCATGGACTGGCTGGGTGCATTCTTCTCGCTTATGTCACTTGGTATGGACGCCCTATACACACTCCTTAATAGAAATGTCGCATTAACATTCCTAGCTGCTCAAAATAGCTTCGACATCTTAGGCGGCGTATTGTATATTGTATGGTCAGTACTCATTTTTAACCCTGCAACACTCGAGTGGAAGCTTCAATGAGCTAACTCGGAATTCAGCATATGTCTTGAATCAGGTATATTCATTTCACATATAATATGGCTCCTCCGCACCCGAAAGCTGAGGAAAGAGGCAGCGTCGAGGGGTAAGACATTCGACGATATCGCAGCGGAGCATGAGGAGCAAGGCATACCTTTCAAGTTTGCCGAGCGCAAATCGTTGAAGAAAAGTAAAAAAGAAGAAAATGATATAGAAGTGGGCACAAGAAGACGTGATGAAGAAGATCTCGGGGACCAGGAGCCTCAGCACTCAGCCATAGATGTTACTCCCGAGGATGGTGGGAGGCATAATCATATTACCCCTACGTTAGAGACGGAATCATCGGAAAAGGCACAGAATGTCACGCGTTCCGATAATAGATAGATCCTGGCTAAACAAAAACATTGCAGTGTGATATCTCATGGTCTAAACCTAACGCAAAGATTCATATCTCATCACCATCTTCCTCCATTACTAGCAATTAACCAAATCAGCAAATCAGTGCATCATCTGTTCAAGCTTACTCTACGGCCGGCCCCTTTCCTTGAGCCTTCAGATCTGCACCCTTGCCGCCATACTCAGTCGGTAGCTTCTCACCCAAGCCGGAAACTTTGCTCTCGCCGAACTCCTTGGCCAAGGCCCCGCCGTTGGACATGGGGTGGAACTTCTTGATAGTCTTGGGTGCGACGAAGAGCTTCATGACACCATACATGAAACCCATGATGACGGGAACGTTGACAAAGAACTTCTCCTTAAGAAGTTCAGGGTACGCGGTAGCGAAGACTCGGATGGTCTCGGTGCTGGCGGCCTTGACTTGGGGTGATTGACGTAGGAAGCTGAGCGACTTATAGTCGTGCACCTGGAAAATCTTGTAAGGGTCCCAATCCGCGGTGATCGGCTTCGTGGCTGTAGGTAGAGAAAGCTCTTGCACGGCGAGCTCCATGAGAGCTACACGCCAGTTGATGAACCTAACCCATATCAGATGTTACGATCTCATTTACAGTTTACGTATGGAGATATATTTTATAAGGACACGCATAGGAATAACAATAGCTTACTCTTCAAGGTTACCGAAGGTGTCGTCGATGGACTTAACACCACCGTAGATGTTCCAGGTGAAGACTTCCTTAGCCTCGGGGTTCTCCTCAGTGGCCTTCTCATCGGAAGCGTAGTACTGCGTTACGTAACCTAAGCCTTCAAATTTGGTCTTGGAGAAGCTCTTCTTGATAAGTTCCAAAGGCTGTATCTTAGCGCGCCACTCTAGGGTCTGAATAAGCTGTTCCTTTGCCTTAACAATGTCGCCGTCCTTAGCGTTGAGGTACTTCTGTAGCACAATTTGACTGGGAACGTGGGTAGCTGGATCAGCTAGAGTAACGCCCCAAATCTCCGGGTGGGACTGGGCTTTCGCAGCAGCCCAAAGTTCCTGGATAGGGGTGGTCGGCTCATCGGGTTTAGGGACTTCTTCAGCTTTGGGGGCCTCCGGCTGGGGAGCCTCGGAGCTTGGAGCTTGGGCTGGCTCGGCCATGATCTTAAAGAATCTTACGAGTTCAAAAGGGTGGCGTTTATGAGGCTTTGGTTTTTATTATCATAGAGATAACTTCTCCAAGGATAAGATGATGAGATGAAAAAAAGGCTACGTTGAAACAAGAGATGAAGATGACATTTCGTAAAGGTAGTTGTTGGAAGCTTCCCTGATCGGGATAAGGCAAGTTACAGGCCTAGAGCTTGGCCTAGCTTAGTGATACTTGATCGGCGTAATCACCGGTATTTAGCCGATGCGCCTCTTAACTTCCCCCTTCCATATTCAGCGCTTCAAGCTCCGCTCTAGCTTCGTTATCAACCAACCACATCTTCCGTTTCGGGAACATGAGGATATTATCGCATCCTATGGGTTCTGGCACTTCGGGATGAAACACGTATCGAAGGAGATAACACCAGAACTCACGTTACACTGCAATGTAGTTGTTCTTAGAGCATCTACTGAGTTCCGAGTTGGATCTTGGTGAGGTGAGGAGTATCAAAAAAGCAAAAATGATTCAGGGAATATTCTATGCGCGATTCCTACCACAAGAGGGTGTGTATTAGCTAATCAACCAATTCTTTCATTTGTAACCTTTCACGACGGATAATTTCACTTTTCATCTCATATCATGTTACACTCGTCCTCATAAAAGAACCAATGCTAACATAATCCTAGGTACCAAGATCGTCGCACAATCACCACCAGGATGTATTGTAGCTACAACATACACACCACATCTCAAGCCACCACTAGTGGACTTCGACATCATACAGGAGTACATAATCCCGCGGAAAGCCTTCTTTAACCGCTTCATGACAGTCAACTCCCCAGACAACAAATACAGCATACTAGGCTTCCCCGTCTCAATTCCCAACGAGCGATACCATCGCAATGAATTCATCTTCAACTTCGGGCTCGTGGTCGAATCCGACATCGACCAAGTACCCTACGAGCGTCTAGTCCGACGTCTCGCCGTCACATTCGCAGAAATGGAACGACAGCATGGATACCTAAGCTCAGACTCTGATGGACGCAGTGAAGCAACCCACGATGATGGACGACGACCTATCGAAAGTCTACTAGAAATCGTTAAAGAAGATTTGAACAATTACGGCGAATGCATGATCCCAGTAGACGACGCTAATACCCTCAACATGAAGCTATTCCCGTACCACCCGCCCCCACCCCCGGTTCGCGGTTGGCACGTGCCGGTCCCGAAGATGAAACTCGCTGATATCGTGGACCCGACGTGGGATCTTACGCTGCAGAAGATTATTCCGCATATTGATGGTGTTAATGATGTGCGCCGTATCGCGTGGCTTGCTGATGTTTCGCTGCCGCTTACGCAGATTGCGTTGCAGCATTTATTGTATTATGACACTGTCTTGTTACTGGATATGTTTTTCTTCGGCAGTTGTTACGCTCCAAGGCCCGGTATCCACGATTTCGTAGCTAATAGCGACGGCATCGTTGATGAATGTGCCGGGTATGTATGCATTAACCCCGCCGTCCCGGGGTGCAGCGGCACCACTACCAGCGGATCTACTACCAGACCTAGCGATGACGACGGTAATGGCAGTAAAGATATAATTGATACCGATATTGGACGGGCGCTGAAATCCCAACCTCAACAGCCGCTTGGGGTAACCAATTACCAACTCATAAAACTCATGACGACGTTTTGCGCAGGGCGAAGCGTCATGGAATGGATCAAACTACATCAAGACGCCGGCTTCGACGTTTTACGGCATGTAGACGTGCGGCGGCTAGTTCAATTCGGCGTTATAAAAGGTTTATTATATCGTGTGCATAAATACGTCGTATCGAAGCGGTATCTCGAGAGTCTGGCGACGGGTAGGCGGACTATGCCGAAGAGGAGTAGGACTGATGGAGCTATTGGTAGTATTAAGGATGACGAAGATGGGGATGAAGATGTGTTGTTAAGGTATGCGGATGGATGTCATAGCTTTGATCAAATCGTGACGGAGCAGAATTTGACAGATGGCGAGATCATGAAGAAATTAAGGAGTTTGGAACCCGGCGATAGGACGGTGTTTTATCGTTGAAGGGATTATAAAAATAAGAGCGGATATTCCAATATCACGATACGGTAGGCGACACGTTAGAATTCTTCTACAGAAGCACTGCGATGAATAGTGCTAAGCTGAGTGGCTACCCTGCGAACTCCAGCCTGAATACCCCCCTCTAGGTTTTACGCGCTTTGGTCAGCTTTATATATAGCATAATCCCCAACTATACTATGTGCCTAGGTAGGCTGCTCGATTTAAAGGAAAGTGATATATGTCGCAAGTCTTGGTTGGTGGAAGCCTAGGGAAGTTATTCATAGTCTAATGTAATATAAGCCCACCTGCGCGATGGTGTGAGGGTATTCAAGGCATAAGAGGCATGAAGTTACGTTGAACATGCAATCGGACGGAGAACAAATGTGACGCAACATCCACATCGTTTTAATTTCTACGAAACGAGCGAATACGGGTCGTCGCGAGGATTTGAGATGGGTATATTTGGGATTGTTATACATTTATACATCTAGGTCGCCGTCATCACTTGACAGGCGTCTGTTCGCGTTGCCTCCCTTCCCACCCTTCTCCTTCTTCCCCTCTTTCTCGAGTTCTTCTTTCATTTCCTTGCGGGCTTTTTCTAATATCCTATCAATCGCTTCTGTCTTTACTCGGGCGGAACTAGGCCCCGTATTTCGGTGAGAATTCAAAAAGGTTTGGCTGAGAATCTCTCCCGCGCGGTTTGCCTGGACGTAGCGCTGGGCAACACCAGCTTTTTGCTGACCTCCCTCTTTGTATAGGGCCTTTGCTCTATCTAGAAGCTTCTTCGATAGCTCAGCATCCCCTATATCCAAATCCTCCTCTTTGACAGCTCGCTGTATCGAGTCCAACAGTATCCGCAACTTGCCCGTTCCCGGTTCGCCGGGATACATCAAACCGCTAGCTTCCCATTCCTCGTCGCTGACTACTTCGACAACTCGGATGAAGTGTTTTCCTCGACGTAGAATCAAGAGCTTGCCATCGATGAGGAAGTTTTTGGTATCCTGGGGGAACCAATTTTTAACAGGTGTGAATGTCAAACCGCCTTCAGGCATGCCTCTGTTGAGAGCCGCACTTCGGCCTGGATCTCCACCAACGTATGCGCCTTGGTGTTGCGTCAAACGATTGCCATCGGTGACACTATCCGCAAGGCCAGCAGCATATAAGATACGGGATATTGGTTTGGTATAGATTAAGGATTCTGGTAACTTGATATCAACATTAAAATAACTCGCCAAGCTTGCTGTTGCTGGCTGGTCGTTAGGATAAGAAGATCTTGTAGTTGCTTCTTTTGAGAACAATCCTTTGTGTTGGTCCCGCGCGTTGTGGGCGGCTTCCAATGTATGAACTAGTGCAACCACTTCAAAGGCGAGTGCATGCTGTGCAACGCGCTTTCGGGGGTCTTGATTATGCTCTGCAACAAGTTTATCAATGTCTTCCAGAGGAAGAAATGTAAATAGTTTCAGTAACTTCTCCACGTCGGCATCCGGCCGTCGCATGAAATATCCATAGAGATCGAACGAGCTCGTCATAAACGGGTTAAGCCAAACAGCATTTCCAGAGCTTTTTCCAAATTTAGCGCCAGACGAGTCGGTAAGAAGGGGCACAGTAAACCCGACGGGGGTATTATGAAGAGTATCGGGAAGTCTTTCACTCGGATTGGGTTCGTTGTCCCGTATGTACTTGACGGCTTCGACGCCGGAGATAATGTTTCCATACTGATCAGACCCTCCAATCTGCATACGAACACCTAAAATGCGGAACATATGCCAAAAGTCCCAGGCTTGCATCAGAGGGTATAAGAACTCGTCAAGCGACATGCCATCCCCCTTTTCCATCCTACGCTTAACGGTCTCGCGAGAAAGCATAGGACCAAGTCGCATTCCCTTAAACAATCGGCTACACATGTCGATGAAGGGAAGATTTATGTACCACTGGCTGTTGTTTAGTAGCGCGCGACTCCATATTCTGTTCTGCTTTTCGTAGCCGAAACGTCTCCCCTGAGCTTCAACATTAAGCCATATTCGTTTTAACTGATAGTGTATCTTGGTTACGTTCATGGACATGTCGGCTTTTGCAAGTGGATCGCGACTTTGTAATCGATCGGTAGGATCGCCAACCCTTGCTGTCGCACCACCTATGACGCTGATAGCTTTGTAACCGTGCAAATACATCCAAAAGAGGGGCATCAGAGGAAGTAGATGGCCAACGTGAAGGGAGGGAGCGGTAGGATCGATTCCAACATAAGCACCTATCCGTTTCTGCTTCATGAGCTCTTTAATTTGGTCCTCAGTACCTGCGATATCCTTGATATATCCACGTTCTTTGAACTTGTCCCACAGATGCGGGACCTTTCCTTCTTCAATCTGTTGGGCTTGAAGTTTCCATTGCTCATCAGCCTCTGCTCGTTTTTTTAAATAAGAGGTAGATATCGATCTATTCTGTGGTCTTCTTGCTGCTAGGTATCGTACAAGACATCTTCGACAGAAAGTGGACGGCGCGATTCGGGGGCTCAAGCTGGGAGAGAAAGTACTGGTCGGCAACATGATTCTTTGCGCTTTGCGATGGGCGCAGAGGGTTAAAGAAGGAACCCCCCACGAAATTAAATATTAATACACATATGAAGAACTTTTTAATTACTCGAATTTCGTGTTAATCGTAAACTGTTTAGACTTTCTCGTGGGAATGAATTAAGTACGGTAAAATACTTGGATCTACTTTTTAAAAATTCGAATTATCTGAAGCTATAAATTTCTAGTGGGGACGTCTACTGCTGCAATCGCCGACGCCGATAAGATACATTGGTACTTCTTTACTTAAGCTTCGTTATGTAATCAGCAACCAGGCTTTTACCGGGAGTATCCGACCAATCATAAGCCTCTTATTTCTCGGTCCTCGGCAATGAGCAATGAAATGGCGTGTGAGGAAATGGTGCAAACGAACTAAATTCATCTTTTAACCTTTGATCCATACATCATCGTCGCTTTCAATTTATACTCTACCTTGATACCAACTCTACTCTCTCCTCGACAGCAACTAGGGGTACACGGGTGATATAAGCGCAAAATAGATCCCACAACATCCATTTTCAATGGCTTCTATAATCCGCCCGGCGCTGCTCCGGCAGTCCGTCTTGGCCACATCAACCCGACGAGCTGCAACCACCACTTTTTCAAGACACCAATTGATCCGACCGACGATCGCCCAAGATGCTATCCTCGTTGCCGCTTTCCATGCTTCGAGCAGGAGGAGTCTATTACCCCCAGGACCACGTACGTTATATACCAATTATCGCATTACTATCTTTTATCATGGTCATTTGCTAACAAGATTGCGCGCAGAGGTGATTAAGGGATCTGGTATGCGACTCTATACCCCCTCGTGAATTGGGATATCTACGATCGAGAAAGAGACAAGGAGCAGAAGAGGAGCTAGGATTGGAACCAACTAACAGCCTTAACTAGTAAACGACCCAGCACCCGTCCCCGACCCGCATCCAACCCACGGCTCCTACCACTGGACCTTCGAGCGCCTCGTCGCCGTCGGCATCATCCCTTTAACCGTCGCGCCCTTCGCCGGATCCTCACTCAACCCCGGTCTCGACGCAATCCTCTGCTCCCTACTCCTCGTCCACTGCCATCTCGGTTTCCAATCCGTACTCATCGACTACATCCCTATCAGCCGATTCCCTAAGTCCCGCAAAGCTTCCATGTGGCTCCTGAACGCTGTGACTGCCCTCGTTGGAGTCGGTCTGTATGAATTCGAGACCAACGATGTTGGTGTAACAGAGGCTGTGAAGAGGGTCTGGAAGGCGTAGATCAGAGGGGTAGAGGGGTTGAAGAGCATGGATTAGACATTGCGACGAGGATCGCACAGAGACGAATGCATTAGTGAGGAGAGAAACCGCAGGGGAGGTGAAGAGCAACAAGATGATGTATGAAGCTACATGGCGTACAGTCATGAATTCCTTTGTATCGGATGAAGCTTGTCAGTTGAGAAATACCTCGGGCTAGACTTCGAAAGAGAGCAAATTATTGTTGCTCCTGTTTGTATCCATACGGCCATTAAATATATATAACGATACTTCAACTATTAAATGCGCCAAACAATGCGATAAGGTCCAGTGGAATGTGTCGTTCTATGGCCAGCTTACCTCCGTTAGCAGGAAACGTCTACAGGTATTATAATACGTCGAAAATAATGACCAACCAGGAATCGAAGAACATAGAAAAACTCGAACCGAAATATGTACGACCCCAGCTGAGCGCACTTCGTATAATTGATTCAATAGCATCAAGCATTATAGGTATCTCGCCAAAATACATCACACTATCACACACTCACTATCACTTTACTCTCCCCACCCCCAACAACAACTCTTACTCATCGCCCACTATGCTCATCAACACTCCCATCCCTCTTCCCAAACCTAACCCCCAACCCCCCAATATCGCGTCTAAAGAACTTTCCAAAATTCTTCAAATTCTCATTAATACTAGCGTTATTCCCCTGCGCCGCTCCACCCTGTCCCGATCCCTGCCCCTGGAACTGCTGCTCGGCCGGCGTGCCAATTCTCTCCACACCATCTCTTGCCGCGTTTAGGAGTTTCTCGCCGAGAGACGCGGCGTCGAAGCGTGAAGCTGCGCCTTGGAGCGCGGCGCCGGGGCCGGAGGCTAGACGGTCTACACTCATTAGATTATTCAGGTTGTTTGCGCCGGCGCCTACGCCTACGCCGCCTAGACCGGAGGCGTTCATTAGTGGTGTTAGGAGTGGGCTTTGAGCGGCGAGTTTAGTGCCATTTCCTGGACCGTCGCGGTGGATCGTGAAGAGTTCTATTAGATGCCCTTGATCTTGCTTTCGGATGCCCTTCAGCTCGAGGATCTTGCGGAAGTTGGTGTCGGAGCGGTCGCCCACGTGGATTAGGTATGCTTGTACCAGACCCTCGGGTGGGCTCGGGCGTACTTGGAGGGTTTTGAGGAGAGGATCGATACGGGTCATTGTTGCGTTGACGCGCTTGACGAAACTTGCTGGGGGTGGTTGTGAGGGGGTAGATGAGGATGTGTTGTGATGTGAGAGTAGGTTCTCCAAGGCTTTAGTCAGGACGTACTTATCCAGTAGCATCTGTTCTGCGCCTACTTCAGAAATAGGTCGACACTGCACAATGGTGTGGATATATGAAGTTGCAAAGTGTTCCACCAATTTATCAGCAAATGCGCGCGCATATTGTTGTTTGACGACAACTGCCAAGACCTCCTCCGACTTAGAGTTGATATGGCTGACCAGTTCACCAACATAAGAACTCTGGTCCCCAACACTCTCCATCTTACTCCAATTTGTATTCTTCATCTCGCGCCAGGCACCCTCGCAATCCGCCTCAACTTTATTGACCAGCGCTATAACTGCAGCGCTAGCAACGCCCAAGAATGCGTCCGCTTGAGACGACAAATCTACCTTGGATACGAGATCATGGTCGATGCGCTTTTTGATGTTCTCTTCGAGCTGACCCGTATTGGCGTGCCAGAAATCCGCCGTATTCAGGACAAGGACAATATCCTCTAAAGATGCGCCTGCTTGCCCAGGTCTCTGCAAAATTGCAAGTAATACTTGTTGCGCATATTCGTCGAGGTATTTAGCCAGGGTCTTCGCTAGGTCTAATAATCGATCGCTCGTAGACAGCTTAGCGCATTGCGACAGAGTGAGCTTGTAGAAGTGAAACAGTTCGATAGCGGAGCTAATGACGGCTTGGGGAGAGAATTCTTCGTCGGCTGGTAATAAGGGTTGGTTTTTGTATTTAGGGATCATAGCCGCTAAAGCCTTATCCTGGGATTCGACCCATAAGCTTAGGTATGGTTCGAATGCGACGGATATCGACCCGTTGAAGCTTTGCGTCCTCTCGTCTGCGGAGCTTAGTGTATCGATACTAGCCCTCGGCTCGCTAGCAAATCTTCGTTCGAGTGTTTGTTCGAAATCCATCGTCTCCTGAAGACAACTTAGTAGCAAATTGACGTCGATTTTGGCCCCATCCATTCTTCTCATGCTCTTTTCCAAGATTCCCTTATAATCGTCTCTTGTCCCATCGCAGAAAGCCATAGCCAACGTTTCGCCGACCCTCCAATGTGGTGGGAACATGCCGGAGTGCTCCTCTTCATACCCCTTCATCATTCTCTTGAACCACGCATATCGTCTTCCAATATTGTCCAAGCTACCAGCCTCATCATTGCCCCTGAAGACCTGGCGGTATTCTCTTAACTCGGTGTTCACGTACCACGTCACCAATCTCGCTCGTGCATTATCACCAAGGGCATCCATGACCCCACAAGCCTCGACCAGCGTCGCTTTCCTGGCCCCAACCTCTCCTTTAGCGAAGGCTATTTCGAAGTCCTCGCATACTTGTTCCAATAGCTCTCTTTGCAGTTCGCCAACACCTCGGCTTAACGTAGCGATTTGGTCGATACTCCTATAGCTATTGAAATGGCGCATAAGCTGTAATACCGCTTGCAGTAAACTCGCACACTCCCTATATTGTCTTGTCTTAGCCAAGCCCCTTAGTTGTTCGTATGCCGTAGTCAACATCTGTAACCGCTTGAGGGCGGTCATAGACAGTGTCAGGTTCCGCTTCGTGCCATCCAAGCGTTTGATATCGGCGGTCATGGAGGTAATATTCTGTTCGGTCTGAATAGCGCGTGAGCGCACCGTCTCGATCTTCTTAAAGAGTCCTGCTAGCTCGGCTTGGGCAGATTGCATTCGTTCGAGGGAAGAATCGGGCCCATATGCCTGGGCCGTTTGGAGGCTCGATATTTCGGTTGACAAGTCATTATGTTGGGATTGGAGGGTCGAGGATACACGACTTATGGAGGATACGGTCGAAGGATGGGAAAATAGGAGGTTTAGATGCTGAATCGGGTCATAGTCAGCTAGCCTTGCGTGTTAGCTAGTCAGAGACCTCTTTCTTTCGCATGATCCATCACGAAATAACCAAACGTGATAGGTAATAATACGTAGCGGGAATGTAGAGGGAGAGCTAACCTGCATCTAAAGACAGCGGTTCAGATGCGACGCCGTTCATCTCGAGCAACATATAGGAATTCTATGCCGTCGCATTGGGTCTTTTCTAGTTGATTATAATAACCTTCTTAGCGTTCATACATATAATATCGTAATGTAGCTGATTAGTCTTGGATTAATCAATTATATTGAAGCTGAGATGATGACGCACCAGCGTGTAAAGACATATATGCATCTATTAATTAAAAGCATATTGAGTTCTGTCACGTGTCAGTAAGTTGAGTCCCTTATCGATAAGATTGATAAAAAGACAGGCGAAAGTGTCCTTTGCCACCCCCACTTTCAGCATTCACCTTGTGTTACTACACCCCACCCTGCAAGGAACGGGAGGATCCGCTCCAATGAACGCTTTTCCTTTTTCAACTTCATTTATTCATTTAAGGTAAAGCAACCAATAAGACTTCATTAAAAGCCCATAGTACGTAATTGAGTTCCGCCATTTTGTATGCTTTTCTTCCCCAAAGGACTTTTTTGCGTTTTATCTTTCGATTCTTCATTTCTTTTTTCTTTTTTTGCTTCCCATATGTTTACATCGATATGCTCAAAGTTGTACTCTAAGACCCCTTCTATACATGATGGTATAATGGCCTTGTATCTCCGGCTATCATACTCGATACATCTGGTATATCTCTGGTATCAGTTCTGGTTCCTCTTGATCCCGACCGGCCAAATGATATAACATCTCCGAGTTAAAATGCAAGAAAAACCAGTGAAGTCCGACAAGTCTAGATACTCGAGAAGAACTCCGACTCTTGAGTAATGCAGTAACGACGCCGAAAAGCCAAAACCCCTTGATCGAGCTACAACGCCAAAAAATGCAAATGCGACCGCCATAACGCCATTCGTAAAATGTCCGGAACTCCGGATGTCAGCGATATAGGACTACGAGCTGTGCAACGCCCTGAAACCGGCCGCAATCAGACTACGAGACTTTTCTCGGGAATCAGCTGGTCCCGCCCAGTAAAACAATCCCTAGAGAATCCGAGTTAGCGAACGCCCCGTAAGTACGTTTTTATAGCTATAACTAGTGCCGTCGAGAAAAGAGGAGGTAGTGGATGGAAGACAATGGAAACATACTCCGAGTCCCTTTTGTTTGCAATACGCTGCCTTCATCTTGACGGTTTCCGGGTTATCGTACGTTACGAACCCTCCGTCGCCCCCCACGCAACTCGCAGCTCCTATTCGCTTATCGACGGACTCCTTGGCATTCTTTCTCGGCAACGAGTTATACTCGAACGCACCGTCCTCGCCGCCTATACCCTTGTGCCGGTGTCCCGGTCCGGTGACACCTAGGAAACTCCGCCCATAGAGCGGGATTCCCAACAAGATCTTCCGAGAAGGGCATCCACGACTCAAAAGATACGAAACACCAGAAGATGCAGAAGTTTCTTCCTTACTCAGCGAATACAACTGTGCTTGGTGGCCGCTCCGGTTCGTCCATGGTCCGTAGAAATCGTAAGCCTCTAGATTTATGAAGTCAAGGTACGGAACAGCTTGCGCGATGTCGATGTTCTGAAGAATCGAGCGACCTGCTGGAAGAGCAGCCGTTACGTAAAACTGCTCCTCTGGAAGTTGGGTCCGAACAGCGGCCAAAAGTGCAACGAAGTCGGCGCCTTGCTGTTGGTCCATAGGGTATTCCCAGTTTACTAGTTTCAAGAGGTTAGTTAGTCACGAGGTAAATCCCAGAGAGTAGAGAATTTTTTTAGAATGGGAAGTAGAAAGTAGAATACATACTATCGATGCCGTCCAAACCGGATGCATCCACGAGACCTCGCACTGCTTGCGCAAAGTTATCCCGTAACAGAGGGTTGGAGGCAACTATCGGGAACGCTTCATTCGAAGTTCCGCCCCCGATCGAAAGAGTGACTTGCAGATGCGAGTGTTTCTGCTTGAGATGCATCAAGGACCCAAGACCACCTTGGACGCCGTCGCAAGGGGCTTGGGTATCTGCCCACTCGTCGCTCAACTTAACTCAGGAATCAGCGTTCCGGATCCTGGAGGATGAAACCGCGGAATGTGCAGTTCAAAGCAAACATCTGAGATTCTAATGACTTACAAACACGGAACCGTCCGCCGCTACGTTGGCGAAAGCGTAGTACACGTGGTTGATGCAACTATAATTCATCATCCCTGGCGTCGCGCCACTGTAGATTTTGTAGTTTGGAAAGTAAACGGCGTTCGTAAACATCACGTTAGACGTGCTGGACGTCTTGCGCCTTCGCGATGACGATGACGAACTCATGATGGGCGATCTATACCCGGTAGTTGGTAGGAATAATAACGAAGGGTATTATTGTTATAATAAAGCAACTAAGGTCGCTTAGGAACGTAGTCTGACAGAACCGAGTTTCCCAGAAGAGCCGGAAAGAGTGTGCCGTTTTAAGTCAAGGAGCAACAACGGGATGGGCCAATAACTTAAGGAGATAAGAAAACATAAGATGGCGCATGGTGAAATTGCCTTTCGTGATCTATAATATAGATGGGCAGTCTTCGGCGAGTTATGAGGTGCAACCGGCTTTGCATTCGCTGTCTCAGAGCCACTATTAAAGCCCGAAACGAATACTAACCTTGCTTTCGTGTGAAACTTTTATATGTTATATGTTATACGCGAGAAAGTGAGAGGCTTGGGGAAGATGCTAATAAGCTCCCAGGCGTGGGAGCGGTGGAGAATGGCGCGCAACATCACCAAATTTTTTGCCTAAGGGGAGACATCCATCCAGGTAGATATGTATTTGGATATCCTCACGGAGATCGTTCCCTGGGGCCATTCATGCATGACATAATTGCGACGGGGATAATTACAGATGCAGGACCGCTCTATGGTCAGCTCAGGCGGAGGAGGGCAAGCCAGTAGTAAACACTCGCCAGCCTGGCAAGGCCCGAATGGGAAGGGCAGAGCGGGATTGGGGGTTAAATTTTCATCAGCTCATAAGATCGTGAAGCAGGCAGGTACGTACGCACGCAGTCAGGCAGGCTGCGGTGGATGGAATTACTTAGAAAGGTACCTACATAGGTAATATTGGGCATGCAAGTAGGTAGGGGAAGAAAAGATAGGTACATAGGGATGGACCGGCGTGTCGCGGGCTGGCGCGTGGGGAAGGGGTTAGGCCATCTGCTAAACTAGCAACGGCGCATGGGCACAGTAGTAAGGCCCTCCGGGTTTTATTACCTGCCTTGATGGGGAGGAATTGGCCGGTTTCGCCTTTGGGCTGATGATGCCAGTGGCCATTTTTTGATAGCGAGTGGGGTTCCTAGGAGTGGTTGTTGTAAAAGAACCCGAGCGGCACTACCTATCTACTACTGTGCCTGTGTCCGTGTGTATATGTACCGTACGTAGGTATGTGGCCTGTCACACGTTCAGTAGGAATACTATTGCATATCCTGTACGAATACGTACAGCACAAACAAGCAACAAACGCGAGTGGCTTCTCCTTGGCGAAGACCCGGCCGATCATGGCCTCTCTAGGGATGCAGAAGCATCGGTCATTGTGCTGGAAAAGTGCCACGACTTCAAAATCTGACCCTTGGACAGGCCAATCTTCTGCAAGCCGGATTCCGCTTCAGGTTTTTCATTCATGTTGGCTTTGAGTCGTCCGTTTGGAATTAAATCCACCCAATCAACCTAACTATTCTTGTCGGGGCATGATGACTTGTGGAGCGCAAGATGGATACAAGAAAAAAAAAAAGCTTCTACAACGTAGTATGTAACGTTTAGGCGAGCCTGATGAGGATCATTGAAGTACCGAGGCAGAACTCACTTCGATATATGGAGAAGGGGAGTACCGTAAGAAGCTTGGTAGACGACCCGGTTGCCAAGACGTACGAGGGATGCAGTTAATGAAGCGGGTACGTAGTATACCAAGCCCGTTGCTGCATTGTGTCGACAGTAGGTCCCTCATTCTATCACCAGTCAAATGGGACTGATGAACATAAGCGGACCGGGATGCCGGAGAAATTCTACCAAACCCTGCCCTAGGCAATACATAGACTATTGGCATCGTGTTCAAGTACGAGTCAGCCAAAAGTGATTCCAAAGCGAGGCCTCCTAGTGTAGGCAGACAAAAAAGAATATTCCGAATATTTCGACTGTCACTTACGGAGATGAAGCCGGAGTATTCTACTTCAAACGTCATCAATTGACCTAGGGGTCCCTGACAAGGGGAAAAGATCTAAGGAGTTTAGTTCCTCTAGTAGACTAGCCGTCCTGGGTGACGACTAGGATGCCATGTGTCGAGGTTTTGTTTTGATTCAGCCTCCTTTGAATCTCTCGCCTTCAATATTCAATGGGCGCGCAGCGTAGTGTAGTAGGTGAAGAAACTGGTAACCGAGTAACGCTAATACATGATCTGCAAACCTGTCAGGCTTCTCTCCGACGCGATCGTCACATGTATGGGAAGTATTAAGTCGACCGACGTACAATATTCTCATCATTACAAAGACAGCATTTAGAAATATTAGGGCTTAGGAAAATGGGATGCAATGGGGAAACTCCTCTGATGCGACGATGACACAACAGTTCCGACTTGCCTATTCAGGTGATTTCCAATATCTTAGTCTTCATGCCAAACTAGTCTTGAGATGCAGATAGTCGCCGTATAGAAGCCTTCGAGAAGGTCGCCCCGCTGCTTCTGGGGTATTCGAATGGTTAAGGGTTACTAGATAAGTCGACTACTTAAGATCAAGGAATAACCTTGGGTAGATTATCCCCTGTCTCGGTCCATGAGATTATGACTGCCTTGATTGGCGATGTATGTGGATGTATATGCAGCCCCCGACTGCTTCTGGTGAACTAAATTCATCAGACTAGGCTGGATGTGATCGTAATGACGCATCTGGGGTGCATGGAACCAACTCGGCACGGCCGAGACGAGGAAATCTGAACCCTGAAAAGAAGTTCTTCCCGACCGGATTGATAACGCGGATGTCAGAATGCCCAGCCTGCAGATGCCAACGGCAGAGACCCAAAATATGAATCATTTTTCATATAGATGAGCATCTACATTTTGTCAGGAGGAACAACACTACATAAATCCCGCTCCTCTCTCTCCTCATATCTCCTCATCTAGTGGGGAATTTCATGCCGATGGCGAGAACCAGAAAAGCTGCAGCCAAGGGCGAACATCATTTCCACAGGAAGCTCAAATCAGGTTCGTTCTAGCCCGATTCTGTAATATAAAAAGTAAAGATGAAAAACTTAGCAGAAGCGATGATAGGACAACCACAACACTTGTGGCTTTGTAGTTTTTCCATGCCGTATGTACATATGTAGTTACGATCATAATGCACAACAAAGTACATCGAGTGGTCAGCAAGCATCGCAGGGCATCTTTTCAGCTTTTCGGCGAGCGAGATCCGAACCCACTTGGCATTCCTTAGCTTTTCTTTCCAGAACACTGGGACGTCTCAGCACGACGCTAATCCTAAAATTGCCCGTTCCAGATGAATTAAATATGACAGGTCAGATGGCGGTCGAATCAAGCTACTGGTAGTAGCTTTATGGATCTCACCGAGATGTGAAAAAGGATGTCGGTTTAATGGATATACATGGCTGGGAGTCCTTTCTGGGCAAACACGGATCCACTTACGCGGTGATATTCGCAGGCCGAATGAGACAGGGCTTAACCTGGGAAGTAAGGTCGAGAATGTCCGAAAGACAGGCCTCTACTCCGTGGTAATATCCTTTGTCGGGCTAGGTTGTTAATACCCGAAGAAATCTTGTACATGAATACGTATAATATGATGGCCCTCCTTGCATAGTACCGTAGCATCCAACAAAGGCGCGAACTAGATACCTAATTTATACTAGGCGAATTAATTTATTACAGTGGCATTTTCAGCTCAATCTCACCATTAATTCTCGGAGATCTGTACTCATTAATATTGTTCCGGCCTGGACTGGACTTTTCGATATGGCTACACATGGCTGCTGCGTGGCGTTCGGTAGCGCATCCTATACCCCTATTTCTTGCTACTTCTCTCACCGTCTTTAATTAAAATCCCGGGCGCCTTCCAAACTATTCTATTCCTTCCATCAATAAATTGCCTATAAGTGAAATATAATATAGGAAACTTACAGCCGATGTTTAATCGAAAACCACCTAGTATACATACGATGAAAATCGCGAGAACCCCTTGGTCCGGGGGCACTACGGCCGACGATCATCAATGCAGATGGAGAAAAGAAACACGCTAACGCACGCAATGGGATGAACACCTTTCGGGTCTAGCCGTATTCTGTTGAGCCTCCACAGGATAATTCCGACACGGCCATTGGCTACAAGCGAATTGGTCATCCAAAATGCTACTATGAAGCATGTTGGTGGCAGCGTCTCATTATTGCCCACGTCCAAAAGCATACAATATCAGAAACATACAGATTTCATATGGGGGTATGGGTAAATGTTGTGGATACGGAGTTAGCCCGTACAATTTGGGCATGAATTCTCTTCTTCACCGAATTCCTACCAGCTATGATGACCGTTTTTCCCGAACTGCCAGGTATAGGCTTCCTAGATAGGTAATTGCTGTGCTCCCATATATCGCATCACGTCGCATAGCCAAGTCTAGTTGTACTTGGCGTAGTCACATCTCACATACAAGAAATAGAAGCGAGTTTGGAATACTAGAGAGAGGAAGGTTAGATGAGATATAATCCACAGAAGAGGCCACCGAGATGTTTCGCTACCTGATGATGTGCACCGCATGTGCCGCATCCACCCCTGGACTAGTTCCGAGGAACAGTACCAAGGTAACCAACATATTCTGCTACAGCTTCCTGCAGCTATTCGTTGCGATATGCATGTATGTTCTGTGTATGCAGACCGCTCGTTATATTCCGTACGCAAGATGCAGTTACAGTTAGATGTCGATCCGCACGCGACGACCCCTGAACCAGATCAATATCGAGTCTGGTGAGGCTAGAGTGAGGCGATTTTGAGTGACATCCACTTATGGCGATCGCCAGACTAGCATAATAAGCGAACATCGTCGTAACCGCCGAACACTACCGAGTGTAGGATGACCGAAGGAGTGCCCTAGCTGGCTGCCTCCGAAAAGACGGGACTCGGGATGAGAAGGTACCTAGAAGCGGGATCGGTAGGCCGTAGTGGTCTTCAGCACCGAGAACGAGAGAGGTAGGGGTATAGATACCTTAATAACGATGACGATTCCCGATAAGGGAACTTGAAGTAAGACAAACGAGCCTGCGATGTCAATCATATTTAATCCTACATCCACATTACCCATCTTCAACTACCACTTTTAGGTAACGATAGGATCCCCGGAGTAGATACCGGACAACAAGGCCGACTCACGCGACCTTTGTTGCCTTATTCAATCTTTGTCAATCTCAAGCTTATGATGGTACGGAATAGCCCATTCCACCAGTCAGCTTAACCTGCCTAATGAAGATTGCTGCCCAACACTCCACCGTCTATCCATTTTCTTCTACAAAATCATGTACTTGTACACTTCGGAACGATATCAACCCAACTCGAGATAGTAAAGGGATGACAACGATGATCATACAACAAAATTTTGTGTCGAATTGAAAGTAACCAGTCGACGATTTCTATTCTCGGCCGCCGGTTTTCGAATTGGATTTCCTCACCTTGAGATTACCAGTTTCAAGATTGGTAGTATAAACTGATGCTCAGAAACTCAAAGGGATAATTTGTGCAAGACAAGACAGAAGAGGGAAAATGATATTCTCATTGATAAAAATACTTAGGTACAAGATATCTCAGAAAACGTCTTTCTAATAGTATACAACTTCTTCAGACCCGTTCGTATCTTCGTAACACTGCATATTGGGCAAGAAGCTTGGGACAGGTTCCAAGAAAAAACAATAAGCACAGAATGTGATAGAAGGGAGCTAGAAAATTAAAAGAGGACCAATACAATTATATTTAAGAAGCTAGCACACAGTGTCGAGACTGTAGCCACAGCTCGGAGATAGGAGTAACTGACCACATCGGTTACAATAGGTACTTACATGCGGAACCGAACGTGACGGGAAATTCTAAAATCTACAACCAAGGCTTAGATCTACCAAAATTCCACCATGGTGGTGATGTTGGTCAGCATCACAATATACCCCTGGATATAAGGCTTTGAAGCCTCACTTTACCAGCCCTACAAATAGAAAACCATGTAACAAATCATCTAACAGGACAAACCTGAATCACAGGCTACGGCGAATAATCGCTATTTATTCACCCCTCCGCTATTATAAGACGCTACGCACCAAAAATGCATAAAGCATCCCCCAATGCGCACGCTCAAAACATTATCTCATATTCGCGAGCGCCTGAAAAAAACAAGAATCGGATATTCATGAAGTCGTTTGTTTGTATTGCAATTCATTCATCCACTACCAGCCCGGCCCGTTAAGCAAGTACGCACTACCTTAGTACCCTTCTCTTCATCCTTTTCTCTCCATCAAGGGGAAGACGATGAGACAAAAAATAGAAGTGGTCATAAGAGTTGATATCCACCTGAACCCTGTAAGAGTACTGCCAAACATTTACATTATTGATACGAGGAAGTGAGTAATAGTAACGGAATAATCATAATCTCCGCTTTCTTCGTTACGAGTTTAGAAGATGTTCAATAGCACCTTGTACGCTTCCACCGCTTCGTCGTAGAGCCGCGACGTTTCTGTCAAAATCGTAGAATCCCATCTCGTTGAGCTGTCGTAGCTGTTCTGCGTAGCGCTCCTCCGGGGGTCGGTTGTCGGCGGGCGGCGTGGGGGAGCCCATGGGCGAATTCATACCTAGCATGTTCATCATTTGCTGGAGGACCTCGGGCGACATATTAGGCATGTTGCCGAAAGGGTTAGCACCGGCACCTGCGCCTGCGCCAGCACCCGCGGCGGGAGCGGGTTGTCCTGGGAAGCCGGCATTTGCGCCGAAAAGACCTGCGAATGGGTTCGGGGGCGGACTCGAAGGGCTCTGTGCGGTGTTCGCTTGACCTTGACTAGCGTCCGTGCTGCCACCTTCGGCCGGTGCACTTCCTGCCGTCGCCGGGGCCGTGCCCGTACCAGCCGCTCCTTGACCCGGCTGCGGTGCTCCAAGCGGGCCAAAGAAAGCACTAAACGGGTTGGCAGCGCCAGCACCACCAGCTCCAGGAAGTTGAATATTGCCCCAAGACGACGGATCGAAAGGGTTAGGTTGAGCGCCCGCGGTTTGGCCAGTACCACCGTTGTTAGTTCCCGTAGTGCTGGTGTTCGCGGAGGCGTCGCCGGGAGTATTGTCAGTGACTCCAGGCATGGGAAAAGCATTCTGAGCGGCTTGGCGGCCGCCGAGAGCTCGTTGTAATCTGGCGGCTCCACGCAAAGCCTCGGGACTGGTCATCATATGACGGAAGAGCGGCGATCGTACTATCTCACGGGCGTTGGGGTTGTTTCGTAGCATGGGATTCGATTGGATCATCATGTCGATGAAGGCGTCGTTATTCATCATCTCGTTCATCTGTTGCGCAACATGTGGGTTACTAAGCATGTTGGCCAGTTGATCCTCATCCATGATAGAACCGACCATCTGCGTGAAAGAATAAGTTAGCAATTAACCCTAGGAATTACTAACAATGATAATATGAGAAATATTGACTTACTCCTCCGTCAGGACCGAACATGTCGGCGGACGGTAGGTTCGTTAGACCAGCATATCTAGCGCCCGTCAAACCCGCCAAAGGGTTGTTAGCCGTACCAGCAGCCATATTAGTGGGAATCTGGGGCACAGCAGGCGCAGAAGAGGATGTAGACGAGGCGGCGGGAGGAGTCGGGTTGCTGGCAGCGCTCTTGACTAGATGAACAGTGTTGCCGTTCTTGATCTTGTATGTGCTTAAAGCATCGTCGTTCTTCATGACACGGCCGGAGTAGATCAGGCGCTGTCGTTCAATGGGGATATTCTCGAACTCGGCTCCCGCAAGCTTGTTCTTTAGATCGGAAACGGTGGCAGTCTCGGCCATGGTAATAGTATGCTGAGTTTCGCCTGAGGTTCTCACCTTAAAGGTGATTTGAGGGTCAGAGCTGCCCTCAGCTGAGTCGGCCATTTTCGGGGATCGGCGTCAATTGATTGATGCTATGTTGAGTAATTCGGGGATTACGTTGGTCTGTGGGAGACGACGATGGTAACGGACGGAAATAGAATATTAAGAAAAGATGAGTTCGTCAATTCAGAATGGATAGAAAGGTCAGGAAAGGGAATAATAGAAAGCCTGACCAGTCCAGTCAAAAACGAAATTGATCAGTCAGTCGATGCAGGCGGCGATGGGTTTAGATCGGGCGACGTATGATTGGTGATAGAAATGTTGGCTTGGTGATGATTGTTCAGGGTAGGTAATTTGCAGGTATAATTGCAGGTAATGGCAAGTAATTGTTTCCCCAAGTCGTATCTGTCTAAGGTAACTAAGCTAATATTTGTTGCGACGTGGGGCAATAAAAGGTTACTACCGGCTGGGTCCGATTATCGAATGGTACTTCCTGTCATATATACTAGGTACTAATTCGATACAAATAGAACAGGGTCTATGTAGTTTTCCTAAGAAAAAGAAACGTCGAAGGAAATAACAAGATTAATATTCATATGACTTATAAAAGACTATCAAAGTACTTGAAAGTTGAAAGAAGTTCCTAATCCCTTAAATAAACTAACTAAATAACATAAGGGATAGAAATCACGTCGATGCGCCGAGTTAAAAAATAATGGTGTTGAATTATGTACATTTACAGCAATATTAAAGTACCTTCTGTTAATACGATCAAGTACCCCCCAGTCAGCCTCGCCGATGGCCCCTCGTTTTTGGAGACCAGATAGGTAACGACTAGCGCTTTCTGCTGAAGTAAGGTTCTTTCACCATCCATGCCCTTCTGGCTGCAATCAACCTTACCTTCTACTACCTCTAGTTCGCTGCCTAAGGAAATTTCTATCCGGCGCCGTAGTAGGGCACATTTAGTGACTTCTTTCGGCCTATCTTTAGACCTACCGACCTACATATGCGTCGCATCTTCCCTTCCGAGTGCGGAGCATCTATTTACGATCTTATGCATGCACAGGACATTTTGAGTTAAAAAATGACATCAGAAGAGCTACGTAATATTCAATTCAGAATTCCTTATTTTCCTTTCCCTTTTATATATTTAACCAATTCCTGTCATCATTGTCTAAAGGGGCACTCTCGTGTCTTCGGACTCTTCTGTAAACCAATCATCAGCAAGCAATTGTTCTGCCGTCGGCCTATCCCTTGGATCCAATTTCATAATCTTAAGGACAAATTCCTTGTCTACAGGTGAGATCTCTCTAGACGTAACAAGATGGAACGGCTTCTCTGGAGGACCCATAAGATGGAGTGCATTGACGACCCTGATCACATCGGGGTCCTTGAAGTCATCATACGACTTAGGAAAGGGGCCGAAGAATTTATACATGCGTTTGAGAACCGTGTATAAATATTCTTCATCTTCCAGCTTATATCCTTCAATGGCCGGATTGAATAAATGGTAGTCCCCGCCATAAATCAGGCTTAAGATCTACAGCGCAAACTAGCATCGACTGCTGATTTTCTCGACATCGACGTATCATACCGCGTTACCGAATGACCATATATCAGTAGCTGTACCCCAATGAAGTTGGAAAGCGGCTTCTGGACTACGACTGATGGCAGCACCGATTAATTGGCCTTCTTTTGCGAATTGCGAGTCCTATGGAACGACGCCGCCGCAATCGCCAAGCTGTATAGTGGAGAAGCGTTCGCCATTATGGCCGTGATTCGCAAAAACATTGTCTAGCTTCACGTCTAGATACGGCGGAACAAGAAGTAAGTCGCTGTTCTATACGAATTAAAGATATATGACATACTTGTGTGTACTAGTTCATCCTTATGGAACACACTCGGAGCTTCAAGAATGCTCTTTGCAACTTGCTTGATTTTGGGCCGTGATAATCGCTCCTTGTTAGATGCGCTTAATAGATCCGTATCTAGATATTGCAAGACAATACTGGACGGTTCGGATGGTTGTTGAATTTCGTCTAATAGTGGTCGTAAATGAGTGGTTTTAGATTGATATTGCTTCAGAATGGCGGACTCATTCTGTAAGCGCCAATGCTTTGGGACGCTCTTGAGGATGCATTTCTCTTCCTCGCAATTCCTAAATCGAGGGGTGAGTGAAGATCTTGCCAGTAGAACTATGAGCGAACATCAACTTGCCTTGCTAGAAACACGACACCATTGTCGGTAGATTTATATAATTCCTTTACTAGGGAGTATGTCGAGAGGCGACCTTTCAGGATTTGGCCTGGTTTTAAAATCGAAGCCATCCCTGCGAGTCGGGATTCTCAATTCCTTTGTAGATTGATTGATTCCAAATCTTGTCGACGTCACAATTTCACAGAATGCGATAAACCAAAAATTTATATCAATTTAGACGGATAAAATTTTCATTTGCCAGGTTTAACAAACACCAGTTTATTTTCTCATCCATAATTATCTATTTAGTAAGGTCCCGGGGTGCTGGCGCCAGCGACGCATCGCTCGTGTAACTCGAAAAACTGCGGGCTACGTATATCGACATAAAAATCTTGCTCAAAATAATAGCAAAAAAATACTATATCGAGTAAATACCTGCCTAGGAAGGTAAGCGAATATCGTGTCTCACTTGGGGAAGCATTTGGTTGTGAATCGCTTTTTGATGCCTCTTTGGGGGTAGCAGGGCCGGTTTACGCCACGTAGGAGTGTAAATTGTTTATTAACGCCCATGTCTCTTGATTAATATTTTTCTTGTCATCCAAAACATTCATCGCAATGGATACTTGTAATCTCGAACCAGATCAACTCGAAAAGTACGTTTGTCGGACACTGGAGATTGTTGATTACACGTTGGATGACGCCGAACTTGAGCGTCGATGTCCTCTTGACCATGGACGACACATTGTTCAGCCTCGAGAGTCGCTAGGTCAGCTCGATACACTTCCCTATGAGCTTGTCGCTGATATACTCCTCGCATTGGATCTGCCGTCATTAGTAACTTTCCGACGTGTCAACTGCCGAGCAATCGGTCTCATTGACTCTTTACACGAGTACAGGATGATATCAGAAAACTGTATCAACGTACTCCGCGCCGCCGTCAGCCTTGATGCAACTAGCTTTTCTTGCTGGGATTTATACCAAACACTTTCTACAAGTAACTGCGACACATGCTCCTGGTTCGGTGGTTATTTGTACCTCATCACTGGTAAGCGGGTGTGCTGGTCCTGCTTTACGAGGCAACAGAGGTACTTCCCCTTATTGGCTGGTGAGATAACAAGATATACTGGACTGTCAGGAGGAGCACTCGTATCTTTACCACACATAACCAGCCTCCCAGGATGTTACACTCCATTTCTGGATGTATCAAAGGAGAGAATTCTGCTCTACGATCAGCGAGCCGTGTTCGATGCATCTCCAAAACTCCCATCCCATGAATTCTACAGTGAGATCCAGGGGCGGGATCTCCTTGCGATGGAGCCTCGACGGTACATGGCGATTATTTCAGCACCTTACTTCAGGCCTTCAGATTTAACCGTGGATTGGGGTTACTATTGTGCCGGGTGTAAGGGCCACGAGGAATTCCCGCAGCACTTCCGGGATAAATACACCGAGGATGGTATTATCAATCATATCAAGCGGCGTGGGATGAGCCCAGGCGCACAGGATAACGATGAAGGCCCTTGCTTCGTGCAACACCACCAAGGCGGTGTGACCTGCAGTCATCAAAGCAAAGTAAGGGAAATTACTCAAAGTAGACCTGAGTAAAAAATCCAATCAAATTGCGTGGTGTATCGGGTATAAAAAGAGGCGTCTGGCTTTCAATGATACTTGGTGGTTTTAATGGGGGAAAATGCGAATGTCGCTTTTGGGTGGATCTCGGGATCCTAACTGACATTAATGATATTCATAAATCCGTATAGGGGCGTCCTTTGGAGCATAATTAGCAGAATGAAAACTCGAATTAACCTAGAGCTAAAATCTGACTTGAACCTTCTAGACGATCGCTTAATTGTTCAACAAGAAATCAAAAATGGTAGGCTTGACCGTATCCACCTCCAGCATAGTCTGGACTTCCTCATCTAAGCTGTTCAAAAATCTTTCTTGATCCCACTTCGGCTGCCACCCGAGATTATACGAATTCACCGGGACAAGGTCGCCGCTAAGTTATCCATTAGACACCATGTTTCTAGCGATAAAGGGGGACGCTCACCTAGAAGTAGCCATAGCCCGAATGAATCGTCGTGGAAATCCTAATTGATCTGCTGCTAGTTCATAGCTAGGCCACAACTGTGCTTTGGGCTCTGCCACAAGCCCACGCTCATGCATGGACTTGGCGATACCGTCCATGACTTCCCACCAAGGACACTTGTGAACCGTAGCAAAGTAATAACCCTTCTCGCCGCTCGGAATGGGCTCTTTGTGGGTGACTTTCTCTACAAGAAGGGCATAAAGTGCGGCTAGATCTGAGATGTGCGTCGCAGGCGGGGCCTACTGGGATATCAGCATCAATATAAATAAAAGGTGGACAGGAATACGTACACCATCCTTATCAAACTTATATACGATTTTATTCGCGATGGCGGTTCTAATAGAGGCCGGGATATTGACGGATACCTTCCTCCACTCGCCGGCGCCTCTCCCGTCTATTAAGAGTGAGCCCGAATGCGACGTATGGACAATGTAATAAGGTGATACTCACAAACCATCGGGACGGCAACATTAAAGCTCGTAACCCCCAATTCTTTAGACAACTCCGCAACGAGAATATTCGTCTTGCGAAAGAGTTAGAAATAATGCTCGTTGCGATGAGGTGCGAATAGAATAACTTACATGTCGAGCGGGGTGGAGGTCTCCTATTTCCTTCTCCTTTTCAAAAATTGGGTCGGAATCTCTCACTTCCCCGTATGTCCAACCAGCCTCTTCCGAAAAGAGGGTGGTTAGCGACGACTAGCACCAGATAAATTAGCCGCCTAGCAGTGGGCGACTGGGGGGAGAGTCTCACATGAATGAAATACGCATCTTTTCCACTGATTCTGCGGTGTTCGCCAAGGGCTTTAATGAGGTGAGACACAAGAGCCGCTTCTGAAGAGCTTGCAGTGTGAATGATGAAATTAACTGAAAAAGCATCAGCCATGTAGCGTGGTAAAGTTGACATATGAACATACTATTATTCTTAAGTACGACTTCTTTGACCGCATCTTCGTCTCGGAGATTGAGTTGAACTACATTGACGCCGAGTTTTGACAGGCTCTGAACCTGTTCTTCGGAGCGAACCGCGGCAATGATGTTCTTTGCTTTAACGAGGCCACTCGTGCGAGATAGGAGTTCCGCGAGAACAGAACCTCCGCTGCGAATCTGTTAGCCTATCGTAGTAAAAGGCGAAGTATCATACATATAGCCAGCAGCGCCGGTGATGAGGATATTTAGGCTCATGATGTTGATTTGGTGGGGAGTTGGATGTTCTGGTACTATGGAGGGATATTTCACTTACTGAATGGAAGAGCGAGCAGCTACTTATAATCAAGATGTAGAATTTCCCTTCACATTAACTATAGATGGAGGCGCATCTTGTTTGTGATGCATCGACACTGAGCTCAAGTGAGATCGCTAGCAAACTAGCCAATCAGATCCCCTGACACTAATCGGAAACCCGCGCGAATCCGTTGCTGGCGTGCACGCTAGGATTTGTCATCGTTCGACTTGTCGCTAATATGAATTGTCGCCTATGATTAACTTAATTCTGACGTCCTTCTAGAAAAACATGATGTGAAAATGGATTCCCGCGGGAATGATGCTGACAAGCGACCGAGGGGTCGTTTGGCGATCGCGAGACGTTCGGTGAGATCAAGCACTGAAACCCCAAATCGTCAATCGCACATATGCTAATCATTGGCGCAATAGTGTGACCAATGTCGCTCTCGAAAGGTAACTTTGAAGTCCGAGTCCGAGGTATTCGTCCGTCGGTCGAATGCGTGTTAACAATTAGTCATTGAGTAGATTGGCTGCGATAGAGGATCCCCTTGTTCGAATTGTGTATCTGCTAGACTTAATTGTACCCACAGCACCATCGCAGCGAAGACGACAACTCCTAAGCAAAGGGTGTTGATCTCGGCGGAATAGTGAGTGTGCTTCACAGAACCCTTCCAATCCTCATCGATGTACTTATTCTTTTGTTTAGCGAACAGAAAATTGACGAGATTGCTAAAAGTGTTGATGGCATCAAGCTTCTTTTACAAGAGCGCAATGGGTCCCCAGATGCGAAACAGTCCGAACCTCATCTTAAATTAGTGGGTGCACCAAAACCTCCAACAGAGAATCAGCCAGCTTCTTCATGTGGGGATGGATTCTTATGGGATCATTCTATGCATATTATCGATTTTGTCAAGGCGGTCGTTGAAGACACTGGTTCAAAAGATGACATCACGCCCGAGACAGCTGAAATCCTCTCATCGCTGAAGAGAGTTCTACACACTCTGGAAGACCCCGTTTTCGCGGCGAACCAGAATCCCTTGCGATCCAAGGTCGTTAAATACCAGACAGGTCCTTCTATGCCCCCTTTAGATGCTGTCGTGGCGGTACTTCGATGGGCTAAAGGTCAGTTAGGCGAGAACACGGCTCGCGAACACGCTAATATGAATTGTAGAACATAGTAGATATTCTAGGATTGCTTGGATTTCTCGGATACTTCCTCTCGAGAAGTTCGCTGAGATCTGTCGAAAAGTCTACTTCGCTGTTGACGACTATAGTGAGATCGATCTCGTGCTTGCTAATGGGTACTTATCCCACATATTTTCTGAGCATGTCGTTATATCCGGACTTCGGGACTATCGAGAGTACTCTCAGCTCTGTCGCAAGAACCTTCATAATGCCCTATCGAGACTCCCACTTCTCTTACCGGCATCCATGGAGGTTATCGCCGCGTTGGCGCTTGGGGTGAGTATCTTCGGTTCTATCTCTAAAGGGTGCTGACAGCTAACATATAAACAGACGTTCAATGCAGTCGAGAATTCTAAAGCTACGATGGCGTGGACGTTTATTTCTGCTGCCTCGGATCTTTGTCAAAGATTAGGATATCATCGTTCTCGTCCTCCGAGAGATGATGACAAATCTCTGCGAGCTGCCCAAGAACGTCTATTTTGGACTATCCACAGAATGGACAAGGGACTTTCGTTTCGCTTCGGTCGCCCGTCGAATATCCGTGATGCTGAGATTACACTGCCACATAATCCGAAGGAGCCACGGTTTACCAAAGTTGCAAGAATCCAGGGGAGAGCATACGATGAACTTTATAGCCCAGCAGCTCTATCTCGACCGATTGCTGAACGTGCCCGAATAATTGAGATACTTGGTACAGAGTTACGAGTACTGATAGGCGAAACGCATGCCGAAATCTTCGTATGCATCCAACACTTTTGTTAAGTAATTTCTGAAGGCTCGCTAACGGATAATCGTAGGATGCCACCAATCAACCAGGCGACAGCGAGGCAGATCCGATGCGAGTGGTGTACTTACAATGCGACCTGGTTTGCCAATATTCGTTACTCGCTTTGATTTGGCGGGCAGCTCCTGTCGTACAAGGCCCCTCAAGTGTCTCGGAAGATTGCGTAGCGATCGCTCGCGAGACTCTAGATATTCACCATCAGTGTATGCTGGCCGTCAATAATTGCAAAGGCGATCCATCTATGGTCATTAGATATATAAACTGGTGAGCAGGCTCATTTCTTTTTGACGATGTTGCACTTCTTGGGAGGATACGAATTAATGATTGAAAACTTGTTAGGGCGATTATGCATATTCCTTTCGTCCCATTCAGTATTCTCTTTACCCGCGCCATTCAGCTATTGGATTTCGCCGATCTAGCTCGCTTGGAAAATTTCGCGACTTCTCTGGGGCCGGGGACGGATTCCTCGGAGTCGTTTACACATCCCTACCGACTGTATGATCTTCTCTGCAAGGCTGCACGGATTTACATTGACAGAAACATCCCCTCATCGTCCACGGATGCAACTTTGGTCGACAACCCATCGATTTCCTTGGGACAATTCGATTTCGGAAGCATTGTGCCGGATGCAGGGATGGTAGAAGGTGGAAACTTGGGAATTGATGATGCCCAGATGTACGACTTGAGTGATTGGTATTACAGCAACCAGCAGATCATGAACTTGTTGGATGAAGATTTAATGTTTTGAATTTCTCAGCAGCTCTAGAGATATTATATATGAGAGGATTTATGTAAGCCGCTACTATCTTATGCTGAAAGCATACCCTGCACAAATGTTAAGCAAATTGAGCTTATGCATCGGCTAAGGGTATGAAGCTAGACCAAAATGAGAAACTTACCTCGGTATGTATTCGTCTAGTGTTCCCCATGGGGCAAGTTCCAAGGATAATCCACCTTAATTTCCAATATGAATGTTTCCTACACCAGTATTCTTACCTTCATCATTTCATTAGTGATATTTCTTTAATTCATTAATATCTCTCTGATCCATATGAGCCGTCTTAAATTCTTGAGATAAAGCACTCAATTGTATAGTATACTTGTGTTGTTGCTACTAGAGATTACATTCCATTCATCACAAAAAAGCAATTATGAGGGGGATTCAAGTTAATCAATATATCAAGGTGCGAATAATTTCATGAAAATATAAGAAGAGGAATTGGCTTCATCATATAACTACCTACTGACACAACAACAGGGCCCAAAAGAGCTCAAAGTAACCGAGCTCCCCGATCCAACACCCAGGCCGGACCAATACCTCATTGAGGTCCACGCCGCCGCCACCAATTTCTTCGACATACTCCAAATTCAAGGAAAATACCAAAGTCAACCTCGTAAGTCCATACTCACCCCAATCTTACTCATCTACCACCTAATCAATGAAACTTAGCCCTTCCATGGGTCTCCGGCGCCGAATTCTCAGGCATCGTCCTAGCAACTCCCACAAACGCCAAATCCCCCAAATTCCCCATAGGTAGCCGGGTCTTCGGCGCGAGCCAAGGCGCATACGCAACACGCGTATGTGCCGCAGAACCCGAACTCCTCCCGGTACCAAACGGATGGTCCTTCGTCGACGCAGCAGGTCTCTTCGTCACCGCGCCCACAAGCTACGGCGCGCTTGTCCTACGCGCCGGTATCAAAGCCGGTGATTGGGTATTAGTCCACGCGGCTGCGGGTGGAGTCGGACTCGCTGCCGTGCAAGTCGCTAAAGCGTTCGGCGCGACGGTTATCGCGACCGCGGGGACGCCGCGGAAGTTAGAAGTCGCGAAGCAATTTGGTGCGGATCATGTTGTGGATTATCGCGATGCGGGTTGGCCCGATAAAGTTAAGAAATTGACGCCGAAGGGTAGGGGTGTGGATATTGTGTATGATCCCGTGGGCGTGGTGGATAAGAGCACTAAGTGTATTGCGTGGAATGGGCGTATTTTGGTTATTGGGTTTGCGGCGGGGCAGATTGAGAAGGTGGCTATGAATAAGGTACTTCTTAAGAATATTAGCTTGGTTGGCATTCATTGGGGTGCGTATGCGAAGTTTGAGAGGGAATCGATTCCGGTCGTTTGGGAGGGTATTGGGAAGTTGATAGAGCAGGGCAAGTTTAAGGGTACAGTATTTGCGGATAAGGAGTTTGTTGGACTGGAGAATATTCCCGATGCGCTGTTGGCCTTGGGAAGCAGGGAAACGTGGGGCAAGGTCGTTGTGAAGATTCCGCAATCTGGAGAGAGCAAGCTATAGGGATGCATTATAAAACCTCTTTACGATTAAAGCATTTGTAGATAGATGATACGAAATTAGACCAAACGGCTATTTTTGTCATTTTTGATTTCCTAGGTCACCTAATCCAAATTCCTTCCAGTACGTTGATTTCAATGAAAACCGTATGGTATACATCATGACCTCATTAGGTACCTACCTAGTTAACCAAATACTATATCAATCTACAATTTCCGTCAATAGCGCATGTCCCTCATAGCCCATATATTTGACTTGGATCTGTATGCTCTCCAGCACCCTGCGCTTCATCTCCGACGCCGTCTTGATGATATCCGTATTTACGAATGCACCATGTGAGCTACTGAACTCATATTTCTTCAGTATACCCCACATCCTCTCCAGTTCACTCGGGTTCAGCGGGATCATGTTTGGGATGCTCCACATGAACGAGTAACTATTCATGCCCCGAGGCCGTGTTCGGGTGCTGCCCACCGCGTTCGTATCCCAACTACCCAGCCCAGCGGGCGTGGTAACTAGTGTATCGGCGATTAGGAGATGCTTGTCGTACAGCGACACAAAGGACCCTGGGAAATGCCCGCCGAGTTTAAGGACCATGACACCGGATGACCCCCCGTCGATTTGCAAGTCAAGCTCCGTTTCTTCAACGAACACTTGGTGCGCCGAGCTCTGCGTCGTCCATTGTTTGTCCTCAGCTGCTAGGTAAACGGGACAATTGAAAGCGCGAGCCCACTCAACATGTGTCGTGTAATAGTGGGGATGCGAGATGACAATAGCCTTAAGACCGCCCAAACCCTTGATTCTATCAATGGTTTCTTCGTCAATCAGCGTCAGACAATCCCACAATACGTTGCCTTTAGGTGTTTTGATGAGAATAGCACGCTGTCCAATGGCGACCTTGGGTTCTATGACGATAGATACAAATCTATCATCCCCTTTGAATGGTATCCACGTATTCTTGGCATTTGAACGGAGCTCGTCGAGGGTAGTGAAGGCCTGCCCCGTTGGTGGGGTGAATTGTCGTGGATCATCACAGATGAAGCACGTTTTCAATTCTTGTCGATCTGCTGTGGGAAACTGGGTTCCGCATGCGGTGCAAATAAGCCATGACCCTGTTCTGCTAGGATCGTATGATGGCTCGCTGGATGCCATGGCTGGCAAATGTAGGTCTGAGGTATCGTGACTTTTCGATGCCGGCTCTTAGCGACGCTTCTCAGGTCTAATCCTGGATTGGATGTTTCCTACTCCCAACTCAATGGAGACTCTCTAAGTCAGTGTATTTATAATACTTCGCCTTACTGACTTGAAGTATTCTGCGAAATCTAGGTTATATCTTGTAGAAGTTGAATTCGAATTCGCCTATGTTCTATAGATACAGGCATCATCAACTGAATTATAGGTGCCTATATCGCTGGAAGCACCTCTGCGGGGTACATTGGTGGGGTGAGATTTGGAGAAGTGGGGGAACGATATAGGGCAATAGTTGTGTAACGTAAAACAAGGGAACAGTATCAGGTGGTTCGATTTATATGTACTACTAAGTTGGATATAGCAAATAGCGGCAACTAGCAAAGTATTGACGAATGAGGGATAAAGAAGGTAAGCATCGCTCTATGTTCGGAAGTTATAGCCGGCTATCGACGGCCGGTGAAGAAGCCCGGTGAGTTGCATATTAAAATGCGGGGATTTGCGAACTACATCCGGATGATGGCCTATAGTAGAAGTCCCCTTATCTTTTTTTAAGCCGATAACCTTTGCATTCCAGATACATAATAATAACTCCCTCTCCTTCTCTCTCGTTTTTAAGCTTTATTTGTTCTCATGCAACCTTTTTCGTCATCTTGACGTTGTATTTGAGTGGGTGTTAGTTTTCTCTCTTAAATTTGTAGAAATTGTACACAATGGTCTTCTTTCTTGACTACATCCAACATAAACGAGACTGGTAAGTACCTTTTCCTATCTTTACCCACAATTCACCACATACCAGTACATACCCGATTTCGGCTACTTCCGATTGATATTTCTCACACTTACAACGAATTAGCAAGTTTAAGCAGAATGAGCGAGCAGAGAGAATTCGGGCCTTGACCCAATACCGCGGTCCCTTTACCGCATTGGATCGAGAAATCATCGACAAGCCAATAGAAGAATTGGTGCAAGATGTACAAAAAGGCGTACTTGACCCTATTGAACTTCTCCACACTTATGGCAAGGTTGCCATCAAAGCGCACGAGAAGACAAATTGTCTTACGGAAGTCATGATATCTGCTGCCGAAGGTTGGGTTAAAGATGGTTCCATCAACTTCAAGGGTCCATTGGCTGGAATTCCTGTGAGCTTAAAAGACACCATCAATGTTGGCGGCTTCGACTCCACAGTTGGCTACAGCAGCTTCGTTGGAAATAAGCCATCTCAAGATGGGGGTCATACCCGCTTACTGAAGGACGCTGGCGCTATCCCCTATGTTAAGACCAATATGCCTATCACTCTTCTGAGCTTCGAGTCGACGAATGATGTATGGGGTCGATGCACCAATCCCCACAACAACAAGTACTCTCCGGGTGGGTCCACTGGGGGTGAAGCAGCTTTACTGGCGTTAGGTGGAAGGATCGGAATCGGAAGCGATGTTGCCGGAAGTGTTCGGGCTCCCGCACATTTCTCCGGTATCTACAGTCTGCGATGCTCGACTGGACGATGGCCGAAAGCCGGATTTGCGACGAGTATGCCCGGTCAAGAAGGTGTTCCCAGCGTGTATAGCCCTATGACGAGAACCTTAAACGACTTGACATATTTCACCCGCGCCGTTGTCGAAATGCAACCTTGGAAATACGACCATACTATTCACCCCTTACCGTGGAGACCCGAGGTGGAGAAGGAATATGCGACAAAGGAAAAGTTTCGCGTAGGCGTGATGAGGACGGATGGCGTCGTAGATCCGAGTCCCGCATGCCTGCGAGCGCTAGAAAAGACGGAAGCTGCTTTAAGGGAAGCCGGTCATGAGATTGTTGAAATTGACCCGCCATCACCATACGAGGCACTTCGACTCGGCGCTCTCCTATTGAATGCTGACGGTTGCCAGATGTTCAAGTCGTTCTTCCGATTTGGCGAGTGGGATGATCCGGGTGCCGACCAAATGGACTTCCTTATGAGGCTGCCGCGACCACTTAAATACCTTTACTACCTGTGGGTGAAGTACATCCGAAGGGATAATGTATGGGCTGGCCTCATTAAGGACTGGCATGCGAAGACTGCATTCGAACAGTGGAAGCTAGTGAGCCAGCGGGAGGCATATAAAGCCAAGTGGTTCGATTGGTGGGAGAGTGTCGACGTTGACTTCTTAATTACACCACCTAATGCAACACCGGCCGTACCTCATGATGGTATGAAAGAGGCTGTTAGTAGCTGTGGTTACACGTTCCTCTTCAATATTGTAAGTACATTCCTCGAATATCATCACCCTGGTCAGAATACTCATTTATATCCGATAGGTCGACTATACATGCGGTATAATTCCTGTGACGCATGTTGATAAGGATCTTGATAAGTTGCCATCCACGTTCAACATCAAGAAGCTGAATGGAGTTGCTCAAGGCGCATACAAGTTGTACGACGCCGAGGCGATGCACGGACTACCCGTCGCAGTGCAAATTGTTGGACGAAGATTAGAAGAAGAAAAGGTGCTTGCAATCATGAAGAGAGTTGAGGATGCTCTAGGTGATGAGAAGTACACCTTGCTTGAGATAGATTGAGGTGGTGGTTTTGGAGTGGTTAGATCTGGGTAGATCTTACGGTACCCCATTTGTATGCGATGATTTCAAAAGAAGGCAGTCATCCATGATTCAAATCCGAGCAAGTACCCAAATAAAGATTCAGGTAAACCAATGCGCACTCCTGTGATTTAAAGTGAATCCACAAACACCCATAGTGCCCCTTGCATGTTGATGTGGTGCGCTGTTAAGGAGTTGGCGAGTACTCCGATTTCGGGCAACCACCTAAGGGTGCTACTAGTTCGGACCCGGGAACTTCTTTATATAAGTCTACCTTCACCCGTATAATTCGGTAGATATACCAGAAACCCATGAAACTCATTAATAAGTGTTGAGGTAACTTCTTTCGGGAAAAACATTGTCGCATAATTCTTACCACGCTAAACTCGAAGTGTGACAGTTGAATCCGCATATACCTCTCAAACGATGGCTGAAAAGAAAGACCATTGGTCGTCGGATGTAAGTCGAAGAACTTCGCTATTGATAATTGATTTAAACACGAGAAGTATCGTATCCTTATCGGCGTTGTGTGACATTTGTTCTGATTCGTTTCCGTGTCATAGGCGTACCAGACCGCGGCTTCGTTTGTTCCTAAGCTGGCCACCAAAATCGTGCAATGGCTTGATCCACAGAAAGACGACGTAATCCTAGATATCGGCTGCGGTGGTAAGTTCTAATGGCCCGTTGATCTGGTACTGCTGACTCGCGGACTTACCATAATTATAGATGGTGTGGTCAACATACAAATGCAAGAAGTCTTAGCCCAGGGCAGCGGCAGTATCCACGGCACAGACTCCTCACCAGCCATGGTCGACGCAGCAAAAGCAGCAGCAGCTAAAGCCGGCGCTTCAAAGTGCACATTCGAAGGTACCTGAACTTTCCTAAATACCTACTAATGTACCCAATACTTCCACCGCCACCACCGTCATAATTCCCTCCCCCTCTCAGCCACCGTAACACCGGACCCCCTACATCATCCGTACTTCCCTAAGTACCAGGTACTTGAGTGCTAACCCACGGAAGTCGTCGACGCTCTCGAACTCTCAAAAGCAAAACACCTCCAAGACGCCCACTTCACCAAGCTCTTCTCCAACGCAGCCCTACACTGGGTCCTCGGGTCCCGCAAAACAGACCCCACGCAGCAAACCGCCTTCTTCAAAGCCGCCCGCGACGCCCTAGCACCCGGCGGCGTATTCGCCTTTGAGATGGGCGGGCTGGGTAACGTATCTGAAATGCGAGCCGCTCTTCTAGGTGCTGTGACTCGACGGGTGGGACTGGATAAAGCGTTGGAGTATGATCCTTGGTTCTTTCCTGATGAGGAGTGGGCTAAGGATATTCTGGAGAATAAGGTAGGTGGGTGGAAAGTTGAGCGCGCGGAGCGTGAGTGGAGGCCTACGAAGGCGGATGTAGGTGGTGTAGAGGGTTGGGTTAGGTTGTTTGGTGCGCAGTTCTTTGAGGCATTGCCGCAGGGGACGGAGAGGGAGGGGTGTATTAAGGAGGTTGTAGATGTGTTGGAGGCTGTGTGTAAGAATCCGAGTGGTGGGTTTCATCTTGGGTATGTGAGGTTGAGGGTTTTGGCTAGGAAGTTATGAGTGGGCAGGTTTATGGTTAGGAGATGAATAACTTCATTCTCTGTTTAGATACAGCTGAAAGTAAATACAAGTCGAAAAGGGAACGACTTCAATCTCTAGAGATGCTGGAAATCGATAACTTTGTGATTTAAAATAGTAACAGGATAAGTTTTTGCCCCAGCTCATTTTTTACACAAACTCACATGAGAGACCCTTAACACGCTTTCCAAAACCTACTCCAAATAAATCAAATATCAAGAAGCAATGTTACCCGTCAATGCAGAGTTGACAAGCCAGTCATCAGCCATACCCGTCCACTCAAAAATCCCATCAGTTCTCGCGTGTTCGGATAGGAAGAGTCATATGCTACACGCTAATCAGCCATTAGTAACCTATCATATACGATAGACCTTACCATATTAGCCAAACCATCATGCTGATTTCCCCGTTGTGCTTTCGTCCGACACGTCCGTGCTGCGAACCGGCGCTTCGAATAGTCAATTTTTCGGTAGGAGACTGATCTCCGCAGACGGATATCCGCTCGACAATGATGTTGGCAGTGGTGGTTAGGAGTTGGGGAGGTAAGGTTCGAAGTTAAACTGCATTGATGCTCTTCAAATGGAGGCCGAGGAACAAGCGTCTCGCCGGAGAGGTTTGACGGGACCTGTCCGAAGAAACCGATTGGGCGGCTTTTATGCAAGGACACGCGCGTGTTGGGGGAATCGCCGACGTGGGAAGGATACACTAGGTTCATACCGAATGGAATAAAACTGTAATCATCGTCGCATTCCGCTGAAGTGGAAATACTTTGCGTATCGTGATTATCGTCATCCGAGGTGAGATGCTTTTGCGTAGTGAAAATATCTTTTACAGTAGAGGTTACTTGTTTATTGACGTGCTCAACACCAAGAGACTTCCGCAAGTCTTCTGGTTCATTCTTTTTGCTTTTCTCGCGGCGTAGGGCATTGCGGCGGTGATGATGATAAAGTCTCAATATGCTGAGTAACTTCGAGGCATACTCTGAAGCCTCTGGGATTATTACAAGCATACCGATGGCGTTTGGGTGATGGCAACAGGCAATATACCTAGGTGATGTTCAGGTGGGTGCTTTCGAACTCTAGGAGTTGTCTTTATAATCCGAGATTTATTCTAGCAAATTTTATCTTCTAGTACGTTAACGCCGCGTCACTCATCTATTGTTTACCTAGGCTTCTGTCCTCGTCAGGGTGGGGGTAAGCGGCTACCTGCATGGCCCTAAGACACGGAATTTGTACGACCCAAAACAGTGCAAACGCGGCAAGGTACATTATGGTGGGGTTATCTGAGTCGATATTCTAGGGTACAGCTCTATCTGCGAGAGTTGTCGACATGATAATGCTGAATATATCGGCTTTTAAACTGTATACTTCAGAGTTCTGTGTTGGAGGCATGGCACGAAATTGATGAAGAACATTGAATCTGGGGGGTGGGTGTATGAGACACGTACCCGTTAATAAAAAGCAACTCATGTAATACACGGATAGGCACCTATAAGTCCGCTTTTGGCGTTTGAACGGTTGTATTAGGTACCTATTTAGGTACTCACCCGCCTTGAGCTGCCACTAAGACCAACTTAACGTCCATTCATCTCTCCAGGCCCCATCCGCTGTAAATGAATCTAGACCTGTGATCTTCAATGTATCACCTGAGCTTTCCAGATCCCATGTGCTGGCTTGAACATCTTTCCCATTCAACTGCACCTTCGATATAGGTCCTTGAGCTCCCAATATCGTCACATTGCCAAGGGTATTGATATCGATGAAGTTGCCTTTAGGCGTAGCTTTTAACGAAGAGTGCTCAACCGTGAACTAGAAACAAGTCATTAGTTAATTCTTGAGGGTTGCGAATTAAGAAATCAGGACACTTACGTCCACCCATGTAGTCGCATTCGGCACCAAGCTCTCGCCATCGTCTAAATAGAGCCCTCCACTGGCATGTCCGTCCGCATCTAAAGCGACAAGCAAACTCCACGGACTCGATCTAACGGCTGAAGTTGTCAGGCCTGGTTCCTGTAGCGGCACTACTTTTCCACCTCGGACGTAAACTGGGATGTGGCCCAGTGGTGCATCGATGGTAACATTCTGGCCAGCTGTGACCCCCGTGATGGACGTATGATTATACCAATCATACCAAAGAGTGCCGGAACCCACACCTGGGAAGACCCCATCGACGGTCGTAGCGCCTTGGACCAAACATGGTGTAACTAGGATCGAATCGCCGAGGAGGAACTGTCTGTCCGCATTGGCTAACCACGGCTCGCTGGGGAACTCCCAGACCAGAGCACGCATGGTTGTCGAACCGGTAGAGTGGCTTAGATAGAAGGTTGTGTATAAATACGGAAGCAGCACATAACGTATCTTCATCGCGGCTTTGGATGCATCCGCTACGGCAGACCATATATAGGGTTCTTGACTGGCTGCGCCCAACGTATTATGATTCCGATAGAATGGGAAGAATGCCGAAAGTTGCATCCAACGAGAACATAACTCCAAATCAGCATTGTCAGCAAATCCGCATGTATCCACGCCGAACATTGGGATACCAAAGAGGGAAAATGATAAGGCTTGCGGGATTGAGAAGAACATGAACGCCCAAAGAGAATAATTATCACCCCTATTTTTACTGTCAGTAAATATGTCAAGAGCCGATGGTCCAATTGACTCACCCCCAGTGACCAGCCCATTTTCCAGAGCCGGCAAATTGAGATCGACCAATAATGAATGGTCGTTTCGTAGGGAAAATGTTAAGAAGTGCATGGTACGTCGCGTTCAAGATTTGGTGTCCGTATACGTTATGAACATCGTATTCTCGAATACCGCCGTGGTGAGTCGCATTGGGGCTAACAGCATGAACGGCAAGATCGCCATGCCAGTTGTTCACGGCGTATGGCGGCCAATTGACGTTGCGAACGCCTGGAGTTGGTGTGCTACGAAGGTAGGATGTTGTGGAAGACGCTTGTGTCGCCGTAGCTGACATGGAGTCCAAGGCTGCGGATGCAGAAGCCGCTTCAGTTGCATTGGTTAGATTGAATCCCTCGGGGTAGTTCAATACCTCGTTACCGGGTTCACCCGGTAGTTGAAATGGGGGATGGGCAGGGTTGAGGCTCAACTCATTGCTGCCACAGCTACCGACGCAGAAGGAAGAGACTTCCGACATGTCGATCCAAATTCCGTCAAACTTGATCTTGCTGTAGTACTCAGCAACTTCGGATATCCACCATCGGTTCGCTCCCGTCCCATTAAATAGAGCTCCAATCCAATCCGGGAAGACTGGGGTTTTATTAGCTTCAGCATGGAGAAAGAAAGTGATGACGTACCAGTATAGCCAGGCCAAACCGCTCCGATGTAAGTAGATCCATCGGGGTTGATCAGGAAGGCATCTTCTGCGACGCCGCGATCAAAAGGTGGATATGCGTCGCTAGCATTTGAAGGGTCCGGCGCGTATATAGCCGAGTCGATGATAGGTACATAATGTTGGTTGTTTTGGTGTAAACGTGATAAGAAGTCAGCGCCTTCGGTGTAACCAAAACGATCCGGGTCGTTCTCGAAGTCCCGGTAGGCTACCATGTAATCGATGTCGGCTATTGAGATGTTAATACGCTATCGTTACTGAGTTCTCCATCGTGGTAACAAGATAGGGCTCTTACACCAGATTGTCTCGAGGGGGATCTCAAATTTGGCGAAGTTGTCGATAACATTTTGAAGGTCAGTCCAATTATTATAACCCCATCTGCATTGGTGATACCCGAAGGTCCAATACTGCTGCATTGCAGGTAACCCGATAGCGCTCTTTTGGTAGGACTTGGTAATATTATCTTGAGTGGGGCCCTCATAGAAATAGAGGTCAATGTTACCGCCTAGAGCTCTCCAAGTGATATTAGACTCTCGTAGTAGGACTTCCTGGGTATGGGCGTTACGCTGAAAGACACCGTGTGTATACGATTTATATTCAGCCGACGTGTCAGTAGCATTTGGGGCGTAAGTGATCGCGCCGGTATCCTTATCCACCTCAAAGTAACGAGTGTCCAAGTAGATGGGATGATTGCCATAGATATTCGCATCTATGATGTCTCCTACATCTGCGGCGAAGAAAGTTCCTGGCAATGTTTAGCTCATAATAGGATTTAATTATAGAAGGGCCTACATACGAGTGAGATTGTTCCCGAGTCTGAAGCCATGAATGACCTCGCCTAATCCATATAGGTTATAGTTCTCGGGCAAGGACGAGCCAAATTCAATGAATTGGTTCTCGTACACCAACTGGGAGCCTTCAGTAGTGAACAAGACGTCGCCAGTACTTTTCCTTGTGACTTTGAATGAGAAGGTGGGCTCATTACTCCAAGTGAACTCAAGGTCACTGCTTGAGGAGAAGCTATCGCTACCTTCCTCAACTTGAGGCTTTGGAATTAGTTCCTCTGGAAGAACAAACCAAGTATAATTCTCGGACCCTATATAGCGTGGTTGTATCTCGACGTGTAATCTGTCTACCGCTTGGTATTCAACAACTAAAGTGAGAGCTTCGATATCGGTTCCATAGACGTTACAAGCGTCGCCGGCCAAAGTGAGATCCGCTGTCAGCCCATTACTGGTGTTCTTCACATTAGAAGCTATATATCCCGGGCAGACAGATTGTGGGTCAATAGCTTGGGGATCGACGATATTTGGAATAATGGGCTGGCCAACATCGGCGTCTGGTGGAACAGTGTACACTGAGCTATGAGAGGATACCGTAGTCGACGGTGCCTGTTGGGCTGGAGTAAGAGTGAGAAGGGCTAATAGTGTCGCCACAAGCAGCAGTGTAGATCTAGCCATTGTGCTTCGACTCAACCGACCGGAACACCAAGACCAGGTAACTGCGAAAGAAGTAATACAACTTGAGAGGAGGAGTAAACGAGAAGCTGTATTTAATTGCCCATACCAAAGTTCAAGCCGAGTAACAAGTGGTATAATAAATGAAATAAATAAGGAGGAATCTGTGGACTGTTCGGAGTTGATATACAAGCTACTACCCTTACCGGGCAGGAGCCCTTGGCTTATAGGACTAAACGCCCGCATAATTCCACCGAGGCAATCCTGTTATTGTATCATAGACTAGAAGGAAAGGGTATGTAGCTCCAGAGCTTCCCAGAGCTTCCGAGATTATAACAACAAAATAACAGGATTTGAAAAACTCAAGTAACTTCTAAATAATAGACGGGTATATTGTGCTCGAAACATATGTGCTTGTAGTTGGACTGTGATAGCTAGAACTATCATAACAAGCTATAGCGATGGAATGAATTGCTGGTATAGAGCTGTCGTCTTTACATTGAAAGGGCTATGACGACCGCATTGTCGGTGTGGAAGACAAGGTACAATCCAAAAAATCGATCTCCAACCTCGTAAACCCCCGCACGATCATGCAATGTCGATCCATCCGATGGCCATCCGGGGAGTATTGATATGGAGTATGTTGATGATGATCGGTGGTTCTGGAAGAAGAAAAGGATTATGGCCGACATTGCTCCTCCTTGGGAGACAGGGGTGTCGGAGTTTATGTGGGTTATTTACATACCCCGCACTTTATTCATACTATGTATTTATAAGCTTCTATCCCACTACCGAATCATCGGGATATAGTTCGCCCCACTTAAGCTCTACTACTGTAATCAATTGAATTCCATCATTCTTCACCTTTACCAAACATCATCAATTTCAATATCCAACACAACCTCGTCGACGCGACCCCGAATACCTAATCTCGTAACAACAACACTACAGATCCCACTAAATTGACCATCGAAACAACTAAAACAGGAAATAACTCTACAACACCTACAATGGCCACGGCAGCTGCGCCGGCGCCTCCCTCCGAGCTCGCCAAGCAAATCCTCGAACACAAAGCACCAAGCTACAACTTCAGTTTCTCCCCCTTCCTCCGGTCAACCTACGGCCACGGCTTCCCCCCGAACCGTCCCGTCTGCAAAGCTTTTATCGCCGGCCACTGCCCGTTAGGCCCACAATGTCCCGACCGACACGTCGCGCCCAACGCAGCCAGCAGTACAAACGCAAGCTACAACTCTTTAGTATGCAAGCACTGGCTACGCGCTTTGTGCAAGAAGGGAGATAGTTGCGAGTTCCTGCACGAGTACAACCTGCGTAAGATGCCGGAGTGCAATTTCTTCGTGCGCAACGGCTACTGCTCTAATGGCGACGAGTGTCTTTACCTACATATCGATCCACAGTCGAAATTACCACCTTGTCCGCATTATGACCGGGGGTTCTGTCCTTTAGGCCCAAATTGCAGTAAGAAACATGTCCGCCGAAAGCTTTGCCCGTGTTATCTCGCTGGCTTTTGCCCCGATGGAAAGCTTTGTAAGGAGGGCGCGCATCCTAGATGGGATAGGAATCTTGAGAAACCTATTGCCAAGGCCGATGTTGTACCCGAGGAACCCGTGAGAAGAGATGATGGGTTTATGGATGATGATCAACGAGAATTCGGACAACGAGATAGGGACACTAGAGGTGGTCGGGGTGATAGATTCGGCGGTGGACGAGGTGGACGATGGAGAGGAAGAGGAGATAGGAAATTTGGACGTGGGAGAGGTCATCACTAGTGAAATGCCCTATCTTCAGATGCTTACCGACATAAGTATAACCATACTACTGCGGCCCTCCATCGAAGAGCCGATCATGCAGATGGTTGGATGGAATAAGGGTCTGTCTACACCAATCGTATCCTCGCGAACGTTGTACAATCCCAGGAGTCGGCAAACTTGATACTCCTCAGCCGCGAAAAGGGGATGCTTTCGCTACGGATACTGCCGAGTGCAGGAAGAAATGAGTCTACGATTTAGGAGCAATACCTACGTTAGGATAGGAATCATGAAAACAGGCGTTACCATTTACATGAAGCCAGAAAAGAGTTGCTCAAATACGATACCCTAGATCCAGTGTACTACCATTAGCATCGCAATTAATAAAACAAAAAGTCAATCAAATCACCATCTACGCATCGTATATATCTATATGTGATTCAAACTAAATATCTTATTCATGCAAAAGCAGTGAACTATGTCCAAGCATGGAAGGGAGCCGGTCTCATAATATCATATATACACCTCATAACCAATCATAAATCATCATATCACCACCATACCCCCTTCCCTACCATTCCATAAAGGCGAAATTGCAAACCGCCAACCCATTCTAATATGTTGAGGTAGGAGTAGATACCATCTACCTCAGACCATCCTTCCAGACATTATGTCCCCCATCATCATCCCTAGCAACAGCAATAAACTCGCTACCCTCGCCATTCTCACTACTCCCACTTCCACCTTCACTCACACTACCACTAACATTCCCGGATCCACTGCCTTCCCACGAGCTGAGCTCGTGCACACGTCGGATCCCCATCATCCAAGCAACAAGACCCCGCGGAGCCCATCGCCCAACGAACCCATAAATCCCCGCACCGAGTCCAACGCGAACGACATCACTAAGATCGGTCCCATCGACAACATCGAACACAGCATTATGCAAATCCCGCAGTGAACTACCACGCAGACCCCCAATCCGACCCGCAGCGATAGCAGAGCCGGACTGGGAAACATAATTCCTTGCGTAAGCATGGCGCGCAGCTTCCGGCCACTGCCGTGTATCATTCGCAGTCAACAGGACCGAGTTATGCGAGTGGGTATGTGGGGACGGACCCCGCACCGGTGTGAAACCCGTGAAGTCGAAGGTGCCGAGTTGTATGTGTGTGACGGGGATAGAGAGGGGGCGGAGCTCGGCTGTTAGGACTTCAGTGAATGCGGATAGTGCGGAGCAGACTGTGGCTTCTGGGGCGTGGAACGGGGGGTTGATGGAGGAGATTATAGAGGGTGTGAAGACTAGGACGCGGGGTGTGGCGGATTTCTCGCCGTAGGGTGTTATCTTCGAGGTGAGGAGTGGTAGGAAGGACTGGATCGTTAGGATGGGGTGTAATAGGTGAGTGTTGAAAAGGTCGGCAAAGCTCGACGGAGGGATCGTGGCTATCGGAGAGGTTTGATAGTTGAGAGAAGGGATTAGAATAACCGCTTTCAGGGTTAGATAATTCGGCTTCGCTCGAGGAACCGGAGCATGCGGGGCTTGTAGAAATGCGGCAAATCGTTCGATAGATTGGCCGGCTGCTGTGGGCTGGATTTGAGGTGTCAGTCATCAGATACTAGATTGTATCGACCTAGCTCACTTACATCGGTGATATCGATGCCCAACGGCTTAATGTCCGGACGCGAGAGACTTTGTACGGTAACTTCGTCTTCGATAGTATTGCAAACGACGTAGACGATAAATCCTCTCCTCTCCATATCTAGGGATAATGATTTTGTTAACGGTAATGTCGGCGACCCGGCAATAACCACGACCTCTAGCCTTCCACCATTTCGGGCCCGCTTTGCTCGACGAGTTTTGCGCAGTAATTTGGTTGCCCGCCATGTCTTGTACGAAGCATATCCAACAGAAACCACTATTATACCAGTAAGAAGTTTGTTGCGGGAGATCCAATCATGTACCCGTTCGTAGGTGGTGATGGGTACGATCACGACGGGCGGTGGTCGAGCCGGGATTGTCGGTCGTACATAATCGGGCACCCACGGAGCGGTGGCCAAAGTATCTCGGACTTCATCCGCTACTTTTTCGACAGTCTTATCGACATAGCCGGCGACTTCCTCAGAGTATCGTCGGATGTGGTTAGGGATGGACGAAAGCTATCGCATGCCCCTCTCGTTAGCCCACATTCTTTTATCTACCTTTTCGTAATACGATTCAACAGGAACGAGTAATGGGATACTGACCAAGTCCAAAAATTGTTGGTCGTCCGCAGACATGGCCGAATAATATTTGTCCCCGTACGCGTTTCTAAAGTTGGATATTGTACCGTACGTAATAGAGTCTTGGGTATTGGTGAATAGGTGAAGAGGTCGGCGAAGACGGAATTACGGTGTAAGTCGAGGTGGATCGCTTTTTTTGTTGTTTTTCTTAGAGATATGGATCCCCTGTGAGGTACTATCGATTACCTATCAATTCCCCCGATTCTCCGCAATGTTACAAGCTCCACAAAGTTCTTACTAACATCTGAAAATGGGGCATGCGGGACGATGTAATCTCCAGCCGATTACCTAATACTCTAAGTAGAGAGTATTTTAGTTAGTACAGCTAAAAATAAACAAATACTGTCCGATACACTTGAATGTTATCGAGCTTCGATACTTCCAAGCAGTTCCGCCTAAGACTCGATACCGAACGAAACGTCGCGGAGAAAATTAGAGGTTCCTCAAATGGATAACCGATCGTCCCCTTTCTGTAGGACATGCAGATGGAACAATTCCTTATAAAGTGGAAAGTGGAGGGCCATGGATATATATGTAGTCTTTGAATATTGTAAGACTTAACCGCAGTCAGCGAATCAAAACTATATGAAATCCAATCAAATACACCATCTAACTCGCGTCACAATAATTACCATTGCTCAAAATGTCCGTCAGAATCCAGAAGGATCCCAGGAGTCAGCCTGACTCCCTAAGAGAAAAATATGTTGGAACTAGGTAAAAAGTATATGTGTGTGCCGTTATCTGCGTACTGCTCCGACACCTCCGAGCCAATCTCACGAGTTCTTGTGTTACCGCGCCTCACGATACAAGGATTGCTCAATTCCAAGGACAAGGAACCTAGCGTACATAAGTACTACCAATTCTTTTTGGTAGGACTTATAGGACTTCTATTTTTCAAACTTGTTGATCACTGCGCCCAACCACAAAAATACACGGGTAACGACCACCATGTTAGCTATCAATAGCATGTTCATATTGAAGGTTCCTTACTTGATTTTAATAGCTATTGTGACTTATGTAAGTGATTTGGTGCACATTTCAAGACGATCGTTAATAGTCAAAGCTAGCGACGCTCATCATCTATCGAGTGTTTCTCCATCCCTTAGCAAGATATTCAGGACCTTTAACTGCGAAATTTACCGGCGCATATATTGGTTTCCACACTTACAAGAGACGTTTGCACTTAACAGCATGGCAAAATCATCTCAAATATGGTGAGTGGATGATTTGTTGAGGTTCAGAAGGATATCGACAAGATACTGACCGTTCACCAAGGTCCAGTAGTCAGACAAGGCCCGAATAAGCTCGTATTCAGTACAATTACAGCTACTAGAGGTAAATCTTAACATCTACGAATACGATTCTAGCCCAGCAGATGTGGCTAAGTCAGGTGGTAGATATATATCGGACAGACCTTACTACCAAACCTAAGGCATATATGACATTGGGACCTGGACTGACCAAATACAATGTTCTCACTGCTCCCGACAACCATCTACACCGAACTAGGAGGCAACTCGTCGGGCAGGCTTTAACCGACCGGTCCTTGCGAGCTTTCGAACCTACCATGATCAAGCAAATCGACATTTTCATTCGAAATGCCCTTAGTTCGGCGCAGAGGTCACAATATTTCAACATAACAGAAGAAGCTAGGCGACTAGGACTCGATATCGCAGGTCTTTTATCTTTCGGTTATGACCTCCGTCTCCAGACAGATGAACAACATCGCTTCATGCCCACAATGCTCACAGCGGGGACATTTTGGAGTAGCGTTTTCCTGCAATATCCTAACGCCCGAAAATTCCGTTTTGGATTGATTGCGGTCCAAGCCTTCCGAAAGCTACATGAGCCGTATCTATCCCTCATGCAGAAGATGATAAGTTCCCACATGGCGGAGGAAAAGGAGGCGAAGCACGATCTTTTCTCGCACATCGCCCACGCCTTTAGTGTAGACGTAGAGTCCGATGGTCTTCGAGATAGTGATCTTTGGTCTGAGGCAAATCTCTTTTTAACAGCTGGTAGGTCATACTCCCAATTGTATTGCTCGTTTTAGGAGTGGTGAAGCTTATCATAACGCAGCCGGTGACACGGTCAAAACCTCCATTAGTGCCGTGTTTTTCTACTTATCTCGCAATGCAGACCCTTACCAGAAATTGGCTGATGAAATTCGCACCACGTTCCAAAACGGGAGTGAAATCAATGGGCAAACGATTGCGGGTTGTCAATACCTACGAGCATGTGTTGACGAAGCCTTGCGAATGTCTCCGCCGGCCGCTGGTATACTATGGCGAGAGCAGGCTTCCGAAACGAGGGGTCAACCGCTTATCGTCGACGGCCACGTCATCCCGGAAGGTACAGTGATCGGCGTAAATATATATTCATTACATCACAACGAAGAATATTTCCCTGATTCGTTCACATATCGTCCAGAGCGTTGGGTTGAAGAGCTGGATCCGGAGGTCAAGAAACGCATGCGAGAAGCTTTCATCCCCTTTTCCATTGGCCCTCGTGGATGCGCGGGGAAGTCAATGGCGTATCTAGAAACTTGCCTAGTCATCGCCAAATCGTTATGGTATTTCGATTTCGAAGCCGCCCCGGGGAGTCTAGGAAGAGTTGGAGAGGGACAGCCAGGTATGGAATTGGGCAGGGAAAGAAAGGAAGAATTTCAACTATATGACACTTTTACGTCAATGCACGAAGGCCCGTATCTAAAATTTCAACCTCGGGGAAACTATTGGAAAGATTTGGCTAAGAATGAATAACAACGGGCGGTACTAGCACACTTATCCGTCAGATGGAAATTATCACAGCTCCGAGAACAAGCCACATCCTCTACTAAATTGGGTCATATATCACCTTAATTGTCTACTCGGATTGTCGTACGGTATCGCTAAAGCGTAAACCCTAACAACGCTTCATTCAACCCGCAATACCACCTTTTGCAAGTCTTAACGCTTGAAAGCCTATTTCTATACCCATTAGACCCCCTACCTAAGAGTTTAGGGCACCACAGGTATCCATCTTCTTTCCTCCCCTCCCTTCAGCGGTGTCCCCGAGGTGATCCAAAAATTATCCCGTTCCACGCGTCATCCGCACTCTTAGGCGATTTCTCAATTTCGTCATACACCCCAGGTAGTCGAGACGGCGTGAAACCCTTGGCGTCGGTTGCGGGGTCAAAAGCCGTGGGCTTAAACAGGGACCATCTAAGATAGGTAGGCTCGAACTTACTAGACGCAACAGGGAGCATGCGCCTCACGATTAATCCATGTTGGAAGAAACCCCAAAGTGGGTTAAATTCTCCTGCTAAATCGACCCGGTCTGCACTTTTCAAGCACAATGACACGAACTTCAGAAATCGCAAGTTCGAATACCTGAGACAGAGAGTATGCTCGAATCCCTTGAGGAGTGTCCCAGAAGACAAGAGGTTGTAGACGTAACGACCGTTTCTCCAAACCCTGAGAGGGCCATCGCATGGTAGTATAACTACCTTCACGCGTTTAGGTCTCAAATTGAGCCCTCTCAAACTGTCCAACAAAAGCGTCCAGTTCTTTTCGCCGTTACCGTGGAGCTTTCCGTAGCAATTATGGCATTCAAGCGTAAAGCTGCAAAGGTATTTTATCGTCACGTCTCAAACTAAAACCGCGTTTTCCGGGTCGAACTTGGTGAAGAGATTGGTCCAGGCGTCGACCTGGTCCATGTCCATGAAAAACTTTCGATAAACAATCGGCACGAGTTCGTTATAGATAGTCTTGCAAACTCGCAGTAAAGCATATCGATTACTTTCCCAACCGAACCCACGAGTCCACTCTACAGCTTCTTGGCCGCATTCAAGTTCTTGAGAGAATAACAATTCGTAAATATCCAGTCGAATCTCCGGCGGGAGGGACATAAAGCCGGTTGGTGCTCGGGGTGGGGTATTGACGAGATCCATGTTGGTGGCGACGGCATCCGACATGATGCTAGATATGTTACACTCAGTAGGAGGCGAGAAGTCGGAGAAAGTTGTGTCTTGGTCTCTAGGACTAATCGGAGTGGATAGATAATCTGTCTCGAGGCCTAATTAAAGTTAGCAATGAGACCAATACAATTATCTAGGAGGGAATTTGCATGGGTGTGAACTTACAGGCGACGATAATAAAAGGGAGGAAATATTACGTAGGAATCAAGTCGGTATAACTTACCTAGAGAAGAATAGAGTGGTGTCAATCTCGGCCCGTGTATTCTTTCACTAAAGATCCAAATGGCAGTTCTTATAGTAAAAGACGAGGAAGTCAAACTCGTTGAGATGCTTCAAGGTTATGTTGTAAAGAAAGTTGTGTTTAGGGATTGACATGGAATAGAAGTGATAAACTGTAAATACTAAGATATAGGTGACTCTAGGTGTCCTAATCGTTTAAACAGTGCATAACGGAAAATTTTGTGTTTTGAACAAACCAGTCAACGCACCTCCCCTTTTCGAGCCTAGCAAACTGGAGGCAATTGCACTCGCCTAATACTTTACACTGTACTAGCCACGGGCCCGTTAGATTCAATAGCTAGATAAATACAGTGCCAGTGATTCAGGTCAGGTTCTATTAGTGCGCTGTATACAAGGAAAGAGACGCGAATGAGTGGTATCACGACGATCAGCAACTGTGGCAGTAGCTAGGATCTGCCGTTGCTTATGGTCATATTACAACTAGATAGGAATTCATAGATAAGTCGCTAAACCAAATAACACATTCTAGTTGCCAAGGCATGTATATTAAATCTCCAAGGTTTAAATATGTATATATTATTATGATGGGAGGGAAAGATGTTTGATTCGTGTACATTGTGGAATCATTGAAGCAGACAATTCACTTCTCTCAGTCGGGTAGATACTTTATAGGCGCCGTAAATCGGACGAAAATTGAAATGTTCCTCCACGACTACCCAGCAAACAACCCAGTGCATTTTTCTTGTATATCAATGTGGTTACTGGTCAATGCTGTGCCTTCCCCATCGCCCTCAATGTAGCACCGTATTTCCATAAGAGAAAAGGGGCAGGCCACCCAATAACGACAAATACGAGCGCGAGGACGCTATTTCCCCAACCGTAACCTAGGCCTTGGTACATGGCTGGTGCGAAAATGGGAAAGGCGAAGCCAGCTATGCTACGCAGGAACTGTGAAGCCGCTGACGCTGAGGCGACGTACTGGCTATATGCATCCATTACATATGCTTGTAGGGACTGTGTGTTGTTGATGATGCCACAGCCGAGGATAGCAATGCCGATATCTGGGACTATCCAATGCAGTTGTCTTTCCGCTGTCCATCCGTAGAAAAGTAGTCCTAGAGGAATCAGAATGGCACCGGGAACCATCAAAGGCACTCGATACTCCGGAGCGGTATTATTACCAGCCTTGGCTTTTAGATATGCCCATAGGCGATCCATGACTCTACCACCAACTTGCGCTGCGATAGTATAGCCGATGACGAGAGCGATATAATTCAATCCGCTTTGGGTCTCGGTTTGGCCGTATCGATCAATCCACAGACTTGCAAATGTCGACAAGACAAGGTAGAGCATGCCGAAGTTGTAAGCTAGGAATATTGCGACGACTTGTAGGATGGGTTGCGTTAAGAGTAGGCGTATTGGTCGGGTTAGAGACCGAGAGAGTCTATCCTTCAGCGTTTCGGATGCGCCGTGTGTGTTGGTATAGTAAGGATTTCCGGTGGCCTTCCGTAACTTGGCTGCCCTTCTATTGAGCAAGATGACTTCGTACGTTTCTGTGAAGATGAATATTGCTATGACTACAAGAAGTCCATCGTATATTGACAGGATCCAGAATGTCCATCTCCATCCAATTGACTGTGTAACGGCACCGCCGACGATCGGCCCAATTGCTGGTCCTAGAAGAGGGACGAATGTCGCCACGGTAAATGACGCTCCACGTTGCGCAGGTACCCAAGTATCGGAAAGGACTGGGTTAGATATAGCGAACTCAGCGCTAGCTCCGATTCCTGATAGAATGCGACTCGCAATCATCAGCCCAGGGGTAGTTGCGAACCCTGCGACCGTATTCCAAAGTATGTAGAAGCAACTTGAGATAATCCAAACCGGCCGGCGCCCGAAAACTTCGGCAAGCGGCGAGAGGACCATAGGACCGAAAGCAAAAGCTAAAACGAAGATACTTAGAAATATCTGTGTCTCTTCTTCACCGGTCTGAAGGTCTGCTGCTATGCTCTGAAGAGCCGGTGCTAGCATCGCACCAGACATGAGAGTGACCAACCCTCCATTCGAAAGTAGGATAGTAATTGCCCATTTTCGCGGCAAAGGCCAATTAAAAGGGTGCTCAGGATCATTATCACCATTCCAAGTCACCTATGAGGAGTATTATTAGGAATGAGTTCAGAGGAAGACGCGCGCTATAATTTCAGGAAAAATAACAAAAAATTTTAAAGGGACCAGCAACTCACTAAATAAGGATCTGTTTCCTCATTCTTAGCGTCGACAATTGGTTCAACCGCTTCAGCCCGGGTTGACGATTTTTCGACATCCTCTTGAGCAGCCATTTTGCCTTGTGATGTTCTCGAATTTAGCGTGCTTAGCTAAATTCATTTTGACTCGGATTAAGGGAGGCGGTTCATTTTAAAGATGCACCTCGATGGGATCCCGCATTGTTTCTGTTTTGTTGGTAGCGAAATAGCGGTATTGTCAATTATGACCTTGCATGACCGCCGCATAGGCACAGTATATTGTGGGCCTCATACGGGATACTGCCGATTACGGGAGGGAACTTTGTCGCATTGGCTGTTTGGGTGGCAGCCTGGCAGTATAGGCAAAGCCGAAAGCTACGCTGCTCTAGGCCGCGAGCCAGAATGCAAAGAGCTCGGTGTTCCGAGCGAGACAAAGAATGTGAAAATGGTAGGTTACGTAACTGGCACCCCAACTATATAATGATTCGGTGCTCGGCCCAGACGAGGGTGCGCCAAATCCGAAAATCGATTGGTGTTCCGATCTTGTTGCTGGCCTTATCAGATCCTGGATCGACATGATCCGATCAGATAACTTGAGCTTGCTTTATGCTGCGCATATAATTGGTAATACTTCCCTGGCTATTATCCTGGTAGACGGGATTGTCAAAATATTGATTGCTTTGATGTTACCTACCTAAGGTATAGGTATTTAAAGTTAACACATGTATGCTTTTCTACTTCTTTCGTAGCGGAACCAATCACAATACAGAATGAGAATGCGATTTTTCCTATTTCGGTATGTAATACATCGCACCTACCTTCGTATTCGTATATGGAACATTGATCCATGAGCCTCAAAGACTTGGCGAGAACATTGATGAAGAAACTCGATGTAGTTTTGTAAATTAATTGTAGGTATTGAACAATTATGAAGATGCTGGCCTGAGAGAGGTGATTATGAGAATGTAGCCGTCAGTGGCTGAAGTATGGTGGGGGTAAAGATCGTCACGCCATCAAAAGCAATTTCGAGAATTCTTCACTCCCAACCCTTCCCGACAGAACTTTTAGCCACTATCGAGTCCCCAATAGCAGCAATCGGCACGGTCCCCATGATGTCGAAAACAGCAACGCTGGCTTGAAAGTCCCGGCCGATCCAGTTTCGTAGTTCAAGGGCCATGAGGGAGTCGACACCATAGCTTGAAAGAGGCTTGTTAAGTTCTACGTCGTCGGGTGATATTTCCATAGAACGTGCCAACTTCTGAGTCAATGCTCGAATAACGATTTGGATTCGTTCGCCTGTATCCGTTGCTTCCCTAAAAGCGGCTACTACATCCACGCCCCTATCTCTTGAGGTGTTTTTGACCTCCCCAATAATATGAGAGAACGGTGCGAACAGGGGTCTCGTGAGTAATGGTGGGGGTATTTGACCTTTGGTTAGGAAATGGGCTGGTGTACGTAATCCGAAAAGAACCTGGCTATCCATTTGCCGTGTCGAAGGGTCGCAAAGCACTGTCAATAAGGCTAGTAACTCTTTTCCGTCAATCCTTTCCATATCGTCCCAGCTCTTTCGTTGACGCTGGTATAATTGCGTTTCCGCAACGATACCGATATTTCGCATCCATCCAATATCCATTGAGACTCCCTTCTGACCCTGTGCAACGCGATACCGTGCGAGCGCATCCTGAAAAGAACAGCCCCCGGCATAATTAGATTGTGCCAAGGCCCCACAGACGCCGTTCAGAGAGGATAGGAGAATGAAGAAGTCAAGATGCTTGGGCAAGAGTTTGTGCAAGTTGATAGATGACTGAACTTTTGACTTCATCGTGATATCCCATTGCGAGTATTTCATAGTATTGAACGCGGCGTCTTGAAGGACCATAGCTGCGTTGATACACCCCTTTATCGGTGGCATCGTATGCGAGCATTCCTCGAGTATACGGCCAAGGGATTCGGCTGATGATACATCGCATTTAGGGGCTAACACTTCCACGCCGCGTTTCCTCAATCTCGATATGAGTTCTGCGATTGCTGCCTTGGAGTTTCCGGACCTGGATGGCACAATAAAGTGTTTTCCGCCCCTCTCAGCCATCCACTCCATAATAGCACGACCGAGGCCGCCAGACCCCCCTGCAATCACATATGTCGCATTTTCGTCAAATTTCCACGGTCGCAGTTCTACAAGATGTTGCTAGACCTCGCGTTAGCCATGTTTATTCAGTTTTTTTTCTCCGCCTGCGAAACTTACTGGGACTGTATCGGAAGATTTAATATTTAGGACAACATTTCCTGCACCCTTACTTTCTTGATAGTAACCAAACGCCTGATGAATCCTTGATATGGGGTATACGCGTAATGATCTGGGCGGTTCGATGATACCTTCGGCTAAGAGATTGACGGCGGCTCTAAGGAGTTTCGACGTAAGCCCCGGGTTTTCGATGATAATATGGTGCAAGTCAACAGCTGAGTAGCTGACATTCTTCACGAAACTAGCCGTGGATAACGGCAAATTCGCTTTGACATTAATTGCGGTTAAATCCACAACTCGCCCAAACGAAGCTATACACTCCCAAGTTAACGATAGACTCTCCCCCGATAACGAACTCAAGGCGACATCAACACCATATCCGTTCGTCATCCGCGAAACCCCTAGCGCGAACGAGTTGTCACGACTGCTTAAGATATGATCGTCCGACAGGTGATAAATTTTCTTGAGGAGTTGTCTTTCTTTGTCGCTTCCGACAGTAGCAAAGATCTCGGCCCCTCTCGCGTTGGCTATCCCGATCGCCATCTGACCTGTACTGCTGGCGGCCGAATGAATAAGGATCTTTTCACCCTCTTCAAGTCGGGCGATATCGATAGAATGGTGTGCTGTCATTCCAGGGATCAAGGCTGACGCGGCAGCCTCGAATGATAAGCCATCGGGAATTTTGACCACACATTTGTCAAGCGCACGCGGATGCGTCCGCATACAGCCTGCCGAAACCATACATACTCGATCCCCAACTTGAATATCTGGATCATAGTTGCGAAATACTCTAGTCACAATGCCAGAACATACAAGGCCCATTCCCTTGTCGCCCAGTGGACCCAGCACATTTTGATCTAGACTCCATGACTTAGCCTCGATCTCTACCTCATGTGGTAGAAATTCCATTTGTTTAGCATCTTCCACAAGGTGTAACGACTCGAATTTCCCCGGCTCGTCGACATCGAGTTTCAACGCCGGCCCTTGTGAAAGCGGTTTGTGCTGTACCTGCGGGTGTAGGAGAGACTGTAGCGTCTGATTACCAGGGATGTCTTCCGCGACCCTGCCTGTAGTGAACTGGCCTTTGCGGACAATATACTCAAGCTCTTCTGATTGCGATTCGAAAGAGGCTCTGTATGCCTTAGCGATATACTGCACATACTCTGCTTTGGTCTCCCCTTGGTACTCAATCGCAAGCGTAACGATATGTTTGTCACCTTCCTCATGCCTAAGGGATCTTAAGCAACCCCCTACGACGCTATACTGCGAGTATTCTTCATCTTCCGGGCTCGTCAAAGTAACCCACAGCAATTTCTGCGTCATCCTTAAAAACTCTTGAAGCGACCCGAACCTCTCCTCAGTTAACGTCGCAAGGAAAGGCTTGCTCATCTCAATAATGCAAACCACGATATCACTTTTAGATAAATTCGCCGACCCGATCCGATCAATAGGAATGATTCGACTCTGCTTTTTTTGTGATATGGCTAGAGTATCCTGAATTGAGCTGGCTATCTTAGTCTGTTCGTCCGATTCATCAACGATTAAAACAAGCTTGGGTTCGTCCTTGGGTGGGTCCGGTGCTTGCTGTACGGCTTTTGATACAATGATGCTGAAAATATGGCAAGCATCGCTTGGGTAATCTCTGAGGATGAGTTCATTTCCACTGAACCCTGTCCATCTCAGGACTTCATCCCACTGCTTCTCAGGTAATCCAGGTGACGACCCCCGCCATTCTTCTCTTCGGCCCCACCATCCCGGCACCAGACCGAATGTGAAATTCGTGGCGATGTCCTCAGTTGCGACAACCTCTAATAGAAGGAGATGTCCTGTTTCCTTAAGAAGTTTGCGCACGTTCTTCATCGTTGCCAACAGATCTTCCGTGGCGTGCAGAACACTTCCGGCGACCACCAAATCATACGAACTCGGATCGAAGCCTTGGCTTTCAGGGCTACGCTTCATGTCGAACGTTTTAAAGGTCACCCTTTCTTTAATACTATCCCAACGGGCGGAAGCTTTTTCAAAGAAAGCAGGCGACACGTCCGTATAGGTGTATTCAGAGAACCTCAATCCTCCATTCCTCTTCTCAAGCTCTTGGAGGGCCGCTAAGACGCGCGATGTCATTCCACCCGTGCCTGCTCCGACCTCAAGTATCCGGAGAGTCGGGTTCTCGTGCGTGGCAAGGTCCAAAAACTTCGACATACGATCATCGCATACGTGCTCGAACATATCCGCATAAAATACGTCGGCGATATCCGAACCGAAGATAATTTCAAGCGGGTCTACAACACCGGTGAGAATATCCGTTAAGTGACGGACAACCGTCGTGTGCAACTTCCAAGGGGGGTGGATAGTTTCGATCTCTTGCAAAAGGCCCTCGATCTCAACCTCGTTGACATCTTCGGTCGCGCGCGATGCATCTAATGACTTTACATAGCGTTCTAGCCATTCTATATGCCTCTTTTGGGACTCCGGGACTTTTTCGCGATTTTCTCCGGACAGTAGTTTTACTGTTCTGCAAGCGACTCTATCTAGAACGAATTTTAGTTTTTGGTTTCGAAGCATCATATCATTTTCATCCCTGACATAGGTGTCGGCGCCGACGGTAGACACCAACTGATGTGGTTCCATCAAACTTAATTGAGGTTTCCAGTCGATCCTATGCAGCAGTTTTCTGGGAGGTTGGTTTTCAGTCTTCTTTGATACGGCCGCAGTCATCAATCTTCGCATCGCACATAGGATCGAGCCATCATCGGCTATAGCATAAACAGACCCCTCCTCACTCTCTCGACTACCTCTGACATTCGAAGTAGCTAGATACCGAATGGAATGCGTATGGGGCTGTTGCCATCCGGAAGGCGAAAACCACCCGTTGAAAAGTTGCACAGGAACATTCGTCGCGTTCGACAAAGATAGGCCTAGGGTGGTACTGACGCACAACACATGTAAAGCGGAGTCCAGCACTACGGGGTGAACGAGGCTGGTAGTCTTCCATTTGGAAATGTCGACGCGGGCGATAGTGCTGGTTTTGCCGTCCCACTGGATATCTTCTACCACCTGGAACGCCTCTCCATATCCCAACCCGTGGTCGATAGCATCCTCATAGAACATTTGCGAATCAATTGGTCTCGTGCAGGATTCTTCTGCTTCGATGAACTGATCAGCGACGAGCTTGTGACTACGTCGGCGTTCCTCGAGAAGATCCTTTCCCCCAAGCTCCACTTGGATTCTGGCGTTGAAACATTCAGTCCAGTTATCGTTGCGATATGCATATATCGTAACATCCGACCAACTCGATTCTTTCTCTTGTGGCATCTTAATCGGATGTAAATGGAGCATGGTCTCCGTTTTATCCTCCCAAGCCTCTTTGACCAAGATGGGACTCACAAAATGGGCCTCTTTGATATAGTACCCGGAGATAAGGCGAGTGTCAGAACACATATGTCGCACCGCTTCCATTGCCATAACCAGCATTCCCGCCGCAGGATAAATCACAGTGCCACTAATAACATGGTCACCTATCCAAGGCATGGTTTCAATACTAAGGAAATTTCTCCATCTTGGTTCAAGGGGATTCCAATCGAAAGACCTGGCCCCCAAGGTTTCGCCTTCGACGCTCTTGCGTAATCTGAAGTCCCGACTGAGGCGGGACTCGGCCCAGTATGTCTTTGAGTGGTCAAAAGGGTATTCAGGGCAGTTGACCAAGAAACGACGGGGCGCTAGATTGGATACCCCTTGGTTTGCATCCGGGATAGAAACTTCATGTCCGTGGCAGTGGAGTCTTCCGACGAGCTCCAAAATAGTCTGGACTTCGGGATAGGTCCGATGCAAAGCGTAAGTGTACCGGATCTGCTGCTTCTTATTCCCCTCCTTTGCGAGCGTATCCTGAATTGGTCTACGCAACGCAGGGTGAGGACCCACTTCGATTAGATCTGTGATGTTCCCTATGCCCACCTTCAACGTCGGCGTCTTTTGCGTGAGAAGATGTATCGCATCGGAAAACATAACGGGTGATACCATATTATCGACCCAATACTGCGGAGTCCCTAAGACAGCCGGCCGTATGGTTTGGCCGGTAACAGATGATACCATCGGGATTGATGATTTGACATTCTTGATATTACCACTATCAAGAGATCCCATTTGACGCAAATAATCTTCGGCGATCCGAGACATAGATGGCGAGTGATACGCGACGCCTGTTTTAAGTTTCTGGGCGAAGATTCCGTCTTCATCGAATTGCTTCTTGGCAATGTCAATGGCGCTCTCTTTGCCAGCGAGGGTGCAATTCAACGGGCTGTTGATACAAGCAATACTAATTTCGCCCGACACCTCGGCGCTGATATTTCGCAGATAACCTTGTACCTCGTCCTCTGGGAGGTTCACCGATATCATACATTCTGGGGAAGAACTCGCCGCTTTGAGTTTGCCAGCTAGTTGCCCTCTGATGTAGGACACCTTGCAAGCTGACGGTAATGATAGAGCACCGATCGCATAACTTTTGAAGTTAGTACGGGACAAGGAACATTCCAGATGAGAGTTGCTCACGCTGCAGCGATTTCTCCAGACGAATGCCCAACTACTGCTTTGGGGTTAATGCCGAAACTCTTCAGCAGCTCGATTAACCCTATCTGAATAGCAGTAGAAAGGGGTTGGCTATACTCGGGGCGATCGATGTGCATTTCGTTATGCAGTTCATCTAGACAAGTGTCAGCAGGTATATTTCATCTTTTCATAGTCACGAATTCCATACCAAAGACGGACCATTTGCATCCCAAACCATGATATATCTTCTCGATTTGGTGCAGAGTTGCTTCGAACAGAGGATATTTGAGAAGGCCCGAACCCATATCCGCATATTGTGCGCCCTGTCCGGTAAACACGAAAGCCACACCGACCTCGGCAGAGCTTCGTACTAAGGTCGAGATCTCGAGGTCAACGTCCCGATTGTGTGGTCCATCCCCAGCGACGGCGAATGTCCGCCATAGCATGTGACTTCGACGAGTGGATAAAGTGAAAGCTAGGTCGTCAAGTCTACCCAGGCTGTTCAAAACTTGACCTTTATAAAAGTCCCGATATTCTTCAATCATGCGCTTGAGTGCCTTCTCGTCTGCAGCAGACCAGACGAGTAACTTTGTCGTGAAAGCAGAGTAGTTTCCATTGCTATGCGGGCCCCCATTTCCGTTGGTATTGCCATTCGTCGCTTTCTTCACGACTCCGTTTGCTTTTAGAACTCCATTAGTGTAGGAAGTCCCGTTAGAAATAGGCAGGCCATTCATACTACGGGAGGCGACAGTGCAGTGATTTCCAATCAACCTCCGGTCCTGCAGATAATGGAATGCATCATCTAGGATTACATGAGCGTTTGACCCCCCGAACCCAAATGAATTTACCGAAACGCGGCGAACACCTTCACAGGGCCAAGGAATATTCTCGCTAGGAACCTATTTTCTTCATTAGTGTATGATGAGTGCCACACAGTAGTTACCGACCTTGATATGATAAAAGTCTACATCAATGTTCGGGTTAATTTTTTCAAAATTTGCATTTGCTGGTATAATACCCTTTTCAAGGATCACTATAGTAGACGCATTAGTCACGGTTCTATACACCGAATAAATTTCGGTGCAATTTCACGGTACAGCGAGGAAATCCGACGCGGGTTGCTTACAAATGCACTTAAGAACCCCAGCCAGGCCACTGCTTCCTTCAAGATGTCCTATATTCGTTTTGACTGATCCCCTGCGGAGTCGCGTTAGAGGTCGAAATGCTCCACGACGGCCATTCGTTGACTTACACATAAATCGGGTCTTCGGCCGAACGACTGGACCTGAATACTTTTCCTATAGCTTTCATCTCCATGGGGTCTCCAACAGGCGTCCCCGTTCCTAAATCATTAGTTTTCTTTTCGACATATTTATCGTAGGGGCACCAACCATGAGCCTCGAAGTAGCGCGTCTCACCAAAAGGTAAATCCGCCTTCTTGTAAACGCGTCGGATCAATTCCTCTTGTGCCTGGGGACTAGGTTGCGTAAGTCCTGGTGTGCGGCCATCTTGATTTGACCCAGTAGACCTGATTACGGCTCGAATCATGTCCCCGTTCTGTACCGCATCCCATAAGGGTTCTAGGACAAGGGCTACAACCCCCTCCCCACGAGCATACCCGTTTGCACGATGGTCGAAACTATAACAACGGCTGTCTGGAGATAAGAAATTCAGTGAAGACAACATCTGATAAATGGTAGGACCTAAAATCAGGTTGGACCCTGTGACTACGGCCTTTGTACATTAGTTAGCTAATGAGATGGCCGGCAGTTCGAAGCAACAGACCCACTTACAGATGAGGCTTCGCCGCTTCTCAAAGCTTGGCAAGCAAGATCAAGAGCTAAGAGGCTACTTGAACAGGCCGTATCAACATGAATACTCGGGCCATGTAAATCGAAATACCAGCTGACGCGATTAGGCAGAATTGAAGCAAAAGTTCCTGTCACCGCCATTCGAGGTACATTGTCAGGGTCTTGTGCAATCATTCGCTTATAGTCATCCGTCATTGAAGCGGAAAATACCCCACACTGAGAGCCCCTGAAACGTTCCGCCGGGATTCCAGCTTATTTATTCTTCGTTAGCACTATGACATAAAACGGAGTTCGTTGGGTTGTTTTCACCATTTTCAAAAGCATGATATGTAGCCTCGAGAGTCCATCGTTGCATTGGATCCATAGAGGCTGCCTCTTTCGCTGTGAGAGAGAAAAAGGGGGCGTCAAAAGCACCCGGATCTTCTTTTACAAAGTATCCTCCCCTACAATGAACCTATTGCATATAAGATAGTGTTCCTTTGCATGGAATGGATGTTTACATACGTTGCCCTCGCTGTTTGACTCAAAGGAGCCATTACTGATGCGTGAATCTGGCCAGCCGGTCATCAAGTCCCGCCTAGTCTCGAGGGCGTTCCAGAAGCTAGACACATCGTTCACACCTTGGGGAAGCCTAAAGGAGAGCCCCACAATAGCAATGTCGTTATTCACAGGCGTCATTATCTCCTAATAGTCTTCGCGAATATGACGGGTTCAAGTCACAAGCAAGTCGTCACGACGAGAGGGATATCGGAAGTCCTGATTCAATAGTATATATCTGAATTGAGCGAGATGCTCTCTGTTCTTGCCGAATCTTCCAGAGTCGACTAAGCTGGGGGCCCTAGTTACTTTTATGTGGTTAGCTTCCTGCGCCGAAGCCGATAAAGTATCGTACTCAAAGAACATCGTGCTATAGAGCACTATTTAGGACTAGATAGCTCAGATCCTCACGGAATAGCAGGAAACAGGCGGAGACGACGACTAGGGACTAGGCCATGTCTGATCAGCGGAGTCCAGCGCCAATATGAAGAGCTCGATACACCTAGAGACGATAGATATCACCTGCACATTAAGGCACAATTCTGGGGCGTTGGCAAATCAGCATTATCAGCCTGATATCAACAAGAACTAGTTGCTATCACATGTTGGTAGGGGGGCTCTGCGTTCGTATAGGATCAAATTGTCTATCCAAAATCTACCGCTCCGAATCCCCGTTAGCGAAGGGTCTATGCGAAGCGGCATGGAACATGCCGGAGTCGGAGGCATAGGTGACGCAATCTACCATATTTGTGTTATGTCGGTGTTTCTAATAGTGGTATGGAGGACGTAGTTAGGGGACAATGTTCGTAAGACGTTACATCGCTGCCAGTAGGTTGAAGTAGCTGGGATAGGCTATAGTAGTATATCGCTCTGACTTTTTCAATACTTCGAGTATTATTTGATGTTATCAAGCCAAATGCGGGGGGTCATGTGCAAACCTATATGTCAATTTAAAGGAGGCGAGCGGAAACGTGCAGTGGCCAACCAAAAGATGCGAATGACAGGTATATCTCAAGAATTGTGCCCCCCATTGTAGCACATTTACTTATTTTTCATATATGTAATGCCGAATACGTAGCGGATCTATAAGATACCTACGCCGTGAAGTCGCAAGTGCGCCTAAAGCGCATGTTGGGAAACGATATGGTAGAAGCATTGCTGGTGAAATATATTTAAGACGTCAATTGTGCATCTGACGCGCAAATCCATGCAGGTCCCAGAGTGACATTGCTAAAGCTGTCACAATCACTTCATGCATTTTTTCCATACATTTAATGGAATGTGAAAGTTAATACAGCTAATAAGACGAAAGCGAGGAACGAATCCTACCCCCGATGTTCCTGGCAGGTCATCGTTTCAAGTATCTCGCTTAAGCATTTGCGAATACTACAATGCCGTGTCAAGCGTATCGGCCCGAGACTGAGCTACACGAACGATGCAGGCACAAATCTGATGAAGAATGCGTAAGGGGCTTTGCATATTTATATTATCGATAGTATAAAATCCAGTCCGCTATCTATCTAGGTAGACTTGCTACATACCTAGGTATCTCGATATAGGGACGATACACAGTAGGTACTTACGCGTATTACTATTAACGGCTGCTATTTGAATACAACCTTTGAAATTCTCTATGTATGTCCCATTTCATTTTCAGTAGTGCTTAAAACCGCGGGTTATAGCTGACGACAAAAGACGGCATAACATGTGCTCTCAGCACAAAATCGATATTTCCGAGAGGCCTATGTATTGTGTCGATGTTATTCGACGATAATAAATGAATCCATCTCCCACGTAAACAATGCTATACCCAATTAGGAAAACGATCCCCTGTATGGTTATAACGAATTGGCCAATCATACTGTTGTGCTCAGGTTTCTAGGTAAATTGAAGATGTTTTTAAGTTGTGGGACTTGGAAAACACTGTGCGGGACTGAACTCTATCAGCCGCTACTAGCGGGAGAGCCCCTGGTCATATTACCTAAAAAGGCAATGCTCTATTTTCTACCTACAGTAGGTACTCAATGGACTAGTGTGTATAAATCGTTGCGCTTGATTATCACGTCTCCTACGTCGCTGATAGACTTAAAACTCTGTATAGTAGCACTAGAGTAACTACCTACCTACATATTCAACCTCGGTATCGAATCGGTACGTGAAGCGGGACTTATTAAAGAAATTGTGATTTCAGATTACGAACGATACTGTTGGTTACGTAGGTAAGTAACTGCACGACAAATACCAGGGTATCCATGTAAGTTACACAAGAGATTGGGGGTACATACGCCAAGCTCGGACTCTCGCTTCCGGTAGGGTATTCAAGGGGTGGTATCTTAACGAGATCCTTGGGAAACTCGTCCAAGCTTAGTCTAGTTACCCAGTGACAGCACGTCATGTACGTGTACGGCGAAGTTTAGCGCTTAAAGCTGGGGTAAGATGGACTACAAGCACACAGACATTTAATTCAAAAAGTTCCATGCAAAGTTTCCGAAAACTATAACGCCGAGGTCATCTACCTAGGTATGTATGCGAATCATAGGTTCAGACACAAATCCCGATGGGCATTATATTCATAACATTCAACCCCTATTATCACATCTGCCGGGATTGATGCGATGTAGAATGAAGCGGACTGATGCTACGGTGATAGTTAATCTTCACCAGAAACATTGGAGCCATCGCCTGGCTTGGGTCCCCGGGTATCACGTGACTGAATAGGGATTCTTCCATTTGGGGGCCGTCCCGAGAAGAATTTGCATAAGATTATATTCTCGAGTGCTACACTATGCGATGTGACGATACGACTATCTCATTGCCTCATTCGAATCGCAACTTATGGAAGCGAACACAAGGACCCCTGAACTAGGTAAAGATCTCGAATGTTTAAACCCCCCGCGTTTCCATGGGCTGTTCCGATTCCTCCTATGTATGTACAATATTGTAATTCCCGGATACTACCTAATTAATCATAGCGCTAACGGCAGTTGTAATTTTATTCCGCGCTACGATCGCCCAGACACCGCTTCATGCCATCCAGGTACGCGAAGAGATCTACCCTCCATCACTTGTTCAAGTCGATTTATGGTTGGTACAGCTTGATATTTTGTTGCGAAGATCGAATTAGAAAGCCATACACTTCTAATAGAGCAACCAAGCCAATATAATCACACGCGTACGAATATATATTTCAAAATGCACCTAGGTCTGAAGTAAACAATCTAGATCAGGGTGAAACCATGCATAAAACTAGCTCACTAGGTATATTAACTTGTGCTGCGCTTCATACCACCTCGCTCCTATTCGTTCCCGACGCATTCAAGTGTTTTAGTACCTAAGTCATAACACAGATCCCGTTGTTACTTTGCACAAGTCCTATTCCGACTTAGTAATTATATACACCATCCGACAGATAACGCGCCCGCTAAATATATACTCCTTGATCCAAGTTACAACCTTTTAATCATTGCCAGCATGATTATAACCTGTCCTAATCACGCCAGGAGGCATTAGGGTCCACAACCTTGTCTGCCTTGTCCCCTATATACTCCTGCTTTACTGTGACTCGTGTGGTCCGAACTATTCCCTGATCGAATTTAATAGTGTCTTCGCGGAGTTTTTCTGTAGATTCCGAGGGATTGAGGTCCTTCATAGGTACACCATATTCGTCAATCTTCCGATAGTTACTGCTCCTCGGTTCGGTGCGTGATGATGTGGTCGGCTTGTTCGTTGTTCTTAAAGTGCTGTTCTTCAAGCCGACGAGTGATTTCATCGCCCTCTTCATCTTGTGGAGGACGCCATGGTCCTTGAGAATCTTGGGGGTGGATGGTAGGCACGCGATAATAAATGCACAAGTCATTTCAGCGAACGCCCAGAAAATTACAGGTCCGAAAGTGTATGTCGTGTCCGGATTGGTTGCATAGGTCACGGTAACGGCGAGTCGGAAAGCAGCGGCAATACAGGCCCTACAGTAGGTACGGATCAGTAATCATTTTTAACACCAAAATCCCGACCATTAAAATTATCACTTACAATATACCCAAAGAAAAGAAAATAGAGACACCCAATTTCTTCCTAAATGATAACTGCAATGTCCAGATAGTCTTCTGAGGTAGGCATAAGATGACCATATCAGTGCAAAGGTGAACTGTGGCCGCCCCTATGTCGACGTGTAATTTGTTGATACAATGCCCCGGAAGAGTGAGATCCCATATTTTCTGGTATGGGATGCAAACGCAACATAGCGCAGTTACGATTGAGATCATAGCCAACACTTGTGTGGCTATAACTCCGTAGCAGATATATAGGAAGGCGTTACGCGTGCCTCTAGGAACAAGCATGCGAACCCATTCCGTTAGGATCGATATCTTTATAAGTGGAAGAGTAATTGAATAGAATACGCCGGCGTAGTGAACGTACTATCATCGGTCAGCTACTTTATATTAGTAATTTGACAATTGAAGAACTCACAAAAACAAAATCGATCATGTCTCGGAGGTGTAAGTCCCATTGGTGCACGAAGTAACCAGGCGTCTTAGATAGTAGAAGGCAAAAGACAGTCCAGCTCAAGTAGGTGCCCTAAAACAAATTAATAAACGATACAGAATCCTTCGCGAAAGCCATTACTCACGTATGAAACAAATATCATATCTAATTCATCAATTAGCAAATGAAAGGCCAAGCGAAGTTACGTGTAACGTAGTAAACTTACAATCCTCAGGCTTGAGTTGTCTAAACAGAAATAGCCTTGCGTACCCGCGAATCAGGAGACATATGGTAGCCACAGAGACGCACGCGGCGATAACACCATAGGCTAATTTATTATTATTAGGGGGGTTGTCAAACTGAGGAATAACATTGCTAGGCGCAGCGAGCGCAGGGCCGTTTAGGGCCGCTTGCTGCTGGTCATGGGGAAGAGAAGGTAAAGCGTCCGCCATTGTTGTTGTTGTTGTTGTTGTTCGGCCGGAAGGTGAGAACTTCTCTTTCTCCGCCGTAGATTTTCGAAGATGTTTTCGGGATTTATTATATACATAAAGTGTTATATCGAGAATATCAGGGCCGACTAAGGAGATCTCAGAGGAGGCCGGCAACTACATAGCTAAGTCACGATGGCTTAAAGATCCCAGTTGTGTACAAGGGTTTATCGCGCCATGACATGACGACGAGTGAAAGAGATAGCCCCCTGGTATCGCAATGTATATCATGCCAAAGTTTCCAACGCATTATCACATCCGTCTTCGGCCATACCAAACTAGACAGAAACGTCCAGGGGAACTAGATTAATAACGATAGTGTTCGCAGATGGGCTTGTATACCTGCCCTTGTCTAGCGTGCCATATATGCTGTGATAAAGAAAAGCTTTTCCCTGTAGCACCGTCGTACTGCATGAGGTCAATGCTTTACATATACTGCTTCATAAGCGAAAATCTCCAGCAGAGAAAAATTCTTCCGAAATATTGATATATATATTTCTTCAACGGGAATGATAAGGAATAATGGTACTCTAACACGCGTATTGAATGTAAGGGATTGGAGGCTCAATTCTTCTTGGAAATTAGCCTGGAGTCCAAGAACACTGGCACTTGGGACGACCTCACAGGCGGCCATGAAAGATACAATTGTTGCTTCAGCAAGTGGTTGATATGCAGGGAGGAACAAGGGTTTAGTTGTATTGCAACTCGACCATGGGTTTCTGATTCCTGACAAGTAATAACACCGAGTATCATAGCTTGCCATTCGATGGTACAATATGTACGAGTAAACTTCCTCGAACGATGTGATCGGCCTTGGGACATCTTCGGGGGTGCGATCATAAGTACTCGCGTATGCGGGATATGCTTTGTGCATAATTCTCCTCGTCCAGAAGCCATTCTGGAAATCTTCCTTGAAATATTAAACGAGGTCCAAGAAAATCCCGTGGCGAAACATAAGGCAGTTGGGGTTCTGCGACCTTCGTATGTGACAACTTGAACACCGTGCATTGACACTCGCTAATGTACGTTGCGGAATCGACGCCGACGGACAATAGGAACTTGGAGGACACTTAAAATGAGGTGGCTATGCTTACATGGAAGGGGGACGAGCGCACAGGTACGTTTTTCCCGGCATGGTCAAGGAGAAGCGAACTGATGCAGAGCTCGAAGATTTTTGAAATGCAGACCGGTATCTCCCCGCAACTATCTCTTCGGAACCCCCAATAAATATTGTGCGGTAGGCCGATATTAATTGATATATAGCAAGGATACGGGAGGCACTTGGCCGAGACCATGAATTTGTTTTTGTGAATGGCACGGTGCCAACCGATCCAGACGTCGGTACGCTTCTCGCGAAGTTATCACGCAGCGACTAAATGCTAACTAGAGTGAGGCGCCGAGGCAATTGCTGACGAGTTCTTCGGGTACCTTGCGCACAATCTAGAACAGGATCAGTATCTTTGTGATAATATGGTAGAATTCGTGGAGAGCCACGGGCCATTTGACGGGTTAATGGGGTTCTCCGAAGGTGGAACAGTGGCGGCTATGATGCTGCTACAGGATGCAAGACACTGCTCTTTCGGTGGACTAAAATGTGCTGTATTTTTCTCTGCTTGCCAACCATTCGACCCTGACCTTGTCCGATCTGGTACAATCAGACAAGCAGATCCAGACAAAGATGGAGTGCTGTTCGCCATTCCGACCGTTCACATTTGGTCCCGCACGGCTGGGGTTGAGGAGATTAAAGTCCACGAGTCTCTGTCACAACTTTGTGATGAAAAAGTAAGAGAAGTGTTTCTTCACGACGTGCCGGGATCGAAATCGGAGAAGGGGTTGGCTGGAACACTTCGAGCAATCGAGCATGTTGTTGCGAATGCTATGGATGAGTGATGAATGAGTGCAAGGGGGAGGGTCCGGGGTATCCATGAATTGATGTTCAATCGACAATAGAGACCTTGAGCCTCTCACCCCTGGTAGAATTCTGTGATATTCCGCGCATTAAAAACCCCCCAAACCAACAGGAACATGGGGGGGAATTAGCTGCCGATCTATGCGAAATCCACTAAAACGATGGCGATGTAACGTATTGGCGCCCCGTCCGCTTTGCTTATTTGACATCCTTGTATCAGCTTATTAAGGATATCTCCAAAGTGATGATATATACATACGTAGAATATCACGTTTATCCCTATTAACTTGAGGCTGTTGAAATCAGAACTACGTACCTCCCTAAGTACCTTCGAAATACGCATGTAAGGGATGAGATTAAAGAGGCAAATTTACAGGCATTTCCTCTTCCAACACACACGGACCGTGAGGTGACATTATTACGAGGGTGAGCATACACTAACGTCAATCCTTAACGTGTAAGATGCCTCCTTGGTCTCCCTTCTTGATATTTACTGGTGTAAGTGGTATCTTCGCCGAGATAAGATGGGTGGGTGAGCCGTGTACTGTAATCTCGCCCCTGAATATCTTAGTGGCCAGGAAGTTGTGTATGTGTGCCGTGTATGTCTCCCACCCACCCTCATTTCCAGGTTTCTCTCTGGTCGCCGCGTGTTTTTTTCGTGGAGGAGGAACAGCTCGCCCCCAAGAGTTGGAACCCCTTTTAAGATGTCCCGAGTATTTAACCCTGGTGTTGTACATACCATCTTGGTCTTTTATCACTTCATCAAAACATCATAAGATAACTCAGACCATATCAACCAGCCATGCCCAAGGTAGAGGAATACCGTCTTCACCCCTGGGGTTGGGAGAACGACCCTGAACAAGAAAGTATTCGACTCTCTACTCTTGACTATTTAGCCGCCTGTGTTTATAATAACTACGCCCTATTCTTTAAGTTAGATGACGAAGTAGACAAAAACAAAATCGGCGCAGCCATAAAGGAAGGCCTTGAGCGGACACTCGCTCAAGCCAGGCACCTCGTGGGCACCATTGAGAAGAACCAGTACGGAGACCACTCCTTCATCAAAAAGAAGGACAGCACCGTGGGTTTTTCTATTCAGCATCTTGACGCGCCGGAAGATAAATTCCCTTCATTCTCCGATCTTGAGAAGTCCAACTTCCTTTCGTCAAAGCTAGGAGATAGAATCCAGCTTCTGAGCTGGCATGGACTTACCTATGGAGAGCGGCCCGAATGCCATCCGGATGCTAGCCCATTTGTCTCGGCGTTCCAAGCAAACTTCATCCCGGGTGGACTAATTCTCAACATGCATTCCCACCACTATGCCAACGACGTGATGGGTTGGGCAAGCTTAGCTCACCAACTTGCCGACAACTGTGCTTCTGTCTACAACCGGACCGACGCTCCCAGTTGGGATATGCAGTGCGTCCACCATACACGATTCATTGCACCAGAGGTTGCCGAAAAGTCTAAGGTGGACGGCCCGCCTGCGCCTAGCCGATACCCCCACCCACCATCAGCAGCCCTCCTACTCCACTTACCTAAGAGTAAGGCTGCAGAGCTCAAGAAGCTTGCCACCCCTACTGACGGCTCATGGATATCGACATACGACGCCTCTTCGGCCTTCCTATGGCGATATCTCTCTAAGCATCGCGCGACCCTCTACCAGTTAGACCCCAATGAGTCAAGCTTGTGGGGTGAGGCTATCAACATGAGGCCGCGACTTAATCCTCCCGAGCCACAAAGGATCCAGAGGAACGTTTTCTTTGCAAGCTTGTCAGCGACCGCTCCGGTTAAGTTAACCAATGCTGAGGTTATCTCAGAGGCACCCTTATCTACCCTTGCCTCTTACATCCGCGGCCTAACCAACAGTATGACGCAAGAGGCTCTAGGCAAAGTGCTAGAATCGGTGGCGCCTATTCGTGATAAAACTTCACTTTTCATTCGGATTGATTCATTCCCACCCCTAACCATCATCATGACGGATTGGCGTGACACCAAGATCTGCGAAGCCGACTTTGGCTTTGCCCAACCGAAGGCATTCCGACATCTGTTCGGGAGGAAAGTCGACGAGGGATTGGCTATCATCTACCCGCCTCGAGCTACCGGGGACCCCGATGAAGGATGCGAGTTCATGGTTCCATTCGAGCAAGAGTTGGTCAAACAGTTGATCGACGATCCGGAATTCAGCCAATACTTTGAACTGAGGGGTTTTGAGACCGAAACACCAAAGGAGGTGGTTGACGCCGTGTTGGAGAAGATTTGCTAAGGCTTGCGCTATGGGGGTTTGAGATCGTGTACCTATTCATGCTTGTTGTAGTAATATCTAGGGAATGTATATTGATTCTGAATGAGGAAATAGACAAATTGTTTCGATACTACATAGGATCAGCCTTACTTGCCTAGTCAGTTGCATGTGCCAACAAATCCTCGGTAGTGCTGACAGTCGAACGTCAGTCATGTCTAACTACCAATTAGGTAGGTAGATGATACGTCTGAGCCAATTAGTTGGGGCAATCAGTCACGCTGTATTGTGTGTTGGTGTTGGTGGCGGATGCGTGGTGGCCGTATGGTAGTTGGTGGGTTAGGTTTATATTGTTGGATGTGCGGAAGACAAGAACGAACTCGGGCCGATGGTCATAAGGGTCCCTGTTGAGAATTGATAGGTCCCAAAGTCTTCGTGGTGTGTTGCATGGTGTGTGGATGTATGTCGAATAAGGGATGTTATACTCGATATACTCGATACTTATCAGAAAACCCAATATGTAATACTGAGAGTGATTCTTGACTATAAGGAGGCAGGAATCAAAGAAATGGATTCTACTGCAAGTCATCTATGATGATAGAATCGACTGCGGGAGCGGCGGATCCTGTGCCGCTGTCGTGGCCGGAGCCGCGCATGTGGGTTTCATTTCGTTGGCATCAGCGGCGCGGAATAGTCTATAGTATTCAGCAGAATGACGTCAAATATTTATAATCAAGTTTTGATGGGAATATTTTGCTTTTTTAGGGTAGCTTCGAAGCGTTTACTCACCGTAGTACATAGGAAGAAGATGTTTAGGAGGAGACGCACCCTATCTGCGGGGTACAGCACCCAAGTAGGTGCTAGATATTAGTAGGTTTCAGCGCTATGTGCCCTGTATTAATGGCGTCTAATAGTGGGATTAGTTGAGTGGCCACTCAATAAGAGCGATCAATCTCCCCTCAAACGCCTGAGAGGTCGAGGACGAAATGATTCTAGACTATTTAGCGCCTGGCTCAACTGTATGGCCTGCGCAGGACTCGGAATCCTCTACTGTGAAAAAGCGCGTCGACTTTCCTACACATTCGTTCTTTTGTCTCTTCGAAGCTTTTCCATTCTCATCGAACGTCGTATCATGCACTCAAGCATTCTTAGCATCAACCAGTCACCCTATTCCTATATCACTCCAGCCTAGCCGTGCTTGATGCTTGGAGTAGTACACGTCGCCCACTGAAGGTAGTCTCTGGGCTTTCCCAGCCGGAGTACGGTAGGCCGCCTAATTCACTAGGTGCCAAAATACCAGTTCAAAATCACTCATTCTCCGAAATGATAGAGTCAAGCATCATCCGCGACACATCGACACTACTAACACGGAAAACCTTATACACATATTTATTGAATGTATAGATACAACATAAGTCCTTAACACGTCATAACACGTTATTCCCCGAACGCCCTTCGTTGTGCATGGTCACAACTAGTCAACTAGAACCCACCCGCTCGACAACCATCTCCGTTAGAAGATAGATTATGTGTGGCCGACGAGACCGGTCTGGGGAGCGTTATCGGGGTTGATATCAACACCCGCGAAACCCAAAGCCTCGTTCCAAGCATCCGCCGTTGAAGCGTCCTTCGCACCCGATCCTAGGTCAGCCTGCGCTTGCTTGCATGCCGCGATCGCGTCATCCGCAGCACCGCATACGTTTCCTAGCTGATCGCAGATCCTGTTAAAGATGATGTTTGGGTTGAGCTGCGGGTATGTTAGCTTCATGTCTAGTTTCACGATAAGAGAATGGAAAACGGATGTTTCATATTCGGAGTAACGAGGTTTTCGGGAAGGGCAGAGTAAATGGGAATGAGATGCTTTTCTACTTACAGCTTCTTGCTGACCCTTGTTCACAACGGGGTCTTGAGCCTGGAAAGTGAACTCGCCCGGCTTGCGGCCGTTGAGGGACTCTTCAAACTTGACGGTGGGTGTGCAGGTACCGAAATCGAGACCAAGGCTGCTGGCCTGGAAGCCCGGGAACGTTCCGGTGACGGCATCGGTAACAGCACCGGCTCCTGCTTGGGCCGATGAACCGCTGTTGTTATTGTTGGCGTTGCCGTTGTTGGAAGTGTTACCAGCGTTGTTATTGTTGTTGTTGTTGGAAGCAGCAGATGAAGTGGCGGCGGCAGCGGCAGTGGTAGTGCTCTTCGCCTTGCCACTGCACTTGGTAGCGGAAGCAGTTGCTGAGGCGGCACTAGTTGCAGAACTGCTAGCACCGGATGTGTTGCCACTGTTGTTATTGTTGTTATTATTGTTATTGTTGCCGGCGTTGGCATTTCCACTAGCAGCGGCTCCATTTACTGTGAAGTTGCTGAAACCCTGCGCGGTCATGATGTCGGCCACGCTAAGGCCGTTGGAGTCGAAAGGAGACTGTAGCGAGGTTTCCGAGTTGGCATTCTCAACGTCGGAGCCAGTGACGGCAGGATCGACCAGAGGAACAATACCACGGAGTTCTTGTGTAGCGGGAAGGCTAGCATCGCCGCAGATATTGGGAACACTGACGGCGAAAGGGTTGAAGTTCTGCTCGGCAGCGACAAGGTTCTGTGCCGCAGCAATGACCTGAGGATCGTTGCCCAGGGTCGAGACGATCTTATCAGCTAGCGTGAGCTTGTCGCATGGATTGGCAGCGGCGAGCAGCACACCAGGGACCGAACCAGCAAGAGTTGCCGCCTCTCCGGGGTTACCAAAGTTGCTCAGCGCCGACACATCGGAGACGGGGATTTGCTCCTGGCTGAAGCGGGCTTCGGCGACGGCTAAGATAGCCGAGATGAGGGCAGCTTTGGTGTACATGATGACGGATAAGAACAGAGTTGGAGTCAAGCAACGAGTTCAAATTCCTTGAAAAGTGTGTAAGGTGGACGAATCTTAGTTAAATTGAAAGAGTAAAGACCGGCCAAGCGGTACGTAACGAATAGAACGAGAGGAAAGAAAGTCGAGAACAAAAAAAGTTCACAGAACTGAAACGAATTGGATATCAAAGAATGAATCGAAGCTTGATGAAGAAGAAAGAGTACATTTTCCGATGTGAAGCTGGGGTGGAGCAGTTATATAGAAGACGGACATGAACGATTCTAAAGTTGGCGATGGTATGACCAACTAGGGTGCTCAGTCTGGGCAGGCCTTGACGAAGCCCCTTCTGCAGATCATACTTCATCTTACCATTGAGATCAGATGGTGAGCTAGCATGGTGCGGCAAGGATATGGTCGCTCATATCAAGACCCTGTATTGGTAGACGTTCGTCTCATCTTTGCCCAGATATGCCTTGTATCGATCAGTAGCTAGGAAGAGTTCCCGTCTATCCCCCGTGTTATTCGATGATAGCTAGGCATCTTTTCCACATTCCACACATCGTATCCGACTGCTCCAATACTTCTTGGGTGGTTTGTGTGGTTTCACGTTGGGGAATATTGCCTACGAAAGTCCATGAGCGGTTAGCGGAACAATTAGCGGAATCAGATATGGCCCTTGGAGCCCCTGGCCCTGGCCTTGGCCTTGGCCGTGTACGTACATTTTGATCTTACAGGGATGGGCAAAGATTTGGTCATAACGCGAGAATCGCTCTCGATGACTCGCAGTGTATATCACTGATGTGTTGGAAAATCATTTAGGTAAGGCGCAATTAAGGCTGGAAGATCAACAGCAGCTGGGTTCGGGTTATTTACGATAAACATTCAGGTGGCTTAGAAGGCCCCCAAGTAATTAATTGTACTAGGTGATGCTTCAAAAAGGTAAACTAGGTACTCACTAGATGCGATAAAATCTCTCATAAGGGCGGCTTCTGAGGAGATTCATCAATGAGGCCCATTCTCTAATGGTTCATCAGAGTGGCATTGCCTTTTCTTCCTGAAGTTTTATTTCTTCAGTGTCAAGCTTAAGATGATTATTTCGGACCAAGGCAAACCGAAGACCCTACCAGCTAAAAGTCCTTACAGGCCTTTGTAGCGGCTGGATTCAGCGACAGCTTGGCGCCCCCAAAGGCCCACCATCTTCCGTAAGCGGTTACGCCCAACGTCTGCGACCCTCGCTAAAGGAGGGTGATCAAACAGCTTCGCAAGGAATTTTGAGACGACTTCGAGACTCTGGAGGTCTGAGCTGACCGTAACTTTTTTCCTTCTCCTATGAGGTGAACCTTAGCTACGATGGATTTTTCTCGAACAGCCAGCGCGATATCGATTGAATGTGCTGCATCGTGTATATCGATATCGGATAATGCTACTACTTGGCAGTGTTTGCTTGTGTGTAAGTTGATCTCAACCTTGGAAGTTTATCTTTTCTTCTGTTTCAAGTTTTATTGTGGTTCGAAAACATTTTCTCGATAATGGGATACATAATCCGTTTAGAGCCTGAATCGACATCACGCCCACGAGTTTGTCGGATTCTCATTCTACAGAAGCGCTATATCTAGTTGATGTTTAAGATCCCCCCGTGGATTTTCGATAAGATCGAAGGTTAGACGCCTGAACGCGCAAAGAGGACGACCCTGTCATGATTTTCGCAAGGACATATCCAACATAACTGTCGATCCGTCCCATAGTGGCGGCAACTCGGCTCGATTTCCCTTAGGATTAAGTTGATGCCCATGACAATCATCGTAATGCGTTGATCGTTAACGCGAAATGCGACTTATCGACTCGCGTTTCATCCGATCTCATTAATCTCAAGCCATGGTTCAAGGTCTTCTAGCTGAGCAACCTTCAGACAACCATGGTATCGATCGCATAGATCATAGTAATTAATTCTATAGCATTCGAGCTTTCTTCTTATTATTTTTTGGATCATTCCTTATTTTCGACCGGCGCTTTGTAACATTCGTTACGTATCCTGTCTTCCAGGAATTGTCATTCCAGCTGGGCGATGATGAAATTAAGGAATCAATATCTTCAGCTGCTAGACGGGGTTCTATAGGTGCTCATTAAGTGTCTCAGCGCGCTACCTAGGTAGGTACATAGCTAGGTAAAAGGCGCGTCGGTCGTTGTAATCGTTTATTTTACATGTACCTCGCTGACAATACTTTCATAGCTTCAAACAGGTATAAACCCCAAAGCTGGCACCGTGCTTGCGTCGATAACGGCTTCAAACGACACTCCTTAAGACTACTAGTTTCTTGGTCTGGTTGGACCATGCTGACTGAAAAGATACTGTGCAAAGCGGCATCATTATATACATATTCATTGCGTGAGGTTGAATGGCGCAAGTACAATACGAAGGAACATCGTTGTGCGACGCCCGGCGGATTCCCTGTCTAAGTACCTTAATGCTTAATCCCGTGTTAATTCCATCCTCATCCCCCACCTTCTAAGCCGCCACAGAACCTTTAGGTCCTTTTCTGGCATGAAAAGCTTAGGCCTCAATAATGTCGTAGCTGTCCTTCACTAGAGGCGGGGGTGGATTCAAAAGTGGTAGCGTCTCGATGCTACGAGGTCCAATTTCAGGGCGTTTCTTAATCTCAGATTCTGGCTCACCGCTCTCCAGCCGTTTGATAAGTTCCTCGGGATCGAAGTCGACGCCGTAAACATTTTCAACGAACGCGGGACTCATCATGAATTCATTAGCATCTTCGACATTATCGAAGTTGTCCACCTGAGTCTCGAGTACGTTTCCGTCGGGATCCTGGTACTAATTTGCCAAAAGAAAATCTGTCAGCAACCCAATGTCTCGCAGTTGAGACATTCCTCAGATATTTACAGACGGAACATAAACATGGCCGATTCACGTACTGCAGAGTAGTTAGCTAGGTGTCAATTAGATGGCGGAAGGAGTTCGCCAAATACATACCATAAAGGCTAGTAGTAGGCCCATGGTTCACACACCAAATGGGTAGGATCCCGTGAGCTTTACGCTGCCTATAGGCCGTAAAGAGGTCATTTAACGTGTCAAAAGAGAAGGCGATATGTTCTAGACCAGCGCTGTTTCGGACTTTGTCGCCACAACCTGGGAATGCTCCAATTGCTATCCGGTGGTGCTCATCGTCATAAGTTATGAACGTCATAGGTCCAATCGCTGCCACAACATGCGCACCCAGGAAGGCCTTGTAAAATTCGACCATCGGCTTTGGCCTAGGTGACCTTAACACGACGTGTGCTAATTTGGACGGCGGGAGAGTTCTGCCTGACTTGATCGCTTCAGTCATGATGATCCGTTATGAGGATATGCAAAGGTTGAAATATGAATATCGAACACTGATTTCCAATTCTTGGGGAGTTAATTAGGTACGTTGAGCTTTTAGTCTTGGTAGTTCTCTTGCGCCTGTGATGAAATTCTTTATGATTTTGGGATACTCGGCCCCTTTATAAATCTTACGTATAAACTTTTCAAGCTCCCAGACCGAATGTCAAGTACTCGAGTACTTAATAATACAATTCGATTTCTGATTAATCCATTCAATACAGTGTCGTCACGTTCGTAATCACCGTATGCACACGTGTACATGGAAATATGCTAGTTGGGTTATTATACGAATTAGTCCCGTTCCATGGAGATCTGTTGACGGTGTAGAAAGTTCCCTATGCATGGTCGGCGCTGTAGTCACCATCCGAATGCGAATCGGCGTTGCTATCCCGAACCGCGAGCTGTGACTGGTCCTCACTAATCTCTCTAACCCACTTCAGCTTTTGAAGATCGCCCTACGCTCATACTTCATTTCTGCTCCTTCAAAAGAAATTCTTGCGAACCAACAATCAAACCGGCCACTCATAATGCCGCCAATACTAAAGTTGGGACCTAAAGGCGATGAATGGGCGTATGATAGAGGGGCTAAGTCTTACGATCTCACCCGCGGGGATTCCTCCCCAGGTCTTACTCTCCGCACTACGCAGGGACCAACAGACACATCGCTCACAGTAGCGCCAAAATTGACCGCTCTAGTGGTGGTGGATATGCAGAATTTCTTCCTTCATCCGAGGTGTAATGACCACCCTACTGGCTTACATGCGGCACAGCGAATCCTCGAAGTGGTTAACAAATGTCGAGAGGTTGGCATTAAGGTATAGAGTTGATGGTCATGTGCCGTCTTGTTATACAATTTATTACGTGTGCAGCGATCGCAAAAGATTAATCATAAAGCTTAAACAGACCAAAATGCTGACATTGGAACTGAATCTAGATAATCTGGCTGAATTGGGGCTTGAATGATAGCGACCTCGGCGCTATGCCCGCAGCTGCTGAGCGAAGCTTCGCCAGTGGTCTCATTACACCACCCCTTGACAATAAGCAAGCTAGAAATGGCTTTGGCTCTGATATGGGTGAAGGAAGAGGGCGGCTCCTAATGAAGGGCTCATGGAACGCCAAGCTTTACGATCCTTTGTACGACGCAAGCCAGCCAGATGTGGACATTTCCTGCAACAAAGATCGCATATCGGGCTTTTGGAACGGCGACACAGAGTTCGCGAAGGCGCTGGCTGTCGGTGGGTTCCGTACTCTCTTGTTCACCGGTGTCAACACGGACCAATGCGTGCTGGGCACACTGACAGACGCATATTACCGCGGGTGGGACTGCATCATGCTTGAGGATTGCTGCGCAACGAAGACCCCAGGAGGACAAGAGGTTACTATTCATAACACCTCGGTGAGTTCCTAATTTCCTGCAAGTTTGCTGTTAACGATCGGTGAAGAGGGGTGATTTTCCTTCATTCTCCTATATTAATGATCAATACAGTCTGCTGACATTAATTGATTACTTAGAGGGGGTATGGCTTTGTAACAGATAGTAGAAGCTTTATTGAGGACGCATGTCGGTAGTTACAGAAGCGAAACTCCTATGCCAAGTATTTATATGTACCCGAGCGATGGATGGTAGGTGGGGATAGGCGCTGAGGCGCTGGGATTAGTCCGAATTGCCGGTTATTTCGACAAAATAAATTCCAATTATGTCTCCGAAAGCTGGGTAAATTTCTCCACTGCGCTTGAGTAGGATTGCCTAATCTTGATAAACTTGGTCAATCCCTACCTACTTGTATCTCCTCGAGTAAGTCTAGGCCTTGTCGGCTGGGGCTCAAGCCTAATCTCCGCTTGTTTGTTCTTCAACCGGTCCCTGGTTGTTACTCCCGCCTCACATATACCGCACGGATGCCCCGTACCGGGTTGACATTCTAATTAACTGCTAATTTCAATCCACGATCAACATCCTTAATGGAACGCGTGGCCGGTGAGGGACAGGGAATGCTGGATTGTAACGTAAAGGAAGAGCAATCACATCGTGGCTCGGCATGCGACATTGGGGTATACATAATGGAGGGCGAAGGCGTCGACTAGCTGCATTTCCCCGCTCAGAATCTCTCGAGTAATTCGTCTTATCACGGTTTCGCTGTCTGTCATCATGCTTCTCGGATTCGTATGGCTTTCTGCTTCGATCATTTTGAGCGCTGTAGGTGTGAGGGGTCACCGAATCAGACGCCAGGACCAGAATCAATGCCCACCATTCAATAACGGCACCATCGTCATCGATTCGTACCAACTCTATCCTGAAAATGCAGATTTCGATCTCAACCAATGTCTATTATACTTTGGGTTAGTCCTCACAATTTGAATGCATGTCTAGGATTAGCAACTCATAAGTGGCCAGAGCTCTCTTCAACGCATCGGTAGTTGTGTATGATCCGTATAGAGCTGAGACAGTCTCAACTATCGAGCTTCCGGGCATTACGCGTACTAAGCCATTTCATGTTGGAGGCGTCGCATGGGATCCATACACAAATCTTATCACTATTTTGGCTGACTCCTCAATTCCCCACGAAACAGACGACCACGAGATCTTGGGCGACGATTTTTTAATACGCTATGACCCAGCTAAAAATGAAATTGTATGGTCTCTTAACCTTACAGAGGTAAGTCAGGGGCAATACGGTGGAAATCAAGATGTCGAGCACGACTCCCATGGACATATCTACGTGCTAGGAACCTATCCAGGTAGCATCCTGCGAGCCGAAGCCGACGGCAGCAGCATCAAACCGTGGTACCTACCCGACGTTATCGACCATACAAACTACGGTATTACCGGATTTGCAGCGACCGGGGATATCCTCCTTGCTAGTGACGGCAAGAATAATAGCGGGAGCGGCGAGATCTACCGGTTCAACATGACGGCAGACAAGGGCACGCCCGTACTCGTTCCTAAGGTCCCTGATGAGGCCATAATGTCACTGGACGCCGTATACTTGCCACCGAAATACGGCGGGAAAGTGCTACTGGTTTCGGAGCATGATAGGGGCGTTTCAGTACTCAGGTCTGCGGATGGCAAATGGGAATCGGCCGAATATCTGGGTCGCATCACAGATGACCCAAATTTTGCCGACGGCGGCTTCAATACTGCGACGGTAGAAGTATCCGGGAGCATCTATGCGGTCGATGAGTGGTTTTCTGACCCAATCGTCGCTGGTACATCAGCTGGGAATAGGACGAAGTTCCCGCTTGTGGACATTACATCTCAGGTCGAAGCGCTACTAGGATGATGGGGGTGGAATCAAGCGTAAAGAAATCCAACCCCTGTTTTAACTACCGATCGAACGTGTATTCCTCCGGTCTTGGAGCAGTTGACTTTGTGTGCTAATTATTCTCGTTACTTATACTCAAAGAAACCGTACGTATGTCTTCAGCGACCCTACAGCGCCCTACCAAATTCTTGTCAGAGCCCGATATATAATTCCGAAAACCTATTTCTACGTTAGAAAGCCCCATAATGAACAGCGAAGCGACCCATCCATAAATTGAGTCCCTAGTTCGGGGGCAATTAGACCTTGTACCCTAGCGTAGGACCCTTGACAAGTGACCCTTTGTCATAGCTACAACCTGGTAATATTTGGGCCTACAAGTAAATCGAGAATGTCTATGCATTGCATGGACCCTTATTATTGGAGAAAGGTCCAATCCTAGCTAGATAACTTATACTAGGAGGTACCTTACGATTTCGAAGCTTGATATCACGGGTCGCATCGTTTAAAAGTCGAATTACGACTTCGCGAGTGTTTCTCCCAACTCCTTGCCTCGGTCAGCAGCCGCCTTCACGGCCTTATCCACGGTTTCTTTAAACCCAGAAGCGTCGAAACTCTTCAATGCAGCTTCGGTAGTTCCCTTCGGACTGGTCACATTCCTGCGCAGCTGTGCGGGCTCCTCAGACGACTCGACCAACATCTTGCCGGCTCCGAAGCAAGTCTGCTTTGCTAGACGAGTGGCCTGGTCGCGCGAAAGTCCAAGGCTGATACCGCTTTCGATTAGGTGTTCCACCATAGCGAAGAAGTACGCGGGTCCGGACCCTAGTATACATCGATCACTAAGCAACGTTCAATGGACCTCAACTAGATGGAATTTTGCCTTACCCGATAGTCCCGTAACGACGTCGATTAGTTCTTCCCGGTCTACCCATTCGGCTACCTTGCTAACGCTACCAAGTAACGATGCGGCTAAATCCTTCTCATCTTGGGTAACATCGTTGCTAGCGAATAGACCTGAAGCGCCTTCTCCCAATAGAGCGGGTGTGTTCGGCATAACCCGAATTATGTGGGGTACGCGCCCGTCCGCTAGCTTGAACCATTCCTTCAAGCTCTCCAGCGTAATGCCCGCGGCAATTGAGACAATTAGAGGTAGGGCCGTGCGCTCAGCCCACGCACCAGCAAGCTCTTGGCATACACCCTTCGTAACTTGTGGCTTCACAGCGAGAACAAGGAGATCTGCATCTTGTGAAGCTTCGATATTGGAGGCAGTGGTGCGCACCCCTGTTGCCTTCATCTTGTCCCGATTCACATCCCATGGCTCCGACACAAAGATGTTTTGCTTATCGATACCTTTCGTGACGAGACCTCCGATAATGGCACCGGCCATATTGCCGCCCCCAACGAAGCATAGCTTGCTCTTCTGTAGTTGAGTCGTCATTTTGCAACTTCACTTTGCGTCCCCTAATTTGCGTAAGCTTGAAGTAAAAAAAAAAAAAAAAAAAATTAAAAAAAAGGTGATTATTTTTGGTTTGAAGGTTTAGTTTCATCTGCACCTATTGAGGAGTAAATAAATCACTCCTGTGGCAGTGCAGTGTGGCTAACGTGCTTGGAGAAAAATGGGGGGTGGCTGGAACAACCAGACTTGGTCATGTCTACCATAGGGTGAGTTCACAAACCACTTAGGTACAAATTGGACTCATAGTACATTATTATTGGTTGCAGCTTGCTAATTGGAAAATATTTTGTAGTTGGGAATTATGGGACTAATTGTGAAAGGGTATTTGCTTCTGGGGGCGGTGGTAAATAGGTAGGTAGTACTTTTTTGTTAAAAAAGGGGGACCTCCCCAAGACCGTGCGCTTGAAATCGTGGAACGATACAACTACGCTTAATGCTACTTTGATCCCATATATATAGGATAGAATCTTCTAATGAATGTCCACTTCATGTGCAGATTAGGTACCTACACGTGTACCTAGCCGACCAACGATATATCGATTATGTTGGAATTCATTGTCTGATGATATACAGCGTCGTAGTCCCCTAGTCGACCTAGCAAACGCCTTATCATTAGTACACACAGTCAGGACTAGCCTCTCCGTTATCTAGTAAGCCGAGATCATATATTTCATAGAAATTTAGGACGCTTTTCGACTGTTGCCTACCTAAGTCAACAGTTTGCCCCTCCACACACAGACCATGAATCGCGGATGCCAAAATAACACCCGCACTGAAAACTGAACGCATGCAAATAGTTGTAGACACTATATTCACTGTCCATTTTTTCCCTAAGTAACGCTCCAGTCCCACTGTCACAGTTTGCTTTGATTGTGATTCTATACTAATCTTCTCCCAGTGGTTCTGTCAGTGTCAATCTATCAAAGTATATTTAATCGACCCTGGGAACCTTGTGCTGGAAAATCTCGCCGAATTTTGAAAACGTCCACTTTCTAAGACACCATCGAGTTAACTACCCGAGCCTGCTCGACCTCAATTCTTTTTTCTAATACCTCGCAATATTTCAATTATTCGCCAAATATGTTCCGTCGCACTAATACCTCTTTCCCTGTTTCGGCGCGCACTGGCGGTTTCAAAAGCATGGCGTTCGTTCTAGATCTACCGAACGAACTTCTCATCGAGATCTTGGAATACTTAGATTCCGCCTGGGATTTGCAAGCAGTATCGGGCACTTGCCATCGGCTTCATTACGTCGGAAATCCGATTTTATATTCATTTGCGGTCGAAAAACTCCCACACCTCCTGACCTGGGCCTGCGAAGTCGGCGAAATAGAAATCGTACGGAAGCTTCTCGTAGCTGGGGCGGACCCGAACGAACCAGCGGTAGGAATCAGGCCTACGCGTCCTACCCAGACGGGGAGTGACATCACGGATCCCCTAGTCGTTCTTTATGAAGTATACGAGAACGTTCCCTGGAGCGGCGGCGTACTAGGCTGGCGGGAGCACGGAGACGGTCAAGATATCACCTACCAGCCTGGTAGAAACTTGGATTGGTACTGTGAGGGCCTTTGCAACTATTGGTTCCCACTTCATGGCGCCGCTATCTCTGGTTCAATTGGAATCATACAATTGCTTGTCGACCACGGTGCTCATATCGATCCTCCGTCGCGTGAGCTGTGCCACTGCTATGGTGATAATGGATATGGATATTGGACGCCCCTTCACACAGCAATATGCTCCTATAACGAATCGACTGCGAATTTTCTCCTGAATCTTGGAGCTTCACCAACCGTAGAACTGCAGTTTGGGGCCCATAATGCGCTTCACGCAGCGGCTCGTGTAGGCTTTTTCTCTACCATGCGATTGCTTATCGAAGGCAACCATCATGTTTCCGTTAATATTACGGACCAGGTAAGTAGCGCTCAAAGTGCCTCAACTTTAGCGGAAAAAGATCTAGCACATACAGATTTACTAACTTTTAATATAGCGCGGCCTAACTCCCTTGATGTGGGCTTTGGGAACACCGCAAAGCAAACGGGTGATAGAATATCTGTTCAGCCATGGTGCCAAAGTTAACCAAACCCGACCTCGCAGATTAACCGCTCTAACACAGGCTTGTTCCGATGGGTGGCACGAGGATGATGCGTTCCTACTTGACGCTGGGGCGAATATTAAAGCCCATGAGACGGCCGCACTTTTGAAGTGTTTAAATTTCTGCGGAAGGCGATTCTCCCGCGAAGCTCCCCCACGCGAAAGTATCGAGGGTTGGTATTGCCCCCAACCAACCCCTTCCTCTAAATACGGCGAAAGGCTAGGACACTTGCAAAGACCAAGCCTTGGCAACGTCGACGAAGACGACGAATTTGCAGCCATGATGAAGCTAATGAAGAGATTGATACGAGGTGGTAGTGTTATTTCTTCTCGATGGAGAGGTGATGCGCTCGTGAAAGCATCGAAATTTCATTTAACGCCTATCGTAAATTGCCTTTTAGAGCATGGGGCCCCGGTCACTGATCTATATCTGATACTTGTGGCTGTCTGCCATACGAATGTACCATGGAGTGATCGTGTCTATGACACCGTCAATTGCCTTCTCAGGCATGGCGCGGATCCCAATCAGGCCGATCGGTTCGGCGACACGGCTTTAATGACGGTCTGCTGCCAGAAATATCCAAGTGCATATCACCGCGATGTAGTGAAGCTACTGGTCGATTACGGGGCGGAGTTCAATATACGTCATTCTCCTCGTTATTCGGAGCGGTTTCTGCTGGAGCCTCCTTTCTCGCCTCTGGAAGCAGCGTTCTGTTACGGACACTACGATATTTGCCGATACCTTGTGGACAAAGGGGCGGCGACCTCCGAGGAGACATGCGATCTTCGTCAGATGCTGAAATACCTCATTGCCAAAGTTCCAGAGCTTGAGGAGGGTGGTGTCGAAAAGTACACATACCAAGAGATATTCGAATACGGTGGCGGGGTCCAATGGTTGAATATCAACCTAACAAATCACCGAGATGAGTTCCGCGAAGCCTTGAGATGCTTGCTGAAAATCGACTACTCCGGGAAACTCACCCGGGACCCTGAGGTATGTAATCTTAAGTGCTAATAATTATCCATCTCAACATTTATCGCGGACAAAAGTAGCCTATATTAACTGGGCGTCTGCTTTCAATTGCAAGACGTGTTCTCAACAATTTAGAAGTTTTCCATTATGATAATTACTGACATTCAGTGTTGCAGTCCCTACGGCTTGCCTTCAAAATCCGCCACTTTCCGCTGCTTGAGGTTTTCCTTAACTCTGGTGCATCTGATGCTTCGTGGCACTTAGAAAACGAAGACTCACGTAAGTACGCTTCATTCATATTCCTCTCACATGCGCTAGCATCAAAACTCCAATAGAGACGAAGAAGATTGCTAATGGTTATGATATCTAGTGATGCATTGTGTCGTCGGAGAGGGATTCTATAACGAGAACATCAGTATACCCTATGTGCAAAGCCTCCTTACCATTGGTGCCGATATAAACACCATAAACGGCCAGGGTTGGTCACCTTTAACAGCCCTTCTTCACTCCGTACACAGTAAAGTAGAGTTTACAGAGGGTGGCGTGGAAAGGTTCGCTGGAATACTAGCAGTTCTGGTTGGTAACGATGCTATTCAGCTGGAGTCGGACGTCCACACCTTCAAGGAATTACTCAAGGAAGACGAATTATTTTACGATTCGGATTTTGGGGCAAGGCATAGAAGGGTGATTAATGGCAAATGTATGGTCAGAGGCGAGAAGATAGTCACACGGGAGCAATAGTTGACAATAACAAGCCGGTACTCGCTAGAGGTATTCATGAATAAAGTTAAAGGCATCTAGTCTCCTAATATATAATGAATTCGCCGTAATATGGTATTGTCATCAACTATCAGTGTGCCTACTTTTGGGATACAGAACAGGAAAGCTCGAATAAGACAGCGTTATATTCGAGACAGAGATGTTCAAAACATCATTGTAATCGCGCTTAAATATGGTAAAGATATGACAACTCGCTCGTTGATGTCAGGAAGTAAGCGAACTAAGTGATAACCCTGGGATATATAAAGGGAGCGCAACGTCCTTTAAAGTGGACGGGAGGCCATGCGTTTAAGATATCTGACGCTTCCTCTACCCTACATATCATGCCCAGGTTTCCAAGGTCAAATATTTGCCTGGGCGCTCTGGTACCTAGTGAGGACCTAGATAGACAGACAAGTTCATTATCATGGATGATAAAGACGAAGATTCTGCTGGTGTTTGTTTGCCTTCGTTTGCTTCCAGGGGTGTATCCCTCCTTTTTTCTTCTTAGCTAGAGTGAAAACGATGATGTTTGATCCCATGACTATCGAAAATATTTGTAGTATCCTTACCCAGACTTACCTAGGTACCTTATATTAGAGGAGCGGAGGTCCTTCCGCAGAAAGTTCTTTACAAAACACCACAATTAACTATCCTAACACTAGGTCGGTTCCTAATTTCACCACAAATGGTAATCTATATAGCATATGAAAACTTCCGAAAAAATCTTTACACTCAAGTACCATGTAAATTTCCTCAAAATACTGCACCAGAACACAGTAGAAGAGGGTGTTAACAGCACACAGCTCTCTCATTTTTCCACCGTGCATTCTAAGGCTTTAATTAGTACGAAAAAAAATTCACCTCAATGGGCCATCTGAGCTTGGTTTGTCTTCGACAGGTAGAATGCCTATCTGAGCGACTAGTATAAGTAACTGCTCTTTCTGACATCTCTGCATCACTTTCTTAGTTATTTCTGAGGTGTGTATAGCATTGTTTTACTTACAATTCTTTCCTTTCTTCCACCTTCAGTACTAATTTCCCTATTAACCCCCCTCTTCTGTTATTTAATTGCAGTTACCACTAGCACAACCGACTTTTATTGACAGTTGATCCACTCCAACGATCAAGGTCTACCTTTTACAAATATTCGTCGCACGCGAGCATAGCTATCGACCGACTATTTTCCTACTTAGAGGTTCAAATATTCCAAAGGGGCAGTCAAAGTGATTTTAGGCCACATTCGTCCCCAGGTCTGAGAGTCGTCAGTTCTGTCGACCTCCCTTCCTCCCTCGAGCTAGTCATTCACTCTTTAGACTATGGCTACTAGCAATAAGTGCAACACGATGTCTCTCAGAAGCTCACCAAATGAGCTTCTTATCGATATCGCCGAGTACTTAGACGAAATTCCCGACTTGTGTGCACTATCCGCCTCTTGCCTCCGCCTCCACTACGTCGCAAATCCAATTCTCTATTCTCTCGCTTCCAACAAAAGAAGATATAAGCACCTCCTTTGCTGGGCCAGCGAAAATGGCCAACTTGGCGTTGTAAAAAAGCTTCTTGTGGCGGGATTCAACCCGAATATCGCCGCGATATTCGAACCGGTTGAGCGAGTGAAATTCGATAAATTGGAGGTAACGGGTAGATACGAACTTGGTTCCGCAGACCCCTTTCGCCTGCACGTTTATCGTCATGATTTCGAGAGTGGCGGCTTTGACAAAAAAAGCCCTTCTTGGGATCCCATTTCAGGCTTTGAGACACAGTGTAGGTTCATGACCCGGAACCCGTTTTGGTTTCCACTTCACGCTGCCGCCAGCTCTGGATCTGTTGAGATTATCAAGGTCCTTATTAAGCACGGCGCCTACTTAAACCCACCATCTAGGAGGCTTGTGTCGTGCGAGGATAGTCCACGCCATAATGAAAAATCGGGGTATCGGACGGGTGAATACCACGAATGGACACCTCTTCATGCCGCTTTATGATATGGTAGCGAAGCCGCAGCAAACCTCCTCCTCGACCTCGGAGCATCCGAAAATGTCCTATTATTCTCTAAGTATTATACCTGGTAGAAACCCAATTATTTAAGTGCATTGCACCGGGCGGCCCGCCATGGCTGTTTTTCCACAGTGAGACGACTCCTAGAAGCTGATCCGCCCGTCCCTGTTGATGTGCAGAACGAGGTAAGCCCCCTAATACCTACTCAGACGCATACTTAAAAGCTCTCAACCATGAACATTCATGGGTTTAGACCTTGCCCTTTAGAGTAACAATGCTAACTTTCTACACAGTACTATGCGACCCCGATAATGTGGGCACTTGGTACAGCACATAGTATCCCAATGATGAAATACTTAATTCAACATGGCGCTAAGCTTGATATACATTCTACTACCCGCTGTAATCCACAACCAACGGCTCTTCTTCAGGCTTGCTACAACCATTGGCACATGGATGCCGCTTTCCTTATTGACCACGGGGCCAACATCCACCCTGTTTCGCCTGATTGGCCTTCCGCATTAGACCAATGCCTCACTTCGACCAGGGGATATATTGCCACAACTGATTACGGAGCAAAACCCGTGACGCCCCCAGAAGAATATGATCCGTGTACCAATCTCGAAGAAGATGCTACCTTGACCCGCATGGTTGAACTCATCAAGAAGTTAGTCGACAAAGGTGTTGACATTCGCGGTTCTCCTGCCGTAAAATATTCGCATTGATATACGCATCTTCAGCACATCTGGAGCCAGTAGTAGACACCTTACTGGCACACGGGGCCCGAATCGATGAAGAAAGTGATGACGGCATGTCCCCATTAAAAGCTGCGCTTTACTCTACGGATGTGCCGTGGGCTGATGACATGTATGACACCGTTGATAGTCTTCTTCGGCATGGCGCGGATCCCAACAAAGCGAATAAATTTGGTCAAACACCCCTAATGTACATCTGTAGCTGTACTTCGCGTCATATGAGCGAACTGCGGCAGGTGGATATGTTGATCAACTATGGCGCAGATATCAACCTCAACCCTCTAAATGAGGATTCATTTGCGTCACAACGCAGGGAAGAGTGCCCACTATCACCTCTTGAAACCGCATTCTATAATGCTAAGTACAAGCTTTGCCAATATCTCGGAGACGAGGGAGCAGTGATTTCAAATCACGGGCCCGGTTATATTGGCATGCTCGAACATCTTGTACGCAAACAAGATTCCGAAATGATCTATGAGTTTCAGTTATACTGTGACGACCCACATGATTACGTGGAAGATTGGGGAGATTCTTGGTATGGTTTTAACTGTCTACTAGACATCGACTATTCCGGATACCTTACCAAGGACCCGAAGGCTCTGTGGCTGGCTACTTCATTATATTACTTCCCGTTGGCTAAAATACTTCTCGATGCCGGCGCCTCCGACATCACATGGACCTCAGAGGATGGGCAGACATATAAGTGAATTTGGTTTCTTTTCATGTGCGCTGATATTGGCGGGTTTATATATTAATACTTCTCGTCGCTAGGTTTGCACAATATCGCGAACCGACATCTTATGGACGATTACTTCATCATCGGGGATTCTGAAAACGACTGTCTTCCCGTTGCTTACATACAGCGTCTCATAGATCTTGGTGCTGATGTAAATGCGGTTGATTCTATTGGTCGAACGCCGCTAAATATATTTCTATGGGGTATGGGTTGTCCCAGACAATCCACTCGGTACGATAGCGTTTCAAGGGTTGTGGAAATACTCAGTCTTTATTGAGAACGGAGCCACGCAATCAGATGAGGACATTCAGAAGATTGAACGCGCCTTGGGTACCGATGAGCCATGCCCTGGGTTCGGTTGCGAGCGCAACCTTCACGAAAAGTTCCGTCGTCGGTTCACGATCGAGAACCACAAAGTTGTAGTACGAAGATGATCTGGGATGTTATAAATTGGCAGCGGACGCTTGAGTTCTCCAATTAATATTACTTTCTGGAGATTTGGGGTCCTCATATTGTGCTAGAGAGATGCGGCGGCCTGATTGCGGAGTAATTGCCATTGTTTCGTTGAACAATAGCTTACCATATGCTCGGCACACTATACCTAGGTAGACATTAATTATATTAATAGTGACACAACCGAATATCAGGTAGCCATACACTCCTAGTTACCTATCTAGGGCCCATTACTAACTAGTCAGGCTTAATGAATACCTAGGTATTTTACCATAAAACCCAACTACCCCTCTAAGGCGTACGAAACCTGGGCTAGATTCTCAATCGCTGCTAACCCGTATAGTGCAGCATCATTTGTCGCCAACCACGCTGCTTCGTCAACCGGAACTAAGACATCACTTCCATTCAGTGACTCGCTAGCCCAGGACAGACTCGGGGATAGCCCGTCGGTGTTGAAGAACTCGTTCCACGCGCGTGCTGCCAATGTCGAGTTGCCTAACTTCTTAGCCGCATATGCCGTCAGTCGAGAGTGACCCTGTTTCAGATTCAGACTACCGAAGCTGACACCGTAACGCGCCGTCTGCTCCACCGCGCCAGCCCCGTAGTAATAGCAATAATCCAACCAGACGCGCTCGAAACTGGCGGGTAAGTCGTCACCTAAGTAATCTGTAATTTGTGAGATGATCTCTGGCAGCCCGAAGCTTGCGGACAAATGAGATACTGTGACATTTCCAAGGTTCTGGGGGTCGGTTTCTGGGGGCGCGATTTGCCCCGTGTACAAGTTGTAGAGACCGAGGCCGGTGACGAAGCCGTTCGTCAGGTTGGCGATACTATGCATACTGATGTTGAGCTTTGATCGCGCTTCTTCCCATCGCGGGCCACGACGCTCCCACTCTATGAACCAAGTCGCTGCAAGCCCGGACCAGTCGAGACCGAGATCGAGATCTAGGGCTGTTGGGTCGATGACGTAAGTGCCGTTATCTTGACGGACCTTGCGTCGCGGATCTACTGTGAGGAAAGCCTGATCGGCATCCATAAGTTCGTGAAGAAGCTCACCAACGCGCTCATCACCACCCGATAGGTAATAGAATACTTGGCGGTAGATGGGGGTTGAGACGCGAATCTGTTTAGAGGAATCACCCCAATGTTGAACGCCATGTCTAGTACCAAATCCTTTGAATGGTCCGATATGGTATACGTCGACCTCGCCGGTATGTCTTGCATGTGCCTCCGCGAAGCGGTACACATCTGCTCTACCCGTGCGCAGGTAGTAATTCCAAAAGAATAGATTGGGCGAGAGCTCGGAGTTATCCCATGCATAGCCTCCGACGTCATAGCGCCATGTGTGGCGGTCTTCGTCATAGGTGTGCATTATGTCGCCATGGTCCCAGAATCCATACCATCGTCTCTGAACGATCTGGTCCTGGTAGTACCTGATCAAAAATTCTAGGTGAGTTTCAATTGTCTGCGCTGCACTGGTTGAGTTTTCAGGGATTGTGGCCCAGTAAGACCCTACCGCCTTTGTCTGCTGGATATATTCAGGGTCCGATGCAAGTGCTGGTGGTTCATTTGCAAGCCCTGTCAAAGTGGATAAGGTGTCGGCGGACGGCGTTTGATCGAATGGGAATAGGAATACTTCGTTAGTTCGAGCGATGCCATATGGTGTATTATAACTTCCTTCGTAATCCTCATAAGTGATCTCGAGTGCATCAAGTTGATCGGCGTACGTATCCTCTCCCAAGCCGTCGTGGAAGGGCCGAAGATCCATCGGTTCAGCAGCTGGACTATAAAGCCACAGAGTTATCTGACCTGAATCCTCAGCCGTATTTGAGATATCGAGGCCAGTTGGGTATCGCTTCCAGAAATCGCGGAGGGCGACGGCGAGACCACCTTGAGTAGCGCCACCAAGGTAGGCCAAGCCACCAGATTGCGTACCTCCAGGGATCTTCACCCAACTCTGGCCAGCCTTGGTCCGCTTCTTCAACGTAAATCCTTCGGGTGACAACTGAAACAGGCTGTAATCGTTCCATGAGGGAATCCACTTTAATCTAGAAGAAACTCTCGTATCCCATGTCGAAATATCAGGTGTTACGGTGCCGTTAAACTGAGCGCTACGCACCTCCTCGCCCGGATCTCTCCGCAATCCTGTGATTCCCTGTACAGCTTCTCGAAGAAGACCCCCGTCTGGGCCAGCAAGCCTAACGTGTCGGTTATATAATTCCTCACCCTTCAAAGGAACATCGAATTGAATGCCAATCCCCGTAACAAAATCTGTACCGGCTTTTCCATCAAAAACAAGCGTGTGAACGATTCGAATGGCGTCTGAGTCCGCATATAGATAGAAGCGAAGTACGAACGGTAACCAATCGTCATGTGTCCCTGATGTCGCTTGGTGCTTACCGCGGACGGTCACCAATGCCCTCACTGAAGTCTCCTTATCGAAGTCGACGGCGACCTCTTCGATGTTACTTTGAAAATTGAATTTGGTGATTGAAGTATCGTCACCTTCGTCTTCGACCCCAGACTGAGACCGCAATACCAATTGCCCGTTCTGTCCGACGATCTTTCCGCTCGATGTCTTGATTGCGCTTACAAGTACGTTTCCAGATTTAGGAAACGTTGCGGCGAGTTTCCCTGTATTGACGGTGATTTCGCCCTCGGAGTCGTTGACAACCACTCCCGAGGAGGTCGAATTGGAAGATTTGGTGTTCCCGTTCTTAACAGTTGTCGGAGTAACTCTGTATACTCCATAGGCTGTTTCGGAGCCGCTAATAGCGTGGCCTGTCCATTTAATTGAGCCATCTGGCCAGTAAGCCGTTACCCAAGATTGAAGTGGTATCTCGTCATCACCATCACCTCCGGAACCAGTGAACGTAGTCTGATTAGCTTGGTATTTGCTACGAGACCATGGAAGACCAAATGTAGTCCCAGGGTTTAGTGTTGGCGTATCTCCAATCCATCTCACAGCGACGGTATCTCCTTCTGAGCTGTTGCTGTTCGAATAGCTCTGGGCGGAAGCAGTGATGGCGAGACCCAAAAGCGCAAAAGTCCTTCTAGCCCACATTGGAGACATGGTTGCGAGGATCAGGAGTGGGTGATCGAAGACCCCCAAAGCGAAGCCTCGTTTGACTTACCTCCATCGCGTCAAGAATATTTCGTACTGCGGCTATGGCCACCCTCATTATATAGTAGAATACTCCGCAATCAAGAAGTGTTTCTCCAATTCCTAATACGCAAGTTCCTGGATAAAATACAAGCTATGTAACTTGGCTTGCGTAGTACGTTGCTACCTCGGTAGGATATTACACCGGGCGTGTTTCCTAGTAGAGCACGCAACCATAGCTATTCCGTACCTAAGTTGGCCGATTATTTGACTTATACCATAAAAAGTAAGACTGGGGAATACAGAATAACGCAAGCAAGAATAATAATCTCACCACTAGGAGATTCCACGAATGATATTTATGCTTGAAGGACTAATCCACGTCCCTTAACGATGGTTCACTATAAACCAGCTGTGGAGATTGCGGGGATGTCCCTGAAGCTTCGGCTTAGCACACGATTCTTGGTGAATAGGGGCAAGTGCAGGGAGCTTGGAAATGCATAATAGATTTGGAGACCACTTGGGCGCTGTCTCCCACAGACACAGGGCCTAAACTATAGGTATAAGGTGTTCGCGCCCTGTATTCTCAAATTGATAATGTACTGAGTGTGCCTATAGGTATTAACTTAGGTGCCTAAGACAGGCACTGCCCCAGACCTGAAAATGACCAAAGTGACACAAACTGCAACTCATCGAAGGAAAAAGAAGCGAATATGATCTCATCACAATTCTCTTTCTTTCTTCATTGATAACGAGGTCTAAGTGACTAGGAGCCCAAAGGAGCATTTCTGAATTAAACGGAGAGGGTGTATGGAGTCGTTTCTCCAACGGAACTTTCCAGTATCCCAGTCATCTTATGATAAAACCTGGTAGATATATGAGAAAACGCTAACAAAATTTCAGAAGAATTCGCGATGATTTTTTTTTTAAAAAAAAAAACAAGGGAAAGACGATAGTTAAGTACAAAGTTATCGGCGCTTGGACCATATTCACCAAGATAGCACATGCAAGTAGCACAGCTCATTGTTCAAGCGAATTGCCGCCGGCTGCTAATTTTAGCCTAGGTGACTTCCATACGTAGCCTTATCGATTAACCGGGTTCTTTCACCTAGGACAGATGTGGATTTTACTGTTTTAGCTGTTTTAGAAACGTCACCATATCGCAAAATCGCATTCTTACCGTCACTACGTCACAAGGTCCCTATCTTTTAACGTCTTAGGTCATGGATAAGATGCTACGACCATTGCATCTTCGGGTCGCCCCCTCAATTTTGAGGCCGGCGATTCATCGTCGTCGGTTTCGAAGCTGTCCGCAACTTAACACCCCCAACTACGCACCTGGTCCATATTTCTATCCTCCACCCAAGTCACGAGGAAGTCGGTTGAAAGACATAGCCATAGGTTCAGGACTCACCATTTCCGCTTATTTGGCATACATATATTATCAGTATCGCCAGCTTTCGAAGGAGATGCGGGAAGCAGCAAAGCAATACGAGCAGGATGAAGTTCTGGAAATGGAATTCGACCATGCCTTTACCGAGGCACGTTATGCTGGTGATCAGGATCGCTTGAAAGAACTCACTTTTGAGCTCGCAAGAGCCATATCCAAAGGCCGGGTTGAAGTCGGCCCATTGCCCAGACTACCCGAAGGCGACAAGTCACACGGCAAGGATAATATCCCGGAAGAAGACACGTTGATGTTCATCGTTGACCATGATGGAGATTCACTCATAGTTCATCTCGCTGTCAATGCTGAGTCTCAAGAGATATTTCAATGTACGTACTACAAATTCCCTCCGATTTTCATTGAAACTAGGGGTTCTCAAGTCCCTCTAGAAATACACCTCCAAGATCCACCCTGACCTAAAATGTTCCCGAAAAAGAAAATCACTAACATCCATTGTCATAGCGGCATCACGAACAGATGACCCCGCAGATCAGAAGGACAGTCCCCTTCTTGAAATAATTCTCCGAGTTAATTATCAAGCTGCTGAGTGGATTCGAGAAGGAATCCTCGGCGAAGATGGCGATTTGTTAGTCACTATCAATATGCGAGATAGACACTTTGGCTTTACGTATTGTCCAAATTCGTCTCGTATCAGGAATCAATTGATATGAGATTGCGACCACGCCAATCTCACCCATCCATCAACGCATGCCGCCTTATTTGGCAGTCATTCGACGAGCCTAGATCCCTGATCAACAACAATGCATGGGAATGTATTATGGAGACCAATCAGTTCGGTCAGTCTGCTGGGGACATGCGGCTGCCTTTGGTATGTTCTCTAAGGCTCTCCGCGGCGTGGGCCTATTCACATGTTTCACTCGGCCTTATAGCTAACTTAATTTGTAAATAAGCGCATTCGCTATGGTTTATCGCGTGCCTCGCCTACTCTAGGTATGATACGTACTTGCCAATGCCTCAACTCGCCGTGCTCACTAGGGATTGGAGGCACGTAGGGAATGACGCCCGCTTTAGGGAGACCCAATCCCGTTTATTGGCTCAGTTTTTGCGCGAAAAAATGGGCAATGGTGGGGAAACCAGGACAGGATATACCCTATAAAATATAGCAGGGCGCATACGGGGGCGACGCAGGGAATATAGAATGACGCGTTGGCTTACCATAATAATATAAATACACAAGTGATAAGCATTGCGTCTTCGATCTGCATTATTTGAACTGTCCCGAATCTCCATAATTACAGCCCTTGAAGAAAATCAAATGGTATGGTGCGAAATAATGTCATCTCAATCGCCTCAATCTCGAAGTCTTCAGTAGGCGTTTAACCCACAAACTCGCAATTTCCTAGGTATAAGCGCGCAAAAACAAGTTGAATAATCGGGGTATCACACCGTCCTCCTCATCATCTTCGTAACGTCGTCCCCACGCTTCAACGAAAAGCCCTCCCACACATAAGATTTAACCGAAATGATGATAACAACCATATGTTAGCTGAAAACAAACAACTTAAACGGGCAAGTAAACTAGTAGACCTCATATCTAGCCAGAATCGTGCGATGTGCCAGAATTTCTGCCTAATTTCCTACTCTTTTTGCCCACGATATCAACCACCTCAGGTTCCACGGTCTCGGGCTCTTCAACCCGAGTAGATGACTCGCCTACTTCGGGGTCGTCTCTATATGGGACAACCGTCGCTGTCGCATCGTCGTCGATGGCGCCACCAAACAGCGTCGCATACCCACGTTGGGTGCTGTTTCGGAACCACGCCGGCGTCTTCCATTCAGGCCCTTTAACCTTCGGGATCGAAGGTAGCTTCAACTTCACATTCTTAAACGACGGTCTCGGTAACGACGTTTCTTCCACCCACGGGAGTCGAGGTGGGGCGTCTGGTCGCAATCGGTGTCCGCAGTCTGGGCAATCGGGTGGAACGGCCTGCCACGCGAGGTATTGCGTCAGCCCCGGAAGCGCGAGGCCGCGGGAGAGTTCGCGTACCGCTAGGTAAAGATGAATTAAGCTATGCGAGACAGTTAGTAATCTTAGAATGATCCAAGTCTAAATGCGTACAGGTTCTTCCAATTGAATTGCGGGAGAAAGTCGTAGAAAAATCATACAAATTAATTAATAGTGGGATTGTCGCATATGCAGCTAGCATAGCTGACTCGGCGCTGTTAGAGCTGCCGCTACCCGAATCAATCCATGTAAATATTAAAACCACTAATAGCGCTGCGGAGAGGACCGTATCGACGGCGAATACGAGGATCGGGTGGCTTTTGGTCGGTGTCGGGGCGGGCGCGGCAGGTGCTTCTTGAGGTTGCGGTTCCCCTTGTTGTCCCTCTAGTTGTTCCTGCTCTTGTTCTTGTTCTTGGTCCCGTACCTGCCCCTCCTCAGCTCCATCACCCCGCTCCGGATCGGACGCTGCTTGCTGCTTCCTTCTGGATTGACGCGACAACAAGAAGATGCCTGCACCGGCCGAGAAAGCAAGCGGCACCAATCCTACAGCAGGGGCAGGGTTATTCGAAATGACCCCATGCGCGAGAGCAAGGGGAAAAGCTGGTAGGAAAGTCGCGGCGGTGACGATTCGTAGTGTTCGAGTATCGGCCATCGTGGAGGCGGTAGAAGGGTATCTCGCGAGAACCTCATACAATTGATGTGGGCGTCACTCGCATGGGCGAGACGAAATGAGGATGGTAGGAAGAGGGGAAAACATAGGTGCGACCTTGCGAGGACTTGAGAAGTTGAGGTTCATTTAGGCAGCCCCCTGCCATCTTATCGTCGCCAGGGGTCGTGATTCGTCAACCAATGATGTTACATTGTTGGATCACGGCCCCTTCCAAGACTGGCGATCTCTGTCGCAGAAGAGAACCCTAGGGTGACTTAATAGGCGCTTGGTGACATGTGAGTTGCGATTTACGAAGCTGGGAGATTATTCGGTCTAAGACCATGCCGTGCAGAGCTGAATCAGCTCCGTCCGCTAAAAATGTGAGCCACGCAGTAGATTATAGCATACAATAGGAGCAATACGTCGCGACAATAAGGAATTATAACACATTATCAACACCCGAGTTGTTGAAAAACTCATCCTATAGTTCTAAAATAGTTCTCTTATGTGAGAGTGTTATCCACCAGACAGAGTCGAGGCTGACGGGGGAACATTTCGGCGTGTGGGGGTAAATCTAGTTTACAGTTAGCGGGGATAACAGGCGCCCTCCAACAAGTATAGCGCACCTAACACACTATCCCATAGGGCCCATTTTCACCTATATCTATTCCAATCCCTATTTTGCTCATATATTTGATCCAACACCCATTACCCCCAGCGAATCCCACAGCTCTTGTGAAAAACAAACATGACAACATAGACGTAGGTTCATGCTAATCCACCCCTCGATCCATGATCAAAAATATTTGCAGCGGTGTTGGCAGTATCACATTACTATCTCTATCTAGACTAAGAATACGTAAAGAATAGGGGCACGTAGATACCTAGGTAACTCATATTCCATCAACCGTGTCAGCCTATCGGTATTACAGTCGTCTGTGCAGTGGGTACTCGTATAAAATAACGTCAAACATGTTCATGCTTAATAAATCCAAGATTTAGTTTCTAGTAGTTAGGCATCTAGGTGTTCGGTGTGTGTAGGTATGTAACTTGCTTCAGCAGCCCGCGGAAAGGGTTAAGAAAAAATGCAGGAGCCACACAAGCACATAAATTGCTATGGCGACAAAACACCATTACCTCTATTATTCCACTTGATTAGTACCATAACCTAGAAAATTTTCATTATATATTAGGCAGGTGCACATTTTAGGTGGCAGTTGCCCTCGTAGTGTCAATTCTTTAACATACCAATTTTTTTCCCACCACCCTTCTTCATCTCGACACTTTCACTTCTACAACCAACCCAACCACGAAGATGGATCACAACAACACCAATACCGACGGACGTGCTGTGAGTAAAACCTTTCTGCTTTCCTGCTTCCTGCATCCTCCGATTTTATCTCTTCGTCTTCATGTTATTCTTGCTCTTCTTTTTAGAGAGAAAAAAAAGAGAAAGAAGAAAACGCCCCTCTATAATGATCTTTCTCTATTCGACCACAATCTTCCTATATTTCTCTATCCCCAGCGAAGAGGCGATTTCCCACACATCATCAGCCTCAGATATTGCGTCAATTTTACATTCTTCCTCCATTATACGACGCTAACTCGCCGTCTAGGTCCATTCTCTCGACAATCTTCTCGACCAGGAGACTATGGTAAGGATGCTTCGGAAGGACTTAGTTAGTAACTTGTTTCACTGACGGAGATGGACACAGGACCAGTTTCTGCACCCTACTAGGATGCTCGTTGTCGATAGATACACAGATCGTCAAATGGCAATACTCCCTAGGTACAAAAGCCGTCTGTACCTATTATATACCTACCTAGGTACCTAGCTAGGTACGTAGAAAAACGGTTAGGTGGGAGGCCGTCTCTCCCAAGAACTGCTAAGGTACCCAACCAGCTACGCTTGACAGCACTACGGACACTTGAGTTAGAAGCTGTTATATTTATACCTGCACTGGCCTCTTATTCCGGCATCTCGGTTCGCCGGGCGCAATCCATGGAGATAGGAAGGTAGGTACTTGAGGGTAGGGTACTCTTTCTTTGTCTTGGTTCAAGTTATTTCCTCCCTACTTTGTGCACTTGGAAGCGATATTTTTCTTTACTTCACCATCTCCTACTTCGGTCTGCGGGTTATGGCTGGTACTGTAATTCTCACTGGCGCCAACAGCTCAGCTGGCCTCCACGCCTCCGAGCACCTTTTAAAGACGTATTCGAGCTACACAGCAATCTTTACTGTTAGGAATGTTGCCGATAACGATGAGAACACTAACAAGTTACGCGCCATCATAGAAAAATATCCCAAGGCAAGCGCTTCCATCCACGAGCTCGACTTAGCCGACCTTACCGCCGTCCACAAATTTGCTACGACCATATCGGACAGTATCATCGCTGGCGAATATCCCGCCATCAAGTCTATTATATGCAACGCGTACTACTGGAACCTTGTCGCCGACCCCGAACTGACCATTGATGGTTTTGATAGGTCGTTGCAGGTTGGACACATCGCTCATGTAGCACTTATTTTACGCCTACTAGACAGCTTTAACCCCGACGGTGGCCGTATCGAGCTCATTTCCAGCGTTCTACACTACCGCAAGAAAAACCCCGTAACAAATTATCTCCCCGAAATACCTGATGATTTCGATCTCTTTATTCACCCACGTCCGGACCCCGATAAGTTCGGCCGCGGATATCAAAGATATGGGACGTTGAAGTTGGTTGTTACTACTTGGGCCTGTCCCCTCAACGAGTACCTACAAAAGGTGAGATGGCTCGGAGTCTTTGCATTCGACTCACCTGCTAACAAGTCGGCCCACAACAAAGGATCCCAGATTCGCAAACATCTCTGTGGTCGTGATGAACCCGGGCAATCTGGGTGATTCGCGCACTTTCAGAACCAATACTCCGATGTCTATCCAGTTAATGCAGATGTTTATTCTAAAGCCTCTGATGCCTATACTTCGCTATCTCGATCCAATTTATCGTACCTCGGCTGAGGCAGGAGTAGACATCATCGAATTAGGTGTTGGCCAGGCTAACAATGGCGAACGAGGATACTACACCTTCCTCAAGAAGGATGAGCCTGATCCCGTGGCCTTGGACAAGGAGATACAACACAAAATATGGGTGAAGAGTGTCGAATGGGCTAGGATCAATAAGGAGAACACTGCACTCAAAGTTGCCTTTAAGTGACCAGACTTGATATTGTGAGTCGGTTTCTGGTTTTCTATAGCGTGGTATCACTGGGCCGTAGTTTAAAGTTACACAGTTGTATTTTAAATCTCTTCCCTTTTGTCGCGACGAGCTTCCATTTCATCTTATTATATTTGCATAGGTTAATAACACGAGGCTACTTCATTATCTCCTCATTTGCACTTGGAACGGCGACGAATACAGCACTTCTACGCCATAATGACAACTCGTATTGACGATAGCCTCGACACAGTCTCACAGAAGGGGCCTAGCTGTTGTGTACCATCTACTCCTCGCTGGGTTCGCCCTTACATTCTAATGTGCTTGTACGAATGAATACTCGCCCAACGTGCATCAAAGTGCTGAATTGTTTGCGTGCTGGCTCACCAACATCGTTCCTTCCAAAGACCCAACAATTCGTGCGCTCTCTCCCTGCCATGGCTGCGCCATCTCAGCCAACCGGCGGTATTCAATCAACTTTCAATATAAAAGCCACATGACGGAATAATTACCACGCAAATCGCTATTACTTCCCAGTTTGCCAACATGGAAGGAAATGTCTAGACCTTTTCGGCTGTCATCGGCTTATCCAGTTCTTAGTCGGAAGCGCTGAAGAAGAGGTTCGACGAATCTCGGAGTAATAGGAATGACCCCGTCTAAATCTTGAGCATTGCTTGCGAAACAGCAAGAGGTTGAAAGAACTCGCTATGAAATACGGTTCCGCACAATTATTCCAGATACAACAGGTTCGTGGCTTCAAACTTGTCAACGTGCCTTAGGAAAAATGGAGGTTGGTGTAGCACAGAGCATTTAAGAGAACGGTTTTTTGATACCAAAGAAATATTAATGAATTAAATGGATGCTAATTATCAGGGGCACCCGGCCTCAATATCCCCATGCAATGTGTATTCCCTCGCCTGCCAAGAAAATCATATGCTAGACAGGAAATAAAGCAAAAGAAAAAGTCCAATTTGGTTTGTTGCGCCCTCCTCCTCCTCCCCAAAACGAGACACTCAACCCCCCAACGCCTTAATTAACACCTAGGTGCCCCTCAAATTCTGTAGAAATATTCAGCTTCCCCTACGCGATGCGCTGCAATAGAATCGCATTGGGAGCAGGGTCGGGTATGATCTGAATAGGCGTTACATACGTGACATCAACGGGGGTCAAGACGGTAACCGGGTGGAGTACGGTAGCTGGCTGGATGACACAGACTCCTGCGGTAGGGCGAGGTATCGGGGGAAGAGGTCCCGGCGGTGGAGGAGGAGCATCGCGAAACTTCTTCCAGCAGAAGGGGTAAAATATGATGGTCGACATTGTATTGGCTAGAAATGAGGGTCTGCTGGTGTATGGATGTGGGGTGAGTGTGTACTTAAACTAAGTAGTACTGCGAAATATTATGGATATTCTAAAACCGTGATGAGGATGAGCTTGAAGGATTTCAAGAAGATTGTATCTGGTTTGGTGGGGCAAGGGGGAAGAGGAGAGAAAACTTCCCGAGGATCATAGGAAATCGGGCGTGTTTAAAAAGAAAAAATCATTTGGCTAGGTTCTGGGTCTGTGAGTAGATTCTTCATGGAAGTGCCAGTGTGGTGGCGATCTGGAGCCGCATGTAAACACTCAAGGTATGGTGATGGAAATCGACAATGATAGTATTCCTTAATGGCAAGTACGTGGGAGCTATTCCGCTGAATAGTGCCTTGCTCCTTGGAATTGAAGCCTGAGCGTGTGGTTTGTGCTCTTAGTAATTAATAATGAGATGTCTGGTTGCAGTGGTGGGTAAGTGGTGGTAGTGGCGACGGTGATGATGGGGATGGTGACAAGGGTGGGGTTGGGGTGTAACAGACATGACGAAGAGGAATAAAAAGGAAAAGAAAGGAGAAATAGGCAAATTGAAACCCAGTATGTAAACAGCAAGAGTAACGAGAATAGAAATTATAAAAAAAAGCTCAGTACTGAATCCGCTCACCCACCAACTCGAATTCAGGACCTACGAAAAACTCGCTTTGGATTGTCGTACTGTCAAATTGCGCCAATTATCAACGCTCCAAGCATATGACAACCTCATGGTAGTTTGTTCATAGCCATCAAGTCACCCAGGGTACGTCCATCTAAGAGGGTCGGCTTGAAAAACATGTCAGTTATTATTCTATATAACCTTTAGCTTGGATTTTTTTGGTAACTGCCAGGGGCTTCCCTTATTGGCTGCACCAACTCACCGAGGCAATGACCTTCAGCACTTGCCTGCAATTCTAGATAAATCATTGGACTGGCACACATTGGTCGTTGCGTGGTGGTTGTATCTGTAACTTCCTTACTCATGACACTGATGTCAAAGGCCATGCCTGTATTTCCGTCCAATATTGCTCCTTACACCCAAGGCGAGCCGATATCATACATGACCTCAAGCACTTGACGAACTTGACCAACAGCTTGGAAGACTCTTGATCATTAATTTTTCGTGTACTAAAACATGCCTTGTTAACATGACCACGCTCGTAAATGCACAGGAGATAAATCACCTAGGTAGGACAATAACTCAGACCAATCGAATCACGGATTCCATAGCACGCCCACAATCATACATGTATCCATCGTCATAAATATTTCAAGTCTAGTATTCATTTTACTCTAACGCTGTTTCGGGAGTAGACCTAGATACCTTTAGCTTAACGACGCCATGAACATATAACAACACAAGGCTCGCGCGACGTGACATTGAAAGAACGCTTAAATAATTGGGGAATAGAACATCAATTTGAATAACTACCTGGTATCGACGATGCTTTTGCGTAAACCCAACCTCCAAACGCCGTGCCGCCATGGTGATGCTTTACCGTATCGTTCCATTAGCAAAATTAATCCCAGTACCTAATAATACCATCGATACCCGCCGCAACAACCTTGCTCGTCTCCTGGGGATGCCACTGGACGGATGTGATGGCTTGATCGCCAGCCTGGAGCTTGTGGTACATCTTGCAGGTCTTCCAGTCCCAGAAGCAGACGAAACCGCCACTGTCACCACTCGCCAGGAACTGTCCATCAGGACTGCAGGCGACGTCGATGGCGGTACCGGCGTTGTTGTGGCCTCGGTAACTCTTCTTGCGGTTTTGGCGGAACTTGTCGTTCGCGCCATAGACAACGATTTGGTTATCCGATGACTGGTATGCCACGTACTTGCTGGATGGGTGTAGGCATGCACGTGTCATCGGATACATATACGGCTCCGCGATGTATTTGATGGGAACTGGAATGTTGTAGTCCCATGCGCGTAGCGACTTGTCGTCCGAGGTAGTCATGAACCGGCGGTTGTCGTCCACAAAGGTGATAGTGTTGATGGCGTTGAGATGGTGATCGTATTCCTGGACGAGCTCCTTTGTTCGCGTGTCGAATTGGACAATCTTCTTATCCGACATACCAGCAAGGAATTCGTGGGAGTGCTCAGGTGACGGGTTGAATTTGATGACATGGGGGAGTTGGCCGGTCGTGAACTTGTTGATGCATTTGCCTGTTTCCGTATCCCACAACTTCATTTGTCGATCATACGAACCGGACAGGAACTGTGTGCCATCGATGTTGAAGCATATATCCGATACAGCCTTGGAATGCCCGAGATAGCTTCGTAGAAGCTCTTTTTGGTGGTACACGTCCCAGATCTTGACTGTCGTATCCGCGCCAGACGATAGTAACAAGTGGCCCGAGTTGGGAATGAATCGAAGAGCTGTAACGGCCTGTTTGTTGTGATTGTTCCATGTGTGGACGAGCTTCTTGGGTATGTAATTCGTGATGCTGCCACTCTCTTTTCGTAAATCGACGTCGAGGTCTTGCGGTACGTGCATGTAGCTCCTTCCTTGGTAATCGTGTTCTTGCTCGCCATGGAAAACGGTTTGTTCATCGCCAAGTTCCTCGACCTCTTTCCTCCTGGCTATCGCGCCTGCAGGTGCCGAGACGACAGTGCCGCTCGCTACGACATCGTCATCATCCTCGTATACGTATTCGACTTCTTCATCACTCCCTATCTCTTCATCCTCTGCGACTTCTTCATATTCATCCTTTTTGTATTTCGCCCAAGGTCCTACGTATGCGCCATCTCCGTCGGCTATAGTCGCGTCGCCCTTCTTTTGCCTTGATGCGCGTAGCTTGGCAGCTTCCTCTTTTACTATAACGCCGGTCTGGTATTCTCTCTCGGGGCCGCCCTTGCGTTCGATGGCGCGATGTTTACTGCGAAATGTGTGTTCACTAAGATACGTCTCCTCAGCATGGCCGGTAAGGATATTTTTACGTTTTAATGTGGTGTTCGCTTCGTCTTTGAATGGGTTGAGAGGTCCGAGTCTAGGTCGCGCAAGGTCTTCACCGGTGTAAGGAACAACGGCGTGATCGGGTTCGGCTTGTTCGCGTACTACGAGCGCATCCTGAGGCGCCATATTTGGCGGGTATTCCCCGAAGTCCTTCATTTTGTCCACTAGGTACTGTAATTGATGCGCGTTTACAGATGGATACGGGGGGTTGATGTTGGTATTGACGCGTTTGCGGCTAGTGGAATTTTTTGAGCTTGGATCCACGCCCTTACCTTCCGTTACTCCTCCATAACCTTACCTACATAAGGTACTGTACCTAGTAGGTAGGTAACTTTCGGGCGGCCACAGACACAACTGAACCCATTTAACTCGTTTAACTCATTTCTTCGAGAAGATTATAAGCGCTTTTTAAATTGGCTAACTACCTTTTTATGAACATAATTATTTTGACATCTACGAGTATATGGGCACATCCATAGATATCTATGAAAAATTTCCATTTGACGATATTTGCTACTAATTTCAGGGATCAAGTTAAAGACAGAAAACATTCTGGCTTTATGCCCTTGTTTCATTGGACAAGTTCTAAGCCAATCACGCAGCAGGATTCCTTGATTATGTAATTCATTGCTTTATGATTACCTAATTTCTAATCTACTCCTGGTTTCTTCTTTCGAATCTTCCGTTCTACATCAATCCTCAAAGTTTTCGGAATCCTGGTAGATTCTGTCAATCAGCCGATTAATAGCTTAATAGTAATAGGAGTAGCCCAGTATTTTACGAGCTAATAGATTAACACTGGTATATAGTAAGATGTGTGTTCCTAAGATGTACAGACCTACGAATTACGTAGTATATCTCTTTCGACCTCTAGATGGTGTATCATGAAAATATAGTAATCGGGGTATTATTGATAGTTTCATTATCTATGAAAAATTCGCGGCCCGAAGAAAGTGCATAGGTAGTAGTTCGAACAATTCATGTGAGTCCTCGAGCGACCTCCCTAAGCGCTCCACAGGCCACCCATCATTTCCATCTCAAGGCATTGTATGATGCCAAATCTGATCGAGACCGACGGAGCACTCCGACCCGTTGATTGTAATCATGCTCCCCAGCTCTCCCTTTCATCATCCCATTCAACTGCTCTTCCCTGTCCAAGCAAATTCGCAACATAAAGACCCGCTCCAAAGGGCTTCGTCTGTCTAAACCGACTTTCCTCCTACCGGGTATCTGGGGAAACCCGAGTAATTGTTGGATCGTGGGGATTATTATTCCCGTCGAAGCTATCCCGTATGCGTCGTATTCATTATCATGGATCTCTTAATAGTACAGTTTATTTCGTCTCGTCCTTGATCAGGGCGACAATCATGCTGTACAGGTAGAAGAAGAACATGACCAGGTGGAAGCCAAGCTTGATGAAAGATTCCTATGATATGAGTTAGATGGTGTTACCCCAAGAGCTCCAGGTGAATATTCTCATACCTTCTTATGGACGTTAAGCTTTCGGAAAATTTCGGTGGCGTCGAGTAGGTGAGTATTTTCGACGATCCTATGTCAGGTTAGCAACTGCAAACATGATACTACAAGGCTCGACCGAGCAAATCCAAGCGCAACATACTTCTTGATATTCCAGACGAGGAGCGGTAGGTTGAGTATCAGCGCCACCCAGTATCCGTTGATCAAAAACAAGAAGGTTAGGAACCCATGTACGGCGGCTTCAGGGACAATGTAGGTATTTAGACGGTTGCATAGGTCGATAGGATTGATGTAGTCACTAAGTAAACAACGACCGTTAGCTGGAAGACTTCTTTCTGTAGATTAAATAGGGAGAAACAATGACGTAAATCGTAGGCGCGTCATGCGGAGCACGGGTTTGCGGTATAGTATCTCTTGCACGTACCATTCCAAATCACTATACATAATCGTGAAGAACACCTGGAGGAATAAATTGACGGCATTTATAAGTACGGCGAAGAGGTATAACCACGCCTCGCCCGACATTTTGACAGGTATGTATACGCGTTATCCTAGAGGTAGAATGAATGGAGTTTCCGTTGATGCGACGCGAGTCGTAAGTAATAATAATATTATTGTCGCCGATTACTCGGTATGATTCGACTTGAAGCTGTACTCGAGCTTTCTGATTATGTTCGATAAGATGACGATGCCTGGCGCAACGTCGGAGTAGGTAATTTCGACACAAATCGAGGAAGAGGAGCGGCGAGACAAGATGACGGGACTAGTCGAATGCGGAGATAAGGCTGCAGGATCCCTCGTTTATTGGAAGCCGACGGTTTGCGCTAGAACAGAACAAGTTTACAACGGGTTATGTGAGGTACTTAAGTTGTAAATTGTAGATACGTGGTTCGTCGTCGGAATGTAAAGAGACGGGATGTCACTGTCCCCGCGATTAATTAAGTTGAAATGGGTAGAGGACCATTTGTCGGTTGTTTGGGAAAAATTTAAGGTGATGATTTTGTGCGGGTGGATGATGAAAGCGGCTCGCGCAAAGGAAAAAAAAAAGCTTGCCTTCCTTCTTTTGGGGGGGGAAGAGGAGAAGGGGATTGGGGCTTTGGAGCAACGAAGCTTTGGTGCTTTTTGGTGAGGATTCCGGCTAAGATCCACTACAAATAGCGTGTACATACCTACAAATACTTAGCCCTGGAGGTACCCTACTATACCCGTCTAGGACACTACTGCTACTGGAGGACACCAAGTAGAAGCCCTGGAAGATAGGCTTATTTTTTTCCAAGGCGACCAATACGGCTCCACATTTAGAGGCTGGAAAATCGAGGGGCAGGGGACCTCCAAAGAAAAAAAGCCGCTAACTTCCCTGATACGGTAATCGAGAAACAAGGGTTTTAGCTCCGTCAGTACGGTTGGGCGATATCGTTGATAAAAAGGGGGGGTCAAGTTACGTAGTAAAAAAACGCCCACCTATTTAGTCTATCTTCTAACTAGGCAATTCACAGGTGCATAAGTTCATGATTTTAGAAGGCGATGAGAGGGCTATGATGTAGTCCCACGGAGCAAATCCCCATCCATGGATCTATATGATGTATGACCTGTCAGTTCCACCACGCTACGCTAGACCGTGGTTTGGTAACATTCATTGGCAGTATGCATCGCTTACGAAAACAAAGAAAGCCTAACGGGTTTTTCTATCCACTACCATTCGCCTCGGTCTCAACGGTCGGCATCGGTATAGGACCACCGGGCGAGCTCTCTGTTCTCGCTGTTAATACTTCCACACCAGTTTCTGTCACAAGATAAGTGTGCTCTATATCAAGGTCAGTAAACATTCTAAGTTTAATGATTATTAAGAGATAGAGAAAAGGAACCAACTCACCAAATTGAGCAGTCCTTTTACCATCGATCGTAGTACTCGTCCAGTTGTCTGGCCATGTAATATCCCGGTATTTTCCGAGCGCGATCATAGGCTCGATGGTAAAAGTCATACCAGGCTTACACTCCCCAACAGCCTTGTTCTTCGCATAGTGTGGTACGTTAGGCGGGCAGTGAAAGTGCGTGTTAACTCCGTGGCCGCAGTATGTCCTGATGACGCTACAATTCTTTGACTTGGCATGTTTCTCGATAATGTTACCGAATTCTCGTATTAAAGTGCCCGGCTTTATAAGTTTCGCAGCCTCGTCTAAACATTCTCGAGCCGTTTCAACTACCCTCACGGAGTCGGGATCTGCCTTAGCCTTGTCGCCCACATAGTATGTTTCATTCAGATCTGCGTGGTAGCCTCCGTGGTATAAGGAAACGTCTAGATTAATGATGTCGCCATCCAAGAGCACTCGTTGGTCCGGGATACCGTGGCAGATCACTTCGTTGACCGAGGTACATATCGATTTAGGGAAATTGTTATAGTTTAAGGGAGAAGGATAGCACTGCGATAATTAGTTATTATTTGGATATTAACGCGCCGAGACAATCTAAGGACACCCACCTGTCGTTCTACGGAAGCTTTATGGCATATTTCGTCGAGGTAATCCGTCGTGACGCCAGGTTTTACTGCGGCAGCCACTATATCCAAGACCTCACGCCCCAACTTACACACCTTGCGCATAGCCTCCTGTCCTTTTGCATCGAGTAGGTCGATCTTATTCCTGTTGATGAATCGCTCGCTCTTGGGGTAGCCAGTCTCGGACCAGTCGGGGTGTGGTATCGACTTTGGGACTATGCGCTTCTCGGACAGGGGGTAGACAGGACGTAACGGTCCGGTATATGCGAAGGAGGGGAAAGGGTTGTAGAAACCGGTTGCTGGATCTGGTTTAGAGACGACCTTTGGAGTTCTAATTTTGTCAAGAATACCGTTCGTGGTCTTGCCTTGCGCGACCTTATGTAACAATTTGTGTTCATTCTGTATATTTGTATATAATTAGTACAACAGGCGAAGATGGAATTGTTCGAGATTGTAGTGGATTCATACGAACCCAATTCTTCTTGAAGCAATCTTGCGAGCAGAAATTGCTATCCTTGATGCCAATCTTCAAGCATGTGGGACATTGTAAGGCGGAAGCATCGTTTTCACAGCCTGATCCAAGGCACTTTTTCTTCGCCGGGGGCTCAGTTGCCATGATGATGGAGGGGTTCGCTGAAATCGAATACGTAGGTAATTCCTATGGCGCTGTTCGTAGAGAAGAGGAGAAACAATTACGAGGAATATGGACCCTGGGTACCTAGCAGATTATTCCAAATTTCAACCTACGTGTTGGTAAGTTAGATTGTTGGTTGTTTGTAGTATTTTGTTCTTACTGTTTTGTAAGTCGAAGGAAAATCGCAAGCGCAAAACCCTTCCAATGCAAGTTTAGGTGGGACGATTTGACTTAGTAATCATGGTAGGCTGCCTCCAAACACCAAGCAACTCTGACTAATTTCTGACTAACTACCCTCGAAATCAAACAAACGGGGCTTTATAATCATTCAAAATAAGGGGTTATTCTTGATACGATATAGCCGCTTCTACCCGGAATATCTTGATATCTTACGACTCTAATCATGACTGACATTTTTAAACTCACTCTTCACTATCTCCATAAAAAGCTTCTCTGACTACGGCCTATCCGGAAATGTTCCTAGACTCTCCTCAATCTTAATTTTGTATCCTTTCAAACATTAACCACGGCTGTCTAGAAATGTCTGGTCAGAAATATGTCATAGTTGGCGCTGGTCCCGTTGGATCTTTAGCTGCGTTATACGCAGCTAAGAGAGGTCATAATGTCGAGATCTACGAACTTCGAGGGGGTATGTTATGAGATTCATGGCAAATCCCTTGTCTAAAATGTCATGAATAAAGTTACTAAGATCTTAAATGAGATCTTCGATGTAAATAAGCCAACACTAATGTAATCTAGATCTACGAGATCCCTCAACAACACCCCTAAACTTCACTAAGTCCATCAATCTGGCTCTTTCCGAAAGAGGTATCAACGCTATGCGCAATGCCAACCACCAAGATCTTCTTGATCATGTAGTGTCAGCAACAATTCCAATGCGGGGAAGGATGATTCATGGGAGGCGGAAGTCTGGTGAATTATATGAAGAGTCCCAAGACTACGATATCCATGGAAGGGTAATCCAATATCCCGCTGTTAATCACCACAAAAAGTTCGAAGACTGACCTAAGTGCCCAGACGATATTCGCGGTAGACAGAGCCGGTCTCAATAAACGGCTACTAGAAATTCTCGGCGAAATGTCGAATGTCAAGTTTTTCTTCAACTATAAACTAACGGGTGCTGATTTCAAGAGACGGAAGGCTTGGTTCGAGACCCGTGGTGATGACTCATCATCGACTCGACCCGAAGAGGTCGAAATCTCCTTTGATTTCATGATAGGCGCCGATGGAGCTCACTCATCTACCCGGTACCATCTGATGAAATATACCAGAATGAATTATCAGCAGGAGTATGTCGATACGTTATGGTGCGAATTTCAGATCAAGCCGAAAGATACAACCAATCAGAAATCAAAATTCCGAATATCCCCGAATCATCTTCATATTTGGCCGGGAAAGCAGTTCATGTTCATCGCCATACCCAGCGAGGTATGTTAGAAAATCTCACACTCATCTGTAGCGGTACTGACAGAAAATAGGACGGTTCCTTCACCTGCACTCTTTTCATGCCAGGTGCTGAATTCGCCAAGTTAGAAGCAGACTCGACTAGATTGCCAGCGTTCTTTGATAAGCATTTTCCAGGTGTGACAACGCTGATTAAGCCAAGCGAACTCATTTCTTCATTCGAGACAAACCCGCATCTCCCGCTGATTAGTATCAAATGCCACCCCTACCATTATTCCAGTTCTGTGGTCATTTTAGGGGATGCCGCCCATGCCATGGTGCCGTTTTACGGCCAAGGCATGAACGCTGGTCTCGAAGATGTCCGCATCCTCTTTTCAATTCTGGATAAGTTCGCCGCCGTCGAGAATAACAATCCAGACGATCCAGGATCGGCGGATGCCTCTTATCAGAGGGGCTTGGCACTCGCCGAATATTCAGCTCTTCGCGTAGCTGATGCCCATGCAATCAACGATCTCGCTTTGCAAAATTACGTCGAAATGCGCGCTTCGGTTTTAAGCCCCACGTATCGATTACGCAAATTCTTGGAGGAGTTCATGTCTGTCCATCTACCAAATCTAGGTTGGCAGACCAAGTATTCTCGAGTGAGTTTTGGAAATGAAAGGTATTCGGAAGTGGTTGCGAAAAGCGATCACCAAGGAAAGGTACTCATGCGTGGGTTCGTTGCACTGCTATGTAGTCCCGTGGTGGTAGGGGCGTTGGGCTTGTATTGGTCTCAGCGCCGATCCTTTGGCCGCTTACCTTTCCTCGAAGCGATTCGTAATCTTGCGAAATGATTTCCGACTACCATTTATGTGGTAGGGGACTCGCCGCGCTTTGGAAGAGCTCCCTAGCACATCTAGCTTTAGCTATTACTAAGCCTCGATGAAGCCCTTGGGGGGAGGAAATGCCCCGCCGATTTTGTATTATAGGGCCTACAAGGTATTGTCCGCATGCCGTACTCCACGCCTATGGATCCCCCAAGCTTCGGGGCTCTAGTAGCTCACCCAGGTACCTAATGCAGTCAGCAAGTGGGGTAGGCCAAGCTGCATCAGCGGACATAGCGGACAATTGAGCGGCATCTTCGAATCTATCTTACACCTAAACCCTTTCATGTGAGCGGACTTTAGTTTCCAATACCAAGGAGAACTTGTTCGACTATATCGTATCGCCCCATGATAAAATCAGATCAATGAGTCATCTTATTAATAATATGGAAGCTCATGATATAAAGCCGCTCTACGGGGCACGTCGTAGTCGACCGTTGTCCGAAAGTCCGCTTCTGCCATGCTCTGAGAGCGGAATTTACGAAATTCACAGGAACGTCTAAAGCGAAAGATGGATCGACGAGCTCGATTTTCTTGCGTTGCTTGTCGGTATGATGCCACCCAATTGTTTTGTTATATTCTAAATTGCTAATAACTTTAGACGGTTAAAGCGCAAATGTCCTAAGGAATTACCTTCTTGTTCTTTGGTAGGCCTTGATCATGAATGATACTTCTCATACTAATCTAATTGGAAGTGCCTTCGACTTGAGAAAAGATGTCAGTATCCACCACGGGCTAGAAACCAACCCGAGGACGTAAACGAGGACGTTAACTTGCAGGCCGTGAGCACCACAACGGGCGAATTGTCCCTGAGGAGTAGGGGATCTATCCCAGAGGCTCCTGAATCTATTAACACATTCCCGGCTCTGTTCTTTTTAGATTCTGGGATTTGCACGAAACCTTTATTCGCAGACTTCAATCAAAGGAGAGGTCCCCCAGCACTATTTGACAATGTTTCCACGGAGAAACTTGAAGTCTGCGAGACCTATTTCTCAACAATCCACCAATGGCTACCCATATTAAGTAGAAAATGTATCCGTCGCCATATGATTGAACATGAATTGGCCCAACTTCCCCAGTACGACCTCTTATTTCTGAGTATGGAGTTAGTCTCGCGGCCTCTATTACCGGGAACGATTGCTAGAGAAAACAAGATGTACTTGAATGTACTACAGGCCTTACTCCAAGTGGAGAATTCGTGTCTTCCATCCCCGCAACTTCTGCAGTCTCTCATCTTAATCGCAACCTATGAGATTGGACATGCGATATATCCAGCTGCTTATTTGCGCGTTGGTTACGCCTCTAGGCTCTGCATTATGATAGGACTACACGACCGCAAAAATGCAGCTCAGCTATTTAAGGATACGCCAACATGGACAGCGCGGGAAGAAGAACGTCGAGCGTGGTGGGCAGTATTTTGTCTTGACAGGTAATTATCATAGCGTTCTTGACCATTCATACACTGATTGATTTCGCAACTAGGATGACGAATCAGGGGATTAAGGGACTGCCTTTATCAGCACCCGAGCCAAGCCCGGGGGAATTGATGCCATCCCCAGAAGCCCCATGGGACGAAGGAGGGATCGGCTTCAATGAACCCTTATTCGCAACCTCATTCTCCAACAATACGAGTCTAGGGTCATTCGCCAACGTGTGTCAAGCAGGACATATCCTCGGTCGTGTTCTACGCCATCGCGATGAAGTCAATAGTAGTAACATAAGCCTCGGGTTCCGTGCCACAGAAGCGAGGCAACTTCACCACATCCTGGCGTCTCTGTATTCCCACCTCGATGACGTCTCCAAAGATTCTACGTGCCTTGGTGGTTCTCCCTCGACTTCCATTGCGCTATGTTTCTCTGCTCGCCTTATCTTATACGATTTGTATGCTTGCAACGAAAAATACTCAACTGATCATGGAAGGTCTTCAGAAGAGGCAGAGATGCAGCGTGAGGCCATATCCGGCATCTTTGATGTTGTCAGATGTACATGGAAACTTGCCCGTCAATTACTCGATTCAATTCAACAAGGTGGTGGGAGTAATCACGATAGCGCTAACCCACTTTTGTGTCATTGTCTTTATGAAGCTGCAGGCGAATGCGAATGGTTGATCCTTGAACAACAAGATCCAAGTGCGATTACATGGATAAAAGACATCGTGGAGCTTCTCGAGGTAATTGGAAAGCGATGGCAAGCCGCAGGTAAGTGTTTCGCCCGAGACAAGAAACAAAATTCCTGGAATCTAATATAGAATAGGTGTATATCTGTCAGAGATTTACAAATGGCCGGGTTATAGTGGCCTAGTTAAATAACATGGGCAGTAGGGTGTTGCCAGCAATTATAAACGAACCGATTTTCATTTAAACCCCCATTTAAAACGATATAGCGCGCCCACAGTGCCTTTATACTGAACCTAGCGCTCACAGTCGTCCCCGAATTCTGATTTCTAGCGACCGTATAGGAATGTAGGACAAGAACGCCACGACAACGGTAAATTCGAACCCCAAATCCCCCGTCTTCTCAGCTATTGGCCCTGTGTACCAATCTGCTTGCATTGAGGGGATAATAAATGCCCACGCAATCAGAACGGCCGCAAGTGCACTTAGACCAGTCGGCAGTGCCCGCCCATTATTCCAAATTTTTGGGTCAAAGCTATGGGGATTGCCCTTTCGAAACCACAGATATTCAGTTAAAAAACAAGTCACCGAGGCCCCGGCGTAGTAACCAATGATGCTGAGGAAGGTTGTCACGGACGTAACGAAGGATTTCGAGGCGGGAATCGCAACGGCGATGATGGCTGCTGTAGCAATAATGGATAGGGCGATGCGGGGTACCCTACGTAGAAAAGGGGCTACGGCGGTGAGGTTAAAGGATATGGTGTAAACGTCCCTACCGCATGTCCCTAGGACAGAAAGACCTAGTACAACGAGGACAAACCGGCCGAAGTCGCCTAATCGAGTAATCAAAATGTTTCCGATCACAGCTCCGATGCCGCCAGTCTCATACGCAGCAGTCCATGCGGGGATAGAGAAGACAGCACCACCGATAGCAGCGCCTAAGACCATTAGGAGTGAAAATGGCAGCGCGATACCGAAGAGACAATACATGGCTAGACGGAAACGCGGTGCTGTTGGCGGCATGTAGCATGCGTAATCGCCGGCGACATTACTCCACGTAATCATGTTCCCGGCAGCGAATGCCACAATGCCCATGTACTCTTGAGCGGTTGTTTGAGTTGGTGGAGGATTTTGCTGCCAGAGCTGATCGCCTGCAGCACCAACAAGGATAATAATGGCGACCAGCGTCGGAATCCAAGCCCATCGCGTGAAGAAATGCATTATGCGATATCCCATAAATCCAATAGCCAATGATGCAGCCATGATTATGGCGATAGCGGCTTCGACCGGCAGTGTTCCGGGGCGAACAGCCGCTAGGCATTGTGCTCCGTTGATGCTTCCGGTGACGGCAAAACCTCCGACTGTAAGCGTAACAACGATGGATGTTAAGATGTTGCAGTATTTCCTGGTTTTCTTCTAGTTTAATGGCCGCCATTTTCTCTGGTGCGTGCAGGATTAAAAATACTTACCCAAAGCAATATCGAGATTGAATCATCTGCCTCATCCCCGTCAGCGGCGCAATGGTGATGATATACGCCGCGGGGATTGCGAATAAGAATTGAAGGAAGACGATCATCAACGCGGCATCTCTTAGCGACAAGCCATATCCGATAGTCGTTGCTGAGCCGATCCCAATACTATAGTCGATTATTTCAGCTAAGATGTCCTTCTAACGTGTACGATTTGTGCAACTCTCGAGTAAGCTTACGGTAACAAGCTCGTCATTGATGTAGCGAAAACAGTCAATACGTTAACATATCGGGTATCCGTTCGTTTCTCAACCGGAACCGGTTCTGCACCGCGCATCTCGACGCCATTGTCGGAGAACTTTGTCCAGAATGAGGATTTTGGTGCGCTGAATTGGTCTTCAATTTCGCTAGTTTCACACGTCGTCGAAGATAGAAACTCCTTAGTTCCCGCGCCGACATCCTGCAATGATTTGGGTGCTTCACTCAACTCATATTTTTTGACATGCGCTTCGGCCATGGTATAATCTTGCTAGTGATAGCCGCAGTATTTCAAACACCATTATTCCGGATTCTAGATCCTAGAGGCCATATCTCTCTAAACACCCCAAATCCCCCACGGAGAGTTGAGAGGTGATTACTCACGCCGCTAAACGTTGTAACTCTAGTGGATTCCAACTGCTACCCTGCCGTGCCGGTACCTAATTCCCGAGCTATAGCGCACTTTGTGCAGGTGTAGTAGCACCATACTATTGGCTACACGACTCTTGGGGGAGCTCAACCCCAGCATCTCCGTGCTGGAAGTTACCCCCAAATTGGCAGGATTAGCGTCCCAATCATACGGTTACGTCGCCTAGAAGCCCCCGATTCGTTGTTATTTTTCTTCAGCAAACAAGTCCCAACTTATCGGGAATGTTATAATTCCAAGGATCGTGACCATCCTACCCTACTTTAGAACAGAAAAGCCTAGGCCACGCAGATTTATTATATGCCTATGTATTGTCTTGAATCTTCATTGTGTCTTATCATGAATTGACGCTATGGGCTAGATAGGTAGGAACATGTTCTCTTTCAACATGATTACTAACAAGTCAATCTACGCATAGGTACCTACCCCCCTAAAGGCCTCGCTATATTTCAACATCCATTCCCTAGACCCCCACTGACATTTAGGGTCAAATCACGTCGCTGAGCAAGCCGATAAAACAGCAATCTACAAATTACAACATTCATAGGAAGGCAACTCGTCTACTTCTCATCAGACATTCTCTTTAGCATAAGCATACACGCGAAACAAAGCTTCAATTAAACTAATTAGTTACTTGAGTTATTTTTACTTAATTCAAATACAGATTTTAAATGCGATTACGGATTAAGAGTGCTGAAAATGTAGGCATCCGCCCTATTGCGCAGCCCGCTACACCCGGCACAGGGACGAACTCGGGGCTGCCTTAAGACAGTGAGCACGCATTTATTAATATCTTCAACCTTCGTTAGGCTTCCTGTTCCAATTATCAACCCATCAATCGCTCTCGATATCAAATTTGCTCGGACTGGCCCCATAGTGTCTCTTTGAGGCTAAATATGATGAAGAATCTGCATGTCTAGACTTTACATTAGCACATCACTATTGGTTGATACTACATCAAACATTTGATCTTGGGGGGCATTGAGGCTTTCTATTTCCACTTTAACTCGCCCAAGTCGAATATGAAGTATCGTACAACAATTCATGAGGGAAGAGTTAAAAACTCCTTCTACGTTTGCAAATTAGATGCTCCATCGAATAGCAGCAATGAAAACCTTTAGAACTACTCTCGTTCTCTTACCTTTAGGGGTAGCCTCTAGCTTACCTGCACCCAGTACAGCGACAAGATATCCTCCATGCGTAAGCCAGTCCTCATTTACCATTCAAAATTGGCCGGTTGACACCAGCGACAACGCCGATTTTGCATTTCGACTAACTACTGGATTCGATGACTATTCGTCGATATGCAGCGGGCAGTGGCGTGGTGTGAAAACCGATTGGCAAGAATGCGACGAACGTAATGGAGACTCTATCACAATGTTTAGAGGCACCTCTAGTGGATATCTCGACATAACGCATCAATATACTTGCGAAAGGCAAGACAAGTCAGCCGAGCCCGACAAAATTGCTCTTACTACTGCAAATGGGACTGTCATACTCGATTTTTCTCAAGAAGATCATACTACATTCGATGCATATATCCAAGTATCACATCGGAAGCCAAGCACGGCTTGCACAGATGCATCGCGAGATCCTTCATGGGTGGTCGACTCGTTCGTATACAAAGTTGGATATTACTACAGTCTGGACCCGTATACTCCTGCCGGTACTGTCGCTAGCGCGAGCTTCGACTTTTTGAATAAGGCTAATGATTTCTTCATCCATTGCTCTGCCACATATGTGTCGGGGTATCTGGATCTTAACAATGATACTATCATTGATCCAGAGAAAGACTGACCTTGCCCATACCCATATGGTAGCGACCTAATACCGGCTGACGAATACCCAACGACTTCATTCAGATTCGATAAGTCTAAGTGTCTAGTCACCCTGACCCAGAATTGGGAATGCGACGATACTGGAAAGAGATGAGTTTCATTACCATAAGCGGGTTTCATCAGTGTGGTGGCTTATGACATACTACGCCTATAGTATCCCTTTTTCAGCAAAAAATTCATTTCAGCTAGTCAGATGCGAAAATCCTACTTAGAAAAATGACAGCGCAACGGCATCGTAGTAGAAAGAAGATCCACTTACGTAACCGTCGCGGAATTAATTCCAGTGGGATGTTACGGGGGATGCATTCAGTCACCCAGAATATTGGTCGTTGTCTACCAATCTCTCAAGGATAGCATTTAGGCAACCAAATACTAACCGAGGCGATGAATCGTTCTCGATCCTACAATTTGGGTAGCTATCTGTCAAGCTTCAAACCGCGGAACCATTCACGCCCTGGCGGAAACATATTGTTGCATGAGTTTTTTTCTTCCTACTTGTTAGAAAAAAGCCATTCCTTGATATAAGTGACTACTAATACGACGGCTTCAGTATTATTCGCTTGTTCGGTTTTTAGCCCCCCTTTGAGAAATTAGACCAATCCATCGTGGCAGGGGTGGTTCTTCAGCGGGACCGCAGCACCTCAACCGAGCGAGGCTTAGTCAAGGTCCGAGATATAGGCATATTGACACTATCAGCTATGAACTATTCGTATATAATTGAATTTTATATATAATATGATTTTCTTCGAGTTGATATTCTATTCTTGGCTCGTTTCTTCAAGCCAATTCTCATTCAATATATTCCAACTTTTTTTTTCCTTTCTCAAATACCAGCTTTCCTTGACACGCAAGCAAATCTTCACAATGGCTGATACCTTACCGGCAGCCATACAGGACCCGAACAACTGCCAGAAGAGCCCTCTACCTGGCATTGGTTACTCGTATGGTTATCAGCCAAGCCTGGCAGCTGGCATTACTTTCTGTGCTTTATTCGGCATCGCGTTTTTCGGACATTTGTTACAGCTAATTCGCCTAAGACGATGGACGTCCGCCCTACTCGCCATCGGCGCTCTAAGTACGTAATCTTCTACACAAAAATCCATCGCCCGGAAGTATTAACGTATGGTTATAGCTGAGTTGATCGGATGGAGTGGACGAACTTGGTCTGCAGAGTGTCCTTATAACCGAAATGCTTTCTTCATGCAAATCACCACACTCATCATCGGACCGGTCTTCTTTACGGGTGCTCTATATATGTTACTAGGCGCATTCATCAACAGCCTAGGTCGCCAATACAGCCTAATGTCCCCGAGAATGTACAATATCATATTCATGACATGCGACCTAATTTCCCTCGTTGTTCAGGTAAGTTTCTTGAAGCATTCCCCAATACATGGATGCCGAAGGGCACCGCAATGCTTTTAACGAACAGTTGCTTACCTTATCCAACCCTTTAGGCCGTCGGTGGAGCTTTAGCTGCGAGTGCAAACACGGACGACGACATGAAATTAGGAACCAATATCATGGTTGCGGGTGTTTTCTTCCAACTTGCAGCTATGATTGTGTTTACCCTACTCACAATGGATTTCCTCCGAAAGTCATCCAAGTTCGGTATACCACAAGAATACAACAAAATCATCATGGCTTTGGTGATTTCCCTCCTAGCTATCTTTGCTCGTAATATTTTCAGGACTGTCGAGCTTCTTGAGGGATGGCGCGGATATCTAATAACGCATGAGGTATACTTTATTGCTTTAGACGGAGCTCTGATGGTTTTGGCTGTTGGTATATTCTTGCCATTTGATCCGGCACGGACGATCCCCAAGGCGTACCAAGTCGCAAAGGAACCTGGTGAACTAAGCGAATTCAGCGCGGGGGTTTAATTTATACATCGGCTTTCTTAATGGGGTACTTTAGAGGTAGAAACTGGTGGGTCATATAATTGGCGTTCTAGGGAATGGTTACGTTATGAACTTAGTATAAGCGCACGGGAGTCGGGATTTTGGTTGTTAAAGAAATAGTCGATGTTGAATAGGATTAATAGATCGAACATACGTCAGATCTTAATGTTTTCGAACGACACATTGCAATTGTCCTTCGCATTGAACAGGATTCTTATCCGAACAAAACAAACGTTAACTACTTCTTTCATGAATAGACAACCCCTTTTATATCTAATCACATTCGTGGCTGAGCTTTGTCGGCCCATTTCTGTCAGGTTGTGCCTTGGGAATATATCATGATAGGCGGCTGCTACAAGAAAATTCCCAAGTATTTATTCTGGTCGGATCTTTTATTGCTGCATGGCCTTAGATAGGCACCTATGCTTAGACAGTTCAAATCAATATTTTTCAAAATGTAGTTCACTTATATTCTAGATTGAAACCCAGGTAATTATACGTAGCTTGGAGTAGCACGACGAGAGGGGGCGAGTGGCGCTTCAGCGGTGACGGCTTACGATGGACTTACTAGAAAGGAGAAGCTTAATTCGATAAAGCAGTAATGTTTTGAAACAAGTCAGCTAATGAGGAACAACAAGGCTGAGTAGAAACGTTCAACTGGTTACTGAGCTATGAGTCTGTTTACAGATGATTGCAATATGCCGCGCGTCTATAAGAGCCTTCGTTCGGGCTTCCTTTATTCCGGGCTACCTCTTTCGTTGACAGTACCAAACACTCGATTGACAGTAACTATATTGATCTTCATTGGCAGCACCATACTCATCAAAGAGAAAGTTTAGTATCACAATTTACGCAACATTAACGCGCAACCTCTCGATTCTTCATCAGCCACAATGTCAAGCAACAACTCGACTCAGAACGACGGACGATTCCTTGGTAGAAGTCTCCTTCGAAGACTCACGGAGAAGGTAGACCTGTCCAAGCGAAATGTGGGCCCGCCCTCAATTTCGAAGGTACAGAGGGAAGCTACTGTTTCCCAGGTTAACTTGCGCCCTGTGACACCAGTTATAGGCCCCAATAGCCCACTATACGTCAACCAATTTGGTGGGCTGCGAACGCGTTCCCCTTCTGTCTCATCTGCACCGGCTCAATTGCAACACAACAAGAAGCTTGACACCACAATAAAGCCCCTTCCAGTAACCGCCCTGAGCAGTATAAAAGACCCCGAAGTCAAGAGCAGAGTCGAACACATTGTCAACCGATTCGAGCTTGAAGACCGCACCGTTCCGTATCAAGTGGCATACGATGCGCTTCGGATGGCGAAAGGATCTGTGGACAAGGCGATTTCAATCATCATGAAAGGTGAGCATATCTTCTCCTCCGCTGACGATGACCCTGAGGTTAGAGAATACTTAGAGAGCATAGGTGTTCTTCCAAAGAAGAAGAAGAGAGTGCAGTTCTCCGACGTAATCATTTACTGGACTTAATTTCGTCTACGATCCCCTACACTCCTTTATGGTGACTCCCGATCAAAGTGCATACTAGTATATTGCCCTTAGACTGCATCAGTACCTACCTATAGTGCAGGTACATACGATTCAATTCAACTATGTGAGTCTTGAACCCTATCCTCATGATCGTCTCAAGGGTGAATGAGATATTCCTCTAGATTTCACATCCAAAAGAAGTTGTATTTCAACATGGTAAAAGAAGAAGGACTAGGTAAATGTTAGATAATGGGATAATGAATAATGAATATAATTGTTTTAAGAGTTTTGCTCACCTATGTGGACTCCTATGCCCCCCTTTTCGGGACATGTCTTAGTAATATTTTCGCAAGCTTGACGGAATGCTTTTCGAGAGCTTCCACATGAAGTTTTCCGAATGGTTCTACTTGATGTTTGTTTCAGGTCCGAGATCATTTCCCTCAAATATTTGCGAAGTTGTAGGGTTGGCGATGATGTACAGGCGGTGATTTTGATTTTCCTTCCCATGGAAACCAATGGTGTGTCGCACGGATTCCGACAGCACTCGGCCGACTCAAAAAGTCGGATTTATCTCGGATTTCCTCGGATCTAATACTGTACTCCGAGGGACAGTGAAAGGGATCGCTACGTCAGGTATTTATTTATATTGGTGCAACTCATTCGTAGGTGTATTCAATACAAAATCAAAGTGGTTGGCGCCTGCATTACTTTAAGAAATTGTTTTCTTCCCAATACTAATGTCTCTGCGCCGCGCATTTCTCTTCGGAAGCAGTTTGTTAAATATCCGCATCGCATCAACTACACGAATGGGTTCCACATTGTCTTCTAAACACGAGGACGCAAGTATGATGGAAGGATATAAGGAATGGAAGGCCATGGGAGAGGGAGGTACGTCGCACAGTTGGGCCGGATACATGTCGCAACTGAGCGCGGAGAAGACCATGGCGTTCGGGGCCGACGAGACGATAAAACCAAATTTCTATGACAGGCCTGAGAAGCTCGCTGCCGGATGGCGAAAAGCAACCGACGAGCAAAAGAACAATGCGAGGAAGTCGTTCTTAGGGGAACTTCCGGTGAGGCCCGGTCCCCGTGCGAGGGCCAAGCGTTTCGTGTATCCTCAGCGGGAGAGGAACGCCGCCGACCCCCTGGATGAAGCAGTGAAGCATGTGAGTTCTTCCATCTAGAACCCCGACCCAATCATGACCACACGTAGTTGTTAACATTACCAAGGCCTATCTAGATTCCTTCAATGCACTAGGCGACACCAATGCCCAATTCACCGAATGGAAGACTTCAGCCCTCGAGAAGCACGGGCAAGCGCTCTTCCTCAAGCGCTCGATCCTGCTCACGCCCCTAGCTGGACCAACCTCCAGGGAGATCTGCCACATCCATGGCACCGACATGTCGGGCCATGTTACACTGTCATTTAAGGACGCCGAAGAAGTCATCTCGAAGGGTTGGGGCGAACGTCACCGTCTGAGCGGCACCGATTGGATTCATCTCGGCTATACCATGCTCTATGTGCCCAACACGGTGGAAGAAACGCAAATTTTGACCAGAATCTACCAAGCTGGGATTGATTACATGAAAAGCGGTTGACTGGGTCCCGATTATCGTAGACGTGTGGGGTGTCAATCATCGGCCTAAACTTTGAATTTTTGCTTTGTTAGTTATGATGAGCATTGGCGTTGGTATCGAGAGGGTGTTGCGACGACAATATTCTATGTTGAATGCATAAGCTTATATGTTGATATCGCGCGATATTGGTATCTGGGTCGCATTATCTGCATGATGACAGCATTGATGAGATACGATAATACATTAGAATGCTGAAGAAACCTTACATATCCAATCTATCAAGTACGCGGGTGATATTTATTGTCTTAAACCAGTATGTCAAAATTGATTATGCCGGTATTTGGATCTCCTTGAATTTTTTCGTGTTCTCCGTGATGGCGATTTCGACTGGGATGCGTTCCATACTGCTTGCTCCGAAGAATCCATGCACCCCTTTTGTCCGCGACAGGACGTACTCGGCGTCTTGAACCTCGGCAATTGGTCCGCCATGGCACAGAACTATGATATCCTTCCTTACTTCCGTTACCGCATCTCTAATTTCTTGTATCAACTTCACGGATTCATCTAGAGTCTTCCCTGTCTTCGCCCCGATGCCTTTACTCGACGTCAAACCCATATGGGCAACCACAATATCAGCGCCGGCTTTCGCCATGCTAACCGCCTCCTCGACGGTAAATACGTATGGTGAAGTAACAAACCCCATCTCAGCAGCAAGCCGAATCATATCAACCTCCAAGTCATAACCCATACCAGTCTCCTCCAAATTCGCCCTAAAATTCCCATCCATAAGACCAACCGTAGGAAAGTTCTGTACCCCGCTAAACCCCAATTCCTTCAACTGTTTTAGGAATTGCCGCATATCCCGGAACGGATCCGTACCGCATACACCGGCGAGAACCGGGGTATCCCGAACGACGGGTAGAACCTCGCGTGCCATATCAACGACGATGGCGTTAGCATCGCCGTATGGTAGGAGTCCCGCCAGTGATCCCCGACCGGCCATTCGGAAGCGACCGGAGTTGTAGATGATGATTAGATCGGCGCCGCCGGCTTCGACGAATTTAGCGGAGAGGCCGATGCCGGCGCCGGCGCCTACGATGGGGCGATGCGATGTGATTACTTCGCCTAGACGACGCAGGACTTCTTCACGAGCGATAGGCGCCATGGCGGATTAATTGGTGCTTAAAGTTGGGGAATTATGATAGTTACGTCTTGCCTCCGGAAAAGAAGGAAAGAGGAATTCTCCTGCAGTTGATAAATGACTTATCATACATGAGTGGAGTCGGACTATACCGAAACATGAGGGATCATACGTAATAGAACAGCTTCGGAGGGGGTAACGTCAGAGCTCTAACTCTTTCCCCACCACCTCTCCAGCTACTCTCTTTCCGATGATGTTTAAATTGAATAGAAGGTATTTTTAAGACTTATATCAAAAGTAATACTAAGGCAATGGGAATAGGAAAAGTAAAAGATTTCAAGTGTATTCGTATAAGAAGTTGCCAAGTTCTTCCATGGCCTGAAAGGAGTGTTTCTCGAGAACCAAGGTCCTATTCTTGTCACTAAATGTTTGAATTAAATATGATAACGATATTGTAGGAAGAAAATAATAATTTAAACCTTAAAAGGTAATAGATTTCCTTTTTAATAGGCGGGGCCTGGATGCCCCTTCTAATGTTTAATAATTAATACCTCGAAAGTCAACTAGAAAAGTCGATAAGCAAGTATTTCTTTTTTGCCTTCATTCAACACCCTATATATATACCTAGGTAATCAATCAATTCACAATGTCTTCCAAAATATCCATTGCGATAATTGGCACACTCGATACCAAACTGGAAGAATTCCTATACTTGAGATCCCAGATCCTCCAATACGATGCATCGATAAATGTCATCCTAATCGATGCGGGCCGGTCGGTGGTGGAGCATGAAGCTATAACCGTCCGGCAAGACGATGTATTAAAAGCGAGCGGGTTCCGAGGGGATGGTAATGCCCTGGAATCGCTTCCAAGGGGCGAGCTAATCAAAACCATGATTGGTGGGGCTACAGCTGTAGCGCAGCAGCTTCAGCGCCGTGATGAGATCCAGGCTATAATTAGTCTCGGCGGGAGTGGTGGGACTAGTCTTGCCTCTGCCGTCATGCGGGAGCTCCCTGTGGCCTTCCCGAAATTAATTGTTTCTACTGTGGCCTCCAGCGACACAAGTTCTTATGTCGGGGAAACAGATATCACTATGATGTATAGCGTGGTTGATATCGCGGGCTTGAATGAAGTACTTAGGGCGGTTGTGGGGAATGCCGCAGCAGCTATCGCCGGAATGGCTATGGCATACGCCGACAAGACTAGGAAGGGATTAAGTGATACCAGCCCTACGAAGAAGGGCGTTGGAATTACGATGTTTGGTGTTACTACGAAAGGAGTAGATGTAGCACGAAAATGGTTAGAAAACCACGGCTACGAAGTCTATGTGTTCCATGCTACCGGTGCTGGTGGGCGGGCCATGGAAAGGCTTTTAAGGGAAGGTCGACTTCACGGCGTCCTCGACCTAACGACTACGGAATTGGCGGACGAATTAGTTGGTGGGATCTTTGCGTCGGATGAGAGCAGATTGACAGCAGCTGCCAAAGCTGGCGTGCCACAAATTGTGAGTGTCGGTGCACTAGATATGGTAAATTTCGGCCCTAAAGACACTGTACCCGCGCAATTTCGGGACAGAACGCTCTTCGAACACAACCCATCCGTGACTTTGATGCGAACTACGCCGCAGGAATGCGACGAGTTAGGACGAAGAATAGCACGAAGGCTTAGGGATAATTGTATTAAACCTGAGTCAACTGAGGTATGGCTCCCGTTGCGAGGCATTAGCGCAATCGCCGTACAAGGTCAACCTTTCCACGACGAAGCAGCTGACGAAGCCTTATTCACATCTATTAAAATGGAGCTTCAAGGGGCAGGTATAAATGTTGTGGAGGTTCGTTCGGATATCAATAACGCAGACTGGGCAGAAGAAGTGGCTGAAAGATTACATGAGTTCATTGTAACGGATGGAAACAGACAGAGAACAGAACTTATGTTCGTTAAACTACCCCAGCGATAGATTCCTAATCTGAACTCATTGAGAATCCTTAACTACTTCGGCAAGAAGTTTTCGAGCTCTCTCGGATCTCGGCTTGAAAACCACGTCAAGTTTACCAGGGTGACTTGACAGACCCGTACTAAATTGAATCGTCTGCTCAATTGGTTTCCCATCTGGTCCAATAGGCTTCGATATGTCCGTCGTAGCTATAAGGGTCGCCATCATAATCCAAACAGATGCTTGTGCTAGATGCCGCCCGACACAAACCCTTTCTAGAGTCAGACATGCAATTCCAGTTATTAAAATTGGCGATTATAACTCACCTGCGGCCAAAACCGAAAGGCCCACTTAGTAGAGGTTCGCCGTCCCCTCCATTTTCCTTTGGTGTATACCTATCAGGGTTGAATTTCTCAGGGTTCTTATAAACTTTTGGGTCTCTAGACATGGCGAAGGTATTGTAATACACCAGTGTCCTTGCGAATAGGTTAGTGAACGCCTTGTCGCATGGGACGTGTCACATGTCACTGACCCTTTGGGAATGAACATCCCGTTGTAAATATCATCATCTAGAGATTTGTGTGGTATCCCGATAGGTGATAGCGGTCTCCATCTTGAGGTCTCTTCGACGAGGTAGTCGATGTAGCGCAAGTTCGGCCGATCATCAAGTGTAGGTAGTCTATCCGTTCCGACCACCCTATCAATCTCAGCTCTTGCTTTCTCAAACACTTCAGGGTTGAGCATCATATTCAAGATGGCAACTGTCGTCGTAGCGAAGGTCTTAGAATACAATTAGCTATCAAAATCCCACCTCTACCGAAATCGAGACTAACCGTGTTAGAACCTGCGATAAAAACAGCGCCAGAGGCACCTTGAATATCCTGAAGTGTGAGTTGATCGGGGATTCCTTCGTCCTTGTTATATTTGTGTTTCGTCAAAAGCGAGTAGGCGAATGAGGGGTTGGCCGTCCCCTCGTCCTCGACGATGTTAGTAACATTGCCAAGATCTTGTTGCCAGAACATACAAACTCTTTCTTAACCGCTGCGAATGGTATATCGTGGAGATTCTTGATCGCCCATCCCCACTTTCGAGCATGTTGTAGACTCCTTGAAAAATTCAGAAACTCCGGAACGTATCGGACTTTGCACTTGTTAGGGTTTTCGGTGTAGCTCTTTAGTGAGGGGAGACAGACATAGCGGAAAATAGTCAACAAGCGCGGTCCCCGGGTTCCCCCCACCTCCAGTAGCCATGTTGGCATCTTTCGCGATCTTGATGTATGGATCGTCATCTGATTTCACAGTGACACCAAACCCAATCCTCAAAACAATCGCAGAGGCAAAACTTTTTCACATCAGCAATGCGATCTAGCAATGAAGCGCGGACGTTCTTACCGCCGCACCGAAAAGTCCCAATTTTCTGGGCATTTGAGGATTCTGTAGACTGCTTGCCGAGCTTCGTCTTCCTGAATTGGCCTGTAGGCTGCGATCGCTGTCTTGGTGAACCCGGTTTGTAAAACCGAACGGTGTAAGCGGAACCTAGCGCCATAGGGTAGAAAAGTCAAGGTAAGACCCCATCCCATAATATCAAATAGAACGAATCTAGGACGATCTTGATAGTTCGCTCCTCGTTTATCAAGAAGTTCATTTGTGGCCTGCTGGGTATTGAGGACAATCATGTGGTTGCCCAGTACGTTGAAGTAAACGACATCCGTATCTATAATATTGGCCCAATAATTACCTAGGTATCCAAGTAGGGTTAATGAAATGATGTGCTAACTGTACTGCTTAGCATACTCCATATGCTTAAAGTGAGCATTTTCCATCGGCAAGCTCCTAAAGTGTCCGATCACCGGCTCGGCCGGAGGAGACGGCGGAAGCGGGCATGGATATCTACGGTATACGGTCTCGTAGACATTATAAAGGAGCGTCGCAAAGAGCAAAACTAGGAGGCCTAGCCGCGCAGGCGATTCTATGAGTGGTTCCAAGGTTTCCATATTCGGCGTCTTCACGAGATCATTAGTGTGTGGACCATGAGCCTCAAATGTCTACAAAAGACGCTAGACAAATTTAGGGTCAAACATGGATCGTGCTATCATTTTCCATATTTGGTAGAGTATAGAGCGCTCAATTTTCGGGTTTAACTTGGGTCGCTGTTACGGTAGGTATAGCCTAACGTCAGATCCTTAATGTCGAAATAGCGGATGGGCGGGAAGGAATCGTGTTCGGGGGCCTGTACCCCACAATATCGAAAGGCGCGCATCCACTGAAAGGGAAGAGATAAGCTATTATTATATCAAGTAGCGAATACCTATGTGCTCGAACGGCCAACTATATATCCAAGTGCGTCCCTTCACTTTGGAGAAACCCCCTCATTATGAGTGATACATTTCTTCCGCATGGTGTTGCCAAAGTGCTGCCCTAGAAATTTGGGAAATGCACGCCACGCGTCGAATGTGGAATAAGCTAGAGAACGAAATGTGTAGCGGAACTATTAGTAGATCACGGGTGCTATAGGAAGGGAAGGGTGCAGTATTCGGCCTGTGCCGCACAAGCTAGCAGATACAGGCGCATTCGTAATGGTCGTCAGCCATGTGGCATGTCTTAATTATATAATTCTTAATTTGGTAATAGATTAGCCGATGTAAAAATTTTCTGCTCATCCTCGAAGCTACCTCATAAGGACATTTTCTCGCAACTTGATATCGTTTTGGTTAAGAGCTAGAGATATTATGGTGGGGGGTCAAAGAGAAGACGAATGCCATTGATAAATTCATCAAATGGCGTATCCTCTCCAATAATATAGGAATTCAGGTCGCTACAGCGAGCACCCAAATTTTTAAAACACCGCGGCTTGGGCGCGGATTACGCAAAGAGGAAGCCCGCATCTAAGCATATTAGATACGAACCAATTGCAAAAGTACATATATCGTACGAATACTAAATAGCCAAGATATGAATCCTAGCAGTAAGGAGTTTAGACAGGATTACTTGCCGGGAGTTGTCCGGGGACTGTGGAGTTACTTATAGTCCGGAGCATGGCACAGCAAGCAGTGCCGCTTGTATGTTCTCCGAACTGCGAAAAGGTCTCTTCCATCGCACGGTATTCCTGAAATTGGGAATGATACCAACATTAAAAGAACTTTCTGGATTATTACCTACCTAGGTAGCATCCTCATATCTACCTAAGTACCTACCAAGGTAGCTACACATATCTGAGGTTATAGAATTCTACATTAGCTACTGAAAATAGTATAAAGGACTTAGGTACTTAGATCCACTTATCTACCTAAGATATCCATCAGATTTAATTCAATCGCCGCGAAGGTGCATAAAGCTAACCACTATGAGACATCGATCGACAAGGGACTGTTATTATTAAGCCAGCCCCTTTCCTACTGAGTGTCAACCCAAGTACCTATTGAACGTCATCACCGCTACATTAGGAGAGAACATATGAAAAGTTCAACAGATTTAAAGGCGGGTCTTGAATATTGTAATATTTTAGTCCAAGGTCTGGCGATATATCATGCTAGTATTCCAGGACTCTCCTAAGATAAATAGACGGGCCCTGCAAAGTCCTGTCATCCTCAAAGGCTACACAACATCCGATGCCCCGCGATGGAGTCAGCTTCATACACATTTCTTATTGACTCGTAGAAGCGATACTTAACTCACCCCTCCATCAACCTTATCGTTTCAATTCAATTCATTTTAAGGTTCCTTCTTTTCTTCCTTCCATGTTTACAGGAAGATGGCTACCCGTTTGATCGTCGGCGTCGTTTCGCTGCTCGTCCTGTTAGCAGCTGTTGGGCTGCGTATCAGTGATCTTGGAGATAGCCAATGTCGAGTAATCCCAGGTGATACCACATGGCCCAGCGAAGATGATTGGAATCTCCTGAACCAAACAGTGGGTGGAAAACTCATCGCAACCGTCCCCATCGCATCGCCATGCCACCGCTCCTCGGAGGGCAACGCAGATTCATTCGACCAAAGCAAGTGTGATGCACTTCGAGACGAATGGTTCTTCCCCAAGACCCACTTAGAGTCACCTTCATCACCTATGGCCTACCAAGCCACGAACAACAGCTGTAATCCTTTTACCGACTCGGATGTTCCATGCACTTTAGGGTATCACGTCGCGTATACCATCAATGCGACGGTTCCTTCTGACTTTCAGGCCGCTCTTAAGTTCGTCAAGCAACACAATGTTCGCTTAGTCATCCGTAATACAGGACACGATTACTTAGGAAAATCCACCGGAGCACATGCTGTATGTATCGCAATGACATCAAATTGGGACAGAATACTAACCTAATTGTCCATATTCAGCTCGCAGTATGGACCCACCACATTAAATCATTGGAGCATGTCCCGAAGTATCAACATGAGCACACAGACTACCAAGGTCCTGCCATCAAGATGGGCGCTGGTGTTGAGCTTCTAGAAGCTTACAACTTTGCCCATTCTCATGGACTCATGGTGGTCGGCGGAAACTGTCCCAATGTTGGTGCGGCTGGAGGATATCTACAGGGTGGAGGAATTAGTATCCTGTCCTCTAAATTTGGGCTTGCTGCTGACCAGGTACTCTCTTGGGAGGTGGTGACTGCATCAGGCGACCTTGTGACAGCCAGCACCAGCGAGAATAAGGATTTGTACTGGGCTTTACGAGGAGGCGGTGGCGGTACTTATGGTATAGTAGTGTCGGTAACCGTCAAGGCATTCCCGGACACCACTTTCTCCACGGCTTATATGACCGTCATCAACGACGGTACGAACACAGACGGCGTATACACGGCTCTTGGAACGTTCCTTCAATCTTTGCCTGGCCTTGTGGACGCTGGCGCGTGGGTAGTCTGGGTTGCCGCACCCTTTGGGTGGTTGGTTATGCCAGCAATGGCCGCGGACTTACAAGCCAAGGATCTAGACGTGCATCTCCAACCCACGAAGGACAAATTGGACCAACTTGGGATCCAATATCAGTATACCTCTACGGATCACCCTAATTTCCTCGCAGGTTACGGCTCTATGACCTCAACATGGAACGTCTCCGACCACAACCTCGGCGGTCGATTGATTCCCCGCGACTTAGTGCGAGACCAGGAAAGCACCGATGCTCTGGTGAAGGCTATCCGCGTTATCAGCTCCCAAGCTCTCATATCTGGCGTTGGCATCAATGTGGCCAATGCCATCTCATCTCCCGACGAAGTTTCCGCCAACCCATACTTCCGAAAGACCTTGTTTAGTGCCGTCCTAGGTACCCCGGTAAACTACACCGACTTCGCGGCCAATAAAATACAACAAGATCGTGTCACGAACGACTTGCTTCCCGAATTAGAAGCACTCACGCCGAATGGAGGAGTTTATCTGAATGAGGCAGATGTACAGGCTCGCAACTTCAAGACCACTTTTTACGGTGGTTACTATGAGAGGTTATTGGCCATCAAGGACAAGTACGACCCTGAAGACACCTTCTACGGCGGTAAGACTGCTGTGGGAAGTGATCGGTGGGAGGAGAGGATCGATGGGAGGCTGTGCAAGGAGCATGCATACCCTATGCTTGCGAAGTTGAAGACCCTCATCGACAGTCTATTCTAACAAGAGCCCCTGGCAAAACAGTCACCATGTATTCCAGTGTAACAGTTCTATGCGATTTAATGACAAGCTAGTCGGAACTCGTACATATTGGGAATAGAAAGTTCATTGCAGCGTCGCATCGTCAGTTATACTGGCACAACCTGTACGACTTCCTAGGTGCCTGATGAATACACCCACATCATATATCGATTTATCGTCAGCCTCGGGTCTAGGATTGTTTACCTCAAATTTTTGAAGTCTTCGCATTGAGTTTCCAAATTTGTATAAAAGCAAGCTCACGTCCCTATGCATATGTATCTAAGTGTTGCAATACCACATTGCACCACATACCCAACCTACGACGCAGAATGACAGTATATTATTAAGTACGGTTCATTCCAACATACCCGCCCGTATATTCGTTCGCACTATAAAAATTTCACACCGAGCGCGCTTAGTCATCCATACATGATATTAGATTGCCGGCAAATGTATTGTAACTAACATAGCCTGGCAAAATCATATTGGCTCACCCCGCCGTCATACCTCGCGTGTTAAATATCACCTACTGCGTTACGTTATGATGAACGACCCCAAATTAAACCACCAAGTAAGCAGGCTGTCTCTATTGCCTACCTACATAATCAGTTTCCCTGTATAGGTCAATCAAATTCAACCTCTTTGGTTTACAACTTTGCCAGCGGGCTAAGCGTCTAAGGTTGCTTTTACATTGTCCTATAGTGGGGGCTAGTGACAGCCGTCGGATCTACAGTTGGCGAAAGGGCGTGTAACATTCAGAGCCTGCATCCCATCCTTTCGATTAATCAAAACTACTCTTATTCCATACATAATAGTGACCGTGTTGGAGTCCGCCATGTATCCTCACACCTAAGATATAACCCAATAATCCCGAGACCTATATCCATTCCGATCATACCCAGGCCACCCACCCCAGGCTGGCCGGTGGTTAAGTACCTAGGTAGGTACATAGGAGACACACAATTGTTCTAGGATCGTGCTATACACAACCCGAACCCCACGGCTGGTGGTAACCTTCTAAACGTAATGCCCCGGGTTCCTATCGGCGTTCTTCGATAGCGGTAAACTGCATTGTAAACTGCATTGTACGGGTGATACCTCCTTTTGTTGTTTGTCCGTCGTGGTTCTCGTTGCTTTGAATATCATCCATGTCTCCTGAACATCGAAGTCTAACAGGATTTGGATTCGTCAAAGATGTCTCATTAGAGACCATGCAGTTATATCCCCTACCATTGTTTGATGTCTCCCGGAGCCTCCACCCGCTCGAACTTCCGCTCATGGATCGAGATGTGGAGGGGCGAACGGAGTGCATCAGGCGACTAAATGGCCTCAATTCTTTGAAAGCCTTCGGAATAACGGGGACACAAAACAAAAGAAGTGAAAACGTCAGCTCGGCCAGACCCACTAGCCCTCTTCTCCCAATCATAAAGATGAAATCAGGTGACGCTTGTATGACTATAATTGTCTGAGAGATGGCACCAGCGATGGTACTGTGGCGGTATGTCAGCTCGAAACTTTATAGGACGGCTTGGGTAAGACTGTGCCTTGATGTGCACTCCACGTACATTAAACCTATAGCGAAAATGATGGAAATGCCGGCCCTTTTCCATCTCGTCAATTGTAGGCGCCAGATGATTCTTTGAGGGGCAACGAGAATGACGAGATCACAAACTAAGTTCACAATGGCTGACACGAGGTTCAGGGGAACAGTATCAAAGCATTTACCAGGAATTGTCTTGTCCCATATCCTCTTGATAGGTATGCAGGTGAGGTTTCTTGCGATGATGCAGGAAAGATAATAGAGGAAGTTGAAGCAAAGTGTACCATAATAACTCCACTGCGTTGAGCTTGATGGTCAGTAAATATCTATAAATACCATTTGGAGGAAGCGAAGAGGAGAGTAAGAGGATGAATTAAGCGACAGGGCGCTTACAAAGAATCCTCCACGAGTACCCCGTGGCGCAAATATCCAGACCCAATCCATTATGATAGATGTCTTAATGAACATGAGATCAACTATATAGAAGTTGGTCGCAATTACAAATATCTGTTCGTGTCAACTCCATGAGTACCTAGGTAGCTTATTAATAATAATTGAACTTACATAGCCAGGCTCGGACATGTCACGCACCAGAAAATTCCACTGGTGGGCGAGTAGGCCTACTGCCCCAACAAGTTGATATAAAGAATAGCAGTATCCAATAAAGGCGCCCTATTCATCTCTAAGTTGGGCCTAGGTGTGGTTGAAAACAAGGGATATGGGGACAATTTACATATGCTAGGACCGCAATATCTACCCAAGGACGTTGTGAGATTGCAACTCGTAAATAATGATACTTCTTAACCTACAATCTTGAATTTGCACTTGTTTCATAACAGCGACTTTCACGTAAGCGCGTAGGAAAATGGCAATGGTCACTACGCTCAAAGCAATTGTGGTGAAGTAAATACCAAGTCGGTTCATATTCGGTGGGCTCTCAAAGTTTGGTATAATATCGTCTTGAGGTGGAGCAAGTGCCGGGCTGTTGAGGATGGCCTGTTGCTCCTCAGGCGAAAGAAGGTATAGGTTGTCCAGAGATGAGGACATGGTGTATTATGGAGAACTACTTTGGTATTGGAGTTTTAAATGAACAGTTTATTTTATTAAAGCAGGATGGGTACTAAGGAAAAGAGTCAGTTATATAATTCAAGACAGTCTTCTAGAGGTGACGAGCTACAATAAAGCCTCATCCCCGGACCCCCCACCCAATATGTTGTGTAACGGCCCCCAATGCAGCCCTGATGGAAAAAGCAAAATTTAATCAATATATAACCTATCCTAGCCTGACATGGACGCTGTGTCACCACACCCGGACGTAAGGGCGGAAACCAGGCCCGTTGGTTTACTTGGTATGGCTGGGAAAAGGGATAGAATGCTAGCCCCGACTTCAAGTTCCAGCACATTCGTCTCTCCTCGAGAGGTAACCCCGATTAAGCTTATGGACAACCAAAATGGCGGCGCCTCAATGTGGATTCGAAAAAGCTGAAATCCTCGATGTTCTCATCATCGGAGCAGGAATTTCCGGCATCAACTGTGCGTACCGTCTACAGACCGACCTTCCCCATGTCAAATTCGCGATCCTCGAGGGTCGCGATCGAATTGGCGGCACCTGGGACCTATATCGATATCCTGGTGTCCGCAGCGATTCAGACATCTATTCCATGGGCTTCGCGTGGCATCCTTGGTCCTTCGATCAACCGATAGCCACTGGAGACCAGATCGTAGAATACCTTTCTGACGCCGTGTCAAAGAATCACCTAGACCGCCACATTCGATTTCGCCATATGGTATCATCCGCGAACTGGTCGACACCGGATCAAAATTGGACTTTGGTTGCTAAAGATCACGATGGTCTGTACAAGTACTTTCGCGCCCGTTGGATAATTCTAGGGACGGGATACTACGATTACGACACCCCTCTCCATGCAGACATACCCGGTTTAGACAGTTTCAAGGGTGCGTTAAGTATAGATGCATTGATTCAAGTGCCTTTCTAACTAGCTACAGGGCAGATCATTAATCCACAGTTTTGGCCGTCAGATTTCAATTATAATAATCAGAAAATCGCCGTTATCGGTAGTGGCGCAACGGCTGTAAGCTTGCTACCCGCGCTGCCGGAGAGGGCCGCCCAGGTTACGATGATCCAGCGGAGTCCGACCTACATACATCCGTCTCCAAATACTGCATGGCTGCAGCTCTACTTCCCTCGGTTTCTTGTCGATTTATACCGGCGTATACGTTACCTCATCACTCCTTACCTCATGGTCCTACTATGCCGCTACTATCCTGACCTTGTCAAAGACAGCTTTCGTAAGGAAGTCACAAAACTACTACCAAACCCAATTGACTATGACACACATTTCAAACCACGCTACAATCCGTGGGATCAACGTATCTGTACTGACCCTGACGGTACGTTCTACAAGACGCTCCATCTGCCGAATGTGCATCTCATCACCGGCGAGATCGATACGGTAACAAACAGCGGGATCAGAATGCAAGATGGCCAGATAGTGGATGTCGATACCATCATCACCGCGACGGGTATCAAAATGCTTATGGGGGGTAAAATCGACCTTAAAGTCGACGGCGAGCCTGTATCGTGGCGGCGCCGTTATATCTGGAATGGGGCCATGTTAGACTCGGTCCCAAACATGATGTTCATGTTCGGATATACTAATCACTCTTGGACTCTCGGATCCGATGACACTGCCATCGTCCTAACCAGGCTTTGGAGATACATGGAAGGAAGGGCAGTTAAAATTGCAATCCTTAGGGTACCGGCCGATGCGGCAACAGGCACACAACGTTTATGGCAGCTGAATGCCACTTATGTATTGGCAGCAGATGACGAACTGCCTGTTTATGGAATGTCGGGAAATTGGAAGCCAAGAAACCGCCCACCCATTGACTATGTCCATGCGCGATGGGGGGATTTCACGAGTGGGTTAGATTTCTGTGCCTGACAATCGCTTTTCTCTGTACGTAATTCAGAGTTAAGTATGGCGAGTAGAAACAAGATTTGCTGTTGTCATATTTCACAAAACTCTTAGTAGCTTTTGCATAATCTCGTTGCTACATTAGAGTGCGCTTCCAAGAGCAAGAGCCTGGTTGATCTCCAAGAGTGTTTCGCCACATAGAGGGGAAACGATATCAGCACTGTTTTCTTTGGTTCGTATGTCTGCCACCTACCTCATGCTGTCATATTTTCAATATGCTAATAGTGATAAAACTCCTCTCCAGCAAGATATCGCGATACAATGAGCGAGTCTACGACCTCGCTCCGAGTCTCGGTAGCAGCCATGGCATCCAGGCCGCATATAAATACCTGGATGTATTCGACTACCTTGTCTCATAGGAGCTTTTCCCACTCGCTGCTTAATATCGCAATTGTACCTTACAAAAAGCTTCATTATGCCCACCCCAATCGAAACGATGAAGGCTGGGTGCCCCCACGCTGTTGAACCCATAGCTGTGGTGGGGATAGGTATGATTCTATGGAATTTTTGGGTATCTGGGTACTTACTAATATTCGCAACATAGGATGCCGGATGCCCGGGAATGTACGAAGTGCTTCGGACTTATGGACGCTTCTGATGTCCAGGGGCATTGTAAGTAGTCCTAAGGTGCCTCCCTCTCGATTCAACATTGATGCCTACTTCCATCCAAACAATGAGCGCCCTGGAAGCTTCAATGTTCCTGGAGGGTATTTCCTCGAAGGTGACCCTTACGACTTTAACCCTGGTATGTTTAACATATCCCCAATTGAAGCTATGTGGATGGATCCCCAGCAACGAATCCTACTCGAGGTTGTATACGAAGCTCTCGAGAACAGTGGGACCCCTTTGGACAAGATATCAGGTCGGAAAGTTGGGTGCTTTGTAGGATCATCTGCAGATGACGCTAAGCACCTAGCACCGAAAGACCTCGACTTTTCACATGCCTATATGGCCACGGGCGTTGACCCCGGAATCATTGCGAATCGTGTTAATTACGTTTTCAATCTAACGGGTCCGAGGTAAGAGTACATTCCCACGGTCGCATTGAATAAAAGGCTAATGAAATTTCCAAGTCTTCTTCTTAATGCTGCGTGCTCCTCGTCTTTATATGCCCTTGATTTGGCCTGCAAGTCAATGTCTGCTGGCGAATGTGATGGCGCTATTGTGGGTGGGACCAACCTGATCCTCGATGTTGGCCAACAAATGGGTACCGCTAACCTAGGGACTCTCTCGCCAACCAACCAATGCCACGCATTTGATGCATGCGCCGATGGATATGGGAGGGCCGAGGGTGCGGGTGCTCTTTACCTCAAACCCCTGAGTGCTGCCATCCGAGACGGCGATCCTGTACGCGCCGTGATCCGATCAACTGCTAGCGGCAGGCAAGTATCATTCCTAGGTAGTCTTTCGAAAACGATATTAACAATGCGATAGCAACGGAAGACGCGAAAATGGATTGGCGCATCCTAGCAAAGATGGGCAAGTAGAGGTGATTAAGACAGCATATCGTCTAGCAAACCTCTCGCCAGGTGATACAAGCTATGTTGAGTGCCATGGAACCGGGACTCCAGTTGGCGATCCAATTGAAGTGCGCGCCGTTCATGAATCCATAGGAGTAGATGCGCTGCAGTCAGGTCCTATCCTAATCGGAAGTGTAAGCCTCGACTTTGCCGTGTTTCCCCCCTTTCATCACTTACTGCATACGTACTAACTTGTCGTCAGGTCAAGCCAAATGTCGGCCATAGTGAGGCAGCCAGCAGCATGGGGACGCTAATTAAAGCAATACTGGCGTTGGAAAACGAGGTCATTCCTCCGACAGCCGGTGTGACTCAATTAAACCCGGATAGTATGTCTACCACTCCCCTTTCCCTTAAAAATACCGTATGCAAGACATCCGTCTCTGACAATACTTTGATATCGAAAGTTGCCTGGGACGACTTAAATGTCCAAGTTGTCACAGAACCCACTTCATTCCCCGTATCAAAACCGATTCGTCGAATTGGCGTCAATGCCTTCGGGTATGGAGGTACAAATGCACATGCTATCCTTGAAAGTGCAGATTCCATGGCGCCAGGATACCGAGCTCATAAGCTCATAAGTCAAACTCGGAAAGATACCGCCAAAGTTGACCATTACGATTTAGATGGCAACCGTGCACACCTTCTCGTATTTTCGTCGCACGATGAGATGACATTGAAGAATAACTTAACAAGTTATTCGGTACGCTGCCAGGATGCCGATCTTGTGGATCTAGCATATACCTTCGGAACCCGGCGCACGCTATTCTCTCATCGCGTATTTGCTGTCGCTCATAAGGACAGCTTTACATCAGACATTGCGGCTGCTTCCACCAATATCATTGAAGCACCAAAGGTACCAGCTGTGCCTGTTTACGTATTTACTGGTACGTGATCTTAATGTCACTCGCAGGCGGCTTTTTGCTGACAGAAAGACTAGGCCAAGGCGCGCAATGGCCACATATGGGTGTTTCATTGATAGGGGCTTTTCCTTCAGTGCTACAGACTATTCGGCATCTCGATGAGCATTTGAGCACCCTAGTAGAACCGCCATCATGGAAGATCGAAACGGTCATGATGTGCCCCGATGAAGCGAACTCTATTGACGAACCTGAATTCGCGCAGCCTTTATGCACAGCCTTACAGATTGCCATAGTTGATTTGCTAGATCGTTGGGGGCTGAGACCGGTAGCCACTGTCGGACACTCTTCAGGTATGTCCAAATTCACGTCTGACGTATACTTTATACATAAATTGACGCTTGATAGGTGAAATGGCCGCAGCATATGCCGCAGGGCTCGTGTCCGCCGAAAGTGCGATCGCCAGCGCTTACTACCGCGGCAAATCAGTAGCCCTCCATGAGACAGATGGAGCCATGCTTTCCGTTAATCTAAGTCCTGATATCGCAAAAGATTACATACGGAGAGCATCGTACGAAGGCAGAGTCGACGTATCATGTCATAATTCGCCCAATAACACCACGCTAAGCGGCGATAGAGGGCCAATTGAGCAATTGAAAAAGGCTCTTGATGCTGAAGGCATTTTTGCTCAAATACTCCAAACAAGTGGAATGGCTTATCATTCTCACCACATGAAGGATATCACCCCCACATATAAGGAGTATCTTGCCGCCGAACCAATCTCTGGTCATACTCGTGATCTCAACTGCCCCATGTTTTCGACCGTACAGCTGAAAGAAATAACAAAGGACGGGGAAATTCCATATTCCTCCTGGGATTCCTACTGGGTCGAGAACCTCGCTAGCTTGGTCTCTTTTCACCAAGCCGTCCAGCTTCTACTAGACAGCCAACCTGGAGCCAATACTCTCATCGAGATAGGACCTCACTCTGCTCTTGCGGGTCCATTAAAGCAAATATGCCAATCAATAAATAGACCACAGATCACCTATCTACCCTCTCTCAAACGTGAACATTGCGACGCAGACCAAATTCTTCGACTTGCCGGTGATCTGTGGTCGAGAGGAGCCGATATCGACCTGCGTTCAGTGACCAGCATCGAAAAATTAACACCAGATGGTGCGATCGAAATGAAGACAGGTTCGCTCCTAGTCGATCTTCCGCCTTATCATTGGGCGTATTCGAGATATTGGCCGGAATCTCGACTTGACAAGGAGAGTCGTGAAACTGCAGAGCCCCGCCATGACCTTCTCGGTCGTCGCATTATCGGAACATCTCCTCTCGAACCAGTCTGGCGAAATATCCTACGCCAACGAGACGTACTCTGGTTATCGCAACATACCATAGCCGGGGAGGTATCATTGCCGGCTACGGCATATCTGGCCATTGCTATTGAAGCGATCGCACAGCTTAACTCACAGTCATCCGCACCCGTAGGGATTGAAAGTTATACATTGCGTGACGTTGTCATCCATAGCGCGACGGTCATTCCCGATGATGATAAGGGCACCGAGGTCTTATTTCAGCTACAGCCGATTGATAAGAAGTCTGACTTGTCTAGAAGCAACATCGGTGGCCAATGGTATCAATTCACTGCCTCGTGTTGTACTCATGGGTCCTGGAAAACCACTGCTGAGGGGCATATCACTTTGAACATTAAGAGTCCAGGTGTAAATGACATGCTTCAGTCTGCAAATGGACCCCCGATGGGAAGTGAACTTATGCGAACCGAACATAAAGAATGGCTGAAAAAACTTCAAACTTTCGGTGTTGATCTGGGTCCAGTATTCCAGCATATCAGCGACGTGTACGTTGACGTGAAGTCTTCCACAGCGCGATGCGACCTGAATATCACCCAAGAATGCGGCCTCGTGGAAGCAGAGTCTCGCTACGTACTGCATCCAGGTGTGATGCATGCATGCCTGCAGCCCCTTCTCGTTTCCGCTCATAAAGGTCGAATCGATGACTTCCGCTGCAGCGTAATCCCAACGCATTTTCGCGAGGTTACTTTATTCCCCCCGTCAGCCAAGCATCTAACCAACCCATGCTCATTGGAGTGCTGGACTCCGCAGCGAGGCAATCGCGCATTTTTGTCTAATTCGCAATTAACTGCGCATGATGGCTCGCTCATTGCTCAATTCTCCGGCTGTCGGAATGTTCAGTGCGAGGATGCACTCGCAAATAAAATGCCTGGAGATCCGCAGCGAGACCTATATCTTCAAAATGTGTGGAAGATTGACAGCGACTACATGGAATGGGCAGGAGACATTGATGTTTTAGCCACGACAGTAGAAGCGCTGCTCCACAAGGTTCCCACGACAAAAATACTGTGTCTTGAGCGCGCATTAGTGTCATCAATCCTTACTGTCTGCCCGAGCGCAGCCATAACTGTGTCGAGTCTACGTACATCCCAGCACGCTGACGAAACACTCGGGCTGACCAAGATGGAATCTTTATCGCCCGGCTCTGAAGGTCGAGTTGGGAGCTTTGGGCTTGTTGTTTGTGGCCTCTTGGATCTAACTGATATTCCATTCTTCGAACGCATTCGCGAATTGGTTTCCCCTGGTGGCCATCTACTATTCAATATAGACATGAATAGTAGTTCCGCAGGAACCTGGGAACCTGTTCTAAAAAACGCCCGTTTTTCTGGAGTCAAGTTAATGTCGCACGATGGCGCAATGCTCACATCCGCAACAGAAACATCCTCAGGACCCGAAGGCGGAACCGCAGGGGATAAGAACCTCCTAATTGTTTATCGCGATGTGCCTACATCCTTACTCCCAGTTGTAATCGATAAATTTTCCAGCCATGGTTGGAATGTCCGTTCGCAGTCTATCACATCTCTCGACCTTCTCCCCAATGAACGAGTCATCCTACTAGCCGATATGGAAGGTCCTTTCCTCGCTCAATTAAACGAGGCGCAACTCAAGGGCCTGATCCATCTTACTCATACCGCATCGGCCATCGCTTGGGTGTCCTGCGGTGGCCTCCTATCGGGAGATAAGCCAGAATTTGCCATGACGGAAGGTTTCGCCAGGGTAATCCGCAATGAGATAGGGTCTTTAGACCTCGTGACGCTCGATTTTGACGCAGAAACCACTCTTGAATCCAGCGTAGCTAATGTGCTCGTGGATATATTAACACGCCAGAAGGCTCATGGCCGAAATGGGGAGACTGAATATTACATGAAAGGGGGTGTGGTTTATGTCAGCCGCATCACGTCATCCCTAGATATTAATCGGGAGTTTGTTCCTGATTCGGGGGAGACGATGCCCTTACCCGAAAAGGACTCCCCTGCGGTATGTGGTCGTTTCCATAATGGGGACATCGAATTCTATCGAGACCATGAGCGGAGGGCGGAACCCCTAGGGGCCAAAGAGGTAGAGGTTCACGTTGCGGCAATGGGCATTACAGCGCTAGACGGTTCCGATGATGCCACTTACCTCAATCATCAAATTGCCGGTACGGTCAATCGCATCGGTTCGGAAGTCATTGATCTTCAACAATCCACAAGCGTGTTCGGCTTTGCTCTCGACCACTTGGCAACGTTCCAACGGACATCCCCTAGTCTTCTGCAGACGTTACCCGAGGGATGTTCTCTCCTTGAAGCTGCGTCGCTTCCATCTCCTTTTACCACAGCCTTGTATGTCCTTGAAGACTTAGCGAGGGTCGAACTAGGCGATAGTATCGTCATCGTCGATGATATAGGCGATATCTGCCTAGCGATGGTTCAAGTTTGCCGTCTTCACAAAGCAAATCCTATCGTAGTTACTTCGTCGCCGGCCTCAAAGGAGATACTACTCACTAGTGGAATGCCATCCGACCAGATAATAGATGGTCATAGCGATGATAGCTGTATTTCAGCGCAGATAAATAAAGCCACGGCGGGGAACGGAGTTAATATTGTCCTTTATTCGTCTGCGACGAGCGGTGAAATAGTCACGGAGCTCGGACATACTGTGGCCCCGTTCGGCCGGGTAGTCGCATTGGGCAGTAGCCGTGATTGGGATCGTGAGGTATTCTACTCGTCGATGGGTAGGAAAGGTATAAGCTACTCCCAGTTTGATCTCACGGAACTTATTCGTGAGCGGCCGCAAGTTGTTACCAGGTATGATTGTAACTCTTCATTCTGCCATCGTCCCTAAAGGTATCTATGGTTTTGTTAACTTTCCTATCCAATGCAGACTCCTGAGCAGATGCGCAAGCCTCTATTCTCAAGGCAAAATCACCGGGTTCGGTCGTATCCACGCCAGGGAGCCTAGAGAATACTGCAACATTGTGCGATCCACTCTCAAGGATCTGGGTCCTGGAATTCAAGTCCTCTCGTATGATAAGGATGTCTCATTCAACGTAAGAGCACATTGAATACCGAAAGAGTGAAATAAAAATTTAACAATGAGAAATCACAGGTGGTCCCAACTAAACGACATCTAAAATTCAAGCCCGATGTTACCTATCTATTGATAGGGGGCTTAGGGGGTATTGGGCAAAAAGTAGCAGCTTGGATGGCTGATCGAGGTGCTGAGCACTTGGCATTCCTATCCAGGAGCGGGACTGATCGTCCAGCTGCGAAACAGGCCGTGGAAATACTCAGAAGTCGAGGTGTCACTGTGTCCGTATTGCGTGGTGATGTCACATCTCGTGAGGAATTGGCCAATGCGATCTCTCAGATCGATCCTGCATATCCTATTCGTGGAGTTATGAACGCCGCCGCCGACATCCGCGATCGCATGTTCAGTAACATGACATTTGATATTTGGTACCCCGTTACACAGTCAAAGCTTAGGGGCTGTCAAAATCTGCATGAGCTTTTCAAGGACCAGGAGCTTGACTTCTTCGTTATGACTAGCTCTATTACCGCTCTTCTTGGTTCAACGGGGCAAAGTAGTTACGGCGCTGGTGAGTTATTGTCCTTTTTAACTAACCAGGGCGTTAAATAGTTTATAAGCTGATACAAAAATTATAGCCAATGGATATCTTGATTCCCTGGCCCGTCACCGCCGCTTGCGAGACCTTCCTGCAGTCTCCATAGAGCTACCGGCTATCTTCGGGTTCGGTTATATCCACGAAAATTCCGCTATAAGGCAGTCCATTGAACAAAAAGGTATGTACGGTATAAGTGAACGAGAGATGCTTGATGCCTTCGAGATCGCCATGACACCTCAAAATGAGCTGCCGCCGGGTGTCGACCATATTGCCGTGGGTATCCAACCTCGACGTTTCGGTTCCTCCTTAAAGAAATCTGGCTCCTACCTAGCAACCAAGGAAAATCCTTGTTTCAGCTGGCTAGATATGGCGATGGAAGAGCAGGCGACAGATACAGAGTCTATCAAACCTTCGTTCACCAAATCGGAGAATATCATGACCAATATTCGGCAAGCCCCAAGTAAGGAGGCGGCCATAGAAGGCGTGACGAAATGTGCGGTGCAAAGATTAGCACGTCTGACGATGATCAACGAGGATCAGATCGAGACTACGCAGAAATCCATCGCAGATTACGGCCTGGATAGTATGATCGGTGCCGAGTTCCGCAACTGGATCTTCCGAGAGTTCGGCGTCAACATGCCCTTCAAACAACTTCTGGCAGAAACCCTCACCTTGTCCAAGTTGGCAGAGACCCTATGTGAAAAGGTTTGTAGCAGTGAGAGTAACAGTGACTAGGTACTTGGCGCTTGGAATGGCAACTGCATGACTACTTCACGAACTATTCATTAATGAGTTAAGAGTGTGTTAAGTTAGAAAGAGTATTATCGAGATACGATGCGTATCGTTCTTTTATTCTCAGGCACCTACCTTCTTAGGTAATAACGCCATAGTGCTTCAATATAAAGGCATACAGAGTATCAATCAAATAAGCCTCTCTCAGATTGAGTTGCATCCAGACGCCAATACGAGATGGAAAAATCCGTATAGACATATATCCACAATTATTGCTACTTGCCTGGCTGGTCTCGGATATAGGCTCAATAGGAAGTTGATAACATACTCGATAAACAATTTTGTGTATAAAAGGGACCGACGACGACGAGTATGTCTTTGTAGTCCAGAGGTAACTCAAATCAACACTCTAAATATATTTTACATATATCCCCGTGATCAGAGAAAGCTTTCAAGATGCGTGTTTCCATCACCGTATCCCTTGCTGCCATTGTTGCGCTAGCACTTTCGACTCCCACGCCACAATCAGACCCCCCTGAGACTGATCTCTGTCTGCAGCGGAAATTCCTCACCGCGGATCTCTGCTCAGACATTGACGCTACATACACTAATGAGACTCTTCCTGGTCTTGGCTGGTACTGTTGCTGGTTCCAAGGACCATTCACGCCTCCGCCTGCTCTTCCCGTTTCGTAAGTTTCGAAGATCATTGTTCGCAAACCAGGCTATACTGATATGAGCTACCAGGGCGTGGTTAACCTACGCGGAGGATGGTTCGGTTGCGAATCGTTGCTTGGCTAGTGGGACATGTACGACGGGACTGCCTAATGGCGATAGTTAGGTACCTACCTAGGTAGATAGCCAGCAGATTGGAGCTGTTAGGCTACCGTATCGGAAGCTATACAATTTCTATAGCGGTCTACTGGGTGTCTTACTAGGTCCCTAGGGCTGCTATGCTTAGGTACCTGGGTACTTATTAAATAACTTACAATTTCAGACCCAAATAAGTCCTCTACTTGAGTGGTCAATGAAATTGACCTTAACATTCGGAAAAATATTCAAAATTGTTGGTTTGAACGTAGTGCACCTAGCTATAGACTATCTTTGTCAAGGGAGCACTTCTAGAAGGCTTCAGAACTGGAGCTTTAGTGAAGCTTTGGCCATATATCATCATTGCCAAGTATCCGTATCGCCCAAATACTACCTCATGTACCTCCTTAAGTCTCTTGGCAGCGCGCTTAGCTTCCGAGACGTTTAAACAGTACGGGGTATAGACACGATAAGTTTCACTTTTGCAAAATGATTGCCCAAAAGGGTAGGTAAGCATTCTCCACCTTCGCTAATAACGCTATTTGTTTTCTAGAATTCTCACCTGTCTACATGGCGATCATTGATGAATAGCTGAGATGTGGGAGTTTACAGTCATATGGTACGGTTGTAAGGTGTGTTTTGAAAATCCTTGCGGTCAGTCTCTAAAGAAGTCCAAGGGGTTCACGCTATAGCCTCATCAATGGAATCTCGTTAGATGATGTCGTCATTGAGTGCCTATATCTAGTTGTGCGTTTCTTGATATTCAGGTTTGGTTCTTCAGTAGCATCTCAATCTTCTGCTCATCACCTACCGTTCTATTTTCCCTCTTGTGCTGGCCACATTTTGATACCGTATTCTCCATTTCCTTAGTTGAATCACCCATCTCTCGACTCTCACGTTCTAATACTCCCTGACAACATCTTCAAGATGAAGTTCACCATCTCCCTCTTATACGCTAGCCTTCTTGCTGGCAGCGCTATCGCAGGTACGTCATACTCTGATATTATTAGATACGCCAGCTAACCTCCATGACAGTTCCTGTGAAAGCAGGCCAGTCAGATGATGTTATGCGCCGTTCTGAGGACAACTTCTTCCCCGACGGTGGCCCTTTCCCCGGCTTAACCAACGGTGGCAACAGCAATACCAATACCAACGCCAACACCAACACCAATGCCGACACTACTGATACTAGTGACGACACTGGTTCTTCCGGCAACGGTTTCTTCCCCGATGGCGGGCCTTTTCCTGGTTTGACAAATGACAACAGCGCCGACACAGCCGACACTACGGCTGACACGTCCTCCGGCAATGGCTTCTTTCCCGATGGTGGCCCATTCCCCGGTTTGACAAATGGCGGCAACAACAATGCCGCTAGCTCTGGAGCCAGCACTGGCAGCTCCAGCAGCACCACCTCCTCCGACCCACCTGCCGACGGCTTCCCTGAAGCGGGTCCATTCCCAGGACTCCCAAATGGCGGTCGCGGAACTAACAGTAAGAGGAAGGCACCCCCTGCTGATGGTTTCCCCGAGGCTGGTCCGTTCCCCGGTTTGCCAAATGGTGGCCGTGGTACTAACAGCAAGCGAAAGGCGCCTCCCGCGGATGGTTTCCCTGAAGCGGGACCTTTCCCAGGACTGCCCAACGGTGGTCGGGGCACTCAGAGCAACTAAGCGTCATTTGAGTAGGAGATCGGGAGGACTAAAACGGGAGTAGATACCATTATTTCGAGGGTGAGAGGATTTGAGAATACGGTATTTCTTAGTGTAGCCTAGAACAATCGGACTTTTTAACCAAAAATAACTTTCCATTTGGTATGTGGGATATCTGATAATTCGCTATGATATGCGTTAGCTGATCAGATGAGGAATATTGAACTTACTAAAATCTCCAAAGCATCCAACATTTTAACCTCAAATAGAGCGAGTGCTGACTTTAGAGCTGATGAATAATGAACTTACCACCTAATATAGCAGAAAAGGTTGGGCGCTATAGGGGATTTAACGCTAGTGGCGTAGCATACATCACTATATCTAGCAGCCTAGGTCCCTCTGTAGCAGGTTGTCGCAGAAGTCTTGACGGTACCTACCTAGGTAGGCAATAAAAATGGGGGGAGAGATATCGAGACTCACGGGCGATGCTCGCGATACGATCGACACTATAGACGCTTTACGCGAAGTGTTAGACAAATTAGATGGATTGCTGAGGAATCTGGATCCTCCCTCACTTTATCTCGATTTTGAGGGGGTGAAATCTGGTAAAAACAGCCGCATATCGATCCTGCAACTTCATATACTACCGACTCGTGAGACCTTTCTCATCGACGTCCTACTCCTCGGCGCCAGGGCTTTCTCCACTCCAAGCTCTTTGGGTTACACATTCGAAGACATCCTAGAATCGGAAATGATCCCGAAAATAATTTTCGACGTGAGGAACTTTTCGGCCGCACTGTTTAACTACTTTCAGATTAGGATTCGGGGCGTGCTAGACTTACAATTAATGGAAGCGGCCACTCGACACCCCAAGGGAGCCAATTTCAATGAATTATCAAGATGTATTGAACTGGACCTAGCACTACCTCAAAGTGAGATAGCTGCGTGGAAGAAGACCGAAAAGAAAGGTCTCGACCTCTTCAACCCAAAATACGGTGGTAACTATGAGGTTCTCGACGAACGTCCGCTCTCCGAAGAAATCAAACTCTATTGTGTTCAAAAAGTACAATTTCTCCTCAACTGTGGGCGGAATACGACAAGAAGATCACTCCGGAGTGGTGGGATAGGATGATCAGGGCGACGTGGGAGAGGATTTCCTTATCGCGAACCGCAAGCTATAACGGAGAAGAATCACTTATGACGTTAGTTCCAATCGAATAGTTGGGAGTAAGGTTAAAAGATTGAAATAATTTTAGTTTTATAGAATAGGGAAGGAAATTGTAGAGCAGGAGGATAGGAAGAGTTGAAATCGTTTAAAGATAGAAACGATGTTGTATCAGGGAAGATTTGGGGCTGGCTCTAGTGATGTAAGACTTACCTAGGTAGGTAGGCATCTGCTAAATATCTACAACGGTAGCGCGGATCGGAGTACCTGGATGGAACATGTGGGGGAACCCCTGTCGGCGCTAGGAGATACCTAAATATTTTTTATCCTTTTCTCTTTTTTAATTTATTCTCTTCATCGCAAACCTCTACAACCTCGTCACGAATAACATGAAACCACCTCGATTACAATCACACCTTCACTAAGGTATTAAAATCCAGGGAAATATCAAAATCTATCGCATTATGGCGACCAAATCAAAACCCCGGGTTCCTAAACCCCTACCGTTTGCGCCGCGTATTCATCGTCCATCCCAAACTGCAATATCACGACCGAAACGAATCGATCCATCGAGTCCCGAATATAAGAAAGCTGCTGGAAGATATACCCGATTCATGATCGCGATGCCTGTATTCCTAGTCACTTCGTATTTCCTATTCAAACAACCTACCCAGACTAGGAATTCGCCTCTAAGTATAGCGTCGGATATGATGGGTGAAGAAAAGACGAATGACGGCCGAGGATTCCCATGAAACTCCAGTCCCCAAATCACCGAATATCGGGATCGGCAGTTACATCTGATCATGCTAGAAACGCAATTCTAGTACATTCACCGAGGTCGATTCGAACATGGTCCCTGTTGAATCGTATCTGGATTCTCTTTCGATGCCACCTTTGTTGAAGTGATAACATCAAATCTACTTCACATCGTCAACCGAAGAAAGGAATTCCATGGGCTTTGTGTGATGGCTAAATTCTGGTATGGATGACTATGGACGATTGTCTGTACAAACAAGGCTTATTGTGGAAGATGGCATTGGCGACGCGAATACAATAGCTGTTTGTTGTTCATCTATCCCAAAATTTCGGTCACCAGACGCTACGATACTGACTCACTTCTTTCTTCCCATCGCCTCTTTTCACGAGTTTGGAGCGAATATATGGGATTCAATCGTCTAGCTCAAAGAAGTTTGGTGAATGGATTATGCCTAGGGTCAACAATTCCATTACCATAAAGCGATATACATCCCCCTTTTTTGCGAAATCGAAATCTTTAGAAACCACCATAACCACACGAACAACTACCAAAAGCAACAATACAAAACCACTATGAAGACAAATTTCGCATCCGTCTTGGCCTTTGTGCCACTACTTACTATCGTCACTGCCAGCGAAATCAGCGATATCTACAAGAAGACACTTGGTAACTCGGATTGCACCAACATCGGTTTGACGGACGGACACGTTCTCCATGCTACCTGTACCGACCCTGGAGTTGGAAAGTCTGCCGATTTTGACCTTGAACTCAATGATTGCTTCGCTAATTACTTGGGTACTTTGAACCATGTTACTAATGGCGGCTTCGCTGGGTCGTGCCACTCTTGCCATATGGACGGCACAAAACTAACATGCGATTGCTCGACCGGCCATGGAAGTTCGAAGCACAACGTAGTCGAGCTCAACGATTGGGACGTCATCCAGATAACCGAAGGAAGTATGTACTGCGGCGGCACTGACGGAATTGAGAAGAGAAAACTTAGCAAAGGGTCGCGATTCTTCAGGGCATAAGTCATCAGACTTTTCTTACCCTGACCTTTAGTTCATCGTACATATTTATTTGCTCATGATCAACGAACGCTACGTTATTATGGTATCATCGCGAGCCTAAGATTCGTTAGATGGAAACATCTTGCTTTATTTAATAAAACGCTTTTTAAACCCTTGATTCAATCTTCCCTGTGAAACTTTTTCTATTTTGCAAATCCTAGTTTCCTTTGTTCATGTCTCGTAATCCATATTTTTAAAGGCGTACATTCAATTCGCTACCAGGAAACAGGCTGCCCTCGTCTCGCAGGTGAGAACAATAATCCACGCAAAACCTTTGCAAATCAAAACAAATACATATGAATCCACATACAATCCACCAACTCCTTTCTTCTCTCTTTCTTCCTTACATAACAAACGCGACTAGAAGTCACAGAAGAAGGCTTTGTTCCAAGCCAGCACCAAATTATATGAACAATGCATTGTTCCTTTGCCTTTTATCTTGTTCTCCGAACAATCACAATCCCCACAACGCCTTCGCTTGTTTCCTGCCTGTATATAAACTCTCGAGCATCATTATCCCCTTCTTCGAGATCTTCGTAAGTTTTGGACTCTAAGCTACGATTAGTGGAACGGCCATTACTTCTGAAAGCCAAGAAGAAACCAGTGACCCAGACAAAGACAAGGCAAGACTGTACAATACAGGTAGGGCAGACTCTAGGTTTCACAATGAACATGGCTACTCAAATCGCTGAGATCCATCTCGCCGCGGCTTTCACGACGATAAATATCATATTGCTTGGTGCATTCCTCGCCACTGCCTGGAAGCGGGAACGGGAGTGCGGGAGCAAACGCCGCAGTCGTAACTTCAAACCGATGAAAATTTAGGATTGCAATTATAAAGTGGGTTTCGGGTTTCTTCTGATAGACTAGAAGGTATGAACTCTTATATATTACCTTACGTAGTAATTGACGTTTCTTAACTTTTATTTTAATTTTACTTTCGTAGGAATACTGTTTTTATTCGATTGTTAGAGCGCTATAACCCCTAAAATGAAGGGGTTACGCGGTGGGCTTTAGGGCGCCGTTATCCCTAAATTCAGCATTATAGGCAGACAGCGACGCATTCAAAGTGCCCTCCAGGGCTATGTTCAATTATTATAGAGAGCATTATAGTCCGCCAGGCTCCCACACCCGCCTGTAAAAGACAATGAATATTTTATTAGATTCGTTCAATTTATCGCCCATTACTTTAACATAAAGGCTTTACCTTCCATCCTCACATTATTTTTGATAGTATTGATTTGCCAGTCATTTTCCCGCCATGCCTTCCCCCTTTTCAGACCAATATCGACATGATTTAGTAGAACGGCTCTCCTTCGGCAGCATCTACACCCTCCTCGATGACTCTCTTGACTGCCGCCTCCGGATCCTCATCACCATCAATTGTATCAAGCCAGCTGCTCTTGACACCGGGAGTATCCAATAGCAAAGCAATCAGATTCGCAACACCTGCACGACTCGAGTTTCCCCTAGACACAGGCAGTTTTCCGAGACTAACGTTACCCGCCGGCTCTAGCGTCAATGTGCCTGGGCGGAGATCAATGCCCGCGAAGTCGGGCCTCTTCTTCGACTCTTCGTATAATACCTGGTCGGCCGCTATCTTGGCCTCGTAATACTTCAGAAGGTTCTTCTTCACGGTATCCTGACTATATTGCCAGACCTCTTCGGTCCACCATGACGGCTTCTTGAGGCGAGAACATAGGAAGGATACTAGGACGAATTTAGTGACTGTGGGGGTTGCCACGGAGGCGCGGATGAAATGAGATGCCGCGTCACGGTCAATCTTGAACGTCTGCGGGGGTTGTCAGCATTGCGTATATGAAATCCCGCAGGTGGTTAATGTACCCTCTCCGGCGCCCCTTTTCCACCAGCACCAGCGCTCCAGACAACATAATCCGGCTTCACCTCATCGATGATGCTCTTGGCTTGAGCATCACTAGTAACATCCTCTAGACTTCGCACAAGGACATTCAATTTCCCACTTTGGCCTTCTCCCAATTTCTGTAGATTTGCGACCTGTGCTGGATCGCGGATGATGCTAGTAACGTTCCACGAACGCTGGAGAAGCAAGGGGGTAAGCAATTGTGCGATCTTTCCGCTACCACCGAGTAGAAGAACGTTGTGAAGAGATGCCATTGTTATGTGAATTGAGATGTTGAATTTATTCAGTCTAACGTGTTATAGATTCGAAGTTTGAATTAAATCAAGTATAGTTCTAACACTCGAGATCTTAAATAGGGGAAGTATCCCTTGGTCCCGCATCGTACATTAGTAACGACCACTCCGTGAACTCCGACTTTGCTACATTCCGGACCCATATGACGCAATTACTATATCCGTTCGGTGCGGGCACCCGATGCCATGCCACTAGAAATGCAGTTAGGAAACTATGTTGTATTTGTTATCCAAACAAAGCCGGGTCAATTTGGACCCTTTTTGTGGGTGTGGCTGAAAATAGAACCACGAAAATCGGAGTTAGGCTTTACAGTACCTAGTATCGAATAATCACCTACGAAAGTTATACATGATTTTAACATCAATTTCGTACGGACGGAAAAATGATATTACCAGGTGAACTGAATGTGTGGGTATATTCTAATGTAATACATCTATGTTCATATTTCTATGGGTTTATTTCTTATATTCGTTGGATATCATTGCTTCCTTTTTTCCGAAGCCTTAGTTGTGCCTCATTCCTGAGTGGTTCCACAGTCCCCTCAAAACCAAAGCCAGCTTGTACCTCTGACTCTCCAGTCCTCAAAATACCGAATTGGAGCTTGGTATCTTTTATTGAGTTTGCGACAGGCTTCGCTCCAAATGTATTGCCTTGAGCCAGCTGATCTAGGTGAAGATTTCTTGTTGTTAGGAGCACCGCGGAGAATGATGTAGAACTCGTGTAGCCGTTATGCCACAGTGCGACTCCTCCCACGCAGAGACAGACTAGCGTGACTAGTATACCAGAGAGGTACGCAGCCAGGAGAGTCGCCCTTTCATACGCGAAGAAATTCCTTGGGCTTGATACCGTTACCGGAACCATCTTAGTAGCCACGTTCTGCCAATTTCTGTAAGTCATCAGACTATATGTGAAATTCCTGGACAAACTCTCAATTGTTGTGGCCAGTGTTCCACGACATCTACCAGATGTCTGAAACGAATGTGTCGGCTGGGCGACCTCGAGGAATGACGAAGCGTTCCAGATTTCGGGACAATCCGCGAGACCACTTTGGAACAGGGCAGTAGACCCAGCGGGCGTTAGGGTCTCACCATCAATACTCCGCTGGAGTATTTCTCCTACCGCATTTTCAAAGACTTTCCCCTCTAGGAAGCTCTTGAAGATATAATGCGTGAGATAGTAAGTGGGACATATCGTGGCGTTGCCTGCCCGTGGGTCGGGCGCACATGTTTCGTTAGCTAAGAAAGCAGATTGGGTACCACGCGACTCGTCCCAATCCTGCGACTTTAAATAGTCTACTGATTTCTCATGGATGGACTGTATCCCATTGTCAAATTGTATAGTTACGCTATACGAAGTGTTGTATAGTTGGCAGACCATTTGAACATCCTTGTCGGAATTATCCCAGAGTGGATTGACGCCGCTAGTGCCGATGAGGATCATGTTGTACAGAGCCCCGGGAGCAGAAGCTTTGAAGATGTATTGATCCCCCAAACTCGTGGCGTTCGCAGGTCTTGTAGGGCCGATTTCTCCTTGGAAGGCGGCTGCCAATGAAGTATAATTGTACGTATCGGTGTCCCACGTGGGGGTATTTTTTGTCTTAACAACTTCGCTAAGGTTCAAGCACTTGTACGACGGCCCCCAGAAATCTAAGTCATAGGATGCATTAGGGTAGGGCGGTGTCTGAGGTACGAAGCTATTTGATGTGTAGGTGGTCGTGAAAAGGCGTGCGATTTCGGGACCAACCCCCGAATACCGACCGGCCCCTTCATAAACAGGCCAGCCATCGACATCCGAGAAGTTGTAGCCGGGAACTTTTGTTGTGATAACATCTTGAGTCATTTGCGGACCTACAGTCAATGTGGCTGGCGTCACGATTGTGATAATTGGGAGAATCCTGCAGGAGAAAAAGCAATTAGGTAGGGGGTTAATTAATTCGGGTTGAACAAGGCGCAACTTACCATGAGATGGCGGAAATGATGGTGAGTGTCTTTGCATTAAGTAACAAGTCCGCGTTCAAGAAAGACCACGGGTTATCAAGGATATCGAACATGCTGTCGATGCCTCGGATAGAGATCGCCCTCTGTCTTAACGTTGCCCACGTTTGTTGAACAGCAGCAAGCCCTATTGTGGCGACCAACCCGCACCTAATGACGAGCGCCAGGCCTGTACCTATCCGAATGGCCCATATCTGCTGACTGTCTGAGTACACCGGAGTATTATCGAGGCTAGCGTAATATATATGATGGCCAACCACAACTAAAATGCTTCCGATAAATAGAGCTATTGCGATTATGGGATCCTGCCATGCAATGCTCATTCTCTTTTCGGGAACTTCATTGTTGTATTCCTCGGTGTGAAAATGTACTCCATCCCCACTAATACCTTTCGAATAAATGGTCTCGCTATGTGTTACCCCAGAGGCGTTGTCCATATGAGTGGCATAAGACGGATCTAGTCCATATGATTGTGTTGTTTGACTTCGAGGCTGGTAAGAATTTACAGGGAAGTACGAATCGTCTCTTGTATATGAGACATGGTCACCTTGAAACGTTGACGGAGCCATGGATGGGTAGGGTTATAAACATTATGATGTGGAAGAGCCGTAAGTTCTTTTCAAAGAAATATTGCGACTACCTGGCGATAGGGTGCCTAAATACAACCACGAATTCGCCTCGCGAGGATAATGATGGGATGTTCATGATACTAATGGTGTAAGTTGCCTAGTATAGCTGAAATGTAAGCGGTAAGTCGAAGCTGATCCATTGGTTGTCAGATAGTTGGGGGCGGGAAGCCCAGAGGCGACTATACTGTAATGCAGAATTGCGGTGCAGCTAGCATGGGTCAGTGTCGCATTGCAAGCACGCTACACTGATCAAAATAGGTACAGAATGGAACCAACAGTGTCATCGTTGAGGGGTTGCCCCCTGCAATCTGAGACATTGGCCCCAATATTCATCAACAACGTGGAAAATTCTGCCGAAGGTCCTAGATACCAAGATTTGATCTAAATCCTTCAGAGGGTTTTGGAAGCTATATTTCCGAATAATAATTACAAGTCTTGAATAAACGCCCAAGTTGAGTACTTCTTAAAGACTTTATTTCAACTTAAGCGCTCGAGAGACTGTTGTGAAACCGCTTCCTTCGACTACGTGGGCCCTTTAGAATACCCCTGTTTCTCGATCTAGTCTTACTCCGTAGATGACCAGGCACAACTCCATAAGTCCTAGCAGAATCTCACGTAAAGGTTTAAGACACATACACATATCCCGTAAAATCAAGTCGGAGTCAGATAGTATTTACGGACGTTACCTGTTAATTCGTCTCATTATTTCAGACTCAAGATTTGACTAATTCACGCAAATTGTCGCCTGAATAGATTTGGAATTGCCCCACGTAACTATTAAGAAGCAGTACAAAATGTACTTATCGCCGTGGCAGGCTGCCCTACTAAGCTAAATGAGTATCTCGGCGCTTAGGTACAGGGCTGCATAATAGTATGGCCCAAGCTTAAAAGGGTGGGGGCGGTGCGGTAACCACGCGAGAAATAACCTTACCGAATCCAGTCTAATCCTCGATTTCTTCCCCACTCTCTCTCCCATTTTACATCTACGTCTTCACGAACAGACCAAAAATCATAGTCAAATGGACATAAATTGATAAGCCGAGTCTCTCGGATATATACAGATATCGGGTTATACACATAATCGGCAACTATATACAAGAAATGCCGGATATGGCACAAAATTTGACAAACTCCCATCTTGGCCGGAGCGAAAGTAGGAGGCTGGGGTTTATTCCAACACTCGATGGCCTATTCATCACCTCTCCTACCACTACCTTGTCACCAGTAGCGGCCGTGGTAATCTTCAGCAGATACTGTACTTATATACAAGACTGCGAAAAGGTTTTAGCCATTTAGGGGGCAGCGGTGGCTGCGGGCTTGGTCTTGGTGACCAAGGTGGTGGCCTGCTGGACCTTGGCCTTGGTGGCACCGGATCCAGTTAAGGCGGCGTAGACGGAGTCGAGGAATCCGTTGTTGGCGTAGAGCTGAGACATATCCCACATCATAACACCACCAAAGCTAGAGAACTGCTTGGAGTATTGGATGATCGGGGCAAGGGTAGCAGCATCGACGTAACCGCCACCAGCGCCAGTGTTAGCCGGGACACCCAAAAGAACCTTGACGTCCTTGTTCTTGCTGGTGTTCTTGGCCCAGTCGTCCCAGGTCTGGAAGTTGAAGTTGGTCTGCGTGTCGGAGCCAGCTACGTACGAGCTAACACCGCAGTAGTTGTTGTAGAATTGGATCATGATGAAATCGAATGCGATGACACCGTTCAACATGTCGTTCATCGCCGCGTCAGGGTACACACACTGGGGAGCAGCAGAGAGGTAGTACGTCTTGCTAGAGTCACCATCCATAAGCGAGCGGAGCTTGGAGGCGAAGGGCGCGAAGTTCTGGGTGGTCGACTCGAAGTCGAAGTCAAAACCGTCAACGACAGCAGTAAGGAAGGGTCGGTTTTCCTGAGTCGTGTCAGACCCGAACAAGTTCCAGACGTCAGTAGCCGCGCTCTCGGCCTCGTCGGAGCTTGAGAAACCGCCTTCGGTGTAAGTGGCACCTCCGATGGAGAGGAGGATTGTCTTTCCCTGCGATTGGCAAGCCTTGATGTCCTCCTCTAGCTGAGGACATTTTAGTAGCTGAGTACCGTCATATGTCGTGCAGTTGTCTCCAGCATTCGCGAAGTTGGTGGTGGGTGTCTTGATGCCGTTCAAAAAGGCTAGTGGGATGATCTACAGAATACTGGTAAGTTTCTATGGACTTCAAGTTAGGAGTTTGGTTGTCTCACTTCAATCTCGGTGTCTATAACAAATATGTTAGCAAATATACACCATACCGGAGAGTGACGTGATCTTACTGGAGCAGTAATCAACCAAACGGGTCTGAGAGGTCTGTTGGTTGAGCGAGTTTTGTCCTATCATCTTATGTTAGTATGAGTTATACCACAGTGTGTTCTCGCGTGTTGCCTTACCCCAATATACAGCAACATTGCTTGATGAGCTAGCATCGAAACCAGCGAGGACGGAAGGAATAATGCTGGCGATGGACGCCAGAGCCAAAGTGGAAGAAACCATTGTGGATCTAGTGCTCTACCTGAGGCTCTAGTAACTGAGTGAAAGGACTGACTATAGAAAGGATCGACTCGAGGCTCTAGCTACTGGGTTAAGGGAAGGACTGGGTTTGGAATGGATAAACAGTAACTGATGAAGGGATGCTTGAACCCATATATATACCTAAGAGGTATGGAGGAGGTAGGTATGTAGTTCAGGTTCTTCGCCGCCTCCCAACGCGCGGCTTGAGATGGCCGTCCCAACGTTACAGGGCTATAGGAGGTAACCCCTGACTTGCCATGAGATGAACAGCCCAACTCGTGCAACCAAACCCATGACATACCGTCGATGTAGCCTGAGCTCCCTGCTTAGACATCCAGTTACGTCGAAGTAACCCAAAAATAACCCGGAACCATCGCGCGCGCCGGCACCTCGACGGGATTTGTGGGTCGGATCTAAATCATGCCAGGGAGTTCGCCCTATACCCAACGACGACACCGTTCAAGCAGGTGATCCCAGGTACCAGAACCCACGCGCCCAAGTTTTAACCGCACAGTAATAGGGTTAGTGGGCAACAAGATGAGCAGGGGCGTCGATGCGGACCGTTTCTCGGAGGAACTTAGTTTCGGCAGCAAGAGGGGAGTTCATCCTACGCTTGCGGTACCCCAGTCGGAAATTGAGCTTGAACTTGAGCTTCCAAGTTCGGATGGGCGACTTCCAGCCAACTCCGAGCATGCTAACGGCCGCACCGCTCCATCCGCCTCAGACATATTGCGGCTCGGGTTCAAGAGTGTCTTAATGTGTCGGTATCACAATGGAGTTTTGTCTAATTTGTGCCACTTCTAGTTACATCACAAGAGCTGATAAGGGCACAGTTCACTATCATGTTGAGAGACAATTGACTTGCAGCAGGTCCCGTAGTGTGATAGTGCCTGGCATGCACAGCTTCCTGTTTGGGGATAGGTGGGGGGAGCTGGCAAATGAGAGAGCTGGTTTTATAACAAGCCATGCAGGCGATTAAAAGGGGGTTGACAGGGCTCATGCGCGTCATTGCAACCTTGTGTGTCCGTTGACAAGCTTCCCAGTAGCACATTCAGATTCCAAGCAAGCAACTTAAACTTAACAACTCATTTCCGGCTAGACATATCTGGGGAACTCAGGTCAGATGAGACAGGGAATAGGCTCACATTCCATGCAACGATCCCTCATTACAGAGTAGAGCCGTCCATCTGAACACTGGAACTGCACTATCTCGTCCTAGATAACCCCAACAGCTTCCCCAGACCGGGTATATCCTCGCTAGTGATAAAGAAGAAAGGTCGATACCGAACGGAGGCGCTGCAACGTTACGATGACGATATCAATAAGATTACCTACCGACGGTGAAGGACACTGCAACTTTCTCTTTTTATAACAGCCCAGAGTTCCACAAAGATATGAATAATTGAGGCAGATGTGGAGGATTCGATTGCTACAATTTTAGTCAGATGAGCGCGTGGTTGGAACCAGCGATCAGACGAGACATTGCCGATCAATTATCGCCTATCGTGAGGGTGATATCCCGACAACCGGAAATACCACGGATTGTCTCTCAATTCGTCAGAACCGCATTCTTGGAGGTATATCTATCTATAATGTGGTTGGTAACTACCTACGCAGGTAGGCATGTGAGGAGGTAGGGGTGCGCATAGCTACTAGTTCCATCGTTCGTGGGATTCTTTAACTTGTTAATAACTAACCTAGGTTTCCAACACAACGTTTCTTAAAACAAACTGAAGTCTATCTAAACTCGACGTTTGCTCAACTCTGATGAAAATGTTTGTTGAGTATTTCGGTCCGTATGGACCTTTCGTGATTTGGACGTTAAAGTCGCACTTCTTAGGAGTTGACTTCAAGCAATCCAACTGACCCAAAATATGGGACAAAATAGTTACACTTGTTAACTTCCTTTCAGAACTCCGCTGTTCCACACTTTCTCTTCTACGGCTGCACTCTTAAGATTCGGTTTGCGGACTATGCTATAGTTCCACTATACCAACCACCCCGCCTGGAGTAAACAACTCCGGGTCGGAGTTAAGGTACTACCCAGTTAGGTGAATTGAATAACTTGCAAAATAACTTGAAAATCGAAGCTACGCCAAAAATTGACATTAACAAGATAATCCTAGAAAGATTGGAGTTCAGGGAAGCGCCTCAATTCTATTATGATATTGAGGCGACGTACCTAAGCAGACGGTCATCTTTGTGATGTCTACCTAGGTACTGGTAGTGTCTATTAAGATGCTGAATCAATGACTCAATTCGCGACGGACCAATTATCCTAACTCCATACCTCTAACTCCGAGAAATTTTTTCTTTTTAAGGGCCGTTGGGGATGTTGTTATCATGGCACAATTTGAATTGCTCTTTTAAAGTACCTAGGTAGGTGTAGTAGAAGTCTCAGATTCGGAGTTCAACATCATGCCAATTTTCGATGAGACAGCAACAGTTGACCAGGTCGCTCAGGCCTTCGTCCCCCAAATCAAGGGCCGAACATTCGTCATTACGGGGGCCGGCCAACCAAGTGTGAGTCCTTTCCCGCTCCCGCTTTTCCCTTTACCACATTCAGAGTCCTAATCCGTAGTACAGATTGGAAGTCAAATAGCCAAGGCAATAAGTCATGCCTCACCAGAGCATATCCTCATCGCATCGCGAACAGCGTCAAAAGTCGAGCCAGTCCTATCCGCCATCAAAGAAATAGATCCTTCAATTAAAGCGACATTCGTGCAGATAGATCTCTCTGACCATGATTCAGTACGGCGAGCTGCCAAGGAGATACTGGCAGCGACATCATCTAAGATCGACATACTCATTAACAGTGCCGGAAACATGGCTATCAAAGAATACACACTCGATAAACAAGGAATCGAGATTTCGCTTTCCGCCAATCATGTCGGCCACTTTTTATTGGCTAATTTACTGGCCCCAGCCCTCATAGCTGCCGCTGCTAGTAACAAGGAGCACAGCACCCGCATCGTGAACCTCACCAGTAAAGGTTACACCATCTCACCCTTCCGCTTCGACGACTACAATTTCTCCGACGGGAAGACCTACGATTGTTGGACGGGATATGGCCAAGCCAAAACGGCCAATATTCTATTTTCCTACGGCCTAACCAAACATCTTCGAGAGCGAGGCGTGGTCTCTTTCGCTGCTCATCCGGGATCGAATCTCGATACCAAACTTGGATCGCATCTTTCCGTAGAAGACTACAGTGACATACTCCCGATTGCGAAACGTAACACGGGAAGGGATTTTGTCTTCGAGGAACCGAGGTTCAAGTCTTTCGAACAGATTGCTGCAACGCCTCTCATTGCTGCCCTAGATCCCGAGATTACTGCCGAAGCGCCGGCTTATCTAGAAAATAGCCGTATTGACGAGACCTATGAATACGCGCACGACCCTAAGAATGCTGAAAAGTTGTGGAAGTTGAGTGAGAAGCTGGTTGGTGAGGAATTCAACTATTGAGTTAGACATTTCAGCGACATGTCTCTGGGTACCTATGTTTCGTGTAGAATAAACTACCAATATAGCATGGAAGTTAAACAAAGTATCAAATTGCCGGTGATATCTGTCTGCTACACTTCCCTAGTAGGATGTGCGATTCTTCAATGCTTCGCAATTTAGTAACTAACTCTCACCTACCCTCCAAGTTCCAGCATAACACAATGTCAAGCCACATCATCCCAAAAAAAGCAACAAGAATACCTGGTATAGCAATCTCCAACCATGAGTCCAGTCGTTCCACGGGGTCTGAGTGTTGTTCTTTAACTTCTCTCGCGTTTTTCTCCCCTTTTGCACTCGCCATGTCTCACCCAGATACCCGTATCTTAACACTTCAGAAGATACATCCCAACCAGCACATCCGTCTCATTCTGCCGATACTCCAAACACGCATCAGAGCCAGGCGCATCACGCATTGCTACCGTGAAATTCGTATCCACGCCAGGACATTCAAAAGTAACCGGCTGAACACTCATGTCCGGCCTCAATTCAACTGACTCCAAAGACGCTGCGATCCCTGGTAAATTACCATATGTCGTGTGTCCCGGATCAGCTAAGGTTCCGTTTAGAAGTGCGAAGCTAATAAGCCCATTACCCTTCAACTTGTAATCCTGAAATTCTTCTTGGGCGGGAGGCAAGTTGAATAGAACTGCACATTCCTTTCCACCGTCCGAGGCGGAGATGGGGAAGACGAAAACGGCGGATGAGTTCGGTGAGAGTCGTACTAGCATGTCAGGGTTCGGGCCGTAGCTCGTGCTTGGATTATTCTTGTCGACCAAAACGATCTCAGTAGGGGCTTGGGCAACGACTACGTCACAATTGCCGTGTGTTGATGGAGGTCTAGCTGTCGGGCCTGAAGAAGGCGGCCTGGTAATCGTAGTTGGTGACGATTTCGTCACCGTGGTGGTTGTCACGGCTTCGAAAGGGGTAATTGTTAAGCTGGTTGACGACGACGAAGATGAAGATGGTGTTAAGGTTTCGCCCGCGCACAATGGCCGGCAGTTATCAGCACGGATCGTGATCGTAGAACAATTGGCGCCATTAGGTTCCAAGTATAGATTAACCTCGTAGTCGTCGTTCGTGTGGCATTCGTAGAACGTAGACTGGTCTCGGTAGGACACGCCGCCGTAACACCCGATCCCGAATCCGTGATCGGGCCTTTGGTTCCTGTCGCACTGAAGTACCGAAGTAGGAGCTATAAGAAGCGGTATAGAATTAGCAAAATATCAATTCAATAAGATTGGGGTGAGGGACCATACGAGTCCACCAGCAACCTCTACCCTCCTGATCAGCAAAAGCATCCCCAAACCAAGTAAACAGAGATGGTGGCAAGTCACTCCCTGCTCTCGCCTGACCATTCCCTAATTGGCCCACGGGGCCATTGAATCCTCCTGTGACTTCAAGATGGAAGCCACATCCAGCGTTCATCGGTGGAGCAGTGCTTTTCGTTGAGGTGACGGAGGTTAGAAAGGAGAGCATCGTTACTCTGGACAATTGGGACACTATTAATCTTGTGAATGTTTGATATGACCAAGGAGGTTAAGACACGAAGATGCTTCCCAAGACACGACCAAAAAGAGTTGCCTTAGGATTGCTGATGGATTTGAAATGGGCAGACTGGGTATACAGTCGGGAACTGAAGCATATTAATACAATCTTAGAGGAAATGTTCGCTTAAGTTTTCAACTCCTGCAAGAGTCTCGTACTTGCCGATTCTCTTCAGTCTGGATCGTTCCATTTAGGTTCAGAATGGGACAACGATATGTTGTTCATAGGGTAACCACAAGCGAACATCCGCAGTTAAAGTTACAATTGACGTTTTGAATATCTCACCGATTGAGATGAGGCTGAGAATATTCTAGCCATGCACAAGGGGAGTCACGAATTTCACAGTACGGTTACCCGAGGCTGATATGTTGTGCACTTGAAACATCTCGATTGCGCATTTTACATTTAATTCGGATTTCTATGGACGTGAGTATGACTTCTAATGTCATTTGATAACTGATAGACCTACTTGTCGGTTATCTTGCTTCATATTCATTGACTTTATGTGGCCAGCCTCATGAAGAACCATGTGGACTGTAACACAACTGCTTCTTCGAGTGTTGCGGCATCTAGAAGTGTTACCTCTGGCGCATAGTACCCGATTCTGGTTGCAATATGCTCAAATCCAGCATAACACCTGACGGGTAACGGACTTTCGCGAATATCTCCTAGGTTTTTCTTTGAAAACCACTATCGGAATGAGCCGGGGAAAGGCAACGGATTAGAAGTATATCGCCCATCCGTGGGAGGCTAGCGTCCAGAAAAGGACAGCTTGCTTTCATCAACAACACCTTCTATGAACTGGGCTCCCAACTGCCGAAACGTATACACAGATGTGTGGTTCGCCTCGCTGCAGATCGGCTCGTCCGGATTGGAACGACGCGGAGAGGCGTATTAGGACTCAGAGCGGCAGGTTGCCATGTTGGCTATGCCTACAATTCCAAAATAATCCTTCATCCTTCGTCTTCACTGTCGTCACTCGCTCCACTTTCGTCGATATCACTCAGCTCATCTAGGGGTATCATATCATCCTCGTCATCGTCATCATCAACTTCTGCCTCATCGTCCGATGATTCCTCGTTGTTGCTACCGAATCCCTCAAATTCTTCGTCCTCGCTCGCACTTACACCTTCTGGAAGGGATGTAGTTGATGGGGCCGCGGTTGTATCGGGGACGCTTTCCAAATCATCCCTCTTCCGCTTCTTCGGCATCTCTCCGAGTCTGCCCTCGCGACCCTCGATTGTCTTCCCTTCTTCCCCTTCCACAATAGGCGCTGGTGTAAACCAAGGTATCTTGCCTCTCATGAAGTCATTTAAGACCATTTTTGCGACACCATCCACATCTGGCTCACCGGCCTTTAATAAGCGACCACCCTTTCGAGCGAGAAGCTCCAAAAAGTGGATATGATCATTCCATCCCTTTATTTCATAAGTTCGCTCCATATGATGTTGCTTAACCTTTGCTAGCAGTGCTGGGATGTATTGTTCAGGGTTCTCAACCATTTCAACACGAACAACACCGCGAAGCAGGATATCTTGAGGGGTATCATTCTGGTTGGGTGGTACCACACCAGGACAATCGATAAGATAAATTCGCTTCATCAATGTGACATACTGCCACACTTTGGTTTCACCGGGGATGGGAGCTACTTTGGCCACCTTTTTCTTTCGTAGCGTATTTATGATAGAGGATTTTCCTACATTAGGATATCCTATCAATCCGACGGAGATCTGTTTGCGATCCGAGTGTAGTTGGGAGAATTGACGGAGGAGTTGAATTAGAGAACCTTTGCCGAATGGGTTTGTTATACTCGAGTGGAACGCGAGAGTGGGGAAATCCGCGGAAAGCTTGCGAACCCACGCAGCCTTAAGTGAAGTTAGCATCGATTATGGAACTAAGCAACCTGTAGAAAGAATAAATGATGAAAATAGGAATAGGTAAATGGTTAGATGTATGAATCACTACTAAGAAATCTACCACCGGCCACCAAAAACAGGTAGAGATAGATTTCAACTCAAAATGAAACACGGCCCAACTAATGACAGTACTCCAAAACGGAGCTCTGCCAGCTCTCAGTCCGAAAACATAAGAACATCAAGTGTGGAAATTTGATCTCCCAATGCCGTAACGGATTACTTCTCACTGAATTTACGAGCAAGCACCCTGACAAAAATCATTGGGGTTGAAGGAAAAAGGAAGATGATATAAAATATTAGATAAACTTACTGCTACACTTGTGGGAACCAGGTCGGTTTTATTTAGGACAAATATCAGGTGCTTGTGAGGTGCCTCCTCTCTTAGATACTTCTCTACGCTCCGGCATCGAGTACCAAGAGGATCGCGAGCATCAAGAACGTGGATAATAACGTCCGAAGCACTGTAGATCGTTAGCACAAGGTGTTCAATAAAACAAATCGTGATGGGATGACATACTCAAGAACCTTATAAAGCTCATTCCAGATTCTCTTACTTTGACCCTTGTTGAAAATTGGTTCAATGGCCATAGTGAGGGCATCTTCACCCTCAGTTTGACCCTCACCAAGTCCATCGGGATCGACAGCAGCTCCAGAGTTTCCACTCAGTAACCTAGCCTGCTCGAGACGGTCCTTGTATGCATCCATGCTCTTCTCGGTATCCTCAGCCAGGTCCGTCAGACTACTAACATCCAACTTTACCCTCTTGCGCTGAGACTTCGGACCAAACGCATCAGCAAACGGAGCGCTCTCGATGGTCATCTTGGCCTTGTGTTGCTTCAACCCGTTCTTGGTATCCGTGTTATCCCTTATCAAGCTCATGGGTATCTTGTTCGTCTTCAAGAGGACTTGGTACGGATCCTTAGCCTTCTCATCCATGGCCTCGCGGAAAGCCTTGAGGGAATCTTGGGAGATAACACGGGTATTGGTAAACCATTTCCGATTGGGCTCGACGCGAGCAGAGGGTACGTCTCTGGATTGGTACTTGGCGGCTTGGATGATCTTGCCGTCGGCATTTCGTACAGGTTTGCCCTCATCCTTTCGCATGTTCAGGGTCTTGATCTTCTTCGCGGAACGATAAAAGTTCTCACCCTTGATTTTAATATTATCCATTCCGGAACCCGACTTGCCCTGCCGGGCCAGCCGACTCCGTTCCTTCTTACCAGTCCCCATTGCGCCCAAATTCGTGAGCTTGTGAGGGTTTTGGTAGAAGAGGAAATGGATGAGAAGGTTGGTTGAAGGAAGAAAAAAAAAAGAGAAGGGTGGGGATCTCAAATGGGAACTTTTTTTTCATCTGTACTAATAGATCGTTATCGATTAGCATTAGCGTGGATATTTGAACCAGCCGAAGCTTACCCACTGTGATACAGCTATTGGATTGGACCCCGAGCCCGCTAAAGTGGGTCACTAACGAATTTCTTCGTACTCAACTTTTCCCAAATAATTCAACTCAAGACACAAGACCAATGTGTAGTTGGATCTAGACGACTATACTCTTCACGACTTGACGACAAACACGGCAGAGATTAATTGAATCGATTGATCGAAGGGTTTTCCAACACCCACTCATAGTGCCAATCGGCACACCAACAACCACCACCATGCCACCTCTACTCCCCCGACCGACCCTCCTCCCACGAGGCCGACCAGCAACAATACAATCACTATCCAAAGCCCTCTTCTCCTCCACCACCACCACCTCCTCCGCCCCTCAGCGAATCCCCCCTGAATCCCCCCTCTTCATCAACATACCCAACCCGCCACAAGACCAATCCGTCGAAAACTTCCGCGACCTCAAGCGCAACAAGGGCCACCTCCCCCTCCCAAGACAAGTCTTCCGCAAGCGCGACGGCCACCTAAAGTCCAGCGAAACATGGCTCACAAAATCCGCCCCGCAGCCATCCTCCGAAGCCTCCAAACAGCCCCCAAAATCCGAGGTCCAGGCTTGGAAACGCAAAATGGCACATACACGCCGCGACAACATGCGAGAAGGAGTACGCGCCTTATATGCCCGGAAGAAGTTATTCGATAGTAGACGTACCGAGAAGCAGGTAGCGAAATTGGAGTCTCATAGAGCCGCTGCCACGGCGCCGGAGCGTGAGGATGAGAGGTTAACCCGTGCATCGGTTAACGCGGGGACACTCCAAACAAAAGTCCTTCCCGATCCTCTTCGCTTCGAGCGGGCGGAGGCGTCGAAAGAACGCAGTGAATCTATAGCAGCTCGAAAAAGCGAGGCTCGTCGGGACGCTATCCAGGAATTGTACATGAGAGCCCGATCTTTCATTGTCAGCGAGAATGATCTTGAGGCTGAGGTGAACAGACTCTTTGCGCCGGATTACTGGAAGAAGATGGGTATGACGGCTAGTGGATTCGACGTCAACAACATCTGGGACTTGAGCGGTAGACCCCCCACTGTGGCTGATATGCTGAATGAGGTATCGCGTACTTCGAGTACGGTATTGAAGAACCTCGAGTCGGAGAAGACGAAAACCCTTAAGAGGCAGAAGGAAGTTGCTGAAGAACTTACTGGTGGCAAGTTGGATGGAATCTGATATCAATATTAAGTTAGCGATATGAAGACAAAATGCATACGAAAAGCTGAGACGCAAGACTACTACCAGTTCTTCTCATACAGAGAGGGACTAGCATATTAAAGCATTGATGATAGTTATGGCTATCATGTACATATTAGAATCGCAACTTCACGACTTGTACAATGTGTATAAAGGAAAATATCGATCATCTATCACGTTTATTGTACTATGAAATTGTCTGGTTTGTTGATTTAGACGAACATGCCGAACCCTGTAAAACGCCCCAAGTGCCCATACCATTGAGCAATCCAGCTCAAGCGTTACCGAGCAGCTATGCAGGAAAAAATTGGAATGCAATAATGCATTAAATGCCAATTTGGCCAATGCCCGAATGTATGCCGATATAATTCTACAAATATCCCTCAACACATCACACCTATAGTCTTATCGTTTCTCTACCAGCAAGAAATGCATGGCGACATATGCCAACACCACAAAGACCGCGGCGAAGACACCTAAGTTTATAACATCCATCCATTTTGCTGCGTTGTTGAATCCAAACGAGCTCAGAATCGCCGCTCCGGGGACCGTGATATCCAGTCCATATTTGTTATCCACAAGCGTCAACTTAATGACCTCGTTAACGATGAGGGCTTCAAAACCATAATGGAAGATGGACAGAGATTGTAACCAGAGAGCGGCATCGGGGATCGCGTCGTGGTTAAGTAGCAATCCAGCAAACAACAGAGAGAAGAGCATGACTAAGCTTCCAATGAGGTTTGCTACGCCACCATCCTTGCAGACGACGCCAATAAACAGGCAGATTGAAGCAGCAGCCAGGTTGAATAAGACGAGGACAAGCATAAATGTGAAGAAATGCGGTGCATCCGGAATAAGGCCAGTCATAGGATAAATGATGGCTCCCATCAGAATCGGTGGAATAATTCGAAGAGGGATAATGTCGAATAGAACCTTTGCGACGAAGTATGTAATGGGCGAATAATATCCATTTGCTCGTTCTCTGACAAACAGAAGCCGTTCGGAAGCGAAGACATTTAAACTAGTCAATGTGCTGAAACCGAACAGGGCAAGAAGGAAAAAGAACAAGCCGAGTCGGTTTTGGAATCCAGGAATGTCGTCGGTAAGGCCATAGAAGAGATACCCCGAGAGAACAGCGAGGACAATCGCAATAGCGTAGTGAGTCAGCATTAGAAGCGGGTTGCGGTAGAGATTCTTCCACGTTCTTTGCGACAGAATAACGAATTGGCTGAGATAACCGACACGGGCGTAGCCACGACCAATTGCGCTACCGTTAGGGTGTGCGCCGTGAGCCGCATTCCCATTCTGACCATTCGCAATTTGAGCGCTAGTAACTGCCTGTTGAATTTCATCGTGTATATTATCGGCGATACCAGATTCAGCGTAAGCATGGACGAGACCATCAAGATTGGTTGCAGCGGCAGGTGGAAGATCATGGACATCTTCGACAACAACTTGCGGTGGTGTAACACCAGCGGGTTGTTTACGTAACTTGTACGACCCAATATCCTCCTCGACATCGGAAGATGCCGCAGTGTCGATAGTGTTCTTTCGTCTCGTGAATAGTTCCCGCTCCTGTCTAGCTTTAACTGAATCCTTGCGCTTAGCCTTAGGTCGACTAGACGATGGCTCAGTTGAGCTATCTTCAGCAATACTATTGGCCCCAGAAATGCTTGCAACTGATTTAACAGCAGTCGTGCTGCTAGGTCCGACACTAGCTACATCGTTCACAATAGATCCGTCATCGAAAGTACCCGAAGTACCGGCATGCATCGTAAGATCAACAAGATAATCCGCAATGTTGAAGCCGGGCGGACAACTGTATCCAACCTGATCGAAATATTCCTGACATTGCGAAAATGGACCGGAATAAACCGCTTTACCTTGAGCAAGGAGGATTAATCGATCAAACAAAGCGACGATATTGGAACGTGGCTGGTGGATAGTGAAGATAACAGTTCGCTTGTAGGTTTTGGCCAAAGTAACAAGGCATTCGATAACATTGAACGCGTTGTAAGCATCCAGTCCACTAGTCGGTTCGTCGAGGAAAAGGATCGAAGGGCTAGTGACAAGCTCACAAGCAATGCCGACACGTCTCTTTTCACCACCGGAAATACCCCTTCCTTTGCCCTCCTCAGATCCTATAAGGGAATCGCGAATGTGATAAATACCAAGCTGCTTCTCGACTTCGTAGACTCTCTGTTCCTTAGCCGCGCGACCCATTCCACGGGGAAGACGAAGGAGAGCACTGGTGAGAATAGTTTCGTGCACCGTTAGAGTAGGAAGCATGGTGTCTTCTTGATCGACAAAGCCTACCACACTCTTGAATTCGGCATCAGTAACCTTCTCTCCGTTGACGTAGAAGTCTCCGCCAGCATTGCCACGCTTGTTCTTGCGAGCGAGGATATCCAAGAAGCTCGTCTTTCCCGCACCAGATGCGCCGATAATAGCCGTAATCTCGCCGGGGTGAGCAATTCCTTTGATATCGTTCAAAATAACCTTTCCGTTCAGTCCGTAGGAAACGTTCTCAAAATACAAGGTCGCCGGTTTATGATCCGTCATTAACTTGATAGCTTCGTCATCGTTATCATCGAGCGCAATAGGGCCGTATCGGTACTGTCGGCGTGAAAGATACCAGATAATTAGGATAACAGCGACTAGGAACAGGGAACATCCTGCGATTACACCCGCGATCAAGGGCGTGTTGATCTTCTTAATAGGACGCTCGTAACCGGGTACCTGGGTGTGGTAGAGACATTCACCAGAGCGGCAATCCAACTCGATACTCTCGTCGCCGAAGAAGTTACCCACCATCCAATCTAGCGATGGTTCCTTGAATTTGCAGTTATTGATTCCGCCATTCTCCTGCAGGCAACTGAAGGTAGCCGGACCATGAACCTCCTCTTTCAAGAAATCGGTCAAATCGATGGAACCATCCGCTCCGCACAGCATTCGGTCTTTGATACAATTACATTTGACATCAGGGCACTTATAGTAGGTACTGTTTTGGTCGGAGGTGAAGTCGGCAGTAGATTCGCAATTCTCGAGATGGCAGTAGAAGGATTCTTCTCGGTCGATCCAGACTATTTCGCGGGAGTGGTCAATTATTTACTCATTAATGAAATCATAAATGGATTATTTGCTTACACTGGAAATCACAGAATGCTGTATCTTTCTCGCAAGTAAAGGTTGCCTGGGGTATCTTGCCGTTAAGCATAGTAAGGATCTTCTCGTTCGTCACGTCGCACATCTGATGGTTGTTTTGTACGACCTCGCCATTTTGGTAGCAAACACCACCATCGCCAGTTTCCATCAAGGCATTGCAAGCGTTATTTTGGGTGCAGACATTGCAGTTGATTCCGGTCCAGCCTTCATCGCATTTGCATGAATCACCCGATCTTATCGGACGTTCTTTGCCCTTGGCAAGAGAACCGCAAGCTATAGTATCGTCAGCGAATTAAGGATGGTCTCGAGGTATGTCGGGGTAGTAGTACTCGGTTGGAAGCAATCATCTCCTCCGAATCCTGGTGGACACTCGCATTTCCCGTTGTATTCGTTACAGTCGGCATATTGATAACATTCGTAGGCTGGAAGGAGACAGTTAAAACTAGAAATAGGAGGATTTATTAGCTTCCGAATTATATCATGTTTGATAGGGACGGTTGGAATCGGCATACCATGGTGGACAATCACTTGGCCGACCATCTAAAAGAGCTAGTTGCGCCCGCATCATATCGATTTGGGTGTAGTTCTTTTGACCCGCGACGAGACATGACAGCGATAGTACGCCTAAGGCAACATGCCTAAGGCTCGTCGACGACGACAACATGATGAAGGTTGCCCAATCAGGCAAGAATTATCGATGTTGATAGGTGGCGTCAAGTGTCAAGATTGATGTTGATAAAGTGAAGAAGGGAAAAGGGAAGGATGTTGACGATAGGCTGCGATATCCACATCTACATCCGACGCTGCAAGGCCCCACGAGGCACAACAAGCTCCAATGTAGCCAATGTAGCGGACAGGCACGTTAGGTTGCAGGTCCCCGAGGCCAGATGCTCACTCGGTTGGCCAGCTGACTGGGCTACCCCTACACCACTACCAGCACTACCAACCTCTCTTTACTAGCTTCTGCGCTTTCTGCTTGGATAGGATAGTCTCTTTAAGTGACGCACGCTTACGATGGCTTTAGTTGTAGCCGTGCGAAATGATGTCAGCGCCTTAATTTTTAATATCGATGGGTCACAAGGAGAATAAAATGAACGATAAGTAGGAAAGAAATATGAATAGTACAGAAAATTGAAAGAGAAGGAGGGGAAGCTATAGTAATGTTACTGACTGACAGGTTGGAAGATGAACTTCTTAATTCGAACAAGTCTAGTTGAGAGAGAGAGAGAGATAAAGACCGCGCGAGAGATGGAACCGAGCTCGGGAAATTAGTTAGCAAAGAGGTAACCTGTCTAGCTGTAATGTACCTAGCTGTACCTAAGCCAAAGCCAAAGCTCACCTGCGCACCTGCAGCTTGGAGGTGGATCTACAGATTGTGGTAGCAGTGTGGCACGGTCGGTCGCCCGACGGTCCCGCCCTAAGACACTGCAGGAGCTGCCCGAAGTAGTAAGCACAGCCACTAAAACTTCCCCAACTTCAGGGCTTTTATCGTCCAAACAGATAAGATTGGCGAGAACATTCAACAATATCAAAGCCAACTCATATGTACCTCTTTCTAACCAATGAATCTGACCATCAAAGTCTCAAATGTAAACTCTATAACATTAAGCCGTTTTGGCTATAAGTACCCCGATGGACGTTATCTAAAAAGCTAAGCAGACTTGGCGGCAACACGTTAAGCTAGGTCCGCCGCATTGGTCAAGCTTCATGATCAAAGCATCAGGTAGGTCAAGTCACTATGACTTTAGGAAAATCGATTAATTAAGCAATATTACAATAAATCTCTGCAAAATCATCAGTTAATTCAAGGTGAACTATCAACAAAAATACCACGCATATTCCCTTTAAGAAATATTGGTCATATTCTCCAGCCGAATTAATATCGTAGCGAAACGGCGATATCTCAGAGTCATCTATTAATAGGGTGACCAATAGGGGAAAGCTATAGGTTACTAATAAGCTTTTTTAACAATATACACTGATTTTCACCCCACGTTCCATTCATATCGTCATATTTATTATCAGTATCAAAATCAACTATCTAAGACAACCGACCAAACATAAACGGGGAAGAGGCTGGAAATATTGGTACAATGGACACCCACTGCGTTACTATAATACATGATACCAACAAGGTAGTATACAGAACCGGCGCCGCTCCTAGCTGTCTCCGCACTGAGTGGTAAGGAACTTCCGAATCGCGGGCGCCTTGGAGAGTCCCACTCCGCGCCCTTCGCGCCCTGCCTATGCGGGGCAGGCTAGATGGAACTTCGAGATATTAGAGAGCTAGCAATTATATATATCATGTCTGGTCAAATTCTACATTGACTTCATTCTCGTCCCTAGACTAGCATATCTATTGCGAGTTTTTGAACTAGGACAGAATCCAACAATACCCCATTACAAGTTGCATCTCAGATATCATTGGGTCAAGATGGTACAACTCCCAGCGTTCGAAGTCGAGAGGTGGATGGACACGCATGAGAATACACCGGGTGTTCTTAACATAGCTGAGACATGCTGCTCTTCCGTTTCAATTAACCAACTGGTGCAATTTGACACCAGTAAACAACAGGATGGGCGCTCGGTCGTTGACCCGTCTGCTAGGTTGGGGTATGGGACTATTCGGGGGAGCGAAGAACTTCGTCGGAACCTAGCGACTATGTACAACGAGGACCAAAATGCGACAAGGAACAACAGTGTTCCTCCGGTAACTTCTAACGATATCATTATCCAACAGGGAGCCATCGCAGCGAACCGAGATGTCTTCTACAGTCTTGTAGGGCCAGGAGACCACGTGGTTTGCGTCTTCCCAACCTACCAGCAGCTCTACTCCATTCCTAAGTCGTTAGGTGCTGAAGTTTCGCTGTGGGAGCTTAAGCAGAGCGAGGGCTATGTACCTAATGTCGGGGACCTCGAGGCTTTAATTAAGGACAACACAAAGGTATGCAGCCACCCCCTCTCCCTAAGAGGGCCAAGGCCGCCACCGCATCATCTTAGCTAACTCACCGTTTCAGATGGTTGTTATCAATAATCCTAATAATCCGACAGGAGCAACGATACCCGTAGAAGTTCTAGAGAAGATAGTTAGTGTTGCTAAAAAGAACGACATCATCCTATTCTCAGATGAAGTTTATCAACCCCTCTTCCACGGTGTCGAGCAGGACAGTATCCCACCATCAATCCTCGCACTGAACTATCCCAAGACTGTGGTGACTGGTTCCATGTCCAAAGCCTGGGCCTTGGCAGGTTTACGGCTTGGATGGGCTGCGTCACGAGATGCATCCATCATCGACGCCATCGCATCCGCCCGTGACTACACCACCATCAGCGTATCTGGGCTTGACGACCAAGTAGCGCGGTACGCGCTAAGCGCCTCCGTGCGGCCACAGCTCTTAGCACGGAACATTTCCTTGGCTAAGAAGAATCTGGATTTGCTGGCGCGGTTTGTGGAGGACCACCCGACGGTATGTACTTGGGTCAGACCTAATGCAGGAACCACGGCTTTCCTAGGATTTAAAGATAAGAATGGGGCGCCGGTTGACGACGAGGCGTTTTGTAAGGACGTTCTAAGCAAGACTAAGGTCTTTTTCGTACCGGGCTCGCGCTGTTTCGGGAACGGCGAAACGTCTTCCTTCAATGGATTTGTCCGTATTGGATACGTTTGCGAGACAGAAGTACTCCGGCAGGCATTGGAGGAACTAAGTGGATATATAGCCGACCATCTCGTATGAAAGACGATATATACCTACCTCGGGCAGGCGATTCGAGAGCAGATTTGAAATCAATGCTAGTTAGTGTGCGATTTACTACCTAGGTAGGTGCATCAGTAGTATTGTTTAAGTGCCGTATTTGTGCTACCTTCGCCCTCGGCCACCGGAATGGAACGTAGAGAAGCCCCAATAGCACCTAGTACCTGGTACCCAGAGAGATGGTGGGGGAGCTGTCTATCTGCACTGCAACTATATCGATGTAATTTAATAAAATCGATGCTGTACCGATAGATTGGCATTCTAGAGTTAAGCGCGTGTATGAGTTATATCGTCAAGATGTTATATCATACGTGGAAGTAGTTATTTTGTCCATCGGTTGAGTACGGCATATAACTCATAGGAGGAAAAAGAGGTACTGTTAGGTCCGAAGAGACTAGAACTTGGAGTTATCAAATAGGATTAGGCTGTGAAATGAAATCTGGCAGTAATACAGATGTCGAATAACAAATGTAACGATACGGTAGTATTATTGAGATCACAAGTTTTTGGATTGCTGCGCCCACCGTAACGTCAGAGTTGATTACCGGAGTCTTAGTTGTTGCTGACTGTAATTTGCATATTTAAAAGGATGGGAATCTGGGGTAACTCTGCTTTGTCAAAGATGATAAAACCAATGACATATTGAGTTAATCTTGACCATATTTCGTTTCGCGCATTGTTTACATTTCGAATGACCTTCCTGTACAACACTAGAACAGTAGGGGGGGTTGGTAAGATCTGGTCTTCGCATAAGAATTACGAGAAGACTTGTAAGCCATTGATCAGCAATTGAAACCACTCTATTAGCCCCAATTTGGACGAACTAAAGGGCAGAGTTTACCAAAATTGGGGATTGGTCCACTAATATTCGGTTGGAGCCGCAGCCCGGAACCTTAAGAGGTAAACCGTTACACCTGGAAATACTGAATTCCGTACCTAACACATGGAGATTATAGGTACATGATATCAGTAATCAGCCCAATGTACCTTATAAGTGTTGCATATGTAGGTCTATTATGTCAGGCATAGGAGGTACCTATATGAAAATACCCCTAATACAGAACATACGCCCATCTAAGTAGTACCTACCTAGGTACAAAACAAAAGTAAGTCGAAGGGATAACTTACATGTAACTCATGTCTCTCCGAATTATCAAATTGTAAACATCGTAACTATAACCAGCCATCATAATTTATTGAAACGCCGTTACATTCATGTCAATGGCACATTGCCAATAAACATCAAACATGAGGGGGGTGAGTACCTTTATGGCAGAGTACCTATGCACCGGCTATCAGTTTGAAATGCATCGCGGCTACTACGCTGCAGGTTTAAGGCAAGTTGAGCTGCCGGAGGGGTGGGGACCTAATACCTAATGTAGCATGGCAACATTTGCTAAGACAGCTAGACATGGGAGAAAGAATCCAAACGGAACCAGGAATAGAGGCCGAGACCGAATTTCAAACCGATCGATCGTCTTAGTCGTGACATATATGTGGTTATGTCTTAATAATATCGCGGAGAGAGTGAAGTAAGCAACAACAAAGCATGATAATCCCCACATCTTCCTCGACGGTGTTTGCTAGCGGCTAGAATACATCATCATGTAACCACACGTTCAAGTATAAAGGCCAACAAGATGCCACCGTTGATGGTTATTTTTCTACTGCTCTACAATCAGAACACATCAGAAACAGCACTTAAGGCTATTTCCCTAACATTGAGGTCTTAATATTCGTTTATACTTATAGCAAAGCAACTTGATACCCTTGATTTCTTCATCATTCACAATGGCTCCCAAGATCGCCATCGTTTTCGTAAGTCTTTCCCCTCCTTCCCATACAACACACAAATTCGCTATGGACGAGGGAAAGGGCAAATGGTTTCTTTTTCCTCATGCCCCTCAACACCGAGACATGCAGGAAACTCGCAGCGACTTATGCCGAGCTCGGCAGGACCATGACTAAGTCCACAGAGCCAATTTCCACCAAACTCGAGTCGTGCATTCTCATCTGAATTCTGAACCACTAACATGGCTTATTTTCCAGTACTCTATGTACGGCCACATCCGCAAGCTCGCGGAGGCCGAAAAGGCCGGCATTGAGAAAGCCGGTGGTACAGCCGATCTCTTCCAGTAAGAAACGTCACAATTCCCCATCACTATGCATTTTCTCTAACAATGGAAATTAGAATCCCCGAGACCCTCCCCAAAGAGGTCTTAGATAAGATGTACGCTCCGGGTCCGGCAGCTGACATCCCGGTCCTGGAGGACCCAGCTACGCTCGAGTCATACGACGGCTTCTTGCTCGGTATCCCGACTCGATACGGCAACTTCCCCGCCCAATGGCGAGTATTCTGGGACAAGACCGGCAAGCAATGGCAGAATGGTTCCTACTACGGCAAGGTCGCCGGTCTCTTCCTCTCCACAGCCTCTCTGGGCGGTGGTCAGGAGTCGACCGCTTTAGCCGCTATGTCGACTTTTGCGCACCACGGTATTATCTACGTGCCCTTCGGATACGCCAAGGCTTTCGGCACCCTCACAGATCTATCCGAAGTCCACGGTGGTGGCCCTTGGGGCGCGGGTACTTTCGCTGCCGGAGATGGTAGCAGACAACCTAGCGAGAAGGAAATTCTCATCGCCGAGACTCAGGGAACCGAGTTCTACAAGACCGTTGCTAAGTTCGCTTCCGGCTCGGCGTGACTGCATGGCGGCAAGGAGGGCGATTCTAAGACTCGGGTTAAAAACACTACATCTGACGCGGCTTTGACACAGAAGGAAAAGAAAAAGTCGGAGGGCCCTTGCGGATTACCCACAAAATGCGTGATATTATAAACAGTTCTCAAGTATAATTTAGAAAATCAATACAATTTTACCTATTTCAATTATTTACCTAGGTACCCTTCCGAAATTTGATTACTTCATTAATATGAAGCCGACTTCGAATTAGGTATAACGAATCGATGTCGCGGAGTTGGTGTGGAAGTCCGGTAGAGTCCGAGATATGCACGTCCATATTTCCTGTTGATAATGTTTAATTCTTGCTTGATTTTGGTGTCATAACTCTTCATATACATCGTTTCGTATATACTCCTTCGTTTTATATACCTTTCATTCCTCCTATCACCAATCCTAACTCCCCAACTCTCCCTTCAACCTTCTACTTAATCCCTTTCCTAGCCTTCCACCTCAAATTCAACCACTCCGTAACAACATACCCCAGTCCCCCAACAACCAACGTAGCACCACTAAACGCAATCAAACCCTTCCATCTAGCATCGTCATCCACATCCCTCAAAATCGCACCCGCAATAGGCGTACCAACTAAAACCGCACTCCCAATAAACGCAAACGTCATCCCCATCCTCGTCCCCAATCTCGCTAGATCAGGCGTCAAACTCACAATCGCGCTCGGCGGGAGACTCGTCACGCCGCCATTACAAAAGCCGAAGAGAAGAACAAATACAATCGTGCCTCCTAGATTCTTAACCCCGAACCATGCGAACGCAAGGACACCCGCGCCGATCGTAGTAGCAGCCAGCATATTCATCGAGCCCAAATAATCCGCCGCAAAATTCGGCAACAGTCGTCCAAACACACTCCCCGCATTCAGGAGAGTCACGAGATACGCGCTAAGATCATCGGGTACGATGCGGTAGTGTAAAGCATATAGTTGGATATAGAAAAACGGCACGTAGAGCCCTAGGAACGCGAACAGACCCGAGATAGCGTAGCTGAGGAAGGGGGGTTCACGCAAGGCTGCGGTGTCGATGAATGCGCGTTTATGGCTTGGTGGGGGTGCGCGGGGACGTAGGAAGATTAGGGGTACGGCGGCGAGGGCGAGGAGGATGAAGGCTATTACCCGGGTCGCCCAGCCGAAGCCTATGCGTGGCTCTAGACGGCTGAATATGATGGGGAAGATGATACCACCTAGCGGTGAGCCAGTACTCTGAATCCCTAGAGCTAGAGCACGACGACGCGCGAAGTACTGGCTTAGAATGGCTGCAGATGGTAGGAACGTGAGACCGCAACCTATTCCCACGCAAATACCTTGCGCTAGGAGGACTTGCCAATATGTTGAACACAGGGAGGTCATGAACAGCCCGAAAAGGATGAAGAACAGGCCCGATATGGTGAGCGAAAGGAAGTAGCCGGCGTCGAACAGCGGCCCAGATGCCAGACCGCCGATCATCAAGAGAGCACCTTGCAGCGAACCAATCCAGCTAATATCTGAGGATGTACTAGACTTGAGCAAGTCGGTTTCGTAAAACGTCTGATATACACCAAACGAGTTTATAAGTCCCCATGTCGCCAACATGATGACCCAGGCGCCGAGAACCTGAAGCCATGCTTCTAGACCACCACTGCGGAAGAGTTAGTATTTTCAGATGGATTGAGTCCATGGGTAATTGGGAATGACGGATTCTCTAAGTCTTATTACAACGAACCGAGTCGTCGCCTTAATTAGGAGGCCGGTTAGTTTTCCAGTCCTAGCCTCCGGGCACCCCTAAATAAAGACGGTAGGAAAGGCGATACAATAAAATTGGTATATACATACTCGGGAACCTCAAAGGGCTTCGGCCTCGGCCTCGGCACCGGCGCCGGGGTTGTTGTCGCTTCGGATGCTTGAACATCCTCCGTACGGTCAATAAAAGAATCAAAGATTTGTGTACTTTGATTACTCTCAAATTCCTTCTCTTTCTCCATGATGTTTAGAGCTATCCTTGGTCCTATTGTATCCAGACGACTTGATAATTCCTCGATTTTTAATACTCCAACTTTTGTGATTATAGACCTCTCAGTTGATATTTAAAACACTGCTACTGCTTTCGTATCATATCGTGATAGCGTCAAATGGTTATTTCTCGTAAATAGCTGGGAATCAGTTAACAATGCCCTCCGCTTTTCAATGTCCAAAATACGAAGTCGAGAAAAGGTTTTTATTATGGAGGTAGTGTAAGTAATGGGCAGGGTCTGAATTAATAATTCTCCATTACTACCTCATCCACACCATATCGGCGGTAATGGTGCAAGACGGGACATGGGTGCCGCAATTGATTAAAGATCGGTAGCAATTAATCATCAATCTGCCTTAGGTAGGTCGACGAGGTGGAGATAGGAAGTGGAGGTAGAATGTTCGGTAGTATAACCCGAAAAGTCGGTAACATATTGGGCAGGCCGAGGGCAAGCCGATATGCTGCGGTTATACAACATGGGACCTACCTAGATGGTATTTCGAAGCTACCATATGCTCAAAAGATGGCGCTACGATGTAAACTATCTCATAACGGTTAGTTTCGCTAAACAGACCATTTACGATGCATACTTGATCTTACCTTTTACTAATCCTATCTTTCTTACTATAGCTTGACCGTATTGGTAATCATACTAATTCGCCCTTTCGTAAATTCCGAGATAGGTCGGCGTTTGTTCCTGTCATCGACTGACGATCTTCTGTTAAAGGGCGTAGTTTACAAGCGAAGAACGGTCTTGAAGGTTACATCCATCAGGATCTGAACCACTAACTCACCCTTGTCTGGATACACTTAGATCTGAGCTTCCGAGTAGGGGACCATGGAGCGAGCCGATGATATGATTGCTCAAATGCATGTAAATGGTATATATATATCGTAGCAATGTCCTAGATAGATTGTATTTTGAAGCTCTTCGAATCTCCTCCCAGTTTTCTTCAATTCCAAAATGAATAAGTGACCCCGAGCGCCTTGCAATTATTTATACAAAATATCACTCAATTACATTGCTGGATATATTTCCTCCCTTCATCTCGGACGACTTTAGCTCGTCTTGTGCTAAAGTCCGATATTGCTAAAACCATTTAGCTATTTGGGTGTCAAAAATTAAGAATTTGGCCATAATTCATACAGTCGTATGTCATCTCATGAGTAAGTGACTTGGGATAGGTGACAGGACCAACCACGGGTGGAATCACGATATTGGAATGTCGAGTAAGGTGTGTTCTGTTGAAGCCATAGCCAGGTGCATTTTGGAAACCCTCCCGAAGAAGCCTAGAAGGCAGATTGGACGACTGATTAAGGATGGGAGTCGGTCGGATGTGCAGTCGAAGGTTCAATGACAATCTGTGGCAGTCTCGAAATTCGTAGGCTGGGCAGTTGAGGAGCTCCACCCACTCCTCTCGAGGACCTTGGTGTTGGGGGTTCCTCGCGCGAATTATTTGTAGTCGAGAGGTCTCCACCCTCTGTCATCCTGTTTACCATACCTCCGACTTGTGCGCTTAACCTTCGTTCACGTCCGTCTGTAGGGTCTGTGTAGACCGGTGGGGGTTCATTAAATAGAGGTGTGCCAGCCCCCGATCTGGCATCATCCAAACTAACATCCTCATAGTCTGGTGGTGGCATTTCGGAATCGCCTAAATCTGCTTCGCCAATAATTTCCGGGCTTGACCCGGCGCGAGTGTGATTGCTACCCTGTCGTGGCGTTGATGCTCCTGACATTATCGCTGGGGAGGGGAAATCGCTGTCGATACTCATTACGGAGCTGGCGCTTCTATCTCGACGATGCGATTGAGCAGAAGGCGATCGTGTCGATAGGGCAATGCTAGCCGCATCTGATAACAACCCTACGTTCTCACTTCCATGACTACCCGCACGGACCCGCGTACCATTGAGCTGTGCCACGCCGAGCTCATGGTAACTCACGCTGGAGACCGCACGTTCCCGCCGTTCTTTAATTTGCCCGTACGCGTCGCGCAAGTCATCCACAGCGTTATTATCTCGTGCGGCCCGCCTCTGTGCTGCTAACTCATTCAATGCTACAAAATCCCCGCGATCTCTTGCTTCTCGGGTTAAACGACGCCGTTCTTCACGTTCGTCTCGCTGCTGTCGTCTCGCTAATCGGATTTGGAATAATGCTTCCATCTCTTCATCTCGCATATTTTCTAGATCCTCAGCAGTAGGCAATTCTACAACAACATCGACTCCACCGCGTTCCCCTTCGCGACCGATAACTTGTTCGGTTTCGTTCGCTTTAGTTCGGTACGCAGGTAAAGTTATGACGGATCGAACCGACGTATTTCTATCCACCTGTGAAGCTGTGCTATTTCGATTCGCATCCGAGGTCGAATTTAATGAACCAGATGCTCCATCTCGCCTCCTACTCCCCGGGGTAGACGCTTCGATAGTTTCGGAGTTAGACGTTTGCTTGTATTTGCCTCGTTTCGCATTTCCTTGTCTAGATCTCATCCTATACCGTGTAAAGCAGAAGCCTACAATGACGAGCACAAACAGAGCGGCGATGATACCGACAACCTGTTATTAAGTAAAGAAAATGTTGGTTAGAAAATGTGCCTAAAGTGCATAGGATTGGAGTGGGTTTATTTACAATGTAGGCTGTGTTTGGAGGCATATCGTCTTTCCTGGGGACCAACTTGCCGCAGGTGAGACAAGTGTCCCGGGCGCCGGGCTGAAGAGGCACTGGAATGCGATGTGGGAGTAACATGATGAATTATGAACGAGTGACTGAATGATGGTAATTGAAGATGCGGCCAGAGACGGCAAACCGATCTTAGAAGTTTGGAGCCGGGAAGCCCGATACTATCTTAGAATAGGCACCGTACGCATAGTAACTACGGCGGGCCGGGAAAACAAAACAAAACAACAATGCGTCCGTGAGCTCTAGTAATAATAACTAGAGGTAACCGGTTTATTCGGGAGTTCGAGCAAGGGCGGAGACAGTGATAAAAAAAGTCAACGGCAACGGGCGCGAGCTAGGGATGATGTGCTCGTTGTGTAGGAAAGCCGTGGGTTCCGTTAGTTTAGTTTAATAGCCCTGTGTCTAGCGAAATGAGAGAATGACGTCCGTTAGACCGCAGACAACTCAAGTTTATAAAGCGGTCTGTGTTAGTGAGTAGAGATTTGACAATTCGAGATCCGACAGGATGGATAAAGCTGTCAGTGGACCTCGTGACTAGTATGCGCCTTGAGCTTGGTGTGTTGGTAGTAAGTGGGTATATATAGCATGCAAGGAAAAAAGAGAGAATGTGTGTGGTAGTCGAAGTTGTTGGATGTGGGAAATGATAAATATTAGATCGGGTTAAGAGTGAGTAGTGAAAGCAAGGCTCTTGAGAGCGATACTTGTATATATTAAGTCTAGATGGCGACGATGAGAGGTTAAAAAAGGTGAAGGTGAAAGTGAAAGAAGAAGAGACGGGAAGATCGCGGGCGCAGGTGAAAGAAGAAGCGGAGTGGGGGGTTAAAACTGAAAGTACCAAGAAAGTTACAATAAGTCGAGAGCCGGCAGGTGGTGCTGTAACATTTGAACATAAACTGGCGCTGGAGACTGCGCTGCCGCTGCGGTAGGCACGATCGGTAAGAACTACGCTACATGTAAGTACTTGATGTACTTGACGTACTAGTATGCAAGCATTGTAAGTCCTAGGCAGGCACAGGTTAAGGTCAGGTAGGCAAGGGTATGATTATTGACGGGAAGCCTTAACCTTTTCGTTCATTCGTCCTTCCGTCCTTTTCATTTGAGAGCTAGTCATTAGGGGAAAAAATAGTCAGATTTTAAAGCTAGAGAGGGTACGTATAGTTCTAACCTAATCGACATGTCACTTATACATGTACTCCTAGCTTTAATTCAGTTTCTTCTTCTTGCTTGTTGTTTTTTAATTTCAATTTCATCACCATATTCTTACATTTAGGTATTGTGGATAATATTCTCTATTCTCGTTTCGAATTTACTAGTTCGATGATAGAAATCTACGGACCTCTACGTAATCGTGATGAGATCGGCAAAAAAACGTGGATTGCAAATCTGTACGTATTATACCAGGATAGGTAAGAAAATCCGTCGTGTTGTCCTGGGCTGGCCAGGCTTGGTCCTTTTTTCATCCTTCTAACTCTTCAACCGGGTTCTCCAGTCCGCAATTCATTATATCCCTTCACAATTCTCAATTCAATCGAAAAGAATTACGAAGGATAGTGGAATAGACAATTGGAATACCTACGATAAAGTCCCTGCATAAGAATTGAGACCCGTTAGTGACGATGCTACCTAAATAATAATAAGCTGACATATTAAACTAAGGCTAGAAAAAGTCCAGTAGACCAGTCCTTGAAACGAGAAACATGAAAACCCTCGAGTTTTTATTGGATTATTCATCCCGTTCGTTTATGCAGGCTGCCTCAACCTTAGTCCAGTCTTGAAGTCCTTCACCTACATTCAAAAATACAGACGTAAAAGAAACTTAACTCTTACATCTCCCCCGGAAGTCAAATCGAATATTCTCTTGGTTTTTCTTGGCTGTAAGTAACTTACTATGCGGTCTCCCGGTCATGCGAATACCAAGTCACGCCAATATTGACAACAAGACATCAAAACATCATTCATTTCCGTGTTAAAACGCACCAGTCGTGGCTGAGATTCCATCACATACGAACTGCGCCTTGTTGGTTTGGCCCCCATGTCCTTTTGCGTATCCCGTCCCCGGTCGGGGTCTTGTCTTAGGGCTGCCGGGTCCCTGGGAATTTGTTCTCACTTTTCCCTGTGCTCTCTGTGCTAAGGTAACATCGCGTGAGCGCCATGTCCCCCTACCGATATCGCCCTTGGTTCTCTATGGACTCGAATTTTGGCAGAAGCGCCTACATACATGAATTACTATGTAGGTCGGCAGCACACTATTTCGGTAGATATTATGATGAAGCAACCTTTACATCTCAATAGAAACTCCCTTATCAACAAAGAAAAACCGGCGGAACCGAGAAAGGTCGTATTTCTCTAGCAGCCGCTTACCTACTTACCGACCTACCTATGAGACATGCAGACTTTTTAGTGTCCTCTTCGATCACCACGCATGGCATATCAGACATGTCTTTGATCTTGCTTATTTTTCCAGCCAGTGGACCCAGTGAATTATATTAGCCCCGTACGTTTTGAGCTGAATAGTGAAACATACATTAGGCATCAGGCACGGCGCATTTTCACTTGTCAATCGGCAGATGCCGTCCAAAGATACGATATTCTAGCGGTATTTGAGCCTGTAAGGTCCCACCTATGAATTGCACAATTTCTTGTGAAGCATCAACGGATCAAGCACCCGTCGGGCTGTTGGGCTACGTTACCTAGATATGTCCTAGGCAATTGTATCGCTAGGATTGTCGGCCCAGCCCTTTCGATAGCCGGGGCTGTCCGGGCTGCCGGGGTAAGCTTTAGTGGACTTGTCGCATGTTGTCCGCGTGTCAGCAATACCCATATTCCATTTATCGTACACCTAGCCACATGAGTAAAATACAAATACCTGAAGCTAATAGCCACATGAGGACCAACAAGCGATTAACCGTTGAGATAACTGGTGCTGGGTTGAGCCACTTCCTTTCATTGCCTAGACAGCACTAAGGTAGTATTCCTTGATCGCATTGACGTCATAATTCGTACAGATTTGAAATTTGTATATTGAAAAACATGGAATTGGTAAATCTGGTATCCTAAAAGATTTGAAAAATGACCGACGCCATCCAAAATACGTAAGCACATCCGGAGTAAATAAATCAAATGATCAACCAAATCTTTTCTCAAATTTCTTAAGCATCCCCGTAACGCCCTTTTCGAGTCGTTCCGCGTTTTGACCCAACCTGCTCTGACTCTCCACTTTCGGCTTATACACGCCGTATTTGGCAGCATGTTCCTGTTCCGTCGGCCGATATAGCTGTTGATGGACACCGTAGTCCGTGCTTCCTGGTCCTTGCTGCGGCGCATTGCTATAGCTGTAGTGTGCATAACCTCCTGGCGGTGGTGGGGGCAACCCAGGGCTTTGAACAGGAGGTGGAGTGGATTGATGTTGCGTATTATGCGACGGAGGAGGCGCGAATCCTGGCGATCCGGGGAAATTACTACCATACGGACTTACAAGACCAGGCGACGCCAATCCGGAAACGGGTACTGTCGAAGAACGTTGTAAATGTCCAAATTGCGATGGTGGAAAAACCGGGCTTGTAATGCCGGGAGTTGGTAGGCCCGGACTAACTAAGCCGGGGTTCCCAATACCGGGACTAGCAAGACCTGGACTGACGAGACCCGAATGCGCTTGTGGTGGAGGACCGGGAAGACCAACACTTCCCGGGGGCGCCGAGAAGGCTGCTGCACCATACCCAGGGGTATACGGCGGGGCTGAATCGCGAACGACCGCCGCGGCAAGAGGATTATCCCCGTCATCCTCAGGTGGGGGAGGGGTCTTCTCCCGATGTATTCTCTGTTCAGCTGCAGCTGGTGCAGCTGGATTGTACGCCATCGGCGCGAAGCTTTGAGGTGAGCTTGTCTTACTGTCGTCTGTCGCAGAGGTTGGAGGAGGCGCGAACGTAGGTATGCTTTGAGCTATAGGTTTGGGACTTGAATACTTCGGGTCTGAGATGGCAACATTTTCTAATTTCTGGACTAGAGGATTTGTGTCTTGTGACTGACCGTACGGGTGAGGTGGGGGACCTGGCTCATCTGCTACCTCAACTTGCGAAGGGGGAAGCACCCGTCGTACACCATTGACGAACTGTAGGGCATCGGTGTGAGTCCAGAAGTAAATATCGAGTGAATGAAGTTTGTAGTGGTATTTATTCTCATTTCGCGGGTCGTAGGTTGGTAAATGCCATTGGCTCTGGTCTATAGGTGCACCAGGTACCCCTTCGACTAAGAGATTCACAAGACATTGTTGCTTGTAAGAGTATCGAACTCGCGTCCTATCTAGAACTATATCACAGTGTTAGGTTTAATGATAATAGATTAAACGACTAATGTGGCTTGTTCTTACACCCATCGAAGGCATCCTGGTCATCTGTGCCCGGCTGATTCGCAATTTCAACACGCGCTCTTCGGTCATTCGCATTTTCGAATAGGTATATGTAAGAACCTTTATCAAAGCGATGATGCGGTGGATTCGCCTCGGGTGGACCATAGAAATAGTGAACATCCCCAAAGCTATTATAGAAAGTAGACTGAGGTTAGCGATCACGAAGCTCTGAGCCCTCAACCGCTTCTTCGCTGCTTGGGCACTCACAGGGTCGCAACGTTCTCCTCACCAGGCCGAACCGCCATCTTGATCGCTACACGAGCTGAGAAGTAGGATCACGCGGCCAAAATAAGAGAACAGAAGTAATATAATCTAAATAAACATTTAAGTAGCGATCAAGACCAGCTTTAATGCAGCTACCTGTTCATAAGTATCACAAATGTAATGGTTTGAAAAAGAGCTTCAGGTCGCTCAAGGCGAAGAAGAATGAATTGGGGAAATAAAAATCATCAGCAGCTACGAGCTCTAGAAAATCAACAGCAACTCGGCAAAAACTACTCCGCCCCTAAACGAAAGCGCTCTTTCTAATTAAAAAAAAAAAAGTACCTTACCTAGCACTTTCCTACCTTGCGGATGGTACCACCAATATGACGCCTGCAAGAGGAGGGGGAGACGGCAACGGGCTGCAGTAGAAAGAGCTGCCCGGCGCTTAACCGCCCACTCTCGTGCGCTGAAGCTGCGATGGCGGGGTATTTCTGATAACCAATTAGATGCTGTAAATCATAAACCCGAGAACATGGCTCATGCCATCCTAGGTCCTTAGCCTATCGATAAGGATCACTATCGGACCTTGTAATTTTCCGTTGAATTTTCAATTTAGAGATTCAATAGGGACCCACTCTCTTTTCTCTTTTACATTGAGTGGTGGTGATAGCTTCACACGATCATTCATTAAACACTAAACGGACTACGGATTGACTGCTTACGGATTAAGCCTTGCAAGATCCGGTATTACTATCCTGACAAACTGCCCTATACACGGTCGAAGTATTCCTAGACAGCGCAACCGGACTTTCTCCCACTACCGGAGAGCCGATTCCATACCTCTCACCCTCTCTAAACCCAAACCCACCGATTAATTCGCCCGACAGGGCACCACCGCCAAAAATGGGCATCGCCAACGTAATAAACATGTGTTCGCACCTCCAAAACGCCTCCCGCGCACGGCTAGGCCTAACCTCGGTCCCGCACACGAAATACAACCTCTCCGTCGCCCTAGCCCTACACCGAGCCGGTTTCCTCTCCTTCGTCACCCGCGGCGGTCCCTACCCGCCCGACCCCGCCACGATATCAACATTCGAGCCCGAACCCCTGACCACGGCCAATGTAGCGAAGCAGAGACTGTGGGTGGGGTTAAAGTATAACGCGAATAACGGTGGAGAACCCGTGTTGAGGAAAATAACGGCGATTACGAAACCGAAACGCCCGGTTACTGCCAAATTAGAGAAGTTGGAGAGGATTGCTAGGGGTGTAGATGCGCATCCACATCCTGGTTTGAATTTGGGAGAATGTCTTTTCCTAGCTACGGATTTAGGCACGTTGGAGATTCGGGAGGCTGTTGAGAGGAAAACTGGTGGCTTGATGTTATGTCGGGTGAGCCCGTGATCATGCGGTTCGAGAAATGGGTTGGAGCAAAGCTTAGTAGACTACGTACGAAACATTGGGTGCGACCCGCGGATAAAGAAGGTGTTAAATGTCATCTGGATGTCTCTTAGGCCAACGGTTGAGAGGGAGGACGAGAAGCATAGGGTAATCCTCTCAAGGATTGAAGTCAAACACATATTCGTCGTCAGAGCTGTATGGTGTCTTGAGTAGGCCACATTCATATTTCGAACGAAAGGGTTATCAAGGAATCAAAGACACATAACCATCTTATCATAACGGACGAAGTGGGCTGAAGGTGGTGGATGACATGTGTATATGATTTCTAGATTTAAGTGCCTATGAATCTAGATGTATTATAGGCGCTTATATGTATCAAATGAAATATCCGATGAACACTACTCAACTACATATAAACAAGGATTATGAACATGGTGCAAATAATTGACTGGTTCATGTACAGTATTCTCACATTGTGAGAACACATCAAGACTTATCACACACACACACACACATGAATTCTACTTGTTACGATATTGTTTCGATAGTGAATAAGTTTTTTTCTTCCCTGGTCTAATCTACCCTATTCCTCCTCTTCCGCCTTCCCCCTAGTATAACAAAAGGACGAAAACACCTACAGAATAGGTAGAAGTACCTAGGTATGCTATGGTAGTATCACTATCACCTAACTCCACAGCAATGCCATCACCAAGAGGGGAATAGAATAGAACATAATCCCCTCCTATGCTCCAATGGTTTTCAAGAGAAAAAAGGTATCATCTGCGCCTCGCCGAATACAAACAAATTTAGACCGGGTTTTTGTTACACCTTCCATAGGTTCGATAACTCGTTATAACTCTTTGACAGTGACGGCTATCTAAGCATCTTCCGCAGGGAGCTCTGACTTAGCTTCGTGTGCCTGAACATCTTCTACTTTGGGGGCTTCTTCCTTGACTTCTTCGGTCTTCGCTTCTTCCACTTTAGAAACCTCAGTCTCGGGCTCTTCGGCTGCGTTGGTAACTTCGTCACCAACAGGGCTCGCCTCCTGATTAGCTTCAGTCGCGGCTTCCACCTGATCCTCTCCCTTAGCCTCTTCAGACACCTCGATAACAGGCTCAGCAGGCGTTCGGTCGACAGGCTCTTCTATGGCCTCTTGAACCAAATCTTCGATATCCTCGACCTTTTCCACATCTCCGGTGATAACCGGGACAGTTGTCTCGGATACTGGAGATTTCTCTACTGCTTCCTTGGCTTCCTCCTTACTTTCCTCAGCACTGACAGGTTCGGCGACAGCTTGTTCAGTCTTCTCTACCACAGGTGTGGCAGCAGTATCTACAGAGATCTTGGCTGTCTCGATAGCGGCCTCGGCAGTTCCGGTCTGTGCGACAACGGGAGCAATTTCTTGAGCTGTGGGTGCCTTCTTGTTAACCGGCTTTGCGCTTTCCGCCGCAGTCTTGACTTTGTTCGTCGACGACTGTATCTTGGCTGCTGCCTTCTTTGCGCTTCCTTCAGCTTCCTTTGGTGCAGTCTTCTTGTGAACTGTAACTGGCGCACTTTGCTTGCGTGGCGGAGTTACGGGAGCTTTCTCTGAAGTCTTGCTAGAACTAGCCTGAGTTGGTCGCATCATACGCGCAAGGAAACTCTCGTCAACATGACTTTCCTTCTTGGCTACTGGATGATCCTTGGCCGTCGGCTTTGGGGGTGGTCCAAGACTTGGACGCGGTCGGCTGATAGTCGAACTCTGGCGTTTCAAGCTCTTTGTATTTGTTGTGGTTCCCACGGTTGAAATGCTCGCTCTACTCGGCGATCTATGCGCGGTGGAGCTAATGTTTAGGTGCTGTGCATTTCCCGAGGCTCGCGACAAAGATTGTCTAGGAGGGTGAGCTGCGGCGACAGAACCAACTCCAAGCTTCGACGCAGAAGACGCAGTGGGCGCCGTAAGGGAAGAAGGCAACTTCACAGGCCGAGTCGGCGATTTAGGCTTGGGCTTCACAAAGCCAGTCCCTGACGGAGGGAGGTCAATGGCAGCTGGCTTCTTGCCAGAGGTTACTGTCGACTTCGCCGCAACGGGAGCGGCCGTCTTCTTGGGTGCCTCCTGTTCTTTTGAGGGTGCGGGTGTGGATTTCTTTTGCGGAGCTAGGCTTGTGGTGCTAGTGGATGGCTTCGTAGTGCTGCTAGCTGGCTTGCCAGTGGCGGTATTTGGGGATTTAGGAGCTTTCGAGACGGATTTAACTGTAGTCGAGATTGGTGCAGCTTTAGGAGCAGGCTTGGCTGCAAGTGCGGCCTTTGCCTCAGTTTTTGTTTCTGCCTTTGGTTTGCCGTTTGTTGATGCGCTGGTACCATTGCCACGTCCAGTAGGTGTTGCGCTATTTCCTCTCGTCGCTGACTTCTCTGTTGGGTTACCCGGTAATAACCTAGTCTTTGGTTCCTCCTCATCTGTGATTTTGTCTGGGTTTGGATTGGGGGCGATGTTTGGACTTCGACTATCTTTCTTTGGAGATAATTTGCCGGGCGTGTCTACATTGGGTGACTCGGGAATAGATTCCTGTGATAGGTTTGTCTTGAAGGTGGCGGCGTTCTTCGCCATGTTCTCAGCAAACACATCCACCTTGTCGGGTGCTGGCTGGGGCGTAGTAGCTTCAGTGTCGTTGCTCAGCCTTCGGCTTGACACTGAGATTGAGTCCCCACTATGTTCTCTCCTCAGTCCTACCCGGCCGTCCTTCTCAATCGCTACGAAGGTGGTTCGAACTTTGGAGAGGGGACGAGGCGAATGGGAAGGAGAAGGAGACCCTAGTAATAAGAAAAAGACTCGATGTTAGCTGCTGTGTGGCTCAGAAACTGTTGGCGCCTAGCAAATTACAGATAAATGACGTATTCAATGGAGTTGGGGAGTTGGGAATGGAGATGAAATGTGGAGTTGAGCAAATTATTAGTAGAGCTGATCGTGTGTGTATTTAGGGAGGAGTTAGAGGTGTGGTGTGGTTTGGTTTGGTTTGGTATAAAAATAATATGTAAAATATGTAGACACGTAGATGTGTCATATGTCAAGAATCGAAAAAAGCACCATACCGACTGAGCTGGCGATACCCCCTGGACCGGGAGATCTTCCTCTATCTGGAGGGTTGTTCTCACCCTTTTGCTCGAACATGGCGCGGAGGTTCCTTACTCCCGACATGGCTGGATTGTCACTGATCGACTTTTATTGAGATTAGGTAGGTGTCGTAAGAAAGAGCAAAGACGAATTGATCAGTTTGTTGTTACTGATCATGTACCAACAACTGTCACCGCGGGAAAGTGCAGTTACTGATTGCGATAGTGAATTGCATGCCCTAAGCTATTTTTTTTGTTTCTATTCTCTTCTTTCTATTCAATCGGTCGGCGATTTGTTTGTCGCTTGATCGTTCGTTCGCGTAGATGGGTACTCGCGTTTTGTCTTAGAAATTGGAGGAAATGCTGTCAAGCGTCGGAGCAAATGGGAAAAAGGGAACGAACTAAAATGTTCCAATCCAGGGGTAAGTTAATGTACTCTTGGTATCCAGCAGAGACGTGGTTAAGGGGTTTCCCGAGACAGAAGACAAGACTGCCTAAAATGCACTCAGAGGTATATGATAATGGTATATCAATAAATGCTTCACAACGAAATAAAAGTGACGATGTAATTCGAATTCGAATCAAGCAAATATATAACCAGGAAAAACAAATAAAGGAGTGTGATTCAATGCGATGCGCAGTTTAATACATACTTTGTAAAAAGTAGAAGAACGAAGATTTAGGTATAATGCTAAGATGGACTTAGGGACTTGGAGATTTAGAGACTTAGCGGTGTCGTCGGGAAGAAAAAGAAGAAGCTTATTAAGAACATTGAAAGGGAAGTTGTCGACATGGGGAAGAATGATTTGGTGGCATGTGGCCTAATAAGGCGAGACTAACCCAGACTGACCCAGTCTAACTCAATCTAACCCGTGGACCAGCTAAAGAAAGTGCGGTTCCTTTAATAAATTGCCCAGTTAGGCAGGGGGGTAGATTATTCCAGTGGAAAGATGTGGGTCCAGGGGCTTGCATGAACTCTTAAAACGCTGTTTAGCAGCCCTGGAGCCTACCGAGGTGACCTGAGAGCGGGACATCGAATTATTGCTTGCAGATATGGGACGAAAAAAAGAAGAGAAATCGATTTGGAAGTAGGAAACTTCGGCGTCGTAAGTTCCTTGTCATTTACTCTAGTGACACACATATCGATGTTGTGTACCGAAGATGTGTGCTTATCCTATTAAGGTAGATGTATATTGTATATTTAGGTGAGTTAAATTTACCCCTATTAATAGCCTGGCTGCTTCCATCATCAAATATTAGATACATAAACTAACTAATTGACTTAACTCTATTATGAAGAGTTATGATATTATGTATATAATATTATGTTTGAAGCAATGTTGTGTCCCTTGAATCAATTTAATATCTACCATATAAAGAGCCGCATATGTAAAACTTGGAAACCATGTAACCTTTAATACAAAATTACAAGTGAATAAAATTCTACAACACAATTCTACTGGCTAACAAATTGCAGTGATGATGCAGACTACTACTACACGAAGTTGACAGATCTCACTTGCATTTTCTGCATCACTTAAAGACACATAAAAACCACATATCAATCTAATTCCATATGAATAGGATGTTTCAGGTTTGCCCTCATTGGTAACAAACATAACCCCCTCTTAAGATCTTCAAGCATCATAGCATACAGCGGAGTATTTACCAGGAAGTCCAAAACCCCTTAGAGGTGACCTTTCAAGGAGTATGCTAACAGCAATGAGGTAATGATATAGAAATAGCAGGTTACATTTAGAATATATGCAGTACTATACTGTATGCTTCTACATATATACTGCATCTGCAAAGTTAGATACAGATTAATACAGATCGAATGCGCATTAATTAGATGGATCAAATCGAAATATGGTAAGGAGTTCCCTGTAAGTAATACTTAGGTACATTAATTTAGCCCCTGAAACCCTTGCAGATATTCGTACCACCAAGCGTTGCTTCTCCGATCCCGGCAAGGGTTCGACCCCACTAACCATAGCCATAGCTTCCGCTGCGAGAAATTTTAAATTTATTGAGTTAGAAGCTTCGGAAGCTTCACCGGTTGCGCAACGAACGTTGACGAAAAATATCAATTGAATATTCAACATGGCATCCCGAGTTTTAAGAATAGGTCAGTAAATACTATGAACACTACAGATTTCATACATATAGTTTTTACTTCGTGCATGTTGGTAGATACCTAACAATTACCCCCCAGGCCTCATCCCCGGCGACGGCATCGGCCGCGAAGTAATCCCCGCCGGCCGCCGAATCCTCGAATCCCTCCCCTCCTCCTTCAACCTCAAATTCGAATTCGCCGACCTACAAGCCGGTTTCGAAACTTTCGAGCGCACCGGAGCCGCCTTACCAGATCGCACGGTAGAAGTCCTACGCAAAGAATGCGATGGCGCGCTCTTCGGCGCCGTATCCTCGCCTACGAAAGCCGTGAAGGGGTACTCGTCGCCTATTGTTGCGCTGCGCAAGAAACTGGATTTATATGCTAATGTGCGGCCCGTGAAGTCGGTTCGCACGGCGGCGAAGCCGATTGATATGGTTATTGTAAGAGAGAATACCGAGGATTTGTATGTTAAGGAAGAACGTACAATTGAACGATCCGAGAGCGAGGGGGGCAAGTATGCCGAGGCTATTAAGCGCATTTCCGAGCGCGCGTCGAGTCGTATTGCGACCATGGCTGGTGAAATCGCTTTAAGGAGACAGAAGATCCGCGAATCAGGGTCGTCGAGCTCGATTCACTCTCGTCCTCTCGTTACTATAACGCACAAATCGAACGTCTTATCGCAGACCGACGGTCTCTTCCGTACCGCTTCGCGCTCCGCCCTTTCGAATCCTAAGTTCTCCGGCGTAACTATTGAGGAGCAGATCGTTGATAGCATGGTGTACAAACTATTCCGTCAACCCGAAGATTATGACGTGATCGTTGCGCCTAACCTATATGGTGACATCTTATCTGACGGCGCGGCTGCATTAGTTGGTTCGCTAGGTCTAGTACCGTCCGCCAACGTCGGCGAAGGTTTTGCTATTGGGGAGCCGTGCCATGGTAGTGCACCCGATATCGAGGGCAAGGGTATCGCGAACCCTATCGCTACCCTACGCAGCACCGCTCTCATGCTCGAATTCTTGAATGAAGAAGAAGCTGCAGCGCGCATCTACGCTGCTGTCGACGGAAATCTAGAGGATGGCAAGCTATTGACACCCGACCTAGGCGGTAAGGCGACGACTGAGGAAGTCGTAGAAGACATCCTAAAGAGACTATAAGCCCCCGTTAGGTGGATTTCTTCTTGATGGGCGAAAGTCGGGTTTGAAGAATAGTCCTGGTTAAAAAGGAGTCCAAAATGGGAGATAAAAAGAAAGGGAGTATGAGTAAAAGTCATGTTCTAGACTCGATGATACCAATCTAACAATTTTAAGAACTCATTCAAATGATCAGTCAAGCAGCCACGTAAAAGTTGGAGTGAAGAGTATTCTTATTTTCCGCCTGTCTTAATCTAGATACCAGACCGCGTAGCCTGTGTTCTTTAGGCGTATTTACCTACGCCATTTTGTCCCCTTGATCCCTCATATGTGGATATCAAGCCCTGTACCTCCTCGGGTACGTTCCGGAAGGTATGATACCTCCCAGCTCAGATGTCACATATCGATATTCTATATACAGCCTCTACCGGCATATCGTGATATGTCATCATTATATACTGTACATCCCATTATCGACTTAAATATCATTCCGTAGCATAGACACATCTATGAAATTGTCGATGGACGCCGGCACTCTCGTAATACTAGCATGATGCCAGCAGTATTCGCTCGTCTATTTTGCAAAATAATCGAAAGAACCGGTCTTGGAACGCCCGTCTATTTGGACCATTGGAAGAGATTAGAGATTTTACTTGGTTCTCTTGGCCTCGAGCTCCTTCTCGTATTTGGCAACTAATTCTTTCCTATAGAAATAATTAGTAAAATCTGATCGTTACACACTCCATCAAAGTCCATGGTAGGAATTAAAAGGATAGAAAAGGGCAAAGAACATACTGTAGATGCGGCGGCGCAGGGGCATAATGCGAGAACTCCATGCTAAACTCTCCCTTTCCTTGAGTAGCCGCTCTCAACTGCGTACTAAATCCGAACATAGCATTCAAACTGCAATCCGCAATCAAGTTGAAGTCCTCAGCGCCAATATCCGTGTCGATTATAGTAGCATTACGCTTGTTCATCAACATAAGAATATTACCCTGGAACTCGTTGGGTGCCATAATAGTCGTCTTCATCAGCGGTTCTAGTACCTGGCCACCAGCTTCAGGGAATACCTTGCGGAACGCCATTTGGGCTGCCAAACTGAAAGCGTAATCGGAAGAATCCGTAACGTGCGTCGCACCGTCGTTGACAATCATACGAGCTCCGATAACCTTGTGGCCTAGTAAAGGACCCTTCTCACACGCGAGTTCGAAACCCTTACCACAAGCCGAAATGAACTTGTCCGGAATAGAACCACCAACAACTTGGTTTTCGAAGCTGTTTGACTCCGGGTCTGGATTCGGTTCGATGTAACCAACGACACGGGCGTAGTCACCAGGTCCACCAGTCTGTCTCCTTAATAGGTAGTCGAATTCGGCCTTCTGGCTAATAGTCTCACGGTATGCGACTCGGGGTTGACCAGTAGTACAGTCAACCTTGTACTCACGCCGCAGACGCTCGATGTAAATTTCCAAATGCAATTCACCCATACCCGAAATAATCGTCTCTTCGCTTTCATCGTCGACGTATAATCTGAAAGTAGGGTCTTCACGCTGGAATCGGTTCATGGCTTTACTGAAGTTGTCCGCATCCGTGCTCTTCTTAGGCTTGATGGAAAGCGACATGACCGCATCAGGTACGAACATGGAAGACATGGTGTAGGGCAAGTTTCCGTCGGTGAATGTGTCGCCGGAAGCGCATTCAACACCAAACACGGCGCAAATCTCACCAGCACCGATTTCGCTGACGTCTTCCAACTCATTGGAGTGCATTCGCACGATACGAGGAATTCGTACCTTCTTGTCAGTTCTTGAGTTAAATAGATAGGAACCCTTCTTTAATGCGCCTTGGTAAACTCGGATGTAGGTAAGTTGACCGTAGTTGTTCTCTTCCAGCTTGAAAGCTAACCCGACGAAGGGTAGTGAATTGTAGGGAACCAGCTTAGTTTCAGCTTCGCCCTTGGTACGGTCCAAAGCCACATTCTCAACATCGGCAGGGTTTGGTAGGTAATCACAGACGGCATCTAGCAAGGGCTGAATAGACTTGTCGGCCAATGCAGATCCCATCATGACGGGTGTGAACTTCAAAGCGACAGTTGACCTTCGGATAGCGTTTTGAATTTGTAGGTTGGTTGGTGTACCCTCTTCTAAGAAAATCTCGGCAATCTCGTCATCCACATCAGCGAGCTTCTCGATCAATTCCTGTCGTTTTTGTTCCGCGAGTTCTTTCAGGTCCTCGGGTACGGGGCCAACTCGAACAATTGTTCCCTTGGGACCTTCGCTGTAAATAGCTTTCATTTCTATTAGATCAACAACACCCTTGAATTGATCCTCAACACCAATTGGTATTTGTATAGCTGCCGCGGGGATCTTTAATTTGGAGTTGATCTGTTCGACCGCTTTGAAGGGATTGGCACCCATTCGATCCATCTTGTTGACGAAACTGATTCGGGGAATATTGTATCGCTTCATCTGTCGATCGACGGTAATTGTTTGGGATTGGACGCCGCTAACGGCGCAAAGAATCATGACGGCACCATCCAGAACTCTCAGCGCACGTTCGACCTCAATAGTAAAATCAATGTGACCGGGCGTATCGATCAAGTTGATATGGTATGTCTCTTCTTTGCCGTCCTCTACTTTCTTCCAATCGCAAAACGTAGCAGCGGACTGAATGGTAATTCCCTTTTCTCGCTCGAGGTCCATGGAGTCCATCTTTGCGCCCGCACCATCTTTTCCTCTCACTTCGTGAATCGCCTTAATTCGGCCGGTATAGAATAAAACTCGTTCGGTACAGGTTGTTTTCCCGCTATCAATATGTGCCTATTCCCAATTTCTTTTTAGCATACCACCCCTCTTCTACTTTCTCTTCGTAAGGTTGTGACGTACGGCAATACCGATGTTGCGAACTCTTGAGAGTCGATGTTTCTCCTCTGGGCTCATCTTCGCATATACGGCTTCGGGTGTAAGGTTGGAGGCTTCTTCGGCAGCTCGCTTCAGTCTGTTCACTAGATATCAGTATCCGCCACACATTCACCATATCAATGGAGGGGTTCCTACGCAGCACTGGCAGCAGCATTTGCAGCAGCATATCTCGGTTTCGTCAAGTTGAAATATCTCCTTCCATCAACACGCAATGGGGCGATCATCTGCGTAGGCGACTGAGAACCAGATATTCTAGCACCCATGTTGAGATATCTAATGCTGCATCTTGACCCTAAAATCCGACTGTCACCAAGGACGGCCGCGGCTCTCTGGACCCTCATCTTAAAGAGGGTATAAGAAAAACGTAAGGATAAACAGTTAAAAAGGAGAAATAGAAACAAATAGTGAACGAATGGGAAGATAACGCCGGTATTGTATCCGGTGTATTGTTTCTTTAATTTTTTTCTTAAGTTGAACGAGTCTTCACAAAATTTTGGAGCTGATCAGGATCGATAACGCTTATCAGTGAATAAAATGCCGCCCTACTTGACCAATCACAGCGCTTCAATTCCCGATTTTCAGGTCCGTTTCCCCTAGTTTAGTTGCTTCCGCTTTCAAGTGGGTGCCCCGAACACTATAAGTCATAGGTAGGATACTGGGTATTCATACAATTTCAGTGCATTTACTAGCTCATTATGAAGACCTTTGGGGCTGTCATTCTCATTCGTATTGATAAAATAGTGCCTCTCACTGCCTACATAAGTAGTTGGGCTAGCGAATGTCCTTGATCTTACAAGATCAATATATACACATGAGCTACCAATTCCCTAGCCCATCATAAAATTCCTCCTATGGATTCTTATTTCTTTACCCGGTTTCTAGAGCCCCTCGAGACCCAAATCGTCTATGTTGTCGTTTATCACATGTAGAATGCTAAACCCATTTGCCCAGTCTTACTCGGAATGCACCATGTAGTTGGGATGTACTTCATACATACCTATCTACCTAGGATAGGTTAGGTAGCGATAAAAGATGACATCGGAAATATCAACAATGCACAATTCAACGATAACCCAAACGCCCTTAAATCCACTATATCCTCTAGAATAAGAGGAAAAATCCGCTACCTACCATCACGAGACCCATACTGGCACCGGTGATAGCTATCCTAGACCAATCGAAGGCGGGCGGTAATAACGAGGCAGCTGAAGCCTTGTCGTTTTGGAAGCCGCCACTAGCACCATACGTTGGTGTTGAGACTCCGCCGGTTTGAGACACTTCGGCCTGGTTAGGCGCTGCGGTAGCGGAAGGGATCTGAGCACCCTCGCTTGGGAATGCGACAACGTTGGAATCGGTAGCGTTGAAGTCTGTGGGCGCGATACCGATTTCGTTGTTGATTAAATCGTAGACAACGTAGGCGGAACGCATGAAAGTATCGCCCAAAAGGTACGATGCGCTACTGCTGCTGAAGTTCTGGATACCGAATTGGCAAGCATCTTGACCCCTGTATTGACCACTTGGAAATTGTGTGGCTCTACCAGTAGTAAGAGGCAACACAAGCTCATCCATGGTAACATTGATAACGGGACCGCCAGTGCCAGCGAACCCGAACGAGAAGTGACCCTCACTGTTTTCCATGTCGCAAGGGAGGAGCGCGACACCCACTTCATCCCAGTATTCAGCACCGACCTCTCTCCAGACTTGTTTCGCTAAGTCGGTTGGCAAGTATGTGAAGGTGGTGCCGGAGTCGAGAACAACGGGTAGAGGAAACTCTGAAGACAGCGAATCGGTACCCGACGAAGACACCGCTTGTAAGGACGACAGCGCGACGGTGAAGGATGTGAAAGCCTTCGATTGGGAGTCCTTCTGGATATTGATTCGGGTAAGATCGCCCTTGTACTTCTCAGTATCGATTCCTCCGAAAAGGATACTACCCGTGCTCGCGTCTAGATCGTTCAACCACAAGCTGTAGGCGTTTGTGGCAATGAGACCCTCCTTCTGCATTAATAAGGGAAGGTTATCGTATTGGGAGGAGGTAGAACCCGTGTCGCTGACATTAGCTTCGTTCAAGGTGTATCCAACGCCAACCAGACCATATGGGATATCCGTAGATAGACCAAGACCCATAGTCATATTTTTCAAAGTCGCACCACCGATTTCGAAGGTCTCGGTGATATAATCACCTTTCGAATGACTACCGTCGACATAGTTAATGCTGAAGTCGCCTTCGCCTACAACCGTCGTGGTGCTAGATGAGCTCTCGTCAACTATAAACAGTGCACAGTTAGCAATGTTCCGTACACGATCCACTACCTTTAGCTTCACAGGCGACCACTTACAAGATCCAAAGGTACATCCATCACTTTGAGAGCTTGTTTCGCAAACACTCGAACTACTCGAAGGTACCCAGATATCGCTCGAACCAGTATCCAACTGCAGAGTTAAGTTTTGCCCCGGCGTTCCAACTTGACACGAGGCAAAGTAGCCTCCCCTAAGTTTCTCATTTGTAATAACCTCGGTAAATGTGCCCGCTCGTCTGGTAACTTTTGAGCCGGTGTGTTTCCTCACGATATCCCACTGAACTACCTGCGCTTGTGCTTGGGCGACCGATGCGACGAGTGCGCCGGTCGCTAGTGTTGTGGTAGTTCTCATACTTCGGATATGACGTAGACTAGGCAATTAGGGTGAATTAAAAGTCGTCGAATTATTTTAGATTGAAGATTTCGTTTGCCGGGTAGATTTAGTAGGCGGCACTCGTGGAAGTTCGGGTTTGTCAATTTCCGTGGCGTCGCTTGTTTGGTGAGTTCGTGGTTGATGACGCGGCTCGAGATGTACCGGGCTGAATATTAACAGAAAAAAATAAACGTACCCCCCAAGAGAGAAAAAAAAGGACAATGAGAAGGAATTGTTAACGGGGATAAGGATAAGAATGATGATAAGTAGAAAAAACCAAATAGGCAACAGACACCTCAGGGAAAGAACAAAGAAAGGCGATGAGCAATGCACTATGTAGTATGCAGTATGCGCACCAACTACCCCGGAGAGCTCAAGGACCAGCCTGGATGCCAAGATGGATTACTGAAGTTGAAAATGGAACCTCAGTCAACTCTAAAGTAATCGGGCGGTTAGAATAACAGGATAGCTGGGATAGTGGATCTAATAGGGGATGCTCAGCCCAGTTGCCAAGAAGGAAAGTAGCTAATAGTAGGTAATGAAAATGGGTAACGATGTTTGTTATAGGTGTAGCGTAGGAGTTGATTGATTAGGTAGCTCCAGCTGCCGAGAAATGTAATACACACCATATACATACACTAGGTACACATACATACGTAGAAGAAAAAAATAAATTAGGTATGTTCGAAAAAAGAAGAGACGAAGGAAAAAAAGAAGATGAATGCGGAACACAAAATTTAGGAGATAGGAGGGTAGAGAGATGACGAGGCTTCGGAATCAGATCTGCATTGCATTGCGTGGTCCTTATTGCTACACACTAATCTTCTACGGCTTTAGCACAGGTAAAAAAGAGTAAAAACCCCTAGCTCAAGTACCTAAAGTACCTAACTGACGTACTTACTGCATACTGCAGTGTAATGTGACACCCCAGATTCTGCCGATTTCCCGTGAGGCGATTTATTTTCAGTTGGCTAGCAAGCCAGGTGCGTGGTAAAGGGAAAGACCGATTGATTCTAGGTACGAAAGAAGAGGCGCAGCACTATGTATGCACCTAGGTAGCACATAATGTATCAGGAAGGAAAGAAGATGGGACGCCGATCCAATTGAGTTCACAGGCTAGTAAACTCAGCTATGCTACCAATACATAATTAGTCGGAGGTTAGAACGGTTAGTTACTAACTCGAATGCGATGCTAACCGCTGTACTTTACTAATACAAGTTAGTAACTAACATATTTCCAGGTGGCTTATTCCAACTATTTTCCCGCCTAATTGGTACTATCAATATCACAACGCTGCCTTTTACAACATTCAACGTTTACTCACTATAAATGAAGCTATCTGAATCCGACATCAATCCCTAGCACGTCAATTAAACACTGATGAATCATAAAGTTGGATTCACTTCTATGTATTACTTACAGCTAATATTTACTTACGAAGTACGACCTATTCTATAAGACATCACTATATACAGATCTTGTCACAACTAGCACGAGAATTATTAATTGGCCCTCGTCAATTTGACACCCGACACCAATATATTCCCACGAGAGGCAGCCTGCATACGGGATGTAACACTTATTATTAGCGCTGCCCTACCGGTAAAGGGAAATCGAAATGCGGCTACGTTCTCGACGCTGCCTTGCTTTTCTCCTACCTATTAGCCAATTGAAAACTGACCTAGGTGAAAATAAATATATTTTCACCTCGCTTAACGCTTCGTCTTTTCTGTTAGACCTTATTAACGCTCCCTATCCAAATCAGGATTTTCTTCAGACAAAATATCCTCAGCCTCAGCGGGTAGAACGGGGTGTTGAAACGACTCAAGTCTAGAGTCTTGGCAGCTGAAACGCGCTCCGCTCCGTTTTCTTCAGTGCTGGATTCGATATCATGATCAAGGACTTTACAGGAGTTAAACATACCTCGATCTTATTCCCGATGCTCCGCTGAAGTTCAAACAAGCTCGCGTGGCGTTACAGAGGATCACACGGCACAGGATCGTAAGGAAACGTTTGGAATTCAGATCTGGGTAAATAGATCCCCCATGTAACAGTTGGTAAGGCAGGAATACCTTCATTGTTTCATTTCAATTATCTATAACAAAAATCTATTCATAACTCATAAACCGATAAAGACTATAACTTCCCAACCTCAATCCTCCTAAGGGGCGTATTGAGGAGCATATTGAGGTGCATATTGGGGAGCTGCACCATCATATTTGGTATTCATATTATATCCTTCCTCCACGTTCGCCGCCTTATAGCTACCCCGATTCAGTAAACCCTTACGCTTCCGATGCGTATACACGGCGCCGAAGACAAGCTGCACAATGCTCGTAACAGCGAGCACCAAACTGAGGAGTAGGTCTAGAATGCTAGCGGATCCAGTAACTGCAGCAATGATAGAAAGGACAAGGTACGCCACCCAGACCAATGTCTTAACGCATGCGGACGAGAGTAGAAAGACGGGACTTAAGATGCGCCGGGCGTAAAATACCATTTCGAGGATATTAAGGATAACGGTGCCGAGACTGAGAGCGAGGACAACGCCTCCTGTAATTCGAGCATATTCGACTAGTTGAGTGTAACTGTATCCGTAATAGCTGTATCGGTAACCGTTAGAGGAATGTTTGTGGTAATTCCTCTGAACGTAGCCGGCTGCGACGAGGAGAAGGCATGAGACAACGACGAAAACCAAGGCTGCGAGGATTTGCAGAATCCAGCATGGCAACAATTGGCGTTTGCGCCAAATTCCTTCGTATTTTTGCATTTTTTGTTTGACGGTTGAAAATGTAGGTGTATGCTCAACTTGGCGGTGTGAATTTAGAGTGAGCGATTGTATTCTCAATGACTTAGAATATTTTGATTTCGAGTTTTGTGTTTACTTAGGTAGATAACCACCTATTTTGATGTCTATAAGAGCAAATACCTTCATGCGAATTTATTTACCTAATATGCCTCATACAAAAATCATGTTGGCTAGTTCTAAAAGTCTTGTACTACGTCAAGAGCAGTGACAATGGCTGTGTACAAGCTAAATACTATGTAGAAATGCCTAATTAGTGGCTAGACATGGCTATGGTGTAGGGGACCCGTGGTTCTTCATATAGTGAGATATTTCCAGAAATAGTTAGCCTTCTTTCTTTATAGCCAACCGTTTCTTCCGTTTATATATCGTCTCCGTCTTTTCGAATCCTTCTAACTATAGCCTGTGGCGCAGTAACACAGCAGCACTGCTTGAATGCTACATCAAGTCCTACGCCAATGATGTAGGCAAAGACTTTGTACGCCCAAAATACTTGGCAACTGATAAAATCGTGCCATTAGCCTTGAACCAGAGGGTTCAGCCAAGGACCCGTTTTCTTTCAGCTCTGTCTATATGGGGAAGATGTTAGCCCAATATCCTGGCTATACGATTGCCAACAACACAACGCCAAGTTCGACTGTTGGGCTATGCACCAACATAATATACAGATCTTCATTTCGCGTGCTTTACATGGATTTGAATCGGCAGATAGAGAAGCCCATCTCTTATAGTTGTCAAGAATGTCGAGTCATTGAATGTCCACCCTGCGACCAACACTGCCTTGCAGTTCTTCAGTGAACGGGGTTACTGGCGATCTCGCAACTACGGCGTACAGATCGAAGCGGAACTATTCCGTATAGTGAACCCACATCCTATTTTTCAATCTGCATCTCTTATCCCTAAAGATTCCTAATGCCGCCTTTAACCCCGTTCTAATACCTTTTTTGATCCTAAAAACATTAAATTAACAGCGTATGTATAGTTCTGTTCAATTTGCATAAATTCGACTCGATCCATTAATCTCGCCTCTCGATCTTGGCTCTTGGCTTCCGTCTTTTCTTACTGCACGTGCTCCTTCTCCTCCGCCTTAGGGATCCGTACCATCGTGGCCGTGATCAGAGCTCCTATGGTCGCCGATGCAAGGCCGAACCACCAAATCGCTCTTAATCCCTGGAGTCCTATCTCGCCCGTTGGTAGTTGGTCGATCTTCACACCGATCGAGTCTGAAATCGAGGTCATAATGGCGGAAGTCAGGTTCTGCGCCGTGACAAGGAGTGCGCCCGCTGAGCCCTGATAGGATCGTGGTACGCTCGACGTGATGAAGATGGCAGCCGCTGCGAAACTCAGATCGGGACCAAATGTCGCCAGCGCCACTCCAGGCATCGATAGTGCCCAATATGATGTGTTCGGCGTCTGGGGCAGGAAAAATACAGGTCCCATGGCGAAGCTGACCATGCTCGCCGTGAATATCCAGTGCCCGGGGAAGACATGCAACGTCTTGGACACAATCCAAGCAGCCAAAACTCCGACTATGCCATTAGGCAGAATGTACAGAGCCACAGTGAGCGGGCTGGCGCCTTGGTACCGTTGCCAGAATTGAACGGCGTAGAATTGCCACGCCCCGGAGTAACCCCCGTATCCTAGGAAATACGATATCAATAAAGCCGCGAACCCAGGCGTCTTCCATAGCCCATTGGGAACTAAAGGACGCGCGACACATCGCTCGACGTAGGCGAAGGCGACGAACATTAGGAGGCCTACGATGATTAGGGAGTATGTGTATGCACTCCATTGAGCCGATGACCCTTGGGTCAATCCGAAAAGTACAAGACCGCAGCCTACGGACGAGAGCGCACCGCCGAGGTAGTCGAATTGCCGTAGAGAGGGTGCATCCGCGTCGTTGCTGTCCTTCGCAGGGCTCAGGTCTGGTAGCGTCATATGCGCGGCCAATGTGACAAACCCTAAGAAGATGGCGGTACTTCCGAAGAGCCATGGTAGATTGGCGCTTAATGCGCCAGCATGCACGCAGCCTAGCCAGAATCCGATCGGTGCACCTCCTGCCACTGTGAAAATGAGTCAGTATGAATCTCTAAGTATAGGGAACCCAGAATGCTCAGGCCTGTCCTCAGGGGTAGAATTCTCAGATGCATCCATATGAAAAAAACCGTCTCGAATATGGAGTGCTCATGAAAGGGGAAGAACAGCTATTGATGTGATATAATGCGATACCACATACTCAACGAAAACACCCGCGTCTTGCGAACACCAGGCTTATACACACGACCCAGAATACTCATGGATGCAGATACAAGGACACCGAGTGAGAGTCCTTGCATCGCGCGTGCAATGAAGAACAAAACCTTCAATCGCGGTGAAATGGCAGCAGCTGTTACACCGTGCCATGCCGCACTCCATGCGAAAGCCGCTACCATCAAGGGCTTTGGAGGAGCCAGGTCCGCAAGCGACCCTGCGGTGATAACGGACAGTCCACTGGCTAGCAGCGCGGAGCCGAGGATCCAGGGGGTTTGAGTAGCGGGTAGACCCAAATCATTGCGTAGCGTGGTCTGCGAAACCACCGCGTGACCGTATGTTAGGGCAGAAATGACCTGTCCGGCGGTGCACACGAGCACGAAGACAACCTCCGCCGCCAGATTCGGTAACTCGGGTGGTCTACCTTGCGAAGTTCCGGGAGCATTTGATCCCGGTGTGTCGCCAACTTCTTCGTCGAGGGCATGCCCGCCTGCTGCTACGCTACGGCTCCGAATGGCGCCAAGCTCTAGCATAGGATCTAGTAGGACCTCTTCATTGTCGCGGTCGGTAATATCCCGAGTCTGCATTTGAATCTCAATTTGATTTTGACTGCTTCCGCCGGCTTGGCCTAGAGCCCGGGCCAATGCCCTGCGGTCAAGAGCGAAATAGTCATGGCTTGAAGGTCCCAATAAGGGATCGGGCGAAGCTAAACCAGAGGGGAAAGCACTTGTCTCCAGGCCCAAATATGGCGTTTCTGTGCCTGTTCCATGATAAAATTCGGGTTCTGAGAAAGACCGAGCAGGTCCTGGTTTGTGATCCATTGTCAACCAGAGGAAAGTATAGTAAGTTACTTATATCGACCACTTCAACTAGGTAAGTTATAAATTTACTTTCCCTTCTTTCTAATTGTTTGAACACCGAGGTGAAGAGTTTTCCTCTGCCATTGCGACCGGACATCCATCTATCTAATGGAGTAAAGTTTTTACTGGCATCGGAGAGCAGCCGGACGTGCCATCGCACACCTTGCATTAGAACGTTCAAAGCATGGTGGAGGGTTCCGCTTCACACGTCATAAATTGGGACGTGAGTGGCTAGAAAGAAAGTGTTTGTACCAAAATGAAACCCATCGCGGATTATAACGGAACAATACTAAGAAATCGAAAGATGGTCGGTTATCATGGACTCAATTGTTTTCGCCAAGTTAGAAAATTACGTCGACGATGTAGACGTTTTACCTGTGTCTACAACGCTATAAACAATGGCATATGGCATCTTACAAGAGATGGTAATAATTCCATTCGTACTACCTAATGAGATGGTAGAAGCTCGGTCACGACTATCCCGAGTAGGTCAGACTCACTATTATTTAGGTACCATACTGCCTGTAACCACAGGAGATCTTCACCTCATTTAGCGTTCTGTAATAGCCGGCCAGGGCACTCTTAGTGAGCTTATCCATCTAAAAACTTTCAATGCCACGGTAATACAGGACTATATTCTCATTAGCCTACTCATTTATAACGAGCTTACACTTATCGCAATATTGATAATTCTTTTTATTTTCAAAATAAACATTTTTTTTCTTACAATAGCTTGTAGTTGTTACTACTTAGGTAGGTGGTAGCATGCCCCATATGCCGACTCACGGTCCGTGCTGACTGCCCGAAGATCGCATGTTGGTTCCGTAGGTAGTTAGGTAGAACTCCGAATATCTTGGCATCCTTAAATATTAGTGGATCAACAAATGAATAGCGCTATCATACCTTTTAGGGGAAATCTAGTAGGATGGTTATCCCGTCGGTCTTATTAGGCTTGTTCGAGATCGTTCATAATATCTATCCTAAACTATGAATAACTATGGGTAAACATAGTACTACGATTGTTTCCTTCGCTATTATCGTCATGGAAGACCTCGGAAGCGTATATACCTAGGTCGTAAACATATAATATAGTCGGCAAAGTTCAGGCTCGAGAACATCATTATTTCCAACAAAAACAAAGCTAAGTCTCCAGGTAATCTCGAAACCACGTTTGAAAATTGATGTCTACGCCGCGATCATAGGGCAGACGATAGCTCCATTCTCCGCTCCCGTTCCCGCGCCCCATAACACCCCTGTCGTATTCGTTATCGTTATTTTGCCCGCGCCGCACACGAGAATATTTTAAGATGCATTCCACCAAGATAAACATTCGACTATCTCGATCGAACCCCAGAAACTAGAAGCATCCTAAAAAACGTTGGTAAGAAGGTTATTGTATCACTTACTAGGTGTTCTAAACGCCTGTGACCGATTTGGACGGTGTAGTAAAATCTCTTTCCAAATTAGTAGAGCTACTGTACCATATTTAGTCTCATTATTCCCAACATAACCATTTTCAGATGTTAGAAATGAAGGCGTTAGAACTGAGTCATTGCTGAATCAACAATTTGAAACAAAACTGATGATTGTTATATTTTCCTTCCCGGGGTTGGTAGGGAAGAGAGTGGATTGGACTTTGAATAGGAGCACAAGACCTCGGTAAGTCAACGAATACCGTCGAGAACAATGATTATGACTATGAGATGCCAAATAGACTTGATATTACCTATGAGACAACAAGCAGGTCGAAGCCATTTAAATAATTCATTCAAAATAAGGTCCTACAGTACAGGCGATAACATGATAACTCCGTGAATCTTTTCCTACTGATCTTCTCACATGTGTCGTCTTCACTGCCGGCCTAAAATCACTCCGCAGGCAGCCACAACTCCAAACAATAATCAGGAGACCCGAGACTGAAGCGGTGAATCCCATGAAGATCCGGCAGCCCTCCGGCCGGTCTGTGTCACAAGAACTTGATACTTCACGTCCTCCGTAAAGCCTATACGTATCTATACGTAGAGTGCATGTGGCTGACCTCGCCTAACGGCTTAGTCCTAAAAGGGCAGTGATCGACGCTAAAAATAGGATTAACATGTGCGAAAACGAACTTAGGTGAGACTAACTTTAACCAACGTCACAAAGCTCATCTAAGATTGGCTAAGACGTCTCGTTAAATTACCGCTTTTGGTAATTGGTGTCATTTATCCTACATCTCTCCCGCAAATGAGCTTAAATTAACATTTTTTATGTTAGAGCTTCCTTTACATAGCCACCAACGCACCGCCAAATCTTTCCCAAGAAAGTCCTACATATTCTCCTTAACAATAAATTTAGTTGCTTATGACGTCTTACACGGTTCCAAAACTTATCAAATACAATGAATACAAGTTGAAATAGCAAATGGTTGTGATTGATGCGCATAACAATAATTGGTGCCTAAAATTGCGAACACCTGTTGAGAATCATAAAAATAATATGCTGTAATGTATTTAGCTACATAGGTACCGAGATACTTAAAACACTTAGATACATTACCAAGCAATAATACTAATTTCTGTACCTATCTTGGATGGTTGAAAATCTCATCACAATCAAATAAGTCCTATGACTGATATTGTTTCTAACCAACACTTCTTAAAGTAAATGGCTATCTGTGTAACTACCTAATTTGTAATTCTTCAGTGCCGTGGCTAAAATGGCTGACAAGGGGGTGTCATTTGTCAGCCAATCAATTCTCAGCGATTACTGAAATGGTAACTTATATTTCTAACCGCAAAACAGCTCCACACGGCATGTCTCGATGACTATAAGCATACATGATGTAGTGACACGATACACACATCTGGAGAAAAACTTGGGGTTTGCGATATGTGTAACTACGCGCCTTGGTTCTTATTTCAATTGTGGCAGTATTAACAACTAGATATTTTAGGAATACATATTGAAGTTCCTCGTGTTGATAGACGGAGAGCCAAGATCTTAATGGGACGATTATTCTGGGCGATATTAGATCTACCGATGATATCCACGGAGTTAGAATTGAACATAAGCTTATTCGTTAACCGTAGCTGGAAGGAGATAATTCAGAAGTAAGTTCTTGCGAAGGAAAAGAGGTCTAGGTAGTCATTACGTCCGGAAAGGATGAGGGCTTTTGTCTTGGCCAAGATGTGACCACAGACAGCCTGTACCACTGTTCGCTGATCCTCTGGATGTGCTTCAAATAACTTATTTCTGGAATCTTTGTGTTCCTGTAACCCTGGCACTATCTAGTGTTCAAAGTGGGCGAAGACTCGGAATGTTGGTGATTCATAAAAAAGAATAGAAAACGGGTTATGGGTATAGTTCAACAATATTCTGCAGAGCTCCAGTCGCTAGGCTTAAACAGACTCTACAGCAAAATAATTTGTTTCAGAACTATCCTGTGTACCACAGTTTAGGTTCTTACAACTGATGTGGAATATCAATATCCTCATTGGTATGGGAGTAAACGAAGACCTACCTAAGTGCTTATGGGGGGAGAAAGGACTTAGAGGCTGTAATCTGGTTTCTGCATCGCAAATCACTCCCTAATGAGATCTCCGTTGTGCCCTCCGCTGTTATTAGGACTGGTAGGACTTGTTAGCAAGGCGTTAGAGCTCCGCCACGTCTAAATTTCCTATTGGAGGTGTATTGGGCGTTTGGCAGGGATTTACGAAAGAAAAACCCTCTGTGAACTGCTTTCTTGTGTGTGAACCCAAATTTCTACATAGTAACAAAGGAATTTGCCCAGAACTGCATTTGTTGGAATTAATTAGCCCGGTTTTGCTGAAACAAGAGCCCCAAGATGCAGGTCGATGGGAAGGGAAACAGATATTCAGCCACACCCTGTGGTCCACCCCCGTTGTTCCCGGACTGCCCTCGTGCCTCTATAGCTTCTCTGCAGATCTAATTGGTTGGTTCTTAAAACGTTGGTCTAACTGCCTGGATAGGCTATGCATTACTTCATTGTGCTGTATTTAAAGTAATTGATAGTAAAAAAACAATTATTCGCTGAGCGGACCGGGGAGGGTAATCGGAGGGGCACCGAACCCAATCGGAATCTGCCAATTTCGGTAGATTTCTGGAAGTTGATCTCGGGTTCGCTCTTCATAAGAATCTCACGGCTTCGCCCCACATCTCGTATAACGCTACCACTGCCTTACGGGAGATCCTGGTCTGGGGACCCTGGTAGCTCATACACCACGTGAAGTTCTCACCAAAACCAAAAAACCGTGAATACGCTAAGACGTGATATTGGCTGTGAGAAGATAGTGACAAGCACAATGGGGGACACAGTACCTAGGACCACCTCACATAGCCAACATCTCACATCTCATCGGAGGGGATCGACATGGCATCGGAGAGTCCAACAATTTCGAACGGGAAGTAAGTTTACCATCTCATCACTCTAATTTTAGTTTTGATAGGTAGGCCATGAAGAGTCAAGAGATCTCATCTTGAATATATAAAGCTATGTGTGACCGACTCTGTTTGAGTTTCCCTTCATCATCATCATCAACAACAACAATCATCACATTCTAGAAGAAGTTTCCTTTTTCTTTTTTTCTCTTTTTTTCTTTTTTTTCCTTGATTTCCTTGAGTCTCTCGGATTTTCTTTGGATTTTCATATTTCCTTCTATATTTCATTCTATCAAAATGATGAAGCCTACGTCTCTTTTCTTCGCCCTGGCTGTTGGCGCTACAACTGTTCTCTCGGCTGCTGTCCCTGGATGGGCTCCACCTGGATTGGGAGATGGTGAGCTACCAAAGCATCCCAAGGAGCAAAGGATGGTATAGCTAACATTCACAGTTCGTGGCCCTTGCCCTATGCTTAACACCTTGGCAAACCACGGTTTCTTGCCTCACACAGGAAAGGGAATTTCCCTCGACAACGCCATTAACGCGCTCGACACTGCTCTAAACATCGACTCGAGCTTCGCCAAGTTCTTGTTCAACAAGGCCTTGACCACGAACCCGACCCCCAACGCTACTACAATCGACTTGAACATGCTTAGCCGTCACAACATTCTGGAACACGATGCTAGTATCAGCCGACAAGACGCTTACTTCGGACCTGCAGATGTCTTTGATGAAGCTGTCTTCAACCAAACCCTCACATACTTCACCGGTGACATCATCACCATGCAGATGGCATCCAACGCTCGTGTTGTCCGTCTGTTGACTTCCAACCTTACGAACCCTGAGTACGAGATGTCCGTCGACGGTGAATTCTTCAGCTTGGGTGAAACAGTTGCCTACGTCGCTGTGCTTGGAGACAAGAAGTCCATGACTGTGCCCAAGAACTATGTGGAATACTTCTTCCGTATGTCTACCACTCACTAAACCATCAATGTTTTTCAAAGCTAATACTCAACTTCACAGGAAACCAACGTCTCCCCTACGAGCTTGGCTTCAGCCGAATGACTGAGAGGCTTACCCAACAGGAGCTCTTCACTCTCGCTTACCAGCTTAGCGACCTCGAGTCCTTCCCTCAGAGCCCGGGTAACGTGTTCGCTAGCAACAAGCCTAACGTCACGGACTTCCAAAACGGTGTCATCCCCTCCTTCAGCGGTGGCAGCAAGAAGCGCGCCGAGAAGAAGCGCATTGAGGAGAAGCGTTCCGAGAAGGGTACCAGCGGTGGTTGCCCCTACGGCTTCGCCTAAATCAGGCGGAACCAAAGGAGTTGACGGAGTTCCACATGAGGGGGTGCTTTGATTCTTGTTCCAATATCCGAGCATAACGATGTACGAATATGGTGTTGCATTGATAAAAAGGCGTTGTACAAATAGGGCTTGTTTTTTAGAGAGGGCGATTCATTGATAGGATGGTGCATAGATAGGAGTAGCGCAGCGCGTTTTGCATTTAAATAATCGTAGAGCGGTATATACATTATTCAAACTTATATATATAGTCTTCTAGTGATGAATCAGCTTGAGTTTTTATTGCCCTAATTAATTATTTGGAATAGGTTCATTCTTGTTGGACTCTTGTAACTCTTTTGGTTACACAGTGGTTGGCGACAAAATATCACGAGTCGTTGCCATTGTTGTAAAAATGGAAACTCATTCATGCAGTAGCAAGGCAACGAAAGACGATGTGGCTCGAAGGATTTGTGGGGGATCGTAGTACCGATTGTCAGGCTGCTGCTATTGGAATTATAATTTGACTACCTATTTAGGAAAGACGGCTTCAATGGTTGGCGCCTTTACCGTCATAATGGGATGGCGTCAAAGCTCGCGGTAGGATTGCAGGTGCTGACTGCGGCGCGTCATAATCTAGGACTTGGAAATCTCACTGCCGTGATCGTTAAATGAGCTAAAATGAGTTCCCACATCTACCATATACGATTCAACTATTCAACGCTGTTCCAACTGAGGTCGCAATTCTCGTAATTCGGTTCCCGTTACTACCGGTGCCACGACCTCATTAACGGGGTCAGCTCGTATCTCCGTTCCGGTTACGACTGGTGCAGCCACCTCATCCGCAGGGTCGGCGTCAGCGGGATCCTCCCAGCCTTCGCGGTTATCATGTACGAGTCGCACAAAGCAAATATCGAGGATGAGGGCGGCGACACAAAGTCCTACTGCAAAGTACATAGCCCCCCTGTATCCTGCAACTTTGCCGTGTTGTTTGCCAACTTCCGATTCGACGGTTGATGCAAATCCAAGCCCAAGACTGGTGCCATATAGAAGCAGTGATCCTATGAGTGATCCTGCGATGCCTTGTTGCTTCCGGCTCACGGCATTACTAGCAATTATTTGAGCCGCCGTGTACGTGAGGTCAGGCGAGAACGAAGATAGAATGGTACTCGGGAAGACCTGATACCAATACGGCTGTTGCTCTGGCATAGTAGCAATCAGAAGGGTGGCTACTAACATGCAGGAAGCGCCAATGGCTAGAATCCATTGTGCCGAAACTCGTGGGATGAGGTATGCTGCTAAGAATGTCCCAAGGCCGCCGCAGATGCCGAAGGGAGTCCAACCCAAAGCGAACTGCATCGGTGTCCAATGACGGACGTCCTGTTGCCAGAGCACTGTATACCATAATAGAATGCCTGCCGCCATAATAGTAAACAGTACCACGAATATGAGGGGTGTGAATGACGGCGCCTTGAAAATGCTCAATGGCATGATTGGATCGGTTGCGAAGTAATGTTCCCAGAAGTAGTAGCCGACGAATAGTGTCACGGATATAATAAGAGTGGCTATGACCACGGGATTTGACCAACCCACGGCTGGTGCTTGACTAGCAAAAAGGATGAGCTTGGATCGGTGTTATTTATCGAGTTGTGTCACTTACTTCCACATAATATTGAAAACAATTAAACCCCCTAGAGCGAGGAAGGATCCAATCCAATCGATCCTCCCGTATCGATCTACGGGGATTTCTCGAGGGAGAAGAGCCCACAACAATGACGCGATGATCAAGCTTATGGCTGCTCTATTTATTGTTATTAGCTTCCTGTTCGTATAGTCTCGCTTGTATATGGCGACTTACATGAATGCGAACATCCAGACTAAGGGCGCACTTTCGATGAATCCCCCAAGGATCAAAGCGCCGATGTAACCTCCAATGGGCCCAGACGCGCCGAAGAATCCCAAACTTAAGTTTCTTGCGAATCCCGGGGGATTGGTTATACCAATCATTGCTACGGCATTCGGCATGATGAAGGCACCCCCAATTCCTGACATCGCCCGCATGACATTGAAGGTCACAAAATTGTTACAGAATCCACACGCAAGGGTGAAAATAATTAGGAATGCGCTTCCTAATAGTAACATATTCTTGTGCCCATATACGGCTCCGATTCGGCCGGAGACTAATACAAAGGTTCCTTGCGTGAGGCTTATACGTGTTAGCAACTTCTGCCGAATTCGCGTTTTCCGATTCAATTAGACAAAGTAGTACTTACGGATAGGATGCACCGATCCAGTTGACATGAGCGCCCGAAACACCTAGTTTCTGGCTAATAATAATCCCTCCGCCTATGCCTATAAGGTTGCAGATCATTTGCATGAGATTGCAAGCAACGATGAGTACCGTTATAGTTATACGGCGGCGCTTGTTGGCAACATTCAATGGAGCCACGTCGAATACACGTTGGATTTCCTCAGGCGTCGGAGCCGCTGGAAGAGGTAACGGAGGTTCTCCATAGTCAATCGGGTGATTGAGTGCTTCCTGTGATGTCCTAGAGGCCACATTCGTAGGAACCGTCGTGGATGGTGCTGCAGGAGAGTCTACGATCGAGGCTAGCTCATGGCGGAGTATGGAATGCAATGACATTTTTGTTGCTTAGAATGAGTATCTTGGTCTATAGGTCAATATACGAAGCAAGATGGATAGAAATAGGTAGATTTTTCCATCGAGAGGAGGATTGAGGGGCACTTCGTTCACGAACCTAATAAACGCATTGATGACCTGTTGGTCCGATTTCGTCACACATGGTCAGTCACGCGGGGTTCCCATGGCAGCTGGAGGCAATGCCTCTAATGAAATGTCTGCCGAGTCCGGAATCGGTGAGTATAACGGAAATTATGGGGGAATATGCATAGCGCTTGGTCCTCTATTTCTTTAGAGAAACTATCGGCCTTTCTCAAATTGAGGCGGAGCTCACAAGGTCGAGGCATGTCGATAATGGAGGAGGTAGGAATCTTGTGAACATAGAATAGTTCTATTAAACTCTTGTGGAATATTGCGTAAACGCATGTGATAACTTCCAACTTCACACAAGTTCAATAGCTGACACAGCGGTAGCACCAGCATCAACTGTGAGTATGCTTCCCGTCATCCAACGGGCTTGCTCACTAGATAGAAATCTAACGGCTGTCGCACAATCCCATGCATTGCCTTCTGTACGCAAGAGGCTTCGGTTTTTTCTTGTCTCTCTGACCTCCCGGCTCATGCCTTTGGTGTAAACCATCGGCGTGTATAGCATGCCTACCGGTGTTAGCCTAAGATATCAAGTTATATGAGAAGATGCTCCCAAATTGACTGCTACTTACCTGGACAAACACAGTTCACTCGGATGCCATCCGATGCATGATGTGCCGCCATAGCACGTGTCATGTTCAACACGGCGCCTTTGCTGGTCGGATATAACAAGTGAGGAGTGCCTCCAACTAGACCCGCAACTGAACCCATATTGACAATACTTCCTCGGATTTGACCTAGTGACTCCTCGTTCTTGCGCATCTCTGGCACGACAACCTTGACCATGTTTGCCATGCTGGTAACGTTGATTTCAAGTCCCCGGCGCCATTGATCCAAGTCGAATTCCGTTGCAGTACCCCGAGCACCCATAATGCCTACATTATTGACTAGAATGTCAATCTGGCCAAATTTTGACAGTACCGTATCCACAATTCTTTGACAATCGTCAGGTTTTGTGATATCCCCCTGGCAACTGATGCTTGATCCTCGGCCCTCCGACCGTATGAGGGCACTGGTGTTTTCAGCCCACTCTGAATTCAAATCAACACAGACCACGGAAGCACCATCTTCTGCTAGTAAGATTGAGATCGCTCGGCCATTGCCTAGGCCTTCACCTTCACATCCTGCTCCAGTTACTATGGCGACTTTTCCTGCTAAAGACCGTGATGGTCTTGGGGGAATATCATCAGCCACTATTATCGCGATAAAGTCAGTGGAATCTTGGTGAGAGTTTCACTTTCTATGGGTCGTCTTACACGCCCTCCTTTCTGTACTGAATGCTCTTGATGCACATGTTAGGACCTTGTAGTTTCGTAACGACAAGAATTTATTCTTCTGGGAACCAAGGCGGACCCAGGTGGGGGAAGTCCGCCCCAATGAGGGGCCAGCATACTCCGTAAATGAAGTAAACACCCATCGTCCTCCTAGAGGGTTAACTCTAGTATTTCCGAGTAGTGTGTTATTGAATAGAAGTCGAGGCATCTTACAGGGTCGAATGAATGTTGCGTTGAGCTTGAACCTACCTTCTAATAACGCACCTTCGACGTAACCACTGAAATTCAATGAATGAATGTATCTATTTCATGAGCCGAACTTCATCTCCGATTGTCATTTTTGGAATGAGGGGGTTAAGCCACATGGATCATCTAGACTAATGTGGTGGTGGGACAGAATAAATCCCACATCTTCAGCAAAGACATTCGCGTTGACTACCATATTTTTGAAATCCATTTCTAGCCGTGGACCACGAGGATGGAGAATTTGATGAAGAGTCAACTGTGACGATACTGACGATACCAAGTATATAAACCTGGATTTTCTCGAATTATGCATTCTATCCCGCATATGATTAGCTAGAATAAAACAATTCAAAAAGGGAAATATTTTGAAAACTACCTAAAATAGTTTAGCTAGATTATAATAAATTAAACACTCACCAACGCAACATCATTGTTTATTATTTTCATCTACGTACACCCGATACATTCGATACATTCGGAGTTTGCCAGGCAAGTAACTACTTGTTAGATACCTCCCATTTCAACAGGAGCGGATACGGTGTTACACCATCTGCACAAGGTGGAGTTAACATCCTATCTCCATCAGCCACCAGCTGCCATTTTCACGTTTAAAACTCCGTTTCTGGTTCGGATATGACAGAGAACCATGGTCAGCAAATGATACTATGGGAATATTCTAACCTCAACGCCAGATTCAACTTCATTGTCCTAAAGGTGCGAGAGATCCAGCTGCCTATGCCTTTTATCCCAGCATCTGTAGCCCGAGACGTAGAGCAAGGGTCATTAGAAGTGTTTATAATGGCAAAAGGCTTCGGGTGACCGAGCTCTTAGCCACTATATCGATAATATTTATCTTATAACAATACGTTCAGTTCATACAACTCAATCCAAAGTCTATAATCAACTATTCAAAGCAAGAAAACCCTATAATTTTGCAAATATCTATATAATAGACTAAGGGTTGAGGTTATTTGCGCCCATTGAAGGCGCTAATATGTTGGATACTACCCTAGCAATGAAGGTAAACCAATGCCTGCTTATACCTTATTAAGCAAGACTCACGAAGGATTCTATACCTACCTAGGTAGGTATACGGACCCTGCATTTATATTCGCTCAAATATGCTCTCCCAAGCATCTTAGTAGAGTTACTGGCTGCCTAGAAATGTGGGAGGGGCCTATAGAAATACTAGGGTTGCAATTACACAATACTATATAAACAACCATCAGTTTTATGTTGTATATCTCGACAATGATAGTTCAATTCATAAGTTAAAGAACTAAGCCAATTCAAACCAGGCTATTTAAAATGGTTAACATTACTAGTAAGTACCTGCGAAAATATGTATATATATCAACTCAACCAAGTCGATTTATCAGCTCCCCTCCGTATAGGCTACGTACTATTCCCAGCCTTCACGGCGTTGGATGTATTTGGCCCATTGAATGTGCTTAACTTAATCTCCATCACGCACAACATGACACTTTCCTTGGTCTCTACGGACTTGAAGCCAGTCAGTGTCGATCGCAGCATCGTGGATGGGATCCCTGGGGGTATGCTAGCATCGTCGGCATCGCCCAACTTCACGCAATTCGTGTTACCGACGCATACTTTCGATACTGCTCCTGATTTCGACGTTATAATTGTACCGGGCGGCGCGGGAAGCCGTAACATCAACGGCACGAAACCCCATGTGGATTGGCTGAGGCAACGTATGGATGACCCAGAGCTGGATTACATGATGGCGGTTTGTACGGGGACGTCTCTGTTAGCTCGTACGGGAAAGATCGCTGGACGGAACGCGACGACGAATAAGGCCGCATTCAATTGGGTTAAGACAGTAGAGCATGCGGAAGACGTAAATTGGATCGCGAAGGCTCGGTGGGTGGTAGACGGCAACCTATGGACTAGCTCAGGGGTTAGTGCTGGTACGGATATGACACTAGGATGGATTGAAAAGTTATACGGAAGAAATGAAAGCGAGAGGGTACGGAACCTCATGGAATGGAACGCTTTAAATCAAACCGACGACCCATTTGCGGAGTATTATGGGTTAGTCTAATTAAGCACACACCCCTGAGTGCACCTACGATAATCTTAGGGGTATTATATGAATAACTTCATAAAAAAATCAATATCACTATAGCTTACCTTCTATATGAAGTAATAACGTATTCACTCAAAGCAAAGCGATTGTCAAAATTTTCATTTCAATTAGTTGAAGTGGGTGTTGAGCTAGCCAGGGGTTGGTATTTACCTCCCTGGGTATGCTCTCATACGAATTAGATTTTCTCCCAAACCATTTCTTACACATTTTCACCCATTCCCAGTTACACAGCGAACCCACCGGAATCATGCTGCCGCGGCTCTCCGGCGGCTTCAAATGTTCCATTCGGCAACAATCTTAAGCCCTGCGCGGTGCTACCACCCGGTGCCTCCCATGTAACATTATTCCCTAAGCTCCGCAAGAACTCGACAGTACTATTGTCATAAGCATATTCGAAGGAGACTTGAGGAGGGATAAGCTGATCGTGTAGTCTAGGAGACGCCAAGGCCTCGTGCGTCGTCAAGTTTTGGTCCAGCACATGGTGAAGATTTTGGATGGTAGCCGTGATGATACGACTGCCGCCAGCAGACCCTATCGCGAAGTATAACTTGCCGTCAGCTGTTTCTGCTATAGTGGGGGATATCGATGAGAGAGGTCTCTTCCCTGGGCGGATGAAATTCGCCGGGGTCGGCGGGTAGCCGTATGCATTGCTAGCACCCGGGACGGAGAAGTCATTCATCTCATTATTCATAATAATACCGGTTTCAGGGACAATGAGTTGAGATGCGAAAATCGTGTTGACAGTCGTTGTGAGGCTAATAGCAAGGCCAGACTTATCGGCAGTAACGATATGGCTGGTACCATGCGTTTGCGGGCTCTGTAGATTGCCAGGGTCGTAGTACGATACGTTCTGTGTGGTAAAATCGGAGATCTTGGAGCGAATCTGAGCGGCGGTCTCGTTGGAAACCATCCACTCCTGGTATTCATCAAGGCCATCGACGAAAAAGGGGTCACCAAGTTCGGTACGTTGTCCATAGGCGAATTTCATAGCTTGGTCTAATCGATGCGTGGTCAAGTTGATTGCGACCGGGTCAGCGAAGTCTGGGTAACCTTCGAAAATCTTCAAGGTACTGAGTGCGACCACGCCACTAGCCGGTGCACTGCAGCTCTTGAGCTTATATCCTCGATAATCAATCTCGGCAGGCTCTCGGAGCGCTATCTTGTAATTCTCTAGGTCATCTAGGGTCATCGTTCCATTGCTTGCCGACAACGCCGCGATTGTGGCTTCGGCGATGGGGCCGGTATAAAATGCATCCGGGCCATACTTGGAGATAGTCTCCAGCGTGTCGGCGTATCGTTTCCGTGTCATAGTCTCGCCTAGCCTGACTAGGTAGCCGTTCGGAGCGAAGTCGATTGCCCATGCTGGGTCGTCGGTCAAGAAGTCATGAGGTATTGTAGAATTAATCTGACCGATGAGGTCTTCCCCAACCTCGAAACCTTCCCGAGCAACCTTGATCGCCGGGGCCATAACCGTAGCCCAAGAGAGCTTGCCGTAGTTTCTATGCAGATACTCTAACCCACGGAGCTCTCCAGGTACACCACTAGGTTACACAAGTATTAGCCATAGGCCCAAGCCAACAAGTCCAATCAGGATTGTTACCTCGCTAATCCACCATATAAACTAGCGTCGGTGTTATTGGTGTACATATCCTCGAAAGCTGCAGCAGGGGCCGTCTCTCGGAAGTCAATGAACTCATACTTGCCGTCGCTGCCGCGGACAAGCATGAAGCCACCGCCACCAATACCGCTATGGTACATGGCAATAACTCCGACACAGAATACTGTGCCGACAAGAGCGTCTGCAGCATTTCCGCCCGCCTTCAGCAGATCGGTTCCGACCTTGGAGCAGACGGCGTTCTCGGATGCAACTGCGCCTAGTTTAGGGGCTTCCTGGGATGGGGCGGCGAAGACATCATTGGCCAAGAAGGATAGCTGTAAGACAGTGGCTGCGATCCGCGTAAAGGACGGCATGTTGCTAATCACTTGAAGAAATTGGTCCTGCGTAGATCCTGCTGAGCAAATATCTTCTTCATACTCGAGGCAGTGAACTAGAAGGACTATATATGCACATCTGCAGGGACTGACCGTGTAACTAATACCCCGGTCGGCTGAGATGCCATTCCGTATTAGCTCGATTCCTTCGTTGTGACGGTGAATCGACGATATGGAAATGAGGCTGTAGTTAGCGATCTAAATCCTTGGAAACCTGGAAATTCTCCAATACTTACAATGCTCTCAGCGCTGGGAGTACCAGGAAATCCCCGCACCTTCCCCACCGAAGCTTTAGGTGCCTTCCGCCCGTGTCCATCATATCATTCCGCGTCGTACCCCGGCCTTCCGTGTCGTGCTTCCCTTTCCGTTCCCCCCGTCGCGTACCCACCTAGCCGACTCTGCCTCAACCATCACATTACGAATTATGCCTAGGGGTATTTCAGAAGGCAATTAATCCCGAGATTTCGTCAATTTTCATGCTCGCCCGATTGATTAAGTCACATCTTCAACGATCCTACCCGCAGGTAGCACAGCAAATTATATTACTCGGATGGCACACTAGTGCGCCACTCGCACATAAAAAACAGCGCCGCCATATTACTTAGTTACGTACAGTAAGACAGATGTTGGGAACACAAGGCGAAGCTGAGCTGAGAGAGGTGATATCGAATTATATTTCCCGGTGTCTGTTTCAAGTATGTTCCTTTGTTACTTTTCACCGAAATTCATGACACTTCGTTGTAGCGCTGCAATAGAACGGTGGCATTATCTTAGGTAATTAATTGCATCCCCGTGTAGCATCATATGGGTGGGGATGTATCCGTGTCTATCCCTGCCTAAGGCTAGACTGCTAGAGATTGCGCAGTATCACGAAGTTCCTCGATTCGTTCCCACCACCGATGACGTGCGTACTAGCAGCTTCGAGAGCCAGCCATGATCCTTTCAACCACCCGGTATTTCGTTGTTTCTGCGCTGCTGTCAATGATCATGACAACCTTGGAACGTATTGATTGTAGGTGGTGCCGTACAATTCCATCCGACCAGTCAGTGGCCTGGATGCCTAAAGGACCCATAAGTTGGCAATGCGCAGCCCCCACAAGAAGTCAGTAGGCCCTTTCTCGAATGCTCTCGTCATGGGAGCTCATTGCCCTTCAAATGAGAGGGGACCTCGATGCATTTTGTTGGTATAATTTTCTTTCCAGGTGATGTTTATTCATCATCATCCAACATTCTACGCCGCTTTTTGCTATTACCACCACCTGCTCCGTTCGACTCCCCATCCCCGAGTTGCTTCGTCAATACATCCATTTCGTCTATCGGCAATTTCGACGCGAATTCCTTGTCTTTAGCCGCCCGTCGCTGTTCCGATGTTACGTCTCTAAGAGACCTATATGTGTCGTATAGCTTCTTGATGCTCACTTCAGCTACAGGTAGGATTATATAGGAACTCTCGTTATCTCCTCTGATGTTGAGTACCTCTCCAGTAACCGCTTCCACACATTGAAGTCTTCCATCTGGGTTCGTGTATACGAGAGCGAGCCCGAGGTCCTGGGTTGAATGGCTGAACGAAGAATGCTTGACGTCTAATAGGGTGCCGAGTTTATTCTTTGATGGTAAATTGGCTAGACTAAGATTCTCATAGTACTCGCGCGAAAACTTGCGGCTCGATCCAACGCCGAGATCCGCACTGTCGAAGTAGTCCTTGATAAGTTTCTCCTTATGGTTGAGTAGCCTCACATAAGCGTGTTGGACTACATAAACGTTCCGCAGCGTCGGTCGCAGGATAACGATAGGTCCGTCAGCGCTTGGGAACAATACGTTGGAATCATCACTAACAATAATGCGCGGGTCTGGGCTGCCAGTAGAAAAATTCCGAAGCTTGAAGCTTTGCTTGTCATTCAGGTACGTGCGACCCAATACCCGATTGAGGTCGCTATCATGAGGCACACCAACCAAGTCTTCTAATGCATCGTTCACAGCGGGATTCATATGTCCAAGTTGCGAATCTGGACCTAGCTTTGATTCGATATCATGTGTTGCCTTAGCTGCTTTGCTTTGGATTTCGATCATAATTCCCTTGAATCTCTTCAGCAGTGCTGATTGATGAAAGCGAAGTGATACAACATCAGTATTTGCAGCATTTTGCTCCAAATTCGTGTTATCCGAGATCGTCCTTTCCACAAGTTCGTCGATACCACGAAGAATTGTTTCAACCGGCTGACGCTGAGCTTGCTCATCATTTGGTTCTTGATTGCCAACGTTTTGAAGCGACTCCATTGTGAGTTTAGGCTGGAAAAAAAAATATGAAGCGTGAATTTTCGGGAAAAGATAATGTGGCTTTGTTTATAAGGAATGAGAATGGTTGGATAGGTGAACTCGACTGCTTGAAAGCGAATACAGGTTGATTTGGTCTAAAAACAGAATGAGAGACAGGAACACCAGGTTACGTATTTAATACGTGGGGTAACGGAGGGGTTGGTCACTCTGCAGATGCACGTACATACACGTACATCACATCATCACGCAACGAGCCGCGCTGAAGTTGACAAGATATGTGTATGTAGGTACCCGGCTACAAACACAATGGGCCCTAGTTCTTTGTATTGGCAACAAAAACACACAATTTTTTATGCAAGTCTTGTCTTTAACGAGTGTTGTAGAGTCACCATTGCGTCCACCGTACCTGTCATGTACATAATACTGTTTCATACTTCTCAAGTTAACCCACCATATATTGACCTGCAAACTTCCTAATAAGAGGCGCTATCATATATAATCGTTATAATATTACCGTTTTGTGACTCATCTATATAGCCTATGGTGGCCTATATAGATTATTGCCACGTACCGTCTGGTACCTCCGTTGATACATGCCATCGCCACCCCACTCCTAAATTGTACATCTAGGGACGACTCACAGGATCCCACTAGATGCAAACCCGACAATATATCGGGCCCAAACTAACTATATCATCAAGACTTTTCGGGCTTACGGGCAACTACTACTTTTTGGGCATAATAGGCGTGTATGTTTGGCGATCTCAACTCACGCCGTAGGTGCGCAGCGTATACAGCAATCTCTTCTGTCGACCATCCCATGACTTTAGTCCATATATAATTCAGATATCCTATTCACTATGTTAGTGTCACCGAAACACGTCGGCTTGGAACATCGATGAAAATATGTGTACCTTCAATATCTCTATCGAGGGCCAGTCTCGAAAATTGTCCAATGAGTTTCTGGTTCTCGTCCTCTGGCCACGGCCCTATAGGAGTCTGCGGGCAGTTAAGTCAGTGTTGCCTAGAAATTTCTAGCATGACTTTGAAAACTAACTTTCAGATCCTTCTCAAGGACGATTTCGAAACCAGCTTCTTTCATGCCCTTGACCTGCAGACCATCTTCAACGACACTGAAAGTACGACCAAGCTTCCTCCCAGCCTCAGTGAATACCCTGCCCCATTGGCTTAGAGCAGAATTTTCTGTAACCGTGCCGTCGTCGCTGACCATGAGACAGGTAGATTCTTTGTGTTCGAAGTAACCGCCAGGCTTTAACGCCTTGTATATTTCCCGATAGAAGCCATTCCAATCCTCAACGCATCCAGTAAGCCAGCGTAAGTGAATGTAGTCGAAGCTATTGGGCTGGTAGGTCCATGGTAGCGTTACGTCCTCGACCTCAAATCTTAGGTTGGGTGGGATCCATTGCGGCTTTTGAGGCGAGATGTCGACACCGATCACCTCAGCACCGGGGTAATCGTCGGCAAAGTCGCTAATGCTGATTAGCTTCTTATATCGTTCTCTAATAGAGAATGGGTAAGGCAGGTAGATTACATTGCCCACATCCCTACAAAACCTATTAGTGGACGAGAACTACCTTGCTAACCAACTGGACTGAATGCATTGTAACCTACCAACACCTGTAGCCACATCCAATACTTTCTGCGCAATGTTTAGAATATTAGGATGTGATATTGTTAGATGGGCCATCTTACTTGAACGTCATCACGAATCGGAGCTAAGAGAAGTTTTCCGTCCTGCATCAAGGTCGAAACATGGTGGCTAAAGTCAAGTTTTAGTATATAGTTAGATGACTAACTACTCTTGTAGTGCGTGAGCCTCACAGGATTTCCATGGATTCGTCGTGTAGGGCATCGTTTGGGTTCCTTTAAGACATAGGTTAGCATTCCTAGTCGGGATATTACAGTATGACAAGAAATACGAGAGGCTGAACACAAAAAGCCTCACCAAGACTGTGCGTTGCCACGTTCGCTATGGTATGTGCGGCCATGTATCACTCGATACTCAAGAATACTAGCACTTAACGATGCAGTCGAGCTAGCGTTATCGTCTTCGAAAGCAGAATCCCCATCGTCGGTGTCATCGTGCTAACAAGCGTTTATATCAGTATATCAAAGGTTTTCAGGGTCTAATACGGGCAGCTAACAAACATACCTGTACCTGGGCCCAATGCGAAGGGGGTAGAATACCGGTACTCTCGGGCCCGGTCGAAGTCGGCTCCACTGTTGGCTCTACTGTTGGTTCTGTTTCCGGTGCTGTCGCTGCCGTATTAGTAAGTAGGCTAGACATATTAGTCGTTACCTCGTTCGGTTACTAGTCGTTTTGTACGAGTGGACGTGTGACATATAGGTTCTCGAAGTTACTGCTGTGTTGGGCAAGGTAGTACGGTTTGTGGGTTAAGAAGAAAGTTCAAGTCAAAAGTCTTCAGAAATTCACAAAAAAAGCAAAAAACAACCTTTAGACAAGTAAACCTTAATAAGTGTCGGGCCGTGGTCGAGCCTACTTGGCTGCTTGGTAGTTAGGTAGGTACGTAGCGGGGAAAGGACTACCATTTGTACCCTCTTACTCATCATGCAAGTTGGCAAAAGGTTTATCTTTACATCATCTAGAGTTGCATCTTGTACAACCTATATTTGAGCGGCTTCGTGCAGCTGCCAACGTTAAATATTTAGCTTAAGTTACATGTATGTAACCATCAGCTCCTGAGGCTGTAGGTAATAGGATGTAATAAAATATTGTTTGCTGCTAATAACGATATCATGTTTGATTAGTTAAACAAAATGTTATATGATTTTATAAATATTCTTAGACACCTAGGTGAGAGTGATAAATTGAGATCTAATGAATCATTGTGTACCTCATTTATATTCGACGCCACGATATTTTTCTACTCGAGTTGGTCCTACATATTAAATAAAAGTAGGGGAAGTACTGAATCATCTATCCGTACAAAGTACCCGGGCAGGTAGATACGTTACAGACGATCGCCAATCGTAAAACTTCCTATGTATATCAATTCGCCAATCGTCGACCTTATTCCTCTGATCTATCACCCTTACCACTTCGTCATCGGCCCCTCCTTCCGATTGTACCGCTTGACTATTTTCTCGAAGGAAGAGGAGAGCAAATTCTAATTTAGTGGCGTCCACTCGCATTCACGTTCGGGGACCCGAGGAGGTGGCGCCATTATTAACCGTCATATATCATTTCTCCTACACGCACATGGATATCCTTAATAGGTACACCGCCGCGAGTCGTCGTATCTCGGCTGCATATAGATCAAATTTTCCCTCGGAAGAACGCACATGGAGTTCCTTCTTTCAAGGTATCGCACGGAACGACCCGGTACCTCAACGTGCTAGTGCCATTTCAAGGGTCGAGTTTGTGAGATGTTTGCTTGTCATGACGATATACGTTGTTCAGACCCCTTCCTTCATCTCCATTTGACACAGGTGTGCCTAGTCAATGTAAGATACAAATCCATGCATCCATGGATAATGGCTTATATAATGAGCGGCCCATACACAACTCATTCTTAATTAGGTCTAACATGCAGCATACCCATGTTATTAAGTACTACGTGAGTAGGCATCTAAGTAGTCGGATTGTCGATCGCGGGGTTTTGTTCGTTCGGTCCGGCCATGTTTGTCGGCAGCTTTAACCCTTATTGGGATATGTCATTCATCAGCCGTGTTGTTCAGCTTCTGCATCTCCGCCTCTATCCGTTCTCCTCTCTCCAATAGCTGAGTTGTTTATTAGCTATCAATTAGCGTTTCCCATTCATGTTTCTGCATTAACCGTATCTACGATACACAACATGCAACACGGGTTGAAACTTGTTCTATCTCCTACAACCAAATTTGGTCTGTCGGTCTGGTTGACGAGAATGGGAATCAACGGCGAATTGATTGGGTGGGGCTAATAAAAGGGGAAAACACGTGGGTTGATTAATAGACCGAGGAGAAAGAAAAAAGCAAGGTGAGCAAAAATTTGTCTGAGGCACAGACAAAAACAAATTGCCCACTACTGGAGTCGAACCAGTCATCTCCTCATAGCTTCCCCAGTAGAATACGGTCTTGAAGAATCGTACTTATACTAGTGAGGCGCATTACCGCTGTGCCAAGCGGGCTTTTCGATGTTTAAATTGTGCCAATCAGGCAGCTATATAGATAGGTTGCATTGAATACGAGGATCATGTTCGGAAATCTGTGAGCATTCGATTGCGATGTGGGTTCGTGAGAAAATAAAGCAAACCGGGAACCCTCGTATTACCCATTCGGGGATAGCCTCCCTTGTCGATAATCCACATGGTTTTGGAGCGGAACGGCCCCACCAACGGATGTACGTAACCTTAACTCTAAAAGGCGGTTATCGCTGCGAATTCTGAATATCTCCACTCATTTCACGATAGAGTTTTCGGGATGCATAGCTTGCCTACCTAATACATCTAATACATACATACACATGCATCTATCTATTAAGTAAGAGACGGGGTAAGATATGATTTCCAGAAGACGGAGATTAACTTCTGAGGAATTCGAAGATATGATCCTATACAATACGCAAGGATGATAAAAGTCAACACTAGAGACAGGAATCTGTCTCAACCTATGTATTTTATCACTTGATTTATATAAAGTAATGCATTAAAGCTCACCTCTTTCTTTTACAATAGCCCAGTTGAAAATCATTAAAAATATGTATCTTTACACGAAAATTAGGCGACTAGAAACATACCTACATTGTGGTCCAGACAGGGCCCTGTCTCCAGTGTTGACTTTTACTATCCTTGCGTGTTGTATGCATCGGACAATTCGAGGCCAACTAGAGAACAAATCGTCTAGTCATAATCTCGACATCACGTCCAATCAACCATCTATGTAGATAATAGATGTCTTCGTCCATTGAAACAACCAACAAATTAATTAGAGTGGATCCTACAAGATGAACTCGCTATATTTGGGTGTTCTATCAAACTAGCGATGTTGTGCTATTTGCTTCGACCGAATTATGGCGGTGAATGCCATCGGTAAGGCATAAGGTACTACGTGAGGCCATGGGTACAAAATCCAGTAGGTATGGTCCATACCGAAATGCTGGGACCTCCCTCTATTCTGGTGGAATAATCAGTCCTGCAATTTTGTTATGGTCGCTTTTCGCTAAATTTCATGTTGAACATGTGATAATCTATTCAGCAGCAAGTCTTGAGACCAACGAGTAACGACGGACTCTAACACATTTGAAAAGTTCGGGGGCCAATTGGTTACACCAATCCCAACGGGGGAGCAAGGACGTTAAAAATTGCAATCTTGATTGACTTCTCTTTAACCTACCCTTCCTCATCTAAAAGGGGCATCCTGTCCACTTGCTACTCTTAATTCTCTGGGAATCAGTCTTGACCTCTTCAATACCTAATCCCATACGATTTCTTGGACCGAGGTCTGAAATTAGGTACCCTTGAGGCATGTACTCTTCGGGGTCATCACCCGGAACCTTTCCACCATACAACCAGATAGCCCAAGCCACGGGACCCCAGCGATTCCAGAATGTCGGCTCGACGTAATACGGATAGTTCCCGTATGGATTTCGCTGCTTAATGCGACCCGTCTGCGGATCTGGATCGCCTCCTAGCTTATTTTCGAAGAATCGTGGGAGCATTAAGTATCGAAGGGCGAATCGGCGAAGAGTGAGAAGGGTGTAGGTAATCATAATTGTCGCGATGTCGGGTTCAGATAGCCTAATACATTAGCATTTGTGTTACATCCCGTCCTCGCACCCAGTTAACGGGAAATAAGCAAGCAAGACATATGTCGATCCGTGTAACGCTAAATTTAATGGAACCAACACGGAGAACCAATGATTCATAACTCTGCATCGTAAGCACGGGTGTAGGGACGGCAACTTACATAAAAGCCTCACGTACCCTCCCACCTATAAGACTAATAACGATATCCGTCGCGAAAGGTTTGGCAAACCACGGAACCCAGTATGTCATCATAGGTATTAAAGCTCTTGCTGGCTTCGCGCATACTTTACTGGGCTTCATGGCGACGACTTCGTAAGCTTGCGCCCAAGCTGCAATATCGTCGGCGAATTCGGTACCGTCGCGCCATCCTGACTCGGCGCGAGCTAGGAAACCTTTGTACTCGATACCCATTGCGTCACCAACACTCTTCCAAAATACGCCGTAGGCGCAATACTCCATGTCGTTCATGGGCCGCCACTCGTACAGACGTGCAAATCGTGGCGGCTCCGTTACGAATACGGACAGTGTGTACAACAGGTCGGAGTTGGAAATGGTACCCTCCTTGACATATTTGCTATGTAGAAAATTCATACGAGCAATTCCTTGCGAGGCCCGATCGGTGGTCGGAGGGTTGTTTAAGAATTCGCCAATCAAGGCAGTGGTGTCTTCGAATCTGTTGCTTGTTTAGTGGTTTCCGAGAGACAATGCGATTTGCGTAACGTTGCCCTACCACCCGGAACGTCGCACAAGAGTGTAGATCTCTACATATGATTGGATATCGTGAAACAAACAAGCAAAAACGGGCGCGAAATAAGAAAAACCTACCTCTTGAGACTCCGAACTGGATCCGTCAAGTTTCCGGTGGCTAAGAGTAGGCGGCTTACGCTCTCAACGCCATATGTCTAGAGATAGGCGGTGCCCACGTTAGCAAGCCATCACCATCCAGAAATACCTATGCATCATAGGCGGGCGATGTCTGCGACGAACCTTGAATAGCCCAAATTCCAAACTCAAAAAATGGAAGAGCGGCATCTCCCACTTAGCCAAGAACATGATGATCTTCTGGGCATTGACGGTCGTCATGCGCGCGAGCGAGGCGCGGTCCGTGAAGCCCATTTGCTTACGGAAGGCATGTTCGCGGCGGTAGCGGGACACCCGGCATAGGGTGACATAGAGCACACCCGCAGAGATCAGGATCTGTTTCCATGATGCCGATGATAGAACATCTAAAAGCGTCGGCGACAGTGCAATGACCGCCGGGGCATGTATACCGATTACTGAGGAATTCATCGAGAGAAATAAATGGTTATATATATGTCAAGTCCTACGGTCCATCTAACTGACCATTTATTCGAGGGCTATTAGTGAGCAACGTGTGAGCAGGCCGAGGTATATATATAGGGCAAGTAACTTTCTTTGCTCATGATTGCTAACTACCTATAGTTAGGTGACATCGGGTGTTGGTTAACCGTGCATCATTTCTCCTCGCTTTATGACGGGTTACATTAGTTCAACCAGGATTATGGAACCGCTTCATATATTCTGATAGGTCCGAAGTCTCCTGTTAATTGCTATAGAATTGCAGCTAGCGCCTGTGATTCGGCACTTAAAGCATGTTTTAGACAAGTCTCGCTTCATCGGAATATGTGGACATGAAAAACTCGGTGGCTATAGAGTATAAACTTGCACAACTAGCAGGGCAAACAACATAAAGCTGTGGACCTCATTGTATTTGCTATAGCTTGACCTGACTGGATCTGACCTATAGTAGAGGCTGAAGTCCTAGGCAATATTATTAAAGCTCCGAATTAATGATCGTACGGTTGATGCTGACTGATCCTGCGTAATGCCTAATACTACATATGATGATGCCAGCAAGCCGATGATCTCTTCACAGTCAAAGCGTAGTCGTGTCTTATTTTCATAATTATTATTTATCTATCCATCATTATAATTATTCATGTTTCCTTAGCTTTCTCCTTTCTACTGTTCTTCCAGGCCTTGATTTGGTTCAGCAGGCCAATAACCAACGGAACTCCTACAGGTCCTAGCAAGGGTAGGTATACAGCAATCTTATGCTCGTCGGGGAAATATAACTGTCCGACCATACTTTTTTCGAAAAAGGCGCGTTCAGCTTCCACGTCAGCAATTCTTGCATGTTCGAGGCCACCAGTCGCACCCAGATTTGAACATGCAAGTTGTAAATGATGCATGGATTTGGCCACACCATCAGCTACGCTGGATGGGATAGATATACTCGGCAACGCCAATGAGAGGCGAGCTAGCGAACCCAATGAAGAGGAGGCTCGGAGGAGTAGGTCGGCTGTCCGGATGCGCGTAAGTGTGGAAAGGCGCATTGGTAAGGGACCCGATTGTGGGGTGCCGAGAAGCGAGAGCAGATGTGAAGTGAAGGTTAACACAGGTTGCTTTAATAGGTCCGAAGGGACACGGTCTGTAGAAGGAGGTGGTAGGAGATATACAGAGCCCCATTGTGGTATAAGCCAAGACTGAGAAGTGGCCGTTTCCGAGGCGGTGCCAATTGTCTGGTTGCCAATATAAACGACAAAATTAACGGTTGGCGCACCTCCTATAGAGGGTGACAACGGCCATTCAGCTGCATTGATAAAAGAGGATAAATCTTCCTTGCTAAGTACTTGTGACTGCACACCGGGAGAGGCGTACAATTGGACCTGGGTATCAATAGTAAAATTGTGGATAGGTCCAAGCATATCTAGTATTGGTTTCATGTATTCGTCTATAGCGGAGTCAATATCCCAGCTACTCGGAACCAATCCGCTCGTGAATAAAGAGAAGGTAAGATGGTAAGTTCGAGAATATTTTAAGGATCTTGTCATTCGCTTCGATAGTGAATCACTTAGGTCTTGAGAAGATCCCAAGGGTCGTTGTTCGAAAGGCATGGACGATTTCGATAGAAGGTATGACATGACATCTCGCTCTTCGGAGAAGGCATCTCGTAGTTGTGTTGCTAGATAGGTCGCAAGATTCGACGAGGTAGCATCGGGTGTCGGTATCGAGTTGGGAGGGTACGTTATTTCGAGGACAGGTTCTCGAGAATGGAGGGAGGATATAAAGGCGTCGCCGGGGCTTAAGCGTAATGTGAGGGCGGTATTTGAACTATGCGCAGAACTGGTTTTGTAATCTGCATTGGTCGAAGGAGACACTTCAAGTTGTAAGTGGTGCCCTTTGAAGTCGTCCGTAGTATCTAAGGCTTGTTGTGTGATGCGTACGAGGTTCTCGGTTTCATCTTTTTGTAGAGTAGGCGCATCGATAGCAATCCGTATGGGGAATACCGGACTACATAACTGGAAAGTAGAAATGGACACATTAGTAATGAATATAGCTTCACATTAAAGAGCACTCCAACCTTGCCATCTGCCCAATCCATCATCTGGCTTAGGGGCAATTCTGCCCGGTATATGGTAGTTGTCTTCCACCATATTGGTAATCCTAGGAATAGAACTATAAACCAAAAAGATGCAACTATATAGGATCGTCTTTGGATATCTTCTGACTTCTCGGGAGGTGGCTCTTTTCGCGTCTTTGATGGATTTGCGACATCGTTATTATTCGTTGTAGCATTGCCAGTGCCTACAATTGATTCGGTTTGGGGTATAGCACTGTCATGTCGTTTTTCGGAAACAGAAGACATGACTATATCAAACGTTACTATCCTTCAGAAAGCATGGTATTGGGATCAATTGCGTCGTTGGAACTAGTTTGACTTGATCTTTGGTGCCAGCGTGTCGCAAAATGAACCATGTAAGATTGAATGCTTGTCTACAAATTACAAGTACCTAGGTACCTCCTTTAAGATTGAAGGACGGAACCTTGGAAGCTTTCCGGCGTTATCTAAGCTCCGATTTGCGCTTTACTCCATTAAATTCTTAGGTACGGTACATCCATGGATGTATTTTAGGTGAGACGGGAAGGAAAGTACAACGAAGAGTTCTAAATAACTTTAATTGTTACTATTAAAACATTTCGGATTAAAATCGAATTGAGTTTATTCTTAACTTCTACATCTCATTCCTCCTGTGATTCTGCGCCGCTTTGTGATTTGAATAAAAATAGCATTTATCATGGACACCGGAGTTTCGTAATCAAACATGGCTTATTGTCTCTACAAGCCCACGGACCTTATTGGCTTCGTCTTTACTCGAATGCGAATGCGATAACAATTCAACCCACCACGATCCAATACGACAAGGGAATACTACCTGGCACGAGACATGTATGGAAGGCAACTCCTAGATAAATCCTTTTAAATTCCCGAGAGTCAAGGATCTTGAATGTTCAAATCGGCTTTACGAGTACAATCGAGCACCTCACCGTATAAGCTATATAAGCTATGTAACGAGCCTACGTTGCAAGCCGAGGTTCACAAGACGCAACTAAGAAAATGCCCAAGTGAATTAGGAAAAACCAACAACCCAATGACGAGGGGTAATTCCAAGATTGGCCAGTGCATATCCATATGACTTTACTTATTGACGCAGCATTCGATTCGCAGGGGTCAAGTAGACGCCATCCATGTGTTGGGTAATTATTGAAAGAAGCCTAACGACTTCGATACGTCTTCCATGTCGTGACTCCTTTCTCTACCTAGGTAAAGCTTGATATCCGGCAAACGGACCAGGGATCGGTGGTCTACGGAAAACAACCATCCCATCAAGAAGCAAAAATCCACTCGGCCCACTGAGGTCTGGCATTTATAGACACTAGACGCTAGACCACGCCACCTGCCATACTAGCCGTGCTATCTTATTTATTTAGCAATGCCCTCTTGACGTACTTTACTGACGCTGTGGTTTTTTTTTGTCTCACGTTTCTTGGCAATCTTTTTCACCTCTTGTTTGCTTTACATGGCATCCTTTGGATTTCGAAGCGATTGATGTGCCATATGAATATTACGATGCCTCTCGCTTTTCTTGCCTTCTAGTCAATATATTATGCTCACCTCTCATTCTCTTCCCTGTCACGAAATCCTCATTCCGGGAAACTGGGAACATGCCGAGTAAGTTACACGACTTCACACAAACATGGCTAGATCTGGCTCCAGGGTTTCCGGTGGAACGGTCCCTGAACTTGATTATTTCCCGATCGAGTCGCCTCATCGCATTTAACTAATATCGGGCTCAGTTCCTTTGTCTCTCTCGTTGCCGGCGGCAGCGGCCGGCCTTGCCTATCTAAATGCCAAGACGGGATTTTGGTACGATAAGACTCTACTGTACGGCAGCATCGCGGCACTCTCTCGCAATTATCGTCGTGAACGAAATGATCGCACTAGTACCTTCTATATACTAGAACAAGCGGCAAAGGATAAGTCCTCGAAAAATCGGCCATTTATTCTTTTCGAAGACAAGTCATGGACGTATGCTCAGGTCTACGAGGCCGCTTTGAAGTATGGTAATTGGCTGAAAACGAACTTCGATGTTAAGCCCAAGGATATTGTCGCCGTGGATCTTCAGAATTCGGATCATTTCATATTCGTCTGTTTTGGCTTGTGGTCTATAGGAGCGAAGCCGGCCTATATTAACTTCAACCTGACAGGCCAGGCATTGATTCATTGCGTCAAGACGGCAGAAGCAGCTCTCATGCTAGTCGATCCGGAAATCGCAGCGAATGTAGACGAACATGTGCGAGAGAAGCTAGAAGGTCTACGAATTCAACTATTAACAGACGAAGTGAAGGCTGAAATTCTTGCTGTTGACCCTGTACGACCACCGGATTCTCTCCGCACCGGTCAATCAGCCAAGGATCCCGGCATTCTCATATACACTTCGGGGACCACGGGTTTGCCAAAAGCTGCCGTTGTTTCATGGCGAAAATTAACATCTGCTGGTTCTTTTTCAGGCGGTTGGTTAGGTACCAAATCATCTGACGTATTTTATACAGTAAGTACCAAACTCTACATGTTTATGAATGGGTTCGTTTTAACGTATATCCCATTCAGTGTATGCCTCTTTATCACGGCTCAGCTACACTTATGGGAATGGCGCATTGTTTAGAATCTCGCTGTACATTTGCGATCGGCAAGAAATTCTCTACCAAGACATTTTGGAAAGAGGCTCGCCAATATAACGCAACGATGATACAATATGTGGGGGAGACGTGCAGATATTTGCTTGCAGCACCACCCGAAATCGACCCCGTTACGGGCGAGAATCTAGACAGAAAGCATAGGATTCGCTTGGCCTATGGTAATGGGTTACGTCCCGATATTTGGGAGAAATTTAGAGAGCGATTTGGTATAGATGGGATTGCGGAATTCTACGGGTCCACAGAAGGTGGTTTGGCAACATGGAACTATTCCCGAAACGATTTTGGAAGTGGTGCGATTGGACGCTTCGGTCTGATCTACTCGCAAATCTCGCAGATGGTATCCGCTATAATAGAGCTGGATTCCGAAGTGGATGCCCCTTGGCGTGACCCGAAGACTGGCTTTTGTCGACAAGTCAAACGTGGGGATATTGGCGAATTACTATTTAAACTACCAGGCGACGCCGAAGAAAACTTCCAAGGGTATTATAATAATCGTGCAGCAACCGAGAGCAAGATTATTCGCAACGTTTTTAAGAAAGGCGATGCGTATTTCCGATCGGGAGACTTAGTCAGGTTTGATTCGGAGGGGCGAATGTTCTTTCAAGATCGAATTGGTGATACATACCGATGGAAGAGCGAGAACGTGGCTACTACAGAGGTTAGTGAGGCACTGGGTACACATCCAGATGTACAGGAGGCGAATGTGTATGGTGTACAGTTGCCACACCATGACGGGCGGGCTGGATGCGCCGCAATCTCGTTTTCTAGGGAGCAACTTGACGATTCGCTGTTACAGTCACTAGCCGAACATACACGCAGCAGGTTGCCCAAATATGCAGTGCCACTCTTCTTAAGGGTAGGGAAAGGACTTACGAAGGCCGTTACACATACGAATAAGCAACAAAAGCACGAACTCAGGACACAAGGTGTTGATCCTTCGCTAGTTGGCGATGATGAGTTGTACTGGCTTAGGGGTGGGACTTACGTCAAATTCACTAAGAAGGAATGGGATATTTTGAATGCTGGACAAGTGAAGCTTTGATTTATTTATTCGATATCTATACCATCTGATTTATTGAAGACATAAGAGAGTTAGCTTGCAGTACGAATCTACCATGCATAGATACCCATGGACATATATGGTGCGCAAGTACAAGTGGTACGGATATAGGGTACTGTTAATATGTGGGAACATACCTGGAATGGAGATTTGTATATACGGTTATACTTGAGGATTATTTAGTCCGTCCCATCTGTTTTTCGCGTTAGCGATTCGAATATATCTAACGACAATACAAAATATCATGACACTATGAGCTTAGGTGTATTAGGCGCTGAATGTGATGAATAGACCCCCTATTTGACAGGCCTATTTAACGTCCACGGGTAATGTGTCTAAGAGTTGGGTGCGTAATAAGCTAATTCTAGTAGGCTAGAAGCTCACTGTGGATCCTGTCGACCGCCCCGCCGTATCCAGCGGCTAGGTATTAAAGTTAGGCCCCACCAACCCACCTACCCCTCCAAAATTTACCCCTCCGCCCCTCTAAAGCCGACAAGAAAATAAAAATTTCAACATTTTAACTACCTAGGTATTTCATCACTCCCGCCAGAACATCCCCAGTTTCACCCCCATAATCTGCCACGATGGCGTCAGAACTGAGCGCGGCGCCAGTGCTCTCAACGCCAGCAGAGCACACATTTTTCGAAGACCCAACACCTGCCTCCGCGATCGAGCAAGCGAAACGACCTCATAGACCCGACCATGAACTCTACGAAGTCTACGAGATAGTACGGACGGTCGCTGAGGTACGGCAAAATGGTTGGAAACGTATAGCCCTACAATTCCCCGACGCTATGCTGCCCGATGCACCTTGGGTTGTGGGTGCGCTAAGTTCGGAGCTGGAGAAAGAGCAGAAAGAAAATCAAGAACAGAAACAACGATTATACATCCTAGCGGACACTTCGTATAGTTCATGTTGTGTGGATGAGATCGCAGCTGAACACGCAGATGCAGATGGTGTTGTGCATTATGGCCGCGCATGCTTAAGTCCTACATCAAGATTACCAGTGCTACACATATTCACAAGGCAAAAGTTGGATTACGAAACCGTGGCGGAAGCGTTCGAAATCGAGTTCCCAGAGAAGACGGAGAAAACGATACTAATGGCGGATGTTATGTTTCAAGAGCACGTCACACCTATATGCGAATTATTAAGTGAAAGGGGGTATACCAACGTTATCGCAACGGAAATTGTACGAGACCCGACCGGAACGATACCGAATCGCAAACTAGTATTCCCGGACGAATCAGCCGATTATAACCTGAACGAATATCACCTATTCCACATCGCAACACCGCCAACCTCGCTCCTCCTCACTCTCTCCTCTCGCCTCGCCTCCTTACGCATTTACTCGACGCCTTCCTCGCCCTACACGACAACCTCCGAAACCCCAGACCCAAGTACAACACCTGCCTTACTACGCCGCCGCTATGCGCTTGTCATTCGACTTGCGACAGCGTCCATTATTGGAATATTAGTGAACACATTATCTGTTAAAAATTACATGTCCACTATCTCAACGTTAAGGAGTCAGATCGCGGCTGCTGGAAAGAAGAGTTATACGATTGTCGTTGGTAAACTGAATGCAGCGAAGCTCGCCAATTTCGCTGAAATAGATGGTTGGGTGGTTGTTGGATGCTGGGAAAGTGGGTTGGTAGAACATGAGAACTTGTGGAAGCCTGTCATTACGCCCTTCGAACTCGAACTTGCGTTGCAAGGTGAAGAAAGTAGGATATGGACGGGAGAATGGTGGGGTGGTATTGAGGGCGTTAAGGCGCCAGCCATTACCGATGGAAACGATGAGCACAATTTAGGGCAAGAAAAAGAGGAAGTCATCGAAACAACGGGGGATGTTGAAGGTGGTGTCGACGACGAAGAATCTGAACCCCCCGAGTTTGATCTCCGCACCGGAAAACTCGTGAGCCATAGTCGACCGATGCGACTCGCCATACGAAGCGTACCACGAAGTGCACCCAAAACCGATACCGTCAGCCTAAACCTAAATCCTGCATCCTCGGCCATTGTTAAGCGAGCTGTTGGGGATGTGGCCCTAGTCAATGGTGTAGCGAGCCCTGGAGCAGAATTCTTAAGATCGCAAAGAACATGGCAGGGTTTGGGCACGGATTTTGGTGCCGAGGATGACAATGAAGAGAGCACAGTTGTTGAGGAAGGTCGAAGTGGAATTGCTAGAGGGTATACTGTGGGAAGTGATCGATTGCAGACGTGATCCTATCTTCTAAGCCCAGCTTGTTTGCGAGTTCGGTGCAGAGTAAAGCCACTTCAGTTGCAAAGACTCTAGTCCGGGAACAGGAACAAAGGAACACCGCAGGGCTTGTCGACCTTCGCACATTCGTTGGCCAGGACTGGCGCTTCTGCGAATCCGCCCCCGCCCCCGTCCCCGTCCGCCTCTAGATCTGTCAATATCTAGGAAATTCCATCGAGAACGTAAGACTATCTAAGTCTAACTAGCGTCGAGGAAATATGAACGGATATAAACGACCCGGCAGATTTTGCGATAATCCCCGACGTCAGACCAGGTGCGTATATACATGGTCATAGTAAATATCTAGAATATTTCGTCATATATATGCGAATCAAATATTGCAAGAATTCTTTAACATTTATGAGTGAACTTGCGCGCTATTCTACTCTATCCAGTCTTGATTCTATCCAGTCATTTGAATGAGCGACAGCTATAAACGGATCTTTTCACCTATATCCCAGTCACACAGAACCAAAACAGTCATACGCTGTACTGACATGAATCGACCTGCAAAGCGATAAAAGCACCATCATTCATGAAGCACTCAAATCCACACAGGGGCACATTCGAAGATCATTAAAAGCATCGCCGTTTTAATCGTAAAATTCGTAATCGTCGCGAATCGAAATTTGCGCCGTGCTAAATCGAAGGGTATACGATCTCGTTCGTTCCATCAGACAAGTCCTCGAACAATAACTGACATTTCATCTTGTCTCATCTCATCTCAAATCCGACTAGCTTCGTTCCAATCCCAACTAAAGCTCAAACAATAGGGGTAGTTGAACAAGCAATTTCAGATCTCCAGTCAAACCAACCAACGCCGATACCTCTTATAAATCCCCCTTTCCATACCGACAATTTCGAATAATTCCTCTATATAAGCTGCTTGCGATGGCAGCAGAACCCCAATTGCTCACGTTTAAACGTAGACGCGGCGGTGAGAATGGGTACTATGCCTGCTATGTGGGCTTCGGCTGTTGCGGTGTCCGTGGCGGTGGGTATGGGTCTCGCGGTAGTATGTGGTGCGGTCACCATTGCTAGTTCGGTCGCCATGCAAGCAAGCTAGGATCGAGGTGATGAAAAAGAAGATGCAATTCATAATACCGAAAGCGAAAGACGCCTTGAGCATAGCGCAGGTCTTGTCGATGTCGGCATCCCAAGTTGTGACGGAGGCGCTACCGAAGGGACCGAAACTAACATCGTAGGGGTCGCCGCGGGTGATGCTTGAGCAATTAGCGTTAGCAATGAAGCGCAGAGCCCATACGGCGCCGATGAAGGCTCCGACGAATAGCAGGTCGAAGATTGCGACGAAAGTTGCGTTCGCGGACGAGCGGTGGTAGCTAAACAAGGTGTAGATTGACCAGGCGAGGGCGAGGACTGATACGATGAATAGGACCAGAATGTAGTTGGGTGTCAACTCGTTCAACTGCACATAGCCATTGACGAAATAGGCCAACATGCCCATTGTTGGGATCTTAAAGAGGGTTTGTTAATACACATAATCGGAATGCGACCGATCGGCGCGGGAGCTCAGTTCGGCTTATGCGGAAAGACGGGGATGGGATATAAGGACTTACCAATGTGATTATTTGCATAAATCGCCAAAAGGCGAAGAAGATTGCGAACATCATCTTGTCAAAATACCTTCTTCTTAATCTTCTATGTGTCTCAGTGAAGTAGAGGTGAGGTAAGAAGGTCTGCGACCAACAAAATGATAACGGATAGTGATGGTGGTGAAGGTGAGAGGTAGGTGAGAAGAAACAGGAATAACGGAGTAAAAAGAAAAAGAAGACCGAGAAGAGCGAAAAGGTGGAGAGCTCTACCTCTCAGCTCCTTGAAGATGGATGGTGGATGTGACCTACGGCGCCAAGAGCTGCAAGACGAGGCGGGCGGTTGGTTAAGTTGGACCAGGATGTCGCCGTCTCGGGGTCTTATGCGTCTTTTTTTATTACTAGCCCTACGTATGTGATTTGATACCTAACATGTGGTTGTATGTATTGGTGCGGAGAGCGCCAGTGTGATATTTTTCACGAGAATCGTAGAACCAGTAATTCGGGATGAGTCTTATATACAATAGCATGGGAATAGGGATATATTGTCAATACAATAACGTAGTGGTCGGGGTATAAACTAGTACTGTGTCCTATTCTGCCATTGATAATTATAATACTATATCTGGATCGCTATTCGCTGTCCACTTCGTTTGGTTAGGGATGAAAGGATGGATGGTGAATTGGAAAAAAAGGCTGACTGAAAATCGATGGTGGGGTACTGAACCCCTTCGAGTTGGGGTAAACAAAATTCGTGCGGCAGGGCAACCACCTTCTAGGCTTTGGAGCTACACTTATGACGTCGGAAGAAATCAACCGGGAAATAACATCCCTCCTAGCCTATTAGAAAGTTAAAGGATTCCGAAGCTATGGACCCATGCACCTGTGTATCTTGAATTTGAAGTTGAGCAGGGTAAGGTAACAAGAAAACTAGAAATGTGCAATTAAAATCTTCGTATACAGAATTGAGGTGGAAGAATTAGTTACATCGCAGAAATAGTCATGTTAATCCAATTCGTCCGTGTGAATATTAAATCAGGTAACACGTCAGTACCTACGTACCTAGGTACATACACGTATTCTCTGACTGGGATCAACCTTCCAGACCGCATGAAAATGGGCGGGGTTGGTTAGCCTTATTCATCTTTAGTACCTCTACTTAGCGGATTTAGGGGTTAGGGTGGCTGGTCAACACGAACTTGACAACTTCAACATCTTTCTGCCAAGAGCCAATTCATATGACTTTGGTTGAAAATTGGAGGGCAAAATCATCTAGTCAACTCACATTCAAAGGAATACCGATTGATGAACTCAGAAAGTAAGGGGAAAAGTAAACAGATAAGTAGATGCATAAGCGAAAGCCCCGCGATCGAAGATCAAGATTGGCGACCAAGCTGCCAAGTTGCGACACTGTGTTCGATTCATATGGAGTTTTAATACTCCGAGGTCTCGGAATAGGGCAGCTTTTGAAAGTAGGTGTATGTCACAGAAAATTGAAAAATGATAGTAAGTTATGAATGGACTAAATAAATCTAGAACAGCACGTGGGAACATACCTCTTTAATAAGAACTAAAAGGACCGACGACTCACATCATCGCGGAATCGTCGGAATTACTCACCTCAGCGATATTAATCATCATCGAGTACTATCGCGACGCCGAGGTATCTTTGCCCATTATTAGCTAACGTAATGGGTCGAGTATACTTAAAATATCGTCGATGCTAGGGCATCGGAGTGGGCGGTGATGACGCCAGCTCCGTTTCTGATGACACCTCAAGAATCAAATATTTAATCGAAAATATGAACAACGCGCCGACAGAATATAGGAGTTGATATCACCCAATATGAATTAGGTATCATGTCAAATGTTCACGGCCGTCTATACTACATAATAGTAAGTAGTATGTGATTCTACTGCTACTCGACCACGCGAGAAAATAGCACGTCGCTGACTGGATGACCCGCATAGCGTCAGCAATGCCATGGGAATAACGACTCGGTAACTTGACGTTACATAGTCAATGCTTACATAGCTCTATCGACCGACGTTGACACGATGAGATGCTGGCCAAGGCAGGGGGCATCCCATAATAAATATTTGACGATGCCGCTTGAACCTCCATTTTTTGAGGAGATTCTTCTACTACCTACCTATACCCTGAGTTATTGGGTTGTAGGAGAGTGTAACTAATAGTCAAGATATTCTCACGCGACATGGCCCTCTCCCACCTATTCGTCTTAAGCCTGGTCGGCTCCACCATAGCAACAGACCTGAGCACTCTTCCAGATCTCCTTAAGGCTATCTCAGCGGATGTATTCCCAGATTTCAAGAGTATATCACAGGATATCTACGCCCATCCCGAGACTTCTACCCAAGAATTCCACGCCCATGATTCCGTCGTGGAGTACTTCACCGTCACAAAGCCTGGTTTATGGGATGTGACGCCACATGCTTACGGCCAACCAACAGCATTTGCCCTGGATTTCGTACACAAACCCTCCGGGTTTTCTGGATCTGAGGATGACATTCCTGTTGTGGGTTTCATGGCTGAATACGATGCGCTCCTTGGCATTGGCCACGCTTGTGGTCATAACCATATCTTACTCAATGGCCTCGCTGCTTCAAATATGGCACGTCAAGCTCTCATTGACTTGGATATCCCTGGGAGAATCAGAGTTATCGGAACACCCGACGAAGAAAACACAGGAGGCAAAGAGCGACTCCGAGACGCCGGTGCGTTTGATGGTGTAGATGTATGGATGATGGCGCATCCGACGAGTACAAACGCAGTTCAGCCCATGGGAGCACGTGTCGATGCCCAGGCTAACTTCGTTGGTGATACTCATGCTGATGCCGTCAGAACCGCATACGAAGCACTCGTGATAATCACGGATCTAGCAGGTTCGCTACCTGGGACGTCGACTACAGCTACCCCCGTGGAGGATGTAGGGATGTTTGCCATCAACGTGGTGTCGCAACAAATCCTACTTGGTATCTCTGGTCTGAGCCTTCAGGAAGTGAACTCGACTGTAGGAAAACTGCTAGATGATACATATATCGGCGTGAATTATACCGTCGTGGAAACCAATGAGGTGGAAAATGGTGTTGCTATTACGATGGAAGGACCTGGAGGCCATGCATCTGAAGGCACGAAGAGCCCCCTCAGACTAAGCATCGAGACATTCCGCACCTTAACTAGTAGTGGAAAAGAAGGGATCTCATTTTTCTTACCTGGCAACATTACCATTACAGAATTGGATATCACAACGTCAATCCGACCTCGGTACACGCTTGACGTAGATGCAGCCCTCAAAGCGGTGACATCAGCCATCGCATCCAAAGCCTCGAGCATCACCTCCGATAGGCCGTACCCAGCACTAGAGGTTCTCACAACCCTGGGCGAGCGATTCATCAATCTGATGCACGACACCGACCACGGTAGCCAAGCAAACTGGAATATCTCAACAATTGCTCCCGCGGCAACCGACGCAGGATTTGTACAAGATGCGCAGCTCGATCCTGATACTAAAGAGTTGCTAAGCGTGGGAAAAGCTGTGTTCCATCCCAACTTTGGCATTTGCGAGGGCGTGCCAGGTGCACCATGCGGGTTCAACCACGAGCCTGAGTTTGCACAGACCGCGGGGACAGAGTTTAGCTATGGACGCACGGAGATCGTGGCTAGGGCACTAGCACAAGTTGCGATCGAATTACTCGATGATGCCGAGTTTATGAAGGAGGCTACCAAGTTAGTCAGGAGATAGAACGAGAAAGGGTGAACCTTAGCAAATAAATACAGCTACGTTTGATAGTTGACCTCTGAAATAGCAAGTGTCTGATCTAGGCAGTCTTAACTCTAAGCAAAATTTTCATCTCCGCTCTATGTACGCGCATGCGAAGATCAAATAACGGGGTTCTTATGATAGTAGAAGCGGCAGTCCGAGCCACGGTGCTACCTATTTCTATACCTAATCCTGCTTTTACACCTAAAATTTTATTTCTACACGATAATTCACGACTCTACCTAAGTAGTCCCAGAATACAGCTTTATTTCTTCACAAAGAGGTATTCACCATTCACCATTCAACATTCATATTCAGTTCATCATGGCCCCCGAGCACAAAGTAAAACACATACCCTTCATTGTAGACTTCACCAACCGTCGTAAAGGCGAAAAAGACGACGAAGCACGAGACACATGTGACGCCTGTGACAGTCCAGAACACGACTTATTCTGTGATGGCTGCGGCGAAGCTCGTTATTGCTCCACCACGTGCCAGAAGGAGAACTCGGCCATACACGACATAATGTGTTCTTCCATTCAAGGCCATTTCAAGCTCTCTAAACGACCAAGCCCAAGTCATGTCCGAGCAGTTGTATTCCCCGTCAAGTCGTCCGAGCCGAAATTTGTCTGGTTAGACACCGAGAATTTCGAACAAGACGTTATCGACTTCCTGTGCGTTGAAAGAAAAGATTTACTCCCACCGTCAGACATCAATGGCAGGATTGGGCATCGCTGGCTGCATAATGGAATTCAGATATTCCACCCCGATCTAGACCGGGATTCCAACAAAAAGGGAATTGAAGAGTTCAATCAGTCTGTCGCTATGCTCTCGAGGCCAGGGCTTATAAAATTTTATTACGGTCCTATGTTCTTCTGTAGCTTTAAAAAGGGGGTCGAAGATAGAAAGATGATTTATGAAGATATTACCACGAAGGAGTTTACCGCCATCACCGACTATTTTCTCGCGGAACAAGATCCATCATCAATCATTACGAGTGTGCCAAGATACCCAGCTGTAAAAAACAGCTTGGAAGGCGCTGATTTCAAAGCATGGACAGCCGTCAAGTTTAACTGCGCGGGCGATCTTCGGCGACTTTCGTCATTACTAGATGGGCAGATGTGGCCGTTTGTAGAGGAAGTCCTCGTAGGCTCTCACCCCAAATACAGCAATCGACGTCGTTCCCTGCTACCACATATGGCCGGACTCCCCTGGCTTATGGAGCCCATCTTCTACGACCAATTGAAAACGAACGAAAGAGTTAATTACGGAGGCCGGTACTTTGCGCTTGAGTATATCACACAGCCAGACGGAGAGCGTGTCTTGTCAACATCCATGAATTGCGGTAGCGTACTTGTTTTAAACGAGTCCGGCGCTCCGATCCATCCAGACCATGTTTTGGCATTTTACGACTTCGCGCAGATGCAATTCCAGAATATATACAATCATCACCCCGATTTACACTCTATGACTCCTTCCGGGATGGACGGTGTCCTTATATCGCCAGCAAGCCTTCAACAGCTCTTCACTAAGGAGAAATTCATGAAATACTGGCAAGAATGGGTCGATTTATCCGACGTGAGCATGACGAGGGCCCCTAACACTTCGGGAATCAATTGGTATCCTTATGCCCATATTTATGATTCCGCATCTTGGTGGGATCCGTATCTCCTTTATACGGAGGAGCCGGCTAAGGATAACAGCGACAAGGTCGATAGCCCCGATACCACCGTTACGGATGCAGAAGGCGGTAATATGGATTCTCTATTTGTTGAGTGCGACACCTCCCCGGAATATCGTCGTCAGTTCGTGATTGATGCCTTCAACTCCGTGGAGGAGGAATTCACATGGTAGTGGATGTAGATAGGGACTCGGGATAGATGAAATAGGATAATAAAATAAATAAAAGAACTCTTTCACCCCGACATTCTCTTGGTCATCTATCAGGGTTTCAATAACTCAACAATTCAAGCAGGATATCTGTTTCGATTTATATAATTACATTTCAATCGCCTCGTATTCAAACCACTCCATCTAAACATCCAAAAGCTGAACTGAGCACTACTAAAATAGCGACTCGATTTCTAATAGGGTATTATAGCTGTATATGTGTACCTTTCTTATAATATATTTTACCAAGAAGACAAAGGGGATTCTCTCTCGTATACGAACCCCCGTATACATCGTAACACATACCTAGGTATTATTAGATATCCAAGGACATCAATTACACCACCACCGCCTTAACTTCGTACTCCAACCTGAACCGCGCCCCCTCCCCCAGCAAAAAATAAATCAAACGATAGATCCCACTCCATGCTTCTCTTCTAAGCACCCAGATAAATGGATGCTTAAGAATTTTCCTCAATAACAGATTCAAGCTCATCGAAATCCCGAATCACGGGCCCAAGTCCATCTGAGCTATTCGGGCTCAGAATTGGCGCGCCCCCGATACTCGATGGGCTATGCGTCGACTCTAGATAGCTATTCATTTGATGCGACGACTCTTTATCATTATTTAGATCCAAAGGCGCAGGCTGCTTCCGTTGACGTATGCTCATGCTCATACCCTGCGGCTGTAACTTGTTCTCGTCGAGCCTGCCGGCGCTTAGACCGCCACTACCTGGACCGAAAGTCGCATAGCTGCGTTCGCTTCGCGCTCGTTGTGAATTGGCGTAACTCTTCTGATTGTGGTTTGGGGTTTGGTTATGATGACCAGAAGAGGAGGATGGACGTGTAACACTCGATGCACCGTCTTCGGAAAACACGCTGACGCTCATGGCGGATGAGCCGCCCCACATCGTAGGCGTAAGAGGCGGCGCGGCGAGACCCGGGTTCGTGGTTACGCTCGACCGCACGCTGCGTGCCGTGTGCCATCCTGTTCCATTGCTAGATCGGCTCGTCACGGTTCTGGGTGGCCGTGGGAATTTATTAGCCTGTGCACGCATCATGCGTAACACGGGATCGCCTGAATTAGACGTGTCCGAGTCAGCGCTCTCGCCTCCGCTAGCGCTATTCTGCCATGCCCGAGGCGCGAGCCAACAATGCGAAAGTTCGTGGCAAGCTTCGGCGGCGGGAGCCGATGCACCTTTCCATGGCGGCGCTTTGGTACCCTTGAAGCGTGGGGATAGGTGGTATGATACACCATCCTTGTATCGCACGTTAGGCGCATCGACGGACACACTAGCTAGAGTCTGCAGAATGCCGTATATAAGAACCCAGCGGCCGCGACGAGCCACGAAGGGGTCGACAGCACCAACCTGGTCCGTCTTCTCGAACTTGACGAAGTTCTCGATCAGATCGGACTGTGTGAAGTCCGACCCTAGGATGTATATGTTGGTCGCCTCGGTGTAAGCGAGCTGCGCACGTCTCTCATTTATGCGATCATCGGCACCGTATCTCGTGGTATTAATGTTCATGATATTTTTATCCTTTCTCGACCTATCGCGGCTCGAAGCGGAAGAAGGTGGCGAGGGTGGGGTGATCGACTCGGGGACGAGAGGGTAGGGATGCGGAATATGTGGGAATCGCATTCGGTTGTCGAACTCGATCAGCATGTCCGTAAGAGGAAGAACTATGGAATCGGGTTTGAAGGGTTTGTTGCTCTCGGAGACCATCATCCATTTTCGACTACTTCGAGTTTCAGACTCGTCCCACACGATGTCCCGGTTGACGAGGTAATCGTAAAGCGCCCCGAAGTCTTTTTGCATCTCCCTTGCCAATGTTCTTGTTAGCCACATCTCCTCGCCCTCTATCGTCCTCGCGTTAGTTTCAGGAGGGGGCCAATCTCCATGTATTTTGGCGTAATAGTTTATGAAAAATTGTCGCAGACGTTCGGCTGAGTCCCTAGCATCACCGCACACAGGCTGATTATTGGACAGCCAGATATCGTCGAATGAATAATCGGCGAGGCGTTCTTCTGCTGCTTGTACGCGAAGTTGAGTTTCTAGACAAGCTCGCTCCAGAAGAGCACGAGTAATGGGCGTGATGCTCCGAAAATCTGCGCATGCTTCTAGGCGAGAGTACATCCCAGCACAGTGGACGAACGCCTCGCACCAACCTTCTTCCCAACGCACTTCCGGTGTTTCCGACCACGCAAGAATGGACACTGCTATATCCGGGTCGTTTCGAGCATCGTCAATACCTCGGGCGGAAAGGTATTTGAGAATTGTTCCAACATTGTCTGCTTCTTGGGGCATATATGCCGTCAATCGCGCAAGAAGGTCTGAGAGTGCTTGGAGAAGCGAAAACCCAACAAGAGAAGCGTGATATAGCAGAGCAAATACGTTACGTGTCGTGATGGCGTGCCGGTGCGCTTCAAGCTTGCTTAGATTCGGAGGCGTCGGGAAGTACATCTCGTAGGAAATCTGGCCTTCAGAATCGGCAAGGCTAGTGTCTTCAGAGACCGGAGGCGTCGGCTGGCCATTCCGTCCTAGATTATAACCGAGATGTTGATGCGCACCGTGCGGCCGTAGCATTGGCGGCGCACCGATTGGCGATGGTGGCGTGAACATTCGCGTGTCGTAATCTTCCTCGGTGGATCCTTCTCGAAGAAGAGTGAGCAGGAAGCGGGATTCGGTTGCTTCGATAATGTGGGATGAGAGGCGGAACGAAGGGTTGGGTCGCGGCAATTGTCCTTTGCGGCCGAAGAACACTAGGACGTCACCATTGGGGTCCCATAATTCAGGATCTTTCCGGAGTTTGTTCCATCGCTGTACGGGTTTCCCAGCACCAGTCCAACGTTTAATAGGTGGCGTGTTTGAAGGTGGAGGGATTGGAGGTAGTTTGGCAGACGGTGGTGGTGAGAGCATCTGCTGGTATTCCGAATCCCATACCATAGGCTGCAGGGCTTGAGGCATTCCATGATCCTCGATTGCCTCATAAGGATCTACCTCGGGGCCTCTGAAGGCGACAGAAGAGTCGGGCCGAGGAGGTTCAACAACCTTCTTCTTCTTACCACCAAAGCTGAAAGCTTTCGTGAGCCCTTTGCGGAATTCATCACTCTTCTTGTCCACAGCATTTCGGAAACCGGATCGTTCGATGCCCGATACATCTTCCGTTCTCAATACGGGTTTTCTCGCCCTGGCGTATGCGAAATCGGCCATGGGTCCCTGGTGTTGTGGACCATTGCCACCATCTCGCTTGCCTAGCTCACTTCCACCACTTTGACTTCCACTGCTCTGATCGCTGAAATTTGTTAATTGGGAGCGATAATTGGTCAATTCCGCCTCCCGCACTGGCTCTGAGAATTTAAGAAATCGTGCATTCGTTGTGCCATAACCAGTGCTTTGCGGCAGCGTGGCATCGTTGACCGAGAGGTCATCTCGTTCGGAATAGCGACTACTTCCTCCCTGCGCACGGTCGTTGGGCTCGTTGATCTTTTTCCTAACGTACGCGCTGCGTCCAGACATGGTAGGCCAGACAAGTTTAACTCTGAAGGCAGGTTTTTGTAAATGTTGTATCCCCAATGCTTATGGTAGTAGGTATGGATGAGTTGGCTGTACCACTATTAAGCTCCTAATTCATTCAATCGAATCGGTGGTTATTGCCAAATTTGCGGTGCGAGCATACTCCCACTCTAAGGGCTATCTTGTTTATAGACGTCGACAAGCAGGCAAACCTCATACAACTCAGTCGGCGCTTATGGTAAAAGTGAAGATCCCGCCGAGGAGTTGCTAAATCGTTGATAGGGAATTATTTTGATAAGCTTCTAGAAGGATCAGAATTGACTGCGTGTATTGGTTATAGGACGCATGTGTTTCCCAGGGGCAAACAACACCGTTCGCTCGTCGAAAGAAGCAGGTAACTTCAATGAAACTCCACAGATCAGACCACTCGATATGTTTATCGAAGGCCTGAGGATTCCGATCAGGTATCCCAGACCTGCATCCGAACGTCGAAGTATTAAACCGAGTGAGTAAGAATCCGAAACACGTAATTCCCACGAATTAAACAAGAGGGATCAATAGTCAATATGAGAAGTTCCGGAGGAGGGGTGACGTTCATATTTATCATTTAAATTCGATAATGGGCGAGATTGTGGCGTCTTAACTAACATTGCTTTTTGGCAACTCCCGGGTAGTTCGTCTTCTTCGCATTTTAAGAGGCTCGAGATGAAATGCAGTTCACCGAACCGAGTTTATGATAATGTGACGAGAAGACATCCTATCCTCAGAAGATGTTGTCTTCTCATGAATTTAAGGAATTAAATTGAATAGATAATCGATTCAATCTCTCTCTTGTGGTCTCGTGAGTCGCAAGTAGTTATCTCAGAAAATGTACGGCCAGGGCCTAGAAAATATCGAGGTGGGGAAAAATCTGCCAGGGGGGATTTATTAGTTGGTCTTCGTTTTTCGACCCATCGCCCATAGTGTGACCGAGCTGAGAATTGATTGGCTTGTATTCACGATGCATCGGCTCTTGTATCCCTCGAGTCGTCACCGTAGCTGTACGCATAGATTAGGTAGCTGATAGGTAGGTACCTAGTAAGTAGGTACTTGGATATGTAACGTAGGTCAGATGCCTTATTAAGGATATCAAGGCTATGATCCGGCTAGAAGGCCAACCGGTCTCTCTAAAACGGATATGTATGAAAAATACCGTGTTGCGTACATCTTATTGTTACGTCTTGATGTGCTCGGACGTTCGTGGCGTACTATTAGGAAGTACCTAAGTAGGGTGATGGATAGCGACCGTTGAAAGGACTTCAAATGATATCAGGGATGAATTGAAGCTGTACGTAGTAGAATACCGCATGTATGTTATCCATGGCCTTGGTACTTTCGTGGAGAGCTGAAGCTTTCGTTACTAGAAGACCTGACCAGGTCATCGGAATCGAGTCATTAATGAAAAGAATAAATTTGAAGGAGCGTATATGCAGGTTTTGGAGTAGTAAGTTTGTACGTACATGAAGATACATTCAGTGTTTGTGAATAAGTACCTAGGGGTACAGAGGAGGATCTAATAAATGACAAGAGAAGCAACTCCACAGTCACGGAGACAAGGGTGCATGTACGATCGCCCCAGCATTAATTAAGCTATATTCCCACATGCTAGCACTTAAACTTCCCGTACCCGTTGAACTAAATGGCAACTAAACAAATTTACTTATCATAAGCTAAACTACAGTATGATTCAGTTATCTAAGCCTACAAATATAGTTGATAATAGCTTCATACTCAATACGATAGATTGACTGGTTTATAAGAGGGATTAGTACATTAAAATGATAACTACCTAAATATTGACAAGATAGGCATCTGAATCTGATCGACTTCTGCTGAATTCGTAACCAATATCTCGCCCCCTTACTTCCCCGCTCCAGAATGGGCACAACATATATTAACACGGAACAGACGGCTTCATCAACCAAGCCAGAGCCTCTCCGTTTGCTTCTTTTCCTTGGAAAATTTATGTTGTATTTGCTCATCACTTTCAGCTGCCATGTGCCATATTAAGAGCTATTGGATCGGTTAGAGCAAGGATGTTACACGGCCTCGCCAGCCTGCTGCGAGCAAAACTGGCTAGACCGATTCCGACAAGACATGCTTTCCATTAATATGAGCTTATCTTGGAATTTACCGTGTCCTCCCTGTCTTAGACTTAAGGAATAGGTACCTGTTCATAAGTACATTAGAGGCAACTCAAGCCTAGAGCCCTCTCCTGCATCATGCACGTAACGCTTATCATCACCCATGAATCCCGGCACAAAAAGAGGCCACTCCACCATACATTAGAAAGGGTCACCTACGTAATATATATATGCAATCTACTCACTTGGTCTTAACATGCAAAATCGAAAAAGCACTCAGGGGACGGGAAAGAAAGAAAATTATTTTAGGATCACAAGGCACGTAAACCAGTGCAACAATAAAATACTAGGATATGGCGAAGAGGGACAATGGCAGAATGGGTAGATTGGTTACATCAATATCACCCCATCAGAATTCTCGGGTTCAACTAGTGGAGTAAGCCGCCGCAAAATGCTCTATGTATCCCCTGTCCCCCATTTTCGTAGGCGCCTAACCTTGCACAACACATGGCACGCCTTATCTTCGATCCTCGAGGTAGAACACTTCATTTCGCTAATAAGCATTGTTTCTCCTCTATTACTACAAACTAGATGCCTCATATTATAACTAGATCTAGCCATATGATTAGAAATCACCTATCAAGATGGACAGTCCATAAGATATACCTAACTTCTAACTTCTAAAATCATTACCTCCCGCGTGAAGAGCCGTTGGTGCTCACACGTGGTGAACTGGCAGCCGAAAAAGCAAAGCCCGATCCACATGCTAAAGCGTGAGCTATCGATCAATTCAATTGATGGAAACGAGTCCAATTTCCTATGTCCACCGCCTTTGCTGAGATCACATGGCATAGGTAATGTAATACTAGACGAGAAGACAGGCATTGACATCTGCAGATACCTAGCATCATACTCTTAAGTTGCTACGCGTGGTGGTCATCACAATCTTAGGTAGCTAGCACTGGACAGGTACACTTGCTTATGCATGAAAATACCATATTTAGTGCTATCTACTGGATTGGTGAGATGTACATCATGTCCTGTCTGACTTTAATGTCGATATAGGTACATTAGGCTTAGAGAGCAAATATCAATGGGTTTAAAATCTTCATCCTAACTTATTAAACCCATATTGATGTTGCAGCCACCAACTTTCCACTGAGATGCAGTCAAGTCTGAGTGTAGCCCTGCTTACGACTCCTTGTTCGCGAGCGAAACGCGGACCCCAAGCTTCTTGCAACGGTCTTCGAAGCCCGCAATACCCGTGAGCTGAGCCGGCTTGGCGGAGCGCTGTGGCTGCATCGCAATGGGCTCGACGGGAGAAGGGGTCGGCGTGGGATTGAACGCAAAGGCCGTCGGGTTTAGGTTGAGTCGGGCCGGTACCTTCTTCTTGGGGCGCGTGGCTTTGCCAGCTGACTTCTGGACATGGTGTGCCATTGGCATCAAGGGTGTAGCTTCATCATAAAGCTTCTCGGTGGTCTGCGTAGCAGTGACAGGCGAAAGTGCGGACTTGCCAAAGTTGACCTCGTTGGCAATGATACCTTTATACGGTTAATATATGATGCTGATTGTTATTTTCATTCTAGATGCATTTACTTACGACCGGTGATCTTTCGAACAATCAACAAGTACTGCTTGTATGCCTCGGTGTTTGACTTGTTCATCTCAGCCTTGGCAGCATCTTGCCACAGACGGAGCGAAGGCACGCCGCTGCAAAGGAGATCCTTGACTTTCTTCTCAGCAACGAAGGTAAAGTAGTTAATTACCGATTCGTTAACCGGTTCAAGCACAGCAACTATGAAAACAGTCAGCGAGGAGAGAGCGGCATAAACCTCGCCACTCGAGGGTATAACTAACCCGTGGCGGCAGGGAAGTACACAGCTGTTATCTACGTTAGTATATCTATGGTACACAATGAGATTCTATAATATAAGAGACTTACATGTGTACTCATCTCCACCATCGCCTCCGATGTGGTTTTCCTTCTGTCGGCTATCCATTATGGAAAGACAAACTTTGTCAAGTTAGCTAATGCTTCATAGGGATGAATTGAACTCTACTCCTTCCAGCAGAGGTAGAGTACTGCTACCCCTAAAATAAGGGGGTTAGACGCAACATGGACTGAAGGCGTCCGATGAGAAGGAGAGTAATTCCAAGGTGTGGAGAGGGAGATGTAGTTGCTTGTCGCGTAAGAAAACAAGTTGGAAGCAGCTGGAAGAATTGCGCGAAAGCAACAACGATGTCTAGAGAGGGAATTGTTTGCATGAAGCAAGCAAAAGTTGTCAACTTACGGGATACAAAGAAGCGCGAAAGCGTATGCTAATGGAAGTTTAAATGTTCTCAACGGTGGACGAGTCGCGAAACATGCATGAATTACTCAAAAGGTCGCGGCGCGTCCTTGCATCAAAGAGGCAGGAATAAGTAAAGCAATCTGCTACTCTGATAGCAGGCCTAAAAGAAGGTAATATCGAAAAAGTGATGTTGAAAAGGAGAGGAGAGTACCTGCTGGCGCCTAGGAGAACGGGCGATTCACCGATGTGGCAGCAGGTTCAAAACTTGGGGATGCGAACACAAGGGAATGAAAAAAAAGAGACGGCGGGTTGAGATGGAGAGATGGAGGAGCCTGTTATGACATAAACAAAAGAGAGAGAGAGGCACCTATCTAAGTTTACCTAGTAGATAAGGTATAGGTAGGAAGGAGCATTCTGTAAAGACCTCTAGCTACATAGGTTCCCTAACGTATCTACCCAGGTAGACAAGGCAGGACCAGTCCGTGAGTCTTGTTTACCGGTAGGTATTGGAAGGTGCGCCGTTGGCAGGTGCACCGTCGCGTCGAACCTTCTATATCTACAGTACGCTAAGTGCTTGGGTAAACCTAAATTCTCAAGTGCATTAGGCATGCAACATGTAGCTGATTGGTGTAATTGATGCTTCAATGTTCAGTTGATTGTTTGACATTGTTGCTTGGGAAGGGGCGTATCTGAAATTCCGCCTACCTCCTATCTAGGTACCTAGAGAATATTTAAAAATCTTTACTCTTCCCCATCGCCTTTCAATGTAACTTACTAAGGTGCCTACATACCTACATAGATATGATACCTGTATTCTAGAAGATACTGCAATGCACTAAACTGTTTCATGTTTGCTTTCAATAACAGCCTTCCATCCTTACTCGCGACATCCTAGACGAAGTTACTCGAATGTTAGAAATCAAACACTTTGGGTAGATATTCCCTCAACTGGGTGCCCAAGGTGGATATCCCTACGACTTCGACACGGAAAAGGGAAAAGGAAGTACTACATATATAGATCTAACTATACAGAATATAGTGAGCGAAGGACATGGTCGTAAGTATGGATATATGCTGTGTTGTGCTAAATTCATCATTGACTCTGCTAGATTAGGGACATCAATATTTTATTATTCGTTCATAGAACCTAACTCGACTTGATATCCACGAGAAATCCTTCCTGTATACCGCCCGTGCATTTATTTCCTCTATTATGACTAGTTAGACCAGACTCAGACTTCGCCCCCTTTATTCTCAACTTCTGTCGCATGACTCTTTGAGTCCGTAATTGAACCATTTTCGATCACCTTCTCAATGTCACCATCACCATGAATATTAGCACCAGCTGGCCCGACATTTTCGAAGGATCGACCACGTTTCTCCGGACCGAATGCCATCGTAATCGCATTTCCAATTGCGCAAATAGCAAGGGTAACACCCATTGTCGGCCCATAACCATCAACCAACTTCCCATTCTTACCCTTAACTAGGTGGCTTTCGGCAATCGCGTTAACAATCTGGGCTGCTGGAGAAGAAATCATACCTCCGATTTGGTATGCGAGACCTGGAAACGTTGATCGAAAAGCTGGCGGTGAAAGCTCATTGAGATGGATAGGTATGATACCCCATGCTCCCTGAACGAAGAACTGAATCATGAATCCGGAAGCTGAAAGACCCGACTCGGTGGTAGGTAAAATCCAGGCCGGTATAAGACAGCAGCTAATCAGTGCAGCAACGACCACAGCTCGACGACGACCGACGAATTGAGATAGATAGCCGATAATAGTTCCACCGACACACCCTCCCGTATTCATCAGAATGCTAGCCCGAGTAGCAGCATCGTTAGGAAGTTCTTTGGACTCTAACAGGAAGGTCGTGTAACTATCTTGGCTCGAATGTGCGTAAAAGTTAAACCAGGTTAACATAATGACACAGTAAATGCACATGCGCCATTCCTTAGCAAGCATTAGCTTGGTCTCTTTCCAGAAATCGCTCGCCGAGATATGATGACCGGCTGCCTTGGCTGCTATGAATTGCTTCGACTCGGGGAAGCAGCATCGAAGAAGCCCAGCAGCGAAAGAAATACCAGCCGCAATCCAGAAGACGGTCTTCCAAGAATCTGTAGCGCCACCAACACCGAGATTTGCGCATGCTGCGAGGACATATCCAAGAGCATAACCCTGTTGAAGAATACCGCTCATCAGACCACGCGCCTCCTTACTATTGAACTGCTTGTCAGTGTTGCGAACGGAACTAGCGATAAGTTAATGGCCTACGGGCAGTTCTCCAATGCCATGGCCACAGCGTTCCCGTACACGCCTCCCATCATTATACCAAACAAGGATCGAACCGCTAGGAATTGTTTGAACGTGGTGGTATAAATCGTTGAAATTTGCAAGAGGGCGAGGACAATCAAGTTAGAAACCATGGGCCATTTCCGACCGAAGCGGTCACCGAGCAGACCAAAGGCAGCGGCGCCGACGGATCGTAGAAGCAATGTCAAGGTGATAGCTGTGGTGATTTCGGTCTTGCTACGTTCAAAATAGTTGGATAACTTGACGGTTTGAATCGACAGCGCGTGGAAATCAAAGGCATCGGCAGTCCAAGCGAACATCCCCACAGCAAAATAGATCCAGTTCTTAGCATTCAACTGCATGAATAGCGAGATAGGATTCTTGAATTTCTGAGGGGCTTGCCACTCGGTATGGGATTCACCTAGCCCGTTCGTGACGACAACCCTTTGCTTCCATCGAAAGAGATCTCCCCATGCCTGCTTAGCAGTCGCGCGAATGCCCTTAGCGATTGGGTCTGCAGGCTCGTTACCAGTAGCCATTTTTGGATAATGAAAGCCGTTTGTCGGCTTGGATATATCCCAAAGGATACATTGTTATGTCAAACCAAATGGCTATCCTTGGTATTTTATACTAAGGAGGCATGGAGGTGAAAGCAGGGCCAGCATAGGAGGGATCAGGTACCACTTGGAGTGACGGTAAGTAATCCCCTATCCGGTAGTTAGAAAGTCGCCGGGCGGCTTTGGAGAAATGAGTATCATGACTTACATTATCATTACCCTGCATTTTGACACCTCCAGTCCACACGATGCAACTCATTATATAGTAAGCGTAGGTAGACATTTTAAGAGACCGCAATTAAAGACGTCAAGGTCGGTCATGCTGAGCTTTGCATACTGACTGTGTGCATCTCTTACCTCCCTGTACGGTGACATCTTGCGGCCTGGATAATAGAAGGTTAAATAGCTAGATGTATTGATAGAAGCTATCAGCATATCATTACTCAGAGACGGTACCTATGAGACATAGGGTTGCATGCAGTTATGTAGCTTATTGAGTGACAGCTGTCTTACGGAGGTATCGCCGCCATTCAATTGAAAATGCTCGTGGATACAAAAATATCTCCGACCATTCAAACGAACAGACATATCTTGATACCTAGAAAGGCAGCTGTCCAGACATGCCAAGATGAAGTTCGATAATCTCTGACCGTGGAAATTGTCGGAGCGATCGACCCGAGATGCTTAGATCATGGTACTACTAGGGCTTTATTTCTCGAAGCCTTCTAAGCTTCCGCAGGAACCGACGATAATCTGATGGTAGGTTATCGTAGCATTGAAAATTGTAGTCTCGTCAACCATCACACACACATACGACGTGTCCAGAAACCATAGCCCTACTCGAGTTGACCTAATTTTCCTCTACCTGTAAAAGTACACAAGGTATTCTTGAGAACCTGATTTAATTGCTTTTCTTTATGATTCTCGGTGAGTTTGGGCGAATCAAGTGTTACGAAGCTGGAAGATCATGGCTGCGCGTAAGACGCCACTTAACAGCTTCATTCAAATTAGGTAGGCTGGTAGGGTATTTAGTGCGGGGTAAAACATGATATCTGAGAAGGTAGAAATAGTTGATGGGAAATTTGTTATAATATTTGCTTGTATTCGCGATATGGAAGGAGAAGAATATGTCACGGTCGGGCTTCTGTAACGAGTACCACGAAGTTGTTTGTTATGATTACGGCGCTGTGATACTAAACTCCGGTGGGGAAATACAGGTAAACGTCACTGTAGCCGCTTACTAAGTTAGCTCAATGGGGATCACAAGAATCCTAGCCGCCACCCCTATTCCAAACCTTAATTGTCATTTATAGGTACGTTTCGATTAATCTATAGCGATGCCTTTTCTTTCAGTTTCTTTTTTCGCCTAACCTTTCTTTTCTTTTCCCTATTCCCTTTCCCTATTCCCTTTCCCTTTCCCTATTCCCTTTCCCTATTCCCTTTCCCTATTCCCTTTCCCTATTCCCTTTCCCTATTCCCTTTCCCTATTCCCTTTCCTCCTTACCGTTTCTTCTTTCTAGGAACATTATTGTGAATACCTAGGCAGATTTTGATAATGATGTTAGTAGAGTCGTGGTATTGTCAATTTTCTTGCGTTTCCAGTCACAACGCCCGAATTGTGAATTGGGAATCTTCTGCGCGAAACAATTATACTGTACAAAATTACAATACCGATACTCGCATTAGGTACTAGGCAATTATTTCGATTCTAAAGTTCCTTGGAATTCAACCGAATCATAGACTTTCTTTGTCAATTGAAGACACGGCATCCTAGACCAATCAAGGAGTACTCATTACAGTACGGCTTTAGGGTTAAGTCTCTTCTTCGTTCACGATAGTAGAGCCCCGTCATCATGGCATCATCGAAGTTTACCTAGTCCAATGCGACTAGGTTGTTCCATGAACTACGAAGCTCTGCAAATTTTAGAGTCATGGTAAGGTGGTGAGGTCATTATCTGGAGGCGTGTGCCATTCTCCCCAAACCCCTCCCTATGGTTTATAATAAGTGAAATGTACTATTGTGTGACTATTCCGATAGATCATAACGTCCACTATACCGGCAAAGTCTTGAAAAGATAGTCAAGGTATTGTTTGACAGCAGCTCTAACTCGAAAACATGGCACCGTCTGTAGATACATCATTCGCTGGCCATGTGGCCAATCAGTTCACCTCATATGAACAGGATCGCCAAATGTCCTCGAAGGAAGCACTCTACGCCACCAGGTATGTCTTAATGATAGCCATATCCCTATAACATCAGCTCACCAATATAGTAATGGCGTTCCTATGCCACATCCTTACGAAACCCAGCGGGTAGGCGAAAATGGACCGCTTCTTCTACAGGATTTCCATCTAGTCGACCTACTTTCCCACTTCGATCGCGAACGGATTCCCGAACGCGTAGTCCACGCTAAAGGTAGCGGTGCTCAGTAAGTCCACCCCACACGACCTCTTCAGATACCATGTAATCCATAGGAGGATATAAGCTGACTTGTAATGTTCCTAGTGGCTTTTTCGAATGCACCGACCCCATCCCCGAGCTATGTTCCGCTGATATCTTCTCAACCAAAGGGAAGAAATGTCCTGTTTCGGCACGATTCTCAACCGTCGGAGGGGAGTCCGGGTCTCATGATTGCGCTCGTGACCCCCGGGGGTTCGCCGTCAAATTCCGTACCGATGATGGTAACTGGGACCTTGTCGCCAACAATACGCCCGTCTTCTTCCTACGAGACCCGGCTAAGTTTCCGCACTTCATCCATACACAGAAGCGAGACCCCTCGACACACTTAACACATGCCGATGACTCTACCATGTTCTGGGACTACCTCTGTAACAATCCCGAGAGTGTCCACCAAGTCATGATTCTCATGGGCGATCGAGGTATCCCGGACGGGTATCGATTTATGCATGGTTATTCGGGCCATACTCTCAAGTTAGTTAATAAGCAGGGTGGTTGGGTTTACACTCAAATCCACTTTAAGTCTCTACAGGGTACCAAGTTTATTACCCAGGAAGATTCGAACAATAAATCGGCAGACTATTCGCAGAAAGATTTATACGAGGCCATCCAACGTGGGGAATACCCAAAGTGGACCGTTGAGATCCAGACTATGACCCCGAAACAGGCCGAAGAAGTTTGGGAGAAACAAAGAATCAACGTTTTCGACCTCACCCACGTCTGGCCGCAGGGTCAATTTCCTCGAAGTAAAGTTGGCGAGTTTACTCTGAACGAGAATGCTGTTAATTACTTCGCGGAGATTGAACAACTTGCTTTCAACCCAGCCCATATGCCACCCGGCATCGAACCTTCTGCCGATCCGGTCCTTCAATCACGCTTATTCTCCTACCCTGATACCCACCGACATCGTATCGGTGTAAACTACCAGCAACTTCCAGTCAATGCCGCACGAACGGGCTTCAAGTTTGGCAATTTCCAGAGAGATGGGTCTATGGCTTTTTATAACCAAGGCGCACGACCAAACTACCTAAGCTCAATCGATCCAATCCAGTTCCGAAACCGTTCAATCGACCTAGATGAGACGCATGGCCATTTCACAGGGGAGGCCATTACCTTCTTATCGGAGATCCGACCCGAAGACTTCAACGCTCCTAGAGCCCTCTATCGCAAGGTATGGGACGAACCCGCCCGTGCAAGATTCATCAGCAACGTCGCAGGGAAGATGGCAGTCTGCAAGGAGCCCGAGTTTATCAAGCGGCAAATCGCTATATTCCGAGAAGTCGACCCCGAGATTGCAGCGCGTCTTGAGAAGGCAACGGGTATTAAGGGATATGATAATATCTCGAATATGAGGTTCAATGGTACTCATAACGGGATGACGAAGGATGCGAAGTTGCGATATGCTAATGGTGTGAGTGCGACGAAGGGGAAGAGTGTTACGGCTAATAATGGTGCACCGTCCAGTGGAGTTCATAAGGGTTTGAATGGTGATAGTGTAGGTGGGATGAACGGAGTTCATAGGTGAAAAGGCGCCTAGGAATTGTATCCAAGTTGGAATAGATGTTTACATAGTAAGGAATAATATGAACTATATTTTAACCCCCGCCTTCATTGTTAAAAAGGTGGTAGTGACTGGATGAACGCCGAATCTATTATTGACATCGACTAGATTAATGGCTGAATATACAGCCAGGTCCAGCTCTATTTAAGCCTGTCAATGTGCTGTATTTTCCCACAGCGCCTGATCATTGCTTGAATAATAACTTGTTACAGCGGTTACATCGTTATAATGTGTTGTGTACACCCGACTGTGTACCCAGCTCACTAATATTACGGCTCACAACCTTGGAAATCAAGTCTTTGTAATATTCAAAATCTATAGACATAACTTCATCAACATTTCTCTTAATGACGTCCAAACTGTACGTTCTCGTCCCTTGGTTCCCCCAACGCATTCTGAACATCGTCATCTTGTTCTTCACGTCGCTTTTCAACATGTGTTTCGCTATCCTCATACCCTGCCACCGTACTAGATGATTTTGACCCCGCCAATGGAATGTCGGGGCGCTGTTCTGTTGACTTTTCTTTCTTGTTTCGCTGCGCCTCTTCATCGTCGGGTTTCTCTAGATCGGTAGGTGCGAATCTTGAATGCACACGAATTCGTTCACCATACTTATAAAAAGCGAACGGAATTACAGCGAGTAACGTCGCGACGCCTCCAATTAACGAACCACCACCCCCAACGCCGAGGGTATCGAACATGTAATCTGTGAACAAAGGCGCTGCGGCACCACATGCCGAGCGACAGACGGTATTCACCGCGATCGCGGATGCAGCGTACATCAAGTAAGAATCAACTAGATAATTCAGATACGCTACAAAAATGAGCATAAGCGAGGCTGCTAGAAATACTCCCGCGATAGTTGGGACTATCCAATGAATCGAGCTGCGATCTGTTAGCGGTGCTGTACCTCAGTCTCAAAGAGTTCAGCTCGACTTACTTGTACTCAGCCGTCCAAGCAAACCAAAACATGGTTACTGGGAACCCGATTCCACCAATGATACCTAGGGTTAATCGATCTTCAGGTTTTAGTTTGACTCCCTGTTCGAGCTTTTTGGCCTTATGTTTAGAATCAAACCAGACGATGATGGCACCGATGAATGCACCAATCGCTGTTCCAATCAATGGGAGTTCGCCAACTCCAACATTCCACCCTCGTTTCTGCTGGAATACAATCGGATAAATGGAAAAAAGCATATATAGCAACGTGTACACGACAGACATGTATATCGCACAGAGGAAGGAAATAGGGTCGAACAAGATGATCCACGGTCTCGTGAGGGCCACCTTGTACACGCCCATGAGAGAACGATCGTCGTCTTCCACCGGGGCCTTGACATTTCCGTAACCAGGTATCTTCGCTTTTCGAATGCGACGAGCCCTATTAACGAGAATCATAGGACCGAAAGTCTCCGGGATCGTAAACATGGTTATCGCACTAGCACCACCCAGCCAGAGCAAAACGTAAAAACTCCACCTCCAGTCCTTCTTCAGCTCAAGAAAGCCACCAACCACCGGCCCAAGCGCTGGGCCGGCCCATACCATACATGAAAAGACCGCCATCGCATTGCCACGCTCAACTGGCCCCCACAAGTCCGCCAGAGTACCGGGACTGTTACTGAGCGGGGCGCTCACGAATGTGCCAGTGAGAAATCTGCCGACGAGCAAGCTTCCAAAATTCGGTGCGAATGCGCATAAGAAATTGAACGCGATGTATAGCAGAAAAGTGCTGTAGAATATCCATCTTCTGCCGTAGAACTAATTCCCAGTTTGTTAGTTGCTTTCCGATTAACAGCTTGTAGCGAACATCTCGTACCTCAGACAGAGGAGCGAAGACTAGAGGTCCGGCACAATAACCAAGAAGGAAAAGGGTTATAGTGAGTCCGGCTGCTTCCTCAGACACTCCAAATTCTTTAGAGATACTCTATCAATATGTTAGTAATTATGCGTCGTGATGTATATTTGATACTTATGACTTACCCCGAAACAACCGGATGGAGCCGATGATCCAAAGGTCGCGTTGACAACAAGTAACACCGTACATATCGTCACATACCAACGTCTCCAGTTCGTCCAATTATGAGGATTTTCGATATCACCAGGTTTAAAATCAACATGTCCATTTTCGTTTAAGTAAGGTTGTTCATCAAATTCTAGATTACCGGTTCGATACGGCTTAGCCGTTGGCCTCGAGAACATGCGCCCCAGGTCGACCATAGTCGTTTGTATCCTCAACTAGACCTCCTAAAAACCGAGAACGAAGAAGTTCCAGTAAGGTCATGTTGCAAGCACTCCGATGCGATGAACGTAGCTGGGAGAAAAAGTATAATATAGGAAGTGAACAATAGCTCGCGTTACGAATTAAACGCGATATCAGAGCGCAGGCAATGATACATATGACAGCATTACGTCAACTATTGCGATTATGAAGACGAGATTCCGAACTTATTTCCGATTTTCAGAGTCCCCTAAAACCCGGGATCATTTTCATCATACATTGCTTTATTTGGTAGGGGGGAAGAATTGGTACGGGATCCTATTGGTAGAATGACCCTGTAAAAATTGGTAATTGGAACCTCTATGATGTCTACACCATGTCTTTATGCCCCCCTTTGTTATTAATAATAGGCGGGTGCTTGTATCCTACAAGTGTTTCCGGAGGTAATAAGTTCTAACGATTTACTCCCAGAGCATCGGTAACCTTAGGTGCTTAACATCTACCTTCAGCAAGGGCGCGTACCCGGAACTTCGGCGCAAGTATGACTCGGTATTCAGATAGTGCGAAAACTCGCCATATTGTAGGGATTTGGGTTCATTGGACGAATCATCGTCATACTATTTAGATATCCGCGTAGCACAAGAAGCCACGCGGAAACAAGGACTCGGGTACCTACGTAGTGCATAGGACATCCCACTCTGATCTATTGAATCGCTATTTGGAATATGCTAGCTCTACGGCAACTCTGACTGGCCTTTCTACATCGGTTTCGCATCTGACAACTCCGCCTTAGCAGCCCGGTCGGACTCACGGACTTTCTCTACTCCTGAGTCGTCGCAATGCACCTGTGCTTCGATAGCAGCCTCCTCTAAATCCCAAATTGTCGCCTTCAGCAGAGTCTCTTTAGCCGGTACGGCGTAACTTAGTGCTGTGTAAAGGACGATCGAGGTCACAAATCCGAACAGCCAATTGAAGGTGTACAGATTTGTAACGCCGTCGTTAATGTGGACAGCACCCGAACCACTAATACTCAGACCTAGACCAGGGAGTAAAGGTGCCACAGGTACAATGAAAGCCACTACGGCTCGCCAATTACAACCACCGATATAGTGATAGCGACCGTCCGGATTGTAGAGACCCGGAATATCGATTTGTTGCTTCTTAACAAGCCAGTAGTCGGATACCATTATACCAGCCATTGGACCTAGGAAAACGGCGTAGCCACCCATAAAGGCGAGGAAAGTCTGCGCGGAACTTAGAATCTTCCATGGTACTAGCACCCAGCCAGCTATGATTGCGGCGATGATACATCCTCTTCTAATGTTAATCCAGTGAGGGAAAAGAACGGTCAAATCGTTAGCCGCCGAAACCGAATTCGCCGTGATGTTGGTGCCGACCTATTGTGTATTAGTGAGAGCCTCCTCCCAATTCGCCTTAAATCGTTGTCTACGTACCTGCGCAATATACCATGCAAGGGCGGCAAAGAACGCTGCGCATCGCCCACCCGAACCATAGTCCAACCAAATAGCAATGATATCCAAGGGATTCCATAGGTATTCTCCGCTAAAGACCTTAGTTGCCGATGTCGTCACTATACCGAGAACGCCACACACGGTGAAGATAATGGGCATCGCAGGAAGTTGGACATATTGACCGTTTGCCGATTTCGCGTAACGTGTGAAGTCGGGTATGTTCACCGCCAATGTACTCCAATTACCCGTTACGCTTGACATGCAAGTAAGCCATAACCAGGCATATTGCGGACCATCGACCGTCGCGCGCAGAGCGAAAATATCACCACCTCCTCCGGCTCTCTTTATACACCACCCCATCATCGCGATAGCGGCAATTGGGGCCGCGGTGAGTTTAATCCAGAATAAAGGTCGTAGTTTGGTAGGATGGATAAGAAGCAGCGGGAGTTGGATGATCCAGAAAAGGAAGTAAGAGATCATTCCTTGCGTCGTGATGCCGGCGGATTCGGATAGCTGGTTCGGTATGTCGTTGTAGGATGGTGCCCAGGCGCGTAGCATGATCGTGATGCATTGCGCACCATTCGCAGTCTGCATTTAAACGCCAGTTAATTCTCTCGCGAAAGCATCCATTCTGGTGTCTTCATTACCTGTATACCAAGCCAAAACATAGCCAAGATTGCTCGGCTAACAATGCAAAAGTATTTCAGATAGTAACCAAAACTACTGGTCACTATGACGGAAAATGGAACATGGAGCTTAGCACCAATAGCACCATTGAGTACCAAAGCGACAGCAACGCAGAAGTTGCCGACTACCATGATAGGAATCGCTTCTCGCCAACTCAAGCCCACCGCAAGAATCGCCGAAGCTGTCTGCCATGTCGCTATGTTGATCGTGTCAGTGGCCCAGTAAGCTAGAATACTCCAAGTATTCCATGTTTGATCCTCAATGGGCGTCGGGTCTAATTGATGCGCATGTTAGTTGACAAGGTGGCCCATCACGAAGGATAGTATGACCGTACCCATGTCACGATTCGTCCATATGTGCACCGGTGCCAATGCTCCCGTCTGTTTGGGAAGCTCCCAAGAATGGAGGGAAGTACATCTTCGTCTAAGCTTAGTCGTTGATAGTATTCCCATGATGACAGATGGATCACCATATACTTAGGTATTTAGCGACAACGTAGTCTCCGAGAGGGGAAAGTCTTAGGGGAAGATATTGTTGAAGAGTGATCCATCTTCGATGGTTGCACATAAATTACCAAGATCACTCTATAACTCCGCAGATAGACTCGCAGTTTGCCGTCATCATACGAACCACCACGCGATAACAGAGCTGCGAGATGTGCAGGGGTCCCAGATACAGACCAGGCTTACCGAATTCCCCATTTTCCAGGTTCATCGGCTTGGAATCCAATGAGAAGCAAGTGTCTTATCAGCTTCCGCCCATGTCATGCAGATCCGGATCGTAACTAAATAACTAAACTGATATCAGCAAGGCAACCTAGCAAGCTGGAGACGAATTGATTCGTCCAATTCAGACTTGATTATTCTTAGTATACCTTCATAGACTCTAAGACTATAATAGTAAATATTTCCTTTCCATATCTAGCAACTCTCATAGATCTAGATTCAATGGGAGAGAAGAGGGTAAGACGCGCGTTGCTTGCCTTATTAGTAGCCAGGAAAGTAATGTGGCGTCGTGACAGTGTTCGTCCTTGCGCTGTAATTTTACGCCACGATGAAGCATGACAGGGTTAATAGTGCTCTTTTTTCTTTTCTTTCTCCGGTTCCCGTTTTATTCTCTTCCATGTCAGCAAAAAGAAGCAAGCGGCATGATCATATGTGAAGACGGGGTATCATGAACAAGAACCGAAGCTTTCAACACGAGAATTCAATCATAGTTGAACAGGTTTGCTTATTAATTCGACGCCATTCAGTAATTCATACACTTCATTGTCGCGCCAGACCTTCAAGAGCATCCTGTTTGTCGCAAAATATGTTGATGGCTTGGATGATCTTCACCTCAGCCTTGCCCTCTTGACTTCGGGTAAAAGCTAAGCGCCAAGCACTCTCGTCCTCTATTATGCCATTATAGTCGCTAAATTCTTCCTGACTTTGATTTTGAATCACACTCCCAGTGTCTCCTTCCCAAGGATTCGCTGGCGTCTCTGCTAACTTGGTCAACAGGTGTGGTGCGACAGTGATGTGGTGAACGCCGGCTAGCATCATAACTTCTTGGATGGATGTTAAGCTGGCTGGTAAGACTTTGGTTTTGCTTCCGATTTTCCCGTAGTATCGTTGAGCGGAACCGCAGAAGTCAAACGCCTTGTGTTGGTCGACATAGCTAGATGCGTGCGACAGATCAGCGCTTCTGTTTCCCGAAACGTGGGTAAGACATACTTCTCGTCAAAGTGCACTCGTAGCTCATTGATATATGGCGCGATGTAGGTGCAACCTACATGCGACGCAAGAGCAGCTTGTTCGAGGCAAAACATGGTTGTCGCCAATGTGGCAATACCCTGGTTCTCTAATTCGCGGCACGCTTGCATACCCTCCCAGGTAGACGGTACTTTGATGCAGACCCGTCGGGTGTCATATTTTGGGTCTAAGTCCTTAAATATCGCCACGATACCTAAGGCGGAAAGTCCGCATGTCAGCATTCCACGCTCTGCACATTCACCCTCTCAAGGAACGGTTCTTACGTTTCCCATTATTGATTGTTTTCTGCTTATCATAGGAATACTTTGGATTTGTCTGAATATGGGAGTACCCCGTCAAATAAGGCACTATTCTGAGAGCCAGCTTGACCATCATGGTCTCTACCGCCAATTCGGCTGCGGTAACATCCGGATATGCGCTGCTCTTTGATGATGCATAGTCAACGGCATCACGAATCAATTGCGCATGTATCAAGTTCCCATCGCCATCAACACGGATTAATTCATGGTATGCGATGGCCTTGGATGACTTTTAGCTCTTCGCATCTCGCCAGACATTAATCCAAGAAGCTCACCTGGTTTGATGTACAATCCACGAATGGGCCGAGTTGCTTTGGTACTATACTACCAGTAAGCTTTCACTCGTACGTACTTTCTCGCGTGGTCTGTTTTTAACAGAGATACTTGAGTAGAGGCTCTCGTACCTTGGTCATCGAACGTATCACAATCAACTGCAGTGTGCGATCGTAGCACGTCGAGTAGATTTTGTTGTCCCATTTTTTTCGGACTCGTCGGTGTGTTTAGTCTTATCAATCAAGCAACGAGGTATATGTATTTTCTTGGATGCGAAATAACGAAGAAAACATCAGATCTATCCAACGTCGTATGATGGGATATATAACTGGCAATTGAACGAACACGAACTTCCCCCGCTACTCACCCACCTAACTTACCTATTGTGTACTCCCATACTACCTCTCATCCAGAGTAGTTGAACATCTGGATGGGTCTTTTTTACTTGCATACATAGCCAGCGACTTCGGGGTGAAGCGGGGGAATACACCATGAGGCGAAAAGCTTGCCATTATACCTGGGTATACGAACGAAGTTGGTTCGGGTGGAAGGCGTTGGCATAGGAAAGCTAGCCGTCTCTACCTAGGCCGTTGAATAACTATCCATTCAAAGTATCCTTAGGCTTACGAAGACACAATATTACACATTATCTAATGAGTTGAACCACTGTGTCGAAATCGGACCCTAATCGGAGCCTAGTTTATATGATAGAGCACATCGTGACTTAGGTGCGAAGAAATGGGATAAAATAAATAAAATAAAATAAGAGCAGCTCCGTTTTAGCTAACCCTGGACTAAGCTAAGACATACAGAAGTATCTACATGTATTTCTAGCATACCTAGGTACCTACGCCCCGGTGTATCAGTAGCCTCCGTATCCACCCCCAACCCCCTTTTTACATGAAATTAATACGCGTATAAGTGAAGAGACGATCATCAATATCCAACCTAGACCATCGTCGGCATTGCTAAATTGAATGCCCGATTACACCTATTTATATGCTCAGCCACGTGCGGTGGTCAATGCTGGATATTGAGATAGTTTTAAGGCAGCAAAGACGAGAACCGGAAACAAAGCTTTATGCAGTGCTGGAATTTCTAACACATTGGAATGTGGAGTACCTGAGCACTAGGGCGCCTATGTACCTATCTTCGACAACAATGCTCATATTATCGGATTATCTACCGTGAGTTGCAGTGGCAGCATTAGAAGTACTTGGACGAAGGCAAGTAATTATGATACGGTCAAAGTATAACAAGATTTATAGAAGTCAACGCTAACATGTCTACCTAGATACATCCATAGGTAGGGACGAAGCACTCACAATACCTGGGTAGGTACAGTAGTTACACGTACCACATACCACCCGGGTGTAACGAATAAAGTACTCGATACACCTAGACTTCCATTATTAATGGCAGAGGTACCTTGTCACAGCAAAGTAGAGTATCTATCTAGGTACATAGGTAGGTAAATCATACAGAGGTCTAAGTAGTTCTCAGGTCTAGCTGCCTTGCCCTACACCCACGTTTCCAGATGTCGACGCATCCGGAAATAGTCTCCCATCTTCTATGGCCACTACTAAATCTGAAAGACGTTCGCGTATACTGTCCGAATATGGCCAAACCAACTTCACAGGTCTTTTGTCTTCGCATCAGGGCGCGAAGCGAGTGCGGTGATGGAAAGAAACGGAATGGAATGCATTCGTTTCGAAAACAAGTCTTTGCTCTCCGCATTGAAGAATAGGAATGTTATTTAGGCGTATCAGCCAACTGAATTGGGATATGTCCTATATTTTTTGCGATTGATGGAATCATAGCCTTTGTTCCTTTTTAGATCCCATCTCGACCGCTTCCTTCTTTTCTTGTCGCTCACTTCCTGTTACATCAACCATCAACTACACTACGTACGGTAAGAGTTCACTTGTCGGATGAGATACATTTGGCCTCATATTCAATGCTGCCATAATAATATCACATCGCCATGCAGAACAATCCCGATGACAACCAGTCTCAACTGACCATACCCCTACGACGTGACCTTTTCCAGCGGACAAATCCGTCCGACTTACCTCATATAGACAAAAAGCCATTCGTGGATCGCGCAAATCCTACTATACACCCAAGCGACCCGTTGTTCAAGCAGGTAGAAAGCGACTTCATAACGTTACTTCGGCATACCACACTCTCTATCGAGGAGATACTCGTAAGGATTTTCGACCCGCACGAGATTACACTCTTCCAGCCAGTTACATCTCCACCTGAGCTCGTCCAGTTGCAAAGAGATAACATTGTCCGTTACGAACATCTCCTCGCCACGCGATTTAAAGACTACGTCCCTACTCTAGAGTTTAAATTGACCTTGCTCTATTTTGGGCTTCCTGTCGCACCGATGAAGCCCGGTACCTGGCAAGAGACGGTGCCTGCCGACCTCGAGTATGGGGACGATACGACGTTAGTTCACAAGGACCCGTTTGAATTTTTAGACAATTACACCGAAAGGACAAATGGCGATCCTAGCAAGCGTGGTAAGTAGGAATCGCATCAACTAGAAGTTCTCTATGAATGAGTAAAGGATTATAGTCTAACCGTTGACCTAGTCGTTGATCCTTATAACCCTAAAACGCCGTACACTGGAATTACCCTAAATGCCTATGGAAAACTCCGTGGCGGCGCTGCTCCAGATCGAGATGAGGAATATGGCGAATTTCCAAAAGTCGGCAAGTCGATACGGGTATTCGGATACCAGGGAGCAACCCTGACGGATAGCACCGTAGAGTTATACGATTCTTTCGTGGAGGTAGCGGATTACCTCCTAAAAGTAACATGGGCGTACGATTATCAGATACGCCTTGAGATTTGGACGTTGGATAACGGCACCGAGCCTAACGAGAAACCCGTCGCCAAGGCGACAGGCACGGTCCATCACGGCCTTACAAGTCGACCTCACCATACCGACACGATATATTCGCTTCTTCAAAGGTTTTTCAACAGTAAAGATTTCAACGGTGATGATTATTGCTGCTTTGTATACTTTGATAAGGAGGAGCCTCCTAGCTTCTATAAGCCCGTTGTCAATAAGGATAATTACGTCATTCGCATATATGACAATGATTACAAGCAGATGGTATACATGAGAGTACCGCCGGATCTAAAGGACACGTACAAGCCAAACCAATTCAGGACTGAATATCAGCGGGCCATGAATATCCTTTTCCCGAGTAATCCACACACACATCTGAAATTCGATTCTACTACCAATGCATTAACGTATGGACTACTCAGTCCCCCTCCCAATGTTTGGGGTGGGATCATCACGGAACAAGCTGAGGGTAACGACCTGCCTGTCCTAAGTTTCGAGAGATCTATCATCCCCGAAAAGCATGTGCCTATCTGGATACCAGGAGTTCATTCGTACAACACGGACTTCTCGAATTTCTCGGCGATTTTCCCGGCAGATGATCTTGCACTTAGAGGAAATGAAGCCATTCGACCTGGTGCGGAAAGACTAGTCGCGACGGTCATCGGTGCCAACCCTGACATAACTAAAGGCAACCGTATGATTGGTATTGACGTCTGGTTACCTGGACAGCATTTTCTAGACACTAATATCAATGGTCGTCGTATCACGCTAGGGGGTGGTAAAGTTGGGTCGGATACATTGGACAGTTGGAATGAAGTGCTTCACGTCTTCCAGGGCCCAAGAATCCACGCTCCCTGGCAGAACTATAGCATTGCAGCTCGGGTTGTCTACGATACTTATCTATTCTACACGGCAGCCGGTAAATCCAATGCACGGTTTACTACGGATATCAATAGTACATTGCTCACGTTAGACGAATTCAAGAAAGCCGTCCGCGGTAACCTGTTTCCCGATTACCAGGAAGACACCCAAGTGTTGCACCTGGTTCAATCGACGTGGAAGAAAAACCCGACCGATTTCGTAATCAATGCCCACACGGACGAGGCCGATTGGAAATGGATCGTCCGGAATATTACAGAACCGGATATAGCTGTGTCCCTTGAGAACTGGTCTAACAAGTGGGGTAAGTGTCGAGGCGAATGCCCCTATTTTGAATCGAGCTAACCGCTGTATTATAAAGTGGTGGACCAAGATGCAACTTGGGGGCCACGCTACTTCGACAGCAAGAATCTTGAGTTAACATCGCACTATGCATCGACATACAAGCCATTGCCATATGATCCACCTGTCGAGGCATTTTTCGCGAATTCTGATAATAGACCTCCCAGCTTTCAGAGACACCAACATCTGCGAGAAAGGTATTTCTGGGATACCCCGAGCATTTTCGTCAACCCAGCGAAGCCCGCGATACCGGGACACGGGCCACCACTCGAAACTATTATTCACACGGGACCCGACGTACCAGGCTTCACCATTGCGATGAGAACTCCGAGCGAAGTAGCACGACTCGAAAGGGAAGTTCACACGTTAAGGGGAAATCTCCTCGACAGGATTAGGGAGTGTCCTTATGTGGGCTGCGACCGATTTTTCCAATTCCAGGATCGTGAAGGCTTGACTACACACATGAACGTCGACCACAGTACTTTGCAGTGCTTCTTGTGCGACCCCGTTAAGCAGAAGCTCCTCCCATTCTACGATCAGGGCGCTATTAGACGTCACTTCCTCGATGAGCACTACCTTGAATTCAAGAAGATGGTCGCGGCTACTACAAACGACCAGGCAGGACAAATACCCCAGCAAGAAAAAGCAAAGGTATCCAAGTCAGAAACAGAGGAAGAAGAAGAGGAAGAGGAAGAAAAAGAAGATGTAGAGACTACATTCTGCAATCGGTGCGGGAGAAACCTACTCAAACTCAATAACGAGATAGACAGGGTGTTCCATGAGGATTATTGCAAACTCGGCAAGACGGACGCCTTAAAATACTGCCAGTATTGCGGAGAGGAGAAGAGTGCCGAGGCAGTTGGCAGTCCATGTAGTAAGTGTGGGAAGGGTAAACGAGGCTCCCCCCATCTCTATTGCGAGTCCTGTGGTATGAAATTCGACTCGACTATGAGTGAGGCGTATCGCGAACACCACGTTTTGCATTGTAAACCCTTGGGTGGCCCCGCAAACAACTTTTGCCCCGACTGCGGTGTCAGTCTGGCCGGGAAGACTGTCGCTGAGAAGCAGAAGCATATAGCTACATGCGATTTCGCACCACAAGATCCGGAAGACGAGGATGAGGGCGCTCATGGCTACTATAATGTCACCCCCACCCCCTTTGTTGATACTAATACTATAGAAATAGCCCCGCTCGATAAATACGCGGAGATGATTAATAAGTTGACCGGATCTAAGGACAAGCATCGCAAGGGCAGTAAGACGGATGAGAGTTCTCCTAAAGCCCGAAAGACCGCTCCAAAGAGCAGCCAGGAAGCTAGGAGCAAACCAACTACCAGACGCGATGTGAGGTGGAGGCCGGCGTCAAAATCCGACCCAGCACCGGTTCGTCGATCACGCTCTCCCAATTGGGCTGGTCACCTCGAGCCGGACCACCAAACATACTCATTCCAACCATCTCCGGATTGGAGATGCTCGCGGTGCTTCCGGGCAGCAGGGCACGACTTAGCACAAATTGAGGTAAGTTAATTTCCTGGAAACTTCGTATTCAACATGTGGGATATAGAGAGCTAGAACTAATATGTCTTGATTTCTCTAGGCACATATGGACGCAGAAGGGTCCTGTAGAATTCGTCGCGGGTTAGGAACCACTAACTATGGTCGCATGCCCAACCGCAGTGGATGGATCGCTCCCATGGAGGAATTCGATTTTACCAAGACATTCGCCGAATTCGTTAGACGTTATCCAGCATACAGGCACACCATGTTCCCAGTACGCGACTCGAGCGTCCGGAAGACTTGGGAGTCGTCTTACTCACTGAATAATGCTATCGGGGATATCGCCGATGACCCAAATCATCCCTCCAACATTGCGAGGCACATGACTGGAGATATGCCATGGCCGCCGTATGAGGGCACAGTTATCCCGCTTGACGATACGGTGCCGCCAGCTCCACCGTCCGTCGATTTCAAGTCAGACACTGATGACGGGCGCTTCACCCAATCCGATATATCTCGTAGCCCGACCGAGTCGGAGCTGATGAGAATAGACGATTTCAACAACCCCCCCATTGTCGAAAGCTCAGATGAGGAAGGATCGGTAGGATTTCCCGAGCCGCCGCCACCTAAAGATGACAAGAAAGGCAAAAAGAATAAGAATGACAAGGATGACTCAAGTGAAAAGCGCAAGCGCAAGCGGGACCCGAAGGACGATGATTTCGTCCAACACAGCCCCGCCGACGACGTCGAAGAGGAATATTCTGAGGTTGGCGCGGACCCGGATACTCCCAAGAACTTGACCGGCTGGAAACCTCCGACGCCTAAGAAGAGGAAAGACACCGAGGAGAAGGATCCTAAAAAGCCTTCCGAATTCATAAATGATTCGTCGTCATCGTCGTCATCTAGTGGCAAGTCCCCTAAGCCACCGGGGCCCGATACCAATGTTCCTAAGTTCCCATCAAAGCGTCCCTCCATAAAACGACCGCCGCCGCTAAACCCGCAGAGTATTTCTGGCCCGCTACCACCGCCTAGCGGCGGCCCGTCTAGCTTCACTCCGGGAGGTCGTCCGCACATATCGCTACCGCCTGACGTGGAGGCTCTACAGAATATTGTTAAGGAATCGGGACGGGGCTCCAAGCCTGCTGGTAGCACGCCACCTCCGCCAACTCCGCCTGGTTTTGGAAAACCCAATACGCCTAAAAAGTAATCAATCCCTAGGGATAGTTAGAGGGTTATCAAATGCTGGTTGCGTAGTTGGTTGACTGGGTAGATATTTGGTGCACTGCGGAGTGAGAAGGGCTGGGTCAATGTAACTCACCTAGCAAAGTGATACGATTGACGAGTGGGAACGAGGGGAGGACAAGAGGTTGTAAACATACTCGATCTTTACTATTTGGGTTTCTTTTGTAATAAGAAGTAAGATAGGAAGTATTTTAATACGTTGCTTAATTTTCGTTTGTCATGGAGTGATACTGCTCTATTTAGAAATGAGTTGTTTTATTCATTGAGATGCTTCCCTTAATTACCTAGGTATGTAGTGGCGACTATGTGTATCATCTACCTAGGTAGTTAAGAGGTAGGTGAGGGTTACCTTAACATCTCTGCCGACTCATCTTTAATAATGGTCGAACCTTGGTGGTAATTACCTAGGTACTGCTAGAATCATAATTTCGTACACGTTGAATTCTGAATTCTGAATTCTGAATGGAGAATAACAAAATAACACATCGCTTGTAAATTCATTAGGGTATGCTATCAATTTACCAGAATAAAACTGGCTTTCAGATTGGTCTAGCCTACCCGACCCCAAATTGGTATCATGTTGATTAAAAGAAATACATCGCAGCATGCCCCTAACTCTTACTCTTCCTCCTCGCTCCGAAGTCATGCTTTAATTCGGAAGTTGTGAATAATAGAACCACCTAGGTGAACTAGCATTAAATCGCCCAAGGCTCATAGCCACATGGCGCTCGTACCTCTCCGGTTCCTCTTCCTTCATTCACCTGATCACATAATGATCATCAATGTGTCGGCGGGCAACGTCGAGCTAGTAGACGGACATTATTAACAAGGCCGTCGACTAGATCCTCATATCTATTCGGTTCTTGTCGCATGAGCATACGACCATGATCGATTAAAGGGCGCGCCTCCAATTCCACCTCAAGCTCGTGCTCTTTTGCGGTGCCGTGATGCGGTTGAGGCGGTTGTACGCCTGATGTAGGATGTCCTTGCGTCACCTGCGTCAGATCGATCTGGTAGAATCCATGCTTGTAGCTGAGTCGATCTTTAATACGATCAGGCGCTCGTTCCTTGTTGGGATTTTGGAACCTCTCAATCTCCTCAGCAGTGCCATCCCAGTCCCATTCCACGTTAATGCTGATACGGCAGTCTAAGGGTAGATGAGGGAAATGTATATTTAGGTCGGCAATTCGTGCCTTGACAATTTTAGCCAACACGTTGCCGGTTTTTTGATCGCATGTTACTCGCGCCTTCACAGGTGAGCTGGGCTGAAGTAGACTAGAAATGCAGCCCGGTATTCGTTGACGCATCTGCGGTGTAAGCTCGAAGAATCGATCGACTTCTCTACGATGGACGTAATGGACTTGTACGCGAGAGGATGCTGTCGGGTTGCGGGGAAATGAGGCCTTGACTTGCTCGTTCAGGTAACCATTGAGCTCACAGTGTTGACTCTGCACATGAAATATCAGTAAACTATTCAAGGTATAGATAATAGGATTGGATATGTTAGTAGGCGACTTACCTCCGTCATCGAACTACGAAACGCGACCCTGCCGCCGTTCAACACACATTCGCCGGCTCTTATCTCGGGGAAGTAAATGCGATCGTTGGTATTCTTGTCGATAATGACACCCAGCTTCGCTTCAATCTCGAATTGCGCGCCCCGGCTATGAACCTCTTCAAATTGGGGGAATTGTAAAACGTGAATGCCTAAGAAATCGGCTACTTCACGAGAAACAATGTTCTTGGGTGTCTCATTTCCAATGCTGGGTTCCCACGGAAACGGTTGGCCATTGAACACCGAATGCTCCCTGATACCGATGTTGTTAGTTTCTTCGGTCTTGACGCCGACCGCCGATCGTGTAGCCTCAGGTGAGGCGTGTCGAGACATATGCTCGGACTTAACGCTTCCACCTGCATCATATTGATTGCTCCCGTTCGCTTGTCCGCCTGCACTTGCATGCTGACGATTGTGCTGCTTCAAAGAAAAGTTACGGCTCTTTATTCTGGGTTGGTCGCGATCTTTGCCGCTTCGCGCCCACGAGGGGGTTTGTGCATACTTCACACGCTTCCGTCGAGGTGTTGTGGGTGATCCGGTCGCCTGCGCCATAGCTGCCAAGGGAATAGCGTGATTGCCATTCATTTGAGGCGGCGGGGGAGCTTTCCGGTCGCTCTCGAGCTCGTCGGGTCCTAGGTCTCGTTGTTCCAACTTTCGTTTCGCCGGGGTGCCGGGGTGTTGGGATTCCATGATGTTATTATTGACCGAGGCCTGTGGGACGCGTTGAGGAGGGTAAGGATTTACGTCACTGCTAGTTGATGGAGGACGATGGCCGCCGTTGCTGGGTAGACTAGGAACACGTGTCTTAGGTGAGACACTTACGCTTCTTTCTCGATCACTTTGGGCTTGTGACCCGCGGTGGGACTCAGCAACTGCGTCGTAAGTTCCGTGACTACTGCTACTAGACATGCGCTGAATGGAAGCCGGAGGAAGGGGCTTGGGTGATGTTTGCGAAGGGTGAGGAGGATACACAGTGGAGGCAGTGGAGATACGCTTCTGATACGGACTAGGAGGTTGCTGGTAACTAACAGCAGGGGATTGCCGTGGAGGTCCAGACAAGGGTGGTCCAATTGGTGTAGGGGGTTGGGATGATTGACGTTGATGCAATTGCTGCACTTGGTGTTGTTGCGGTGCTGGTGGTGGCTGTTGTTCTAGAGGATGCGGATGAGGATGTGTCGTCGCGATAGGACTGCCTTGAACATAAGGAGCTCCGTATAAAGGTTGTTGACTGTGCGCGGATGTAGGCGTAGGAGTCGATTGGATGGAATGAGATCTTTGATGCAAATACTGGTGACTACCACCCGGGGTCCCAACGGGAGGTGTTTGTGGTAGAGGTTGTGATTGTTGGCTGTGTGCGTAAGAGATGGAATTGTGTGGTTGGCTATTGTAATTATCGCGAGAATAAACTCCAGGACCTGCACTCGGACCAACACCCGGACCAACACCCGCACTAGGTGGGCCGTATTGGTGTCTATGCAACGGACTCACGGGTTGTGTTTGTTGCTGCTGCTGAGGTTGCTGCTGTTGCGTAGGTGGGAATGGATAACCACCACTCGCGGTGCTTACAGAGGAAGTAGGCGTGCGTCGATATGGTGAAGGCCCGGATATGGAAGCGCTTCCTGGTGATCGTATATCGTGGGAGCCCGGAGGTTGGAGAGGAGGGACAGGAGGTCTACCTGCAAACGCGTTGCTGGGAGGATTATAAGAGGTCGGCGACGGATATGGGCCGGCGGAGTTCGGGGTATGATTTGGATGATTAGGAGCAGGAGGGTATTCGTGCGGGTGGGTAACGGGAGAGGCGTGACTAGATCGACTATAGTCTCTAAAGGACTGAGCCGGAGGGCCAGCGTGAGACGGCGTGGTGGGCGTAGCTGAATTTAATATCGAAGAAGTCGAGTTCGCGGATGGTGGTGCTGGTTGTATGGATGGTTGAGGCGGCTGCTGCTGTTGTTGCTGTTTCTTCGATGCGCCTCCATCCGGTCCGTTCAACATCGCACGCAAATCCATTTTCGCGACTTTTGTTGTTTGCTCACCCTAAGAGCTATTTCCTTACTGGCGTAGTCTGGAGGTTGTTTCTTCCCTTCTCTTGCTCTTTCGTCACACCTTGCTAGTAGTCTAGCGGTTCGTTTTCTTCTCCTACAACACAACGGATGTTGAAGTGCGCAGCACACATGTACATATACACATACGTATACACAATAGTGCGTGCGCGCTACCTCCTTATGACACCTTACCTACCTCTTACACACACTCTTTCGGTCTTCTCTCGTACTCTTTTCTCTATCGTCTTCTGGCGCGCAGCGCATACACGCACATATACAATCGCTTTATAGTGGTATTCAAGCCGCGTATTCTAACGTCATCGATACATCCAGAAAATACGTCTTCTCGTGATTTCGGACGCGGTATTCAATGCGCTATCGCGATGGTAATGATCGCCCTTTTTATGGGCGACATGTAAAGGTCGGTGGGATTTAGGAACACTGAAGATGCGATGGTCGTTCGTCGGGCTGTGCTGGTTGGTTGGAGTATATTTTGTCTAACTTCGATCCAGTATCCTTCGAAGAGAGACGGAGAAAAAAGAAATAATTTAAAAAAAAACAAAAACAAAAAAAACATCAAATTTGCATATTCGTGTAAGTCAAACAGAGTTTCGATCGAGGAATAGAGGACCAAGACTTTGTTGCTTCTATCGCTTCGGATTGAAAAATAATTATTAAAAAAAGGTACGCGCACAACAAATAATAGTCCACTGGTAGCAATGATGATAGAATTGACGGGATTATCGTCCTAGTTGTACAAAGTTGGTCGAATTATGAACAAAGATTAGTCCAGGGATGAATGCGAAAGCGTGCGTGACACGATGAATCGATCAATCAATTAGTACATAAAAATTGTAGAGCTTGGATATTTTTTTTCTTCTCCCCTTCCCTTTTCCTTTTCTTTCTCTTTTACGTAGCCGCATGTATAGAAGTAGCGGTACTTAAAATTTAGCTTTAAGGTTTGCATAGTCGAAGGTAACTAGTACAACCTTATTCGTTGCATCGATACAAGTACATCTAAAAGTACATAAGTATAAGTATGTATGCACAGTAACGTAAGGCCTAGAAGTTTAGATGTTCCTTCGCATCTTCCAAACTTATGTAATATTTATAACTTCGAACAATAAACAAATAGAAAGCAAATAAAAGAACAAATAAAATTGGGAATAATTGAAAGACGTAAAAATCCGAGTCTATCGAGTCTATGTAAGCTTAGGTACGTGAACAATGTCTAGACCAAAGGGAATGGGTTCAAAAGGAATTCTGCTTTTTAGCCTTCAATACATAGGAAAAAGTCTCTAGGTACAAAAGTACTTATGTATTAATAATCTTTTGAGATTACCTCATCTCCACCCTTTCACGATTCAATGATCTGATTGGTCAGTTGAAATCTAACTTAATGATCAAGCCACTGAGGCTCAGAATTTGGGGCTTTGCCAAGGCAGGTAGGCAGAGCTGTGCCTGACGTGGACGCTGAACTTTAGAAAGCTTGGGGGTCCATGCTTGCAGCAGGTTCACCCGTTAACCGTCACCAGTTGCTTCCCATTACTCGAAGCTTCGTATCTGAATTTGAATAGCTTCGTCCATTTTCATCAAAACAACCTTTCTTCCTCTACATCAAACCAAAATACATCCTTTCCATTTATACGGCGCGACCTTTTTAACGGTCGTCGCGTAAATCATCATTCAATCTAGTTGTACACATTGATTTTCCTCGTTCTTCCATCTGTCCACTTCCAATCTCTTCTCCCTGCATCATCGGCCAAAAAAAAAACATTTTCGTAACGCGGATTTCTCGTCTTCTCGAAATTCACCATTCGTTACAAGACACGCAATTAATTCGATTTCAAGATGCCTGGTCTGGTTACTGCCACTGGTGTACTAGCCTTCTTGGCCGATGAAGAGCCAGAGCTCAAGGTATTCGCCCTCCAAACACTCAACGATGACATCGACACTGTTTGGTTCGAGGTTGCCAGCGCGCTTGGCCAGATGTAAGTTTTGCTCGCTTTCCATCAATACCCTTATACTGCCTGTCCATATCGGCGACATTAACCCTTAAATTATCGTAGTGAAGCTCTCTATGAAGACGAATCCTTTCCGGAGCGCAAATTGGCTGCCCTCGTACTCGCCAAGGTCTATTATCATCTCCAGGCTTACGATGAGAGTATGACCTTTGCATTAGCCGCAGGTGAACTATTCAAGCTAGACAACCCTGGCGAATTCGAGGAGACAATTATTTCCAAGTGTGTCGACCACTATATCGCTGCCAAGAACGAGAACCACACCGTCGTCAACAAGAAGGATAAGGATACTTCCTTGCCCGCCCTTGCTACGGCATTCTCAAGCACCGGTGCCGATGGCAGCGCCTCTGCTCTTATCTCGCCCACGACACCCTTCTCCCAGTCTACCCTTCCATCGAAGTCTCTTCTATCTCGAGCCTCTACCGACAACACCATTCTCGAACCCTCCTTCGAACCGCAGAAGAAGCAACATCGATCGTCCTCTATTGCTTTAACCAATAATGAACTCGACACTCGTCGCGCGATCGACCAAGTCATTGAGCGCTTATTCGAGAGCTGTTTGAAGGAGAGACGTTACCAACAAGTCGTGGGTATAGCAGTCGAAGCAAAGCGCCTTGACGTCGTTAGTAAGGTCATTCAACGCGCGGACGAAGACTACAAGCGTAACAAGGGCAAGTCAGCACAAGACGATGCCGTAGGACCCGCCGAGGAGTTGCTAGACTATTGCTTGAGTATATGTATGGATGTTGTCCAAGAGCGGGCTTTCCGAGACGAAATCTTGCAGCTCATCCTAGATATTCTCACCAGTGGCCGTGCCAAGGACCCAGACTACTTCTCGATCGCCAAATGCATCATTTACTTAAATAAGGATGAACAGGCGGGTACCGTCATTCAGCATCTAGTCAAAGCGGAGACTGTTGAAGCTACGGCCATAGCTTACCAGTTTGCGTTCGACCTATACGACAATGGCACACAAGAATTTCTAGGTAAAGTTATCTCGGGTTTACCCAAGAGTGACATTCCTACGGAGAAGGGGGGCCACGAGGCCACTGGAGAATCCGAGAGTGAACCCCTTCTAAGTGGAGAAACCGACGCGGGAGAGGGCGAGTCCGAAGAGGTTGATGGAAAGAGAGGTGCCATCTACAAGAACATTCGTTCCATCCTAGACGGCACTAAGACCATCAAGCTCAATCTAGAGTTCCTCTACCGCAACAATCATACCGACCTAAGCATCCTCAACAAGGTTCGGGACAGCCTCGAGGGCCGTAATTCGATCTTCCATACCGCCGTCACCTTCTGCAATGCCTTTATGAACCAAGGTACTACCAATGACAAGTTCTTTAGGGATAATCTGGAGTGGCTAGGGAAAGCCGTCAATTGGTCCAAGTTTACCGCTACTGCTGCTTTAGGTGTTATCCACCGTGGAAACCTCTCTCAGTCTAGGAAGCTTCTAGAGCCTTATCTTCCACGAGGCGCTGGTGGTATCAGTGGCGGCTCCCCTTACTCGCAAGGTGGTGCTCTTTACGCATACGGCCTTATCCATGCCAACCACGGCGCCGATGCTCTGGATTATCTCAAAACTCAGTTTACGGCTGCGGAAGAAGAGGTGATTCAGCATGGTGGTGCTCTTGGGCTAGGCCTTGCTGGTATGGCAAGTGGAAACGAAGAGATATTTGAGAACTTGAAGAGCGTTCTCTACGCCGATTCTGCTCTTAACGGTGAAGCCGTTGGCCTCTCAATGGGTTTAATCATGTTGGGTACTGGCAACGTTAAAGCTCTCGAAGATATGGTTGCTTACGCGCACGAAACGTCTCACGAGAAGAGCGTACGAGGCTTAGCCCTGGGTATGTCTTTAATCATGTATGGCCAACAAGAGGGCGCGGATGTCATGATAGAAGGTCTTTTGAACGATCCGGATCCGACTTTACGATACGGTGGTATCATGACCGTGGCGATGGCCTACTGTGGCACGGGCAGCAACAAGGCTATCCGCAAGCTATTGCACGTTGCCGTTAGTGACGTCAATGATGATGTGCGACGAATTGCGGTCATGAGCTTAGGTTTCATCCTTTTCCGCAAACCCGGCAGCGTGCCTCGTATGGTCGAGCTACTCTCCGAATCCTACAACCCTCACGTTCGTTACGGTTCCGCCATGGCTCTTGGTATCTCGTGCGCTGGCACCGGATTAGACGAGGCCATCGATTTGCTGGAGCCCATGATGAAGGACCCAACCGATTTCGTCCGACAAGGAGCACTAATTGCGCTAGCCATGATCATGATCCAACAGAATGAGGTCATGAACCCTAAAGTTGCGTCAATCCGCAAGACACTCAAGAAGGTAGTTGGTGACCGCCACGAAGATGCTATGACCAAGTTCGGTGCGGCCCTCGCTCTGGGTATTATTGATGCCGGTGGACGTAACTGCACGATCGGTCTACAAACTCAGACGGGCAACCTCAACATGGCCGGTATTGTCGGAATGGCTGTCTTCACGCAATACTGGTATTGGTTCCCCTTTACCCATTTCCTGTCCCTCGCCTTTAGCCCAACCTCGATTATTGCCTTAGATCACGACCTGGACATCATAGATGTTAAGTTCCACTGTGCCACGAAGCCAAGTCTGTTCGATTATCCCCCAGAGCAGGAAGTCAAGGCGGAAGAGGGACCAACTATGATCGCAACTGCTATCCTCTCTACCACTGCCCAAGCCAAACGTCGGGCTCAGAAGAAAGAAAAAGCACAGCGGAGGGAGAGCATGGATATCGATTCCACAGCCACACCAACCATTTCCAAACCAAGTGCTAGTAGCGATAAGATGGAGGTCGATACGAAGGCCAAGCTAAGCGAAGACACCAAGGACAAGAAGGAAGGCGAGACTCCCGCTCCTGGCGAGAAGGAAACATCAGCACCCCCAACAGATACCAAGAAGAAACCCGAGAAAGAGAAGCCGGGTTACGAAATTGAGAATATGAGCCGTGTCCTACCGGCACAACTCAAGTATATCAGCCTCACCAAAGGCCGTTACTGGCCAGTCAAGTTGGTGAGACCTGGCCCACTGGTAGGATTATCCTTCATTCACGTTTAATGTGTTTCACTATGCTAATCATAAATACAGCCTACCGGTGGCCCCATTCTCCTCCACGACATGCAACCTGAGAAGGAAAAGGCGCTTATTGAAGAGAAACTCAAGAAGGTGGCTACAGAAAAAGCACCTGTGGCTGGTGCCGGTAGCGGTCAGAACCGTAATCCTCGAACGGTTGAGGAAGCTCTCCTCCATCGCCTTAGACAAGACCAGCTTGCCACTCCTAGTCGAAATAATGTAGGTGGTGCCGCAGCGGCAGCCGGCGTGTTGACTGCCATAGACGAAGACGCCGAGGGCGACGAGGAAGCCGAGCCGCCTCACGATTTCGAGTATTACACTGACGAGGAGGATGAGTAAATGCGCAAATGCACACCATCCTAAAGAGCCAGTCATGTGTATTTGTACCTTATTTGTAGCATAGACAAACCCAAGATGGGTTATAATAGCCAACCACAATATTTTACAACCTCGAGAGCAGGGTTTAGCATACAAACGAAATACTCAAGTGACTAGGTGATCTATCTGTTCATAACGCCGATATAACTCCTGATCTCTCTCGGCTTGATAGCCGTCCAGAAGTAACACGCAGGTAGTTAAAAAACTAACTATGACTAACACCCTACACCTATTTCCATAAAGTGCAGTCGTAAGCCGGCTGCCGGCACGAACTGATATAACAGTGTTTCCGAATGCCGCTTCACAGTCGGGACTCGGAAGGAAACCACCATCAGCCCTGCTGTAAGTACGCTGCTACCCTAGCTGATGCGTCCCACAAAACCCCTGCACATGCAGTACCGATTGGGTTTTACAGGGGATTCCTCCAGATATTTAGCGGTCAGCGGCTTCTATTTAGGATTTCCCGAGTCCCTTACCTAAGGCACTAGCTAACTATAGTCACTGGGTTCAGTGGGTCTATCCATCCCCAAGCTGCCACCTACTCCCTCCACTCTTTACAGCTTCAACATTCTTTTCCTTCCTACTGTGTCATATTTCCACCCATCGATCCATCGACATTTCTACATAACAACATTAAATATCGATGGGAGAAGAAATGAGAGATGAGAAATAGTATGATAAGGCAGTATCACTTTCTTGAAGATTGATTGCTTATACGCGTCCCTGACTGATGGTCTATCCGCATTACCTTGGCTGTTATGCCAGGTACCAAACATTTAGCAATACGAATGTTGACAAGTATATCTCCATCTTCTTTCGTCTTTCGTGCCTTCTAGTCTACGTATCGGTCAGCACCTCGCATACGATACCGTCCGACGGCAACCGGCAACCGAAAGATTGATATCCTGTTGACGGCTTCCCTTATTTCCTTGACTCACTCCGGTGAATTTAAGATCTAATTCACTTCCGCTGTTTGGATTTTCTTCATTTTCTTTTGTTATTCAAGTCCGTCACCAGGTCACATGGTACAATATTCAGGGGTAGTTCTCTTGAATAACACTGTTGTCCCTTGTGGTTTCTTTCCAGTCTTCTCTATTTATCCTACTTTACTCCAAGGAAGACACCATTGACTCTCTCTAATAAGGAAGATACACGAGTCAAGACATCGCCTCAAGCTAGCCCAACGCCATTAGATTTGTTAACGCAGTGTATTTGCGGTTCAGTGCTATGGACACATTTATTGAGATACCCTAATCCCACTTGATTTTAGGGCGAGACACCTGAAGCGGTGTTAACATTGACATCATGTCAATTCCAATATCTCGACACCTTGGCTTGGAATTGCTCAATGTAACGGGGCGACCTAGACCGGCTCTTCGACTACTTCGCAACCTCGAGACTCACCAATTGAGCAGCTGCCATGCCAGGTTCTTTAGTTTCCAAGCCGCATTCCAAACTACGTCGTCTAAATTCACACCGAAAACATCACCCAGTCCTCGTCCGCGTGTTCTGCCCATATTTGCCCTAGGCGGTGGGCTCTTAACAATCTTACTTGCCGGTCTTCAGCCTAATAATCACGTACCCCCTGAGTCGGCCCAAGATATAAAAGCTCCCCCATCCAATCCAACGCCGAACGATATCGACGATGACGACAATGGTTTGCCACGCTTCTGGCTTGCGGAAGTCAAGAAGCATGGGCCAAAATCTGATAATCCCTGGGTTATATACGAAGATAAGGTGTATGACATTACTGATTGGGTTCCCGCTCACCCTGGTGGGGAAGTAATTCTACGTGCTGCTGGTGGTAGTATCGAGCCATACTGGAACATATTCTCTATCCACAAGTCCGCGTACGTCCGAGAGATCCTTGAGCAATATGTTGTTGGGAAAGTGCATCCAGACGATCTAGAAAACGGGAGACCACTGCAGGACCATATCGAAGATCCATTTATGTCAGATCCAATCAGAGATTCCAGGTTAAGGAAACTTACGGAAAAGCCATGCAACGCAGAAACGCCCGGCGAAGAACTAGCAACATCTTTCTTGACCCCCAACGAGGTTTTCTACGTCCGTCATCACATGTGGGTTCCTGTTGTAGACGAGGACGAAGCTGAGAACCACAACATCACCATTGAACTACCCGACGGCGACAGCAAGACGTATAGCCTCAAAGATCTCAAGGTACACTTTAAACAACACACCGTTACTGCAGTTCTCCAATGCTCCGGCAACCGGCGAAATGATATGACTCGGTATGCGAACAAGACAAATGGTTTACAGTGGACTGTTGGAGCTATCAGTTGTGCAAAGTGGGAGGGCGTACGGCTACGAGACGTCCTCGCTGATGCTGGCCTGTCGCTCGAAAACCCGGGAGAGGATGCGCAGCATATTCAATTCTCAGGCTTGGAAGCGTACGGTGCCAGTATACCAATCTCGACAATTCTCGACCCCATGGGAGATGTTATTCTTGCATTCAAGATGAACGACGCCCCCCTCCCCCGCGACCATGGCTTTCCTGTGCGAGTGATTGTTCCCGGCCATGTAGCAGCAAGATGTGTCAAGTGGGTGAACAAGATCGTAGTCAGCGACGAAGAAAGTAATACTACTTGGCAACGTCGAGACTACAAATGCTTTGGGCCGAACGAGGTCAAGCAAGACTGGGATAAATACAAGGCTATCCAAGTGATGCCGATCACAAGCGCGATTACACGGACCTTGTTAAAACCCACAAACAAAACGCTAGGCAACCGGGATGACGCTACACATAACCCCGTCGTCCAGATCGAGGGGTATGCTTATTCAGGCGGTGGGCGTGAGATCCAACGCGTTGATATCAGTCTCGACGGTGGACAGACATGGGATCAAGCACAATTGATTGACGATACCACACTCGAAAGAGGAAGTAAAGCATGGTGTTGGAAAAGATGGAAGTACGAGACTGGATTGTCTGAAATTTCGAAAAGATCCCAAGGTGAATCAAAGACTGCCACACTCATCGTCAAAGCTACCGACGACGCTTATAATACTCAACCCGAAAGCCACAAGAGCATTTATAACCTACGAGGCAATTTAGCTACAGCTTGGCATCGTGTGGAATTCGATTCCGCTGCTGCTTTGAGAGACTTTGGGAAGAGGGAAGAGAAATAGATAATACTTCTCTTTGTTTTGCTAGCAACCAACGACGATTACGACGGTGTGAATGGCATCGGCGTTCGGTATCATAAGCCAGCGAGTTTTCTTCTCTTTCTCAGATGGATTATTAAAAAAATATTTTTGAATACCTCTTGCTACCTAGGCAGGCGTGTAGTTATTATAAACGGTCTTGAAAATTGAATTTGTTAGAATGCATGTCTGGATATTCATCAATTCGAATTACCACAGCACACGCAAAACATAGCGACTGAATCGGACATAAAATCCGTAAGTCCTTTCATTGAGCAAATAACTCATCAGTATTTGAAAAGGGTATATCACCAACATTACTTCTTCACAACCCTCAACTCATATAACGCCAATAGTCCCATCAACCAAAAACCCGGCGGTAAAATACCAAGGACGAAAACAAGATTAAGCCGTCATTCTGGCGAAGGTCGCAAGGTAATTTTTTTTTTTTTATATATAATTTTTAATCAAGATAATATCGTTGTCGGCCACTTCGACTTTGGGGGCTTAAGCACCAGGGTAAGCGTTCGGCTTAGCGGCGGGGCCAACATTGTGGCGGCGACTGCGCAGAGAATCGAGGGCGTCGATGACGGTAAGGAATGTAAAGAGAGCCCTATATGATGATAATCAGCATTGAAAATTCAAGCGACAATACTTTTCTCTTTTATGCTCGAACGTACCATAGGAAGAACCCAAAGGCGACAGCAGCCTCGGCGGAGCCACAATAGGAATTGCTGCCACATTCGTAAGGTCCCCCCACGAAGACGGCGAGAGCGATGGCACCGGCAAACCAGAATATTGTGGTTACGGCGTTGAGGGCGAGCGCGGCTAGGCGGTGGAATACGCTCGTTAGGTATAATGGTGTTAGGCCCACGTAGATTAAAACTAATAGCGACCAGACGGAATTGAATATCATAAAATTGATACGAGATGGTGAGTATCCTCCGAAACCGAACCAGCTGTTGTATCCACTAGCCACTAATTGATAAGAGGAGTTAGATGTTTTCTAGCTGAAGCATTCACTCGGACTAGTAGATTATACTTACGGTATGCTGTCAGGCCTAGTTCGATTATAGCGAATATCGCGGCCACGATGTGGACAATGGGAACGAACCCAATCCCTATTGCTGGCATTGTTTCTTATTTGTTGAGTGTAAGGTGAGGTACGTAGTTATTACGATTATTTAATCAGTGAGAGCTGAGCTCAGTATGCAGCTTGAGTCGCACATCAGTTGAAAGCGAGGCAAAAAGAAATACAAACAAGTCAAAGATAAAAAAGTAAATAACTGGGCAGGCATTGATTATATGTAAATCGCCGGCCTTACCTATACCTAAGGTACATATGTATTTACTATTGAGAGTCATGAAAGAAGTAAGTTACATGTGGCATGGCGTGGCATGACAGGGAATCCGGCAGAAAGTGTTCCGGAATCGATGACGATTCGCTGTCAATGGTGTAAGTGGGCAGTGGAAACTTGGAACCAGCTGTGATAATGGGTGGTATGGATCTAGAATTCTGAATATTTGAATGGTGACGTGACGTGGGCTGCGTGGGCTAAAGGCGGGCGCATTTTTTTTTTACTCCAAGCCATCCACGAGACGTATATCCTAGGAAGTACTTCTTTTATTCTATTGGTTGAATTTATACTGCCCAAGGACTTTCAGCTAACCAAGCATCTGATCTACCGATACAGCCGTAATCTTACACATAATAAGACATAAGAGGTACCTAGGTAATTCAAAGAGCAGATGTTTCAATGAGAACATTGTTGAAACCTCGTCATAGGATAGCAAGGCATTTAAATATTGTGACGTAATTTGACACAACCTTTCAGGGTCCAATCCGCCAGCAGTCTGCTAACAAGACTCTTTACCATATTTGGTAAAGCGCTTAGTTTTGGACTATCCTAATTGGCTGCTTGATATGCAGCCACTTACCAAGGTACATCGGTACTTATCCTCAGACGCATGCAGGAATTTTCCATCACATAAAATCAAAGCTCGTAGAGGTGAGTGCGAGCTATACTATTTATATATAAATTGGTACCTTTCTTTCAAAGTGCCTAGAGAGCTTCTTGCTGTACTCACACCATTTTCTATTGAAGACCTATGAGAGTAAAAGAGTTGCAAGAAACTCCGATGCCTTCAATTTCGTACCACCCCACCATATGCGATGCAGCAGAAAAAGCATAGTTAAGCCCTACAAAAGATCTAACGCTTCAATCCAATGGAAGAACCAAAACTCCAATCCATAACCATGTCTTACAACTCTTTCCATTCTCGGCGCCGCGTCCAAAATCCTAAAACCGTATCCTAATGTATTTACCTGGTTGTCTAGCTCTTGATGTATATTTCCTATCGAATTGGCGAAGAAAAGTCGTCTTCGACTTGCTATCTTGCCAATATCATAGTCCTTGAATTGTATGAGGTAAGCCATGATGGCTTCTTCGAATTCTAACGTGGAATATACTACAGTTAATTCCCAGTTGAATATCCTGTAAGAAAATCATTACTTTAGTGAAGGTATTTTGACAATCTTACTGGCCCATTCTTACGCCCATTTGCTGACCGCTCTGCTGCATTGCCGCGGCACTGCAAGAGTTGTTGGCGACCAAGACATTTAAAAGCATTTAAAAACCACGAAATCTAAATGAAAATAGAGAAGTTCATCAATTATACATAAATAAAATATCATTTGCGACGTTATGGCTTCATTGCTAGACCTCCCTGTTGAGGTTCTCAATCACATTCTAGAGTCTTTAGATGGCAATGACAAACCAACATTCTTTCAGCTGAGCCTCGTATGCAATGCTCTCAAAGAGCTAGTCACCCCCATCATGTATCGAACAGTGGTTTTATGGGAGCTAAATAGCAAAACCTACCAAGGTGCTCCTGTTCCGTCTTTTCTATATTCGATATTATCATCTCCTACCCGGGCTTCTATGGTCAAAACCTTTGCCATCACTTCCTCTGCATGCCAAGCCACAGCTGAAATGGTCGACTTCGATATTTTCAGAGCCCGGCTCAGAGAGCTTGCAGTTGATAAAACAATATTAGATCTGTGGGAGAAATATATCTTCGATAATCGAAAATCATGGACAGATAATGGCCTCTCAGGATGTACAGCTCTGTTAGCGGCACTGAATCTTCCCAATCTTAACACCTTGTTCTTCGGTGGCACTTTTACTTATTGGCATTGGGATTTGCTCAATTCCATTCTAAGAAACGGCAATCAAGTTACGGATAGGGACCCAGGATGCGATTTTTGGCCTAAGCTTGATGCAGTTACTATTCATAGTACGTATCTATTCAGCAGAACCAATACATCGACTCGTAAACTGACAACTTCGCATAGACATGTGGGACAAGAACCCCGAGAATACTGCACCCCTTATGACGTTTGCGTCTCTACCAAATATAAAGCGCCTTTCTGGCATCCTACTGTTAGATATGGAGGTGGCACCCGAAACAATACTCTCCCAGTCGCCTGCGCCGTACAGCACTGAGCTTGAGGAGCTTGTGATACAACCGGGCTGCTACCTGCATCAAGACTATATGGAGATACTTCTTCAGGCACCGAAAAATCTACAGGTATTCAAAACCCATGCGTCAAGAGCATTGTTAGTTTTTACCCTTTCCCTATTTACCTATCAAAAATAATGAGACTTACATTACAACCAGGGCCAATACCACTTTCAAGACGCGGTGGCTGGAGGGCTTACTCAGCCACCAATCCCACGCCCTACGAGAAATTTCGTTGACACATAGCTTTTACGAATCCGAAGAAGTATATCAAGCAAGCGAATTTGATGAAGTAGCCGAAATAGACCCTATGTCTCTTTCTAGCTTTACATCTCTAGAAACGCTAGAGATTTCATCGGCATTTGTTTTTGGCCGCGAGGCTCTTCAATTAGCAAAGGACAAATTCTTTCGCGCGACTTTTGCCCTGGATCCCTCTGAAGGAGATATCGAGTCTACAAGGCATTATATTGTTCAGATGCTTCCTGGATCGATTAGGACTTTGCGTTTTGCGCAGTGTAATAATTACTGGGAACTCAAGCGGCTCAACAGCGCTTTGATGGAACTTTTTACCGGGAGAGACGAACTTTTCCCCAATCTAAAGGTCGTTGAAGTACACATGATATATTATCAAAAGACTGATTGGGCTAGTCAACTACATGGTAGCCGTCTTGCAGCTATAGAACGAGGAATTGATTTTAGGGTCTTTAAGGGTGGGCGTCTTGGAGTTGAAAGTGTGGGAGGCGAGAGCGTGAGGAATGTTTACTCCCTACATTATGCGGACGGCGATGCCCGGCTACAGGAAATTGATATCCATAGTGATTAATTATAATATGCTGCTTTTTATTTCTCTCCCGTTGACAGTGAGAGTTTTGATGCACAAGTTCAGCGTAATGGACGTGGTAGGAACACACTCAATTACAATCTTTAGGCTCCTATAATGACCGCCACCATCCGAACAGTCCAACAAACAATTCACTTAGTACACCTGCTGGTGGGTACCTAGGTAACCAAGATCCTCCCATCTCACATGTTCACACCATCCTCCCTTCTGCCACCACCAGTACATCCCAATTATTCTCACCGTTGCAGCTCCTTGGCCCATCTTTCCACCAAGACCCTCACTCACTTTCATCCTTAACCTTGTCTACATTCCGGAAGAGAATCCAGAATAAGATAGTCGCACCACCAAGAAGTCCAGATAGGATTGCGTACATGGTGACTAGATGAGGGTCTCTAGTCAAAGGCGTAAATGCGACAGCCAAACAGGACCCAATACCAGCCATAGAGAGCCAGATAGCTTGCACCAGTGTCTTCATCCTTTCAGGTGCGTGGTTATAAGCGTACTCGGTGCCTGTAGTGAGACAGAACACTTCGGCTAATGCCCCTCCGAAGTAGATGGGTATCTGAAGGAAGACTGATATCTGGTTTGGTATAGTACTACCATGAGCGGCCGAACAAGCAAGTGGTGTATCGTAGCATGGCCCTGTTTGATAGATAAGTTTTTGGATAACCGTCGTATAGACCATGGAAAGCGTCAGAACGGCGAACCCGACAGTCATGCGCGAAACTGGATTGAATGAGATCTGTTTCTTTGTGAGAAAAGGGTATAGTCCATTCTGAATGATGGGCGCGACGATTATGCCGGAAATGGCGCCGGCAATTTTTATCATGTCGTTTGGAATACCGTAAGTGACCATTTGTCCGGCTTGCGAAATCAGATTGTTGAATGTCTGGTTGTAACATAGCCAATGGATTGGGAAAAGAAGCCTAATAAATGCGTATTAGACGAGAGACCGGAAGAATTGGGAAGGATACGCTTACAATACTCGACAGGTCAGAAGACTTCGCTTGATATCATCTATGAATGAGTCGTTCCAAGAAACCTGATGGCCATACTGAAGTTGAGCATCAGGTTTTGCTGCATCCATTCGAAAACCTCCGGATATGCCGTAGCGTAGCGCAGTTACCACTTCAGGCATAACATTACTTGTCGGCGACGTTCGAACTATCCATATGTTAGTTATCTATCCAACCCACGGATGGTATGCTGCCACACGAATGAACTTACCAAAATGATTCCGACCGAGAAGAATCGGAATCAGCGCCAACCACATGCAGCAGCATGGGATCAAATAGGCCACCCAAAAACCAACGTATTTTTCCAAAAGGGGCGTGGAATCAGCGAAGAAACCCATTATGTTTACGGCCCTAATATCAGGTCAGAATCTCTTCGTTTTAGCCGATGGCTGTACCCTACGCACCAATAGAACACGTTGTATATATACGTGATGGTCAAGTCTCGGCTACTAACGACCTTCCCCGTCTTCCGGGTGTAGACTCGAAATTCTGTCTGATCATACTGATCGGCTGCAAAATATTAGCCCAACTTGCATACACATCAAGTATATACAGCTAGTTACTCACCGATAAACGGCACAACAGTAGTTTTAAACGCTCCTGATCCCACGGCTAACAGAATGCAGGCTGTAATAACCCCGCCCAGAGCAGCCCCCTCATGGATAGCAACGGGCAACGAAGTCGCAAACAGAATCGTCGCGCCAATTGATTCGATACTGCTTCATTGTTAGAACCCCCCTTTATCGATAGGAATGAGAAAGAGGATTGAAGAAATTCCACTTTACATAGCAGCATATAACATGGTTTTGTAGCGACCTAACCAACTATCGGCAATAACAGCGGCAGGAACAGGGGTAATGTAGGACCCGATCATGAGCGCATTCACGATATTCGAAGCGGCTGCCTGGCGTAGGCCTAGAGCTCCGGGGACTTCACCGCCGGGCTCATTCTGTAGGTAGTTCTCTGTGGAAACAGTTAGCAATTCGGGTTCCTTATCATACGACGTCGAATCGGGGATTCACTCACGTAAAGGCGCAGTGGCTCCATACCAGACAAAGCGTTCGAGAATACCAGCGAGACAAGCTACCCAAAGTCGCATAGGGATTCGGTCGACAACGTGGAGTAGATCGCGCACTTCTTCTTCGGTGGCTACGCGACCGTCATCATCAGTAGGCGAGGAATCGGCATTCAAAGAAGACTGGTCGTTCGTCTTCTCATCGACAAATTGGGAATGCTTTTCAGCCTCTACAGACGGGGAAAACAAGCCGTAATTAGTAACAATGCTCTCATTTTCAACATGAGGAGTCATCACCAACCGTTGCTGCAAGCTGGGCTCTGCGGTTACCTCCGCAGAGCCATGTACGTCAGGTACGGGTCCTGACATTTTGTCCTTTGGAATAGATACGTAAATTGGTACTTCGATCGAGGGATGTAGATATCGAATGTGTTATTTGATGTGCTGGAGAGTGCTGAAAGAGCTGGTGCGACGGGGTTTTGCCTTATTACAGCGCGATTACTGAGGGGGAGCGGCACAGATAGTGGTCTAATGAAGCAAGTTTTGGGGCGTCTTAGGCGTTCGGGGCAGTCATTAAATATAAATATTTGGTACTCCGAGTAGATGATTAGGTAGGTGACAGGGTTCTTCCCCTCCGTGCCGCCGAAAAAGAAATGAAGAATGCAGTGTGATCCTGGTCACTTTAGTCACATCAGTCAGTCAGTATCTTGGTCGATATAATCCTACTCGAAGGAGGAAGATGTTGCTGTATGGCACAGGGAAGATCGCTTGTAGGTGTCTAGAGCATAGTTGTCCTGTAGCCTCCCTCAACATTTAGCGAGGCGCCTGAATGCTTTCCCAGCGATGCCGCTTAGCGGACTATAACGCTCGAGCGCGAAACGGCGCAACCAACTCTACGAAGATGAGGAAACCCCGACAGCGACTCGACATCTCGCATACTCCTTCACTCCTCTACTAATGCAAGAACAACTCATGCGAGAGCAAACGAATATCTCGTATTCATAGCTTCTTCATATCCAAATTCGGACATATCTTTGGAAGCACCCACATCTGCCTTGAATTGATGCTGTGCCGCCTAAGCTGACTCTTAGGATAACGTCGCAATGCATGGTCTAGCCGTATTTTCGGCGATGAAAACGCACGTCATGCGCTGGTTGATATTGTAAGCAACATTGTCGAATGACTAACTCTACAGGCAGCAAGATTATTTGCTCAACGATACCTTCTCTCTCTCTCTCTCTCACAGTAGGAATTTCAAGAGAAGTCCTAGCTTGAAGAGCTTCCATTGCAAATATGTCGACGGCGGGGTATCTTCAGGGGGGTTTCTAGGGGTAAAGGTGGAAGCTTATAGGGCTTACATTAGCGCCTCTAGCACATCCCACCACGACGCTAAATTCGCCTATAGGCGGCAATGATAGGTGCCATCTTTGACTTATAGGAGACAACGATTGTAAATTTATGTGGTCTTCACTTCAAGAGGGAGAATTTCATGCACCAAAGCTGACATGGAAGTAGTTCTCTATAATACTTTTTATATAACCCGAGCGATGGTTGATGGTACTACTTCTGGGGATAGAGACTCCTATTTACCCAATATGTGGCTAGTAGCAGTTGATTCGTAGCATAGCAGCGCACAAGAATTCGCAGGGCGCTATATCAACTAATTCGGCGACTTGAAATACGGGACTCTTTGTATGGCTGTAGGTTGTCTCCTTCGGCCCCGAACACCCGTATAGTGTTCCAAGCCATACCGAACATCGAGCCCTACGACAGAAGCTCGACGCCTGTTTGGGGATGTCGTCTCCGCGGTTGCCGGTAACGTTTCCGCGTGAAAGGTCTCTAGTTCCCGTGGCTCTCGACGTCGGTCGACCTAGCGAATACCCGATATTATGGCTTAATCCTCCCGTATATCTCTTCATCGGGGATCCTAACGCTGGATCGGATATATGAATGTCACCTGTCTCTCAACCTCAATGGTCTCTCCACGAGCCACGGAAATTGTGTTTCAGCAATGCCGCGTCTGGAATCGATCCGTCATTAGTACTGTGCGAGTGATCCTGGCCCATTCCGAACGCATCTATCGGCATCACCAAAATATCGCCATAGAGCCTTGGCTCAGTCATCCCGGATAAGTTCGTCAAAGCCGTGAGCTCAGGTTCCGCTTGCTGAAGGTGTTGAAATACGACATCAGTCCAAGCCGCCGGTCCCGTCGAAGTCATAACCTCGAAACTGCTCGGCTTTAGCGTTTCCAATGTACCATTATACGTCTTGACCAACTTGTTTATCGAGTTGACGGCCCAGTTAGCCATACTGGTGAAAACGGGATGACCAGGTGCCGCGGCAATGGTCCATTGACAGAATTGTAAGTCATGGGGAATATCAGCCCATTGTAAACCGTCGAGCCTGTCGAACTCTAGGCCAACAATCAGCCGGACAAGATGTCGTATGTGTTTTGGCACCCATTCGTCGATTGGCTTTATCGCCAAGGTGTCAATGTCGGTATATGTGCCTCCTTTAACAGACAAGATAAGATACCGTAGAAGGTCCGATTTCAAGCCAGGATTTCTGATTCTATTGTATGTCTGAAGGATATTTTGGTCGTGTGCGAAGTATTCGTTGACGAATTGATCCCCACCTTCAGACCCAACTAGTATATAAGTGTAGTCGGGATTTTTCGCCAGCCACGATGGTGTATCGACAAGAGCTTCGGGGTCGATGTCATATACCGCCTCCGGAATTATGGGCGGTAGAAATATCTGCCAGATGTTCCGTGGGATAAGGGAAGTATTTTCAACTGTGGCTGGCTTAACTCGATGATGTGGAGTGAGCTTTCGGTAACTATTATGTGTAAGAGCGAAAGCTACTAGGATGAAAACGAAGAATATAAGTGCCAAGTGCCTGGGCTGTCGCCAAATAGGGGTACGTGTCATCTGACGTAGCTGAAGCAACATTTTCTATTCGCCCCCAAAGCAAAAACAGCAAAATAAACCTCTATTTAAACCGTCAATCGAAGCAGTAAGAGTTATAATTTAACGAGAGAGTTAGGACATCCAAGTTGAGGTCCACCGAGGTTTCTTTGCGAATCGCCATGACAGACAACAGGATACTTGAAATACCTCTCTTTATGTGCCTTAAACCGCAGCTTAAATCAGAATCTAGGCAGAGACCCATCACGAACTTTAGGTCTTGCGTCAGATGAAAAACGAACAATTCAATAGCCTTTTCCAGTCAAGCGCTTACTTAAAATCGTAGGCGAATATGATGAGGGTGGTGTTAACTTGCGAGCGTCTTAGGTAAAATGAAAATATAACCTAAAATAAATGATCGTAGTTGGGCCAAGCCTTATTGCGCCATGCTCATGCTGAAGCTGCTTCTAACCAATGTGTGAAGCTGATGTGATATAATACGAAGAGCTAATATATCTAGATAGCCAACTAGGAAATAAGTATAATGGGCAGTATATGCGAAGCACTTGTCGACCACTTAAGCACTGAGTCGCTTAACGTTTCTCTACCTATGTATGCGTCGCAAAAAGATTTGAGTATACTATTAAGTGTATGCGTAGGAACAGTATGCGGTCGATATTGGTAATCATCGCAACAACAACACTACTATTCCGAACATCGTTCTATTCGGAGAACTTGAAACTCGTAAGCATTCGGTTACTGATGGATTTGTAATATGGATTTACAATATGAATTGAGCTGCCATTTATTAGGTAGATTAGGGTCTATTCCCTACATCCATGGATTGACGGGAGATGGGGATTAACGACAGAACATAACTAACAGCGCTGTAATCATTTATACTCTGGTAATATTGATTCTTGAACATTATACTATTCTCTTCGGTATAGACATTGCCATTACCACTTGCTGAAGACCACCAGAGTATACTGGGATGATTGAAGTAGTTATCTAGCCCTACCTCCAAATAGCGAATCGTTCCATGGTTCCATGGCACGACTCTATTCAATCCCTGTTTGAGCTCTTGGATTTCCAGTCTATTGGGACGACACGTGCTGCCGTACCGAGCTTGGCTTGGATGGTGCGTAAGATTGTACCCGGTAATGGGGTTCATGATGGATTGAACATCATTAAACAAGAGATAAAAATTCCCTTGCATTTCGGGAAAAAGTCCTTGATTAAGAGGGATTCATAATTACGCAATATGAAAACAGATAATTTTATGCAGGTACCTACATACACTGCAAAGTACCAGGCATAATATTTCGGTAACAATGAATCTTCAATTTCCTGCTACGCCGCCAGGTCGCGCTGCGATGCATGCTCTCTATACCCTTTCTTATTGGCCAATGGTACGTTAAATGCACCATGGATCTCTTAGCATACCGAAATCTCAGCTTCTGTCGATCTTTGCTTTGCTGTAATTAGCGAAGATTCCGTTGTAACATCATACTGAAGATTTAATAAATGCCTTATCCTCAGCTCATTAGGTTGGGTTTGTTTTACGGCTACGCCTTTTAATATACTTAGGCCGCTACCGTCCTTCATTTCCCCTCGTCGGCTTCGATAGGTGTTTGTCTCAATTGGAAACGCCATGCACGTCAAGAAAGCTTCCGTCTTCGTCGGTGCCTTTGCCAGTGCGGGGGTATCTGCACTCCCAGGAGCAGCATGGCAATATCCGACTCAGCAACAGCAGCACTTCCGGTTTGCTGAACTCGGACCTCGTCCGGAGTTTTTGGTAAACGACATGGACGAAGGCTGGCTGAAAGACAAGTTATTATCGTGTGCCGACATGGAAGCACGGCCAACCAAGTTTAGTATCGGCCATCGTGGAGGCGCTTGCTTGCAATTTCCCGAGGAGTCGCGGCAATCAATAGAAGCGGGAACCCGCATGGGTGCTGGGATTCTCGAGTGCGATGTTGCTTTTACCAGCGATCGTCAGCTCGTTTGCCGACACGACCAATGTGATCTACACACCACTACGAATATTGTCGCGACGGAATTAGGTGCGAAATGTACGACGCCGTTTACACCGGCGAGTGGCGATACACCAGCAACCGCCAACTGTTGCACGAGCGACATCACATTAGCCGAATTCAAGACCCTTTGCGGAAAGATGGACGGGTTTAACGCCTCGGCTACTACACCCGAGGATTTCCTGCACGGTACACCAGGGTGGCGTACTGATCTATACGCTACTTGCGGAACCGTCCTCTCACACAAAGATTTCCTCACTCTCGTCGACTCGCGCGGTCGTGATTTCACCACCGAACTCAAGGAACCGCGAGTACCTATGCCCTTCCAAGGAAACTACACACAGGAAGAATATGCACAGCAAGTGATCAAGGAGTACCGGGCTGCAGGCATCGATCCGTCGCGCGTGTGGCTGCAGAGTTTTTCCTTCGCGGATGTAGCCTACTGGCTGCGTGCCGATCCAGCATTTGGCAAGCAGGCTATCTTACTCGACGAGAGCGGCGATTCGCCCGAGTTATTCCCGGGTGCTGTTGCTAACCTGTCATTTTATAAAGAGGCTGGCGTGCAGATCGTGGCGCCGCCGCTCAGTTACCTAGTCACACTCGGCGAGGGAGATGAGTACATCCCGTCTTCTTATGCGACCACGGCTAAGAAGCTAGGCCTGAAGATTATTACCTGGTCGCTTGAGCGGTCGGGCCCACTGGCTCAGGCCGCTGCTTCTGGTGACTACTATTGGGCAACCGTAGCAAACGGAACACACAAGGATGGCGACATGTACAGACTCGTCGACGTTTTGGCCCGGGAGATTGGAGTTCAGGGTATCTTCTCGGATTGGTCTGCTACCGTCACTTACTATGCCAATTGCTTTGGTCTCTTCTAAGTGTAGAGTCAAAAAGCAATAAAATACCACAATCGGATAGTAATAGTAAAAATTAATTGACGTTATCATATTGTATTTCGTAAAACGATCCTGTATTCTGTAGGTAGCAGTATACTAACAACAATTACGAATACTCAAGTAGGATAGGACCCCTCTCCATTATTGCAAATCAAACGCGGGAAACGATGCGCCTATAGCTCTTCCTTTCTGCTAGAGACGCTCTTTACTCCAGCGTTGAGTGCTTTTAGGTGAGAAAATTCAGGTCCATCTTCACCTAGCCCCCACGCAAACACGCCACCTAGCTGTTCTTTTTCCACGATACGAGGAAACTTCTTGGCGACGGCTAGTGGCGTGTCAAATGTCCACCAGATACTTTCTTCTTCATCCCAATAATAATAACCACCGCCAACTTCATCGTATTTTCCTTCTTTCATGGCCTTGTTGAATGATACTTCGACCTCTTTCGGGACCTCATCACGCCACGCAAAGGAGCCTGCTCGACCTAGGTCAGCTCCGGTGTCCGGGTCTTCCAATAAGCCTGTGGGGCATCCAATGGGATTTGCGACACACGAATCGTGTTCGGTACGGAAGTATTTGGCGTAAAAGGCAAATCCTAAGTTGACTTTATCAGGGGCCGCGCCGTTGTCCGTATACGCTTGTACTGATTCCACTACAATGAAAATCAGTAATTACAGTTCCGCATGCCTTTAGTAGGCCTGACTGGTTCTGATCTACAATTGACTAGAAAAGGGGAGATCTGAGTATCACTTACAGCTAGCCTGAGCGCCGGTGTGGTGCTTGGTTATATTGTCGCGGCGGTTCATTAGGTCGTAAGCCATAACGTTCAAAAAGTCAAGGGATTCCATAATTGCCGGTACGGTCTCGGGCTTAAAGGCGAGCATGTCCCTAGGAAGGCCAGGCACTGCTGCCGACATGAGGGTGTTCGGACCAATGGCTTTTCGTATTTCATTGAGTAATTTTGGATACGCGGCAACTTCCCAGGCCTTCTCTTCGTTAGGGACCTTCTTCCAGTCATCACCATTGCCCCTTGAATTTTGATCAGCTTCAAACTATGGATGGATCATATTTTATTGCTTACGCCGGATACTCCCAGTCAATATCGACACCTGCGATGTATAATATGTTAGCAGCAAGTAGATTATACCGGGTTGCATGGTTGTGTAACTAACCATCAGCACCCGTGTCCTTGACCATGGTGGCTACGTTGCGAGCAAATCTAGCCCGGCTCTCGTCTGTTTCAGCGGCGACGTCGAAACCAGTAGCTCCCCAACCTCCAATTGCAACCATAACCTGAGTACCGGGTTTGAATTTGGTACGTGCTTCTTCGACAGACATATAGATTGGCCATGTAGAATTGACTTCTTCCTGATTGAAGAGTTCGGGACTCATAAATGCCAAGACAACATGAGTAATCGGAGAGCTTAGGTGAAGGTCGGGTGTTACAGGATGCTGTCTAATACTCTGATGATTAGGAGAGGTGATAATATATCGGTAGTGTTTTTGACTTACCCCGTGAGATACATGATGTTTCGTAAAGGCGAACCTGCTAAAGCCACTGTCACGGCTAACAAGAGCCAGACAATGAGAGACTTATGCCAGACGGGAGCCATCATGTTGGCTAATAATGATACGAATGTTATGAAATGAACAGAATATCACCACCGAAAGTGATGATGAGAAATAGTAATGTCGATAGTAATGAACGGGTGAATGGGAGGTTGGGTGAATTATTATTGTTGATGCATGAAAGAATTAAGAGGTTCAATGTTGCTGGAGACGAAATTACAAAATGTATGTTGCTGGGAAATATCACGCGTGCTCCTACTTCAATACAGATAAATTCAAAAGCATATAGACTTAGAAGAAGGCACCACTGGAATATGTATCGTCAATGACATCAGAATATGCTTTATTGCTGGTTATGTGTCTATATCACCTTCCTTCCTTCCTTCGTAGATCGCAAAGCCAAGGAGACGACGACCAATAAATGATTTAGACGCATTATCTAAGTTATATTCATAAAATGTGCCAAACGACGTATATGCGTACCCATTGTTGATTAAAGAAAATGCCAATTTCCAAGAAATGTCTCTTGTGCTTATAGTATTCATATATTTAGTATGAAAAATTGTAAAAGATTGAATCATCACTGAATGTTCCTCCTTCTACAATGCCGGCGTAGGTTCAGTGACCTTCTACTGGAGTATATGCATATGAAGGTATTATCTATTTAATACATATCGATAACTTTATTTTTTTATTTTCTTCCAGCTCGGCCTACAATACAAAACATTCCGAACATTTTAATCCATGGGACATCTTAAATTGAGAAGAAAATAATTCACCAATAGCAAGCATCAATTGCGTTGTTAATTGGTCTACCGCCCGTCATGTTCGAAAATCTCTGTACACTGCCTTTGAGCGCCGAACTCTTCGCCCAAGCCATACATCCAACAGAACCTCTTCTAGGTGTAGGTCTTTCGACAGGCCATGTTCAATGTTTTCGCCTACCTGCTGCTGACCCGACCGAAGACGATGCCGACATAAGTGTTCTTTCCGACGGAAAAGGGACAATTGATACCGTATGGCGAACTAGAAGGCATAAGGGCAGTTGTCGCACTTTGGCATTCAGCAATGATGGAAATGGTAAGTCTACGCGGGTCTAACATACGGGAATAATCGTAGTACTAAGATATTAAATCTGACCTGTAATTCCGTCTAGCTCTTTACTCGGCCGGCACAGACTATCTTCTCAAACACTTTTCTCCGACAACCGGCCAAGTCGCCTCTAAAATTGCCATCCCTTCTACTAAATCCGTCCCCGACTCGCCCTCTTTACTCCATGTTCTTTCGCCCCAGACACTATTGCTTGCTTGCGACTCGGGTGCGTTACACCTCCTCGATCTGCGGGATGGCGCGCTTGCAGCATCGAAACCCCAACAAACACATTTCCCTCATGACGACTTCGTCTCGAGTATTACTCCACTCCCAGCATCTGCCGAGAGTACTAGCGGTTATAGCAAACAATGGATATCTACAGGTGGTACGACATTAGCTGTTACGGATCTGCGACGGGGCGTCTTAGTCCGCAGCGACGATCAGGAAGATGAACTTCTATGCACGGCTTTCATATCGGGTATGGGACCTAAGAAAAATCGAGATAATGGGGTAGTAGCAGTAGGCACCGGTACTGGAGTCCTCACTCTATGGGACAAGGGTGCTTGGGATGACCAACAAGATCGCGTAGTTGTTGACCCCACGAAAGGAGGCGGCGAGAGTTTAGACTGCATCGTCCAAATTCCCGCGGAAGTAGCAGGAGGAAAGAAAGTTGCAGTTGGCTTAGGAGACGGCAGCTTGCGCATTGTCGACCTATTAAAGAGAGAAGTAGAGGGATCCTTGTTACACGATGATATTGAGGCGGTAGTTGGCCTTGATTTTGATTGCCAAGGCCGTATGATTAGTGGTGGCGGCCAAACTGTCAAAATTTGGGAGAGGTCATCTTTACAAGGGAACGGTTTAGACGAAGACGACGATAGTGAAGATGAAGAAGACGAGTCGGACAACTCAGACGATGATGGCGACGACAACGCAACGAATGGGAACAAGGGCAAACGCCAACCGAACAGCGATTCGGACGACGATAGCGACGACAGCGACGAAGAAACGTCGCATAAAAAGAAGAGAAGGAAAGGAAAGACCAATGTCGACCTCGGGCCTCACGGAGCTCATGGTGTGTTACGATTCAAGGGCCTTGATTAGCCGACCCTTCACCAGGACATCATCCTCTCAATTCCATACCCAGCTACGATGAAATCCGAACTAAATCTAGTTAATTAATTGACAATATTTCGAGACAAGTCTCATGGGAGGGAAGAGGAGGTACGTAAAAGGAATCTATTTGCTCTAATTTCTAGTTCTATGGGTATCGCAGCAGTTCTATTGAGGTGCTCAGATGGTTTTTCTGGCTGAAAATTTTGAGATGAACCCACGTCTTATGTACAGATGTCGGGGTGGGTAGGTTTCATCACAACGGCCCGAATTGCTCAAACGAGGGGACATTGAGTAAATTCGAGGTGCTCGCTTTGGGGTTCATTGCCGTTCTACGGGACTCCAACCGGCCTCTGGACGCCGTTGATGGATGCCTCGGAGCCCTGGGGGGGATCGACTTTTAGACGCATATCTTCCACTAATTTACGCCAAGCAAGGGCACCTCGGCTTGCCAGTTCTTCTGGTACCTCCTTGTCCTCATCCTGCATTCTTCGGTTGAAAAGCTCCATGCTTACCCATCCTTCGAATTTGAGGCCTTGAAAAATCGCTTGCGATATTTTTGCAACGGGTAGATATGCACCACGATCCTTTTCGCCATAGAACAATCTACAATTCCTAGACCAACTCATTCGCGCTGGTTGCTCGGCGTCGTAAAATTCATGGCCTTGCACTAGAGGCTTGGCGAGTTTCTCGGCATCGACTACCTGTACATAGAAGACTTTACGGACGTCCACGATGGCTTTGAGACGATCTATAGACTCTTGTACGGCTTGATCGCTATCTGGTGTTCGGCCTGTTAGCGAGGAAGGATCCGCATAGATGCGCCCGGCAATATTGAACGTGTCCAGGCAAAGACCGAAATTAGGTCGATCAACAGCCTGGACTATATCCCAACTATGCTCCCACAAGTCGCAACGCGTTCCCCAACATAATGCTTCATATGTGAATCGGATCGGTGGATTTTGTCGGAGGCCTAAATCGGCCACTTCCTTAAGATCCTCGATAGCCACGTGGGGATCTTCGGAAAGTTCCGAGGCTGGAAGAAAGTTCGATGGGATTTGTATGATATCGGTATGGAGAGCTCGTGCTAGCTTGAACCAGAACAAGAGTTGTTCTAGACGCTTGAGGTGTGCTTGGCGATCCAATAAGCCTTCGTAATGCAAGAACGGCTGAAGAGACACTATTGTAAGCCCCCTTCCTTGGCATAGCTTATATATGGCATGTGCGGCCTGTAGCTCACAATTTTGTATAAAATCTCCGGGCAATTGTTCCGCAACCTTGAGGAGGTCCTCGTGGAATAGCTCTATGCCGTTGTAGCCATGTAGCTTCGCTACATCGAGCTTGCGTATGATCGAATGGCCCGCAGAGCAGCGTCCAAGAGATATAGATGTTATCGCTAGCCTACAAGGCATCTCGGCGATGTGATAGGCTACCGTGGAGGGAGTGTGGGTCTCGATACTACATTGCTAAAAGCTTCCAGAATAATTTGAGAACGATATATATGAATTATTCAACTTACAGATTTCAACCCTAGGTAGGTAATCACGATGTTTCGGGACGGCGACGAGTCGAGAAACTTTCAAACATCTCATTTTGTTTGGTAGACCGCTATCCGTAATGATGAATTAGTATCCGAGCGGGTCGCCGCCATAGTGACACCCTTCTTCCCGACGGATTAATGAGGCTTTTCGCAGATAACAAAACTTCGCTATAACCTATTGCATCAAAATCAGCCATCGGGGATACCTGCTTCTAGCCCGGATTCAGAACATGATTATGTTTGATTAGCATATTGCAACTAAACCACAATACAAGGAGATGTTTGCAGACACCATTCGCTAAAAATATAAATTTCAAATTAGGTTAGGTAGTCGGTGAGAGCGAGGACGGTCACTCACGGGAGAAGCGGGCGGCCACATATATACCTAGGTAGACAAATACTGAGGTGGTCACACGAATTACACGAGCAACACGATCCGATCGATTGGTACGTATTTGTTATCAATCGTGACTGCTCAGGTGGGTACGAATTCCGCCATTAAATTCAAAACATTTTCGAATCACAAATTCGGTATGGAGTGTACATAAGATAGGGATAGTTTTATAGCAGCTTTTTCTTTATTCATCATGATATGTATTCGCATAAGATCGTCAGGAGTAAGAGACTATCTAGCGCAGGTACACTTCGTCATAGGCACTTAAGGGAAGCCGCAGAGCGGCGGGCAGCGATGAATCCGGAGCACAGCGAAGTAGGTAGACGGAATCGACCACCAGAATTGCTGGGGATACTACCTACTATATGTAGTAGCTTCAGCAGCTCAGCTTCGATATGTGAGACACTTTAAATACCTATTAGAGACACATCCTGACTGTCGATCGCTGTATGTGTGGGATTGGACAGAACATATGCATGATCAGAGCCTCAGGTACCCTACCTAGGTGGACAGCTGAAACAGGTACCGTGAATCCCTTATAGTTTTCCAGTAAGTGCTGTTTAAGAGGCATTTATGTAATTGTTGTTTATCAGATACCATGAAGCCGAAGATGACCTAGCGCCGTCAGGGGGGTTGCCCAAGCATTCTCCACATTGTCTCTAGCTTATCTACAACCACTCACGATTCATCATTAAGTTACTTGTTGACTATCTCAATTGACATCTTCATCGATTCAGGTTTAATCGATATTTGAGGCGAATTTAAACAAGATTAATTGTGTAGAAGTACGTGGTTAGTGGATATAAGTGACTACCTCGGTACGTTTGTAGTAAATTTAGTGTCCTATCACCCCACGGAGAACTGTACATCTACACCTAAATACGTGCTATATGATAGGATGATTGGCGTAAAAATATAGGGGCTTTGTTAGGTCAAGCTTTGGAGGCTGCTTAGCTATCTATGTGGAGGATTTCTGTTGACCGATATCTCTGACAAACTGCATTTTCCCCCATAGTACCCAGGTAATAATCCCAGCCAGCCGGTTCTGGACTTGGGTCCGTTTTGTTAGTTACTCGATACATATAACTAAAAAGAAACATCACTTATTATCTTACCTACCTAGCATCGTGAACGGTAAGCGGCGTAAGTAATAGCTTAGACAGATAAATCATATCGGTTGGTCCCGCTGTCGATCGACTTTTTGGTTATCTTCTAGTATGCACAGCTGAAGAACAGAGTTCGTTCGAAGACCATGATATCAAATGCGCGCGGCGTCATCAACTGAGATAAAATAAAATTTTGTTGATCCTTGCCGTTTTATTAATAAAGCCCGACTGCCCTGCTATTTTCATAATACATTACTACCTTCAATGGCGCATGCGACATCAAGTCCGCGCACCCGAACCTTTAAATAACATAAAAATCTATAATAACAGGCTATCATATTAGAAGCCATTCAATTCATAGCTTCTCTATTTACGTTTTATTCCTTCTTACTATATATTATATAATTACACATTACATACAAATTATCCGACAAGATGGACGAAGATCAGGGTCCATCCCAAATAGTACCTCATCATGGACCGAAGAAAATTGTACGCGACCGATTGAACGGTGTTAGGAAGACTTTCTTCACCAGACAAGGCATTCTGGGCGACTACGATTATGGCTTCCTTCTTAAACCGAATTTACCATTCATGAAGAAATCTCGACGGGCTTCACCCTTCTTTGGTTTGAATGATAAAATGCCAGTTGTTTTAGCACTGCTTCTCGGACTTCAACATGCTTTGGCTATGTTGGCTGGAGTTATTACTCCTCCCATTCTCATGTCAGGTTCGGCCGGTGTAAACTTGCCTGGGAATTTACAACAATATCTTGTTTCAACATCTCTTATCGTGTCTGGTGTGCTCTCCATGATTCAGATTACTAGATTTCACATTTACAAAACACCGTATGTATCAATTTCATTGAACTTAATGGTAACTTGGTATAAAGGTTTACTGACTTATAATTAGGTATTACTTAGGGACTGGTCTTATTTCCGTCGTCGGTACTTCGTTTTCCATCATTCCCGTCGCACAAGGCGCCTTCGCGCAAATGTACGCCAACGGCTTCTGTCCGACGGATGCAAATGGAACCAAACTTCCTTGTCCAGATGCGTACGGAGCACTTCTCGGCACCGCTGCCGTGTGCGCTCTTATCGAAGTTCTCATTGCTTTTATACCGCCAAGAATTATGTTGAAGATATTCCCTCCTATCGTCACCGGTCCGACAGTAATGGTAAACTTACTTCACCCTTCAGCTTAAGAACATGGCTAATAGGTATTACTAGTTAATCGGTATCCATCTTATTCAAACGGGTTTTGAGAACTGGGCTGGTGGTAGTGGACCTTGTGCGGATGCGACACATTCCGCATTCTACGATGTTTGTCCAAATGTTGGCGCGCCTCATGCCTTGCCTTGGGGTTCTCCGGAGTATCTAGGCCTTGGTTTCTCCGTGTTTCTCACTATCATCCTATGCGAACGCTTTGGAGCACCAATTATGAAGTCGACTAGTGTTATTATTGGTCTTCTTGTGGGTTGTATCATTGCCGCCGCGACAGGATACTTTGATCGCTCTGGAATCGATGCCGCGCCGGTTGCGTCTTTTATCTGGGTTCACACGTTCAAGCTTACTGTGTATGGACCTTTGGTGTTACCGACGCTGGCAGTTTTTATTATCTGCGCCAGCGAATCGATTGGTGATATCACTGCTACCTGCGATGTGTCACGTCTCGAAGTCGAAGGCAGAACCTATGAATCTCGTATCCAAGGTGGTGTATTCGCCGATGGTTTGAACGGTATTCTTGCTGCTCTTATGACGATTACTCCTATGTCTACCTTTGCACAGAATAACGGAGTTATCGCTCTTACGCGCTGCGCTAATCGCACGGCTGGATACTGCTGCTGGTATGTTATCGCCTTTCTCATATCTCATGGATCTTGAGCTAATTGTGATATAAATAGTCTTTTCTTGATTATAATGGGCATTTTCGCAAAATTTGCGGCTGCTCTTGTTGCTATCCCTTCCTCGGTACTTGGTGGCATGACTACATTTTTGTTTTGCTCCGTGGCCGTGTCGGGTGTTGCTATCATAACTCGAGGTGTTCCTTTCAATCGACGAAATAGATTTATCTTGACGGCTGGGTTGTCCATTGGATACGGAGGTTAGTACTTTTTATTCGTCTATATAACTCACTCATTTGTTTGCCTTGCGTTACTAACTCGAATATTCGAATTATAGCCACCTTGGTTCCAACCTATTTCGATAATGTTTTTAGTTACAGCGGCGATAATAGAAGTCTCCAAGGATTTCTCGATGCGATTGTATTGGTTATGGAGACAGGATTTACTGTCACTGCCTTCATTTGTATGATTCTAAATCTTACATTGGAAGAAGAGATTGAAGAGACGGACGAGAAATTAGTTGCTTCAGAGGTACCGGTAACAACTAAGAACATACCTACCAACACCGAAAGTCTTGATGGCAGTATGGTTAATTCTGGTCATGAGAAACAAGTCTAGATTTGTTTTGATGTATTTTGATTTATTTTGGTCTGAAGTTGTATAAATTGTACAGACAAAAGCGTATTTATTGAAGATATTAACAAAATTAGTGTGTTTATTGAAGTTCATGTTATCAGATATATATTTAGTGAATGTATGTACCTAGATAGGTACCCTTACGGGGAGGGGCTACGGGGAAATGTATGGGCCGAGGCGTCTCCATTTTCTTATCAGGATTCAATCATTTCATCATTTCAATTGCTTCAATATATTTAATTGATACTAGTACCAATTGAAGTAGGTTGATACCGACATAACCTATATACTCAAGGTACCTTTTCTTTAACTATTGCCAATGCGAATTATATCCCTCTAGTACCGACGCAATTGGCGATACGAGCTGCAGTCAGTATGCGCCTAAGGCCTACCGGAAATCTGCTTCGTCCATACAATCTCGATAATGTCTGCTGGCGATGCAGTCAACAGTTGAGCTATGGAAAACCAATGGTTAGAAGGGCATTTGCCCATACCGTTTCTCCAGTAGCAGCCAAGCAACAACCACAATCATCTCGGTTAAAAACGAGTTATTTCTTATCCAACAAAATTCTACGCCGACCCCAAGATGATCAAGTTCCAAACCAACTCGCTGCTGCGACTGCGACAGATGGAAGTGGTGCGACGAATATAATGGGCGTAGATAATACTAATAAAGACCTTCCTCATCGAAGGCGGCAAGCAGCAAAACGCAATGGTACTGCAGCTACAATGGCAGCTTCGGCGACAGCGACGGAAGCGCCCCTCCCGCCGGATGCATCATCTGCTCTAACCACGGAATCTACGAAACACCCGACCGACTCTCTCCGTCGACAAATTTCTCTCCTCCTTTCTCTATCGAAACCTCGTCTTACCGTCCTCGTTGTTCTTACCGCGATGGTACCTTACGCCTTATATCCAGTTCCAGCCTTTCTTTCTCCCTCGATCGGTTTAGATACGCCTTCTCTCTCGCCTCTGACCCTTACCTTTCTCACGACAGGCACTGCGCTTTGCTCTGCTAGTGCCACTGCCTTAAATATGCTCTACGAGCCAGCCTGGGACGCGAAAATGACACGTACACGGAATCGGCCACTAGTTCGGGGACTATTGTCTGAACGGCGAGCTCTTGTATTCGCTATACTTGCGGCTTTAACTGGGGTGGGTGGCCTTTATTTCGGAGTAAACCCCACGGTTGCGTTTTTAGGTGCTACAAATATTGCGCTCTACGCCGGAGTCTATACGCCAATGAAGCGAATTTCGTGGCTTAATACGTGGGTTGGTGCTATAGTGGGGGGTATTCCACCACTAATGGGTTGGGCTGCGGCGGCCGGCGAGTCTGCGACAGGCGACGGATCTTTCCGCGAGTTACTCCTTACTTCCGATGCTATTGGTGGCTGGTTATTTGCCGCCCTCTTATTTGCTTGGCAGTTCCCTCACTTCATGGCACTATCATGGCCTATTAGAGAAGAATACAAGGCTGTGGGCCACAAGATGTTATGTTGGATTAACCCTGCTCGTAACACTCGCGTGGCTTTGAGGTATAGCCTGCTATTCTTCCCCTTGTCTATCGCGCTTTGCGCCGTAGGAGTAACGGAATGGAGTTTCGCAGTGACGAGCCTTCCCGTCAATTTCTGGCTGGCGCGTGAAGCGGTGCGATTCTGGCGTGACGAAGGCTTCAAAGGGAGCGCGCGGGGGTTATTCTGGGCTAGCGTTTGGCATTTGCCAGTCATCATGGTGTTAGCTCTAGCACAGAAGAAAGGTATGTGGGGGCGAGTTTGGAGAAGTATTGTTGGGGAGCCAGATCTCGAAGACGAGGATGACGATTGGATCGTCGAAGATGTTGGAGAAGAAGCTGAGGTCGCTGATGGCAAGACCCGGACATCTATTGTCCCTATTGGGTCGAAGTAAGCTCATGAGGGTCGGGCCTCTACAGACCTGCATAGACATGGCGCCTTAAGAAGGAAAAGCAAAAAAACTACTCATCCATCTGTAACATGTCTAATGAAATGTAAAAAAGGGGTATGTCTGTATGAATTACATCATGATAGCAGACCAAATCTGAATACTTGGGAGGTAGTATTATTTGGGTACGTGAAAACGATAGGAACTTGAGTATAGTTGAAGCCAGGAAATGAATGTATTTTTGCAGTTCCCACCTAGCTCAATCATCTAATGATTATTATCCCCATTCCATGCTTCTCCCACCATATCTGGAGAATTCCCCCCTTATGAGCTAAACTGAGAAAATCACCGTCCCTAAAACCAACCCAATGGTATCTATGTGGTAAGATCTAGTATACAGTACAGTCACTAATCATAAGCATTCTGCTGAAAGTGCAGTTATTAGCAAGGTGTGGTTTGCGTCCAACTTAACCCCCGTAACCCCTTGTGCCCCCAGTATTGATGATAAATAATAGGTGAAAAAAGAGGAAAAGCCTAGCAATAATCGCACAGCATTTTCCCCTTCGCCGCTCCCAAAACAAATTAGTATAAAGGAATGTCGTCAACTTCATCTTTTGGTAACCCAGTCTTCTTCAACTTCCACTATCTCTCTCATCTTTCGTATCGCCTCCTACTAAAATCTTCCTCATGATAATAAGCTGCTCGCCCGCCGCCCCCCTCTTTATATTCCCTAGTTTCGCTATGCTATGCTGACACCGTGAACGCCTGAAAATTCAGCAATAGTACCTAGGTAGGCAGATAGTAGAAGTAGGAGGAAAAAAATTGGGGAAATAGTTAATAGTAAAAATGTGTGGTAAAAACACACTGACTGATGTCAACATGTGTCGTTCGATAATTGGAAAAAATATGTGTGTAACGAATACTAGCTGGAACGCAACAGCTTGATCGCGCACGTTTTTTCGTGCTGAAATAATCAAATGATAAATAAACGGGTGGATAAGGGGGTATGGAAATCGCCCCTTGAAAAGAAAAAAACGTCGGATATCGTAGTGCCTACCCTCACATGGTGTGAGTAGACCCGTGACCCGGTCGATTAATGATGGCGTCGATGCCCATGTCGACACTAGGCAGTCTTTGCCCGTCGCTTATGTAAGGAGAGCCCCCTTGCGAGTGGGAGGCATGCATGGCGGTGCCGTAATGTGCCGCGGCAGCCGAAGACGAGACGGAGGAGCCGTAGCTGGAAGACAAGCCGCCAGCGCTGGTGGTGTAGTTGCCGCCGTACGGGTGGCTACTGAGCGCCATGGGGTGAATGGAACCGCCGTAGCCACCGTTGCTGCCGCCCGAATGCGAGCTAGACGCCGTCGTCTCGGGGCTGCTATAAGAGGCGTCGAGGTCATCTACTGGAGTCAGACCAATCCCGGAAATGCCGCTATCGTCGTCATACCCATGGATTGGATGACCAGATTCCAACCGCTCCCGCCGCGCCGCTGATCGCGCTGCTGACTGCAAGTTCTTGAGACCGTTGTTCATGCACTAAAGAGAGATAGGATAGTCCTGTATTAGCTAGGTGCTGTTCAAAATTGATACCTATCCTAAGACAAGGGGGAGGAGAAATTAGAAATAAGGATGGTTAAACTAACCTTAGCTTCAACAACCATCCATTTCTCTCCGGTACGTGCCGCTAGTGGTTGCCAGATCTCTTTACGCATGCTCATGTATTCCTTAGCAAGACGCTCCAATTTCCGATTATCCCAGTCATCGGCACCCTTGCGCTCCATCAACCGTTCATGGCGCTTTCGGCAGGCATTGGGCGACTTGTTTGGAAAGTAACTGCTCTGGATCTGAGCCCAGTTAAGCCCCTGTTGCCTGGCCGCCAGCAAGTTCTGATCGTCTTGAAGCGCCCAAGCACCTGACGAAGGGCGATTTGGCATCGGAGCCTGCGGCACTACTTCTGTCTGGTAGGGATCATACTGCTGCGCCTGCATAGAAGGTTGCGCCGACGTGGAGGCTACGGTGGGATAATAACCTCCCGTATTCAGCGGCAGGGGTTGTTGTCGCGTGTTATAGATGGGAACGGGAGCTGACGGAGCGAGAGAAACCGGCATGGGGTTCGGGTTCGAGTACCGATTATGGCTCGAACTTGACGAGCGGGTGTGCTTCGGCATATTCATTGGGACTGAGTAGGACGAGAATATAGGCACATAAAACTGAAACGTAAAAAAGCGAGTATCTTCCGGATAGAGGAAGGTAAGGTATATGTTTCAGGCAAAGATAGGAGAGGATATTAAGATTAGCAAGATTTTTGCGTATTTTTTCTTTCCCCTTCGTCTGCTAGGGAAACAATAATGCAAACTTCCTCTCTTTTCTTTACTTCTCTCTGATCTGTTTCGGCCTCGCCTGGAGGAATTGGTCGTAGTAGGAGCTTGCTAGTAGACGGTATAGCAAGGTCTTGTGAGGCAGCTTGGTCGATGAACTCGTATCAAACGAATGAAGGTGAAACGAACGAGGCTGTCAAGGGGTAATAATGGGAATAAAACCAAAGGAAAAAATAAAGGAAACACACGGCGGCCTTAAGTTAAAAAAGACGGAAAAAGGAATCGGCCGTTTGATGCTGTAGCGAGAGGGTCCGGGAGGGGAAGGTAATAGACCAGACCAGGTCGCGAAATGGGCGCGACTACTTATAAGAGTATTCCCTCGCCTTGAACGGCTCTCTGGCCCGACCACCCAATACCTGAACTTGGACGAAAGCGATATGGTGCTGGCCCGCTATTGCAACGCGGGACCCAGGACTTCGGATCTGAAACAAAGCTGTCATGGCGATAGAGGCAAGATCTAGAGTGATGGTCAGCTTGGGGGGGCGAACATGCAAGCTGTAGCCATGAAACCTGGGTTGTGTATCTGAAAGAGTGGATAGACTCTCCATGGGCCGCTGATATTGGCTGGCGAGCTTCAGGATGGCGTCTGTCTGGAGTCGGGCGGCTACGGAAAAGTGGCCTGGTGTGGAGGGCGGCTAATGGTATAATGGGTAGGTAGGTAAACTGGTAAGGGTATGTACATGGGAGTGGTTTTTTGGGGGACGCACATTCACGACGCTATACCCAAGAAAGATGAGGAGATGGGCCGGAAAATCTGGTCAAAAATAGCAAGAGAGCGGAAGGTATCAGTAGGCGCCAGCCTTATAGGGAAATTCGAAGTATTTCATAGCTACTTAGGTACCCAGGGTAGCTTGGTAGCTAGGTAGGTATTATGCGCGCGCGCGTGCGATTGCGACAGTGCGGCGACGAAAGTAGTAAAGACCCTGTAAAGGGAGTAAAAAGAGGATCATGACGACGACAATGGAAAGTATTGTTAGAGCGACGCTTAATCGAGAATCATATTTGCGCTTGCTACCTGCTATATTGAACCATCTACCCATGATCTTATTATAATAGCTTAATACATGCAATTCTTCGATTATCGTGTGTGGCCTTAGGGACTATGTAATTGAGGGTAGTGGGTTGCAGGGTAATACTACATGAGCTTTGCGAGAAACTCCTCTTGAAGCGCACATAGAAACGTAACATACCAAGATACCTCAGTAATACCTACACGTATGAAATAAGTACTTGCAACAGTTGGCCAAAATGAGACAGAGCAATAGCCTGCGCGCCAACTACTCATGTACTTTTATGTGTTACGAGAAGTACCAATTTGGTGGCTTGACGGAACGATGAAGGATTATGAGGCCTGGCCCCCACGAGCAAACATACCGGCAGGCAGATGAGGAGACACGCATAGGTTCATCCGTATCTGTACAGGCTATCTCGTTAGTACGTGCCGCCTCCGAAGGTACGAAACATCGTTTGACTGAGGTCGCTCATTGTAGAATTCGGTGACTCGGCGGATAATACCGCTGAACCAACGCTGACATATGACATATGACAGACATAAAAAAAGACTCGAATGAGGATACAATGGCACCATACGTTAACATAAATGGTAGCCGGGGAAAAGGGGAAGAAAGGGAAAGGAAAGGGGCGTTGAAACAAGATGGACAATTGTTTCGACGATAGTGGAGTAGTGGTATTGGACGAGAAAGCGGGAGTTGGGAAAGAAAGAATTAACCATTGACCCCTGAAATTTTGAGAACGAAATTGATAAACAAAATGGTAAGGAAAAGAAAATATCGGAGGCGCGCGTCTATTAACGACGATCGTCATACTACCTTGAGCCAAATGTATGGGTACTACTATTATAGTATTACTTTATAGGTATAGTCCGGTACGCTAGGCGACGGGATGGACAGGTATCGAAGCGCTATACTTGATTGAGCTTGGTTAACTCTTGGGTATTGCACACACCTATTTTATCAACACCAAATTCATTACGTCTATCATCTATTTTGACTCCTGTTTTCTTTGAAATGGTAAGTACCTGGGTAACTACTGCTTTTTATGCCAGTATTACTAATATAGATTACGCTGGGAAATATATGAGCACATGCTTAAGCAGACAGATACTTAGATACTTAAGTAGGTACGAAAACCAGAAGTATCACGTGTATCCTCTTGGCTAACCAGGGTCATTCTTCTCCTATTGGTTACATTTTTCAAAATAGACAAGCCGCCTTTCTACTTGACTTGGTAAACATTTTGCATTTCTCTCGATGCAACATCATTATAATCCATACTATGTTTGAAATACGTAGGGAAGACGACGTTTTCACTTCACTCATTGATGGATAGAACGTCGGTAAGTAACCATCGCTATCGCTGTGCCTCCTATCTTGTTACTGTCTCAAATGTGACGGAACGATCCTGTTTGAAGTATACAAACACATTGGGGGCTATAGATGCTGTAGTAGTGAACAAATCTACGGATGGATGGACCCTTACCCAAGCAGGTGGGCAGATAGGTAGGCTGAATCGACTTGACATATCCACATTCCGCAGCCATTATCCGACCAGGAGCTTACGTGATAATTATAACCGATAACCGATTTATCACCCATGTTTTGTGTGTTTCGAAGCGGTTATGATGCTACCAGTCCAACTACCTAGTCACCTACTGCATTTAGTATGTTAGGTATATACCAAGACGAGCAAGTTGGACAGAAAACATAGATCTTAAATCCTTCCCGTGTGTTTTCATGTTTCATACCTGCGTAAAAGGTAATAGCTTCAGCTCTGCTGGGTACTAGGCGACCCTAGCAGCCCTGGCCATCTGTACGTCCACGGCACGGAAGTACGGGTACAGTAGCGGAGACCTACTTGTTGACCTGAAGATCAGCGATCGTCCGCATGGTAGAGATTCGATAGGCGCGACCGAAATGATGATTGGATCACTGAGCTCGATTACTGAGACGGCGGTACATCCTTCCGAAGAGAAAACGCTTGACAAGCGCCTCGTCCATCCAAACCCTTCTCAAAATCCACGCCCGAGCCAACATTTTAATTCACGTCACATTCCGAAAATATCTATCAATATGCAAGTCAGTCCTTATTTAGCTGTCACGTATAATCGTGCAATTATGATGGCTCACTTGGCGCGAAGATAACCTCTCAAGACACTTGAGGGTTAGATTGATATTATTATTTCCTCCGTACGTCTCCAACAAAATTCAAGGTTGGTATCAGGACCTTTCATTTCGATCCGACATTGTAGCAACAGAAGCAATCTTTATGAGCAACCCCCTCGTTTAGTGGCAGATTTCTTTTCAGCTTGGCTTTCAAACGCCACAGGCTTCTCCAGGATTGTGCCCATTAAACAATGCGGCCGTCTACGTCGATTGTCACCACGAGCTTTCGTTCTCTACATTAAATGACAAGTCAAATGAAGGATGTCTAGTATCCATTGCGAGTCAGCCCGGGTCGGCGAATGATCATATTGTCACCGCTTTCGGTTACTAGTGAGAGGTCCTGTCCTCGTTCTTCGTCATCTCCTCGGACCCGTACCCGGAAAGGTACCTAAGTACGTAACTATGAAAACACAATAAAACATCGGGTACAGAGTTGATCGGATAATATTTTCACTAGCGGAAGTTATACTCGTCCCAAAAGGCGTTGGAATTATATCGACTCTACCCACCAGTTCCTAGCATAGTAGCTTAGTCTATTTATCTCCAAGATCGAACGACTTCCAAATAATACGAAAAATACCAGGTGGTCAGACCAAAATACTTACCTAGTTACTTCAATAATATTGTGGAAGACACACGTGTCGCCATCCAATACTAGACGATCCTCTGGCTGGGGTAATTCAGGCTAAATGCGTTACCCTGGTTAGGCTAGAGATCTGCGATCCGATGAACATAAGACTCTCCAGTGGACCGTCAATGGTCCCAGTGAAGTTAGGTAGTGAATCCGTCTGCAATATTACCCCGAGATACCCCGCATGGGGCAGCATATTTCTCCAAGATTTTCATCGTGGCCCACGGTCTAGGTGGTTTACCATAACATCATCCAGGCCCTGGGGAGAAATATGTACCAGCTGGAAGACGTAGGTGGGCATTATAGCTACTATTACGTATCATTGTGCGCGCAGGTTAGGCCCCGCCAGCTCATAAAAGATTCCAGGAACATACTATAGGCAGTAAGGTAGCCAACTCGGAGGTTACTTTCACCAAAACCAATGAGCCGGGGCTTCGGCCGTGACTCGGTACCCCAATGTCATTTATCCCGCATCCTGGTAATATCTGATGGGGACCCCAGAATAACTAGAATACTTCCTTGAGCTTTTCCGACGATGGCGCCGAATCTGATTTGTGCGGAGGTCTTCCTCACGCCTCGCTTCATCGGAGTACTTGGCCAGAATAGCCTAGCCTGCCTTCATCTTATATTTCGTAAGCCAGGTAGGTAAAATATCTACCAATACTTATATCAGGACACCACCCACCCAAGATGTCGCCGATGTACCGTTGTTGTTTATACCGTTCGACTCATTCGCCAACGGGCTGAATTGGCACATCAACGTCGACAAAATAGACACCCTCGCGACTATACTACCTAAACATCAAATTTGGCCTAAGATTTCTCAGTATTTTCGTAACTTAGAAGTCTCTAAATTTGGTCTGGTCAACATGGTTGCAGGAGGCGACACCGGCGCCGCGGTGTACGATGCAGCCCTCAAGCGTCGCCAAGCCATGATGGGCGCGTCAGGTCCCATGGCTCTGGTTAAGAACTTCAAAGTCTTTAGGATTGCCCTTTTCGCCTGCATTGGTGGCATTCTATACGGTTATAACCAGGGCATGTTTTCGGGTGTTTTGGCTATGCCTGCTTTCCAATCACGTAAGTATCAATAGGTCCAATGCTACGGCAATGTGCTAATGGGTAACTAAGACATGGGCGAATACGATCCGTTTGATGATTCGGCCGACCAGACGAAGAAGGGATGGCTTACCGCTATTCTCGAACTTGGTGCTTGGATTGGTACATTGCTTTCAGGGTTCATCGCCGAAGCTATTTCCCGCAAGTATGGCGTCTTGGTAGCAGTAACTGTCTTCGTCGTAGGAGTCATCGTTCAAGCAACAGCTCAGTCCGGAGGTCACGATGTCATTCTCGCTGGTCGCTTCGTCACCGGTATGGGTGTGGGTTCTCTAGCCACGATCGTTCCTATATATAACTCTGAAGTCGCACCTCCCGAAATTCGAGGCGCCCTTGTGGCTCTTCAGCAGCTCGCAATCACCTTCGGTATCTTGATCAGCTTCTGGATCGACTATGGCACCAATTATATCGGAGGAACGGCTCTAGGCCAACAGAAAGATGCCGCCTGGCTTGTGCCGATCTGCCTGCAGCTTTTCCCTGCTGTTATCCTGTTCGTTGGAATGATCTTTATGCCGTTCTCCCCGCGTTGGCTGGTACACCACGATCGCGAGGGCGAAGCTCGTAAGATCTTGGCCAGTCTGCGAGGTCTTTCGGTCGACCATGAGCTTGTAGAGCTGGAGTTCCTCGAGATCAAAGCGCAATCGCAATTCGAAAAGCGTACCGTAAGCGAGCACTTCCCCGCACTGAGCGAACAGACCGCCTGGAACACCTTCAAACTCCAATTTGTGGCCATTCAATCCTTATTCCAAACCAAGGCTATGTTCAAGCGCGTGGTTGTTGCTTGTGTTACTATGTTCTTCCAGCAATGGACCGGTATCAATGCCGTTCTCTACTATGCACCTAGTATCTTCAAGCAGCTTGGCATGAGCGACAATACTACTAGCTTGCTAGCGACTGGTGTCGTAGGTATTGTCATGTTTGTCTTCACTGTGCCAGCCGTATTGTACATCGATCGTGTCGGTCGAAAGCCTGTCTTGACTATTGGAGCCATCGGAATGGCTACTTGTCACATAGTTATCGCCGTTATTGTCGCTAAGAACGCAGACCAATGGGCTAGTCAAGCGGCCGCTGGTTGGGCTGCTGTGGTCATGGTCTGGCTTTTCGTAATCCATTTCGGATATTCTTGGGGTCCTTGCTCGTGGATTATCGTGGCTGAAATTTGGCCGTTGAGCTCTCGTCCTTACGGAACTTCGCTTGGTGCTTCCAGCAACTGGATGAACAACTTTAGTATGTCTAACTTGCTTCTATGCTATGAATCTGCTGCTAACTTTTTCGGTAGTCGTTGGTCAAGTCACCCCTATAATGTTGAATCAGATTGGATACGGCACATACATCCTTTTCGGCCTCTTGACATTCATGGGTGCTGGATTCATTTGGTTCTTCGTACCCGAGACTAAGCGGCTAACCTTGGAAGAAATGGTAAGTGTTCCTAAAAATGAATTATCCAAGACCCACTGGATTTGGCTAACGAAAATTTTTATAGGATGTAATCTTCGGCTCTGAAGGTGCCGCTCAGGCTGATTTTGAACGCATGGAGGAAATCAACCGAGAGATTGGATTGACTGCTATGCTTCAAGGACTAGGAGGCGACTCTAGCAACCACGAAGTTGAGGAGAAGAAGAAGATCGAAGACAACCAAGAAATATGAGTCTATGACTGGGATTCATAAATGGCCTAGTTAAGAAATAACACGAAAAATTCCTCTCCGTAAAAGTTGTTACTATTGTATTCATCACCTAGAACATGGACACATCCTCTCCACCTAATATAGACTTAATTTATTTATCAGGTACATCATCGTTATAACAGCCCGTTACGACGATTCTATTCGCCGAGGCTTGTTAAACCAGTGCTTGCACCGATTATGAGCACTGTATTCCCAATCTGCGAGAGTTCTAGTCAGGATGGCGAGATAGCTTCATAAGGACGTTAAAGAATTTTTCTGAAGATGAACGAGAGGCCATTACCCTAGACAAGAGCGAACCGTCTGAATGACGAGCCTTCCACTCAGGAGGTTTTTCTTCTATCCCCTTTTAGAGAGAAAGTCGTAGTGGGAGCGGACAATTTGCCCCACGGGGCGGATCGGGCCATGGACAGTATCCATCCTGTCATCGTTATTCTCGACCTGGCGTCAGCAAGACAACACGACAAAAATCGAACTATAGCTGACTAAGAAACTGAAATAACAATTCTTTCTTTTGAATCGTTCAGGATACCTCATAGCATAACAAGTACGCTGTTGCTTGGATGTTTGCGGAAACATCATATTTATTCATATTCGTCGATTTCGGCGGGAAATTTCCCGCTGGATTATTTACATGTGGGAAAGGGATAAACAGCCGGTACAAAAACTGACTATGCTGAAGAATATGCGGCGGAAAGCTTGTGCCGCTTGTACCAAAGCAAAGAGACCGTGTTCTAAGCGATCTCCCTGCTGCGACCGCTGCGAGCGGAAAAATATTCCGTGCAGATATCCGCCGATCAATCAAACTGCTAGAGACTATGCAGTGACGGATGGCACAATTATAGCAGCGGAAAAGAGCATGACTCGCGCTGGAGAAGCATATCCAATTCATGTGGTCTATTTTGAGCCATTTTATTCTGATCTTGACGGTCCGCAGGTTGGTGAGGCACATCATCCATGTTCTATAGGTATGGGGAGAAGTACGAGACCTCTTCCGTTAGGACATGATTGGTTCTATAGTGCCGATTCCTGGACAATCGCACGGAGTGGTGCACCTGCATTTCCCTCACAGGCTTTCGAAACCGCGGCGTTGAAGCATCACATCGCTACTGTTCAAAGCTGGATGCGCCAATGGACCACAACGGGTAGATCTCCATTCATTCATCATCGTTTGTATGCTCTAAGAATGCCCCGTTGCCTTCAGGATGCCTATACGACGCTTACGACCTACCTTGCCCGCACCCCGGAAAACTCCGACCTATGCTTTCAAATCGTCCAGGAGCGTGCGACCGAAATTATTGAGGACGCCCAACGTACGGCACCTACGCCGAGCTCCGGAGACGCAGCGACGGATTCGATAGGCGGTGCAGTATTGTTGGACCCTGTAGACCATCTCGCCCGTGTACATGCGCTCTTTGTGTACCAGGTAATTGGTTTATTCGATGGCGACATCGGCCTACGCGCCTCAGCTGAAAACCGCATGTCGATCCTAACAGCCTGGGTGGCAGAAATGTGGGAGAGTGCGGAGCTTGACGCAAGCATTTATTCGACCATGCTTGCCCTCGACCGGGCGACAAACGACGAACAAACTGGATCCGTGTCTCGCACAGAAGAGGAGACGACAGCATGGCGGCGTTGGACTGTATTGGAGAGTATTCGTCGTGCTTGGTTATTAGTGACGATAACACAATCGATTTATCAACTCTTCAAGGAAGGATGGTCACAATGTCCTGGTAGCGTCAACTGGACGACGCGTGCTGGCCTCTGGGATGCTTCTGACCAGTATAGCTGGAGCAAACTTGTTGCGAATGGTTCTGGCCCGTTGTTCGTACCTAGCTTGCGTGCAGATATATTATACAAGGAGGCCACCCCCTCGGAGGTAGATGAATTTGGGCATGCTATATTGATTGCACAATTTGGATTAGAACATACAACGAAGTGGAAGGCTCAACTATCGTAGATATTATACCCGCATAATAGATGTCTGGGAGGCAGCTTTACACCGGCCGTGTTGTGGATATAGATATTTACTTTAATTACCGATGCTGCAAATATGACAGCGATGAACTAGCTACCTGATTTAACCCACCTTGCCTAGTAATCCCCCGACTCCATACATGTGTAGCGAATAATACATAGATCCGTACAGAATTAACTTTGGTCCGCGGACAAAAGCCATGATACACTAAATGAACCAATGTTTTAAAATAGACATTTTTGCTCATGACTCTAAAGAGCTTCGATGGCTCGCGAAAGTACATCCAGACTTCGCATAGGTACATCCTTTCCTTTCTCCTCGTCAAGCAGGGCGGAGATATCACTTAGTATACCCAGAGGGATATAACAGCCCTCCCTCGCGCGCTCTAGGCTCTCCTTTAGCCTGCTAGTGTGTTCCCATTCTTTGGCAGCTACCTCGGCCCTCTCGATGACGCGATTAGATATACCACACATAGCTGCGCAGTGCATACCGAAACTTCCCTCGGCCACGCCGTCCTCCAGCTTGTACAAAAATGTGACTCGTCGCTGCTTATCGTCGACATGAATTTGCATGCGCTTTGCCCTGATTTCAGGATGGTTCTCGAATTCAGTCGCAAGGGAATGGTAATGCGTGGCAAAGAAGCCGACGCATCCTATATGCGTGGCAACGTGATGCAAAACGGCCTGAGCCACAGCTACACCGTCATAACTAGATGTACCACGACCTAGCTCGTCGAGAATGACGAGGGAGCGAGGCGTGGCCTCGGATAATATCTTCTTTGTCTCGGATAATTCAACGAAGAATGTTGACTGCGCTGCGAATATATTGTCGTTCGCGCCGAGCCGCGACATGATTCGATCACAAGGGGTTAGCTTGGCTAAAGTTGCTGGTACGTAACAGCCAATTTGTGCCATAATAACGGCGATGCACGACTACGAGTTTCTGTTAGCTTGAGATCTTTTGGTAGTCAAAAAGATTGCGAACTTGAACTTACCATCCTAAGGATTGTGGATTTTCCGGCGGCATTCGCACCCGTCAAGAGGTTAATCTTGGCCGAATCGCCGCCTAGTACGATATCATTGGGGATGAAGTCATCCACAGCGTTGAGCATGCAAGGATGTCGAAGCTCCTCGAACTCGACGACGCTGCGCTCTTCGTCCACAAAAATGGGTCGACAGCTTGGTTCACCTAGTGACGAAGACGCCTTGGCGAGACTAAGCAGGCAATCGAGTTGCGACGTGATGCGAATAGCCTGCAACCAGGTATCGTAGTCGACGTCAAACCGTTGGAAGAGACGCAATGCGACCTCACGGACGAGTTGCGAATGCGTCTCCTCGGCTTCTTGTAGCTGTCGCACCAGATCTGTCAGCTCCTTAAAGTAATAGCGCTTGACACTCGAGGTGGCTGACATCTGCTGCCAATCCTTGGGAACCTTGACCGACTTAGGCGCCTCAATTTGGTAAACTTCTTTTCCGACATCCGTAAACTTCAGAGATTTATTCTTGAGCTCGGCTTTCTTCTTGTTGAGTAGGTTTTGAAGATCGTCTTTGATCTCCACAATCTTGTCGTGGCTGTTGTCGAAATCCTCCTCAATACCACGCTCAGGGACCAGTATTTTTTCTTCTCGGGCCTTTCTGCGATCAAAAGCGGATTTCCAGTACGAGAGCGGTTCGTCAAGGTTTGGCATGGAGGAGACGAGACGGCCGACGAGCCCTTCCCCGCCGCCGAAATTACCGGTAAGACTCATAGTGTACTGAATCTGCTCGAAACCCTCAAGAACCTTCACGAAATCTTCGGGCCGACATGCCCCAGCGTGTATACGCGAAATAAGGCGCTCTAGATCAGGCATCTTCGTTAATTGTGAAGATAATTGCTCTCGCGCGGTTGGATCCGCATTGAGTAGGTCGACAGCATCTAAGCGCTCATTGATCTTTTGGATGTTGCACAGGGGATGGCAGACCCACTGACGAAAGAGTCGCTTGCCGAAGGGCGTGACGCAGCGGTTGAGAAGGGTGAACAGTGTGCCATCCGCTCCCCCATTGACGGAATTGGCGAAGATCTCGAGATTGATGAGGGTCTGACCATCAAGAATCAATGTGCCGTTTTTGTGGATAGGGTTGTACCAAGTGAAGTTGCCCTGAGATAACAGATTTCTCTCAATCTTAAGCACTCTGAGGTACTGAACAAGAGCGCCGAGAGCAGACATTAGGAGGTCTTTATCTTTCGCTTCGGCTAAGACACCAGGCCAGCGCTCATCTGCCCCTGCGCCGTCTACCTCAGCGAAATATTCATTGCAGTCAAGTTCTCTCCGTGTAAGATCGGCCTCCCAGAACTCGCTACCAGGCTTGAAATAATTCCATATCGTGGTCGGAGAGGTGTTGTTTTTGAGGATGCGCAAGGCTTTCGTCGAGATTCGAGACTTCTCAAGGAGTAACTCTCGGGGATTCGTCTGGGCAACAAGCGTCTCGAATTTAGTCAGATCGACATCGTCCTCAAACTCGGAGACGAAAAATTGGCCCGTAGCTGCGTCCACGAAAGCGACACCGAACGCCGGATGCCCGTCGACTACGGATTCCTTGATCGCTACACAGTAAGTCGCCATGTCATCCTGGAGCATACTGCCGTCTACCAATGTGCCACCCGTTAAAATGCAAGCTAGCTCTCGCCGGATGATCTTGTCTTGCTTCTTGGCCTTGACGTCTACCCTCTCCCGCATCTCCTTGCCTAGCGCGGTTTCCATCTGGTCGACGCGCGCAACCTTGTAGCCCTTGGCGATAAACTGGTTCACCCACATGTCGAGTGAACTCTCAGGGACGCCAACCATCCGCATGTTGACGCGATCGGTGAGCTTGAGGTCAAAGAGCTGGTGACCGATAGTGGCGTCGTTCTCGTACAGCTCGTAGAATTTTCCCTTTTTGAAGAAGACCACTGTATCCCACAGCTTCTGCTTGATCTCCCAATACTGCTTCTCAAAGGCCGAGAAATTCTTCCACGCCAGGGGGGGAACGTATACGGTCGAGGGGTCGAAGTCGGGATGATTAGGGGGATTTCGGTTGATATCGTTGATGTTAGCAAGCCAAGGGTAACGCTCTTCGGGCTCACGGGTGTGCGCCTTTTGCTTGCCTGCCGGAGTCTTGGGGGTAGATTGTTGAGCCGCCACCCTTGGCTTTGCTGGCTCGATATTATCTGGGTCATATCGCCACTGTTGCGCAGTAGATGTCGAAGGCATCTCGTCCATAACTTCGTCATCGTCGGGCTCGTCCGTCATGTCGTCATTATCGCCTCGTCGAGGGGGTTGGGGAGAAGCTTGGGGCCGTTTTCGAGCAGGTTGAGGTTTGGAAGGGCGTTTTCGCTTTCTGGACGCAGCATCGGACTCGTCAGAAACTACAAAATCGGCCATCTCGTCTTCAAAGCGAGTTAGATCAGAAAACTGCGTAAATGGGAGTTGGATTTTCTTTGACTCGTGGGAATCTTACCGTCTTCATCGTCTATAGCGACGTCCTTAATTTCTTCGTAATCGTCTTCGTCATCTACTACCCTCGGCTGTTGGCGACCACGACGTCGAGTCTGGGATGCCTTCATCGCTACAAAGACGTCCTCGTCTTCGTCAGAAGATTCCGCATAGTTGACTGTCTTTTTCGTCTAAAGATATTCGAATTAGCAACGAAATAATGACGAGCACAAAAGGATGATTTACCTTGCGACTCGGACTGCTATCCATGAAGTTCCGGGTAGCAAGGGACTGCTTTATCGTGGCGGCGGAGCCATGGTTTTCTTGCGAACTCGAAGGCTCTAAGGCGTCGCTACTGGGCACGGGAGTAACGGTGGAGGGTTTCCTATTGGATTTTGTGGTTTCCTTCAAGCAAGAGGAGGAAGGAGTAGGAGAGGAATTTAGAGCAGGAGATGCTTTGGCGAAAAACCCGAGGATAGTCTTCTGCTGCTTTCCGGTGGCGGCGGAAGAGGAAAGCGAGCTGGCTTTTCTAGACATCGAGGGTGTCTTTTTCGCTGGGGTTTGAGAGTCTCCCATTTTATATGATAGTCCGCCGTGGGAGAAAGGGGAGGATAGAGCGAGGGTATAGGCTGAGTCGAACCCGATATAGACGACTGTTTCGCGTAGGTATGTTACCTACCAAGGTTCACTTGCATATGGAGTTTATGTGAGGATTATAATCGGGTTGACTAAACAAGTGGTTGTCTTCAATTAGGACATAGAAGATTGACCACTTGGATAGGAATTATGTTACAACAATAAAGAGTAGAAAAGATAGAAATGATCTCTGATAAAGTTTAGTAAACTTTGAAATTGAATTGAGTTTCCATTAATTAGGGAGGTTCTACGCGACTTGGTCCAAGTTTCATACCCCTTCCCGTATCCGTGGATATCCATGTACATGTATCAATTTAGATCCCGCGTCAAGTCCGCGTCGCGTTACCCCACTATACATATGCCCGTGCCTTGACATGTGGGGGGTTCTCTTATTATGTACCTACAGCACACCCTAGCTGGCCTAATACAGCGGCATAGCACACTAAACCCCAACTCTCAAGCACCTAACAAGACTCCCAATCACTATCATGAACATCCAACGATATAAACTTATCGCTCCAACTTTGAAGCTTGGGAATATCTTCCATCTCTACTCTTCTATGTTTACTACATGTCACGTAAACTTCGTCAATTTCAATTCATTTGCTACTTCTAGGGAATCAAGATAATCAATTAATCAAAACTTGCCTAAACAAATATTTCTTCATTTACAAACAAGTCTCACTTGTTTCATTCATCACTGTCCATGTCGTCCATGTCCATCTCGTCCAGTTCCAGAGGTGGAATTCCCTCAGGTGCTGAAATCTGATAATCAAGTTCCGCTAGGATGGGATGCTGAGGTGGACCCGCAAGATCCTCAGGTTTAACCAGCCGTCGTCGGCCATCAACCACAACCTCCTGCTTGGCCCGGGGTGGGACACACTCGACGGTGATGCGAGCGTTGTAGTCGAACATGGCCATCAAATTCCACGCACAGATACCCGCCATTTCGATCCGATTCTGATACGGATTCACCCATCGTGAAAGACTCCACTCTATGCCAGCCCTAGTTCTCCTATTTCTGTCATCTAGGTATGCATTCCCTAACACCATGATCTTGTTAAGAATTTCTTTCACTGCGGCAAAACAACGCTCCCCCGACGTCGATTCCCCTAGCTGCATCGGAGACATTTCTCCATGCATCCACCTCGCTTCCTTAATGTAGTATCCCCCCTTTCCCAAAAACTGTAGCACGGCACTGCGGTACCATGACTGTCGTGCGCCTATGGTGCGATATTTCCCGTGATCGTTCCAAGTATCTCGCCGTGGGTCATAAACATTAATCGCGATGACCTGATCGAATGGGACGGACGGCCCCTCTTTGCCACGCAAAGCCTGGTCTTGGATAGAATATACAACAGCCAAAACGAAGTCTTTCCCGTGGTTGTCTTCTACCCAGAGAGGCCAGATGGTCCAAGGCGTCTTTTTGAGTTCCGGATACAACCAGTATTGCGTACCCGACGCGTCTAACTCATCTGTCTCCTGCATCATTTTGTACACTGCCTCGGCACGCTCTGTATTCTGGCTCCAGAGGTCGGGGCCACAAGGAGGCACGACCCGCACGGATTTCTGAATATTGGAGGGCAGGCAATAGCGGATGTGTTGGCACGCAACGTCTAAAGCAGCTGGCGTGATTGGAGCATCGCGGCAGACTTGAAGGCTACTAAGACCATACGTGCATCGCTCGACTAAGTCGGCGTTCACTGGATGTGGCACATCTTTCTCGCGCCTCCTATTCAGGGGAACTTGGATAAATGTGCCATCGTTAACGGTCCAGCCGTCGGTAAGACGAATCTGATAGTCACCAACCGTAGCGGTTGTTCGTTTAGGCGGTAACTGATTACTTTCGGAACCGGTTTTCTTGCCCATCTTCCTTCTATGTTGGATGCAACCAATGCTATCAAGGCTTGCCTACGGTGTAGTCACGATAATAACAAACAGTACCTCCTGGCCAATTATGGGTAAGATGTCTGTTTGATATGGTGTACTTACGTAAGTGAAAGGTCGAAATCGATGTAGTTCAACAGTTTAAGAATTTCGTAGCATACGTCAACTTCTCTTTAGCCATAGGTACTATAAACATCGCATCCATCGGATTAAATACACGTTCCTAGCAACGTAGGTAGCCGAACTGAGCCTTTGTTTCCCCAAAGCTAAATAACTAGCAGCAGTATCACTTCTTTGTTCTTCGTGTTGATTGTAGGAAAGTACCGAACTTCTTCCAAGGACAAGTAACACGATGTTGCGTATTGCTTTCATTTCGCAAAACAACATTATAAAACATGATGGGTGCTTTTGGAGCAGTTATGCAGGTCTTCTTCGAGCAGAATCTACTAGAAGAGGGTACGTTACTGCGTCCAAGGAACAGTGTTCCACATTGACCCAAGCCCAATTGGTGTCATGAGGGTAAGTACTTGCAGTAAAAATGTTGAAGGAGTTGACACAACCGTGTAACACCATTGGCATGTAATTGCTACGTATATATAGGTACGCTGTATATTAAAGGATAGGTTGGGGCTGTATCCGCCACTTCACGAAGGGGGAATGTGGTCGAAATTCGAATCGACGAACCCTCACCGGTCTTGAAATAAATGGGTTTGTTTGAATAACGATAAGATGGTTTGGAAATTCGGTATTAATTTGCGATGATTAATATGTCCAATACACCGAGTTTGTCATCAAAATGAGGTATTGCGGGTGAATTCCACCCGTTCAATCTTACAAATTACTCTGGAAGAGTAGGGCCTTGCAAGTAGTTGCTGTTATGCCTCAAAATTCATGTTGGCGATTTATAAGAGAGAAAACGGCTACACATGAAGGTGGTAGGCCTAATTCGGATATAATCTAATACACCACAGGACTAAGAATTTGAAGAGTGAGCTAATGTGGACCATTAAATTGAGTCTCCTATTGGCTATGTCTCCGAGCTACGTCCCTACTTGGCATCGACTTCCTTGGCCTTGGGATCCGATGGCGAACCGGGTATCCACAAAAGAATGGGGCAACCCAAATGGAATTTTGAATGACGATATCCACAGGGCCTCCCTAAGAGCGGGAATAGTCGGGAATATCTGTCCGGTTTACTGAAAGTTCCTTTGAAAATTTGACATATGGGTGCCCGATACATCGGCCTCGTCACTTCGCGGTAAACTTCGCGGGTAGCATTCTCCGATTAGCAAACAAAATATGCTGTAACGCTAGCTGGCAAGCTGGACAATGACCGCCGGATGGGTGGTTACGATCACACATGCAATCTCCCACACCGCCCCGGTCGATATGTAGTTGACTGGTTGACTCCCGTAAAAGTTCTGCAGACTACGGTGCGGACCGAAAGCTTCTCAAGTGAGCGGTTGTATAATCGACCCTAAGTCAAAGCGAGGTTGCATTACCCTTCGTTGACTCTAACCTTACATCCCAACACTTGTCTTCAACCAATCACGAGGATCCTATAAACCTCGGGTGATATCCGTGTTTTGAAGCTTGTCTTAGACTATCCGGAACTGTCTTTTGCTTTTTTCTCTTTGAATCCTGCTAATCCGCCCACCGGCTAATTGTAATACTCATCTCATCGGATACAGGACGGCTTGGAAAAAGGATTCAGTCTTGCGAATGATGGGATTGACCAATAATGGTAGCGGGCTGGCGCCTGTTTTAGATGGCGAACATGCGGACAACCCAGTTCTTGACGAGATCACCGAGAAATATGAGACAGAGCACCCCAGCATCCCGGCAGGACAATCCTTGGCTGCGCAGCGTGGCTTGGGACAGCACGGCACCCGCGAAGAGATCGAAGATGATATACCTCTACCCGATGCAGATACGCCTATCAGCTATCGTTACCTGACGTTTAATACACCGGTGGCGCGTCCGAATCTGGAAGATTCGCAGCTGGATCGTAGCGACCTACCGGCATGTCCCGACCTCTCGCAGTTCGAAAATCCATTAACCTGGCCCAAGACACGCAAGGGGGTCATGGTAGCTATATCCTGCATCGCCACCTTGTTCACTGCGTATGCGGCTGGTGCTTATTCGCAAGCTGCGGATCTGATTGCTTCAGATCTGAATACGACGCATGAGAGCGCGCTAGTAGGTGTGACAACATTCTGCGTAGGCTTCGCCGTCGCTCCTATGGTCCTCGCCCCATTTTCCGAGGTGAATGGGCGCTATCCCATCTTCGCGATTGCTGGCGTCGTCTTCGTTCTCTTCCAGGGCATCTGCGGCGTGGTTACAAATCTAGCAGGTATGCTGGTCGCCCGATTTCTCAAGGGCGTCGGCGGAAGCGTCTTTAGTACCATGGTGGGAGGCGTCATTGCTGATATGTACGACAAGGAGGATCGTAATACCCCTATGGCTCTGTTCTCTGGTGCCGTTTTAATTGGCACTGGCCTAGGGCCCCTTGTGGCTGCGGTGATGGTTCAGACTTGGGAAGGAGAGGGTGACAAATGGAAATGGATATTTTGGCATCAGGGTAAGTCTTTATTTATTTCGATTTTATCCTAGTTCTTCTCACGAAAATTATCAGTGGACGATAAAAACTTACGTGTAATTTTTATCCACATTAGTTATCATAGACTTTGTCTTGATGGTTGCCGTTGTAGTCTTCTTTAAGGAGAGTCGAGGATCTGTACTCTTATCGAGAAAGGCGAAAACTCTTAACAAATGGTATGGGCAATTGGAAGAGAAGGGTATATTTGGAGTATATGTGCACGGATCAAAAGGTGATTCGACAGCAGTGATAGCAAATTCGGGATTGGATTCGCCAGAGAAGCCTCCCCTTCCCGCTTCATCAGCTGTGACACCTACCTCACCTCGACGCAGACCGACTAATTCCAGGAGGGCCGTGCGGCTCCAGCGAATCAGATGGATCGTTAGGGAGGATGAACAGCGCGCATCTATCACGACAATGATAACTGTATCGCTATGCAGGCCGTTCTTGTTGCTCTTCACGGAACCCATCGTATTTTTCTTTTCCCTGTGGGTGTCCTTCGCATGGGCCATCCTTTATCTTACCTTCGGATCTATACCTCTTGTGTTCCAGCGGCAGTACGACTTCAACATTGAACAGTCCGGTTACGTCTTCACGGCTATGATCGTCGGGTCTGTAATATCCACAATCATTGGTATATACCAAGAGAGTGTGCTCAACCATCCCAAGTGGCGATCGGAGTCGGATGACACTGAGACAGACAGCGTAGGAGATGCCATAGACAACGACAACGATGAGAATGTCGAAGGTGAAGGATTTTGGGGTTTCTTGCGACGGAAATTCCCGGCCGAGTCCCCGGAAGCACGACTATACTTTACCTGTTTCACTTCTATACTCCTTCCGATAGGTCTCTACTTATTTGGATTCTCAGCACAACCATCAACGCATTGGATGGTTCCTACATTTGCCATCTTCCTTGCCACGATGGGCATTTTTTATGTCTACCTCGCTACCTTTAATTATCTTGCGGATATCTACCAAGCGTATGCTTCCTCAGCTTTAGCAGCCCAATCTTTCTGTCGTAACGTCCTCGGGGGATGTTTCCCTCTCGTAACGGGTTTATTGATCCGAAACTTGGGAGAGGATGCGATGGGTGGATTGTTGGGAGGAATCGCAACAGCGTTGACAGTAGTACCGTGGGTGTTGGTATTATTTGGAGATAAGATTCGGGCAAGAAGTTCATTCGCGATCGTGAGTTTTCCAAAAATTCATGTCAATCCGGTTCCCCCCCAATGCTGACGATGATTATAAATAGGCCCTTGACCATAAATGAAGGCTGAAGATGTATCGGTGCTAACTCTAGATTGTCACTATTTCGATGAATGGGTTTTTTCGTCGGTCGCTATCTTCGGATATTTATTTCCCCTCGTAATGAAGCTATGGGGTTCAACAATATACGCTCGTTATTCGTTATAGTAAGGGTAGAGTAAGATGGCAGCTCCAAGATAGAGTTGACTACCAGTCGAGCGATGACGACGGGAATGATGATAAACGTAATTATCGCACAATTACATTACGGGGGATAAGATCTTTTATAATGATAATATTGATGACATAATAAATATTTATTTAAGAGTTATACGTGCCCCGCGCTGGGGCCTTAGCTTGCTTAGTCCGTCCCGCGTCAAACCCCTCCAGTCCAAACTCTTATGACGATTTTCTTTTTCTTGTTCTTTTCAATCGGATTGCTACATGTAACTATCCCCCAAACTTCTTCATCAATTTTCGACAATTCCTATTTTTCCCACCAAAACCACCGGTATATCCAAACTTTGACTCAGGTGATAATAATACTGGCACGATATTTCATTCGGTAGATAATCCATCATGGAGGAAATTACCAAGATGTCCGGACCAGTTCCGAAGAACTTCGATGCAGACAATGCAGACAATCTTGAAGACGTAAGAAATCAGCGACCTTGACTACATTGTCTAGCCATCGGCTAACACGGGTTAATCTATAATAGATCGAGAAGCAATTTGCAGTGAAAGGTGCGTGCGATTTAATACCTAAGCTAAGATTTTAATGTTGTATTCTGACTTTGCCACGATCGCAGCGGTTCAGCATCTCGAGACGTACTGGGCTATCCTCGAGAAGGTCCGAGGTTCATCCTTACGATTGACCAAGATGGACGACGAGATCTACAACCATCTGAAAACCGAATTCCCCGACTTCGACCCTGCTGCCACTATCAACGAAGACGAGATGAAGAATAAGTCAGGCAAGGAACGATGGCGCAAGTTTATGATGGCTTATGAAAAGAGAGTCGATGATTATAACTTCGGCACCATGCTACGGACGAGCCCGAAAGTAGAATACGAACAGGACACAACCATCTTCGGTATAAAATGCCCCTCTTCAAAATGCTTTTAGTTAAAAAGGCTTCTCTAATTCATTTCTTTCGTTTTAGTACCTCGAATGCAGTTCTATGCGGTCGAGATCGCGAGAAACAAGGCTGGTCTGAATGATTGGATTTACGAGAAGGCTAAAGGTATCGCCAAGTCCTAGGGCTCACGAAATACGATTTAGTACCAACGAATGCCAACGGCGAGATTATTTTTCAGTTACCACCATCGTCGACAATGATACCCATACAAAAGAAGGGATTGAGGAGGGTGGGAATGGATGGGTGTATAAGGCCTAGGAGAAGGCCAACACGATCTAGAATCCTCAAATCAATTTATATTAAGAGGAATGAATTGAGGTGGTTGTATTCTTTTAACCCTCAGCTAGAGCGCCTCTATATCCCTCAGAGCATTGTCTTGCACTAACAACGTCTAGATGCATGTAGCATTTGGCCTCAGGGACAAATAGACGGGCGCGGACGACTCACAGATTTGTCGGTATCGCGAACTTACTGTGTTTTGGCATTGATTTCGCCGTGACAAGAAATTTAGGCTGGGATCATCCTATTAAATTCAAAGCGTGTGGTAGTTGTCTCTTATTGTCCTTCTTTTATTCGTATCTATTTATTGAACGCGACGGCACGTGTTACGAGCAATCACAAAGGCAAGTAATTCAACAAAGCCCTTTGCCACTGACAAATCTATTCCAATATCGGAATAAATAATGGCATAATATCTGGGACAGGAATGGGGTTGATTTAATATCAAACTGAAATACGTATCTTCTAGGTAAACATAACATCCCTTAGGCCCTCATCAACGAGTATTCCTATGTTATTTGACGCATCAAAGCAGCAAAACATCCCACAGGCAACCAAATGCTTCTACCCATACAATTCGTCCAATTCGGACCTTATCAAATCCACATTCGCTTTTCAATAGTACACACAAAGTGCTCGTGTCTTCGTTATTCTCGTGAATGGAGCCTCGACAATTTTACCAACAGCCGCAGAAGCCTCAACCGCAGCAACAACAACAACACCGACCAAAAGAAATGAAGGGACAACCATCTCTCAAACATTTATTTACTTTTGTGACATGGCAAAATTGTGGCCCGTTGACTGCGGGTCTAATAACAGCTTTGTTTTCGGGTGCCTTGAGGACTGCTCTAGCTATTCTCATCGGCAAGATATTTGAGGCTATCTCCGAATTTGGGTCTGGGCAGTTGGCTGGGCCAGACACCCTCGCTCAAGTTTCATCCTGGTGTGTTGTATTGGTTCTCATCGGTGGCGCAGGATGGATCGTCAATTTCTCCTTCATGCTATCTTGGATTGTTTTTAGCGAGCTCCAAGCGAGAAATATTCGTCAAAAAATGTTCTTCGCTCTATTAAAGAAGGATATGCGATGGTTCGACTGCCAGCAGGACGGAGTTGCTAGTTTACTCATTAGAATGCAAACGTAATGCCCCCTCCTCAATTCTATTATGGCTCGCAATTGAAACGAATAGCTGACATAATAATAGACAAACCCGAGAGCTCCAGATGGCGTCGTCGGTAGCGCTTGGTTCCCTTGCGGCAGAAATAGCTACGTCGCTTGCGAATCTCGTCGTGGCTTTGAACGGTTCGTGGAAACTCACCCTTGTTCTCCTCGCTACGGTACCTATTTCCGTCATTATACTCGCTATGCTGAGCCGCACGTTGAAGCAAGCGATTCAGGCTCAGAAGCTGGAGTTAGGCCGAGCATCCAAATTTGTGATATCTGCAGTCACCGCCATAGACCTAGTAAAGGCTTTCAACGGTACCGATCACGAGACTTGGCAGTACCTCCAGGCAATTCGACGGTCCATGGACAAATATCTTATCCAAGCTAGGGCGAGCGCGGGCCAATTTTGCTATGTTCGATTATGGATAGACGGGATGTTCGTCCTCGGATTCTACTACGGCGTCGTTTTAGTCAATGAAGGATTAAGCCCGGGTAATGTCATGACGACCTTTTACGCAGCTCTTGCTGCATTACAGGCCATCGAGGCTTTTATACCGATGTACATGGTCCTTGCGAGAGGAATGTCAGCCGGCCAAGCATTGTATTTCATAGCGAACGAAATTGAAGGTGGACGAAGAGTACAACGAATGATCGGTAGCCGGCAACCGAAGCATTGTTTCGGCAATATCAAATTTGACCATGTAGGTTCCTCGTACGAAATCCTACTAGTTGATACGTATTTCGTAACTAACTTGAGCGGGCTTCTAGGTCACCTTTGCGTACCCGTCGAATCCGTCGAAGATTGTATTGAACAAGTCCTCGTTCTCCTTCCAAGCAGGCCAACTATATTTTGTCGTCGGGCGAAGTGGTTCAGGGAAGAGCACATTGGGTAATCTGTTGTTAAATTTCTACGAGCCTCTTAGTGGCGATATTTTGATCGACGGCTACGCACTTCAAACTCTCGACGTTGAATGGGTACGGAAAAATATCACTTTGATCCAGCAGACGAGCGTCCTCTTCAACGATACTTTCTCCATAAATGTCGCAATGGGTCACCCGAATCCTACGCGAGTTTCCAGCGCGGAAATAACGACCGCATGCGAAACAGCATTGCTCCAGTCGACGCTTGCTGGCCTTCCCAATGGTCTCGATACTTACGTAGGACCTGGTGGTCACGATCTCAGCGGTGGTCAGAAACAACGACTAGCTCTCGCGAGGGCGAAGATACGCGACCCACCGGTGCTTATACTGGACGAAATCACCAGCGGACTTGATCCAGTGAGTCGAAGCCTAATAATGGATGCGATTAGACAGTGGCGACAAGATAAGACAACCATCATAATTACGCACGAAGTCGCACAGATTCAGGATTATGACTTTATATATGTTATGGACGATGCGCGGGTCGTTCAAGCGGGGCATCGCAAAGATCTGCAGCTTCAAAAGGGTGGCGTCTTTTCTGTACTTGTCTCTTCTCTAGCCGCGGATGATGGCGAAATAAGCGACCAAGAAACAAATACCATTATAAATTTTTCTCGACCTAGAAGCACCGCCCAACCGGAGGATCGTACCTTATCGAAATATTTCTGGCCCTTTGATAGGCGCGACAGCCAATATCTAACCCGTAGGAACACGATGGCTATGGGTGGTTCGCAGCATATCTTAAACAAGGTACATTGGGATGATGATGAGGCCGACTCTCGTCCACTGCAAACTGGTGAGCCAATAACCCAGAGCAAATTCCTCCGAACTGTCGGTACACTTGGTCGACAACTCTCGACGTCATGGAAGCATGAAAGTCGGTTATTCCGCGGTATATCTGGTCAAAAGACGGTACCAGATAGAACGGCGAGCATACTCCGCCTCCAAGATCTGGGAGATAGGGTACGAGATGATCGTGTCGGCACTTTTCGTAAGGTTGGGCGGCAGGCCTTGGCATCCGAGAGCGCGATCACGAGTATTTCTGAATCGCATAATGGCGATGACCATAAAAAAAGTGAAAAGAATGAGCGAATATCTCTATGGGGCATATATAGGACTGTCTGGCCTTGTCTGAGTCTAACCCAAAGAATCGCACTCCTCATCGGGTTTGTCATGTGTATTTTGGTTGCGGGGTCTGTGCCAGCTTTCTCTGTCATATTTGCTAATCTTCTAGCTGTGCTATATTCTGGAGGCAACAAGATGGAAGCTGGAACAAAGTGGGCTCTATACTTGCTGCTCATAGCTTTTCTAGGGGCGGTATCGACGTTCCTCAGCCAGTACTTGGTACAGTGGGCGGGTCAAGCCTGGGTTAACGCCCTCCGAATGCAAGCATTAAACAGGATCTTGCGACAACCAAAGGCATGGTTTGATAAACCCGATCACTCAACAGTTCGCATCAGCGAATGCATGGATAGGAATGCCGAGGAGATGCGAAATCTCATTGGACGATTCGCACCCCAACTCCTTGTCGTCGTGATCATGATCCTGACCACTATCATATGGGCTTTAATTATCTCGTGGAAGCTCACTCTCGTCAGCCTTGGAAGTGCCCCGCTTCTCATTGCAGCTACGAAGGGTTACGCGTTCGTGTCACAGAAATGGGAAACACGATCTAACAAGGCCGCCCAAGAAACTAGCACGATTTTGACTGAGACCTTTCTCAACATACGTGTCGTCCGTGCTTTAACGCTGGAACACTTTTTTTCTGTTAAATATGATAAGTCTATCGGTAAAGCCTTCGAGATCGGCGTTAGAAAAGCCGTCTGGACCGCTACCCTATTCGCTTGTTGGCAGTCTATATTCTGGTTCATGATGGCCCTCATTTTCTGGTATGCGACTGTGCTCCTCACCGTCAATAGGGAGGTGACGGTGAGCGCTATTTTACAGGTGGTGAATTTACTAGTTCTCGGCCTCACCACCGCCTCTAACATTCTGAATTCCGTACCAAGCATATCTACAGCTCAGGCTACTGCCGCCCAACTTCTCTATTACGCGACTCTGCCCGTGGGAACCTCTCACGAACCAACTGGAGGCACCAAACTAACAAGCCCTCTCCCAATTCGGATGGAAGGGCTTTATTTCGCTTACCCGTCTTCGATGAAGAACATAGTGCTTCGAAACCTCACACTTGCGGTCGACGCCGGAACATCAACCGCAATCGTTGGCCCTTCGGGTTGCGGCAAAAGTACGATTGCTTCTATCATCGTGGGCCTGTACGTACCAGATCTGTCGGGCGGGCAGCGACGACAACAGCTTACTTTCGCATTAACCCCAGTTTCCGAGATCAACATCATCGATCTCAGAAACCACATTGGCTACGTTCCACAAGTACCATTTCTTTTTCCCGCTACTATCGCTGGGAATATTTCCTATGGCCTACCGGAGGACTCGTTGCTTCGTAAGTCAGATAACCTTGAGCGAGCGGCTAAGGAAGCGGGAATCCACGATTTCATCCATAGCTTGGCGGCCGGGTACGATACGATTGTTGGCGATGGAGGCCAATCCATTAGCGGCGGGCAAGCACAACGCATTTGTATTGCTAGGGCTTTGGCTCGCCGACCCAAACTTTTAGTTCTGGATGAGCCTACGAGCGCATTAGACGCCGAGGGCGCAGAGGCAGTGAGGCACACGATCGAGCATTTGATGCGTATCGCCAGATTCACCATGCGTGATCGAGAGGATGATCTGGGTGTTCTCGCCGCCGGCATGTTACAAGAGGAACTATCTATTGTCGTGATTACACATAGTAAAGAAATGATGCGCGTGGCAGACCGCATTGTTGTAATTGATCAGGGATGCGCGGTGGAAGCAGGGCCTTACAATGAACTTGTTGCGAAGAATGGAAAGTTTACGGAACTTGTGAACGACGGCCTCTGGGTGGATGGCGATAGAAGCAGCTATAGTTCACGCAGACGGCGAAGTGCGAGCACGGGAGAGGGAAAAATTAAGAAGACTGGTTCTAGTGATCTTCCACTCCGAAGGACGAACTTATCCGACGAAAATGATCCTGTTACGACGCCGAGATGGATTGGTATCAGAGATGCGCAGTGGGCTGACGGTCGAGGACCATCTACTGGTGTCCTAAGTCCGATGTCGAGTCCATTCGGCGCACCGTCACGAAGAAAAGAGCATAAAGGAGACGACAATGCATAAAGCGCGATTATCCGCCCGAAAAATATGTACCTAAGTATATGTAGGTATGGACCATGTATCGGGATGACCGATAGATATAGGTGCATTGCTCTCTTAACACCTATTACTACCTAGGTACCTTATGAAGTATACTTAGATTCCGAATGCATCGTTAACAGTCCTGACAATATTTGTTGACGAATCTATGGGATGTTAGGATGTGGCTCTTCGAAGTGTTATGTGAGTAATATGGCCACTTACCCGTTCCATACTGGAGGTCCTGGAATTGTGTAATTCTACGCGACACGTTAGGGCTTACTCTATAGGAGATGGTATTCTCTTACCGTCTGTGCTTTTACTGCATCCGAGTAAATATCAATTTTTATTGACGGGTCTAACTCTGTTAGCGGTGTGTCGAGCAATTAACAAAAGCATTCGAAGAGCTTACCGTCTTCCTTATATGTCCCGGGGAACTTGGCGAGATATTCGGGCGAAGGAACCGCCGTACCGGACCCAGTGATATTCAAATGTGCACATTCGGGGTAGAACTGAGGCTTGTCTTCGATGTGAATACTCAGGATCTCGTGCCTTATAACGTAAAGACCTGGTTTGATAGTGGCCGGTATCGTGACGGGCCAAAGGTCTGGCGAACCATCCCAATTCTGAAATTTCTTCTGATACCAGATACCTTCTACAATATTGCCTTCCAACAAACCTGCCTCCCAGATCTTGAAGAAATTCAGATCGTTCACGTTGGCATCTTCACAAGAGGCGCCACAGTCGGCTAACCATACTGACATCGGTCCATAGGGATGTAGCCAATACCAATAGACGGCTGTGATATTGTCCCCAGCTGCGATGGGGATATATGACGGCGGTGCAGTGCCTGGGGTATTGCATGCGAGGCCAGTATCATTTACGAAGAAGATTGGGTCGATGCTCGCCCATATTCTTTGGATCATCCATGGTTTCCCTTCTTGATCCCCTAAGGGGTCGTCCGGGCTGAACCTATACTCGGATTTTAGCGACCCTTCGTTTGACTTTTCGTGAAACTATATGCGACATGGAATCTTGGAATCTCTGAAAGATTGGGACACCTACCCCCTGTACCAAGTGTCTCCGACTGTATAATTCGCAAGACCACCATGGGCGACGACCGAGCTGACTAGCAACGCTAGCGCTGTTAACAAGAGCAGTCTCGCCATAATTGGGTATTTATCGAACGGTAGCGAGGTTCCTTTTGGCGAAATTGGCGTCTAAGACTGCATCACCGTAGCCTCGTCGTCGACTTGCGAATTCGAACAAGTTACCACTTAGGCAAGCAACTACCGGCTGCCAAGAATCTGGGGAATCTTGCCACTGTCGCTCGAAGTATTTGAACCATCTTGGAAGCTGGGCCAGATTCTCTAAATGTGTCGAATGATACTTGAGGACATAGTCGGTTGATGCTTTAACCACGTGCGGTAATTCGGAGCGTCTAACGAGCGATTCGATGCAACGCTGCCTGTCCGGCTATTTACGAGACCATCAAGTTCGGATCATCGATTTTTTCCACGTCTAAGAATAGGAACCTGAATTAGCCATGCCTAAAGAAAGATATACCCTAGATGATCATTTCGCATGGGCTGCTGAAGCCACACCGGGTTGGAGGAACTTATTAAACCATCTATTATAATCATGCAAGGGGTGAAAGCTATCTAACCGTCAAAGGAGAATTGGTGTATTTTAATCATTTTAAAACATACCTAGGTACATCTAAGTGTCTAACCGACACTTAAATGTTATGATTTGGCGAGATGATTCAATGAGAACATGTCGACTTCCTGCCCGAGTAATCGAATGCGTATTGTCGCACGAAAGGGGTTACACGACCTACCAAGTTCTTGAATGTTTACGTCAGTGAGAAGGATGCTTCCCCGCAAGCCTACCGAGTATATTGAGGTTGCGCCTCAAGGAAACCTAGGTACCTAAGCAGGTAACCAGGGTTATTCTTTTGGCATATTAGCAATGATCATATTAATACTACGTTTAGGTGAGCTTGCACACCCGCGCAAGCGATATTAACCATATTAGCCAATCTCCTCCACACTTGGAGACGTGGAGGCTCCTTATGCTAGACAATCCTCCATCATCCCCAAAGTGCCAAGGAGATCTCGGTGCAAGGGGTCAAAGTCTTGCCACGCGCAACAGGGAAGCTTAAGCGCCACATACTTTTTGAGCCTTCTAAAAAAGTAAATGCGATGGTTATTTATTATGTCCTTTATAGTGGAGAGCACCTGGACGTCGAGACTTGGCCAGGGCTGTATCTGTCACCGGATTCGTCCGCGCACCCCTCCATCTATCAACTTGGAAATGGGAAAACGCCTGGTCAATCCGGTTCAGGCATATAGCAATCAGCCGGAAATTGGAAAACTGACAGGGGGTATAAGCGTGGCTTATTCCGTAACCGACCCCCTCGACTGGATATATATAAAAGAGCCGCCCCCATACCATGATCACGTCGTTGACTAACCTACGAGGCACATCACTTCCCAGAATTCCTCTTCCCAGCCAGCTGCCAATCACAGTGTCCAAAATGATGCGCCGCCTGACTTCCGCCCTCCTGCTGGGCGCTACAGCTTGTGCCTTGCCGTTCGCGGAGATCTACGAGCGCCAGAACACCTCTGACTGCTCCCTCAAGGACACCTACCCGGCTGTAGACTTCGCCAAGCTACCGGACCCGTTCACCTTCCAAGATGGCAAGAAGGTCGCTAGCAAGGCTGACTGGACTTGCCGTCAGCAAGAGATCAGCAAGCTCTTGCAACAATACGAGCTAGGCGTGTACCCCCCGCCACCTGACAAAGTCGAGGCTTCGCTATCCGGAAGCACATTATCCGTCAAGGTCACAGTCGGCTCCAAATCCGTAACAATCAACGCCTCGATCAAGAAGGCTAGCACCAGCCCCGGCCCGGCTATCGTCACCATCGGTGGCTCTTCGTTGCCCATCCCCGGTACCGTCGGCACCATCGGCTTCAACAACGACCAATTCGCCTCGCAGGCGTCCGGAAGTTCCCGCGGACAGGGTGCTTTCTACACACTCTTCGGAAACACCCACACTGCCGGTGCTTTGACCGCGTGGGCTTGGGGTGTCGACCGTCTCATTGACGGTCTCGAGCAGCTTGGCGCCGACAAAACTGGCATTGACCCCAAGAGGCTCGGAACCACGGGTTGCTCCCGAAACGGGAAGGGTGCTTTCATCGTCGGTGCCCTCGCCAACCGTATTGCTCTTACTCTTCCTCAGGAGTCCGGTTCCGGTGGTGCTGCCTGCTGGCGTATCTCCGACGATGAGCACAGCAAGGGCAAGAACATCCAAACCGCCGGCGAAATCGTCGGTGAGAACGTGTGGTTCAGCAAGAACCTAGACGCCTACACTTCCAAGACTAACACCATGCCCGAGGACCACCACTTCTTGGCCGCTCTTGTCGCCCCCCGTGGTCTCCTATCTTTCGAGAACGACATCGACTGGTTGGGCCCCGTCAGTACAACTGGTTGCATGAAGGCTGGTCGTCTCATCTACAAGGGTCTCGGCGTACCTACCAACATGGGTTTCTCCCTCGTTGGTGGCCACAGTCACTGTCAATTCCCTTCTTCTCAGCAATCCGAGCTTACTGCCTACATCAACTACTTCCTTCTCGCTGGCACGACGGCGCCTCCCGAGGTCGAGAAGAGCAGTGCGACCGTGAGCGTTGCCGACTGGGCTCCTTGGGAGGTCCCCACTCTTGCCTAAGTAGAACGATACTCCGCGGCTATCTACCTATAAAAAGGTTAATGAACCGGATCCCATGTATATAGTTGAATCTTGTACCAGCGAGTAGCGGGCTTGATAGTTTAACGCGAAATTACCATGAAGAAAATATCACCTGGGTGCTCAAATATCTAGTGCAAATTTCGTCCCGGTATCTATAAGTAAATGGGAAATCCGGGTCATTGTAGAACATTGGCCTGCCATTCTAACTTTCAACAGACGTGCTACCTAGGTATCTATTCCCTGCTGCACCTAATTTTGCTTAATTATGTAGCCATGCCTTGACGGTTGCTGCTAGATCTTCTTCCTGAAGCCCAAGGGTGGTCGCCGCATTTTTGTCTCCTTTGACAGCATGGTTGGCACCATCCGCATAGACACGCCTCCGTAAGAGGTTAGAGAAGGCGCTGTAATCCCCTTTGCTCAACTTTTCCAACCCGATCTTTTCCTGCTCAGCTGTACTAGCATGATCCACCTTCCATTTCTCTCCCGTCTCCGCCTCCACTATCTCAAGAATTTGGTTCTGAGACGGATTAAACGAGGCGATGGTAAGATATTGGTTAGCTGTCTTATCTGGCTGGGATAAGATGGCAACGATGGCCTTACCAACGAAGGCCAGATTCGAAGCTTGCACAGGTTCGTTCCCCGAGTCGTAGATGACTGCAGTTTTAGTATCTTTATTGAACCCGTTTGTTCCGTACTTGAGTCCCTATAGATCATACTTTTATATTAGCGCTGAGTCCTACAACTAATCGTCAATTGCAGTGTCATGTTACGCTTACCCAGTCGAAAAATAACCCGCTCGAGATGCCCGTCCATGTGAACCATGGGTTTTCTTGCGACTTGCCATTGATGTAATCAAGGGTCTTGACCTTGCCTTGGAGAATGGTACCAATCGCGGTGTCACCCAGAATTCTGGTATTGACGCCAAACTCCGAGGGGATGAATCGCTTGACCTTGGCTGCTAGAGCGGCGTCGACTAGTGCAGTCTGACTACCAATAGCTACGGTCGCGATAGTGGATACTACAGCATCTTGTCCCTCCAAGGCTGTAGTCAAGGATTCGACCGACTGATAATTGACTTTCTTGACGGTCACGTTTGGGGGAAAGGTGGACGTGGAGTTCTCGCGTGTGAATGCCGTCACATTGAAATTCGCTTTAATGAGTTCCTCGACAACTTCCTTGCCAAGGTTTCCCGACGCCTAAGAAGCAATAGTTACATTAGTACTTCAATTGACTATCGAGATGGTCCTATGCTTCACGCAGAGGCATTACTCACCCCGACTACAACGACATTTTTGATTGAGCTTGTCATGATGTCCACCTAGGTACTAGTTTGTTCCACGTTCCTCGCTTGCGAGAGGTATTTCTGAAGAGTGAGGTTAAATATTTTCGGAGCTTCGTCGATGTCAGGGGTCAATTGCCGGACACCTGGGACTATATATGATACAAGCCGTCAAACCCGGGCGGGGATAATGATGTGATGTCAATGGGGTTACAACTGGCGAAATTCATAGTAATAAATGGCCGGCGTCGACATGAGCCGAATTTGGGGAATCAATACACCCGACGGGTGATGGAACGGATAGCTAGAACGTATAATATTGGCTGGATTCAGATTAGTATCTACTAGCGACCGAGTTAGTACCATCGCGACATCGGATTACCTATAAGGACCTCGCGCGCTATTGGACGAAGATGAGCACGTAAGAGATATTATTCTAAATACCTAGGAACGCTCGCAAATGCTAAATGGATATGACGTTCGACGTTCGATTACTTAAGTAGGTCGATACTTGCTAAGGTACATCGGCGGTATGTAGTATTTGTTTCTTCGGGGCTGATGTGTACCTAGGTAATTAGGTCAATCATCACCTCCGCACTCTTTTCTCCTTCACGAGTCTCATGAAAATATGTTGGTTATCAGTCAGTCATTTCCACGAGCTACTTATCTAGGTACACCTACCTGTCTAGGAGTTTTTCAATACATTCTAAGGGATATCTATGCATCGGAAAACAACCTCCCACTTTCCTTAATCACTATACGAGACATTGATCTTTTTTTTTTCGACAGTTGTAAATGCGTTCGATTTGTTGGGTTAAGTAATCGATCGAAATGGGGCGGCGGGCAGCGACGATTATTTCCTTTGAGAGAGTAAGAGAATACCATAACGGACATAGGACAATTGGCGCGATGCTCGGTAATGTCTTGGAAGGTCAACGGATGTTATACACGTGGAGGGCTAGGAGATGAAATGGATGTATGGTGGAGAGAAATGGCAACAAGCAAGACTTGGTTCGTGTTTCGCTACGCGGTTGCGTAGAATGAAAACTCGTGTCCGATGAATATTCATCAATTCCTATTCATAAGCTACCCCTAGGCAATGATGCTACCCCCTATTTCGAGTTCAAAGAGCATAATAAACAAGAAAGCTTGAGTATTCCAACTTAGCTGTTTATTAATATCCACGGTCACATATAGAGAGTGAAGAGAATGTGCACAAAATCATCCGATTGGCATCAAAATAAGAAACAGTCCGAAGCAAAGTGATTAAAACAACAATAGACACGATAAATCTTGCTGTAGAGCGCCACCCCAAAGGAAAATAGCGGATTCACAGACTCGCCTCGGCATAGCTGAAGCCCGTAGTACCCTAGAGAGACAACCCCCTATTAAACGCGTAAACTCGGAATCAGGTGGCGCGGGTATTGATAATTCCGCCTGTGCTATATCAGAGCGGCAGGACTTCTGTATCGTAACTACTATCCTAGATATGCAAGTGGTAAATTAGGAAAAGATTTTTTCGTTACCTCTAACAGTTGATTTGAGCATTGAATAGTAGATGGTCCTGAATATCATTCCTCATACTAGTGTTAGAATCGATCCATTGATTCAGGGGTTGGAGATCTCCGCCCATTGCTAATCCAATAATGGTAACAGCAATCAAAGAGCCAATACAATAGAATATTCGTACAAATGCATACAATAAAATACTCGTAGCTTCCAATAGAAATGGCAGGGTTGACTAGGGACCGGATTGGTTCTTCAGCAATGTAGGTATTTCTGAATCGATCCTTGCCTTAATTCAAAATTCCTTGATTCTGCCCCTGGTAATATTTACTCCTGAGGCGAAAGAGATGAATATGTGGTGTTTTGTTCTTCACTTTCAAGATATTCTTGGGTGTTTCCTAATATCTTCGACGCGCGTTAGGTATTTTCGTCCGGGTCAAGAAGGGTATCCTATCATGTTCAGGAGCGTGTTAGCAATACCATGTGCCCCTTCGCTAGCAAAACCATCGATGCCAAAGATACTGGCAAGGCATACTCCTCAGTTAAACAGTTACAACTATTGAGTAGGCCTTGGAGAAGTATGATTGACCTCAAGGTACTTACCCAAGCCAGGATAGAAGGATTTAATTCTCCGACGAAACCAAATACCTAGGTAATATCAGGCTCGTCAAATTACCTAGGCGCTATACACCGCTAGTCCAATATTCCCTTGGGGAATTAAGCTACGCGCAATCGCGATTCGGGCCATAGAAGTGCCTCAATCTTCTACCTATGCATGGATGATATTTGCCGCCACGTCAGACTCCCCTCTATAATATTCAGCCTTCAAGACTCAAGGATGTCATTGATGGCTAGGAAGGAACAGGGCTTCGCATTAAACGAGCATCATTGTCATGTTTTCTTCATCACTCAAGTTACACCACATATGACGAGTAGTGTATTGAGAACTGGGTTGATCCTGTACAAGGTCTTGAACAACCTTGGAAGAAACAGAAAGTAGCCGGCTTCATGTACCTATGTATTCAAAGTATAGGCTAGTAGGTAGTTATCTGTACGGGCGTATATCGGACAATATGGTGACATTTCTACTTGGGTCAAATATTTCCCCTAAGTATCGAGAAACGCGTGTAATGAAGAATTAATCCTCGATTTACATGTCATTAATCTGTACAAGCACACATAAGGAATTCGTTTGAATGAGATCCGGTCGAATTAGAGAACAGGCAATGGGGTACTCCACAATGGCACGACTACGACGCCGCCCTAACTGCGGTTCAACCAACGCCGGCAACTTGACACCCATGCTAAACGTCATTTCAAGCTCAGCGACTGCCGAACTGAGGCTCCCCATACCTCGTACCTGGGCTAAGTACCCAAGTATTGAACAAGAATAGCTACAGGGCTAGTCATGACGCTTAGTAGACCGGTGTGGCTTGTGCATCTTTTACGGTACTTGAGACGCGAAGACGTTAAGATTAGATTGATTATTAACAGGGGTTGGGAGCTTGAACACGCAAGCTCTACTACACTAAGCTCCACATTGGCTGTGGCCGTCTCCACCGAGCAACAACGACATTGGCCTTCCTCATGTCGTGAGCTCACACTTGAATGGTTCTGTCCCCTGGTGAGCAATAAACGCGGCGTCGTAAGCTATCACGAAACGGCTGAATCCAATTGTTTCCCAACCCGCCTTGCGGAAACACCCGTGTGAAGATCCATCACTAGTATAGGACCGTTAGTAGAACGACTTCAATTTGTATCATGTAATGAGAATGTCGGCGAATAGTAAGTAACATGAGAGCGACTCCTAGAGGACGGCGCGGATGTCTTCATACCGGTGTGAGAAACTCCGTAGGGTACGCATTGGGCAGTGAAGATCATTGACGATCCATGGTTTGGACTGAGAAGGATGACGACGCGGACAGCTAATAGAGAATCACATCATCAGTGCTCAAAACGCAAAAATTGAAGTTTCGCGTGCTCTGAGAAGTGTATAAAGCCTCTTGTGTCCCGGCCTTAAGCTCATCCAGTCGACAGCATCAGCATCAGCATCAGCATTCCAACAACATCGACAACTACAATCTTATACAGTTAGCTTAGCGAAAAACGAAACAAGCAAGATGAAGTTTTCTACTCTTGCAACCACCCTTCTTGTTTCTGTGGCGGTGGCAATTCCAGCCAACCCACCACCACCTCCTTCGAAGCCTACTCACTTGCCTCCACCACCGGAGCAGCGCGATGTCGGCCCACCGCCCCCGCCTTCTAAGAGCCATCTTCCTCCTCCGCCTCCTCCTGTAGGAGAGCGAGGTGTTCCTCCGCCTCCGCCGCCGGCTAAGAAGCCTCATCCCCCTGAGGAGAGAGATGCCGGTCCACCTCCGCCTCCGCCGACTAAGCGACCCCCTCCTCCGGAGAAGAGGGAAGCTGGCCCGCCTCCGCCACCTCCTACTAAGAAGCCTCACCCTCCTGCGGCGCGAGGTGTTCCTCCCCCACCACCTCCCCCAAAGAAGCCCCATCCTCCTCAGGAGAGAGGCGAGCACCCTCCTCCTCCCCCTCCTACTGAGAAGCCCCATCCTCCCGAGGCTAGAGGCGTCCCCCCGCCGCCTCCCCCACCGGAGAAGCGACCTCCTCCTCCTGAGAAGCGTGAGGATGGCCCACCTCCCCCTCCGCCAACCAAGAAGCCTCATCCTCCCCAGGAGAGAGATGTTCCCCCGCCCCCTCCTCCTGCCCCGACCAAGACTCACGTGCCGCCTCCTCCCCAAGCCGACAACTAAGAGAAGTAGTACGCCATTGATTTAGAGAAAGACAGCCGAAGGTCTGATCCTACCTTTTGACTAGTCCGAAAACGAGAGGATGCAAGGAGATTGGAAGATTGCTTGATATTGTTTGGTTTTGCTGACTGGAGAGATCGTAATTGCGGGGAACTTACTATTGTGAAATGGCCATCGCTGGCAATGGTCTTGATTTGAGAGTTTGGAATACTATTGGAAAATGTGGAAAAACATGTACATGTTCGTTCGTTATCTGCCTGGCCAGGCTTTCTAATTGAATTACCTTTCCTTGAATTTGTTCATTTCCATTGCAACCGCCGAAAATTTTGAACATTACTACCTAATACTGCATTTTAGAAAATTTCGACGACCCGGGATGGTTCATTGAGCGGGTAGTATTTAGAGTGATAGATAAGCAGTAACGGATATAGGACGCATATATAAGTTTTTGTATGCCAAGCTCCGGTCTACTGTGATGATATACGACGATAAGCCACCTGCGTATAAAATAACCGGGATGGCCGGGGTAGGCCTCCCGCCACTGTCGTATTCACGACGCCGAAAGTAGAAGGGAAGGGTAAGGGTGGTGCTGACGAAGATGATGAGGGGAATATTTGCGCGGACACATTTTCACGATATTAATTATTTCAATTTCATATCATCTTAATAAACCAACTTGAAATCCAATCAACATGGGCTTGAAATTTATGGAAGTTGAAAGTATTCAGGCGGCAATGGCCCCAATTCTCTTGATGATTATTGCATGGTTAACTTATCGTGCGCTCATCGCCGTCTACAATATCTCTCCCTTCCACCCTCTCTATCAATTTCCTGGTCCTAAAATAGCTGCTTTGACATATTTATACGAGGCCTACTTCGACTGGTGGCTAGAAGGGCGATATGGGAAGAAAATCCGAAGAATGCATGAGAATTATGGTGAGTATCTGTCTTTAAATATTAATGTTTTGGTGGTTACTTTTCCCCGAATTAACAAACCACAAGGGCCGATCGTGAGAATCAATCCGGACGAACTCCATTGCAATGACCCACTTTTCACCGATGAGATTTACGCCGGCGGTAACCGGATCCGGGATAATTGGCAACACCAATTAAACACCGGTGCTGCCAGTTCCATATCCGTCGCTGCCTTCTCTACGGTATCGCATGAGTTACACCGCATTCGAAGAGGCGCTCTGTCAAAATTCTTCTCGCGCCAACAAATGCTGAAATTAGAAGGAGAAGTCCATAACTTTACACAACGAACCGTAGATAAGATGTTACGCTTCGCTGATAGGAAACCATTTGACGTAAAAGAAGTATTTAATTGCTTTACTGCTGACAGTGAGTTACTCATCCAGTCGCTTTTGATGCCCGACGAATGAAATAATACTGACTTTACGGCCTATGATTATAGTAATATCCCAATATGCCTTTGGCGAACCCCTCGGCTTCGTCGATCAGGATGATTGGGAACCCAACTTTGCTACTTGGGCGAAATCTTTCTTTGAGAGTGCTTATATGATGAGATATAACGCCCTGGCTCGGAAGTTAGCAGAGCTAACTCCTCTATTCGCCAATTACATGGGCGATGACTTCAGAGCAGTAACAAAATTGACATCGGTGATAATTCCGCAGTATATCCAAGCGGCTCTAAGCCACCCTGGCGGTGGTAGAGTGTTTTCAGAGCTAATTGGATCGGACGTACTTCCTGAGGAAGAGAAAACCATGTATCGATTGTCCGGTGAAGGATTCAGCTTGTTGACTGCGGGCACCGAGACTACAGCAGTAAGTGGCGCTTCTATTTTTGGGTTGTGGTCCTAACGTAGTGGAGTCGTAGGCGACACTTACTGTCATCACGTACTATCTTCTAGCAAAGCGAAATGTCTATTTCCGTTTAACGGAAGCATTGAGAGGTGTTGACCCGTTGAATCTCAAATGGACTGACCTGGAGCAACGTCCATATTTATGGGCTGTGATACAGGAGGCAGTACGCTTGACTCCTGGGATTTCTCAAAGGGTGGCCAGAATTGCTCGGACAGAAGACCTAATCTATCAGAGTAGAGATGGTCGCGTTAAATGGGTCATTCCGAGGGGAACTCCAATTGGTATGACTACTGTGATTAATCATAGCGATCCTGAAATATTTCCTGAGCCTGAAGAATTTGTACCCGAGCGTTGGATTGTGGACGGCCGTCAAAATTACGCCTTGGAGAAGCTGCTTATTTCTTTTGGAAAAGGGACCCGGTCGTGTTTGGGTACTCAGTGAGTTGCTTGTACCTGGATTACTTGTAGTATATTAATGCTGACGATATCTTAGCCTTGCGTATTGCGAGATATTCCTCATGACGGCGGCCCTGACGTTGCGTGTTCTGCCAAGAGCTCGGTTATTCGAAACCACTATTGAGGACATAAAATATGACCACGATCTAATTGTGCCTCAAACTATCAAAGGGTCTGTTTCGGTTCGTGTTTCGTTATCATAGATTTGATAGGTGGAATTGATGGAATCTTGACGATTCAAACCTGTAGGATATCATACCTCGCGTTGTGCAGCTGATCAAATGGCACACCCTCGTCTGGGTGCGTATTACCATGTAATAATTTACACCATCGAAATTGAATGGAATGGGATAATTGATTTCTTTCCAGGGAAGAGGAAAAATAGAAAAATAGGTAGCCAGAGGTTTATTCTGGCATGATCGTGTTATCACTCCTAACTCAATCATAGAACCCCGCGCTATAGTGTATGTAACTATAGGGAGTGGTATGTGCTATGGGTGCTTTAATTGTAGGGAGTTTCAGGTGGGTGCTAAAAGCTTTCTTCTCCAGCGCTATAATCGCGGGGTACTTCAGGGGCGTCAGGTATTAGGTGGGTAGGCACTGTTGAAAAGCGCTATAATTCCGTATCCGTCGCAATGCGCAGTGATCACAGCGGGCGCTAGTACCTGGGGTTCGTGGAATACGGTAACTGTCTAGGCCCCTCCCATTGGCCCCTCGCATAGGTGGGTGAGTGCTGTAGATGCAGTCACGAATCTAGTAATTTTATAGTGAGGTATGCGCTATAATTCACTGCACATACCTTCTAGGCCTGTACCTATGTACGGCGAGGTGCGGGGTTCGGGCCGTATAGTCTCCCTGTAATCATAGGGAAGAAGTACCAATATGTTGGACGGCTATAGACCATCGCCATCCAAAAACCAACTTTCTGCTAATTTGGATCCCTTTTCTGTTATTAATATGGCTACTCGCCAACGTACAATCGTGTCTTTCGCGATGTAGCTGAGACTACCAATTAAACGCGGTAGGGTAACTTCATGGGCTCTGTGATTTCTGTAATCACCGCGTAACTCAGCTGCTCAACCAATCCCGTGCGACCTCGCCGCCGTTACCGTCCTCACGGAGGAATTCCATCCAGGCATCATCGCCCATCACTAGATCAGCCGCCTCTAGGGGCGTGACGTTGGGCCACATCATACTATAGATGTGATTGATTTGTGTTTGAGGACTATCTGCGATTGGCTCATTCATATCTGTGTCTTCGGAAACGGCGTTGGTTTTGGGTTGGCCAGAATGATTATTCTGGTAGCTATGTGTTGATTGTGGGTTGTTCGGTATCGTAGATGATGGTCCGGGGTCGACGGCGACACTCCCTGGTTCCAGATATCTGCTGCAGAGCTCTGATATGACCTGGTGACAACGGCCTGCGCTGGGATTTACCGAGGCGAGACTAGCTATAGTACGCAGCGTTATGGCGATTTGATGCCGCCATTGACTGGCTTCAGTGCTATATGGTCCGTTGCGGAGGCAAATGCACGGGATGAGTGCTGCTTGGAAAAGGAAGTAGCTAGAAATAGAAGTTTATGAGCACGCTACTTTATATAAGGCTGAGAATATTATTGCGACGAAATCTCTCAGCATAAGGTGGATCACTTACAGGGCGTACCAGCTGGCCAGGCGGCTATGTTCATTTGCTTCCCAGTATGCCACGATGGAGGAAATGGTATGTTTGGCTTCATCCAAGCATATTTCATATGCCTCGATACTAGCTGCCGATGAATCCTCCTGCCGCCCGTCTCGAGTATGTAGCGCCCGCCGAATGACAAATGGTCGATACATCTTGAGCGAAAACAAGTAATTAGTATTAGTACTTTATAAATAATAAGGACCAAACCCCTAAAGTTCGCCTGGAATAGGGCTGTCTTACGATGATTCTGAAATTGCGAAGCCGCCATCGCATGACCGAATGAGACAGCTTGAACTTTAAGGGGATTGTTGCTGCATCCGAAAAATACGGCGGGATACTTCGAACCCAAGGCGCCAAGTACTCAGCATCTAGACGAAGGAGCTCTTCTGCCGTTGGAAATGGTTTGGAGATGACGCGATTATATATAGATATGGTAGCGATGTGGAAGCTAGCTTGCGTTCGAACGGCCGTGTATGGTGTGATTTCGGAGCTTTCAGGTGGGTAATTTGGCGACCTTGTGGTAAGCTCCTTGGTTACGGATGCGGATTAGCACGGGACTATAGTAGTGGGAAGGGGGCTGACGAGTAAACTCACTCGGTCATTCACATTTATGGGGAGTGATACGTCGACTCCTTCAAAAGGCCACGATGATGGCCTACTGAAGGTGATCGTAGCGCCCACTTCGAAGACACAGAGTGTCCACCAGACCCTTCTTCGCATCTCCATATTTAATGGGGAGATGCTCCATCCTTGGAATTCCTTATGCAGGCCTAGTCCCATGGCCATCCTCATAGCTAGCCCTGAGTGGTTATAGCCGGAATTCGGCTTGTTTCGTTTTTGTTGGTAGTTAGATATCAAGGTGAAAGCTTGGACAAGAGTCATATTTCCGACCTCTAACAGATCGAACGACATCATTGACCTAGCTTGAGCGAATAGAGGCAAATCGAGATTGGATATTTGCGTATCCGCGCTGAACACCCCTATGGCTGCGACAACGTAAGCAAGAACCAGCCATGAATTTCCATCGGGTCTGGGTATGACTTCTGAGTACTGGGCTCGAAAGGTTGGTTCATGAATTATCGGATAGCTAACGTGGTATACTCTAAAATAGGCATCGATCATCGCATCGGTGATGTGTTTATTTGGGTTCGGTTGTTCCAGGCGGGGAAACCTCATTGTTGGTCTCTGGACGGTCGCCTGAGAGCTGCTTCTCCTTCTTGCGGGTTCAAGTATGCGTAGGAGAGCGGCTCCGGATGCAACACCCAAGTACCCACCCTCCCTTTCATCTACGGAAAGTGAGGCCATGCCATCTGATATCCCGGGACCTTCGCCTGCTGATGGGCCGGTAGTATCTCGGGAAGTTGGTGAGTCCACGAAAGGATCTTGCTCATCCCAATCAAAACCATGCATGGCTGGGGGGCTCTCCAATACTGTGGTTTGGCTCACTGATGAGCTTTGGTGCGTCCTAGAAGGAGGTGGCTTGGGCGATCTATCATCCCCATTTCTTGTGCTGTTCTGGTTTATTGAAGAGACCTTCCAGCTTCCGACTACCACACCACTTGGTCCGCGAGAAATATCGGACCTGAAAGTTTCAGTGCTCGTAGATTGCGGGGGTTGGGCTAAACTCTGGTAATCGGGATCGGGGAGCGCTGTGGGTGATGTTTGGTGGTCCACCTGCGCAAAATCAAAGTTGTCACCACTGAATTGTCCAGTTGTCCTTCTCGTACCATCTTCATTTCGCGACAGAGGTAGAAGAGCTCGTAGTTGTCTCACTAGGGCCTCGGATCTTTCTAGCCTCTCTTCCACCTCGGTCAGGTATCTAAGTCAACATCAGCAACTCTGGGTTTTTTATGGAGTATCTCATATAAAACCCACTTTCTAGTGAGTGGCGTCCGAGAATGCTTTTGATAGAGACAATGGCGACGATATCTTGTGCATAGATTACACGTGGGTAAGGCTCGATCGCATCTTGCTTTCCTCCTGTGACATTCCTTACAAGCCTGCTCTGCTACACCAAGTCCCGTATGCGTAGCTGGCAGTTCCCGGTTTCTTGACTCCGTCAATGGCTCCGGGGTCGCGACGGATGTGAGCGGGCTTTCGGCGGACATGATAATGCCATAGCATGTTCTTGATTTGGACAATAGGCTTAGGACTAGATCAGGTGAGCTCCATTAGAGCGGGACTTCAATGAGACATAAGACACGCTGCGCCCGCGACGAAACCGGAGTTTGATTCTGATATAAGAGGTCAAATTTGGTAGAATTATTATGAATATTCTCTTTCTTGTTCAATCTTCATCTTGGATTGATATTGTCGAGTTTAAAAAGTTAAGTATCTGGAACATCTGCCAGCCCCTCTTATTATCGTGTGAGCTAGTTACGTCAGCAAGTTAAATCTGGGATTTGTGTACATAAGCGACTTAGTCACCATTAATTACATAATATTATCCGCTTTGCGACCGTACGACATAATTGATCTTTTTTTTTTCCCCCAAGAAAATACAACCAACATTAATTCAAATTAATATAGGCGAAAAGTGCCTATCTAATACATATTATCCTCACCATTGCCTTGTTTCTTTACTTGAGATTTGGCGAAGCACACAATTTGAATGGTTGTATTATTACATAATCAGGTAGCCCGTGCCCGCATAGCTCGGATTTACAACGCAAACGAAATAAATTTCATCACACAAGAACTCTCCTAAACCTAGACAACCAAGCCTACGTCTACCCTTACACCTCATCGTGGTGAGTAACAGAAGCGGTTTTATGCGATACCATCTCGCTTTCCATAACCTTGGCATTTGCTCGCGCTTCATCCGCCTCCGATCCGTCAAAAATCGATGCGATCTCTTCCAAGCTATATCCTTTCGTTTCAGGAAATAGAACCCACGTTACAGCTAGGAATACCACCAATAGACAACAAAACACGATGTAGTATTTCCAACCAATATTTTCCATTCCGATGGGATTCACGAATGCCTGGATAGTCAGCGAAAGATAAATCGCCATCAATTCCAACGCAATACCCTTAGATCGTAGGGTATACGTGAATATTTCTGTTGGGTACCCCAAAAGCAGCGGTGTATACGCGATATCGTAATGGAAAAAGAAGGTAAATAGGCACACCACCACTACAATTCCCGCAGGCTTCGAGCCCGTGTCCGAGTTCACAGCCGAGCACGCGGTCCATATGATGTAGCTGATCAGCATTCCGACGCCGCTCCACAGGAACAATGTTCGCCGTCCGAGCCGGTCGACCAAGATAGCCGCCGATAATGCCGCGCCGAAATTGAAAATCTGCAATAGCCCATTGATGAGGGTCTGTGTGAACGTATCGGTAATGCCTATCGTATTGAGAACCAATGTTAAGTAATAGCTCACGACACCAATCCCATTCCACTGCGCGAAAGCTCCTACGCATACGGCGATAAGTGTTCGCTTTCGATTTCCTGGTGTAGAGAAAAGAGCACCCCAACCAACTTTCTCGGCCGTCTTTTCTCTCTGTATCGTGCTCACAATCTCGGCCAACTCGCGGGTGACAAGAGGGGTATGACCCTCATCGGACGCGTTCACCACGCCGGCGTGATAGTATGATAGGATTGCAGCAGCCTCTGGAGCTCGGTCCTGGGCAACGAGCCATCGAGGCGACTCGGGGACCCAATGAAAGAAGATGAGTTGCACGAGCGGGTATCCAGCCTGGAGTATGGAAGGTGTTCGCCAGGACCAATCGCTTTCATAATCTTGGCATCCGAAGGTCGTCCACGACGCTAGAATAGCTCCTGCGAGAGCTGTGAGCGGCGGCTCGTTAACAATCAAACGGTATTAGTGACACTTACCTAAGTAGTACATCGTCCAGAATGCAGATGTGTATTTGCCTCGATGTGTTGGATACGAAAGTTCGGCGATGAGCATTGGGCTAGGTTGAACAACGAACATCCCACCAAACCCAACAATGAGTCTCGATATTACGAACATGGGGAAGTTGATTGACGCGCCCTGGACGATAGTCGCCGCGATGATTAGAAGAATCCCGGTTAGGAGGACAGGTTTACGACCGAATCTGTCGGAGAGATTTCCGACAAAGGGCAGGGCCAGAAGGGAGCCGATAGATTGAGCGGCGTTTACGAGACCGAGAGTCGCCCCAGCTGGATGTCCAAAGTAATCACGCCATTGCTGAAGCGACTGAAGACCATTCATTAGTGAGCCTTTAAAAGCAGTCAGTTGAATTTCTCGTAATTCGAATATGGTTCAACAAACCATCGTAACCAGACACCGCCGACGACAGTAAGGGAACAAGCAGCAACAGATTCAAGCGAAGTAGATGACGTTGTTGAAACCACCACTTGTCTGTCTGCGGCAGCACCTCAGCGAGAGCAGACCCGACAATGTCAGCGTCCTTCATACTGATAGACCGAGTGGGAACAAGCAAAAGTAAGTGACTTGGATCCTGAGAGGAATACGGCGACGGGTCGAAGTCCTTGGCCAATCAAGGCAGGAGTGAACCAACAAGCGTTATAGGTGAATGTAGAAGCCACCGAGAATGGATGCGATTGACAATAGATTATATATAAAATCCCGACTTATTCATTCTTACCATGACCGATTTATTCGTTGACAATAATAGAGACGCCAGTAAACTGCCAGTTTGATTAATGCATTTTTAATGTTTATCACGCCGAACTACAGGCGATGCAGGTGTTGAGTTGGGTGGGGACCAACTAACTACCTAGGTACCTAGGTACGGCATGGAATGTGGATATTCCGGGGAAAACCAAGTAACTTTACATATTGGAAAACCTGGGGGAAACCTGGGGGGCCCAATTGATTGGGTACCTAGGTTAGTGGAGAATTCGGTTATTACTTCATCAAGACCTGAGAGTAGTATTCAAGGTCGTTACTCTTTCTGGTTTGAGTAATGGTGGGGCAACGGACATCCGTCACCCTCACCTATGACCAAGCTAACTAGGTAGCTAACACGCTAATAGGTATAGGGGACGAAAGGACGAAGACGTGTCATGGTTGAGGCCATGTTTTCGGTGTACCTACGCCGACTCGATCGTACCATTGGAAGTAAACCAGAAACACCCATTCCCCCTATCACATGCATGGGACACGAATGGTGACGGTTAGCCATCTAAGCTTCTAGGGCAGCATAAGATGCTAACATGTTGGAAGACACTAGTTTACGGCAATTGAGGATAACGATATTATTATTCCGTCAGGCTTGATCGGAGAAAATTATTTTGCGAGATGCCTACTCGTTACCTAGCAGTATATCCACCGTCGATGGCGAAATCAGCGCCTGTGGTGTATGAGCTAGCGTTACTAGCAAGGTAAAGGTATATCCCCTTAAGCTCTCTCGGGTCAGCGTCACGCCTCAAAGGCGTAAGGTTAAACCACTCTTCCTTCATCTCAAATGGGCAGTCGCCCGAAATAGCTGTGTCAATATAACCTGGAGATACCGAGTTGATCCGACCTCCCCATTTAGCCCACTCAACTGAGAGCGACTTTGCGAGATGAATCTACAGAGAATTAGTCCTTGTAAACCAATGACTAGCGATAGATGAACTTACACATCCAGCTTTAGCGGCGTTGTAGCAGCTCTGTTCTTGTGGCACATTTGCTGCGTGGCCACTCATGGAGGCTGTGATAATAGCAACGCCACTCTTCTGCTCACGAAATACCAACCCCGCGGCGCGCACGGAGTAATAGACTCCGTCGAAGTCCACGGCACGGACACGATTCCAGTCTTCAATTCTGTCATCAAGACCACCCGCCTTGGATGGAACGCCCGCATTAGCAATCATGACATCCAGACGGCCAAAATCCCGAACAGTTTGGCTCACTGCCTCCTCTACTGCACTATAGTTGGTGACATCAACTTTGTAGGCCTTTGCCTTAACTCCAAAGTCTTCTGTAACTTTGGCCGCGAGCTTGTCTGCCACTTGAGAGGTGTGATACCACAACGAGATCTATGATGGTACTTAATATTGAAACGCAACGATTAAGGGGGGTTGAATCGACTTACGTTAGCGCCCGCCTCAGCTAGACCCCTGGCAATCTCATAGCCAATGCCGCCTGCGCCACCGGTGATGATGACTGCTCGCCCATCTAGTCTGAGTTGTTTGAATATACTATCCTCGATCGCAGGGTTGGGAGCCCGTATTGACTTTTTCACTCCGTTACTCGCACTCATTTTGAAGCTTCCCGGTTAACAGGTAGTAGTAATTGGATAAAATAATATTTGCTGACTTCTATCAGTGGTGGGGTCCTTTCGAATCTGATTAACAATTATCTACCCCTATAGTCCGAAAGGAAGCATTTGAGTTGTCGTGAGAAGACCTTTAACAGCTGTCGTCGAACTCGGAGAATTCAACTAATTATAGAATGTCCCCTCTATGGTCGAATCCACTAGTCTGAAGTCCCAGTCCCAGTCGCGTTTATAGCCTACTACGGCTTAATGTCGCCCACTTGAGCGTCGACGTTATCAATTTCATAGCGATATTTCGTAATGAATGTCACGTAGCTGGTGGAGGTGGGTACTGGAAATCTGTCACCCTCCTATTGTTCAATTAAGCTTCTTTTAGATAACTATTCTTAATGCCTGGGTGGATGACCCAGTCATCAACCGGATGATCGAACAGTGAGCATCCATCGCATGATTGTTTAGCCATCGAAATACCAATGCTAATTACGCTAGTCATGCCAACTATCAATTAGCAAGTCGTGTCTGCCTCGACTTTTCTCCATCACAAACCGCCCGTTGACTAGGTCATTCTCATCCGTCCTCCTTAAAGCATCCTCTATTGTATCCTCGATACCGGCAGCCAAATGTCGCGCGGCAACCCTTTCCCTAGCTAAACCCGGATCCACACGAACTAACCATCTGTCGTCCACTAGCTCCGCAATCTCCCGCCACGGCTCTTCGTCGCATAGGAGATAGTTACCCTCGATAATGCAAACCTCCATATCCTTGTCGACAATAAGCCCACCCTCTATGGGATCTTTGATCGCGTGATCGAATGTCGGTGCCAAGACAGCTTCATACCCGGCTGCATCGCGAAGCTTGCGGACTAGAGTCACAACACCTGCTCCGTCAAATGTCCATGTTACACCTCGCCGAGCGATCGCCTCGGACGCGTTTGGCATCGCACGAAGCTTGGCAAGCGGAAAATGAAACCCGTCAGCAGAGATGACAGTTGTCTTAGGATGGTCTGGCAAATTATTGATTCTTTTCAACACTTGTAGGGCGATTGTTGTCTTTCCGGAGCCTGGAGCCCCTGCGAGGGCAATCAACATGCGAGATGGAGAAGACAACGAATTGGCACGGTCGGCTGTCTTCAATTCTTCCCATTTGACAAGGACTCTATTCGCAAGTGATTGGTACGTTGATTCCATAATAGACCCCCTGTTGACGATGAATAACCAAATTCGCGTGTACCGTATCAATTCGTGCCGACGAAACTGTGTAGCCCCTATTTACTTATTTATCTAATTCAATTTCATTTTGGATAGGTATCTACTCGGATCGGAGTCAACCTTTCCTATTAATCCTCCGTAGAACTTACAGTTACCTACGTGCCTACGTACATCCGTATCTTTAATTGATTAGGTAGACAGCTAGATTGGTACCTACAGTGCTCCTTTTCATGTTTGATGCAAAGCTGTCCGGTACCCGGCCCGGACCTCTGTCAACCCTGCCCCGCAATCTCCAACACCACGCGCGCGCACACACCCCCGCAAAGCATCCATCGTTTCTGTCTCATGTCCGTGGCGATCTTAATACTACAGATAAAAACGAGAATGAGTGACTAGCAGTCTAAACGGTCCTAAAAGCTATAAGCCATTCTACCAGGGGCAAATTTTTATCAATTATCAGCACTGCGCAAATCACCCCAGCCATGGCAGAAATTGTAAGTCCTCTCTCATTCAACTCATCAAAGATGGGTTTATACGTACTCATACCACATAGAATCCTGCGTTTGTACTCCAGTCCATAAAACAGGTCTCATTTGAGAATAGGGAGGTCCCTAAACTACGAGACGAGTGGGACGTTCGTGTGCGCATCGAGCAAACGGGTATCTGCGGTAGTGATGTACACTACTGGCAACGAGGCCGAATTGGTGATTTCATCCTTGAAAGCCCAATAGTCCTCGGTCATGAAAGTTCCGGCACAGTCGTCGAGGTCGGCAGTAAGGTGAAGAATGTAAAGGTGGGCGACAGAGTGGCTATCGAGCCGGGCGTTCCATGCAGACAGTGAGTATTGCCCCCTCGGAATGAACGGAATTCGCCGATGTCTTACATATTGTCATTTTCAGTTGCAATTTCTGTCGTTCAGGGGCATACAACCTATGTGCGGATACTGTGTTCGCAGCAACTCCTCCGTGGGATGGAACACTGCAGAAATACTATATCGTCGCTGGTGACTACTGCTACCCTTTACCATCACATCTCAATGCTGAAGACGGCGCACTGTGTGAACCGGTTTCCGTAGCTGTGCAGATTTGCAAAGTAGCTGGCCTAAAAGGCGGCCAAACTGTGTTGGTGATGGGATGCGGTCCTATCGGGGTTCTATGCCAAGCTGTGGCAAAAGCATACGGAGCAGCCAAAGTCATTGGTGTCGATATTTCTAAGTCACGATGTGATTTCGCTAAAGAATTCGCTGCAGATGGTGTTTATCTTGTACAAAAATCCTCGAATGAAGGAATAGATCCGGTAGATGCCTCTAGGGCTCTTGGTGAATCAATCGTTAAGGATTTTGGCTTCGGAGAAGGAGCCGATTTTGTTTTGGAATGCACAGGAGCGGAATCGTGTATACAGGCTGGTATATTCGCTGCTCGAAAAGGTGGTACTTATGTGCAAGCTGGAATGGGGAAGGAGGTAGGTCTTGCAGCCAAAACATCCAAACGTCCGTCTATACGCTAATCGAAGACTACGCAGAACGTCGTCTTTCCTATCACTACAGCTTGTATCCGGGCTCTCAACATAAAAGGTTCTATTAGGTACAGCGTTGGCTGCTACCCAGAAGCAGTTGATCTCATCGGCTCCGGGAAGATTAAGCCTAGCAAGCTTATTACACATAGATTTCAGTTCGAGCAAGCTGAGGAAGCTTTTGAGTTGGTCAAGGCGGGAGGAGAAAATACTCTGAAGGTCATCATCCAAGGAGTCAAATAAGAATATAGTATCTAAAACTGAATACATGGCGATTATTATCGATTAGTCCCATAGAAATCATGATTGTGATATATGAGGCATTTTCTTTTCCCTTTTGCGTATCTTATAATATCAAGAATTGATGACTCTAGTATGGTTCGCCCTTAGGTACCTAGGTATCTTCGGGCGTTACTTTATCATTCATCGAACTAAAGAAAGATTATGCATTGGCAATCTACGCCCAATACATCCGATCCTTGAAAATTACGAGATTTTATTAGAAGTATGTTATGTTTTCGGTATACATATTAGCGGAAAGGGTGACTGTCGTCCGCATCCCCACTTCAACATTGAGACCAAGACACGGGCTCAATTGAGTATGTGAACTATGGTGGATCAACGAACATTAGCCTCATCACAGGCGTTTGGACGATGAAATTCCCCATAGGAGCTGTTATTGAGATTCTCTTGGGGTTTAAAACTGCTCACGCATCATTTATCCTCCAACCCCATGTTAAACCGTATTGACAGACGTCCATGAGTTTACAAGGATTTCTCTTCCCAGAAGCAAGACAATTCAACATGGTCCTCTCTACGCACCCTAACCCCTCAGCTCCAGTGTTAACACACTTTTCTCTTGCTGGAAAGACAGCCCTGGTGACGGGCGGTACCCGCGGCATCGGTTTAGAAGTCGCCAGGGGCCTTGTGGAGGCAGGTTGTTCTGGCGTCGCTATCACGTACGCCAACACAGACTCAATTGAAGCAGATAGAATAGCACTTTCCATTTCAGAGTCTATCGCAGGTACTCCTAAGATAATTGCATACAAATGCAATGTTAAATCGAAGGAGGCTGTTGTGGAGACCGTTGAGCGGGCTGCTAGAGAACTTGGCGGCAAACTTGACATCGTGGTGGCCAACGCAGGTATCGCAGATCATATTGCAGCTATAGATTACCCGGAGGACAAGTTCCGCGAAATGATCGACGTGAATTTCCACGGAGTATTCTGGACAGCTCAGGCAGCGGCGAAGGTGATGGAGAGCCAATGGAAAGCGGCAGATGCAAAAAGTGGTGAAGGGAGGGGAAGTATCATCATCACGGCTAGTGTATCGGCTATATTGGTCAACATTCCGCAGCGACAGGCAGCTTATAATGCCAGCAAAGCCGCTGTTGTGCACCTAGCGAAGTCATTAGCGGTTGAGTGGACGGAGTTTGCAAGGGTCAACTGTGTTTCCCCAGGTTTCATCGCTACGGACAGTAAGATCAAACTATTGTTAGTATTGAAAGAGTCCATGCTGACTTAGCAGTGCTCTCGGTTCATCCAGAGCAGTGGAGGAAACAGTGGTTCCAGATGATCCCAGGCGGTCGATTGTGTGAGGCGGCTGAGCTAAAGGGGTCATACGTCTTCTTGGCAAGTGATGCAAGCAGCTATATGACAGGTGAGACTTAACTATACATAATAAGTCTATAAGAAAAGATAAACAAGCTAATATGTGCGATATAGGTTCTAACATGGTGATTGATGGAGGCTACACATTGCCATAGAATGTTGGCTACTTAACATAGAAGATATGTCAAATTGAATTCGTTAAAGTCAAATGAAAGACTCTTTGTTTGTCAGTTGAAATACAAAATTGAATCGTATAAAATTGCGTATTGTTTTAAATACACGAGGATACCGAAGGACAGTTGAACTTGTCCAAATTCCCCGCGGGCACATATGTGTAACCCCAACTTTACCCCCTTATTTGGGGTTACACTGCTGTCAGCCCTCTTCTAGTTGATATATGATCTTTCTAAGCAGTACGCTCTACGATCGAATTATAAGCCCCTCATAATCAATGGCTCGTTGACCCCATTCCCTGTTTTAATGGTCAGCGCACTTATAGTTCTGTTAGGCCTTTCAAGCTTTATTCACAGACCTCCAACTACCATCATATAGTCTTTGATTATCTTCATCGCCATAGCGTGCTTCGCGAAGCGCCACCGTCAAGATTGCAGCAGTAACACCAGATCCACAGCTTGTGACGATAGGTCGTTGCGGATTGATGCCTTTTCTTTCTAGAACAGCTCGTATTTCCTCTCCTGGTAGGAATGCGCGTGTGTTTGGATCTAGCACATCGGATAATAGTAAATTGAAAGAACCAGGCATATGTCCAGAGGCTAACTCTGGTCGGAGTTCTGGTGCTTTTCCGCTCCACCGTGCCTCTGCTCTAGTATCCAATATTTGCCATTGATTATTACCGTTTTCTTTGTTTATGAGAAAGTGATCTCTGAGTTCCTCGAAGGAAACTACCTTGTATTCATTCTTCTTTGGGGTCGGGTAGGAAGATGTGGCCGGCGTATCCCAATCCCCCGACACGGTTGGATACCCACCGTTAAGCCACAACCTGAAATTGTTGAGTATATGGACATGCTCGTGGCCAAAAACCTGCAATGTCCACGCCACCCTAGGTGCGCTGAAGATCCCGAGTTCATACGAATCGTATACAACTATCACATCTGTTCGGCGAATACCTAAGGCGCTCATGCAAGCCGCAAAGTCCAAAGCAGAGGGCAACATATGAGGAAGAGACGTGTTTGGATCAACAACCTTGTCGAGGTCGAAGAACCGAGAGTTTTGTATTCGCTTTTGCTTGAAGCTATCAATTCCTTTCCGGCCGTCCGTTGAGAGAAACCACGTAGCACAGAGGGGGATAAGGCGCCGAGTTAGTTGGTTCTGATCATCGTGACTGCTCCGTAGTGCTTCTAGGAGCTCGTCGGGTGAAACGAGAAACGAAGAAAATACGCTTCCATCCGTCATCGTTGTTATTTGGCTACTTTGTCGCCTCCTAATCGGAAATAGTCGCTACGTACATCATAGGATTTCTCCTCTTGCAAAGGCCACCCGTTTCACGCTTCCTAGGAACTGGCTGGAAAAAAAGGATTAAATGGTGTGATGACACCATAACGTTTGAGTGCCTAGTTAATTCTCCCTGCAAGGGCTAAAGGGGTGCGATTGCGTGCTTGGTTACGTCGTAACGTGATAGGGTAGAATAGACGATCGCTTGGCGGTTAGTCGACTATTAGAGCTGGACCTGTTCGGAAACTAGTCCAGCCCTATCTAAAGGTCAATATGCGACCTACCTAGGAATTAAATTTCATTTGACCAACCCGCTAAGTAAACGAAGTACCTAGGTATTCCTCATGTAGCTCAGATAGACTCTTATAAAGATAAGTAATTGTGCTGTTTACGATGCGTACATCTCATTTAAACTACCTACTAGGTACCCAGTAGTTATGTCGCGATACGCCGGTTCCGTAACTACAATGCTCGTACCCCACCCACAGAATTTAGACAAGGTCGAGCATCAATTGGAGCCTTTTACATGTGGTGAGCCTACAAGAGAACCTTGTGAGTAGTAACGCCATAAAACTAGAGTTGTTCTGTTAGCAGGTTGCCTAACACACGGTAGTGGCATGGGCTTCGTTGCGTGAGTTGGATCTGAGCAAATTCGATGTCAGTGTTCCTCACATGCAATTTATACGTGCCAAAAACACGGCTAACATTTCAGAAGGATGGAATTGAGAGTCGGAAACTATTAGCGGCGGAACTGGTCAAAAGCCTCCACACCACTGGTTTCTTATACATAAAAAATCACGGGTTGCAATCAACCGTAGTATGTCGCGTTCGTTCTATTGTATGACACCGCGACTGAAACCCTAGGAAGATACAACACCACTTGAATATAGCGAATACTCTATTGAAAATTCCGTATGAAGAGAAGCTTGCGTACGAAATTGTCCAGGATAAAGCAAGCAATAAACGTTACCACGGATTCGCGCCGCAGTCCTACCGCAAGAAGACAATCTACGAAGATAACGTCGAGGTAAGTCGCACTTTATATCACATAAAACGATGGATTTACGGTAATACTTGCTAGCATTACAATATATCACGCTTCGTATCCGAAGTTGGTGATGAGCAAGAGTCATCATTCCCTCCTGTGCTCCATCCATATTTGTCTGACATCAAGTACCTGTCCGAGTATGTCCACAAGGTTATCGCGCGAAAGATACTCATCTTAATTGCTATAGCTCTTGAGGTAGATGAGATGACCTTCACAAACATACACACCTATGAGGCCAAGAATGATTCTTTTCTACGATATATGCAATATCTACCCCGTTCTTCACGGGATAACGAAGAGAGCAAGGACTTATATCTCCCAGGGCACGCCGACTGGGGAAGCCTGACATTCCTGTTCAATCAGCCCACATCGGGTCTACAAATCCTTGACCAACAGGGCGACTGGAAATGGGTAAAGTACGTGCCTGACACCATCGTCGTTAATGTCGGTATCGCTTTAGGTGCGATGACTGGAGATTACTTGAAGCCGACAATTCATCGGGTCATCAAACCACCCGAGGACCAAGCTCAGCGTCCAAGATTGTCGCTGATCTATTTCCTGCGGTACGTCGGGCACAGCTCCTTATGCCGCGATCGTGCTCAATTTCGATGTTAACACGAAATTCCTTACTAGGCCGTATGATACACATTCTTTATCCATGATTTCATCTCCCATCTTGAAGAGGCTAGGGCGCAAACCAACTATTGACTTAACCATGGGGTATGTTGATCTTATAATGTTGCCCTTATTGGAAACCTTGCTGAACATACCTCACACGCAGTGAATATACTCGGTTGGGGAAGACTGGAGTATTCCGAGTAAACTATGACTCGGACAAAGCAGGCGCCCAAACAAGAATGTTCAATCAGATCAAACAGCAGGCTTCACAAGAAGGAGAAGGTGTCGATACTGACGCGAGGGATTTTAAGAGTATCTAGGTACTCAAATTGGTGACGTCGGTTCAATATGAACAGTACTTACTTAGCATAACTACCTAGGTAGATAGGGAAAATTAAATGTACCTGAGTTGTCGCTTTGCTCTCTATGCTATCACAATAATAATAGATACCTAGCTAAATCTTGCCAATACTTTACCAGAGACAAAAATTGTTGTCATTCCCATCACTGGGCTCTTCTAACACCATCAAAGAACCAGGAATTCCCAACGACTCCCCTTCTATTAAGTCACCCCACTCGTCGTCTACATTCGATGCGATGTACTTGATAACTTGCATAGGTAACCTATTACCTGTCTTTTCCTGTCTAGAGATCACCCTCTTGAGAGCTGTGCGCAAAGCTGATCGCCTCATGTGGGACAAAATCCATGATCTATGGATAGGATCCTGCGTCTCGATGCCGGCCATGAAAAGTGGCCAATGCAGGCGCTCACGAACGGTTGGAAGCGGCGAGTTGAAAGTTCTATATGCGATTGTGAGTAGTGCAGTCATTGCTCGCTGGACCGTGATAGGTGGAATGGTCAACCTTCTCGACCAAGTTTCACTTGTAGAATTGCTAGCACGAAAGAAGTAAATTATTATGGCGTGGAATCGTGCTATTGTGAAGTCGATATTTATAAGTGGTGGGTTTCGTGGTTCGACATGGCTCGACGCGAGATGGATAAGACTCGCGTATGTCTACACGAGGGAGCCGTTAGATTATATGGTGGATTTTAAAAGGTACGCGGCAAAGGACTACTTACTCTCTCGAAGCGCTCGATCTTAATCCTTATCCGCTTTGCGATAGCCTGAACGTCCGGATTCTCGGAATACTCGTTAATGTCATGCATAATTGTGAAAACATTGTAGATACAGTGCATAACTGACGAACTCTGGATGAACTCAAGAGCATCAGCATTAGAGATGCTACGGAATTGATTAGTGCCTAACTAAATTTAATTTTGGGTTATGGAAAGTAGGAAACTCACGGCTGTGTCCAGTCCTCATCTAAAAGGGCATAAGAATTGTAATGTAACTCTTCGGTATGATTCTGCATTCTGTTTATGTACGACGCAAAATCACCGCCACAGCCGTGAAACGACATCTGTATATCCTTGAAAAAGTTCCACCTCACAAGCCGACTCAACAGGGACCGTTTCCTGCTCGGAATTGAGATAACCTGTGAGCTTCCGGGTTCCGGCTCTGCGTAAGTTTCATACAATTTGATCTGACTGGCAAATTTTGAGATAATCTTGCTAAGCGTCCGTATAGACTCACGAGCTGCGGCTTTGCGTCGAGATAAATATATGTAGGACAGAAAAACGGATGCGAGAATCGACAAGTGGTCTTCTTGGCTCTTCTCTCCTCGTCCTATAATATGGGCAAATAGACAACTCCCGGCTTGGAAGTGCTGTTCTGCCAGTTGACCCATTTCTTGTCCGGTGTCTGGTGGAACATGGCTCATCTCATTGAAAGACGTGGCTAATAAAAGTCGCATCACCACAGCTGCATCGCCGCTGAGTTGTAGCAGTTGATTATTAGTAAAAGAGGCTGGGGTATCAAGAACATGTGTTCCCGAGAATGCCGTCGAGTAATACTGAATGGCGCGATGATCCATAGGAGATAGCGTCAGCCCATTCCCAGCCGTATGGTAGCTTGTAGGTTGGGTTAGATTCATCATCAACGATATCTCTTCTTGTTGCCGATCTTCGCTACCTGGCCTCTGAGACCAGTATCGCAGGTTGGTCCCTAGGTCTGCGGAGAAAGTATCCTGTAGAGCGACATCAATGAGGTCATCTAAGCTGGAATGCCATCCAGTAGTCATTGTGACGCGATTTTGGTCAGGTGTGCTGAATAAATTCGGGGATATTTCCGAATTACTATTGCCCAAAATATTGGGAGTCCTCCACTCCTCAGCCTCACCAGTCGTATCGTCGGACCTCATGCTACAAATATCCTGGGTTTGATTTACCGTGGGTTCGATTCTTGAGGGTTTCCATATGCCCACTTCCCTACTCTTCAGGGGTCCGAATCCCCGTCGTCGCTCTCTGAGGGGTTGGCGGCCATCCTCCCAGCGACAGTCTAACCTTAGGCGCTCCTGGAAGATGCTACCGAGTTAATGCGTAAACTATGAGACAACTGGGAACAATCGTACGCATCTGATACATCGCGGGCGACTCTCATCGCACTTTACTCTCTTGTCGCGACATGTGAGGCAACCTATTTGGGAGAAATTCGGGGTTAGTACCTCGGTAGTGCATTTTAAGGAATTCTAACCTGTCTTCGAGCGTCTCGTCTTCCTACGCTGGCGAGAAGGTGCCTGATTACTTGAAGCCGATTGAGGACTTAAATACCTGTCTCTATCCATTAAATACCGATATTAGAAATTAACCTACCCAAGAAAGGGCGTCGTTAATTTGATTCCTTAACTAAGAAGGATGTTTGTCTTCAGCTACCCTCATTGCCAAGACTCATGAGAACATTCAGGGGTCTAATCACGTCACTCGAGTCTTAAGTAGGAGACCCACCCTTTGAAGAGTACCTACCTAAGTACTATTCCGTAAAGTTGATGCGTCTTGTATTTTTTACGTGCCTATAGTACCTAGGTAAATAAGCACCTACGATCCAAATAATTACCAAGCGACTGAGAATTAAGAAATATGGGGTCTACCTAGGTATCTATCTAACTAACTTCACAAACGCGAACGAATGAATGGTATTGATTACATCCGTTAAATGAGAAGAAACATACAATTTTTTTTGCGTCGTACTACCGTACGTCTACCTACCTAGGTGGGTTGGGGTTACTACCCCTATTTTTGTACCACCTAAATGCGCTAGCGCTGCCAGAGGCGTCAAATGTCGAGAAAGAATTCAATCATTTCTTTGGTGCTGTTAAATCACAGATGGGTTTCGCTTCGTATATGCGCATCGTCATCGCTGAGAATCTTACCCTCTCTAAGCGCTGCATTACGCTCCAGCTTGACACGGCGCGCCTCCTTTTCAAGATCATACGTGAGGTACCAGCATATGCATCCACAGATGAAGCCACTTGCGACGCAACATACCATAATAATAAAAGATGGCCTATAGTTCTGAGCCGCCCATTTCTCTCGAAAGATCTGCGGTCCAATAATAGCTCCAAGCTGGGAGATCGAATTTTGAATGCCGAATGCCAGGGCGGTACCTGTCGCTCCACGAACACTGGAAGATCTCCCTGATGCAGAGATATCTATGTTAGCAACCAATCATAATAGTTACCTAGAATCAAAAGGACTCACATGGCCAATATGAGGTTCCCCATGCGTGCGAAAACATTGTGCCGAGTACACACGCAGCATATCTAGCCCCCTTGTTTTCCGTCGTTAGGAATATGGCAAAACTGATTATTTCGAGGGCCACAACTGTGATACTATTAGCATTATAGCTGCGAGCAAAAGACCTATTAAATTCGTCTTACTTGTAAGACAATATGGTGGTCGAGGGACACGTCCGTCTCGATATATAAAAAAGGTAGTAATAAGTAAGCATAGAGCTAAGAATGATCCGGGCTGCAAAAGCGTTAGAGGAAGCCACTACGATATTTCGGCTTGGGGATTCGGATTCAGCCTTACTAGAAGTAACAATAAGTTCCGAGGAACCGCGACAAATCCAAGGTTGTTGATGATCGTTGGCTGAAAAGGGATTAGGGTTAGTATTTCGGAACGAAGAGCGACTTCGATTTCACTTACCTGTGCCCACGAGATTCCGTATGAAGTTATGCTCATACAGAGGATGAAAATAGTGAACGACCAAAGTCGTGGGTCTTTCAGGGTATCCACTGTCTCTTTTAAGGAGAAGGCCTTGTCCGAATAGCGAGGGTTATTAGAACTCAATCTAGCCTCGACAAAATCTTGTTCGCTAGGAGTAAGCCACTTAGACGTGCTGGGAGACTTGGGGTAATCGGGAAGCCATAAAAATAGGACGATTCCGTATGCAACTGTCAAGACTCCTTCGATGAGAAATATCCTTTTCCCTCGTCAACCGCATTCTAGTTAAATTAAGTGTATACCGCGCTTACCATTTCCATGAACTCAGACCGTGCCGTTCGTCAAGGTAAGAAATTCCGTATACGAGAAGCGAACTTAAAATGCTTGTAAATTGATCAAGACCGTGAACCCATACCATCGGTCTTGCTAATTCGTCGCCTCGATACCAACAGAGAAAAGATGTCATGAGTGCTGGAAACATGCCAGCCTCAACAACACCAAGGATAATTCGAACAATGTAAAGTCCGGTTTTATTCGTCACCGCGGCGTGGCAAGCGAGTACAATTCCCCAGGTAATCATGATACGAGACTGGAATATTCGCGGCCCCATCTTCTTTAGCAATAAAGTCATAGGAGTTTCCAGAAGAACATAGGGGATCTTGTATGGCGTCGGTAACTTCCACTACCATCTCCACCCCCCTGGAGGTATCTTACAGAATATGCTGTATTAACCCAATTGTATTCATCTGGAGTCATACGAAGCTGTGTCAGAATATTGGTTGGTTTGCCAACAGCAATGACTCTAACAAGAGCGAGGTTTAACGTGTCAACCTTGGAATAGGAATGATTAGTTTTGAGCAGCTAGGAGTTTCGGAGTGCAGTAAAAACGTACCTGTTTAATCGCGTAGATTAAAGCTGCGAGAATCACAACACGGCGATCGAGCTTACGCAGAATCTTTTTTTCGTCTTCCGCTGTAAACTGGCTGAGAATTTGGGTTCTAGTGGCCTGCTGAGTATGTGCATCTTCTCCGTCGGAATAGATGGGTGAGATATTCTCATCTAGGTCCTTGGTTGGACTAGGAATTGTTTCTTCGGCCGCCATAACTACCTCTAGATACAATGAAATCCAGTATATTCCAACAGATGCTCGACGCTTATCATTGACGAAAATAAAAGCAATATCGGTAATATTTGTATCGTGAATCTTAATGTTAGGCGCGTGTTAACTTTTCTGAATCACGTCAAAGTTCATTGAAACGATTCGAACAAGCTGCTATCTACGTTGGTCTAGACCCTGGTAGCTTGGATGCCGTAATGGGAATGGATAATGGTCTTAATTGGCTGGAATAGACGACGCGATCGCCCACTTTGGATGGCGAGCATGGCAAGAAACTGCCTAACCTAAAAGGTTTAAGTTACTCGCCTAGTCACCCCTGCCCCTTAATGGCTCTACCCAAGGTAGTACGTCTGTTCTTATGACCTCTAGTAGTACTTAGCTGCCAATGGTTGGATATCGAATAGCAAAATGTGCCGAGGAGATATATCAATAGATCTTGCTTTAACATATGACGTGATTCTTGGGGCATTTGGTGACTGGATTGCGATATCGATGCAATGTGCCACTGGACCAAATACACGACAAGCAACGACTCATATGGTTACGTCGTCTGAAGTGATAATGTGGGTGCTTAAAAATGTTCGGTCCTCTCAAAACGAACCTACGGCCCATATAGTATATCTGCTTCACATTGCTGGATTCTTTCCGCCCGTGTAATATCAAGCCGCAAAAATGTCACCTTCAATCTCCGTTCTAGCGCAGCTCAGGCAGAAAACGAGTTTGATACCTATGACGAAGGCGCGGCAGCGAGTAAAACTAAAGAAAGAAAGCTCCTTGTTGAACCTCTGCAATATGGCGGAACGCTTGATTCTTATCGTTACTTCGACGTTACGCCAGTAATCGGGCGTGAGTTTCCCGAAGCCCAACTGAACAAAATTCTCAAAGACGACGCCCAAATTCGAGACTTAGGCATCACTAGTTAGTTTAACCCCTTGTGGATACACCTAATAGGAATTATCAAGTAACTAACCTAGTAAATAGTTGCACAACGTGGTGTGATCTTTTTCCGAAACCAGGATCTCACTGTCGAACAACAAAAAGCCCTCGGCCAGAAACTTGGTGAGCTCACAGGGAAACCATCAACATCAAAGGTGAGTAAATGATACGATAAATGCAGGAAGAAATTTTCTAAAATTTTACTTTCGAATGATAGCTTCATAGGCATGCTGTTATTCACAGCAAGCGGGGCGTGGCTGTCGACGAGCAAGGGAATCGAGACGATGAAATCTCCGTTATATCCTCTGAGGTAGAGCTATTCCCTCCTGAATTTCGTACTTTGAAGTTCTAATCTGCTCGTTAATTCAAAGCAAAACAAGAAATTTTATAACGGCCTTTTCACTGTCAACTCTGGAAAGATTGCTAGTCATGGATGGCATGCCGAGTATGGATCCTTGGCCGAAGTTTAGTCCATATTATTAACTCTTTTAAGCATCTCTTTCGAGAATGCCTCTTCGGATTATACTCTTCTGAAGATTATCACTCTTCCGGAAGAAGGGACTGGCGGCGATACTCTGTGGGCATCAGGGTATGAAGCATATGATCGACTATCCCCTGCATTCAAAAAGCTAGCGGAAAGCCTTAAAGCCGTTCATTCTCAGGTATGTGCTATCACAGAGAGGAGATATTTGTGGCTGATGCAACGTTAGCCGTACTTCCGTACCCTCGTAGAGAAGCATGGACTAGAACTTATCGAGGAAAATCGTGGATCCCCCGAAAATAGAGGGACAGAATTTTGGGCTTCCCAGTACGTATCGACCTATAACTATCGAGAGGCCGAACATACTAACACGATCAAGCCCGGTAGTGCGGACGAACCCAGTAACAGGGTACAATTTGACATTCGTATCCTGATTATGAGATAGCCTGTGCTAACTCAATTTAGGTGGAAAAGCTTGTTTGCTTCTGGATCACAAATTCGTTCTAGCGGATTTGAAGGCGTAACAGAACGCGAGAATGAGATACTAAAATTATATTGTAAGTCTCTGATATATGCTGTTCGGCAATGAGGCTGCTTGACTGACTACGTATAGTCCTGCAGCTGATTGCTGAGAATCATGACCTCCAAGTTCGCTTCAAATGGGGTTTAAATGACGTAGCAATTTGGGATAAGTATGAATAACATCGCATAGCGACCTCGAAGAGTATATACTAACCTGTATTTTTGCAGCCGATCTGCCTTCCATACTGCGACATAGTGAGTAGATACCTAAAAGAATGATGATTCGCGCTAGGTACGAAACTAATAGCTCCATAGCGACTACTATGGCAAACGTCAAGGAAATAGGGTTGTTTCTGTTGGAGAGAAAGCGTATTTCGATCCGAGCTCCACATCCCGTCGTGAAGCTTTATTTGGGCAAGATGGATTGTGATAGGCAATGACGGAAGGTGAAATATTTCGTGAACCAGACTGCGGGGATAAAATTCAGAATCGAATAGTGCTGTAGAGCTGTATTCATCAGAATAACTTCATCGTGGTTGGCTATTGTCTTTATGTTCCGTGAACATTCCGTGTTGACCGTCCTCCTGCGCTAACGTTCGCCGTCCAACTGTAGGCCAAGACAGCCGTCACATTTGACTGTGACTTCGAACATAGGAGACCAATTAGTTTTCCTATTTTAACTTAATGTGTAATTCGAGTAAGGAGTCGGATTGACGGTTCATCTAAGGTTCCCAGCAGAGCTGAAGCAAGGGATAACAGCACTGTGGGTTGGTGGGCCGTTAGGTCGGTTCTCAGCAACCTGGTATCTTCTTTGTTTTGAAGGTTAAAGTAATTCTCGACTTCTGCTTTTCTCTTTTCTCTTTCATTTTTCATTTTCTTTTTTCCGGCCTTGTATTAATTAGTCGTGAAGTGCGCGATCGCTTACACCGTTATCGCAATGGCCGGCGACCGCGCCTCGCATGGTCTTTGGCGGGAAAATTCCTTGCCTCAAATTGTCGACAAGTTAGCTATTGAGGAGCCGCTTGTAATCCCGGCGTGGTGGGAGGTGTGCTTGTTATTGAAGCTCAAAGATTTCAAGCGGCCCTTCTCCTTGGGCCCCCAGCTAATACAGGTTGTCTCACAACGGCGGAGCACGCCTTGCTGATTGAACGTGTATGGCCCAGTGTCAAGGAGGTGAACCGGAGCACGCCAGCGCATGCTCGGATTGAAAAGTCGATGATCTTGGTTGCCACCTCCCATCCCTTCATTCGAGCTGGTAAAGGCACCATCCAGAGAGCTGCCAGTATCGCTCAATATGCGACTGAAATCGATAACCTCTACGCAAGTGCGGATATAATTCTGGGCGTAGACACTGACGGTGGGGAGATGCCTGATGCGCTACCATCGGATTTTGGAAATGTTCAAATGGTTGAGCAAACAATCCGCAGTACTGTGAGCACCATCACCAGGTGGTCGGAGGCGGACATGACGGATAGCTTCTTTGACCGCGGCATGGACTCCCTCCAAGCTTTAAGACTTACTCGAGCTATGCGGAAATCCCTGGACCATCCCAGCCTCTCGCTTTTCACAATATACCAAAATCCTACCGCAGCGCAGCTCGCCACGGCGCTCACAACCACTTCAAGCGCTGCGCCTTCTGATGAACACACCATCGCGCGACAATTCTTGGGTACCTACCAGGGGTTAATTCAACAGATACCCGAGCGAGGGGTGATGTCTACAGGCCCCGAAGAGGAACCAAATAATATGGTGAATATTCTTTTGACTGGTTCAACGGGTACCCTTGGAACGTCGATTCTTTACGCACTGCTGGACCGCCCCAATGTCGGGCACGTATATTGTCTGAACCGTGCTACTGATGGCGGTCTAGAGGCACAGCATAAACGATTCGTCGCCGCGGGTCTCGATACCATCGTCCTTGGAAGTCATGTTACTTTCTTGCAGGCAGATCGTGCCGCTCCTGGACTGGGACTAGAGGCAAGCGCATATGACGAGCTCTGTACCCGAGTGGCCTGTCAACTTCAACCTCGCTCTCCTGGCTTTCCGGCCGCAGCTAGTTGGTATCGTGAACCTTTTCAAATTTGCAGCGAGTCCCAGCAACCAGGCAATCCGTACAATGTTTATATCGAGTATCAGCACTGTAGCAAGTACAAGTGCCGGAGCAGCGAAGGAAATCATGTCGGATAGCAGTTCGCTCGACGGTACCATTATGAATGGGTACGCTCGAAAGAAGGTTTTGGCCGAAATCCTCTGTGACGCTGCGGCCGATCATCTCGGTCTCTCCGTGGACATCGTACAAATAGGCCAGGTAGGCGGGTCTACGGCCCGGGACGGTGCGGTATGGCTGCCAAGTCTCGTCATTAGTTCCCTCATGCACCTACACTGTCATCCTGAGGACCTTGGTCCCAATTTTTCAGAGATCGATTGGGTTCCGTCTGACTTACTTGGGCTGTGGTTGCTGATCTTGCGCTCGTCACAGATAGATTAAATGATAAGGGGGTAAAGGTTTATAATATACGGAATCCACGAACGTCAAGGTGGAGTGAACTTGTCCCATCTATCCAAGATGAAGCCCGAGTTATGCTAGGTTCCATCCCATAAGTGGTCTCATCCTCAATGTGGCTTGCATGGCTTTAAGAGAGTGAGGGTAGCGGCGACAGTAATGCGACGGAAGATGTAGTGCGAAACCCAGCTGTCAAGTTGCTTTGATTTCTACAGTCGAGGCCTCTAGGTGAAAGAAGGGCAGAGGGCTGTTATCCAACAGGCACCTATGGTCATTGATCATTCGGTGGCGGTTAGTTCCACCCTGCGTGACATGTCGAGCGTGGGTGCAGATTGGATGCGAAAATGGGTAGGAGAATGGTTGAGGTAAGAGAAATGAAGAAATCTCAGTCATGGCTGTTTTGTGTAACTACATAGGCAGCTATGTCATCGAATGATTAGTAACTCACACCAATTAATCTGCATGACCAGGATCAGGATCATTAGCGTGCGCACAGGGCAGTGCAGCGGGTCACTAGACTTGCCATACCCTTTACAGAATGGTAGAGAAGTCTAATCCCGATCTGGAGATTAGTGACAGCAGCTAATCCGTGTAGGGCGAAAGATGACATACGCTATACCATTTTGGAGGGAAAATATATAACCTCAGCCAATTCGAAGCATTCTGTGTAACACGGCGCAGTATGCTCTTCTATTCTAAGCTTGCTCAACGATTGTACTTCCTTTTCATAATCTACCACATTATTCTTTCCTTCAAGCCTACTTTTCAATCATTGTATTACTATGTTTTAACCTGTTGATAGGAATTTTTTCTCGTTTTTTTTAATTAATTCACCGTATCTACCATCAATTAAACATGGGTCGTAATCAGATTTATTGTTGCATTTGTGGCTCTCCATTCCTAGAACCTGGTCAAAGGCAAGTTACGGTTCCCGAGCAACAATCTAAAGTCCGTCCCTGACGTTTTATTAGTGACGATGAACGTGGGGAATGGCTCGCTCGTGCTGTTCTGGTCACTACTGCGCATGAGACAGACCACGGAATCGAATTAGATATCTACTGGCCACAGGCACCCAGTGGAAGTTATGCCCTAGACCTCGGTCCCAATCCGCCCACAGAGCTTAAGAGGCGTGTTCTGCGGTTGGATTCCGAGTATTCTGAACATAACCAATTCAAAATTTTAGAGTCGGGTGCGACCGTATCGGCTTTTACTGTTGGCGCAGGCTCACCAACTTCCACTGTCACCTCTGGAGGAACCTTTTACCTTGCCGTTCACGGCGTGTGTAACCAGCTCGCTGAACATTTTATCGATAGTAGGGCAGAAGCCCGCGACACATTTCAGATAGGCCCCCAAGATAAGATATCTTCCATCAAACAACTTTGGGAGGTATTGTACCGCCGAATGCCAGGGTCAACGCCTTTAAATTCCGAGTACATCCTACCAGAACCGCATGCCTACTATGGAGGCAGATATTGTCGGAATGTGTATTGGGAGCCGAGCGATGACCTGGAGTACGGGGAGGTTTGTACAAAATTGGAGATTGATTCACGTGCTATGCTTACCCTTACGATAGCTGCTAGAAGAAAACCCTTCGGAAATACCAAATCTCACCGAGTCCATCCTCCAGAACCTACAGCCTGCATCTTCGGAAGCACCCGGTGATAAGCTGAATAAAACTAATTTCAATCACCAAGAGTCGAACCCGAAATCCGAAATTGTTCACAACCAAGATTGGTGGTACGATGCCTTCATCTCCAAGACGCTATTCCCTTGGTTATGGGACTTGGACGTTAAATTGATCCAGAAAAGGCGCCAAGAAGGCAATTGGGACTGGAAGGCTCTCGGACGTCAGCTCTCTCGAGTTGAGATTCATACACCCAGCGATGAAACTTTGAACCTTCCACTTGGGTTGCGAAATCGCCGAAGGATTTGGAGACTTCTTGAAGATGCCAGGGTCGATGATATCGCAAGTGATGGGAGGCGATACGAATGAAAGATCGTCGTCCAATACTATGGGAATTTGACATTATGCGTGCTCCGTTGTCAAAAAATCACACCTCTTCAATTGAGTCACTTACAATAATCACCCAATGGTAGAGTAAGAATTCTAGGTTGAAGGATTGGACTGTGTAACCAACCAATTGACAGATCCTCATTCTTCTACCTAGGTATGTAAGATTGAAATGATACACTTTTGGGTCTCCCTATTTATAGAGTATTCAGTTTCAATGGTTACCTAGTTACATACACGGTAAGTAGGATGCATATATCCTCTCTTCAATTAGAAGCCCCTTAATTATGTGACGAACCTATGCCTCAGAGAGGTATAGTCGTTGCTGGATTGGCTAATCCGGGGTTTTCTTGATTTGAAGGTAACAGTATCAATAGTAGGTTAAGTGGTTAAGTATGTTCTGTTCGTCAGAGAGGCTTGGAGTCCTCTCACTATACTCGAAAGAATAGTCTTAGATTGATAACTAAAGAGCTATGGAAAGAGTGACTAGATACATAGGAAATATCCGTGGTTATATAGTTGCTCCTTCCTTCCCTCCCACCCTGAGGTTTGTTGCGATGTGCTGCGATGTGTTGCGATGTGTTGCGATGTGTTGCGATGTGTTGCGATGTGTTGCGATGTGCTGTGATGTGTTGTGATGTGTTATATCTTAGCATATCAATCCGGAGTTTAACCGTGATAGGTTGCCTATGCTCCATCCCTCGTGATCCGACAAGGATCCCTCATGGGTGGTTTGTAACATTATACCCCTCCCCTCTAAATCTTTACCCTCAAAGATAAAAAAAAGGTATGCATCTTCTTCCTCCTTCATTTCTATGCTCATCGCACAGAAACCATGTCTGGGAAGGTGTAAAAGTTAAGTGTTCGTTTTAATCAACGGTAGGAATGCTATACTCGTGCCGACTATATTGAAATTCATGGTTGACCTGTCCTTCCTTGTTCCAACTGTGACGTTTCTGAAGAAGATTGTTTTTTGTCTATTGGTTTTGGAGTCTGTAACTACTGTATTTGTTGGAATTGAAAATGTTGTGACGTCCTGGAGATGAATGTTCTTGACTGTGTTTCCTGGGCCCGTACTTGTCTAGAGCAGGAACGTAAGGATGTAGAGGACGAACTGGTCTGTCTATAAGAAAAGATGGCAGAGAAGATCAGCAAGTTGTAGCGACTTTGTTGCCAGGAGGACTTGTTAAAAAGGCGTGGTCTAGAGTTGTTAAAACTTGGTGAGGAGTAGGATACCGAGGAAGAACAGGCCCGCCTGGCAGAGGAACGGGCTCGCATTGTCGAGGAACAGGTCCGAGTCGAACGGGGACACGGCATTCCTACCTCTGAGGCTTCTTCCTTGGCCTTCCCCTCCTCCTTGTTTGGGGTAAATTTTGATCTTGGCCCGATGTCACCGTCGACTGCGGCTGCATGGGTCTTGGTTGGTTAGGGTTCTGGTGGTGAAAACCCTTAATCAATTTCTGGACCTCATTACTTATAAGATGTTTCCGTGGTTCCTAGGTATTATTCTCTTCCGAATAGTCAAGCCACTTGATAAAGTACTTGATTTGATCATTAGTAATCCTAGAATCATGAATGGCTTCGATGTCATATTCTTCTGGGTCCTCCTCCAGTTCGATATTTCCTTTAAGTTCGGTGTCCCCAGGTGCTGGTTCAAGCATAGCGATATGAAACACATTGATTCTTAATTTCATACTTGTTAGTAATTATAATCAATAATTTATTCTTGAAAGGGCTTCCTTAATTAAGAAGGATCCCAGTTTTTTAAAATCCAATTTTTTGCTTGGTCTCTTGGTTTAAATTTGAGGTGTTTTTAATGTAGAGTGTTGCTTGTCTCGTAAGAGATAAACCTTATTTCTCTTACATAGAATTGGTCCTTTAATTTTCTTTTTGTTGTAGTATGTTGTCATTCTGTGTTGTAGAAATTTGAGGTGTTGTTTGAGCTTAGCTTGCAGTGTCAGGATTCTGACAGCAAACGTTTCTGTTCTAGGTGGTATTGTTTCCAATTTTGGGGTAGCCTTGTTTGTTAATGGTTTCTGTTCTACATTTGCTTGTCGTCCATATAGTACTTCTTGTGGTGACATCCCGGTAGTATCGCTGACCGAAATATTGTATGAGGACATAGCAAGTGGTAAGAGTTCCACCCAGTTGTCCTGTTCATAGTCAACGTAGCTCCGTAGGTATTGTTCCAGTGTCTAATTTAGTCGCTCCGTTTGGCCATCAGTCTGAGGGTGAGCCGTCGTAGAAAGCTTCTGTTTGACCCCCAGTCTCTTCATTAGGCCAACCCAAAATTTCGAGGTAAAGAGCTTGTCTCTATCTGAAATAATCCTCCTTGGTAGCCCGTGTCTGCTAAAGACCTTTTCGACAAATTTGAAAGCCAAATCTTCGGTTGTATAGGTTTCCTTAAATGGCACAAAGTACCCGTATTTCGTAAGTTTATTGGTGATAATCCATATGTCATCATATTCCTCCTTGGTTACCGGATGTTGTGATTTGGGTAGCTTGGTGATAAAGTCCCATGTAACAGTATCCTATGGTCTGTCTGGAACGTTAATGGGTTGTAGAAGCCTATATGGTTTATGTTTGGCTCCTTTAACCTTGTTGTAGATGTTACAGTTCGAGATGACCTTCTTGACTATTCCCCTGATTCCCGGGAAGTCATATACTTCCTGTAGTCGTGCAACTGTCTTAAAGATTCCCAAGTGTCCATGTAGAGGATGTTCGTGTACCTCTCGTACGAATTCTTCCTGTAGTGTTGGTGGTATGTAGGTTTTCCCATTGTATGATATCATATCCTTAATGGTGAAATCCTGTATCGGTAGAGTATCCTTGATTCGTAGGGCTTCTTTCTTGATCCTTTGTTCCCATTTATGTTGTGGTTTGGTCAGATATATCGCCGACAATATTAGGGTGCTGTCGGATGTTTCCTGGAATATTGTCTTTTCTTCTCTGACCTCTTTGGTACTGAGATCTTCTGGTCTACTGAGAGTGTCCGCCTGAATATTCTCTTTTCCCTTAATATGGTGAATCTTGAAGTTAAAATGTGTAAGATCATCTACCCATCGTGATTGTCTATTATTAAGAACCTTAGTAGTCATGAGAGACTTGAGATTGCGGTGATCTGAATAGATTTCCAAGGGTTTAGCAGTTCTTGATACCTATGGTCTCCATTCCTTCAGTGCTTGGTGAATAGTTATTAATTCTTGGTTATATGTTTTATATCTCACTTCTGGTCCCTTAAAGGTTTTGGAAAAATAGGCAATTGGGTGCTATTTTCTATCATTTTCCAGTTGTTCTAATGTTGCTCCCATTGTTCCATTTGAGGCATCGATATATAATCATTTCCTCTTATTTAGGCTGGGTAGCCTTATTACTGGATCCTTTGTTACAATCTTCTTCATTTCTTGGAATGCTTTTTCTGCTTCTTGTGTCCATTTAAAATCCTTTGGATTTTTGACACGTATTGTAGCCATTATTGGTTCCATGATTTTCCCGAAGTCCTTAATTAGGGCTCTGCTATAGTTACAGAAACCGTGGAAGGCTCGTACTCCCGTAATGGTTTCTAAGATCAGCCATTCCCTTATTATGGATATTTTGGATTTCTGGATTTTGATTTTTCCTGGAGAGATTGTATATCCAAGGTAGTTAAGTTTTTAGACGAAGAAGTTACTCTTGTCTAGATCTACAAGAAACTTAGCTTCTCCTAAGGCCTTGAATACCTCGTGTACATCCTTCTCATATTGTTTTCTGGTTCTTAAATGGATCAGAATGTCATCTAAGTATACGAAAATGCTCTTTCCAAGGAATTGTCGTAGAACATCCTGGATCATTCGTTAAAAGGTAACTGGCACATTTGTAAGTCCAAATAGCATCACCAGACATTCGAAATGACCATACAATGTTCTAATAGCTATCTTCCACTCATCTCCTTCAACAATTCATATAAGATTGAAAACGAACTTCAGATCCAATGATATGAACCATTCGTCATCACCTATTTCTTCTTTTAGGCTCTCAATATGTAGTAAAGGATGCCCATCTTTAACCATGATCTCATTCAGTTGTCGGTAGTCATAGACATCCCTCCATACTACTTCTCCTTCCTTGTTTAGCTTAGATATCCCATCCTTGTTCTTCTTGGATACTAAAAAGACTAGGTATCCTACTGATGATTTTGATTTTCATATAAACCCTCTTGCCTCCTTATCTTAGAATATAACACGTAGGACTTCGGATTCATTCTAGCTTAATCTATAAACTTGATATAGTTTTGGATATTCCCCTTCCTTTAATATTATTTTGTGGTCATATCGACTATGTTCCGATACGCCTGTATCCGTATCTGGATTATCCTGGAATAACTTTGGAAACATTTTTACATATTTTTCTTTGATTTTAATTTGTTTTTAATCATTTAATTCTTTAATATCCATATGTCGTATCATAAGGCATAGAGATACAGAATATTCCTTCATGAGATTACCTATTTGCACTTGCTGTAATTGCTATTTCAATTCACTTAAGTCGGCCTCTTTCCGATGCTCAGGGACTGAATCTTTTTCTGGCTCATCCCAATAAAGTCAATCCTATACCCAGTCGATTCTTGGGTTACTAGCTCTAAGCCACATCTTCCCCAAAACTAATTCGTAATTTGTGTCAACAAGATCGAAAAATACCAACTCCTGATATCCTTAGATCAAGACAGAAAGAACTGCAATTTCTCTCTTGACTTTTCCTCCATCGTAGGCAATGAGGCTTCCGTCGATGTTGCTGACTTGGTAAGGCATCTTCTTTTTTTTGATACAATATTCCATATATGTTAACCAATCTTAGATAGATCAAATTAACTACACATCCTAAGTCAATCAAGGCATTAAATTCATATTCTTTCCATATCATCTTTACAATTAAGTGAGGTCCCTTGGCTATTCCTACTGAACATGCTGGCTTAACCTCGTTTAATGTCATCTATAAGATCTTCAGCAGTTTTTCCACCATATCCTGTTATTTATTAATCATATCGATCATTCCTCATAACAGATTTACTAGTTATTCGATTCTTCCTTGGAAAGCCACAATCTTGCTTTCTAAATGTTATATTTCCCTTTGAGACTGGTCGATCATCTCCCTATATCGTAATAATATCTATTCATAATATCCACCCAGGACAGCATTTAGATACTAGGCCACTTACTTCAAATATCCGCAAACAGGTTTAATTAAGATAATTTTGCCTTATTTTTCCTTATAAAATACTACATAGGAGACCCTATACATATTCCTATAACATCATCGCACAAATTCCCAATCCCATCCATTTCTAATTACCCCCTTATAATCCAAATCTTCAAATATTTTCAAGGTAAATAGTTCCAATATTCCTTATCCTTTGAATATTCTTCTAACAATATTTCTACAGGCTCTCCCGCAATTCCATCTCCTGCATTTTCGGATCCATACTTCGTCACTTTTAGACGTATATCTTGGGTCCATTGGGTCACCAAAATTGTAATAATAATAATCCATTCACTCAATTAACCATACATGGTATACCAATTCCGGTTCGGGAGTTCAATTCCATCCTCCCTCATCATTAGAATCCCATCAGTCCCATACCACCTGCTAGTATAGTTACGTTCCATCGAAATATATCAAAACAACACTTTCATCTGGTAGTAGTATAACAGAGATGTTTTGATTGTCAACCTATACTGAAAACATCACTTCTCCTTCTACTTCTCCTTCCATATTCCAGTCCACGTCCCACAATAACCTTTATTCATTCAAAAAAAAGCTAAATTCCTCCAAAAAGACACTCATTTCTTCCTCCTCAGAGTCCCTTATGCCTATCACACCAAGATTCCATAACTGATTCATTCAATCCACGAAACTCTCCATTTCTATTTGTTGGGTGGCTTCGTTATAATCCGGTAGTGGGTTTTCCTGTTCTTCTTCTTCTTCGAAAATGTCGAATATTCTTAAGGTTAAGGATCCTAATGTTGTCGTTATTGCATTAACTGATCTTCTTTTTGGGACTCGTGACTATTTCTTGGGTTTCTTGTATTGGCTTTTGTAGTGTCCCATTTCCTGGCAATTATAGTACTTGACCTTGCTTAAGTCCTTCTTGGATTTCTTATCGTTATTGATTGTGTTTAGGTTCTGAGTCTTGGTAGGTTCCCTTTTTCCTTGATTTTTTGTTACTTTGGAGCCTCTCTTTTTTTTATTATATCTTTTATATGACCTATTATTGTAAAGAATTACCCTGATCATATATTCATCGATGGTGGCAGGTTGTTCTTCTTTAGAGAATTTATCTTTTACCCAGGTAGCCACTCCCTTATAGAGGTAGTCGAATTGTGCATCTTCGGGTAATTGCCCTATAGCTGTAAGTTGCTTGAATTCTGTCATGTAGAGTGTAGCTCGCCCTTTCTGTCTGAGGTGACGGATGGCCTTCCATGCTTCCTCCTTCTTAAATGGTTTGCCAAACATCATCCACATTTTGCTTTCAAAATGTTCGTATAGCTCGAAAACATATTGAGACTCCTCTGATTCTTCCTCGGTGATGTTGAAATGATTTTCCAAAATAGGTTAAAACCATGTGAGGGCAGTTCCACTCAAGAACTGAGCAACAACAAACACCTGTTGTTCCTTCTGTGGTAGGTTTTCCCTATAAAAAGATAGATAGAATTTTGCACGTATGAACCAGTCCTTAACATCCGAAGTTCCATCGTAGGTTAGCGGGTCCGCTGATTTGTATCCCTTAACGAGTGGGAAAGGGGTTACTGTTCTTTCCCTTCTTGGTTGGGGATCTCTGCCTTCCTTTTTTTTCTTATCCTTTCCATTGTTGTTATTGTTATTGTCTGGAAGTCTAGGGAGTGCCGGTTGCTGAGAGGTTCCCGATGGGGATCCTTCAGGGGCCTTTCCTAGTCTGGCCTTCTTCAAGGTCAACTCTTTTTTAAGCCTTTTAATCTCCTTAAGGGCAGCCACTACTCTGGCTTGCCAGTCAGGGGCCTCTTCTTCTTCTTGGTTATCTCCTCTTGTTCTGACATTGATTTCCTCCTGCATTTCCGACTCTGGGACTTGCGAGTGTGTCTTAGGAGGTACTATTCTGTCAATGAGTTGGAGTATCTCCTCTATTGGTGGCAGGTCCTGAGTGATCTAAGTCCTTACTCTGGAGTTCCTCTTTATCTGACTTTTCTTTATTTTCTAGGTTAGGGTTTACCAGTTTGTTCTATGTCTAATCGTAATATCCCTTGAAAGGTAATTCTTGGAAGATGTGGAGGTTTTCTGTTCTATCTTTGAAGGTTAGTGAAACAAGAGAAGGTTTGATTGATGGTGGTAAAGGGATGTCTTGTGGATGGTTTATGCCACTTCTTGATCTAGTATTGATATTGATCAAGGAGTTATTAAAATGTGACGAACCTATGTCTCAGAGAGGTATAGTTGTTGCTGGATTGGCTAATCCAGGGTTTTCTTGATTTGAAGGTAACAGTATTAATAGTAGGTTAAGTGGTTAAGTATATTCTGTTCGTCAGAGAGGCTTGGAGTCCTCTTATTATATTCGAAAGAATAGTTTTAGATTGATAATTAAAGAGTTATGGAAAGAGTGATTAGATATATAGGAAATATCTGTGGTTATATAGTTGTTCCTTCCTTTCCTTCCACTTTGAGGTTTGTTGCGATGTGCTGCGATGTGTTGCGATGTGTTGCAATATATTACAATGTATTGCAATGTGTTGCAATATGCTGCGATGTGTTGTGATGTGTTATATCTTAGCATATCAATCTGGAGTTTAACTGTGATAGGTTGCCTATGCTCCATCCCTCGTGATCCGACAAGGGTCCCTTATGGATGGTTTGTAATAAATTATTCGGCATTGTTACAAAAATTCTAAGCTTACTGACTCTAGTTATATAAAATTTATAAGCTTCATGCTGACGACTTCAGCATGCCAGATGCTGACATTTGACTTTGACAATATTGGTATATTGTTCGAGGCTTCTAATTATAACGTCGGCTTTTCCAAGTATGAGGTAAGTAAGGTCCATATTTGAGCCTCTATAATAAACCAAGCGAACTCTCCAGCGTGGTGAGTGAATTTAATTCTCCTTGTAGGTATCAACGTAATTCATTAACCATGCAGCAGTCATTCAGTTCTGTGTTGTGGTTTCTTTCCATAGCCCCTTTTATCTACTCAACCTCATCTTCATCAACGAAGTCAATACCAAGTACGTTTCACTCAATCCAAGAGAGGTATTAGTGTCTAATATTTGAGGTCAATAGGCGCACAGGATGATGAAATAGTTACTTCAGTTATCACTGGATCCGATGGGCCTCTTACTGAGAAAGAAACCTTTGTTCCAACGACATATTCGAAATTCGTCAACATCTCATCCACAATCGTCATAAATACTATATTTACTATTGTAGATAGTAGTTCCACCAAACTTTCAAACTACAGCTACAAAGTTGGACCTGGGGGAATTGGCTGGAATATTCCTACTCCTAGTAGCGGTGCGCCGATCCTGCTACCTCCGCCTACGTTCCTTCCTGGACATGGACCTACGTCTCGGTCAAGTTCCGAAGAGGTCCATTCAACTCAATCTTCGGCTGCAACCTTTTCGGAAATCAAATCGACCGCGAGCAGGGCCTCGAATCCTGCCTCTAGCAGCTCCGTGTCCAACTCAACTATTGTTGGTACACTAAGTACTTCTAGTAGTCTATCTACTAGGCAGACCTCACAGTCTACACACACGATATCAAATAGAATTAGTACTTCGACTAGTACCGTATCATTCGGTGGGATTGGCCCTACTACAAGCAGCACTCGAACTGAGTCTAGTGGAATCACTGTGAGCAGCGCCGGTACGTCCATTTCAACTGGCAGGTCTAGTGGGTCTAAAAGTTCGAGTGGAATCGAGACTTCGGAGGGAAGCAAGCCTCCCTCGACCACAACCTCAAGCACAGTCACCTCAACTGCTACTATACCTCCGACCGGCTTCTCAGCTATTACTCTTTCCGGAACTTCATTTCCTTCCAATACTTGGCTCACAACAACAGACAAAGACCATCACACGACAATCCTCCCTGTGATCGTGACGGGAGGTGGTATTGGTATTGCGATGTGGAATCTTCCTCCCACCCCGGACGTTCAATTTAGCTTTCCAAAGCTTCCCAAGTTCCATCTCCCATGTATAAAAATTTTCGGAGTATCAATTGGTAGTTGCACATCGAATCCAGCCTCCGACGGCCCACCCAGCAATGATGACCCAACTGATAGTCCAACCAAAACCAGAACAACTCTTTCGACATCTTCCAAGCCGTCCTCGAGCATAAGCACAAGCACAAGCACAAAATCAAGTTCAAGTTCAAGTTCAAGCTCAACTTCCGAGTGCACCGTGTCGAAGACCGTCTCAAACTGTGCGGTACAATGTGCCACAACTACCACAAGCAACTCCTGCATATCATTCACGACTGAATGCTCTCAGACGCGTACGGGCTGTTCTATCACAGGCACGACTTCAACAATAACTAGTTCTGCTAGTGCTTGTACAACTTGTTCAAGCTGTTTGGGTCGACAGGAACCCGGGAATGGTGTACCTCCATATCAAACACCCGGTCCCAACCTAGATGACGAGGAAGATTCTAGAAAACGTGGCATTGCTGGTCGTGCTCGGGCTCCCGCATTCGAGAAACGAGGACCTAGTTCCCTCATCGTGAAAATTTCAACATGCAACCTCAAGACGGGATCTGCAAAAAAATTGACCCGACCACCATGGCCAGCAGTTACTGCTACAATGCTAAATCCAGACAAGGCAGGTAAAATGGCCGCAAAATATTCGACGATATCTAGGTACGACCTAGCTACGACTATCGGCGCTTGTGGAGTGCCAACTACGACGAGAGTAAACGCGCTGGCGTTCGCAGCGGCACCAACGTACACAGACTACGCTGGTAAGGAGCGACCGAACAACAACGATGCTAGTCTTGATCATGCCTGTAAGTACTCAAACGTATTTCTTCTGCCAGGTGGAAAGTCTAATTCTAGGTACAGATGAGAAGTCTTGGATTAAGGATTTCTTTACGCAGATTGTTGCTGAAGCGAGTGGAAATGGTAAACTTTCCTGCGCTGATCTCAACCAATTCTTCTTTCCCACAGTGAATAAATGCCAACATAACCTCATGCAACCAATCTGGAATAGTATCGCAAGCGAGAAGAATTTGGATTTCATTGTTATGTCTCAGTATCTTAATGGTGACGGAAAAGGCAAATTTTTCGTGGATCCTACGAAAACACTTCCGAACACCTTCTTTGGAGATCCTAATTTTGCGATTCAGAATAATGCGGGTTGGAAATGGGCGAATGATAAAGAAGGCAACCAAATGTCCGCAGAGGATACATTGAGGACTATGATTATTTATTTCGAGACCGTCCTCCTCGGTGTACTCGAGATGAAGAGCGACTCTATGTTGCCACTCATGGATAAGACAAATAATCGGGTTTACGACGCGCTGTATGTGCCATTTGGATACGAACATGTAAAAAGGCTAATGAATGTTGCTTAGGTTAAAACTCGATAATCGGATCGCGACCGACAACAAGATGTTTCCGAATAAAGCAGTCTGGCAGACAGCTTTTGGAACTGATGGCATCGCTGGGGCGTACAAAGACTACATGATAAGGGTCGTCTTGCCGCAGATCAATGTTCCACCCACGTACCTGACTAACCTATGGCAAAACACAATTAAAACGGGTATCGCAGCTTCAGAAAACCTTCCAGATGTTAAGACAGATTCAAAGACCGGCGAAAGTCCGGGCCCTTCGTATCCGGAATGGCAGAAGTTTTCGAATTTCGCACAGGCGGTGGATGCTCAATACAAAAAGTCGGGGAATTATGCCTGGGAGTACACATTCGCATTCCAGTGGGATCGAAATAATAAGCGACAGGAGGGAGACGACCAGTCAGACGATGAAGACCTTAGTTGTCCTTTCTCGTCGACAAGTGGAGTCTCCACGACTTCCGATACTCATATTTCACCCTCGACATCTAATACTTCATTGAAGTCCTCTTCTAACGCCCCACCAACGATTACCAGCACTAGTAGTATTGCTAGCACGTTGTTTGGCTCGCCAACTATGATTCGTTCAAACACTAAACCAACTCCGAGCCCAACTAGGTTATCTGCTACTGCTGGTTCTAGTGTGCTCGCCGGTTCCGGTTCCGTTTCCGATTCCAGCACTCCGGAGCCGTCTCGTACTGATGCGCCAGGGAAAAAATTGGTTGCCTTTATCAGGTATTAATCAGATGTTTTTCAGCGAGATGCCATTGTAATTAATGCCGTGTTAATGGGAAATGGTATTTCATATTGGAGTGGGAGATAGATACCTAGGTAGGTAGCAGGGTAAATGGAAAACTTCTGACTCCCCTAATATCCATACTAATCGAGAACAACTCGCTGTTAGACGCCTTATGCCCGTAGTCTTCGAGTACCTACCCAGGTACTTATGATACTGATGCTGATCTACCACTAGTAGCCGAGACTGCCTTAGATAAAAGCCACTGGTATATCTTCTCCTCTATCATACCATTTTCCCTATGTATACCCAGTTGGCGTTCACTGACTGGGGGATTGTGACATTCACCCGGTGAGACTAGCGTGTCAATCCTTTGCTTATTATGCCTCTATATGCTTGTCAGCTCCGAAAAGTACGATCACTTCGAACACAGACCTTTAGTTTCTCAGCAAACTGTCGGATCTCATCTACAAGGACTTCGGATTCTCCCGCGAGAATGAGAACTCTTTCTGCCTGGACATTTTGCCACCAATCTGCAGATGCATCCAAGGGAGAATTATAATTATCTCTTTCGTTATGTTTCGCCAATGCTTTAGCCCAAATATTCAGTCCAGTATCACTTAAATTGTCCCTGTGTCGATTGGTCTCAAACGATTGGAAGTTGAAATCGAGTGATACCCATGGAGAAAGCAAGATGACCCCTCTTAAATTCACTCCGTTGTTATTGAGTGCAGGGATCGCCGGGTGAGGATGAGACAAATGTGATGGTAGTGCTATTGCAAGAGTGCCTCCAGCGGAATCACCGCCGATTAGTAACTTCGTAAACTGTCAGCAGGAACAGATAGTTGTAATGAAACTCCGCTGGGCATTTACCTCTTGATAAGGTTTACCGATGTCGTCGGTGAGATATCTGATTGCGGTGACTGTTTGTTCTATTTGTCGTGGATATTGTGCTCGTGGAGCGACGTCTAAACCATTTTTCGTTCTAATTTCGCGATTTAGATACTACAGGTGACAGACCATACTGTAAGAGAAAAATAGCCATCTTGAGGCCGTGCCGAGAAGCTCGAGAAACTAGCTGGAAGAGAAATTCAACATGTGCTTTGCTTGCCATAAACGCAAATCCCCCTCCGTGTAACCATACTAGAGTAGTATCTGCATTCTTATCGCCGATCCAGCAGCCTAAGGAGCCATCTGGTAGGGTGGCGATGTCTGGTTTCAAACCTTGGCCTTTCGCAAAAGCCTCGTAAGCTTCTGTTGTAGATGGATTAATTGCCCTACATTACATTAGTGAATGATAAATCTCGTAGCGTAGCCGATGACCATTGACTGAAACTGTCGTAGTGACATCTTTTCAACAACCGTTCTCATCCCATCATAAAGCACATATCTTCCCAAGATTATGTCGTCACCGCGCTTTCGAAAAGGCGCCTTGATACGGGCTACGGCTATCACCAATACTGTCCCCATGTCAGATGGTGTGGAGGAATTCCATAGAATAACCTACTAATTTGGCTGATAGCGAATGGTAGCATCGCATACTCCCACAGAGTCAGCGAAGGTTTAGGATCCATTGCTGTCTATTTATTATGCATAAACGACTTCAGATTATGATGACACCGAGAAACAAGATGGAGGATGGGTAGGTTTTGCTGAACAATATTAAATGGGAAGACTGAATGTTGGTGAACGATTACAATACCGGATCTTACCTAGGTACTTAGAAGTAAGGGAGAAAACCCAGCGAGCCTTAAAGGTAAGCCTTTCTCCTCTTTACCCTCCCCGTCTTCCTGAAAATTAAGCAGGATCAACTCTCTTTCTTATTTAACCCTTTTCAATGCCGAACCAATTATTACCTAGGCATGTTTCGTTGATATTTGGTACCATTCGGACAGTACCATTTCCAATATTGTTTCCTTACAGATTAGTTACCTACCTAAGGTACCTAGGTAGATATGTTGATGGGAAAATTATTTTGGTAGGGTAACTGCTAAGGGTGCTCGCAAACACCATGTTTTCGATGAAGGTCATGTTAGAAATACCAACCAATGAAGAGTAGGATAATCTAGCCTGGTTAATCGTTCGCGGGTACAATGCCTGGTATCTCGCTGCCTAGTTACATTCCTTTCGAGTGATACATATTGTCTACACTCGAGTCTTAGATATGCGTAGCTCATACACTATCTTCGAACATGTCACACCGCATGCTAGCTACCTAGGTACACTTATAAGATATTAGGTAGGCACCTACAACTACCTAGGTATGCGCCCGTCACTTATGCATTATCGGGAGGATCTACGGCATATTCTATCGACGAATAATTGAGGCAAGCTTAGAATCACTGTGCGTAATTGGGGCTGGAGTACAGTATTATCCATGATGTTACACGGCGTTTTGTTCCGTGTCACCTACGAAGTCGCCGGTGTCTGTTGGTCAACGACCCCCAACTGTGCTGATTGGGAAAAAGGACCGTGAGAATATGCAATGCATTAATGTTACATCATCTTACTTATTAAACGCACTTTACATAAGGATCAACCCTACCTAGGTAATATCGTGGATACCCGTTGGTTTCCACTCCTTTGTCGTGCATACGAAAGGGTGTGATGCAGTTTGAGGCCAAGTTCTTCTGGCCTAGTAATCTTCGCGCGTTTTCCGATGGATATACTGGTCGCGGGTGACTGTACTCTGGAAGAGGAATTTCAATAAACGACCGAGTGACTCTCTATAGCTGTGAGGAGATACGCATCGACTCTACTATTCGTTTGGGGTCTTCAGAACGACTAGCTAAAGTATTCGGTATCATATAGGGCTTGGTCACTCTATCAACAACGCGAAACAGGAAATCTCCCGCGTTGAATCATGGAGCTGCTACACTATTTCTCAAATTTCAGCCAGAATGGGCTCTCCCAATCGCTATACTGGGTCTTTCCGCTTGCTGTCATCGCTTATTGTAGTGCTGGGTACATCACGACAAGCCTTTTGCAACCAGAGGGCACTGCGTACCCAGTTGTAGCAAGCTATGGAAGATTCGTGCCAAGGTTTATCCACAACTTGGTTTATCTACTAAGAGCCACACAGAACTCGGAGTATGGCTACACAAAGGCAGGTAGACATAAGATCATCTCATCGCGCTAAGGAAAAGCGCGGTACCGACTCCGACGCGTTCTAGTTCAGGGGCAAAGCTTTCCAATTACTTCGGAATGAGGGAACGGTTCTTCTTCTCCCTCTGTCGCTTCTTGAAGAGCTATCGAAACTTCCTGAGGACGTCGCCAGCCCGACATTGGCCCTAGAGCGTGATCTGGTGGGTGACTTTACAGGGCTGAACTTAATCGTCGAAAACAGACTTCATCACACCATCGTGTAGCGTAGACTAACGCCACGCCTGCCTTTACTGATTAACCGACTCGAGAAAGCGGCCACTTCTGGATTCACAGAGTGGTTCCCGACTGATGATGAATGGACAACATTTCATCCTTACTATATACAATAGGCCGCATCGCCGCTAGACTTGCAGGAGAGGTTATTGTAGGCCCCAGCTTTTGCACTAACCAAGTCTGGCTGGACATCTCTTTCAAGTACACCGAGAATTGTAAATCCCGTTACAAGTATTTAGCGAAGCTAGGCTAATTAGTTTTCCAGTATTCGTAACTATTGCCATCCTGCGCTTATTCCCACAGTGGATGCACCCTATCATTTGTCTATTGCTTCCCTCATACTGGAAGGGGCGAGATTGCCTTAATTCATCGAACAAGCTTCTAGGACCACGAATAGAGTAACTCATTAGCCTTAATGACGTGGGTGACTGGGAACCAAACGAAGACAACCTCGATGACATAAATATCTTGCACTGGCTCTGTGGTGTGGCGAAAGGAAATGACCGCAGACCCAATACCATCTCCCACGTACTGGTGCTGGTTGCGCTGGCATCCGTACACACTACACTGTTTAGAATGGTCAATGTACTATACGATGTCACTGCGGCGGGACAAGGACTCCGCGAGGAGATAATTGCAGAGATTGCGTCAACAGCGGCAGAGAAATGGACCGGCGTACCTTACGATAAGCTATATCGTTTGGACAGTGTGATGCGTGAATCGCAACGGCTATCCCCACCTACAACATTAGGAATGAAACGGTTTTTTAAGAAATCATACACATTTAGGGATGGCACTTTCATCCCTGCTGGCACGTATGCCTGTATGCCCACCTACGCTATTGAGACCGATGCCAAATATACGCCTAATCCTGACCGATTCGACGGCCTACGACACTTTCGTATATTAGATCAGCGACAACAGGCCGGCGACCCAGATGCAGCCAAAGAGCTACTCTTCTCAACGCCGGCGAAAACCAACCTAAGTTTCGGGTTTGGAAAAGCCGCCTGCCCCAGACGCCTTTTTGCGAGTTGCGTTGTTAAGATAGTACTTGTGAAACTCCTAACTGACTACGAGTTTAGCTTTTTGCCCGGGACGGAGCGGCCGAGGGACTTCAAGGTTTATGAATTTCTATTTGTTGCGCCTAGGCAAACGATGTTAGTTAGACGAAAGAAAGAGGGAACTTGTCCGTTCTAGGTTGTGTAGCTAGGTGGTATTGTTCGCCGGGTAGAAATGTTCTATCATAATTCGTGAAGAAGATCCAGTGTTCCCTTAACTTGCCTCGACCTAGTTCATACAATGTGCAGACCCTTGCGATTGAGGGCCCGACTTTTGCCCTTGATCTCCAAGTAGCCCGCAAACTTTAGATCATAATCTGCTCGGGTACGTACCTAGGGTTGTCACACGAGATTGGTGCCAAGGCCGTGTTGGTTACACTAATCAACAAGCCGATGGTTAGAATATATATAGTGATGCTTACTGGACGACCATGAGACAATACAATATGCAGGATCACCAACATGTGATGGTACGGGCTAAAATATATGTACACAATACTATGTGTGAATGGGTCGGAGAAATATCCTCCCAGAAGAAAGAGGAAGATCAAAATCCTTAGGACCTTAGAGACTAGGAAGTATTAGTTAGAATTGAATACAAGCTCTCGCCACATAGGTCTCTTTATAGTCTCGTGTTACACTACATTGCGGTGCGGTCGCCGGTGTTGTGCATAACCGTGACGGGATACCTACCTAGATAGGCTCTCCCGGCCGCGTAGCATACCCCCACTTATATCTGTGTCACCATACGCTATCGGAAGTTATGGGCCGATCCGAGGGATTGTCCTTCGCGGCCTCGTTATGGGGGTTTGGTAATACGTCTGGGAGTAATGACCCTCTTGAGTACCTAGGACGTACTCACCCAGGTGTCTAGGTACATCATGTGAGTGGTCCTAGGCGCCGCGTAATTCCTAGGTAGGTAGGTAGATTGAATTGACTAGGCTGTCCTTGATTGGCGACTTAATTAATTTCTGGGTGCTGAGCTTTGTTGTGGTTGCTCGTCATAATAACTTGATGTTGTTCCGAGGGGAAGAAGAATCCTCCAGAATCTTTCATCCTTGCCCTTGATTACCCCTCGCGTAGCAGTCATACAGAAATATTGCCTAACCTGCCGCCCTTTTGTGTTACACACCAGCATAATATGTCTTAGCCATATTGCACATTAAATCCGTTGGCCTAACATAGTTTCAAGTATATTAAATTCCGCTTTTCTGTAGTGGTGGCCAGCTCCTCAGCTAACATAGGGCATTCGAATCTGGGCTATGGTGTTCCGTTTAGATTTCAAATGCAGCATAATTAACTCTAGGGAAGGCTAAGAACTTAATTAATTAAATGGTACCGAAGGTGCTGCTAAATGTTCGCAGTCATACGCTCAGATAATAGTGGAAAATTCCAAATTTATCAGGGAGAATCTAGGAACCGCTAAGTACACTGATAACTGAAAGCGCCCAAAAGCATATCCTCAGAGGAGTGACCAGACAGGTGGTTAGGCAGCCTTTATGATGTAAATAACCGTCTATTTATGGCTCCAGACAGATAAGTTAGTGTAGAAATATTAAAAGAGCGTCGTGTATTGACGCCTTTTTAGGCGTCAAATACCATCATCACTTCCAACATTTCCGTCATGCTGCCGCTATTCGTTACGACCCGCTCCCTTAAGGCTTTCTTCCGGTGACACAAAATTTGGTAGAAGTCAAATAAGCACCCTGTCGAGTCTCCTCTACCGCAAGAGGAAGTAACCTCTTTACTTCCTGGGCCATTTTCTCATTTTTGGTCTTTCTTGCAATGAGCTCATGCATTATCAAGCCGCACTCATGCATTAAGAACCCTAGATGTGGTGGCGAATCATGAATATCTGTCTCCACATCCACAAGACCACCACGTGAGAAAATATCGGGCAGCTCTGGGACCCATGTTGGATTCAAGCGCGGGTCTTGGGACTTCAATAGACTCATTAGCTGATCCAAGTTGTTCGTCTGGACCTCGTCCACATTCTCTGGCTGGCCCCCGGGCTTCGGTCGTTCGGTCCGTACACTCCGATTGTCCGAGTCAACCCACTGCAGATAGCCTCCTGGCTCTATAGTCAAAAGATTTTCGGTTTGCAAAGACGCCTAGTTCGAAAGCGACGGGTACTTGTGGGACGTACTAAGCATTGCAACAAACTTCTCTACGACAACCGGAACCTCCTCCCCCAGTAGAACAAAGATGAAGAAACGGATATGAATGATATCAAAGACCCCAAGAAGGTCTTCGGGAACTGGATCCTTCACATTCCACTTCGTGAGGGTAATATTAGGAGGGAGAACATTGAGGGGAGGCGCCGCCTCTAGTGAGATATCCAACCCATCAAACCGGGCTGATTTGGGAAGCTCGTCGTACGTATCAAGCAGCCAGATTCTTTAGGGGTGGGAGCAGTTAATCTTAAGTGGCATCGGCAGTCTGGGGCTACTCACGCTGTACCTGTACCAATATCGGCAATTCGTAGGTTTTCCTGTTTTGTAGAGATTCTCGGGTGGATCAGGTATCCGAGATCCTTCACCCAGTGCTTGTGCATCAAGTTGAGACTGAAGTTACCAAGGTAACCAGCCAGGTTAGTAACGTCGCGACAGACAATTTGGCAAGGGAGCAAACCGAGAATTGTCGAGAATATCTCGAGTGAAAACATAGTCGTCCTTGGAAGCCATAGCTGTCTGGTGGGATATTTTTCAAGTGTACCAACTTGAGGAAGCGATGCAAAATATTCGTATGCGGAGGGGTCAAATAAGGAGAATTGATGTTGCTTGGTTTTTCGGATGAGGAGGAGGAGGGTTATCGTTACTAGAGCGGAGAAAGACCTACTACCCCTTACATTGTACAATATTAGTCATCAAACAACAATCAATTCACGCACCAATCACAACGCAAAAATTTGGGGTGTTCTTCAGGATACATCATAAATGACATTGAAAAAATATCCTGGCACTGATTTATTTTTTCACAGATGTTTCACTGGTCTCGTCAAGTAAAGGTAAAGATAGGTAAAGAAATTGCCCGGAAATACCTCTGTACCTAGGTACCTAGCGTCTTAAGATTTTGTCAGGCGAACCTAACCATGGGCACCAGCATGCAAAATAATGTATGATCGGATAGAGCGGACTACGTGCGAGGAGTGGCTCTTGTGGGACGTAGCTTTATGCACATAACCTTCCAACCAGCTGTTGTGTACCGACCGAAGACGCAGGCTGCCAGAATAGCCGAAACTTAAGTAAAGCCTCATGGTACGAATATCTAGCATGTTATCTTTCAGCATTCTGTCAACATCCCTATTCATTTGATGCTGGATCCTGCTCCTCACCTCTCTCTTTTTTTTGAAAAAAAAAAAAAAAAAAAAAAAAAAGTTGTCCCTCTGCTTAAGAGAAGATGTAGCACCTGTCTCCTCAGCAGGGTTAGGGTTAGGATTAGGTGACTAAAAAAAGGAAAAAGTTAAAATTATAAATTAAAAATTAAAAAATTTAAAGATTATTTATATGTGACAAACTGTGACGAACCTATGCCTTATAAAGGTATAGTCGCTGCTGGATTGGCTAATCTAAGGTGTCTTAATTTAAAAGTAATAATATTAATAATAAGTCAAGTGGTTAAATACATTCTGTTCATCAAAGAGGCTTGGAGTCTTTTTATTATATCTAAAAGAATAATTTTAAATTAATAATTAAAAAACTATAAAAAAATAATTAAATATATAAGAAATTTTTTTCTTATATATCTTTTATTTAAGTGGTTTCTGTTCTTTAAATAAAGACCTTTATGTCATAACCTAATAACTTATGTGTGACGAACCTATTCCTCAAAGAGGTATAGTTGTTGTTGGATTGTGTCATAAACCACATAGGCCTACAGGGATATAAAACCCCAGAGGAAACCTTTTTCCTTGCCAAAATAAGACAGAAATGCATAACACATAACATAGATAAATATAGATAAAAATATCCAATCTTATCTAATAAATATAACATAGATAAATATAAATAAATATATTTAATCTTATCTAATAAATATAATAAAAAATGAATATAAATAAGGAGATCTAATTTTATTTATAAAGAAGATAATAATAAGGAATATCTATATAATTATTATAATTTTCCTATATATTTAATTATTTTTTTATAATTCTTTAATTATTAATCTAAGATTATTTTTTTAAATATAATAAAAGGATTTTAAATTTCTCTAATAAACAAAATATACTTAATTATTTAACCTATTATTAATATTATTATTTTTAAATTAAGAAAACCTTAGATTAATTAATTTAATAATAACTATACCTTTTTAAGATATAGGTTTATTATATTTTAATAATTCTTTAATTAATATTAATATTAGATTAAGAAATGATATGAACCATTTATAGAATATCTTTTTATTATTATCAATTAAATCTTCTTTTATTTTATTAATTTTTAAAAATAAAATAGAAAATGTTTATATCTTCTAAAAATTATCTTTTAAAGGATATTATAATTAAATATAGGATAAATTAATAGACTTTAATCTAGAAAATAAAGAAAAATTAGATAAAAAGAAATTCCAAAATGAAAATTTAGGAGATTTATAATAACCTAATCTATTATTATCCAAAATATCTATATTTATTTATACCATTTAAAATCTGTTATTAATAAAAGAAATATTCCAATTTATTAATAAAATGATATTTCTTAAGATATATTTATAAATCCCAGAATTGGAAATATAAGAAAAAATCAATATTAGAATAAAAGGAGATGACCAGAAAGAAAAAGAGATCCCTAATTAATAAGCCAAAATAATAATTATTTTTAAAGAAATTAAAAGATTTAAAAAAAAATTGGCCTTAAAGAAGACTAGATTAAGAAAAGTCTCTAAAGGATTTTTATTAGGAATTTCTTAATAACTAATACCCCCTAGACCTCCAGATAATAATAATAATAACAATAGAAAAGATAAAAAGGAAAAAGAAGATAAAAATCCTTAATTAAAAAAAGAAAGAAGAGTAATCCTTTTTTTACTTATTAAGAAATATAAATTAATAGATTTATTAATTTATAATGGAATTTTGGATATTAAGGACTAGTTTACACATATAAAACTTTATCTATTTTTTTATAAGGAAAACCTATTATAAAAAGAATAATAGATATTTATTATTATTTAATTCTTAAATAAAACTATCTTTACATGGTTCCAATTTATTTTAGAAAATTATTTCAATATTATTAAAAAAGAATTAAAAAAATTTTAATATATTTTTAAATTATATGAACATTTTAAAAACAAAATATAAATAATATTTGGTAAATTATTTAAAAAAGAGGAAATATGGAAGACCATTTATTACCTTAAATAAAAAAAGTAAATTATATTTTATATGGCAAAATTTAAATAATTTATGACTATAAGACAATTGTCTAAAGATATATAATTTAATTATTTTTATGAAGGAGTAATTACCTGGGTAAAAGATGAACTTTTTAAAAAAGAATAACCTATTATTATTGATAAATATATGATTAAGGTAATTCTTTATAATAATAGGTTATATAAAAAATATAATAAAAAAAAGAAAGGCTTCAAAATAATAAAGAATTAAGGAAAAAAGGAATTAATTAAGACTTAGAGTTTAAATATAATTAATAATAATAAGAAATTTAAGAAGGATTTAAACAAAATTAAGTATTATAATTATTAAAAAATGGGATATTATAAAAACTAATATAAGAGACCTAAGAAATAACTATAAATCCCAAAAGGAAAATTAATTAATATAATAATAACAATATTAGGATCTTTAATTTTAAGAATATTCAATATTATTAAAGAAGAAAAAGAATAAGAAAATCCATTATTAAATTATAATAAAATTATTTAATAAATAAAAATAAAAAATTTTATAGATTAAATAAATTAATTATAGAATTTTGATATAATAGGCATAAGAGATTCTAAAAAGAAAGAAATAAATATTTTTTTGGAAGAATCTAATTCTTCTTTAAAAAAATAAAGATTATTATAGGATATGGATTAAAATATAGAAAAAAAAATGGAAAGAAAAATGATATTTTTAATATAAATTAATAATTAAAATATTTCTATTATATTATTATTAAATAAAAATATTATTCTAATATATTTTAATAAAATATAATTATATTAATAAATAATATAAAATTAATAAGATTTTAATAATAAAAAAAATAAAATCAAATCCCTAAACCAGAATTAATATACTATATATAACTAATTAAACAAATAAATTATTATTATTATAATCTTAATAATCTAATAGATTCAAAATATATATCTAAAAATAACAAAATATAAATCCAAAAATGTAGGAAATAAAATCATAAAAAAGCCTATAGAATTATTACTAAAAGGATATTCAATAAATAAAGAATACTAGAATTATTTACCCTAAATATACTCAAAGATCTAGATTATAAAAGGATAATTAAAAATAGATAAAACCAAGAATTTATATAATAATATTATAAGAACATATATAAGGTCTCCTATACATTATTCTATAAGGAAAAATAAGGCATAATCACCTTAATTAGGCCTATTTACAAATATCTAAAATAAATGATCTAATATCTAAATACTATCCTGAATAGACATTATAAATAGATATTATTATAATATAAAGAAATGATTAATTAGTTTTAAAAAAAAATATAATATTTAAAAAATAAAATTATAACTTTCTAAAAAAGAACCAAATAACTAATAAATTTGTTATAAAGAATAATTAATATAATTAATAAATAATAAAATATAATGGAAAAATTGTTAAAGATCTTATAAATAATATTAAATAAGGTTAAACTAACATATTTAATAAAAATAATTAAAAGACTTTATTTAATTATAAAAATAATATAAAAAAGATACAAATTTAATACCCTAATTAATTCAAGATATATAATCAATTTAATTTATCTAAAATTAATTAATATATATAAAATATTATATTAAAAAAAAAAATATCTTACCAAATTAACAATATTAATGAAAGTCTTATTACCTATAATAAAAAAAAAATCAAAAAAAAACTATAGTTTTCTTTATCTTAATTTAAAGATATCAAAAATTAATATCTTTTGATTTTATTAATATAAATTATGAATTAGTTTTGGGGAAGATATAATTTAAAATTAATAATCTAAGAATTGATTAGATATAAGATTGATTTTATTAGAATAAGTTAAAAAAAGATTTAGCCCCTGAATATCAGAAAAAAGCCAATTTAAATAAATCAAAATAATAATTATAATAAATACAAATAAGTAACCTTATAAAAGAATATTCTATATTTCTATACCTTATAATATAACATATAGATATCAAAGAATCAAATAATCAAAAATAAATTAAAATCAAAGAAAAATATATAAAAATATTTCCAAAATTATTCCAGAATAATTTAAATATAGATATAAACATATTAAAATATAATTAATATAATCATAAAATAATATTAAAAGAAGAGGAATATTTAAAATTATATTAAATTTATAAATTAAGCTAAAATAAATCTAAAATCTTATATATTATATTCCAAAATAAGGAGATAAAAGGGTTTATATAAAAATCAAAATTATTAATAGGATACTTAATCTTCTTAATATTTAAAAAGAATAAAAATAAAATATCTAAACTAAATAAGAAAAGAGAAATAATATGGAGAAATATTTATAACTATTGATAACTAAATGAAATCATAATCAAAAATAAGTATCCTCTATTATATATCAAGAATTTAAAAGAAGAAATAAATGATAATAAATGATTTATTTCATTGGATTTAAAATTCATTTTTAACCTTATATAAATTATTAAAGGAAACAAGTGGAAAATAGTTATTAAAATATTATATAATCATTTTAAATATTTGATAATATTATTTAGATTTATAAATATATTAATTATCTTTTAATAAATAATCTAAGATGTTTTATAATAATTCTTTAGAAAAAACATTTTTATATATTTAGATAATATTCTAATCTATTTAAGAATCAAAAAATAATATAAGAAGAATATATATAAGATATTTAAGACCCTAAAAGAAATTAAACTTCTTATAGATCTAAATAAGAATGACTTTTTTATTTAAAAATTTAATTACTTTGGATATATAATTTTTCTAAAAAAAATTAAGATTTAGAAATCTAAAATATCCATAATTAAAAAATGACTAATTTTAGAAACTATTATAAGAATATAAATCTTCCATAATTTCTATAATTATAATAAAATCTTAATTAAAGATTTCAAAAAAATTATGGAATTAATAATAATTATAATATATATTAAAAATCTAAAAGATTTTAAATAAATATAAAAGATAAAAAAGGCATTTCAAAAAATAAAAAAGACTATAATAAAAAATCTAATAATAAAATTATCTAATTTAAATAAAAAGAAATAATTATATATTAATATCTTAAATAAAATAATGGGAATAATATTAGAATAATTGGAAAATAATGGAAAATAATATTTAATTACCTATTTTTTTAAAACTTTTAAAGAATTAGAAATAAAATATAAAATATATAACCAAAAATTTATAATTATTTACTAGATATTAAAAAAATGGAAATTATAGGTATTAAGAATTTTTGAACCTTTGGAAATTTATTTAGATTATTATAATTTTAAATCTCTTATAATTATTAAGATTTTTAATAATAAATAATCATAATGGATAAATAATTTTATATATTTTAATTTTAAAATTTATTATATTAAAAAAAAAGAGAATATTTAAATAGATATTTTCAATAAATTAAAGGATTTTAATATTAAAAAAATTAAAAAAGAAAGGGTAATATTTTAAGAAATATTTAATAATATTTTGATATTATTAATGATATATTTAATTAAATTATAATATAAATGGGAATAAAAAATCAAAGAAAAAATCTTATAAATTAAAAATATTTTATTAATATAGGATTTTATTATTAAAGATATAATATTATATAAAGGAAAAATTTATATATTATTAATATTATAAGAAAAGTTTATATAAAAAATATATGAATATTTTTTATATAGATATTTAAAAATCTTTAAAATAATTATATAATTATAGGAAATATATGACTTTCTAGGAATCAAAGGGATAATTAAAAAGATTATCTTAAATTATAATATTTATAATAAAATTAAAGAAATTAAATATAAACCATATAGGTTTTTATAATTTATTAAAATTTTAGATAAATCATGGAATATTATTGTATAAGATTTTATTATTAAATTATTTAAATTATAATATTTAATAATTAAAGAAGAATATAATAATATATGGATTATTATTAATAAATTTATAAAATATAAGTATTTTATATTATTTAAAGAAATCTATATAATTGAAGATTTGGTTTTCAAATTTATTAAAAAAGTTTTTAATAGATATAGGTTATTAAAGAAGATTATTTTAAATAGGGATAAATTCTTTACTTTAAAATTTTGGGTTAATTTAATAAAGAGGCTAGGGATTAAATAGAAGCTTTTTACGATAGTTTATCCTTAGATTGATAGCTAAATAAAGTAACTAAATTAGATATTAGAATAATATTTATAAAATTATGTTAATTATGAATAGGATAATTGGGTGGAATTTTTATCATTTATTATATCTTTATATAATATTTTAGTCAATAATATTACCAAGATATTACCAGATAAAGCGGGGATACAGTGTTAGGACCGCCTAATCCGGCGAGACATGCCGCTGTCCTAAGCGTCCTTAACACCTCGGGTTGTATGTCTCTCGAAGGTACCCTCTACTCTTTGCGACCAGGTCCCTAGTCCAGCATCAGTTAGCCCACTGCCTCACGTAAGCTCGCCTAAAGTCATCTCCCTTCTTTAGCCAACGTTAGCTAGCTAACTGCTATCCTAGCCATGTCGACGTCCCTTTTCCTGTTCCCCTGGTACCCAAGTTTACGGACACCCTTTTCAACCACTCAAACTCGAACTCACATTATAAAATGGCAGCGTTAGCCCGTTCCTTTGGCTACAAAGCTCTCTTTATCCTTCATCGTCTTGTTCCCATCTTCCTAATGCCTTCCACAACGCCGGTCCAAAGTCCCCCTAAAAAAAATGGCGCTCCCCGATCACACGGACTTCCTCCGACGCGTTACCACCAGAGAGACAAATAGCAGAATTACAAAGCAACGGGCGCCGTTCTCGGCGAAAGAACATGCCGCGCACCGGAAACAATTAAAACGAATCCACTACATCAAACCGAAGTACGCAGCCGAGACCGAGATCAATGTGTCCGGCATCTTTGGAAAATGGAAGCGGTTTGTATCAGTCTGTTGGAACCCTGCGCGAATCGTCTGCTAATCGTCAAGATACAGGTACTGCACTGAAATGGAACTAGGGAGCTGGAAACTCACGATGCAGAGCCTGGACCGCGAGACGATGATGGATTTCTTCCTCTTCGTCTGTGGGAATTACAAGATCAAATCTCGAGGTTCGTCAGAGGAATACATTCGTCAGTTTTCGCAGCTCCACACGACTGTCACCGGCCGCTACCCCGACCGAAATCACATGAAGGAGCTTTATAAGGTATGGTGCTTTGCCCAACTGCTCACGGCCATGCCTGCAAGAAAGCTCACTAACATGCGGTCAGTACCATGATCGCGTGTTAGTTCCTCGTTTTGGCCTACGACCGCCCAACATCGATGGAAAGCCGGTCCTGAATGTGGACTCGCTACGCGTCATTTTGGTCTTTAATATAGCATACGACACCAGCATTTTCCCCCTCGAGTTGCATCGTCTCAACTTGTCCGGCTGCTATATGATTCTTTGCTATACAGGAGCACGGCCGGCGGAGCTTGTCCACAACGAAAGGAAGAAACCGAAAGATGGCTCTCTTGAAGAGCTTTTCGGTGCGAAAGCGGTCATGTCCGCTGAGTGTGCCGGTGTCGAGGTGGAAGAGGACGAAGATGCGCTGGAGGAAGATTCCAGTGGGATCGGCAAGCTTCTCTTGCGAGAGACGATCGGGCGTGATCGTCCCAAGGCGCTCTGCTACGAGGATATCCTTATGATGATCGTGCGCCATCCCGTGACGGGCCGAGCTATCCCGGCCATGTCTATCAAGTTTGTCCATCACAAAGGATGCGATAACAAGCCCAAACCGTATGTACAAGTTTGTTTACTATAGATGTTTCTATCCTAATGACTCCTAGAACCATTTTCTTTTTCACGCCTTCCAGGACACTCCTCTTTTGTCCCCTTCTATTAATCATTTCTCTTGCGTTACTTGACGACGCTTTCGACGCAAATTGCTTGATAAATGCAAAATCTGTGCTTGGGGCGGAAGTCCCGCGTGGGATGAAATGTTTACCCCTTCGGTGGAAGGAATCCAAGCTCAAGATGCCCGTCTTCCGCCGCACGCACCGTGGCGTCGTGTCTAAAGACGAGCCCATGTCGTATTGCAAGCTTAGAGACGACATGGGCCGGCAGAGCCTAGATGCGGGATTTGAGAAAAAATGGACTCCCAGATTTGCCCGAAGAGGCGCTGCAAACGCTGCAAATGGTAAATTAATACTTGGACAAGAAGCTAAGTAGGGCGAGCGATCAAGCTAATAGCTCTTCTCTAGGAAACGCGCCAGATGCTGTCCGTGATCAAATGATGCGTCATAACCCAGAATACTACACGTTTCAAGATGCGTATCTCAATCAGATCGCCAATTTCGATCTTCAGAACGCTTTCTTAGAGGAAGAGACCGAGGATCAATTGTTCCGCCTATTCGCGCACGTCAGCCTGACTCGAGATCCTCGCGCTAAAAGAGATATGGTGCCTGACGAGGTCTGGGCAAATCTGAAGCCGGATCCTGATATTGTGGCACTGGAGAAGGAGCGAGAAGAACTTAAGCGGGGCCAATATCGAATACGAGGGAATAAGGACGAGGCGAGGATACGTGCACTCACGGATGAGATCAGGACCAGACGAGCTCAACGTGAGCACCGAATCGTGAAAGAGTACCGCGAATACTACTTTTATAATCGCCCAACCTGGGATCTCGAGAAGCAAGCTAGGGGAGAGGATATGGAGGAATATGAGGAGCCGGTGATCGACCTCGTCATCCCTGAGCGTGCCCAGCTGGCTAAGCTTCTTTGTTACCAGCCCAAGAAGATGAGCGACGAAGAGATGCTCCAGCGAAGAATCGAGGTCATTGATCTATACGTAGCCCTAGGTGGCAAGAGGGAGACCGTCAAGCGCAAAAGCACCAAGCCAAGATTACAAGTCGAGTTGCCTATAAGAACCGATGCTATCGGAGTCAACCCCTCTCTAAAGCCCAAGCCCGAGCCTGATCCCTTCCCCCTACTTATGCAACCGACCCAGTGCCCTGACTGCATTGGCGATAAAGCCCAGACAATCCATGAGCGGATTTTCTGTTATTGTCGTTCCACCAAGAGAAATGACCACTTTGACGACCATCATCTGAAGGGGAAAGAGCGTGCCGAACAGCAGGGTGAGCCCATCGTCTGCAGACATCCAAAATGCTCGGCAGTTGAGTTACGGAGTGTAAATGCATTCAGGAACCATATCCAATTAATCCACGGTGTTACGCTCCGGTCATCGATACAGGTGGAGAAGAGGCGGACTACCAAAGCCAAGCTTAGGCGGTCATAATGTGCTGACTGATTTATCACACCAATATCGTGAGACAAGCCCCTTGGACGATCGCTACTAGGAGGTCTGGGGTTAGGATTCATATTACTATGTATTTACTGCTCTATATGTCCTAACAGACTTCTTAAGAAATTGCCTGTGCAAGGGCGCTTAGGGGGTGCTGTGTGTCCCCCGCAAGGCATATAAGAGTTAGTAGGTCTTCATCCCCTCCTTCTATAGCTCTACCTTCTTGATCTCGACCTTTCTCAGCCTCGAAGTGTTCACTTAATCGCTTAAAACCCACGAGGCAATAGAGACCAGTATAATAGGGCAGCACCCGACTCAGGCCAAGTTGAACTTTACACGTGAGCTCTATGCGATTGCGGATGCTATTATACGATCCACAAGTATCATCGTTAATATAAGTGCTAGTAATAATCCCTTTTATTAGAATATAATACGTATGATTCTAAACATTATCCCATTCTACAATATCCAGGACAAGTATCTTTAATACATTCTCACCATTAAGGTACTTCTGCTACCTAATCCAACACAATCTGACACAACATTTGTAATAATACTCCATTTATCCATTATATATAGGTAGCCAAATCATTATCTTTTTCGCCTGTTTATGGGCGCTTTTGACATGGTTTATAGATATTGTTACCTGTGATGAGGATGGGCATCGGATAGCGATATTCCTGGTAACACTTTAGCTTATAAGCGTGCAACGGCGCTAACGGAACTATACCATCTGGTGAACCATCAATGGCACAATATCTTCGTCTGACCGAAAAATAAACTCTTTGCCCTTCGACGGTACTGAGACCGAGAAGTAGACTTTGGCTCCGTAGCCAGCTTTCAGAGCAAGACCAGTTTTTACTAGTGTCTCCCATCTTTTACGTAAATTGGCGCCGCTCCTGTCGCGTTTCTTTTTTGATGCCATCGACTTTGGCTTATCTTCCATAGTTTTTGTATTGTAGAATAGCTTCACAATATTAATCAACTGATAAGATCTATGTGATATGTTGCTTTTTAAATGTTTGAAAGAATGGCTTGTTTGTTGGTCGGTTTTAAAAGGCCAATAATCGCCAATATTGTATCGATTATAATTAGAACCCCTCGAGAATGGATAGTTAACCCAAATTCTGGACCATGGTTTCCGAGTCCCAGTTTTGGGTACATCTAACGCCTTTTTGGTCGCCCAGTTTTGATTTCCTTTATGTGATTTGAAAGTCCATTTCTATCTGCATAGCCATATATGCTAAGGGCTAAAATGCAGCACATAGCCTAAAAAATGGATATTTAGATGAATGCTTAATACCAAATGATTTGTAATATATTGACCTAACTGCCTATTGGAATTGTAGCTGGCACCAACCCACGTCTGGAATGGAAAGTTGCATTTAGTTGATATAAGAAAATGATCCTAAGGATAAAGATGCTTTTTGATTATTAGTCTAAGATTATACATCATTTAAAGCAATAAAAGGACTTTAAGACTCTCTTAGGAACAGACCCTATTCACATACATGACCTTCTACATATATTATTACCCTTAAATCAAGACTACTAGTGAACCAACTGGGTTTAATATGTCTATATCCCAATTGGGATATAGGTTCGTAACATATAGATCAAGTAAAGATGAAGGAAGACATGCTGCATTGTGTCGGCCTATTCCATGCCGCTACCCGAATGAAGGGATATAACATTAGTAATGCCCTTTTATTCCATCTATTAATTAAACGCCCCTCTCTGGATTTAGGATCGATTTCTATGAATAGCTGAGCTGAACAAGTTGACAATATACTATATGTCCCAACATAGCCCCATTTATCGTAAACGGTCATAAGATGTGAATGCAAGGAGGCAACCATCGATTTACAGGGCTGAGGAACCTCCTCTACTGTTCGCAAGTTAGACAAGCAAAGGAGATTTAAGAAGTTAGCTTAATGATATTAATCTATGTGCTGCATTAAGCCACTAGTTACCAAACAAATATAACCATAAAGGATACAGAATAGTCCCAGATTCCAAAGAAGGCCCCCACGTCCTATTCATATTCAAGATATAGTATATTAATAACAGTAATAATATCAAACTTATTCCCAAATATATAGGCTAGATTATCGAACTTATCATGTCTGAGAAAGAAGGTTTTAAGCAAGATAATACTTTAATAATGGCTTGGATTAGGGACCCTAAAAAGCTCGAGAAGAAGGCGCTACGTTAGCAACAGCACAGCCGACGGTTGTACAAGGCGACCATGGGCTATATATCGCTCGAAGAGTTAATAACAAAGATCTCGAAGTTTCGTTCCCGTACTTATTTATATACTAATTATGCTGGTGGGTCCTGTGTACCATTGAGAGGTCGTGCAATGCTCTCCTTCAACAGCTTTATACCCCTACACGCCTAGAGCGCGAGAGCCAGCTCCCGTCCATCATTGGCTAGATCTTTAAAGCGGCCAACGGGACAGAGCGCGACGCTTTGGATCGCTGGCTGCTACGGAAAATAGCTGAGATACTAAATAAGTTTATACGGAACGAGCTGGCAAATCTTATGACTATACAGATCTTGGGAAAGCAGTGTAATTTAGATTTTAATTTATTAATAAAATATTTCTTAATATCTAATGGATGGTAAAGGTATTTTAGCCCTTATCAAGTTCTTGTACCGAATATGTATGTTACAAACCTACCTATTATTTCTGTTAGTCTGATTTCATAGATCAGATATATATCTAAGGGTCTTAATTTGAAAGATAATAATAGTTTAGGGTTGACAATTTTATTTATAAAAGAGAATTTAAGGTACTTTATATTCAAATGTTATCTAAATATTTAAATTAATAGTTAAAGAATGAATAATTATGTGACGATATACCAGAAGGTCAGATGCACTATATGGTAATGAATCTTTAAATTAAAAGGATTAAAGAACAAATATCAATCTGAGTCCTCGAGGGAATCCTTGAAGCTATATACTCCTTCGCGATGCTAGCTCACTCAAGGCTGTGTCTTGAGCTTTTAGCCTCATTGGGCCACGAGCCCTTACAAATTAAATATAAAAGAAATCCATCCTTATTTATATTTTTTTTCCCTTATTCTATTTCTATTAAATTAAATTAATTTTTAGTTAGTTACTTGTTCCATTTCATATTCTTTAAATTAAGATTTTTTTCAACCAAGATTATAATAAAAAGTCAAATATCTAAGCCAAATTGACAATAATATTAAATCCTCCTTGTCACAGACCAAATTCACCATGACTAGGATCAACACCTTTTTACCCAATCACGGATAAACCACGGAGGAATCAACAGCCGTAATCAGCATGATCTTGTTAGTCAGATCCTGACCATCCTGATCACCCTGACTCGACCATGATCAGAACGATCTTGTTGATCTGGTCCTGACCACCCTGATCAACAAGATCATGACGGCCTCAGGCCTAGAAGGAAGGAAGGACGCATCTATATAATCACAGCATTTCCCATGTATCTAGTCACTCTTTTCATAAGCTCTTTAGTTATCAATCTAAGACTATTCTCTTACAATAGTGAGAGGACTCCAAGCCTCTCTGACGAACAGAACTTACTTAAGCACTTGACCTACTACTGATATTGTTACCTTCAAATCAAGACACCCCGGATTAGCCAATCCAGTAACGACTATACCCCACCAGGGTATAGGTTCGTCACATATTATCTCCTTTCCTTATTTATTAATAAACAGAAAACTTGGAACCCCAAATAATTAATAAGCTTGCTTCCTAGTATATCCATTTAGTAACGGTCCATAGCAGATAAGAGTATGTAGATATGGACTACGATGTTACATTCAAGAATATACCAAACCATAAAGGCTAAAGAAAAGATGCAACAATTAAGTGTGTAGTGGATAGTCTTTTGCTTAAGAATTCTATATTTATTAGTGAATCTCCAATGCTAGATCGTATGGATAAGGAAGCAACTTGCAGCAACTAGGCGGCTCCAATGTTTACCACAAACCATCCTCTCTTTAACGCGGCTGATAAATTGGCCATCTCTCCCGACACAAATGGATTGTCACCTATAATCAATGATATGTTTTTTGCCTCTTTATCAGCCAGCCTGCGATATCCCAGTAGATCTGATTAATCCATCCCTTCGGAATGATCAGCTTCTCCCGGAACCGATGGAAGGCGTCATTGCAACTTCGGCCAGTCCGCTTAGCCCGACGAGCCAGAACATGCCAGTGACGATAGCAACCTAAGCTATGCGATTGACCGCATTCTTGAGAGATTGGGAAGGAACTTATTCCTTATTAAGTGGTCAGATGATGGCAGTTGCTGGTGGGTGCCTCGAGAGAACGTCTTGGACGACGAGCTTCTTCAAAGGTTCGAGGCGGAGTTTAAAGGATTCCATTTAGGTGTGAAGGTTCTAGGTACCCGTAGATGAAATGGAAAGACAGAGTATCGTGTAAGATGGATGGGCCGTCCAGACAGCAAGGACATGTGGGTTCCGGAGCGGCAGATGAGTCCCAATCTCGTCAAAGAGCATAAGCCACGTACGAAAAAGGCGAAGAAAAGAAAGGCACGTTATTAAAGGCAGGGATGCTGTGGTAAAGTGTATATAATAGCTTGGTGTGATATCTTATATTTGTCGGTAAGCTCCTTAAAAAAATCAGGAGGATTTCTACTTACAAAGCCGTATAGTCCCTGGTCGAAACCTGTCATAACCCCTTACCTATCTTGGCTTGTAAGCAAGCATCTAAGTTCGCTTTGCTTCTTAATGTAGAAGGATGCTCTTTGCCTAGCATCCGCTCCCTCAGCTCCAGTGTCTGACGATGCATTTGCTCTGCCTCTTCGTACTTCCCCTGATTTCGAAGGACTCCTGCGAGGTTATTCATGCTCATAAGTGTGTCGGGATGCTCTCTGCCCAGTATCCGTTCCTTCAGTTCCAGTGTCTGACGATGCATTTGCTCTGCCTCTTCGTACTTCCCCTGATTTCGAAGGACTCCTGCGAGGTTATTCATGCTCATAAGTGTGTCGGGATGCTCTCTGCCCAGTATCCGCTCCCTCAGCTCCAGTGTCTGATGATCTATCTGCTCTGCCTCTTTGTATTTCCCTTGGCTATTAAGAACAAGTGCGAGGTTATTTATGTTGTCAAGTGTGGAGGGATGCTCTCTGCCCAGTATCCGCTCCCTCAGCTTCAGTGTCTGATGATCTATCTGCTCTGCCTCTTTGTATTTCCCTTGGCTATTAAGAACAAGTGCGAGGTTATTCATGTTGTTAAGTGTGTCGGGATGCTCTCTGCCCAGTATCCGCTCCCTCAGCTCCAGTGTCTGATGATCTATCTGCTCTGCCTCTTTGTATTTCCCCTGGCTATTAAGAACAAGTGCGAGGTTATTCATGCTGCCAAGTGTGGAGGGATGCTCTCTGCCCAGCATCCGTTCCTTCAGTTCCAGTGTCTGACGATGCATTTGTTCTGCCTCTTTGTATTTCCCTTGGTTATTAAGAACAATTGCGAGGTTATTCATGCTGCCAAGTGTGGAGGGATGCTCTCTGCCCAATATCCGCTCCCTCAGCTCCAGTGTCTGCCGGTACATCTGTTCTGCCTCGTTGTACTTTCCAAGCATGAAATAACTCCCCGCGATATTAAAAAGTAGATCAGTCTTTTTATCAGCAAACTTATTTCGAAGATATAATACCGACTGTCCGTGTGGGAGGTATCTCATCCAAATACTCCGGTTCTCGTGCATAGGAAATGGATACTCGTCGGTAAGGTGCTGAATTGCATCTATCGCCCATTTTTGCCACTCTCCATTTGTCTGCAGCCAATTGCGCATGGCTAGCCGAACGAGTCGATGGA